CTGAAGGTAGCAATTGTTAGTTTGAAGATGACTTCACGAAAAGGAAGTTATGGAAGGGGGAAAGGAAAGGAACACACTTAATGAAGGACGCAAGATGGTAGACTGTGGTGAGAGTGCACTCGAGCACAGCATGGCCCTCGGTGTCTTCATAGCGCGCTAGCAAATCGATGATACTGGTGAAACGAGGGAAGAGCTGCTTCTCGGTGGAGCTGAGATGGGAAATCTCCTGGCGCAGGTTGAAGTAGACGCATTCAAAAAACGATGACAAGACACCGTTGTTTTCGACGCCGAGCAGCTGGCGTAGACCTGGTTTAAAGTCGGTGGTTTGGTCGCCAAAAACGACAATCGATTGTGAGGCCGTCATTGTTGAATAGGTCTGTTGAAGGTCCCGGCCAGACTTGGACACGCAAGGAATGTGATAAGTACCAATATAACGTGTTAATAGTTAGGTTTCGTGTGTAATATGTTATTTGCGATCTAGTCTTGCGCTGGAGTATTCAGAGAGAGCCTCCTAACTATTATCTTGTTGAAAAGATGAAAGTGTTGTGTGACTCGACGCTACCACAAACCAGGGTAGCATCCAGTCCTTTATGTACTATGCCGAGTCTCACGGCGAGCAGAGCTCAACTGTTTATTTATCCCCGCCCGAGCTTTTTGTCATCACCGAATCGTGTTTCTTGTAGCTTCATGTGGACCGTTCGATCCTATCTCTCCTCGTTCGGGACCAGAGACTTGTCTGAGAAGAGTAATGGGTGGGTTTGCCACGCGAGAAACCTCCGTAGAGTCTGACAAAACATACGATTCGGAAGTATTCTAGATATTTTTAGTACCAGTCTGCGTCGTTGCTGTATCTCAAGTGGACACCATCGGGCAGGAAGTACCTCCTTCACTGGCCGTAAAGGTTACGATCTTCTGCAGATACTAAGCGTCACTGCCCGTTCCTATCTGCAAAACACCGATCGGCAGGCACATGGAGCCCCGCAAGTGATGAAAGTATCCACGATGCATCAGCGTGGCAGGACGGGACAACGACTGAGAAAGTCGCGTGTGCCATCATGCATGGAAGTATTCCAGCAAAATTAATGCCCGGATCGGGCATCATGGAATCAACAAAAGGGGACGGTAAGGAAGTACACTGCACGGGCCGATCCGTTTCAATGATGGATGCTTTCCACTGGTGACTTCTAGATTCGGCTATTTTACTTGATCGCAAGACAGCCAGGGTTTAGAGTTGCAGAGAGAAATGCGGTACAGTCGAGAAGGCTCGGTGGTAAACAAGTTGTTTCGGGCCGGCCGGATGTGGAGAAAGACAAAGACACTGTCCGCGGGATCGGGGCTGACCCCTTCGTAAGCAACCAAGCCCTAAGCCCTAAGGCCCGACAGCAACATCGGCCATTAAGAATGTGCAGGAGAGCGACAATGATGCGATTTGTTGCGATTCAATGCATTTTCGGGTCAATAGATGCATGTAGCTGCTTTCACGAATACATATATAATGGGGATGGACGTCCGTAATCATTATTAGGTTTCATTACACACGGCCTTCACTTACTACAGTCAGCCAGTGAGTTTGTGAATTTACTGACCAAACATCAGAATTGTCGCGCAATGGAATCCCTATCCGCCATCGAGCAGTATGCAGACCAGATCTCGCGCAGTGCAAAAACACTGAGCGATTATCTGCGAGCCAACAACCAGCCCCAGCCGTCGTTCGAACGATACGCGCCAACATCGACGCTGCCTGCCTCAGCGCCCGAGGATATTGCACTCGCGCGTAGAGATCTGACTGAGGCGTCATTCAAAATTTTCCAGCTCGCTGTCGGGCCGAGCGAATTTTTGCCTCATCTGACTGCCAATGTATGCTTGCTGAATCCCGACTTTTCGTCCTTTTTTGTTGTTGTTGTTGTTGTTGTTGTTGCTCCTCTCTAATGATGTTGCTAACATTTAAACCAAGTTCCATGTGCTCTTTGCTCTTCGATGGTTGTGCCACTTCCAAATTTTCTCACTGGTGCCTCTACATGGCTCCATCTCCTACACTGACCTGGCGGCCGAGGCCAAAGTTTCTGAGCGCAGGCTGAAGAGCGTTGCGCGCATGGCCATGACCAACAATCTGTTCAGCGAGCCCACTGCCGACACCATTGCTCACAGTGCCATCTCAGCACTACTGGTGACCAATCCCAACTTCTTTGACTGGGCCCGCTTCATGACAGAAGCATCTATACCAACCGCGGCCAAGCTGGTCGAGGCCTGTGAGCGATGGCCCGACAGCGTGAAGAAAAACGAGACCGCCTATAACATAGCTTTCGACCACGACCTGCCCTTCTTTGATCACTTGGCTCAGGATCCTGAACGCACGCGCCAGTTCTCCGGCTACATGAAGAGCGTCACCAACAGTGAAGGAACTGATCTGAAGCACCTCGTGGCCGGCTTTGACTGGGCTAAGTTGGGAAAAGCGACCATTGTCGATGTAAGGCTGATAATTCCACTCACTTTCAGAAACACAGACGCTGGAATGGATGCTAATTCTTGCAACTTTCTGCACACAGGTTGGCGGTTCGACGGGTCATTCTAGCGTTGAGCTGGCCAAGGCCTATCCAGACCTCGACTTTGTTGTCCAAGATCTCCCCGAAGTCGTAGCCAACGGACCGGAAGCTCTACAGTCGCAGGGGCTAGCGGAATCAGTCACGAACCGTATTCGGTTTCAGGAGCACAGCTTCTTTGAGCCGGAGCCGCTCCACGGCGCGGACGTGTACCTCTTGCGCATGATCCTGCACGACTGGCCGGAAAACGAGGCGCTGTCGATAGTATCAAACCTAATCCCAGCGCTGAAAGCGTGTTCGCGCATCATTATCATGGACACGGTGTTGCCGGCTTCGGGACAGATCCCGGCCGTCCAGGAGCGTCTGCTGCGTGTTCGTGATCTCACCATGCTCCAAGTCTTCAACAGCCTGGAGCGCGCCACTGAAGACTGGACATCTCTTTTCAAGCGTGCGGATCCACGACTGAAGCTGAAGTCATCGGTCCAGCCGCTTGGTAGCACCATGAACGTGCTCGAGGTTGTCCTTGAGGACGAGAAACAAGAGGTTAATCAGTCGTCCTCTGAGCAGGTCATCGAGTCCGCCACCGCGCTGGAGGGATCTCTGGAGTTGCTCAGTGCGACTCCAGTCGAGATCAGAGCCGAATTGTAAAGATTAGCGCGGTGTTTTGGGTGTTTCCATTTCATTTCATTAGTATATCGCGCATTCAATAGATCTATCTTTGAAATTCGATGCTTTTTTAATTCTTTTTTTTTTGAATCGTATTCAGCCGCTGCAGTGGGATCATGGGATGTTCTCGTTCTCGCTGCCGGCTACCTTTCACAACCAGCGACTATAAGTGACCCATCTGTTGATGAATCCTGGCAAAGCTTTGAGGTTGGTCTACCGTCTTCTTGGGGTTAATCTGAAAAAAAGAAAGTATTAATTAACCGTAATAGACCAATGTAAAAAGCTCCATGATCACCTCGAAAGCGTTCCTTCCTACCGCCAGCCATTCCCACTCTGCGATTATCGGCCTCACTGCGGTAGTCATCTTCCCCCCAGCCATACAGCCTGGTCTGTCTCTTACGCTAGTTCCAAGCTTGCCGTTGTCAAATCAATGGAGTACATCACCGTGGAAGCCCCGTTTGTCTTCGCGGCGGCACTGAACCCAGGAGTAGCCTATACAGCTATGTTCGATAAATTCAGCGCCGATGTAGCCAGTCTGCCGTTTGATTGTGGTGGGTTACGCCGACCACACATCTCTCATCCCATGACCAATGGATGGTTTGTGTTAGTGGAACTGCCTGCGAAATTTATGGTGGTTGTGTCATCTGTCTTCAAAGTAATCTAGCGTGATAAAGTGGACTATCTCCTCGGCGCAAATCTCAACAAGCCTTATAACGAAAATTGTTACCTCGCAGCGTACAACGCTATGGTCAATAATGCAGACGGATATTGGCTTGCGAATCAGGCCCCGGGTATCGATAACCAGATCGCCTTGGGCGCACCGACTCTGCTACATGATATCTTTATCTATCAAGTTGACATTTATGCACGACCGGGACAAATTTTATGGCGGTTTTACCAATCGGCCATTTTCAGGCGCTGATAAATTGCTCGACGGGCTATAGACTATTAACATATACCATACACACTTTACGGACTTGGTGGTGACTATTGTCTTCCAGGATGAGCTTCCCAGCTCTACGGGCCGGAAAGGGCTAAAAAGCGTCTTCAACAGGCTGATATCTGGCAACGGTCTGTTGCCCAATCGAACAGATGAAAAGAACGGGTTGGGCGACGCTGGCTCAAATGACTGAGGATAACAAACGACTCGTGGTCTTCTCATCCTATAATTGCGATCACAACTGCAACCCTAACCCCAACCACGACTGTGTTTTCCCGTATCAATGGGACTTCATGACAGAGAACGACTGGGGCGGGGCGAGTATCAATCCTGCTGCCTGGACGGAAAAACGCGGGAGCTCGAAGCCATACGGGTCGCGCAAGCTTGCTGGCAATGATTCACTTTCCTATTAGAGCAGCCGACATTTTAGGTAGGATTTGCGAGATTAATGAAACAGACTACATCAAGCGGCATGCGACCGAATTTCTAAGAACGACGATTGTGAGCAATACTCACATGTTACCCCCAATTACTGTCATTCTCGAAATCGGGTTGACTGACAAATATATGACAGTTTTCTTCTTGCCACACTGCCAAAGCCTTGGTCTGAATATATTCTTGGGTTACCTGTTTCAAATGAGGGCAGGTGTAAGTTACTGGTTGTATGAAACAAGTAATATACAGAGTATTGAATCAATATTATGGATAGCACACGTTTTCTTTGTTAATTTTCAATGTTGAATACTGGAGGTAGGGAAAAATCTATAACAGCTCGCGATTGATTCTTCGAAGAAGCTGTCAATATAATTATAAAAGCCTTGAAGATATTGTAGTTTACATGTAGCTTTCTCAGTTTACAAGCAGGACCATGCCATCCGCTCTTCCTCAATCAAGTTCCAGATGCTCAAGATTGAGGCTGACGAATTGTCACAAGATTCGTTTGTATCTCTAGAAAGGTCCTGAACGATTGGTACAGTTGGTATTTGCTGCCGCTTCCATCTCCTGCAACGATTCGCTTTCCATTTTGTATCAGTCCATTTTCCGCTCCCAAGATTGCGCACGACAATTATTTCAAGATTGCGCAATCTGCCGTCTGTCTTCTTCTCTTCCTTGAAATCACAATGTAATAGTGATGCATCCACCTTGCAGGGCATACCCCATCCCATAAAACTTGACTTGGCCTCGTCGAAAAAGCTTTGAAGCCAACTCTCGATGTTTTTGCGTGATGTCAGCAAAGAAGCCCGTATCCCCAAGAATGACAGCACCTTTGGGGAGCAGTTTTGAAGTAATAATCTGAATGTATATTTATTTTTTACCAGTAACTCTTCATGCGTCGCACTCAAGCCAACTTCAGTGATTATATCAACGTCTGCAAGCCTATGATCTCTGAAGGTGCATTCATGCTTGAACGGTGTATATTTTGTGGCGGTAAGCAAGTGAAGTGCATTCAAGAAGGTGATTGTCATGCAAGGGCAGAGATCAACCTTGCCAGCAAATGGCATGCACGAATGGTCCTTCTGCCATGAAAATAAGCGCGGCCTCCATGCTGAAGGACGATGAAGTTTCCAGCATTCATCGCAATGCCGCCAACGGCTGGTCTCAAGCCGTGGGATTAGCAGGTGCTGCACTTGTAGTATGTTGGCATTCTCGAGATTGATTTTGCGGTATAGTAAGCGTTCGTCTGTGTGGAGAAGTGGGAAGAGCCGCTGTCGGTCGTGAGTTTCTAAGAATGAAATGTAATGGGTGTATAGAGACTTGCAAGTTAAGGCGTAGCATATTTGGTCTGGTATTGAGAGAAATTGGAGGGTTGAGTGGACTACTTTTGATGGAAGTCTCGTCGCGATGTCAGGCTTTTTCCTCCAGATGATCGATATTAGGGAACGAAATCGCGATTTGAGTATTTGATTATCCATGGCTGTTGAGTACGAACACAAAGAAGGAAAAGAGTAGAATAGAGATGAAAGAAGGATTCTTCTTGGACTATGAGTCTCAAACTCGTAGTTGCCTGGGGAGGTTGTGGAGGTTCAAGGTTGACTTGCAGCCTAATCCGGGAAGGTTAATATCTCATTCCAGGCCATCATATTTGAAATACACATACAGGCAAAATAAAAGATCATGTGCTAAAGATCTTAAGCATGCGTTGGGGAATGCCATACGCGTAGGTGCTACGTGAGAAGTTAACTGCTCGTCTATATGGGATCTATACTCCAGAGTCGATGCACCTGGATGAGGCCGGAATAATGAAACGAAAGTACCTAGCACCACGGGATCTTATGTCACCCTTTTGTAATTGACTTCCTCTACCAGGTTTGCTTTTAATCTTGTCTTCTGTCCTGAAAACAATAAGCATTCAAGCCAGCAGCATATAAGCAAGAGTTTTAACAGATTTTCACTCACTTGATCAAGCAAAACCTCATCATGCAATTCATAAGACCCCCGTGTACTCCCAGTTTTAAGCTACTTCGCAGCAGTTCTTCATCTTTCTTCCCTCTCAATGCACCATTTAAACAAGCAACAAGGCACATTGCCACCAGCTGTATCACTTCAAATGTGAGAGGCGCAGAGCAAACGCTGAGATTATTATCAGTTCATCATAGGCCTTATCACTGTATATTCCAGCGGACACCGGGCAGGCGATTCATGTGTGAAGAACAACGCAAAATCAAACGGGAGATGCGGTCAGACTGCCATCAAATATGGAGCTTGGTCATTTATCGCTGCACGTATAAAAGCGATTCTGACTGGGGAGAGTTTATACTGGGCTAGTAGGACTTCATGAAACATATATAGCTAATGAGTATAATGAAATATACTAGCTGTGTCAAACGCTGCTGGATCTATTTATAACAGGTTTCATTATAACTATTCTCTTCGCTTGTTGGTTGGTGTCATTCCTTTTCTCTCGTCTTTCTTGGAAACAAAATCATCGTTAGGAAATGGGATAATCAGAATCCTATTTATGTTAGCTCCGAAGATCGCAGCATGAATATACTATGTAGAGTATGATATTTGGATTCGAGTGTGGAAGACGCATAAAGAATACCTAGTGATTGACTAGGTGACTGAACTGGTAGGAATCAGCCAACTGACTCGTCCCATAACCTCCATCGCGTAAAGTTGACTGTGTTTTTAAGGACAAGGACACCAAGGGGGTGAAGTCAGCGGGATGGGAGAGCAACAGGGGAGGAGAGGGAGCTGTGATGGTGAGGCATAAAGCGGCGGGCCGCACGCGCTAATCTGGAAACTGGGCACCCACGATTCTACATAAGGTACCTAGGTATGTAAAATATCACACAAAAATAATCGGGAATCGGATATGTCGACATTGCACTGCTAAACCGTATCTTAAATTCGATATGTATAACAATAGTTCTAAGCAGTTATCAGACTCAAATAAATAGCCCACCCGAATCCAAACAGACTTCCCACAAGCACCCTTTTATCCACCGGGACCACTGCAAAACACAAGATCGAGACTAGCGGCCATAATTTCAGACCAGCGAGCATAATCGGGAAGAATTCCTGTGCATCATTAACTCTAACTCCTGGAGGATCAGGAAGATAGAAGGATTTACCCGTCTTATCACCTCGACAATCTCCCCCACTCCTCCCCCACGCAATATTGTCATTGTGCTCAGGAACAACGCCGACATCCACGTCGCCCCGACGGTTTGGTCGATGACGACTTTGATGATGGTGTTTTTGACATTTAATTTCTGCACCGCATCTTTAGGCGGGCTCTTTTCATCGGTCTTTTTTGGATGCGTGGATATATCTTCTACTACTCTCTGTCCGGGGAAGGTCGCCTCCAGATTAATCATCCATAGGTATGCTGGGGGCGTGTTGATAATGGCCACGGCAGTGAACTGCGCGAGGGCGGTATAGTCGAGTTGGAATGCGGTCTAGATAAGCATAGGGATAGTAGTAGTAGTCATACAGATTCTCCCAAAAATGGCGAATGGATGCACCCACCTCAGATCTGTACGCGGTAATCGCTTGTGCAACGATGTTTGAGCTGGCGTTGATCACGGCAGCTTGCAGCGTGGCGGTGACGATGGGTGGTGGCATGGCTGTTACGGTAATTATAGGCCAACTTTTAAACAAGGATTAGATCTGATGAAGATGGTGATGATATGAAATTTGCCAGGTCTGGCCAAGGCTTGGGCACTACGTGTCCAGTGTGCTAGAATAGTCTACATTCAGCCGAATTGTAGCGATTGGTCGGCGATGCTAACACACACTAGTACGAATGTTGGATGTTGGATGTTGGATGTAGGCCGATGAATGTAGCTGCAAATTGAGATTGGCTATACCTGTGATGAATAATTAGTATTGACGATAGGAATATATTCAGCGTACAGTATAAAATATATGTATCATCAAGAATGACAACATTTAAAGAAATGCACCCACCATAGAACCTTTACCAGCCACTCACAAATAAATAAATAATCTTTTACCCCAACGTCTCAAATTTTCCCCGCACCTCAATTGTCCTCCCCACACACAACATCTGAACTTGTAATCATTTAATTATAATAATAATAAAATGCTCGAAATAGCCATATTCAACTCCTCCTCCGCCGTCATTGCATACACCAGCGCCGCAGACCGTCTAGAGCTATGCGCTGACGGCTCCTCAACAAACGGCGGCACGACCCCGACACTAGACACGCTGCGATCCGTGATCGACTCACTCAATCAATCCACCCACCATCTTCAACGACGGAAGAACATCCCCATATACGCGATGATCAGACCTCGCGCTGGAGATTTTGTGTATTCTGAGGAGGAGTTTAGGGTCATGAAAGAGCAGTTGAGGCAGTTGAAAGAGGCGGACTATAGCGGCAGCAGCGGCGATTATTTCAAGTTTGGCAGAGTCGATGGGTTTGTCTTTGGCATTCTGACTCCGGACAATAAAGTCGACAGGACACGGAATGAGGAGTTGGTTAGGCTTGCAGCGCCTCTACCGTGTACCTTTCACCGTGCATTTGATCAGGTTATTCAAGCCGGTGGGGGCACGAGCGGTGAAATTATTAGTGACGATGTACGCGGTCAATTAAAGAGTATCATAGACGCCGGGTTTGCAGCGATACTTACTTCTGGCGGGGAAAAGACTGCGTTGGAAGGCGCAGAGAAGATTGCGGCTTTGACGGAGGCTGCTGATGGGAGGATAGCCATTATTGCTGGGGGTGGTGTGAGGTCGACGAATGCGAGAGATCTAAGGCATAGGGCCGGCACGATGGTGTTTCATTCTAGTGCTGTTGTGGATCATAGTGATGTAGCTAGTTCGGAGGAGGTGAGGGCTTTGAAAAGAGAGGTGTCATCTCTGACAACACGTTGCTCTTAGAACGAGCAAAGATAAAAGACAGAAAATCGGTAGTCCCGAGATCCACGCAAATTGTAAATACTGAGACAGCTGAGATCTTGCAATAGGACATTACCTTAACTAGATTCTCGCATGACTTTAAATATAAAAATAGAGGTCTCTAGAGCTTCAACGGCTCTCTTCTTTAAAATCCACCATTATCAAGCAAGTTAGTAACAATGGCTCGTTAAACGCGATTCATAGAAAAGCGTTAATCAAAGAGATCTAGGTCTAATAAATAATAGATTATCTGACACAAAATTATGACGGTATTAGAAAAATAAGAGGTTAGTTTTTATATTGGAGGGGACGAACTGCAAGCAGGAACTCACATTTTCCTCATCTCACAAGTGAAAATTGGAAGCGCTGATTAAAAGACCAATTATGTGTCAATATCTACCACCCAATTCAACTAACCATAGTTGGCAACCTGCTGAGCCGCAGGTGGCCATAATTAGAAACACTAAGTAGCGTTCACTCTTTAGAACGGCATTATTATACTCAACAGGTGTCGAAATCGTTAATAGAACATCTGGAAACTTTCGGGATATAACCTAGGATTCTTAGCGGCCCCTACAAACTATCAGAAATGTCTTGAATCCACACGTGTATCTACATTTATTGGATCTTTTCAATTTAATGGCATCGAGACGGGGGGGGGAGTGCAACTTGGCCCAATTTCCAATTAGACGGGTAGAAATTCGGCCAACTACTAAACAGGATGGAAAGGTAAACTAGGACCGGCGACTTTTGGCAAGAGCTCATGCATCCTGAGACGGACTGAGTGATGTGTGTGGCACCTCATAGTAAATGTCTGTTGTGGAAGTTTACTTCTGCGGCTATGATGTCAATGACCGACGATCCCAACATTACATCGTTCAAATCGACCATGTCGGTTGTGAGAACTGTTTGTTGGTTCATCGTAAATATCGTCATTGATATTACTTTTATTTCTCTCTCCGATCATTGTCCCGGATTATTCTGTGAATTGGATACCAGCCGCGAATCAGTCCGGGCTGCTGCTTGCGGTGATGATCGAAACAACATGCATCATCAATCTATCCGGCGGCGCTGGTACACATGTACTTAATGGTTAGTTCAGATTATATTGGGTTGGATGATTGTTAACTTATAACGACTGAATATGCATTATCATTCCAATCCAGTGGTAAAAATGAGCTGATCGGGCGGAGAATTAACACCGGATACTATTATAGACCCGATCGAGGTGTTTACTGCCCGCACGCAATGATTACCATATTAGTATATACGTATGACGGCTGCATTCGGAGTCCGTTCCTGTTTCGTACCTTGCATATGTTCATGTAGGAACTCGCGTCAATTGATATGTGGTCTTACAGTATTACGTGGATTTTATGAATGTCAAAGATAAGTGAACATTTGAAGCTTGTGCAATATAGTAATTACGCATTTGTTCCGTAGGAGCTGGACACGGTCCATGGTGGATAATCGGCCGCCCGGACTCTTTACTGTTCCATGGCGAGCGATCGATCTTGGCCCTCCGGCACACATGGCAACGGATGGTCAGAGAGTCGTGGAGTTGATATGAACATTATCAGATGGCCATATAGTCAGTCACAATGCTACAGTAATACCTGTCAGGTCACTCGTTCTGCATGGGTTACACCAGCCAGCCACCACCCAGCCACAATGCTACTCGATAAAACAGCCGCCACAGATCCTTGACACGGGGTGTATTGCCTGCATCCCAAGGCGAGCGATGCACGAGATCGATCTTCAGGCGTGGGTTATCAGCTTATCAGAGCCCGAGAGAATTCATCTAGTCGATGATGAAATTATTAGTCGGGTACAGAACTGATCTGCTAGATAGGTACTGAATATGGAGGATGGGAGGAGCAGCTGGTTGGCTGACCGCACGGCTTCCAGAAGGCTACCTGTTTGGGGGCCGAACTATACAGATGCAGCCATCCGCTTCTGCATTCTTTCACAGGGTATATTCACATTGATATTTGCTTACAGTCATATCTCATCATCGAGCTCCCAGTACTCCTTTGCACCATCCTTCCTCTCCACTCCCGATATCCCGGTTGAAGAAGCATGTTGGAGTTTGTGGATTGTTGGGATCGGCGCGGTCTGGCGTCGTATGCTTAGACGAGCACAGCCCGGTGCTAGCCCGAAGCAGCCTAGGCCGCGGCATGATGAACGGTGGCTTGTCATGGTCGCTTCCATTATTAGAGCCTGCCGATTCGTACTTCTATTTCTATTCAGTCCTTTCGATCATTTCTATTATTTGGCTCTGGCGCTGATGTTTCTATTGCTGTGCCGCTCTGTGGCTGTTGACTTAGCTACTTAGGTACCTGTTATTTATTATTAGACTGTATATATGCATATCTGCAGGCGTCAGAGCGATAGACTGCGAATATGGCCCGCGCCCCCAAATACATGCATGCAATAGTGGTGCACCATCCCCGTAATAGTAATGAATTCGAAGAATATCAGCAGACACCTCGTGCGTGCTAGTCGTATAGTGCCTGCCACTGACAGCCGGAAAATAACGAACTCGACGCGCGATCGCTGCAGATCCGGACTGGTGGCAGCAGCCACCTCCAGCAGCGCCGAAGGGGCCAGAACTCTATACACCTATTACATCAAGCACGCTTCCTTCCTTCCTTCGTTCCTTCCTCTTCCTCCCCTCGCACTCGTCCTCTCTCTCTCCCACTTCCTCCCTCTGGACTGCTTCTTGCTCTTATACCACTCCTCCTCCAACACTATCTACGCCCTCTCGACAGCCAGAACCAGTAAGCGCAAGCTATGTCCCGCCTCTTTGTCTGACCTCCAGGGTTATTCAGTGTCCCGCCATTGTCTGGACGCAGGGCCAAATTCAGGACGAACTCAATTCTCAACAGCTGAAACGGCTCATGTAGTTGAGAACGGCCTGCGATTCAGCATCACCAGATCGACCATTGGCCTGCACAATGTCGTCTTTGGCCGGCTTCCTGCCGAGGATCAGAAGGATCGAGGCAGATGAGATGATCGATGTGAAAGCGCTCGCTGCCAAAAATGCCACCAAGCAACAGCCTACACGTACACCTACTGCAAAATTCAGGTTCACCAAGCAAACATCCCAGCCCCAGCATCGATCGTGCGAGCTGGAGAGAACAAAAGCTGAAAAACGCCTTTCCCAGTCCGAAACAGCCCTGGCCCGGAAACCGCTCAACAGATGCACCAGTGACGAGGGTCCCATTGCGGCAAAATCACAACATTCAGCCGACTCTAAGACTGACATGCACACAACTCTACCTGTGGATACCCCTACCGGACAGAATCGAAACAATGCAGCTACCCCGGGAAATCCTGTAAATCATGTATCTCCGCTATCCTCTACTGTGCCCGAGGACGCTTTGCCGATCATGTCCCCCGTCTCGCTGGATATGCCTGAACTAGGCCCTTCTTTTGGCATTGACGAGGCCATCTTCGAAAACGATCCGCGCAAGGATGCTCTACAAATGTCTCAGATATCCAATTCGATATCTTCCACCCCCGACATCCACGGGCCTGCTTCCTCTTTATACAGCCCAGTCTCCTCCAAATCCAGCATCTCTGACTTTTCCACCGGCAACTCACCTGTCCAGAAAGCGCCGCCACTGATACATACCTTTTCGGCTGTCAATCCGGTAGCAGCTGGAGTTTTTGACGAGTCGCCTGTGCAATTGACCAAAAAGGCCCCTTCACAGAATACGAAGGAGAGCACGGGTGCTACAGAGAACACAAAGAAGAATACGACAGAAAATACGAGAAATAGTACGAAAAATAATACGAGGCAGCAGCAGCCGCGAAAGAACAAACCAGCTGCCGAAAAGAACAAGCCTCTGCCGGCAGTGCCAATGTCAGTGCCGACGGTCAAGCTACCAAAAGAGCCGCCTCCGCGAGCGCCCAACCACGTCGTCAGCCTGATGTCGAAATACGCGGCGTCAGCCCCGGGGTGGGTTGACTCGGACGAATCACCCATCGACAAGTACTTCCGCCCACGCCCGGTGGCCGACGAGAAGGCGCCCTCGCAGGCAGCATTCGACCTGGAATTCGAGCTGGAGAGAATCATTGTAGAAGCCAAAACCGAGCAGACTGCCCAGGCGCCGCGTTCGCCGCGGTCGCCGCAAAAAGAGGAACATGTCGTGGCGCCATTGAATGTGGTGACACGGAAGAGCACTAGTGCCTCCCGGGGGGCCACAGCACAGGCACCTCCCGCGCTAGCGCCCCCAAGGAGTCGCCAGAGCGCTCAGCCCGGCGATCTCCCGCCTTACAAGCTCTTCCCTTCCAACACCACAAAACACGCACGCCTCGAGTCCAACTCGTCTGCCGAGTCCGACGCCTCGGCACCCTCGAGCATGAAACCCAGCACAGACAGGTCGGCCTCGACAAAGACGGTCTCGCGACGACTGCGCTCGTCGCTGAGGCTGCCGCCCAATCTGCGACGCCAGCGACCGCCAACCCCGCAGCTTGTCCATGAGGAAGCGGAACCCATCGAGGGCGGTTCGCTGGTAAGCCTCGAGGACGACCAGGCCGCACTGGCAAAGAGCACTGACCGCTACATTGACGCCCAAATCGCCAAAGCCCTGGACGTGGCCAGCGAGGAGGACAGCGACAACCTAGATGCCGGGGCTGACGGCAGCGAGAGTGACAAAAAATCTAATAATATCAACCCTCAGGATGAGGGCGAATGGTCGACCATCTACCCGCTGAAAGCGGTCAAGAAGCTGGGCATTCCTTTGATGTCCAGCAGCCACATCCCCCGCCTCTCCTCCTCAGACAATGAAAAATCACTGCGATTGCAATTACCCAAACTCAACACAATCCCGCCGAGCACCCTCGTTAAGCCTGAGATCATCCCGCAGCCACCACCTGCCAGCGTCAGCAAGTACCCCGAGACCCCGGACGATGTGGGTCTGCACACGCGGTCTTTTATCGTGGATTCACCCTCCGTACAGTCGCCGATCGAGGAGGAAAATGAGATGGGCGAAGACGACAACGATGCTATGCCACACAGTGACAAAATATTCATCGAACTCAACCACGTCGAGACCGTGACGGACGAGATGTCTCCCAAGACGCAGGAGGTTCCGCTGACGCTAACGGTCGAAACTAGACCCCACCACTCTCGACGTCAATCAAAGCTGTACGAACTTGATGGAAATGGGTCAACCCCTGTCGTCGCATCACCGAATCCCTTCGAAAATGTAAACCTTCCAATGCCGTCTCAGATGCCCGAGAAAGTTGTCATATCGTTGATGGAAAATGTGAACAACCTGGAAGAACTTTTCAACTATGCCCTTCTCAACAAGCAATTCTACCGCGTGTTCAAGGCAAATGAGCTCTCGCTGATCAAGAATGCCTTGTTCCAGATGAGTCCGCCTGCCTGGGAACTGCGCGAGATGAGCCCGCCGTGGACAGAGGAATTGGAAGGCTTAAAAGATCCGGATGCCCCGGTACCGGAATATACCCCTGAATCTTACCTACGACACTACGGTCGCGATATGATTAGACTTGCCAAGCTTAAGTCGCTGATTCTTGCGCGCTGCGGGACTATCGTCCGACCGGAGACTATCGCGGGTTTAGCCGGTAGTGATGAGATGCGAGCGGACGAGATCGACGAAGCGTTCTGGCGTATTTGGACGTTTTGCCGTATTTTCGGGTGTGGAAAGAATCGAGAATCCGACGTTAATGGGCAAATGGACTGGCTGAACGGTGGGGACTTGGCGGAGAGGAACAAATCCGGTGCTACTGTTCTCATGGCAGAGCCGTTCTTCAGCATCAACAATGTTCTCTTCGACCCTCCTGCAGGTTTCGGGAAGGGCAATGGAGACGGACTCACACACGGACAGTTATACGATATGATAGAAATCTGGCTGTGCCTTGGTGTTCTTTTGCAGGTCATTCATGGTGAAAGCAAAGAAGCCCGGATTGCCGGCGTGTTCGAGGGCATGGATATCTCGCCTGGTGATATACTCAAGGAAGACGCCATGCTAGAGGAATGGACTTACTACATTCTCACGTTAGGACCTTCTGCCTTGGTCACTTTGAGTTCAGTATGTCCAACTGACTCGGCTCAAGCGACATTCGCCAAGGCCAAACAGATGGGCGTCACGAGGTGGGAGCCCCCAGAGTACGGAGCAACCCGCCAGGCGTTCCTCCGCGAGGCGATTACTCGCACGTATGAGATCAGAATAGCTCCGCAACAGAATGCACAAACTCGGTCTGCTAGCAATGGCGGGTCCCCGGTTCGGCAAAACCATTCTGCTCCTATAGATAACCGAAGCAGCTACAACACGATGCACAGCGCCCGGGAGCCAGGACGCCGACCAGACATCTCATTCTTCAACTCTGAAGACTCGTCTTTCGGCCCATATAACGGAGCTCCCCCATACACAGCAAACAACACAGAGAACTTGCCAGCGCCAGCTCCGGCATCGGGCCCTCCTCCACGATATTCAGCTCATGAAACATTTATTGATCCTGTCGATCGGGCTATCCGCATGATGGTCCATGATCTTGGGTTTAGCGAACACGACGCTAAATGGGCATTGAAGATTACCGATACTGGCGACATGCTGGACACCGATGCCGCCGTTCGACTACTTCAGAAAGAACGCAAGAGGAGGAATAAGGGCAAGATGACACAACTGTGGAGAACCGGCTCCAACAACAACAGCGGGGACGAGAGTGGCCCAGAGAACCTGGTCGATCCGCTCGTCAATGTGCCGAAGCATAGCGGAGCAGTAGGATGGCGATGGGGCTAACCTCGTCACTACTTTCTTTTTATTTGGTTTAATGGGTGTTTAGGCTGAATTTGAGCGTTGAGCTGCGTTTGTATTTTAGCCTTGGGAAAAGGAAAGTTTGCATTATGGCGTTGGACTGGGATGGCAGATTTTTGTTTTCTTTCAATACCCTTCATGTTACGATATACACTCGTTACGATCTCATTGTGTATATTATGAGTCTCAATGTATTGACCAACTACTTCCCTATATTAAGTATAGTATAAAGGATTATACTGCTTTTGGTTAGTGGATATTAAACTTCTTCTCGAAGGATTATGGAATTATGAATAAGCCCAATCACCTGACTACATGTATCCTGCGGAGTAATCAGTAGATATCGAATATTAAGCACATATCACCAGCCCCGGAGTGATCAATTGATAATGTGCATATTTGCTAACAGATGAACCATTTGACCGCCCCGTCGATTTGGCTGCACTCTATACTGCTGATCTGCACCATAAATATTTTATTTATAGACAGGGTATTTTAGTCATTCGGTCAATCGGCCTTCTAGATATTGATAGTTATTAATCATCATCGTTATTATTCAGGAAAGTCGGCAATACTACTCCGCGTTAAGCCCGACGCCGATCGGGGGAGTCTTCGTCACACTACGACAGATTATATGGTATCGGCTACACGGCCCCTACTTATGGCGCTCAACGCTAAAATAGGGGTATAAGGCACTCCTTTCTATCATGGAGTATGTCGGAAAGCAGCCTGGGGGGTTCGGGTGGGCGTTTGGGAGGACTGGTGTTGATGTCATAGGACATGCGACTCGAAAGTCCTCTTATCACCAATTACTCAAGTGGGAAAGCCCCGAATCTGGAGGCCATACAAAACGTAGGGACAGATATATTGAAGGAAAAGAAGTATGTTCCATTACTGAATCCCAAAAGGGGGGGCTATTTATCCACTATACATGATGCTAAGCTGGAAGGGAGGGGTGAGACATGCTACCCAAAGTGAATATCCTTATTAATACTTTATTATATATTTAGTATTCTACACAATTATTGAAAATTAAAATCGATATATGTCAACTACAAGTAGATTTCGTACATAATAATTCACTACTCAAATATTAAATATATATGTTTGGTTCTGGATTTAGTTTAAGATGATTGTAAGTATCGTTGAGCTGGCAGAGCACGGACCCGAATGCCAAATCAGGGCCGGATATATGATTGGCTACATTGGTACATCTGATGACGTCATGGAGACAACGGGTATACATCAAATTGCTGTTGTTGAATTCTATACAAGCTAATAGTACAGTATGTATCTAACTACGCAATCACCGGATCGGTCTCCCAGTGCCTCAACATCTGCCGTACCGCCCGCGTCCACTCCTCCTTGCACTTCTCCTCCAACATTGCGATTTTGTCGTCTGACGGCAACTTGCCTCCCCACATATCTGGATTTCTAGCCAGGGCACCTGCATATTTTTCGACAAGACCTCTGTAGCCATTAAAAAAAGACATTAACAAAAAAGGCCCAACACAAGATAGAAAGTCAAGGCAACTCACTTGCTTTCAATCTTTTTCAACCCCAACCACGCAAAACTCCAACTCCGTCCACTCTCAGGATCCGCGGTAACCATCATCTTAGCTTCATCTAGTAGCTCGGAGCTGAATGGGTACGAGCGGGTCAGGTTGCGTAGCTCGCTGAGTAGGTTGTTGCTATGCACGTAGTGCAGCCATGCGTTCGTCAACGGCTCGATTACCTCGCTGCTGATGGTGTTTTGGTTCACGGGAACGAGGATACGTTCGATACGCCGGAGTTCGGTGAGGGTGTTGACGCGGCGGGTGCGTAGGATGGCGAGGAGGGTTTCAGTGTCTGCCATATTTGTCTCTTTGATGCTTGATCGGGGGTTTGTGGTTTTGATATCGAGGAAATGTAGATGTATGTGTAGTCTGATTCGGATAGACTGTGCCTTTTGATGAGCCATACAGAATCAACAAAGAGGGCATGAAGAGGTCAATATAAATACCGTACCGTTTCTCGCCCGACACAGCCTACACGGTTGGGTTGATTCTATTCGTTGTCTATCCCCGAGATCACGATTTGCCATCGAGGCAGGGAATTTGAAACGGTGGGATTGGAGTTTGCAGATGAGTTGTCAACCTAGTTATGTAGTAGTGGTCTACTAGTATACAGTAACGAACTATCACCTGCCATATCAGCCACCAAAAACGGTGGTTTGTTTAGTAAGGATTGTCAAATGTTTATGGGGTGTCTGGACCGGCCCCGGGAATTCGGGACAGGGATGCGGAATTATGGGAAACTTGGCTATTAGGGCTGTAGGCTATGGACAGTAGCGTCATGGTCGGGCGTAGACATGCAGAGAAAGCGAAAAAAAAACACAATTTTAATACACGGACTACACCGTTTGATTAGGTAAAATAGTGTTATATGGACTATAAGGTGCTAGCTTTTGTGGAAGTATACAGTCGTGGTTACATGTAGACGTCTGTTGAGTTTGTCTTATTGATTGACCGAGATTAGCTCAGCTGGACGATTTGCTGATTATGATTATGCAAGGACGATCTTATCCACTAGTCTGTTTACCAATGCACTACTCTACCAATCACCTACTTGCTAATTTTGACAGGTCGGCGTGATGTTGTATAGGGAGATGCAGTCCTTCCATTCATCCGACGACTATACTAACAGTAATTTCTTGCAGGTAGATGCACAGACGAAACAAAGCAATAAGGCATTTGGCAAGCTGACGGGTGGCAATTGTCGAGAGTATTATTAAGTATTACTATATTGCTTTCACCTCCAACTAGCCTGAGAGGCTTCACTGCGGATGGCGATTATTCTCGGAAGCCCTAAAAACGCCATCTCCAAGGTGGGTCTCGGCCCTGTCTGATCAGCCGAACATGCGATCCGGCTTTCTCGCTCTGTGGGGATGCTTCTAGAAGATCACGCTATGAATATAATCACATGTATATATATATATAAAGAAAAATAATTCTATATAGTATTTACTTTGATGTTTTATTATCAATTGATATAAAAGCGGCACTCTTGCGCTGAATATCCCACCAATCCTGCAGTAGCCGCCCTTGCCTCTAGGTTTTAGTCAGCGATTTCATGTAGTTAAATTTAGTCCATGTCTTTAAACTGTGTCAGTCTGAATGACAGCGCTCATTTGGTTAGGGCTATTTACATTCTTGGCAATTGACAGTATTAGGAGTCTCAGATCTAATAATCAGATATAATTCACTAGTTACTAATGAGACAACTACATGTGTGTAAGGGCTTACCAATACAGTGTATATACAATCATTTTCTTAAATACTATTAATTACACTTTTTATGACCTTACTCCGTGATTTGGCCCTTATTCTCGTCGACCCTTCTAGATGTTAGCTTCGACTGTGTAGATGCCATAATTCTGACATTAGCAAGGCTATTGTGATTCTTGTTATGGCTACGGATGTACGGCTCAGCCCTACATGCGCCACGGAAATACGATGACAAATAAGGGCCGCCGCACTCGTCATATCGAGACTCCTGTGCGATTATGATAGGATGTACGTTTATATACTTGATACACTGTTACTACATGTATTGCTATTGGTGTTTGCTATCTGCGCTGTTACTCATACATAGATCCGTACTGGAGGAGTACAGTATGTGATCTTGATCTAATCAGATAAGATTGCAAAGAATATCCTAATTGGCCATCCCCGTTACGTAATGCAGCTTGTGTTTTCCGGCTCCCGCGTTAAGCTGCAAAATCCACTCCCGCCTTCTTTTTCTTCAATTTGACCCGCTTATAAACCGCCATTATTAATTCTCTCAAGACCTCCAAACCTCGTCATTGCAGCCTATGCACGCGTCTCTGCCCTGATAGCGCCAGCCCGGCGTTGATTCTACCAGCTCGGCGTCTTGGGCCAGTCGATGCACTTCCTGGTTCCCGGCAACCCGATCGCCACCCGGGCACCCGCGACTCGGGCTCACCTCGTTTATCACCGCGCCCGATTCACCGTGCTATAGAGAGAGAAATAGCTTCTTCGACGTAGACATGGTTACCTCAGAGACCACCCCCATTCGGCGCCAGTCAACCCAACACTACCAGACCTTCTCGACCCCACCGCCCAAGTCGCGTGGTCGCCCGCTGTCAAATGCCTCCGATGGTTCCCACCCTGACGACTCATTGCATACCAACGGCAATGGAGAGAACATCCCAGATCCGGCGCCATTGCCCAAGAAGCAAATGGCCGTCTTGGCCATGATTGCGTTGGCAGAGCAGACTGCTCTCAACTCCATCAGCCCGTACCTGCCGAACATGACCGCGACATTTCCTGAAGTACATGGAAACGACGTTGGTGTATACGTGGGAATCATTGCTTCGGCCTTTGCATTGGCCCAATTCGCGACAAATTATTTCTGGGGGTGGTTATCAGACCGCATTGGGAGGAAGCCTGTTATTATTACTGGCACGATTTGCACCGCGCTCACATTCGTGCTGTTTGGTTTCTGTACCACCCTGTGGCAGGCCATTGTCGTCCAGGCTCTGATGGGCATGCTCAACGGTAATGCGGGCCTGGTGTCGACCTGTCTGGGCGAGATCACCGACCGCAGCAACCAGTCGCGAGCATTCACCTATCTGCCCGTGCTTTATGGGCTCGGTGGTATTACCGGTCCACTTCTGGGAGGCTCCCTGATTTTTCATACCAACCCATTCGACAAGGGTCAGCCGAACCCGTACCCGTACCTGGTACCAAATCTCGTGTCAGCTGTAATTTTGGCAATTGATTTGATCTTGACAGCCATTTTTCTTGACGAAAGTCTCGAGGATGCCGACGCCCTGCCGACTTTTGCGCAGCGCATCAGAGAGTTTTTCAGCTCCTTCTGGCAGTTTACCACGTCTCATAGACCAACCTATCTACGAGCTGGTTACAGTGGTCCATTCCGTTATCACTCGATGCCTACTCGCGGACGTTCCTGGAGCAATTCTACTCGAGACAGTGATCTCGATTCAGTGTCATCATCGTTAACTCCCACAGAGAATGAGGCTGAGTTGACGCGGGGCGAAATTTTAAATCGCGACACGGTGCTCTTATTAATCACGTACTTGATATTCGCGTTTGCCAATGTCGCGTTTAATTCTCTATATCCTATATTTGCCGAATCACCAGTGCCAAACGGTCGCGATCTCACGCCACAGGAACTGGGACTGTCTTTAGGCTTCTCGGGTGTGGTTACGATTGTCTTCCAGATTTGTATCTTCGGCCGGTTACGAGAAAAGATGGGAAATAAATGGTCCTACCGCGCGGGCCTATTAGGCTTTGTCATATCGTTCCTGTTGATGCCGTTGATCGGGTATAAGGGGAACGACGAGCACCAACTGTCGAAGAAGACGGTCTGGCTAGCTGTTGAATTGTGTTTTGTCCTGCTCATTAAGACGATTTCTGCCGTGGGTGGATTGACAAGTGCGCTTTTACTGGTTTGTCACTAATCTCTTGTTATCAACACAGAGAATATTTCTCTAACGTTGTTATAGGTTACGAATTCAGCCCCAAACAACTCTGTGCTTGGCGCACTCAACGGCCTGGCCCAAACGCTGTCTGCTGCCGGACGAGCCGTAGGCCCATTCCTCTCCGGCGGATTATACTCACTAGCGATTCATGTGAGGAAAGGCGAGATTCTCACATTTGGCGTCTTTGCAGCCGTGACTTTCATCGGATTCGTTCTGAGTTTTGGTATCAGGTCTCCGAATCTTGAAGCCGAAGGCTGGAATGGCGCCTCCGATGATCAGGATAAATCGGACGATGAGAGTGAGGCTGGAGCGTGAACTAATTTCCTTTTCACAACTTTCTCTTTCTTCACGAGACACGACATAATGAACCCCAATTTTGCGGGGGGAAAGCGATGGATTCCTATAACAATCGATATTTTAGATGTTCGAATAGTTCACTGAGAGATGTACGCATACAACACACACACATATATATACATTTCTTTATTTAGTCTAGTTTGATGACCATACCCAACTTTAAGCTATGAGGGTCTTGTTCTAGTGGCCCCTAATTCCCCGCACCGAGCTGGCGCCAAACCGCGCAAATGAGCTAATACACACGTCCGCCAGTGGTCTGCATTTTTAGCCTTTTCCACAGGGCCTTGATTTCTAATGGACACTATTGTATTATTCATTGTCATTATACTACGGGATGAAACGGACCAAAAGAAAGTCGAGCAGTTATCTTGTTGGCGAACTACAGATGTACGGCCGAGGCTGTCAACTATGTAGCGGATTGCTCCGGCCGTGGCTTAGACTACCTCCTATCTACATAAGTCCCAGACGACTCCGCGTTCTGATAGGTTCAATGATAGCATACTTACTGCCCGATTGGTCCCATGGGAGGTGATAGGGTCTAGGTCCTCGCCTAGATGCTGTTTTAATTCAACACCCCTTCCAGCCGCAGCTACTGGCAATATCGCCTACGCCGGCAACCAACATCCATCCAATAGAACCAGCCATACACAATTCGACAAGGCGTCTACGGCTATTTTGAGAGCTTTGAGGCGTTCCTTGCCCTTCCTGGCCTCTTATTGTTGAGAGTGAGGCTAACAGGCGGCGGCTGGCTATAATAATCATGTAACAAATAAATACCCCCTCTCAGCTGCCCCCCCTTCAAGCGCCTCGAATCCGTCTCCTGAGCGCGACACTTGACGTACTGCGGTAACGAGTCGCAGCGCAAGCAGGATGGAGGCTAGAAACGGCATTCCTCTCCGGTCGGTCTCGGCGGATCCTCTCTCGCGTGAGCAGCATGCTGCATCCCCTGAGCACCACTCGCACGCTGAACCGAACCTCGACGAGACGCCGCCGTATGAAGCGTCACAGGAGGAGGTTCTCCCGCCGTACGAAGACGCAGATAATAGTCCCGTGAGAATACGTTCTACGCCGCTGCATCGTAATTTTTACATCATCGTTCCTACTGCGCTCTACTCGGCTCTTGTTATTTACTCCTGGGTGACCTTCTGCCTTCTCACTCGATTAGACGGATTCTTTGAGGGCTCAGTAAACACAAGGGTCCATCAATTCAAGGCGGCGCGCTATACTCAGTCCATTGCAAGCGTTGCAACTATTCCCGTGATCTCCACCGTATGTGCCTGGGCTGCTGCGGTCTATGTACAGAATCAGCGTGATGCATATAGTCTGCGGTTGCGCCAGGTAATCACCCTGGCGGACCGTTCTTGGATGGATCCTCTGCTTTGGTATCGTCTACTGTTTTATCCGAAAGGGCTCAAACGCTATGGGAGTAGCTTTCTTGTTCTGGCGGTCTTCATTCATATCATTGGTGCCATCACCTACCCGATTCAGTCGCTTTTCCTTTCAACTCGCCAAGTCAATATTCAGCCTAGTGACTCCCAGTATTCTGAGGCAAATCAAATGGTGAAATCAATATCTGGAATGTTCGAATCCCCAGGAACTGCAGATACTATACTTACACTACGCCGGGAGCTGCAAAGTGCTGGTTTGGATGCTCATTCAAGCCAGTTCTGGACAAGTGGCGATGATACTTGGTTCGCAGAACTGTCCAACGACTTCACTACTGGTCTACACTCTGGCCAGTTGATCCCGAGAGTAAACGTCACGGCGGAGTATCAGAATCTGACAGGTACCAGTACATTTCCATCCAACTGCAACGAAACGGAGGGCTGGTTTTACAGTTCCTATTATTATCCCGGTGAAAATTATAACACGACGCTAGAGGTCTGTTTGACGGTGAATACATCTCAGACCCCATGGCAGGATATCGACAGTCGTCAGGACTTTACTGAGGAGCTATATGTCAACGCAAGCACTCCCAGCATATATCAGGAGGAGCTTGGGGCATTCAAAATCACTATGAAAACGACAGCGGGTGCGTTTGAATTACCCAATTTTGAGAACAACCAGACTGCCGGCCCATTACTCAATGATTCACCACCGTGCCTGAGTAAGCCTTGTAGTAAATATACGGCATCTGGTAGTCCTTACGACCCGCCTCTTACAGGCCCTCTAACCACAATCGCCATCGCTCTCTTTGGTCCCGGCTCATATGCCGACATAGCGCAAACTGCACTAAACAGCAGAGCCATATATGATGAAATAGGGTGGAAGGGAGTTTTGGATCGCGATGCGTACAATAATCTTTATCCACTGCAGAGCCTCGGCCTCAAATCTCCTGTCATGGTGGGCCCATTCTTCATTTGGCTGACTCTCTTAACTCATTTCAACAACTCGACCACCTTGTCTCCAATCTTCACACAGGCCGGTTTCCTGGCCATTAAAGCCATGTTTGATACGTACCCCACCATCGACGAATCTCAAAATATACTCATATCCTACAGTAATTCGACGCTACAACAGATAACGCTACCATCCATGTCCATCGGCGGTCTGATTGTTGGATCCGTTTTGTTGGGTCTGTACATGGTACCGTTACTGTGTCTAGCACTATATGCGGTATACTCGCATCCCTGGACCAATACGCTCGACGCGTTTACCATGTTGCGCATGGGTGCCGCACTCGGCCAAAAGGATCTGCCGTTACTGATCGGGAACAGTATGCGCAAAATCCAGGCTTTGGATAACCTGCCCGGTGTGGTGAGAGATATTTCAGGCCCGGACGATAAGATTAGACAGATGGCGCTTGGTATTGAAGGCGGTGCGCCATTGCAAGTGTCGAAGCGGTATCTGGCTTATCCTGGGAATAACGACACCTTGATGGCGGTCAGGTGAAGTTTTCGTGACCTTAACCCTTTTAAGTCTCTCTTTTAGGCAATTTTCTTTCTCGAGCATATTACTTATAATAATTTAATTTTACGAAGCATATATAATAATGAGAGTTATAAAATGGGCATGTACATCAATTTGATCTCCATGAATTGCTGTTACATATTATGTTGCAGCTACTAATTGTCACATAAGATCATTAAAATAAAGCATTTACTCGAGAGTTGTTCTTAAAGTATTGAAAGAAACATTTGAATACAAAGGGTTGGGGCTATATTGAATTTGATCCATTGTAAATTATTGGATAGCATGGACTTCTCATAATCTTACAGCCCTAGATCTACAACCGCAAAGCTTCAGCATGAGCTTCCAACTCTTTAATCTCATCAGGACCTAAAATCCCTAAACCTTCCCGTCTCGTTGGCGAAGTCGGATCAAAGTACGGCTTCTCTGCCAGTGAAGTCACTCGCGTTCCATGTCTAGGCTCCGTGCCTTCGTAGTCCCAGCTAGCATTGTGGATTGTGATCCTATAGACCAGTCAGAATCTCACCATGCCTCAACCAACTAAGCAAACCAACGTACCTATTATCCCACAACGCGCTAGTCCCTGGCGTCCATCTGAACCGGACCTGAATATCCGGATTCTTCTCATACACATCGAACAAATACCCCAAAATCACATCACTCTCGGCGCGATCAAGACCGACAATCCGATCCGTCATAGCCCGATTCACCCACAGCGCCTTCCAGCCCGTCGCCGGGTGCGTGCGGACCAGCGGGTGTTCGCGCTCGACGAACTTTGGTCCTGCTTCGGGCTTCTTGCGATCCAAGTACCCGTGCGCAGACCGGTAGATGGCTGTGCGTCCGTCGATGATCTTGCGGAATCCGGGGGATAGTTTCTCGTAGGCTGCGTACCCGCTTGCCCACAGCGTGTCGCCGCCAACACTCGGGACTGTATCATTATGGAGATGTGTGATCCCGGCAGGTTGTCTCTCATGCACGAGATCGGAGTGCCAGCGTGATGCGCCTCCGGGTTGGCGGAAGTTGGCTGGTCGTTCGAGCGCAGAGAGCGCAGGCCAGATGACGGTTATACCGGGGACGCCTGGCACATGGCTGACTTGGGGCTGCGAAGCGTAAGTATATAGATGCAGATGAATACTAATGCGTGGGCAACAACATACATGGATTTCAACTTCCCCATAGTAATCGCCCAATTCCCTTTGCTTCTGCGGACTGAGATCCTGGTCCCGGAAGAAAACTACACTACGCTCAGCAATCAGCAGCGCCAATTCATCTCTCTGCTGGTTTGTCAGGTCCTTGAGCTGCAGCCCAACAATTTCCGTGCCAATATGCTTGGTCAGATGAATGACTTTTTTAGCAGCGCCAAAAAGGGCCTTTTTCTCGCGATCCGCGCGACTCCCCGCGTCAACGTATTCGCGCTCGTCGTTTCGGATGTTGTATACATCATCGAGATAGAGTGGCCGGGCCGGTGTGTATGGATAGCCTTGCGACAGGTCAATACCGGCCTTCTCGAGCCGGTCACGCGCGAGTTTGGGAAGTGCAATTTCGTGTTTGGTTGGGGCCGCGACGTCCACGATTTGCGGGGAAATGGGTGCCGGTGCCATGATTTCTAACCCTAATTACCAAATTTGGAGGGTAATAAACAGTCTGGTGGTTAGAAGAAGGCTAATTTCCACTTTGCATTGTTTTCTTCTGGATTCTTTTCTCGTTTTATATATCCCTATGCTTATTTTTTTTTATTGGATGAATTATTTTCAGCCGACGAAATAACCCCTCATTCTGAATTGATGTCTCATGTCGACCGACCGATCATGAGCAATCACATCATCGCCAACTCGCATTGCGCGTGTTCCCCCTCTTCGAAATTATCCGCTGTTCAACGCTCAACGATCCAATACTCAGCCTTCTTATCGTGGATTTATTTTTGTGCACCCGAGATATCCGGCAGAATTGATCTTGGATTGATCAGAATTACTAATTGTCCGAGAATCACACGTGGTGGAGAGACTGATCCTGCTTATTCTTTGATTCTCTCTGACAGCCCATTGGCACTCTAGAATCTAGAGTTTAAAACGTGCATTTTTACGAAATGATGCAATCGATTGACCAAACAATGATGCATTTGCTATCTATATCAAATTCCTGGGCTTTCCCCTATTGCTCTTTGCTAAAATATTTTGAGCAAAAATGACAGGCCTATCTATTAAACGAGTTGCCGTCATCGGCTCTGGTATTAGCGGCGTTGCAGCTGCAGCACATCTGCTTGCGGAGGGGCTAGATGTCACCGTGTTTGAAAGGAACAAGGCAGCTGGCGGGGTATGGTACGTATCCAGAGTCTATCTAGAGCCAGGATATCGCGACTCAACTCGTACTATAGGCTTTTCGATGAGCGCACCCCGATCGAACCAACCTATCCAGCCACAAAGCCATCGCAAGGAGAAGTCTCAGGAAACGACAAAGGAAGGGTTGATAGAAACGACTTGCAGCATGCGCCACCGGGGTATGGCTCTGAAAACAACGATATATTGTAATGAATGCTGCTGATGTCAATCATAGCCCATGCTACGTCGGCCTTCAAAATAACGTCTCCACGCCCCTTCTCAGAACGACACTTAATGCCTGGCCCGACGGGACCCCGGACGTTGTGAATCACGATGTCATACAGAAATACATCCAGGATACGTCGAGAAAGACTGGTGTAGAGGACGTTACCGTATGGGGTGCCAGGGTGACTGATCTCCGTAAAGATGGATCGACATGGCATGTGAAATGGACGACTCTACACCGTGATTCTGCGGGTACCAACGTGGAGGAAGTGCTATCAGCAGTAAGCATGCGATTTAGGTGCTTTAAATATAGGTGTCTGACTTTCGTAGTCTTTCGACGCTGTTGTCGTGGCGTCTGGTCACTATCACGCCCCTCGGGTACCAGACCTACCAGGTCTTTCTAGCGTGAAAGAGAGATGGCCAGCTCAAGTCCTACATTCAAAATCATATAGACGGCCGGATGAATTTGCAGGCAAGGTAAGCTCAAGTTTGACGTTTTGTGTATTAAAATCAGCTCACGTTTTTCCGTGTTCGTCTACAGAACGTCCTACTTATCGGTGGCGGTGTCTCGTCAACTGATATTGCTCGCGAACTTGGCCCTTTGGCAAAGAACATCTACCAGAGTACGCGGAACGGTGTTTTTGATTTGGCTGCCACTGTTCTACCAGAGAATGCGGCCAGGGTTAATGAAATTGCGTCTTTTGAAATTATAGAAGGCGGCGGAAAATCAGACCCGGAGTCTGGGGACGGCCCGCTTCCAGTTACCGTGCATCTCAAAGATACTGATCAGACCATCGGCGATATTCATCAAATTTTCATATGTACGGGGTATCATATCACACTCCCATTCTTGCCGGGCCTCCACGAAGACAAAACTCTGGCCGATAATGCGAGTGACACCGTTCTCGTTACGGATGGGACCCAGATTCACAATCTGCATAAAGATATCTTCTACATTCCCGATCCGACATTAGCATTCATTGGAGTGCCTTACTACACCGCGACATTTACTCTTTTTGAATTCCAGGCCATAGTCCTAGCCGCAGTCTTCTCCGGCCTTGCCAAGCTTCCCTCCAACGCAAGTATGAAAGATGAGTACGCGGAGAAAGTCCGAATCAAGGGAACTGGAAAGGGCTTTCATTCTTTGAAAGACCACGAGGAGGATTATGTGAAGGATATTCTGGACTGGATAAATGCGGGACGTGCAGGCTCGGGGTTGCCGCTGGTGCCGGGGTATTCTGAGACCTGGATCAAGGCCAAAGAGGTGCAGAGAGAGAGAATAAAGGTGCTTTTTGGAATCGCTTAGCTTAGTGTGTTAGTTCTAATCCATTGCTAAACAAGGACTCTAAACATTAGCCGCATTGGGCGGATCTGTAGGTAACAGAAATCAATCCTCCGACTGGAGCCATAATTGCAGCTTCTTTTTACTAATCCAAAAGCTGTTGACGTGTTGCGCGCTGCGCATCACAATCATTTCCTATCATTGGAGAGATCAGCCACTAAAGAGCACGTCATCATCCCTGCGTTCGGGCGTGATTTGCGCCTCAACAGATAGTTGACACAGACATAGTTAATTATTATGCTATTGGGAGAGAAGAACACGTCTACCACCTCCAAGCCACGGCATGAAACGACATGCTCATGTGGTCCAAAGCTGCAACATATTGTGCAACAATCATCCGACTCGATAACAATGCCGGCAGCCATGTGGGCAGAGCCTTGCGCAAATACCACCCCGGATGACGGAATCCTGCACAAGGAAGATCGACAATCACTACAACTCATGCTTCAAAGGTCAATTCTTTCTCTGCTGCCCGTTAGTTTTTTAAGTAGCCGGAGGGTTGTATGTTGCCAAATAGATTAAATAGAGGGGTATTCGTTTCCGTTTCAATCGCATTTATTTGATTCGGGGCAGATTCTATGTGGTTTCAACGTTTAACCCTAACCCTTTCAATGGCCCCGACGTCAGTTTCAATTAACGAGCAAGCCTCGGAATCTACAGAGGCAATCATCCAGAAAGAGGTCAAGAGAAAATGGACCAGCTATATTTGGGACACATTTGATAAGTCGCCAGAAGAGCGCAGACTTCTTTTCAAACTAGACTTTGCAATTCTAGCTTTTGCGTCTTTGGGTGAGTAACCCGATTTGATGGGACGATTGACAACTAATCTGGTTTAGGATACTTTATTAAATATTTGGATCAAATCAACATCAACAACGCTTTTGTGTCGGGGATGTGAGTACTTAACGAATGACCCATATATAAGCGTTGACTAATTAGACATACGCTGCAGGAAGGAGGACTTGGGTCTTTATCAAAATCAACTCAATTACATGCAGGCTTGTTGGACCGTGGGCTATGTTATCGGCGAGATCCCATCTAATATGATCCTAACTCGGCTTCCACCGCGGTATTGGATTCCGGCGGCTGAGGTATGAAAGCTGCGACGAATTGCATGATGAATTCGCTGATTCATGTATAGGTTTTGTGGTCGGTCCTTACATTTGCACTCTCACGAGCAAACTCTGCCCGGCAATTCTATATCCTAAGATTCTTCATTGGTAAGAAATATCACAAAGTCAACTTGAAGTCAACATATTACTTACCATCCGAGTACAGGGCTTGCAGAAAGCACTTTTTACCCCGGTATGCAATATATTGTCGGCTCGTGGTATCGAAAAGATGAACTGGCCAAGCGTTCCTGCATATTCCACACAAGTAGTGGGATTGGCAGCATGTTTTCAGGTTATCTAATGGCATCGGTTTATCATTTGCACGGAAAGGGTGGATTTAAGGGTTGGCAGTGGTATGGATGATTAAAACGTGGCGAACTTATAGATAAGTGCTAACCAATGTGAACAGGCTCTTTATAGTCGACGGCATTATCTCGTTGCCAGTTGCAATCGCAGGATTTTTTATTCTTCCTGATGTACCTGAGATCAGTAATCCATGGTACTTATCTGAGAAGGTCGGGGTTTGCTCGCGATTAATAAGTCAATATACTGACAAAAGGGTACAGGAAATTGCCTTAGCACAAAAGCGCATGCGTCTGGAAGGCCGAAGTAATCGACAGCCGTACACCAAATCCAAATTCAAGAAGATATTCTCGTCATGGCACATATACTTACTTACCCTTTTATATATGTAGGTGAACTGAAGCTGCCGTGTTTAGTAATTGACTTTAATGTTGGTAACTTGCATGCTGACGATCTCGCAGAACATTCAATAACTCTAATGGAGGTCAACCTATATTTGCCCAGTAAGTCGATTTATAAAATATGATAACCTGTGCGCCAACTTTCTGATACATAGACAGATGGTTGAAAACGTCTAAGGATCCAGTATATACGGTTCCACAGATCAATTCCTATCCAACAACGACATACGCAGTTCAAGTTGTGACTACCCTAATTTATGCCTGTATGCCATTTTACTATGATCCCTTTTTTAATATACCCCTAACTTATACTAACCACTCATACGCTTACAGGGACGTCCGATACTATTTTCCAAGGCCGACGATGGCCACCTATAATCTTTGGCGCTGTATGTTCATCGACATTTGAAACCTGCTAATACAATTATATATACTGACCCACACAAGCTTTCAAATTTACTATGCTACATTTCTCTCGCAGTGTGGAACATTCCGGCAGGATGGAAGTGGTTTTGCTATATCTACATGGGCTCAGGTTTTGGTCTGAGCGGCCTTTTGATGGCGTGTGTATCTCTTATACCCTATTTTTCTTTGGCATATCCTCTAACAAGCATGTTTACCGGCAGTTGGGCTCACGAAATATGTTCCGACGATAATGAAGAACGCGCATTAACTATTGGCACTATGAACGAGATGGCATACGTCTTTCAAGCATGGCTGCCGCTAATTGTGTGGCAGCAGGTGGATGCACCCAGGTATCACAAAGGATTTATTACGTCGATTGTAATGTCAAGTATACTCCTCGTCAGCACCTTTGTGGTTAGGGACCTTCATCATAGAGAGGACCGTGCAAAGAGGTAAGTTTGGTTTCTGTCGGACTCTTGGGTGCAATTTCATACTAATTGCGGCACTGTAGAAGGAATCAAGAGCGCCAGGCAGAAGATTCACCGAGTGATGATAGGCCACTCAAGGATCAAACCAGTCCAACACTAACAGGTGTTGAGGTATGATTTGAAAACTATAGAGATACAATGAATACATAGTATAGCTTAGATGTCAAAGCATGGCCCAACATAGCACCCACCATGTGTTTCCACTGGTCTTCTATGTAGAAGCTGAGAAATTTAGAGTCTATATAAATGTACCTGTATGCCAACCGACGATGATGTTAATCCAATAATTCCATTTATGCCTATCTATAGAGGAAGTTAAGCTCAAACTATTGGTGTGATAATAAATCTTAATGATCCGAGTAAATTATCACTAGTTTAAAAAGTCAACTCCTGACTTGATATGTATGTCAAATAGGATGGTTATATATATGAATTAGTCACAAGTATAACTAAAATTTGGACCTATAATCTACTATGTAACAACTGGCATCAGGTTCGAGTTTATTGAATGAGAAATCCACTTCACATCCTCACCTTTGGCTCCCATTCAGTCCACGGATGCATTTCCCCGCCTGTACGAATGACATGTTCTAACTTGACCGTGTTCACCATTCTTAGGTATTCCAGGTCGATATCGTGACCCCGCTCAGTTTCATCGCCGAGACAAGTTCATCTTTAAGAACTTTCAGATGTTAGTATGTGTTCAATATCTCGAGCCTCATCCGGAACACTCAGAACCACCAAAGTGGTCATATTCAATAGGATGCTTATCAATAATTGACTACAAACAAGGTGCGAATAAAATCGGTGGATCGCATAGTTAAGTAGATGACTGATCAGTTACTTGAAAGGTATAATGAGGGATGGTTTGTATGTTGTGCTTTTCGAGAAATTTATTTGGGACAGTATTGTCTTCAAGTAGAGTATTTGTCATCTCATGATCAATCATAGTCTTTTACAAGGAGTTTAGCCTGTTACGTAGTCGCGAGGTGATACTGGCCATTTTGAAATTGCTCTACACTAAAAACAATGCGCGTCAACGTAAATTCCAAGAAGTCAAATCTGAAAAGGAACCCTGGTCCCCAGGGAAATGGCCGTCGGTAACACCTTCGGTGCTACCGCACTCGCTTCCTACGGCGGCTTCTGGCTCTCCTTCGCCATCATCCTCACCCCCGGAGGCTTCGATATCATCGCCACCTATACCGATGACACCTCCGGCGTCGACGACTTCACCAACGCCTTCGGCTTATTCCTCGCTGGCTAGTTCATATTCACCACCATCCTCGTCCTCTGCACCCTGTGCTCCACTGTCGCCTTCTTCCTGCTCTTCTTCTTCCTCGACCTCGCCTTCCTCTTCCTCTCCCTCGGCTACCTGTACGGCGAGGGCGGTGCCCCCAAGGTCTCCCTCATCAAGGTGGGGGGATACTGTAGCCTGTTCGCCGCCTTCCTGGCCTGGTACAATGCCTTTGCTGGTATTGCCGATGATAGGTGCATCCCAAATCCTTCTTTTCCCTCTCCCACCTCCCCCCCCCCCTCTCCAGCAATACCCCAAACTAACCTCTCATTCCTCCACAGCAACTCCTTCTTCTTCATCCCCGTTGCGCACTTTCCCTGGTCCATCAAAGCCCGCGCGAGCCGCGTCAAGAACGAGAGCGGGGCCGTCTAGTTCCTCCCTCCTGCCAGTCTCTCGCTACTCAACGATACAAAAAGTAATAATACAAGGGAAGAGGTGAAGGATGTATAGTGTGGAGAATTCCGCTCTTTTACAAATTTTGTAATCGATACCAAAAGTTGAATGGTGCTTGAATTATCTTGTGGATTGATACCAAAAGGAAGACCTTCATCTTTCAGTTTTCTTCTCTCGCGGAGAGGCTGATAAATAGAAGATATATTGAGATTGCGATATCCCCCTCTACCTCCTAGCACCGCTTGCCTCTAATAACGCATATAAACGACTAAAGCTCCTCGTCTTCCATAACCTTTGTGGCCCGCTCAAGATAAACGGCTATCGTTGAAGACGCCACTTAATATGCTCTTCAAGTACCCCTCCTTGCTGCCATTACCAATCCTAGACGTATCTGTTAGATCGGGTTGACCGAATAGTCAGGGTCGAAGCTGAGATAAAACTTAAACCGTTCACACTTGATATTAATATCATATAAGAGCAAACTATTAGGGCCGTTTATGCGTTAGTTACAAACGATGAACAATGATAGAGTACCTAACAACCCTCATCAACAGTTCCATGACGCTGTTGTCTCCAATCAAAAAGGTTTGCATATCGACAATACCGCCATGAGAAACCGAATTCATATTACTATTATCGAATCGTTTGAGGCGCCTTCTTTAGAGACGCGAATCAATTTCGAGCTAAATGCGATGAAAAATATAATTGAAGGTGTAGAGTCAGATGGAAAATTCCATAGGAAAGCCGCTAACGCCAGTAAACACAAAACCTTTTGAAGCGGCTTACTCTTGGTAGTATTTTAAAATATATAATTTTTGTGTATATATAACTAAAGACTATAGAGTCCTTACGGAACCAGTACCTCACGCTTATCGAACTAATACATGTATCTGGAGGTAAGAAAAATGAATAGTACTTAGAATATTTTCAAATACTAATTCCATACCACTACTACACTCCAAGCCAAGGTTTTAAATAAGTCTTGGGAGCAATATAATTGCAATATTTTCAACAAGACAATGCATATGTATTATAGGGAAGGTTTGGACGCCATGTTTTGAATCACCCATTGGGTCTCCCGGACAAGCACATCTGGTCTCCAGAGATTTATGTTATGCCCACAATCAGGTAGATCAACCCATCGTGAACACGTGGAAAGCTGCAGCACCTCTTTCTGCATCATTTTCGAGTAGTTATCCCATCCATCCAGCCACTGGCGAAACTTTTGTTGCTGTTCTGGCGTCCCATTTCCAGCTCTTACCCCAGCTTCGTAAATTTTTTCATAGTCTGCTGCAGAACAGCACTTCACTATACTTAGTGGCCGACTGCCCAAAACTTTTCTACGCAGCTGTTTCTTCTCACGTAGTGTCGCACATACTTCATAAAACGCCGCTGTTTCAGACGCGTATGCTTTGAATCTTTGAAATATATCGATTGCCCTAGTTTTCCACTCGTCGCGTGATAGCTGAGCACCAGCCTTTAATCCAGTAATCTCAGCAAAATTAAGATTACCTAAAACAGCGTCGATGTTTGGATCCGGAAGGTGGAAATACTCTGGCTGCCTTTCGGTTGCACCATCAGCCAAAACCATCCCTGCAACATCGTCGCTACTTAGATGCAAAAACTCTCGGGCTATTATAGCACCGTAGGAATGTGCTACAAGAATATATGGGCCTGAAATTTGCGTTACTTTGAGCAAAGCATAAAGCTCCTTGGCTGCAGCAACAGCCTTTTTTCCTGGGAGATCCGGGGCTTCATCGCTTCTGCCAAGCCCAGATCGATCGTACAGTACGATTCTTGCAAATTTAGAAACCCCTTCCTGCACTCGGGGCCAGGATGATGATGATTCCCCTGATCCAGGAAAGCAAATGACCACGGGATCCTTAGTCGTGACCCCGCTGCCTTCAGAAAGATGTCGGATCGGACCGCTAACTGACACAAAGAGTTGATGTGTACCAATAGAAACAAGATCCGACTTGGTCGTAGATATTTCCCACTCAGACATGATTGTAGGAGGCGGGGTACAGTTGTCAAAAGTGGAACACTCAAGGATTGATATGCCGTGCATGCGCAGGATTAATTTGCCCCTCCATCGTCAGCTGTGGGTGTTGTAGGATAAATTCCACCAATCTGGCCAATGTGCAGTTGGGCGATTGTTGGCCTTACGAAATTGGGTTTAGATGCAAATAATTCCGGGCCAATCTAAGATTCTTTTATGGGAACTATGGTTTTATGCTTGTGATCTAGAACCGAATTTGATCGGACGATCTACAATCCATTGTATCCTTATTGGAGGGCCGTGACTAAGCGTCCGAGTCGGGATACCATATCCCAAACTGGAAACAGGATGCCTTGACCAATAATATAAAAAATAAAATATAGAGACACCTGATTCAGGGACTTGATTGAAGTATAGCTTCGAAGGTTTTATCATTATAGAAAGACTGGTCCCAGTAACACTTACACTGAACGATCGAGGGTAGGTCTATATGATCAAAAGATTACCAACATGCCTGAACTTGCACGAACTCTACCTGCATCGTGGTACTGCAGCCAGCCATTATATCAACTTGAGAGAAAGGCAGTTTTTCTCAAGGTGTGACAATTTTCAACTCCTCAATAACATTAATCACGTTTAATATCTAATGGTCTTACAGTCCTGGTATCTTCTCGGTCCAGTGACCCGATTTCTCGTCGTGAACGAAAGGGTCAGCTATGAAATCGCCCAAAAAGACATCCATGTATATAGAATATCCAAGACCTCGGAATTCCCGGGTCCCGGGGATTTGAGAGTGGTTAATGCTGATAATGTAACTTTCATATATCTTCCTCTTCATTCATTCCTTGAATACCCGTTGACACTAAATTTCAGGACACCGAATTACCCAGTTATGTCACGCCTACTGGACTTCTCTTTGCAGCTCTCTCTCAATCCGCACCATCATTTCATGAATTCTTTCCAAATCTTGAACCTCTTTTGTCCACAGTTGACTTCACGCGACGCCCCTACCGACGCAGTATCAAATACGAGGGCAACTTTAATTGGAAGACCATGGTTGATGGCTATCAAGAATGTCTACACTGCCAATACACTCATCCGTCCTTCAGCATCTATTATCCTCCAACATTCTACACGGTCTATAACCATGAGAACTTCTCTCAACATATAGCAGATCCCAAGAAACCCAATGACGGGCTATTCCTGTATTTCTTCCCCAATTGTACACTGAATGTGTACGGAGGCGGTATGAGCTCGTTCAGAGTTTGTCCAACAGAGACCCCAGGAGTAACTAGAATGGAGTTCGATTACTATCATATATCTGACGGAGACAAGTTTGAAGATTACTTTCGATTTGTACGACAGGTCGCGATCGAAGACTTTGAGTTATGTGAAAAGGCGCAGGCGAACTTAGAGAGAGGTGTATATGGGGAGGGAATATTGAATCCAGAGAAGGAATCAGGTGTTGCTTGTAAGTTTCTTCATTTTTATGCATATTAAGCTTAATTTAACAGTTGATAGATTATCAGGAAAGAGTGTTTGACCTGGTATCTGAGCAGTACGAGGAAGACAAGAAAATTGAGATACTAGATCACGATAGGAAAACAACTGAATCGAGTGTTGGATTGGTGGTGGAGACCTCAGCATAATGATTCCATTCTTCTGGTTTATAAGTTTGCGGGTTTTCATGATGATAATAATATTGCTGTTATGGCCATTGCTCTCTCATATTAAAAAGGTTCCGTAGCAAGCACTGTCATTTACAGGTTAAGTTTTCCAAATCTTGAAGAGCAGCCACTTACTCAGGTTTGTTGGTAAAGGCAAATTCGAAATATTTTGAAACTAAGCCTACATAGAGTAAATTTGATTTTGGTCAGTACATTCAAGAGTCGGGAGCCGGCTTTGTTGCGGGAATATTTGACCCAATCGGGTAATAGAGCCCTAATTTACAACTAAACCAGATATGACGCGCGATGATGTGACAGGCGTAGATCTGATAATGGGGGGGGTTTGGGCTCCTGCTATTTGTAGAAATCTTATACTAACTTCCAAGGGCCCAGTGTGATTTACTTGTTCTATCTATGTTATCGTAGTAGGGTTCGGGGCATCGCCGAAGGTTCCGTAGATTTGCGGTGTCCAGTAGAGTAGCATTGAAGCCAAACTCTGTAAGTCTAATTGTCATTATAAATGAGTGGCTCCCAGCTCACTTGATATACAATAATATGGTAAATCTTCACATTTTACATCACCAAGGCAGTCGATATGAAGGAATATTACTTAGTCGCAACCATTGTCGCCGCCCTTTTCGGCATTGTATCACTTCTCGCTTTTTCAAGATGGAGTAGCATGTCCAGATCGAATTCTTCACCCCACTCTTCAAAAAGACACTCAGCCAGAAGATTAGAAGACAAGCAACAATCCACATTCTCAGTGGACAAAGAATCCGATTTCCCAATTGACTGGTTTACGTCTTCGGAAATCTTCGCTCTGGAAACGAGAGCTATATTTTGCAAGGTTAGTCTTCTTTGAGATACGAAAAATATCAGAAACAAGGGAAACTGTTTTAAAAGACCATATTGGGTGTTAGTCTTGGATTTTTCTGGCCCACTCGTCCCGTTTCGCAAAGCCAGGCGACTATCACACTTTTTCCTTTTCCAACTACTCGGTTTTTCTCATTATGGGGAAGGACCGGAAAATACGCGCTTTTCACAATGTATGTCGGCATCGAGCATACAGTATTACCAAGAAAGAATCTGGTAGCAGTACAGTGTTAGGGTGCAAATATCATGGATGGAGTTATAACACGAAAGGCCATCTTGTGAAAGCACCCATGTTTGATGGCGTAGCTGGCTTTAAGAAAGATGAAAACAGCTTATTTGAAATTGAGACAAGGGTGAGTGGTAGTGGTGCAGTATGGATTAATCTGGACACGGAGTTCTCAAATCAAAATCTCAATGACAATGAAGGCGATTTTGAACCATTTTTGGATTTGAAAACGCAAAGCTCGAGATGGGTCGAGGGAGGGACTGTAGAAAGTGGCTTCAATTGGAAGAAAGCTGGTAAGTAAATTTCAGAGAAACCGTGGTTCCAGCTAGATCTCACTATTTGGGACTCGTATTTTTAGTTAATCCGAAGTTATTCAACGTTGGCTGGCCCAAGGTTTCCACGTTCTCAGCGTTTAATCTGTTGAAAAATGATCCTATCGAAACATCAGGAATCCATGTGTTTCCTAACGCAATTATCTACAAAATTCCTGGCACTAAAATCTGGTACTCAGTTATTCTTCTCCCATCATCCCCTGGTAAGACCCAGATTCGGTACGATATCTACTCTGGTTCGGCCAAGCCACAGCCGTCTATCGAGGCGGCCATTACGAGACAAATCGAAGAAGTGATTAGTACCAAGACAAAAGACCTCGAGTATTCCAGTATTGGGGAAATATCTCCTAAACAGGGAGATCAAGGTAATTTTCCAACTCTTCTGAGCTTCGCTGTGTTTTCAAATAGGCTTCCTCATTCATACTAAAACAGATAAAATTTTAGATAACCAATATGATATTCTTCTTTCCATGAAATCACACTCACGAATCGAGAAAACGCTGGGGCGACAAGTAAGTCCAGTGTTACAAAAATCGAAAACTAGTCAAAAATTTCTTCAAGCCGAGATATGTAAGTTTCCAGTTTCCTCTATAACAATCCCTGCACAAAGATCTGATGTTCCAAGTATGCAAGCAGTTGGATTGTTTGGGCCAAGGAATCGCAGAAGACTCTACAAAAGGGATGGAGGTTCTCGCCTGGTAGTTGGCTTAGATGGTCGGTAGTTTCCATGTTAAGATACTTATAGGGAGGTATTGTTGACAGAAGACGCGGGTCTTATTTGGAAGGGCCAGCTGGCATTAATTGATATTTCAATGTTAACTACCTTCCTAGTCAAGTCAATCAACCAAAACAGTCTTTGTTGAAATAAAAATCCATAATGTGGGTCAAGGTATACTAGAATTGTATTCACACTTGTAATACTATACTCATATGGCAATATTAGTTGTGAATATGTATCACACCCACCCAACAATATACAAGAAAGCCTCGCCCATGTATCCATTCATTAGCAAGCCCTGCGCGTACTCAATCAATTCATCATTGGGAATTTTTAAAGACTCAAATTTTTCCTTTTCTCCGTCTCCACTCCGCGCTCGAACTCGCCTCTCGATTAGGTTCTTCATCATCTGCTCTCCTGGGGCAACAACCAAATAGATCGGAGCAGATTTTTCCATCGGTGTAATCGATACTGACTCTTGCATAGCTGGAGTAAGCCATTGCTGGTTGTAGCTGGAAAGCTTTGCAGGGGTTGTGCTTGACATTCTCTTTTTCCCTGTCGTCAAGACAGATGCCGTTGGTAAAGCGACCTGGTCTGTTCCACACTCAGAAATGTTGCCGATAATAGTATACCGTATATCAGCTTCTGGAGAGAAGACTAGCAAAGTATTTACAGTTGAGCTTAGTTTCATACGGAAGGTTGTGAAATTGCGAGGGTCCAGGTAGACTGTATGACTAGCTGTGATGCTAGGTGATGCTGCACCTTTCTCGCTAGGCAGAATCATATCTAATGCGTCTTTCTGTACAGGAGATGGACACCGGGGAGCGATTGCTACAGACTTAGATTCGCGCAGAGTGACGGAAGGGATGCAAGACAATCTATGTGAAGCGATGCTCTTGTCGTGGCAATCGACACTGCAAAACCGTACGATATGACAAGCTAACAGCCATTAGTCAAAGACGTTTTCAGTGCTCATTCCTATATATAACTTACTGTTGCAAAGCGATGTAGTCTTGTTTTGACAGACAAGACACGCTCCATCTTCAAAAAGGCCCCATGCGCGTCTTTCGGCAGTTAGAACTTCACGTCGATGAAGCAGGTCTGTGACACGTTTTCTTGAGTAGTCCATACGAGAACGTGACGGATGATTCAGTGGAGTCTTGTGGGCAAGTTTCAGGAGGTTTCCATAGTTTTTTATAGCTTCATCCAAATGGCCCAGGTGCTCCAATGTCACACATAAGCCGCTCAAGGCGTCAAACGACTCGAGAGAATCGGCGCCCTTCATGGAAGTTGTTTCGTCAAATAGAAACACAAACAAATCACTAGCATCTCGGTTGAGTCCAGAATTCATATAAGCCCGTCCTAGAGTCTGTAAAACTCGATGGTTCTCGGTACATCTAGATCTTCGATAGTGGTCGATAATTAACTTTACGTCGGCTGAGAAGTCAAAATTGTCCGAGTCTTCCAAATACCTCGTGAGAGCATTTCTTGTTAGTGAGCTGTCGAAGCCTACCACAGTCTTGCAGTAAGGGAGCATCTTTCGAGACATTGATAGGGACTGATCATTCAGACCAAGTTTCTGATAGAGTATAGCTAAATGATTCATCGCATTTAGGGTGCTTTCGTTCTGTAGACCAAAGACCACTTCGAAGGCTGGAACAACATGCTCGAAGAGGTCAAGAGCAGATTCCAAATCACCAAGGCTAATTTTGATATTTGCAAGTTCTTGCATGGAACTCAATGTCTCTGGAGCATTCTGCCCGAGCACTCTCAGTCGACCAGCCAGTACTCGTTCATATAGAGCCGCTGCTTCCGTCGCATAGCCATCTCGTTCACATAGCTTTGCTATATCATTCAGCACAGAGTACATGACAGCATGGTCACGACCATACAATTTCTTATAAATTGCAAGTGCCTTCAAGAAGTAGTATTCAGCCTCACCGGCTGCTCCGAGAGTGCTGTATATGCAACCAACTCGATGCAAGACGCCGGCTTTTATTCGCTGGTCAGTATCTAACGCTTGGTATCTCATGAGAATATCCAAAACATCCTTGTATGTTGCAATTGCTGTTTTCAAATGCCCGTTTTGTAAAGTCATCTCAGCCTGGGATTGTAGTACGCGGATCTTTGACTTGATTGCGATTGATGATGAATCGGCACTAATGACAGAATAAATGTATGCAATCTGCTCCATAGGAAGTATGCGTTGTCGGCCAGAAACATCCTCAACAACGACACCCTCTGAAACGGTCCGCATGTGTACAAACGGGCTGCGCTCACCCTCAATGTCCTCGGGCGAATAAACTCGGAAGCCTAGGCCTCCATCTCGAGCCTCATTTACGTTATTACTAGCACGGCTTTCACTCCTGGTTGACATTTCTTCGCTTCTCTTGGGTTTGGAAACAAGTGAAAATCGAATCGAATTCTCCTTCTTCATCAGTTTTCTTGGCTGGCTTGTCACAGAGTCGGATCTTGATAGCCCTAAATTCCGTTAGTAAAACACAGAGAACCAGTCCAAGGCACCCACTTTTTGGAAATTTCAAACCAAGGACGGACTTCAAGAGAGACATTCGGCGAGGGACAGTGTTGCCTTGGCTTTCATGAAAGGTTGTATTGTTCTTGTCCACAATATTTTCTTTGTCTTCGTGCATTGTAGACAACTGGCTCTTGTCATCTTGGGAGTATTAGTAAACGACCTGTCCATCTTATTGGCAATATCTTACCAGAATCGCGCATGTCTAGCCAGGTGGTGAATTGAGCAATAGGAAAGTCAACTATGTCGGTGGAATCAACTTCTTGAAGTGCGCCGTCTGCCGCATGCACTGAATAAAAATCAGCCCTGGCTTTGATGGAAATTATACGAATTCCAACCTCGTTCAATATCTTCTGCCATTGAGAATGAAAGAGCGACAATTTCACCATCCTCTCTATGCTCGGGTCCTTATCGAACAATTAGCGTAAATTGATGGTATAACAAGCATGCACCTACTCCGGAGTGGCCAAGCATCGAGAATCTTTTGTGATTTCCTCTTGTGCAATTTCCTCAATGCATTCTCGGTGGGGCTTAGAGGCACTACTATTGAAGTCTTCGGCGTCATTTGTGGGTGAGAAGATGCCCTCTTGTGATTTGATGTCATTTCCTTTTTGAGTTGTCGAAACTCCATGTTTTCGTGGTAATCGTAGTGCTGTTTGAGTTCATAGCTTGCAAGAAAATCTTCTCTTAACTCAAAGCCTCAGTGTAACAGCTGTAAAGGACTTACGCAGTATCGCACCTCCTGTCGCACTGGAGGCATATAAGATCATTTGATTGATCTATGGTCGTTAGATCTGGGGCATACCAAAAAAAAACGCGGGGGACATACGCAAGCTTTCATGTGCATCTTTTGCCTCATCATCGACAAACACATCCGTACACTTGCTGCAGGGTACTCGCAAGGGCCGACCCTCCAGAGGAACCAGCCTCTGTTCAATTCGATACCCTTTATTGATAAGACTTATATTTCATTAGCCAGGATCCAATTTTATCCACCATAATTTCCCTACTTATCTCTCATCATCACATGCACGACAATGGCTGCCCCAGGGCAAAACTTGGTGAGTCGGTGGCTATCCAGCTCAAGCCTATCTCGGTCAGATCCTGCACAGACAACAAGTATCGCTCGATTGAAATTTACATTGACGAAAAAACAGCTTCGCAATCACCACAAACAATATCTTTCAGCTCTACCATAGAGCCTTCTTTGTTAATCCTGGGTGGAAATTTTCGCAAGATGTCTTGGAAGTTTTTGATGTCCGTTTTCATCTTGTCTTGTCCTTTTGCACATCAATAAAACGCCTTCCTAGTTCTCTGCGTCAATCGTACCATCTGGTCCGAACTCTCTCCATTGTGAAAGCAAAGTTGACGCCTTCAAAACAGACTTTCGTGGCCCTTCTAAAGGGCATGATTTCAGAAAAGCTCCAATCTCGGAATCCGAGCTTCGAATCTCTCGTTGTCGATCGCTATGGGATTGACAATGTATGTCGAATTCGCTCCTGTTTTCAATTAGCAGTGCTTCAAAAAAAATAACCTGAAGCCCTAGTGAGGTTGAATGCACCTATCGAAGAAGCGTTTTGGGCAGTGGTGGCATTGCATCGTGTTTCTTGATCATGTACTTCTGAATCTCAATGACAAAGAAAGAGAAAAACAAAGTATTATACTTTTGAAGACGTACATGGCATTGAAAATATTTTATCTTACACAAAGGTCCAAGTTTGTTCTCGGCCCCTTTCCTACGCCATTATTTTGGGAGCAAGTGGAGTCTGCCATGCACAGCTTTGTGACGGTATCCGAGAATGGCCTCGAACTTTGCGCCCAGGGAATATTTTCTCCGACCTTGGCCCCTCGCATGATTTTCAGAGCTAGTAGCTGTAGTACACATTGGCTAGGGATAGAACAAGCAGGTAGAGAACCAGTGAGAAGTTCAAAGCAAAAGCTTGGCGCCAGTGCCCAGCTGTCGTGGACAGCCGATTGGTATTCGGCAACAAGGGCACGGAGAGCCCTCGTCACATTAGTGAAAGCAACACGTCGTCTTTGGTGATCTTCATCATAGAGCTTTCGATGTGGGGTGGAAACAACAGAGCATGGTTTTACGGCCTTGATAAGGTTGATGGCTGTCATCCCTTGCAGCCGCCTTTCTTCACATTCGGACAATGCAGATCACACGTCACATCTGTCGCAAACTATTATTTATCTTGCTGGATTATTCATATAATATTACGCATGAACACGTCGACTGCGTTTGACTTTTCTTCAAGGCTTACATCAACTGTCCGGATGACTGGATCGGGCTTAACTTTTACGGTCGTATCAGCTCCGAATGCTCTACTCCTTGGATACTGTCGGTGGCGGGGGTGCTTGTGTGAGTCCATACGTCAATTTTCTAGTCTGAAAATGAGACGCGTCGGACGTATCTCCTAAACTATGACCTTCACTCTATCGCGCTGTCCATTACTGGCACTTCACTAAACTGTTCCCCAGGAGACAAAAAGCCACAACCCTACAAAGGCAACTCGGGAAGTCCATCCGAACGAACAGACGAACAGCTGGGGCAAGGGAGAGGCATTATTTGCTTCTGAACTGTTTCATCTCATTGAAAGCCGTTCCGAAAAACGGTTGGTCATCCCATGATCGCCTATCGTTGTCACTCACCCCAGGGATGGGTGCTGAGTGCGCGTCGCTCTCAGAGGCCTGGAAACGGCACAGAAATCTCGGCGCATATTTTGTTTCCCTTGCCTCCATAATCTGTGATTTGGTTGATAACAGCAAAGAGAACGAAAGCAATCGATCATCCGAGGCTGCGGTGTCTGCTCAAAAATAGGTGATCTCACCAGTAAGTCGATCGGAGGCCATCTCCTGGAGTCCGTTGTGTGACAAATTTATCATCGAGTAATTAATGTCGCCTTCTTTTGCGAACATTAGTGGTACACGAGTGTACATATATGGGATTCATCTCCGAGAAGCCCACATACTCATACCTGCGTACCAGTCAATCTAAGCTAATATTTGTCAGGCCTTTGAGGAAGGTTACACCGATTGTTGTCGATTCAATAATTTGTTATTTCAGAGTATCAAAGTATCCGGAGCGTCACGAATCAAGCCGCATAAGAATTGATATAATACTATCACGTCAGCAGGTTTCAGTATTGAATACAGAAAATAAGCAAAGCCTACTGTCAAACAAGATTCCTCCCCGGAAAATCCACCCCGCAGGTAAACATAAAGTATAAGGGCGGTTTCGTGGATAAAGCCTGAAGGGAAATGAATTCTGCGGTTCAAAGTCAATAGTAGTGTTCTTGAAGTAACTCACAAGCCACAACTTTTGGACTGAGCCTCCCGACGCTGAGGACTCTACCCCAGTCCTTTCCATCGATTCTCACTTTAGCCCATCCAGCTTCATCGTCCCCATTGGATTCGGCACCCAGTCGTCTCATTCTCTCACTAGGCAACTCGCTTATATCTGTGTCCGACAATTGATTTGGGTCAAGTGCCGGGTTCACCAGCCCAGTCCAGACACTTGAAATGCGTAATGAATCAGTGGCAATGCCAAGTTTGAGGGAACCATGCATATTAGCACTCAATTCCAGTTTGGGACCAAACGCCGATGAAGATGACGCTAGATTTCCATTAATATTGCTATTGCTCACAGCAAGCTTTGTGAAGCGATCAGAGATGGCCTTCAACTGAGCCAGGCTCGGCAAGATGATGTGTATGTCTGGTTCGCGACAGTGCGGTTCATGCAACCCATCGACTGCAGATTGATGCAGTAATCTAATTGGTATCTCTTGGGTAATTACTGTCTCGCGGTCGCGACCACCAACTCTAGGGGGCCGCATTAACCCCTCGCCAGTCTGAGCTTCATCATCAATTGCAGAAATCTCGTTTGCGTCGACGCCCAAGGGCGCATTAGTTGGCTTCCACGAAGACGTGACAATAGTTAATGCAAGAAGAGGGGTCCTTCCCTTTCGAGTCAATCGTAATTGAGCAGATTTTGAACCAACGGCAGATCGCAGGGCTCGAGACAGCGAGCCGATAGGGACCTCAAGATTTATTACTCCAACTGCAGACTCAAGTGTGTAGGTTTCATCAAATATCGAGTCCTAGCATTAAAACTCAGTATTCAGCTTTGCTCCGCTGGATGAGAAACTCACAGCCGGCAATGCAGCCCACACTTGCGTTCCTTGATCAGGGATAATGGTGAACCGCACAGTGTCACTTTCCAGTCTTAGCCAACATATCTTACCGAGAGATGTCAGAGATGAGGTGAGTTCTGAAAGGGGATTAGATTCAATATGCGTGGATAATGTTTTGCTGTAGCGAGCCTTACTGGCAAAGACTGGGATGTTAGCTAATTCACTTCGGAACCGCATTCCAGCTTAATACAACTTGAATCAGTTTTTTGAGCAGCCGAAAAGTGGAAACAGCCAAACAAAAAGAATATGACTAGATCAAACAGATTGTCGACGTCGGCGGCAGCTTCCTAGCGCGTGAGATGCCTGGATTGTATGTTGAGGAACGAGAAGTTGTGGGAACGCGTAAAGTGGTTGGCGCGGATGGTCCGTGCACTCCTACAAATAGCCAGTCTAAGCATCCGAGGCTAGCATGTCTTCCTTTTCTTCATCTACGCTGGAGGACAATTAAGATCTTCATTTTGTTTTCAGCTCAAGATTCGAGTCAATTTGGTACCGTTCTATTTTTAGAAACCTAGAATAGAAGATAGTTTTGCATTTTCCAGAAACATTCATCATCCGTTGGTGTTGGAACTTTCTTTGGAAGTCTCCAATACCAAAGCTACAATGAGAGCTGCCCCTACTGCCGAACCATCATCAGCAGAATGCAGCGTAATAGGATCACGCAAGTCGTCGAGCCAATCAAACATCTCGTTCAACGCTTGAGCAACCCGGTCCCAAAATGAGCGTACTTGTTAAAAACCGACCCATCCACGCCTACATGGCAAGCGTTGAGTCCGCACCTCATACTGATTGCTGCGATACCACACAAGTAAAGCCGCGCAGAACGAGTTGCAAATAGTTCTGTTAGGTATTGGGCTACTTTCAGCTCGTGAACTGCGGGTTTGATGACGAGAGCCTTGTTGAATATGAACGAAATCTCATGCAATGCTTTCGATTTGTCCTTCTCAATAGTTGACAAGAATAATGCGTCGATGCTATGCTTCTGGCGTAGTAATGAAGTGTCATGTCCCCGAAAGAGGTTGTTTTGTCCATAAAGGTCCAGCAAAATGAGACGAAGAATCTCCCCGATGTACAACCCCGCTACCATCTTTTCATATAGCTGTTGGCCAGGCCGTGGAGAAGCTTCGTCGATGGCACGGTCAAACTTGGTTCTCGGTGATACCTTCCGGTCATTGTTAAAGGCCCCATATTCAGTATTAATGGCAACCTGTAGATCAGGCACAATATCAGCCCCCTTGATCTTTGGTATTGCCTCGGCTGCCTCCATGTAGGCCGCATTGACACCGGTACTAAAAAATACTTCCGGTTCTGATGGCAGGGTCTTTGTATCTCGAAGCCATAAGTGTTCCTGTTGTATCATTGACAATGGCGATGATCCTGACTGGAACATTCTGAAGCTAATTAGTCATCTACCACGGTTATTGAATAGTTACCGACCCGTTTTGCAAGGGCTGCCTCCAACTGTGGAACAACATCTTCGCCTTCCACTCTGGCGACATCAAAATCTTTTGTCCACCGTTGTAGGATCCCACTCCGGATATTCCACTGGGTGACTGGGAACGAGAAGGTAAAAGATAACGGCAAGATTCGTCCCAATGCCAGACCATGGTCGGATGAATTTTCTTGTGCAGTCTGCAACAAATCCCCAGAGGCTATCGGCACTACTGGACTTGAGCCTGAGACCATCCGGCATACAGAACTTTTGTTGCAGGAGCTCATACTTGCCTTTTCCAACGGTCAGTTCGACTTGGTACACTCGTGACTTTGTCCCTCCCATGTCTATAGTAATATATGTTCCTTTCTGGTCGCCAATAGGCGAGCCAAAAACCCATGTCACATTCATCGGCCGAAAACAAAATCAACATCACCCAAGAATGATAGGGCAATTGGAGGTCAATGGACCTTACAATATTACCACCTTCCTTGGTAAGACCTGGCGCATCCTAGCGTCAGCCAGTCTGAATAGGAAATGCCCATCCAGAGTTTACCTTTGTCGAGCTCTAGAAGGAATTGCTGTGTGATGCTTTTCAACTCAGACCGAGTTACAACAAACATGTCCCCGAGGACCCTTAGCTCATACAGAAGCCCTGCAGGAACGCCCACGAGGTCCTCTATCGTCTGTTTAACAGGGGTTTGTGCAATTATTTACGCATTTACCTACTATTCCCGAATGTCTTTGGCGGTCCACTGGAAGATGCCACCGAGGCTGACCCTGAAAGGTCAGCATACCTTTGCTCGCATAACTACCTCGTATTCTCAGCTGTTATTTTCTCCTGCTTCCGTGAAATTTGACGTTCCTGTGGCCGACCAAACCAGGCAAGTGAGAATAAGCAGCCATACGAGCAGGCCAGATGTTCTATCATCACGAGTATTTATTAATGCTAGAAGACTCCGGTCGCACAGCCCCAGCACAATGAAATGACATCTTAGTGACGCACTGGCATGGGCGTCTCTTATATATTGAACAAATCCGTAGTTCGATGAATTGGTCGTTCGCACCCACCATGGAACGCATATTTTTCATCAAATGAACACATTTTTCTGGTTAGTGAAAAGTCTTTTCTATGTAGAATACATGTAAGTACTCTAATTGTCGAGAGTCGCGGCAATCCAGGGACGATGGGTTTATCATCATCAATTGTGCAGAGGGCGGGCTCTGATTGGGCAGAACGCAAGGACCCGGCTGCGACGCGTGAGACGCGCGGTAAGGGGAAGCCGCCAATCAACGGGGCCCGCACGGAACGAGCGTCTACTACATCTACCATAGACATCCTACCTGTGTCCGGATCCAGACCAGGCGACGACAGTACGACGGCGATAATAATAGTTGACGACAATAATAGCACTCTGCTAACTACGTGCCAGAAATCGATAGTGTGAGCTAGAACGGCTCGTGACTCGTGAGACCCGGCCAAACACTTGTCTTGTTGCCCCTTGGACGAACGAACACGCGCTTTTCGTCTGCAGATCTCCGCTGCCACCTCATTTTCCTGCCGTCATTCTCGGAAGTTTGACCATACAAGCACGCTTTCGTCAGCAATTTTCTTCTTCCTGTATATACCCACCACTGCTACCGCCTTGCAGGGTATCACCCTCGTTTTCGCACAATCGTCCGGCCCGTCCCACACGCATCATAAGCAATTCTGCCCTCCCGTTAGTCAAACAACCTAGACGCTGTATCTATCCGGACCTCAATCTTTTTTTTTCCTCCTTCTTTACTTCCAACGGCCCAAGGGTATCTACAACATATTTACGAAGCTGTACCTTCTAGAACATCACAAGACCATCAGCTCAGCATGCTTGACGGTGAAAGTTGTCGATTAATCCGTCCCGCACAAAGGCATCTGCTGCCAAAGAGAACTAATCCACAGCATTGAGGGAATTTCTAGAATCCGATTCGACAATCTGATCTCTACTGGTCACTGGTCGACATGGCCGACAGTTTATCACATTCTCTGCTTTCGGTCCGCATTCCTCCCCCGCCGACTCCCCACACCCCGTTACGATCTCCGAAGCGTAAACCACAAATTCTTTCGAACGATCAAGATCCCCTTCTAGCTGGCCTTTCTCCTGAAGCAATCCTCGATGCGCTCGCGGCAATCAACGCAGTTCCCAAACATGAACGACACGCTAAAGACATTTTGGTCCAGTCCATGTCTCAGGTCTCTCCTGACGATAGGGCAATCGGGGCTCGGGCAGCCATAGCAGCTCAGAAACTGAAGGGCTGGTTGAGAGAGCTACAAGAATGGCCATGGCAAACAGGGAAAAGTGTCCCCATAGGAAAAGGCTTTATCCCCCCTACCGACTTCCTTAATAACCAGGACTATTACGGTAGTCTTCCGTTACCACTAGTCTCCAAATACGAAATTCGGATAGAAGAAATAAGGAATGGTGTTGATAATTTGAAAATTGAGGAGCTGAAAGAACACATTATCAGCGTTCACGTACCAGGTCGCTCCCGGCCATCTTCCGCGAACAGTTCTATGAGCTCTATCTCAGCACCTCCGTTCACTTATATGCAACTGAGTGACTTCGCTACAGTCATTACGGCAACCATCCTTCGAGCACTTCCCACTTTAGCCCGACTTAATAGACTTTTGGGTACCTGGAAGGTCCGGCTGCTTGTTGTAAGACAGGTCCCTAGCCTCCTAGAATCAATCGATATCGCACGAACAGCTCTGGATTCTGCGTTGCAATCGTTGGAGAGGACAGATGAAGAGGAATATATTTCCATCAGTGTTGTTCATTCAAAGAAGGAGAAACTTGGGCAGTCAATCGCCATGGCTGGTTTGAGGATGGATATGATACTTGATGCGCTAGAGACTTGCGAGGACTCCCTCCCTGAGGCGTGGATTGACCGGATGGACTCTCTTGAGGCAGACTTTATTGATTGGGCTCAGAATGCAGAGCGACTGGCATTCGAACGAGAATGGCGACGTTCTGAGTTACCAAAAGACCCGCAAGGGCAGCAAGAGAGTAAGGAAACTGTTACATTGGCTGTTGCAGAAGAAAATCCAGAAATTCCCTGCCCAGATAAATCAGGAGACGGGTTAGAGGGCAACGACAGGAACGAATCTACGATTACGTCAACGGAGAACTTCATCACAATTTCAACCCACATGAAGAACCAGAGTGATGTGCTTACAAAGGCCACCATCACTCCGATATTAGAAGACCCAGATAATTACTTGGTCCCTACAAAGGAGTTGGCTACTAAATCCCCACCTAAGGACTTAATCATTATGAAAGATCCAAAAGAGAGTGTCTCTATAACTACAGATGAGACTATGACTCAATCCACTGCGTCTAGCACACAAGACACAAATAAAAGTGCTAATCCCATTCCTGAATCTTCCGGTGCCATATCAACATCCGTGGAAGAGTCAACAGAGAGCTGTCTCCGTTTGAACTCAGAAGTTAGTCTCCAACCAGAGCAATCCGATGGTCAGACTAGTATTGATGACGCCAAGGCAACCCAAAATACGGCTCTTAATATAACAGACTGCCAAGTCACAGATTTTGGAGCCAATAAAGCAACGAATGCCCAAGTAACTCTTCAATCAGAGCCTCTCGACCGAGTTCCTGAGCTCACAACTTTTGATATATCAGAGATCTCGCCAATGCCAGTTGCAGATGTACCAACTCCCAAAACCTCTGTTGACGTACATTCAACAGCACTGCACTTGGCTATGGAAAATGAAGCCGGTACGCAGTCACAGCTTGCTTTATTGGACACAACAAATCAAGTCATATCCTCATCTACGGTTCCTTTGCATTCCGAGCTTCAGCTCTTACCTTTCGTCCCACATGACGGTATCTCTGCGGAGTCCGAGTCTAAAAAGCATGAAGACGTCTCCAATGAAGTAATTCTAGATATTGACCGCGATGCTCCTACACCTAAGTCGCCAATCGACATATCAACACCACGACTTGCTCAGTCAAACAATTCACACCCTGGTATAGCCGTATCAGAAGTTATTGAAAATTTTACAGGATATTCATCAGACGAAAGCAACTCTAAATCACCATCTAACACTACGTCCGATCAACCTATTTTAGACCCACCTTCCAATCATACAATGCTTGTGAATCGAGATGAGCCAATTCAGTCGATCGAGCTTGCTGAAAATCATTTTTTCGGCAACGATGTATCTCAAAATACGGAGGATATTAAATTATCTCGTTCCAAGTCGCCTTCTATTGAACCCAAGAAACCTTTTTTGACCCTTCACTCTTCACCCGGGCTTGTTAGCAATGACAGTGATCGTACCCTTCGGGAGAAGCTCTCACCCAAACTAGATGATTCCATGCTACAAAAGCTACAAATATATCAGCACAATAACAACGCAAGTTTACCTCTGCAACGCTTTATTGACGACGAGTCCGATGCGAGTTATTCAGCAGATGATAGTTACAGACATAATGCCTTCTCAACACCTGGAAGGCTGTCAGATATCCCGCAATATCTAAACAAAGACATTAAAGACAGCCCATTTCGCAATGATAGCGAGTCCCCACCACCTGAAGCAGTTCCTCGGCGAGCTTTAAGAGGGCCTAGCTCTAGCGTGATGCGAGGCACCATATCGTCTCTGAACAAGGTCGTTGGGAGTGATAAGAGACATCAGTCTGATTCGGTAGACACGGAAACCATTAGCAGTCGACTTCATCCACGATATAGAGCTTTGTCTTCTCAAAATGCCCATGTTTCGAAACCTGTTTCGTTAAACCGGAAGTCCTCGAACACTTCCCTGCTTACTCCCAGGACTCATTTACATAACCAACCAAGCATGGAAAGCATCGACTCTTTTGTTTCTGGTTCTGATATGGGAGAGACGTCAAGAAGAAAATTTTCTTTCTCCACTGATGGTGGATCGTTCGCCATGCGGCCAGTCAACGAGACTGATAACGATTTACACGAAAAAATCCATTCCATTCTAACAGGCATACCTGGTCAAATTCGTCTCAGCAACAATCCAACGACTGATTTGGATCAACAGTCAGTAGTATCATCCATCTCGACGTCAATGAAAAGCCGTTTAGGCTCGCGATCTCCTTTTTCAACTCCAAGTCGAGCTGGTACCCCTACGCCTTCAGGGTCCTTTACTCCTACTTCTCGCCCCAGACGAGCAACTTCTCATAAGAGTGAGGACAAGACGGTAAGAGTCTATCATTTGCACCATCGTGGAAAACCACAGCCAACGAAACTTTTCGTACGTACTGTTGGCGAGGATGGCGAGCGGGTCATGGTCCGTGTCGGTGGTGGATGGGCTGATTTGCGCGAATATCTTCGCGAATATGTTATACACCACAGCCGTCAAACACCTTCAAAGAGTCAAGTTGAGGTCAAAGGTCTACCTACATTATCGACATCTCCCGGCTCTCCAATGCCTCTATCTAACGAAAACACTCCAAGTGTCCCACGCCCCACGTCAGTTATGAGTAACAGGCCAGGGTCTTCTCTTTCCGTTCGCAAGACCAGACAACCTTCGAAACCCACCGAACTTCCAGCTCTTACGGCCGAAAACATTGATATAGCTGCTGATAACCTGCCTCTCCCAACCTTTCCTTCAGCTCGACGAAGTTCGGTTTCTTCTATTAACTCAGTCAGCATGTCCTCTATTCTTGGTGATGGCTCAAGCGTCTACTCTCCGCACCCGGGGTCTGCTAGAACTCATCATTCTCAGTCTACTACGCCTCTTGGTCTTGCTGGGCCCAATCCACGAACTAGACTTGTGTCGATGACTCCTGAGAGCGAAGCCTGGGTGGAAAATGTCGTTGGTCAGGCGCGACGAACTTCATCCAATGTCAAGCAAACACCAAAACAAACGGATCCTCGCCTAGACCGTGAACAACACAGTTCCTCGAGAATGAGTATCCGTAGTGTCAGTGACATTGGTGCAGCTGGTCGTAACAAGCGTGTCATGTTGAAGGGCCTCGGAGCTCACGAGCAATCATAATCCCGATTTTCCACTATCATCTTCATGTCTTATCACATCTACGTATGTGGTGTGATCACAACAAATTTCTATTTTCAAGCTTGTTATTCCCCACAGCTTCACATCTTCAAGTTCGTCACATTCGTTTTCACTTGAACTTCAACAATATTCATCATAACCGGCGTTCATGTTTGTTGCAAATACCCATTATCGAGTTCTTGGTCTTTTATTGTTCAGCATTTTGGTTTGGTACACATACAACCTGCATTAGCGTTCGCATATATCTAGGGGGGATGGAGCCGGACCGGACAGATGGAATAGGGCATAATAGATAGGCATGAGCAGTAGCTCCCAACATCCTATTCGTTTCTTCATTTGGCGCTATTTGATACTGTTAATTTACTTTTCCCTTGCTTTTTTTGTCTGATCTACCCATATATCATTATTGTTCGGATATTCCATCTGCATTGGGTTCATTTATACTCAGTTGTTTTTATTTCTAAGTGTTCGTTTTTTTGTATCATATGTAGATTGAGACAGAAATTACGAAGTAAGCGGCTGGGGCTTCGATTCAAGTCTACATACTTACAATTCTGCAAGAATTTTCGACATACCAAACAGTCAATATTTTTAATTGGTTTCAAATGCTAGATTTATAGCTAGGTATTAAGCTATTATCTAGAATTGATGGTCATGAATACATCAAATCAAACAAAGACAACAAGGCAAATCAACTAGTATTTTGAATCATTGATGTAATGTCTGCATGTGCCACTCAACAACTTATGGATATTATAACTATATGCGGGCATATTTTTTCCCTATAAATTGATGAATAGCTAGGTCTTTGTCGATTATTATTTGCGATGTAGGAGTCATCCCAAAGCTATTTCTTCATTTTTGTAATCTAAGCATTGATTTAGATCGACGGATTTGTATACAACATCGAATTACTACTGTCAACTATTGACATGACAGTAAACGACAAATAGAAAACCCCCATTGTTGGTATTCCCTTGCGTGTCTCTTCTAAATTGCAAAGGAATCTATTCATGAGAAAAACAGACATGAAATGTGCGCGTATATTCCGAGATTAAAAACAGATGTCATCAAAAGTCATGGCTTCGTATGAAATATGCAAGGTTGTTTTCAAACAAAAGACACCATAACATAAAATGCTAGAATTTGTCAATATACAGAAAAGTTACTCTGAAAGGAATACGTTTCAGTTTCGTGAAAGGCCTCTGAGAAGCGAAAATTATACATATGCTAAAAAGAGAATTGGTTTTCATTCATCGAGTTCGTCGCTGTCCCATTCATCCTCCTGGTCGTTTTGAACAAGTTCAAGGAATCGCTGAAGACCCTCTTGTCGAACTGGCTGAAAGCCTCCCGCATTACGGCGTACTTGTAGACCTGCTCCTGCGCGATGCGGAGGACGAGGAAATGCTTCACGTGCACCTTGCCGATCTCTTATTTGAGCCATAGCAAGAGCTTGTGCTTGACGCTCTGCAGCCGCAGCTCTGCCAGCCGCATCGAGACCGTGATCGTCTGCTCCTTGATTTCCATGCGCTTCACCAGCAACGGGCATTACTCGAGGAGGAACTGGAGCCGGAGGTGGAGGTCGCCGTCGAGCTGGACCATCGTCATCATCGCTGCTGTCAGTGTCGTTATCCTGTGGTGCAAACTCCCAAGCAGGGTGGTCATCCTCAACATCAGGGTCATCTGAGATTCCCCCATCGTCGCTGGCATCATCAAAATCCACTATATTCGCGGGTATCTGATGGAGTTCTGCCACTCCGTCTGGATCAACGCCGTCACCACCTTCAAGCTCCCAAAGTCGATTGAAACAGCTGCTATCCAATGTGTTAAAATGCAGATATGGGCTGTCTTCAGACAGCCAGGCGGAGCAAAGATAGCAAAAATGAGTATTGCAATGAAAGCAGATCATATGGTTGCATCCCATAAGTTTTTGGCATGGTGATTTACATGTCGGGCATTGTCTCGTATACATCTTCATGTACTCTTCCGTAGCCTTCTCTTCTGCCGAGAGCTCTGCTTCTCGTCGTGGTAAGCACCTTGCCAATTCTCCATGCCATCCTTTTTGGCATACGCAGCAGAAAGCATAGTCACAGTCCTCACAAATTGCAAGTCGATCAGCCATTGGTGGCAGTTGAGCTTCTTCGCCCATGGGATCGAAATTCATGATGTTATCATCATCATCTGATTCGCTAAAATCATCGACCATAGGATCATCGGGCTTCGGATGCTTCTTAGATCGGGCTGCCCCTTGACACCATTTCCGGGGACAATAGACCGTGGTCTTGTCTGACTCGAGTTTCTTTTTCCGTTTCAAAAACACGTATCGTTGAACCATCTCTTGTTCCAGGGGAATCTGAAGAAGCTCGCTAGGAATAATACATCGATCCTGCTTCTTTTTCTTCTTCCGTTTGGAGGTTACGGTAGCATCTTGATGTTGTTGAACTTGAGCAATTGGAAGGTTGGGCTCCTTGCCGCAATCTGGGGCCATACATCTGACATTATCAACGTCCCCTTCAGATATGCAGCTGTTATAGAATCCTTGTAGGCATGGAATGCAGAACACATGCGAACAGAGCAACATGCGGTGGCAATTCACGCCTTTCTTCGGCTCTAAACAAACACCGCATTCGAAAGTCTCCTGTTCAAACCTTTCCCTTTTGGTTTTGATGTCGAAATCCAGCAGTGCAATCTTCAATCCGCGGAGAAGCTTGATAGGCTCATCGTGGCCATCTGCGATGCCAAAAGCACCATCGGTCATTTGTTGTAGATGATCAATATATGTGTAAACAACCATGTCTTTCCCACATTCTTCCCATAATCTTTTGCCATCCCTTTTCAACTTGAGGATTTGGGTTGGCGGGAGCCACGGTGGGCTGGTGGTGATGTTGAATATAGGCGGCTTCTCCGAAGGATAACCTAGTGGGAGTTCTATGTCCAATGTCAAAGGTGGTAAATGTGACAAATTATGTATATCCTGTCCGTTCCGGGCGGCTCTTCGCGCATTTCCATCAAGATTCTCTGCGTCCACCCCTGTATCATTTGTATCGAACGAGGTCGGTGGGGTCATGGGAGGCTGGAAATGCTCAGGGCCTGGTTCAAACTGAACCAGCAACGGAGAAGACGGCGTAACGGGGATATCTAACGAGGCTCTAAATGGACATCGCTCATCGATTCTGATTTCTGGAAAGATGGCGGCGATGGAGGAAAGCTCCATCGCCCGATCATCCTCTTCGGGAATGGGGACGATTATCGCCATCACCGGCTATCTGGGCTGTGAATTCTCCGTGCTACCCAACAAAAGACTGATGTTTCGATTCCTATATTACAGGCAGCTCTGCATCTTGAGAGGCGGATGCTAAGGCGACATGGTCAAGAATGGCAAGGCAGGCGGCCGGGTAATGGACATAAAAGTCTTTGTTCGAACTAGTTATATTATGAACTTCCTTTCCAGTAAACCATCCCCAAAGCACGTCCAGGACCGTGGGGTGCAAAAAAATGGAATGTGGCGATATAAAAAGTTCTGGAAATATCCGGGCTAGGATTGGCGCGTGTTTCTGGGCCCAGTGCTCAACACACGAATCAGGGAGGGATTGTGCCTGTCTGTCGGTAAACGTGGCGTGAGTAGGTAAAAGCCAAGTGCAATAGCTGTATTGGAAATAAGTGGACAAAATGCGCTGGCCACCGTAATGGGAAAGATGTTGGGTGAGGCACAAGAGAAAGAGCCTTCATGATTTGATAGTGAGGCTGCTAACCAAGGAAGGTTCCTGCCGAAATGGGAGAGAGACAGAAACGCACGCAGGAAACAGACAAACAATTAAAATTATTGGAAAAAAATTTCGTAAACAAACCAAAGCATCGAGGTCCGCCGATGGGCATCAACGCCGTTTTCTGCAGACCAACAAAGTCTCCGAGCCCCGCTGGTTGGGCGTGCAATCAGTAAGTCGCAAGCAATGTGGCGTGCCTTATCTCGCTCAGTGCCCCTCGCACGTGACATGCCACCCCGCAAGCTACAGAATAGTAGTGCCTGAGGCAGCAAGGCTCGCCTCGCGGAGCTAACAGCGGCTACTTGAGAACAAGTATTATGACGAAGCTGCAACAAACAACCAGCCACCTCTCGTCCGCTGTCATGGACACTGACTAAGTCACAGACAATGAGCAGATAGCTAGCTACATTTGTCCTCCGCTGGCTTCCTTTCCTTTGACCTAAATGAGCAATATGTCCATTGTCTGTCTGGCAATCTGATTTTGAATACCATCTCCAACAACCCCAATCATGTCGGCGTCCGAGCAGCCGTTAGCATCACTGTCCCTGACACATGTGCACTACGTGAGCTGCCCTATGGATATTGATACTACAGTTGAGCATCTTGAGCTAATGCAATTCTATTAGAATCCTACCGATATCGTTTCGTATGCCTCCGCCTGGCTAGCCCTTGTTCCGCAGGTATTATGCGTCACTTACGTTGCTCTTATTTGGGCCTCGAGGGAGGTTGAAATAATATTGATGTTCGCGGGTCAGCTGGGATGCGAAGCCTTGAACTTTGCACTAAAGAGGCTCATTCGAGAAGAAAGACCTAAATGTAAAAACGCCTTGAACAAATTCTCCTTCATGACCAAAACTGATAATTTTTGCCTCCACCAGACATGCATGGCAAAGGCTACGGAATGCCTTCCTCACACGCCCAGTTTGTGGCCTACTTCTCGTGTTATATCACTTTGTTCCTTCTTCTTAGACACAAGCCAAACTTCTCTGTCACGCCAAACGCCACAACCTTTATCCAAAGAGCTGCCGTATCCGTCCTCGCCTGTGTCGGTGCGAGTGCTGTCGCCATCAGTCGACTGTATCTGAACTACCACACCAAGAAGCAGGTTCTGGCTGGGTTCGCGGCAGGTGTATTGTTGTCCGTCGCTTGGTTCTTCACGATTTCTTTCTTGCGGACAACAGGGTGGATTGACTGGGCACTCGAGTTTCCGTTATCCCGTGCATTACGAGTCAGGGATCTAGTAGTGAGTGAAGACCTCACTGAAGCTGGATGGCAGCGTTGGGAAGCTCGAAGAATGCTGAAGCAACGCGAGGATAGTGAAAGCTCGCGTAAATCGAAATAATCCCATCGTCTCCAAAATATACACTCTTTGGATGTTTAAGCTTATGTGATACCCTTCAAACGTACATACGAAATATAATCTCATATATTGTCCATTATTCGGTATCCGACTCCCAAGTAAACTGTGAAGTCAACATTTATACTAGCCAGTACATGTATCCGATTAGATAATGATTATTTTACATGGGTAGGGACTGCTCTTATACACTTTATGTTAGTTTGGTGACGAAGTATAACTCAAAATAGTTAAAGTCTCAATCCCCGACATTATGATTGGACTGGTCACATGACTGACCCACAGAAAGGCCGATCCGATAATCCGCTCCGATCTTCAAAACACATACATAGGTGTGCATCTTTCATAATGGATGGCATTGTAGCCTTTAGACTATTGTGAAGATGGGCTATAGCAGCTACTTCTCAGGGAAATTTTCATCTTAAGTGAGTCATTGTGGCGTTGTTAAAAGTCTTTTGATGTTCAGTTCGGTTACGCGTTTTCAAGTTCCGTGGTGGGGAGCTTATCAATTCCACTCAGGCTAGGGCATGTCTACATTACATTACAAGATGTCAGCCGACCCCATTGAAGGCGATGAGCCTAGCCAGGTCATCGTCAAGGCAGATGAAGTTGACCAGACTGGCACCGATATATCACCTATTCCTGATGAACAACTAATGGCAGAAGTTGTCGATGGGCTCACCCTCGAACCATCTCCTCTCATTGAAGATCAGGTCCAACAGGTCCCTGGCTCTCGAGATCCAAGGCAAACAGGACGACCGGCAATAAGGCGTGATGGGGTTGCGCCTCCACCACCCCTGCAGCCACCCCCTCCTGCTCCTGGCCAACAGGCGACTGAGTTAGCACCAGATTCGCTCAGTCTTGCCCAGTTGAAAAAGATAGTACAAGATATGCCGCGATTTGAGCAGCAAGCATATGCATTTCGCTATGCCGACTGTCAGTCTTTCCCAGAAGAGCTCGACGAGTGGTTCCAATACAGCGAGCCAGAGCGTATGATGCTACTCGGGTCTAAGGTGTCATTTGAGCAACAATGGCAAGATTTTTGTCAACAAAGCTCTCTACATCCGGATCCTTCGTGGCTAGATGTCGGCCGTGATCTTCGAAAATCTTTCGTCAACTCTCTTCTAGTCAATTTGGACCATGAGGATATGTTTTCTCGCATTGAAGCATTGGAAGCCATTTGCTACGCGATGTGCGGTGTATGGGGGTCGACTGCTGGAAGATCTGTGGATGATTATCCTGACGAACCCACAGAGCAAGAAAAAGCGGAAACTCCCAAATTGAAGTCCCTTCAAATCGAGTGGATCGTCAACAATGTACTTCTAGTGCACGAATGTGACGGTATTCCCAAACTTTTCGAATATATGAGGGTCGTTTACGACAAAGAGAGAAGCTTAGTGGACACCGAGTCTATTGACTTGGACAATGAGAAAGAGCATGCAGCATACCTCATAGCCCGTGAGCGTGAGGCCAATCTCATTCTGACATGTCTATATTTTGCTGTTGAAGTTGCCAGGCGACTGGAGTCTCTTGATAGACAAAATGTGGACTTAAGAAATTCCATTGCTAGTCTGGAGCCCAGTTTACTCGTTGCTCTTATAGAAATCGTCGCTGGATTACGCTGGGATGATTCCGCCAGCATACCTTTCACACGTATCATCCTACTCTTCTGGAAATCTATTCTCCTTATATTTGGCGGAAGCGAGAGCTTGAAGGATGCGAAGAAGAGACTAGAGCCTCTCATGAACATCCCAGAAGACCCAGCTGACCGCCGAGAACCATTTTTGACTGCGTCTCCTCTTGATTACCATATTTTCCGCCAGGAAGTTACGTCCAAATACCCGTCATATAACCCTCCGCCGCCTGTAGTACCTTTAGAATTAGAGCACAACTCGATCCTTCCTCCTCTCCCTAACCACCCCAGTCGTCTAGCATCTGGGAACGGGCTGTTCTCTGCATCTGGGTCTACAGCCCCCGGTGGCAGTGGTTCAATCATTCATCAGCCGGTACATATCGCTACTCCTGCTCCATCACCTCCGCCATCACCAGTTGGTCCCGGTGGTAAGGCCGGAAAGAAGCAAAACTATCAAACGAATCAGAATTTCCCTTTCATGTATCCTCCCCTAGATGTCTCCAGCAATAACATTGGTGGAAAGGGCACGAGTGAGATGCAAGACACTCTAGTTGGGAAGAAATGGGAGGGTAGTGATGTTCCCGCTTCCATAATCGAAGCGGGAAAATTATTTTCTACTCATGTGAAAATGACTCGGGCAACACGACAATTATGGGAAGAACGTGAACGATTTATGAAATTCGAGCGAGGCTGGAATATGGAGGACATGAGCCTTAAATCCGATAACCAAGAAGACAATGAATCAAACAACTCTTCGAAGGATGAGAAAGATAAGGATACAGCCAAAGAAGTGGAAACAGACGACGAAGATATCCAACGCCGCTTGGACGCAGTCGAAGCTTTTTATGTGAGTCTTCCTCCACATTTAATCTTCAAGCAGCAAGCTAAACATCTTCTCAGAAACAAGCAATGCCACATCTGCAGTCAATTGTTATAGTTTTATTAAAAGTGATCTTGACAAATGTCAGTGCCATAGTGAATCAAGTCAATAGCCACAACAGCCACAGCTCGGGGTAAATTAATGCCTTCAGATGTTATTTCTCTGGATCTGATCAATTAACAGTCAATATAGGGCTGCCAATGGTTACCATTCAAGTGGATCCGCACACGAGGAACCTCCTACCGACGTTGAAGAAATTGATATGGCTCGACTTCGTGAGATTACGGGGAAGGCTGTTTCGGGTGCCTTGTTACTCTTGCTAAAATGGTTCAAGAGATCCCGTAAGTCACAATTTGCTATATCGTCTTGGTAAGTACATAATGCTAACTGGACTACCCAGACATCTTTAAATTCGAATACATGACGCAACTGCTACTAGACTCGAATTATCTTCCATTAATATTGAAGATGTTTGCTCATCAAGACGTAGATCAGGCGATATCTCAGCAAAACGACCGCAAAGAACTGAGGTATGTCCAGCTTTATCATCCATGGTGCAACTCAGTTAATAAGTCTAGCTTTTTCAATTTCTGCCTGCGTAATTCCCAATATGCCCCGGAAGAAGGCGACTCCATAGATGGCGATTCTTCTGGTGAAGATGAAGCTGTACCACCGCCTATACTCCGCCGCAGGCTATCACTTGATGGCAGCTCTTCGGTACGGGGGGTGTCTCCAGAAAAACCTGCAGCCTCGGAATTTTCAGACGGTTCTTTGCGTCCAGAAGTCGACGAACTAGGATACCCAACTGGACTACTTCCCAAGGATCCAATCACGACATATTCTTTCCGCAATTTCTTCTCGACCATTAATTATCTACATATAATGCAAAAGATCACACGCGACAAAGCACATCGCTGCCTCCTTCTCGTTCAGTACAAGTCAAGCACGATCCTCCGGAAAGGGTTAAAGATCCCAGATCCCGATCTACGACTATATACTTTGAAGCTTTTCAAATCACAAGTTCCATACTGCGGTAGAAAATGGCGTCAAACTAACATGCGTGTTATCACTGCTATTTATCTTTACTGCCGGCCAGAGTTACGTGATGATTGGCTGGCAGGTTCGGATGTTGATGCTGAAGTTGAAGAGGCACTTCCCTTAGAACAAGCACTTCGTGGTCTTACCCACTGGTGGCATTTGCGTCAATATAGGGATGTTATGAATATTGAAGAAGGTGCCTCTCTGATCGAAGAAGAAAGGGATTTCTTCTCAAGAGAGTTAGATGCTATGGGCTGGGGCCTTTATAGTGATGATATTCTCAATGATCTTGGTGATGAGAGGGAGCTAGGTGCTCCGACGAATGGCACAACTGAGTGGGATGGAGGTCCGTTACAGATGGAGGGTTGGTAGATTCATTTCACTTCAGTTTAACTTTAAAAAAAGACACTTTCAACGTTGATATAGACACGTAGTGTTTGTAATTCAGCAAGTCATAGTATACATTTTAAATAAATGGCTATAACTTTCTTCCGTGAGCGCCGAATTCTGCATAACTAGAAATGGCGACCGTAATAACCTAAGCAATGCACCAATGTGCAAGGTAGATTCAGTAGCTCGTCATTCAAGACATACACTGTTATTTTACTCAAACGTTAGATACACATCATAGAACTATCTCCAGAGAAACTAACTATTCTCTAACCCCGAATAGTTTAGGTTACATGTAAGCAGAAGACCAAATAATCACACAAGCACTGTCAAGGGGCTACATGTACTTCAAAAAAAAGACCCTCAATTCGATAAGAAATTTGAAGTCATTCTGCAAGTATGACTTGTTGGCTCTAAATTCTTTCTCGGATCCGGCACTCCTGGGTGAACGAGGGTATCTTTCCTCTTAAAATTTGGATATTCACCAGCTGCATTTCTGCGGGCTTCGACAACCCGTTTTAAGTTCGCTTTTATGAACTCGACAAGCTTCCCCGTCGAACAATTACCTAGATAGTACCCTTTTATGCAGCTTAGAGTCTCTAAGTGCTGCAAGAAGTCACTCGGGCGGTAGTAATCTCGCCCACAGGTGAAGCACCGAATCACCCCATCGAAAGACATATTATTCCTATCCATCAAGTTTTCATTCCCCAAAACTTCTCCACGAGACATTTGATATCGTTTTTCAAGGGTCCACCTTCGCATTTCTCCGACTCCATATGGTTAAATAAAGCAGGTAGCATGGCGAAGTCTTTCCCACAGAGAACGCAGGAGATGATCCGTGGGCGGTGGCAGCTAACATGTCCATTCAATTTTGAGCAAGTCATGAAATATTCTCTACAGATAACGCACATATATTGTGGGTATGGATATTGTGTGTTTCGAACCCCTGAGCAGAAGGATCGAAGCAGTTGCATGGCTCACAGTAGAGATGGTCTCTTTCCAGGTGATCCTGGAGTTCAGCGTATGTGTCAAATCCCTAGTTGTAACCTCAAAAAATGCATAGGATGTGACGTATTACAAGGTAGTCCTTGACAAGTTCTGGTTTTTTGACCTTTTGGTCACATCAATCGCACGAGAATTGAGGACTACGACGCGGGAGGCAGCAGCAGGAGGGAGGGTATTCTGTTGAATTCTTCTTCTTAACGGGTTTTCGTATCCTCCAAGAGGTATAATAAGACGGTATCTGAGTGTAGATGCTAAGTATTTCTTTTGCCTTCTGAACAGTTTGGCTGCAACATTATGGCTGTCCTTCTTGAATTTTAGATCAATTTTTACCTCAATAAGTGTGGAAGAAATACCTGAAGGTTAGATGGAATTATCATAAGGGAATCAAAAACTAAATAAGAAGTGCTGTGAATATAAGTCATATAAGTAGAGAAAATAAATTGAGCTACGCCTAGCGCATTCTTGTAATGCACACAGACTTAGTTTGACTAGAAATCACTATAAAGAACCACCAAACATTCATGGTTTGATAGAAGGACGATCCAGAAAGACCGTTTTCCTAAGTTGTATACCGCACAGATAAGGATATTCAAAAGGCTTATGTTTGCATCATAGCATCTCTTAAAATCACGTTCTAGTCCATTTGTCCATACTGGGCCCTTTATCCATAGATGGATTGATTAGCTTCGTGACGGGATCCGTTTGGTTTGAGCGGTACTGAAAGCCAAACAATAAAATGACATTATTATAAACACATTTCAAATTATTGGATTGACCGCCCAAAATTCGGTGATCAATATGGAATGCCCGAGAAACCCCTGTTTAATAGCATCAAATAGATTTGCATAGGGCTAGACCACCCACTTTGGCATCAATGCCAAGAAAACAGAATGGGTGAGAGAAATCTGATTATGGCTGGCTAGAACTTAATTCATTATCATTTATCTAATCCGATTCATTACTAAACTTGACAAAGTAGAAGTAAGGGCGTCTTTGATACCTTCAATGGTATTACGAACACCGAAGGCTAGGATCATGCTTCTAGAAAGAAATTATAAACAGTCCAGCTTTCAAATACCATTTTGTAAGTTAGACAGTCCGACTTCTTTTTTCCCTTTCTTGTCTGTTCTCGATTCGTGATGAAAATGACGAAGTTCGTCAAAATATGGAAGGGTTTACTGATAAGCAATCGCCGATAAGAAACATATCACGTGATTTATTCGCGCCGGGATTTTTTTTCTAGCCGCCATTGTGTATAGTCAAAGAGTGTTTCATTTCACCTATTCCCTCAAGCCTGTCGCAAGGCCCTACAATCCTCAGCTATGGCGTCCGACGAAATTGTGTGGCAAGTCATCAACCAACAATTCTGTGCCTTCAAACTTAAGTATGCAATTCTTACATATCTGCCCCTAAAACTCTTTTTTTGTTGGTCAACTAACGGCCCATAAATTAGAACAACAAAAGGCCAAAACTTCTGCCGCAATGAATACAATGTTACTGGGTTGTGCAATCGACAAAGCTGTCCATTGGCAAATTCTCGTTATGCCACTGTTCGCTCGGACCCTGAAACAGGCACCATGTACCTCTACATGAAAACCATCGAACGTGCCCATATGCCCAGCAAATTGTGGGAACGAATCAAGCTCTCTTCCAACTACGCAAAGGCCCTCGAGCAACTCGACGAGCGATTGATATACTGGCCGAAATTCTTGATACACAAGTGCAAACAGCGTCTGACGCGCTTGACGCAAGTCGCGATTCGTATGAAAAAGCTTGCCAAGGAGGAAGAGAGGCTAGGCGAGAAGATTGTCCCCAAGCTCGCACCAAAGATTAGACGACGAGAAGAAACTCGTGAGCGTAAGGCGGAATCAGCGGCTAAGATCGAGCGAGCCATTGAACGTGAACTGATTGATCGATTGAGGAGCGGTGCCTATGGCGACCAGCCGCTCAATGTGGACGAGGGAATTTGGAAGAAGGTCCTACGTGGTCTGGAGAGACAGGGAGAAGGTGAAAGAGATGAAGACCTTGATGAGGGTGAGCAGTATGATGAAGATGAGGAGGAAGGGGTCGGCGAGATCGAATATGTCAGTGATCTGGACGAAGACGAAGAAGACCTCGAAGATATTGAAGACTGGCTTGGGAGCGAGTCTGCTGACTCGAGCGATGATTATGACGATGACGATGAGGACGACGAGAGCGATGAAGAGGGAAGTGACGCATCCGCTGAAGAAAAGCAGAAGCCTGCTCCTGGAACGAAGCGCAAGAGAGCCGCACCGCCCCCGAAACCTCGCAAGAAGGGTGCTCGCGTCGAGATCGAGTATGAAACAGAAGGTCCTGGAACAGAGAGTGTGTTGGCATAAAATATCGACTTCATGGATGGCGTTTGAGGCGTTTTTGAAAAAAGGTTATGCGCAGATGATTCCGGCAATAGTGCCACCAGGGTTTTCACATACCTTGTTTCCGTTGTTAATAAAAGCATTGTCTATTTTATGTTACATATTATTTTTCTTGTCTCTTCAGCTTTGCTGCATTCCGTTGCCATGTTAGACAATTTTTAAAAATTCAACCTCCATTTGAGAGTCCTTGTTTTCCGGTCTAGAAATCTTTTCCATTTTATAATTCACAAAACAGAACATGAGCCAAAATCCTCAAGCATTTGGCCCAACTACAATAAACCCCCCAATAGCTGGGACACTTAGCAGACCGAGCAGCAGAATATATCCTACAGTGAAAGAAGCGTTTGTCTGTCAACATCTCTCTGGCACCACGATCAGACGGGTTCATGCATAAACGATGTAGAATGCGAAACGTGTCATAAAATTGCTTTGCAATCACGTTGGCAAGGAACGGTCGTATGGGTATTCCCATTTCCACGGCCAACCAACTCATCGTCCAGCCTCTTTGGGCCGATGTGCTCGATGCTATTCTGAAATATGACATTCCGCCAATGACAGCAAAAGGGAGGACAGAAATGAAAATACGAATAATCAACAATGCCCATTTGCTAAAACGATTGAATAGTATTGGATTTCTCAGGCTGAGAATTCAGTGGGTCTTTTCAGCTGAATTTTTGAAGTTGTAGCAGCTATATCAGCATAGGCTTCTTGTCTTCTTCATTCTTTTCCTTCAGATCACTTTTGTCCTTCTTCTTGCTCTTCTTGTGACGGCCATCGGCGATACCTTTGTTTCTAATTGGTTCTTTCGCACTCCGTGTATGGGAATCGTGTTCCGTGTGATTATCCGTCAAGATCTCTGGGTTCCTGGGCATGTATTCGTTCATATTTTCATCGCCGTCCTCTTTGCTGATTACAGAGGCTGCCCCCTTTTCTTGATTGCTGATGTGCTCAGTTTCTCCGGACGTAAAAACTTTGCTGTCAAGCTTGAAGTTCCAGAGACTTCCTTCATTCTCTTGGAAAGACCCAGAAAAAACAAAGACCTCATCGACATCGAGAGGCACACTTTCGACCCTGCCGACTACTCCTTCAAAGTTTCCGCCGCACTCACTACGCTCAGCTTAGCAGAGCTTATACACATTTTGGCTCCAAGTGAGACCATGATTGGTCGGTGGTTTTTGAAAAAACGCGAGGGAGTTTCTGTAAATAGTTAATAGGTCGCAATAAGCTTGAATGGTAATCCGAGTCATAGCTCGTAGCCACCGTGCGGGCAAAGTGCTGCAGCGCAGTGACACTCTCGCAGGATGAATTGAAATCTGCTTGCTGGCCAAAAACAAATACAAAAGTAGAGTGCCATTGAGCGCCTTGAAGGGAATTCCACCAGAACATGTATCGTTACCAGCGAGAGCGCTGTGTCAAGACGAACAAAAAAAATAAAGTAGTCGACTAGTCGTGTGCAGCAGGGACGAGCTCCACATGGAAGCCGCCGCCCGCGTTGTGGGCCGCCGCGAGTCTGGGACGCTTCTGAGACGGGGACTTCACCTCCAGGTATTCATGGTATTGAGAGTGTTATTGCATCTTCACTCACACAACTCCTACACCGTGAGGCCTGCCATCTTATGCTTAAGTTTTCGACTTCCTATATTTCGTCTAAGTATCTGCAGCGGATGACGATTCTTGGCCGCTGATTTACCAGACGTTCCCACGCCTCTCCTCTACCCCTCTTCCGGAGGCACCACCACCCCCAGCTGGCCTGACCATGTCTTCATACTTCGCATCCCTCACGTCATCCACGACAATATCCAGCCTTGGGACACGTCTCAACAGTCTGCGTCGCGCCATCACATCTGGGGAGGAACGTGATGACCCGGAGAACGAAGATTGCTCACACATCTCGAACGTTTTGAGAGCATACTATACGGAAAAAGGACTACCATTTCCGCAATGGCTTCCTCCAGATCCGAAAACACCAGTCCCACAACCCCGCATGATTGCTACTCAAGCGTCGCTCCAGCAAAGCAACAATCCTTACGGCTCCGTGCCAGGACAGCCCACGTCACGCGGCGGTGGTCTGGGGGATCTATGGGGTGATGGTCCCTCACAACCACCGCCAACACAAACAGCCAGTCTACGAAACCGTCCTGCCCGCACACCCGTTGCTTCATCCACTCTACGAACCCCAGGGCAATCTCAAACACCTCCTCCGCCGGAGCCTATTTCTCGACGACCGCTCCCGAGTCAGCGCGCAGGGTCATATCAAACGACGTCATCGTCCCATTCAAGCCTAGGGCTGGAGAGAGGCAATTCTGGCGGCAGCTCAGCACAGGAGAGGCTACGAGCTCGTTTCCACGGTGGCTCGGGGGCGAGTAGCCCGAGCCCTCCGCCTCAGGCACAATCACAAGCGTATGAAGGCGGATATGCGCGTGGTCAAAACAGTGGAGGTGGAGGAGGATACAAACGGCCAGGGTTGCCAAACAACCCAAGGGCAGGAGGGTATCGATAAATCTATCCATGCGTGATCTATCCAGGCACCATCTCTGTGCGATTTAATCGGGTGTTGCGGGAGCAAGTTCTGTCTTTTCTTTTCTTGAATGGTTGGCATATCTGGGCGGTGGTTTTAAGTATTCTGCGTATACCCTGCAGGTATTTAGTAGTCTATTCATAGACAGGCATAGACTCTGATCTATTGCAATATATAACTTTTCCCACTATCGTACATATGTATAGACCTACCCTTTGACCACTGTACATGCAGCAGCCTAGCCATATATGTATATATCAGTTGATATATATAATCATAAATATACATGATTCGATATATATATACATGTATGTGTGCATAATGGTGTGTTCTTGATGGAGGCTAGCAGTTGCGGGGCGGTTAGCAACATTGGAAAGGGAAGGAGCAAGCCCACACACACCAATGCATGTGTCTCTCGGGCATCCGCTAACATTGAAGTCTTCCTGCAAACCCTGCCTGGCCAAATCTGCTTAGGCAATACTCCTCGCGAATGTATGTGGTTTTGCATCCTCCTTTAACCAGAGAATGGACATCAACTACAGTCCACAGGCACGGTCCATCATCGGCTCATTCGATCGTATTCGCTGACATTAAAAGCTTTAAACTACCTCAGCTATACAGCGCGGACATCCGAGACTCGAGCCATCGTCGCAGCCCGAAGAAAAGAAATCAGAAATGAATACGGGGTGCGTATTGGCGCTTTGAAGGATGATCCAGTTCTGGGCTTGGTTGCCCAGCCAATACCGACGCATTGACGCACGGAAACCAGAATCCGAGCCCCATCCACAGGAGTAGTGTGCTCCGGAGACGCAGTGTTTTTCTTGCAAATTTGTTTCTTCGGCAAGCCGTGTGGAGGTATATGCCGACGATTTCCCGGAGACGAATTGCACGGGCCTATCATCCCAAGTCTGCTAAAAGACACTACGTATGCACACCGTGGGGTTCATGGTCTAGATAATTGCAATCTAGTCTGATGGCAAATGTCAGAGCCTCGAAGAACGCAATTGCCTGATATTCCTCTCGGTGAGGCCAGTTCTCCACGTCGGCATCTGCTCTCCAGACCCCTCGGCGTCTTCAAATCATCGAGAGCATGGGGTCATGGGTATGAAGACTACTAGTTGTCGCGCCCCGTGGGGTGAGGAATGTAGTTAGCAGACACCCCATCGATGTGAAGGCGGGCTGCAGGGAGAAAAACACAATCTGACGGTCGCCTTATTCAATGTCTCTACCAGGTATGGGGGCTAAGACGGCTTGGTGTCACTCAAATCAGGAACGACTCGAGCAATAACATCGGCACGAGCAGCTGAACACGCCCGATGAGAATTGTCGGCTTGCCGGGAACATTCGAGCGAACAAAAAAGTGGGCGGGCAAGAAGTTAACATGAACATCCGGCGCGTTTTGTTGGATGGGGCTGTATTTCTGTGGTTCTGTGGCGAGCTCAAGTCGGCTTTTAAGTTTTTCCTAGTCATCTCAGACTACACTCAAAAAGACTCGAATAGTCAACACTGAGTGGTTCCCCGCACTGCAGACTCCGTAATCGGAATCTCTGGGATTGCACTGCTCCATCGACGACACGTTTCATTTTCTGCACAGTAGTAGACCGACGTATTGTATCACCATCCTCGTTTTTGAGCACTTTAAGCTTCGGAACCTGAGCGACTTTCGCTGAAATACTATTGTCAAAAAGGTTAAGGTCTGTACCATGGATCACTGCAATTTACAGAAGCGAGTGGAACTAAGTTGCAACGATGGAGGATCTACATCCAGCATGCGGTATTATTGGTCTGCTGGCCATCCTTTCTGGCCTCTCAAGTTCTTGCAATGCGCGGCGATTGACCCACCTACTCCGCGATGCCCATGCAGCTAAGAATCAACAATACGCAAGCAGAAGTCAGGAAGAAAATCCTGGAGCCCCACGGGAGGAGGTCAAAGACTAGCCTGATTGTTCCATTCCGGATGTCCCCAGTATGGTTTGCCCTATTATGTGCTCCGTATCACAGGGCCTAGTTTCGCCCGTAGAGCCTTATAAAGGAGCCGTTTCGCCATTCAATCCGGAGAGGCAGTCTCTCCATCTCTCGGCATCATTCCTTTTTGCGGGTTGACTATTTGGCCTTCCCCTTATTTCTACAACCATGGAGACCACACATCATATCGAGGCCACCCAGCCGACAGACAAAGAAATCCCAGATATTGATCTTGACGACATCAAGGGAACTTCCAATGCTGCTCAAGAGGCGGCTATGGACGCCGAACTCGCGCGTCTGGAGGAACAATCCCAAGGCCTTAAGCGACCAAAGCTGGAAGTCTCCTTCACCAACCCGGCTGTGTTTACCTACCTCCTAGTCGGATTTGCCTCATTGGGTGGTCTTTTATCCGGTCTGGATCAGTCGCTCATCAGTGGCGCCAATCTTTACATGCCCGGTGACTTGGGGCTTTCGGACAACCAGGCCAGTCTTGTCAACTCGGGCATGCCTTTGGGTGCTGTTGCCGGTGCGCTGATTTTGTCTCCATCAAACGAATACCTCGGTCGCCGAAACTCCATTATCTTCTCTTGCATCCTCTACACTATCGGCGCAGCGCTCGAAGCTGGTGCTGTCAACTTTGGTATAATGTTTGCTGGCCGCTTCATCCTTGGAACCGGTGTCGGTCTGGAGGGTGGTACGGTGCCTATTTATGTGGCTGAATGCGTCTCGTCTAAAATCCGTGGTAACCTCGTGTCATTGTACCAGCTCAATATTGCTTTCGGTGAAATTTTAGGCTATGCTGTTGCCGCCATCTTCGTCGATGTAAAATCGGGTAACTGGCGCTACATCCTGGGCTCCTCGCTTGTCTTTTCGACCATCATGCTCGTTGCGATGTTCTTCCTACCAGAAAGCCCACGTTACTTGATGCTCAAGAACCGTCAACTGGAAGCCTATGCTGTTTGGAAAAGGATTCGTGGGTTTGATTCATACGAATCAAAGGCCGAATTTCTCGGCATGAAAGAAACCGTCTTCGTCGAAAACGAAGAGCAGCAGAACAATAACAAGTACCCTTGGATGGACTTCTTCACAAACCCTCGCGCGCGCCGAGCTATTGTCTACGCTAATATCATGGTTTTCCTGGGTCAATTTACTGGTGTCAATGCCATTATGTATTACATGGGTGTACTCATGAAAGCCATCGGCTTTAACGACAGGGACAGTGTCTTCATGTCACTAGTCGGTGGGGGGGCCCTAATGCTCGGCACCATTCCCGCGGTTTTGTATATGGAAAAATTCGGTCGTCGATACTGGGCCAACACCATGCTTCCTGGCTTCTTCATCGGCCTTGTGTTTGTTGGTGTCGGCTACCAAATTCCAATCGATACTCACCAAAGCCTCGCCATGGGTCTCTATCTGACCGGTATTATCCTGTACATGGGCTTTTTTGGCTCTTATGCTTGTCTGACATGGGTCATCCCCTCTGAAGTCTTCCCCACCTATCTCCGTCATTACGGCATGACAACTTCGGACGCCAACCTCTTTCTGTGCAGTTTTATCGTTACCTATAACTTCACGCGTATGATGAATTCCATGACTCGTATTGGACTGACTCTCGGCTTCTATGGCGGCATTGCCATGCTAGGATGGGTTTATCAAATCCTATTCATGCCTGAGACCAAGAACAAGAGTCTCGAGGAGATAGACGAGTTATTTAGCAAGCCCACCTCGGTTATTGTCAAAAAGAACATTAAGAATACCGTACAGGTCATGCGAGACTTGAGCATGTTCCGATTCAAGAAGGTATTTGTGCCAGAGTAGATCTCGCTTCTTGTCTTTGTGTCAAGATGATCGATGAAGGGAACGTGGAAATATCTTTGAATTGGACTTGGTTGGTTAAGCTTTTATGATGTATGATATTAACCATATGCTACCCAACATATATGAATATATTAAGCTATGTCTAAGTGGCATTATTTAAACCATCTCCTTGTTTGATAACTGCCGTAAACCCGGACTGCTCCTAGGTGGACGTCAACGGGCATTGTTGTTGGCAACAAGTACATGCAGGCAAAACCATGAGATCGTCAATGGTGATCCGATTCCATACTGATACTTAGGTGGAGACAGTATTTGAAAGCCATAGAAGCAACTAGAGAAAGGCTTATGTATTCTAGCAGCATAAAAAGTCATATTATGTATACATGCAAGAAGGGATCTTTGTTCCCACTTGGAAACATTCGGTATCAATGCTCAGTAGCAAGAATAGCTGTACGCCAGCCCAATGTAAGAAAACATACAGGAAAAGGCCTATCTCTAATCTCCAAACATTTCCATCCTAAAAATGACCAACAAGAAACTCTTAACATAGAGGAAGCTCCTCAAAGCAAACATAATTGAAACACATTAAAAAGAATCATAGGGGAAAATGATCATCAAAAAATATGTGAAGAAATTCTTGAGGTGTGTGGATCGCCCTGCAGGGTTGAAGGTGGTGTATATCAACATCTGGAATACCCTCTTGGTCATATTCATGTCGTTAAGCCGTGACACCAGAACAAATCTTTACTTAGCCATCACATCAATGTATCCTCTGCCCTTCTTCTTACTTTTGACAGTACCTCCCTTCCGCGCTTGTGGAGCACCTAGCAAGTCATCAATAGAACTGGCAGTGCTCAATGATGTTGCAGGTCGAGAAGGTGGTGCTAGCCCAGGGCTAGAAGTAGGTGGTGTGGCACCGGCAACACTGGTAGAGGCAGCACGGGGTAGTCCATTAGGTCCGGCAAGACCAGGAATCGGTAGAGCACCGTTCAATACCGGAGGCAGCGCGCTGCCACCGGTAGAGGGACGACTGTCCACTGAGGTGCCTAATTCAGACATAGATGGCGGGCGCTGTAACATTGGTGGTCCAGAAGTCGTGCTGCCAGCACTAGCAGATCTGCTTTGTGGCGCAAGACCTTTTGGAGGCGGAGGGGTAGCTCGAGCCGCGGCATTAGCGCTATTTGGGTCCTTTTTGTTGACCCATTTCTTGAGGTCAGGGTCATAGTAGAACGAGTTCTCTTCACCCAGCTTGGCTCTGATAGGTCCCCCAGATGCATCGCCATCCTTTTTGCCTCCCCACCAACCTCCAAACCAGCCCTTCTTCGCAGGTGCAGGTCTTTGTGCTATTTTGAAGTTAGTTTCTTCACACATAATCAGTTTTATTCAGGATAAGAATGACACATACCATCTGCCTCGGCGGCTCTGCGAACTGCCTCGTCGAGTTCTCTGTTACGCTGTGACTTTGCATCGCTTTGGACTGCTGATGCCCGAGCAACAAGATCGTCATCATCATCATCGTCCATGAAAGACTTCTTCTTCGGTTTGCTTGCTTCGTCGTCGTCTTCCTCGTCTTGTTCCTTTTCTGGGGCATCCGTTGTAATAGGTAGGTCTGGTTGATATGAGGGTGGTTCGTAGGAAGAAGTTGGGGGCTCATAGCCACCATATAAGGGTACTTCAGCCGCTGCATTTTTCACTGCCTCTATAGGTTGTCCAAATGCCACTGGTGAAGCTTGGAGTCCACTTGTAAGTGCTGACTGTTGAGCCACAACTGGGAAAGCTGGTTGTGACTGGCTCGGCATATTCTCATCCACAGGAGCAAGGGGCATGTAGGACGATTGCGGAGGAGTTGAATGATATTGATAGGATGGGGAGCCATAGATATTAGATGAGGTTGGGGTATAAACATTGCTTTCAATCGGTGCTGCTGATTCTTGGGACCCTGGTCTTGGGGGAAGTTACCGCCAATAGATGGAGACCTCTGCGATTCCATTGAAGATCGTCCACGATATTGTTCTGGGGATGAGGCAGGGGCATATTGGTTCCCGGGTGCATAGCGTGAAGATGCATTCGTTCCCTGTGCCATTGGATATCCGCCATATATGTCGGATACAGAAGGCGACCGACTGACAGTAGGGGTTCCAGAAACCTTAGCAAAAGGCCCAACATCGGCATCCATGGCTGATCCATTGGAGGCACCGTCACTTTCATCACCAGCAACAAAGCTACTAAACTTCGCCCACATGGAGCCAGAAACCTTTTCCATGCTAGGCTTGGACATCCATGATGAACTGCCATCGCTTGGGGCTTGCCTGAGTCTGTTTGCAAGTTCATCAATTTCGGCAAACAAGCGTTGATGAAAGTAAGGGGAAGGCTTAGTATTTGCTTTGATAATTCCGCCAATGGCTTCGCAATACTGTTGGGCATCATTTCTCGACCCATTCTCTGCCAATATATATGCGTGCTGCAATTTGAACGGCTGCAAATGGGGCAGTATGGCGCTTGGGTTGCCAGCCAAGACAGACGTTGCAAATTCATAGACCTCTGTCAATGCAATCGCATCTTCATCGCGGAAAAACGTAGCCGGGAACCTGTGATGATCTGTGCCCAGAAGAACAATAGCGGCTTGGGCATCATCAGCTCCACCAAACACTGCATTCTGCGAAAATGCTCGGGCGAATAGATAGCAAATGTGCGACGCCTCTGTTCGGCCGTAGGATGCTAAGAGCTGGCCCATGGAGAATAGCGCTCGATGATCATCGATACTACGATTGTTCAAGACTAAGCCGAGGGTTTCACGCCATCTATCTAAACCATCAAGTGCATTTTTAGTGGACCCTTGTCCACCTTTGGTCACCATCTGTAGCCCAACTCTTGCAGAAGGAGGAACAAGCTCATCAACACTTTCTTCACAACTTCCAGAAAGGGTTGCGTATAAAGAAGCCAATGACTCGGTGTTTTCCCCAACCGAGCGAACCTCTCTTTTGATAAATTCTTGAACTACTTGTTTCCAAAGGGGCTTGTCAAGAGCCGACGACATGATCATAGCATGACCCCACAAGCGGCTATCCACTGCTCGCCAAACAGCTTTCTCACGGTCTCCAACCAAGAGATCTTTCTTTATGCTTTGAAGAATATTGCCATCGACGGCTTCTGCTCGTACAGAGCTAGTACTCGGTTGATATGTTCCTGGTCCTCCACTGGCATTGAAACTGTTATCGGAGCTCAGGTTTTCCAGTTCTGGTGATATAATGCTTTGTAATAACTTTTGTATATCTGCCGATTTTTCCAGTGCCCCATCGTTTTCAACTAGCACTCGCATTAATTTCCACAAAAGAGTCTTCTCGTCGTGCCTTTTGTAGCCATCGGGTTCAGATTGCAGAGAAAAGGGGACACCTTCATTTTCCAAAGCAGCGATTCTGCTAGATAGCCAAGCAACGACATCCTTTTTCTTGGATTTCGTCTTCAGCGGACCCGGATATCGTACAATATCATCTCCAGAAGAAATGATGTCTTTGTATTGACGAACTTTAGGCTCCCCAGGGGTAGACATTATCATTGGTGTCATTTGACCAGGGGTATATCGGGGTATATGCCGAGGGAAACAGGTGGTGACCACGCCTCCAAATCCAAACTTAAACATTGGAGCTCCTTTCCAACGCTGTAGAGGATCCTGTTCTTGGCCATCAGTAGGCTCTATGAATGCGTGTTCAATGTGTTCTCTGACTGGTGGCACTCCTTGCATTGCAGAATAAGGGTTTACTGTTTTTGTTGGAGAGTTGGGTGCATGAACAGAAGCTGGCCGTTGAAAGGGTTCAGCGCTGGTCTTGGTAAGGCTTGGTCCAAACAATTGTCTGCTTGGTGATTGGGTTTGAGATCTCCTAGGCGGTGCGAATTGAATGTCATTTGGTGGGGGTGCTATTTTGCCCTGAGATGAGCCAGCATTAGGAAGGTATGGAGACTCGTTGGAGGAATGTCGAGCATGCTCGCCAGCATTTGAGATAGAAGCAAATGGATTCTTCGGGGGGCTATATGGCTGCGAAGTGTTGGAATTTGGGAATGTGTATGCTAGTGGCTCAACTTCAGGTTGGGCAGCAGGAACAGACGGCGGCTGCTGTGCTTCGTATGCAATTTTCTCGTGGTGAGCCAAAGGGCTGGATGTACGCGGCTGAAACGGAAGAGATGCAGGCTGAGAAGCATAGCGAGGTCGGCCAGACAATGACGCTTGAGAAGGAGGCGGAGCTGGGGAATAACGTGGAGATATCGGGGGTTTACCCGCTATGGCACCACCTGGTGGTTTTGGGGAATACCTAGGGCCAGTTCCAGGGCCAGCAGGCACGGGAGGAACGCTTAAGTTCGAATATGGGCCTATCAGCTCAGGGGCCTGAAGTTGCGATTGATAAGTATTCTCTGCGGGAGTCTCGGCAGGATGTATAATAGAAGGCGCAGGCACCTGGGGAACTGGCGGCACTAATTGAGTAGGTGGATTCAAATGTGCTGTTGTCTGAGGGGTATACCGTCCACTGCGGCTCCCAGGGCGTGTTCTTGATGGTTGCACAGGTAGTTCTTCGAAAAAGTTCTTAGGCGCATTGGTTTCACGGCTTTGAGGGGGCGTTATGTTGCTATGCGAGGGGAGTGGCGGCATGGTTGCTACTGGCGGTGGTGTAAATACCGAATTGCTAATACTTCGAGGTGGCGGTGGGGCCATAGCATTTGAGGGAGGAGTGCCAGTCTTTCGAGATGCTGGTGCCCGTCGGGGGCGAGCGATGGTGTCTGGTAAGTCGTAAGGAGACTGGTATCCTTGCCTAGACTGGTCCGCAAAGCTTTGTGCCCCAGAATCCGGCGGTATTTGGCTTGGACGCGCTGCGAATGTTGCTGGAGGTACGTTTGATGACAAGGCATATGGATTTGATAGTCCATGAAGTAATTCCGACGATGACGGCTGATGCGGTGCGTATGGGTTTACGGAACTCGAAGTAGCAGGTTGGGATGGCACTGTCTGGGGCGACGACTCAATAGCCGTGGATGAGTCTGCCACTGTAGAGGTTTCCTTTGATATATCGTCTTCTAGAAGTAAATCGTCATCGTCGTCCAGTTCTGCCTGCCACCTGGCCGCCAGGTCTTCCTCGTCCTCTTTTATTATTGCACCATCAAGCTTCGCATCAACAGTAGAGTCCTCCACCGGTGAGTCTAAAGCACCCGCATCGAGTGAGTTAATAACGTCGTAGGTGCTTTTCCGGGTCATGCTTGGCTTCTCAGGGTTTGATACGACCTCAGGAGCGGCGGATTTGAAAAAATCGTCTCCATCGTCATCTTCGAACATGTCTCCAAGAGGCTCGTCACTCTTATCTTCAAGGACTGGCTGAGAGTATGAGTCATTTTCAACCAAAGGAATACCTTCCTCGAATCTAGACTCCGCTTCTGGCGGCATGTATATCGGCTTTGTTTGTGTTTTTAACTGGTCGAAGAACCCACCTTCGTCGTCCTCTACAGCATTTATTTCCCACAAGTCAGTGTCAGTCCGCTCAATATTCGCAGGTGACTCGGTTGAAATTGTTTCGTGCTGTTGTTGGGTTTCCGATGGTTGCACAACCTCCTCCGCATCGTAGACATGATCAAACGACGTGTCACCGGAAGCGGGTTTTAAGTGATTTTCAATCGGAGGAAACGAATTAGTGCGCCCAACAATGTCTTCCCGGTTAAAAGGATTTTGCGGCGAAGCTACGTCCCAGGTAATTTCTGTATCTTCCCCCCAGCTGAAATCCTTTGTATTCGTGTCGTTGGATAATTCTTCGATCACTTCCGTTACATTTGTTTGAGCGGCAGGCATGTCGTGCTTATATTCTAGAGACTCTGTATACTCGGGTGTGTCAAGGGACGAAGGGAATCTCTCGGGTTCGGTTTCCTCTTTTGATGCATCGGAGAAGGGTTGCTGTTCATTTGCAAATTGTGATCGTTTTGGACGTTCCGATGAGTCTGGCCTCAAAGCTGGGTTCCAGGAAGCGGCCGAAATAATATTATCCGCAGGCGGTGGCATTGTGTCCGCCATGGTTATAAGCGCATAAGCTCAATAGTTAAACTGGCTCCATGTCAGTCCATTCACCATCGATGAAATTCTTCAGGGGCCAGGTGGCTAATAACCAAGCCGGGTTGCGTACATGTACAGTACAATGGCAAAATAGAGCGGAAAGAAGTGAACGAGGTAAACAACAACTTCGATCAGAGCGAAATGAAATCAAGGCCAAGTCAAATGCAGCATTATTGGGAACATAACGGCCCGAACGCGCAAGATGCGAAGTGGAAAAGATGCCCCATCGATAGTATTGCTTGAGCTGGCAACAACGGACTGACGCTATCTGCGCTCACCTGTCCTCCTTATTCCGGCGCTAGCCATCTTGGGGTTAGAGTGTACCCCAACCATATTTAGACATGATCAGCGAGCACTATGGAATCGAATTCCTACATTGTTCTTTGCGAGAAATCGAGGATATTTCTTGTAAGCGCCGAAATGGGTTGGCAGGTGCATAGTTTGTCATGAAGAAGCACACAAAGACTGTATTATTCCTCCGGTGCGGACATACTCGCCACTGCTGGACAGTTTATATGCAATTCTTCTATGGATTAGGTAGCTGTATGTGTTCAGAACTCAAAGTATGAGCACAGCCAAGTATGACGCAACTTAGGAATAATATTTCAAGCCACTGCTCACTTCCGATAGCCAGTTTCATGGCCATGAATGAATGATAAATCATAAGAATAACACCCAGTCACTAGCTGGATCCAGCCTAGTCCGACGATGCAATTGGAAACGTGGACAGTGGCCCGGTGGATCACGGAATCATGTGATTTGTAGGCACCTTTCATTTCACCCTGTTTGGAATGCGATCATACACCACCACACTTTATCTCAACATACACTTGTGAGTTACTTCCTTTGCAGGCAGAGGAGTATCCGTGAGCCTAATCAAACTCCCATTGCTGGCATTCCAATTCCACATTTCTCATCACCCGTTTATCCCGCATCCTAAGTCACCGAGCGATCCGCGCACACGACGACTGGCAACGACGACATAAACACAATCACCGGCAGTGATATGACATACAGTATCTGCCGCAGGGGTTAGCTGTGGCTGCTCCTTGGCTAAATTAGCTTCTCTGGTGTACACAGAAAATAAACTCGAGAAAGATGTCGTTGTCCACAGAATACCTCCCTGATTTCGATCATTCGGACACTACCAGCGATGATGATCTAGACCTGGAAGAACTCGACCCGGAGTCGGTGGGAACCCATAACACGCTTCGAAGCTCACGAGACTACAGCAGCCGACCGAGAGAATATGGAGCTCGTATAGCATTACGGAATCTAAGAACAGGCGGTAGAAATCTCAAATGGAGTCGGGACGCATCTCGGCGCCGTAAGCATTCTGAAGAAGACGACCTCCACGGTCTTCTCGAGGACCACGATGGCGCAGCTCTGAGTCCAAACACGGACGATTCTCCTCTGTTAATAGGGCAACGAAGAAGGAGCCATGCATCTTTAGACGACCGTCGCTCGAACAAACTAAGGCTTCCCAGTTTTCTATCTACAATTGCTGGTCCACCTTCAACAAATAATTCTTCAAACACTGGACCAGCTCGAGAGGTCTTGGTGGGCCAGCAGCAGCAGATGAAGTATCCTGCTAATGCAGTGTCAAACGCCAAATATACTCCATGGAGTTTCCTTCCTCGCACCTTATACAACGAGTTCTCCTTTTTCTTCAACCTGTACTTCCTTCTTGTTGCGCTTTCACAAATAATACCCGTGTTACGCATTGGATACATGTCCTCGTACATTGCACCACTCGTTTTCGTTGTGTCCATATCTTTGGGTAAAGAAGCCTGGGATGACATTGGTCGACGACGGAGAGATGCCGAAGCAAATGCAGAAGAATACACGGTTTTGTCCTTCGGGGAACCTGGTGGCGGGACTGCACGTGGTAATTCAAGACAACTTGCTGGGTCGATGCTTGATTCGAATGTGTACGAGCTTACTAAAAAGTCACGCGATCTGAAGGTCGGGGACGTGCTTAAAATCAAGAAGGACCAAAGGTTGCCTGCAGATGTTATTATTTTGAAAAGCACACTATCGGATTCGTCTATAACAATTGACAGATCGGAGATTGCAGAGTCATCAGAACAACGTCAAGCCAACCTTCTGGATTCAAGCTCAGACATTCCTCCAGCAGATGAAAACGCCACATCACAAAATACTGATGAAAATACGGATTCCAATGGAATTAGTGATACTTTTATACGTACCGATCAACTTGATGGAGAGACCGATTGGAAATTACGCCTCCCATCAACACTGTCCCAAAGTCTTACCCTGAAAGATTTCAAGAGACTGAGGATTCATGCCGGAGCTCCGGATAAACGCGTCAATGATTTTGTTGGAACAGTCGAGTTAGCTCCACCACTATTCAGCTCGTACGATCCACCTGTGAATAAAACATCACCGGACAACGAGAATTCACAGGATTCACATGATGCAGAACAAGGGAAATCTGCACCATTGAGTATTGATAACACAGCTTGGGCGAACACTGTGCTGGCGTCAAACACTACGACATTTGCCGCTATCATATACACTGGCTCACAAACTCGATCTGCAATGTCTACAGCTCCCTCTAGGTCTAAGGTTGGCCTCCTTGAATACGAAATCAATAACTTGACAAAGATTTTGTGCGCCTTGACTTTAGTATTGTCGATAGTTTTGGTAGCTCTTGAACGATTTCAACCAACAGATGACAAGGAATGGTACGTTGCTATCATGATATATTTGATTCTGTTCTCGACCATTATCCCTATGAGTCTCAGAGTCAACCTTGATATGGCAAAGACTGTCTATGCCAGATATATCGAGCGAGATCGTGATATCCCCGATACCGTAGTGCGGACAAGCACCATTCCCGAGGATTTGGGTCGCATTGAATACCTTTTGTCAGATAAAACCGGAACGCTCACACAGAATGGTAAGTACTTGAAAGTTCTAAAATCGTTCAACAATTATTAACAATATTAGAAATGGAATTGAAAAAGACCCATGTTGGAACTGTGTCATACGCCAATGAGGCCATGGAGGAGGTCACGTCGTATATTAGACAGGTCTTCGCATTATCTGACATCTCCCAAACATCTCTTGTAACGCCATCATCAGTTTTTGCCTCCCAGGCTGGCGCTGGCGCTGCTACCAGAACAAGGAGGGAAATCGGTGCTCGAGTTCGGGATCTCATTCTCGCGCTAGCCTTGTGCCACAATGTGACCCCAACGACTGAAGAAGAAGACGGATGCAAGGTTACCAACTACCAAGCATCTTCACCGGATGAAATTGCCATAGTGAAGTATACCGAGGAAGTAGGACTACGAGTAGCTTATCGTGATCGAAAAAGAATATTCCTCGAATCAACGCATACAAATCAAGTCGTCGTCCGTGTCAATATCCTCGACGTTTTCCCCTTCACATCTGACAGCAAGCGAATGGGTATTATTGTGAAATTCGAGCAGCCTTCTCCAGATGCTACTTCATCAGAGAGCGATGCTGAGATCTGGTTTTACCAGAAAGGAGCAGATACGGTCATGTCTTCGATCGTTGCAGCTAATGACTGGCTGGATGAAGAGACAGCTAATATGGCGCGTGAAGGATTACGCACACTTGTTGTTGGTAGACGAAAGCTCTCATCACAACAGTACCATAGCTTCTCTACTGCATACAGGGAAGCTTCGTTGGTTCTGCAGGACCGCGATTCCGGCATCGCTAGAGTTGTTGGCGAACATTTGGAACGCGATCTGGAGCTTCTGGGTGTGACTGGTGTTGAAGATCGTCTTCAGCGGGATGTGAAACCATCACTAGAGCTTCTTCGCAATGCGGGTATCAAAATTTGGATGTTGACTGGTGACAAGGTTGAAACGGCACGATGCGTAGCAATCTCCGCTAAACTTGTGGCACGCGGACAATACATCCACACTGTGTCCAAACTCAAGGACAAATCATCTGCTCTTGAAACGCTCGATTTCCTTCGGCATAAGAACGACGCTTGCCTCTTGATAGACGGTGAATCTCTGTCATTGATGCTCAGCCAGTTTCGATCGGCATTCATATCGATTGCCGTTCTGTTACCCACTGTAGTCGCATGTCGTTGTTCACCGACTCAGAAAGCGGAGGTCGCAGAACTCATTCGTCAGTACACCAAAAAGAGGATATGCTGTATTGGTGATGGCGGCAATGATGTCTCCATGATCCAGGCAGCCGACGTTGGTATTGGTATCGTTGGCAAGGAAGGCCGTCAAGCCTCTTTGGCAGCAGACTTCAGTATCACCCAATTTCACCATCTCACCAAGCTTTTGGTTTGGCACGGGCGCAATTCGTACAAACGATCCGCCAAGTTAGCACAATTTGTTATGCATCGTGGACTCGTGATTAGTGCCTGCCAGACAATGTACAGCATTGCCAGTCATTTTGACCCCAAAGGCCTATTCATCAACTGGTTGATGGTTGGCTATGCAACTGTTTACACCAATGCTCCTGTCTTCTCCCTCGTTCTCGATAAAGATGTCGATGAAGAATTGGCGAACCTTTATCCTGAGCTTTACAAAGAGCTCAAAAACGGCCGTAGTTTGAGTTACCGATCTTTTTTCGGTTGGGTATTCGTCTCTGTTTATCAAGGCGCTGTCATTCAGGGTCTTTCTCAGGTTCTCCTCGACACAACGACGGGGAAGAAAATGATCAGCGTATCCTTCACTGCGCTAGTTCTGAACGAGTTGCTTATGGTGGCAATCGCCGTAACGACCTGGCACCCGATCATGATATTCTGTATCGTAGGGACGGCTCTGGTGTATGCAGCCAGCGTTCCATTTCTTAGCGAGTATTTTGACTTGGAGTTTATTATCACTGTGGGGTGGCTTTGGCGTGTTGCTGCTGTATGCGCGGTCTCCGTCATTCCCGTATGGATCGGAAAGGTCGTTAAACGATCATGGCGACCACCCAGCTATCGCAAAGTCCGAGGATAGAAGGATCCGCGTTCTATTGTATATAAAGCACTCTTCTGTCATTTATGCTGTGTATTTTAGAGTTATTCATATCTTCAATTTTCTACCAAACATTGAAACTATTGACTTGGGTTTTATAATTTGTTTTAGCCGCGGCCGCCCGGGTGAATTTGAACGGCGCAAGCACACCAAGCTTCTCATTGAATCTTGTTCAGAAAGGGTCCAGCCGCCATGTAAACCAGTTATTTAAAAAAATCCTTGCATTGTACTGGGATCAAGCTTTGGTTGTCCGCAATGAAAGAGGAAGTCACATGATTTATCTGGCTGCCTGGGCTAGACCATGCGTTGCTTTCCCCGCGATTGCTGATTACGTCGTGACGTCCACAGCTGACTCGACTCACGCAAATGCCAAATCTCCATCTCCCTCAACACCATGTCCATGGCTCTATAGCCGGTTACTTGCTCTTTTTTCCTTCTTTACATATAATCTAATAACTTGGGTAGATCTTCTCCCTCATCATGACAGGGACAGATCTAAAACTTACCCCGCCGCCTTCGCCGCCGTCTCCGTCGACTTCCTACTACGACGTGAGCGACGACGAAGAGAACGGGTATAATACCATTGCTCAATCTAGCTCTGGAAAGGGTGTGAAACTGCTGTTCTCCAAAAGCAAGGTACATATATCAAACCGCTTATCAAGAAACCAGTTGTCTAATCAGACTGTTATCTTAGGTCTATATCCACCCTACTCCATCGTCGAAGGATAACATCCCCGGATTCATTGCCTTGGTTCAACAGAAGCCCGCAGCTGATACGATATTACATAACACATCCGGAGCACCTGCAAAACATGTTGATTCTTCTTCCTACCTTCTTGCCTGGGTGCCCGAGGCAGCCATGGGAGACGCTTACGACACCTACGTCAAAGTCGATCTCTCAGAAAACAACTCACCCCCTCGACAAACATATCTCGTACCGGCCCTTCCTACGATGACTACATATAGAGATGCAATCGGCATGTATGCGTTTGCAGTTCCCCTTTCGGAGATATATTCTTTGTGGGTGCGACCGCCAAGTATTGGATGGTGGTACGGAAGTGTTGTTATATGCACAAAGTCAGGCGATAACTTTCCAGTTCTTTTCTTTCATGACAACGAGTGTGAATCGACAATATTACAGAAGAGAAGAAGGACCCGGGAGAGTTTCAACCCTTTCGCAGATGATGGAAGCATGTTCTGGGGAGGGGATGAAGTTTTGAGGTGGATAAAACGCTATGCAACCGTCGAACGAGCCGGAGCTGATCCAAGTAAATATCTCATTAACCCAACGGAAGAAGACAAGGCTTCGTTTGGTCGACCTCTCAGTTCAAAATCACAGAATCCTCCAGCCGAGCCCTCCCAGCAACCTACCCGTGACGCTGCGATGGACCCTCTCACAAAGGCTTTGAAGGAGACCCGATGGAAGGTCTTAGAAGGCCTTAGCCGTATTACAACCTTCACACGCCGTACCGCAAATGAAATCGCGGAAAATCCAATTATCCCACCTCAAGTACGCCGGTTGATGAAGAATCCTGAAGTGCAGACCTTGCAGGATGAATTTGACAGTGCCAGGATATACCTTGCCCGGTGGGCAATGAGCATTGCTGAACAGAGTGAGCAGGAAAGAAGCCAACGTATCTGGACCGCCCAGGATGTACTAGAAAGAGAGAACAGTTCTGTGGGAGACTTCGAAATACTGGAGCTTGAGACAGGTACCATGTCTATACAAGAACGTCGCAAAGTAGTGACTATCGAGGAGTGGAACAGTTGGTTCAACAGTCAGGGTGGTCATCTACAAATCACAGTTGACGAGGTCAAGGAGCGAATCTTTCATGGCGGTCTTGAGCCCAATGACGGCGTCCGCAAAGAAGCCTGGCTCTTTTTGCTGGGGGTCTATCCTTGGGATAGTAGCGAAGATGAGCGGCGAGCCATTATGAATTCCCGTAGAGATCAATATGTGAGGTTGAAAAGCGTTTGGTGGGAGAGAATGGTGGATGGAGACCCTTCCAGCAAAGACTTCGAATGGTGGAAGGAACAGAAAGCCCGTATAGGTAAGCCAGGTACATCGATGGAGGTTTAGTTCACTAGCTAACAGTCCTCAGAAAAGGATGTTCACCGCACAGATCGGACAATTCCGCTCTTTGCTGGAGAAGACACACCTCACCCTGATCCTGACTCACCGTTTGCCGATGTAGGCACAAATGTTCATCTTGAGCAAATGAAAGATATGCTCCTGACATATCACGAATTCAATCCCAGCCTAGGATATGTTCAGGGAATGAGCGATCTACTTGCCCCAATTTACGCTGTTATACAAGATGATGCGGTAGCCTTCTGGGGATTCGTCGGGTTTATGGAAAGAATGGTAATGAATTTCTCTATACTAGTAGGGCGTTGATCGTCAGACTAATGCAAATTAGGAACCAAACTTTCTTCGCGATCAATCTGGCATGCGTGCTCAATTGCTGACACTAGATCATCTAGTACAACTCATGGATCCACAACTTTACATTCATCTTCAGTCGGCCGACAGTACGAACTTCTTTTTCTTCTTCCGAATGCTTTTGGTCTGGTACAAACGTGAATTTACCTGGGGTGATATACTCCGATTATGGGAAACTTTGTGGACAAATTATTTGTCTAGTGGTTTTCATTTATTCATTGCGCTAGCTATTCTGGAGAAGCACCGAGATGTCATCATGGAGCATTTGAAGCACTTTGACGAAGTTCTCAAGTATAGTATGTTTATGAGGCCTTAACCTTCTCGTATGATCACTGACTGTTCTTTTAGTTAATGAGCTCTCGAACACTATGGAGTTACTTCCTATTCTCACGCGCGCCGAGTCACTGTTTCGCCGTTTCGAACGGACTGTGCAGGCAGTTGATAAGAAGAACAATTTTCCAGCACCCAATATCTACCAAAGAATTGAACTACCAAACAAGGGCAAATCCCCCCAACGTGCTGTCAGCACTGGTAGCAGCGTGAGCAATCAGCAATCTCAAAGCACGAGGCAACAGAAGGAGAAGGTGATATCCCCAGAGCTTCGTCAGCTCCTTGGCCGCACAACTACAAAGTCCGCATCCACCGAGGTCCAAGAGGAAGGGCAAAGCAGAACCTCGAACCCATAATTCAGTTTTGGTTTGAAGTTATTGTTATTGTATCTACGCATTTTGTTTGTTTCAGGATTGTGCATTGTCTTTGCGCTGGTGAAAATTATGGATAGGTTTAATGGCGGTGTTCTACCCGGAATTTGTGTTCAGCTTGCTTGCTTGCTTGCTTACAGGAGCGTTCGCTTTTTCGACTTGATTACATTTGGCGCAAGATTATGAAATTAACGACACCGAACATGTAGATTCAAAGAGTATCGTAACAATATATTGTTTTCAATAAACACTGGGTTTAGAGATCTATATCAAAGGAATCGAATTAGAAATTCAACCTTAAAGGTTATATGAAACGCACCCCTGAAAACAAATCAACAATAAAGGTATCATAAAACTAAAACGCAGTCCTTGTAAACATGTAAAACTTGCAAACCAAAAGGGAAAGTCGTATAACATCGTTAATGCCACCTCCATTTCTAGCTTTGATTCGCCCAAGCCAACGAGGTGGACACGCAATATTCAAGCCCTTAACCAGGCCATCAACCTCACATCTTCGTTGGAATGAAATGGCTCGAGTCACTCTCCTGCTGAGAAAAGCTTTGGTTGAATGCAGCCAGTCCAGCAACGATACCGACAGCCATGAAAGCCACTGACACCAAGGACCAGGTCGCGCCCCAGCATTGAGAGGAACCACCGTAACGCTTGGCGAAAACGCTTGCGTCGGAGGTGTTCACTTTGCGCAGAATCAGATCATCGCAGATATCCCAGACGCTGTAAAGGGACGACATGACACCAATAAATAGCTAGTCAAAAGTAAGCTATGTCTTCGAGAAGACTTCGAAGGAAACAGTATTTGCATACCACCAAGAAACGCAGCGCTTCAGCATGAGCAATAAACCAAAAGCCAATCAGCAAGCCCACGGCAAGCAGAATCGTCACGATAGTCAACCAGTCCTTCCGAGCCCACCAGAGGGTGAGCAAGAAACACACACCCAGAACGATACTGGCGACTTTGCTAGCGACAATATCGAAGCCGCAGAAAATGAGCAAGGCGCCGATCAGCGACGAGCCAAGATAGCCGGCCGGCAAGGTGATCGCACTCATGCCGCCGACCATATGTGTCACACCACCTTCATGCGGGTCCAGCGAGATGGACTTGACGCGGCCGCCTGTCAGGACTGCTGTGATAGCATGTCCGAATTCATGGAAGGCGATGACCAGCATCTTCGATACGGGTGTTTAGTCAGTTATTAGTGCGATGGCTAGAAGGCTACGCAATATACCTTGAAGGGCCATAGCGACCACCGAACATACGGCAGATTCCATAATAGAGCGATCACCACAGCATAGACAGCTATTATGCCGAGCGTGACGGCCTGGGTGTGGTTGACATCAGTCAGGGACATGGATACGCGCGAAATGTAGCGACAGGTGTTTTGAAGTGTTTTTGGTAGACGCACAAGAAGGACGAAAGGTTATGGATGCCGCCTGTCGCAGTTGTAATAGTTATTTGAATAAATAGTATTTAACTGTTGTTGTTTCAGGTGGAGCGCCGAGGCGCATGCTTCATCATCCTGCCGCGCAGCCCTAGCCTCTTCGGGCCGCTATTCATTCCAGGCTGCACATTTAATTGCATTTGACTCGGCGTCAGTGCGTGAACATTCTCTTGGAGTGGCCCTATCAGCGTCGAAAAAAGAAATGTGGCAGTGGTGGGGGAAATACTAAACAAATACGAGAAATCTCAGCTGCTAACATAATGATTGGTTACGAATCGGATCCGAAAATAGCTCAGTCAAAATATTAATCAAGCAGTTTAAAATCAGTGGAATCAAAGTGTAACTATATTTCTGCAAACTTTGTCAAACTTTCTGCGCGTTGATGACGCGTTCCGGGAGGGCTATGTTCAGCTAAGAAATACTTTTGTTGGTTCTTGACTGAATATCGCCACAAGGAAATGCTCCTCTGAATAAGATTCGCATCATTATAGAGACAAAAAAATACAGAATTTCGGATCTCATCTCTCATTTCCATTAATATCCTCTCGAAGTGTGTAGCCTCCAAGGTAAAAAGGCAAGAAACTCCTAGCTATGACTAGAGCAAAAGGAAATTTTCACCTTCGTCGCCCTTATCCCTCCCATCGGCACTCGAAATAGTATCAGACCATTCATACCAGAACTCATAGCTCAAAACTGTATGGTCTGCGTATGTGAGTAGCAGGCGATAGCGACGAGATGAATTCCAGCCTTTCCACGATTCTTGGGGCTCATAAAGCCAGTTGGCTATCCCATGGCTTTTGGCATATGTAAGATCAGGTGCACTTACTAATGCTGAGGAGTGTGTGGCTGAGGAGTTATCAGACATATCTGCCGCGTCTTCTTCGTCAATTGACCCTTCCGCACTGGAACTCCCACAGGTTGATACGGTCTCATACAAATCAGCTTCACCTGCGCCCTGAACCCGATAATGAAAAGAAAAGTCGTTACAGTCGCGAGCCTTATAAGGTATGTCAGGAACATCTTGTTTCATTTCAAATCCTTGGATAGGGCCAACGGCTAGCCCAAGAAGTGGCCTAAGAGGCCGTTCACCGTATTTCTCTTGACTGGCCAAAGGAAGCATCCAATTAATCCGGAGCGCTAACCCACCATTGGACACCCTTGCCAGTGATATTACTGCTGCGCGGCCTTTTTGTGTCGCCGCAATCACGATACCGTGTTCCGGTAAGTATTTGACCATGTTGAATCTGTCATAGCTATGTATTGAGTAAATGGAGCGCGCGAAACCTTGCCGAAGTGGTCCTCCGCACACAACAGTGGGATGTTTCGAAAATGGACTGTCCAGAAGACGAATATCTGTTGCAGAGAAATGAAGAATCGGAAAATCAGTACATGTTCGATCTTTGAATCGTCCCGGTTCACTGCTTTCATCACTCGCACCCTCGTTTTCCATCGTGGAAGTCATCATATAGAAAATGAGATCTTGGGTGTCTGCAAAGTTGTGTATATCTTGCGATGAATCGTCACTCTCGTCCTCGGTCTCATAATCGCCTTCGTCCTCGTCCTCCCCATGCTCATTTTCGTCACTATCGTCGCCATCGTCACCATCGTCACCATCGTCATCGGACATATCTTCTTCCCAAAAAAACTGATATCGATCCTCATATGGAAGGAATATGTTCGTTATGTTTGTCTCTCGTTGACTTGGGTCCAAATCAATGCTGTTGTCAATGTCTTGATCAGGCGCAGACAGTTCTTTGTCAGTGCTAGGAGACAAGTTTATTGGTCGAGCATGGCCGTGAGATGGCAAGTAATGATTACTGTTATCACTAATGAAGCTTTCATTGTCAAAAATATCGGGCAATGAAGGCTCATCTGCATCTATTCTTATAGCCGGCGGGAAAGCTTCATACAAGATCGCAGAATCAGGGACATCCTGAGTGATGTGTGTAACGTCCAACACTGGCTGGCATTGGTGAGGTCGAAGATATGGCTTACCGCCACAAGCCTGGGCATACAGCTCACAGATTCGAAAACTTCGTGGATCGAGAGCTAGAACACTCCATCCCCGCTCCCTTAGAGAGTTTAAGTAAGTTGTGAAACAAGAAACATGCATGTATGAACTTACTCTCTGCGTAATATGTCAGGTAAAGGCTCGCCATGGCTAAAGTCATAGTATTTGAACGGTGTAAGTTGGTCCCAGATCGTCCAGACAAACAGTCTATTATCAATGTCTGTACTCAGCATCCAGATTCCATCAGAGTCGAGATCACTATTGAAAAATGTCACACAGGGAATGTTTGTGTAGTGCCCCCTATATGATAATCTAACATTACGTGACCGATAGCGATTAGGAATCAGCTTTTGAAAATGTTCAAACTGCTCCTCGTTTTCAACATTTAGCCAGGTTTGTCCGTAAATTTGTAAACCATCAATCAATCCCTGTGGGAAATCTGAGTTTTCATTTTTTTCAGAACCAGGTTCGGCGAGAGCAAATGCAAAAACTGTGATACGACCTGAATTTGCACTGACAGCTATCAAACGGGCGTATTTATGAACGGCCAGCCCCCAAGCACTCGAGCCCACATTCTCACAGAAGAAAGGGTCAATATGTTGATTTAAGTCGATACTCTTCTCCCCATATAATCTAGAATGCTCCATGTGGGAAAATATTGTCTCAACATGGTATCCGCAAATGTTTCCCGAGTCAGTAGCAAGAAGAAGGATCTCATCACGGCCCAAGTCGTCCACAATAATGTTGTTTATTGCGTGGGGGAATTCCCGAGAAATATATCCTCCTGCATTAGGTTCTTTCATTACAGGTGTAATAATGATGGTCGGTTTTGTTCCGAGAATCTGACGTGGCCCTACGGGCTCCCATACGTATATCTGGTGATTATAGGCAACAAAAAGCAGGTTGCGTCTTTGGGACAAAGCAGTCTATAAATACTAGGTTAAGGTACTATCTCACTCGTAGGGATTATTGGTAGTATGCATACAAGATTGCATCTCCATGTCGCAGCCAGGGGTGGAAAAAATCCGTCTGACCTGCACATGTATTATCAGCTTTATGTATATATATATATATATATGCATGTGCGGTTTTTAGAGCAACTTTAGGACTCACCCCCGAAACTAGAATGATGTCGGGTCAGCGGAACTACAACTGAGAGACCGGATGGAAAATCTTACTCGTTCGCTCCCTTTCTCGACATTCAAGGGTCGCAGACGAAGATCACTGTGAGTTGGCGTCTGGCCATCATCTATTAGAGTGACGCCTGTCAGGTGATGTGGTATTGTCGACATCGTGACTTGGGTAGCTTGAACCTTTACTAACAACCAGAATTATCAGGCTGTGTGACGTTCATCCCCATAACAGCGCCGAATGGTGGGCTTGGCGGGCTGTAGACCTGGTTCAAACTCAGCTTATTCGTTTAGCAGCTTGTGGTAAGAGATATCCCATTCGACTGGAAGGGCGATAGTCATAGCTGCATGGTACATATAGCCTGCATGGTACATATAGCAACTATACCACGGACTTTCCCCCGCATTAATCTTCATCCACGCAGATCACTCCACGGCAGTCGTAGGCTTAGTTTAATCGCCAATATATGAATGACCCTTAGAGGCGCTGGATAGAGGTTTCTGGGGGATAGCAGTGTGTAGAGAGAAGCAGCCGAAAACAAAGTGGAGCGGTTGAGATGGTTGAGATGATGGGTGAGGTCATGCATAGCTATTCCCATCCACTCAGCCCTGATTGGCCCGCCGCTGTGGGTGAAGGTTCCGATAAGATAAGAGATGCGGATTTGCTCTTGCCGTCCCACAGCAAACGCCCGACCTCCCAGTCCGTCCTCTGTCCCGACAATATCCTCCATCGCAGCCTGAGAAAAGCCATACTTCGCCATGGATCTGGTCGCAGGTGTTCGAAAAGAAGGAAGTCGGTAAGTGCTACCACCACATTCTATTAATTCAATCAGTGCTGATGTATACTTGTTTCAGCGGCGGTCGCGGCGATTTCAAATGGTCCGACGTCAAGGAATCCTCTCACCGTGAGAACTACCTGGGCCACTCGTTGATGGCCCCAGTCGGTCGATGGCAACAAGGTCGTGATTTGAATTGGTATGCAAAGTCTGCAGATGGGAGCACAGAAGAGGCCGCGAAGCGAGAGCTGGATGATGAGCGTCGCCGGGTCAAGGCGGCTGAGCAGGAGGCGCTCGCGCGCGCTCTAGGTTTACCCACTACGACTAAGACTTCCGATGCCAATTTGACCCCATTAGGGGGAAATGAAATGCGAAAGGCTGTCCAAGGAAATGTAGAGGACGATGAGGATGTCGAAGGCGGCCGTGGCATTGGTTTCGGTTCGTATGGTGGCCGTGCTATGGATGGAATGGAGGGAGAGACACTGGCTCCAGTTGGCCTAGATTCAGAAAGTGGTCATCGACGCAACCCTAGAGACGGCCGCTCAAGACGCGACAGGTCCAAGGACAGAGATAGTCGGCGGGGCCACCATCGTGACCGTCGTGACCATCGTTCGCGTGATCGTTATAACCGTGATAGTAAGCGTGAAGTGGACAGAGAAAAGAGCAGAGACCGTACTCATCGGGAAGATCGTCATGGTCGCTCAGAGCATCGTAATCACCGCCGCGAAGACAGACGCCGCCCATCAAAATCAAGGTCCAGGTCTCCTCATCATGACTCTCGTCGAGAACGTAAGGACACCCGGGACCGTGATTCTCATGACCGCCGGCGCGAATCTGATAGACCTCGACCTCGGCGTCTGTCATCTCCGCGTCCTAGTAGCACTGACCGTCTTGGTGAAAAAAGAGAGAGAAGATATTCTGATCATTATTCTCCATCTGGTTATTACCGCCGCAACAGCCGCCAAGGTGACGATATCCATACCGCAGAGATTCCTCGAGAGCGCCGTAAACGTGATCCTGAAGACAGGGATCGTGACCGCGGTAGATCCTATCGTGAACGTCGAGATTAGATATCACTTCAACGACCAGAAATGCTTGCGTCATGCCTGACATCCATTCGATGATATTATTTCTGCTTCTCTATTTCCAATACCTTGTGATCATGCATAGCGATGGTGTTTTACTCCTCAAATCTGTATTAAATTGCAAAATATTACGGTTTTATGGAACATTCATTTTCACGACACGAGTTTCCTAGGAACCTCAGGTTAATATCAAATTAACCTGGATATTGCATTTAGTTTTTTACGCACACGTACGGACACAAAGTGTACTTTATTTACTCGTTTTTATCATACAACAACTACATATATAATGAAAACACTCAAAAAAGGGGGAAAACCCCAATTCCTCTCGCGATGAAAAAACGCTGAGGAGAAAGTCTATCAACATTTTATATGATTCACAACTCGTCATGAGCTCTATCCGAGGACTTGGAAAGATCAGGCATAGTCATCATCTTAACGACCAAACTAGTCCATCCTGTAAAATGTTGGGTTCGTTGACCTTGGCCAGTTTCTGGGTTGTACTGCTCCCATGCGAAACCGGTCTTTTTCCACTCTCGGAAAACGTTATCAACAAGATTCGTGCGGAGTTTAGAGTAGATCTTTGCCGCTTGTGCCTTGTGAGGACTAGCGGAAGTTGCGATATCCTAGCTAGCATTTAGTGATCTTTTGTCTTGCTTTTTCACAAATGGTACGGTGGGTTCAAACTTACGTAAAGGTTTTTCAAAACCATGTAGTTCATATTCATCCAAACAGGGCTCCTCCAGTAGTTTTCCTCCGTTCCATAGTAAGGGTCTTGCTTGCTCAGACTGCGAATACCGAAGTCACTCCAGAGCTCTTCGGGATCCTGAATAAGATCAAGGGTGGATTTGAGGCGCGGGCTATCGGGTCCAACCATGCCAGTCAAGAAGGGGAATATTGAAATATATCCTTTGTGACAAACGTGAATGCTTTCCTCGAAATCGTCGATTGTGGCGTCGCACCATGTCTGCGCAGTCTCGTCCCAATGTAAATCATCAATGTTGCGAGTGATAGCGTACTCGTAGACAGCGAATTCCTCAGCGTCTTCCGTCTCGCCAATTGCCTCCGCGATTCGACGAATGGACCTACTGAGTAGGCCCATCCAACTGATCAAATCAGTGTGTAACTCGCCTGGGTGAGGGGGTTGTGCTCGCGGGTAGTCGTCCAAGCCGGATGTCAAAATGTGTTGAACGCTACGTCCGCGCCAGCGATATGCTTCCTTTGTTGAATAGGCTTCGCGGTCATAAGATCTGACATCACCCCACTGAGTCTTTTTGAACCAGAAATACTGTCTTTTGAGAAGTGGGTAGATAGATCGCAGGTAGGACTGAGCCAATTCCTGGTTTTCAAGGTGAGCAGATCGAAGGCTGTCCGAGATACTTTCCTGTTCTAGATCTGAGTGTCGAGTAACCGACTCGTTGAATTTCAACTTGTCAACAAATGCTTCTAGGATCAAGAAAAGTGTTGGCGGGTTGGCATAATGGGGGTACTGCACAGTAAATTCTGGAGGAACTTTGCTGCGAGCTTCTAACCCTAGAATCTGCTCACGCGCAATCCAGCCGTCTTCATCGATGAGATTAAACCAGCTTTTGACAATGTCAAGAGTCAAGTCAGTATCCCAGTCGATGACCGGGATCAGGTGAAAGCCTTCGTCCCACAGGAAGCCACGAGGGAAGAACGGTCTGGATGGGATGCAAGTAAACAATTCTCTAGGCTCTTCTTCAGTAGGTTGGACTCGTGACCTGGCTTCTGCAGCCTCTGCCCAGAAGCCCTCGTTCTCTTCCTCGTACTCAGGAGCAGCAGATCGATCAACGAGACCACTACCATAGAAGTAACCAATACCACCGACGAGATTAGAAAACATAGCCTTTGAGAACTCGGAATATTCTGGCTTGTTGAAAGGGACCTGTGGCGCAAAGATCTTATTGAATCGGTCTGAGAAAGACAATGACGTCTCCTCGATCTGCTTTGTAAGGACCTCAGCTGCGGATTGAAGTCAGTTGTGATGTGACGCATTAGTTAATAGTTTCATGCGAGATGCTCACATGTTACAGGTTCAGGGGCGGAACCAGATTGAAAAAGGATATCAAACTCAAATGCGCCCTCAAACACCTTTTGCACAAAGTGAATATTTCCCTGGCCAGGTACATTGGGGAGCGTGAAAAGCTGAGCTGGTGGCGGTGGATTATCAGATCCGTATTTTTCAATAATGGCATCGACAGTGGGCTTCATAGATGCAAACATGATAGCTGAAAAAATTTATTGATGAGTTTATTCAAAGCAATGAAGATTCTCAGAAAGCTTACTTTTTGCTTGCCACAAGTGCTCCTGGGGCATTTCTAAGCTGGAGACAAAGGTGCGATCCAAAGGCTTGTCATCAAAGGTAGGGTGGGTGAAGCTTGGATATTCATTTGTGTCCGGACCACGAGTAACGTCAATTAGGAAGTCTCCAAGTTCTGGGGTCACTCCTTTCAATTTCACGTCGCCTTCAAAACCCGCAGTATCTTCGTCACCCTTGTCGACTTCCACACTGCCGATACCCTCAAGAGATGTATAGAAAACAACCGTGGTATAGAGATTCGCAGGGGCATCTTCTCGAGGAACGCCTTTCACACGCGCTGCCCAGCTACCTCCATGGATTCCTCCGGGGACTTTCACGAAGTCAATGGTCATGTCGATGGAGTTGCCAGTATCATGAACGGTTTGTCGACCACCCGTGCGGATATCGTATTCTTCCCAGCCATATCCCGCCATACCCTCGTTCTGCTCGCACGTATGCCTAAAATCTTCACAGAGTCAGCAATTGCGTCTTCGGCGCAGAAGTATACAGGGAGAGACTGTGTCACATCATCACATACTTCCTTGTGCTGTCGCATAATTGTCCACCTTTGCCCACATCAACCCGGCGGTTATGCTCTTCGGGATACGAGGATGAACCCCAAAATATAAACCGGGTTTGTATGGACCCCATAGTAGCGATTGGTTGTTCGCTCTGGCGACCTCATTGCTTAGTACGGACACATCTTGGCCAGCAGCAGTGTTGACGCAGTTGATCCCGGCGAGTAGTGTGGTATAAACGAATGTGAAACTAGATGGCAAATGCATTTTCCATCAATGAAGCATCAAGACTAAGAAAGAGACACAGTGGTGTCTCTAATTGAGAATGCTCCTAGTCAATAATGGCTATGCAGTTGGTGGAGTTTCCACGTATCGTTTCCGCACTGGGGCCAAAGCTCCTTCCTCCGCTCGGGACGATCTCTCTCAACGTTTACAGGTAACTAACTAACTATATCTTTCATAAAGCTACGAATCAACAGGTTATGTACGCTCAACACTGGCGATTCTTTGCCGGTAAATTGCATTCTATTTGATTGTCCCCATATACATCGAGTGCTTTCTACATATATCTCTGGGGATCCAGAGCAGCAATCTTGGCGCTCTTTGCACTGCCTTCGAAAACAAATTCACTGATAAGCTTCCCCGTTCCAGGAGCATTCTGAATCCCCCAGCAGGTATGACCACTTGCAAGGTACAAGCCTTTAATCCCGGTGTGACCGATTAGAGGCCCTCCGCCCGCTGCAACATTGGGCAGATAGCAGGCTTGACGCTTCGCAACGTCGCCGAATTTCAGCTCATCCGAGATACTCCCAACAGAATTGATGATATCTTGGCAGAGCAACTCATCCACTTCGACATCTGCTGTTGTTTCCGGAAGTGGAACTAGATGATCCCCATCTCCACAAGCATAGACTGTGTCATCTGGACGAGCATATATCTCTGGCGTCGTAACCGTGGACCTTTTTGGGTTAGACGGTGATGGCAATTCTATATTTGTGAAAAGGGTATAGGCAGATACAGGCCTCGTTGGACGGATGACAACACTGTGTGCTCGAGTCGCAGATATTGGCGCAGGGGGATAAACAGCTTGTGTCCATGGACCTGCCGATACAATGACATCTGTCGCGGGGATAGTACGCGATTCACCAGAAGCTTTATCTGTATATGAGATAGATTTGACTCCATCGGATTCCTGGTCTATTCCAGTGGCTTTTCCCAAGACTATATTGACACCTTTCTCCTCGGCCAGCTTGGTAATAGAAGTCGTGAAAAGGTATGGATGAACCTGCGCTGTCTCTCCAGGGCCGCTCATACTTTCATATCCGCGAAGGCTATCTGCGTTGAGCCAGTCTAAATCTGGCGGTATGCCAGCTGCTCTCAACTTTCCAATTGCAGCTGGATCACGCTTTTGTAGTGAAACCGACGGACCAGTCCCTTCCTTTTTGTCTTGGGCTGCATGACCTTTCGCAATCAATTGGCCGCAATTCACCTCCCGGTAGCCCCATCTATCTTTCCCGTTGTGTTCTTTGGCAAGCTGGGCGTGTAATTTGAAGCTCAGCGGTACAATAGAGCTGGGATAAGCCCAGAGCGCGAGTAGACCTCCGGCTTTACCAGAAGCCCCGCCTGCGATCTCTGAAGCTTCAAGAAGTGTAATTTTGTGCAGCGCCGGATCGTATGAAGGATGTCTGGTCAAATAATAAGCCGAGCAAGATCCGATAATACCACCACCTGTGGCCGAAAAAGTCAATAAACATGTAATCGTGGTTGAAGCGTCGCCCAGATCTATATTGCGGGGTACTGCTAAACATTAGAAATTGCAGAGACGAGCGTACCGATTATTACTATTTCTCGCTTCGTGTTGGTAGCCATGGTGCTGCGAGAAAGCAGTTTGGCTGACTGGGAAGAGGAAAAGGCCACCCTTGTTGATTCAATACGTGTGTGGATTAATTCAGGTGAAGACAGTGAGGAGCCCGAAAGTATTATCAGCAGGAGTGGATAAGGGACGTCACAGCAGGTGGCGAAATGGCCGAAACTTGGCCAACGTAAACATTCGATGTTCTGCAGGGAATGTAGTAGCATGCTATGGGCAGTAGTATATGTGAATTTCAAATTGATTCCGAGGATATCTTCAGTTAACCCTTATTAGTGGTCGCGCTTTCAAAATGCACAGTAATGAACAATAACTGTTTGACTCCGAACTCCAGCCAGCCATGCCTCAACAAATTTGCCAAAATGTCACATACGGATGATATTTCATGTGTTCCGCAAGAAAACTGCCAACTAGACGGGAAGCCGCTATCTGCCAGGGCTGAGGGGTCTGTTGAAACCGCCAACACGATTCATATACTGCCTATACTCGGTCTTCTTTTCCTTCCGGACACCGTAAATGTTGTTTCCGGGGATTTTGGTATTTTTGGTGGTCCGGAACCTCGTAAAACCGACTGTTTTTCTCATCATAGCCTCGATGTCGTTTGGGTCTTCACTCTCATCCATCAAGTCAACATCATTCTCATCTTCATCTTCATCCCTAACTCGTGCCTGCTTTCCCGATACCCCGTTTACGCGGCGACCGTCAGGACGTCCTCGAGGGTCTTGTCTATCGTCTCTTCGACCTCCTTTTGAACTGCGAGAAATAGGGCTTCGGGATCGTACACGAGCGCCATTGCGTGGTGACCGAGACCTATCGTGTCTTTCAGATTTCGCACCGTAGCCTAGTATCAAATTCATTAGTTTTGCAGAGCACTCAAATATAATGGTTTAAACATACCACGTCTACCCTGGTAGCGGTCTGCGCTGACACTACGCTCGCGATCTCTAAAACCTCTCGAGTCTTTCAAGTCGCGCCTACCCACATCACGATCGCCTCTGCGAGTCCTCTCATATCTGTCGCGCGATCTGCTCCCATCCCTTCGTCGTGCAGTCCTGTCACGCGAGCGTGAGCGATACCGGCGATCGTCCCTAGAACCCTTTCGCGAATCTTCAGGCCTAGAGCTTCCGTGACGCGAATTGGTGTCGTAGTCTGATCTGCCCTCCGGTGAACGAGACTCTCGTGGTCGCTGATCGTTTCTATCCCACATAGCTGAGCTGTCGGTCCGACGGGCACGCTTCGCCGGCGGTTCAGCCATTTTGATACAAATCGAACTTGCGGCTGGTGAAAACTGGCAGCTAGCAAAGAAAACCTTTTGCTGTGCTCAGCCGTGATGAAATATGGCTGTAGACGAGTCCAGTTATCAGAATGCTTCAGGGCAACTCATGATATAATCGAAATGCCAATGATCCAGGGATGCTTTGCTCTTCGCTTTTCTGCAGACGGACTATTAGGTGGAATCCCTCATGGTCAAACAAAGCTTGCTGCGAAATTGTACGTTAGGCTTCCCGCGCCAGGAACGCATTTTGTGCCTCAGGCACCATAAAATTGTACAACTTCAATATCGATGGTGAGCAACCAGCATTATGCATGCTTAGAAATGAATGGTACAACGAGCAGACTAACTAGTCGAAAAAGTCATACCATTTTTGTATCACCTTTGCCACCGAGCGCCACCAAGGCTTCCTTGACAACGTACATTTCTCTACGCATGCGATGAGCACTTTACCGAAAATTCAACATTCCATACTATCTATCAATTCATACCGATACCGATACGGTCTAATTCCACCTTCATGAGATTCGACTAGAAGAACTGCGGCTTTGAAAAAGAAAGTAAAAGCAGGACATAGAGACTCCGAGCGATACCAGCACACGTGTCTCCAAAAAATGTAGTGCTAACGATTCAACATACGACTCCCCACAGTATCAAGTCGCTCAAGCCGATACAAGGCACACACAGGAGCATGTGCTCTTTGAAAACACAACCAGAGGGCAGTGGGATAAGGGCCGACATTTGATGGCTGTTTCGACTGCGCCTTGCTCCTGGGGGCTAAAGCAGGTATTGCGTCAGGCTCAGGGCAAGGATGCAGGAATCACCTGGGGATGGATCAGAATCAACATTCTTCTCGTCAGCCAAGACGCTTCAGCCTTCAGGTGATTCAACACCTACTGCAACACCCCGCAGACAGCGACTATCAAGTATCAGTCGAGGCAGAGCGTAAACGATACCGATTACATCACGGCTGAGGCTTTGGCCCTCCCGTCGCCTTAGGCTATTAATATTATTCTTGCAGCCGGGCCCCACTCCTCCAGGAGAACAGGCTGGCAGACCCAATCAGAGGCGCGCCATCTGAGTGGACGCGTCTTAGTGCCTGAAAAGCTGTCTTTCATTGGTCAGAATCCGACGCCGCGTGGCTCTTCCATACAATCGAGGGCTTGGCAGCGGGCGAGTTGGCGCAGGGAGAGAACACCGTCCAAACCCAGGGAGAGATAGGAGAACCACAAAACGCAAAACGCCAGCATTGCGATCAACCTCCTCCACCACAGCCACACACACCATCCCCCGTGCCCGCCTCTCGACGCTCGCACTGTGTGTTGTGTGTCTCGCTATCCCTCCGCAAGCAATTGCGGAATGTCGTCGCACGCTCGATAATTTCATTTTCATTTTCATTTCTTGCATCATCATCACGCCCGCATCCATTAAAAGAGAAGAAAGGACGAACCGGCACGAGACTGTCCTTCTGATCACCACAAGGCCCACGGTGCCTCAATCCGCATATTCTTTGTCAATCATGGGACCCCCGGGAGTTTTTAGGCGTCGTTGGCAGCGACTTGCGATCGCCGCCGTGATATTTTGCATGGTATCGCTGTCCATCGTGTCCTCGAGAGAAGAGCGACACCACGTCGAGCCGCCAACCGATTTACAAACGAGGCATCCTTTACTTTGGAAACATATACATACATCTAATGTTAAAGGGGGAGGTAGGTTGCATTTCTCTCCTTCATAGGTTTAGTTTGTGTCTTGCTAACGGTTCTGCCTTCACTAAGCATATTACATCCCCCCGCATGGCTGTCGACGTCAGATGCGAAGCCTAACACGATCATTGAGGCTGCGCACCTTGTTATGCACCTGATGAACTCGACTAAATCTCAGCTCATGTCCCACTCCGAGATCCCTTTGATCGTACACCAGACCTGGAAGAATACCCAGGTTGATACCTGGCCCGAGTTGGTAAGCGATAGCGTCGAGGTATGGCTTGAGCACTCAGTGAATGAGCCAATGGCATACTTTTTATGGGACGACGATGGAATATATCAATTCTTGGACGAATTTGAGCCTTCCTTTACAGCGCGATTTGCTGCTTTGCCTAGAATGGTTGAAAAATCTGACGTATTCCGCATCATGGTGGTGAAATACATCGGTGGTATTGTAAGTTGGGTTATTTCTTTGGCTTATCTCAACCTTACGCTAATATTCCACTCGTGTGAATTAGTATGGAGATGTCGATACTCATCCCTTGCGGTCGCCGGCGACTTGGGTTGAAGCCGACGACTTAGAGCCGTGGTACGATTTCGAGACAGGCTCGCTTTACAATTCCACCAAACCAGTGAGGGCCATGTTTGGAATTGAAGCCGATTGTCCTCCCGAAAGCGATACCTACTGGCGTATGGGCTATACAAACCCGGTCCAATTGACCCAGTGGGCGCTAGCCTCTGCACCTGGCCACCCAATTTTGTCGCGATTCATGGACAGACTAAACAATGTCCTCGATGAGGTCGCAGCCCACTATGGAGGCAATCTTTCAGTGCCCGCTGCATATGAAGAACTATATTACCTTGATCCACTTACTCTGACCGGTCCTGCTGCGATTACCGAGGTGGCCGAGGATTGGCTAGAGGACCGCGTGGGACTGCGATGGAATGCCCTCACGGGGTTATACGATAATGGTAAAAGCAAATTAGTTGATGATATTATGGTGTTGCCCATTACGGGCTTCAGGTATGCAAGCCGTTGTTCCATACGCATTAGAGTGGATGGCAGCTAACACACAAACAGCCCGGGACGTGGAGTGTACGGCAACATGGGCTCCAAGCCGTTGGATGACCACGACGCGCGTCTGCAGCATCTTGCTCAAGGCTCGTGGAAAGGATTCAATATGCGGGTGGAGTTTGGCAAGTTTTGTCGGACATTTCTCGGTCTTTGCAAGGACTGGTCCAAAGTATAGAGCGAAAGAGAAAGAAAGAAACCATTGAGGCGGTATCGTGTATAGACTCTGATGTATTCGATAATTGCTTGGTACCGGCGTTTATCACCTTGTTGATTCCTTATACCCACGTTGCATATATAATTGATGTTTAATATCAGAATCAGACGTTGACTAGAGAGGCTTGCATAATATCCCGAAAGATCCCGGCCGTTGCATTGCATTAATCTATACTGGTAGCGTCAAAAGCGAGCTTGATAACAATCCGACCATTATTCCAGGGCAATGAAAATGCACCTAAAAAGTTGAAAACTGTTCCGTGAATGCATAAAACAATGGGTATTTTCATTGCTGCCTGGAGGGCTATTTATAACAACTCTCTAGCCTATCCGAGGCGGGGTCGTGGCCGCGTGCTGCAAATTCTGGTTTCATGCAGGTAACGGGCACTCTTTCTGTGCCTAGTACCGTCGTTACATGTGTATTGTATTCTTCTTCTTCTTGTTGGTTTTCCGTAGTGCGTAACGCAGATATGCATCAGTTTTGTTGTGGGGTGTGTGGGATGAAGGGTTGGGTATAGTATTCGGTGTCGGCACCGTCCAGAGTGGATAGACGGACAGGCCAATGGGGTTACCAGCATGCAGGCGGCCTGCTTCAGACTTGGTCATAGCATCTTCACGTACAAACAAACGTACGTCGTGCCAGGATGATAATAACAGCTCTTCTTCGAGGTTCTTGGCGCCAAGGAAGACTTTAAAGCATTTCATCTTCTCGTATATTCTTAGTACTTAACTTCGTAGGACGAAATGTTAAAAAGGAGAAAGACTGAGTGGAGTTGGTCCGAAACCTTACCTGGAGCAGTGGCGGCGAGCGAATACGGTAATAGCGTAATATCGTACTAGGTAACACGGTATTACGGTACGGTACTAGCGCAGTCTCTCTTGAGCTTGTTAGATAGCCCCAAGGCTGCCGGGCTCTTTTTCCAGTGGGCAACACAATATGGCACCATATATATTCAGCCGTGGGCGAAATCCGCCAGCACATGCTACTGCCCTGTGGCTTCTGCTCTCCCTTTTGCTTTCGCTGCTTCTGTGCTAACCACCCACCCCTATCCTATCACTCTCGGTCCTTTGAGTTCTATTCTCTTTGCTCGCTCCTTCTTCCCCTGCTTCTTCTCCCCTCCTGCTGGAGGCGGATTGAAGTCCAGACATGTTGCTCTCCCGCACAAAACTCCTGCTTGTGCTGTGCACCCTCCTTATCCTCTCGCAACGATGGTGGCTACCACTGCTGGGCATGTTCATCAACCTCGCCGCCCTCCCAAGTCGCTGGCATAGTAGCGCTGCTCTCTCTTATATTTCCCAGGACCAGGATAACTTCGACCTGACATTCGCCGCCTACGACGTGAACCAGTCGTCCGCCGGACCCCAGTATCAAGATGTCGTCCCTCCAATTCTACACCATATCAGCCTCGGCCCAAACCCTCCGCGTGAAGAGTGGGTGGCCGCTCGAGCTGAGTGCATCAAATATCACTCCGACTGGGAGGCAATTATTTGGAACGACGAGAACTCTAGCAAGTTTGTCGCCGAGGAGTTCCCTCACTTGAAGACCATGTGGGATAGCTATCGTTTTCCTGTCGAAAGGGTCGATGCGCTGCGATATATGGTGCTTCAAAAGTACGGCGGTAAGTTGACTAATATGACACAAGCTGATCTGCCTAATGTCTAAGACTAACGACCTGCTGAATAGGCGTCGTCCTGGATTTCGACCTCGCATGTAAACGGAGCTTAGGACCCCTGAGACGATTCGACTTCGTCGGTCCCGCTGCCCATCCAACTGGCTTCTCGATTGGCTTCATGATGGCCAGTCCAGGCAACTCGTTTATTCGCTCCCTAGTTGATCACCTTGCTGCATACGACCGCGCTTGGTTCTTCCTTCCTTATGTTACAGTCATGTTCAGCACAGGCTGTCACTACGCATCGTAAGTTCCTCTTCCCACTACCTATTAGATGGAAGTTAATTGTACTGATTGAACAATCAGAACGATCTTCACTCTTCAAAACACCCGTGCTCCATTCCGCATCCTCGGCGGCACAGCGCAAGCTCCGCGCTTGCATATGCTAAACGGCTACGTCGATACACCACTCTTCCGCCATCTTGGCTCATCCTCTTGGCACAGTTCCGACGCCTTTCTGATCAACTGGCTCGGCCATCCGCGTAAGGGGCCTATCATTGTTCTCATAGTTGTCATCTCCTTTGTCGCTGGGTCACTGCTGGCAGTATGCCTAGCCTGCCGCCACCGAAAGAATTGCCCTCCCTGCCGAAAAGGGAAACGGATGAGCGAGCTCGAGGAAGACACCGAACTCATGATTAAGGAAGCATAGACGTGATTTTTTTTATTCCATCGTTCCCGCATTGGATCTGCAGCGACTACTATTTTCTGATTTTCTGAATTTGGCATGCAACGATTCTAAGGGCTTGTATATTTTCCTAATTTTACCTCCAGCGATTCATACTCAGCGGCTCTTTCAACCTGAGAACGGACTGTATACCCTATAATATTTTCTTTGCTCTGTTCGCTTCTTGTGTGTGTTATTTTAGCTTTCTCAGTTGAAGCCATTGCTATGCCGTGGCGTATGGGTTACTTGACTCGGGCAAAAGTCATATACACACTAGTTTGGGATAGTTTGCTTGAACAACAATGATGAATAATTGAACCAATTCATTAAAAATGCCTATTTGTTAGATATACCTGGAACGCCATATTTTCGCTAATAACATAAACACCATCAACAATTTTACATCCTTCTCAAATCGTTAAACCACATATACCGACTCAGCACCAAATACAACACCCTGTCCCAGGAATACTGCGACGCATGCTGCTTGAACGCCGCCCGCCCTTTCATGTACTGGCTCCAATTCGTCACCAGAAGCGCTCTATCTCCAAACCTATCCCCTCCCTCCGGCGGCAGCACACTCTTTCCCGGCACCGGCACCGTTGTCGCATACCCCTTGGGCACAGACGTGAAAACAGCCTGCAGAATCCTCCACGTAAACGGGAACGAGGTCGGAATCAAATCCGCCAGCGATGAATACTTCCGCAGCACGAATTTAGTCTGCACCGCATATGCCGGCGGATTGTGGTCGTGGTCGTTGGCGAACTTGCGAACCCCGTTGCTCACTGACCGGTGGTTCACGTGGCCCGATATCCCATATTCGTCAAAGGTGATGATCAAATCGATATTCCACATCTGCACGTGTCGGTCGAGCGTGCGCTCGACCAGCTTCTCGTCCCACCATTCGCGGGGGTTGTCTTGCAGGTGCTTATGTTCGAGGATTAGGCATTTGTCGTCGGCAATGCCGAGCTCGGCGCACGAGGCTTTCGCTTCTGCGCGACGTTGGGCGCCGAGACCTTCGTAGTTGCCTGGAACAGTCAGACTGTACTATTCTTCAGAGACGAGAGAAAGGCGAGAGCATACCAGATGATAAGACTAGCACATGGCGGTTCACATGGGCCTTGCCCCAGCTGTGTAGGATGCTCGGACTAAAGAACAGACACTCATCGTCCGGATGGGCGGTGATCAACAGGACGTTCTGGGCATTGCGGATTGCGTGCGGTACCAGGCGGGGATCGTTTGCCAGGAAGGTGCCGAGGAGAATGTACATGAGAATGGGGAGCAAGAAGAAGACGATGAACAGGGTAGAGACGATGGTGGCCTTGCGGCGCACGGCGCGGCGGCCGAGATGGACTGCGGCGCCCAAGATCTTGGACCTCGCCATGGGAGGGCGTATTATATAATTATAGTATTATAAATTGTTATCGCCGCCAGAACAAATCAATGATTATTTACACTGGCTGATTGATTGATTGCTGAGCATCGATTATTGTATGGAGACTGGAGGACGGGAAGCGCGCTGGCATGGACAGACAAGCTGCTAGCGTGGACGCCAAACTTAATTAAATTACCATTCTTACCATGATTACCATTATTACCTCTGCTCGGTACGGGCCCCGTTCGGCGAGCCTTCCGGGCAGGAATAATACGCACGCTAGTATCCGATAGTATACGGGTGCGGAACGCTCGCACGCATACTGAAGGGTATATAAAATTTCAAAGAATGATACGCGGGTACTGGTACGGATCCGAGTAAACCCAAACTTCAGCGACGCACTCAGGAGTCAGCAGTACGGAGTATTGATTATTTTTGCTAGCGTGCTGTGCCGTTCGTCGTTTGGAAGGTGATCACATGATCAATTCGGCTGCGATGACTGGCCAAGCATTCGGCCCCAGCCCGACATTTTCTTATTCTGGCTGCTCTTAGCGAAGCACTCGCCCAGTTGTTGTTAGGCGATAAGCTGAGGCTGAAAGCTGAAGGGCGAAGCTGTCTGCGAAAAAAAAAGGGCCCAGAAATCCCCCAGCCAAGCGGCCGATCGGGCCAATCACGTGCCTGTCCGACCTTTCTCAGGAGTTGGCGTGGATCACGTATACGAGTTTAACTTATTACGGCTAAAGCTGCGCAGCAGTCAAAAGGGCCGGTATGTTAAGGTATTTTACGTTATTCTATTTTCGCAATACTCATCGACTCCTCTATTTGGTTAACGCGTGTGAACAGGCAATCTTTATAGTTTCTTCTCTGGGTCGCCTCATGTCACTGTGGTGATTTGTATGGCTGAGCCTTGATCTGCGGGAGCACACTATGTCACATATAGACTAGCCGGTTTCCTGGTGTGACTTGAGTAACTTACCGTCTCCATACCGTATGGCACGGAGGGGTGCCTTATCCTTGCGGCCTTTCTAATCACAGCAGCCATGATTGGCACAATACAGCGCACCGCGTAAATTGCACTCCGCTACCCAGCGCATTTTCCTGGCTGGGAATGGTGCGCTCGAGCCGGTTGCGTCGAGACAAGGATGCAAGACAAGCTTTGCCAAGCTCCTGATCTACAGAACTGTCTTCTAGCCGTGCTCAGCGTTAGACCGGAGCATCAACCCGCCCACCCTGCCAAGTCTGTTTGATATCGGCGCGAGTTGCATGGCCTTGTGGTTTGATATCGTACTGATCATCTCCTCTCTCACGCGACACCCCGAAGCCAGAGGCACGATACCAGGCGGTGATGCCATGATGCGCCGGATACCCTGGAGGAAGGTGGGGCGTACACTGAACCATGGAAGCCCGAGGGTTCTAAGATGGTTCTTTCTCATTCCCTCCTACATGCCTATATACTTGATGCGTACGATGATGATTGCAGAACCGTGGTAGATCCTGGCTGCGTGAAGCCTGGCTCTCGTTGTCGCAAAAAACCAGCTCGATCTAAAGAGAACAGCAGCATGAAAAGAAGGAAATTTTACATGACTGGCTTACGCATGGGCCTCGATGGACGGAATACCCACGCTAGGCTGGGCCAGGATGTTAGATCGGGCAATACTACGAATAGGTCTCCCTTTTTGACTGGTGCAACGCGACAGGACCTCCAGGCAGCAGGATTCATCCATGTACTATTTGTGTTGAAACGGTATTTTGGTATTTTAGTACTGTAAACATGCGACGACTTGCGCGAGTTTCAGATTGACATCGATTACTGTAATTAATAATGCTTGTTTCAAGTTATTCAAAATAATGTTATATGCGATTCCTATGGCGATCTATCCTTTTAAACCATACAAGTAAATGCCGAACCTGAGGCAGCTTGCGTGCTTCATGTACAGTTTCTATTATCCGCAGCGTCACTAGAACTAACGTCGACAGATCCACATGCTCTAAAATATACGACTTTGGACAACCAAATCTAGCTCGATGTATTAAACTAGCTCATATCATATCCTATGGCTAGTTGGGACAGCGGGTTGTTACGTTGCCATCAAATTGATGTGATGGATATGCACTTAACACATTGCCAGCCATGACAATATAAAATAAATAACGATATGACATTTTCTGTTCAACATCACAACGATATCAACATTGAACATCTTGAATCGATGACCGTGGATATTCGCATCCATTATCACTTCAATGTTAAGGGCTATATATACCGTATAAATCCCTGGTCCCCTTATTATTCCATGTTGACTTGCTCAATATTCAATTCAATGACCAATTGATGTATATTGTATTAATATTTGTCTATAAATCTCATACCAACTAGCCCTCCTGTATTAAATTCATACCAGCTACTCTAGAATTCAAATAGTCTACGCCATCCTTCAGTTGACATCTCGGTCTACCCGGGGGTTGTTCTTGGAGGCGTCTGAACCATTTGCGGCCCGCCCTTGGCTTCTCCCCACCTGCTATCTATCGCATCGAAGAACGGAAATTTCTTATCAACGCGATTTCTTGCCCGCAATATTATAAGAGCCGCATAATTGCCTTGCCACACTCACAAGACAAACGAAAATGTCGTCGAGAAATAACCTCTCGCATCGGCGCACCCATAATTTGCTCTTGATTTCGAAATTGCTTAGCCTGCGAGACACAGCTTCCCCGCTGACGCTGATATTGGATTCGTTGGAACAGCCTGCGAAGCCATTACTGAAAGAATATATACGACGTGGCCAGGTATGTCATTAAAATAGCTCGCTTTTTTCTATTCTTCTTTTCCTGTTTATCTATTGTTAACGTGCATTAGCTGTCAAAAACACATATTACGTTCATTTCTTTTGAATCATTGAAAAAGCCCAACGGTGTGGACTCGTTCATCTTTGCTCGACGAAAGAAACCGGTCGACTTGGCCAAGGAAGTCGCTGCTGTTGCTCCGTCCTCGTCTAGTGGGCCAGCTCGAAGTGAGCCTAACGCTAACCACGACGTTCAAGGAGCGGAAAACTGACAAGAAGCAGGGCGTCTTATTATCGTTGATGCCGTAAACCCCCTTCTCAGCAAGTCGGAAATACATCTTCCGTCCTATCTGGGCTCCCTTATTGCCCCAAGCAATGCAGCAGCACCAACTCAGACGTCAATGGTCGTGACGTATCACCACGATGTCGTCGGAATCAAAAACCGCCAGCCATATGTGCCGTCAGACCTAACATTGCTAAGTTACCTAGGAACTACTATCCTTACCATCCACTCTCTGTCCCACATCCTCGCGCAGAAAGATGCCCGGGATCGAAGTCTTGCAGCCCCGGTCTTTGGGCTGGAAGAAGAGCAAGAAGGGGTCCTTGTAGGCAGGCACGACCAGGAGCATTCAGGGGGCATTGTGATTGAAATGGAGCATCGACGCAAGAGCGGCCGCGGGGTTGTGGAGTGGTATTTCTTGCCTCCAGCGAGCTCCTACCAGCCCCAAGAGCTGAGGGAGGTTGTTACGCTGCTAGAAGACCACCCGTTGTATCAACGCCCTGAGGACGACGTACCGCTAGAGGAGGAGCCGGGTTCTACGTTTGAGTTGAAACTTACCGAGCGTCAGCGCCGTGACAGAGAAGGCGTCGTTTTGCCTTATTTTGATGCGCAAAAAGGCGACGGTCCGGGAGAAGGAGGACGGATCTTGTATGATATGGGAGAAGAAGACGATTTTGACGAAGAGGAGGACGAAATTTGAAAGAAGCCTGATATTTTATTATTACAACACACATGGCAACGGATGGAAATGGACCATCCATGCGTCGATATATATTATCTTGCAGCAGAGACACGTCATTGCAAAAAGCGTCCGTGAGCCCATTACATTCGCTATGCATACATATCGTTCGGTTTCCTATGTCCATATGAAGAGATTATTAGGGATATCAAATTAGAAGAAACGCCACCAGATCAAAACGAGCATAATGAATCCAACCCCAGCGAACGGCCCATACTGAGAGTGTGTCAGTTGACATCTGCATTCGTTACTGAATCTGGTCATATCAAACTTACCTGCTTTATCAATAACTCCCAATTGATGCGTACGGCTGCCTTGCGGTACTTCTTACTGTCCTCCCTTAAGCGTCCAGACATCTCACCCATTCGTTCCAGACTGTCACCTCGATAAAGCAGGTCTTCAATATTTTTGGTCATGACTTTGGTTACATCCCGCAGCTCATCATTCAATTTGTCCAAGTTCGCCGCCGCCCGACTATTTTGATATGTTCCTTTGGTGCGTTGGATGAACGTGTCGAATTCAACAAAAGCATATGGCCGCAGATTAGGGGAATGGTACTGTGACGCCGAGTATGTGGTTGTGAATTCCGTGGAAAGATCCTCCAGATAGGTGAATGCAAGCTTTCGAGGGTAGGATCTATCGCATATACATAGGAAGCAGATATCGTCTTTGATGATGTAACTGCACCACACATAAAAGTTATTGAGATATTTAGTATGTAAACGTAGCCTCATGCAACTTACTGCAGGTTATATTGTCCAGATTCAATACTAGCCTCTGGAGCAGCGTTGCGATTCAGGCGTCGAAATATCATTTTTGACTGCGACTTCACCTCTGCTAACTCGCTTTCCGCCTAGAGCAAACCCACAACTCGTAAGTAAATGAACCGATAAACACCGCGTCCAAAGTAGGCTGTACTACACACCTGATCATCGTCCACAGAGGCGGCGAGCATGAGGCCTATTCTCTTTGTCAGTCTCCTTGATCCCGTTTGCTTCTCGCGGAGTCAACATACCATCTAGCCTCGCAATTTGTGTTGATCGAACCATGTCGAGACGTTGAAAACCAGGACCTCGTCACTGAAAACTATATTTTTCTGAATTCCGCCGAAATAGTTTCCCTTGATTGAAACAGACACTGGTTTCGGAGATTCGTCGGTGCGGAGCTCCCCCAAAATGCCACCTAAACTTAAGGCGGTGAGCGATCATGATGGGTAGCCGCGTTTTGAGGTGAGTCGTCATTGTGAACCGCATTACTAGCATTCACATTTAAATGTTAACAATGTCTTAGAAACAGACGCCAAATATCATCCGTTCCAACGGAGTTACTCAGTGATGTGGTCAAGCTTGAACCTGAAGCTATGCCATCATCGCCAAAGCAGAATGCGGCGAGGTCGGCGAAGAGGGGAGTCTGGGGAGAGCAATATCTCATGACGAATCCCAAATCAGCCCTTGTTCACGCAGATCTTGTGGTTTGTTCTCTTTTTAAATTACTCCTATGCAGCTATGTTAACTTTCTTACAGAAAGTATTCTCTAACCCCAAAGCCTGGGAATGTCTTGATGAAGAAGAGAAACAACATCTCATATCACTATTACCAGCGCATATCCATCCTAGCCCCGATCCTGACCCCGACCATGGGGATGCGAAAATCCCACCTTTGCCCGAAACATTCTTACGCTACGATAATAACTGGAGAGCAGCGCTGCGGAATTTTCAGTCTGACCTCGAAACTGGGCGGTATAAACCTGAATGGCAGCGGCTGGCCAAACAAGCAGTCAAAGAACGCGCTGAAGGGAAGTTTGATAACTTCAAAGAGCAGGAGTTTGAGCAGTTCTGGGGCCAGAAACAGAAGATAAACTGGGGTCTTATCGCCGGGGAGAGTTCAAAGGTTAAACTACTCACTCTTATCAAAGATGGAGTGGTGCGTGTCGGGGACGTTTGGAAGTATTCTCGTATCTTTTCGAAAAAGAATGATGAAAATGGCCAGACGCTGGTTGAGAAGGAAGCACAAATCATAGCCATTGACGGCTCGAAGATGAGTTTTCTTGTGCCTACTGGTCAACGTGTCTTTTTATCCACTACTACTGGTGAAACGAGAAAAGATACAGGTTTAGTCTCCGAAGACAAGGAGAATACTACAAATAATGATGAAACTGTAGATCGTGAGTCAAGAAAGCGAAAAGCATCTATCTGGAATGGCAGAGCTCCTCGTAGCAAAGTCTCCAGAAACGCAGAAGATGCTGAGATAGCACAAGCACTATGTTCACGCCATGAACCTAATTCGACACTTGCGGCCACTCAAACAGAAAACTCTCCTGGATTGGATACCAAGAGCTTCCTCGCGTCGGTCGTAGAGGCTGCTTCGACTCCTGCAGTATCCGCCCAGCCACTGCCATCCTCTGACCACTCGGAGTTCGCTAATGCTGAAATTTCGACCTCAGTTCAGCTTAATGAATCAACCCCTATTCTGTCACCAATTCCATCTGCACTTTTAGACCATCCTGGCACGAAAGCCGACATAGCCCTCACAGCTCAAACCGGCGATGAATCGCAAGAAAAACCCGAATCTGAACTCTCCTTTGCTCTGGAAACTGAAATACGAAACATCTCCGGGCCCAACGCACTTGCAAAAAAGATACTCGAGATCGATGGCCGCATCACCGGGCCACCTAATGGCAATGCTTGGAAAGAATTTCGCTGTTATCGAGATAATCAGGATATGGGCAGTTTGTGGGAGGTTCGACAGGCTTGGTATCTTAAGTCAGAGCAGAATACAGGATAGCACCATAGCTAGAACGAGAAATCTTGTTTGAATTGTTGAATCTCGGCTTCCGTTGAGTGGAAATGGTATTGTTTGGATATAAACCAATTAAAATGAAGATCAATTTTCAAATTGCTAGCTAGATGATCAAAATTTTCAAAATAAGCCGAGTATATATGGCTTTCAAATGAATATTATAGCACTCCCTCGTCATGGAGCTCGTCGTTACTGTCAACGATATTAACCGAATAACTGGACTGGACGAAATCCTCAAGCTCCTCGCTCACAGTTTTCAACTTTTCTTTGACCGCAGCAACGCCCTCCTGGCCAATAATATGCCGTGATGGAGGATTTTCATGACCACCAATGGATGTGATTGCGTGCACGGTTTCCGATGTAAGAGCTTCAAGGTGTGGTGCGCTCAGCGGTGGATACATGGAGACCACCTCTGGTGAGGAAAAAGGTCCCTGTTGCTCCGAGGCAGAGCTAGAATCTTGATGCGTCCGGCTAACAGCCTCAACATCTGCCTGCGGGAGTCGAGAGACAAGGCCATCTAATATGTTACGAAAGAGTGGTGCATTGTTCTCTTTCGATGAATAGGCGGGTAGGATTGGAGGGACGCTGCTGATGAGATTCGTGAGGATACGGATTTCCATGCTGCATTGAAGGATAGAGACTTTGATGTTGAAGGGTGCAATTTCATAGGCAAGGCTCTATGAATTAGTCGTTAGATTAGTTAATGACGTATTAGGAAAGTGCCATACATCACAGAAACCCTCCAATGCCCATTCCGAGGCGCAGTATACCCCAAGGCCAGGCGTTCCGATATGTGCCGCTGTTATATATTAGCGGTAACCCTCCAGCACTAAAAAATAGGCCTTACTGATCCCAGACAGCACTAGTATATGACCTGCTCGCTGCTTGCGCATACGTGGTAATGCCGACTTGATGACATTTACCGGACCGAAGTAGTTTGTCTCAAATTGATTTCGCACGAGGCCAATTGTCCTCTCTGATGCAGCCAGTTCTTCAACAGTACCGACAACGGCCTGACTTGTGCAGCATAGCAAGATGTCAAGCTTGCCAAAAGTCTCTACCGCCTCAGCCACTGCAGCTTGACATTCACCCATTTTCCTGTATCTGCATGAGCAATGGTTCACACAGAAACCTATGCTTCATACCTTATGTCGAGCATTACTGGTCGAAACCGGTCTTTCCAACCATTTTCACTGTTTCTGTCGACTTCATCAAGAAAGTCGTGAAAATAGTCGCGACGCTTTTCGTCTCGTAGGAGATCCGACGGGACCAGCCCGCTCACAACACGGTCTCCATGCGCAAGCAGCTGGCGAGTTAAGGAGACACCGATTGGGCTATCACCAGACGATATCAACCACACTTGAGATTCTGAGTGTGGAGGAAAATGCGGTCGAGAGGAGCTTCCAGTCTCCGCCATGAGGAACAGAACGACTAGCTGGGCTCGTCCAGCAACCCCATTGCCCCCTGAAGTCTTCTTTCTGCTCTGACGGGGAGAATATACGGCGATTAAACACGGCCTTGGTCAGCTTAGAGGAGCATAGAGATACCATATACTTGTCGGTTAATATTGATAGGTGCAGTGACGCAGCTAGCTAGCCTCAGGCTCCGAATCTAGAACGTGGGGAAGGCGCCATCCTTAATTGGAATGGGCAAATAGTCCGGCCAAGTCCGCACCTTCCTCCTGCTCGCGCCATTTCGTGCCGCCTATTTTTTATCCTCACTCTCTTCCTTCTTTCCCATTCTTTGTGCTTTCCCCAGCTATATTCAAAGATGCCGGAACAGAGGCAGCAGCGACAGGCGCAGGAGCCGGAGTCCAGCAGCGTGAGTACCTAATACTCGTAATGAAAATGGCTGATCTGCTGACACCAAAGAAGTCCGGCCTCAAAGTCGCGATTCAAGGCCTCGCCATTTTCCTCCTGGTGCAATTCGTGATGAACCAATTCATGGGCAATAAAAACCAGAACACTGCGACTACTGGCCAGACTAGCCAGGTGCCCGCCTATGTCGACCGTCCTTCCCGTGGCGAGGTTGAGAACTACAATGCTATTCCCAATCTCATTGCTCCGATCTGGCCAACCAATAGTTCTTTGGATATCAGCATCTACGTTTCTCCCTCAGTTTCCATGCCTCCATTGAAGACTGCTCCTAAAGAGTCTCTGGTTTTGGAGGAGAAGAAATTCAACATGGGTAACTGGAGTGACAGCCGTGAAATCGACACAACCTTCAAAGTCCCAAAACAAGTCCAGCAGAACGGGACCTTGTGGGCTCATTTCTACGTTGCTTTGAGTGGCCACCAGCTCGATCCAGCTGCGCGCGATTTTAGCCCTGAGACCGCCATTCACTTCATCCGTCCATTGAACCAATACTTGCCGAAGAAGAAGGTTGCAAAGCGTAAGAATCTCTTGGCAGGTGCCGAAGAAGTAGAGGAAATCGAGGATGATACGCCAAAATATTCAACTGCTTCTTATTATCACCCAAATTTCACGATTTCGATAATTCCTGATTCAGGTGTGTCGAGCTACCAGCAGATGCACCCCTCGGTGCGGCAATTTGTACAGCTCGAAAGTACCGGTGCTCGAGACAAGTCCGGCCAGAACACCTGGTATTACCCTATCCTATTCGTGAACACTTTCTGGCAACTTAAGACACATATGACCGAGCTCAACTCCACCGTCGAAACCTTGCCTCTCCGAATTACATTGAACAACCTGAACAATTGGAAATTCAGTTTAATGGCTAGTCTGGACGAAGGCGCAAAACAAAATGCCCGCAATGCGGCTAATGGAGTCTCGGTCCCGGGTGGAGGAGATGGGAGTGAATTTGAGATGATCAAGGAAGTACTCCTAGACACGAATATCTACCTCCTAGGTACCACTGTCGTTGTCAGCATCTTCCATATGATTTTCGAGACCCTTGCTTTCAAGAATGATATTGTAAGGACCGCCATTTCCCGCAAATGTTCTCATGTACTGACCTGATTTTGAAGGCCCACTGGCGCAAGAAGAAAGATAACGTCGGAACTTCAGTTCGGACTATCCTTGCGAACATTTTCATGCAGACAATCATCTTCCTCTACTTGCTAGACAATAACGAGAACACGTCTTGGATGATTCTCGCTAGTCAAGGGTTTGGCATCGTTTTGGAAGCTTGGAAGATTACGAAGACTGTGGATGTGCGCCTTCGACAACCTCCGCAAAACTCAACTTGGTCATTCCTTCCTTATGTGATCGTTTTCGAAGACAAACACAAGCTCAGTGAGACCGAACAGAAGACCAAGGAGTATGATGAGATTGCCTTCAAGTACCTTTACATCATTGCTGTTCCCTTGTTGGCAGCATATGCCGCTTACAGCTTAATATACGAAAGCCACAAGTCTTGGTACTCTTTCATTATTGAAACCCTGGTCGGCAGTGTCTATGCTTATGGCTTTTTGATGATGGTGCCCGGTCTTTATATCAACTACCGCCTCAAGGTTAGTACAGAATTATCCTAACTGAGAACTTGGAACTAATTCCCTGCTAGTCTGTCGCTCATATGCCGGGCAAAGCTTTGACCTACAAATTCTTGAACACATTTATCGATGATCTGTTCGCGTTTACCGTCAAGATGCCCTGGTTGCATCGTCTTGCGACTCTAAGAGACGATGTCATTTTCTTCGTATGGCTTTATCAGAGCTGGAAATATAAGGTTGACTACAAACGTGTCAACGAATTCGGCCAGGGTGGGGACTCTGATGACGAGGTCGAGGGAGAGGCAGTTTCTGAAACTGTCAAGGCAAACAAGGCCACTGGCAGCGCTTCCAAGGCTACGGCTGGCACATCGACACGCAAAAGGAAGTAGTCATCCCACTATACTTTCCTGATTGTTTGGCGGTCGATTGCTGTTATTTGACTACCTTATAATCTAGAACCATGATGGTTAATAACATCCGAACTCTCACGTTCGTATATATAACCTTCATAGAAGTTTCAAGTGACCAGTAAAATACCTATTTAGACCAATCAATTAGGAAGAATTAAACTATTTGTTTCCTTGCCCATTCCGTACCGTTGTAGTAGCAGCATCCTGATTGGCTAGGCGGGAACACATAAAATCGCGACGCGTCCTGGTCACCGAATGCAAGCATACACTTAGCAAATACTATCCTGGTCGCCTCGACAAATTTAATTTCGATTCACTGATATTTATTGAATAACTATATGCCTTGCGAAACTGTGGCATGCTTTGATTAAATTCTATTTTGAGAATACGCGGTGTAAACCCACAAACGTTGCGTGAAGAATGCCTTCCTCTGAGGCTAGTTCTGGTAAGAGCTCAAACGATCATCTTCTTAATGAATGGTTGGAACTGATTTAACCTGTAGACCATGAAAATATTGAGAATACTCGCACTCAGCTGAAAAACTTGCGTAATACAATAGACCACCTAGAGGCCGGTATGTTAATTACCCAGTTGTATCTAGTCTTATGGGACGCTGATATCGAAACCCAGTTTCAATTGTGCCATCAAAGCAACGACACACGAGTGTCACCGAGCTTGTCGGTGATATAGCATCAGACGCGTATGACATTGGTATCCCAAGCGATGCTCTGGAGCAATTGATTGATGTACTCACGAAGCCAAATAACTTGGATCAAGCAACAACTACCACGCTAATCAAGAACCTATATGCCCAAGAAAGGGTATCGTCTATAATTGTAACCAAGGTTATAGGAGGCCTTGGGCCGGGCAAAACAAAACCGTCTCTAGCAACCCAGGCCTTACTAGTGCGATGGCTGCTCTTAGTTTACGAATGCCTGGAGGATCAGTCATATCTTTCAAAGCTCTATTCGGTTTTGTTCAACCTTCTTGACATGATAAGCTTGCGTCGGCCACTATGCCACTTGTTATCTTTAATAACACGAAGACGGCATGTAAAGCCGTTCAGAATCCAGGCTGTTATGGAGCTTTTGCGGAATGCAGGCGACGATGAGAAAGAACTTACGGGTCTCTTGAGAGTTTTCAAGAACTATTATCCTGATATTATTGTTGGAGAGGTCGGACGCCTAAAATTCTTTTTCAAACACCCTGACCCTGAGTGGACTGCCAAGCTTAAGCAAATCCAACATCGAACGAGGGAGAGATCTCAATTTATGACTGGCTCTAGCACTTTCCAAGTTGTTCGACGTGGCGGTTTCAAACGAAGCAAAGTGGAAACCATTATTCCAGAGATTCAGACATCTAGGGTACCAGCTAACCACACATCTTTGGAAGAGCTGAGGAATGTGGACGACTTCGTGCAACGCTTTGACCAAATAGAACTGCCGAATCAAATAATTTCAGTACTGGATGACCGCTTGGCACAAAAATACATGGCAATTGTAGGCCCCGATATCGCCAAAGACCGACTGGAAGATTGGCTCGAGGTGTTCCTAAAGGACGAAGCTGATCGGGCGAGACTTCCTGATCACAATGAACCGCAAGTTCTCCAGTACATTCTGGAAGCTGTGTCTGGATATGCGCAAAGGACAAAGGTAACCTCCATACAATCTAAGCTTTTTGATATGCTAAGTCTGACGGCTATAGCAATTACCCCATGCAATTCAAACGTTTCTCAAATCCTATCTTCGAACTTGGGATGGTCAAACCAGCAGAGAAGAAATTCTCAATATTTTGCAATTCTTACCAAAAGGTCCTTTTGATGAACTCAAACGTGACTATTTAGGGTGGTTAGATACCGCGTTGATAGACCACACAGCATCCTCTCGAACCAGTCTTCTTGATTTCTACGCAAACTTGATCCGAAAATGGGGGATTGACCTGAGAGCAGAAAGCCCTCCATCCTCTGCTGACGGATTCCAACCCTTGATTGCACTCATCACTCATGCAGAATTTTTGTTGTTGTCATTAATGGAGCTTCCCCCTTCTCCAATCGACCACAATGTGAAGGGCAAAAACCCAGTTGTGACTAGTATACTCGACATATACGCCAACCTCGCGGAACTCTATTCCTATGCCGCAGCTAATGGCAACATTCGTTTAACTGTCCCATTAGCACCAGCTGTATATATCTTAGCCCTCACATCAAACCTCGGCCAGATTTCTCGCATTTGCAGCATTCTTGCTACATACAAAAACTCATTCGAGGCATCCCTGACTTCGAAAACATTGCAATCGCCAGTGAAGTCTGTTGGAGGCTTCTATGCCCCAGAGATGGTTGGGCTTTTCAATGGTTATGTCATGGATCTATGCAACCTTATATGGCGGAATCGCGCGCTCAATAACGAAGATCAGAACTCTCTCGGTTGTTTGATCCCTAAGGTGGCCAAAGATGCATTGGATGAGTACATCAATGACTCGAATGAAATTTTGAAACGCCGCAGGGGTCGTCTTGAAGGGCCGGCATTCAATCACTCCCTTGGGTTGATGTTTTCTCTGAGTCATCATGTTGCACTGGCAAGTCATTCTGCAGCTTGCTTTGCCGCATTTGAGGACCAGGATATCACTCGCGAAAGCCAGCTGAGGCTCAGAAAACCTGTGACACAGAAGAATCTAACCGCACATGAGAAAGATGGTGGAGCAAAGCTAAGCTGGCAAGAGTATAGAGTCAGGATGCTTGATTGGTTTGAGGAACTGGGCAGCGAAGGCATTGGAAGGTTAATGAGAAGTACCATGAAAGCATTGCGCAAAGAGGCTTGATCTGTGTTTATAGAATTAAGTCTCTATTTGCTAATTATACATTTATTATATTTTCACAAGTTCCGTATACTACATGTTGGTCGTAGAAAGAATGACCTTGGGGTAAAAGCTCAAACAGCCAAAACACACTTATTTGAGGGATCCTCATTGTATAGGTGCTCGTCGATTTAGAGGGTCGTATTGAGATAGATGTCCTGGACACTGGGCTCATCTCTAAGGGCACTTACAGTTTCTTCGAGCTCGTTCAGGTGGTCTTCATTCTCAACCTTGATCATCGTGTCTTTATTCGGATCCCAGATAATCTGTGACTGTGAAATTGAGAGTCCCGTAGATTTTGACAGCAACTCCCCAACAGACTTGGTGTCCGAAGGCTCTGTATATACGACTAGTCTTCCCTCCGTATCCGTATCGATGTCTGTTGCACCGGCCTCAATGGCCTGGTCTAGGTAATCGTCTGGATTCATGCCATCTTTTTTCTCAAAAATAACTCTTCCCTTTTTATCGAATAAATAGACTGTCGGCGTTACTGTTCCACCATGATCTTTAATTATCGACCGGACATCCTGAAGAATTCGAGCCTTGTTCTCAGCCATACATTCGACTACCGCGGCAACTGTTCCAGGTAGCATTGCTTCGATCGTGACGGCCTCTAGAGCTTGCCCTGAGGCGCTGACTCCTTGGCCGCGTGCAATTGCTGATTCGATGATGGCCTTAGGCATCTGCGATTGCTTTGCTTTTGCAATTACTAGCTGTAGACGGGGATTGTCCTTCGGATTAGGTCCCCATACTAGTCACGGCCTCATTAGAAACAGAAGCGAGATTCAAGTTACTTGGGAACTTACATTGTGATGCAGTAATTATTTCTTGCGTGAGTAACCCTCTCTCTTTACTCTTTGCCTTGTCATTCTTTGCTTTGTCGTGTTTGATCGTCGACCAGCGACTGTGCCCCGACGCAACTACTGCTGACGTACTGAACATGTAGCAGCTGTCGCAGATCCATTGAGACGACAATCGAGGCCAGGACGCCACTCTCCTGCCCAATGAGCTCGCCATATGTGAGCAGCGGCTCGGTCAATTTCTTGGTTGATCATGGAGGAATCACTGGCTCAGATCGTGCTTGCCTTGAAATGCGTCGGGCCGATAATTATCCGCTCCGCAGCACATTGTATACAACCCACCACAACTCCGGACAGCTCACGGTCGTGTTTACCATAGTGCAACTTTCCTTCGATACCCAAATATTTTTCTTATATTGATGGAGTAAGCCTCGACAGTTCATTTTGTCAAGATATATATACGGATTTTCGAGATTCAATGTCCGCCCCTGAGCCCGCACCGGCAGCAGCTGCATCCGGCGCAGAGAAGCATCATGAGACGCATCGTGCGGAGCTTGACGTTGCGAAGCTACACTCCCTCCCATCCGAGCAACAAGACCTCTACTTGTTGACTTTTACCTCTGACCTTGTTCAGTATGTTTCAGGTCTTACAAAAGAGGAAATCTCATCCGAGCAAGTCTTCGTGAAGCAAGAGTTGTTCATGGTTCTCAACCTCAAGTCGCCTACTATCACACGGGTTATCCGCAACAATCTCGGCAAGTGCTTTGGGGCAATACTGGGAAGAGGGGACAGAATTCCACTGTATGACACAGTGCTTGAATTACTGGCCCTAGTCAATGGTGGAAAAGGCGTCGAGCTCAAGACCAAATTGGCAGCCGCACACTGTTTAGGGGAGGTATTCGCCAGCGCCGGGGACAGTGCCTATAGTCAGACGTCTGCAGCCGTAGCTGGACTATTCAAGCTCCTGAAGGCTAGCAGTAATCACGCTGGAGCCCGAGGCTTAGTTCTGGCTGCGCTTCGGAAGGTAGTTGGTGGACTTGGTGGACCCATTGAAGAGCAAGTTGGACGAGATATATGGAAACAAGCACGGAATGTGGCTTCTACCGACAAGGCCTCACTTGCGCAAATAAATGCTTGTCGATGTCTAGAACAACTCATAAAAACAACGACCTACTTCGACAACCAGAACGATTTCGATAACCTCAAAACCCTGATTTGGAAAATTATCGACAGCTCGACTGCACCTGTGAGACATGCCGCTGCTTCATGTTTGGCCCGAGCTCTGGTGAAAAGTTATTCTCCGCTGGCCGGAACTGAGCTATCCGCCAAGGCCAAGAAGCAGAAGAGACAATCGAAAAAGCCACCTCCAAGAAAAGCCGACGAGGACGAGGATGAACCACCAGAGCCAGAGTCCCCCGTATCCAAAAAAGCTGAGTCGCGTTTGTCGCTATCACTTCCCGATGTTCTAAGCCAACTCTCGTCGCAATATGTGCGAAGCTCGACTACTAATCGAGCTAGAACGGGCATCGCAGTTTGTTACAAATATGTTATTCGGAACTTAGGCGAGAGCGTCGTCGAAGAACGATACAGTCAAATTGCTACACACTTACTACTTGCTCTTCTGAATCATCCGACAGTCACATACAGCCGATATCGCCTTCTAATGACACGGAAGTTTGTAAGGATTATCCTTGAGGATACAATTGGCCGCGAAATACTGCGGGAGACCAGTCAACTTAACGCGGCAAACTGGTTGATTAACGGTATTTTGAAAGATTATCCTCAAGTAATCCAAGAGAGGCGAGAACCAAGCAAACATACTCTAACAAGTGCTTTGAGCGCGCTCTCATCGTTAATTTCATCTCTCGGTTCAGCCGTAAATTCCCTTGGCGATGCGTGTCGCGAAACCCTAATTCAAGTCTTGCCTCACCCCAGCTATACGGTACAGATCCAGACGGCCCAATGTCTTCGCAATTTCGTTCTTGCTTGCCCAAGCCAGCTTATATCGTGCGTCACAATCTGTTCCAATAGCTTGAATCGAGAGATCGGCCAATTGGCTACTCCGCGTTCATCATCTCGGCGATGTCTAGGACTCGCAAACGGTTTATCTGCCATGCTGGGAACTTCTCGCCTACAGCCCCTGTATGGTTCTGTTGACGTTTTTGCTCGCGTGCTCTCGCAAGCGACCGATCTTCTCAAAAACAGTGGTAGCTCTGAGCTTCGTGTCGCGAGCACTCAAATTCAAGTTGCATGGATTCTTATCGGAGGCTTGATGCCTCTTGGGCCTAGTTTCGTTAAAATTCATTTATCCCAACTCATGTTGTTGTGGAAAAATGCTTTGCCTAAACCTTTAGGCAAGGCAAACACGGCTGAGCGAGGAACCCTAGAAACAAGTTTCCTTGCGCATGTCAGAGAATGCGCATTAGGGTCAATGCTCTCGTTCCTGGAATTCAACGGTAAACTGATAACAGTGGATGGTGCCAGGCGTATTGGGGCAATGCTGCAGAATACAGTCTCCTTCTTGGATGATGTGACTTTGCCAAAAACGGGCGAAGACATATCACAGCGCCTCTTTCCATCCCTACAATTGCATGACTTTGTGGTCATGGTTCGTCGCCGTGTTCTCCAATGTTTCACAAAATTAGTGAAGCTCAATCACGCAGGTCAATCTGAGATTATGTCTCAGTCAAGCCTCCTAAGTTTAGCTATATCGTCCTTTGCGGATCCGGATATCACTCTTGCTAGCCCAACGGAAACTTCAATTGCCGCTTCGGCTGGTCAATTCGAGAGTCTGTGGGAGCTTTGGGATAATTTTGGATTTGGAGTTACTGGACTCGCTCGAGATTATGTCAACAAAACGCTTTCCGGGAGACGTGTCGGACGCGATAGTCCATGGATCACCGTTGACTCGAAAGACCAGGAGATCGACGATATTGTAAGTTCTAGCATTATGGAAAGTGAAACCTTGCTGATAATTTTAGTTGAATTTCCCCATCTGCCAAGCAAGTGAATATGATTCCGTGCTTCTCTACAGCAAGCAAGACGGTCAATCTGCCTTCTATACCGATCCTCCCGTAACAGGAGTGGTAAATACTGCTATTGAGCTGTTTGCGGTTGCTCTCCCACTCCAACCCCCTAAAGTTCAAGAAAGTAGCGTTGAACAGATTGCTACTCTTCTTTCATCAAACAGTCTACAGAGAAACCTGGGTCGGAAGGCTGCCATGTCAATTAACATTGCAGTAGCCCTACTGCATACCCTCAGGGTCTCAGTGAAGGAAACCACCTCTCTCCATGGAAATTTGGATTCATCTACAGAGAAGATAATCCAGGAGCTTCTGCAGGTAAGTTGGTACCTCGTCTTTTTTATACTTGATCTGACAAAAAATCAAGAAATTCATTATGGAACCCGATGCAATTGTTAGGACGATTGGATTCGAAGCTCTCGGAAGACTTTGTAATAGCGCTGGAAATGCCTTCACCAATGCCCAGATAAAGTGGCTTGTCGATACCATTGTCGAGAATCGTGAACCAAACGCACGAGCAGGATGTGCTGCCGCTTTAGGTTGCATCCACTCCCAGGTTGGTGGTATGGCTGCAGGATTCCACTTGAAAACAATTGTAGGAGTTCTCATGTCATTGTGCAATGATCCCCATCCAGTAGTGCATTTCTGGGCCTTAGATGGGCTAGAGAGAGTGGCTGAATCCGCCGGGTTGACATTTTCCGCCTACACATCTAGTACTTTGGGTATGTTGGCTCAACTCTATATTGCGGATTCACACAACGAGGAGGCAGCTTCATTAGCAACCTCAAACATTGAGGTCATATTCCCAACGACTTTCATCATTGCTCGGGCAGTCGATTCTCTCATCAATGTCTTGGGCCCCGATTTGCAAGACATTGCGAAGACGCGTAATCTCATATTGACTCTTGTTCGCCAATTCCAGATAGAGGAATCTCCGGCAATGACTACACAGAGTTCTCGATGTTTGGACCACCTCACACTATACGCACCTTCCCACGTGGACTTTGGGGCCTATGTCAAACGTTTACAAGTCGAAATCTCATCGAAGAATCCATCGATGCGCGAGGCAGCATTTCGTGGGTTAAGTAACCTTATGAAAAGAGATGCTGAGTCAGTTATCAATACCCCAGAATCCACTTTAGAGGATGATGTCTGGCTTGCCTTTGATGATTCACCGGATAGCATATCATTGCGAAGTTTAGTTCGCAACTGGCTACAACAAACCGGCCTTTCCCACACAGAGCTTTGGATTCAGCGCTTCCATAATGTGCTTACTAAAACTCGGGCTAAGGTAGATGATACGCCAAAGAAACCTGTGCGCATAGCTACCGCTTCAGAGCTTCCAGATGATGAAGTAGCTGGCTTTGCTTCTGCTGTTGCCGGTGAACAAGAAGATGCAGACAATAGCGCTAGCGCTGGACAAGAGCTACTTAAATGGCAAACCCGCAATTTTGCATTAAGTTGTCTGAGCGAGTTGCTCTCCATGGTCAATGACAAAATACTTCCGGACCAGACTATTCCCGCAGAGGCAGCTCTTCAGCAGAATATCGGCGATATCGTCCGGATGGCTTTCTCTGCTTCGACTGCAAACGTAATAGAACTAAGAGTTTGGGGTCTTAAAATTCTTGATCAGATTCTTAAGGTCAGTACCAAATCGTTTATTGATGGTTAACTATATTCACTTTGTGGTTTTTAGATGTTTGGGAAAACTCCAGACCCAGATTTCTCCGAGGCGTCTCTTCTTGAACAATATCAAGCACAGATAGGCTCTGCCTTAACACCGGCATTTGCAACTGATTCCTCACCAGACCTAGCATCAGAAGCAATCAATGTGTGTGGCACGTTTGTTGCTACAGGCATTGTAACAAACGTCGATCGAATGGGCAGGATATTTAGGCTGCTTGTTGTTGGCTTAGAGAACTTCGCCAGTGAGCTACCTCTCCTTTCATCTTTTCTCATGATTTACTGACTTGATAGAAAACCTGGACGTCACAGAGATTGGCGATCTGAAAGGTCTCAACTCGAATGCGAGAGTTATGGTTAAGATGGCACTTTTCTCAGCTTGGGCGCGACTCCAGATGGCAAGCTTGGAACAACCGTACTTGGTCGAGATTGTCAAGCCGTACACAGCCATGCTGACACCACTCTGGTTGTCTTCTCTACAAGAATTTGCTCGCCTGCGCTTTGAACCCGATATTTCAGGCAGTCTAGGTACCCCATCATCAGGCAATCTTGATGAGGTCTATGCCGCCCTTAACAGAGAGACTTTGCTTAATGTGAGTATTTCCAAGGGTGTGGTTCGATTTATACTAATTTACAAAGTACTACCAAGAGTCCTGGTTGAACCTAGTTGATGCCATCGCAAGTTTAGTTGAAAAAGATAGTGATTTTGTGTTCGATGCTTTGGACGACAAATCTAATTTGCAAGATCAGGATGAGGAACAAAAAGCCGAGACAAATGGAGAGGTCTCTCAAGGAAAAGGTGATAATATCAACTACCGTGATGAGCCAGTCGCCTTCTTTTTCGTCCTTTTTGGTCTTGCATTTGAGGCTCTAGTGGACCAGTCCGTATCTCCACTTCAAAGGCTGGGAATTCTTCAAGCTCTCAAAAAAATACTTCGACCAACTGTTTCCGGTAATGCCATATATCAAGACGCAGTATTCTCTGAAACTATTGATACCCTCGACCGCCTTGTTTTGACTGAGGGTTACAACATTCAAACGGTCATTGTTGAGACAGCCAGAAATCTATCACTCGATCATCCAGCGGCTATATCCGGTCTAGATCGCATTGAAAACCTGTCTGATGATATCGAACAGCTCTTCGAATTGACAAGAAACATCATTCTTGTTTTAGCAGGCTTACTGCCGAATTTGAGCGAGGCAAGTTCTCGCACTTTCAACGTCAGCTCCGACGAGTCCTTGACCCTTATACGTCTGGCTCTTTCCTCGTTGGTTGATGTAGCGGCTGTATTTCCAGTCATTATTCGGCATGATCTTCATGCTTGCATTTTGCATATTTTCAGCACGATTCTTGCTACCGGCATCTGCCAAGCTGAGGTTGTTCCCCACGCTCTCCCGATATTCCGACGATTTGTTCAAGGTATCAGTCCAAGAGATGCTCCCTTGACTGATACAGTTTCGTTACAAATGCGTGGGTGTCTTACACGTTTCCTGACAACACTTACGATTGCCCAGCGCCGAGAATCAGAATCTTCGCTACCCTGTGCCAAAAATACACTTCTCGCAATGACTATAATTCTTACCACCAATAGTCATGTTATACCGCCCCAAGACCCTTTGGTTTCTAAGGTTCTTGATGAGTTTTTGGACTGTCTGCAGGATGTCGGCCTCGCAAGTGTTGCCGCAGGATGCATTCGTTCGGTGCTTCTAAATCCAGGTCCAAGGTCTGCAACAGATGCAGTCATTGCACGATATCTATTCCCCAGGCTCATCGCATTCATTGCAGGAGTACCTGATGATCGAGGCGAACCACCAATTGACCCGGAAAACTCGCGTACAGCAATTGCGCATACGCTAGTATTGTTTATCGGTAACAACGCAGCAGTTCCGAGGTCTCAACTACCGGTGGCAGTTCCCTTAGTCGTGTCAGCTTTACTCGCACGTGCAAAACGTGATGGGTCGTCTGCATATCAGGAAATCGCCGTTCGTTTCTTAGAGATAGGCAAGCTAGATTCTGCCACTTTTCGCGCTGTAGTGGCTGGGATGGAAGCAGAGCAGAAGAATCTCGTGGAAGAGATATTGCGCTGTATAGAGACAGGCTCTGCTAACAAGGACCTAGAATCGGAGGCTGACGGACGTAGGCCTGCACCTACGATTGCTTTGCGCATGGACTTTTGATAGCGTGCGGGACTACTGATAAATCTCTATGATCATGACTCGAAGATGTTGGAAAGTGTATATTTGTGTGTGATATGCATCGGTGTTGATGTACTAGAATATATGATAATTACTTTGTCAAAGACCTATATTTCAAATATTGACTATATTACATATGTATGCATGCATATGTTCAACAACTTCCATGCTAGAACCGGCCAGAAAGTCGTAAATAATTGCATATCTATTATACAGAATCATAATTCATCCTTTCTCTTCTGTGTCTCAGACTTCAGCTGCGAGGCCACATGATCATTCGTCTCGATGGTATCTTTTTTATGCTCGTTGCTGTATTGACAAGTATCCGCATATTTCTTCATGTACTGCGGAAGAACCTCTTTCCACAGTTTATCCTCCGACAAATATTTATACGCATCGCCTTTACAAATCTCGCCCGATACTAGCCGGAACATGGTAAACATATTGCTCGTGGCTACTTTCGCTGCCTGTCTCTTGAAACAGCCATTCCACTGATCTAGTTTATTGCTTCCAGTCATGCAGAGATGTTCATCAGCAGGCAGTATTCCGCTGCACTCCCGCTCGGTCGCTTTGGCTATCTCCTCGCCGATTCGAGTAAAAGTAGTTTGGAACTTATCCGAGAGAGACATTTCTCTAGCCATCAGGTCGATCAGCGGAATGAAAGCGTACTGGTGCGTCCACTCCTCCCAGGTGGAAATCACCGGACGACAGCCTCGCGCGCATATTTCGGTTTGGTATGCGCTGCCTAGAGAGTCCCAGCGAGTGGCGACGGTTGTGAGGAGGACGCTGGCGCAGGATGCGGCGTAGGTGAGGGGGAGGAAGAGGAGCGCGAGGGAGACGAGAAGCGATAGGGGATTGGCGGAGGCTGGACTTCTGCTGTTGAAAAAAGGCATCGTTGGCCTCTTTTCAGTTACTGCAACGGTGTAGACAGTAACAATGGGTTGTAGAGGCCAGCTTGTTACCTGGTTGCGAAGAAGTTCGGTCGTGTTCTGACTTGGGGCTCTCTCCGGAATCCAACATTGAAGCTGCCGTTGATGCGTCGGATCTGGGGTAAGCCGGCATGTGCCCGTTAGCGGCGCATCAACTTGTGCATGAGTCTAACGTTTATTTAGTACTGGCGGTTTGCTTACGGCTAATGACATACATTCATGCCTCGGCAATCCAAGGCCTCTTTATTCTAAAGAAAACCAATAACTCTACTACTACTTCAGTAATTGCATCGCATACTCGTTTGAGCTGTAGCAGTTCTCCGATCGTAGTACATAAGTCATTTACAATCTGTAGCCTGTCATACTTCATCAGGTATGCTTCCTCTTCTGCCGTCATTCGCATATTGTGATTATCAACTAGACTTGCGGCAGTCCCCTGCACAATGAGAACCTTCTCAAACTTCGGACCAACATTTATTTTCTGTTTATCCGCCATTAAAGTCACTCTGGCTTCCTGCAGCTTATTTGACTATGAAGCAGAGATTGAGTTCCTTATCAAGCAGGGCCCCCGTCTTACGGGAAGCTTTGCGCATAACACTCTTCTAGATCGGATCGAAGAGAACTCGACGAACCTTGGCTTCGAAGTCAAGTCAGACCATGATGCCTTTGAATACATGACTCCAGCATCCACTACCAAGAAAAGCACCATCTCTGGCTGTTGATGGCAAGCAGATGGAGATTGCATCCGTCTTCCCTTACTCAGGGCACACAAGTAGTCTCGGAATATGGAAGTGATAGAAACGATGACAATGTTTCCCTTGGCCAGCTCATCAACGTTCTATGCCCTCTTCCTAACTGGGAGCTGGCCAAGGGAAACATTGTCATCGTTTCTATCACTTCCATATTCCGAGGCACTCGGGACGTGAGACCCAGCTAAGAAATGGGTAGGCAATATGACGAACCCCCTCATTCCAACAGACATGATTGGGCAGACTCTTGCAGGTCAAAGAAGGCAGGTGTTAACGCTGTAGTCTTTGCTTGGGACGAATCTATTACGCCCAAAATTTCTCAAAACCAATAAATACCTTTTAAATTCCCGTATGCCGATATCCCCGCCGTATTCACGTCCGGAGCAACCAGTAGGGATATATTGGCAGCAGCGAAATCAAACTCATCGGCCACGCTCATCCTTCTCTCTGAGTTTGTCCCGAACACTCCAACGCGGACTATCTATGCTGTGGTGGAAGGTAAGGATCCAAAAAAGCCGCACGATACCCTGCTCATTGTCACCCATATGGACGGTACCAACGTGATTGAAGAGAACGGACACATTGGTGTATTGCAACTTGCACACGATGTAGCGAATGTCTCACCTGAATTTTGAATAACTGGCAATTAGATCTAATTTATACCCAATTTCCTAGTGGAACTGATTACTTATAATTATCCACATCATGGTAAATTATCGGAAATTATACAGCAAAATAATGTGTAAAAATCATGATTTTGATAGACTGTTTTATAATGTGTTAGATTATATTAACTAGCTAATACATCTTTTTAGAAATTGAATTAATATTAAGCGAGAGCCCATCTCTATAAATAATAGATTATATTAATTATTAATAATTACGTTATAAATTCATAGAATTATTATTTTAGTAAGTTTTGTGGGTGCGCGCGCGTTAGGGTAAAAATGCGGATATGTATATTGATTCTGATATGTAATACTATATTATTATATCTTACATATTGTTTTGTTATTGAACTGTGTTCTACAGGGTATCAACTTCAAATGAAGAGCGGACAGGTGACCAAGAAACCATCGCGAATGACTATATCATTAAGGTATCAGTTTCACCCCAAGCTTTCACTTGCAAGAGCGTCAGAAAGAGAAGACTGGGTCTGTATAGCCGCGTCGTGGACTGGCTCTGCCGTGGCTGCTGACTTGGCGGCGGCCTGTTTCTTTTGCAGGTCATGAGTGTAAACAGAATAGAACTTGAAGAATGCAATGGCCATGACTGGTTTGGTGGCGCAGAGTTAGTATATCATATAGAAGTAAGCAAGTATGTTGGAGACTCACGGGCACTAAATGCAATGGCCAGCGCCGCTCGCCGTGTTAGCACCCATCTCAGTCCTTCGGCTTCGCTTTTCCCATCACTAGCCAGTGAAACAGCAATCCTGTAGTTTAGCTCCTGGATTCCGGTATCCAGGCTGCGTTGCTGCTCACGGATCGTCATTTTGTGGTCATTCCGCATTCCTTTCAGGTCATCATTCAGCCTCGTGAGCTCTTGGTTGAGTCGGAGGTTGAGGATGTCGGCATCGTGCTGCAGCTGAGTTCGAGAGGCTCGTTGTCGTTCGATTTCCAAATTCCGTGACGCCTGCAATGACGACCGTAACTCTGAGCAGGCAGCCTCGAACAAGTACTCTTCATTCTCACTATCCGATTTGGAAGTCAAGGTGTCTTCGGCGAGATCTAGTTTATCTTGTAGAATCCCTCGAATAGCCTTCATGACCGTGATGGCCTGTTCTTCACTGAAACCACCTGCTTGGAGATCTTTGACGAGAGTGTATGTGTCAAAATGATGAACATAGTGTGCAGGCCGCAGATGCGGTATGCCCTGTTTCTTTTCCGATATCCTCGTCAAACTCATGTCCTCGGGTTGCGGCATTTGAAGAACAGCATCGAGTGGATTTTGTGGCGGAGGAACCTCTTCTGCATCTTTGGTTTGGCTGGGTGAATTATCGTCTTGTTTTGAGGTTGGTAGCGTTGCTTTTGACGAATCCGAATCTTCCTCTGTAACCTCTTGCTTGCCGTCTATCTTTTCCTTGCTATTTGCGCTTTTTTCTGGCCCGTAATCCGTGATGTTTGACACCAGTTCGGGATGCGGGGTACTCTTTGACTGCGCCGTCGAACTGACATCCTTTTTTGCAGTTTTGATGCCAGAACTCTTTGCTGGTTTATTCTTCGGTCGCGATGGTGGAGGTAGCTTGGGCTCTACGGCCTGTCCGCGGCGTGACGGAAATGTGTTTTGCTCGCAGCGACGACTCGAATGGAAGCTATTGGAAGGCGGCGCAGAGAAACGGAAAGGGCGAACGGCCGGCTCGTACGGCTTGAGGGATCGAAAAAGCTGTGGATAGAGGAACGGCAGCCTAGGCGCAGTCATGGTTGGCTGGTGTTGTGAATGTTTGTTGCATGAAGCAGAATCGCACGGCTCGGCAGCCTTTCGGCGCACATGACGATGCAGATGCGGCGCTGCCAGCCCCGGTTCTCCGTTCCTGGCCTGCCATCTCTCCACGTGGACTGCGCCATTTTCCACGCACTATATAATACCCCTTTCTCTTTGCCTTGATCTGAATGCAATTTGTCTTCCCTCTCTATATAGTATATGGTATATAATATATAATATATAATATATTTATCTACATACAATCCCACGAGAAATGCAGGTCTAATTTGCCAAGAGCCCAAAAAGCAGCTCCGTTCGCTTCCAGAAATCGTGCGCAGCCTCCTGCAACCTGCCAACAATGCTGTTGCCATCTTCGACATCGACTTGGATTTTCTCAATGAAGCTGTCGAGGAGATCGTTCTTTTCAGAGACGACCGAAAGAGCATCCCGAAAGTAGAACGCATCCAGTGCAAGCTGTATCTTCCAGTCCCTAACATCCTGTGGTTTGGAGTCATCCGCATTGGATTTGGCTGTACCATTGGTAGATTCTTCGTCAGAAGAATTTTTCTTTTCATTGTCTTCTTCCTTGTCTATTTTTTCGTGAGAATAGTCATGCAACCGTTCAAAATTTTTTGACAGAGATTCCGTGACCGCTTTATTCAGCCTCTCCTTGAGAATTTTCACCGCAGGCGGGGTCCATAGATCTGGACCAAAATTTTCCATAGCTATAACGAGACGACGGAAATATCGAAATGTCGACGGCAGTGGCTGATTGGGTAACTCTGGAGCTCCATCCCACAGTGTACGACCAGGTAGTCGTAATGTATTCTTCTTTGGGACAGGAAAAATGTTGGACGGAGGTACATGGGCAAGAATTTCGTTGACCAAAACTTCATGCAAAACAGGCACTGTATCCTGGGCGAAATCTAAGCTTTCGTCTTCTAATATCTTAGATGGGCTATTCCGTCGAACTTCTCGGATCAACCGCAAAAGGAAAGCACTTTTTCCACTCTGGTCAGAATCCCCCGAAGCTTCAGCAGCAGCGCGGAAGGTCTTTTGGAGCTCTAGGAACGCCTGTTTGATCGTATTCACTTGTTCCTCCTGTAATAGGTGAGGATCATCCTCATTTAAAAGAGCAATGGGATTCATTTCAAGTTTACTGTCGTCTTCGCCTTCATCCAGGGTATCTTCCCATCTAGTATGTCGTAGGTCGTCAATGGAGCTTCTAGAACGCTCAATGAGTTCTAGCCACGAGTCATATAGCTCCAACGTGGCCATGATTTTCAAATCTCGTCCATAAAATGTGTTCACAACGACCTTTTTAAAGTTCACTGCCCCATCTGAGTACTCTAGGGATGTAATGCTAGAGTCCCAAAGAGACTGCATCTGGTTTATGTCTCCGCTGACCCACTGATCAATATGGGTTTTGACCGTATCACCAATTGAGACCAATTGATTGGCTTGGTTGCGAATGATAGATTTCAATCGCATTTTAAAGATATCTCTTATACCTTCCAGCACACTGACTGAAGAATGAGTTATCGTCGCAGGCGCCGCGGCTAGCCATATTTCCAAAGTTTCCTTCCGCAAAGAAAGGACGTCCTCAAAATCATCAAAATCCTGCAGAACTGCAGAGCTCTTCTCTAAGAAGCGATTAAACGCTTCCTTGGACCATTTCTTGGTCAATTGCTCTGCAGATTGTTTGGTAAAATTGTCTGATTTTATCCAAGGTGTAAAATTTTGAACGTCATTGGTTACCCATCGCCCAAAAATATCAAGATCAAGATCCCCTAGATTCAGAATATCGTGATCAGCCAATAGAGGCTGACCTTGAAGCTTTGCCAACGCATCGGACAATCGACGGGAGGAAAGGGTCTTGGTGTTTTGGAGAGTTTGAATGTAGAGGTTGAGCGCTTTCAGGATCCCTTCTCTAGATCGGGGGCGGTGTTCCAGTTGCTTCACAATAGAATCCAATCGGAAATTATGAAACCGATTTATTATATCCAGCACCGATGAACTATTGGAGAGACGAAATGCAGACATGGCGTCAACAATATCTTCCATGCTGGAGTTGCCAGAGCCTAGTCTTCGCTCGATTCGTCGGCGAATGGTTTTTTGCAAGTTGACAAGCTGAGAACTCAAAACTTCCACAAATGGCGGAGCGTTTGCATGCTGCGACAAGGCTTTATAAAGCTGTCTCGAGATGATCACCAACTTTGAGGCCAATAATAAGGGCTTGTGTTTGCGTAATAGTCTCCCAATAATGGTCGTACACCGGTGAAGCAGTGCTAGCTGTGCAGCGAGTGCCCGGCAGTTATTGTCATTATTGCCATCAGCTAGATAATCTTGCCTCTTTCCAATCAAATCGGCATTGCAGCGCAATCCCAGACCAGCCAGCTTTGTCTCAACCTCTTGGTTCTCGGTATTCATTTCCACGATCGTCTCGGCCGTCTCCAGAAGTTCACGATATCGTGCCCTATACAATTCCAAGTGGCACAGTTAGCATTCTCCCTAGCGAATAAACGGTACAGCGCGGCATACCCAACCAAAGACCGGAGCTTCTCTCTGTTGCTTGCGATGTCGCGTCGCAGTTCCTGCTCCACCTTCCGCACGGTGGGAATCGGGTGCTGAAATGCGTCCTTCCATGATTTCAGGTTCTGGGGGTCCGGCGTCTCGGTCGCCATGGTCAAGCGGCCTGCACACTGGCAAGCTTCTGGTGATGGAGGAGTCTCGCAACGTGGTTTACACTATTACAGACAAGTATCGGAAACGCACAGGCCAAGCGGAGGCTAACAGCCTTAGCTTACACGATGATGCTCAGTACCCCTCTGCGCACTGTGCTTGGCATGTTTATTTGAAGTTGTGTGTTTTCTTGCATTAGGAGCGAGGAGAAGAGCGAGCGAGCTTTCGCCTGGGCCGAGAGGAGAAGCAGAAGAAGCAGTAACAGCAGCGGAATGGGTCGCGCTGCTTGACAGGTGATCCGCTGCCTCTTATCGCTTCCGCCCCGCCTAAAAAGTCCCCTCGCATCTCTGACTCTACAGTACCAAGTTATCAAGTTATCAAGTTATCAACCCGAGGCGAGCCGTTCGAAATGCCTCATGTCGAGTCGGAGCCCATCGAAGCTGCAGAGTCCTCTGGGGGTCTGGCAAGGCTTCCCTTCCCGCCCGTCACTCGGTCTCACATCCTACACTGCTCATACCATTACTGGCATCCTCTGTATGTACCCTAAAGTTGTCACATAGTTGAGTCGCTAACCAGATACTGCAGGTACCGCGCTCTCACTCCAAAAGCCCGCCTGATTCCACTGACGGACCCGTTCATCTCCTACCTCCTCGCAGACGGGATCGTGCTCCCTCCAGACCAACCGCGTCGCTCTACCCTGGCTGGGGACGACAGTGGTATTGAAACTTCCGACTCCGAAGATGACGGGGAGGATGAAGACCCCTCAGCCGACTGGCTGGAAATTCACAATAAAATAAAGGACACAATAAAGGAGCTTGGGGGGATAGTAACGCCAAAGCTCAACTGGAGTGCGCCGAAAGACGCAACGTGGATTGCAGTCACAAATGACTTGCAATGTCAAACTCCCAACGATATCTACCTGTTGCTGAAGAGCAGCGACTTCATCACACACGATCTGGAACATGCTTTCGATGATACCGATCTGGAGCCAGTTGATAACCTGGCCTCTGAGGCCATCGCCGATCATAAGAAAATTCCTTATTACCTCGTTCTCCGTAAATATTTCAACCTCAACCCATCATTGGAGTTTCGTTGCTTTGTCCGCGATCGCAAACTCCTATGCATCTGTCAACGAGATTTGAATCACTTTGATTTCTTATTTCCTATGCGTGACATGCTTCGATCTCGAATACAATCATTTTTTGATGACAAACTCAATGACACATTTCCCGATTCAAACTTTGTCTTCGATGTCTATGTCCCTCCACCCCATGAAAGGGTTTGGCTTATTGATATCAACCCATGGGCCATCAGGACAGATCCGTTGCTCTTTAGTTGGCTAGAGATACTCACAATGAAAGACCCAGCCCCGCTTGAAGAAGAAGTCGTTAGACTTTCTCTCCGGGATGAAAGCGAGGTTATAGGTGGAGCTCAACACACTGCGTCTGGACGGATTGAAGACTGTGATGTTCTTGAGGAGGAGAATAGTGACGAGGGCGAGACTTCAGAAATCGAGAATATATCCCCTCTTCCCGAATTTCGGCTAGTGAGTCGCGATGATCCTGAAGCTTACGGCTTCACCGCACCCCAGTACTCTGCTCATAAATTACCTCGGGACGTAGTGGACGCTTCTCAGGCGGGACCTGGGGGCATGGAATCATTTATGCGCCAGTGGCAAGATTTACTTTCAAAGGAGTTCCAACAGCAGCAAGACGAGTCGAGTGGAGATGACGAATAAAACGAATATGGCATCTAGGTGTACGTTTGGAGTTCTGGATCGGGCTAGGTCACGTTATGGATCATTACTAGATATAGAGAATAGGCTCATGCCTAGTGTATTGCTAAGCAAATAAAATTTCTTCTTGATCCATACTAATCTATCAAGCGAAACTAATATGACCAGCCTAAGATTTGAATATAGAAACCATTACTCTGCGAATACATACAAACTTTCTCATAGTTTGTGCTTCTTCTCTCCACTTGCAAGTTTCCTAAACTCCTCCTGTGGAATACCAGCAGCGAACCGCTCCACTGCCCCATACAGTTCAAAAACATTCTGTTTATCCAAATTCTCGCGTTCAGGACGACGGATTAGCTCCTTGATCTTGAGCAGACTCGACTGGTTCAGATGCAGACCCAAGCGATCGTCGACCTCGGCCAAAACGGCTTTCAAAAACCCGGCTGAATCGTCCTGCTTCCCTGATGGCGCGGAGATGACCTTATTCACAAACCCCGTACCCGTCAGCTCGTCAATCGTGATCCGCTTGCTCATGATCAACGCCTCATTAGCTTTGGATATACCCAACCGCTCGACAAATGCGCGCGAGGCGCCACCTTCAGCAACCAGGCCGAGCGATGAGAAAGGCGTCAGGAGGAAGGTATGGGGAGCGGCGTAGATGAAGTCTGCAAATGCGACAATGGCGGCGCTCAGGCCAACGACAGGGCCATTGAGAGCAACGACTAATATCTTGGGGTGGTTGTAGAATGTACGCGTGAGGTCGAGGTTGTTCATGGCGAGGAAACCCAGTAGCTGGCGACGCTGCTCGTCGGTTTGTGAGGTGGGGCTTCGAGTTGGTCCTGTTGCGTTTACGTCTGCGCCGCTGTGAATCACGGCGTCAGTGGTTTGGAAGGTTTGTTGGTTGATGGTGGATCTTACGCAGAGAAGAACCGGCCTGTTCCCGTGAGGACGGTGATGAAGATATCATCTCGCTTCTCGACTTCGCGGAGCCGCTCACCAAGAAGGTGGTAGAGATTGGTGTTGAGGGCATTGAGCTTGTCGGCACGGTTAAGTGTTATTATCGCAATGCGGCCTTGGTAGGTGAGGGTGATGGCGTTGGGGTCGGCCATTGTATGGAATTCGATTGCTTATCGATAGGAACGAGTAGTAGCTAGACTGGTGAAAAGAAAAAGGTTATCAGATATCAGTTGATGATTATGCAACCCCATGCTTTAAACTTGGGGTAGCTTCAGGCTATTGCGGGGAGATTGCCGAGGCTCATTTCGGCGCAGCGAGGTGGTCGGCCATTATTCGGTTGGCAGAGCATTTCTTGATTTCAAGTTTGAAATGGCAGTTCTGCTGATTCATATATTCATGGCCAGTTGGCCTCGGACAGCATGCTGTCTTTAATCGTAGATGTATTTGGCGGTCATTTGTGTGGCGTAAACCGAGAACCGAGTTTATCTACACCAGAGAGGCCAAACACATATAGTCCAAGTTTTCCGGACATAATTATATATGCTATGGTGTATCATCTTCGCAAATGAATCTCACTGAGAGGTGCTGCCATATCAATAGAGTATTTATAGTAAAATGACAAATGCGAAGCTGCAGAGTCGCTAATATAGATCAAGCGATGTTTGCACTGTTTGCATGCTCGTGGTGTGGAGTACGCCGTTTCCAGGATTTCCATGAATTCGATCTGAAGTGTTGTTTGTTGTCTTTGAGGCAACTGCTACAATCAACATCTCTCGCTGTCTCATTACATCAATACTGGTATTAGTATCGGAGGATCTTCAATTCCTTCTCTCCGCAAAACCTTCGCGCCTCATCACGAACCACCTAGAAACCAGCGACTTCCATATCTCATACCATCAGAAACTAAAACAACCGTCTGCCCAAAAGTCGAACACAACATTAACTAGCACAATGTCGGGGGTGCTTCGCAAACTCCAAGGCGGGAACCTAGAAGTCTTCAAAGTAGGTCTACTTCACTAACCCTCTCTCTCTCTGTCTCCTACCTAAACTGACTGCCGTCACATAGTTCGGAATGTACATCCTATTTCCAATCGGCTGGATGTACTACTTCGGCACCAACTTGGAAGAACGATTCTCAGTCCGCGACTTCTGGCCCACAGCCGAACAATCGCATAAAATTCCCGAGTCCGTTGAGGAGATCGACCGTGAGTTGACGAGGATGAGGATGCTGGATGGAATGAAACGGGAAAGGCGCCAGAAAGAATTGCAGCAACGACAAGAAGCTGCGGCTACGGCTTCACACGGAGCCGAGGAGGCGGCGTCGTCCTAAATGCAATATGAAGGGTGATAATATAGCCCTGCCTTGAAGGATAAATACAATTTCTACAAGTCTTACACTCTCCAATCTCGAAACCTTTGGGACAATGTGATGTTTGTTTCTGCGCTACTCAATCATTTGTTTTATACGGAGTTCATGGTCGATCAAAACCGGGGTCACTCGAGCATTCTTTATGCCCCGATTGTACAATACAAGTGGGAAGTTAGATATCCATGTACATATTTACAAATTAAGTGATTCGCTTCTCAAAGATTGCGGTAATATATTTTGCATTGATTTCTGGCCTAAAACTGGTCCTGACCCCCGTTGTAATGTATTAGTGGACCTCTATTAAAATTTCTGACTTCAAATAATTATCTCAGAATGCACAATAATATATTACAAGAATCGAAGGCTTGTTATATCGGATCGAGCAGCAACAACACTTCTACCCGGTATACGACTTATCTTATATTATAGCCCGAGCCTTCCAAATAAATAACACACAAACGCCATCAAGCACCCACGCTCAATTGGATAGACCGACAAATTAAATGCAACAAAAGGAGCAATCTGCTTGGATAGTTACACAATTGCCGATTTTGCGGCTTGCAACATGTAGGAGATGAAAGTTTATTTTCGTAATCAAGCGGTAGTGAGTCACAATTCGTGGAGTGCTGTAGCGACAGGTGCTTTGACTGTGTCGTACACTACATTGAGGTTGCCGCCTGTGGACGAGGATGCTGCGCCTTTCAAGACGGAGTTCGCAGAGGGGATGTAATCTTGGATCATGGAGACGTCAGCGGTCAGGTAGTAAACGAGGTGGCCGTAGATAGAAGCCACGTGGTTTGGTAGGTAAACGTAGGCGGCGGTGATGAGCAGGGTAAGAAGACTGATAACGAGAGAATCTGTCGCAATTCCTTGGTATTAGCAGAGTGTCCACAGGTAATATCGTGCTCAAGTCGGGGACTTACTGAAGATGAACTTCTCGGTCGGCGTGAGCATGTAGAGGGCGAATGTGACTTCATACTGGTAATTTTTCAAGCGAAGCCAGCGAACGAAGGAGGTCAGCACCGAGGGCGACGAGGCAGAGGTGGCGTGGGTCATGGCTGGCAGGTTCGAGCGATGTCGTGTGATCAGGTTGAATTGATTAATTATTTCTGCTGGATTTCTTGAAGCATATGATTATCGTGCGAGGACTGTTCGACGAGCTCTGGATCATAATCGGTCAGAAACGGGCGCAGTCTGCAGTGTTTGTTGGTGGAGGAGAGAAAAACGGCGGCTAGATTCTCCTGAGAGCGATGGACAAATCCCCGCCAGAAAAGAATAATACGATGAATGACGAGCATAACAGAGGTTAGGCCTCTCCAAGGATCTCTACAGGGGTTTTTCTTACAACGTAATTTATGTCGTGTATGATTATTGTATCCGTATTTTGTTCTTTATTACTGCCTCCATACCGCAAATCCTACAGTGTGCGTCCACGGTTTCGAGCGAGCGCAATCAACCGGCAGAGTCCAAGACGAACTATGGAAGAATAATGCTTCTGCCTTGGCTCTAGCTCTCTGGAGCAGCCGTCAAGCAGCTTTCGCTGGTAGTGCCGGAGATGCGCAATTGCTCGCCCTCATTAGTCGAGCCAACCATGGTATACCCACCCCTGGCAAGCAGTCAGCATATCGAATTGGTAGAATCGATATACCCAAAATCAAAAAGGGGCAGTACATCCAACGTGAAACCCATCTCAATTTCGATCGTTGATTCGTTGGAGACGTGAAAGCCAAGGCTATCGCAGTGCCAAGAGTCGAAACCCTTTCGCCGCCCGGAGCACTCCGGACACTTCACCCGCATGAAACTTGAGCAACATTGAAGCTTTCTACCGCTGCTCGTAATTTGGCGACTAGAAAAACACCACAAATCCCCGCCTGTCTCGTCTTTTCCAAATCGGTGACAGTGGTCTAGAAAGCTTTTTAGCGCGGTCTAGTACGGCTCGTTGAGTCGCCGTGGCACGATAACGATGAGGTTGAAAGACTGAACCTCATAAAATGGAAAGGATTTGTCAAAATGCGCTCAGGACATGCACCCGGCTCGTCAGACCTTTCTCAACACGTCCTGCCTGTGCGGTGAAACAGCTGCCGCCACGACCCAAGCTGGATGACGAGGATATCACAGGGTCGTACCTCAAGGGCTCGGGACCAGGCGGCCAGAAGATTGTAAGCTGGCCTCTAATACCGAGCAGCCCTTTGCTTTTGTTGATTCTAATGCAAAAATACAGAATAAAACAAATTCAGCTGTCCAGCTGATTCACAAGCCAACAGGAATAGTGGTTAAGAGCCAGGCTACGCGCTCGCGCTCACAAAATCAGAAGATAGCCCGTGAGATACTGGCTGCCAAAATCGAGGAGCTGGAAAAGGGCGAGCAGAGTCGCACGGCGATCAAAGCTGCCTTGAAAAGGAAGAAGAAGGCAAGTTCGATGAAGAAGAAACGGAGAAAGTACCGAGCACTAGAAGAAGAGAAACAAACCCGAGAGGTGCCTTCTGATGAACGCGATGATGAAACTTATCCTACAGCAGAAGTAGCCGAGAAGCTAGAAGAGAATGTCCCTGAATCAAGAAGGTGATATTACTGAGATTAATATTGCATCTCTCGTCTACTATTGGAATATTTATCGATTGCAAGGGCTGCTGCGTGATCTGGAAATGGGTATCAAAAAGGGGTATTTGCTAAGCTATCGAAAATTGTTTCTCAAGCCTACACTGGCATATTGGAACAGATTAATCAACGTGCCTTTATCTATCGCTTCAAGACACAATTTTTTGGGGATTGGAAAAGAGATGTATTAGAGAGTTCGTCAATATTGCTTTTTGTGAACATCGAAGATATCACACAGTCATATACCCGGCTAGAACCTTCTGGCCTTCGGGGGATAGACGCTCTTGAACAAACCCACTGATTCTCCCACTTTGTTTTGAGTCCGCCTCTTTCAAATATTTGCCAACCCATACTTTAATTTCCGATCCAGTTTCGGGCCATGGGTCTTTCTGACGAGGTCGAACAGTGTTCAAGGGGGTGAATCCAACTCCAAATGCCATGTCATCAACATCATGCTCTGTGATAATGTCGTCGCGTGTGGCGGGGAGAGGCGGCAATTCCAATAGCTTCAGAAGTGCCTCACATGTGAAACCCCAACCTTTCTTATATCGATTTGCGAAAGCCTCCGAATTGGCAAGTGTCTTGGTAAAAGAAATAACTGCGGTTTTGCGATCCAATGGTTTCGCAAGCTTCTGGGATTCGGGTAGAATAAGATTTAGATAAATCGGGGTGAATAGACTAACGTCGTTAGATACGATGACACGAATAAATTACAATTCTTGAATACTCACTCGGTTTGAACTTTGTCTGTAACTTGGATGAAGAAATCGGCACTATAGCCTTGATCATCCCGGGCTGAAACAAAGTGATAGAAACGGACAAAACGCGACTGGAGATTCTCTGTCTTGGAATTCTGCAGCCGGGTCAAGAGGACCTGCATAATAGAAACAAAGTATTGCTCCAAAGCAGTTCTAGTAAAAATTAGCTTGTAACCTAACCAACGCGTTTTTGAATAAACTTACGAGGGGAAGCTTCCAACAACACTTTCCAAGAGATCAAAGCCATGACCTTCATTAGCCTTTGTGGAAAGCAATTTCTGGAAGATACCAAGAATAGGTTCGATCTGGTTGTTCTGCAAGATGAATTGCGCGCCCCGTGGAATGATAGCTGATAGCAGCCGAACCAGGGCAGGGACATTCCCTCTAGACTCCCACATAACAGGCATGAGGATTGGCGCGATCAACGCCTTGTAGTAGTCTGGCAATGTCGCAGCAGGGTTTGCTTCGAGAAGGGCAGCAAAAAGCTGGAAAATATAGGGCATGAATTCTGACACTAATCAGCACCTGTCCTTCGTGAGAATGATAATGTATATAGGTCTTACCTTGAACATCTGCCTGAAGGACTCCAGCAAAGGGAGCATACAGGGCTTGCTCTAATTTCTCGGGGTTGGCGGGTGCCGCGAATCTGAAGAATATTAGAAAGACACCAGATATCATTATAGGGAAAACTCACCGAATAAAAGCACCGAGCGACTCGAAATGGTAGTAATAGAAGCGCGGGTTGCTGGGATTGTTGCTAATGATTTGTGTGATTTTAATAAAGTGCTCTAGAACGGGCTCGGTGTGTGGAACAACTGCTTCTTTGATCACAAGAAGAACCCTCATAACACACTTCATTAAGAACTCGTTTTCTTGCACCTTCGGAGGAGATGGGTCTTTCTCGACGAGTTGGAAAAGATGCTCCAGAAGCTCCTTTGCCAGCGGGGTAATATTGGCAGGTGGAACAACAGGCTGGCCAGCGGCATTGTGGAATGCAAGCACTCGCTCAACAGCGATGGCTGCATAAGTGTAGACAACATAATTTGATGAGCCAAGGTGGTTGACCAGTAATGGGAAAACTTCCTGCCACTGGGCGGCCGTGATGATACTTCGAAATAGATACAGATATTTGATAGCATCCACTTTCAGAATTGGGTGCAGTCCACTGTCGTTAACCAGGTCCGAAGCAAGATTGTTTTGGAAGAAAGTCGCAATTTCCACATGTTTACTCACAGTTGTGATACCATGAGTGGCGGTCGCTGTACCCTTGGCCGCAATTGCTGAGAACAGGTACGTAGCAGTGTCCTTTGATTTCCAATTTGAAGCTGGATTCTCGGAGTACTCTGCAAGGTAGTGGTTGGTGTACTGTAGGACTGTTTTGGTAACCAATTCCTCAAATTTGCTAGCCAGCTGTCGTACGAAGTCAGTTGCAGCTCTACGTCTTGTGTCGCTGTCAGAACCCTCCAGATCGCGCCGAATAAACTCAATAGGTTCGTCCTCAAACAGCTCTTCATCGGATTCTCTCAGGGAAATGTTAGGAAGTATAACTTTTTCAATAACCTGGCCTAGAGTCGCTTCATTTTCGAAGATTTTTGCGTGTTCAGGCATGCTTGTGGTTGATGTCAAAAATTGTAACGCTTTGCTGACCAGAATATCGTATTTTGTCTCTTGTCCGACGTTCGTCAACAGGTTCCAGGAGTTGGCGACAAACTGATCAACATGAGGACCGAAAACGTCGCCGTATTTCTGCACAAAAAGGGTTGACACCTCAAATATACCTGCCCTAACAAATTCAAGAAGTCCTGACTCGGTTTCATCATCCGTGTGCAGCAACTGATTATCGTAGAGCAAATATTTAAGAAGCAAGCTGGCGATAGACTGCACGTTGTCCTCAACCATCGGAGCCAGGTCCTGGCAATTCAGATCATACATTAATTTAATCATCAGGTTGAGCTGCGTGAAGCCTTGTACGAGTTGTTCTTTGTTAGATTTGTTCTCTTCGATAAACCCATCCAGTCCCTGTCATAGTTAGCTTGGAATCTTCGTCCTAGAGCAAGGCAGGACTCACCTCGAATAATTTTAGGTATGGCGTCGAAAATGTCGAGAGAACATGATTGATCTCGGTAAAGAGCTCGTCTGATCGAAACAAGGGTCGCCATCTTCGGAAAATAGAATGCGCAACAGTAAGAACCCCAATGTTAACGGTCGGGTTTTTCGGATCCAATCTCGACACCAGGTCCTGTGACACTCAATCATCAACATGCATCATGAGGATTATATTCATTCCAACGTACAGTCACCAGTGTATCCCATCGCTCCCAGAAATCACTGTCGGCAATCACACTGACTGCCTCGCCAAGTTGAGTCTGGATTCCACCTGGAACGTTGATCATGAGATTGATCAGTTCACGTTTGATGGTTAGAACCTCGTCTTGCGATAACTTGTAGTTTCCATCCTCATCTACCCAGTTTCTACGAATGAGGTTCTTGAAGCATAGAGCACTTGCGAGGCGGGTATTGTAAGGATAGTCGCCGGACGCGGTAATGTGTAGCAAGGATATCGAAAAGCCTGGTTTTTTCTCTTCCTGACGGAGTGTGATTTCGGCTTCAGATTGCATTAGCTGACTTCCATATAAAACGATTGGCAAGTTTTGGGTTTACCTTGTTTGTTCTGCCTAGGGTCCAAGCTTGCCTCCAAGAGCTGGGCAACCTCTCCCAAGTCGGCTGCCATCCTGAGCCAGATGAAGGGAGGGGGGCAACAAGAGAAAGACCGCAGAAGATAGGAGCTATTTAAAAAGAAAGACCTTAAGTAACTGTATGCAAGTAATACTGGCGCAACGCGTTTGGAAGGCCGTTGCAGCGAGAAGAGGTTGGTATGAAAGAGAAAAGCACCCACAGCTTTCCTTGTCCGGCAATTTGTTTGGCTGCGGGACGAGCGCGGTGGGAGCTGCCGTTTGGTGGGGTTTCAAGAGTTGCTCTTGCCCTGGCAACTCCGCCAAACAGCGCAAACAGCGCAAACCACGCAAACCCAGCAGTGAGTCATGTGATCTCAGCAAGACCTCACATCATTATTCGCATGTCGCAGCAGCTCATTTAGCCCAACTATGACTGACGAGCAGCATGCGCAGTCACAGCGTGTCTGTATGTCTAGAATATTACATGCTATCCAATATAGTTACGTCTTTTCTAGCAGGCATTGGTGCTCGTGCTATGGTAAAACATCAACACAACTAGGCTTGTGCATAAACAGGATTACAGAAAATTTTCTCCGATTTGCCTGAGCTTATTTTTCTGTGCTCTCGCCGTAACCATAGCCTGTCACCTTGGCACCTGCTTATCTTTGAGTACAGTGGGCGATAGACTAGTACATACTACATAGTAGGATTGCTAGAAAGGCTATCGTCGGAGACCCGTCCGTACGCTTTGGGCTAGTTACATGAGATCCCACCTACCTGCATTTCCTTCTCTCAGACCACCAGTTGGTTCGGTCTTGATGTGAAAAGCTCCTAGCTTGCAAATTCTTTTGTGTGCGTTTTGTCTGTGTGTCGCGTACATCGGGTCTTGCATGATCTATCTCGACCTTCTCAAGACTCATTCTGAGTGAGCTGTGAGGTGTGTGTCTCCCACATTACTGACGGACAAGTCACCAAACGCCGTGCCTAGCTAACTATCTCGGCTTATCTAGCTCTTCAAACAGAAATCGATTATCGCAAGAGCAAACTTTCTTGAAAATCTGCGGATGTCTTCCGGAAATGACCGCCAGCCAGCGAAGCAAACCTCCTCCTCGTTCGCAGATGTCTTCAAGACCTTAGCATCAGGTCGCCGGAAATCCATCTCTCCACTTTCAGCCTCTGAGACCAGTAACATCGATAATGATATAACAGACACTCGCCGGGATAGCCGTGCAACATTTGGGTTCGAAGCAATGCATCGCGGAAGCCTTACACCAAACCCTCCAGACTTCCGCTCTCCCCCCGACTTTGAGACAGCCCTCCGGAATCTTCAACACCCGGTGTTGGCTGGCGAAGAGGTAGAGCTAGTCGCCAGAGCCGTGAACAGATTCACTCCGGAACAATCTGTCGCCTTGTGGAAAGCTGCCTCCCATCTTCTTTATCAAGAGGAGTCAGAAGATGGCCGGCAGCGAGCATCAAAGTTGTTGGACGCTGTTTCCGGGAGACACGACTTGCTGCCAGAGCTAAAACAACAACTTTGCACCAGTATCCTACCCCAAACAGCAGTTGATGTGATCCCCGTACGAGTCAATGCGTTGATTTCTTTATCCGACAATGGCCGAAAGCTAGATAACATTCGAGTTAATATTTTACCGACTCTGGCAGAATTTCTCTTTCCTTTATTCCAACTTGTGTCGAATATGCGATCTAGAGCCAAGAAAAACAAGCTGCCACTTGACGATGAAACGCCACTAGACACCTTGTTCGATTTCATACTCAGTATTATTACGCTTCAACATCCTCCTACACATGAAGGAGATGTCAAACTACTCCTTGACGCAGTTTTCCAGATTTGCAGGAAAACGGCATCATCAAGAGACCTGAAAAATGCACTAGCCGTTTTTGACGCCACCATTTGCTACACAAATGTTCCTAAATCAAGCTTCGTGTCATTATTAGAGGTTCTATGCAGCATACACGCTTCCGTCAAACCTCTCAGGGGTCCTACTTCTCGAGTTATTCGCAGCATACTAAAGTCTCCCAGTCGGTCATCGATGGTTGAAACACTTCATTCTTTCCTAGATGAAGACCCAGAGGCCCACAATCGGAATTCAAATGTGATGCGAGGCGCCATCGAAATCTTGAATGATCTCGTCCGAGGTTTTGACCGTCAGGAATTATCTGAGCTATCATTTACCAAGTTGGTTGATTCTCTTCGCATAATTGTATCACGAAAACGAGTAGATGCCGACGTGATTGAACTTTGTGCGAGTATGTTAAGTGGTGATTTTGCTTTAATTTGCTTGCAGGGGCAAGATTGGTCTCGCTTCGCCGATTTGCTGATACAATGCTGCCATTACATCGAAGAGAATGATGTCGACAATACTCAAACACCTACAACCCCATCTGCAAATTCAAAAGGTGTTCCGCAAGCCGATCGTATCGTCTCCAGCGTTTCGCACTTGGCGCTTTCAGTCGAGCAACTTTGGAAACGCCTCAACTCCGAACAACAAGACCAAATCATACGGTTTCTGAAATTGACACACAATTATTTGTCTCCATCTCAGGCTCGTCTTCTGATTAACCATCTTAGGGTTCGACAAGCATGTTGGCCGGGACATCCTGATTGGGAGTCCCAATCGACGTGGCTTGTTGAAGCCATCCTACGGAAATCAACCAAAGCATCTGATGTTCGGGTATTGGCTATTGAAACTCTTGAAGAGGCCTTTCTTGAAGGCTCCAACTTGACCATGTTCGAAGATGCTGGCGTGATCAGGCGTTTGCTCCAGGACTTTGCTGATGAAACAGACACGATTTATTTATCGTCACTTGTGTCTGTGATGATCGAAATTTGTAGCAAGGCAGATGATAATACTTTTCACGTTATCGTCGACACTTTGAGCTCACCGATGACCGCCGATTTACTTGATGAAGAAGCTCTTGCAAATACAAACATACCACCTTTTCAATCCCGTCGGGGTTCTGCTAGCGCATTAGAGCCGTCTCTATCAAATATTTGCATGGTCGGTCTTGTTCGACTGTTTCTCCGATTTTTGAATATATCACCTGACCGAGCCGCGTTGTTATTCGAAACTCTGATCTTTATCACGAAGACGTGGAAGAAAAGACCGCCTGATGCTTTACTGACCGTTTTCAAACTTCTATTTAGGCTGCGCAGCGATTCTTCGGGTGCAATAATGGTTGCAGTGGATTTGGAAAATGACTTCCTAGTCGCTGTTCTAAGTCGAACACTTGATATTGGTGTAAAACAAACTGCCAATGTAGAGGCGCCTTCCAGTGATCGATCGTCAGTGGCTACTGATGACGGGCTACCTACAAACTTGGGGAGGCTATCGTTACGCGAGCAACCTGTACCTAGTGTGACCTCCAAGTCAATTTCACGCATCAGTAGCTCTCACTTACGCATAGCGAAGTGGTCACCTCCCAGTTGGACGCACATTGAATCGAGAGGTCTTCCTGATGAACCTCCCACCTATTCGAGTCCTCTTGTCTATGCTTATAAGAACGCCGAGGCAGAAACCGATATCGAAGCAGAGGACAACGTCACTGTTCTGAAGATTAATATATACCTAGAAACGATTATAGATCTCTTGCAGAAGCGGGATACCCATTGGGATCTCTATAGCTATATTTTAGCTCACCTCGGACCGCAATTAAGCAACAAGGATTTGTTTACCAACGCAGTCCCTCAAATCCAAATGCTACGCAACATTCTATGTGGCCAAATCAAGGGCGAGGCATTCCGCGAACCCCCGACTACCACAGGTATCAAAAAGGCGGATGTGGCCATCTGTGTTTTTGATTCACTGTCAATGCTCATTGGGTATCACGAATATTTCGCCAAGAGCGAGCAGGACGAGCTTGTTCGTGCATTCATGCTAGGTATCGGGTCGTGGGATGGCACATCCCGAGGATGTATACACGCTTTATCTGTTTGCTGTCATGAGATCCCACTTTCAGTGACCAAATCTTTGAATGCAATACTTGATAAAATGTCAAAGGTCATAACAATGTCACATGTGGCAGTACACATTTTGGAGTTTCTGGCTCTTCTAGCTCGACTACCAGACGTGTATGTCAATCTTCGTGAAGAAGAAATACGCACAGTCTTTGGAATTTGCATACGTTTCATACAGACAAGTAGGGAACAACAACGCAAAACAATGGAGTCGCCTGTTAGTCGAGCTGGAAGTATCAATACAAGACTTAGTGGTGGTTTAAGAGAGCTAGCCTCTGTGCAGGTCGACTCGGCAGAGCCAAACTGGCAAGAAGGTGTTGCTCAATATGTATACACATTGACTTATCATGTTCTCGTTTTCTGGTTTCTATCTCTCAAGCTCCAAGACCGTGCAAAACATGTGAACTGGATCACTAATCGGCTAATTTTCACGGACGAGCATGGCCGTGGGGTAGTTGAAGAACAGAGTGAAGTGTTTATAGATTTAATGCAGCGTGTGACTTTCTCCGACTTGGGCGACACAATTCCTTACGAGAGTTTTCCTCCAACGCCCGAAGATGGTCCTGTTTCTTCCAAATCATGGATTGTTGGAATGAGTATTGTGACCATTGAAACTGCTGGTACATCAGGTCTCACACAGATCACTAAAAGAATGGCCTCTGGTACTACTTACGCTGAATACCGACAACGTACAGCACCAGTATTACCTCACCAAATCCCCGCAACGCCCGGTGTCCTGTCATTAACCGACGCCTCCAACCGAGTGGCTATATTTCCTTCTCATATCCTACTTCAAATGAATGCCTCAGCTTTCCCTACCCCCATGGTGATGCAACCCATACCATTACCAGATGATGCGATGACTCGAAGAGCTATCAGTTCCTTTGATAGGAACGACATTGTTGATGGACATAAAATCGGTGTTGTTTTCATTAACAAGGACCAAACCTCTGAAGCTGAGATTTTGGCAAACACGATTGGAAGCGCCGACTATGAGCACTTCTTGGCTGGATTAGGAACCAAAGTTTCTATTCGTGATGCTCAGTTCAACACACAGGGTCTCCATAGTGACTTAGACGGCGAATTCACGTACGCTTGGCGGGATCGTGTAGCAGAAATTGTGTATCATGTGGCAACGATGATGCCTACTAACCCCGAGACTGACCCTAATTGCGTGGCTAAAAAACGTCACATAGGTAACGACTTTGTCAATATCATCTTCAATCGCTCGAATAGGCCATTCAACTTTGAGACCATTCCCTCACAGTTCAACTCGATCAATATAGTCATTACTCCGGTGTCTAGGATATCTGAGTACGATTTTGAGCGGAGCGCAAATTTTGTGCCCGACTATAACAAATCATTCTACATAGTTCGGGTTATGACAAAGCCTGGCTTGCCTGAACTTTCGCCTGCCTCAACACCAAAGATCATCTCTGGGAAGAGCCTTGCTGCATATGTTCGTATCCTTGCAATGAATGCTTCCGTTTTCACACGCGTCTGGAACAAGGAAGGTGGTGAGCACATCTCATCGTGGAGAAACCGGCTCAGGGAAATCAAGCGGTTGCGAGAGCGAGTGCTGTCACCTCCTAGCCAGCCTACCGATTCCACAGAAGGAGGATTTTTAGGCTACCGTCGCAATACGCGAGCAAATATATATTCTGAGGAGGAAGCGTCAACTCGACCCAATGTGCGCACCGATTTCAGCGCTGAATGGAATTCCGCGACCGATGGCAACGTTTCCCAGGCTCTGGACTTTTCACGCTGGTCTCGCTAATCAACATAGCGTATATATTCTTGTCCGGCCTGACTGCATACCGCGACATTCCACATCTTACCACATGCATTGAAATACATAATTGTTTCGGCTCTTTGTGATGCCAATATCGAACGTGGTTGAGAAATAGCAGGTTGGTCCAGTTTACAATTCTATCAAAAGTTTTTCGTTTGTTTTCCCGCCCTCAATTCTATCGTCTTTAGCCTACGCTGTCATTCCGCTTGGTTTCTAGAAGGATAAGGTGTTCTACGTCTCTCAGGTTTCATGTTTCAATGACAATTTCATCAAATTTCGACTGAGAGTCTGGAATTCTTCTCAAAAGTCTTGCAAAGCGACAACAGCAGAAGACATGGGATCAAGGCAAAAGAAGGAGTTTGTTGTTTATAATGTATTGTTTCTTTTTGAAAATGTGATTGTAACGAAGCGACGACAACTTACGGGATTATGAAAAAAAGCAAGCAAACAAGTTACCTTTTCATCTTGAAGAGTACTTGGTTTCTTATGTCTAGGAAAAGGGTTCAAAATGTTCTCTTTCAATGTATGCTCTATATTCTAGTCATAGTATGACAATGTATGTAGGGCTGATGGATCCATCTCTCCGATCTCTTAATTAAACTCAACTATGTAGCCATATATGTTTGACCCTACATATATGTATACCTTTTTAAATTGTTTAATCTAGAAAAACCGTGTCGGATTAACCAGTGTCATTTTTCCACACTCCTAGAAGACATATTATACACTTCCCTACGGCATTGCTGGGCGTGGGGAGCAGAAAATTAACATTTCTCGAATACCTTCTCCCTCCAAATAATCACTTGTCATCAGCATCACCACCCAAACACCTCAGCCACACTGACCGTGTTCCATCGTATACCGAAACCAACCGCAATAACAACAATAATCAAGTCAACCACACCTAGTACGGTCGCTCCGAACATGAACCTCGGACTGAAAATGCGGTACAGCATCAGATGGCGACGCAGGTGGCCGGCCCACATTGTGGTTGCCAGGTTAATGGTTGCGTAGTAGAGCATATGTGTTGCAGAGGCCTGGGCGACGTCGGAGAGGAGATGGAGCATGGAACGATCCGGCGTCGTGCTATCTGCTGCTGGTGACGAGGTGACCAGATGCATGGGCACGCGGCCGTGTGTGTCGATAGGGCGTTTCCAGAGAACCACAAGTGGGACTGCGACAGCAGCGAGGATTTGTGCGCCGAACGTGTTGAGGATGACGATAAGCGGCGACCAGGGGTATCTGACTGTGGATAAAGCGAAGAATGCGCTTTCCCACTGGATGCTGTTCAGGGTAGCCTGATGACCTGTTTTGAAAAAATGAAATGAGCCCAAAAGGCCGAGCACGATAGGTCCGATGGCTGAATTCGTAGTGGTGAGCGTGTTGGTGTCGAGGATTTCGAGGAGTGATAGGATTTGTAGCATTTCAATGGCGATAGCGCCTTGACCCATCGGTTTACTCAAGAGGATAATGGCAAGTCCGAAATTGATGACTAGGAGGAAGAATCTGCTACCATGTACGTTTGCGAATCCGAGGATGGTGATGGTTGTGCGTTGTTGCTGTCCAGGTTGCTCGATATTACCTGCGCCGCCCTGTGTGACGTTGATGCTAATGCATGGCTTTGCCCAGATGAATGTTGCTGTTCCAGCTGCAAACGCAATAGCAAGGACCAGCTGTGCTAGGATATTCTGGAATGACTTTATGAGCCCTTTAGCAAGAGGGAACATCTCGTTGTCATCAGCTGCATGGAAAGTCCAGAAAACGGCGGAGATTAATAATCCAATGCGGAAGGCAAAGCCAATCCAAAGTGTAGCAGACCCTTCATATGATTTTGAGCCAACATAAAACGAGCGGATCACAGTTGGTAGAAGTAAAGCAACTGCAAAAGGAACGATGAGCTGCCAAGGAGCTGATGTTGATGAGGTTGCGGAAGCGTAATAAGTTGATTTGCAAAAAGGCATCTGTTCTTCACGACACAAACGAGAGAAGGATGCAACTCTAGTCAAGATGATGAAGAGGATTGAATGGTACGTCCCTAGAACTCTATCTGAGGTTGATGTTTGTCGCATGGAAGATATTCCACCCAGGACGCCAAAAGTGACGAGGAAAAACAGTAGGATCTGATCTTCCCAGATAGTATAGGAATTGGATGCAAATCCAATAGATTGAGATACAGTCGCAATTATTGCAAACCAGCCCCAGGAAGAGTTAGGAAGTGATGACTTAAAGCTTTGTGGTGCCGAGAAAAATGTTGATAGCGCACCAAGCATGCTTGCTCCAGATGTGCCAAATGCTAGGGAGTCAATAAGGTCGACTTCGGCCAGATATGCATAAAGAGAACCAGACACAGCACCTAGAACAAGACCTTGGCCTGTACGATAAAGTAAGATGGAATTAAACGTCGTCCGCTCTTCGCGTAAACCTCTGGCGTAGGTTACCAATATCACGATACCCCCGAAAAGTAACACGATGCCTTGTATCATACTAGGGATGTCAAATCGAGCCCAGAGACCACGGCAGACGTTCAAGGTATCCCGTTGGTATTCCCTATAGGCCGTATAGGCCATCCGTAATTTTTCTGAATTCGAGCCTAGTTTCGACAATGCTTTCCATTGTGACTCTGCCCCAGTCCAGAGTGATAAAGGACCCGATGTTTGACTTTCGTCGACACCTCGCGCTAATGCGTACCGGTGCTGGTATCTTTTAATCTGCGCCGACGTGATTCGGTTCACAGTTGCGAGGTTCTTGAGGTCCAATCCTGTGCGGCCTGCAAAAGCCTCTTCTATGGGCGACCCAAGATTGTTGAAGGGGATAGGTATCCCGAGAAGCAAAGACAGGGTAGGAACAATATCAATCTGAGGGATAGGCCTCTCCTTGGCAGTCTTCGGGGGTTTCGAGTACTGCGGGTTTGTGCGCCCGAATATTCCTTTCTTCGAGTACATCCAAAGCGCAGCTTCAACTTCATCATCGGATTCACCCCCATGATCGCCTTTCGAGTCCATGCCATGGTCACCCATTACGATGAGCAGTGTGTCATCATCGAGCATGTTGATAACATCACGTATAACCTTATCCATTTGTTTTAATTTTTCAGCCATTGCAGGATGGTCAGGGCCGTAGCGATGCCCAGCGTGGTCTACGCCGAGATAGTGACCGAAAATGACGTCCCATCTTGTTGCGTTCGAAGGGTGAAGGAGCGGGAAAAGGTTATTATTTACTCCATTATCCACGGTATGTAGATCCCATACATTGAAAGAGTCGAAGGGGCGTGTGAGTTCCGGGTCAAAATAGTCTGGAAACAGACTATGCCAGGTATCATCTCCAAGGTGAACCAAGGTCTTGCCAGCTATGCGCAACTGAGATACAATATTATCTTCGTCAATGGCAGTACCAGCGAAATTGGAGCCGGCATCAACGAACGTTGGTAATGTGCCAGTTGTAAGGCCCTTCAATCGTTGGAGGGTAGTTGTAGGGGGGTCAGCAATGAAAGGAAGAAGAAAAGCCCTCTCAGGGGTTTGCATAGCAGTCTCGTAGAAAATGGGAATATTTTCGTGAAACACTTGTGCCTGATCACTCTCTGATTCTGGGTGGAATGGAACTGTGAAATCGTATCTTAGGGCATCAATTATTAAGAAGACCGCTTTATCGAAAGTCTTGGGGTGCCAGCAGCCCTTGTCTATTTGTCCACCACTGAAATCGCCATCATCCAAGGGAGAAATATCACAACTCGACTTGTCACTGAGGACTAGGCGAGTCAAAAGAAATCCTTTCGTGAACAGATATATACCGGTAACGTGTACGAAACTATAGGAAACACATATATTAGCCTGAATCCTTTGCAAAAGGAAGTTATGTGGCTCAAAAGCATAAAAGAACTCACAAAATCCATAAGAGTATACCAACGACACCAAAATGTTTCCTTTTAAACTCGTTCTCCTTGATCCGTAACAGTTCCTTGCTCTTTGAGCTTTCTGACCCCTGGCTTATATCATCATTCCGTCCATTCTTTGAGACGCCCGATGGGTCGTTTTGAAAGGATTTGGTATCCCGGTCCTTTGAGGTCGAATAAAGGGCCGATTTCGGAGAGGCCTGACTGCCCGAAAACTCTTTCCCTGATGTGCTTGCGAGCATTACCGGTGCCAAGGGCGAATTTGTGTGTAGGTAGGTCGAGCGGGTAGCTCGGGTTATTGAACGTGTCGAGTCTTATAAATGAAAAAGGTTGTAAAATGGATTATCTGGGAACATGCAGTATATAAATCATTTAAATAAACAGCATCTTGGTCAATAGAGAGAGTGTATGAAATGTGCCGCTTTGGTGCTCTAGTGTTGGGTCATAGATTCGTTCGTGGTCGAGTTGTTCGGTGTGGGAAGAACCAATGGTTGTTTGGAATAAGTATTAATTAAATTAGTGGATTAAGAGAGAAAGAACGACATCAAAAGTGGGAAGAGAAACTATATAGAGTTGTGTTGACGGCAAATTTTATACCAAGTGGGTGTCGATCTGATGGAGTTGCGAAGGGCGGATACCGGATAGTTAGCTTTGAGTCGCGAAAATGGGCCCGCTGTCATTGGCCAATCCAGTCCCCTTAGAAGCAGGAAATGAGAAGCCAGTTCAGTCTTCACAGGACAAGGTCAACACTGAATATAGCTTGGCGTTACCGGTATATTGAAAGATGTATAAAGAGGATCTAATTTTAATTAATTTAGCAATTCCTCATTGTTAGCAGAAAGGTATAAATAAAGACTAGATTTCCAAGATAAATAGTTCCACCTTCCTATACTTTATATACCACTAAAATTTACTATATCACATAAGGATTCGTAAAATATTAACTATCTTAAAACTATCTTTGGCTTTCTATCGAGTGGCTCTTGATCTACTACGAATTTGAGGGAGTGCTTCTTTTCTCTCATTATTTTTTTCCAGCAGTCCTGTCAGACCTTAGAATACAGTACCTTCATTCTATCCGAAATTGCACAAAAACTGAGGGTATACAGCACCTAGTTGGTACTTGATGAAGTTGGTGTTCAGCTTTGCATGCTACATCATGTCATATGATGATACCTGTGAACATGTAATGCGGCCAATTTTCTCAAAAACCTGATGCTATCAAGACCTGAGAAGCTGCTCCTCGTCCACGCATAGGATTGTGACCAGAGGGGCAATTAAAGGCAACAAAGGAAATGACCAGCATGACAAGGGTCAACGAAACTAGTCCCGGTGGCATTATCTGGGCACTACATATGCAGCCAGTTCTGAAAAGAAAGAACAAAACAGAAGGTAGCTGACATAGGATTGCTGTTGACTGAAAATATCTCACTAGGATGTGGATGAAATACAAATGCGTTTCCTGTGTAGAAGGCATGCAGGAAGATTTCAAAAAATCAGCTTCTGATGTGTTCTGAGGCCCCTGGTTTGGCAATAAAGGGTCATGAAGATGTACTAAACATAAGCTTCTGTCCTTCTGAGTCTTAAAAGAGTTTAAGAGGCCAAATTGGGTTCACAAAGGGTGAAATCCCTACATCTACACACATATTTATCTCCTATAACACGCTCCAGATTTGCATATATAAAGCTTCAAGTCCTCTTGAAAAGTTCTACGTCTTTCATTCATCCTGAATATTAATATTTTTTTCATTCATTCTATGCATTAGAAAAAGCATCCTGTTCTCATCTGTTCAAAATTCCTGCCAACAGAGGAAAAGAACCCGAATATGGAAGCCCTTGCAGACCATGTCAAAGCATTGACCAAGTCCGGTGATGCAAAGACACGCTGGGAAATCTTGGACCAGTTGCAATTATTGAGTCATTCTATGGATAACACTATTCTGATATTCTCTTTCCTGAACTTGTAGCTTGCTGGCCTTCGTACTGGTGCTGATTTAAAGCTCTTCAATATCTTAACTGAGAGCACGAGTCCACTTACTGTTGGCGAAATTAGTCAAAAGCCGGATGCACACCCTGTCTTTCTAGGCATAGTCAGATATATGCTTCATTACTTGGATATGCACAGACTAAGCCTATCTTTTGTTAGGGTCATGTTCTGAGGTATCTCGCCTCTCTCGATGCTATCTAGCATTTGGATAAGGATACTCTCACTACGAACAACGTATGCAATACTCTCCCCACCAAAGGTGCTTAGGCAGCACTTCATCACTAGTCTGTCTGAACCTTCCCAGTTTCATTGGTTATTCTCAGACTAATTTAACGTAACTGATATCAGTTTTCACACAATGGGCACTGCGATCCAACAATTCCCTGACTTCCTGCAGGACACTAAATTTGCTGATCCCAAAGAGAGTATAAATACTGGGATACAAAGAGCTTACAAGACCAGCCTGCCGCTCTTCAACTGGATGCAAGCAGAACCCGTGAAGTTATCCTATTTCCAGCACTATTTGATGAACAATCGTACCGGAAGATCAACTTTCTTAGATATATATCTAGTGAAAGAGAATATCACCAATACTAACCCAGAATAATCTTTAATTGTTGATATTGGTGGACAATTTAGAACACAGGCTGTTACATTCAAAAAAAGGTATCTCGATTTGCCTGGAAAGGTTGATTATTGTAGACCTTTCACAGACAGTGGAGCAGGCTTCGCTGCATCCTAAGGTAGAAACCCAAGCACAAGACTTTTGCAACCTCAGATAGTCAAAGGTATCTTTATTTCCCATTTTAGCTATTCGTTTGTCTTAATAATTGATTTATTTTTTCTTCTAACATAAATATTTTGGTTTAAATTGCTAAGTTCTATATTTGCACAATATAATACATGACTGCCATGATGACAAGTGCTACTTGATCCTCAAACAACCAGTTAACATGATAGCACTTGATTCCTTTTTCTTCATTGATGAGATGATTTCAACTAAACTCTGGTGTTCACTGACAGATGGCTCAGCTAGATATGTTGATGATGGCTATATTAGCAGCACAGGAACACACTCAAGAGCAGTGGTAAAAACTTCTGAAAGCGCTGGTTTAAAGATTAGTAACTAGATTAGTAACATACATCCTTACACCGACAACTTGAAAGGATGGGCATTGTTGAGGCAGGCCTATTGTAATGTGATTGATGGCACTAGCAGTGGCTTGTCTGCTCTACTTTGTGCAGAAAGATAAAGGGAATTCTACATATGTACGTTAGAGGTAGAGGCATATAAAACAAGTAATTTCATTATTTACTCAAATAAGGTGCGGACTAGAAGGCGAACTATGCTGGCCTGATTACATCATTCACAAGCTTATCCAGTCATGCTCCAGATTCCCAGAAAATAAGAAGCCAAAATAATTCAGGAAGCAGAATGGAAGAATAAAAGTATGGTATGGATAGTGTGAAGTCGCCGGTCTGCCTCGTCGGAGCCCTAGTGACGTGGCAGGGCCGCAAGCAAGGCATTTCGCGGTAGAATCAAAAAAATAAGTGTAGCTGAAAGAGCTACACAAGGAAAAGCGGGATTTTCGAGGCACGATAAAGCCCGCTTAATATTCACAACGAGAAGTCCCAGGGTCGGGTTATGTACAGGCACATAAAGAGTTGTAAAGCAGTGCCGGTCCGACCGTCATGTAGTTCGACAGTGTAGTACTCTGGGGAGGGTTATAGAGGAATAGGATGACAATAGACATTGGTATGTGCAACAAATTTAACGAAGGGCGCATAGAGTGGCACGTCGTTGCTGAAGAATCAAAGTACAATTATAAGTGATCACGCCCGGATTATGGTATTCGTCATGCTGATAGATAGGGTCGTAGAAATCGAGAAAATACAACATCGATAAGGTATCTTGCTGGCTGATATTGTCGAGAGAATCGGAGCAAAACGGTGGGCCTGTCAGAGAGCGTCTAAGACCACCGGGTGCCTTCATCCTTTTCTTTTAGTCCCCCAATACGCTCGAGGTCGAGGGATTGGAAGCGGCCAGACTCGTTGGTTTGGTAGGGAGGAAGTTCTTCTTTGCATGGTTCTAGACCAACACCGCCAGTCTCGCTGATGTGCACAACGACGACGCGGCCTGATTTGCGCTTTCCAGACTCATCCTCCTCCTCGGGGAAGGTGATGCGAATCTCTGGCACGGGACTGGGAGGTGGGCTTGACGAATTGTGGAGGAGATCCCGCTTTTCATTATACACATGAATGGAACCAGTCCTGCTGTTCTGTGTAATTGTAAGACGACGGTGGTGCTTTTGACTATTGTTGTAGAGAGGAAGTTGGGACTGCTGCTTGCGACGGCGCTGGCGCAGTACTAGCAAACTACCGGAGAGGATTATGGCAAGCAATATCAAAACCAGTAACGAGATGAGCAGGTTGACGGTCGAGGGCGTCAAGGCTCCCGAATTGCTGTCATCGCGGGCAGCCAAAACGGGAATGGCGGCCATGGCTTTCTGCGGTTTTGAGCACACAAAGTTGTCCTAGGTAGCGGGAGTATACGCGAGTAGTAGTTGTCGATATGCGGATTGTCTAATTGTGCAGGTGGTCCTCGATGGCTCAACTTGATAATGTGTGGTGGTTAAAGAGTGTAGTGGGCACGCGTGGGTTGGTTAACGTGCAGGTAAATCAGGCAATGAGCGACGACGGTTTGTTGTTGTTCGGGTCGAAAGAATGAATGGCACGGTGAGCAGCTGAAGGAGTGAAGCTGCTGGCACCGGCTGGCGGATTGAGAAGACAGGAAGGGAGCGAAGTCGAAGGTTGAAGGCTAGGAGGGTTGAAGGGAGGAGAGGAGAGGAGGGAAAAGAATGTGGAGAGGGAAGAAGAATAATAATAACGGGCGAGAGAAAGGGGATGGGGCGTCCCTGCGTTCCTGCCTGCGAATCGAGGCAGTGCGGCCTCTGTCGCGGTGCTGGGGCCGGACTGGTCCAGGCCAGATGAGGGTGGGCACAAAAATAGAGACTCCGAGGATAGCACTGAGTTGAGTTCATCCGTGGCTGGCCCGGCCGCTGGCACTAGGCTGTACTAGGATTAGCGGCGGCAGTACCTGGCAGCGCTGGCCAATAGACGATAGCCAGGCACGCGCCGGCCAGGAACGCTGCTGCTTGGCGCCAACAAGCCATCCCTGTTCAGGCCTGGTGCGCCCTATCTCGCCTATCAGAAGCCCGCGCTGCTGTGGTGCAATTTCACTGCTGCTGCCACGGCTGCTGGTTGGCCCAGCTGTCACGCGCCTTGTTGGGCGACGGGGGTGATATGAACACACTATAGTGGTGTATGTATTAGCCTATGGGGACCGGCGGTGTTGTGATAAGATGTCAAGTGTGAACTTCGACGTGTGATATTATTAGTTGTCGCTCTCAAACCCGCAGACAGTGGCCATTCACCAAAGAACTTTGATAGGTTTGAATATATTATTTGTTAGTATTGGCATATCGATATGCCAGTAATCCCAGACTGAATTCAGCGGGGAATAAATCAAGGTCAGCACGCAAGGGCTGGCTGCAATTGATATAGAAAGTTTATATTTCTTCAGCCCGCACTCCAAGCAATAAATGTATGCATGGCACTGCATATATATCATTACTATTTCTCTAGTTCTGGCCTCCTTCTACCGTAGGAATTATTGCCTCTGTTTGTAAGTTTCCTGTCCTAGAAATATGAAAACAAATTTGATGACGCCAATGTGGGGCGCGAGGCCGATCGTTAGGGGGAGTGGCGAGGGTTGATGTTATTCGATGCTGTTGCTACTGCGAAAACGTTCAGATTGTTTATCTGCTTTATCAAACAGCTGATCAAGCAAGGATGCAGTTAAGCTGCATACATATGTACCGTGTAGATGCTTTTCAGAGATTTGTTGTTTACGGATGCCAACAGAAAGCATAACAAGTTCTATCGCCCGGTTGGACTGTTTGCACATGTAGCAATCAACGAGTTTTACTGTTACAGGCTTTGTATTTATTTAAAAAACAATCTCAAGTTAGCTACCTGTGGCATTGTTTGCTTATTTATAACGGAAAGTACTGAAAAATATCAATTAAAGTATATTGATTTTGAAGAGTTCCGGATAACGGCTATCAACTTCGAATATTTGGATCACGTATGTACAACCGCATTTCTCATCCTGCAGTGATAATACGTCCTAGCTCTATCGATAATATCAATCGTCTATAAGATAAGAGCCAATAAACCAATATTCGAATAGTCAATTAAAGCTCATTAATCTAGACTACGAACTGACATTCAAACCTAAGATGCTACGCAAAATAATAAGAACAGAAATTGGCATATTAACATTGAATGATGAGATGACTGGATACAACAAGTCATCAATCGTCTAGAGTTAGGAATACTCTAAATTTTTTATTGTCACTAATCCTATCCACTACTTACCTTGACCATGGTAGCTCTACTTCCATTTTCTGTTGTCGGTGTACTGCCTATCATGATATGGTCAATGACGCAGCAAAGTAGCCAACTCTGCTTGTCATTTCGACCCAAATGAACAGAAACGGTCTCATGTATTCCGCAGAACAACCCCGCACACTCAACCAGAACCTAAGAATATAGACACTTGCACCGGGCATATAGTGGCAACGACAACAGTTCCCTTGGTACTCGAAAGCTAATTAGCAGGAGAAAATTCTCTGGCTGTTGTAACATTGGCGTGTGTATGACAGGTAATGGATGTATGCGCTGTTTCTATTCAGCAACTACATGCAGCATTATCGCTTCCCTCAATGCTTGTTAGGACTATCGGAAATGCCAGTAACGTCCCATTGACTGGATACTCCCACAATTCAAAATAGGATCGATTCTCTGTGGGTTTACATCGTATTTCCATGCCCACAATTGATGGCCTAAATTTGAACCAAGAGCTTGAAGGCTCTGGAGAGAGTAAACTAGGGGTACGGTGAAGTAAGGGGCACGGGATGAGAGGGACGGTGATATCGAGGCATTGCAGACCAAGACTACCTTTCAATCGAAAACGATAAGGTTCTTACATAACTGAATCGTTCAACTTGCTCGCAGTTTACTGCTTCAAACTGTGAGCCCAATCACCATTCGCAATATATTGATGAGTTTCCTACCCGCATATTTCACGTTGATATGCCCCTTCATACCGCCGATCAATCAGGAGAAGAAATTTCGAGGAAATAGAACCAGAGTAAGTGAACCACGTACCAGGCGTGTCAAGAATGAATGGATAGTCCTGAAGATGAGGCGGGCTGTCACTCATTTTTCCCCTACAAGCCGGAATGGGTGATGGTAACCCACGAAAGAAGTTCCTAAATTCTCCTTTTCGAAGGACAAATAATCGGCTGCACTCTAGTGCCTAGGATTAGATTTGAAATAATAATTTCGCCGAGAAAGCTGTAGCCACAACGCGCGATGGGGGAGGAGTAGTGCGCGGATAGATCGTCGATTGACTCCGATAGTGTCTGTAAATTGCAGGTAGTCGCGGCACTAAGACGCTACTACATTATCGACGTCAGAATCAATCACGCTGTCATCAATCAATAATAATAATTATGACCGCTGTTCTGTCGTCAACAAAATGGTAGGTTGTTTGATTGTAGAGTGACTCGCACAGAGAAAAAATGACTCATTGCAGAGAGGTGTTGTCCATGGAACGTGGGTCGAACCTACCCCTCATTATTATAGCCAGTTCATAGCCTTGGTAGCTTCCACTTCCACTTCCACTGTCATAGTGCGGCCTCCCAAGGGTCGGCTTCCTGGATATTATACAGTTTGAGTTGGAAGTTGGGGGATATGGATGACACCCCTAGCCCTGATCCAGTTAGCTGCGGCATGTCGCTTGGAGTTGTCGTCCGAGTGGACGCGGTGGGGGCTTTGTCGGCTGCATAGGCGGATGTACTAGTAGCAGATAGGAGTCTTGTGGTACTATACATAGAACTCATGGTTACTCACCTGTTTATACAGCTGCATTTCTCCAGTTGTCATCGGGATTCTGGCTCTCGGCGCAGGGAACGATGCGTACCGTGACTTAGTACCTTGTATTTCTAGTATATTATGGTATGCATGTATGTGTGTATACTGTGTGAGTATCGCCGAGTCCCTGACGTCGTGGTGTTGGCTGTGGAACCTGCAGGGCGGAGAGATCAGAGCAATCGATAGTAACGCACGCCATCGTAGTACTAGGCCAAGTAAGTCAAGACAGCCGGTTCTGGATTGATTATTCATGGATATTAGACTGTTCCCAAGCTTTCTGGGCAGGAAGCTTTGCCCTGGCCGCGGCTGCCCCCAGGTCACGCCCCTTCGGCCCGCCAGTCTGCACTGGTGGCTACTGTCACTGTACAGGTGGCGCCTTCCTTGTCTGACGACTGCCTGAGCCGCTCTTTCTTCTGTGTTCTTTCTTGCCTTCTTTCACAGCGAGGGCAACCACAGGTCGGGGCGGGTGCCTTCCCGGCCTGGCGGTGGGCCTCCCTCTGCCGCCCTGCAAGCCTGCAAGACTCTCCTCAGTGCTGCCAGACACTGGTGTCCGTAATTTACCGCGCGTATGGCCCCGTACCGCCGCCCCAAACAGCCCATCGTACGCCCGCCACTGCAGATCCCCGGTTACCTGCAGAGCCTGCAAATCCGCCTGCCTTGGCTGGTACCAAGCCCGCCAGCCCGTATCGTCACGCCCCGTACGCGCCCTCCCTTACGGCAGCACGCTAGTCTTGTAGCAGCTAGCGGCACCCAGCAGAGCCGTGCCAAGCTAGATGGAAATCCACGTCTCGCTCACTTATCAGACTCACAGCTTTTTTTACGACTCACTGCTCCTTGGAACGGCTGCCTTCCTCCCCATTGTTCCTGCACCCCATGCCCTCTCTTCGCGTTTCTGCCATCCGTTCGACAGAATAAAAAGAGAGGCTCTGTATTTACCTCCTTATTCTTCTCCTTCCCCCCTTCTTTTTCACTTCTTTCCTTCGCTGCTCTTTATTGTGCCCTCCCGTCGATCTTCCTGCCGCTGCCGTCTCGACCATTTCCGACCAGATTCGTGAGACAAAAAAAAGGCTGTGATCGACCCTACCCAACGCCCATTACCCGAACACCCAACAACAAAAACAACCGCACTGCCTGTCAGCTATCTAGCGACTCTATCAATAACATCGTCTCGACGGCGTCCCTCCTGCCGCTGTTGTCGACGCATTCCAGCTGCTCGGAGTCACTGGCACCTGTCTGGCGTGTGCGATAGACCAGCATTCCTCCTGCCTTCACTGGAACCCCTTGCCTCCGCCAATCGTCAAGCCCTTCAAGTCTCGCTTGGCCCTGCAGAGACAGCATTCGGCCCGATCTCCATAACCTTCATGAATGCGATCTGCGGCTGTTTGAATTCCTGGGGCATGCACGGAGTATAGGTCAATTATCCACCCGTACTGCACGCCATCTCGTTCCCGCTGCTACTCACCGTGAGCACCGAGCGTGAAGGAGAGGAAACCGCTGACAGACTGCCTTGCATCAACATAATCCATCCATTACGGCCGGTGTTCTTCCCCCCTCCGTCGTCCTCCAATTCTTGTAAAATCCTTCACCTACGTTAGTTTTATTATCGGACCGCATCGAGTACCGCCGACCTAGCTGTCCATCCCGCTCTTTTGATCCTCACCCCGAAACGGTTCTGAAGGATATCGATAACCCTGCTTGCCTACTGGACGGGCTTGCCGAAAGCTTTTTAACTTCTTGCGACTCCCTTCCGTGAGTGCTACCTGAATCTTCCTAACCTCACGTGAGCATTTCTTGCGCGTCTCTTCGCATCGACGATTAACGTGAGCACTCCCTAGCAGGGATATATAATTATCAACAGTGCTACGAAATTTTACTTGCAATTTATAATATCGTTCGGACCGATTTGGCTACTGTGTTAGCGCATCTTTAATCACAGTTGGGCACATTTGACCTAACTGAACTGACGTAAATACGATTAATCTTTATACCACCCTGTGGTCATCACAATGGCCTCAGCAATGGCCACGAATGGATCTGGTGTCCATAATAATGTAAGTACCCGTCTTTTGATAGTCATTCTCATCTAATTGATGAATTCAGACCCGTACAACCCGCATGGATTCCTCTTCGAACATCAACAACGACCGAGCACGATCCGTAAACACTGCGGGGATGGGAAATGGATTTCCAAGCAGCAAGGATCGATGGGCAAACATTTGGTCCAGTGGCAAAAACATTGGGACAACATTCAACCCCGAGACGGGGCCTGAGGGAACAGTTAATAGAGGTGAGAACCGCACGCCTCAACATGTGGAATGGAAAAACAGTTAGCTAACGCGGGATGCAGAAAATGCTTTCCAAGGCAAAACCGGGTCGGGCTCTTTGCTTGCTACATCGGAATCCGACGGATGGGCAGGTCGCCACAGTATCCCCTGGAACACCACTACGTCGGCATCGACTTTGGGAAGTAACAGCATGACCACATCGCCAGTCGAGAGTCGTGCCGGTGATCGAAATGCATCTACAAGAGCAGAGGTTGGAGACACGAGCTCTTACTTTACCTTGCCCCGCTCCTCTGCCATCGGTCAAACGCAACCTGGTTCCGTCTCGAAAGGATATCTCAGCTCAGCTGCAGAGAACTACACATCCCCGACCGAAGCTCTGTCGTTTGCAAATTTCGGAAATTTCAGAAATGACGACCCAGCAGGTCATAGGCAGTTGAACTCCTTTTCTGCTAACCCTGCTAATGGTGGATTTCAACGAAAAGCAAGCGTGGTCTCAAATGTATCGAATGCCCGAGACTCCCAGGATGTTATTGGATCTATGACCATGTCGCCGTTCTCTCACGTTGCTTCAGAGTCAATTTCTGCAGGGTCTACCCACACAGGTAATCAGAACGCTTATTCGCACATCGGTCAAAATTCGATCTCCATGGCATCACGCCCATCTCACTCTTCTCACCCGTCCTATCCATCCGAGCCCCACGCTCTTGATTCACGGTTCACCACTGGACAGATCGATATTAGTACTGGACTGAACCGTCTACAATTAAACGACAACCAATCTCTTGGCGGCTATTCGAACTCTCGGCGACCTTCGTACATGCACCAGGGACCAATCGACGTTTCAGCAAACCGTATCAACAGCCAATTCTCCTCCGATGAGGCGAATTACCAAGGAGTTGCTACGTACAGCGCCGACATGACGGCGGAGTTTCCACTCTCATATCAGCATATTCCAAGATTGGGCGAACGCGAATCATCACCTACAGCTGATTATTCACGTGCGGTTAATAGTCCTTTTTATCCCACAGTCGCAACACCTATCCTTCGACCTTCATCTAGTCATCGCGTCACCGGCCAGGCTAGTGAGGGACAGCCGGCCATTTTAGATCGGAAATTGCGCGGGTTGCAACAAGAGCAAGATTTCAATCAGGTGGCAGGTGCTTCGCTCCAACGTGTCTCATTCCCTAGCAATTACGAGCTCTCTGGGTACTCAGCCAATAGATTGAACGCATTCCCTCCTTATCTACAGATGTCGTTTGGTGGTCTACCTGCGATGGGTCAACGAGTTTCTCACCGTGACCCTGACCCTAGTCAAGTTGTGCGCAGTGCGGTTTTGGAAGAGTTCCGTACCCACAACAAGTCTAACAAGCGGTACGAATTGAAAGTAAGTATCACCTTCGGTCTTTGGATTTAGGTAGGCATTGAATTAACAAATTGCAGGATATCTACAACCACATTGTTGAGTTCAGCGGAGATCAACACGGGTCTCGATTTATTCAACAGAAACTGGAATCCGCCAACAGTGATGAAAAGGACCAGGTTTTCCGCGAGATTCAACCAAACTGCTTGCAATTAATGACTGACGTGTTCGGTAATTATGTTGTGCAGAAACTGTTCGAACACGGTAACCAATCTCAGAAGAAAATATTGGCAAATCTGATGAAGGGCCATGTTCTCACTTTATCCATGCAAATGTATGGCTGCCGTGTTGTACAAAAGGCTTTGGAGCACATTTTGACCGACCAACAAGCTTCTATGGTCAAGGAGCTGGAGAACTACGTCTTGAAGTGTGTTCGCGATCAGAACGGGAACCATGTCATTCAGAAAGCTATTGAGCGCGTCCCATCAGAGCACATTCGGTTCATAATTAGTGCCTTCCAGGGCCAGGTTGCCAAGCTTGCCTCTCATCCTTACGGCTGTCGCGTCATTCAGAGGATGCTGGAACATTGCGAAACTCCTGACCGTGAATCAATACTCGCCGAGTTACATATTTGCACGGAAAGTTTGATCCCCGACCAATTCGGTAACTACGTCATCCAACATGTTATTGAGAATGGTGACGAGAAGGATCGGTCTCGTATGATATCGGCTGTCGTCAAAAATATTCATAATTTCTCGAAACACAAATTTGCTAGCAATGTGGTCGAAAAGAGCATTGAGTTTGGCGAGGACACCCAGCGTCGAGAGATTATCCGGCTTTTGACAGCCCACAATGATCGAGGCGAGAGTCCACTGCTTGGACTCATGCGCGATCAATATGGCAATTATGTCATCCGTAAGTCACATTTTTCACATTCCAAGTCAATAATAATTCTAATATTTGATAAAGAGAAAGTTCTCGGACAAGTCAAGGGCGATGAACGTGAAATGATCATCGAGGAGATCAAGCCGTTACTCGGCCAGCTGAAGAAATTCAGCTACGGCAAGCAAATAATCGCCATCGAGAAACTAATTGTCGACCCCAACGCTCCAATGGTATCCTCGAACTCGTCAAATACGCCACCAGCGTCTCACAAAAACTCACCCCAACCTTCTCGTAGGTCATTGACTGATATTAAATCCCCAGTTGGTGGCGTAGCTCCTCCCACTCCGCCACCTACCGATACCCAGAGCCTCCATGGAGGCTCTGCTACTGACGGATCTGTCGATGGACCTGTCGAATCGTCAAATGGTTTAGCTGGCACATCTGTTGCTGCCATTCCTGAATCTACTGTCACGCACCAGCCTGGAGCTGATATGTGACTTTCGGTGCCGGCGAAACCTCAATGCATTAATTATGCACCGATGGCTTTGATTGTATGAATGTTTCATACACCTAATTCAGCACTGTTTTATATTCTATTTTTACCGGAGGGAAATATACATACAGGAATTTCATGGAGATGTAATGATTTTTTTCCGTGTCCAAATTTCTGTTCCTGTGCCTTCTTCTTTTCAGATTTTCCTTCAGTTCCACGTTGTGGGTATGTACAAGATATGAGGGTACATGAATGATGGGCTAGATTTCTGTGTCGGTTTACCACTTCATGACGCGGCACAGGGATTCTGTATGCTTGCGTGGTGGACCTCACATTCGACGATTGTTTTCCCTCCGCAATCTTGATGCCATGAAGATATGCCTGTTTTACTCGATTCTCTTCTCTTCTCATTATGCCGTTTCTGTTGGCGTGGACAAAGGCGTCTTATGGTTCATTTACTTCACTCAGATTTCGGCGGACTTTCGGTGGATTGACTCGGGAATATTGCATAGGCGCTTTGCTTGACGACTGGAAACTTAAGAAGGGCAAGGGGCACGGATATGTTAAAGGCAATAACAAAAGATGTGATGGCTTTATTCTTATAGATACTTAATTGATAAATTGATTATTCTTCGCTATCGATTAGCTCTATGAATGCATTGATATTCTACAATTGATAGTGAGATCTAAATACACCGAGCACTACAAGAGGATATCTATTGATCACTTAATAAACCAACTTGAAATCTTGAGTTCACCTCGTATGTTAACAGAAAGTAGAGGGGCTGTGATTTTTCATTTGATCACGTGACCACCCCTCTTGGAGTCGCCTCCGGCATTACGACAAAGTTTCAGGGAAAGAATTAACTACACGAATCTTTCTGCCATCAAACGCTACTTCTCTTTTGAACGAATCCAAAGACATATTTAATCAAAGCTTCTATTTTCTTCCGGAACAAAACCTAATCTTCCCCGTCCATTCTGGTAATAGCGGGTGATCGAATCAAAATATTTGCCTTCGCCAAAAATAGCGACCGAGCGACACACCTCGCTCCTCGCTCATTGGTTTTTCTCGCCTGAGAAAAAAAATTTGATAAGTTCAAAATATGTCTTCCAACGTTGGTCTTTCTACGCCACGTGGTAGTGGTACATCTGGCTACGTCCAGCGCAACAGCGCATTTCTCAAGCCCCGCGCCGCTGGATTCGGAGCTCCATACCCCCCCGTTTCCTCCTCATCGATCGACAAACCCTCATCTGGGTTCAAGCAGCGTCAGCCCGATAAGCAGATCCTCGAGCACGACCGCATGCGAGCAATTGAAGTGAAGGTACTTGAAGAGCGGGAGCGGCTTGAAGAAGAGAATGAAGACAGAGAGAAAGATAAGAAGATGCCGTTGGCCGAGGAGGAGATTGATGAAAAGTGTGATGCACTCAGAAAGAAACTTATGAAAGAGATGGAGGATGGCCCCGACGAGGGTGAGAGGAAGGGTGATAGACGGAGAGGAAGGCGAGATTCAGGGCCTAAGGAGAGAAGACAATTCAAGAGTTATCAGGTGCATGAACAGGCAGAGGCCAAGATGCAGGAAAGTGAGAGGTTAAGGAAAGCTTTGGGGATCAAGGAAGATTGGGAGCGGCCAGAGTCGAGAGAGAAGGATGGCAGTGGGGGAAGAAGAGAGCTGGCGCCGAGTTCTCGTCGGAGTCGCGAATGAATGTAATAATTTTTGTTAATGCACTGATGAGCCAATAACAATTCGTATATATATGTTGCCCTCATATTTTGCCTTGAACTGCCCCACCATCTGCCAATTTCAATTTCAGTTTGATCCTCATTGGTACAATACAAGATGGGATGTCTACAACTTCAAATACTGAAAAGGAAGAAAACCACCACAGCATTGAAGACATATCATAGGCCGTACATATGGTGAGAAGCTAGAGTTTAGCGGTATCAATTGATAAGTGCACGGTCCATATGTTTTTCTTCCCCGCGTACCCATCAGGCTAATTATATGCTCCTATACTGCATCCTTCTCCTTTATGATTACTATCGCGATAATGTGCCGTAATTTCTTCATGGATATACCCAATAAAACGCTTCTGCTCTGATATCTGATCATTCCCGAAGTATTGCAACTGAGGTACGTAGAACATAGGTTACAATCTATGACTGCTTATTACGTATATACTCACCACTGACCAGACTAACCGGTCAACTGTGTATTAAATTATACTCTAGATAAAACTATCGCGATATGCGGACCTCAGGTAAGAAACCTTTCAATAATCCAGCCTTCCTTCGGGTCCTTCACCTGCACAACTTTCTTTGCTGGCAGCGGCCATCCTGTGCTTCCGGGTTCTCCAACTAACAAAGGTACAATAAAGCACTGACGACGCTGAGGAACGCTTGTTAAGGCCTCGACTTTGCCGATCGGTTTTCCGTACTCAATCAGCGGGGTTCCATGCGCCAGAGCCAAGAGTTGTAACCCACTCGGTGCAACTAATGGAAACATTCGAATTTTAGGGACATTGCTTCCTGTGACGTGAGAGGGGGTTGATTGCTGGAGGTGAGAGTATATTATATACTGTGGCATCTCCTTGGGTGTTAGATGCGCGAGAATCGAAGATGGATGTATATACACGGCTTTCTCATCCACTTCTGTAGCCCGGCTTTCGCGAGACCGGAAGAGAGTATAATAAGGCACGTCAACTGCTCCTCGAGGCTTACGTTGCATTTCTGGAGGTTCAGGTGACATATCTGCTCGAATTGCAACGTTGTCGATGAATCCAGCGGTGACTATCTGTTTGAGAGCTTTGATTTGCTTCTCTGTTGGTTCGGGGAGGCGGGACTCGTATGACCCTAGCAGACCAAGGTTATTAGTGCGGACGATATCCGCAAGTTGGCTCCGGAGCTGAGATGCTTCTTTGAGGCCTTTGGCACGTAGGAACATTTTCTCACAGAAGGATTCTTCGTCAGATGCGGATGCGTACGCATACGCACAGATTGCAGACAGATATCTCAGTGCGTCGGAGGTGTCATCATGCTTGCTGAGTAAACGCTGAGCTCGGTAGAAGTCTTTGCGACGTTTTTCTCGAGCTGTATCCTCTAGTCTGTCAGAATTTGTGTAAATACCATCCTTGCCATTACCCAGTGTGGATACCATCGTATCAGACTGGCTTTCTTGGACAAAGAGATCACCGACAGCTAGAGCTGACACTACTGCAATAACGTAGGGCATACAACCGTGTTGATGGCCGATTTGCAGCATCTTACCATACCTGGGCGACAACGGATATGATGACAGCTTGTTTCCCAACTCGGTAACTTGACCATCGGATTTGAGTGCACCAAGATTTTTGAGTAGCTTCTCAGCCTTCGTCAAGCCCTGTCGGCTTGGAGGAGTAGGGAATGGAAAGTTGGTGACATTGTGCAGACCCATACTCTTCATTTGCAGTACGACACCTTCGATGGGCGTCCTCAGGATTTCTGGTTCCGTGTAGTCCGGAAAGTCTGCCTCATATATCGCACTTGAATATAGTCTATAGCAGTGACCGGGGCCTGTTCGACCGGCTCGACCAGCCCGCTGACTTGCACTGGCTTTACTTATCCAGCCAATCTGGAACGTTTGGACTCCTGTGGTAAGATCATACTGCTTTTCTTTTGACCTTCCACAATCGAAAACATATTTGATACCGGGAATAGTCAAACTAGTTTCAGCAACATTTGTAGCCAAGACTATAAGTCGTGAACCTTCTGGGGGTGGCTCAAAGACCTTCAACTGTTCTTTCGTGGGCAATTGAGAGTATAATGGGAGCACATGAACACGGGTAGAAGATGACATGCTTTCCTCGCCTAAGTCAAAATCCTCATCATCTTCATGCTCATCATCTAGACCGACAATATCAATGTCACTGTCATCATCCTCGCCTTGGGGTCCAGTATCTGGATCTCCTAGTTCGAGGTCCTCAGTCTCGAGCGGAGCATCTGCTGCAGAGAGCCGGAGTTTGCCTTGAAAATCCTCGCCGCGTTGTGTTGGTTTAAATACTTGTTTCAAGCGTTTGGACAGTTGCTTGATTTCGTTTTGCCCTGTGAGAAAGACAAGCATGGCCCCTGCTGGAAGCTTGCGATGCCCTCTCGATACCTTACGGAAAGCTTCTTCAACGTAGTCTCGATGAGTCCTTCGGGCAAAGTGAACCGTGACAGGGTATTGTCGCCCTTCGGCTTGAATAAGTGGTGGAATTCCATGTCGGAACAGATGAATGTTCTGGGTGAAGTCTGAAATTCGCAATGTAGCTGACATAATAACTAATTTTAGAGGCTTGACTGAAGGGTCCTCTTTGCACATACTTTCCCTGAGATCAACGATCCGGCTAGCCATACCAATCAGAATATCGGTATTGACACTTCTCTCGTGAGCTTCATCAATGATAATCACAGAATATTTGCTCAAAGAGAAGTCGTTTGCGATTTCTCGCAACAAAATACCGTCAGTCATGAATTTGATAGCTGTTTTGCTAGAAACATTGGTATCAAATCGAATTTGATATGATACGCGATCAGAATATTGGCCAAGCTCGTCACCAACTCGTTTCGACATGCTGACTGCCGCGACTCGTCGAGGTTGGGTGACGGCTATCATTCCAGGATTGGGGCTGTCCGGGTGGCCAAAACCGGCTTCAAAGAGAAATTGCGGTAGTTGGGTAGTCTTACCACTACCTGTCGCTCCCCAAATAACAATAGACGAGTTATTGAAAATAGCTTCCATAATTTTTTGTTCTTCACCAACCACCGGAAGCTTTAACCGTGCTTCTTGGATACCTTCTGGCCTATCCACCTGGACACTAAAAGCCTTGCGGTTTGGGTCTCTCGTGGTAGGTTGGAGTTCCTGAGGAAGTGGATAGTCCTCATACATAGAATTTTTTGGCACTTTGCCTTCCTTGACCATTAATTTGGCTGACAAAGAGAATTGCTCTGAAAGTGGCTGATCAGCGCTAGGCTTAAATCCCACGGATTCATTTATTCTACTCGTGGCCCATGATTTAAATGCGGACTGTCTTGGGCGAATAAGTGTTGTCTGTTTGCCATCATTGTCATCGTCTTCATCTTCATCTTCGCTCTCATCGCTGGTGGCGTCTTCGCTACTCCTTCCTGAAGGGAGTACATCCTCGGATTCATTTTCCGAATCAACTTCACTTCTCTCTTCCTTAGAGTCTACCGATAGATTTTCCAGATCTGCATTATCACTCTCTCTTTCGTCTTCACTAGAATCAAACCCTTCCCAAGGAAGATCTTTGGGCGCGGACTCGATTTTGCGTGTCCTCTTTCTCTTGAGAACTGGAAATCCATCTTCTCCAAGTTCAAGTGGCCGCTTCAAGCCAATTCCAATCTTTACCTGAGGGGCGGGTTTCTTTAGATCAGGAGCAGTCGCATTTTTCTCGCCTAATCCGGTTTCGAACTCATCCGAGTCATCGCCTGAAAGATGTGCTTCTGAAGCGTGCTGTGTTGTATCTGTGGTACCGAGGTGACTTCTTTCCTTTTTACCAGAGTCCTTGATGCTTCGAAACTCGGAAAGATCGACCTTCGTTTCGGCAAGCTTTTTCATTAACTCTAGACCCTCTTCTTTCCTCAATTTGGTTTCCTAGTCTTGTTAGCAACCAGCATTCAAACCACGAAAACCATAGAAATCTCGCACAATATATTTATCAAGACGCTTCTTCTTCTTTGAAGACATCTTAGGTTGCTGTTCCCGAAGCTGATCCCTCAGTTGCTGTCGCTTGGCCTCTTTTTCTGAATTGGAGACGGGAATGATTTCGGCAACATTGGTATCGGCGGGCGTGGCAGCTACCTTTCTATCATGCCGCCTATGCCTTTGCTTGCGATCCCGAGGCTTGAAAGGCGGCATATTGGCATGCAATTTGCCCGCGAACGGAGAGCCAGAGGAATGTTAGCAAGAAAGCGATCGCATATCAAAAAAATTATTGACGGGCTTTCTGAGGGGACGTAAATTTTGCCGGAAAATCTAAATGTGGTGTGGAGATCTACACTTACCGCTTTCATCACCGCCTTCACCGCCTTTGGACCCGCACAACTACCTACTACAGTCTTGTGCGTCTAGACAATTGACAACAGTGAATATCATCTTGATATTCTTGCAATCAACCCACCACAGTTGCTTCTCACAGAAAGCTCAAAATCAACTGCGCTTTGCATCCCAGGAACGCATAATGGCAGCCTCACTCGATTTAAATAGCTTGCATGAGGTGCTCAACCTCCCATTCCCTGCAGAAACTAAACAAGCTGCTGGTACGATCAATGGTGTCTTGACCGATGTACAATCGATATATTTCAGCGATAGAATATTAGTTACTGTATCACAAAGCGGCAGACTAGCTCATTGGGTGCGTCTCGGTCCTAATTAGAAACTTAGTGATACAAGGACTAAATTGATGTGAAGCTCCACGTACCTCTTGAGAATCAAAACCCAGGAACTGAGGGGTTTCATACGTTCGGAAATGGTGAAGCAGATGATGAACTTCTTCCATTTTCTAACTTATCCGCCACATCCCTATTGGGCGGCCATGCTCATGGACATGAAATTACCAACCAACTACTTGCACGTCAGATTGGTAGTGCAATTGCTACCAAGACTCCCAACGAGAAGAGGGTCCTTGTTGTGGGACTGGGTCTTGATCGGCCTCAAAATGAAAGGGATACCTTTTTCGCGATCATTGACCTCGTCCTACAATGTATTTGAAGGGAGACTGAAGTTGCAACAAAACTCAAAACCTACCCGTGGACAATACATATCAGCAATGCAAAATTCCGAGAGCTAATTCACAAAATGAGTGGACGATGCGACAATGCTATTAGATTGATTCACGGCAGCCTCATTCGCGCTACCGAATAACGAAGGTATCCCTCGATCAGTAGCCGATGCCCTACGGTGTTGAAACCCCTGTTGTTGAATAATATCCTGGGTTGGGCATTATTCTGAGCCTTCAACCAGTTTCACCCAACATTTGTTCAAGAAAGCAAAAGGAGCTGGCTAGAGGATACAGGGGATACTTATTAGAAGTGGATTCCTTCGCATTATCAGTGCCTAGTCTTGCAATTTGCCATGGTGACGGACGAGTTAGGAAGTTATAATAGGATTTGTTTGGCACTTCTACATATGTAAAATCTATTTAATCATATGTATTAGTTGATGGTTGTTGATTAATGACCAGACAACTCCGAATCTTCGCTAATTATTCAAGACTTCAAATACCGCCGTAGAGACAACAACCGCTGCGTATAATGAATTGAAAGTTTGCAGATATCACTACATGTAGAATTGCACGTTAATGACTAAAGTATATATATGGACACACCGGTATCCTATTTCAAACTTAATTACATCAGCATGATATCGTTAAGGACTCCTTTTAAGTCGACGAGTAAATGAATAAATAAATATATATATAAACAGCCTGGGTATTTCAAGGATAATACTGCAACACACCATGCGATCAGCAGGAAATCGGCGTTGAACAAGGTAAATGCTGTCAGTCATGAGCAGCAAGTATACAATGTTCTCTTGCATGCCATATATGTCTTGTTTTAATCGTATCTGCACCAAATGTGTCCGGTATGATCATTTCGTCACTGGTATTCCCCTCCATTGAAGGAGAAGCACCTTTGCCCACCGGAATCGGCTTCATAAGCCGTACTTCTTCCACGCTAGCCCCAAAGTCATATTCCCCTCGGCACAACACGGTGACTCCCAAAGTGGCACTTGTCTTTTCACCACCAGCCAATACAGGCAGAGCCCTTTGTAGCATACCAGTCCATGCAAGCCGTTTTGCTAAATCAAGTGCAATGGTTCCTGGCTGATTATGAAGACCAGGCTGTATACGCAGCAAGGGGTGTATTGGTCTGGAAGATCGATTGACAATTTCTACTGTGAGTGTGAGGAAATCATTGGTTTTAGCGACAAATTTTGATACTTTTGTTTGGGAAACAGGTTGTTTTTCATCGAAAGAAGACAAGGAAAATGTTATTTCGACATCTTCAAGACGCATTGCGTCCACCATCCTTGGGTTAAATCTTATACTTCGGAGGTCTATATTGCCTTCCCGACCAGTCGATTCCTCTTTCCACGAGCCTTGAATGCGTTTCAAGAATTCCTCACGGAACCAAAACGCCTCTCTAGACGCTGCCTCGCCTTCAAAGGTAAGTTTGTTTGCACTAACCACGAACTGTCTTCGTACGGTAGAGTGTAAGGTTGGAATGGCTGCATGAGCATTGTCCAAAAAGATCCGTGGAAGGACAAGAATAAAGCGAGAAATTTGCCCAGGTTGAAGAATGCCAGTGACAATCGTGGCTATATCATCATTTGAATTTTTCGACTCCGCGTATGGTTTTTGGAACACATCAAAAGCAACGGCAAGGGGGTTAGGCCATGCATTACGAAGGTCTAAAACCCCAAGACAGTGATCTGATCCATACGAGTCCCCACCGAGACGAGAAAGAGCAGTGGTCACTTGAGAAGAGTAGCTTTCTAACAAAGGTGAGGATTTTGGTTGATCAACGTCTAATGATGCTGCCGATGCTCCTGATCGCTTGTTGAAAAAAGCAATATCGCCTGGAATAGGGACAATGTCACAGCGTGCAATTTCAACACTTGCGTTCACTGTTACCGTCACAGGAACACAGAGTTGCCGAGTATAGAACGTTTCAGGAATTCCATCCGTGGGGCTTTCTAGACGACAGTAATCAATCTGGACAACAGCATCCTGTAACCCAGGTTTACCAAACACTTCCACGGTGAAAGTAGCTAGTTGTCCCGGCTCAATCATGACATCACCTAGATTTTGGCCATGTCGTATCCATGATAAGGAGGGTTTTGAGGATAACTGGAGGTCAAGCTCATATACTTCTGCAGGCAGTAGATCCTTATTGCCCAAAGCACCCTGTAGCTGACGAGTTGTTGAATCTTGGAAAGTGAAAAGAATAAAATTAACGGCACATGATGAAGTGTTATGCAAAGTTATGTCGAAAGATCGGTATTCGCCTTCTAAAATCATCATTGCTGATTGAGATAGAGACGTTGAATGTACGACGACTGAGGGCTGCTCGGGAATAACCTTGACTGTGCAGGTATGAGTTTCTGGCCCGAGTTTGACTAAACCCTTTCCGTCTTTTGAAACGGTTGAACTCCATGATAGAGGCCGTTCTGTGAAGGGCTCTTTCGCTGCTAAGCCGGTCCGTTTGAGTTTTGTTTCAGGGGTCGGTTGCCAGAGTTTCGCGAATATTGGAAATGTTCGTGATCGACAATTCCTCACCTTGACAGTACAACCGCTGATGCTTAATGTACCTTCTTTTTCTGCCACACCTGGAACTAGGATATTATACAAACATAGAGGAGGGATCGAAATATTCGATACTTGGGCTTTCAAAGCACCATTATCACTATGCAGGCGTAAACTTTCTATGTCCAGGTCGAACTCGTAGAGGTTTTGAAGTGTCACTTTGAATGTTGCAGATTCTTTGGCAATCATTAATGAATCAGATGTCTTATTATCCAACTTAGCAAATGGATTGTAAAGAAATGGGTCGTTTTTCGATTTTTCAGTTGGAACGTTCGCGGCATGCAAATCTTTCTTCGATCTTCGGAAAGGTTTTTTGAATTCCGGTACATCAAGAAGCACAATACCGCGGACCAGAAAGTCATCCCAGTACTCTGACTCAAGATGAGCCGCACCTAATGTACGTGCCGCACCAACAGTTCGTTTTATGTTGTTGAGGAGTCGCATCTGTTCATCCGGAGAAAGTATAGGCGGGGATTCATTTGTTTCTGGGAGCATCAGATGTCCTCGAATTGTTTGAAGGAGTTCCACGGTATACTGAAGAACACCTTCAAAGTCGGGGAGTGCTTCGCAGAGATTGATTGACAGTCTGAGGATGGCAATTTTCAAATTCAAGTCGCCACAACCACCGAGCGTAACATGACGGAAAGAGCGGTCAGCTATAGATGCAATAGAGTCATGCTCCTTCTCACTTATTTCGCCGTTTATAGCCGATGAGGGCCTGGACGTGGTTTTGCTTCTTTTATGTTCTTGATATATAGAAGGCTGGATCCCATATGTCTCTCCAATTAAGGCCAAAAGAGCACGTGTGCTTTCCTCCATGCTCCCGCGACCTGCATCTAGTGCATTTATTTCAAAAGCAGTATCGTTCAAAGACGAGAGACCTGCAGCGGGGTGTATTCCAACTTCGGCGGCGCCAATTTTCCGAGCCTCTACTAAACCCGGAACCATAAGTGTTATCAATTCTTTGAGAACCATTGCTTTCTTACGAGGAAGGCCCAAGGTCGACAGGACGGAAGCTATACCAACAAGAATCGGCACTGCATCGGTCGTAGGTAATTCCGCGTTGGCCTGGAGAGGTAAAGCACGGAATAGAAAATTGGCTATTTCGGTATTTTTCAAAATGGGCGCTCCTCGTGGCCGCTCTGGTTGTTGCACCGATACAAGACGTTCATTCATGACAACATGTCTCAATGCATCGTCATCCAGACTGCCATCCCTTAACCTGATTGCAGAAAGTAGACGCGATAAACGTATAACTGTTTCCGAAAAGACCAAGGCTGGCAAAGGCTCATCTGTTATGATAGAAGCACGATTATATAAATTGATGATGTTGTTGCAAAGGTCAGGGACTAGATTAGCCAAATTCTGTAAGGATATAGATCGATTTCCTGGAATCGACTGGCCAGGTCCTGATGAATCCTGGGTGACGTTGACAGAGCCCGCGTACGATGATTTAGAGCTAGATTTCTCTGCGACAGGATAGCAAATTTGGGGAATCTGGTCACTGAGAATTAGCCTTAACGAAATTAAATAGAGTAACATGGGCTCTCAGACCTGAAAGTCCATTCCTGCCCAGCCGAACATTAAAAGACACAAAAGAATGGATTCTAGAGCTTTCCCGTGCCAGACATAGTCACTGCTAGCTCGGGCCATCGTGGCAGCTTCAACAAGTTCCTTTAAGGCATCTGGCCATCGTCCAGTCTGTAGGTAGAGAGTACCAATTACAACGCCAAGCCGGCCTTTTATTCTGCTTTTTGTGCGGTCTGCAGCACTAAGTCCCTGGACAGACATTCGATCACGACTAGTTTCCTTAGAAGATGGAGGTCTCCCGGTAGAATTTGAGCGATTGGCAACTTGTATAGATCGAGTGATTTCGTCGAACGTGGTTGGTGAGTCATGACCCCTAGGAGCTGGTGAGGATCTACTAGAGCTGGCTGCTGATTCCGAGTCCCCATTGGATACTGGAAGTTGGGCAGGCATAGTCATTCTGTGCATGAGCTTATCAACAGGGCTTGGTCGCAGCTCTGGGGCTCGACGAGGACCCCATGAGGAAGCCTTTGGCGAATCAATAGCGGGGATGCTTTGCATAAGCTTTGCAAACTCGTCTAGTTCCCCGAGCAGCACGGAAGTGATATCGCATAGGACAGTTTTGATGGTTGTCGGTCTCGAAGATTGAGGACCAGGCACCCATGTAACCTCATCTGGCCCACTTGTCAATTTGTTTATGCCTTCATATTCGAATATGAGCAATTGGCTGACGAGAGCCTTAGGATTATGCTCCTTGATCCATTCTAGCTCTCGTACAAGGTCACCTAAGCCATCGGGTCTGGGATGACTGTCTCCTTTCTGAGAATTTTCCTCGTTGTCAGGTTTGTCATTGTGTAGTTCCACACCGTCTGCAATAGCAATGACGACCAATGGTTCTCGGAAAACTTCGAAGGGAAATAGCTCTAAATGTGAGGTGGGCGGCACCGAGAAGGATATGTTGTATAGGATCATTCCATTGGGAAATGCTAATGGCGTAAATGTGTCTATAAAGTTAGTTTTGTTGCGCTGTGTGTTTAATATATGATAAGACATACTGCGATTTGGGCGTGTGTCCGGACTAACATCGCCGAGGCGAACATGTTTCTCAGCTTGTAGTCTCGCAGCGAAGGCCAGGAATCTCGATCGCCTGATCTTACCGACGGGCAATAAGAGCACATTCAAGCGTACGGGCGCAACAGGAGAGAGGGGGTCGACTCCCATGGTGGTTGGTATTCCGCAGTGCGGAACCAGTCTGTTGTATACCAGACTGTTTCCACAACAATGGTTGACCGCTAGAAATCATGTGGGAGGACCATGAGATAGGTGAGATACCAATGAATGCTCGTTGATTTATATTACAGTCAATGGAGAAAGAAGACCAGGTGTTATTGCAGCATGGCGTGAACCAGAGGATCAACGATACTAATAAGACCACGAGCCTTGGTTGGTGTATGGTGCAGGGAGTCGCTTGCTGCCTCAGGCGTCGAGGCCTGAATCTGTGCCAAGATATAGACCCACATGTCCCTATCGATAAGCTCGATAAGATAAGTAACATCTATCTCCCGCGGTTACAGTTGTTACTCCTGCCTGGCATTATTGACATTGCCTCAGCCCGCTGTATTTTCCATCTACTGCCCTGAAGGATGGCGCAATCTATAGATTTTAACGCGCTCAAGGCGCGAACGATGGGTTCTAGCAACGATGAGGAGGCAGTAACAGTTGATACCCGCGGCTTGATATCCAAAGTCCTTTCACGTTACTCAGGGAAATGGTATGTCGTTACACTCCTCACTGTCTTCTTTCTGTCGCATCGCGCATCTTGTTAACCAACGATTTTATAGGACGGTACTTCGCGAAATGATCCAGAACGCAGCCGATGCTTCCGCTACTCGGGTAACTGTGAAATTCGAGACTTTACCGTCAACAGCAGTGCCGATCCCAAATCCAGCAGACCCGACTACTATGCTCAAGCATGTAATCTCTCATCATACTCTTCGACGGCTTTTGATATCCAATAACGGGCATTCGTTTAATGAGAAGGATTGGGCTCGATTAAAACGAATCGCAGATGGCAATCCTGACGAAACTAAAATCGGTGCATTTGGCGTGGGGTTTTATAGTGTTTTTGATGACTGTGAGGAACCGTTTGTCTCTTCCGGTAACGAAGCGATGGCATTTTACTGGAAGGGAAATTCGTTATTCACACGACGGCTTAAATTGGTAGAAGTCGAAAGCTCACCAGATACCACATTTGTGCTCGATTATCGAAATAACTCGTCACCAGTCCCTTCACTAATGGAACTGGCGAAATTTCTTGCCACCAGTTTGACCTTCGTTGGTTTACAGGGTATTGATTTGTGGCTAGATAATTGGAATTTGCTCAAACTAACAAAAAAGACTGCGCCAAGCGAGAAGGTTGTTTTGCCTCGGGATATCGAAACACGGACACCAGAAGGTCTTATGAAAATTACAGGCGTAATTAGAGAAGTTGCTCAAGTTGATGCTGCGTGGATGAAAGGTGTTGAATGGGGTCCTCAGACAAGTTTCTCGGCCCGCTTAGAAGGTATTCGAGAAACCACAAGTACTCTTCGATCTTTCTTCTCGAAGTTTACTGGGTCCTCATCGCAGGCCTCCTCAGATAAGCAAGTAACAGAGCCGTCCGAGAAAACAGGAGAAGCTGATGACTTGACTATTATCTACAAGGCGTCTGTATTCTTGCACATAAATACAGCATCCATTCAAACGTCAATAAGTAACACGCTCTCCAGTGAGCTAGAACGAGCAACTCGAAAACCACCGCCAAAACGCACAAATATTGCGATTCTTACACCTTCTTATTCAATAGACACGTCTTCCAAACAGTCAGAAGTCCTCTCCTCAGTGCTTCCATCGAAGTCGGGGAGAGTATTCATTGGTTTTCCTACGCATCAAACCACGGGCCTGAATGCTCATATTTCCGCTCCTTCAGTAATCCCTACTGTTGAGAGAGAAAGTATTGATCTTAATACCCGATATATCAGCACATGGAATTTGGAAATGCTGAGAGTAGCTGGTATTGTTTGCAGGATCGCATGGGCTGCTGATATGTCATCCATCAAAAACAGAATTGTCCCTCAAGGGGGCTCGAGAGTTCGCAAGAACGATATCATGAATCTGATTCCGGAAGCAGTTCACACTGCCAACCAGTTCGTTTTCCGGGAATCTACGCCGTCCGCAAATCTAGGTCAAACAATAGAAGATTCTTTTTGGATGTGTAACAAGAATGCGTCCATTGAAATTCTTTCAACTCGCGGTGTCTTGCCAAGCCATCAAGTCCGCCTTGCACCAAAAGAACTCAGTTTCATGGAAGGAATCCCATCTCTCCCTGATGGGCTGATTGAGAACTCGAAAGATTTCATTAAGAAGCTCACAGATTTTGGTCTGGTCACTGAAGTGACTGTGTCAGATATTAAACGAGAACTTGAAAATAGTCCTTTGACTTCTACACAGCTCAAAGAGTTCTTAGTATGGGTTAGCAAGCGTGCCGTATCTGATGAATTTGATAAGAAAACAACCCTTTCACTGCTAAACTCTGCAGTTGCTAATGAGGAGTCTTCTGATGGGCAACCAGGCAGATTGTTGGCTCTGAACGGGATAGAGAGCTACCTGAATCCCTCCAAGATACCGTCTGATTTACCTATCCCCACATCAGTAATGCCATTTAAATATACAAAGTCTTTGGAGAAACGAGAGCTGGACGCCCTTGGCTGGGTTGAATTGCAAATAGTCCCTTGGCTTCGATGGCTTGTGGAGAATTCTGGAGACAGAAATAGCCTTTCTCCAGATAAGGATATAACACAGAACCCATCATTCTCTGGCCAGGTCCTGTCAGTTTTGTCTAAACAATGGGACTTGCTTAACCAGTCATCGAAGCAAAATGTGATTGATTTGCTCCAACCAAAGACAGTAATACCGGTTAAAAATGGCATGAAGCGGCCAGAGGAGGCATACTTTCCATCCGTGCGGCTTTTCGATGACCTTCCCGTGGTTTCCAATATCCATGGTTTGAAAGATAAATTCCTCACTGCTCTTGGGGTTCGTAAGACGGTGGACCTCGATGTCATTTTCGAACGACTACTGAATGATGACATATCTAACGAAAAAGATATAAACACAAAACAAAAGTGGAGCCATGTTGACTTGATCAAATATCTTGCTTCTGTTCGTGACGATATACCTGCTAAGGATATAGGGAGGCTCAAAAATACCAAAAGTTACACAGCTGAAAATACTGGATCTGGTCCTCCTGAGCGCCAGCGATATAAGATCTCCGAGCTCTTCGAGCCCAAGGAACAACACCGAAAGCTCGGCCTTCCTGTTATCGAATGGCCTGGGAGGTATATTTCTCAAAGCAAAGAAGGTCAGTTCTTATCGACTCTCGGTCTCAGAAGTCATCCTTCAGCTATCGAGGTCATCGAAATCATTGCTAAAGCGGGGGCGTCTGGTAATACGGCACTTCAGGCGAAGTCAATGGCTTATTTTATTACCGAGTATCATACAAACAAGTATGCTGCCGTTAATATGTCCAAAATTACCGTGCCTTTCCTTCCTATCGAGGGACACAGTAAATTGAGCACGCCAAATAACTGTTTTACCCACGAAGGCGCTTCTTTGTTTGGATTCGATATTCTCAGACGGGATCTTCATCCACACGCCACAATCTTTGGTGTACACGAGCATCCTTCTGTAGTTGACTGTAACCAATACATTATGCGAAATCCTCCAAAATCAATGAGCGCAGCGAAAAGTCTGTTTGCTTATATGGCTGTCAGAATTCCGGATCTGAAATCCGCTGATACCAATCGGCTGGGAGAAGCGCCGATAGTTCCAATATCAACAGATCAAGATACCGAGAAGAAGCCCACTGTCCGTTACGTGTCACCTGTAAGCTGTTACATCGGTGACGGGGAAGATTTTCGGGACATTTTTGACTTCGTGAATTTTGGTCAAATGGGAAATCTTTTCTTACAAGCAGTTGGGTCAAAACAGGAGCCTACTAAAATTGAAGTAGCTCGTATGCTAGTTAGAGAACCAGCACGGATCTCATCCAAATTTCAAAGCCCAGAGAAATATTTAAAACTGCTGAGAAGCTTGGCTGAAAGCTTTTCTACTCTCAGACGCCAGAAAGATCTTATCCATGACATGATGAAATCTCCGTTTTTGCTGGCAAGCAAGGAACTGCCTTCGCAACCCTCTGCCATAGCTCCTGCTAAAGAATCTCTGGACGAAGCAGATGACAACTTTGAAGACGATGACCAGTCTATCAAGGAATGGCGACTAGTTGCTGCAAAGGATGCTGTTATTGTGGATGACTACCAAAGTTTCACAATATTCAAGGAACACATTCTTGCGGCACCACAGGAAGAAAGCCTTGAGAAATTTTACTCGGCCCTAGGAACCCCATTTTTGAGTACACTCGTTGAAGAACGAGCTAATTGGGGTGCCAAATCCTCCGACCAGCGACCAGCTACGAAGCTGCAAAAGCTCATTAACGAAAGAACGCGGCTTTTTCTTCACGAACAAAACTCTGATTCTATAAAACACGACACGAAATGGCTTGAGAGACATCTCAGCATTGTTGTTGTTCATTCCATCTCCCTGCGGCGATCTCTTAAAAATAGTGGCCCATCTCACAACCAGAAACGAAATGCAATCATCACGCCGCAAGGCAGTGCCTATACATTATGGATCAGCCCCGGGAAATATGATTTGTACGAGATCAGTCAGGCGCTTGTTCATATTCTCCTCTCCCGCCCCAAACTCCATTCTATTCTTACTTTGGAAATGTTATTAAAGACTGATCTTTACGACCTTCGCGCACGGGGTTACAATGTCGAACGAATTCTCCGTAAGAGGCAGATGGAAGCTCAGGTAGCAGAAGATCAACGCCAGAAACAAATTGAAGAGGAGAGACGGCTCATCCAGGAACGGGAAGCGGAATGGCGCAAGGCTCAAGAGCAGAGCCAAGTCGAAGAGTCGAAAGCTGGACATGCTATGCCTGGGGTATTTCCCGATTCCCCTTCAACTACCAAAACGCATGATGAGCACCATGATGTAGCACATCAGGACTTCAACCCGCGAAACCTCTTCTCCAACTTGACAAAGCGTTTTGGCTTAGACGACAGCCAGTCGCAGAACCCTTTCCAGTCTATATTCAAGTCTCGCCCCTCACAGGATGAAGCGTCGAGTCAAACAGGTGACCCCAATACAAATGCACCGCCTCCTTATTTGGAAAATGATACACGAAAACCGACTCAAAACCCTAATGGGCCCAAGGCTGTCACGTCGCCACACCAACTGCAAAACAACCTATTATCAGCTATATCCGCCTGCCGTCCACACGGAGCCTCAGGTGTCTATAGTCGTCCGGCCACGGATCAAGTAAGTGAGACCAAATCATACTGTGATGAGCGACCCAGTCATGATCTTGAATACGTTGCCACTCTGTCATCAGGCCTGCACTTCTTGGAAGCCAAGTCAGTCCCTAACCGGTCGGAATTTCTGTCTCAAAACTCCGCAGGCGTTAATGCTTTTGCCAAGTTGTTGGTGGAGTCCGCCAGTGTTTTCTCTCTACGGTTAGAAAGCGTTAGCATATTTTACGATCCAGTCGGGAAAACGATTGCATTCAATCGCGGTGGCAGCCTATTTTGCAACTACCTCTATTTCAAGCAGCTGCACGAGGCACAGCTGTTACGCGACCCTGTCAGTGGTAGAGCAGACGCTCTTGTGTACTGGTGGGTGATCCTATGCCATGAACTGGCACATAACCTAGTCGAGGAGCACAGCTCAGACCACAGCTACTACACGTAAGGATTCTTCCCATTGGCTATTACGGTGAACAATTGCTGATAGTTTCTTTTCTCGCTCACAGTGAAGGATTCGTTGCGCAATACTTCCCAAAGATTGCCTCGAAACTTCTCAGCCAGCCGTAATCTGAGATACCATTTACCCGCTGTACCTGCAGTCCAACGTCGGAATTAAAAACGACGCTAGGCCTAATGAGGTAGCGTTTTAATCACGCTAGTGGCCCTGAATCAGCGCAATTTAGTTTGTAGCGAAGAACTAGGGAATCCTGCATATTCGATTAGAAATAGCGTTCGAGAATATAGAGCATGACTGTAGATACATACACACCTTCTATTCTTTACCCATTTCAGTCGCCACCGAAGATATTTCAATACGTGACAGAGCTTTAAAATTCGGCTAGCCTGTACCAGACTAGCGCACTTATACCTCCCGGATTCTTCTCGGGATGGGGCATCATGCAGCCAATCACCTGCTCGGGCCACTTGAAACATACTTTAACTCGGTGTCCGGCAGCCGTTTTTTTCGAGGCAATTTTATCCCTTCCGTGCCTACCCATCGCTCTCTCCGTTTGCTCTGAAAGCCAGGTGGATGGGAGCGTTCGGGGTATTTGAACGAGCGGCAACCTTCTACTCATTTATGCACTTCTTAGTCGACGACATTGAACACTTTACTAACCTCTCAGAATATATGCATATTCTTACGTCTTATATGTATATGTATTATGACTATCCTTAGAACATCCTGATTTTTAACGTATCCTTACTTGTTCTGCAATGGAGGCTTCTAGCATGGAGAATGAATCGCCATTGAGCATTGGCGTAAATGCCATCACTGCCAAAAGAAATATACTCTACCTGGACGCCTATGACTCATTCACCAACAATGTCATTTCTATGCTTGAAGAAAACCTCGACGTCCAAGTAACTATTCTTACGGTCGATTCGGAGTGGCCGGAAGGTGGGATGCTCAATTTCCTTAGAGCCTTTGATGCTATTGTTCTCGGACCTGGACCTGGAAACCCGGAATGTGCGGCAGACGTTGGTATTATGAGAGACGTGTGGAGTCTTGACAAAGAGAACTTGCTACCTATCTTGGGTATTTGTCTCGGCTTTCAAAGTCTGTGTCTTCATCATGGACTACCCATAAAACGGCTTCCGTTGCCCCTTCATGGGCAGGTGCATCGTGTCAGCTCCACGAACAAGGATATTTTCACGGGCCTGGATGATTTCGAAGTCACGTTATACCATTCTTTATATGTGTCGACAGATGCTGGTGTGGTCGATAATGGGAGTATTTCTGATGACAAGAGTACTCACCTTACAGTTTCGCATGTGGATTCACTATCCTTTCTTGCCTGGCTGTCCGTCGATAAGAGTGGACCGCCTACCAGAAGGATTCCCATGGCCGTTCGCCACAGAAGGAAACCATTTTGGGGCTTTCAATTTCACCCGGAGTCTTGCAAGTCTGATAAAAATTCCTGTACAGAGCTTTTAAAAAGATGGTGGGCAGAGGCTACAGCTTTTAACCAGGAGACTTCACGTTTGATTCGGGCGTCCACGAATTCACCACCTTCAAATGATGTTTCGGGGTCGAATATCCAGAAAAACTTGGAAAATATTTTCGAAGACTTGACTACCGAGACAACGCAGAAGTGCTCTCGTCGTTCCCTTTCTTTAGATGACTTGCGCGCGGAGAATATTTTCGAATTATTCAATACGCCTGGTTCGCCATCAGTCCTTTTCCAGTCAAATGGAAGATATAGTATTATGTCAGTCCAGTCTCCTCAAAGATGGAGAATGGAATATTTTGTCCCTAGCAAAGTTCTTTCTATCCAAGAGTGTGGCACATCGACAAACACTAAGAGAGAAACTGGTGTTTCCACTGAGGCTCTTTGGGATGCACTCAGGCATGTCATGAGTAAACGAAAAGTTTTTTCTGGAAGAGAAGATGTTCCTTTCTGGGGAGGTTTCCTAGGATACTTCTCGTATGAAATGGGACTGGCCGGCTTGGCCCACCCGAAAACCTCACCACTTTTGTCCTCCGATTCCGAAAATGTGAAACCAGAAGAGGAAAACAAGAACGGTGTCCCGGATGTCAGTTTACTATGGGTTGAGAGAAGCATTGTTATTGACAACAACTTACGCATTATCCATATCCAATCAACGCGAGAATTGGATGATGCACCTAATGAATGGATTGATTCAACGTATAAGCGGATATCTCAGTATATTTCCACCCAAAACAGCGTACCATCCGTCAAAATTGGATCCAAGGATGTCGAAGTCGAGCGTTATCAATTTCTCACCTCAGTGGAAAGAGAACTAACGGACAAGCTTATCGCGGGATCAACAGTAGTCACACCCGACGAAGCCTCATACAAGTCGAAAATTATTGAGTGTCAACAGGAACTTGAGGCAGGAGAATCTTATGAGCTTTGTCTTACTGGAGAGACAACTATTACTCTGCCTACACTTGCTGATGAAAATCTGCGCAAGCTTCGTCCCTGGCTTATATATAAGAAACTGAAGACGTACAACCCTGCAGCTTTCAGTGCTTATGGATGCCTTGGGCGTGTCAAGATAGCTAGCAGCAGTCCAGAATGCTTTCTTAATTGGGACAGAAAATCCACTCTTGAAATGAAACCTATGAAAGGAACGGTCCGAAAATCGCCAGGCATGACATTCGAAAAAGCCAAGGAGATTCTTGCAACGACAAAGGAGATGGCTGAAAACCTCATGATAGCTGATCTAATTCGGCATGATTTGTATGGGATATGTGGATCCGGAAATGTGCACGTCGAAAAGCTGTTGGAAGTCGAGGATTACGGCCGTGTCTACTCGATGATTACGCATATAAAGGGACTTGTCCGCCGAACGTCAGATGAAGAAGAGCCAAACAACATGGCTGCGTACGGATTAACCACCCTTCAACGCTCCCTACCTCCAGGATCGATGACTGGAGCACCTAAAGAGCGGTCATGCATGCATCTCGATCGGATAGAAGAAAGAAAACGAGGGCTATATTCTGGGGTCATGGGGTTTCTCGATATAGGAGGTTCTGGCAGTTTTTCCGTTCTAATTCGAACGGCCTTCAGTTATTCAGACGACGAAGAAGAAGGCGCAAATAAACCGGAATTGTGGCATGTTGGTGCAGGAGGCGCAGTCACTATCCTAAGTACGCCACAAGGCGAATGGGATGAGATGATCACGAAACAGAGAACTGTGGTTAACATATTTGGATTTGCAATGTGATGCTTCTTGCACCTCATAGGGGCAGACATTGGCTGATTGACTGAGTAAGATCTATTTTTGGATTTAATAGATCAATTGTTACACTTGTACGAGATTTCTTTCAACACTGGCTAGCATATTGAAGTACATATGTAGTATGGAGTTTTAACATGTGGGACGTTAGTTGACGATTCGACAATTGCATGGCGGGGGGTTCAACACGAGATAGTTAAAGATAAGATAATTTCAATGTTTCTCTCTAGCTACATATATAAGCACGTCAATACTACATATTTATATGCAACAAGCAATTCATGGTTATCATTGACAAGTAAGGCGACGTTGTAGAGGCTAAAAACGACTGCAATATATCTAAGAAAACATACAGCCGCCCGAAAATGCTGGCTATTAAAAGGAAATAATACATCACGCATGAAAATATCTTGCTACACCCTCCTAACCACATTATCAATAGACTGGGCGACATATGCAACATTATTCTCGCTCACTTTTGCAATAGTTAGAACACTTATGCTTAATTGAAGATCCGGAGTAGAAACTTACATCCACTGATTGAAACCCTTCCTGACTTGAGCATGTAGATATGGAATTCATCCTTCAATGCTAACACTTGCTTCAACGTGAGGCCCGTGTAAGAAAACATGCCGATCTGGTTAACAATGTGCTCCCACGTTCCGGGAGTTTTCAGCCTCAGCAGCTCGTTATACAGACTCTCACGCATTGACCTGAGTCGCGAGCTCATCGTAGTAAGATCCCCATGCCATTGGGTACGCAAATCCTCGTCCCCAAGAATCCGCTTGACAATGGTACTGCCTAATCGAGGACCCATGGAATACTCTCCGCGAATAATGTGACACAGATTTTTCTGCACTAACCCGGGCTCAGCGGGGTTCAAGCCATTGGTCACAAGATGGAATGCGCCGGCGCGGTGGCCGTAGAGGCCAAAGTTCTTCGAAAAGCTTTGTGCAACACACATTTCCATGCGGGGTTCCATATTGAAGAAATATCTCACAGCCCAGGCGTCCTCATCTACGGAACCAGATGCAAACCCTTGGTATGCGGAGTCAAAGAATGGGAAGATGTGTTTTCGTTGACAGAGCTCAGCAATGGCTTTCCACTGTTCCTTCGATGGGTCAACACCGGTGGGGTTATGGGCACAAGCATGAAGCAAAATTACATCTCCCTCCACAGCCTCGGCCTCAAGAACTGCTAGGGCAGCTCCGAAGTCGAACGCACATGTTACGGCATTAAAATAGGGATATGTTTTGCGTTCAATTCCCTGCAGATCCCAGATGGTGTGGTGATTTGCCCATGTCGGTGTTGACATCCATACATGCTTAGGCTTGTAATGATGGGCTAGAAATGCAGCACCGATATGATTAGCTCCTGTCCCAGCAACAGTCTGCACGGAGGCTATTCGTTGTTTTGCTGCTTTTTCTGCGGGTGTTTCTGTATTGTTGTTCAGGTTGAAGCCGAACATAAGATCTCTCGCTGCAGCTGTAAAGACTGAGTCACCCTCGATAGGGAGGTATTCGTGGCGTGCACAGTTATTCTCCCGGCTCTGCTCTTCTTCGACTTTTTGAACAGTGGATAGCGGCCATGGCTGTCCCTCAGCGGTGCGGTATACACCCATTCCAAGATTCACCTTGCGCGGATCAGCATCGATAGTATAAGCATGATTGAGAGCAAATATCTCGTCGACAGGCGCGTTGGGAAGGTTGGAGAAGGAAGACAACTGTTTAGTCTTCTGAGGCGCGGGTTTGAGCCTCTGATCTTCGATCAACATCTTGATTGGTACTTTCCGACACTGTATGATTATGGTGATGGGTATTATCGCGTACAGACAGGTAGATAACCAAGACTGCTGGACAAAGAACGGAAGAGCGCCAATTATAATCTGAGGGCAGTTATCGTGCCGCGTTTCCGTTCTGGAAAGACAATTTTTTGCCCTTTGTGGATATCAGGGAGAAGATACCCAGCAATTTCCGTGGACAGCCGGCCCCCCGCTTATTTTCGGTGGCCACTGTCCACGCGACTTTCTGGCATCTCGAGGCAGGAAACGTTCAAATTCTGCTTTCAGGTATGATGATGGCCGACGATTCTTGCATCGTCAAGTCCTTGTGCCATCTCTGGATGTATACAAGATTGACACGAAGTTGACATCCTTGTGTGCACAATTGCCGGGATTTGCCTGTTTACGGCTATTTCAGAAATACCGGACAGATAGCAGCCAATCAGAGGCGACAAGTAACGATTCAGTCCCTTGAAGTCGATTTTTGCGGTGAGATCAAATTCATCAAATGAGCATGGACATGCAATTGCAAATCGACAGCAAATGCAATTGGTCAGGAGCTTCTCCTTAGACACTGATCGACTAGAGCTAATTAGGCGGGGGATTACCTCTATTAGAGAGATAGGGCGCGTTACAGAAATTGAAAGAGCCTCCGATTATGGAAAGCTGCTTGTAGGGATCCTTTTTCATAGTCACATCATATTATTGTATTCATATGTGCTCTGCATGATCAGGGCTTATATGCAATCCTCAACACACACTATGCACGTAATAGTAATACTTGAGCTGCTGATCATGATGGACATACCTAAGAGGCAGATTCAGCAAAAAGTAATATCAATTGATGTGAGAAATTTCTTGACTGTTCTTGGTGGAATGCTAGAACTGCTATGTTTTGCCTAGGCATTCCTGATCAAGATCATGATATTGTGATATTGTGATATTATGTGTCAAAGGCATATTAATAACATCCGTTTAATAACATTCATAAATTTGGCTGTAAATCGCCTGTCTTCGAAGATACGTACAAGAGTCTGCACCATTCGTTGTACGCCCTAGATATCGACAAGAGCGAGCGGCTGTCAACAACGAGGCCATATGACGACGCCTTTATCCAAGCAAATCAATGCGGACTGAGTGTTGTCAATCAGATAAGATAGATTCCAATTAAATACCAAAATTACAGAAGCCAGTCACTGCAAATGCGGGTTATTTTGCGTAATTTTGGTCCGGAAATACCGGGGCCCGGGAGATTTCGGCTTCAGAGCTGGAGAGATTCTTTTTTCCTAGAAAAAACACCAAGATAGCTTTTTCGCGCTCCAACACCTCCTCGATTTCCTCCTCCTACTCTACGGAAACTGTCAATTATCGGCAATTGACCCCTTTCATATTTAATTACCGGTCCAATTGGCAAAGACCGCTGCAACATCCCACACCATGGCATCTCGGCTATCGGTCCGGATGTTGACACATGCTGGACGAACAACGTCCACCTGTCTTCCCCGCGCCGCTCGTCTTTCCCCCACTCTCTCGCTGAATTGCTCCTCGTCGCTTTCTCGTGTATCGCAATACGCCCGTCTCCAGTCGATTACGAACCAAAGAACATTTGCTTCATCTGCGAAGATGGTGAGAACCCCTTGGCTGTTCGGAGCTTTCTCCGCATTGCGTAGTAGATTAGCATACGGAAGCTCTCGGATTAGTAGACAGGAATACATACTAAATTTGATATCAACAGGCTTCAAGCACCCGTATTGAGACCGACGCCTTTGGCGAGATCGAGGTTGGTATCACTATGGATTGCCATCAACTACATCATCAACTAAGAACACACAGGTTGCTGATGACAAGTACTGGGGCGCGCAGACCCAGCGGTGCGTACAGAATGGATCAGATCGGATTCAGGGCATTGCTGACTTTCAATAGCTCGTTGGGTAACTTCAAGATCAACCAGCCTCAAGACCGCATGCCAGCGCCCGTTGTCAAGGCTTTTGGTATCCTCAAGGGCGCCGCTGCGACTGTCAACATGCGATATGGACTTGGTACGAAAATTGAATTTGCTACAGAGTTTGTGAGCTAATGTAATAAATTTGATTAGATCCCAAGGTCGGCGAAGCTATCCAGCAGGCTGCTGCTGAAGTTGCTTCGGGAAAACTCATCGACCATTTCCCTCTAGTCGTTTGGCAAACCGGCTCTGGCACCCAATCTAACATGAACGCCAACGAAGTCATCTCCAATCGTGCTATCGAGATTCTCGGAGGACAAAAGGGCAGCAAGAAACCAGTACACCCCAATGACCATGTCAACATGTCTGCTTCCTCCAACGATTCATTCCCCACCGTCATGCATATCGCCGCTGTCATCGAGACCGAAAGCACCTTGTTGCCATCATTGAAGAGCCTGCGCAATGCTCTCCAAGCCAAGGTTGAGTCGTTCAACCATATCATCAAAATCGGCCGCACTCATCTTCAGGACGCTACTCCTCTTACCCTCGGCCAAGAATTTTCTGGCTACGTCGCCCAACTCGACAGCAATATCAAGCGCATTGAGAATACCCTCCCTGACCTTCGTCTCCTTGCCCAAGGAGGTACTGCTGTCGGCACTGGTTTGAACACTTTCAAGGGCTTTGATGAGCAAGTTGCTGCTGAGGTTAGCAAGCTTGCGGGAACCGAGTTCAAGACTGCCCCCAACAAATTCGAGGTTCTGGCTGCGCATGATGCCATCACCGAAGCCTCTGGATCATTGAACACCCTTGCCACTTCTCTTTTCAAGATTGCCCAAGATATTCGCTACCTTGGATCTGGCCCTCGCTGCGGTCTTGGAGAACTTCGTCTTCCCGAGAACGAGCCTGGCTCGTCCATCATGCCCGGAAAGGTCAACCCTACACAGTGTGAATCTCTCACCATGGTCTGCGCTCAAGTCATGGGCAATCACGTTGCAACCACGATCTCTGGCATGAATGGTCAGTTCGAATTGAACGTATTCAAGCCAGTCATGATCCGCAACCTTCTCCACAGCATCCGCATCCTGTCCGACGGCATGGCCAGCTTCGAAAAGAACCTTGTCCACGGATTGGAAGCCGATGAGAAGCGCATCGACTCGCTTCTCCACGAAAGGTGAGATTCACTGGACTGGTGAAATAACCCGTTGTATAACTAATGTCGATCTAGTCTTATGTTGGTTACATGCCTGAACCCTGTCATCGGCTACGATATGGCCTCCAAGGTTGCCAAGAATGCCCACAAGAAGGGCATCACCTTGAAGGAGAGTGCTCTGGAGCTAAAGGCTTTGAGCGAGGAAGACTTCGACAAGCACGTTCGGCCTGAGCTGATGATCAGCCCCAAGGAGAAGAAGTAGGGCTTGGTTGTGCCATAGATAATGTCTCGCAGCATTTGGATATGCTAGATGCCACCATGTAAATTTATAAATTCATTGCATCATCTGTATTGTACTTTGTTTCTCCTCCTAAAACCCATTCATCGACGACCCAAAGGGCTTAGCCAGAGCAAAATAGCGGCGGCTGACTGCATCGGCCATCGTACTAAGGCCCAACCCCTGGCAGCGTGGCTGATCCAGATGCAGCAGCCTACTGGTGTTTTGAGGCTTGCTCTATTGGCAGCTCTGTTTTCGGCCCGTGTTTATTTGTTATCATTGCTGGTATCCAAACAGGACTGTTATTATCAATAGCGAGGAACTAAGTCGCATTCTTGGCGAAATCTAATTAATAATCTATGTTTTTTTTTCCAAGCGACAGGCGCGGCGAGTGGGCGGAGCCGAGCTATGCAGAGCGTGTGTGCCCCTGCAGCCCCAAAATAGCATGTTTGTCTTAGATGCGCGTGGGTCAGCCCGCTGTGGTCAATGGTGCATGTGCATTGCTATTGTATTATTCTCCAGCTTCAAATAGTCCGAGTGAGACTACTGCTACAACTACGCCCTAGCAAATATTTATCCCCCCTCCCCCCTTTCTCTTCTCGCCATTTCTATTTCTGCAAACCTGATTGTTGTCGTGTGTGTCGATCATTCGTTTCCTGAAACATCCCCCGACAAAACGACCTCCCGCCCTCTTTGTCAATTGCAAACGCTCAATCGTCGAAAGTAAGTCGGCTTCTCGAGAGCATATTCCATAGTCAAAAAAAATAAGAGCGGATTTCTTAAATCACCCGTCAACAGAATGACTACCGATCTCTACTCTATCCCCGCCGCCCACGCCGGTGAAGCTACAAACATACCCCGCACATCCACTGCAGTCAGTGATGCCACGACAGTCAACGAGACGCCCATCCTCCAGAACACAGTCAATGGCAATGGTCTGACAAAAACCACAACATTCACATCAGCAGAAGATCAGTCCCTGTTCTCGCCCTCCCTCATCTCTGCCGAGATCCAGTCCGTCCTGCCCGAGGGCTACAGTGCTCGTCCGTTGCGTCGCTCCGACTTCCACCTGGGCTATCTGGATGTTTTGCGTGTGCTCACAACTGTCGGCGACATCACAGAGTCGATGTGGAACGACCGATACGATTATCTGCTCAAGCGAAATGATGAGTACTACCTCATCGTCATCTGTGACGGCGCAGGCAAGATCGTGGGCACAGGGAGTCTGATTGTTGAGCGCAAGTTCATCCACACATTGGGTCTGGTTGGCCATATCGAGGACATCGCTGTCGCACAAGATCAACAAGGCAAGAGGCTAGGGTTGAGGATCATTCAAACGCTAGATTATGTTGCTGCCAAGGTCGGCTGTTATAAGGTGGGTCAAAGCCAGTCTCATCAGCCATTCTATCTGGTTCTGTTCAAAAGACATGTTTTCTAATAATTCTTGCAGTCTATTCTCGATTGCTCGGAAGCCAACGAAGGTTTCTACCTCAAGTGCGGCTTTAAGCGAGCTGGGCTCGAAATGGCACACTATTACTAAAATAACGCATTGTGTGACTTTTTAATCGTCTGTATGAATAGTTCTTATCCATGTGTGTATTCTACTATTGTGGGAACTTGGGACTGCGAGGGTCGTAAGAGGGATTCTCGCAGCGATGGGGTTTTCTAGCGAACTTGATTTTTCTCTCTTCGGTAACAGTTGATTATGATCCGGGTGAATAAATGCTTTATCTGATTGTCGATCTAAAAACTACATTATAACACAATGCGGAGAGAATATTTGAATTGTTTGATGACATTAGCTGGGCACAATGGCTCCTGCTAGTTGTGAGGAATCTACACAAGAACCGGCGCCTATATCATGTCACACATAAATTCCATTACTATGGAAAAGAGACAATCTTGAGGTAAATTGAATAATTCCCCATGACTGCCCGAATTGTAGTGCTAGAGACAACTGAATCTCAGCGCTCGTATGCCCAATAATGTTTTTTCATTGATACGCGGAAAACACTCCAGATCCAGATAAACATTTAGTAAGAAACCCCAGGAAACCGTTAAGCGTTCTCCGCCGTAAAATTCCACTCCACGTGCTCCTCCAAAATCCCCAATGTCGTAATTTAACGAGACTTGGCGGCAACCTTGGGAGCAGCACCCTTAGCACCCTGTTTGCTCTGGATGCGCTGGGACTTGCCCTGGGCAGCGTTGGCGGCAGACTTGGCCTTCTCAGCCTTCTTCTTGCTCTCGGAAGCAGCCTTCTTCTCCTTGGCATCCTTGATGGCCTGTTGGCGGGCGGCGGCACGAGCCTCAGGGCGGATGCTTCGTCGCTCCTTGATCACATCGAGAGATGCACCAACAACGGCACGCTGGGACTTGACAACACGGCGAGTGCGCTTCTTGGCGACTTCCTGTTATCGCGAATTCAGTCAGCACACTGATTCAACTAATCCTCCGTATATATCGTAAATATTTCCAACATTATCATGACATCTTCAAAGTATGGTGGATCCCATCACCCCTCCCTCTTTGCAGTGCATTCCAATATTGCAGAATTATGAATAATAAAATAGGTATATACTGACTTCAGAGATACCCTTGCGGTGTTGACGACGGTAGAGAACGGTCCACGATATCCGACGAGGGTTCTTGCGCTGGAGGAAAAGAGACTCGGATTTTCCATTTTGGAAGCGGAAGATCTTGCTGTCGCCGCGGACGTACAGCTTACCCTAAACAAGATATATGCGTTAGAATCTGTTGAGACGGCTGCATTCGTTGATAGCCATCGATTTCAATGCGTTCAGTGCAGATGAAGCGGATCAGCCGCCACTGCATTTCGCTGGCTGGTTCGATCGGGAAAATCGGGCATACACGAGAAACGCACCTTTCCAGGGTAGATCTTCTGGCCGGAGAAGCTGTCGTCGTAGGTACGCATCTTGAATGCTGGAGATGCGCAACCGGTCGAGAAGTTATTTGTCGTTGGGCGTTGAGTGTTTGAGACTAGCCGTGGCTTCCTTGAATTTGTGCTGTGGGTTTCGCTAGCCGATCACGTGACAAGGGCTACCCTTTCCGCCGCTTGACATCCCCCATCGTCATTTGCGGCTCCAACCACGGTAAATCTAGCATTGGCAATCTCTAGAATTATTTCTAGCCTTGCCCAATCATTTATATGTGCTATGCACACAGTAAAATGCTCAAAATTTTATGCTCGTCCCCATCTTTTACGACGATATATACCCATTTTCCAAACTCCGAGAAGTAACAGTGCTGTGCTCTGCGGAGTATTTGTAAATGCGAATCTATTCAACATGACCGTGTCCTAAACATACCAAGCTTTAAGAAAACAGAATAAGAAGAAAGATATATCTCGCTAAACTTGCATGATTGGGGAATGTCAACGCCGGGTGTGAACATTGTTCTTAACCTCCGTCTCGTCTTATCGTGTTCATGGGTTGCGCGTAATGCGCCTGATATAGATGCAAAAGGCACCTATGGAACCTCAATCCATAAATCCTGCATGACGATCAAGAGTTTTAATAATAATATTCTCGAAGTCCTAAGCCATTGCGTGAGTTCTTGTCCATTCCTTTGCAGTCTGGATTGCCGCTTGTTCGTCTTCTTTCCACCTTTGCGCGACGTCATTGGCAAGCGGATCATCAGGATTCGGAGCACCTAGTAGGGCTTGGATAGAGAGGAGGATTGTGCGAATCTGCAGGGCGGGCGACCAGTTATCTGTCAAATGTTAGCGGTGATGTGTGCGGACTGCACTGCTTTTCCGGAGACATCGGCATACTCTTTAAGACATCTAAGCAAATACGCCCCAAGCGGTCGATATTCGGATGATATATCTTCGTGAGAAATCGAATCTTTGGAGGAGTCATCGGGTAGTCATCGGGCAAGAAAAGCTCAGCTCGGAAGATGCCGCCTGCATGCTGGTCAATATCATGTTAAGATTTATCTTGCGCGACCGTTCCATACCTTCGTAAGGCGACTGGGCTGGACCATGAATGGTCACATCGAAATATCGGAGATTCTCTTCATGAGGAACTGCATTGATACCTGGAACTCTGCGCTGATAGTTAGACACCCGCGTATCCTCCTCCTTGCTGCTTTACTCACGGCTCTGCCATGAGACGCTCTGTCTCTTTGATAATTCTCTTTGGCAGCCCCGCCATTTTAACTCTCTCTCAATGTACAGTTACTGGTGTGGCAAGGTATGAAAACTCGACGCTGATGTAGCCAACTCAGGCCAGGTGAAGATCGTACGACACAATGCAAGGAGTGGCGGGGTGACGCTGTTATAAGAAACAGTGTGCGTGTTTAATGTATCACAGGCGGACGCAATGTTTTTGGAATATTTTCCTGGAAACAACCGGAAGGAAACCCAGATGAAGCAAGATAACAAGCAAGCAGACAGTATGGAATTCGGGGTTTTGAGGCCGAAGCAGACTGGAAGGCTCGAAAAGAGGGGCGGCTCCATAATGGCCACCTGTGGTCTGCCGTATCGGTTCCTTATCGGACTACAGCCACCCTGGTGCACAAGTCCCGTGACCTACACTCCCCCACACCTTGCGATTTGCGCCTTCTGAATGGTCCCAAGCTTGGCTGCTGCCGACAGCTTCGATCAAGCCCTCTTGCTGAATGAATCCGCGCTCTGGATGGAATTTCTGAAACTGTCTATTAACGGACAAAAAAGTCTTGTACTAGCAAGACTCAGGTTCTCCGAATATTCGCTACAATACTACCGGGTCTGCAGCTTTCTGACGTGCGCGAAATGCGCCGCTCCAGCGATGGTACCGACAGAGCATGACCCATTTCGACATCGGCTTTTCAGGTATTGTCCACGGTTCCTAGCCATATAATGGTCTAGCTCCTCAAAGCGTGTGTTTGCGAAACTTCCACTCATTTCAAAATGTCGAGCCCCGCCGATTCGAGGGGACCGGCGTCAGCCTTCGAAAGTCCCACGTTCGGCGAGGACAGCTCTTTCCACGTCGAGCAGCCAGTCGGTTCTATGTCCATTTCACCATGCGGTCGAGATGTTGTTCTGGCATCAAAGGAGGGACTCCATATTATTGACCTCGATTCACCATATTCGCCGCCTCGATACCTGCCACATCACACGCCTTGGGAGGTCGCTGATGTTCAGTGGTCGCCCTTCGCACATCGGGACTACTGGGTTGTTAGCACTTCTAATCAAAAGGCTTTGGTATGGAACCTCGCGATGAAAACCTGGGAGAACTCTATTGAGCACGTCTTGCACGCTCATTCACGTGCGATTACCGATATCAATTTCTCCGCACATCATGCCGATATACTTGCAACCTGTGCCGTTGACAGCTTTGTACATTGTTGGGATCTGAGAGTTCCTGCGAGGCCAGTCGTCTCATTCTCTGATTGGTTTGCTGGTGCGACGCAGGTCAAGTGGAATCGTCAAGATCCTCATGTCATCGCCAGTTCACATGACAAATACCTACGAATCTGGGACGACCGTATGGGTGCAAAACCCCTTAAGTCTATTGAAGCTCACAGTACAAAGATTTATGGAATTGATTGGAATCGAATGCGTGGTGAAGCCATCGTTACATGCTCTTTGGACAAGACCATCAAACTTTGGAATTACGAAGCCGAAGGTGACGCCCCAGAAAAAATGATCAAGACCTCTTTTCCCGTCTGGCGCGCGAGAAATACTCCCTTTGGTTTTGGTATTCTAGCCATGCCTCAACGTGGTGACAATGACCTCCATTTATATAGCCGGCGTAGGACAGACGAGCACGGGCCTGGTGAAGGACTTCCACTTATCCATAGTTTCCCTGGCCATAAGGGACAAGTGAAAGAATTTTTATGGAGACCAAGGGGAGCTGTGATAGACGGATTGGATCACCGAGAGTTTCAACTAGTATCATGGGGTGCAGATCGAGAGCTTCGCTTGCATAGAGTTGATCCAGATGTGCTCCGTGGTGTCGGTTTCGAAAAGGGAAAGTCATTTGACTACAGTCTAAGGATCACCCGCCAAGGTGCTTTTTACAAGACTTTTCGTGACGACCCTCCCGATGAAGACCTTAGTGACTCAATATATGCTGAGACCGTTATTTCTAGTAGTAATCGACCTCAGATCAGTGCAGGAGTTGGCACAAATAACGTTTCGACTCGGTATTCTCGTATTCCAAATCATGGGATCCATATTGAGCCCAGAGTTGGTATGCAAGGTCGGTCTCAATTGAGAACGAATTTGAACCCGATTGCGTGGATGCGAGGGGTCAAGATATCCGGCTGGGATATCGAAACCCTGGGCGATGAGATTACTCATGTCGGTGAAAAGTTCTCTAAAGTTGATTTCGAATCAGTGGACGTACGACAAAGGAAAGTTACCATCTCACTTCACGGTCCCTGGGCCGCCGAAGGTGGATCATTATTTTTGAAACTTGATATCAAGTTCCCAAGCGATTACCCGCGAACTGCAGTCCCGACATTTCGGATCCAAAAGACATCTGCTATGACGGACGATCTGTCAGAGACAATAACTTCCGAGTTACGGACAATTTCAGAGACTTATCTTTCTAGGAAACGGGGATGTCTTGAAGGTGCGCTTCGTTATCTCCTGGGAGAGTGCAATCTGGAAGAGAGTATCGCCCTGGTACTGGGAGAGGCAATGGATACTATAAAGTCGCCGACCGTTGACTTGGAAGATGATGAATCCAGTGATGAGGACGAGGTTGTTGGCGAATTCGAAAAAGAAGACCTTGGGCTAAGTTCGGAATCGCTTCGACCAATCAATGCTAACGTCATGGTTCCTGTTGCTAAAGTTTGCGGTGCTACTTGGAGCCATGACGGCCGTCTTGTTTGCTTTTTCCCGCCAAAAAGAGATAAAACAGGCTCGTTGTTTGATTCTTTAGGCTTAAAGGATCTCAATCGATTTTCACGCAATGATAGGGTATTTGAAGGTTTTGGTCGCTTACAAACAAGCTCGCCTGGTCATCTTCCTACTAGAAAAACTGTCGGAACAACGAGTACGACCGATGATGGAGGTTCTGAATACTCTGATGATTCAGATACGGAATCCTCTAGCTCATCGGGCTCATCTGACATCATTTCAGGCTTGCCAAACCGTTTCCAAGCGGCCCCAATGTGGCGTGGTCTTGGAACTTACCGTACCAAGTCAGCAGATAACTCCCAGCTTTCTACTGTTGGAGGTCCTGCCACGGTGAGATCGTCGGATATTGGACATAATATAATATCTGTTCACGATCTAGGCGACTTACTACCGGCTAAGAAGTCGTTAGCAAATCAGTACAAGATATTTGGGCATGGCGCGGAAGTTTGTGCGCACAATGCAGCAGTAGCGGCGGACGCTGGTTGCCATCATTTGGCGCAAGTTTGGGGGCTTCTGAAATTGGTTTTGCATAATCACAGCGATCACCAAGACCTCAATATCAACCCGGACGCAGTGACAATAGGCAAAGCTATAAAGAAAGATGAACTCACCGAGCTAGGGAATAATCTTAAAGATAAATCGACCCTGAAGGGCGCTTTTCATCGATTTGGATCTAGCGCGGGACTACAAGGTGGCAAATGGCTGATAAACGCACTTCTTGACCATTTTGAACGGATTGGGGATGTTCAGATGCTCGCAATGCTTTCATGCATCCTTCATGAACAAATGCTGCGGCACCGGACAGCCCGGCGTCGAGACAGGGAGATGTCGTACAACCAATCCCATAGCCCGTTTGCTGTGGACTTCTTCTCATCCAAGCTTCCAGATGCCAAGTCTCAGGTTGCAACTCCTTTAACCTCTTACTCGAGGGATAGCGTCAATCCTATCGGTCTCCAAAGCCCAGACATTCCAACGGAACAATGGAACAGTATAGCTACTACATCTTATTCAAGTGCGACTTCTCCAATGGCAGCACATTCGAACAAGCGCTTAGGAGACCGCAGAACCCCGAATCTTTCTATATCGACGTCACCGGACAACCACAATATTTCACGGACTGGATCTGGAATTGGAACGGCGCTGGCGTCGTCACTATCGCGTTCATTTACTTTTGGACCTTCATCTGGCTCATCACCTCCTGTAAATAACACTAAAAAGAAAATTAGTCCAAACGGAAGTTTGAATGTACCTTCGACTGTGGGTTGGAGTGCTACTCAGATATTCAACAAAGCCGTCTCGGTGTTGCCTGAATATTTGAACACATCGACAGCGATCACCTCTTCACAAACTCATTCAGAGACCGACAGTGAGAAGAAGAAAGGGGCACGAAAACTGAGGGTCAATGTTACTTTGAAAAATCGGACAGCCTTTGATACGGATGAATCTTTGAGTAGTCCATTCATTGACCGCAAGCGAGAAATCCTTTTAGGCAAATATCGCAACGCATATGCCAACTTATTGTTCGTCTGGGACTTGCCGATTCAACGTAGCGAAGTTTTGAAGATAGGATCTATGTTGGATTTAACAAGCGATAGGCCTTCCTCTCGACGCCGCCAAGCTTCGCAAACACTGACACTATCTATGACCAAGCAAAAAACCAGCGTTCCAGAAAAACCGACTGCGAACGATGCTGTTTTAGATGTCCAGCGGCATTGTTCCCAATGTGGAAGTGCTATACACGCATCTGTTTTCTCGTTTTCTTCGCGGAAAGAATCTAGCACCAAACTTACCAAACAAGCGCCTCTAAAATGCCCTTCATGTACGGTTGTGCAGCCACTTGCGGCTCATATCGGATGTGTTATTTGTGGCGAGTCAATCTCCGGGATGTTTGTTCCCTGTTTGGAGTGTGGGCATGTCTGCTGCTTCGAGTGCCACCAGCAGTGGTTCTCGCTCAACTCGCCAAATGATTCGATTTTCGTGTTGTCTGATTTGGTCTGCCCAAGCCCTTGCGGATGCAGCTGCACCGAGCATTCTGAGATCGTGTATCTGCCGTCGCCAATTCCAACCCCTCCTCACCACGAAAGAGCTCACATGTTCGATCTACATAATCGTCGCCGGTCCGAGGCGATGCCTCCACCCCGTTCAGGGATTATGGCGGGACAAACCGATGATGACCTTGAGGCGTGGCGCGGAACAGCTTTCACCAGAGGTCTCGGTGGGGGTCTAAGTCGTGTTTTAACAGCAAATGATCATAGTAGGCGAAACAATTCGTCGAACCGAAAGTTGCAGTTTGACCGCATAGATACAATGTAGCTTTGATTTTGTTATGGGTATAAGAAAGCGTGGCGTTCAGGATAGGCGACGGTATCTACTACGTAAAATTTACGATACCCTCATGTATATCGATTAATAGATAGTTGCAAATACCAACAGATTTTGGTCAAAAGCTTAATGTTGTTGGTGCATAGATTCATTTAATCGTTGAACTCCTAAGCTATTGTAATTGTAGTTTTATGGGTAGTCATAGTATAAAGTTACGCGAATTATAAACACGTTTATTAATGCTTCAAATGTCTCTTATCCCAAGCTCAGGTTCCACATCCCTCCCAAAATATTCTCATGACATCATTCTCACATCGAGGAAGCTAATGATATACAACAGCAACATGATCATCCATGTACTTGGTAATATCACCCAAAAACAGTGACGCCACGATGGACAAGGCGCCAAACACAATCGACGTCAAGTAAACATACTTGTAGCTTTCCGCATATGCAAGCTGGCCCGCTGCAACTACCATTTCATAGGCAGTTTCATTACCAGCAATACCGGGGATTTCTTGCAGCCCACTCAGGAGTGACGCACCCGTCAGTTCAATTGCGTCGGTAATGTAAGTTGTATTGGTAATGCCTAGTTTCATGGCCATGGTGCCACCGATATAGTACGTGGCCTTGGGGATGAATTTGTTGATAAAGACATTATAATAGATTGTATACCCTATCGCGCCGCCAATAACGCGGATCGAGAGTGTCAACGCGGCAATTGTAGCAATTAGATCCTGTGAAGTGTCAGTTTATGCAGTGTAGGGAGGGCAATTGCTAAGTAATAGGAAACAACAACTTACATCGGGACAAATAATTGTGGTCATGATACTGGCAGGAACGACAATACCGCCAATTCCGAGGCTTGCAATAATAAGTATAATCCATAGGTCACGGAGATTGTCGGTACGAGCAACAGCCATGGCGCCGCAGCCTTTTTGCGACGAGAAAAGAGACATTAGCTGACTCCGTACTTCGTCCCGATCGTAGAAATCGCAACTTACCTGCAGTCATTAAAATGCTACTTCCAATCATCAATGCCTTGTTGTGTCCTTTGAGCCATGATAACAGGCAGAGGGTGATACAAGCCCCGGCGAGAATACCGTAGCCCACTGGTAATGAGCGAACACCCACAGCAACCGGGTCGTGACCGAATTGATTGAAGCTCTGGGTAGGCCAGAAAAGAATGATGGAGAAAAAGTTCGCACCAGATACCCAGGTAATTAGCAGAGTGAGTCCGAGTGTACGGGGTTCTTGCATTATTTTTGCTGGGATCATTGGGTATTTGGTACCGTACGCTTCCCAAAAACCAAATGCAACCATAATCAGAAATCCAAGAATAAGAGGCACCAAGACATGAGCAGATTTCCATGGGTACTACACGTATCAAACGTCAGCCTTTGAGGTAAACCTGGAAAAGTGGGTTGTCACGCACCTGATATCCACCCCATTGAAGCCCGGCCAAGAATAAGATCAGGCCGATGATACTGAGGAGGCCTCCGACATAGTCGATTCTTGAAAGAATCTCACGTTTTGACAGACCTTCAGCGTTGACTCTTGGGGGTGGGAAATAGAAGAATAAAGTGCAGAAAAATCCAAGCCCATTCCAAATGCCAGCAAGCGCACCAACGTATCTCCAGTTCGAATGATAAGCGATCAGTTGAGCCCATAGAACAGAGGCAGCCCACGGAACGATAGTGAAAACCAGAGCAGCAACGTATGTACCACGCTTGCGTGTCGGCGCAATTTCTGCGGTGGCTGAAAGTGCTGTCAATTCATTGGCTCCTTTTATATCACAAAAAGTAAGTTTCTTATGTTATATGCATATAAGGAATCGATTTAGTACCTGCTCCAGCGCCTGCTATCGCCATACCGCCAATAAACACATTCATAGTGTTGGCGGTGCTCGAGACGATGACTCCAATACATAACAGCGCTGAACCGATGAGAGCGACATATCTACGGCCAATTAAATCAGAAAGGCTGCCAACGAAAGGACAGACTCCAGCCAAAGCGAGTAGGTTTGCCAGAACCTAATTCCTCGTCAGTACACGCTCGAGTCTAATACACATTGCGAAATATATTCTTCAATATTGAAATGAACACTGAGGACTTACAAACCAAATCCAACGATCTGCGCCTCCAATCGAGCCGTAAATATAAGGAGGGATTCCGCCAAAGAGGTAAACCGGGATTTGCGACCCTTTAGAAAGTTACGTCAATGCAAAAAGTTCAACAGTCATTCGGAATGTGGAATATGCTCACCAGTCCAAAGAAGAGCCATCGCCGTGAGACTGAGAAATCGGCTTAGTGTCATCTGTTTATTGTAAATAGTGAGCATAGTATCATTTCTTGCGCATTCTAGTTTAGCCACCTACGCGAGTCTCGTCCACTTCGCTAGAAGAAGTTTGTATCCCATTGTAATCATCTTTTGATGTTGACTGGACACTATTGGAGACATCGTCAATATGGGCAGGTGGCTCGATCTTTTCTGGATCCATGATCGCAACTTCTTGGTGTTATGCTGTGTGAGAATTCGCGAACAGCCGAGAAAGATAAGGGCTTATCAGTGCACTAGCTAACTTCTAAACAGGTTCTTTGTCGGGGTTGAGAGAGATTTTCTGGGCCTCTGATCTACTTGTAAGGGACAGGCTTGGGTTTTAAAGCCATCATTCATGCTATCATTGGATTATCAGACTGTATTGGATTAGCTTGACATCAGGATGCATCGTATAGAGGCGCACTAGGAGGCCAAGCCACACAATGGAGCAGATACTAGCTACAGCTATCGCCTTGAATTTCCTCGACGTGCAGCTTGTTCATTGTGGAGAATTGGCTGTGCGCCGTCCGTGTTGAGCAAGGGAGGATGCATCCGTCTGATCTCCACCCCCGCCTCTCGCGGCTGGTCTGGTTGATGGCCAGACTCTTCACGCATTTTGATTTGCGGGCCCAGTTTTATTCTCGGAATCCCGACCTGGTAGCGCGTCCGCTCGTCAGGCTCGGGCTGCTATATCTTATTCGGCTGCTGGAAATCGGAAAAATACCGAGGTCCAGGATGCTAGCGCACATACTAGACTATGGTGTTAATCCCAACAAACTAGCGGCGGGTGTCTGTAGCCCTCGTGCCTTAGTCTTGACCGCAACCATAGTCTAACATTCAGATCCTTCAGGAAAAAAAAAAGGGCGATTCCCAGTGAGGTACGTGGCGGAGCCAAAATCTCGAGAAAGACCTGGCCAGCTATCATGGTAGAGTCCAATTCTGGTAGAGTGAACTTCTGAAGCATTTAATCCATAGGCGACGATTCCGAGTTCCACTCCATAAATCCATCCATACTAAAGAGCTTCCCCGCATTTTCATTCTAGTGATTGTCACCAATGTGCCGGGACGAGGTAATGCCCCGTTCTCCACAGGTCAAAGAGTCAAATCAACATCTGTCATACATCACCACAACTTGCCATGTGCTCTAGCCTTGTTCTTAGCCCGATAATGGCTGACATCCGAGTTCGACAGAGGAGGTAATCGAGACCGGTACTTTCCGAAAGATAGCATTCAAATTTGCACAACTTCACCAGACCAGCCCCCAAGGGAAGAGAATTCCTTGGAGACATTAATGGTCTCCGAGCATCATGCATCATTAGAGTTCTAGCTAAACGAGCATCTTCACCGTTTCCTGTAATACGGCCAATGACATGCAAGAATATTATCATAGCCTGGCACGCGGTTCGGCGATATAGCCGCATCTGGGCTTATGCCCCATGTTTCCCGCTAGGGTTCTCTTCTGGAGTCTGGCGACGTCAATTAACTTCGAAAGCTAGGTATGAAATTGACGATTCTAGTATATCGACACCACATAGGCCCTTGTCGTCGTCTGGTAGCCCCTCTTCCCCCGCGCATCTACCACGCAACAATGGGGAGACTGTCTTAGAACTGAGCAGGCGTGAAGCAGACAAAATCAGAAGGCACGGTCATGCTATTGTCTTGTGGAGTCACTTCGCCTAAAAATGACTATTCACATTTCGAAGTACTAGTTTCTTGGGCCTAACAAATAGAGCTTCGCTTTCGACGCATAACTTGCCCATCAAGCTGCGGATTTCTCCGGTAACAAACGCTTTCCGTTCCGTAGAGCGGTCTGGATCTAGACGAGTATGTATTGTGTAGAATTCACCTGTAGCAACAGGGGCACGATAATCGAGTTTGAGGTTTGCGGTGATTCTGGAATGTGAAGGGACAACTCGTGCAAGAGTTTCGTCCAGGACAGTTGCTAGGAGTCCTCCATGGACAATTGTCAACCAACCATCCAGCCCATGTCCAAAGTAGACGACATTAACACATTCCTTTTCTTCTTCATTCCAGAATATCCTCTAAGAGTGATAAAGTCAGTACCCACAGATCTTACGCAGTACGTGACGTGGAAATCGCAATTGAGAACGAACCTGAAGTGCAAGGCCTCGGCTGCCTTTCAATGGACCGCTGGTTAACCTAGGCATCTTTTGTTCTTCCGAAAAGACTTCGTACGCCTCCCATTCCTTGTATTGAGGGTCTTCCCTTAATTTCTGGACAATCGGCAGATATTCGACCAAACGCCGAAGCTCTTCCAACCGTCGGGCATCCTCAGGCGTTCCTGGCGCGGCAGGAGACATGAAAGCTTGTAAATACCGCTGTCCTGTATAATAACCCAAGCTGGCGAAAAATGTTGCCCAGAAAATCCGTCGTGCCCATTTCGATCGCTTTGTCGGTTGGGCGTTCGTAGTAACCGTAGCAGTGTTGCGAACAGTTCTGGCTTTCTGGGGGGAGAAAATAGGCACGGACTGTGGAACCGAACGAGGCCGATAGTTCCTGTAGAGTGATTGTGAATATAGCTTTCTCAACGAGCAGGCCATCTTGCTACTGGTTCAATTGACGGTGTCAATTGATGCAACACCAAGATTTCTTAAATTGCGCCTAGCCCGCACCTTCCGCTACGGACACATAACAAATCACGTGATTTATACAATGCACAATGACCATACTAGATTGAAGGCGATTTTCATAACTTCGAGGACTTATGTTACCTTAGCTAGTCTCTATCATAGACTGTTATATGGATATTGCGTCTAATGTGAATGTGGAGGGCCACTACTGGACTGGAAAATGGATAAAGTTATTCTTGATTTAAATATAATTTTTGTCTTCATGAATATATATGTTTTATATTATATACTATTTTTAACGCCAATGAACATACATCTATATATCACTTAGGACGATACATGGGGATTCAACCCCATATATGATCTCTCATAGTCTCTTGGTTGTCAACACGCTCATCATCCTACAATTAACTCCAACATAGGAAAGGAATAATTTGAAGACGTGTATTGGAAGCCCTCATGGGTCTAATAAATTTACTCTCGAAGGATACTCAACAAAAAGGAAGATGGTAGGAAGATAATTTTTTTTTACCCTTACTCTCCAATATGTTTGACAAGCCTCTGATCCTGCAGCCATTCTTCTAGAATTCGGTTGACTTCCGTTGGTTTCTCCCACAAAATCCAATGACCTGCTCCCACATCCCGTTATGTGATGAATGGCGTGAAAGGCTCCGTGGGAGGCAGCATATCATCACTTGTTATTATGATGAGGTCATGGAGTAAGCGGACGAAGAGTACGGGGCAATTGATAGATATTGCCTCTGTTCCTTGATCCAAAAGGGCTTGTTTATCTATGGAATTTGGGCATCAGTTGCGGTAATAAATGCCTGAAGTTTTTGGCATTAGTGTCTATCCTATCTTAAACCTGTTAAACCTGTGAATATTTGGTGACAATCAAACATAAATGGGCCCTTGAGTCCTTTTCTTGACTACCTCTCCGTATAGTACTGCGCTCATCCTCACCGAGGAGCTTCGTATCGACTAGCTTAGGTACGATATCGAAATCGATCCTACTTGTTGCATCCACGACCACCTTCCCCTCTGGGAACGCTCTCGAGAACTATAATTCGCCCATGAATATACAGTGAACTACACCTTTTACTTGCTCATTAAACTGGACTTTATTATTCTTCTCACCTCTAGGAGGAAGATAGATAGTATCATTCAATGAAGTTTTAAAATGTTATCTACGTCATTAACAATGTATATGTTGTGAAATGAGATTTAAAATGTTATCTACGTCATTAAGAATGTATATGTTGTGGAATGAGAGCGACAAATTAAATATATTGAACCCAAGGAACCACATGTAAGCTTTCTAGCGAAGGATTTGTGGGCGTTTGCTAAAGGTAGAGAGGAGTGCCGGAGGCATTTAACGTGTATATGTATCAATCTCTCTCTCTATAAATGTAGATCTTACTCGCAAAATTCTTTTAAGGGATGCTGCTCATCTCTTTACACCCTAATTACAATTATATTGGTCTCGTATGCTTGAGGACGTATGCTTCGACGTCAACTGGTCATGTGGCATACTGAATGCTTTAGACAGTTATGCTTGATACCCTGGTTGAGACAAGTTTATATAGTCAGCCACTAAGATCACTAATGCTACAGACAAAGGCTGTAAAAGCCCCGGTAACCATATGTACGCCTCCCCTCCATGATGTAGCGAGATCACCAATCATCATCTCTGCCGAAGCCCAAGTCTTCGAATTCCACCTGACTTGGCGTACTCTCCGTTCGTTGGAGGGGAAATGGGAGCCAGAAGATGGTAGTTTCATCTTGAGTTGGGAAGATTGTTATAGCCAGTTTTAGGGCATTAGTAGATTATTAAGAAATATAAAGATCTTTATGAATATCCATATATTAGAGACTGCCACTGGTCTTTAAACCATTAGCAACCGTAAAGAAACTTTTGTAGGGAGCTATATTGAGGTATAATGCATGTTACAATCGATTAATCATGTTTACTAAATTTCATTTGGAAAGTTTTTTCCATCTATACGATACATGATTCGTCATTGAAACTCGTTATCCATAGACAAATAATTCGTGCCATTGTATTGCTCTGCCTCCTAAGACCCTTTCCTAGGGGAAAGGGGGTGTGATATTTGAGGGGAAAAGTCGAAGCGCTCTAAAGGCGTGTCCTCAAGCCGTAACTAGGACTGCACTTCATCTTTGCTAGGGAGATCAATTGCTCGATAGAGAAGAATAAGGGCCGAGTGAGATTCGCCTTGAAATCAACATTAGATAAACTGTATCTTTCGTCAATCGAGATGAAAACTTACCTCCACCAGACAATGTCTCGATTTTCTCAGAATCAACCTCAGAAACTTTGTCATCATTGAACCACCACCATTTCCCATCATCTTCGCGTCTCTTACCGCCGGGCGTGTTTGCATCGTCCACAACTCGTCCTTGTTTTTTGACATAGGCAGTGTAATGGCCACTATCAGCGCTAGCACCTTGGTGGGTGATGACGCCTCGCAACTCATACAGGCCCGACTGATTGGATCCATCATCGGTGGCGAGACTTGGATCAATCAGCTCGAAAAGCTCCTTTTTAGCTTTCAATATAGCCGCTCGCCTCTCGGCTTCGTATTCCTCGTCAGACTTAAAAACATCCGTCATAGCAGTGTCATTATCCTTCTCGTTGGCCGTTTCAGCCTCTGTTTTCTTCTGTAAAGGTTCTGCAGCTTGTCCTGATTCCGCATCTGCCTTACGTTCCTCTTCTTGGCGATGAGCAAGCTTTTGACGCTTGCGGGCGCGTTCGGCATCTTCTTCATCTTTCCGGATCTCTCGCACCTTATCTCTCACCGGAATCAGCTGCTTCCTCAGCTCATCGGTACAGAACTCAACGACATCAAGTTCTGCAGGGAAAGTAACTTTGCGCATAATTTTGGCTTTAGTCTTTGTCTCCCGTTTCCAAAAAAATCGAACAAAGTGGACTGTCAAATACTTGGGCAGGCGAGCTATGCGGGACCTTTTAGTGTAGATAGCATCTCGATCAAGGGTAGAAGAGCGTTTCTCTATCTTCTCTTCGAGGCCGGCTTTGATTCCATCGCCCAAATGGTTGATATCCTTATCAATATGGCAATCTAGCTTTAGGAAAACATCAGATGAGTTGACAGACTGTTCACCAGCTTCTCTTGCAGCGGCCTCATCACACTCGAGAACAGATTCAAAACTCCCGGACATGAATTTATCAACAAAAGACACTTCGTTACCCCCCTCTTTTGTCTTCAGGTTCTGTCGGATTTGAGTCAATATCTGGGACCAAGCTTCTTCCGCATCCTGTTGAGCATATCCCTGGCCGTTCTTCGCCTTCTGGGCAAATTGTGGGAATGCGTTTCGAAGAGCATTTAAGAACATAAGCGGCGGGAATCCTTCTTGGGTTTCAGACATTTGTTTGTATAAATCTCGTAGGGAAGCTGTCAGGTCGGAAGAAGCCCCCAAACCCCCAAGCCCAAATGCGCTCAAGTCACCCAGGCCAGATGATCTACCAGAAGTGCCCGTTGAGTTGTATTTAATGAGTTCCTGCTGAAGTTCCGGAATACTGCGAAGCGTTTGTAGGGTTGAATTGAGATAGCACGTGTTCCCAAGATTTTGCAACCCTGCAGGTGTGGCTCCCTCAGATTGTGCGGCTTCAGCCTCCGTCATGTCTTCCAGAAATTTGACCGATTCCTTTGGACGCACTAATCCAGCTGAGCCCTCCGCTCCGGAAGGAGTGCCCATCATCATGAAGGTCTGTCCAGGTTTTGCCTTGAGGGTAGAGAGCTCAGTGTCATCCTTCAGCTGGCCACCCTTGACTAGAATCTTTTGTCTCTCTGGTTCAACACCGGTGAGCGAATACAGCTGGAACTTGAATGTTTCGCCATTCGACGTTGGGTCGAGCTCGACATCGTAACGCTTGCCTTGGTGCTTGACAACGACTTGAGACAGGTCAGCATATAATGACTAGCGACAAGCGGGGTCGTAGAAGGCAAACCTGGTATTGTAGCCATGGTAAGCGGCTTGAGAGGCTTCAGGAAGTATAGATTTTAACAGCGTCCTGAAGGAAGAATAATTAGGGGAGGGATGGAATGCTTTAGCACCTTAAGGTGGCCGGCCTTAGTAATGTTATCGAAGCTCTGCGAAGGCGGTAAACAAAAGCCGCCACCCGCGGGGCCAAACGCCATTACATAAGCCATCGCTCATCGTGGTGATGCCGCAGCCTAAACAACTGATCCCCCGCAATGCTGTTGACCCTGTCGAGACCACACAGCGCTTACTATTCGCTCCTTTGAGTCACGCAATACGATTCTTTCCTGGAGCCAATTGTCACAGAAAAAGGCGACTGTGTCTACCCAGACGTTGGGTGTCTCAATGGTGCTAACCTGACCGGTCCTGCCCTCTCCTTCAGCCATCATGGTACCTGCCGTGTTATCTCGACTTGCGATATAGTATTCCACTGACATTGCCTAGTCACAATCCCTTCGCCCGTATCTGCAGGCAGTCAGATCTTCGCTGACGCACGTATTCCCTTCATTAATACAAGCATATTATTACCCATACTTACTACTTCTATAGCGCCGCCCTTGCTGTCTCGAACTTCGCATCCCAGGCATCCGAAAGACTTAACGTGCCAGCTGTTGAGTCCGCAGACTCGCCGGAACTACTGTTGAATCCTCTAACAGTCGCGCGAAACGAAAACGAGAGAGTCCTTATTGAACCCAGTGTCAACAGCGTGCGAGTGAGCATTCGCGTAAAGCAGGCGGATGAGATCGAAAGTATTCTTGTCCATAAGTTTACGAGATTCTTAACGCAACGAGCCGAGTCCTTCTTCATCTTGCGCCGAAAGCCTGTCAAGGTGAGTCTACAGATGCTTTTGCTCGTCTACTTGTTCCTGACTCTACGACTAGGGATATGATATTTCTTTTCTAATCACGAACTTTCATACTGAGGCTATGCTCAAGCATAAGCTGGTGGATTTCGTGCTATCTTTTATGGAAGAAGTGGACAAGGAAATTTCGGAGATGAAGCTTTTCGTAAGACTTTCTTTCTTAAATGACTGCTTTTGCTGTTTGGTTGAGCTGACATGGTGCAGTTGAATTCTCGAGCTCGTTTTGTTGCAGAATCCTTTCTCACTCCTGTAAGAACTTGATCCCGTGACATGGATGGCCCTAAACTAACAAGACAACACAGTTCGATTAGGTAATATTTCTCATGAACGGAAATGCAATTATGATTCACACACAATACAAATCTTTCTATTCTTCTCTCCAGGATTCCTCTGCTTAAGTTTCCTTACAATGTATGTGTAATCGCATGTTGGCTCGTTTCATCATTGATGGATATTTATAAGGTTTCTGTATCCCTAACCTATCAATTATACATCCTATTCATCTATCGCCACTAAGACTTTATGTTTTAGGTGCTTGTATAAGCCCAACTATTTTAATTCAGGGTCATTTATCTGCACGCATTCAGAATGTATTCTACTTGATCACTCTTATTTTCGAGCCACCCGACTTCACATCCTCCAGGCTCTTTATAATCACATTGCTGAATAGGTATCATAGCTTCTTGTCTACCATCATCATATCTTATTGTTCATTGACTTGGGTCTCTGCATTTTGATTCAAGGATGAGTCAGGTGCACAAGAAGCCCAGCCATTTAAGCGGAAAGTCACCAATTGTTCTGCCACACCGTCAATGAATAACTAGGTCGCCGAAAGCTGGCTATCCACTGTTTCAATGGGAGGTGCAGAAAATGCTCACCTATGTGGACTGACCAGGCGGGTCTTTGCCAACTACGCATCAGTGCACTTCACATTAGTCTCTGGCTTAACTACAGGCTCTTTCTTCTCTTTCCTCTCTTCATAGGTGGCCCTTCCTGCTTCTCTTCCAACCCCTTTCAACTCCCCCTCACCCTCACTCTCCATCTTCACTTACACTTTTCATAGTCTTCTTTCTTTCTTCTTTGCTGCCATCACTCTTTTGATCTTATCAACCCGTTTTCATTGCAAACATATTCCTTTGAATTCCACACAAGCAGCTATTTCTGGCCATCCTCGGTTTAATAAGGTAATGAGTGGAAATCCAACTCTCCCTCTGTCTGGACAGAGCCAGTGCCATACTCATACTTTTGGCCTAAATCCTTATCCCAAAATGCAGTCAACAGCACTCCCTCCTAGCTCACAAATGATGGGTCCATTCATGCAACCTATGAACACCCAGGTTTACTCACCTTCTATCCCTATGATGCAGACCATGGGACACAACTTGATTAACCAACAGATGCTGTATGGTCATGGACAGCAACAGTATCTCAGGGGTCAGCGGATAGGCCTTCACCATCAATTTAATCAGCAGGCAAAGCTTGGTGAGATCGAACAGCATAAAAAGGACTACCTCGAAGTCGCCGCTGTTGCATCTGCACTTGGTAACCGTGTCGCAGCCCTTGAAAATCTTCCTTTCAAGGTTCTTGCCCATGATCAAAAGCCGCATCAATACGGAGTAGTAAGACTTTCGAATGTCTGTATATCTCCTTCCTTCAAAACTTCTTGATGCACACCTTGGCTAACTTGGAAGAAAAGCTACCCTACTCTGTCACAAGACATGAAATCCACCAACTTTTGGGTCGCCATGCTTGTGTGCTTGGTCCTGAGCTAGGCGGAGGTGTCCATATCATAATGGAACGTTCAACTGCAAAGACCATGGATGCATTCGTCGAGTTTGAAACACAGAAGGACGCTGAGTCTACTGTACGCCGTCTTAGTTTCACCGAATCTGGTCGTTATGCTCGTTTGGGCACTCGCCATGTTGACGTTTCCCTCAGCTCTCAAGATGAGTTGCTTCGAGATATATTTCCTCGGGCAAAATGTGTCGAATGGCGTGGCGGTAATCCTCTATTGCTTGAGAATACTGATCCTTATTCCGCTGGGTTCCAAGGGTTTCTCACCAAGGAGGAAATTCGAGGCCTCATTACTCATGCTGAGAATCCTGGGCGTGTAAGTATTTCTTCCCATCAAACTTGTCATAATTCTGACATATTATTAGTCCCCTTTCACAGAACGCTGCCGTCAGCGCACATATGAATCCTTGATTTCTACTCTCTGGAAGGTATAAGATCTCCTCCATATATCACTTACCTCCTTTTCTCACAGGTTATTAGTACCCTTGGAATGCCTCCACTATGTACACGGTCGAAGATCGTGATGATCTCTATCAAGCCGCCGTTCACCAAATGTTGGAATTGTGTGAGAAGGCAAAGCAGCGCCGATTTCTTGGACTTAATGAGGCCTTGTTACATGACCTTCTTCGTGCAGGACTTAGCTGCCCAGCTTTCAATGAGCGCCAGAAATTTTGTCTTATCACGGCTTCCGAACTAACTCCTCTACAGCCCATAACTCATTGGAAGCAAATTGAATCCTGGCCCTTCGACTGCTTGGCCAAACAACCTACGGCAACTGAGTATGAAATCATGGTATGTATGTTTGCAAGATCTTGTTAGGGTAATTGCTAACCGTTTTTGTGATTGACCAGTACTACTCCCAGCTTATTCGTAAGGGACTTGGTGTCTACGGCCAGAGGGAGCTAATTGTTCCGAACAACTATTGCAACCGCTATCATCACAAGAACGAATCTCCTTGGGGTTGCTTGTGGATCGAGTGGAATCTTCACAACAAGGAAATGATGTTCAAAGCTGCTGCCCAGCTTGAGCTTCATGTTGTACAAGAGATACTTCATGCTGCCCTGCAAGATGGCTATAATACTCAGCGTCAGCCTCAAGCTTTAATGCCTTGCGCTTCACCACAGAAATTTCTACAAAAGTCGGAGGTCATACCTAATCAGATTGAGTCAAACCAGTCTTCCGTGGACCACAACTGGTCTCTCCCAACAGCTTGGGCGGAAGAGACCGCTAAGCGTGCTATTATCAATACAGAGACACCTTCTCGTCGTTCTCGTGTCAGCGGCTCTATTAGTGCTGTTTCTGAGAATGGCAGTTTTGTCAACTCAACCAACGGTGGATTCCGATCGAACAGCAGCTCCACTGCTTTCTCCGGTACAAACAGCCTAAATGCCTCGACTAATAGCAGTTTCACCACTGCTGACAGTGATAAAAAGCCCGTATCTCAGAACCCACAACCTCACAAGCAAATCGGACAGCTAAGTTCTAGCGAACCTGGTGAACGTGTATTTCCTGACACTGCTATTCCACGACGCCAGCATAGCCTGTCCATGTCATCTGTTGCGGTAGGGGCTATTCCAAGCAAAGTTTTCGAGAATGACAGCCGCAGTTCCGGTCACTCACGCCGTGGAGAAAGCATCTCAATCCCGGCTTACATGAATGTTCACAGCGGCGGTAAACCCGTCGAGCAATATTCATGGGTTGCACCTTACTCCGCTTCTGAATCGCCATCAACAACTCGCATCGTGTCATATCCAACTGATAAAACTACAGCTGATATCGACAACATCACCAACCTGATGGCGCGCCACAATATTTTGCCAAGTGTGCCATCCAAAGTGGCTGCCAAAACCCCACCAAGCCCATCTGGTGCGTTGAATCGCAATCGCTTTAGCAGTCGCCATACTTCGGTATCTTCTCTAGCTAGTCACCACAATCGTCTCGCATCCGTATCTGAAGACGATGAGGATGTCTTTAGAAAGAGAATGCTTGATGCCAAAATGTGACGTTGGATTTTCTTATTGTGAGAACGGAGCGCCTTGGTATTGGAAACAACTTATGTCATTTCCTAGAGTCTGTTATATCACGACTGCTTTCCTTCCTTGGACTCATTGCTACGACTGATGATGAAACCCAACGCATTTTAACATCCGCTATCAAACGAAAGTTTGATTCAACCTGACGTCTTTGAATGGTCTCTTCTTCTTTGATGAGTTTACTCAGTGCCTGGTGTTTCTAGGTTTTGATTTACTCCAAGACAGGGATGTCTTTCATTTCTGAAATTGAATGACTTAAGATTCTGGGAGATTTGGATGGGCTTATCTAAGAACGACTTGACGATTTTCTTTACTCTTTCCCCCTTTTTAACATCACATTTAGTTTTCATGGTACATTTGGTGAAGCTGTCGACGGCTGGACCGTCGATGGCTAATACCTAACATAGCTTTCCAAGTTGGTATCAATAATGCTCATATGGTTTATTCATGATTGTCAGTTCAGTATGTCTAGTTTTCCGAAGTCCTATCTTTAAGAACATACCTATGTAGGCAGTTTAGTTGACGCGCAGGATAGGCATACATTGCAATTTTTCTCTCAAACTTACCAGGTCTCCTTAAGTTTAACTCGCATGAATAATCGACTGTGAATGTCTCGTAATTTGGGAGGTTGCCTGGGAACGATGTTTTAAAACGTTATATCAATATCTACCTCTAGATTATCCACCTCCTCTGAGGCCTTTCGTCGAGCTGCCTCAGCCTTTCTTCGAAGCCCTTCTGCTTTTTTCTTCTCTCTCCGTACCTGGGGATCTTCCCAACCTGGGGGCTTCTTAGTCCTGCCACTTGTCGTAGGAGACGAAGCAGATGTATATAAATCAAGCAGCCTTGTTCGAAACCTCTCCACACGCTCTGTGTTGACAACAAATCTCTCGTTAGCCAATGCAACCAGCATCTGTAGATATTCTTCCGTCACAAGGCTTCGAATAACTGGCTCCGCATCCTCATCCTCCTTGTCTTCGTAATACCCAATTACCGATTCAAGGGATAAGCCAGATGAGCGGACTGCCACGATAGGACTGGGAGTATGGGAGTCTGCTGAGGATTGACTCGGGGTATCCAGTGTCGCCTCGAGACAGCGCAGACTTTGGAGGCCGCTTTCACGGAAGCCTGCACTTGAAGCGGCCGTTAAAACCGGCTGTGCATGGTGAAGTGTAGCAGTCATTACGTGAAGAATCTAGAGGCAGTGTCAGCTCTCAAGTCTGTTTGTTGTTACTTCCCACTTGGTGGGCAATGAAGATAGACGGAAACGCACCATGGGGTCGTAATGAAAACGAACCAGACAAATGCCGTCATTGCCTGCTGTGCTCGTTTTTGGAATGCCGTCTCCAGGCACAAGCCCGAACAGTTTATGGTAAGAAGCGTCTTGCCCAGCGGCGTAAAGGCTGACGGGGTCATGTGAGACGTACAGCCAGCGTCCCTCGCCCTTTCCGCCGGAGACAGCAAACTTCCGCGACTCGCTCTGCTCCTGCCTTGCAGTACGATCGTCTACAGGTTCTGCTTCTTCTTCTTCTTCATCTCTCTTTGCTGTACCATCATCGTCGTCGTCGCTTGGTTTGACAGACGTTAATTTCCTTCGCTTGCTTGTCTTGCTGCCTTCCACGAAGACGCTCGTCCGCCCTGCGCAACTGCTGGTCGTTACAAGACCATCGAGGTTATTGATATCTCTGATCAAGTCGCGAATACCTTCATCAACCGATCCTTTCGGCGACAAGTCGGTATATTCCGCATCTGGCACAGACAGATCGGACAGGATTTTACTCTTACGTGCGATGAAGCTTGGCGGAATCGCAGCAATAGGCTGCATAGCTGCAGCCATTCCTCGACCTGAGAGAGCTCTATCTATGTTGTGGGCTGCTGGGCTGATCGACCATCAATAGCATTCCTTGACTGACTCGCACGGTTACAGCGGAAGAAAAGACGAGGATTCGATCGATCGATCAATCAATCACACCGCTTTCACATACGAAATTCAGTTGCTTCAGTCTTGCATAAATCTGACTCGATTCCCAACACTTAGCGGCATTCCGATCGACAACAGGCTGTCAGCACCAAAAGAAAAGCGGGATCTTTTTGTTTTTTTCCCTGACATGGAGGGACAGACCAACCGAGTTGACGACGTACCAGCCATGTATTACCCGGGTATTTTATTTTTCTTCCCGGTGCACGGTAGCTAGCCCAAGCTCCAGAAGCGTCCGCGATTGAGAGCCTGTTCATCCACCCGCCTTGGGTTATTATTATTGCGGGTCGTTTAACTGTCCATGACGGTCAGCGTTTGTAGGTAACTAATTAATAAATTCACTACGACAGACAACCAACACGCCTCTGATTAGCTCGTCTTTTCTTTTTCACAAACTGGGGATTCCGACCTAGGACAAGGAAATTTATTCTTCCGCGTCAATACTTCGTACAACAAAGCAGGTGCCAAGTCCGAAGCTCTGTATTGCCATTGAGCCATGGCTCGCCGGTCAACCAGGCTCTCGCTGACTGAAGAGACTGCTGCTGATTCCGAAGCTAAGAGGAAGCGACTTTCTACGGGATCTACAGTTAAAAGTACTGCAAAGAAAAGCAAGTACTTTGAGGGCTCTGATTCGGAGGGGTTACAAAATTCGGGAGACTCTGGCTCCGCCTACGAAGGAGAGGAGGCCGCTGATGAAAGTGATAGTGCTTCGGAGCCGGATGACGCCGAATCCGAAGAAGAACCACAGCAGCCCAAACAAAAAAGACGTGGAAGAGCAATGGAATCTACTCAAGGCCACAAATTAAGTGGTGAACATAAAACGCCTCTCTCCAAGCCTGCCAAAGGGGAGGAGCTATGGAGAGAGGGAGTGAGGACAGGTCTGGGTCCTGGGAAAGAAGTCTTCATCAAGAAGCCCAGGGCAAGAGATTTGGGTGGAATAGATTATAAAGATGACATCATACATCCCAACACTATGCTGTTCCTCGAGGATCTGAAGCAGAATAACGAGCGACAATGGCTGAAAGGTACCTTTCGCTGGTCCTAGCTTGGAACCTTTCTGGATAGCGATTTCTAATAAATATCATATCAGCACACGATGCCGACTATCGAGCATCCAAAAAGAACTGGGACACTTTTGTTGAAGCCATGACAGAGAAGATTGTTGAGAAAGATGAAACAATTCCAGAGTTACCAGCTAAGGATGTGGTGAGTAAACGCTCCGCTTTTTTTAGGCCGAGTCAATCAAGAGGATAAAGAGACGATATTAATATTTTCCAGGTGTTCCGAATCCATAGGGATATTAGGTTTAGCAATGATCCTACCCCATACAAGGTCAGAGTCTATCCGCATGAATTCTTGAAGTTGAGCTGACGAGATTGAAGCCACATTTCTCCGCTGCTTGGTACTATCCAGACTCCATGGTGAGGCTTTAGACGAGCTAATGCAGAAGCAGGAGCCGTACCGGGCGCAAAGGCCCATATGCAGCCTATTATTTGCACCTTCAACCCGGCCATTGCTTCATAGGTATGTTCTACCCTTGCTACGCACCACTCGGTCGCGAGCAGACCCTCCGCAAATATGGTTTATGAAATTGTACGCACGCCTCGTACAGGCCTAACATCCCGATGGCGTCGCTTTGGTCAACTTGAGCTTATAGTTGTTGATCGTCTTTACAGGTTCGGGGTTATGGATGCCAGAGAGCAGTAAACTTGCACTGCTTCGAGATGCAATCGACCGGGATTCTGCTCGACTCAAATCTGTACTAAGGAACGAAGGTTTGCGGAGAGAATTCTTCAAAGGTATTCCTGATGAGGAACGCAAAGCTGTCAAAGCATTTGTCAGCCAGAATCAAGAGAGCGCTCTGAAAACAAAGCCAAAGGTAAGCCACGGTTTCATAGATTATCCATACCCCCAGGTTCCCTACCATCACTCCTCCAGGCGACTAGTATGGTGTCATTTGTATAAAGCTTCCGGTAGACATTGCGCTCGGGCTTTCAAGTCTGGTTAGCGTTTCTGTATGTAACAGACATCGCGGTTCGTTGGATGGGCGCCAGGCGCGTTGAGGTTGCGATGACCGCCTGGAAGGAGGGAGCCCTCCGCCGTGTCATTTACACTGCGAGAAGGTATTATCACTTGAACTCACCCTGCTCCCACCTCCTTCTGTTGAAGAGAGGGCCCTTGTGCTCGGCTTCCTGTGGGCGGCGGGCTGTGCTGTGGGCGATGGGGCTCACTCACGTGTGGTGGATGATTTCCAGGAGACTCGTGGGGCACAAAACCGAGTCATCCAGGCTACATTCCCACGTTCACGTCGAGTCGCCGTCATTTGGGAGACGGACACGAGGGAAGGCCGATATGGGCCAGTCAGTGTCTGCTGGTTGAAAGGGGCGGGTAGACGGACGGGACGGCGAGCATACGTGCCTACTCCCGGCCGGTTCTCAACCCTCAAAAGGCCTGGTACCCTAGGCTTCTGTTCCCACATCGAGCCAAAACTGTCTCCCAATGGACTCACGGCCGCTTGTGACTCCTGTGCCTCACCGCCATCGCCGTGGACAAAAAAAATTGCCAGTGCGGTGCTGCATGCTTGGTCGGACCTGGCCGCCCTGGTGCAGCGTAGTGTGGTTTGGTTCCATGGTTTACGATCATTTCCCGTCTCTTTCGTCCCTGGCCGGTAAAAAAAGCCACGAAACATTCAACAAAATGCTAACATTACAAAAAAAATCAGGGCTACAACCAGGACCATCCCAACATTGACCTCCTTAGGCTCCGAAGCTTCACTGTCGGCAAGCCCCTCCCAGACGAGTTGTTTCTCAGCCCCGATGCACAAGAACAGATTGGGAGTCTGGTGGAAATCTTGGTCCCTTTCGTGAGTCCCCTCCATCGTTGCCAACCCCGCTCTTCAAAGTTCAGACGCATGCAGTAGTAGCACACTGTCGCACCCGTATGGAGTTCCCTCACCCTTGTTTCCTTGCCTTTATTGGTATATGACTCTATGTTATGGGCCGCCATCTACACTTCATTCGCTCTGGTCCGCCCGCCTACGGTCCGTCTTTAGCGGCCTTTTCTCAGTGCTCACCCTCTTCGCAAGAAGAGCTTGTGGGCGCGAAGAGAGAGGAGATACCAGGTTCTCTAAATATTGGGCATTAGCGAGCGGCACCCGGGGATTGATGAGTCGACTTGCATGCTTCCCCCTCATATCTTCTTGCATTCTGTCAGTTGACGGGGCTGGTCGGTCTGATCAATCGATTGGCCTTTCGCGGCTCCCTAGCCTCCCTACCCCCCGAGGACGGTCCTTGCTCCGTATCTGCATGGTCAATTAATAGTTACCTTTGGGCATCATCGCAGCACAATCATCCCCTCCTTTTTATCTTGTCAACGATTACCCTGAATCTAGACTCACGTGTTTCTCTTGTAGGTCACTTACTTGAATAGTGTCGTGATGCCTGATGACCCACCCAACGAGATTGATGAGGGGAGCGATGTGGCCAGCGAAGATTAATTCAAGATTAATTAAATATTAGTTTAGTGATTGATAGTCATATTCATTGTAAGATGTTGGCATTGGATTGATATTGAGAAGACATGTGGTTTTCTGAAAGATGATGTGTTGATTGGACGTGGAATGTCTATGCTGAGAAATACGAAGGCAGTCATTAAATCGGAAGGCAAAGTTAAAGTATATTCGGACATATATGCGTGTCTATGGGTATATTTATGATATGCCTCATGAAGATCTACATCGATTATCTATTAATTGGAGGCTGCTTTACTTCGGCCATGACAGTATTCCATACATTTGTGGATGTCCCTAATGCTAAGACTCAGTATTAAGTTAAAGCAAGGAAGTCCAGGTCACTGTACTAGTGCCATCAGAGTCTCGTAACTCACCATTGCAAATGATAATTGGATCATGCTTGAAGGTCTTGAGGACCTTTGTGATATATCACATTTGCGCACAAACCCAAGCCACTCGTCGACCATTCCACCCTAGTTGGCTATTGGTTAGGCTGCGAACATCAACGGTTTGATCAAAATATGAAAAGGAAAAAGAAAACAGGCAATCGTTAGTGCTGTCGATTGTTTTAATCTGCATAGAGAGTTGATCATTGGGCATTGAGATCTAGAAACATAACAGGCCGAAGTCTATTTCCTAGGTGTATGCAGTGCAGTAACGCATTGATGGGGTGAAAGTCGAATCCCCGCATTTCAGTAGAAGGTTATTATCAACAAGTTTATTTGGACATGACTTCTATAGCCGGGCAATAGTTACATGATTCAGTCTGTGCGATTGCACTAGGTATAGAGTGGTGGTGATCTAAAAGTATGACGTAAGGCTTGCAGGGGTCAGCCAAGTTCTATGCTGGAAATAAACTGCGAGATACTCCCGTCGTCACTCGGCACCTAAGTACGGGATATTGACGATAGTCAGAGCACGATGCCAACAATTCTATGAACAGTTCAAGATATGATACAAAATACGATACAAGACACGACACGGACGGAGTATCCGCGCGCTTGGCTGGATTCCTTTGTTCCCGCGGCGGCAGGCTCGGTCGAGGCATCGCTCAAGGCACGTCGAAAGCATGAATGCCTGATGGGGGGTGGAGCAAACCCGCCAGAGCAGGTAGCAATTGGCTCTGGGGCCGACCATGTGACCAAACCTGCCTGCGGGTTTCCGAGGCGGGGCGCCGAAGTGGGCCGTGATTGGAGTCCCAGGAATCAGCGTGGCTTCGGTCCGCCCACCTTAGCAGGTGTGCTAGTCTTGCAGTGGTACCGTACTGCATCGTACGCCGTAATTACCATGCGCGATACTGTACAGGTTTGCCCAGCCGTCCTCGTACATGCACACGGCTGTTTGCATGTTGGGCCTGCATATAGCGGCCCGCCCAACAGGTGCGATTAGTACCAGAGCGATAGGCTCGTTCATTGATTATGATTTACGATAATCCATTAATTATGATAATATTAAAATGCGCTTAGCCTAGTCTGCGGCCCGCCCCGGTGCGATTTGAAGAATCTCAGCCCGAGACTATACTAGTTAGTTTTCTTAGTATCGCGTAGCCATTAATTGTTAACATTAATTGTTGCAGGGTACGACGTACCAAGGTATTGTAGGTAGTCAGCTGCAAGTCAAGAATAATGCCCAATAGCCGCCGTGCTGATATCGGATCCGCAGCGAGACGTGCTTTAAACCTAGTATGAAGAATGAAACATACATCCCTGTGAAAGAGCATTGAATAATATCCATCCATCCAGTCTTCTGAGTCATGGCACCAATTGCGTCGGATCAGCTCCAGGATGGCTGGAGAAAACACGGCATTTGGCCAACACGTGCTTCTAAATTTCACATCACATTAATATTTATTAAGAACAGAACCATGGAACGACGACCCAAACCCAGTGCAGCGGTGCTGCCGGACAAAGTCACCGTCGTGCTGGTCTGGACGTCAACCATGGTTCACGGTGCCCTACGAGTCCACGACGGGCCCTTTCCTCGAGCCGTGCCTTCCTTCCTTCGTTCCTTCCTTTGATACCGCCGCCCAGCCCGCCTTTTTCTTTTTCCTCTTTTTTTCTTCCCTGTTCTTTTTCAGCTGGCTCGGTGGCCTTTTCGCCACTTCGCCACAGCCCTAGCCAATCATTCGTCGATCCGACCAACAGCTCAAGTTGCAACCACCATGGACCAAACAAAAAAATTTTAAAAAAAATTAAAAATATCCCTGCTAGCCAATCAGAGTGCGCTAAGCCACGATTGCCGTGCGTCTCCTTCATTTTTAATTTCTAATTTCTCCATTTCTCATCGCTTCTGCGCGTCATTAATATTCCTGGTGGAGTCCTCCCTGGCGATCCACCCACCAGCCTTCTCCGATCACAGCATATGCAAGGACGGCCCGTGTAGCCGCTGCACGCAGCATTAATCCAACTGTATCCGCTATAATAATGTTTGCCTATACTGTTTGCAGTGGAATGCCTCATTGCACTCCATAAACCATACATACTACATACATATATACATATGTATATTATATATGTATGTCTGTATGTAAGTTTGTAAATACATAATATCCTATATTCTATGCAGAGGCAGGAAGAAAATTCGTATAATCACCACTCCATGTTGCTGCAAAGACTTGACCGTAAAACCACACAGTCGGGACATTATCGGCACTTGACGGATCCACTCGATGCAAGGCAATCGGAATGCTCATGTGGAATTCACACCCGTAACGTCCTCTCTACATACTACATAATCTTATGCATACACTTCTCGTCAGACATGTAATAATCTTCAAGACTCACTCACATGCATGCACGCATCAGCCGGGCTGCATCGCTTACCTGCGGATGCCGTGCGTTATGAAACAAATTAATAATATTGTAATAAGAAGAAGAAGAAGCAGTTGCCGTTGCTATCTGATACCCATCGGCCTCTAAGTGATTCGTTTGTTTGGAACGCTAGATGTCTGGTGACCGTGGTGCTGCAAAGATGCCACCTGACCAACAAGGCATCATCCCGTAAGCAGTATTCTCGCCGAAGAACAGCCGCCAAGTCAGTTCCCTATTAGCACCACTCCAGCCTGAAGAATGGCTATTCATATTCTTGCCCAGCACAGCAAGACAAAACTACACCCAAACTAATAACTGCGCTCCGTACGTCCGTAGCCCACAGCCACGATGATGTACGCGGCACTCGTCATGTCTATCAGTCAGTAACCAGCAGGTAGGAGTAGAAAGCGATCGAGAAATACATACGATGCCTAGACCGGGCACCGAAACCAGATCGAGCAGACCCAATTCCTCAATTGGGCTCGATGCATATTGATCATAAAATATAGAAAGAAAATGAAACTTGACCGCCTGTTCGCTGGCTTGGGGCTGTTTTGTTGGGTTCGATACGGCGGGATACCATACGCTAGTCTCGGGTACTTGTATCAACCAACGGCTAGCGCTAAATTACCTGATCCATGGATATGGCACTGGGTCCTGGATGCCGGCCATGGCTCCCTCCGCGATGCACTAGAGCGGACTGGCGAGCGGTTTTTGGCCTGGGCGCATGGGCAAACACCCAGGTGAGACGTGACAGAGGCAGTGAAGCACACGTCGAGCACAAATGCGCAATGTCGACGAAGCCGTTCGCCTGTTCGCAAGAGTCGGGATCAAGATGGAAATGCACACAGACCAACAGATCCATCGACTATGCTCCCGTTCCGTCCGCTCGCCGTCTTCCGATCGTGGATGTGTATGCGAATCTCAGCATTCGACCGCATAACAGCGGAGTACGGAGTAATGAAGTAATGCAACCTGCACAGCACTAGGCGTGCCTATTGGTCTCTAGTCGCATGTCTGTGCTGCCGCGCTTGCCCCAAACCACAGTTAAGGACTGAGTGTCTGACTGACTCTGTCATGGGCCCCATTCCGCTGCATGACTACTGACCGCGCGCGGCAAGTGCTGGCCCAGTGCCTGCAACTGCCCTCACCGCTTTGGTGCCGCAGCTAACGCGCATCGTCGTTACCTCCTAATACTCCTCCGTAATTATTCTTTTACCTTCCTCTCTCTCTCTCTCTCGTTCTCTGTGTATGCAGCGACTCCTCCTCCTCCTCCTTCTCCTTCTCTCCTAGTCCTGCCCCCCCCCTCCCCCCAAATCTTTTCTTTTCGCTCTTGGTAAGCTGGCTAAATCTGCACTAGCACAAAAAACTGTCATCCTCAAGGCTCAAGCTAACGTCATAGTCTGTCTGCCGAGGAATCCGTCCCTTGCGATCCACGGCCTGTCCCTGCAATCATCGTTCTTCACGCCCTTGCCTCCCCTTCACGCCGTCTTTCTTGCCTCCTCTGTCCCCCCCCCCCCCCCCAAAAGAGACTCCCAAGCCTCCTTTCACCCAATCCACCGCGCCGTGGACCACCAACCAACGACCGTCGAAAACGGGCGGCCCGACTGCCCATTACGTCTCCAGTTCGTTCCCGTCGACCACGCGAATGCTAGTCTTGTGCATCAGCCGAACACGCTGGTACCGCCTCTGATTCGCTCTGCCCTACTGCTGACCGGACATCCATCTCCAAAGCCTCTCTGGGCCCTTGTCGGCCCTGTCGGATTGTGTCCTCGCAGCTGCAGCTGCCAACAACCCACCCTGGTCGACATTCCCATCCTGACTGGCTCTGCGAGACTCATATCACCTTCCTCTAATTCCCTTCCTTTCATTTCTCCCCTCTTTCTTTTCTTCCCCTCCCCTCTCTCTCTTTTCTTCTCTCCACTCCCTGTCACGGCTGCGTCACGCCTCTGTTTCTTACCCTGAGCTCAATGTCAAATCCCAGCAGCCAGGGCAATCATCCACATCAATCGTGGGCCGGTGACAACAGCGCCAATCCTCCACATCAGCAATCGTGGCACCCCGAAGATTCTGTAAGTGGTCTCGGCTTTCATCGCGTGTATATATATATACATGCACTGGCCCCCCCCTTCTCCGAAACCTCTTGGACCTGTCTCCTCTCTTCTGCCTTCAATTACACTCCCTACCCCCATTGGGGCTTGCTGCTTTGTTTTTCGCTTCTACTTTGTACAGTAACGCCTTAACACACTCTCTTGCTCCTGTCTAATTACTTGGTACTAACAACCACGTCCCTCGCAGCGTCCTTCTTCTGCGCGTCCGCAGTCGACTTACAATTATCCTGCCGGCTACACTCAATCGCATCCTGCTTCATCCTATCCACAGCCATCCTATCCTCCGTCATCTTACCCCCCTCAATCGGGCTATCCTCAGGCACCACCACCAGGCATGGCTGCGGTTCATTCTTCCGTCCAAGGCTCTCAAGACCCTTACAACCGCTTGCCACCTCCGCCTGGCGCCTTCCAGCGGCCTCCCCCGGACATGTATCAACAACAGGCTCAGGTAGTCTATCAGGCTGCTGCGCCGAGGCAGCGTACGGCAATTGCCTGCCGATATTGCCGTCGCCGGAAGGTGAGAGATCCTTGGACCCTATGATCACAGGTCAAAGGAACTGTGGACTAACAGGGTGAAATGACAGATCCGATGCTCTGGCTTTGAAAGCTCGCCCGATGGACGCTGCACCAATTGTGTTCGTTTCAACCAGGAATGCATGTTTACTCCCGTCTCCTCGCAAGCGCAGGCCTTCGTTCCAGCTCACGCCGCATACCCTCATTTACGCAACCAGGGTCAGACCCGGGGGCGCGGTTATCCTGGGGATGGAGTGATGTTGTATGGTGCCCATGGTCAACCTCTTCCACCGCAGCAACAACCAATGTCAGATACGACACTGCCTCCACCACAAGGCCCTTACTACCAGACTTCTTATGGCCGTCCTCATATTGATGATCGTATTCCACCACCATCACTTCCACACATGCCTCACGATCAAGTATGTTGAACATTCTCTTTTTGGATTCATATAAGTTCAGACTAACATGGCCTCATCAGCGCCAACAGGGTGGCAGACGTGGTTCAGGTGCAGGCTTTGACTACCCTGAGCCCGTTAACCTTGCGCCTGTCTCTACCGGAGGATCTGCCCCTGTATATCCTTCAGCTTCCTACTACCACGCCCCGGGTCATGACAGGCGCCCTTCTCCGCAATCCTACGCATATGACCGTGCTTCTCCACATGGATCTGCTTACCCTCCTATGCCAGCCCACGGAACACCACCTCCAGTTACCCCAGGTGCGTCCCGAGGCGGCCTGAATGTACGCGATATCTTGAACAACCCCACCGAATCTAATGGAGGCCGATCAAGCACCGACAGCGATATGCTGAATCAACTCAACCGCAAGGTTTAAATGCCTCTTTTCTTTCCAAAGGCTCGATCAAAGACGAACCTTTGAGACGTGGGGTGGTTGATTGGTTGATGCGTTGTTGGGGGAATGCTGGTGACTCAATTTGAAATTATTCCGCAAAGACGTTGGCTTTTCTTGGAACTTGACGAGGTTACATTCCTGTGCTGGCCGCAAGATATCACCCGTTTCGTATGAAGATAGCGGCAACTTTACGACTACATTTCAATTATTATGTTTATTTGTACGCCGATGCTTTCGCGCGCTCGTTCGACAATCGCCGAGCAAGTCATCCACCTGGCTGTGTGCGGCAATATTGGAATGCACCCTTGGCATTCCCCACTGAGAACTCATGTCCTGCAAGCTAGTTAGGGTATAAGTGACTGGATCATTTATATTCTAGGATAGCTTCAAGAGCGAGCGCAGCCAGTAGACCATAAGAGAACGATACGACAGGCTCGATCGTTCTTCCTGCCAGGTGCAGGAAACACCCACCGCATATTTGTACGAAGCCACGGAGATGACGAGCCAAAATTTACGAGCGGCACAATTGCAATCAGTTGCTTTCAGCAAAGCTGAAGTGCGCGTCAAGCGTATTCGCAATACACGATGCGCTTTTTATGACGTCTTTTTTTCGATGCGATCGACTGGACTGGTCGGAGTCGTTGAATATTAATATCCATTTCTTATATCAACTTGTTTGAAAGACCGCAAATACACACTGATAAACTATCTGGGGCGACCCATTAATTTACATCTCCGACGACTTTCCATGTTTTGCGCTATGTTTCTATATGGGAGGTACTTCAACAATTTCGCGCTCTTTCATTTGTGTTTAGCCAAATTGAATTCACGTGTCTTTGGGCATGGTGAAACAATGTGGTTATTATTGTCGAGTCCGTTTTCTTCCGCTTGTCCGTTGGTTTGTCTTTTTTCGTTTTTCGTGTTCCGCTTTATCCTGTTTTGTTCTTTTTTTACGGGTGGCTATCTGAACTGTTACTTTTGTCGAAATATTGCATTAGTCGTACGGTGGTACTTTTGTCGTTCTTTCAGCGCACGGGCGGTTCTTGTGAGTTTAGCCTCGATTTGATGGTCGTCTGGCACTTCCAAGGGCCAAGGATGCACGGACTGGGTATGGCATGGGTGGTTTCTTCAAAAGTTGCGGAATTAGCTGCATTGGCCGGTTTACTGCTGTTTCACAGGCTCTGAGATTGGTGGACATGATTCAAATCGGACATTTAGCCCCGGTTTGGACGGTGTTGCATTGTCAGTCCTGGTTTTCCTTTCCTTTTTTTCCTTTTCGTGCCCCTTTTCTGTTTTACTGTTCCCGAAAAATCGTCGTGCGTTACCTTGTTTTATTTCTGTTTCTGTTTACTATACTGGGTGGCTATCTGACTATTCTGTTTTTTTTTTTGCGCTTACAAGCTGTCTTTAGAGTCTGTACTTGTCGGGTGGATATCTGAGTCCTGCGACAACAAGGACTGTGTATGCAATCTGGGAGGCTGTCTGATCAATTTATTGTTACTATTAGCACTACAACAATTACTACGACGTAGCATTAGTATTACTAAGCTTATTTTAATGGGCATTGCTTGCAGGCTGCATGTAATAATAATGACAATAGCGATAATAACGGCAATATTAATATAATGCAGGTTGAGGCATTTAACCATGCAAGCAGGGCTGATGGATCACATCCGAGGGAAGTTCAATGCGACATGGTGCGATAGGCGAGTGACACAACTCAACTGACCGAAGGTACTAAAAAAGACGGCCGAAAAAGGGCCGGGCGAAAAGCGCAGGGTCAGAGAGGTGGAAGGCCAAGCCGAGTATTGATATTACATATGACATTTTTAGTCTGAGGCTTGATTCACGTTCACATATTAAAGGTTTTCCAGGGGTCTGGGTATACAACTGCTACACTATACAAGAGTGTTCACAGTACAATACTTGGTAAATACTAAAGTCTCCCAGCAAGCGGGCCGAACCGCATGATCCCTTCCGCCTGGATCACCACTGCAGGGGGCCGTTTTAAGTACATAGTAGTTACGTAGTAGTGTCCGTAAATTAAATACATGTACAGCAGGTAGTACTTACTACTAAGTGCACCGGTAAAGTTCGGACTAGCCAGCAGCGCCGTCTTAACGCTGGAGCTAATGCAGCCGTGCATTCCTGCGCTGCTGTTCGCATTGCGTCGGACTGCTTGGTATGATACTGGCGGAAGTTTGTATTGCCATTTGCGTCCTTAGTGTCGGCCTGGTTTACGAGTCAGTGACTTGACGTTGGGTTACATCTTGGTTAATTGTTGACGAGGAGCGGTGGTCTGAGTGAGCATTGACTATAATTTATAATAATAATATAATGATATTACAATAGTAGGAATATGATATTAACCATTGCATTGTGTAAGCGTTGAGCCGGATAATAGTGATCTCGGACTGTGAACATTGACGTCGTCTTTCCGCTATTCCCCGACTGAACAAAACATGCCCAAGCAAGGGCTATCTCGAGATGTATTCAGAGGACTCCTGAATCTAGATGTGAACAATCGCTAGAGCTAACACTGCCATTCAAAGCTGGCATGTTCCCGCTCCACTTCAAAAAACCTGGATACAGGTTTTAAGTCAATCCTAACGGGAAGTTTGAGTCCCAACTCAAACCTTTAACATGTAAGCACTCGAGATCGACTTCGGCCTACCAACCCAATGAATGAGCTACAAAGGCAAGATTCTACCGAATTTGCACGTATAGCCGTAGCCCTCCTGCCTCCATTGCGTCTCTTCCCATGGAATTACTTCAACACGGGCATATATTAGTTTCACGAGTATCTTACTAATCTACAAGAGAACCATGACTCCGAGGCTATGATGAAAAGTCCTCGTGAAAGTGTCAAATGACGTTGAATTGTCACACCAAGGCTGGAGGTTAAATTGGTATCTTCCTAGTATTGAAGTGTTTGCTTGCTACGATGGATTGAATCGGGTATGGTAATAACCGTAGCTGCTGTACTATAACATATTTCACAAGCAACCCCAATTCCTATAAAAAACTGGCATTTTAAGCCTTAGATAAGTCTAAAAATAATACATATTATAAAATTACTTTTAATATTGTATATTGTTAGTTTCGCTAAATAATAATTAATGATTATTATAATAGCAAAGAGCTATTAAAAACATATATAATTACAGCGTGGTTTTTAAATTGATTATGATTTTTGCTTTTATTTTATTAATATTAAAACATGTTCTTATTTATAATAAATAATAGCTATAATATCAATTTCAGACTATACTTTCTAAAAAATGTGGCTTAATATCCAAGGCCCCAAAATGCAAGTTTTGTATGAGAATTGGGGTGTTTGTGAAATACGTTATGAATATAGGGCTGATGATTGCTGTTGTGTCCACTCGACTATCGAAAGAGTGGAGCTGCTAACAGTTTAGCTGAATAGCATGATACACTTAGATTGATACTGTTTAGTATATAAGAGCCAATAATAAATGCTAATTTCAGCCCATCGTATTAACACACATAACTGGTTGAAAGATTGCATTATCAATCGAATGACAAGTAGAAAAAGCCAGCACCAGGCAACGCAGACTGTCAAAGACCAGATCTCTAAATCAGAAAAGAGTGAAAATATAATAAACGAATGACTTTGTCAATAGGCAGCACCTGCCTTGGGTACAAAAGCTACTAAAAAGCGAGCGGTAACTCCAATCTAACGAAGGCGAACAATGAGACATGAGATAGAAAGGAATAGGGAGTATGTAAATGAAAGATTACTGGATGATCCGAATATGAGCAACAGAGGCCGCAACCCCACGCAATGCAATAGATCAAGCTTGATACGAGTGAGGAAAAAAGTAAAGAAAAGAACTAGATGCAAAATCCGAGAAATTCAGGTGTTCTGAATTGAATCACGGCACATTATCCAGGACTTTGACCATTTTCTTGGACCGCGCTGGATCTTCCACCGTATATCCTCGACGTTTCATGAACATCTCCAACGTATCAACCACTTTGTGGAAGGAAGATGCAGCACCACGCTCCTGTCTGAAACGGACAACACTGAGATTGGCATGGCGTCCATGTTCCAGAACGGTATAGAATTCAACAGAAAATTCTACTGGCCGAAGATGAAGAACTAATATCTTCTGTCAGTACAATGAAAAACAAACAACGATTGTGCACTTACAGTTAGTTTCAGCTACACGGCCGTAGATAATGTTCTCTGTCTTGTCGAGGTGAACATCATCCATACCATACTGTTTCCATTCGCGAAGGGTTTTATTTATCTCTTTCCGGCTTCTCGCCTTTGGTATGTTGAATGCTATCGCTCGTGTAGCAGGCTTCACGTGAAAGAAGCGTGCGAACCAATTCTGGTTGACTCCTGAGGATCGACGGCTTTGACGGTTGGTATGTGGGATAGGCACATGACTGACAGCCGAATCTCTAGAAGCGGCGTTGTGCAAAGCATTGTCATCCCCAGAAGCTGCCGAAACTATAATACGTCAGCAAATAATTGTCGCCATGAAGTAAAAATGGGGAGTGGGCATGCTTACCTTTCAAGCCTTCATTGTCTGTTTTCTCAGTCTTCTTCTTGCCAAAGATTTTTAAGAAACTAGCACGGGACCTCTCCCTGGACACTCTTCTGCCTGAACTTGATTCTTCCACAGATGTACGAGATACTTCTGTGTTATTTGAGGCTGTAGCGGGTGCTGACTTGACGGCAGGCAGGGAGGCATCTTTTGGGCCGGCGTTAGAAGTCTCCTTCTCTTCAGAGACCCGAGACTTCTGTTTACTAAACCATGACCATTTCTTCTCTCCACTAGGTATTTTAACTTCACTGCGTCGCGGTGGGGCAGGGTTCTCAGCAATAGTTTCCAATACCATCGGATAGCGCGAGTTGTACCGTAAACTAGCGGCAACTGAATCGCTCGTTGTACGCTGTTCAACTGGTAAAATTGAACTGCGAACTTGTGCAATGGAGTCAGCTGAACTATGTCGCGAGCTGCTCAAGGAGTGGCCAGTAGGATCTTTTCGCTTGCGGATTGCCAACGGTTTAATCTCGTCGATAGATCGGAGAGACGACTCAGGAACCATTCGAATGGTTGATTTTCTATCCACCTTAGAGGATAGGAGAGGATATGGCTCAGGTATGGCGCGCTGATCCATACGCTGCAAGTCATAGCCGCTTGACGTTTCCAAAGGAGTAAATATTTCTTCCGAGATCGAAGGCAAGTAGCCAGTCTCCACGGCTGGTTTTACAACAGGTTCTGACACTGAACGCCTATATGCATCGTACAAATCCGTGTACGATAGATCCTGCTTATCTTCGTTGCGAGCCACATCTTGCTCAATAAGTCTATCCAGATGAGCTATAACTTCACTCAAGTAATCCGGAAGACCTGCAGCTTCAGCTTTACTGGAATGTTCGAGCAGCTTGCGACGGGTTTCGGTCAGTTCTTTAACTGTGTATGAAGTAGGCAACTCAGCGAGCTTCTCAGTAACTTCGCTTTTTACCGTCTCTTTAGCCCGCTCTGCGTCCTCATGGATTGACATAGATGTCGCGGTTGTAGCAGTACTAACAGCTGTATGCCCAGTAGACACGGAAGATCTATTAAACGCTTCCTCGCAGATCTGACTCAACTCGTTGGATACCTTGCGAGCTTCCTCTTTCCAAAAGTTATCTCGAATCCTTGTTGTCTCTAGTCCGGAGTCTGTGGTAGCAACAGCAGAGGTGCGCACCACAGTAGGTTGTGTTGGAAGCGCAGGACTGCTAAATCTACATGTAGATAGTCCGGTGGGAACTGAGAATTTGTAACTTTCAGTGCTGGTGAGTGTACCAGCAATAGAGTTTTGCGAATTTGATTGTTCAATTCTAGATTTAACTGATGACCCGCCGCCGGAGCGGCTCCTGATGTGACGGAAAGAGACGTTTCTTTTATAGCCTGCTATCACTCGGTGTGCCGGTGCAGGACTATATCCAAGTCGAGACGTAGCTAGAGAACTCTTGGAGCGGAACGATCGTTGTGACTTCTTTGTCCTAGTCCATTGTATTATCTCTACTGAAGGACTGGAGGGGATATCTGCCTTAGGGGGTGACGAAGGCGGAGCGATGGACTTGGATGGCGAGTGAGGTTGCTGCTCTTCTAGCTTTGCTGAAGAATTTTGATCTCGATGAACTGTTACACACGTGTATTGGATACTTGGATTCGACACCGGGGTTTTAGAAGCCCTGAAAGGGTCGTAGCTACCAGAAGATTTCGGTTCCTTGCCGGTACTACTGTGTCGACTCACTTCAGTAAGGATGGAGAATTGTGATCGGCGGCGCGTATGCCCTTGTAGCCTGCCATTCTTAGAATGCTTTGCTATTGCTCGTACAGCCGCAGCCGGTTTTGAAATATGATGATAATCGCTGGCTGAATACTCAAGAGGCTGTCCATGATAATTCTCTAGTTGTTCATTCCGAAACTTAATCAATGCATTGTAGAACATCTTCTCGTGATTTGGTCTGTGATTTTAGTTAGTAAAAATCATTGATTTTCATCTAGATATTTGCCCTTACTCATGAGAAAGAAGCCGCTCTATCAATGTCTCAAAATTGGCACTGTGCCAAAGAGTTTGAAGACTTCGCAACAATTCAGTGTCTATATCTGTACGTGAAGCAACCGGAGGTCCACAGTCTTTGGCGGAAAGGGGTGGTGGCGGTCCCAGTTGATGCTGGGACATCGCTTGATGTAGAGTTTCATACTTCTTGAGGAGAGGATGGTTCCATATGTTCTGTATATTAATCCGATCCTCCGGTCGCTTTTGAAGAATCCGCTGAATCAAGTCGGCTGCCTCTACAGAGAGCCATGGAGGAATGTGGTAGTCACCCTTTTTCACTAAGCGCAGTGTATTAGACAAATCTCCCCCGTCGAATGGAAGAAAACCGGTTAGTAGTGCAAATAAAATAATGCCACAGCTCCAAATATCTGCCTTGTCACCACGATACCTCCTTCCATAAATTATTTCCGGAGCAGCATAATGTGGACTTCCGCACGAGGTGTTGAGCCAATGCCCTGCAGGTTGCAAAGCAGCCATGCCGAAATCAGCCAGCTTGATATTATGTTTGGAGTCTAACAATATATTCTCCGGTTTCAAATCACGGTGACAAATATTGAAACGATGGCAGTATGCAAGTCCTGAGATTATTTGTCGGAACAGTCGAACAGCTTCTTCTTCGGGAAGAGGGCCGTGAGTAGATACATAGTCGAACAATTCACCTCCTTCAACGTATTCAAGAACCAAGTACCTGTAGCATACCAGTCAGATCAAGTCAATGGTTTTTTCTTGTTTCAACTTACAGTTCACCACGATTTTCCCAAATATCGTAAAGATTGATAACATTCGGATGCTCGATCAGTTTCATAATTACAACTTCTCGTTCAATTCCAAATGGCATTGGCCGGGTGGCCTGATTGGCACCTAGAAGCCCAGCATTTCGGTCCATTGCTGCTATACTTTCACTCTGTACCATTGCCGCGGATTTTTTAGACACGATTTTGATTGCAGCGGCCTGGCCAGTCATGGCATGTTTAGCCAACCTGACACGGCCAGTGGCGCCTTTTCCCAGGGTTCTACCGAGCTGCCATGGCCCAACATGGGTCTTGCGCTTCCCTTTCCCAGAAGCTGTTGATGTCGTTGATATTGCTGAGTTTCTATTCGAAGCTCCCGTTGATTCGGTGGCGACAGAGAGTCGCGCCGTGTCGGTCACGACAGCGGGGGAATTTGGTGCGATACGTGAGGATGCAGCGTCAGTGGACTTCAATTGCTCGCTATTAACTGCCACTCTATCGACATGAGGCATCGCACTTGTTGGGCCATGGTTCGCTCTAGCGGCAGCGTCTGTCAAGGGCTTTCGACCTTGCGGTGAACGCACTCGTCCCTCTTTGTCCATCTTATACCCTTCGCCTCTATATGACGGTGAATCAAAATAGCACTCAAGGTCCAGGCATCTAACTTCATTCCAAGACGATGAACGACAATGAGTGTTTTGTATCGACGTTGTAGAAGACGTCCTAGAAAGACATGTGGTGAAGCACTTTAGTGCCTCGAATGCCTTCCAGCTCCAATATACAAGGTCTTGAAATAAGTAACAATCAGGTTTTGCTAGAGCCAGAGTTGTGGGATTTGTCTAGATTGCCTATGTTCTGAATTCGATTGCGTAAAGCTGTATCTGATTGGCGTCTGATTTCTGGGTTATTGGTCGCTAGGGGTTGCGACGAGTAATGACTTATATTTTGCGTTAATATAAGTGGCCAGGTCCAATGTTGACTTAGAGGAACAGCAAAGGGACTGTAACGAATGTGTCGATGTAGCAAAACGAGTGACAAAACGAGGCTGGTGTCTAAGAAGACATTTTCACGCGATGGGATGGAGATTGCAGGCGAGGAGGACGAAGGGACAGAACGCTGGCCATTGTCGTCTTTCGAACGGGAGGTGCCACGACGGAGCCTGCCTTGTTGCGAGTGTGCGCGCATGCCAGAGCCCAGTAGTCTCTGCGGAATGAATCGAGGTGAGTACATGCAGACGCTCAGGTTTGTTTACCCCGCGATCATTCCATTTCTTGAAGGAATGCGTGAACTGCCACCATTCCTATTCGAGCACCTTCATCTGAACCAGGCCACAAACGCAATTTCACCGATGAGCTGTTATTTTTATAAGCAATCAATGGTCCATCAGCCTACAGTTCTACAAATTGTAGTCTTCGGATTCCAAGGCGCTGCGGTCGCGGTGGAGTGCAGTGGTGGTACGAGAACTGGTAAGAATAGAACCACCGCACGCAATAGCTCTCATTCCAGTTTCATTTTCTTCCAGATTATACCACGTCGATCATCCAGATCGGAACACACGGGTCCAATGCGGTCCTAGCGTAAAGCTTATCGCAAATTGATTCACATTCCACTGCACGCATATGATGGCATAGCCTAGATGAGAACGAGACCGCGCTGCTTGGATACACCCGGCCTGGATGAGATGGAAAGAACAGATTAGGATGCTGATATTGAAATTGGACGTTTACCAGTTACTCGCAACACCAGGTATCTTGAGGAAGAGAAATATACAATGGAAAGCTAGTGGGTTAGGATATGTCTTTATGTGTGGAGCGAGTTGCGTATAGGGCATTCCTATCCCTTTCTTCGACCTCTCTACCATACAACCCGAAGCAGCAATCTCACGCATGCAATGTCTGAGACATAATTTCATGGTATCGACTCATCGTCATTCACAGCAAGAGATGCCTCTTGCTGTGAAGGTTCCCATATCAAATGAGCGATTTCAGATGTAGTTGACTTTAACAATCTCGCGGCCCAATCCGGTATAGCCGAGGCTGGGTCTCCAACCTCAGGCTCCAGGCTCGAGCTACATAATACATATGCAACTAATTTATAGCTGTGAGATGGGCCAATCATGGATCACCTTGATCAATCTTGTCAATCCCCCCAATCTGTTTTCACTGAACCCAACATTACCAATGTTCTTCTGTGATGGTTGCTTCCTCCACCTTAATTCCGTCGACAAACCACCGACCCTCTCCATTTCCATTGGGCCCAAGGACAATATCATTCCCTGACATTTGGCGCTTTCGCATTTTGCCCGTCTCGTAGTCAAAGGTCCAGTCTTCCAGTCCATAGCACCTCTTCCACTTCATCCCGTCAGTGGAATCTTGATACTCATACCAGAATTGCACGGCGATGCGGTTCTCCGTGAAGGCGAATAGCTCTTTGCGCAGTCGATAGGACTTTTCTTTTTGCCATTTCTTGGTTAGAAAGTCCCTGACCGCATCGGTACCCTTGATGAAAGTGTCCCGATTGCGCCAGACTGTGTCAGGGGTATATGCCACCGAGACTCGTGCAGGATCTCTGAAGGAACATTTGATCAGCTGGGACCTTATTTCTCCAAGAAAGTGATTCTCACTGGGTATTCCACAAGTCCTGTGCGGCTTTTACCTTTTTCCGCGCAGATTCCTCTGTAAATGGGGGCTTTATATCTGCCATGATGAAGACTGCGCGGATTTAGTGGTCAACTTGAGCTGTCTTCACGGCGGGGGACATCGGAATTTAAAGTGCACTCTCTGAATTGAAGCTACTAATTCATTGATATTCAAAACGTTGACGTAATAATCGTTACTAATCATTGCTAATACTTCATATACTTTACCCGTCATGCGGATACGGGATTGTTATTGGCTGATGACTAGTTAGGAAAGTCTACGGGGCCAATGGGATTGCAAATCACCAGTACAACACGCTTCCTATAATAATTAAGTATAATTGCTATCAGGTAGTCGGTAACCTAGCGGCCACTCCAATACAACATACAAAATACATTTTTTAGACCTTAATAATTCCACAATTTTCTTAGAAAATGATCTATGAAAATGATCTGAGACTTAAAATATATATCATTTATTATATATTTAAAGGTATAGAAAAGTATAAGTAATGATTATTAACATTACATGGATAGTTTAAAAATACATAAATGTATGATCATGTATGCCTTAGGATTCAGGCACCTAGGCTATGTGATTTGACATTTATGTCATGTTCTATTTAAAGCAGGTTTAGGAATTAATCGCCATTGAGCGATTAACGTTGGTCTTTTTTACCTTGTTGGTTAACTAGGGTTGTTCCCCAGAGCCCTAGCTTACAATAAAATTATAATATCATTTTTTTGAATCTTTATCATATTAAATTAGATTTTATTAAATCCTAAAAGATTCTTATTTCTGATATATTATTATATATACCTCCTTTATAGACTCTATTTCCTAAGAAAATTGTTGAATTATTAAGGCATAAAAAATGCCATTGTGTATGTTGTATTGAAGTTGCCGCTCGGTTGCAGTGGCCACTCAATTAATTAATTAGGTTAGTAATCAAGTATAAATGAATCTCTCAGCACGCCGATGTATTGGGACCCGAGCCTTTATAATGGTGGGAGCGCTGAAGGACAGTCCCGGATGTTTGACAGCCATGTTTCCCAACGGAATCATACTAGGAAACGATAAAAATGGTTTCCACAATTGGAGATGCAAATTGGGAGGCTACATTAAGAAAATTGTATTTCTATGTATGTACACATAGACGGAAAGCTATATTATTATCACATACACGATGCATACTCTATTGGTCAGACAGAATAGTGGCTAGCTCTCATTGGCTCCTGACAAGCAGAAAATTCTGCACAGGTAATAGGGCGGCTTACCCAGCTTTAGACCCTTCAGGCAATTTACGTGAAGACAAGCCTTGTGCATTTCACTATGATGTCCTCTCCGATGAAGGCACAACGGTGCAACAGAACAGATATTAGCGAGCAGATGCCAGCTGGAGCAATCCTTGAACCGCTCTATACAATAAGAATTGGAGTAAAACGGGTCTGTGGACCCAAGATGATGCAACGATCACGCTGATTGATAAGAAGACCGTATGAATAATGATCGTCGTCTAGAACGAGCAAATGATTAATACTCACTGTTGCCAGCATTTGCCGCCTCCGAATCCGGCAGGACGATACATCACGTGGCGACGCGTCTCCAACGTGCATCCTGGACGTGCTTCTAGTTAGCCCGACAATGAATTAGTTCGTGGGAGAGGGGCGATCGAAGCCAGGAGAGAAGAATAGAACAACACAACACAACAACCGGCCCCTCACCACCACGCTGCCACACACGACTCGCCTGGCTAGGGCGGTTTGCGTGCTGGGTGGGTATTCTTGAGCCTTCACAGCTCATATCATTGATCATTGTTCGACAACTTCACGGATTTGTCAGGCCGTGCCGATTAGTCAATTCGACGGTCTGGCTCCGAGTCGGGACCAGCATCCGACTGCGTGAGTGGAGCGCGCTGCGTTCATAGTGGGGGGCGCGCAACAGACACTGGAGCTGTGGAAATGCTGAACTTACCAACAATCGTGTATGCCATCCACCGCTTATCGGACCACCTTGCTCTCCAATTGCCGGCCCGTGTGCGACCTTATGGCGTTACTGTCGTCTGGGTACCTGGCAGCCGGCCCGCCATAATCATATATAACGCCGCCCCTCCATCCGATCCGCTTCCCTCGATACCCTTCTCTGCCTACATCTCGAATATATACACACATATATATCCAGTTATCACAATTCCCATCCCAGCGATTCACCATGTCTGCCCTCAAGCCCGGTGACCAGTTCCCCAGCGACGTCGTCTTCTCGTAAGTTCTTCCGCCGTCCCTCTCCTCTTATCATGCCCGCCCCGCTTCAAATGTTCTCTTCCATCTACACAAAACTAACCCACCCCATTCTAGCTACATCCCATGGTCTGAGGAGCAGGAGGACATCAAGGCCTGCGGTATCCCCATCAACTACAATGCCTCTAAGGAATGGGCCGACAAGAAGGTCGTCGTCTTTGCGCTTCCTGGTACGTCCGGAAATGCTCCCCGTGTCCAGAAGATATATTTCTAACATCTACGGTCGTCAAGGCGCCTTCACCCCCGTCTGCTCTGCCGCCCACGTTCCCGGCTACATTGAGAACCTACCCAAGCTCAGGGCAAAGGGTGTTGATGTGGTTGCTGTCCTAGCCTACAACGATGCCTACGTCATGAGCGCTTGGGGCAAGGCCAACAACGTCCAGGGCGATGATATTGTAAGCCTTTCCTGGTTGCAAGGCAAGTCGCAAGTAGCAACTAATTGTATTTCTCTCTACAGCTGTTCTTGTCCGACCCCGAGGCCAAGTTCTCCAAGAGCATTGGCTGGGCTGATGAAGAGGGCCGCACTGGTCGCTATGCCATTGTTATTGACCACGGAAAGGTCATCTACTCCCAGCGTGAGCGTGGCAAGAACATCCTCGAGGTGAGTAATATTCTCAGCAGTGGTGCGAAGCCAGAGCTGACCTTCATTGCAATACAGGTTTCCAAGGCCGAGGCTATCCTCGAGGCCATCTAAGTCGTTCCATTAATTTTGACCCAACTGTCATGGGACGACAGACAGATGCTCGTGATCGCTTTATTATGACTTTCTCAATGACCAGATATTAGACTTAGATGTTAGATCTCTTGAAGACAATAGAATACCCATATCGTGTCTTTCTTTACCCATTTATACCATAAGCGACGCATCAACCAACTCTTTCAACACATGTAAATTTCAAAATCGTAATCATTGTCAAAATATGCGGAAACGGCGCAAATGTATAATTGTTAAGGCTGTCGGGTGTCTTTTGGCTGCGGCTCCCCGACGCCAAGCCAGTGGGGATTATTTCCTTGCGAACGCAGCAAAATTATTCAACTTTTGATAACGCTCGCGTCCGTCCAATTCCCCTCACAGATGGCATCCGACCCTGTACCAAAGAGGAAGGCACAAGCTTCTGGAGCTACAGGGCACCAAAAATCCGCAGAACCTTCTCGTAAACGCGCCAGAACCCAAGATGCACGTATCTTGGCAGTGCAGTCGGCTGACGCCGCTCTCTCTGCCACCGGCGAACTCGATGTTGCAGCTTACGTTGGAGCTCGTGAATATGAGATCAAGGCTTTAGAAGCTGGAATGGAGCGCTCAAAGGGGGTTCTCATGACTCGCGCATTTCAACAAGTCCCGAGATCGCTTCGGAGAAGGACAGCAAGTCACAATGTGAAGAGAGTTCCCAGGAGGCTACGGACCAGAGCCAGGCGAGAGGTACTGATTTCCTTCCTCATTGCATAAAACCTCTGGCTTACAAGCCTGTAGTGTTTGTATAAGAAGGCTGATGTTGAGAAATTAAAATCTAAAGATGATAGAAGACAATACTCCGACAGTCACTGCCCGGCGACGAAAACCCACCAAAATTCTACGTATCCGCTTGGAAACTGCGCGCCGTCTACAAAGCCTCAACAAACGAACTAAATCAAAACGAGCGGCCTCGAAGGCTACAAGGGACCAAGCTTCCAAAGATGCGATAGCAAAAGATGGTGGAAGTCATGTTTATACGATTGCTCCTCGAGTTCCGAAGATTAAGAAGAATAAACTATCGCAACCACCACCCTCTAACTCAAAATATAGGAAACGCCAACGAGGGAAGACATGGTTACCTACGCATATGTTCCATGCGAAGCGTGCTCATATGACACCTCCCAAGGAACCCCTTTGGCGCTTTGCAGTGCCTTTGACTCCAACTGAGAAGAGCTATCGGCCTACACATCGTGCAGCAGGATCAAGAGGAGCTGTAGCGTGGGATATGAGCTATATATCTACTATTCAGCTAGAAGGGATACGGCCTGCCTTGGAAATTGTCTTAAAGACTCTCCACATTGAGGGTGAAGATTGCTGGGGATCCAAAGGAAAGAAATGGCGACAAGGAACGAGAGCAATTCAGAGATGGATCTACGAAGCAGGAGATAACGCGAAGCCGATAGCACCGGTAACTTTGATATGGTGCGCAGCGGCGGATCCAGAAGATACCCCAATGGGTAACGCAGAGGACACAAGTGGGCGGAAACGAAAACAGAATAGGGACAAGATATTCATTCGTGTCCACCCATCGGCTTTCCTTCAACTCTGGGAGTTGATTCTCCAAACATCAAAACGGCAGAACCCGCCTGTGATGGTTGAAGATTTACGATTTGATATCGGATGCATTGAAATTACCGGTCCAGGGTCGACAGAGGCCCTCATTGCTACAATGCGGCCTTTTGATGGGTTGGAAAGTAAAGCAGTAGAAGCGGGAAGCCCTTCGGCAATATGGCCATCTCTTTTGGGAGTCACAAATCCTTCTTCTTTGCCAGCTGGGGCACTTCTGTCGTTTAATATAGGTGATCCCCGTCTACACTTTCCTCTGCGACCTGAGAAGCCTCCAACATCCGAATCAAGTATGAATGATCTTGCCAATATTCTCTCCAATTGGCAGCCTGATCGCTTTCGTACTTCTCCTTCTCTCTTTGATCGGTCTGCGCGGTTGACTGCCAGTCGTTGTTTACCAAGTCAGAAAGCAATCCACCGTCGAAGGACATTAGCCGGTCCTAGTGTACCACTAGAACCCCAGTCCTCTGATCCTCGTATTCCAGTCATTGCTTTGGCGTCCAGGCCAGAAAACAGCTCTAGGGATATCAACTCTCACGGCTCCTGGACCGTTTTATTGCCGTGGAAGTGTGTGACTCCTCTTTGGTATATGCTCATGTACTATCCTTTATCTAGTGGAGGAAACCCGAGATTTGGTGGACTAAAGGAACAGCGTCAATTAGCTTTTGAGCATGGTCAACCATGGTTTCCAGCAGATTTTCCAGGAACTCGTGCCGGCTGGGAGTGGCACCTCCAAGAACAAGAAGTACGAAAGAAGGAATGGGAGAGGCGGCCTAAGGGAAGAAGAGCCGAATTTGAGAGCATTGACTTGGGTAATGGACAGAGGGGCGAAGTAGGCCAGGGCTGGGCCTGTGACTGGGAGAGATTGGTTCGGGGAAGATCTCAAGACAAAGCCATCACCGAGGAAACCCAAGACACGAATGGTACTGAGGTTGTTGAAAACAGTCTGCCGGAAGGTGTGATTCGATCCCAATCATCGCTACCAACGGTGCAACAGCTAAAGCTAGAGACATTCCACCTTAACTCCAACACCAAACCTTGGCGATTCGCTGATGACAAGCCTTACGTTGCTACGGTGAAAGTGACTCTAATTGGTCGTGGGACGCCTACTCCGTGTGCGCGCCTATATCGACTTCCGTCAAATAATCCAGAACTACGCAGTCAGTGGTTGCTTTCGGCTTCCTCCACTCCAAAAAACAATACTCATAATTCCCCTCAAAGAGCCCAGATTCCGAAAGGCTCTCACGTATCGAACTATCAAAAGCAGAAACAGCAACCCCCAGCAGATCCAATATCGATAATGAACGAATCCCGGCAGAAACTTGCATCTTCGCTACTTGAGGCATCATCTCCTGAACAACAGAAAAGTCATCTTCCCTCGCCGTCTGAAGAGGATTTAATTGGTTTTGTCACATCTGGCAATTACAACTTGGCCCAAGGAAAAGGGACGGGTATTGGTGCTATTCTGCTCTCAAAGATAAAGAGTGACATTGTCACATCGGATCAACGACGCAATGGGAAGAGATCAACCAACAGACTCAATAGTGAAAGACGATGGTGTATTGTACGCTCTGCAGGGGAGCGAGTTGGAAGATTGGGGAAATGGGAATTTGTGTAATAGAAGTGCGCTGGATTTGGACAGTAGTAGAACCTTCAGTGATACCCATTTGCATGGCATGAATGAATGTATACGTTTTTGATTCGTTTTATTTGCGGCGTAAAGCGAAGTAAACGTTCGGTGCGGGTATTCTCCAGCCAAGATCATTGGAGTATGCCAATTGAGGTCCACTGGTAGGTTGAGTACATGTAATAGGGCTGATTGATATATACGTATATATATGTATTAATGTTGTGACAGTGCAAGGACTTTTTCACCGTCACTCAATGTGATCGTACATTGGAAAACATGCAACCTTTAGAGCGCGATTCATTGATAATATTTGATTTTATACCAGACCTCCTTATCACCGTATTTCTTCAACCCAGACAAAAACTCGAGCAATGGTATGTCGACACCTTAGGCACGGATCACGTGACCCCAGATGCTCTTTCCGATCGACGCCGATTCAACCTGACGACGATGTCAACCCGAACTTGCAGAAGCCACCAAGCACTCGACGGAACCCCATTGAAGCCTACCGATCTCGCATATTCTGCGCATACTGCTTTCATAACGCCCAGCAGAAGTTTCAGCCGCGATGGGCGCTGGAAGCTCGAAACCCGATGCCTCGGCTGGGTCTAAACATGTTTTTGCGAGGTGAGTGTAATAGTCACATCTACTCTTCACTATTCATGTATTGCCACTCAATTGGTTTGAAATATGAATGAATTTGCTGCTCTATGTGCGCAGACTGAATTTGGTGACTATGGCTAACTACTGAATCGACAGCGAAACACCAGTGCAATTCTCCGCCAACCTGGTAGAAGCGCTCCAGTCCGGCACAGAGGTACCGTGCACCTTCCCATTTGAGTCTACAGCCGATTTACTACAGATAGCATTATTGAGGCCTTTTTTGACTAGAGATTATAGACCGACTCGACTCGAGCTAAATCTCTCGAATTACATATCCAGACCCGCGTCGCAGAGGAATTGGAGCGGCTTCGACAAAGAGAAAAACAGACGCTCGAGGAGATCGAGAAGCGTTTAGCCGCTGAGCTACCTGAGCGCAAGACGAATGGCTTATCCTCTTCCGCATTTTCCTTTGGTGCTCCCGCCGGATCCTTAAACCTCGACGCTCCCCGGATCCCCTTCGCAGGACGAGAGCACGATGCGCCGTTGTTCCCAATCGAACCCACCCCACAAACGACGCCTGCCACAGCTCAGCGGCCGGAAGAAGCTGTCGATGCCTCACGTGAATCAGTGCTGAAGGAGATCGATCGTCTACGCAGCAAGCTTGATTCAAGGAAAAAACTCTCCGCGTTGGATGAGAACGTCGAACGGGCCAAGTCAGAGGTGGTCAATTGCTTGCGGATAAACGACCGACGGCCCCTTGACTGCTGGAAGGAAGTGGACAGCTTCAAGCAGGAAGTGGCCAGACTCGAGCGAGCCTTTGTGGACAAGGTTGTAGGGTAAATGGGGATCGGACAATACAAAGGAAGATAACTGTAGCATTAGACATTGCATTTCATACGTGTGTATACGAAGCAGAACATCTGTTGCATATTCTAGGACAATGGGCTTGCCTGTAATCTCGAATATACAATAATGATACAATAACTATCCAATATCCAACATCCAACATCCAATATCCAATATCCAACATCCAATATCCAATATCCAATATCCAATATCCAATATCCAATATCCAATATACAATACACAATACACTACACCAACAACCACGGGGCTGACGAGAGTGATTAATTAATGAATGCTTCCGTTAAAAGGCCGGCCCTAAGGCAGCCGGCGTTCCTGCCGCGCCGTAACTGGCCTCTCCCCCAACGGTTGCGGCCGCTAAGCACATCGATCATCGTGTTCGTCCTATCAGTAAACTTGCATCTACCTTCAACTGTGCAGATTGTTCTTCTCCCTGCATTCTTGCACTGCACTGCATTGCCATTGCTCCCTCGTGAGACCCCTCTCGTGCCGCATTTCGCTGTGATTTGCGCGATATTCTAGCACGGCGACTCAACCGTCCTACTCCCCTGCCTGCTCCCTGCTGCTTGCTGCTCGCTGCTCTGGTCTCGTCTCGTCATCAGGCTACGTACCGTCGCTGCTAGCACTACATCGCGCATATTACGTCTCTTCCAGCATGGGCCTCCATGACGGCAGCGCCAAAAGAGTCTCAGCCCGGAGCTGCTCCGTCTGGATCTACGTGGACGGCGCTGCTCAAGAGTAGCATCCCCAGCCTGGGCTTTCTCTTCGAGCTCACCGGCAAGCCGTGGACAGTATGGCTCGCGGTGCTGGGGCTAGCAGTAGCCTTACTCGCGCTGGGGCTCGGAATGCACGATAATATTATTCACCCCCCTCCCCATACTAATAATATTAACCCTCATCGCAGAGCCAGTAATGGCGACGCGGCCCACCTGGTTTCGGCCATCTCTTCGGTCGGCTACGCTGAACCCAGTTTGCTGCTGCGAGCAGCCAGTGCCAGCACCGGCAGCCCGAGCCCGTCTCCGCCTGCGCGACCCAACAATACCAGTAATAATACGACTGCCACTGATATCATCGGGACTTTCGCTCCGCTCTCTTATTACTGCTGCCACCAGCCCGCGTCCCCTCTCTGCGAAGCCTCACCCCTTCTACACGTGTGTTTCTCCGCCAACCCTCAGTTGATTCACTCGCCTGGCTACTTGCCCTTTTCTACTTCAGACGAGATGGTCATGGCTACTCCGCGTCCCTCCGTTGAGGCCGCTTTGCGGGTGGCACGTGAGTTCGACTACCCCTCAACACAAGTCCAACGCGGGGTCGATGAGTTTCTTCGCGAGATGTCCAAGGGCTTGTCCAAGACTGGTTCTACTCTCAGCCAGATTCCTACGTATGTGAACAGCGTTCCTAATGGCACGGAAAAGGTAATCCTCCATTCGCTTTCGCTCAATTGCCTGTTTTTCCTGTCCTTTTTCTCTTTCTCTTTCTCTGTCTTGACGTCATCGCTCCCCAGGCTACTTGGAGGACAAAAAATATCTATCCATCATTTCTGATCAATTAAAAACTCTTGAACTGAATCGTTATTTCAACAGGGCTTGTATTTGGCTGTCGACCTTGGGGGGACCAACTTCCGAGTTTGCTCCATCGAACTCCGCGGTGATAGCACCTTCAACCTCACGCAATCCAAAGTCCCAATTCCTCGTGATTTGATGGTATCTGCCTCGTATAAACAATTATTCCAATTTCTTGCCAAACAAATTGAGATTTTTCTTGAACTCCACCACAATGACCACTTTGAAGCCACTGTACGAAGGCGTCGCCTTACAGGTACCACCGATCAATACCGCCAAGCAGAAATTTTCGATCTAGGGTTTACCTTCAGCTTCCCGGTCCATCAAACGTCGATCAATAGAGGAACGCTGATCCGCTGGACTAAGGGATTCGACATTCCTGATGCTGTCGGTAAAGATGTATGCTTGATGCTGCAAAATGCGATCGATGAGCTCCGTCTCCCAGTCCGGGTTGCTGCACTTGTCAACGACACCGTCGGCACCTTGATGGCTCGGTCATACACGTCGCCTGGCAAGACTGAGACATTGATTGGAGCCATTTTTGGCACCGGCACCAATGGCGCGTACGTCGAAAAACTTAAAAAGGTAACCAAAATGGCTACTTCAGATGGCCCCGCACCTGATGATTCTGGAAACATGGTCATAAATACAGAATGGGGTAGCTTTGACAACCATCTCAATGTTCTTCCCAATACCATTTTCGACCAACAGCTCGACGCTGATTCGGTCAATCCTGGCATTCAGATGTTTGAAAAGCGAGTATCAGGCATGTTTCTTGGGGAAATTTTGCGTCGTACAATTTTGTCCTTGGTAAAAGACCCAGAAGCCAAGCTCTTACAAGAAGATGGCGTGTCTATTCCCCAATCATCACCTTTATATAGCTTGTGGGGGATTGATACTAGCTTTCTAAGTATCATTGAGGCGGACACTTCTTCTGATCTGTCTTTGACGAAGAATGCTTTGCGCAACCATTTCGAAGTGAATAACGCCAGCACCGATGATGCGCTGGCAATCAAGACAATTGGGCATGCCATAGCAAAACGTGCTGCCCGGCTAAGCGCTGTAGCTTTGTCTGCCATCATACTAGATACGAAGAAGATAGACACTGACGAAACCATCGACGTTGGTGTTGACGGCAGCCTTGTCGAGTTCTACCCAAAATTTGTAGAATACATCCGAGAAGCCATGCGCGAGATTAAGGAAATCGGCGAAAAGGAGAAGAAAATCCGTATTGGCATTGCCAAAGACGGTAGCGGGGTAGGTGCTGCTCTGATTGCGTTAGTAGCTCATAAGGGCAACGTCACTGGGAGACAGCAATAATTACGATTTATGTAATTGTTCATTGCCTATATGCATGACAACATCTTGAACTTCCATGTAATTTATTTACCACAGCCTTTGTTAGAACCATACTCAACCATACTCAACCATACTCAACCATACTCAACCATACTCAACCATACTCAGCGATTCCAAAATCTTTCAATTGTTCATGTCTTCACTTTGAGGCCCTTTGGGTGAACATATTATTATGGATGCGTATCTCGAAACGCGCTTCAGGATAGGCTGTACTTTGCAGGCTTATATTAGTTCTTTTAGCCATTGCTGATGAAATGCATCGCCGCGTAATCAATCGTCTTTGCTGCACTACAGCTTAAAATGGATTGTATTAGTTATCAAATTCGACTTCTATCATACATAAACATCACAGATGAAGACAGTGCTAGACAACCATGGTATCAAAAATAAAACCAAAATGTAGACAAACGCCTATCAATGCCCCCAAAAAAGTATGAAAGAAAAACACGAAGAGTGACATGGATAATTATCTCGAAAGTGAATGTAGACTCAAATATATACTCCATATAACCCCACACGCACTTCCAAACACCACCCGTCGATCAACCGGTATCACCGTATACATCAGACTTGCTACCACAGGTCTGTATTTCAGTCTGGCGATCATGATATCGGGCATATCCTCCCGAACCCGTGTAGCTGTAAACGCCAACGTATTCCCTTTCAAGATATTGATGAGTACAATGAACAACCAGATATTCATCACAGACCCGACGGTCTGGTCGAGCATGAACTTGATGATGAAATTCCGCGTGCCGTTATTTCTGCTGGTACTAGGTGCTGCAGATGCTGGCTTCCTGCTGGAAGACGAAGTCCAGCGCCAGAACTGAGAGGAGGACTGAACGCTCTCTATGCTTTTTTCTTTGACGGCTAGTTCCTCCATGGGGATTAGGATGGGCTGACTGTCGACTGCTCTAGGATTGGTCGAGGATGATGATAATGAGGAGGAAGATGAGAACCATCTTCTAAGTGAAGTTGGGAAGCCTGGATAATGAGCTTCCATCCATCGCTGCCAGTAGAAATTGATTGGCACGATGATAATGCAATAAGTGACGAATTGAATGAGTGCCGCGAGGTTTAATTTGAAGGGTTCCTGTTTGCAGTCAGCTTATATCAATTTACCGAATGGCTGTTGATAGTTTGATATAGTAGCATACAGTAGATTTCCATTGATCTATGATCTGTGCCAATATGTTGGAAATGGCATTGACGATTGTCGATTGAACTAGAGTCACGTATAAAGGTGACCACATGCCTGTCTTGCCCTTTATCGAAGTCTGGAAAAAAGTGCAACAATAAGTCGCGCTTTGGTCGATTTGAAGTACAATTTAGGAAATTGATACGTATTCCATCCCCAGAGCCAAGCTGCTTGCTTGTTTATCGATGGTGCTTGAGCATCCGCCGCTAGACGTGTACGTATCCACGCAGAAGATACAGTGCAGATTTATGAAATTACAGTAACATGGTAAGGTGTATATAATGAACTTGTAAAAGTTGTAGCTGTAACAAGACTAATTAATAAAATGTCAAGATTATGTATGCTCTGGTTGTGTGTTGCATGTGGGCAGGCTTGTACGTGGCCTTTCAGACCAGCCGGCCCAGGATGCACTAAAGATTAGCCCGTACAGCCAATCATTTTCCTTCGATTTTGTTACAAAGTGAATATGACCAGTTCTCAGAATATTATGATATTTGCATATTCGCATATTCGCTCGTTAAATGATGATCAACTCTAATTACAGCTGAAAGAAAAGAACAGACATAATCCGAATCATGCCCTTTTGCGAACAATCACATTCGGACCCTTCTTTGCGACGACGAAATGGTCGATCATTGCAAACTGTCCATCGGCGTCTTCGCCCGTCTTATCGGCAAATTCAATGTCAAAAAGGAACATAATCCTGGCCAATGTGATGCGCATCTCCATCAGTGCCATACTCTTACCGATACACCCACGTGGCCCAATGCTGAATGGGCAGAATGCCCGTCGCGCAATGTCAATGTCGTACTTCGTTGACGTCCATGAAAGCCCGGACGTGGATTGGCACGTTGCACCCTCAATCCATCGCTCAGGGATATATGCCATCGGCTCACGGTAATATTCTGCCTGACGGTGGATGGAGAATGTCGGGGTACCACAGTTAGTTCCGGCTGGAAGGTGAACGCCGTCTACTTCAGCACCGCCTTCCATTACTTCTCGCGGAATGGCTCCAGGGACAGCTGGGGCTAGTCGCATGGCTTCGTCGACGCAGGCTTTGAGGTATACCAGATCATTCAATTGAGGACCACTGACAATGTCTTCGACATCGCTAAACGTTGATCGGACTTCTTTCTTCAGCAATTCCAAGGTTTTGGGGTGACGGACGAGATAGAAGAGAGTTGCTGCCAGACTAGTCGAGGTGGTATCGCTACCGGCGATCATGAGGACATTCGACTCGCCCCAGAGTTCCTTCATTGAGAGCCCCTCGCCGGTCTCCGGGTCTTTTGCATTGAGTAGATAGAAGAAAAAGTCCTTCTTTGCATCGTGTCCGGCTTCAACACGCTCCTTGGCTCGCTTAGTCGCTTCGACACGCGAGTTCATAATGAAATTCCATCGCTCCATCGTCAACTTTCTGATGAAGATTTTGTCGAGACCCCATCTGTCCAGAGGCATCCAAAGTCCGCACTATTCTCCCTGTCAGTATTTGCTGGAATGGCTGAGAAGCAGTATAGGCTTTATGCATACCACATAGTGTCGGTACGCAGCACAGTCAACCAAATGGACCATTCTGCGCTTTGCGCTGTCAATCAGCATGTCAAAACTTTTTCCAAAGCACAATTCTCCCAAGACATCATAAGTCATGAAGCTCAACCAATTGCTCATATTGCGCACGGTGTGGCCTTTTTCGGTTCGATATTCATTCTCCAGCATGATATCGCGGCCATATTGAGGGTCTTCAGCTAGAATTGCGCAGAGCTGCCGAATGTGGAGTAGCATAACATCTTCCATGCCTTTCAAGGCATTGTCTGAAAATGCGTGACTCAAGACGCGGCGTTTCTTTCCGTGCAAGGTCTTGTCAATGGCATTATGGGTGTTGTAGACGCCTTTGATGGCAGTGAAGCCATTGTAGAAATCGGCCTTCTTGACACGTTTTCCATGGCCATAGATATCATGCAAACTTTGAGCGGTATTGAAAGACACGAAGTTTGGAGCTACTCGGACATGCGATCCGTAATGTTGATGTAGACGATCTAGCCATAGATGACGGTCACCCTTTAGTCCATGGTAAAGCTGCACCCACGGCGTTACTGATGCAAGGAGCGGGCCGGGGATGCGCCGTAATGGATGGAAGAAGCGATTGTATACGACATAGCCTATCAACTAGAAGCGAATAAAATTGAGTGTTAGTCCACCTCTCATTCCCCCGTACCAAGATAAGGAAGACCACATACCGAAATAACAAGCCCCCCAAGTGCGAGTCCCGTTGCGAACCGCGCCGAAGCCAAATGCTCAAGAAGCATTTCCGAGACGGTTCCGTCGCTGTGATTGGCGAGGAGGAAAAAGACGAGCCCGGCGGTAGCCGAAGCAAAGCGGATATGACGTGAGCTGCAGGTGCAGCGTCAGAGTTATTGGCGGGGAGGTTTTGGTGATAGTGATGGTGGTGGTTTTGGTCTGGGGTAGGTGATTGTACTTATATGTCGTTCAAGCTCTCGGTTAAGAACGGTTGTGTTCCACGATCTCAAATGCAGTCGCAATACTGAGCAGGATTCATCCTAATTCCTGGAATATCCGGAGTATTTTGCGTAAAGCGCAGTTGACACTGTAATACGCGCACCTTAACTATGTAGAAAAAAATATGGAATATCGGTAATCGTCGAACAGATCTCTATCTGAATTCAGCGCGTGGCGGATGTTTCGGAATTTCGATACAATCCACATTTGTATTTATGATCAAGCTCCGCTATCGTTGCTGTACCCGTGAACACCGCCATCTAAAATCCATTGCTCGTTATCATCATTGTCGTCCTGTACTCGGCGCCAAGTCTGCTTGGCCTCTCTACGGGGAGCCTTTTCGTCAGTCTGGTCACTGGTCGTACTCTTCCAGATAGGCCGTACTAGTCCTCCGCGCGCAAGTAGAGGGTTTTTACTAAATGCAGCCCTACCGTGACTTGTGTCGTTGCTAGAGGCCGTAGCGGCCTCTTCCGGCTCTTCTTCAGTGACATCTGCTGATGCGCTTGAAGGGGCCGCCTGATAAGTTCGTACGACACGGCCACCTTTGATATCTAAGCTCATTATAGTCTTCTTTCTCTCCCACTCAGGCTTGGCTTTCTCCTCCATCTCTCTAAGGATTCGCTGCTGTTTTTTTAACGCAAGAGCTCGCTGGGCTGGGCTCATCCATTGTGTCGAACCTACATTCGGTGTCTCGAAATCTGCTGCTTCGTCCACGACACGTGTGCGTTGGGCATTATGCGCTTGAAAAGAAAGTAATTTATCTCGATGCGCCATGGCTGCATCAAGTTTACTGGGAGAAGTGGACGACCCAGAAAGGCCTGGACCACCGGTATGATGGACAACCTCATTATGTGCTCTCATTTTCTCTTGTCCCCGCTCGGCACGTAGTTCCTTGATCATTCCTTGTATCTCTTCGCTGGATAATAGCGGTGTGCCGCAGAAAGAGCACGGCTGTAATCCTTCCAACGAACAGATTATTTTTCCACAACTGAGACAGTTCGGAGCTGGCGTGAAAAGTGGGTGTATCAAGGCATCGCAATTGCACGTCTGCCTGCCTTTAGTGAATGTAGGGTTTGTAGACACTTCGAGTGCTGCAATTGCGGAGGTCAAGTCTGCAATATTTGTCGTTGTCACAGACCCTTTCGCAGGAGTTGATTGGCCGGAGCCAGAGCCAGAGCCAGAGGGGTGTTGTCGTGAAGATTTAGCAGCCTTGGATTTTACATTGGGCAGGTAATCAGATATCAAAGGGCCGGCTGCCGACGGAGGTGCTTTGGAGCTGATGGTTTTCGGTGCCGGAGAGGGATTCCGTGAACCTGCCGGGGAGGATTCGTACGATGACGGTGGGTTCGTAGTCTTTGGCTGCAAGAAAGCCGCTGGTTTTGTGGATGGTGACGGCGTATCACGCGACCGGGAGAATGTTGCCATGTAATCAGATTCCTGATCGGATTTTCTGTAGGCCCCGGACATATCGCCATAGTTATCTGGTCTCCGCGGTGGTCCGGTGCTATGCAAGGGTGCATTTTTTCGTTTCGACTTCTTGGTCTGGCTCTTTTCGGGTCTGCCATCTTCATGATCTGTTCGTGGAGTAGTTGTACCAGATTGCGGGGCAGATTTAGAATCGTTCCGTCGTCTCGAATTGAAGGAGGATATAAATTCGAGAACAGGAGGTGAGTCTCCTAGGAGATTTTTCAGGTGCTCTGCGCTGTCTTCTTTTGAGAGACCAACAGAGTAGGTGACAATTTGTGTGAGTGATTCTTCATCAAGAGGAAGCAGATTCGACAGCTGGGGAACAGCCCACGCAACGATGTCCCCGACCATGATGTGAACGGTTAGGGAGGTAATATCTCAAGCATGCCCACAACTATGTATTTGACTCCACCGCCAGCTTTTGTAGTAGGCGAACACGATTTCTCCTGGTTGTAGTCAGAGGCAGAGGAGTCTTGTTTGGGGTTGAGTGAGCGGGTCTCACCTGCAGGCTCGATGTCCCAATGCGGCAAAGCGCCAATGAGCAATTGTATATGCCATCTGACTCATCATTAAAATAAGCGATAGTTATGAAATATGGATCGTCAATATGGATAGATACTAAGCTATCTCTGGAAGGGAAAATCGGCATATTTGTTCTGACAAGATTGAAGCAGTCAAGTTTTCGAGAATAAGATATCGTACAGAGAGAACTACCAAGCATTCTTTGATGTATGATGATATGCAAGTATAAAACAACAACGAAGACTTCAGATAAGCCAGCAAAGAGAAGTAGTGTAGGACTCCGTGCTACTTGATAGCGATTGATAAACACAACGAAGACAAGTAAGGAAAGCGTGATATATTGACACGTATGACAACAACCATCTGACGCCTAAATGCTATGCAGTCAACAATTTATGCAGTGGTCCAAGCAGTGATGATAGGATTGCACGCTGAGGTTAGTGAGAAAGGGAAGACGATGCAACTCGAGGCCTGATTTATTTCATCTTTCATCTTTCGATCTCAGTTCTGTGCATCGTCACCTTGTTTGTAAGAAAATTTCCATAGACAGGAATCAAGTTTCTGTCTTAACAATTCCATCCTCTGACGGCACCTTAACCTCAGCCGACTCCGCAGCTTCAGCAGCCTCTTCAGCCAGCATGGTATCTGGAGTGGCTCCGTTTTTCAGCTTGCTCGGAGGCGCAGGCTTACTATTTCCAAGTTTCTTTGGCGTGTTTGGTTTTTTCTTTTTGGGATTGATAGGAGCTGCATCACCGTCGGGAAATGGCCTCTTTATTGGTCCTGTATTGGTCGGAGTAGCGGATGCACCGTCTCGGTTCCGCGTAGTGTTCCGTCCAGAAAGTCCCATACAGCGGTCCAGATGTGCTGTTACTCTATTCGTTTGAAAGTAACGCGGGCAATTTGGACACTTGATGGTTGGAAATTCAGGTGCGCTTTGCTTAGATGTATTGTTAGCATCAGGAGTGGATGGAGGGCTAGAACCCGGTGTGTTGGTGCTGGTGTTCGTGGCCTTCTTCTTCTTTTTTGTCTTATCAGTGGCAAATGGATTGCCATGTACGTCGAATCCAGGCTTACTGATAAGAGGATGTTTTGTACAGTATTCCCTCGACGGATCCGGAGTAGGTCGGGCTCCAACGCCGGCCGTTGGGTAGAGCAATCGAGGCAGACAACAATAAGGACAGATCGTTTCCTTCGTTGTGGCCAGTGGATTCCCTTTCAGATATACCTTTCCATCATCGTAAATTGCACCTTCTGTCTCTACCTTCACTTTGGACTCGGGATTCTCGCCGGCTTCTAATTCCGCCTTTTGACGAGCCAGGACGACAGCAGACCGCATGCGAGCAATTTTTTCATCTCGATGTACCTTTGCCACAATATCATGGATAATATTGTAAAAGGTATCATTTAAAATCTCCTTCGACTTCTGCTGTGTTAAATTTGGCTTGTTTCGGGTGGTTGACAAGCTTACCAGGTCCGAAAACGAGCTTGCTGAACAAACTCGAGAGTCCGTCTCGGCGGATTTGGTTGCGTCTGAGCTAGTCATTTTGAAGTCGGCTTCGTCTATGTCGTCCCTGTTTTCACAGTATATCAGCATTTCTGTAGAAATAAACAAATCGTTTTCTTCTCAGGAGGTACAAGCAGCACAGACCTTGGAGGTCGATGGCAATCCCTCAGGGACTCAGCAGCAAGAAACTTGCCGCGCCCTAGTCACAATCATTGATTTGTCCACTGATTGCCCATCAATAATTTTGTATGCGATTCCGTCTGTTGATATAGAAAACCGAGGCAATGACTGGTAGGAATAACGTTCAGTTGATTGCGACCCGGCGGTTCGCTGTAGAGGCGATTTAGAGCTTCGGAATCGGCTGCAAAAGAAGAAGTAATTGTGACTGTGGAGCTTTTTCGACAAAGCTGTAGCTAGTGATTATTCTCGTGTCGTAGAATAAAGGCGATGCTCCCTCGTGATACGGTCTTGAAAGGATAGTGACATTGCCATTTCCTGCAGAGCACCGGCGGCCGAGGACCTTCGCCTATTCGGGCTAGTGCGGCTGCAAACACCGCCGGCCGATAAGGTCTCTTATCGGGCCTTTCTCCGCATACATATTAATTACTACAGGTACCTCATGCCTCACGGTGCCCCTCGCTGCGCTCCTCTGCACCTCTCTCGATCCAAGGATATACCCAACCCGCCTGTTTTCTGCTTGCAGACTGGCCTCTTGCTTACTCGTGTCTGCCGTGTTTTTCCTTGTTTAATTTCCCACGTCACCTTCCCCCAGGCCCATGGCGTATCAATTCTTCGCCAAAGGGCAGGCGAAACAACAACGAACAGCAACAACACCCTCTACGCCTCTTTCGCCTCCTTCTTTACAGACCTCCTCATTGAGCAAGCAGCCGCCGATACATCCTCCGCCTCTAGTGCTCCCGCAGTCGACCTCGTCGTCCGTGTCCAATAAAACCCCTTCGATCGGTGACCCGGCGTTTCAACCCCTCCCTTTTACAGAACCCATAACTAGCTACCAAACTCCGCACCCGCATATCACCATCGACCAGGTCCGCACTGCTCATATCCCTTCTCTTAGTCGAATTACAGGACTTCTTCTGCCCATACGCTACCCGGGCTCATTTTACACGGCATGTATTACCGACCCAGTCATTGCGTCGATATCCCGCGTAGCCGTCTACCATGATCATCCTGTTACAGCGGGCCCGACTGTTGAAACCACCTTTGCAGGACAATCACCAGCAAAAGCTGGGGCTCTAGGAGGGACAGATAAAGTCATTGGAGGTATCAGATGCCGACTGGAAAAACTTCCCGTAACATTTGCGGGAAATCCTACATCGGAGGAAAGGCCCCCTATAAACTTATACATACAAACTCTCCATCTTCTCTCCCCACACCGGGGCAATGGTGTTGCAGCTTCCTTACTTCATTCCTTTTTATTTTCTCAACCCCCTTCCGAATCCGAGAAATCCTCATATCGTGTCTCTTCGCTCGTGAAACACTATAATATTCGCACGGTAACCGCTCACGTCCAGGAAACAAACGATGACGCTCTGAAATGGTATACTTCTCGGGGATTCTACATTGAAGATGGTGTTGTGCAGGGCTATTACCGACGACTCAATCCTGGCGGAGCTAGAATTGTCAGATTTGATCTCAACTGGGAAAGAGAAGAGGCGCAAAACCAAGAATCGTTCTCTCATTCGAAAATAATAGATACCAAAACAGAAGACGGGGACGAAGATGACGGTTGGGAAAAGTTGGAAGCGGAAGATGACGATGCCGATGATCACGGTATCATTCATCTTGCTGACAGTCGCGCCCTTGACAGTGGGGAAGATTCGCAATCCACAACAAACTCCGTGAAAAGAAAACGAGAAACTGAGGATGACATACAGAGGAGCGGGAAACATTAGAGTATAGTTTCTTTTCTATCATCTTGCATTGCCCTTCGTCTTGATCTTCTACTTCATGCATCCGTCTGATAGACGCACCTTATACCCATTATGATATAGAAATGTTATATCAATCTTGTTCCATCCCCGAACCTTCGTACCTCCAATTCGAGGCATCTCGGTACCCAACTTAAACGAGTAGCTTGATATCTTCGGCCCAACCAACCTGACTACTTTTTCTAAATTAGATCTAGAGACTTTTATACGTTTGACATAGGAGACTTTGATCGTGAGTTGTGGACCCACAAAAAACCCTCGCATATCAAACATAAGAATGTCCAGTTCCTTCCGAGTCAAATGATGTCTGCTCCAACTCCAGATTTTAGCTGGAATTGACATCTTCATAGGGTTGATACCATTCAATTAAAGCTTCTTATACTCTTTACCCTTTCTTGTCCTTGGAGAAAGGGAAAAAGCAAGTTTATGATGACTAGTTCATTTTCTAAACTGACTAGAAGAAGGAATCGGGTATCCTGTTATGCTGAAACTATGAACAAAAGTGAGACGAATGAAAAGCTATTGAGAGGAAAATGTACAAAATATGCGCCGGCCATGAATGCTTATATACTGAATGGCAATCCATCATAACACAAATACTACAGCGGTCTGTTTCCGTTGCGTCCAAGGACCAATCTGAAATCATATAGTATAGTTCTCTGCATGTAAGAAAATTTCATCTTTGGTTTGGTCTGTCATGACAAGTTGTTGCAGCCCTGCTACTGTATTGGCAACTTCGACTCGCATGCTTGGTGGTCCACAGACAAAGACGCATGTGCGACGTCCCCAGGACTTGGAGTGTTCGAGTAATATGTTTCTTAAACCGGGGCGTCCGTATTCGGTTCGCCAGTTATCTTGTTTTTGTCGCGGAAGAAAAGCAAATCGTGTCAGAGTGCTTCTGGTCTGTTGAAGAGGTGCAGACATGGGTTGCGGTTGTGGCTGTAGTGGTGGTTGCTGCTGGAAACCAAATTCGAAGCCATGATTACTATTTTGGGGTATGGGTTGTGGTTGGGGATATGCATATGGTGCATATGGGTCGTAATAGGGGTATACAGGGTAGGGTTGTCGACTTGAGCCAGCACCACCCTGCATGTAGGCTCCGGGAAGTTCAGTAATCGCGTCCTCATTTTCACGTCTTAGTTCTTTTTCGTGCTCTAGATTGCCACCAGCTGCTTCGCGAATCCAGGCTGAATCTCGTTTGCTAGGGATGCCCTGAAGAATCTCGTTCACCGTCTGTGTGGCAGTCGCTTTGTCTGTATCTGAGCCGGTCAAGAAGAAGTGGCATTGGACTGAGTCTGGTGGTGCAAACTCTCTACAGATTCTCAGCTCTTCTTTGAACCATTCCATAGTTTCTGGATTCTTTAATGCCCACACAACTCTAACGTTCTTGGTGACAGCGTTTCCATCCCTAATTTTCTTGATCAAGTTAAGCAGTTGGCTAGCAATTGCTGTGATGCCACTACCTCCCGCGACAAATACCACGTCGTCGAATGCAGCTAATTCTCGTTGCATTCCACCATAAGGCCCGTCGAGGAATGCACGGTAGATTTTATATGGGCCCTTCTTTTGTGCAGTTTCCATGACTTTGCGTGTGAACCCTTTGAAAGGGCGAAAAACAACGACCATGTCGCGATACTCTGGTCCATAATTGGATGGGAAGTCGTCACTGCAAAGTGAAGCAATTGTGAAAGGATGATTTTCCAAGGGAGAAATGCCTGGCATTCTTAGGTATACATATTGTCCGGGCCGCCACCGCATCTGTGTCGGGATAGTCACTTTTACTGCATTTCCTGCAAGTAGAGCCACTCCAGATTCTTCTCCAATCAACCATCCGAAGCGTAACGGGCTGAACCAATTCAGGTAAAAGCCTCGAATAAGGTAGGAAAAGAACCACACCGCGATGGTCGCCCACAAATAATTCCACGAAAGGAGAAAGTTTTTGGTGTGCCAAATAAGCATGCCCACAAAAACAACTGCAATCGGACCGTGCAAGTAAGCAAATAGCTCGTAAGCTCTAGATCGTATATATGTATGCGAATGAATGCAGAGTACAGCTAATGGAACAAAGGCTGCCACTCCGCTACCGTATATATACATGTTGACCCCCTGTGGAACGAGGGCCTGTTGAAAGATGGCGTAAGCACCATCCTCCCATACCGGGGTGACGTAGAATGGGATCATATGAATGAGGCTCGCGAAGAGGCATAGATACGCAAGCCACCGATGGAGAACATTAAGGCGCTCGTGTCCAATACCAGTCGCCAAAGCCAAGACATTAGGTTTAGTGCCTAGGGCGACAATCCAAGGAATCATTGCCACGGCAATCATGCCTGCACGTATAGCTAATGGTGGTGATCCTAGAGCGATACTGGAATAATACAATGGCTGAGGAATGAAACAGTATAGCACCACAAAGCCTAGCGCAATCAGGACAAGGATAACCACGGCAAGAGGCGGGAAAACGACGTGTAGCTTTCCGATTGTGACTGTTGGAATTGGTCTGTAAAATACCCAGCGAAATAGTGCAACGAGATTATTCAACGGTGCAACTGATGAAGCGCCATATCCACGGGACGAAGGAAGGTCACCGTGTGCTGGGAAAAATTTCTTGGTAGAACTATCAGTGGCAGCACTTGGAAGCTCCACTTCTGACGCTGCTGTAGGCGACTTGACACCCGATTCTTTGTAAAGCGCTATCCGCACACGATCGCCTAGGAGGTGATAGACGCGAACTAAACATGTAAATACAACAAGGACAAGACTGAAGTACACCCATCCTAGCGCATATTTCCCTGACTGCGACCATGGGTCTTCTTGCATCTCAGCCTGTTGCTTAGCAGTAGTTGAGGCAGTGATCGGAATATTGATGCGTTTCGCCAGCGAAACGAGAGGACTGAGAATGTTGCTGGACATCTTGGCGATATGGTGAATTAATACCGATAGTCGCAAAGGTATAATGTCTTGAGTAACCTGATGCTCTCCACAGCCGACTGTGCCTATCAAAGGATCACATATGACAAAAGGAGCAAATCATTGATATTTCCCCAGAAATGTGAACTATTCCTAGGTTCATCCAAAGAGAGATCTGCTCGACGCTGGAGATTCGCCGAAGAAATTCAGACTTGCGAGTTCAGACTGGAAACGGCGGTAAGGGAAACCAGCAGTACAATGATTGATTGGTGTGTCTGGGAATAATCAAGACGAGTCATCAAGCACTTCTCTATGACAGGTCACTGGCTGTCCTGTTCATGGATAAGAGCGCACGTAGCTGCTGAGAGTCGACAATGTAGACAAGTGTAGGTGAGCAGAGTCAGTTGGGATGGCGAAGGTTCATGTATTATTCCGCATTGAGCGGGGAAGCTCTAGACCGGTGCAACAGCAGCATTATTCTGGGCCAGTCGCAGCAACCCTAGGACAACAGGCGCTTTCATCCGGGACCTCATCCGGAAGTGCCTCTGAATTGCCAAAAATAGTGCTACTCTTGCCAGCGGGCGACGACAATGCGGACTTAAGGCATTCGATAGGAGGAGTTGGCAAATGATAGAGCAGCCGTATGCCAGCCTCGACATTAGTGTCACAGTGGCTACACGTCGACACTGGGCAATTTCCACCGAAGCCAAACACATTGGTCAGGTGTTGTCGCCCACTTGGCGGGCTAATTGCAGTGGCTGTTTGGCCTAGGACAATTGCCCAGTGACAATCACCCGCAGCTTCTTGAAAAAGCGATGTCGATCACGATTGATGCGAAATCAACAGAAGGGAAACCAGTTGAGCGAATGAGAAGGCACAGTTAGGCGCTCTTCAGGAGCGGCGACGGGCAAATCAGACGGACAGACAGCCATCCGCGAGTGATAGCGGTCCAAGCTTTGCAGTAGCGTGAGGAACATCGTCACTATCTTGCAGAACTCCCCCGACTAGGCCGACTAATTAGTAGTAGTTCTTCGTGCTTCACGGCTCCACCTGCGAGGGCCAGAGGCCATTGGGTCATGGCGATCTGGATGCACCAGGCGGCGGGCACTAGCATTAAAGCCGTCTGAGCAGTGACAGAAGCGGTGGTTTGTGCGACTGTGTGGAGAGGCCGAGCATGTAATTATGCTTTTCAGACTTGCATGAGCAACCGCTGAGTTTTAAATAGAAGACTGATAGAAGCTTGCTGGATCGGAGGAGACATGTGATTGAGAATGCCAACGCTGGGAGGGCTCGAGGTTGGTGTAACTGTGAAGAACACGACTTCCACGTTGTGTAGGCCTGCAGTGTATCACGTGATCGTTAGTGATTGAGCAACAGTAATCAGTGAAGTGAGGAACTAGAATGCTGATGCATTCTTTAGCTATAAGATGAAAAGAGTCCGGAAGTCTCTGGCTGGGCTTTGGCATTTAGAGGATGCATCTTCAATAGACATGTTCGTTCGTTGTTTCGCGTTATTAAGGCAGGGACCGTCGTCAGTCGGGGCAGTGCTTAGATTCACAGTCCAAAGCCAATCTACTAAAAAAACAAACCAAAAAAGGACTACCCCATGCTGAAAAGTTAGCTGGACACGGTGCATTATGAAAGTTATAGATTCAGATTGCTGCTATGCACTCTCGCCTCTGATTGGACAAACAGGGTGGTAGAGATGCAGCTACCGCCTTCGAGTTGAAATTATTCTGCCGGCGCAAACAAGAAAAGACAACCAATCCGGCTTTCTCAACATAACTCGCTGTGCTTGATTCTCATACTCGTGCTTGTAGAGTAGGGGTTAATCATGGCACCGCCTGCTGCTACCGATGCCCCAGCTATCCCTGGGCCTTCACCTCCTTCGCTGTCTCTCCCACCTTCACAATTTGCCCGTCTGCAACCACACGCCTACCTTCTTGCTCACTTGTCCCCGCCTCCCTCCAGCCAACAGTCGCCCATACGAGCCAATGGACGCACTCCTTTAGAGTTCCGGTATACCTCTGCCAATTCCGGTTCTTTAACGCACACCAATGGCAGCGCTGTGGTGAGAATAGGCGACACTGCTGCCGTGTGCGGCGTGCGGGCGGAAGTGCTACATACCGAAGATATAGCATCTTGGGGTGTCTCTGCGTCTTCCAGTGCGAGGAAACGAAGGAGAACTGATTCAGGAAATGAAAACGGTGAAGGTGACGATAACGACAACAGCCAAATCAAAGACCTCAATCTTTTGGTCCCAAATCTTTCATTGAGCACAGGGTGTGCGCCAGGCTTCATACCAGGCGCCCCTCCGTCAGCACTGGCGCAGTCACTGTCGCACCGGCTTCTCTCCATGCTACATAGCTCTCATATAATATGTGAAGATGATCTGCGAATATGGTATCACCCACCAGACTTCGATGCCATCGAGCGTCAACAGTCACGCAAAGATAATGAAATGGAAACCGATGCGGGGGAAAAAGAAGATCCAGAGAGCCCTGAACCAGAGATTAGAGGATTCTGGGTACTATATATTGATGTCATGATGATTTCTCTCGCTGGAAATCCTTTCGATGCTGCATGGGCCGCTGTGATTGCGGCTTTGCGGGACACGCAACTGCCAAAGGCGTGGTGGGATGTTGATAATGACATGATACTATGCTCAGACGAGGCTTCGGAATCAAAGAAACTCAACCTCCGTGGTCTTCCAGTTGCGAGCTCCTTTGCTGTATTTGAGGCAGATGCTGCCGCAGACTGGCGTGCCGTCGTGCTTCCGAATGTCGAAAAGGCAAAGACCAAACAGACAACTCGTGAGCAACAGAGATGGATCTTGGCTGATCCGGATGGGTTTGAAGAGAACCTGTGTCAAGAGCGGATATGGATAATGGTTGACCGGAACGAAGAGAACAATAAATCGAAGATAATAAGCATGGAGAAGAATGGAGGCCTATCTGTTGGCCGTGACGAACTGAGGATGCTTGTCGACATCTGCCTAAAAAGACAAGAGCAGATCAAAGATATATTGCAAGCGTTGTAATAGTTTAACAAGAAAATAAAGTCAAATCGACAATGATACCAATCCCATTTCAAACTGAATCAGATTACCATAGAACACCTTAATTGATATATCTACTTTACATTAATCGGTATGTATAGATCAATCGACCCCAGCATGTGTGCGATCAAAAGATAGACTTTAATTCTGATCACATAAGAAAACGCCCGAAATGCATACATAACGAAACGCCAGGCAGCATAGGAGCTCACTAGTCTAAAGCTTCTTTTTCGAGGAATCTTTATGAACACTGCCTTCACAAAGCTTCTGCAAGTCCGGGGCCTTCTTTGGCAGAGAAATGGACAATGAAAATAGGCACCTTTCATCTAGCTCATCCGTTTTCTTAGACACACCTTTGGAACTATTACCCATAGAAGTCTCGTCCCCAGAAGTTGTCTTCGATGTCTCCTTTTTGCTTTCGCCTTCTTGACCTTTCCTTGTTTCGCTTATGTCAAATGGAGCTTTGACATCGCCTGCCCAGATACGTGCAAACAATCCTCGTTTATTATCTGATTTTCCCTTTTCATTATCCTTGTCTTTCTCCGTCTTCGAATCAACCTCGGCATCTTCACTCATATCCGAGAACTCCAACATAAAAGGCAGCTCTCCCCTATAAAATGCGGTACCCCACAAGGAAATGAGAACGCCCGGTACTAGATAAAGCAGCGCGGGCTGGGCATGGTTCGAGTACTGCATCACCAGAAGAGTTGCGATCATGCCCACTATATATCCAATAAGGCTGGCGTAGAAATATGGCTTGGGAAAGGCCTGTGCATCTGGATAAGGAGGTTGGAGTAATGATAATTGGGTGGGTTTCGATTTAGTCCAGAATCGTTCGCCCCATCCTCCAGTTGCGGTTTGGTAAATTGGTTTCGTGTCATTTTGCTCACAGTCCGCACTTTCGGGTTTCTTCAGCCCCTTATACTTGTAATACAGGTAAAGGTCGAAACGTAGCGCGAGGCCGATCATCATACCCGGTACAACAATATCGCCTAGCCCTAACATGGCCAAAGAAATCTCATTGGGATCTGCCATAGGGTCGGAAGGGCGAGGAATTAAGAGTTTGATGGGAACATCTAGTTTGGTCGCCACTGTTACCATCAACGGTGTAAAAAAGACAAAATAAATGTCGTACAAAAACAGCGAAACAAGGATCAAAGTGCCAGTTAGGAAAGTTGATGGCGACATGAATTGTAGAGAACCATAGCAGAAGCTGAATCCTAAAAGATTAGTAAGCCACCATGGCTTTGCAAAAAATGCGAAATATGCAACAGCAGCCAACGCAATGGCTGCTCCAATAGTATCAAGAATACCGAACCGCGTCTTGATGTTAATAAGACTGAGTATTCTAGCGCGTAGTCGCAATTTTTGATATAATACACCACGAAACGTCCACAGGAAACTGCATATTGCGGCAGGTAATGGAATGGCCCCAATTAAGCCTGGAAGAGGTGATTTGCGCTGTACTCCAGATTGACTAGTCGACTGGTTCCCCTCCTCATGAGAAATGAATAATGTTTGTGATTGTTCAATTTTCCATTCATAGCCTCGAGAGGTATATCTCGAGGGAAATATAAATGACCGTGAAACTTTAAGTCCATCTGTCAAGAACGCGGCCGCAAAAAACAAACCCATCTGCGAAAAGTAGAAGCTGAGGATCTTGTTGAGAATCGCCGGGTCTTCTAACCATTTGATGACAAGATAGAGACCACCCAGAGTCAATCCTGCAATCAATGGAAACATAAGGGCATCTGAGGGCTCTAACCCTTCCATCTTGGGCTTTATATCATCCTCTTCATCGTCATCGTCGTCGTCATCGTCTGCAGCTTTAGACTTCTTTTTCTTCGGTTTGGCTGCTGATGAGGGCCGGGATAGCGAGGCGTGAGATCCAGCGAAGATCGGAAGTAAAGCTGATAGTATTAGGTGTGTGTAGGTAAAGAGGATGGGTCTCGAGGTGTTGAATTGGTCATATGCCTGTCCGAGGAGCTCGATCATGGAGCTAGCTTCGGACATCACGAGCTGCAGATGGTCGCACGGAGACCGTAGGGCAACTATAACTATGCGGATAGTATTTGTAACAATTCCAAAGTTTCCGATCTGTATATATTTGTATATCTGCTGAAGATATATCAGACCGTCGTGGCCAGAGCGTTCAAATGTTGTTTTGTCGCGTTGGTGAAATGTGGCACGCCAAGTGCGGATAACGGAAGGAAGTCTCCAAGAATAGTTAGAAAAGTATTGCGATGGACATTCCCCGCCAACTCCAACTTCTCTTCTGCCAACAAAACTCATCCATATAACCATAGGGAAATTTGAAACCACTTTTGATAATAAAATGGCTACAGATATTGCCATCGACACGACTATGGTATGGCTCTATCCTATGTCAGACCTCTAGCGACTGACTGACGAGACATTCGATAGGGTTCATTCGTTGTGGAACTGTACAATGATCATGCACCCAAGGTAAATAATAACTTGAATACTTGACTTGATGTCATTCTAACTCTTTCTCAAACTAGACCTGCAAGAACTTTGCAACCCTTGCTCAGAGAGGATATTACAACGATGTCGTCTTCCATCGCATTATTCCGAATTTCATGATCCAAGGCGGCGATCCCACAGGGACTGGACGAGGAGGTAGTTCGATTTACGGCGAAAAATTCGAGGACGAAATCAATACTTCACTAAAGCACACTGGAGCTGGTATCCTGAGTATGGCCAATAGCGGACCGAACACCAACGGCAGCCAGTTTTTTATCACCCTGGCTCCCACACCCTGGCTAGATGGGAAGCATACAATATTCGGGAGAGTAAAGAGTGGGCTCAGGGTCATTCAACGCATGGGACTAGTCAAAACGGACAGTGAAGACCGGCCTCAAGACCCCGTCAAGATCATCAGAGCACGCATTGTGGAGGAAGGCGCCGAGGATTGAAGAGTTATACATGGAACCTCGCAGTTGCAAAGGAACTTAAAACTACGGATACACACGGTAGGGCCAATACTCAGATTGAATTGTGTGCAGCAGCATGCAGAAAGCATTTGATGGCATCCGCCAAGCAACGACTCGCCCGGTCTGCGAAACCCTTGACTTGCAGATATTTGGGCGAGCTCCTTAGGATCGACTTATTCATAAGGCTATATCATCATGGCAGTGTATGAACCTGTTTAAGTACTAGTGGGCTATATAGCTTATATCTAGATAGCGGAATGTATCACCACAAACGAACCGCTCACATCATATGTCTCCATCCAGAGCAGCAGATACAGGGTGAAAAATTGTGTCTACCACTCTCACAGACATGCCAATGAAGGCACGCCGATAATAGACAAGCTGCTAGTAATAAATGCAGTGCGTCTGCGCTGGGCGCAAAGAGTGGTATTGGAGAAGCAAAATTGTTTTGGAGGGAAGAAAAAGCTTTTAAGTGCCTGTCCTAACCGGTTCGGGATTAGCTGTTGAGCTGTTTACACAGCGCATTTGGAGCTCAAGAGTGTAAATCGCCTAACTGCGGAGCTTAATATTTAACATGCAAAAGACTTCTAATTCTCAGCTATTAAAGTCGTTTTTGCATACGTGGACTCCTTGTATGCTGTCAAATCGAGTTTCTCCAAGCAAGCAAATATTGCGATATCCTGATACCACGTGACACGCACTAGCGCGAATCTGTAGCGGGCCTTCTTGACTTGCAATTTCTACACTTGCCAGATTTTTCTCCGTGTATGTCACGGACATACGGATTTACACATCCCTCCTCCTTCCAGGGTTAGGACTCGTCCAAAGCCTCGGAATACTTTCATCGCTGGGGAAATGTGAACCCTGTTGTGCAGCAACTTATCTTGTAGACCTTTGAATCTGCATGGAAGATCCTGAAATATGGAGTCCCTAGCAGATACTCCTTGGGATGTAACGATATCCGGGACAGGGCTCGCCCAGTCACTTCTCGCATTGTGAGTCGGGCATGGGAAAACTTGGTTTCGTTACAATTCTGACTGTTCCAGAGCCCTGTCCCGCTCAGGTAAGAAAATCCTTCACGTGGACAAAAACACGTATTATGGGGGCGCAGAAGCTGCATTTAGTCTCCAGGAGGCGCAAGAATGGGCGGATTCGTTGAATAAAGGTGCGTATTAGTTGTCTGGTACAATCACTTCATCGCTAACTTGTTAAAACAGAGCCTGGTCGTGAGCCGTTCGAAGATGTCTCTATCCACTTCCCTTCAAGCGCGTCACATGGTGGGAAGGCACTTGCAAGCTCCAGGGCTTACTCTCTCTCACTGTCGCCATACCTTGTGTATACTCGATCGAAGCTGCTCCCCGCTCTCATCTCATCAAAAGTTTACCGCCAGCTGGAGTTTCAAGCTGTGGGGAGCTGGTGGGCCTACGAGGATGCCGCGACGACTGAAGGAACAAAGTCTATGTCGGGGAATATTCGACGAGTGCCGGGTAGCCGTGAAGATATCTTTGCTGATGACTCGATAAGCATGAAGGAGAAGAGGATGCTCATCAAAATTCTCCGCAGTGTCAATCAATCGTCTCAGTTGGGCGAAGAACAAGAGGATGCTATCGAGGAAGACCTGGATTTGTCCTTTCCAGACTATATGGCCAACAAGTTTAACGCACCAGCCAAACTTAACAACGCTCTGCTTTCTCTGTCCTTGAGCCAAAAGTTGCCACAACAAACAAGCGCGAGCTTTGCCGTACCTCGTATTAAACGACACCTGGCCTCTATGAACGTCTTTGGCCCAGGGTTTTGCAGTCTCCTTGCCAAATGGGGCTGCGGTGCAGAAATTGCTCAAGTTGGCTGTCGTGCCCTCGCGGTCGGCGGCGGTGTTTATGTCTTGGGTCGAGGAATCCAATCTATCAATGCTCAAAAAGATGACGCAAATTTCCACTCCATTACTCTGTCAGACGGCGAAACGATACGCAGCAACCACATTATAGGGAGCCCCTGGGACTTGCCTGCAGAGGAAAGCAGTTCCAAAATTACTACACAAAAAGTTGCGCGTTCCATCTCGATCATCTCGTCACCGTTGGAGCCTCTTTTCCCTCGCATTGCGGAAGGGGGCACAATCCCGGCAGGAGCTGTGGTAGTTGTCCCTAACCAAACACTTTCCAGCGACGCCCCAGACTCTCCACCTGTGTATTTACTCGTTCACTCTAGTGATACGGGCGAATGCCCTGATGGACAATGTAAGTTGCGGACGATCTCATTTTCTTTGTTCGAAGCTCTCGCATGATGACTATATCAAACACTTATCTACATTGGCTGAACGTCATTGGTGAAACTTATCTATGATAGCCTGATTGAGAGCATTATGTCTTGATTTCTTACTTTATTAAGCTGTTGAAGTTGCTTTTGCTAATTGTCAATCTTGACAGGCGTCATTTATGGAAGTGTATCAGTAGGTGGACAGGACGGTCAGGCTCTCTTGGCAGCCGCGGTCAACCAGCTGCTTGAGTCTATCACCGAGGTCGAAAATACACCCACCGTGCTGTGGACTTTAAGATTCACCCAGATCGGTATTCTAGACAGCGACGTTAGTCCAGCCAATATTTATCGGAGTTCCGTTTCCGACAGAATTATTTACTTTCCGCCGCCTAACCTTGACCTTGCGTTTAATGATGCGATTGTTGACAGTGTGAGAGCCGGGTGGAAAGCTGTTCTCGGCGACGAAGCACAAGATGATGACTTTATGAATTTCGAGGATCGAGAGAAATACGACGATGATTCGTGATATGATACATATGCATATAGTACTGATACTATTCCTAATACAACGTATTATAGCCGAGTAGATTATCAGTATCGGCATCAACGATCCAAACAGATCGACAGTTGTAGCTTCGCCGTTTCCGTCGTTAAAGAATGCCGCCAAGCCCATACTTCAACGTTTCAATCAAATATGACAGGCCCGATAACATTGAAGATCAATTGGCTTGCAGATAACGACAGACTCATACGTCATACAGCTATCTGAAATGCAAACGGGAGCGGGGATAACAATCATGCTTGATTCTTGGTATTAATTACTCCGAGCTTTGTGACAGTTGAGATTGACATGCATGTGCAGATCAAATATCGTACATACATGTACCGGTACATATGTAATTGAAGGACACGATGGCGCAATGTCGTAGAGCACAATGCTACGCGCCGATCATTAAGCGATCATTCATCTATATAATACATATATGTATATTATCAAGTCCTGGGTTGTGTCGTGCTGGTGCATCTGGTAGTGGCACATGCCACATCCGGCATGGTGGAGCTGATGGACAGCCCGAGATCGTCCCGTTGTAAGGAATTAATATTAAAGCGGACCACGGAAGTGAGAAAGAGGATTCTCGATGGAGCACGGCACGATAATAGGAACCCGTCAGGGCTTGGCATCATCCTCTTCATACGGCTGATCCAGGAACTGTTGCTAGTATCGTCGTAGAGGTCCTGCTCTCATGGCCACGATCGGCCGCGTTAGGAGCAGCCACTAACCCAGGGTCGCAGCACTTTATCGATGCTGGGGGCGGAAATAGAACTTGATGAGATCTTATCTTGTTGGGCATACTCCATATAATAATAGACAATAGATAGTTGATAAGTAATAGAATAATCAAATTGACCATGGGAGTGATAATATTGTAGTAGGGTGATTTGCTTTTGTTGTCCTGCTTTATACAACCGACTCGACATGGCTGGTGGGATCAATTGACCACATGTGTTGATATTATTGTGATAGTCTGGCTGGTCCACTGTGCGCTCTGTATCCGTCTTCTGAGGACTGCCGACCCAGCGAACCAGATCTATTTTTGGCGTGATTAACCAGCACCCAATACACACGAAGACGCACCCATCACTCTCCATACACTGACCGCACACTGACCGCACACTGACCGCACACTGTTCCTATACGCTAGGCACATATATATACACAAGCTATACCTATACACCATATAGAGTACCCTGTACATGTATCTATACATGTGTATGCAACGTTCATATCTAGCGATAACGTGTATCCATGTATGAGCTGAGACGCCCCACCGGCCCCAGTTACATCGACTCCCGTTTCGGCACCATTATGTCATTGGTCCAGCCGGTGCCCAGCTGGCGGTCTTTATTGGTCAATACTAGTGGATTCCCTGGATTGCGTATCACGGAGCCCCATGATTGGCTTGCGGCCGGGCAAAGTGCGCGTTTGGGCTTAGCGTGTCTTGCCGACTCATGTAACTTATCCCTTCAGCAGCAGCATTATTACATCTCTATATTTATTCCTGCCATTGCTCTACAGGTACAGGTACGGGTACACGTACTCTATTTGACGGAGAGAGAGCAGCCACACCAGCCAAGATTGCAGGGCTCAGCTCGCGATAATAGCCAATTCGTATTACCTGAGCGCGCGCTGGCCAGAGAGTAAAACTTAGTCAGACTAGCACGTCCCCTATCGACAGGTCCCCCCACTCGCCCGTCACGCTGCCAAGCCCGTCCTGTCCACCTTGTCCTCGCCTTCCTTTACCTCCCAAACTATTATTATTGCTGCTACTACTCCTCTTCTCCCTCCCCGACCTGTCTTGACAGTTGGCCATTATTGTCGCTGCCATCTATTTTCTGTTCGTCTCTTTTCCTTTTTCCTTTCCTCCGCGTGCTCGTCTGTCTGCCCACACAGTGTCGCTGGTCTCGACGCAGCACCCCCGTCACTCGCTTGTAACAAAACCTGGCCAATCCCTTCCCGCCTCCCTGACCCGACACTGACACCGGGGGAAAAAAAAAGAACACTTGGACAGTGGACCTAGCCCTCGACTACGCTTCTCGATACGCTCGTCCACCCATCTCTTGATGATTTCAAAGTCATCATCATCATCTGCTGCTCCCGCCAAAATGCCTCTGCTCAGGGTCAAGACGCTGTTCCCCCTGGTCGCCATCCTCTCCATCGGCTTCTTCTTCTGGATCGTCGACCGATACGACCGTGCTGCCTTGTCGAATTTGAAGAAGCCCATCGAGCAACTACAAAACACCGCCAGCGCCGCCGTCTCTAGCCCCAATACTAATACTAATAACAATAACAATATCAACATTAACAATCAAAAGCCTGCCATACAGCAACTGCCCACCCAGTCCTTCGGCACCTGTGAATTTGATCCCGCCTCTGCTCCTCCTCTCGCATTCTCCGAATGGCTCCAGCGCAAGAACTTCACCCGCTCCTACATCCGTCCCCATCACGTTAGCGGTCAAACCGAGTTCCGTACCTTGGAAGAGATCAAATCCCCTGTTCTACCTCCCTTCCACTCGCTGGAACGTGGCTTGGTTAGCTCCGAGAACCAGGGCGGCCTGCCCTGCCCGCCCGTGATTGATGTCGATGTTGCCATCGACCACGATGTCGAAGAGACTTCCAAAATGCTGTTCGGTCTGGCGACCACCGTTGACCGTCTCGAGCGTCTGTTGCCCTCCCTCCTATACTCTTTTGGCGACTCCAAGGCCGGAGTTTTAGTCCTGGTGCCTGAATCAGACGACGATCTCACCAAGCAGGAAGCCTACTTCCGCTCTCGCGGATTGGACGTGACCTTGGAAGCTTCCCCCTTGGAATTCACAGCTCGTTATTTCGGTCTAGTCGAAGCCTTCACTGTCCACATTCAATCCAAGCGCCCACAAACCACGTGGGTTTCTTTCATCGATGACGACACTTTCTTTCCCTCTGTTGCCTCAGTTGCGGCACACCTGAAGGAGCTTGATGCCACGCAGAAATATTACATTGGAGCTCTGTCTGAAGCAAGCTGGCAAGTCGACACCTGGGGGCACATGGCTTTCGGCGGTGCCGGAGTTTTTGTTTCCAAGCCCCTCTTGGAAGACCTGATGGCCAACTACGACGAGTGCCAGTCTTGGGGCGAACAGCCAGGTGACCAGAAGCTAGGCCAGTGCATCGAGCGATTCGGACACTCCTCCCTCACCACGTGGCCTTCGCTTTATCAGATGGACTTAACTGGAGCTCCTGATGGTGTTTTTGAGTCGGGTCGCAGAATTGACACCCTGCACCACTGGAGCAGTTGGTACACAAAGGATGTCGTCAAGATGAGCGCCGTGGCTGCTGCTGCTGGTAAGAGATCCGTTTTGCGTCGCTGGATTTTCGATCAACAAACCAGCATCGATACTACAACCGGACAGTCCGTCCGTACTTTCTGGGTGCTTACCAATGGATATTCCATTGTCAAGTATACCTTGGCTTCGAATGCTCCAGAAAATGCCATCAATTTCGACGAGTGTGAGAAGACCTGGGAGGAGGACATCAGTGGTTACATCCAGAGCTTAGGGCCGCTGCGCCCAAAGGAGCAAGAAGGTGTTACCAAGGAGCGTTGGTTATTGTCCGATGCTGTTGCGGTCGGCGACAACATCCATCAACTGTATTCGCGAGAGGAAGATGAGAGCCACAGCCTTATCGAACTTGTTTGGCTCGGTCCCAAGAGTAGCGGCGGCGCTGGGGTTTCCAATCCTCCGGAAGCTCACTAAATACGACACCACATTCATTGAACATATCATTCTTGCATATTACTTTAGTGAGCCCGCCTCGTTGATGACGTGTGAAGGAGCTCACCAACATTTGATCGATTTCTCGTCTACGCTTTCTTCGTCGTTTCCCATTTCCATGGCGTTACACTGGTTGGTTTCCTTGAACAAGCGGCGCGTTGATAAATTCGGGCAGTAGTGGTGTTTTCTGTCTTGAAGCGAAGGGCATGTTCTTTTAAACTTGCCTATTTCCTATTTTCTCCTCGACCTGGTAGTTTGCTGTGACGTGAACCAAAAAAAGAAAGCAACGTGAAGCCTTGCAACCGGTTTTGAGTCGTGAGACATATCCTCTCTTCTTGATGCGATGTATTCCTTTCCGTGATGACCACATTGTATAAATAGATGCGTCAGGGCTCGATTACGATGTTTTATTAAGCCCTTCTTTGACTTGGACCAGCGTTTGGTCCCAACTCGCAAGTGATTCTAGGCAGGTCACAGATACCAGCGCGTTGACAAATGTCACTATTTTGATGATTTCAACTTACTTTCCGTTTCCTTTCCTTTTCTTTTTTTAACTTATAGAAGGATATAGCAGTTGACAATATAGATAGCAGAGGATAATTGATAATTTGGTGTACATACCAATCTCACAGTTTCTCAACTGATATTTCATTGGACTTTACGATAGATAACTAGAAGCGGCTATTAGACGTAACAAGCCACCAGTCCGTCAGCCTCAATTACGTATCATTGGGCCAATGCCATTATACCTTTTCAGGGGGAAAGGACAAGGATCTATCAGCCAAGAACCAAAAAAGACGCACATATACCATTGGACAATAATGGGTCGCGTCCTTGAAGCGAGCAGTAACTAGTTGGTTAACTAGTCGTGACTAAGCTTGTCTACTTTTGCTTAGTAATAGCTTAGAATAGTCCAGCCCGGCCTGTGATTGGCAGATGGCAGTTAGGAGTCACGATGCCCCACGTGATTCTACTACGTATCGCAAGATCCACCTTCGCTTTGATCGTGGGGGAAACGTATAATGGTTGATACGCGCCAATTTTTCAATACAGCTCTCTATGCGATTAAAGGCACTATGAATAGCGCATTGTTGGTCCATCGTTGAGAGGATTGGTTGGCTCAATTGCTCGGGTACAACAAGCTTGGATACAAGCTCAGATCGCCTCTCTAGGAGAAAAATATCCTGAGAAGCAGAAGATAGATTGAGAGACAAGCAAAAAAGGAGAGCAGAGAGGAAAAGAAAAAGAAGACTATGGCAGATGACGCCGCAACAGACACTCCCAGATGGAGAATCTCCAAGGCATGCGAAGAGTGTCGTCGCAGAAAGATCCGCTGTGACGGCGCCGAGCCTTGTCAGCACTGCAAGCAAAGAAGCCTAGAATGCGAATATCGCGGGTTTGTGCGTCAGCGCAAACGGAAGCACGAGCTCGTTTCCAGAGACGCTGCTGCCGAGGATAATGAGGACGATGGTGTCGCTGATCCTCCTCGGGCACCGTCAATATCGGTGCCAAAGGCAACGGCAACGCCATCAGCGAGACCTTCAGTCTCTGGTACTGCTGGTAGAAACAGTGTGATCAATTATAGCGTGGCTGCGACGCATGTTGCCTCCCCGTCATGCGTCATTCAGCTCTACTATGGCCCGACATCTAACTTCTCGCTGATGCAGTTGATGTATCGGCAGCTGGTCGAGGGCTACAATAGCAGTAGCAGCAGCAGCAACAACGATCCTTCACGCGAGATTGAAGAAGCTGGCCCTGGCTTGGATCTTTTCAGCCATAGGCGATTGTTTTTTGGGGATCTAGCTGGGAACCAAGACATGTCGATTTCAGATACAGCCGGCTTGGCTTCGTCTGTATTTTTTATTCTCCCATCTACGGCATCTAAATACCTGGAGCGGTATCTTTCAACAATCTACTACCTGATGCCTTGGCAACCTAAGGAGGAATATCGACGGCGATTGGAGCAACTGTACGATAAGGGCCACAACATGTCCCTGGAATCACCAGAAGCGACTATCATGCTTTTGTTTCTCGCAAGTGGCGCCGCGATGGTAGAGGACATTGAACAAGGAGAGTTCTTGTTCAAGAAAGCAAAGGCTAACGCGGCTAATCTTGATGAACTCGTCAATTTGCAAGCGATTCAAATACCGCTTATTATGATAAGTATATCCCTATTCCTCCTCTAATTGCCGAAACTGACCCTTCTCTTACGCCCATTATCAATCTGAGAGGGCAAGGCCGAATTCTGCATTTTTGTGTCTTGGAACTGCAGTCCGAAAGGCTATAGCGGCTGGCTTGCATAAAAACACACAGCTTCAAGTCGAACAAACATCAGGGGATGCCAGTGAAAAGAGGATCACTTTCTGGAGTCTTTTCTTTTATGAGAGGTATGTTTATCTGTCTCAATTTGTTGGAATTGCCTACTCAAACGATTGTTCAGTTGGATTTGCTTTGGTTTGGGCCGACCGATATCTATTCCAACCCACGAAATCGCTATTCCCGATCCCCAGGACCAGCCCATGCTTCTTGCTCTCGTCGAGCTATCACGTACCATGGCAAAATCTGCACGAAACATCTATGGTCAGCGCCATGACTCTCTCTTGCCGATGTGGAAGAACGCCAAGGAGATTCGGAAAGATCTTCAAGCTTTTGCACGACGTGTACGTGGTGTCTTGAACTTCGGACTTGAAGCATCTCCAAAACCGGGGGAGGTAGGGGTCTGTCAGACTATTCTGCTCCTATGTATGACTTATCAAACTACCTTTTGACTGTGTGCGTTTCATGTTCTGATCTTAGGAACAGTGTATCATCACGTGACACTTCTCACATTCCGTCCTTTTCTCATCTTCAGGGCAAGATGGCAAAAAGACAAACCGGCAAAAAATCATGAAGACTCACAGACCGATGCCAATGATAGTGAACAAAACACCCCGTCATGGCTGCATGAAGCGTGTGAATCATGCCTGGAATCCGCAAGGTGTATCATCCGTTATCTCTCAGATGCATATCAAGTGAACATCCGAGTGCGAGTATGTATTTTCTCTTCTTTCTCTCTACTTTATCAGTTCTAATACAATGCAGGAAATCAAATACCACGGTTTTTTCCTCGAAAGTGCCTGCTTCACTCTCGCCTTTGACATGATGCACACGAATTCTCGAACCGCAGAGAAACACTTACCATGGGTTCGATCTGGCCTCCGATGCCTGGCTAGCATGCTTCCCAAGAATCAGTTCCAGGAACAAATTTCCATGACGATGGCCGCAATTCAGCAGATGCTCATCGCTGTATTCCCCGGCCTGGCAGCTGGGGGTGGTCCTGATTTGATGTCGAGTGATATTAACAATCAGAACTTTGACCAAAAACCCGCAGCCGCAGCTGCGGCTGCCGGAGCCGGCGGCGGTGGTAATGAAGAATTCTACAATGGTAGTCCTAGCAATGGCAGCAGCCATGAATATATACGAACCCCCACTTCACATCAACAGCAGCAATATCAACCACGCAAACCCCAACAACAACAACAGCCGTTCAACAAATACAGCCCCAACACTGACATCACCAATCCATCCGCGTCCGCCTTCTTCAATTCCCTCGGTCAGAACCTGCTGATGACAACCCCAATAAGCGGCGGCGACACCAGCACCGACAGCAACACCAACAATAATCCCGACGAACTTGTCGATTTCACCACGGCGGATATTAATTGGGAGAACTTTGATTTTTCGACTATGGATTTGGAGGCATTTCTGTCGATTGACCCTACGGTGGGGAATGATAATAATGGTACGAATCATAATGGTGGTGGGAATGTTGGCTTTCCATTTCCTATATGGGGAGGTGGGAATGAACAAGGGCAAGGTTTTGGTGCTGTATGATCTAAATGCTTTCTTTTTCTTGATTTATCTTCTTTTTGTATATCCTCTGGGTTTTGTTTTTATATTTCACCTTCTAGGGAAAGTGAAGATGGGATTTGGAGCTGGTCGATCTTTGATATCTATATAACATTCGAAGATTTATGGTCTTTGCATTCTTGGCAATTCCTCGATAGTATACACAATCTTTAAGACAAATTACAATGTGTTCGCAAAGAAAAAAAATTGGATACCCGACATTGTACTCCTAGAATTCGAGCCTGGCATATCTGTCAGATAGCAGTATATCCCACCTTGGCGTCAATGAAGCGGAATCTTTCTTTCTCCTTGCGGTCCTTGACAACGACCGCAACGGCGATGAGGAGGATCATGTCAATTGCTATACGACCCTTAGCACTGTAACAAGATCTCGCTCATACAGAGGATGGAAAATGACGTACCAACTATACCAAATGCTGCAGTGAAGATGAAATCTAGAATCCGGTTTGCAAAGTTGGAAAACGGCCCAACGCAGCCTACCATCCCTGCCGCATTAAGAGCGGTCGTGCAGGTATTATCCGTGACGAATGGAGGCGAGGTGCTGTTGAAGTAACCACAGCAACCGAACTATAAATCAAATCAGATTTTCAGGTCTTAGAGTATGAAGAGATACGAATCGTACCTCCTGCTGTAGCAAACTTTGCACATTCGTTGGCTGAGTTCCCCAAATAGTACCTAGCTCTGCGCGTGTCTTGAGCGTTTCGATCCAGATTATCAACCCCAGGACAAGCGTGAATGTGCCACATGCAACGATCATCCATCCCTGGAGCTTGAGCCAGAAGCGGCTTTCGCGGAGGATCATGCTTGGTATAGAGATGGCGAAGGTGGCGAAGACGAGTATGGCATTGATGAGTCCGGCTATATAAAAAATTAGCATTGATGTAAGTTGGCAGGGCTTTTCGGTGGCGGTCAGGTGCAAACCTTTGAATGGTACCATGCGCAGAAGGATAATCTTTGGAGCACTATGCGAGGTCGGCGTGGAGTTCACCTCCTGGTCGAATAATAGGGATGCTATCAGAAGAATAACACCACCACCGAGAAATAAGAAATCCGCGGCACCATAGCTGAGTAAAACCTTGTCGATTTTCATGGTTGCCGATTGTATAACGGATTAGAGCAGTTATTATTGATATTGTCAAATCGCCTTGAAAGAATAGGAGGCCTATGACCAGCGTCTGTCTAGCAGTCGAGAAGCGTCGAGTAAAATTAAGAGAGAAAATGTTATTTGCAGGACCTTGCTCTGCAGCCTGCGATGAAATGAAAGGAACTGAAGTAATGAAGTGCTCGGCACGGGGAAGCTCGAAAGTGCGGGATGGGAGCCAGAATAATAATAAATAATTCGAAAAGCCCAAGATCATGCAAGTGTTCTCCGGTAGTGTCGTAAGGCCCTCAACTGCATGCAATATTAATGCCGGAAGGAGTCGCTATCGGAGGTGGTGCAACATGAAGCGTTTCAGATCAGCTATCCGTAGGGTACCACACATCAATTATCGCCAACAAGAATGAGAGGCAATGTCAAGGTTAATATTCTTTTAACAAAAAAATGATGAGAAAATTATTTTGCAGTTGAATAATCTCGAAATGCATAGTTCAGTATATGCAAAATAAAGGATATTGTAAAGTAAATTATGTGGCCATCCGTCTGGTCCATGCAGTTAAAGTCGCCTGTCTCATCATATCTCGGCAGGTTTCATAACGGCATTGTCAATTTTCATAGCTTTAAACAGTGATGTGCTATGATGACTCTGTGTCTCAATTTGTGCTACGTGTGCGGATCTGGTACTGAAATAGTCCAGAAAAGACACAATCTCTTTTCTATCCCTATCTGTACACTGGAGGCTTGCAGCAGCTGGGTAACTAACCCTAGGCTCTTATCTGGCATATGATCAACCGGCGGGTTCTTTGCAGACTTGGTGCTACCCAAAGATCACGAACCTAGTCGTTATTATGACCCATAATCTAGCGAATAGGAATTCGTTCAAGTGATCGTGAACTTCGTGATCTGCTATGAGCAGCTTAAGCAACAGAAAAACCAGTGACCTCTTTCGGCCACAATAGCCATTCGTGCCATTCCTCACTCAAGGCAGCGTCAATTTCAGCAACTAGAAATCGAGCCCATCCGCACATGTACCACTGATTATCAATGTGCTGGAGCAGTGCCGAGTAATAAGCCAAAATAATCATAGCTTCTGGCTGACGGTCGCGCAGCATATCCAGATATCGTTGTGGAATAGAAATAGGCCATACAAAAATGGTTGGAATGAAGTCTTCTTTTCGCCTCATTCGAATTGACACCTGCGTATACGTATTCAGAAGCTCGTGTATAGCTAGTGCGTATGCATTTGTATTTTCTCTATCTTGCGCAAGACGTGCAGACGCGCAAAGCTGGAGAAGACCAGTCACTCGGTCGAAATCCGATGTCTGATGAGGACCGGCTGCTTCGTGTGCCATGCCTTTTCGTACGAGAGGGGCCAGGAAACTGCTAGACACGGTTTCCCATTGTGTCTGTAGAACGGAGTTGCATCCTCGAATCATATGGAACCAGTCAAATATATCTTTCTCAAAATCATTTGACTCGGTCCGTCGGGGAGTAGCAAAAGCCAGAACGACAATAAAACATGAGAAAGCAAATATTGCAACGCAATTTGATTGATCAACATGATTCAATACATCTCGGAATATCTCTAGTGCAGTTGAATGGTGTGCATCGGCACGCAGAGCGAGGGATTCTCGACGATGAGGATGAAGATAAGCCAGATGCAGAGCAGATACGGCGAGAATGCCTCTCAAAAGAAACTCATGGCGTAGACCCAGCTGCACTACTTGAGATTGCCACAGATCATGAAGGTCGGGACCACAGACAGCTGGGAGCGTCCTATAGGTGATGGTGCTATAATGATGCAGCAATTCAAGGTCGCCAACATGAAGCCCAGAGGGAGTTATGGGCAGGGCCAGTGGCTCGCCCAGTAATTTGCTGGGGATAGACGACGTAGATTGGCTGGACGAGGTGATTGGTGATTCTAATGTCTGGCTGGAGCTTGCAGCTCGAGGCGTTGGCCTGGGTTGAGGTCTGCTAGAAGAAGGTCGCAGAGACAGGTCGCAGTCAATATTTCTTCGAGCACAGTGAGAGCACTGTGGATACTTTTCGTCACACTTTGGGGTATTTCACGTCAGCGATCCTCAGCATGCCAGTAGATAGCAAAGAGGGGATACTTTAATACGGCGCAGTTTGCACTGGATGCAGCCGTTGCGGGACTTTGTATGCGACCGCCGCGTAGTCTTCATGACTCGACAACAGGATAGTGCATCTCTAGGAATGTCCACATTGAAGCTGTTAAGTGACAAGATGTTCGAGGCTTTGCTGGAACGGGCGTAGCACAGGCACAGACAGGCGCCTGGGGAAAGAGCGACCGAGATCCCACACAGCAGGCAGGACCGGGCCGCTTCCCCACTACGTATATTGATTTGGACGTGGCAGCCTTACTTGTCAGGTGTTTACTACGACTGGGTAGGCTTAGTACTGGTTATAAATAATTACATTGCATATCCACTAGTAACTGGGAGCCACCGCTTGAAGGATGCCTGGATACAACTGTATATCTTGCATTTTATATATGTCCCGTGACGCAGGAGCTCACTTCTTAGAAGATATATGACCTCGAAAGAAGCGACCAGTAGAAACAAAAAACAGCAATTAAACATGAATGGTAACATATGTAGCAAACACTAAATCGTAGCTAACCATCATGTTCCTGCAGCTGAAGGAGCGGACGAGGCAAAGCATCTGTTGATTGGAGAAGTGCATACTGCCTACGGACTAGCGGTATAGTACTGATTGGCACCATCCTTTGGCAGACGAATTATTAATCATGCGTCCTCGTTCTCATGGATTTATAGTCTATATAGCAATAACAAACTGTGCGGATAATATTGGATGATAGATCATTGCCCTGAACCCTACGTGCTATTATCCGTGCTCATGCACGCTGGCGGTAGTGGTAGTAGTAGCACAGCTGTGGATCCGATGATTATCCCAGTTTTGGGACCAAAAATAGGCTATCGCTAGCGTCAGCCACGCAAAACACAGGGGATGCCAGCTAGCTAACTAATATCCGTTTTCCAATGTTGGACGATCAGCCGCTCCTGTTGTTTGCTATTGAGGAGGATATAACTATGCCGGGTTTGTAAATACGTACCATATACTCTTACAGTATATCGATGCTTCTACGTGAACCAAGCACTGCTTGCACGGGAGATTAATAATTCATATCTTGCCCACGACGAAAAGACTAGTGATTTCAGCTTCAAGGCCATCAATCTGCACACGACACCAGTCCCACTACCTGGCTACCATACTTGACCAGCAGCCCCATTCCTTGTCAGATGGCCGTTTCCGGCAGCTGGGGCATGCGCATGCCGCCTGCTGGTTTGTGGGGCGTATTATTGACCAGTGGCAGGGCAAACGGAACGGGGTATTCAATGATAGTAACAGGAATCAATGCCATACCATACCCTCATTGTTAAACAATGATCGAACAATTATTATAAATACTTTTGAATACCGTGATCAAATCGCCGGCTGGAGCTGGCTGGAGTCAGCTTTTGCAGCTTGCCCGGCCGGGACTAGTGACAAAGCTTATACACAGCTGAGACACTAAGTGCACGCTAGCTCTGTCCTAGATGTTCTATTCGAGCCGACAACGATAACCGCCCGTAGTGCTTGCTTCAAATAAGAGCAGCCGTAATAGTAATAGGAGTAGTAGTTATGCTTCCCATTGCATGCACTGTTCCAATTAGTAAGAGATGAGGCTATCTGTAGGTAACGGTATTACCGCAGGTCTTGGTCAAGGGCGGACCCGCAGCCATCACCGGTAGCTGACCAATGACAACAGGGCCAGCGGGTACAGCCGCCTTCCTACTCGCTCGTGCAGGGGGCGCGGTGGGCCTGTATTTTTCTCTTGTTACCGCCGGTAGCCACCGCCTGCCGTGTGCAGCACGAGAATCAGCGGTTTGCGGTCTCGAAGCGCCGGGTCCAACGGATCTTGGCCCTAGAATGACGCTAGCCCCGGCCAAGTGTCCAATCAGAACCTTGCTCAGTGGAGCCCTTTGCCGGGTCTGCCGCCGCTGATTGGGCGCCTTTTGTCTCAGCGCATCACTCTGCCTGGCTAGCGCGCCGCTGATTGGCCGAGCCGGGGGCCTGGGGACCACCTTCCCCAGCCGCCCGCGCCGTTGCCCTCGCTTGACTCCTTAAGGCTTGAGGGCAGGTCATCGCCCGCCGCCCGCGCCCATCTATTATGCCTGTTCTTCTCTTTCCCCCCCCAAAGATCCTCCTTCCTTCTTCGAGACTTTACCCAAAAAACTCCCACCAAAAACGCGTTACTCGATTTGGCCGGCTCGTCCATCACCCCAAGCATCATTCCTCTTTGGGGCACTTCATCTACAATTCTTCATCAAGCTCTCACCACACTTTCTCTCGCTCGTCTTTGTGCTTTTAATTTATCTGCCGGCTCATCATGGCTGATCTCTCCACTGTTGTCCCTGACGAGCACGCCTCGCCCTCGCAGGACGACCTGCAGCAGCCTGGCAATGGCTCTGGCGTCGACCGCAAGCGCCCACGCATGAGCGCTGCTGGCGATGACGATGACGACGACGACGACAAGACCGGTCGCGAGCGTCGCAAGATCGAAATCAAATTTATCCAGGACAAGTCGCGTCGCCACATCACTTTCTCCAAGCGCAAGGCCGGCATCATGAAGAAGGTACGTACCAGTCGCGTCCCGCCGCGCTCTCGCCTCCCACTCCGTTCGCTCTCACCTTTGCGACACTCTCCATCTCAACACAACTTCTGTCTCAAGTTTGCCATGATGATAAACATGAACGCTGACCTGATCCCGATTGATACAGGCGTACGAATTGTCGGTCTTGACGGGCACTCAAGTCTTGTTGCTCGTCGTCTCCGAAACCGGCTTGGTCTACACCTTTACTACTCCCAAACTGCAACCTTTGGTCACCAAGCCAGAGGGCAAGAACCTCATCCAGGTACGTACCCTTATTTGCATATCTCTTTCTCCTGCTGAGTCGCGCTAATTGCCTCAAGGCGTGTCTGAATGCACCCGAACCCTCCGCTGAGAACGGCGTCGACGCCACTGATGTTCCTGCGGAGTCTCCCGAAGATGTCTCGCACAGCAATGTCAATGCACCTCAGGCAAACATCCCTCGCGCAGGCGGTATGCAGGCTGGGTACATGACACATGAACAGCAACAGCAAATGGCCTACTACCAAAATCTTCAACAACAGCAGCAGGCACAGGCTGGTGGTCAATACCCCGGTATGCCCGTTGGAGGCAGGATGCCACCCCAGCACCAACCAGCTGCCTAAATTGCTACACACCTTTCATTGAATGGTTGATGGTATCTTACGAGACATGTCATTTATCTCTACTTTGCCATCTCCCATCTTACTTCCCGCGCATTTGATACCCTTGCGACGCCATACAGCTGATTTACACTACTAAGTTGTGTATTACCTGGATGCTCGACCTCCCAACACCTGATATTCGAGAACCCCTAGGCTTTGTTACTCTAGTCACGCTTTTATATTTCGATTCGAGCTCTGGATCAGGGCCCTTGACTTTTGATCCGGCGCATGTTTCTTTGTACACATTCATCATCACTGTCGTTAGAGAAAAAGGCGGGCAGAGAATTAATTCGCCTAATTGAAAAGTAACAGAGGGCCGGACAACATAAAACTTGACAAAATTGGTGAAATTCTGTTTAGAAACGAAGCAAGCGGTCGGCTCATTTGTGATAGCGACTCTTGATTTCATTCTAGACATCGGTGGAGATGTGGTGTTTCTGGAGTGCGGTCCTTGTGCCTTGTTTCATATCTTGCGTTCGGAATTTCTGCAACCTTTCTTCCTTGTGTTTGGTCCGTTTCCTCTCAACTTGTTCAGGCTTGCGTTGTCTTGCCTGTTCTCTTTTGCTGTATTTTGCAGTACGGGTTTGCATTTTCTTGACCTTTTTTAACTATTATCTCTTATCAAAGTGTATCAGAATTTGTCTCCATTTATCCATAGGCTTAATTCTGGATGCCAATAATTACAGTAAGATAATGTAATTCTTGGCGCGCGGATGAATGTGAGGATTTGTGAATTGCCGTCTGCGGTTAGTGTTCCCGTGTTGGGCAAGTAATTGCACTGTCCCGAGTTGTTACCACGACGCTTGACCTATATATCAATAGAAGTCTGGTTAGACCTATAGCTAACCATCCAGGAAACTTGATACGCGAAGTACACGACTAGCTGTGCGATTATCAAATACGATCATGAAAATGAAATTGTCGAAGTTTTTTTTTTTCTCTTTCTATTTGTGAATATCTATAATAAAGACAAGACGCTGACCAAACTATCGCGGGATTGCGGGAAGATGTTTCACTAGCTCTCTTCGTGGTTGGAGATTTAAAAATTCATACCGGTTGTCAAATATCAATAATAGCCTTGGATACACAGAACTAATGTTCTCTTTAGGAATCAGCCGGGTTCCACGTCCAGCCTCCATGCAGCGCTTGCAAATAGGCGTGTGTTGAATGTACAAGCCGGAGCCAACTATCCATCTTGGCTCTAAATCCACAAACTTCCGTTGATATTCAGCCGGTGACTGGAACAACTGGGACACCGGGATTAAAGTATAAATGTCAAAAACCTGGATCTCCATTTGCTGGCTCACGCTTGGGATTCTTTTTCATGGTGATGAAGTACCTCATCAGGATATTCTTGGATGCCGTCAGATCGGGGCTCTCTTCTATGGACGTGGTCAAAAAGAAGAGTGTTAGGAAGGTAGAGACTTCCCATTACTATGGTGATACAAGCGTTTGTTGCATCGACTGTCTCGCTATTCTCTTCGTTTGGCACTTCATGAAGGTTGATTGAGTCCATAAATTAGCTTCGACCCAAGGGATCCTGATGGTTTTACCCGGTATTTTTTCTCATTATTTGTTAGATTCCCATGCTGCCTGCTCTCGATCTTGGAATTCTTGGAATGAAATCTCAAGGTTTGTGATAGGAAGAGGCTGGAGAACTAGAAATTATTTAAGCGAAGCTCGGATATCTTCTCATCTTGTGACTTACCTTCCATGTCTTTTGTATTTAATTTCCTTAGCTTTATTTTAAACTCCCTGCCTCGTTCTCTAAATGGTTCTGACGGGTGTTGGAAAGTAATGTTGTCGAGAACGACATATTGATCGGTAGAGTCTGTGATGGGCACGTCATACTTGACATTGACAGGCGCTGCTTTGGTCTCGCTGAACGGGGAGCTTGCACGGAGAATGGGGCGAGTCATATAAAAGAACAAAAATATATGCGCAGTTGTACGGAAATCGTAATGATCTAAGGAATGTATGCATTCTGATAATATAAGGAAGATGGCTGTCTAGGAATGCAGAAGTCTAATATATAGCCCAAGGTACACAAAGAATCTATCTATCACAAAGGAACAGCTTCAGAATGGTTTTAGCGTGGGGAAAGCCAACGTATCATAACAGGAATCGTTTTGTGTTTGAAATCGTTTGCACGCATTTCCTATTTGGGGAGTCGCTACAACGACGCCTCTACTCCTACAGGTCAAATGACTGGTTATTTTATTGCCCTGACAATACGCTTAGGCAAGTACCACATAATCATTGACCCTTTACTAAGCTTCTAATTGTAGTGGCTTCACAGCTTAAAAAGGGTGTCACCTCTAGTGGTAACCACAGCTTCAAGATCACGAATATCGTTCGTAGCCTATTTCGGTCAGTACACGGCTATTCTTTACGTAGAGGATATGACTCATAAGTCTTGCCCACTAACCAATTTTCCTACAATGTAGTCGTGTATTGTCACAAAGTATACACCTATATCGCTGAAAACACTTGGTTTGAAGGAATCACTGAATCATGGTGTTGTAATTCAGCTGTTCTGTTTTACCGAAGTCTGATTATTTATTGATAGGACTAGTTAGGACTAATATAAACAATTACAAGCAGTTGAATAGTCCTTCTCAGTAAACCATATTTTTATTTATACTACTGTCATGTCGAACCCTCAGCCCTAATACGGGTTATCCAAACAGCCGAACCACGGTTAGGACAGGATACGCCCATCATAACTAGAGCTTATTAAGTAGTCGCTCTTTAGCCTAGTGAAATAGATCAACAGATTTCCTTTTTCTCGTAGACTCGGGCAGAACACTAAACCTGATTACCGCCAATTAGACGGTATACTTCGGAATGGCCGGGCCGCACCCGGGCTTTACAATTACTTTAGATTCTGCCTACATAGGCAAGATGGCAGCGTTAAGTAACTCTTGTATCCCTTTTAGGTTGACCCATTTTATTATTAGATACTTTAATAAATCTCTAAAATAGTTCTCAGAGGATTTCCCGTGCCTCTTTTATGGCGAAGTTAGCACTTATAAGATATAGAATTATTTCTACAGTCTCCTGTTCTTTGGAACCATCTTGCAACGTTCTTGAAAACTAGTACACCCTTACCGTTATCACAAACACTTGGACTTCCTCCGAGAAAATGAGCAAATCCGAGACCCCGACGCAAGCTACGGAGAAGGAGAAAGTCCAAGCAGATCATCCAGAAAGCGCTGGGGAGCCAGTTACTCCTGTCAAAAAAGAGACCAGCTATGATGAAACACTTAGCGCTAACAATGCAATCCAGGGGAAAAAAGTGTCAAAAGGGCAAAAAAGTCTCCCCGACACCCTATCGTAGCTACATACATAGCTCGACATGTCCAAGTCTATCCTGGGTCCTTCCTGCTGCGGCTAAAAGAAAACAAATCATGAGAAATGTAAGCAATTCCCACTGGTCTCACTTTAGACCGGGGGATCCTGTTCATCGTCTCTAGTATTAGATTTTGAGATTAATCCTGCCGCTGCCCACCGTTGCAGTAATTTGAATGGTCGCTTTAGCGTGTTTGTTAATGTGGAGTCCAGGTTTTCGTCCTCGTGGTTGTTTTCAGAGTCTGTAATGGCCTCGCTGTTTCCTCCTAATGGTCCGTATGTTCCGTAATTTCGGGGACTCTCGCGATCATTGTTACTGGGCGAGAGTGCGTTGGATTTCCCACCCATGAATACCGGCGCTGAGACACGTCTTGACCCGATACCTTGTGGATTTTGTCGTCGACGAGCGTTCCTGAGCAGACCCATCACCGCATGTGGAGACTTTGCAGGGTGATCCCAAGTCTTTTGTGGATTGTCATTTGATGGGAGCGAACGCCGGCCATGACCACGTGACAGAAGTGATAATGTTCTTCTGCGAGAGTACTGAGTAGGAGGAGCGCGACTCGGGGCTAATGGCGAGTCCTGGATCAAGGCTGCTTCGCTTTCTGAATCGTCTAGATCGGCCCAAATTTGGGCCGACTCGTTATTGAATGTTTGAGCGCTGAAAGTCTGAGCGCGATATCGATAAGGAGAGGTTACGGGCAAGCTCGGTGTCCGTTGATGAGACGACTCGTGTCTCGGTATTGATAACAGGGGTTGTCGCTCCCCAATTGGTAATTCTTCGTTTTCTGACCGTTCAGGGACCTCCTCCACCATGCCCATCCCAGGTCCCAAGGGCGTTTGTGAGGTGCTTGGTAGTGTAACACCTACATGATTATCAATATCTTCCAGCCTCCAAGAGAGGCACAAAACGCCCCCAAGCAGAACAATAGTTCCCAGGGCAATGAGTCCAGCATGAAAACCGGCAAGCTGAGACGCCTGTCGAAAATAAATCAATCCATCCAGAATAGCGATGATGTTGTATACGCAAAAAACAAAAGGGTAAAGAACGCTGGTGCTGCAAAGCTTCAAGCCTCGGTGCATATAATACAGTTGTGTCAACGCCAAACAGACCATTCCTATTAGGATAAGCCACGATTGCCATCGGTTGAACTGGTTGACATGATCGACAACCGTTCGGACGAGCAGCTCGACCGCTGACTTGGCCAGCAATAGCGTGTGAGCTGATAGAACCCCGCTGCAAAAACCAAAGGCTAATCCACGATAAAATTTCCCGCGAGATGGGGTGATCAAGGCACCATTCAGTTTGATAAAGCGAGACTTGAAATTATTCGGCGATGACAGAGTTTTGATGAGGCGAGATCCGGCAAGAACGAAAACGACGATAAGCCCAGTGACTACCATCCATGCGATAAAAGGCCGCCGATGGAGAAGTTCTAAAAGCTGATCTAGGGTATGCGCAGGTTCTCCAACAGCGCCGAATGTAGCTATCAACACTGCCCCAATGCATACTAGAGCCGTGCCTAGAAACGAGTATTTTGTGAACGGCTCGCCAAGAATGAGTGTTGCGGAGATCGTGTTAAATACTAGCCCGGACTGTCCACTGCTCAGTAATAGATCACATAGTAGACATCCCCAATAGATCGCTTACCGACTGGAGTGTCGAGAGCACCGGGAGTGGTAGAGTCGTGATCTGAATAGTACTTCCAACAATGTTCGCAACAACGAACATCAGCATGCCCAACTATACGCGCACATTAGCGAGCCCACCCCGTAAAGGGCAACGAGTCCCAGAGTATAACCATACCTGCCATCTTCGTCGTTTATAGGGGGGCCTTCGTAGCTCATACGGCGATTTCTCGTCTTCGAGTAAATGAGACTTCCGCTGCAGGGTGAGTCCAATTGCCTGTAGACTGGTGGAAATCAAGCCGACGAGGACTCCGACCTGGTTGGTTCTGTTAGAAGCAGTTCTGCCATACAGCACTTGACGAGAGACCTACAGCAATACTCCCCTCAGGCGACAAGTCACCGAGCTGGCCCATCTGCGAAGCCGAGGTGCATCGAAGACGCCGAGACGCAGAATCGCATGCACTTAGCGGAGGGATCTATCCGTGGCAGATGCTGGACATATCGCCGCCGCAATCAGAGGGGACAAATAGAGGGGGGGATAAACAGTAAAAATCGGGCGACAGCGTTATTATAATGGGACCCAGGGGTTGATGGAACATAAAGAATAATAGTCGAGTCCGTCAGCGCTGTGTAGTTATGTAGTTATGGAGCCTTGGCTGCGGTCGCACTGGTCAGTCAGCGGACCCGCTGCCGCCTCGAGCTTGCTTGGACCACCGGACTCTCTCAGGCAACCTCACATCCCGAGAGCGTCATTCCCTCACCGGCTCATTCTGAAACCACCCTGTCACTCGGCCAGCAGCTCGTGAATCGCACCCGCAGAGCAGCTGCAAATCCTAGGCCTCGTTCGTTTGGAGGCCGCACCACATCGGCCTGCGCCCTGAACAGAAGTGCCATTGCTACCCGATTCCATCCCACCTGTCGCAACACCTTCGCTAATACCAGCCGCCAAGATGTCGCAGCGCCATGCTCTCTCAGACGACCAGGTATGCAATAAGCCTGGCGCCCTGCCGCATAAAGACCCAGAACTGACCGTGCTTTGGCGGAGGATAGGTCGCGGGTGAGCTCCGCAAGATGACCGCGTTCATCAAGCAGGAAGCTCTTGAGAAGTCAAAGGAGATCCACATCAAGGCCGACGAGGAGTTCGCGATCGAGAAATCGAAGCTCGTTCGCCAGGAGACGGCTGCCATTGACGCTCTCTACGAGAAGAAGTTCAAGCAAGCTGCCATGTCCCAGCAGATCACCCGATCCACACTCTCGAACCGCACCCGGCTTCGTGTTCTGTCCTCCCGCCAGGAGCTTCTGGACGAGCTCTTTCAGCGTGCCCGTGAGCAGGTCGGCACAACTTCAAAGGATGGGAAGAAGTACCAAGGTGTTCTAGCTGGACTAGTCTTGGAGGGTCTCTACTATCTGAATGAAGATAAGGTCCTGGTTCGGGGTCGTAAGAAGGACTCCGATGTGATCAAGAAAGCTATCGAGGATGCGAAGAAGGAATTCAAATCAAAGGTCGGCCGAGATGTGACAATAGATATTGACGAAAAGGACCCGTTGCCAGAGGGATCGTGAGTTTCCTCCTAACAGTGAGGGACGCCGACGTTACTAACTTGTGCTTAGAGCGGGTGGTGTGGTTATTATCGGAGGCGGTGGTAAGATTGACATCAACAATACCTTCGAGGACCGGCTGCGACTTTTGGAGATCGAGGCACTCCCGGCTGTTCGCGAGACCCTTTTCGGCAAGAATGTCAACCGCAAGTTCTATGATTAAACCAATGGAGCCTTTTCTTTCTGGTCGGTTATGTTTTCCATTTGACCGGGTTTTGTTCCATATGTTATATATCTACGAACTGTATTCTCATAGTCGGCCCATCCGGTCTCGCATTCTCCTCAGTCTTGTAGGCTTGGTATGTTCAGGGTCATTAATACACAAAGAACCACATTCAGGTGGTGTACAGATTATTCGTGTAGTTGTTGTATAGTTACATGCTTGAAGCGATTTAATTCGTGTCAACCCAAAGAATCACTAGTTGATGCAATCATTACGGTCATCCAATCATAAACCCAAGAGATAGAAATGCGTAATGTGAAAGGTCTTGTCACTCGTTATTTTGTATCTTGGTATCGTTTGCGTTAGTTTCGCTTGGCCTTGTAACATAATCTCGCACATTATTTTGGACATTTCTCGTTTCACGTTCGCCATTTGCTAGGAAATATGATTTCAATCGAGATTTGGACCGAACCGAAAATACGATTCTGTAATATAGAGCCTCAAGGCTCTGCTTAGCTTCAGTTCGCTTTAGGTGAGAGGCACCTGAATCTTTGATAGCACTGAATATTCGTTTCACCCCCTCAGCTAGAGCATCAACATCAGCATTAAATTGACTTTCGGCTTCCTTGCTGGAGAAATCGGCTGACATCCGACCAATATCGATGGCAATATTCAAAAGGGACGTGGTTGCATTGAGTTCGGAGTAGTCATAATTATTTGCCGTTTGGACTCTAAGCAGTTTGGACTCAAAGCGTGCGTGTTGTAAGTAGTGGATTATTCGTTTGATATTAAGAATATCTGTGGACGATTCTTTGAGAACAGTGATGTCGTCGAGCAAAAAAGAGACCGCCAACCTGGCCCTGAATAATGAGATTCTGGGGTTTGTGGGTAGGATACGTTTAAGTAATTGACTTTGAAGAGTTATATCCCTGACTGTTTGGAAAGTGGATTCGGCAACAGGTCTCATCTAAAGCATGTTAGTGGCAGAACTCAGTTTTTGAAAAAGGTATTTACTAGATGGTCGAAACTTTCCAGCGAGATACTTTGCAGTACCCCATCTATTGCCGTTTCTAGAGTTGAGGAAATGATACTATTTGTGTTCAGAGATGTGTCAAGTGCTAGGCGGAATAGAAGACATAAAGTATGCCTTCGGGTTTCGTCATTTAAACTGAGCAGTGGGAAACCAGATTAGTGACTCTATATTTAAATTGCAGAGGGTCTAGAAAAAGCATACTCGCAAGTGATATCTCTCAGTAGCTCGAGGACCGAAAGAAGGTATTTCCAGTCGCGGTTGGAATATCCTGTGGTATGTTAGACAAATCCACTTGGCGTAGCATCTATAGAATTCTCACCATGATCCTGGGAATATTCTGGAAGAATTGGCTTGGATATATTTACAGCTGTTGGGCCCCCCCCCAGCCATTGAAAAACACTCTCAATATCTTCTGGCTGGACGAGCGATTCGACACGTTCACGTCCGACTTGCTTATCAACAGTGAGCGTCGCAGTCAGTCTTCTTGGATATATGCTGAGAGCTCACCTTTAGTGATCTACAATAAGCATATCGCAAGTCATCCCGAGGCTCTACTGGAACTATGTCCATTAGTCAAGTGATTTGTGGATGAGGAAGCTTGATGTACCTGATTGAAGAATCCATAGCAGAACTTCGTCGGGGAGAAGCCCTCTAGATAAGGCAAAATCCAATATGCCTGAATGGAAGGCCCTATCACGGGAGCCCGGTTCTGGAAAGACAATACATTAATCACAAAAGCAAACAAGAAGAGTTCAAGACAATCTTACCTCTGAGAAAGGCCTCACTGGATGATGGAAGGATTGAATTCCGCGGAAACTCAGGAATTTCAGGATTGGAATTTCCCTGAAAGAACGACCAAGACTTTTCTAACTCAAAAGCTTCTGTACGCCGAACCGCATTTAGCAATCGTTGGATATCTGTTTCTTCCCGTTCCGCAGCAAACGCGGATGCAAGAACATCCTCACGAAGACCAGAAGCATCGGGTCTAGTTTCAGAGCTATTAGACACATCATTCTCATGGTTTTCCAGCTGGGCCTTTGCTTTTGCCACACCAGCTTCAGCCTCACTGTCATCCACAGAGCGGGTCACTAGGGATTCCATTGTGAATTTGTACTTTTTTCGGTTTATGTTCAAAGTCGGTCTCTTGTGGGAATCCTTGAATTTTGAAATCCGAAATCGTGTCGATGTAGTTGAGTCATAGGCTGAAGGTTCTCGGTCTCTTTTGTAGTTTGAAGAGGACGACGAGTCGAGAAATTGATTCAAAAGATCGCTAACCGATTCCAAAGAGCTGACAGAGTCCGCACTTTCAGCATCCGAGTCAACAACGATTTCCTTGCCATTTTTTATTATCCGTTGTGACGAAGGGAAGCTTCCACCAAAGGAAGAGCTTGGCTGGAAGGCGGCGTCGCTGGCGAGATTCGCCTGACCAGAAGTCTGACGATTCGCTCTACTGGTAGAGTCAAGCGCAGCTTCATTTCGTCGTGGATCTAAGCTGGACTGGGGCAATGGCTGCGACGACAGCAGCTGCGATGGGAGATCCGAGGGGGGATCACTTAATGGCGAGGACGATGGTTCGTTAGGTGCGGGGGGAATATTTTGTTTGGAGGCTGGCCTCGAGTTATGGACAAAGGTAGGTCGCTTGAAGTAATCCTTAATAGTGCGTGGCAGGGACATGTCGTTTGGAGTGGAATGAGGGTTCGCCTGAGGCACGCGCGACCAGTATCCTTTTCATTCCATGTTGATAAGATGTCGTTGGTGAAGAGCTGTCTGGACTCAAAACAGCTTGGCGGAGAACGCGCAGGCAGCCTCGAACGCGAGCCGCGTGATCACGTGACGTAATTAGCGTATATAAATTTCTTAAAAATTACGATAGCTTTTGGTGCTCTGTAAAGAATTTACCAATGAGCACTACGCAGTACATGGCCCACGTCCGCCTGGAAAACTAACTTGAAGAGACTGTTTTAAATGAAAAGCTTGGTGTCATTAAGGGCAAACCGTAGGTTCTTTGAACTTTTAGTCCGAGTGCATGCCACTATGTTCTTGCCAGGCATAGAGTTCGCAACTAGTCCTGGGCAACTCCCTCCTGCTACTAGCACACTCCGTATTTCGCTAGCCCGAGTTTCTGCCCCAGGCCACTGCTATTATTATTCAAGAAAGGGTAAAAATGAATTTGAGGGTGGCCGTATATGAAACGATCACCTCTTGGAATCAGGATCTATCTATAGAAAGGGAGATGTATATATCTACGACATGACGTCATTTACTGGAACAAGAACGCTAGCCGTTTCTGGACCCCATCGGATGAAAACTAGTTCCATCCGGACATGCAGAGAGATCGGACGGGAACACAGATACATTAATATTAAAGTATTATACAAAGGCGGGGCCGTCTAGAATTCGTCCGACTCATATTTAGCCCTTAAAGACAGTGATATTATCGCTTTTTATATGAATTTGATAATCTAATAAAATAATAGATACATCCTTAGGGGAATCCTGAAACCCAAAGGAGCGAATTCCGAACCTTGGGGGCCGTCGATCAATAATAATAATGCATCTAATAATGGAATTGCACGATGATCATCGGCAGGGCCAATGTTGTGCTGCTTGATCGACTGTCTAGTTAATTAGTACTGTCTGCTCAGGTGTACCCCCCCGTCTTGGTGATATGAGTTGACAAACTCAAGCTTAAACACACCCCAGACGAGCCGATTATTACATTTAATTATTATTCACATTAGTTCCACGCATGTTTTTAAACTTGCACGTGGTGGCAGCTGGATAGGAGTACGCATCGTAGCCTTGGCAAACAAAGGTCTCCACTCACTGACACCTAAATTACAAGTTACAAGGGAGTGGAAAAGAACGAACGTTTTGCACGTACTCTAACTCTCTTCTACATAGAGAATCGCGATATGATAATCTGCCCGTATCTTGGTGACTTGATCGATCATACTATTAATATTCACGATTTATGCTGCAGCTGATGCGCGAAGCCAATCACCGCGCATTTAGCATTCCAGTATTAGTCAGCGCTGCACACCACCGTTCATTGCGCCACTGTCGGGCCGAGCGAGAGGCTGAACCAGATTATATTTTTGGTTCTGGATTTAGGATTTTGAAATTTTTTTGCCATCGAAAACTTATCGAGCGCTCTCCTGGGAAGACGATGAATGTACGTACGTACATGCTTTAAGCCGTCAATCCGGAGGGGGGCTGGCACGGTTACGCAAAACATGATACTAATTACTTACTCCCTTAATTAGTAAGTAAACCGTCAGCGTAATGTAAGAAACCATAGCGGCTTGGCGGCTTAACGGTAACATTGAATCATAATGAGTATTAGTTATTCCTGGATTCATATTAATTAGTTGCTATTTGGACGCGGCACTATTGAATATATGCATATTGCATAGAGTTGCATCTTGATTCTTCCCCGAGAAGCCATGGATAGAAGGTTTCCTGCATGCTAACAATGAACGGATGCCTGGGATGTTGTGCCACCGGTACTCTCTCATCGTGCGCTTTCACCGCTCGGACGATAATGGTATTGAGATCCCGTCTCCAGATGGTCGTTATATGCTGGTGCTACACTCACCACAAGAATATTATTATAACAATACACGCAGGCTGCCGTAAGACCCGAGCGGCCGAGCGCACTAGAGTTGTAACAGCCAGTATCTGAGCATTACTAAGTACGGATATGGGTATTGGGTAATAATAGCCCAGGCTTCCCGTCAGCTCCGGTCCGCCAATGGCACTAAAAAGCAGGAGTCCGGACGGGTGCTCTCGCTGGCCCCCCAAAAAATCCCAAATCCAAACTAGACAACCACTGCGGTGTTTCCATCCATCCAGCCTGGCATCTTCCAGCCTCGCTTTTCTCTCTCTCTATCTGTCCTTCTCTCCCTCTCTCCCTCGCTCTCGTGCTCGCTCTCGCTCTCGCTCTCCTCCTTCCTCGACCCGAGTCCTTCTTTCCTCCAGTTTGCTTGGCCTTCGCGACTCGCCCCCTTCCGTCAACCACCGTTTCATATTGCGATTCGATTCGCCTGCAGTCCCTTACTAAGAAAAATCCCCCGGGTCGATTTTCCATCACGTACCTGCAGCCACCCCGGCACTCGACGCCAGCGCGATTGACTCGAACTACACTCTTTCTCGTCGTCCTCGCAGTCTCATTTCCGCGGTCTTCCGTCGCTCTGGCTGCTGGGACTGATATACCCCTTGAAGTACTCGGAGGAAACGAAGTGCGGACTGGCTGTGCTGTCAGCGTCCGCCACCGCGATCGGATGATCCAGCATCAAGGCGTCTAAGCACTTGTCATTTTGTGTATGCCCTTCGGGGTGCCTGCAAGCCCGCCATGGCTGTAGTTCAGTTTGCCGGCGATGGGAATGGAAACAATCATTTGCAACCGCCATCTAACGACCTTTTGCAGCCGACGAACAGCGAGATCTCAAAACCCACGAAACGCCAACGATGGGCAACCCAGCGCAAAACCAACTCTGGCGGCCTGAAGAAGCGCGTCTCCATCGTCGACCGCTTCCACAGACGCAACCATTCAAAAGACGAGAAGCGCAAGTCGGGCGCCAGCTCGGCCGATGGTACGAACGAAACGCCTACGGAAGACGGCGAGCCGGAACAGGAACCCTCTCGCCGTGTCTACTTCAACTGCTCCATACCTGATAGTGAGCGTGATGAGGAGGGTAATTTGAAGGCCCATTATCCGCGTAACAAGATTCGCACCGCCAAATATACCCCGCTTAACTTTATCCCGAAAAACTTGTGGCTTCAGTTTCACAATATCGCCAATGTTTACTTCTTATTTATCATCATCCTAGGTGTAAGTCACTCTATTTTCTTATATAAAAAGGCATAGCATAAACAATGCTGATTGGAGGCTTTAGTTTTTCGCCATTTTTGGTGTCACGAATCCCGGAATGAATGCCGTACCCCTGATTTTCATCATTGTCGTGACAGCATTGAAGGACGCTATCGAAGATTGGCGACGTACTGTGCTTGATGCTCAGCTAAACAACTCACCTGTCTATCGTCTGGCTGACTGGGAAAACGTAAACGTCAGCGAGGAAGACGTATCTGCGTGGCGTCGTTTCAAAAAAGCATGCACTCGCACAGTGATAGCAACGTACAGGGCAATGAAAGGAGGTAAAAACAAACAGGTTTCAGATGGTAATGAGGATGAAAGGCGAATGTCAATGGCGACCTACCGTCAATCGATCTACTCTACACGCGACTCTTACTATGGAGCCAATGAGCAAGACGCCATTCAAATGACTCCTGTTTCATCACCACACCAGGAAGCACACGTGAATGGATGGCCCGATGAGGTAAACGGAGCAGGAACAAATGGATCTGTACAGCCAGGTCAATCTGTCCCAGAACATGTCGCCGCAGGTACCAAAAAATCAGGTAGTCTTGTCGATCGTTACAAGCAGACTCCTCAAAAGGCGCGCTTCAAGCGAGAACATTGGAAGAGTGTCCAAGTTGGCGATTTTGTGAGATTGTATAATGGCGACCAAATTCCAGCTGATATTGTCATCATTTCTTCTTCGGATCCCGATGGCGCCTGTTATGTGGAAACCAAGAATTTGGACGGAGAGACGAACTTGAAGGTGCGCCAGGCACTACACTGTGGCCGTGAAGTCAAGCACGCTCGAGACTGTGAAAAGTGCGAGTTTGTGGTCGAGAGTGAGGCTCCCCATGCCAATTTGTACGCTTACAGTGCTGCCATCCGATGGCCACAGCGAGATCCAGCAAATCCTGAGGGTCCTCGCAAGGAGATGGTGGAGCCAATCAACATCAACAACTTGCTACTTCGTGGATGCAGCCTCCAGAATACTGAATGGATTCTAGGAGTAGTCGTATTTACTGGCCCAGAAACGAAGATTATGCTGAACTCAGGCGAGACGCCAACGAAGAGACCACGGCTTGCACGCGAAATGAACTGGAATGTTATCACGAATTTCACCATCCTGTTCATCATGTGCTTGATTACTGGTTTCATCAACGGCTTTGTCTGGGCATTAACTAACGGCTCATTGACCTTCTTCGATTTCGGCTCGTATGGTGGCTCGCCTGCGGCAGAAGGGGTGGTGGCCTTCTTCACTGGTCTCATTTTATTCCAAAACTTGGTTCCCATCGCGCTCTACATCTCTCTCGAAATTGTTCGGACATTCCAAGCTCTGTTCATTTATTTCGATAAATTCATGGTGTATGAACGTCTCGACATGGCCTGTGTCCCTAAATCTTGGAATATTTCCGATGACTTGGGCCAGATTGAATACATCTTCTCCGACAAAACAGGAACTCTAACACAGAATGTGATGGAGTTTAAGAAGTGTACCATCAACGGCGTCTCATATGGCGAGGCATACACAGAAGCTCAATTAGGTATGCAGCGCAGAGAGGGCATTGATGTTGAAGTCGAAGCTGCCAAAGCTCGCCAAAAGATTGCAGATGGCCGTGTGCGCATGTTGCAGCTCTTGCGGAACATACACGATAACCCTTACCTGAAGGATGAAAATTTGACATTCGTTTCTCCTGACTATGTAGAATCACTTGCTGGTAAATCAGGTCGTGAACAGCAACAAGCTACTGAAAGTTTCATGATTGCCCTCGCTCTTTGCCACACGGTCATTACTGAACATACCCCGGGTGATCCTCCTCAGATTGAGTTCAAAGCCCAATCACCAGATGAAGCAGCTTTAGTTGCTACGGCTCGTGACTGCGGTTTTACTGTGCTGGGAAGAAATGGCGATGACTTGATCTTGAATGTCATGGGCGAGGAACGTACATACACAGTTCTCAACACCTTAGAATTCAACTCCACCAGGAAACGAATGAGCGCTATCATTCGCATGCCGGATGGAACGATTCGACTTTTTTGCAAAGGAGCAGACAGTATCATTTATAATCGATTAGCACGTGGCAAACAACAGGCGCTCCGTAAGACAACAGCTGAACACCTTGAACTTTTTGCCCGAGAAGGCTTGCGAACTCTCTGTGTGGCTGAACGTATATTGGGCGAAGAGGAATATCGTGTCTGGAATGAGTCTCATGATTTAGCAGCCCAAGCTCTTACCGACCGAGAGGAGAAACTGGAAGAAGTCTCGAGCGCAATTGAACAAGAGCTTATGCTTCTCGGAGGCACTGCTATTGAAGATAGGTTACAAGATGGAGTGCCAGATACTATCTCATTGTTGGCAGATGCTGGTATCAAACTGTGGGTTTTGACTGGCGACAAAGTCGAGACTGCCATCAACATTGGTTTCTCTTGCAATCTTTTGAACAACGATATGGAGCTCATCGTCTTCAATATTCCAGCAGACCAGCCGGAGCTTGCCTCTGCCGAATTGGAAAAGAATCTCGCAAAACTCGGAGTGACAGGATCTGATGAAGAGTTGATTGCAGCCCGTCAAGACCATAGTGCGCCGCCTTCTACTCACGCATTGGTCATTGATGGCGATGCTTTGAAACTTATGCTCGACGATGAATTAAAGCAGAAGTTTTTAATACTGTGCAAGCAATGCAAGGCTGTTCTCTGCTGCCGTGTTAGTCCTGCTCAAAAGGCTGCTGTCGTAAGAATGGTGAAAAACGGTTTGAATATCATGGCCTTATCTATTGGCGACGGTGCCAATGATGTTGCAATGATTCAGGAGGCGGACGTCGGCGTTGGTATTGCAGGTGAAGAAGGCAGACAGGCGGTCATGTCTTCGGACTATGCTGTCGGCCAATTCCGCTTCCTGCAACGGCTGATTCTTGTTCATGGACGTTGGAGTTACCGACGTCTTGGTGAGACGACTGCCAATTTCTTTTACAAGGTAAGCAGCCCTATCCTACCATATAATTGGATTCATAATTAACTCTATGTCTAGAATATCGTGTGGACCGTTTCTCTTTTCTGGTACTCCATCTACAACAATTTTGATGGTTCCTACCTTTTCGATTCTACCTACATTGTCTTGGTCAACTTGGCATTTACCTCGCTTCCCGTCATTTTCATGGGTATATTTGACCAGGATGTGGATGACAAAATATCACTAGCTGTTCCTCAGCTATATATGCGTGGTATCGAACGTAAAGAATGGTCACCGTGGAAGTTCTGGTAAGTTCGAAGCGTGCAAACCCCTTGACTTTTTTTTAACCCTGTACTACTTCTCAGGTTTTATATGTTTGACGGCTTTTACCAATCTTTGATGTGCTTTTTCATGCCATATCTGCTCTATGCCCCAGCTACTTTCCAGCGCGGGGATGGGTTGGCTCTCGATGACCGGCAACAAATGGGTATTCTGGTTGCCTCCGCTGCGGTAGTTGCCAGCAACACGTATATTCTACTGAACACTTATAGGTGGGATTGGTTGACAGTCTTGATCAATAGCATCAGCAGCCTTCTTATCTACTTTTGGACTGGCGTTTACTCGTCGACAATTGCTTCGGCCCAATTTTATCGACACGGAGCAGAGGTTTTTGGGTCTTTGAGCTACTGGACGGTATTTTTGGTCACTGTCGTGCTCTGTCTTCTACCTCGATTCGTCATCAAATCGGTCCAAAAGGTGTTCTTCCCTACAGATGTGGATATTATTCGCGAACAAGCTTCCCAAGGTCGCTTCAAATACCTCGAGAAATTCGAAGCATATGTCCCTCCGGCGACGAAGGCAGTCGGTGAAGGGGAGAGTCCTGTTGGCAGCGATACGTCTGCGGTGTCTTCGGTGGTCAAACCCATTGAGCCCCAGGTGAGGAGTGATCCCACCCTTGATGAGGATGAGCGACCCATTTACCCACCCTCCATCGCCCCCACAATCACAACTCACAATCCGCGTAGTCAGAACGGTAGTAATGGAACCAATTCTACAGCTGAAAGCTTTGACTTCGGAACCTACCAACGACATCACCATTGGGACCGAGAGCCCCAACCTGGCTTGACGGTCAATCGAAAACGATCTTCAGCAAACAGCAGCGACTTCCCCAACGGCAATTTATTAGCACGAATTGAGTCGGCCGGTGCAACACCACAGAGTCCTCACAGCCCGTTGAGAAGACCTTATGATGTCCACGCTGTATAGTCGTTTCTTTTCCATGTTAGTATTCACCACACCTGTTGATGACACCTCATCCTTCTTTTCCTTTTCTTTCGTGATATTCTTTGTGTGTCTATATATGTTTCAAGACCTATTTTGAGATCTTTTGTCTTTAATTCTCTGCGGCTACATCTTTGCAATCTCATATAGATGGCGTCTGGTAGGAGTGATGGTTTCAACGGTTGACGGCGTAACAGGGGTTGTTTGTATCATCTCGCATCATGATAAATGTGTTCTTTGGCTATCCCAATCTTGTTTCTTTTCTTGTCCGATTTGACTTTTAATTTTCTATTCAATGATGGCTCTTTCAGTTTTCCGTCTTCAGTGTTACAATACTTCTTCCAGCTCGACGTGCTTCATACCCTGGCCGTCGACAGGTACATGAAAATCTTGCTGCTGTATCGTTGTGAAACCCCTTTCAGTTTTTAATTCCAGTCTAGCCACTACTTTTTTTTTATTACGACATATACATATCTATATGCTCTCTACTGGCGTTACTTTGCTAGGTCTATTATTTAGCATATCAAAAATCAAAGCTTGGCCGTTTCCCCCTTTATGTTCCTTCGACAATTATTTATCTCAGACAATTTCTGTTGAGAAGAGTAGTGCATTGAACATCTAGTAACCACGCAGATTTCCTTGTCAGCTATTTCGTAGACTTCTGAAAAAAATAAGACCAAAAAAAAACGTAACGCGTGCTGCTCACGCGTATAGTGGATGTAGGCGCTCGCCGCCATCTATCGCAGCCAATCACGGCAGATAATGCTTTCCGCATACTGCCATTTGCCAAAGAACCGACATGGAAACTGGAAGCCGCCAACAAACAATCGGAACCTTTTCCCTCTACTGATCTCAAGGCTGCCACACTCCAATCCGCAAGTCCTTCAGCTTTCTATCGCCATTCACTTTATCACTCACCGCCAGTATCAGAGTACATCGTTTTCTAGTCAGAGACCGACGGCTACGACCGGCAACCCGCATTGATGACGGATTATTGATGATGCTATGGACGCAGCCGAGATCCCCAGACGTTAGAAGCTAATATTGACATCAACGGCGGGGGAGGCTTAGTTTTTAATACATTCAGTTATGGAGGTCTTGGACACGATCAGGTAAGTTACAGCTGGGTCGCGTCGATGCATTCTGGACTTTATTGATGTGAGGTTCTCTTTGAAGGGAACTCCAAACGCTCCCCGAAAACATCCATTTGCTGTGTCCGCGAAAAGAACGAGATGACTATGGAAGATACGATGGCCCAGAAGAGAAGGACGTGTTCCAGCAGGCGATGGAACGCAGGGATAAAGCATTGTCATGTTTACCTATATTAGCGTTCAGTCAAGACGGCTTGGAAGAATTGCAAGACTGGGTATGGCGGAAATTTGATGATACACTAGAAAACTGTGACTTCTGTATTAGGATGTATCACCAGGGAAAGCTTTTCCTGGCTGACAGGCTGAAGGAGAATTATGACGACGAGGATATCGAGAAGCTGATGCGATTAATGGAGGACTGGGACATAAAACGAATGAAGAAGAATCTGAAGGCGGCGTTGGATGAATTAAAGGCGGTGCCACCAGATCGTATTGGGTTAGATGCTCTGAAGACGGCATCATTGCTGGCCATCTTCGAATGCCTCAGTTCAGAGGCAATGCAACGCGATGTCGATACGCTTAAGGAGTACTTCAATGAACCTTTCAGGTTAATCCAAACAAAACGCACCCTCAAATTGACAGACTACGTGCCTGGCTTGACCAATTTCCTCTTCGACCCTGACCCTATCCGCAATCACTGGGCACTTCATGGATGGTCCCGTTTCCGTCGTCCACCTACATCTGCAGAATTTGACTGGGCAGTGAAGAATGGTCTCACTCGTGCTCTTTTCGCTTGCTCGCCTCAACAAGTTCCACCACCTGACGTTGCTATGATACAGCGGCTTTGGATTGGCCTGCGCACCATCACACTGAGACTTGACAAGGACCAGATAACTCACAACCTTCGCGCTCTGGACATGGATCCATGTCGATTGTCGGTTGAGCATCTGGTAATACCATCACCTGGTCTACGATATTTATTGAACACTATTCAAATCTTGTTGGAAAAAGCTCCTGGTGACTTTTGGGACGCTATGCAAACCATATCACCTCAGATGATTGCGGAACAAGTTTTCAACAACCCACAATTCGATACCTTTCTCCTTCAAGCCACAGAAACAGAGCTTTTCGCAAAATCACCGTTACGTGACATGCTATCATGGATTAATCCATTCATGTCCTCATTGAAAGGCATCAACCAAACCCCAGCCTGCAGATACATTGTTTCTCAATTATTTAGACGATCCAAGGACCAAAGGTTCCCAATGATCTCTCGATTTCAGTGTTTCCTGATTGGAACTGAAGTCTTAATGTGTACACTGTGCACATTCACCAATAACGAGTCCTCGAGAGGTTCCGTCGCACGTGTGGTTCTGTCAGAAACCTTGGAAATCGTCAACGAACACATTCATACAGTTGTTAGCCCAGAATCATTCGGCTCTCCAGAGAGGGATAGGGCGATTATCAACGGCTGCATGGATGTTGTTAGGAATACTCTTGCCCTTGAGTGTCAGTCTCTCAAGACAGACTATGAGGTATTGCTCCATCATTCTACGCTCCATCACGGAGTTAGTACATATTCCCCTGGCATCTGGGATGCTGTGATCAACAAGCTCAGTGGAGAAAACCACGACCTATCAACTGCAGCACTAAGAGGTATTCTGGACCTCGTGGGTCTTGAGAAATTTCCGACCAGGGGCGAGGACAGTAAAGAGAAAACCCATTACAATGTAGTATACGGTCATCTCACGCATCTTTCATGTCAGATCATAGAACGCTTGGCTGACTTCAATCCCGAGCATTTGGATCTTTTGTTTGCAAGCCAGGATACTAACTGTGCACTTATATCTGCCCTCTTCTCGGCTGATCTAAATACATATCAGGCGGCTGTGGACTTGATTAAAAATGTCAGCAGCCAGTCAGCTAGAAGAGATGCTATTTCGCATCTTTTACAATCATTCTTTTCTACGGCTGTCTATGGATTTGGCTGGTCATTCTTCCGGATCAGCGCGTTGAAAACGTTCGGTTCTGCTCCTAGAATGCTTCACACGGGAACCGATATCATTGATGTTCTCTGTGATACGCAGACTGGTATCCTTCGAACCAGAAAACTCGCGAACAGCAAGGAGTGTACCGAAATCCAGACACTATGGCAACGTCAATGGTCGGCGCTGACAACCATCTTCGACATGACCGAAGCCTGGCATAATCGTGGTAATGACAAACAAGTGATGCTTGAATTCTGTCGTGATACTATACAGTTTGCAGATCTTCTATTCGCCCAATATGGTGTTTTGGCAAGTGCAATGGCAGGTGTTGATGGGTCGAAAGAGGACTCGGTTAGGGAAGCTTTACTCCAGTTCCCGACGGATACAATGAAGGGCATGGTCAAGTGGTTGAGACTTAAAGACGAATATCTCGCAACGACTTTGGTCGGTCTAGTTTCTAAGATCCTTCGGCGCTTAGGGGAGTTGAACATCACAAGCGTCGACAAAAATGCCCTGCAAATGGTCGAAAATGTAGCCATTACTGGGAGTGTGAAAACCATACTGACTGCTCGCGAAAAGGCTGAGCTTGTCAGAGCATTGGAAGCATATTACAAGAAACCAGTGGTTACTGCATCAACGGCTTCGCTAAAGAAACAGATCTCTATTACTGCATTTGCCAGGCAGGCCGATTCCTCTGGTACATCAACCCCTAATCGGGCTACGAGTGAAGAGGACTATGAAGATGGAACGGTTCCTGATGAGATGCTGATGCAACTATCACGGTCAGTTGAGCTGAACAAAGCCCGGATTGCGGCCCAGCCGCAGAAGAAGCTCGTCTCATCTACTACGAGATCGCCGCTGGTTATTCCTAAGCTACCAGGCCGTCCACCAGTTATGGTAGAAACTTTCCGTGAAAAACGTGAAAGAGAGAAGGAGGCCAAGAAAAAACGAGATCAGGCTGAGCTTGCTCGTTTGAAAAAGCACCTTCCTGCGCCTGGCGTGGCAGAGCAGACGGCCGGACAAGGTTCAGGGGTGCAAGGCGGAGTAAGGGGTAAAGACCACACTCCTGTGGATAGTATGATGGTCGATTCAGAATCAGAGTCAGAGGACGATAGTGATGATGAAGTTGATGCAGAGCTTTTCGGGAAGAAATCTGCTTCGACTCCAGCTGCCGTGAGAGAATATGAAGAGAGCAGGAAAAAATCACTTAAACAGCAAGGTCCTGTCAAGAAGACCAGACAGTTGCGTTCAGCAAGAGATATGCGGGCTCGATTGTCACCCGATCTTTCATCTCTGCATCACACTTTGCTCGGTTGGGACTTTTTTGCTAGTGGTGATTTACCCACCAATTCTGATCGGACGGATTATTCTCTTGTTTCGTCATCTTTCAGAGACCCTATTGAATACCAACGCACCTTCGAACCATTATTAGTACTAGAAGCGTGGCAAGGATTCCAATCCGATAAGGAAGAAGCAAACTTCAAGCCGTTCGAGATAACTGTGGCGACTCGACTATCGGTTGATTCTTTTATGGAAGTCAGCACCGTTTTGAAGAGCGCAGCCGATCTCAAAGATTTTGGTCTTGGTGAGGCAGACATCGTACTACTATCTAAGTCTAGAGATCCAGTAAACGATAGGTCGGCCCCTCATTGCTTGGCTAGAATATCTAGCATCAGTAGGAAGAAAGGCACCGTCGAAGTGTCATATCGAGTCAACCCCGGAAGCACGATCGTTCCTTCACTTGCACCGGGTGTTTCGCTTTGGGCCGCACGTATCACATCGATGACTCCTTTGGAGCGTGAATACGGTGCCTTGATGGCATTACAGTACTACGATCTTTGTGAGGAAATCATCAAAGCTAAACCATCACCGCTATTAAAGTATTCAGACGCAACACTGGAGCCTATTGTAGATAACTATAGCGTGAACTTGGCACAAGCCAAAGCTATAAAGTCTGCACTTGATAATGACGCATTTACATTGATTCAAGGACCACCAGGTTCGGGAAAAACAAAGACTATTGTTGCTCTTGTTGGAGCTCTGTTGAGCAATTCACTTGGCAACCGCGGCGTCTCAATAACGCGACCGAATGAGAGTAAACCGTCAAACCAACCTTCTAGGACCACAGCTGCAAAGAAACTTCTAGTGTGTGCGCCTAGTAATGCGGCTGTTGATGAACTAGTCATGCGATTTAAAGCAGGTGTAAAGACACTGCAGGGACGATCAGAAAACCTTTCGGTTGTACGTCTGGGTCGCAGTGATGCTATCAACGCAAACGTATTAGACGTCACTCTTGATGAATTGGTTAACGCACGCCTGAATCAATCAATGCAGCAGAGCTCTGGGGAACGAGATATGCAGAAGATATATGAAGAACACAAGACCACTGATACCCAATTCAAAGAGATACGTGCCAAACTCGATCAGTATCGAGCGAAAGGACAGAACCCTCCGGAAGACCTGACGCATGAATTCGAAGTGCTGAAGAAGAAACGCACACAGCTAAGCCAAAATATTGATAACGCGCGAGATCACAACAATGCTATTGCTCGTAATAACGACCTCACACGGCGGCGTATACAGCAGGAAATCATAGACAGTGCTCATGTCATCTGCGCAACCCTTAGCGGCAGCGGTCATGATATGTTCCAGCATTTGAGTATCGACTTTGAAACTGTTATCATTGACGAGGCGGCGCAATCTATTGAATTGAGCGCTCTTATCCCGTTGAAGTATGGCTGTGCCAAGTGCATTCTAGTTGGTGACCCTAAGCAGCTTCCGCCGACAGTTCTGTCAAAAGAAGCATCTCGTTTTCAGTATGAACAAAGTTTGTTTGTCCGAATGCAATCTAATCACCCTAACGATGTTCATCTTTTGGATGTCCAATATCGTATGCACCCAGAAATCAGTCGCTTTCCTAGCCTCACGTTCTACGAGGGACTTTTGCAAGATGGCCCAAATATGGCTGCACTTCGTACTCGACCGTGGCATAACAGTACATTACTCAGCCCGTATAGGTTTTTTGACGTTCAGGGGCTGCACTCAAACACCGCAAAGGGCCATTCTCTTATCAACATTGCTGAGTTAAATGTAGCAATGCGGCTCTACGAGCGCTTGGTGACTGATTTCAAGTCTTACGATTTCTCGAGAAAGATCGGCATTATTACACCATACAAAGGCCAACTACGAGAAATGAAGTCTAGATTTGCTGCAAAGTATGGCAATTCGATATTAGCGACTGTCGAGTTCAATACAACCGACGCCTTCCAAGGTAGGGAAAGTGAAGTTATCATTTTCTCTTGCGTTCGGGCATCAAACAAGGGTATCGGTTTCTTGTCTGACATTCGTCGAATGAACGTCGGGTTAACTCGTGCGAAATCATCACTTTGGGTTCTAGGAAACTCTCAGTCTTTAGCTAAAGGTGAATATTGGAACAAACTTATCACTGACGCCAGAAAGCGAAACATCTACACTGATGGTGACGTACTGTCTATGTTACAGCGCCCTCAGTTCACTGGATATCGGAATGTGGAGATGACCGATGTTGACCAGGACGAGTCCCACTCATCAGCAGTACAAACGCCTACTGAAACCACCCGTTCATCTAATGAGATGGAATCAGTGTCGGCACGTAACACCCCTGGCCCTGTTATCACTGGCCCCTCGGGAGGACATAATGGGCTTGATGAAACTAAAGCGTGCGGGTATTGTGGAAGCACTGATCACTTTACCAGAAACTGTGATAATGTAGATGCACTAGAAAGCGCCGCGGGCATCTGTTTCCGTTGCAAGGAGCCTGGCCATACTAAGATGAAATGCTCTGCCCCCCGATGCCTGATGTGTGGCGCGGTTGGCCATGAACCAGAAAGATGCGAGTCAACTAAGGTGCTTTCGCAGAAGGAGAAGAACAAGATTGCCAACGAAGAGCATCGTCACAAACATGCCCAGCAGGCTAAACGTGAGGAAATCAGACAAAAGATTATGAAAAGCCACGACCCGAAAGTGCCAGTCGTCAAAGTTTCGACAAAATCGCCTCCAACTTCTCCGAAGCCTCAACCGGCTGTGGTAAAGAGAAAGTTACCACCCAGTGGACCGTTTGCGAAGAACACTAAGCGCAAAACGGACGTAGAAACTCCTCAAGAAGTTCCTAGTGTATGTTGATACTGACAGAACGAGATTGAAACTAGCTGACAGGCTCCTATATAGAACTTGGTGAAGCCATCACGAGACGGACCTTCGTATAATAGCCTTTCCCAAGCATCCAAAACCGGCATGGCCTCTAGAGTACCTCCCCCAGAAAGCAATAAGGTATTTATTCATCTTGGTGGGCAAGGAAACCATTTTCGAGAAATTAACATGGATTATAGGGACCACAACCACCACGAGGGCCTATGGGCGGGAGACCTGGACCCCGTCCCTCAAACCAGGCACGAAAGAAAAAGGAGGCCGATCCCTTCATTCGGCCTAAGAGAAGATGAAATTATTGTATTGCATTGGTTTATCTATTATGGAGGAGCGAATTACATAGAATAGTCGGGTGCACTTTCCATGCATTTTATACCTTTTCATGGAGAGGCGTGACTTCTTCCCTGTATCTGATTTCCTTGTTGACCATAAGGATCTCCACGGACATCTTTGCATTTCGAACGGCGTTGTTGCATTAATACTAGCATATTGATGAGGTGCGAGGGGATTTGCCATGCAGCGAGGATCAACTTTACGTTTTTCTCTCAATGAATTATCTTCTTTTGGCAAAGGAATTATTTTACGGTTGCAAATGTGCGAAGACACCTTCACTTCGCAGATAACGAAAGAGTGAACAGAGGCATCGAACAACAAGCATGTTTCATTTCATGTGTACCTAGAGCAAAAATTTCGGCGACAGTTTTTTCTTGGTCAGTGTGGACATTGCGTGTTTCATATAATCGATGCGTTGTACATATGCAGGTTCTGCATACCCGTGCAAATTCTGTCATACCTAAAATCTTGTATCGTCTCTGCATGACGGTTTTCTCGGCTCCTTTCGTCGTACAACCATGCATTCACCTGTGGCAGATGGGCCCATTGATAATGATCTGGGAAGGTGATTTGCTAATGCAATCTCTTGATAGTGATCTATAAAGGCTACTAGACAAGATAAAATTTAACTTTGTCGGGAATGTAAGGGGTTAATATTATACGTAGTAATACCTAGCTGGTAATCTATTTACTACCAAGGCCTTGCTAGAGATTTGAAAGGAGTAATAATAGCCTTGCTGAATTGCTGGGCTTCTTTAAGGTGTTCGCCGAGACCCTTTGAGGCAGACTGTGTGCAGTGAGGAAATTGGTTTTCTAGGAATATGATCTATCATGATTTCCAACACGCGGAGCACTTGGCTGGGTCTTCAAGTCTAAGGCCATCCACTACGGCTGAATATGAAAGCAAGAGTGTACTAGCAGTTAATTAGTCTATCCTGCGCGTAATAACATTTGACTAACTAGCTGACACTCGGTGCGTAGAGCGCTGGCGACATTTCAGGCCTATATAGAATTTGTTGTGAGTAGTCACTTAATCACAAGATTGCAGAAAGTGGGATGTGGATGAACGGTGTATAATGACGCCAACTCGTACAATGCATGGCTCGTTGTCCAAGGCCATTGTGGTGGCCACATCATGTCGTGTCATGTGGTGAGGCCAGCAAGTGCAAGAAGATAGGGTTCACCCCTTGCGCCGAACAAAATGGACCCCTCACCTTGTTACCCCCCGCTAACCTCACCTCACCTCTCCACAACACAGCGCTACCAGCACACCCGAAGCGATCATCGGTGCATCCCACTCGGACTCGGTAACCTATCACTTGGCGTCCTGGCTCACCTACATGTCCTCAAGTTGGAGCGTGCGGCGCCCATATGGTCTCGTCTCAACGTACTCGATCCCAGTTGACATGTACGCTGCTTGGCAATCCTGCTCGCTACACAGACATGGTTCATCCAGTCCCTTGCAGGCGGAGGGACTCCCGGCAAGACTCATGCGAAAAACAAAGAGGGAAAAGAACAATAATGCGATGATTCCTTTTGTCTGGAGTCTGTACTAGTCAGGCTAGTCGCGCCGGCAGCCTGGCTCTTTCAACCAAGCCAAGCGACGCCGCCAGTCTTGCTGCGTCCGAAACTAAAGCTCGCTCGGCCTCTAGTTTCCTCTCGGTCGATACGCAGGCTGGTCTATGATCAATAGAGGCTTGGATTTGTCGAGTCGGAGATGATGGAGGCAAAAAAGAAAGCGAAAACGATTGTTTTCGACAGTGCACAAAATCAGCTAAACAAATTCTCTTATGCACGTATCTACGCTTTTCCAGCATACCATTTTAGTCTCGACAGATGATACAGTATAATGGTTTATCGTAGATCGTTCGATCGACGAACTTGTCCCTGCAGCTAATGGACCCAGGGTCTGAAGGAAGCACTCAGCCCACCTCTAGCCTTCACATTATGTGATCTGTTTTATCTCAAGCAGCTGTATTATTACCCCCCCTGAGATTAACCCCTCACGAATAATGGGAGTCTGACTTGCACCATGGGATATGATATCCCTGTCGGCTGAACTTTAAACTGTCATATCAAGGGGCGGGAGCTCATGAAGTGTCAAATATATGCATGTTCTGGATGTACACTCCACGCTACCTGGCTTCAAGTGGGTTCCTGGATACTTTCCCAAACTTTCTTTGTTTTTCTTTTTATTCTCCGATCTTCACTCCTTATTTTAGACTGTGTCCGAAGTCTATAAGATTCCCGTCTGCAGCTTCAGGCGTGAATGGATCTCTCCCCAAGCAAAGGATGCTATTAACAGGGCCTATGTCAACTTGATACAAAATGCTGGCTCGGGCAGGTTACTGATACTTGTGAGGCTCGAAGACCGCTCATTGTACATATGTATACCACTTGTCTATATTGTGATTTTCTATCCGTGTGAAATGAACACCGATTCCATCGTTATCAGATCAGGGCTATCATCACGCACAAGTGACCTTACGCTGCCTGAGATCTACAACCGACGCTGCAGTTACTCCGAGGATCTACATGGTTGCACATACAGTCAGTCCTCAAAATGTTTCACGTGCGTCGTTCCTAAACAACTGATCTCAACAGTTGGACTTCGATGCTCAACGAACCTGCCGCACCGAGTCCAGTTATCCCAACATATCGACCTTTGAAAACCCGGCCACGTCGTCGACTACGACTGTCTATCATGCCCTCAGTGGCAGTAGAAGAACCTCAATTGATCTCCCCAGTAGCAGCATTGCACAAAGCTCCACCGCGATCAGCAGGAGCATCTAGCAGGGCGAAACGTAGTGAAAACATCTCCGAACTAGTACGTTTTTTCCAAGCCCAGCAGGGAACGCAGGAAGACGAGATGAATATCATGAAACACGACGGTGCTATGGACTTTTTGAAGGCCGGCCAACGCCGCCTTCGACAATTGGGCCAGGCGAAACCTGACAAACGTATCAAAGGAACCGAAAGTCCAGTACCATCTGAAAAAGGCAAGGCTAAACGTCAACATTTACTGGCTCTGCAACGTGAAGGGTTATTACCGAGTACGGATGATGCTTTGGATACGTCGCGCCCATCAAGGACTAGACGGGATGTGGAAGCCATGGGCCGTCCATGGCTTGACGATGCATATCCAGGGAGTAATCCAAAGGATGACGGTAGCTCAACCTCTGATAGTCTCAATCATTTACGGTGCGAATCTCTGGGGCTCGGTGACTTGGCTGCGCTTGTGGAATTTTCCGTCTCGTTCCCAGACTATTACTCAGAGGAGCCCGGACCACCCCCGTACCAAGCTCAAGCCCAAAGTTCCAGCGGGCCGGCGCCGACGAATATCAGTCAGGCCACCAGTTCGGAGGAACGAGACCAGGATAAGGCTACCGTAAATGACGATAGCCGGCCGCAGGAGAGCTTGATGGGCCGTCAGGGGCGCGATTCGAGGACAGGTGAAGCTAGGCCTGCGCTAAGTCAACTGGTGCAGGCGCCGGCCCTGAGTACTAGCAAAACCGTTGATCGCCCGGCCCAGAATGACGAACATAATAGGGGCCAAGGTGACAGGTGCTGCGAAAGAAACTATGACTGCGACTGTGACGATGCTAAAAGCCTGGCTGTTTTGTTGCGTGTTACTGAGCGATTGGGGCGGGAGAAGAAAGCTGTTCGGAACTCTACTCCCCCCCCAAACGAGGCCGGGTCTGTGTCTGCTGCTGGCAATATAAGTGGTGAATACTTGCCTCACTCCCTCAACCAAGGAGTTACCGACACTCCTTTATTCGTCAAGGCACCGGCCGCCGCAATCAAGCATGGCCAGGCCGAGGAAAGGAAGAGAATCAGCAACAGCAATAATGCCTTTAGGGAGACCCCCTCCCTATTGTTCCCATCTCAGGGAGAGTCTAGTCTGTCCAAAAGCCACAGCGTAGGCCCCATACCACTAAAGCTAGTGGCCGAGTGTCTGCCTCCACGCGGATCAAGCAGTGTTGCGTCAAAATCAGCTTCCCCGCAGTTTCAATTCAGACAGAATAATTCTCTCAATTTGCTTCAACCACCTCAAGAAAGCAATACCCCTACAGCATCGAACTTCCCCCGTCCACAGACTCTGCTGTCGCCTTTCCCAGGCCAATCACGTCGAGCCCGCAGTGTGACTCCGGACGTGGCTTCTAGCTCCCAAGGGAGAAAGAAAAAGAAGCCCAGAATTTCTCCATTGTACGTCGTGAACGCGGCTCCCCTTCCGCCTCCAACCAAACCTTTGCCTTCCGTCCCACAAAGTACCGATGTCAATGCCCCGCTTCCTGCTGCAGATGAAGAGCGCAAGATGTCGACTCCCATTGTCACGCCAGCTCCGGATCAACCTGGAGAAAAATGCGATAGTCCGACTTTAGGATCAGCTATGCATAAGCCACGACTCCGTAGGTCTTTGATTGGACCGCGACCGCCATCCCGCTACTCGATTAGGAGCAATGACACATCGGAGGCGATCTATACAGCAAGTGACGATCACTCGATTAAGACCATCTCCCCAGCTCCTTCTAGTCTGGAAGCCCTTGAGGAGGTTCGAAGAGGACGAGCTGATAAGGTTCGTGCCATTCGCATGCGAGATCTAGGCACGAAGAAAGATCAAAAGCCTACAGTGGAACCCGAGTCTCAATACGAAGCCAAGATACCTAAAAGTTCGACCGAACGTGTACACGCAGATACTGTTGGTCAAGCAGAGAAACCAAAACGGGACAGGAAGCATCGTGCAAGTGCAGCTCCAAAAATTCCTCTTCCCAATGACCCACCTGTAGTTGCCTACGACACCCAGAGGAATAGGCGACGAGGTTCGACGTCTTCTCTTCCCGGATCTATTTCTACCATCAATGGCTATGGTGGAGGCTTGTCTCGCAGCGTAAGCATTACTAGTGGTTCAATAGCAGGTTCTCCTATACTTCGTGGGAGACTTGTTCATACCGCAGAAAAGCCACCCAAGAACACCAGGCACGGACGTACGAATTCACCCACGTTGCCATCATCTGATGACGAGAGGCCCAAACCACAAACACGACATTCACAGACACGTATGGAAACAGGGGTAGATGAAAATTGGACACATCACCATGCCCGCAGGTCAGATACTAGAAGAGACGTCAGCGATATTGAGCATCCGCCTAGGCACCCCGACCGCGGACAAGCTTCTCCGCGAACCCCTAGGTCGCACTCCGTATTACAATCTCGTCACTCCTATGCTGGACAGATGCAATCGATACACTACCTTGAGGCTCGTGTAGCCACGTTGGAGCGGCAAAACAAAATGCTTCAAGCTGCTCTACTGGCGGCCCTCGATGTTGGCGTTTCTCACGATGCCGAGAGTATTCGAAGTGGTGCTACCAGCCCTGCATTAGACTCAGCAAGAATACCCACAATTAGCGAAACATCGATGCCATCACCAAGTAGAATGAGTATCAACGAAACCCACAAATCCCGAAAAATGTCCGCACAAAAGCATCACGCAACACAAAGTCACCATAGCTGGGCCAGCGGCCAAGATCACAATTCTCAAGACAGCCGTGGGAGTTTTGAAACTTCTGGCTCCCACAGTGATACCAGTTTGCGCGCTGTTGAGAGCTTATTGAGCGATGTTGATGTTGCAGTATCTAGCGAGTCGTGAAGTTTTTGAATTAATCCGCACAATTGATCACTTTTGTCATGTTTATCTTTTTGATGGTTTCAATGTTGCATCTACGGGAGCAAGTTCGTCATGACTTTCTTTAATTTTTTTTTCTTATTTTCTTCACGGTCTCATGTATACTATTAGTGGGCTCTTCTGTGTTTTCACCTTTTTTGCTTAGATACCACGACAACTTAATTTTTTCTGTTATAGTGTCATCTACACGACCGTAAAGACATTGCGAATCATTTCCAATCCACCTCTATTTCCATCTTCAAACTTAGTTTACTTGAGCTTCCTACCACACTGGTCTCACTGTATGAAGTGGTTTAACTAGAGTTCAATGAATCTAGACACGATTTCATGTAACTATGGAATACTATGGCTGGTATATTTCTATGTTTAAATTGAACTCACCGAAGGGTCAGATGCATGTGGAGTAGAAAATGGAGGTAAGTACCTCAGGCTTATGGATAATAACAACAATGCAGATTCTAAAGAATCAGGTTTAAGCTGTATACAATACATTTCATTTAAGTCCTTCCAATTATTTGATACCAGTAACGATATTTACCATGTAATATGCTTCCCAATTGTACTTTCTACAGGCGGAATGAGCGGCCTCAATGCATTCCCATAATCACCTGCATTTGGCGTCCTCAATAAGGTATGGATGTGGAATTTCTTTGGCTCCTCGTTTGTCAAAAATACTCCGGAATGATGATCGAACTCGACTAAAATTACTGGACTCTGTATCCGATAATAGAACGGGTCTGTATCCGCGAAGCCACCAATCCAAGAGAAATATGTCTCGTTTTCAAATCGACGAATTTCGTTGAGTTTGAAATCTCGGGATTGTTGTGGGAGATAGAGCAGGTATTGCTCGAGAATCCTAAAGACAAGCTCCTTCTGCTCTGCAGTGAATTCAGAAACAAGTACTCCTTCATAAGGAATCTGACGGTTATCGCGGTATGCGCCGCATAAATGTCGTTGATCATCCTTGTTAATGCGGCCTGCGGGCATCTCTGGATCGACCATTTGTTTGTATGTTTGTGCTTTCTGCTGGATGTCTGCCGGGAGGGATTGCATGAGCTGAAGGCCAAGAGTCTCTTCGACATGGAGAATACGAGTGCCTTTGTGAGGGCCAGAGTCAATCTCGTTGGGCTCAGCACCAGTGAACCAGGGGCTTGCAACAATCTGGCCCTTGTAAAGGAAAACGTTGAGGCAAAGATGGTGGCCGTAAAACGACCAACCCCATGGTCGTGTGGTTGATGGTCTGCCAAAAAGAACAAAATTGTAGGAGTATTCATTCATGACTTGAGGCGATTGGACTAATTCTCCGAGGAAATGGTTAATTCGCATAGCCTTGATTGCTTTGTCGTATCCTTCTGGTGAGAGGGTAGTCTCGAGGACCTTGAGAATAGCATCGCGGATAGAGGCATCAACTTCATCGAGTCGCAGGCCCTTGTGAACGAGTAGGAACTCAGGATTGGACCATGTTCGCCATTCTGGAGAGTCAATATGATAGGAAAGTGTTTTACGCTGGCCGTCATTTAATAATTCCAAAAGACTTTGAACTGATGCGACGATGCTTTCAATGGGGACGCCCTCGTCTTGCAGAGTGAAGAGGTTCTGGCGGACAGTTCCTTGTTTTACCTATTAACACAGATATGCCTAGTTTTAATGAAGGGAAAAAGCGTACCATCAGTAGTGATACCTTGAAAAGGCTCCTCATACAGATACCGCCAATGTTCGTACAGCGCATACAGCCATGGCGGGATGTGTTTTGTCTTGAATACATGAGCGTACTCGTGCGCATCCTGCATCTTCATCGTCGTAAAACGAGGAATGCAGAGATCTGGCACATACTGGCGGTATTCGCCCGTGGGCTTTTCTTCTGTGAACGACATCCTGTCGCCGATTTTGGGGTAGAGCTGGCGGCAGAGTCAATCCTATCATCCATGTAATCGTCGAATGTGCGATGTTCTCCTGGTGAAAGGGATAGATGTCAAATTGGTCTTGAGGAATTCAATAAACAACTGTTTCCAAATTCGTCATTCACCGGATTTCGTCTTTTATATGGTCATAGTGGCAGCGGTAGAGTGTCATGGAGCACTGGACGCAATGTGGGGATGGCGGGATAAGTCTTTTCCCGCCTGGAGAGTGCTTTTCCGGGAGCATCAGTTGAGTTTATAGAGAATGATTGAGTCTATAGGAATATAATCAATTGCCTGGTTGATCTTCTATATTCACTTTGTTTTCCGTACTGGTTTGTGGCTGATAGGTGCGTTGGCTTGCTGTTTACATGTGAGGCAAGTGGCCCGCATCACTTCTATACGCAATGACATCAAGCAATACTGCAGCAGAGGATCCGTTGTGGCAGGCATATACCATACCTTTGATCATCTGCACCCAATAGAAGACGCCCACAAAGCGATAGCACCTAGATCTTGGAAGAGAGAACGATATCAAATTATCTAGATATCCAAGTTATTCCGTGAAGCTGTATGCTTCCCCACACTCCCCGCGCCCCATAGAGAACCCGGAACCGACTAGCGCTGGCTTGTATATCCGTTATTCCGGCTATGTTCACGATTAGCTTTTCATTATCGTATGCTCAATTGAGGGCTCTTTCAAGACTTTGCCACGTTCCTGATTTTGTATCATTCAGTTTGCTATGATTTAACAACTATGGAGGCAGGGAAATGGTTGAGCTACTCTGACGGCATACACGTATTCTGAATGAATGGAGCCGAATCATGACTGAATAGGATTTCCAGCCTTCATCAAGAAAAAAAGTTGGAAAATAATTATTCTCATTCCTAAAAGCTCATCTAACGCAGTTGTAAGAAGGTATCCGCTGCAAGCCAAAAATAGTTCCACCAAAACGAATCTCACTAGTTTGTCGAGACACGGGACACCACGACGCAATCACTAACCAAGTAAGTCAATCAATGCAAAGTCCTCACAGGTTCTCAGGAGGGTTTCAATTTTAGATGGGGTAAGTCGGGGAGAGGGTGTTGAATTAGTATCGCGCACAGGACCTATGGTGCGCATGGACCGAAGTAGATATGTGACTGCCCCTAAGCTTATGAGAGTCACAGCGAGCGTGAGAGGCCATATTCGGCCCAGCTTCGTTGATTCTGTTGGGCCGCTTTAGGCCTGCGGTCATCTTGAAGTAAGCGACCGCTGGTATCTGACTTTTTCTCTTGGGAAAATGCTCCCCACTGCGTCCCTTTTTCCATTGAGTTGAAGGTGATTAAAACGTCAAAATTCAAGTAGAAGTACCTGTAGTATGAAAATGATGATGATGACAGCAGCGAAAAGGATATGCGTTTGGATTTATTAAAGATATTCATCTAGTCACTTAGTAGATCGCACATAATGTTCGAAAGCTGATCATTATAATTAAACATATCAGTCAATACCAGTCAAAGCTAATAGTTACATGCACTCGTATGCCCGAGGCGAATATGAACAAGTAGTCTAGGCTGTCGTCACCTGAAAATTAATAAAAGACGGTCGGCAGCGCAGGATCGTCATGAAGACTCTATAGAGAGACCTCTTCAAGTTCCCCTTCCCCCTCTTTCTGACCTTGACTTGGCTTTTCAACATCTTTGGATTCAGGGGAGGGCTTTTGTGGCAATTCTTCAGGTACCTCATTTTCCTCCTCATCCTCCTCCTCCTCATCTTCTTCCTCATGATCCTTAGAAGAGGATTTTTCATCGTCTTTAGGTGGTGGTGAAGGTTGGTTTGTACTTTCTTCCTCTTGACCTTCCGAGGCACTGATCGCTGTAGGGCCGCCGGGGAATGGTGTAGGCGGGGCTTCAGGTACTTGCTCTGGTCCAGGCCTCGAGGGCAAGTTCAATTGACTGCCTGTCGCCGGGGTTGCGGTATCCGGAATTGTTGATTCGGTGACTTGGAGTTGCTGTTGCTGTTGAGCTGCTTGCCGTGGCCCAAGTTGGCGATGTTTTGGGTCCGCATTAAGGTAGTAGCCTCGAACACCAACAATTGTACCCTCTGCTTCACATGCATCTACCCATTCAGGTCGCACCACAGGAATGTTCATCTCAACAGCTTTTTCCCATGAGGGACCACGGCCCTCGGTACAAACAAAGTGTGTGGTGTCAATACGGACCGTGTCAATAAGCTTGCCGCCAATTCGATCCACCGCACGAGCCAGAGCTTCTTTCTGTGGTTGTGGCATAAACCCGGGAGTGACCGTAATTCCGGAAAGATCGGTCATCTTGTGAGTGTGGCATGTCAACTTTTCCGATTGATATGTTCCTGCAGAGGTGCGCAAGACAAGGTGAAAAGTATACTCGGTATGTATAGCGAGACCGCTGATTTTAGTGCTGAGCATCTCTAGAGGACGAGGTATCGAGCCGGCTTTGGAGCCATTGCGATAAAGGGAGAGCGATTTTAAGGAGGCTGTCGCTAGATTGATAGGGTCCCATTCTAAGACTAGGGACGTTTGGGTGGCATTGCGCAGGCGGAGGATGGGGGCAGAAGGCGTCTGGAGACCGTATGTGTTGAGTATTCGCTTTTGAAGCGACTGGAAATTCGCTACACTCGTCGACTCTGCCGCATGATTTCTAGAGACGTCGATGTCGACAATGCTTCCGGAGCTGATATTCGTGGGGAGTAGAACGGAGGGGAATTCAATCTGTAGTATGAATGGAATCTTAGTTCTCTGTGCGTGCATGGAAATTGCGCATAATACGCTGACGATTCATTGTTGGAAGCAGAGGGAATGGATTCTGTGGTGGTGGGCGAGCAAACGTACCAGCCGGTTGTCTTGTGTCAACAACACCGCAACGCCGGCATCGACCTTACCCACAGTCAAGGAGACCAGCATTGTGTGGGCACAATCTGGTTGAATGCCCGAGACGGAGGATTTGGAAAGGCAGGTAGCGATGGCAAGAAACCGAAGTGGTCGTCCCTGCGATGGATGTAGTCAGTTTCCTGAATCTTTATCTACAACATTGAAGTTGTTAGCTGAGAGTGGCCAAGCCGTCTAGGCACCGTCCCGGGCCTCAGGCAGGCACTGGCCGGCAGCTTGTCCAATCAGGGAACCCAGCCACGTTCGCGACCCACTGCTACTATTAATACCTTCCTCCAGACCAGCTCTAATATATCTTTTACGCCAATAGTGCTATTGAAAACTCTCTCTTATTTGATGGTTGCTGCTGATATTGGTATAAATGTGTACTTGAAGAGAAATACTTCTCGCCTACATCGTCCTTGCCTCCAGCACCATAAATGATGGTGTTACTTAGCTGGGACGTGCTTCTCCCATGCCGACGCCATGTCGCTGATAGCCCGATTTGTGCGCGAAAGCAGTCCCATCATCTGTGATTTCATGTTTGATTCTCTTTGTGTGATTGCGCTCGGTTCTACCCGGATCTCGAGAGTTCCACGTAAAGGCTTACTGCGAAGACGGGCCCCTTCAGGCAGATGTTCTTGTGCTAGAGGCCGACCATAAGCGTCATACCCTTGCTGTTTGAGAACCTCGCGAAAAACTTTGCGTATTTTCTTCGCGGAACCAGTTCGGACAACCTTTTTCATCGAAAGATGATTTGTAGTCACCCTCCACCATAATGTGTTCGGATCGCGGTTTTGGTATAGATACTCGGTTTTGGGCTTCAATGCATGGGGTAGCGGTTGGTATTTATAGCTGTGGAGTGCAGCCCAGTGTGTCATAATGTTGTCGCCATGGTACATAAATAAAAAGTCTTGGCCTCTGATTGTCCTCAGCCTGGGTAACGAGATCGCTGTCTGCCAGGGCTGTGTCATGCCGGACGTGCGACCAGTGTAAGGGTGGGCTATAGGAAAAGGAGGAGCTCAATACAGAGAAGCTGCCATGAAGGCCAAAGGGACATCCGTAATGGAAAACGGACAGACAAATAGTACCAGCAGCAAGCTCAGTGTATTTGATATTCTTAGCACACTCTGGGTTGACGTTGACCGTGATGAGGCGATAAATGCGGCAGAACCTCGGGCGGTGGAGGCGTAACTCGGCGCCTGAGGCAGCGAAACCCCGACGAGCGAATCGGGAGGCATCAGGCGTCAAAATGCGAAACCCCCACCAAAAGTGACCAAACCCTATAAATTGCCACGACGCTCCCCTCTTTCTTCTCAATCACCACCCCCAAAATAACCTACTACTCTATCACCCTGCCATTCTGCAACCTAGAAGTACAGCTGGTCTACCCCATCCATCCGAGAAAATCGATTCAACATGCCTAAGAATAAGGGAAAGGTACGACTTTGATCAAAAAATACCCCACTTTTGTTTTCGCGCAGACAGGCTAACCTGTGGTAACTCAGGGTGGTAAAAACAGGCGTCGTGGAAAGAACGAAAACGACAACGAGAAACGTGAGCTCATTTTCAAGGAAGATGGACAAGAGTACGCCCAGGTTGTGAAGATGCTGGGTAACGGCCGCCTGGAGGCTCAGTGCTTCGATGGCGAAAAGCGTCTGGCACACATCCGAGGAAAGTTGAGAAAAAAGGTGTGGATCAACCAAGGTGATATCATCCTGCTTTCATTGCGCGACTACCAAGACGAGAAAGGCGATGTCATCATGAAATACAGCGCCGACGAGGCTCGCAGTCTTAAAGCCTATGGCGAGTTGCCAGAGACTGCCAAGATCAACGAGACCGACACCTACGGTCACGAAGGCTTCGAGGACAACGTCGAGTTCGACGAGGACCGTGATAGCAGCGATGACAAGGAGATCGATGTCGATGAAATCTAAACCTTCTATCCATATCCGGCGAGTTTGTAACTGAACAAGCAAACCTGGCTGACCTCGCCGGACCTTTGTGCCATGGTCCGTTTGAATCCCTTTCTTATGAGACAGTTCTGCTTCAATATGAGAGAAATCTCGCCTGAAAGTGTACACGTGATGTTTCGTCCACAACACCATTCTTTGACCTGGTTCGAAAGAGGCAACAGCCTCAACCTGCCAACTTTGTCGGGGTTTCTCAAGAGACCATAAGTTGCTCCTCACGCAGGTTATGATGGTGTGATCGAGGATACATTCACCTGTATGATTCAACGACCTGGCCATACTGTCAGTTATTAAAGCATATGTTAACTGGCGACCTACTCAAAAGTTACGCGCAACCTATTAGACTACCGGGGGGAAGAAACGATTGCGACATGGCCAAGGGTTAGCTACTTTGGTCTTGACTTTGTCCTTCTGCCTATTCATTTGATGCATTCATTTTGCGAGCATGTTTGATTCTTATCAGTGATTCCCATTATGATGCCGAGGTCGAGTGCAACTACCGCATTGTTCGCGCCTCCTTGTTGCTACTTCCCCGTCTTTGATCTTCTTGTGATACGATGTTTATGTGGAGATCGAATTTGTTAGGATTCATAGATAGCATATCAATAGGAAATGGCTATGCACATACTTCTTCCGCCAAGTTTACTCCAACATGGGTTGACCCGTATTTCGTGGAAGCATTCCATGTAGTATAAGTTGCTATACCTACATATATGTAGCATAGAAATCGCCAAACCGTATGACTACCTTCAGTGCTCTGGACTTCAAACTGACGAGCCTTCAGCCTCTCCATTTTCAAAAACATTTTTCCTGAAAAACCTGACTATTTTCCGACCTGTTTCTCTCCCAACCAGCGGGTTTAAGTCCTCTACATCCATGTTTGCGAGTTGGTGAATGTTTTCTGTTTCTAGGATTAGGCAATCGAGGACTGCAGGATTTACCCCAGGTATAGAGCGGAGCATGTCCTGCGGAAGCTGGTTGAAAGTTCGATGCTCTATACCAGCAGCGGCCATAACATCACCAGAGTTTGACGACGCAGTAATGTCAACATCAAGTCCGATTTGCACAGCTCGGATGGGGTCAGGCTCAGGATTGTTCTTTTTCAACTCGGCGAAAATCTCGGCTGTTTGATATGGCGAAGAGGACCAAATGATTTTAAGCCGTGGGAAAGCAAGGGTTAGAAGAACAAGCATGTGTTGTGCGGACTTGGGGCTAGATGGATTAACTAAGGACGTATTTGCTGCTGCGGCAGGGTTACCGGGCGATGTGAAAGCATAATCAGAAAGGAAGCCTGTGCTAGGAATCGAGGATGAAGCAAAAGCGTCGAATGTGAAGGACTTGTTTTGGTCGAACTCGATCAAAAGAAGCGGGGTTTTGTAGTGCTGTAGCATGGTTTCTGCTTGATTATAGAGACGCCCGTTTTTTAGAGAGCTAATCAAATCGCGAACTGACTTTCGCTCAACACAAATATCAGGGGTTAAGACATAATCACCAACTGTCAATTGACAAGGGACGACAACAATGCTACGTCCATGTAGTAATGACGGCAGGGCACTTCGGAATTCGCGAACATCAACCACAACAGTAGGTGGAGCTGACGTTGCTGCGAGTCTACCACCACCAGCGATTCGGGTGTTGACGGTTCTCAAGAATTGTTCCTCGGGATCCTCGAGGCTTTTGTCATGGCTAAGAGTGAGAGCCATGCCCTGTTGAGTCCCCATTAATATAAAGCGGACTGTATTCTACTCGAAACACTTACGCTCTTTTCTTTGATCAGCTTTGTAAATGCATCCTTTTCCCTCCGGACTGCACTTAAGTAACGCTGCTCCTCGACTGAACCCCCATAATACATAAAATATACTCGCACGTTGCGGTCAGTATGAGAACTGCGGTATACCTCTACACGGCGAATGAATGCAGAATCTGGCTCGTACATAATGATATACCGTGGACGAGCTTCTTCCAAAATTCGTTCATCCATGTCACCATCGTAAGGGTGGATCATGACTAGATCATTCATATCGTAAAGTTCATAATAGTCTTCCATGTCCTCCAGATCGTCAACGACAATATCTTCCTTCAAGGCCTCTTCAACGCCTTTTGGTTGGAGGTCACCTAGCAGTTCAGATACTTGAATAGGTGCCTCAGCATCAGCCTGTACACTACTGTTCGGTGTTCGACCAGCTGTAGCGGAACCGGCACCACCACCTCTTACACGGCGTCGTTTATTTGGAGGAGCTCTTCCTGTAGCTGTTGAAGTACCCCTGGACGTGTCACTTGAGTTTTGTTTTGGAGAATACAGGTTTTCTCTAACACGACTAAAGTTTTGCTTCCAATTCAGGTATTCTCTGAGCTTCCTTCGCATCATCACTTCAGCCGAAGCCCCTTCGGAAAGATTGTTTTCATTCGCATCATTTTCGTCGTTATTAGCTTCGCGGCTAGGTCTCACATACATTAATTCTAAGAAGCTTCGAAGTTGTCTGCATGTTTGTTGATCACTGCACATGATTAAGACGGTACTATTTGAGTCGTCACGCGTCACAGGGTTAAGGTACGCGTCTTGTTCAATTTCTTGCAAGATGTCTGCAAGAACATTCCACTTTGGTTGTTCTTCTAACACGGGTTGTAGAGCCGCTGAAAAAGATGTCGAAGAGGACATGGTATCACCACCAGTTATCTTGCCTCTATATACGCGTGATTTTGCTGTTTCGAACAATACATGTGCGGCATCTAGAAAAAGCCATGGAGAGAAGTTATGTCGTGTTGAACCTGGAGGAGCGGCATGCGCTGCGACAATAGTGTCCAAGTATTTCAGTAAAGATACAGCATCGTATGTTAAAAGAGACCTATAGAGGTTAGAGGGATCCATCAGAAAGAATAGTGGTTCTTACTGTAGTATGGCTCTCAAAACTGTCAAGTCACTTGCAATTTGCCGAGTCCTGAAGCTAACACGATGCCATATAGGCTCCAATTGTCTTCGTATCGATACATCGAAGTTTTTATGCAGAGCACTATCCAACGTCCAATCTTCCATGTCTAAGCCAGAATTGGCCTTTTTCAGTTCAGAAATGCTCGTTTCAACACACTCAAGAACGGCATTCTGAATCTCTCTCATTTTGTCGCTCATTGGAACTTCAAGTTCTATCACTTCCGCTTTACGTCGACCTTCTAGAGATTCCGCGACAGTGACATGAAATCTCGGCCAGAGTGAAGGTTTTCGCAAAAAGAGATTTCGCATCATGTTCGACAAAGGCGCGAAACCAGTAGTGAAGGGTTCAGGGGTATCAGAAAACGCTTTCAGGAAGCCACTTTTATTAAATTGACGATAGACGCGAATTATAAACGCTTCTAAAGCTGTCGCTACGACCCTATAATTTTGTTAATACTCATTCTACCACCGAGTTTTATGGTGTTTATCTTGCCTCTCTGCGTGCAGCAAAATAATACCGGTGATCTTTTCTGGATCAAGCAGTTCTGATCATGTCATCAGCAACCCTAATTTATAGATCAGCTGGATATAATTCCTACTTGATAATAAGTCCACAACAAGTATACGTGATGTCACGCTCAATATACCGCCTTGCGCATATATCTTGGCTCTAACATGGTCAGCGGTTGCCAATATCCCACTTTGAAGCATTACACACCTTATAGGTACACTGGCTCTATCGGTGTTTATCACTTTCAATCCACGCGCCAGCGGCGACTTGCTGATTGCATAGTGCTCGGCAAGCGCTTCGCAGAGCATCAGTAATGAATTCTAGGGTAACGAAAGTAGCTTCTTCGAGGAAGTAAGTACCTTCGCCGATCCACTCATTTTCTCGGTCATCAGCTCCCACAATAAGTACTAAATTGTTTCCTGCCGCATCGTAGGTATGAAGTAGATTCGTCACGAGGCGCAGAAGCCCGAGGCCTCGGGCGAGAATAACAAGCTCATCGTCACCTCGGAGCTCGTTGAAAAGGTCTTGTTGGTATTGCTAATGAACAAAAGAAATCAGAGAACTGTCATGATGTATTATCACAAGCCTTCCATACTCACCAAGGGTAACGAAAGTTTCACAGGGGCACTCGAACGTTGAGACATGGGGACGGTCTCTGACGCGTTCTGGGATGCGGCGCATAGTCGGGGAAATGACGGATCGTCACGTGCTGAGGTGAATTGTCGTCGTGTTGGGCTTCGTGGGAGATGTAGCTCAGAAGCGGGCACTAAAGAGAATATTTACAAGATCAGTGACGGAAACATCCGTAGCAATACTGACGACATTAGTAACAGTAAGGGTAATGGGGTATTCATTGCCATTGTTGTAGGCTGCTATATAGGGTTGTGCCCTAGTTTGATAAGCTTCAGGATGACATCATTATCAGTAAATACTAACCACATGTACCAGTGGTACTTAATTACATGATGGAACAAGAAAGAGAAAAGGAAAACTCAGGTTAACGAAAGATAATTGATGTATGTAAGATACATAAATGGCCTGGTAAGTGGTTCATAGTGCCCTTGACGCATTTTCATTCAGTCATTCTTGTTTTCGTGAAGGAACGTGGTAGAGGATGGATATATCTAATATTATTCTGCCTGCCTACCAAGGAGACCCTAGAATCCTAGACGGCACGATCAAGACACCAAATATCTGACGCGAACGAAAGTGCTAGTTTTGGCTCAAAATATGCTTCTGGAGGGCAGAACGCCAAAGGCGTGTGACAGTCTTCTCCGAGGCGACGAGTTGTCGATGGAGAGAAAGCCTCACCGAAGTTGCCAAGCATGATTTTTGATCAAGTAACGTAAAGTTCTCGGCCTGTTTAAACAAGGGTATCTGCAAACCCGCATCAGTAGGAATATTGATAGGAAGAGGACGTCCATCGCGTTGGGTAATCGGCACGGTCTCCGGGTCGCCATAGTCTTTTCGTAGCTGCTCAATTGAAAGCTTGTCAAAAGCTGACGGACTTTTGACAAGAACATTGCGAAGATGAATATCTTATACATACTGCTAGGACCAAGGATACTATAACAGAGTGTGGCAACTAACCTCCATGAACGTAGTCACAAGAATGTAGGTATGCGATAGCGAGTGTCAGCCCGGCAGTCAAAGCTCGTAGGACCTTGAGAGGAAAAGAGTAGACAAGGACGCCTCTCGGAGATTACCTTGCGTGACAACAGCCATGGTGTAGCATGGATGGGTGCCGTTCGGACCTTTGCCTCAAATTCGTCGAGCGGAATTGTGATCAAATTGCGGGCCACAGACAAATTCATCCTTCTCAGCGTAGAGGGTAAGTTGGATATAGAGTTCGACGCTAGTGCTCGAAGAATATGCGTCTCCTCTAGGAGTGAACCTGGGATTCCAATTTTCACCGCAACATAACGGTCAAATTGCGTGTCTCGAGCAGGTCAGGTGGCCGATCAGCCTCCATATCCAAGTTTGACCACGATGAGTTATCGGCCGTGAAGTGTGTCCCCGATCATGACTGGGTGATAGCCCCCTACTCCGTACCTTTCGAGACATTCTGCACCATCGATCCACTTGTAGTCCGGAGAAATTGGTAATGCATTCTTTCCGCTAGAACTTATTGTGATAGCAGACGTTGAGAAGTACGCAGCGCGGTGTGATGGAGATGGTTCAGATAAAACACGTAGTGGCGACCGAGAGAGATGTGTGAGGTATGAAGATACACTCTAACACAGCCTGCTTTAGAAAAACACCGGCATGAGACATGAAGGCGAATGTGTAGTTGCAATTCGATGCTGGGATTCCACAATTATAGAGAAATTCGAAGCTAATGATGGATTTCAATTGGCTGTCTTTTTCGAACCAGACGTCGCAACAGGAGGCCATGTCTCAGAGATATCCGCAAGGTGAGGGAGGTTGTGAAACGTGTACAAGGTGCAGCAGAGGCCGTTGTCACAGCGTTAACCAAGCTCTGAACCAGGCTGTGAGAGAGCCAACTATTTTAGCGCTATCTCATACTTGTCTTTCAAATAAATATATTTACGCTCTCAGACTAGAGCATTACGTATGCCACCTCGTTTCGCACGCTACCTGATCTCGTATACTACGTCAATTCAGACTCCTTCTGATAGATGGCGAGATCCCTGTATCCCGCCACTGACTAACAGCGCGCTTCTTAGGATACTCAGCCTTTGCTGTGTGGCGATCTAAGGGAACCGGTATAAGTCGTAGTCTTGTGAGAGGTTCAAGCTTGCCTCAGCTTAAAAGTTGTGCTTGTCGCTGCACGCGCTGTCGTGCCTAGGGGAGATATCATATAAAATCAAGTCGGTTGTCAGCAGGATATCAAACAATAGGATGTGGCTTCTAAAAGGCTGTGTTTGTGCGGGCTGTGGCTCAGGCACCCCGCTAGGCCCAGAGTGGGTGAGTGCTTCTGCCTGCCAGTGACACCTTCATTCCACTTCATCGCCCTGGACCTCGCCCTGGCCTCCATCTCCTCCGCCGCTATTGTACAGTCTGCGATCCGAGATCGCTTAGCATTGCCTTGGCTGACGACCATTTACACTCTGTACCTACACGCTTGTCGGCTCCAGCTCCTGCGTCATACCCGCCAACGGCAATGTATCATCGAGATAGTTCTTAAGTGACAGCCTGCGAACGTCCTCCATCAACCCTATCACAGCCACCCGTTTCCACTGACCCCCCTGCGCTTCCACCATGCCGTCGATTTTGTCGGATGCAGATAAGGACACGGTGAAGAGAACGGTTCCTAAGCCGGGCAACAAGATTCTTGCTGTTGGTGTCGCGCGACTCTACGTTGCTCACCCGAACACCCAGAGATGGACGTATACAGGGCTCCAGGGCGCTGCCGTTCTTGCTAACGACCTAGTCGGCCACACTTTTTGGCTGAAACTCGTTGATGTCTCGGTACGTATTTGCGAATAGCTCGGTGGCTAAAAAGCGTAAGAGAACTGACGTTAGCAGCCTGCGAGCCGTGGAGTGATCTGGGATCAGGAAGTCTATGATGGGTTTCATTACAATCAGGATCGTGTCTTCTTCCACACATTCGAGCTTGAACAGTGTCCCGCTGCCCTATCCTTTGCCGATGAAAAAGAGGCAAAGACTTTCCTGAAGAAGATGCATGAGCGTGAGAAACATGCCAGCAAAGAAACCAAAGCGACACCCTTTTCATCGACTCGGGGACAAGGACCAGCTCCGGTATCAAATGGAAAATCAGGCCGTTCACTTTTCGGCAGCCTCTTGGGTCGAGGCTCATCTGCCCCAATGCCCGCCCCAATGCCCGCACCAGTCGCACCAGTCGCACCAGTCGCACCAGTCGCACCAGTCGCACCAGTCGCACCAGCTGCACCAGCTGCACCACCGCCCATGATAGCTCCCAAACAGCCATCGCCATCACCAGCCCCAGTGCTAGCCCCAACACCAACACCCCGCTCGTCGTCATTGGATCTTACAGACCCGGCGATTCAGGGAGTACTAGCAGAATTACGAGGGATGGGGATTACTGATGACCAGATTAAGGACAATGAAGACTTTATTAAATCCTACATTCAGCAACAAGCCGACAGTGCTGATGGAGCGGCAGCCTCGTCTGAAGACCAAAGAAGAGCAAAGCAACCTCCGCCACCCCCACCAACAGCACCTCCACCCCTGAAGGGAGCTGGAATCGTTCCTCAGACAATCGTTCCTCAGACAATCAGTCCTCAAAATACTGGCGGTAGTGGTGGTCGGCGTGGCCCTCCCCCGCCTCCTCCGTCGCGCCGACGAGCAGATGCATCTCCAGCCCCCCAAGAGCCTGAAGCTCCGGCTCCAGCACCTCCCCGAGAACCCTCACCACCAAGGCCTAGGTTTCGAGCACCACCGCCAATTGCCGATGCAGGCAGATTTGCCCAGCCAGTGACTGCCCCTGGTCGACCCCGTGCCTCATCTAATGTAACACCTGGACCACCTCCACCTCCACGACCACCAAAGACTCCTTTAGAGGACAACCAGGCCCCGTCACCTCCTCCTAGGGCTCATGGTGTTGCCCCTCCATTCCACGGCGACCGCAAAGTTTCCGCTCCGCCAGCACCACCAAGTCGCAGCCCAGCCCATGCTCCTCCACCACCGCCGCCTCGCGACGCCAGTCCGCAGCTCAGAAATCCGCATGGAGCAGCAGCTCCTGTTCCTCCACCGCCTCCAGCAAGAGTTCCTATTTCTCCTCCGCCTCTGCCTCCAACGAATTCACGTCCTCCGCCGCCTTCTGGTGCGGTGCCTCCACCATTCCCTCCACCATTCCCTCCACCGTCTACAGGCGCGCCATCAGCACCTCCTCCGCCCCCTCGCTCAGCAGTACCACCACCACCTCCCCCTCCTCCTCCACCTACTGCTGGTGTTCCTCCACCACCACCACCACCACCACCACCTCCTCCACCGTCTACCGGTGTTCCGCCTCCCCCTCCTCCCCCTCCAGGCGGATCAGGTCCTCCCCCTCCGCCGCCGCCGCCAGGAGGGCCAGCTCCACCTTCTCTACCATCAGGGGGTGGCGATGGGCGCGACGGCCTGCTTGCGGCCATTCGTGCATCTGGTGGTACAGGTGGTGGAGGATTGCGAAAAGTCGGGGATACTGAAAAACGTGATCGAAGTGCCGCTATGGTTCCAGGGGGGGCCAGTGATGCTTCTGCAGCACCAAGTGCTGCGCCTGCCGGTGGTCTGGCGGATGCAATACAAGGCGCATTAGCGAAACGGAAACAGAAAGTCAGCGGCAGCGGTATGTATCATGGTGGGCTTCTCTATTGACTATTTGCTAATTGATGAATAGATGACGAAAAGGAGGACGATGATGAATGGTAATGCAGATGTTCGTATATATATACCTATTTTCGAATCACCGCCAGCAGCAAAGGTAGTTAAGCCACTCATTATCGGCGTTTGGGAATTTCGGCGCATATCTATGCTTAACTATACCGTACGTAGTCGCGCTGTATGCGTTGATGGCAAACATGGACATACAATCATGTTAGATAGAACCGCGCTGCTAGCGTAGAAATCTAACGACCGAACAATCATTTGGACTACATTCGATTGTATCATCATAACAATATGTGCAGATGTGGTAATTTTAGATGTGACGGCATTGGCCCAATCGCCGGCGTTACGTTATTCCGCTTATCGGCTGTGACAAAATGCGCGATTTGCTTTGGCCTGATGTTATCGGCAACAACAAAAAACAGCCCTGGTCAAGCTGCAAGTGAAGCCCATCAGTTTTCCTTCGCAGAGTTGCTCTGTGGGCAAGCTGGAAGATGCTGGCTGCGTCTTCAATGAAGCCGAGGCCCCCCTCAGTCAACCTACTCCGGTTTCTGAGGTCCCAGTCCGATTTGGTCCTCTTTTTCACAACAAACCCGACAACAACATACAACAAGGCAAGCGTCGCAAGTGACAGGCGATGGGATCTTCACAAACTGAGAAACTCCATCTGGACCAATTTGCATCCTGCTCCATGCAAGGCACAACTCGAGGCCTCTTTGTTTTCGCCCCGAAATGGCATGAAACGCTCCAACCCTCAGGCTTCGTCGCATATACGCCCTTCGACAACGCCATTGTTGACCAAGTCTTTCAAAAATACTCCCACTCCTTCTTCTGCTACTTCCCGATACGTTTCAACGGAGAGTCGGAAATGGTGGTATCGCCTATGGCTAGCTAGGAGGGAATACTTGAAATGGAGCATGTTAAACTCGCCGCAAGTGACAACCTTCACCGATGAAGGCGCAGAAGGGAATCTCTTCAATTTGGGGCGAACACTTGCTTCGAAGTCGCTAAACGAACCTCGGTTACGTTGTACTGAGTTTGACGAAAATGGCAATGTCACGCTGGTGAATGGCGAGTTTCGCAAGAGCGAACTCATTGCCAAGGTCGGTCTACCTAAGTAAATCTAGGGGTATTTGTGCTGACTTGTCTGGTGCAGTATGGCCTTTTAACGCGCGACTTGCGGAAAATCGACTCTTCGGTTCTTCCTCACATACTTGTGCGGCCAAGTGCAATCCTCATTTCACTTCTACATCTACGCGTTTTAATCAAATCTGATCACGTTCTTGTCTTTGACGCCTACGGTTCGACTAGCTCATATACCCAGTCGGTGTTTATGTATGACTTGGAAGGGAAATTAAGACAGAAGCAGAGCCCAGGGGCCGGGGCTTTACCGTACGAACTTCGTGCGCTAGAAGCCGTTTTGATAAGCGTGACGAGTGCGTTGGAAAGTGAATTTGAAGGTGTTCGCGAACCGGTGGTACGAGTCTTGAGGGCTTTGGAGGAGGACATTGATCGCGACAAATTGAGACATCTTCTCGTATATTCGAAAAAGCTGGGTAGCTTCGAACAAAAGGCTCGCCTTGTGCGGGACGCCATTGACGATATATTGGAAGCCGACGACGATCTTGCGGCAATGTATCTAAGCGAACGGGATAAAGGAGAATTTCGAGATGAAACGGATCATCAGGAGGTAGAAATGTTGCTTGAATCCTACCATAAGGTGTGCGACGAAATTGTCCAAGCTAGTGGAAACTTGGTCACTGCCATTCGCAACACTGAGGAAGTGTATGTTCACTCTCCTTACTCTTTTCAAACCCAGCTAACATGATCGAATAGAGTCAAGGCAATTCTCGATGCCAATCGCAATTCTCTGATGCTCTTGGATTTGAAGTTTAGTATTGGAACCTTGGGACTCGCCGCAGGCACTCTCGTGTCGGCCCTGTATGGCATGAACCTGAAGAATTTCATTGAAGAATCTGACCTCGGCTTTGGGGCGGTGTCTGCGACTTGTTTCTTGTTCACGATTGTTGTCAGTTTGTACGGCATGTCAAAGCTACGCAAACTGCAGCGAGTAAGAATGTGGGGAGAAGGCATGGATTCTGCGAGTATGGGTCCGCTTGGGAACCGTGGCTTGATGCCTGGCAGTCGTGGCAACTGGCGCTCTGATGCAATAGAGCCCATGCTGGCTGGCCTCCCGGGGGAAGGGCGATCAGACCGGATGAAGAGGTTCAGAGAAGCTGTCAATTCTACATCTGCAAAACCACCTCTTCCAGCTGAAGCAGCTCGCCGTGCGGCAACCATGCGGTCGGTTCGCCAGCAATCTGCGGAGAATAAGACTAGCAATCAGGAACGGGCTGTGGGAAAGCCTGACGCAGAAACTCTAAAAACGTGACGCCAGTATCAACAAACAGCATTGTGCGTGAGGATATTTAGCGTTGGCAACTATTCAGAGAAGTATCATGGATACGGTGCCTTTGTTTTGGCTGTTCATACACCGTCTCTTCTCATTATGTAAACTAAGTCATATCCAACCGCCTAGCCCTTGGGCTAATTGACCCTGTTCAATTACCTGTACATAGAATTAGACCTCATCACTTAATAAACAGTATCATATTTTCGATCGCCGTGTCATTCCATCCCACATCTTTCTTACAGCAGCAGTATACCGCTCCTTGTCTACGCCTATATGAGCACAATGCGAGCTTCCATGGAACTCAAGTTCATCCACAGCCCACCCCATCCTTCTCGCCTCGTCCGCATGCGTACGAACATCTCTCCAATTCGTCATCTGGTCTGTCTTTGAATAGAAGTAGCATATATTCGTCGTGCCCACTAAGTCCTGGTCCAGAAATACCCGCCGCATCAACGTCTGCGAATTCTCGTCCCGTCCCACCGCGTACGATATCCAGATGGGTATCAGCACCGCGTGAGCGAGCAGCGAAATCCCAATCTTCTGCAGCTTGGAGCGTGGCTGGCCCACGACTATTGCGTTGTGTGTCTGTCTATATGTCCCGCCGTCAGGGGAACTGTCCATGATAATCCCAACAAGGGTAAGAGGTGCGTTGGTGGCTTCGCGGAGAAGAAAAAATAGCTGGGTGGCCGTTAGCCCTCCTCCATTTGAGAAGGAGTGCAGCAGAATTTTGAGCTCCTTGGTTTTCGATTCTGTCTGTCGCTCTGTTGCTGCTTCTAGATGGTCAAGGATAAATCGAACAACAGGTTTAAGAGAAGCCTGTTGTCGTGAATACGGGCTGACCAAGTGAAGAGCAGCAGTTTGAATAAGGAGGACTTGGGCTCCAGGGGCTATGCTCTTGTGTAGGTCTAGGTATCTGGCAATGTGTTGGCGTGCCGCATCAGCCCAGCTGCAGATGATTATCAATTGGCCGGGGACGAAGGATGATGGGTCGGGAGTGTACAGTGAGGCCCTGGATCCGAGGCCCGTGAGGCCTTTGAGGGCTGACATTTGGCTTGACGATGGACACGGCTAGCTACAGAGTTGTTGTGCAAGGTGTTGAGAGTTGCCATCCCATGGGGTGAGTAGAGGCAAGTTAAGTGGGTTAAATGTTTCACACTGGCGGGATGGTGGTGTTGATTACTGCCAGGTCTATTCAGGCCGCCCCTCAATGACATGTGAACGTAACATTGTAGTTGAATGGTTTCACTCATCTTGAGAGCTGCTGTGCTTTATAGATATTCTTTGTATTATTCATAAAAGCAAACAATATTCTGCACATATCGAGTTTTAGTGTGGTGTCGTTCAAAACTAGTGTCGGCTAAACTTGCAACTTTCTATCAAATTGGTTAGACTTCACATTTGTGTTGTCGACTTCTATTTTAGGTGTAAGTTTTCATACACTAGCCCACACTCGAGTACGTAGCTAACTGCTGGCAACCTTCCTGTTCATTCACCATGACCCATCCCGTTCAGCACTGCCGCATTTGACGAGGGGAGTTCTGGAAGATCGACCTTGATAGTATTGGCGGTCTTCATAGGCAATTGGCTTATTTTGTCTTCACTCAGAAAGTCGGCTGCATTCTTAAGTGCGGCCAGGACATATGCCCGCGAGAGAACTTTGGATTCGTAGGTGACTTTCCTATTCACAGATATTCACAACCAGCCGATGTATCCGTTGTGAGAAATAAGCAACCCTTTTTCTATCGCCTGTCGAATTCTGCCAAGAGACTTTCGACCGAATCCAAATATGCAGCGCACGTTAGCATAAGCACTGCGTATGATGTTTCCTCTTTTGAGTTCCTGACCTCCCACGACCCGTTTGGGTTTTGTTGACAAAGTGTCAAGAAGTTCATGTCCTCGCAGAGCCTGTGAAGGCCATTAATTGAGAGCAAATCTGATCGCCTGAACAGAGACAGAACATGCACGATTTCGCAAGATCTTACCTCCTGGGTTCTCTGAAAAGTACATAATGGAGCAAGAGCCCATAATACACGCCTATATCGATAAATTAATAGACAAAATCAATGGACGTGTTGAAGAGGAGAACTCGCAAGGTGCGAAAACTTCAACAACACTTGATGTTGTTGAATGGATCAACTACGTTGCATTTGCCATTATCGGCGATCTCACCTGGGGGTCGTCGTTTGGATGTCTCGATGGTCTCACCTATCACCTATGGATACAGACCGTGGGCCAGTTCAAAACAGCCATAGTCGTTGGTGCCACCAAGCTTTGTCTGCTTATCTACTCCTTCTTGATGGCAATTACTCCGTCATCTGCTCTGAAGGATGTGATGGAAATGTGGAAAGCCACGGACCAAAAAGTTCGCCAACGATGTCAGCCCACCGGATTTCGTATCCATCATTCTGACAGCTGGCAAGGGTTCTATAATGTCTATGAGCTAGGAGGAGATGGAGGTCAATGCCATGATGATTGTTGCTACAGATAACGAGTCTATAACAACTATTCTTGAAGGGGTTATCAATTATCTCCTTCGGAATCTAGATAAACTCAACACTCTCGTGCATGAGTTGAGAGCAACATTTCCATCAGAAGAGGGGATTACTGGCCCAGCATTGAAAAGTTTACCGTATCTAAATGCAGTGCTGGGTGAAGGCATGAGGCTCTGTCCAACGATACCAGACGCCATGCGCCAGTTAGTGCCAGATGGGGAGCGACTGTTGCTGGCCAGTCTTTACCAGCAAATACCGTGGTGTCTGTTCCTCCGTAGGCAAGCTATAGACCAGCTCGCAATTTCAATTCTCCGGAAGACTTTGTGCCTGAACGCTGGCTGACCGGTATGAAAAAACAGTCAAGACACAGTCATGATAGCAAATTCGCCTTCAATCCATTTTCACTAGGCCCGCATAACTGTCCGCGCTAGAATCTGGCCTGGTGGACTTGCCGAAGAGTCGTACATATTTCCTCTTCTTCGAAGTCTTGTGTGTGTTCCAATTATCTACATTTTCTACCCCTGAGACGGCAAATAGATCATTTGAGTCTATGGAGGCGCTCTTTTCCACAGGCAGTCCCGTCCTCATGGACGATGGAGAGAGCACATAGCATGCATAGCAATGTTCTGTCGAACATAGGTACGAGTAGGACGGCGCCACGATAGTGGAACATGATGAAAGAACTCAAAATGCTTAAAATAGTGCTACTTTGAAATATCAGTTGCGTGATTCATTATCATATTCAAAGTCGAATTGCCAATAAACCCCTTTGTTGTAACTGAAGTATCACTTTCGTCACTTGCTATAAAGAAGTGATTATTGTTTGTACAATTGGTGATCAGAGATCTTCACTTCGTATTGGAAGTTGGAAATGAATTCTTTGGAGCTCTGCGATCACAGTCTCTGCTATTAAATGTAAAAATGTATCACGTTTCATCGTATCACATATCGCTATGGAATCCCTTCCACTCCAATGAACTGCATTTGTTTTCTTGGATATCTCTGTTAATCTTTGTCATCAACCATCCGGACTTGTACCGCGTTCCATCAGAAGTAGGTGGGCGTCTTTCACCAAGGCGGTACGAGAAGGAGTAAGAGCATTGCTGCGTCAAGAACTCGTATGAATACTGCATACACCGGTGGTATTCAGCACACCCAGCCGCGCATTGTTCATAAGATTGGTAAGCCTGCTCCTGGACAGGAGTCATCTCAGATTCCGGTATTGGACGCCCGGGTTTTTCACCAGGCGGTTTGAAAACCGCATCTTCAGAAAAGTTGTACCAGTCTTCGCGGTCTTCACTGTCATGGGGTAGCTGGGGAGCCATAAAATGGTTGTAGACGTCAGAAAAGAGGATTGGTCGTGTCAGATCTTGCTGCTGTTGCTCAAGCTGCCAGAGAGCTTCCACATCAGAAGGAGTTACATGATGCAGAGAAACTAGTGGCTGGCACCAGTATCTTTCATCCTTGTGACGGCCAGGGCCAAAACGTAGTGTGCTTAACCGTTCTCCTTGGAGTATGGGCTTGTATGGAGATAATGTCACTCCTTTTTCCTGAAGGGCCTTCATGAGGACATAATCCCCGTATACCTCTTCTTTAGCTAATTTGTCATATCGTGGTGAAAATTCTGGGTCATCACCAAGAACCTTTTCCATAGCTCCTCGGGATATTATGATCCCGCTTCCTCCGTGAGCAAAGGGTTCGTTTTTATAATAGGACTGCTGCCCGAAATAGTACGGCGTTTGTGGATCGAATTGCTGCAACCACAGCATCGCATTGGCCCACAGAATATAAGTATCGCCTTCAAGAAATATATACCAATCATGGCCAGGCCGCAGATTCCAGCTCTTCTTCAGCATGTGTATAAACTTGTACCGATCCAATTTCCATGCTGGCGCTCTGTCGTGTAGCAACCGTAAGTCTTGGCCGAATCTCTGGAATTCTTGCAGTTGACGATAGTAGTCAAAATCAGAGCTTTGTTTTATATCTTCGGATACATCTTCAAGGACATCATACACGCGGTACGGGCCGAGCGTCTGGGCGAGGTCGGAGAAAATGAGGGGGTCATTGGCACATTGTAAACCCGTAAGGAGTTGAATAGGGAGTTTCTCGTAGATCAAGTTCGCGCCTGTCTTGATGATGACTGCGACATCTGGAGAACTAGGGATCGCATTGCAACGACGATCAGGTGTTGGTTGAGACTGGAGTTGGGTTGGTTTCTGGCTAGGGAGATTTGAAACCAAATGCAGCGGCTGGATCAAGCTTTCTCGGAGGTCTTTGCTGTGAAAAGAATTGACAAATAATAGAATCAGCAGAAGAAGGAAAAATGCCAGGCCGATGTTGAGAAGATGTCGAGGGGTAGAGCTGAGTAGTCGGGAAAATAGCATATCTAAGATTCATGATCCTTCAAAGGACGATATCTGGCCTTCTTTGGGGTAGGTGCGCGGCCATCGAAAAATTCGAGCTCGCAATAATACTATTTCTTCTTATTCTCCAGCGGACCAGTTTTCTAGACACTCAATGTGGTGAACCTGAGGGCATCGTGATTATCATTGACGATGATTGATTGATTGATTGATTTGTTTGTTTTGGTTGAGTCTTGGCGGGGCCTGAAATCGCTTCGTACACTAATACCAAAACGGTATAGTGTTATGTGCACGTGGTCTCGGATGATTAATGAGTGACGGAACTTTCCCTGCGCAAATAATAATCCTCACACTAACTATCAAGCATGGGCAGCTAGTCAGATAGTAAAAATAACTCTCGAGTATGGCTGACTCGCGAAACAGTCACAGCAAATAATAGTGCACATGATGATAGGCGCAGGGTGAGGCGCTATGGCTAAGCCTCGAAACGGTGACAGCGAAAAATGGGGGACGAAGTCTGAAACTGGCTTAAATCCGCGTTTAAGTTTATGCTTAGTTCTCTCCGGGGTTATCTTGCGCCGAATCATTGGCCCATCGGGTATTATAGACCCACTATAATTTCATTCTAGGGAGGCTGAACAATCTGATCTAGCAAGTCTTTTCTTAGCCTGCCTATCCCTACTGCTCAGGATTTAGTGGACCATGCCCTGTGAAGATTATGGTGCAATAATTCATTGATTGGATGCTTAGTGCTAGCAAATGGAGTGTAATAATAACCCTAGTCCTCCCGTACCCCATTTTGTGCCCTTCCTGCCTGTCCGTTTAAATAACAACCCCTTCCCTAACTGTCTGAGACCTAAATCCAGCGTCTAGCAGTACTGCCACTGCGATAAGTCATGCTGGCTCGGACACCCATTCCGGGCTTCTGGCTCCTGATTTGGGCTCTGCTATGGTCGTTCAGTCTGCAACTGGATACATTTTCCTTCGTGAACCCGCCGTCTGACCAGTCGACCATTCCAAACCCGGTCTACACAGTTGGAGACCCGATCGATATCGAATGGGTCGGACCCAATGATTTCGTTTCAGTGCGATTGGTTCATTATTTAGCAGACAAAGACTTAGACGAGTTTGTCTATGTATTCGGTATGTCTAGTGATTTTGAGAAGTAGTTCTTATTTATCTTTTCCTTGCATTACATAACTTATGATTGCTTGTCTCAGATAATGTCACCAACCTAGATGGTCACTACACCTGGATTATCGATCTGGGAAGTATGAACCTTACTGCCTCGTCAACCTTCTTCTTCAACATCTTCATCGAAGGGGAGACTTCGCCGCGGGCGTTAACCCACAACATCACCCTTACTAATACTACCACATCGATCACATCGACCATGTCTTCTGCTACAACAACCGCCACGCATACTCACCGAACCAGTGCCATCAACACGGCTGCAACCACAACGTCCCTTCCAACAAAAACAGGTGCATCGTCTTCTCCGACTGCCTCAAGTAGCGGATTAAGCGCGGGCGCTAAAGCTGGGATTGGTGTCGGTATTGCAGTCGGTGCAATTGCCCTCGTCGCAGCTGGGGCACTCCTCTGGAGACGACGCAGCGCAGGTAAGAATATGGCAGATGGTGTTGTAGCTGGCCAAGCTCCACCACAGAGCTATGAGCCGGTCAGTCAAAATACGTATTCGGAATATTACAAACCCAGAGGCGTACCTCCCGAGTTGTCAGAAGCACCAACGAGCCAGCCTCCATCCGAACTGACAGGGTCTGGGCCAGAGCGTCATGAATTGGCGGACACTTCTAGGCAATAAAAGCGTGGTTATTGACAACGAGTGGACGAGAATGAGCAATAATCAAAGTGAAGAGAATAGAAAAGCGAAAATCCTAATTGGGGCTGGCGGAGGCATTTCAATTTTTGACGTCGATTTAGTCGCGAGTATCATCGCATACGGTATGATATACCCTGCATCTGTAAATAGACCGACTTTCCATTCTTTGTTGATTATTAGTAATATACGAGTTAATAATATTTGATCAAACGTCTCATCGACAGCAGTATCAACCAGCTTCGAAGATTCAACAATTCAAATGCGCGACATCGACCTTTGTGACTTCCTTGACCGGCGATATTTCGATCAACTGTTGTCTCGGAAGTTCTGTGCCGAGCGAGAGTAAGCGGATGCTTTTAGGATTGCACGGCACACAGGTGAAGTCATCTTACGCCGCGTTGCAGTCGTAATCTAGGAGTAGGCATCGGCGATACTATATATTTTCATCAGATTCGCTGGCAGCATGTCGGAAAGAGCTAGGCTCAAAAAGGCAGTCCGACTCCGCGTGTGGAGAATGAAACTGGCCACGTGACCTGCGTGCCGACTTCCCGGACAGCTCGGCCAATGAGATGGCAAACCTTCTCCGCTGCTGCAAGAATCTACACGTAAAAAATAATTACTACGTGGGCTTTTCTGCTTTATCAGGATTCGCCTTCTAATAAAAACAGTATCATTGGCCAGCTCGGTCACCGGAATTAGCGGAGTTAGTTCTCTGTAGAGAGTCAGCGGCCATTCCGTGGTTTATGCACTCCAGTCCAAGTATAGGAATGCCGATCAATCACCAAGCGCAATGGTTATCTGAAACGCTCTATTCCGAGCGCCGACTCGCCTGCTATTGCATTTTCCAATTTCTTCTTCTTTTAAAGATACCGTTTCTCTCCGTTTAAATTTCCAGTCTTTTGTTGATGTTCAACAACTTCTCGTCAACGTGCTCACCTGGATCTCGCCTGGCGTAATGGCTGATCTTGAGAAGACCAATACCGCCACATCGAAGCAGTCTCATCGATCGCAGAGGTTGGAAGCTTCTCAGTCCGTCACTACAGCTTACTCGGCGCCTCACATTGACAACCAGTCTGCTTTTTATGTCACGTCGAACGGCGAGGATGGCGATGAAGACGGCGACAATTTAGACGGTGTTGTTCCCGCTTACACCAACCAAGACGAACCCAGCAGCAAAGGCGACCTCGAGAGTGGCAGTCAGGCTGTTGAACTACAAAAGGCTCGGACGGCTAGATCTCAGCGTTCTGAGAGAGATCCTAAATTGGTCAGTGGCGAGGCGGCCGAGGTAGTTGTTTTTAATCTCCATTTCCTAACATTTCCATAGGTTAGGTGGAAAGGTGCCAATGACCCCGAAAATCCAAAGAATTGGTCAATGAAGAAGCGATGGTCAGCTGTATTTGTTGTGTCATGCTACACGTTGATATCGCCAGTGTCTTCGTCCATGCTTGCCCCTGCCCTTGGCTCGATCGCCAAGGACCTGAAAATTCATAATGAAATTGAACTCGAGATGACTTTATCGATTTTTGTCCTTGCATATGCCATCGGGCCTCTCTTTCTCGGGCCTCTTTCTGAGATTTACGGCCGGGCTATTGTTTTACAGTTAGCGAATTTGATATATTTAGTTTTCAACATCGCATGTGGCGTGTGTCAGACCAAGGGACAGATGATTGCCTTTCGTTTCTTATCTGGTCTAGGCGGTAGTGCCCCTCTGGCGGTATGTTTCAACAATACTTGATTCGGATTTGGTCTTATCTAACAAGCACTGCAGATCGGAGGTGGTGTCATGAGTGACTGCTTTCAAGCCCATGAACGTGGGCGAGCAATGGCTATTTACAGTTTGGCGCCTCTTTTGGGACCTGCTATTGGGCCAATTGCTGGTGGTTTTATTTCTGAGAATACAACATGGAGATGGATTTTCTATGCCACCTCGATTGCCGATGGGCTCATTCAAATAGTCGGACTTTTCGCATTACAAGAAACGTATACGCCCACACTTCTGCTACGAAAAGCCAAGAAGCTGCGCAAAGAGACAAATGATCCCACCTGGCATACTGAGTTTGAAGACCCCAATCGTTCGCTCTTGAAAACCCTCAGCGTCTCATTGCGCCGACCATTCATACTATTAGCTACGCAGCCGATTGTGCAGGTTCTATCGGTATTCATGGGCTACATCTACGGGCTTATGTATCTGATGCTGGCATCCTTCCCTACCCTCTGGAACAGCCCCGACTACTACAACGAATCAGTCGGAATCGGAGGATTAAACTACATATCTCTCGGGCTAGGCTTCTTCCTTGGATCGCAAATCAGCGCACGCCTAAACGACCGAATCTATCAAAGGCTCACCAAACAAAACAACGGCGTTGGACGGCCAGAATTTCGAACTCCTCTTCTATTCGTTGGCGCGGCTTTGATCCCAACCGGCTTGTTCATCTACGCTTGGACTGCGCAGTACAAAGTCCACTGGATTGCGCCAAATATCGGGGCTGCTATATTCTGTGTTGCCGCGATTATGTCGTTTCAGTGTATCCAGGTGTATCTGGTTGATGCATATACGCGTTATGCAGCCAGCGCGCTGGCATCGGCGGTTGTGTTGCGGTCGTTGGCGGGGTTTGGGTTTCCGCTTTTCGCGCCGTACATGTTCAAAGCTCTGAATTATGGCTGGGGGAATAGTCTCATGGCCTTTATTTCGATAGGTATTGGGTTTCCGGCGCCGGTGCTCTTGTGGAAGTATGGCGAGAAACTGCGCAAGATGAGCCCTTATGCTGCTGGTTAATATGTTCGCCTACATCTGGAGGACTAAAAGTTTAATTTTTCACGATTAATGCTAGAGTATTACAGTATTACATGTAGATAATTAATCGGAGTAGGCTAATTATCAATACAATTTTAAACATGACTTCACTATGGTCACACTGTACACGATAACTTGAGAAACCCCATCTGATTGGCGGATAATTTCTAAACCCAAGTACTAGAAATATGGGGCAAGTAACTACATGTAAACAATTATTAAACGAACTACAAAATCAAAACACCCCTATAATCCCCTCACCCAAACCAACCTAACACTCATCCATCGACCAGTGTGCCTACTCAAGCATTGATGCTGATATTATACGCTCGTGATTTCAAAGAGCAGGCAAATCAGGCGTGAATTGAGACAAACATTGTCGATCCTTTTTTTTGTGGACAGCTAAGCCTTTAAGCCTTTATTTTGGCTTTGTCCCCCGCATTTTGGTGCTCCACTCGACATGTCTCCGCATTCGCATTGGTACGTAAGGAGGTATAAATACCGGGCTCACGCCACGGGCTGAAATCTTTAAAGGAGGGATAGAGTTTATTTAACTACAGGATTATTTTATAGCCTGCTATTTCTGAGCATTTAAATAGCGATTGGGACAATGAGAGCAGTGTCTGCTTCTACCCTCCTTGCAAGGCTGGTAACCCTAACCGGTGTTGTGGCGCTGGATAACGGTCTCGCTGTGACTCCTCAACTAGGATGGGTATGTCGACTTCCGCTGTATATAATTATTTCTCTTACCCTGAACCAGAACACATGGAATTCATTCGCATGCTCGCTCAACGAAACGGTCATTCTCAACGCCGCTCAGCGCATCGTCGACCTAGGCTTCAAGGACCTCGGCTACGAGTACATTGTACTGGACGACTGCTGGTCTGCGGGTCGCAATTCGTCGGGGTATTTGATCGCTAATGCGACGAAATTCCCGAGTGGGATTGATGGACTGGCGAGTAAAATACATGCGTTGGGCTTGAAGGTTGGAATTTACTCGAGTGCCGGGACCTTGACGTGTGCGCGGTATTCAGGGTCATTGGGGTATGAGGAAAAGGATGCAGAGTTGTGGGCTAGTTGGGAGGTATTTCTCCTTTTCTGACCGAAAGAAAGACATAGCCATGCTGATTTGTCAGATCGACTACTTGAAATACGACAATTGCTACAACCAAGGCGAAGAAGGCACACCGAAGCTGTCGTACGATCGATACAACGCCATGGGCCAGGCGCTCAATAAAACGGGGCGACCGATTCTCTACTCCATGTGTAACTGGGGAAGCGATGGGCCATGGAATTTCGCCTCTACCATCGCCAACTCGTGGCGCACCTCGGGCGACCTGCTGAATACCTGGGATCGGGATGACGCAAACTGTCCATGCGCGGAGCTCGACGGGCTCGATTGCAAGACGCCTGGGTTCAGGTGCTCGGTGTTGAATGTCCTCAATAAGGCGGTGTATTACGTCTCCAAGGCCTTCCCGGGGGCGTGGAATGACCTGGACATGCTGCGTATGACGCTACCCGCCATATTTGGATATGGATGAATCTAATTATGTTGTTAGAGGTCGGTAACGGGGGTCTTTCAGACCAAGAGTCAATAGCCCATTTCAGTCTCTGGGCTGCCTTCAAATCGCCACTGCTGATGACCAATGTCATGACGAAAATCGACGCGCAGACGCTGTCGATTCTGCAGAACCCGGCCGTGCTCGCCATATCGCAGGACCCCATGGGATCCAGCGTCAGTCGCATCTGGCGACACCCCGTCGCGGACGTGGACGCCAACGGGTATGGGGAGATCCAGCTGTTCAGCGGCAATCTAATGGGCGGAGATCAAGTAGTCGTGCTTCTCAACGGCGGGACACAGGCGCGCGAGATGAACGCGACGCTGGAGGACATTTTCTGGGAGAGCGGTGTGGCCGGCACGGCAAGCCAGGTGCAGCAGGCGTGGGATGTGTATGATGTGTGGGCGAATCGCATGGATAATGAGACTGCGAATGCGATTATCAACGGGACGGCGGTTCCTGCGGGGAGTCGATTCAATGCGACTGCGCGGGGAGGCGCTCCGCGAGTTTATTCGCAGCCTCCAGTGGTTGGGGATAGGTGGTTGATGGGGTCCAAGGTTGCCAGTGTGCAGCCGCGGGGTACGGTTACTGCGCGAGTGGCGGCTCATGGAGTCGCGCTGCTACGTCTGCGCGCACAGTCGTCGAAGAAGAATGAGCTGTAATTAGATGTGAGAAAGAATCATACTAACGGCTTGCTACGTCGTACGGGGTATAGTCGCGTCCGAAATTGCCTTGAACGTTCGAGATAATAGAGATTCGATTCCAAACCGACCACTAATTCCTACAAGGTTACTGTGTTATCGACTGTCTTGTTCTCAGTTTGAATGGTATAACACTAAACGTAACAATGTCCTACTTGAGCTGTATTATTACTACACTAAAAATACGCTCATATGCCTACTATAATATCATCTTGACCCATCTCGCACAGGGAACCTGTCAGCACGAAAAGAGCAGCTTCACCACGGTGGAAGCTGGGGCTTTGGGGGATAACCCTAAGCAACAAGGCTAAAAAGACCAACATTAATCACTCTCTGGTGATTAACCCCCAAACCCGCTTATATAGAACATAATGTAACCGTCAAATCACATGCCATAGATGCTTTGCAGCTTCAGGCATCAATGATCGTACACGCAGTCCAATATCTCGCCATCAGAGTCAGCCTCGGATGCAGAGTCCCTTTAGAGATAAGAGAAGTTGGTTTGATGTGGTCTTACAATAATAGTATGGCGGCAAGGAAGGATTCTGTGCGGTATTCATTGTTTTTGATTATCCTCCAGACACCCTGTCACTAGACCGCTCAAAACGGGATTTCAAGTCTCATTTGATTATCTGCTAAACTTCTCCACGAAGTTTTCCATGATTTTGTCTAATATGGGATTACCTCATGAGTTAGAGGATGGAGAGGACATGTACGACAGAAGTAACCGAATATGCATGATATTTAGTCTTCTAAGCGCACACGGAATTATTCAAGTTCAACCCTGATAGCACCCCTGTAATTGTCCTTGCGGTCCTCTCCAAAAAAGCCGATGATTATCCACTCTAGCCGTCTGATTAGGGTCATATAACCAAAGATGTTAACCCGCGAATGTACTCACCAGCCAAACTAAGCTTTGCGTCTCCAGAAATATCCAGCGTATTAAAGAAATCCATTAGCTCCTTAGCATCCTCCTTAGCCTTCTTAGCATCCTTCTTAGCACTGTCCTTATCTTCAAGTGACTCCAACGTTTTCGTCAATTCCGACAGTGAAACACTCCCTAATTATATGTTATAAGCGTAGCTTCTTCCATAGGAGTGTACTATCATCCCTCACCGTCAAAGTTTCTATCCTACAAATGAACCATGTTAGTCAGTATTTACAATTTAAAGCTCTGCTGAACGGAGATCCTAATAACCTACCGCGTAAAGGAAAAAGCCAATGAACCATTTTATATCCTCTGCAGAATAATAAACATCCTGGTAGATCTGTCAGCTGGGTGAAATGGGGAAAATTAGATGCATTAAAATTTATGCTGACCTCTGGAGTCTTTTCGCATATTTCTTCAAGGCAGGCTGCCGTTATCTTGAAATTGTTCAGCTGGCCCGAGGACAACGTTTTTAGGAATGCTCGAGTCTGTTCATCTCTCTGTTCCCGACGATTTTCAGGGTGTTTTTTCCAGCCCATTGTATCAAATAGTAAGGGATGAGTGGTAATAGAATTGAAGATGGTTAGAAGCCTTATACTATCAACTGTCCAATTCGTAACGACTGAGGGGTTGGTTCTGTCTTATATATTCCAGATCAAATGTTAAAAATGCCACACCCTCAGAAAGAGCCACGTCACATTAATGGGCACAGAAAATGGATAAAAGAACATCATCATTCTAAATGCAGAGTATATGCATATGCCGTACGATGAGTTCACACCGCTTAGAAAAATATGGATTTTATTTTTCTCCCTGTATGAAGAATCTAGATGTTCGTATATGGCTTACATTCTTCCGCATAAAAAGCGCATGCCTGTGTTGTCCGATCTCCACTTGGCAATTCGACATGTCAAACAGTATCTGACCAATCCACCATCAAGTTCCCCAGTGCAGCCCCACATGCAAAAATCAATATAGTCAAAACAACGCACATGTGATAGACCAATAGACATATGAATGGCAAATGGCAAATTCTTCCACAGTTCTCCGGTTGACTCTAGACTGTATTCTGGGGATTTGGCGATATACATCTCCGATCGAGATCGCCGATCGAGCTTTAGTCTAGCTAATAAACCGGAAGGGATATCCACGGATTGGTTATGAATGGGGGAATGCTGGTACCAAATTGGAATAAACTGCGGCTTGGAATGAGTTGCTTTTTCCAGGTCAGCTTCCGGTCTCCACGCTTCCCTCATAAATATCCAATTCCAAAATGTCTACACTGGGAAAGCTCGCAATCTCAGCTCAGATTATCCCAAGCAGATAATGCTGAAAATTATCAGTGGTAAGTGTACTGCCCCAATTAGTATAGGGATGTAGGGGTGGGGGAAAGCCATTACTGCGAAGAGCATGGCCTTGAGAGGCCAGGATTTTCAGCTCCATGGTAGAAACCATCCAGTATTTCTGCAGTAAACAATCTTTCCTACATGCAGAGTCATTCTATTTTCCATGTCACCGGACCCCTCCTTGGTACTTCATAAGTCGTAAGGGTGATCAATATCTGCCCGAGGAGTAAAGCTAGGTTATGAATCGGCTACAGATATGCATGCTGGCGAAAAATTCCCTCGCCCTAATGAGGGTGGAGTTTCTGTTGTGTAACTTTGTTGATGAGTAGTTACAACTCCATCACCCTAGTTAAACTTGTAGACAAATTGGGGCCCAACCTTTTCACTCATCTGTGCTGCATAGAGGGCAAAGTCTTATAATTTTCGACATTTCAAGCTGAGGGACCAGTGGAAGATGATGGTTTCTATAGTTAGACAGTCCCTTTCTTCCACAACAATCAATACAAGCATTCAAATATTTCATCTGTAGTTATCCTTTGCATCTTACAATTACTGCAGCGTTCCCCTTTTTGAAAAGCTTCAACACACTTGTCAGATACCACTATCACAGGCTCAAATGCACTTGCTCTTGCATATAAGAGGCATCAAGCCACTTGGGGAACAGGATGCAGATTTTTGACCTGTCCATTTTTCTATTGGGTGTGTTATACCGCATAGAAGCAACATATGTATGATATGTCAACTTTGTGTCGGGATCACCATCAGCGCTAAAACCGTCTCATAATTCTATTTCTTGCACAACAGCAGGAAGAAGTCTGTGACATATTCATTTATTATGCAGATCGCACTGAAAGCAGAAGAAATCATATGACTTAGAAAGTAAGCGACTATGGCTGTCTGTGTGTGACGTGAATTGACACATAGCACCTATGTGCAACGTACCACCTGCACAGCCCATTCAACCCCCACCTGCCAGCAGCGTAGATGGGACTGTCAGAGATATAAAGATAGCGAAACTACTGTGCTAAGAGTTTTCTATCTCCGCATATCTCCCCCTTCTATTCATTTCAGCTCTAACAGCCTAGCTACTGCTATCATCAAGTTTTTGGAAATAACTGTAACGAACACACACTGAACAATATGTCTGCCGAGCGTTTTGGCGAATTCAACGGGATCAATGGTCAGACTGCTAGTGAAGCTGCACAGGCCAGGACCGATGCAAGAGAGGCCGAAATTCGCAGGCCGGCTATGAAGATCGACGTTATAAGTGATGAAGAATGGGACAGACGTGTCAACGCGGCGGAAAAGAGGAGGAAGGATAGGGAGAGAGCAGAAGAAGACGAGAAAGCTCGAAAGAGAGCGTATGAAGATCGGATGAAGTTAATTGAGGAGCAGGTCAAAGCATTCGAAAGTCGGCTGAATCGAGATATCGATCGAGACAGGAGACACCGGCAGTGGTACGAGGACTTCTTTAATCGATACCACGAGCCAGACAATGAGGGCGAATTCTCCGCCGAGACATGGAAAAAAACATACCAGAGAGTGGCATGCTTTCTAGCAAAGCTCGATGGCGCTTATAATTGGAGCGAGAGTGACGACAAAAGCGACCTATATATGAGACTAGGCACTCCGGAGAACCGTACATCAAGGCAGGAAATCGGGCATATTCACAATTTGGCAACCAAAAAGCATAATGGGAAGAAGGTAAGGTCTTTTTCTATTATAAATTAGGCGCTAAGTGTTAATTCTTATGCTTACTTTTTATATACTAGTTACCATTTTCCCAAATTTTGGTAAATGCCTTGGAAGACAGAGTAAAACACATCGCGCCGTTCATCCCTCTGAGTAAAAAAATCACTCATCCGGCTGACGAGGATATCAATCACGCTCTTGGTGCAGTCATCCACCTAGTGGATGATAATAATCCTAAGGATCTCGCGGCGTGGAAAGCGTTGATGATAAGTGGCCTTGACTGCAAAAAGCACCCAAAACCACCGAACATGCACTGGAAATTGGAAGAGACCCTCAACCAGAAGATTGATTCTATGGATGAGGCCAAGCTACTTAAGAAGATGATCAGTGATCCTGAATTTCTTCCAGACTACGCTTCACTTTGTGCTAGAACAGAGTTGCTCAACGCCATCATTGGCTCAGAATCAATAAGGATATTGTTGGAGGATGAGGCTGATCTCGAATAAATCAACCAAGTGTGTCTCGGGTCAATTCTCCAAGTGCAATATCAAATAAATTGTGGTTTGTGATGTGCTGAGTTGTCAATAGCACCTAAGTCTCCAGAAGTTATGAATAAAAGTTGGGTTACGGGATCGATGCCCAATCTCCTAAATTCATCCAACGATACTTCATCTTTTACCGCCGTAGCCCCGCATCATCTTGGCTGACTGTCTCATGAGGCTGATTTCAAGCATGGCAAAACTAGCTCTCTCCTCATACCGTACTCCATAACTGAAGTGTGTTTCCTTCGATAATATTCTCTTAGGAAGTATGTACGACATTGGCTTGAACGATAAAAGAATAGCATCATGATGTCCTCCCCCACGCTGAAAGAGTGCCAAATTGGCTGAAGCATAGTGACAAGCAGGAATGGTTTGCACCGTTGAGGCCTACCTATTCTTCCTGAGTCTTACGAATGCTCTGGCCCTCAATAGGAAGAAAAAATGTACGAAGTTTACATAGCCAAATCGACAACCGCGATATTGTTTGATCAGTTTGCGCCGTCACTTCCAGAAATCTTTGTATACTTTTATACCAGTATTATATTAATATTACGGATTTGGTACATTTACAGGGGCATGTGCCATTTCAAAGACTATCCGCATTTAGTTTAGAGTAATCATATGATTAGGGTTTGAAAACAGCTCTCTATACCTATGACATTCAAGGCAATTTCGGGCGTGACTGTAGCAGTAGTATGGGGTGTTTAAAAATAAGAAAGTTACACTAGTAGATCCTTCGAAAACTTAATTGTGAGAGTGTCGCATTTCGCTCCTTGGCACCGTGGAGTGCTGCCCCACGATGAAACGCTGAGAAAGGGGCAGTCTGTCCATGTTGAGAGGCGGTAGGATTTATTAGTTATTAGTTTCTGTTACTGGAAAAGGATCTTTACCAGGTCGGGGGACTGGATCATGACGTATAATTAGTCAGCTTGTATTAATTTTACATATACCGTCACGACATTAAGCAACTTGTAAGCAAACATCCCGGCCATACATGACCACACCATCCAGAAGGGTATATGGATTAGTGTCTGTATCTCAACACCATACGCAAGTAGTATATTGTCAAACTATGTTATCAAAGAAACAAATTTCGCGGCTCGCAGTCCGCAAGTCCGACTAGTAAAGCAAGTTTAGACCTGCTTGACCTCATCATGCTCAGCAGTGACCAATCCCTTTTCGGTGGCGAAAGTGGTGGTTGGGCGCCACTTGGCAGAAGTACGAGGAGTAGTCTCTTCCATCATCTTGTCAACCTGTTCAAGAGACAGACCCTTGGTCTCGGGTACTAAGAAGTAGGAGTACAAGAAGCAGGCAGTGCAAGTACCGCCCCAGACGAAGAACACGGCGGATTTCATGTTAGCATCCTTGGGCTCGGTACCGACCATGTATGGAGTGATGACAGAAATGATGGTGTTCCACAGCCAGTTGGAGGCAGTAGACAGAGCGACACCGCGAGAACGGATGGGGATCGGGAAGATTTCACCAATCAGAATCCAGGCTCCAGGACCCCAGGTGGAGGCAAAGAAGAAAATGTAGATGGCAATGAAGGCGACCTGGGCATTGACGGCGGGAATGCTGTTGGCAATGGTGTTTCCAGCTGCATCAGTGTGGGTCTTGTTAAAGCCAACAGTAACACCGATAATGGCGACGATGAACTGGCAGATCAACATGCCAAAAGCGCCATAGATCAACAGAGGACGGCGACCGAACTTCTCCACGGTATAGAAGGAGATCGGAGTGGAGCAAACATTGACGAGGGTGAAGATCAGGGAAATCAAAAAGGTGTTGCTGATGGCACCGGTGGACTGCAAGAAGGTGGTGGAAAAGTAGAAGATGAAGTTCACACCAGTCCACTGTTGCATCATCTGCAGGGAGGTACCAAGGATAGTACGACGAAGGTTGGACTTCTGAACCCAGAGACCACCAGTGAAGCAGTTCATCCAGCTTCCGAGCCAGCCAGCATCAGGGATAATGTGACGCTCATACTCCTCGTTGGCAATGATCTCAGCCAGCTCGGCCTCGATGTACTCGGAGTCACGGGGTTGGTTACGGACGCGGCACAAGGCAGCAATGGCATCATCGATGCGGCCCTTCTTGACATAGTAACGAGGCGAGTCGGGAAGGAAGATCAGACCAATACCCAAGATCAGGGCCCAGATGAACTGGATGGCAATGGGAATGCGGTACGAACCAGTGTCTGGGCGGTTCTCGGTGGCGTAAACGACACAGGAAGCCAGCAACAGACCAATGGTGACGCAGAACTGATAGCAGGCGACGAGGGCGCCACGCACTGACTTGGGGCACTATTTGGCCAGCGGTTAGGAGTAGCTCCAAGCAAGCATGAGCAATTCCAGGTGGAGGGAACTTACAATTTCACTCATGTACAGAATGACAATTGCGGACTCGAAACCGACGCCGATTCCAGCAATGAGACGGCCAGCGACAATAAAACCCAAGGCGCTACCGCCCACACCAGTGAGCATTTGGATGATGACACCAAAACCGTAGACACAGCAACCAACGATGACGGTCCATTTACGGCCAATGGTCTCGGCGACATCGCCGGCAATCAAAGCACCGAAGAAAGTACCAGCAGACAGAATAGAGACGATGAGAGACGAGTGGGCGTCGGTCAGAGCAGGCTTGGCGGGGTTGTTGTCGGGGTCAATCATGTTGATGAAGACCTTGGAGCCATTGACACCGTTGATGTATCCAGAGTCGTAACCGAAGTAGATACCACCAAAGGAGGCGAAGGCGCAGAGCAGGTAGGCGCGCCAGGTGACTGGGGCCTCGATGCGGTTGACATCGGCAGTTGCGTGCAGAGTCATGATGGGCAACTGACAAGAACGAAGCCTTGATAATGGCAGGCAGAGAGGGAAGAGGAATGAGGATAAACAAGACAGAGGGGAAGAAAAGAAAAGAGCGTGTCTGGGGGCGGGCGACAGGGCAGTAAATATAGTCGCGGGCAGGAGGTTGCACGAGCGGGCTGGGGGAAGGCCGAAACAAGACGGCAGGAGCAGCCCAGGGAACAGAGGGGGAGGGAAAAAAAAAAGACGCCAGGTCCCCGCGCCGTCCCCAGGAAGGAGCTTGCTGTCCGAGAGCGTCCCCGCCCGTGCCACATGCGCATGGCTGGCAGGCTGGCTCCAGCTGGAGGCGGCGTTCTGGGGGAAGGACCATGTTTCCCTTCGCGGCAAGCCTGAGGCCTCTGGTCTTCCCAAAAACGGACGCTGGTACAGCCGTAAAGAACGGTATGGCCGGTATCAATACCTTCTTGGCGCCACCGCCGCCGCTGAGTGGCTGGGACGTCCGTTCTAGCTCCACCGCTAATTAATTATTAGTCGGAAAGTCAAAAGTAAATAAAACCTCGACGCTGGCTGGCCGGGGTGTGGCAAACATTGTTCTCGCGAAGAACCACGCAAAATACACAAGGAGAGTGTGCTGCGCTTCGAAAAGCGCCGGCGTGGTCGATCTGCCATGTGCCAACGTCTCCTGGCCGATGCTACGCCTTCCAGGCACGCCAGGAGGAGTAAAAGTCAGGACAAGCCAATGTCGATCAGGGTCGGCCTATTCCCAGCGAGAATTTTGCCTGGCGCCAGGTGCCACCAGGCCGCAACAGGAATAGCCCGGGCGCTAGCGTGAAACGGGGTACAAGTATTTCGCCGCTCCCGGTACAAACATTATTATGTCGGATCTAAACAGAACATGCATAGTACTAGCAGTAGTCCTGGATGAGAGAATAGCCAGTACAAGAGACTAGAGTAGTCTCAGAGTCATCGTCGCGCTAAACCCAAGGGCCCGCCGAGTTGATTACTAGATGATGGGGTAATCGATGATGAAGCGATGCTGCACCGAGTGCTCGGTCCTTTCCAAGCCAGGTGGGCCAGTCAGGCGCACATGGCCGATTAGTCTCAGTTGTCACTTGTGCCTAGTAGTTATATACGAACTATAGACCACGAAGAAAGAGCTCTACACAGTGCACGCTACCACTGGAAACTGGGCAATTCTGTCCGATCCATGGCAATAGTAGGCGTGGATCCAGCCAGAGATATTTAGCGCCGGCGAATAATCGGTTGTGTGTATTTAATATGGAATATTATAACAATATTGTTCTCGACGGAGATTTAGATCTGATCTGGGCTCGCTGGTTGGCGGAGGCGATTCGGTTTCACAGGTTGGGTTTGGTTTTACTTATGCGCTAGTCCGAGCTGGACTAGCGGATCTCATCAACAATACGATTGGCTACACGTAATAAACATAAGAACGGCCTAGTCTCGCTCTAATTCACAAAATAAACAGCGAGTCAATGACACATGAGAGCATTACAGTAGACTTCTCTACGACACGCGAGTGTGGCTGAGACAGGGCTACAGGGCTCGTTTGGGAAAATGGTATTACAGTAAATAATGTCTTTGACTCGTTAGTTTGGAATCATGAGCAGCTTTGGCGGTGGTCTGGGCGTCATGCAGTGGATTACCATCGCTCGTTGACGAATGTAACGGTGGCACCCATTATTACGGCCAGACCTGCTGAGTCCAGTGAGTGAGTCGTGTTTAGCGATACCAACCAGCCAGTCAGCCTCTCGGTGCTCTCCAGGTTTCTCATCCCCAGACAGGACACTCCAGGTTCGCATGGCGCTTGCCTCTTCATAGCGTCCGGTCAACAGCCAGACAGGCGAACCGGGGAAACTGAGATGCGCCATTTGAGCGGGCTCCACAAGCCGAGAGTGCTTGTATTACTGTTGTTTGGCCGACTGAGAGTGAAAAGGCCGTCCCGAGAACCCCACTTGGTCACGCTAGTTTGATTGCGAGCAACCAAAGTTGTGCGCTCGGATTGTTCAGTATGATATTAGTTATCAGTTAATTAATATTGATCCTGTATTGTAGCACTGATCGAAACAGCGCCATGCTCATGTTTCTTGCCGCAAGCGTCGCAGCATGCCGGAGAGTATTTTTATTTCCATGGGGAAGAATGTTTTACGCACTGCTTTATTTTTGGTTCCTGTTGGACACGTGAGGAACACAGCGTGGCTGTGGGGCCGGCGACGGTTTCCCGAAGCGTCGCCTGAGCCGATGCAAGTCACATGACCAGATTCTGCTGATTGCTCATCTCCTTGCGGAGACTCCGTACCGATGCATACGCAGTGAGCTAGCGTGTTTTCGGCAAGTCATCAGATTGTTGCGCTCTCGGAGGGCTGGCAGCTGCCGGGTAAGAGCATCGGTCCGAGCATGCCTATATTCTGCTGGATTCATCCTTCTGCGATTCTCGCTTCGGTCCGATCTAACAGCTAACTTAACTAGTGAAAAGACTAATATATATTAGTATTATGTTTATTATCACCAGATTTTTGCCTCTGCTAACACTTGTATAGCCAACGGAAAGAAAAAAAAAAAAAACCGAAACTACGGCGGGTCGGCGGCAAAAGATTCACGCGTGACTCCTCAGAGTCTACATTGTCCAGCCATCCCCGCATTCGAGCAAAAAAATGTTTGTGGTTGTTTGCTCGGAGACAGCCGATTACCAATGCATGGCCAGAATTACTAACATTTGTAAGACTAGTACGGCGATGTTTTTGTTTGTTTGACAAATGCACTGGCCCCTTGTTCCTCCTCTATCTTCACGGCTATTAATATCGCGGACCATCATATTGGCGCGGAGGAATATAGTGGTAGTCAGCAGACTCGATCACACCCACTATTTGCATAAACTTGGTAGTTTATATTTCTAAAATAGCTGCATGAATATATTGATGTTTGTGAAACATTTATTGCCCTTGATCGGACAAAGAAAAACACCCGTGCGAGGTACTGTTTCGTCGACATGTCCTATCGAGAAAAGTCCAATATCCAATCTAAATATACCCAAGAGACTGTACATGATACAATCAGTCCATTCATATAAGCATGTAATGTCTGTCTGGATATGTATGTAGTATATGTATAATGAAGTTATGTGGAGTGCCGATGAGGTCATCATTGGCGGTGGGGTACGATTTCGCGGGGAAGCTGCAGACCAAACAACAAACAACACAGCAATGAATGCTTTTGTATGCAACACACACTCAACATATGCATATACGCATAATCAATCATCAACCCAATGCAAACTTTGAAGCAGCCGCAGCCGAGCAAATCCTATCTAGTTCCTCGCCTATGCTTAAGCCGTCGACAATGCGCTGAGCTCCTCGAACATGCCGCCCTCGCTCAATGGCCTCCCCAATGAGATCCTCTACCTAATACTTGACCACCTCTCCTGCACGCCACCACCATCGTTCACCCGCATCCACGCACCCCCGAGTCTCGACATAACTCGCTCCGCCGTATGCGACCTGAAAAGCTTTGCGCGCACCTCATTTCGCTTCGCTGAGCTCATGAGACCTCTTCTCTTCGCCCACAGCTGCTGTGATGTCACTCAAGTCGAACAATTCCTATCATTTATCAATAAGTTTGAGCTCCAACGATACGTCTCTTCCATCGTCGTCACCGCACGCGCCTCCGATGGCGAAGACCTAGGAGACGATGCGTCGTGGTGGTGTCGGCTTCTAACTGAACTTAACCCGCTGCGACTCACGTTTCTAGCTGCGCCAACAATCATCGGCCAGGCAACAGCAACACAAATAACCGACGGACACAGCTGGGCCTTTGACATTCCATACCAAATCCTACACTTGGAGCAAGATCCAAACCCACGTCACCAGCCAAAACCTACCCTTGACGGCACCTGCCCGAGCCTGCTGCACGCAAGAAGTTGGACTTCGATTTGCTTCAACGAAGCCTCCTCGCTGAAAGCATACCACCACTATGAATACTATCACCACCGCGTGCCATCCATTTTCGAGACGTGGGGGAACCCCAACAATACGCCATCACACATATACATCCCCATCACGCATATCCACGACCCACACAAACGCCACTTGCATCGCGCGTTTGAAAACGTCACGCATTTCCGCTACACTGCTGTCTTTCCTTTCTACAACCACATCCGCGTCGTCCTCGACGTCATGCGCGCGCTAATGCCGAACCTACAGTCGCTTACCGTCCAGCTAGCGCCGGATCGGAATAATCGCGTGATTGAGAATGAGCAGCGCGGCTCGTTGGACCCGAATGATCCGTGGATGGAGGTTGCGCAGAGCTACTCTTTCATCGCGCATATGGTGCGGGATCTGGCAGCCTCTGGAGGAAACTTGGTGCGTTTTCAGGCCTGTGATTTTGATATCGAGGCGCTGAGGGCGAATGTGTCGGCGATTGTGGAGGAAGTGCTCCCATGGACGGAGTGGAGGCATGATGGTCGGGGTATATGGACTGTAATAAAAACAGACGAGAACAAAGGTCAGCTTCAGCCTGGGAATGACCTGAGCATCTAACGCATAGTGTACATTTCGCTCCCTCCAATGTGTCAAAGGGTTGTTATGGTTATGAAATGTGATACATGCATTGACAGAATAGAATTCATAAATCGGCTACGTAAGTTACATCACGGTAATTTGCAAATTAATCACAGCTTTCGAGCCACTTATTCCGCACTTTACAGATCCCGACTCCCAAACGCCACGTCATATCCAGAATGCCCGAGGTATATTCATCCAGCGTAAACAATACGACAAAACAAAGAAGTAAACGAGCATGACAAGTGTGGTTACGCCCGGCCCTTTATTCATCGTCTATTGGCGCGTGGATCTCGCGATGCGTATATGGCTTCGATACAGGGATACCAGCCTTACGCCGCGACTGGGGTTTTGGTCGGGCCAGTGTGTACCTAAGAAATAGTGTTAGCATGATGAATATACCATTGTCAGGTAAAGGTATGCTTACTTGGCAAATGCTCTTGACAGAGATTTCTTCGCGCTGGTTTTCTGACTGCCGATGAACGATTCTACCGTTACGGCAATGGCCCTGTCGATATCTTGCGCTGAGCAAAAATCGGACAGCCGCATTTTGCAGAAAGCTTCTGCAATACGCATAATGGCTTCCAGGTGACGCACCTGCAGGAGAAAATTAGTAGTTACTCATATAAATGATGGGTAGCGCCTTACAGTAATTGGATAAGCTCCAGTTATCAGCGACTCTCGTCTCATGTCGGCGAAGAGTCTGGCAACCTTGTCCTGATCAATCTGGTACAGTTTCGGATTGCATCTCTCGCGAGCGTAGAGGATATATTTCCGCAGTAATTCTTGCGGAATTTCTCCTTCTTTCTCTTCCTCTGATTTACGCTTCGCTTGTTCTCGAGCTCTCACCTCTTCTGGTTGGAGAGGAAGGCGTACTCCGTCCTTGTTAATACGATAGCCCTCATCGTCAATTAGCTCTCCGTTCTTGTCGATGAGCCTGCCCTTGTTATCTTTGAATGGTTTTGGAGGGTTGGCTCGGGAATGCGATTCAACAACGAAAGTGGCAAGTCGCTCGTCTTCCTCTGGTTGAACAGTGTCGCGCACCACGCATAGAATATCAAAACGAGAAAGAATAGGTTCTGTGAGATTAACATTGTCCGAAAACGGGATTGCGCCATTGTATCGGCCACCGATCGGATTGGCGGCAGCAATGACGGCACACCGAGCTTGAAGCGTGGTAACAATACCGGCTTTGGAGATGGAGATAGTCTGCTGCTCCATCGCCTCGTGGATCGATGTGCGGTCCTGATCGTTCATCTTATCGAATTCATCGATTAAGCAGGTGCCCCGGTCAGCAAGCACTAATGCACCACCTTCCAAGGTCCATTCACTAGTCAAGGGGTCACGTCTGACGCTGGCTGTAAGACCGACTGCACTAGCACCTTGGCCAGTTGCGAAGACTGCCCGATGGGCACTCTTCTCAACGTACTTCAAGATTTGTGATTTTGCAGTTCCAGGGTCACCGAGTACGAGGACATTGATGTCACCACGGATAGACATTTTCCCTTGTGCCACTTTTCTGACTCCGCCAAATAATGAAAGGGCAACGGCAGTCTTGATGTCCTCATGTCCATAGATACTTGGAGCAATAGAGCGGATGATTTTGTCAACAATATCAGGCTCTTTGGAAAGGGTGCGGATTTGATCAATATCTTCTTCAGTCAAATGGAACCCTGCCATCTGGTCGTGAGACTTGACGACATGATTAGCCTCTAGAATGGTAGCGAAAACGGGGAAGCCATTCTTGTTGTTGAGCTGAGCGTCGTAACTGTTACGGTAAATGCCAGTAACCTCAACTTCGTCACCAGGCTTTGCGGTATCGATGAGATCTGCAAGTAAAATGACTTCACGTTGGCGGGGAAGACGTCCAGCAGGGACAGAGCCAGGTGATTCCTGCAAAGTAAGTTTCTGATAGTTGCGATACACTGTCTTTTCGGAATTCATGGTGAATGGGCCCCTTGATTGACAGTTTTGGCAAAATGAGATTTTAACCTCCTGGGCTGCCTCTTGTTGGAAAGGTCCTAGTGTGATGTCACACTTGTTGCATTTGAACATGACAAATTTTAACTGTGGAAAGACGCCGGTCCGCCTTGTGACAACACCATTGACACGAACCAGGCAGTTGAGGTGAGATTGGCGCAGCTCTCGTAGCGAGTATACGAGCGGTAGATCTGTGATTCTCACATGAATCTCATTGTGGATGTCGGCAAAATGGGGGTAATGATAGAGTGTAGTCTCTAGGGCAGCTTGGTCAAATATTTTCAAGACCTCTGTGGGTTCATTGGCAACGAAGTAACCCAAGACTGCTTTGGATGCCACGAGATGTTCATAAGAAACCTCCAGAGATGCAGAATTGACTTCACCGAGAGTCTTAATTCTTTCTCCGTATACAGACCGTCCAGAAGCATCTGTGAATTCGGTCATGAAAGCCTTGAACTCGCGACCAATAGTACGCATGACTTGTGGCTGAATAACCCACTCAGTCAAGTTGGACGCCTTTGAATCAGCCAATTCCTCAAGCGTCAGCTCCTCATCCATAATGTCGTCTTGAATGTCCACATCATCGTGGTTCTCATCGTAATGATGTCTTCTACGACGCACTTGGCGGCTGAGATCCATGTTCACATCTTCATCGTCGTCCTGGAGGAAAGCAGCTGGCATGCGTCGACGACGAGCTAGCTCACGATCCCGATGATCCAGGCGGGCTTCTAGTTGTCGGCGAGTGGCAACATCGAGTTCTTCTTGGTCTTCATCATCGATGTACTTGCCTCGGTACTGCTGTGTCTGGTTTTGTCTGTAGTCTCTTTCAAAGTTATCGCCAAAAAGATCAATTCCGTCTTCATCCTCGGCCATTTCCTCAATATCGTCAATGTCTCCCATAATCTCCTCGTCTTCATCACGGTCAAGTTCGTCGTCGAATGGGAGCATGGGAGGAGAGGAAGGAGGGGCTGTTAAGCATCAGTACTCGAGGCAGGGCGGTCATCAGGGGAGAACGAGAAAACTCACGACTGGACGGAGGAGCCACCGATGAAGTCTCATCATCAGGCTCTCTGTCTCTCTTGCGACGGTTCAAATTGCCCAAGCCGCGATTGGCTGCAGATGTGCTGGGCCTCAAAGGCGAACTGGATTGTGGGTTAATATTCGCATGTTTAGAGGTATCTTCTTCTTCTGTCTTTCTCACCTCATTGTAACGTTGCAGTACGGGTCTGCTCAAATATTTCCAAGGATGAATGATCATGTATTGGAAAATAGCACTGAGGATGAATGTAGCGATGTCCAAGAATTAGTGTGCACTTGGGCAGGGAGGTGCAGCGCTGGGGCGTGGGGCAACGCGTTGGACGCGACACCGCGTAAAGTGAAGTTTGCACAGCCAATGACCGACAAGCGTGGGAAGGCTCCACATGGCCCAAATAGGCGGTCGCGTCACAAGCTTGCTGATAGCCTGATATGCACACTGTGTCTCTTGTCGTATTTCATCAGACAATAATCTGCATCCATCATCGGTGAAATCACATATTCCAGATTCTTATCGCCATGAACTCACCAGGAAACCCCAGCCGGCCCACCGAACCAGAGGCTCAGCTCAGCAGCCGTCGTCGAGAGAGCTTCGTCTCCCAAGATTCACAGACCGCTAAAGAGTTTGCAGCCCATCGAGTCCAAGGTTCAATGAGAATTCGTGTGAGCTAATATCATTTCTAGGTACATCGACTCCCAGTTACAGCTCGAAGCTGATGCTCGTGAAGTTTTGCCTTATGTGAGTAGTCGACTTAAGTCTACAGATCAGAAGAGAAAGTCGCTAACAGAACCAGTCTTTCGACTCTTGTACCCAGGAATTAGGCCCGTTGCGACAAACCCTCTTCGCGTGTTTGACCTGCAACCCCCCGCCTTCAAATAGCGATGATCCTTACACATCCGCGGCTGTCTGTTACTCGTGTTCAATTTCATGCCATGGCGAGCATACCCTAGTAGAACTTTTTACGAAAAGAAATTTTATATGTGACTGTGGCACAACTCGGTTTCCAGAAGCGTCAACATGTTCACTTCGAATGAACCCTACAACTAGGACGAAAGGCGTCCATTCTCAAAAGCCAGCGGAAGGGAACAAGTACAACCACAATTTTCGCAATCGGTTCTGCGGATGTGAAGAAGAGTATGACCCGCATAAAGAGAAAGGGACAATGTTTCAGTGCCTTGGCTTAGGGAGCGTCGATACGGGTGGATGTGGAGAGGACTGGTGGCATCCGGAATGTCTTCTTGGTCTTCCTCGCGGATGGCAAAATGCAGCCAAGGAACAAGAAAAACCGAAAGCCGAAGAGGGGACCGATGGGACAGAGGAGAATAAAGTTGGAGAAGACGAGGAGGAGACACCTTTGCCTCCAGGATTCCCTGATGAAGATGACTTCGACACGTTTATTTGTTACAAGTGCCTAGATTCTAATCCCTGGTTGAAACGGTACGCCGGCACGAAGGGATTTTTACCTCCAGTCTACAGGGGTGACCGCACAGAGCAACCGGATTCGAAATCCGCTGAGAGTAATCAAAATGCGAATGACCTTACACAATCTCGAAAACGCAAGGCGAAAGACGAAGAAAGTGAACAAGATCACGACGCCAAGCGCTCCAAAGGAGATGACTTGAATAAGTTGGAAACAATTCAAGAAGACGCTCGAAGCTCCGAATCGGTCAAGCATAAACACGAATCTCTTCCTGAGGCCCCTGTCGGTACACTGTCCCTGTTCTTAAAAGAAGATTTTCGTGAACAACTGTGTCAATGCCAAGACTGCTTCCACAACCTCGTTCCTCACCCACAGCTTCGAGAGGAAGAGGAGCCATATGAACCGCCATTGTCTGAGGATGGGGACGAGGCGAATGGCGGAGGCAGTCAAGGCACTGGAAGCCTTCTAGACCGTGGAGAAGCAGCTCTCAGTAACATCGATCGAGTGAGAGCCATTGAGGGCGCTATGGTTTACAATCACTTGCGGGACAAGGTGAAAGCCTTTTTGAAACCATTCGCCGAAAGTGGGCAGGCCGTCGGTGCAGACGATATCAAATCCTATTTTGAAAAGCTGCGAGGAGATGACCTAGCTATCAAGGAAGCTGGGGGCCAAGCCTCTGCTTTTAGTAATAGCGAACATGACGATGATAACGGAGAAAACGGTGGCAACCGAAAGGAACAAAGCGGTATGACAACATACATTCTGAATTTCTAGAAACTTAAAGGGCTAATAATTTACTCAGGATATTAATTACTCATACTCGAGATATTCAGGGATGGGACAGAATAGGATGTGACGATGGGACGATGGGACTCCGGATTGGCGTTAAGGGACGAGCGGTAAGGGTTTGGAAATATAGTAAAGATCACGGCATATGTTTTAACGCCAAGTCAAATCGACCTGATATAAAAGACACTTGGAGAATCGATCAGACCATGCAATTCACATTTAAGACCATCGATTAATGCTGCTACGTATTGGCTGATGATCATTGGGGAACCAGCATATTCCGTATTTGAGACAGATATGTAATAATATGTGGTAATGACAGCACCTAGCACATGTCTAGTAAATGAGCGTGTACGTTCAACACGACATCTGGAAGGTTAGCCACTCTAAAAACCCAACGATCAGCCTCGGTGACTATGTTGGCGAGTAACCCGCAGCCAACCAACACGACAAGGGTTCTTGCGTCGTATCCGCGAATTGGAGACTACATTCGTACTCAATCCTAAGAGCAGACCCGTTAGTTTCATGCACCCTGTATTCGCCCCGGGTCTTTGTCATTTGATTTACCATGATCGGTGTTACTAGTCTGGAGAATTGTACTATACTCCAACATAGATGACAAAGGGAAATACAATTTAAATATATGGTTTTCCAAGTATTCAATCCTTGACCTCGCCCTCGTTCTGAAACATCGCCGAATTGAAAAAAATTACTTCTTAGGACCGTATACTCTAGACATAATGTCTCAATCCCAAGCATTCGTTCTCGTTGGGGGGGTCTCGCATACCGCGGCATTTTTCGAAGTTCTTATTAAGGAATTAGAACATCATGGCCACCAATCTCATGCTGTCAGCTACCCCACCGTTGGTTGTGACACTGCCGGTACAACACAGCAAGATGAAGTGAAAGCAATTCAGGATGCTATCGCCCATTTTGTGGACGATGAACAGAAGGACGTTATCCTGGTTATGCATTCATATGGTGGATGGCCCGGTAGCAGAGCTGTAAAGGGATTTGATAAGGAGACTAGAATTAAGGAGGGGAAACAGCATGGTATTATTGAGCTCGTTTTTCTGGCTGCATTTTTGCTCCCTGATAACGCCCCGATGGCTCAGTTCTCATATTTACCACACTGGTTGACCAATGAGGTAAGAATGAGAAAGTGTTGTTTTCTTGCATAAATCTGACTATAAAACGAGAACGGTGAGCGCATTCCCAATAAACATTCGATCCCACTCCTGTTCAGCGATCTAGACCCGATTGCTCAACAGCATTGGTTCTCCAGATTTGAGCCTCAGCGTAATGATTTCACTGCCGAAACCGTTCCCGATGCTCCCTGGCATTTGTCGGTGCCGAAAACCTATATCATCACTACTGGCGATAAAACAGCTACTATCCAGTTTCAACTGACCATGCTGCAAGCAGTGATGGATGATACTTGGTCAATTAAGACCATAAAAGCAGGCCATGAGCCGTTCCTAAGCCAGCCAGTGAATTTGGCCAAGGTCTTGCTACAGCCGACATATTAATCACGGGTGGCAACTGCGTCTATTCAAATAGGTGATAAAGTTAGCTTAATTTGTTATTCATCAAGTTATTTGAAGATACTAGTCAGAAACCTGAGGAAATAAGATAGCATTTGAAGTTTAAATTCACCAGGTAGACCTTATCAGCAGACATTCATAGCTGCTATCGTTTGGAGCTAAATACTGATCCTCATTCTTCATTGACCTAGACCACGACTGTCACGATCTATGGGATTCACAATGGCACTTGAGTGGGTCCATTCTGTGTTATAGGTAGATGATCTATGTATACCTTCGGCTATATATTAGAACCCTATCAATTGATGTCTCTTAGGTACCACTAGAACATAATTCCTTAAATACTCAGAATGCACACATGCCTTAGATCGTTACATCGACGATGAAATATGGATTTTATCTTGTTAGTTCTTTTCTTAATCACGCGACTAGATGACTATGGTGGAAAATCAATTGATAACAATCGCTATCGTCTGATGGGGAAAAAATTCTGAAAACATGAAGCTTGGAGATAGCTATCTATCTTGGAATTTGCCTAATAGAAATTTGAGATATTTTCATTCCCTCTATAATGGCTTAGCTAATCATAATATCGATTACTATCAATAATAATATGATATCAGTTATGGCGGGGTTGTCGTAATGGTATTAATCTCACGGTTCAGTCAAATCAGATAATGGCTCTTTAGCTTATTGGCTTTAGGGAGCTATCGGCATTTAAATTGGAGTTCCTCATCCCACTGTACTTCTGCAACTGTTGAACCCTTACTCTGAAACACCAACTGGTGCCTGTGTATCTTATGTCGAGTATCGACCTCGTCGGGTCCACACCAATCAAATGTGAGTCAAGTGTTTTTAGACTATTAAGATATGTTCCGAATGTTGGGTCAGCCGGATTGACCAGGTCTTGACAGCTATAGTCAAAAATAATGAGTGACTGGTATTGGTTTTCCGAGAGACCAGGTCTGCTCCGCAATGTCATACGAGGTGCCACGTGCGACAGACCCTTTAGATTAAAAGAAGGGCATGTTGGGGAAGATATGCAAAGATTTCGCATAGTAATTCTATTGTTTCTAACACACAGTGAGTCATGATTTTGGATATTCACCAGTAGACAGTGAGGAGATAACAAGTGGGAGTTACGCTGGCTTACTGGCTTTAATAACGAAATCAACTCGTCATTAATAATAAGATGATTTGTGCTCAGTTAGAAGTTATATAGGGAACATTAAAATCTACATTAGAGCCGGAAGTGGAACCTCCGGCCCGTAAAGCTTGTAATATTCATCGCCAATAATAATACTATAGAGTCTGACTGAAGGCCTCGGTATCCTGTTCTAGCCTGAGGCATCCACGAATGACCATGTGAATGCAAACGCTTCGTGTATTTGATATGAGAATCTTACGCCTATTTCTTTCTCACATCTCAGCCTCTAGTCGAAAATTCCTGGTTCAAATTTATCCATACCGAGGTATCGACAGGCTCTTTAAACCCTATCTACCTTCGTAATACGTCGTCGACGCCAGATTGATTGAAAATCATTACGGCGATATTACAACAACATTAACTGCTGTCAACCCTTCCTCATCTTGATTTCTTCTTTCCTGTTCCTTCTCTTTTCTTCAGAGTTTTAACTGGGTCTCGTCAAACTGAAAATGAGCGCACTCTGTACCGAATCAGCAAGAAAAGCTATAGGTGCACCACCATCTATCGCTGAGCCTGTATATGAGTACTTTTCGGGAACTCAGTTCTCCTGTCGTGTGGCCCAAGCTGGAAGCGCGGACTTACGTGATGTTTCCCATGGCAACACACCATTCAGCGACAACGTAGCTCATTATCTTCCTTTATCAACATCAAAGCTGACTAAAAATGGAACCGTTGGTGTCCACCAGCCGCATACCACACAGCAGCCATTGAGTTGGTGGAAAGCACAATGCAGATTTCGTGGCCTGGCAGTATCAGGGACCAGAGAAACCTTGCAGGCTCGTATACGCAAGCATGGTGATATGGGAATGGAAGTCTCATTGATCGAGGCCTTTGGGACGATGAAAAGCGACTATAAAATAGCGAATACAAAGGTTTTCGAGAAGTTGTGGAACTCAGCTGACAACGACACGAAGGTTAAGCTATGGTCGAAGGGATTCCTATACGAGAATTTCGTATTGTCTTCAGCTCCCAAGAAGAAAGTGTTTGTGATTGAACTGAGGGAGTGGAGCCATCAAAAGATTGAGCAAGCGTGTCGCCAGATAAAAATTGCTTGCGAGACTCAAAAAATGCAACGGCATGAGAACGGTCAATGTCTGGTTGTAGTCGGACGGGATGAACTAACGGTTCGCTCCAAGACAGCCAAATTGATACAGGAGGATTGTCGTTCCGCAGCAAGGGCTCGTCGTGAAGAAGAAAGAAGAACTAAAGGCAGTAAAAGCCGAGGCAGAAGATCGATCCAAGCAAGCAAAGTCAAATGGTCAGCGTTCCAAAGGTCAGCGGGACGTCAGCGGCTCTTTTGACTTCACTGTTCAAAATGGAATCATGAGATTTGTCAATCGCCGAAGCGAGCAGACAGAGAATGATTACCAAGATGCTCATAGGAACGTATACAAAGACAATTATGAGAGCTACTCTGAATATCGTCATCATGATAATTATCAAGATGATTACCATGATTGTCATGATTACTGTGGGGATTACATTGATGATCAAAAGCCTGAACCTTGGGATGACAACAGCGGATACGATAATGGAAATTATCCCAATGGATTTTCCTCACTGAACTCACGGGAGTTCGATTACCGTTAGCCAGGTCGAGAAACAAGGATGGAAGAGAATCAACTAAACTCCGATACAAATCTCCGTTCCATAAAGTTTTAAAGCCCAAACCTTTTGAGCGGATTTTTCATTGGTAGTGCTGTTGGCAAACCCAGTTCACGGGTATCAAAACGGGTATCAAAAGGGGGTTTGATGCTGAGCGAGGACAACAACGGAGACGGATGGCTCAATTCTCGGAGCCTGGTAGGATCTGGAATTCGAGTAATGAAAAGAGGTATGAGGAGGAAAACATGAGAAGGTGGAGGTGATAACGCATGGGATATGAAAGTGGTGAGATTCGCGCGGATGTTGGGATGCCTGTATCTTGATTTCGACGCTGTTGACGTTGTCCTTCATATTTGAAGTGATAAATTTCCCTATCTTCAAATATGACAAGATATTGATGGTATGCCAAAATGACAGAAATGAGAGGGTAAACAAGAAATAAATAATCAAACCCAACTGTACAACACCATCCATGCTATATGCAATAATTACAAACCGCCTCATTCTTTGAGACGTTTGGCTGCTCGGCCAATGAGCGAGTCATCAGGCAACCCGCTGCGCTTGGTGCCTGGAAGACTGCCATTGCGAATATCATTATCGTCCTGAGTGACTCGGCGGGTCGGGTATTTATTTTCATATCCCTCGAAACAATTGGCGCTGATGGGTCCACCGTTCGTGAAGTACGGGTGCTCCAAGGCCTCTTCGGCGGTGATCCTCTTTGTTGGGTCGTACTCGAGTAACTTTGACAAGAGGTCATAGCCGTCAGCGCCAGGGGAGCCGGGGGTGCCGGCTGTAGAGTAACCGCCCGTCTTGAGGCAGGCCTGATACCACGCCTCCAAGCTAGATGGCTTATTATAATGAATACTCCCTCTAGATGACATCTTCATCGACTGCATCATCGACTGCAGTTGGTTGTATTCAGGCATTGCCACTAGCCCTGGCCAACTTTCCTGTCGTGGAAACCCTAATATTTCAACAATCTTCATCATTTGGTTGCGCTGGAATGGGACAGTCTTTTTGCTGTCCATCTTTGCCTCTTCTCCCTTGAAAATCGGTCGCAAGGATAACAGCTCGGCGAATATGCATCCAAGTGCCCACATGTCTACAGCCGAAGTGTAGTGACGACTGCCGAGTAAAAGTTCTGGGGCACGGTACCATATCGTAACTACCACCTTATCACCGGCGAACAAAGAGTTCAGAGGTTTGTAGAACAATCGCGCGAGACCGAGATCGCCCACCCGGATTGCACCGGAAGACGTCACTAAGATATTGGCAGGTTTCAAGTCACGATGAAGAACCCAATTCGTATGCAGGTAAAGTAAGCCGTTAAGCAGTTGGAATAGAATAGACCGAACCATCTTTGCAGGGATGGCATGCCGCTGAGGCTGAGTATGATGATGAATGATTTGGAGTAAGTCGTGTTCCGTATACTCGAAGACCATGAATATACATTTATCCTCGAGTATGATTTCCTCCAAACCCACCACGTTGGGGTGGTTGAGCTCCGAGCATAATGCCATCTCACGAATGGCAGACTGTGAGAGGCCCGTATACTGAATTAACTCCCCTTCCTTGTCTGGCTTGAACCTGGTATGACGTATTTAGTGATGGAATCAGATGATACCGGACATACTAACTTTTTGATGGCAAACTCGCCCTTTTTGCCATTCTTTCCGATTGCCTTGTACACCCGGCCATATGTACCACTGCTGATAAAACCGACGATGTGATATCGCTCTCTGACGTGGACTTTGCTTGTATACCCGCTCCCGGGTCGCCCAGAGTCTGCATAGAATCGAGTTAGCCCACCATAACTACAGTCCTCGGTCATGCAGAGATTTCGAAGCGGCAAAATATCACTGAATAATCAAGAAAAGGGCCTCTTTTCAGCTTGAAATGGATTTCCAACAGTTGCCATTATCCACGGATACCGAGGAAGAAGCCTCACGTGACCAGAGAGTCGACGGAGGCCGGAAAGGAGAATTACCACGAAGATAGGAGCTGCCGAGGGAGTTTAGAAACGGGTAGTGCTTTCCAAACATGGCGAGCACCAGGAAACATGCGACTTATGCTTTGTATATAGAGTATATAAAGTAGAGGCTGAGAGAAACAAGAGAAGCCGAGGAATGATAAGCCATCTCAGAACGACATAGAGAAAAGAAGCCGCAGCGCATCAAGCGAACATGGCGTCAAGAGGAAGGATTGCAGGGGCTAAAATTAAATAGAATAGAAGAAAGAATCAGAAGAAGAAGAGAGCGGTCTAATTACCATCAAAAGCAGCCTGGACGCTTCTCTTGAGGTTCAGATTGGAGGTGGGCCGGATGGAAGAGGTCGTCAGAGGCCCGCCGGCGGATGAAGGCGGGTTGGTCAGGCTCATGTATGGGATAGGGGATAGCTCTCAGGATTGGTACTAATATTAACGGAAGACGGGGATAATAACGACGGGAAATCGTTGGGCGATGGTCAGGGCCGAGGATTTACCCGGGGGCAGTGAGTGAGTGGCGTGAGGAGGACAGACAGGCGGTGGAGAGCAGGACGAGAAGACGACTCGACGACGTGGTCGGTGATGCCTCCGTCTCCACCGGCGAGAGCAACAGCTGGCAGGGAGCCCGCACAGGATGTACGTACGGAGTGCTCTGCAGCAAGACCGAGCAGGCTCAACCTTGTTCCGTGCAGCTGTGGGGAGAAGGAGGAACGCAGAACGGAGAGATGGAGAGGTAAAAGACGAAGATGTCGGTGAGTGAGGGCGCAGGGCAGCGATTGGCTGGTGAGTGGTTGGGCTGCCTTTAATTGCAGGCCGCCTACTGTTACTACTATCATGTACTATTATCATCGTTAAACCGCCGACTCCCTACTGTGTAAATTTCTTTCCGGTGATGAAAAATAAAATAATAATAATAATAATAATAACAACAATAATAATTACATTTGCAGAGGAGAATATAGGTTGATTGTGGTATAATGCTGCACTGGATGCCGTCTAGGATAAACTAGTCAACGTCATGCTCCTTCCGCCCCCTCGCCGAACCTGTATGATTCTACTTCATACCTCCCAACATTCATACCTCCGACTCCTGCGTTGCTGTCTCGTCGATCGCCTCATTTACAATGCAGTACTGCTGATCCTTCGATTCACTCTCTTGAACGCCAAAGAACAACGACTCCAGCGCACCCAGGATGGTGTCGCCGACCCCGAGCCGATCCAAGGTGACTCCGTACCTGATCTACCTGGTCTTTGTCGCAACGCTGGGCCCTCTTCAATTCGGGTTTCATCTGGTACGCAGTCATGCATCATCATCTTTTTCAAAATATCATGGGTATGCTGTGACATCCTAGGCTAATGCTTGATCCCATCTAGGCTGAATTAAACGCCCCCCAGGCCGTCGTTACATGCGAGAAGAAGAGCATCACACTAGCCAACGCGTCGACCCAGCTGCCACAATGCATTCAAATGAATGCATCCCAATTCGGTCTCGTATCCTCTATATACACACTCGGTGGCTTCTTGGGCGCGCTCGTATCAGGCCCGCTAGCCACTCGGTCTGGACGGCGGTTGATCTTGAGGGCAACCACCGCCTTTTTCGTGCTGGGCTCGGTCGCCGAAGCGTTGAGCCCTAACATCGCCATAATTGCTCTTGGGAGGTTTCTATCGGGTATCGGTGCTGGAGCCTCGATCGTGGTCGGCCCTATTTTCGTGTCCGAGATCGCCCCCCCTCAGTCACGAGGCTTTTTTGGCGCCTTCACCCAAGTCATGACTAACGTGGGAATTCTCTTAACTCAAACTCTCGGGTACTTCCTCAGCCGGGATAGCCTATGGAGAAGTATACTTGGCGTGGGTGCTGCCCTGGGAGCTGCTGAATTCTTTGGGCTGCTTTTCGTACCAGAAAGTCCGGTGTGGCTGGCCGAGCATCGACATGGTAGCGAAGCGCTCCGGATTCTTCAGCGCATCAGAGGGAAAGATGCAGACATAGAAGAGGAAGCGAGAACTTGGAAGGTTGTCTTATCAGCTGAAGACGGGACTGGGGAGGAAGAATCGTTACTGTCACCGCCCTCGCAGCATGCTGGCCCGCGAGAGCCGTCTGTAACTATATTGACGGTGGCTATGGATGCACAATATCGCCCTGCCATCATTGCTGTTGTCATCGTAATGCTTGCTCAACAATTTACCGGTGTGAACAGCATTATCATGTACAGCGTGTCACTACTGCAAAGCACTCTGCCGACCGCAGCACCACTCCTAGCCGTTATGATCTCTGCCATCAACCTAGTCGTCACTCTTGCGTGCTCGCCCTTGCCGGACAAGATCGGTCGCAAGACATGTCTTCTGCTAAGTGTCATTGGGATGGGCTCGGGGTCTGTCCTACTAGCTATTGGCATCTCTGTTGGTCAGAAGATTTTGTCCGCGCTGGCGAGCTTGTTCTTTGTTGCCAGTTTTGCCGTCGGCCTGGGACCTGTCCCGTTCATTCTTGCCTCCGAGCTCGTCGGCCCAGAAGCGGTGGGTGCTACTCAGAGTTGGGCGTTGTCTGCTAACTGGATTGCTACTTTTATCGTCGCCCAGTTCTTCCCTGTCCTGAACGAGGCCCTTGGGGGAACTGGCAAAATATACTGGATTTTCGCCGCGCTGGCTGCTCTTTTCGGCTTCTTGATTCAGTTGAAAGTGCCTGAAACTAACGGCAAAACGAGTCTTGATGAGGTTTGGGGAAGGGCCGAGGAGCGGCGCATTGACTGATAATGAATGACCTACGTATTATTTTCCTACTCCATTTTAGTGGTACTCTATCCTATTCACTCCCTCGTGATGTTTGAAGAATGTAGAATAGGGTTAGGCGGTAATCCTTGGCAGCTCTTGCTATTGATGATCATTGCCCATTCCTGCTGGGTGGCGATCTACAAGACGAGCAGTATTCATGCGTAACATAAATAGCATCATTCAGTATCTGGCTAGGACTCTCAGCCCTGCTGGCGATCCACTGCCAAGACGTTGAGCGAGAACCAGGCTGAGCCTCAACTCCAATTCTGCGTGAATCCGATAGACGCATACAAATTCCATGTGTCTTCACTGGCAGATAAAACAAATACAATACAGGAGGCATACAAGGACACCGCACATTACCAGCATGTCTGTTAACGTATTGACTATTGCTCAGCTTGTTGTGGATTCTTTGAATGGCTGTTTGTGCTTACGCTGACGTCGTTGCATTGCAGGGGCGCGTGGCGATTGGCCAAGGAGCGGTGAGCATCGATTCATGGTGGATTGATCAATCAATAATACGATTGTCATTTCCGCCGCTTCCGTTGCCAAAAAAAGATCCATTGATGGCGTGGTGGCTTGGTGGCACTCAGGGGTTGTTGAACAATATTATTATAATGAAATGGCATAATGATATTAAGGGGCTTGGTTACCGACGCTTAATGTGATTGTTATTATAATTTATGATTGATGGCTGTCCTGCAAGTTGCGTAGTATGGCTCCCACGTCCAAATTTAACATAATCATCTCCACTGTACCAGATACGTCGCGGCCACTAATTCGGGGCGCCGGAATAATAATCCTGCTAACGAGACTAGAATCATAATTAGATCCATGACAAGGACAAGGAACTGCGATGTATCCCCAATTCTCGTCTGTATCGGTCCCCCGCTGCCCTCTTGCTCTCCCCCCCCCCACCACCACCACCACGACGATCCCCTGCGTCCGCACAGTCAGTAATTTGAGTTCTTCTTCTTACAAGATGCACTCCCTGTCCATGCTCTGTCGTTCTCCCTCGGCTCGTCTCTAATTGGACTCCTCTCATTGGTGCTGTGACAGGAGCTGGTGCTTGACGTTCCTTTTAAACATCTTCCTCTGTTGGCCTGGAGTGGGACAAACCACCTCGTATTTGCGTGGTCTTGGTCCTTGTGTGTCTCTGTGTGCGCGCTGTAGACATAATATCCCCTTCAGCGCTGTAAACGAGCCGGGAGTCTCCACGCGCTGCTTGCAGAGAGCCGAAGAAACACACGTACGTGATCGGGTCCCAGGAATCCGTCTCTTCCACCCTCCCTCCCCCTTGTGCGGTGCACACATTAAACACAGCACTGCTCAACCCTATCCACCACGCCCACGAGTTACCAGTGCCCACGTTGGCCCAGACTCATGTCTGCGAGGCATTGAGCGCCTTGCCTTGCCTTGCTCCTTGCCTGCCTTAACCCGTCCCGTCCATCGATCAACGTCATTCGTGTCGTGCGTATACCCCGCATTCACCCACAATGGTCCGCCTTTTCCCTCAACGCTTCATCAGCTCGAGGAGCACAACTCCTCTCCAGCAAAGCCGAAGTACCAGCCCAATGCGATCCCCCACCGACTCCTCTCTTGCACTCAGGGTGAATGTGGTAAAGGTAAGGCTACCATGCATGTCCCGTCACGATGAGTTTCGGCTGATACCGAGCCATCTAGGGTAGAAACTTGGCTGCAAAGGATAGAGGTGGCACGAGCGACCCGGTAAATCTACCCACACCCAATACTGGGGTTTCGGATTGCTAAATATGTTTGCATTGGAATAGTATTTGATCGTCTCCCTCGGGACTTCGCGCGAGTCGACCCCAACGATAAGCAAGACCCTCAACCCCGATTGGAATGTAACCTTTGACCTCCCAATTGTCGGCGTCCCGCTGCTAGAATGTGTCTGCTGGGATCGTGATCGGTTTGGGAGGGATTATATGGGAGAGTTCGATATTCCTCTGGAAGAGATTTTCTCAGAAGGTGATATTCAGCCGCAGGTATTTACTTGCCCAAGATGAAAACCCCAATTGGAACCGAGGCTCGGATAATAGCTGACAGCAGCTCTAGCCAAAATGGTATAACCTGGAATCAAGGCGAAAACGGGGTAAGAAGAAGGAAAGCGTTGTATCAGGCGAAATTCTCCTGCAGTTTACCCTGATCGATGTTGCAACCCCCACAGCACCTCCTTCGGACACATACCGCAGATTCAAATCCATTGTATGCGCCGCCGATGCTGATGAGGACGATGACACTACTCTTGCGCCGATTTCGTGGAACCAGGAAGACAACGATAAAGATGAGGAAACGTCGGATGAAACCGATGACCCTACGAAACCAGAGGTGGTTGAAAAGCGAAAACGTCGTCTTCGCATCGCCCGGTTGAAACGGAAATCTATTGCTGCTAGAGCTTATCAATTTTCTGGAGCCCCAAACGGGACGGACGGAATTGTTTTCATTGAAATAAGCAGAATAACAAACCTGCCGCCAGAGAAAAACAGTAAGGGTCATTCCAATACCACAAATTCGCCTCTTTTAACCTGTGGATACAGTGACACGGACATCATTTGATATGGACCCTTTCGTGGTAATATCTCTGGGAAGAAAGACTCTTCGAACTAGGGTTATCCGTCATAACCTTAACCCGGTATTTGATGAGAAAATGGTCTTTCAGGTCATGAAGCAAGAGAAAAGTTATACTATTAGCTTTACGGTCGTCGACCGTGATAAGTTGTCTGGAAACGATCTTGTTGCTACGGCCGACCTGCCATTACTTACACTCATTGCTGCAGCTCCTGAAGCCGACCCCGAGACAGGTCTATACAAGCTACAGGAGCCTCCGGTGGCTGGTCGAACCATGCACTCTCAGAAGTCGCGTTTCAGAATACCCATATCCCGCTCGACATCGTCCACCAATCTAAGCAGGTCGTCGAAGCCAAATTTGATATCTAAATCTTCAAACACGTCACTTTCCAGCCTGGCTCAGTCTGACCTTTCCCCTCCAACTCCTCCTAGCAGTGTTCCCAATGATGGCAATACTTCACTGCTGACTGTTTCCGGTGCAACTACGCCTAAGACTGAAGAGGCTCCTACCTCAGTTCAAGTTTCTGCTGAAGATGAGGATCTCAGAGTCTACACAATTCCTCTATCACTAAAAAATAAGGAGCGTTGGGAAGACAAGTATTCACCCGAGCTTTTCATCAAAGCCAAATACATGCCATACAGAGCACTCCGGCAGCAGTTCTGGAGAGTCATGTTGAAGCAGTACGACGCTGATGACAGTGGTCGAATCAGCAAGATAGAACTGACCACCATGCTTGATACGCTTGGGTCTACACTTAAGGAGTCAACAATTGATGAATTCTTCTCGAGATTTACCCCGGCAAATCAATCGAGTGACACGGTTGATTTGACATTTGACCAAGCTGTTATCTGCCTGGAGGATGCCCTTCAAAAGGTGCAGAGGCACAATTTCGCAGCAAGTGGCATATCCACAACCGAGAACCGCAGCCCAGATGATTCGAGTGGTGTAGATATACCTTCTGACACGACAGACCTTTCAGAAGTACAATCAGACCCTCGACAGCCGGATATTACGAATTTACTAGAAATGGACCAACCGTCTCCGGGCTTCGGGGAGCTTGCTCCTGACGATCTTATTGATGAACGCGGTGAAGAACATATCATTGAGATCGCGGAATGCCCTCTTTGTCACCAGCCGCGGCTTGGTAAACGATCCGACGCAGACATCATCGCCCACCTTGCAACCTGCGTCAGCCAGGACTGGCGGCAGGTTGACAACCTTGTGATGGGCGGTTTCGTGACGTCTAGCCAAGCACAACGAAAATGGTATAGTAAAGTCGTCACCAAGATTGGATACGGAGGCTATCGGCTTGGTGCAAACTCAGCGAATATTCTCGTCCAGGATCGTATTACTGGCCATATCAACGAAGAAAAAATGAGTGTCTATGTTCGCCTTGGAATCCGGTTGCTCTATAAAGGACTGAAGAGTCGCGAAATGGAAAAGAAGAGAAGTAAGCTATCCCAGATCTTATCCTGTAGTAATATTAATAGAAACTACAGTTCGAAAGATGCTTAAATCGCTTAGTATCAAACAAGGTAAGAAATACGACGACCCCGTATCTACCAGCCAAATCGAGAGCTTCATCAATTTCCACCAACTCGACATGTCCGAGGTTTTGGAGCCCGTTGAAAACTTTAAAAATTTCAATGAGTTTTTCTACCGCAAATTGAAACCCGGCGCACGTCCTTGTTCAGCTCCGAATGACCCGAGGATCATTGTCTCCCCGGCCGATTGTCGTAGTGTGGTTTTCGATCGCATCGAAGATGCCACGAAGATTTGGATCAAGGGGAGAGAGTTCTCGGTTGAACGATTACTTGGAAAAGCGTATCCAGAAGATGTTGCTCGATACAAAAATGGCGCTCTTGGAATTTTTAGACTTGCTCCTCAAGACTATCATCGATTCCACATACCTGTCGACGGAGTAATGGGTACTCCAAAGACCATTGAAGGCGAATACTACACCGTGAACCCTATGGCTATTCGCTCGGCACTTGATGTCTATGGGGAGAATGTCCGAGTATTGGTTCCCATCGATTCTGCTACCCACGGTCGGGTGATGGCCGTGTGCGTTGGCGCTATGATGGTTGGTAGCACGGTGATTACTCGCCGGCCTGGAGAAAAGGTCTCACGTGCTGAAGAATTGGGTTATTTCAAATTTGGAGGAAGTACCATTGTTCTGCTGTTTGAGTCCGGAATCATGAACTTTGACTCAGATTTGGTTGACAACTCCAAGGGGGCGCTGGAAACTCTGGTAAGAAACGTTATAGTGCGCACTAAGAGTTAGACGCTGATTATACTATGATAGATCCGAGTTGGCATGTCCATTGGCCACAGCTCAGATGCTCCTCAATTCGAGGCCGACGTGCATCAAAAGGAGCAAGAGACCTCGACGGAAGCAAGGGAGGCAGCGAAGCGCAGGATAGCAGGGTAGATGTCACCCAACCTGCTCTTCCGAGTTTGCCTCCTGATGGGTATAGACTTAATACTTAGAATATAGCGTCGTGGTATATGGCAAATATGCCAGAGCTGTTCGTCGAATCATTGCATTTCATGTTCATAATATTGCAAGACCGAGGCTTTCAAGCTGTAGTCTTGCGAGACACAATATCCATACTCATGTAAATAGATATGCGTTACGAGGACACGTTTTCAAGAGCACATCACCTTGCCGTATACTGAAGCAGAAAGCATCCATTGTAAAATAGGGAATATTCATACCTTCATAGCATGGGCCAGTCTTATCTTGACAAGTCTTGGCGCTTTCCCCTCGTGCCCAATTAGACTAGTCCCAAAGAGGCTTAGCCGGGCCACTTGTTGTGGTTGCGCGTGTTATGCAAGCTCGCAGGCTGCAGGAGGTTTAGATTGCATTGCGAAAAACGACATTTGTTTAGCAATTCACAATTCGCTAGTGTATCACTTCATCGTGCGCAGTAGTCCGTTGGTGGAAGTGCTGGCTGCTGATCTAACGAAGGGACGCTTGTTAGGTAGGCGGCTGCTAAGACGGCGCGTCTGGGTTTTGGCGTCGGAGCGCGACCGACCCTCAAGTTACCTCTCGCATAACGGTTCCCGAATTCGCCCACGGCAACACCAGACCGTCGCATGAGGGTTGGAAAGGGATTGAGATAAAGCGCTCGAGTTACGGTATTCCCGGCCAATTTTCAGCCTTCTAAAGCGCGTTCTTTGGTCAAGAATTGTCTGACATGACCGTCGCGGTCCTGACAACGACAACCACAGCGACGACCACACATCGTGAGCCGCTGAGAGTAGTTGACATGGCGACGTCGCAGGCACGGCCTGCGTCGTCGTCTGCACATGGCAACGGAGAAACGCGACGAGGAAGACGAACGAGTGGGCGAGGCGAATCGAAGGAGAATGGCGGGGATGAGAATACTGCTCCCCAGAAATCAACGCGGAGTGCAGCGAAACGAAATGCTGGTGAGTTTTTAAACAAGCCAAATAATGGAATTTTCCCACTTCAGACAGCGTGCTGATCTTGCTCAATTTGCTCGTGTAGCGGTATATGATGAAGACGATGAGGGGTTCAAATTCACGCGAGCGGCGGCTACCAAAAAGCCCAAGATAGGTTCGGAAAATGCTCCTGAGAACGATTCTGCTGTGGACCAAGTATCGAAACCAAAGTCAACAAGAGGCCGCCCGCCGAAGAAGCAGACAGGCAAAGCACAGAGTCAATCGGTTGAGGAAGATGTTAGTGTTAACACAGCAAATGGGAGGCTATCAAGAGGGCGTAGGGGAAAGACTTCCCCGGAGCCAGAAGTGCAGAGTGGGAAACGGCCTGGCGGGAAACGAAAAGATCCGCCACAATCTACACAAAAGACCCCAAAGAAAGGTAGACCGTCGTTGTCAAAAACTACAGGAACGGATTCACAATCACCTGAGACTACTCATGATGGAACCACGAAGATTGCGTTGCCCATGGCAGATACACCAGTCATTCGACGAAATAAGGAAATGAGACAAGAGCGTTCGGGGAGGGAGCAAAGAAGAAGTAGTCTCGGGATGAGAGGACGAAGGGCGAGTTCTCTGATAGATTCAGGAGCATCAAATGGTGGGCACAATTCTCTTGAGACCCAAGCAGAGAGTATCTTGAAGATTACGGGGATCGCTAATATTCTACGTACAGCAATCCCACATAAAGAAGTCTCCACAGCCGAGTTTTATAAACACATTGCGAGTGATGGGCCTTCAGAGCCTCGTCGAATGAAGCAATTATTGACATGGTGCGCGACCCGCGCAATGGAACAGAAACCATCCCAGTCTTCTTCGGTTGATGACGATGCTCGAAGAGCAGGTAAGTTCATCCAGATAGAGTTTAATGTACATATCTAACCTAGCATTTTTCTATAGCCCGGTTCATTCAAGAACAGTTAATCGAGGATATCACAAATAAATCTGAGCTATCGGACTGGTTTGCACGAGACGATGCCCCTACGCCGACAGTTATTGTTAAAAAGCCCAATCCGAAAAACATACAGAATGCGGAGAAACTCAAGGAGCTAGAGAGTCAGATAACCCGGTATATTCTAAACACAAACTATTGGTCATATCGAAGAGTAGATGGGGCTAATGGCTTCTAGGTTACAAAATGAAAAACAGGCTCTCAAGGCGTTGCTACGGCCTCCTTCAATACCAAAACTTGAAGCACCAAGCCCTCAAGGCAACTCAGAATATTTCTCTTCATCCCACACCTCATTACCGATTGATACTGCTACGCTAGACCCCCAGCAAAAATCCATTATTACTACAATTGGACTTGAAACTCTCCAAAGAAATAAGAACAACAAAGTCGATAAAAAGACGCTTCAGCCCACAGTCACCAACCCACCTCTCCCACCTGCGACGGTTTCCAATCGCCTATCTCACATCACTTCATCCTTGGCCCCAACGTTGGACGCATTTGCTTCCGGTTTGCATGACATAGACATATATCGCTCATCAGCCGACCGGCTATCATCAGAGATACTCCGGATCTGTTCGCAACGTTTAGAGGAAAGAGACATTCGCAACGCTGCCCAAACGCGAGAGATTGAAGGTGATGTCGACCAAGACGATGGAGGCGGAGGCGAGGAGAATACTAAGGATTCATCGCGACCCCGACAGACAAGACGACAAAGAGAGGATGTTGGCGTTATTCTCGGGGCCTTGAGTCGTGTTGAAAGACGATAAAACGGTATAATACAGTCGGATGTTTGACGACCATGTTTTGATGTGATACCAGACTATGCAGGCGCATTTGATTTTGTTTTTTGACTTGGACGATTACCTGTTGCCTTAACGTCATTTCCTGCTTTTTTACACTTTCGCGTTCCTGTTCTTCTCATTTGCTATAGGTGCACGGCCCGGTGTTTTGGGGTCACGATGGTGGGTTTGCATAATAAAGAAATATCGATGACCAAATTTTGTGGTCTGAATCAAGCACGACTCGAGAGCATTACTGGATTTCACCATGATAACTGGATAACGTGTTTTAAGATAGTAGCATTCGAATGTAACCGAAAGATATCAACAGCCTAAAATAAATTCGCTAATAAGGTACTAGATTCAAGCTCTATAACGAGCTTTGTTTGCCCAGTGATGGAATGGTATTGAATTCCACACCTGCTCAGCTGATTTTTGAGCACATGCCGCTGATGCCGTCAATAATCATGTAGGGTTTGATGCCCTAAGTCTCCATTCAGCGCAGACATTCTGCCTGCATAATCTACTCCATTTGCTCAGTTATCTCCCAATCCACAGCCGACAAACTACCTTTATGTCAAGGTTACACTCTCTGCCTGGAAGAAATTGAAAAATCTGTACTACTCGAAATTCTACCATGCAGCATTTACGCGTTGGTATTGGACATAGGTCTAGAATCTGAAGAATGCCACCCATCAAGCAATGCAACACATTGATAAGTACCGAGAGGGTCACGCGCTTATGGCTGTCAACACTACAGCATAGCCTAATGAATTTCTACGTAGTATTATCTCTGAAAAGCTATAGTATACTGTGTGATCCACTTCTTGATAGATGACAGTGTAGCAGTTTCTTTTGTGGATGTGACCAAAGAGTCAATGCGGCTACTGGCATAGATTTGCTTGACATCCACATGGCAAAAAATCACTTTGAGCCTCCTGCTCAGTTCCGTGTGGCCAACACTGGGGTCCTTTGCATTTACCATGGCGGGTAAGATTCCTGGCAGCATGGCATCAAGCGATAACCTGGTTGAATTTTCAAAATGATTGATTGGAATGTCTTTTCTCCGTTTTAAATACATATTGTAGAGTACGGGCACACAAACCTGGATTTATCTAAGACTGTGGAAATACAGGGTCCACCAGATTCTTCCCCGCTTCGTTCTCCACAGGTACAATCCTGCAGTTGATGTCTTAGGATGACTCAGAGGTCTAGACACCAGCCTTATAAAAGAAATTTGATAAATCTCATGACAGCTGGTGGGGACATGAGTGGAGGTAGCTCAGTCGCTGTTACACGTCCCATGTACCCTTCAAGCGAGACTAGGTATCTGTTGGTATGTGATATGTATGTTGTCGATAATTTCATGCTGATGTGAAATGTCACTTTCCCCACTCTTTATCACTACGAATGGTCTAGATGCCATTCAATTACCAGCTTCAGCTTAATATTCGATGTTATATCACTAGCAATTTCTTAGTGTGGTCTTCAAACGCTCTGAGGGATAGAGGGTCCAGTCCACTGGCAGAAAAAGAAAAAGAAAAACGAGCCAATCGGAATTTTTTCCTCGCAACTCCTAGAAGTACTTCAACTCAAATGCCTCAAAATTCCGGAAACCATTTGGCAGACCCATGCATAAAACGTTTAAGGCGTCCGTGGTTTGGATATAACACGTTCTATTTGGTTTCTTTTCCTTTTCCTTTGGTCGAGCGTACCTGAGTGCTACCTTATGGGGTGCCTATCAAAACTATCAGCCAATCAGTTGAAAAAATAAGGCTGTATCTGATTATTAAAAATATTATGCTCGACAAACAGTTTATTAGTAGCCATTGAATAGAGCGGCATCCGGGCTTGAAAGCTTTAAAAGCAAATTCCCTATATATATGATGTCTCTTCTTTCTTTGGATATATGCAAGCTAATGTAAGTTCCCGCTCACACAATGATTGACACTTAAATTGAATGCCATATTTCGGCGATACTTAATCCGAGAGGTTGTTTTGCTAATGTTTGTCTAGTCAGCCAAACGCGGGGTTTGCTGGGGCCTCGCGTAGTAGTACTATAACCGTTCAAATTTCCATGTTGCTGTGCTATTTATTACATAAAGCGGATAAGTATAAGAGCATGATTGAGTAGATCTCTGCCTATTGAGGCCGATAGCTTCCGTTCTGTGTGACTATTGTACTACTATGTCACACATGTACTGGTACTTCGGGACCCATAATTTGACATTTTTTAGCCTTGTAACAGGGTGCGTACAAGGTCAAATAGGCTCTTGTATATTGAGCATCAGCTTTGTAAACTTGTATCAGCTAGCCGAAGGCGAGTACCAACATCATGATCGGATGTATGTATCCTTTTCCCATGCGCTTTCTTGCCCCTTGGAATCTCATTATGGGGGTTGGTTGGTATCAGTTCGGCCCCGAGGGGAGCCTCGCTACACCAATAGCTGTCAGTGGGCGGGAATAGCTCCAGGTGTTATATGTCACTATGTCACACATGTGTGGGTAAACAAGCCTGTAGTCGCTGTACATGTGTTTCAATATTACGGACTTGAAATAATGTGATAAAGTGGATGTCAATTGATAGAGTATTGGCCCCTATATCTCATTCAATTAAAACGTATATGGGCAGATGGGAAAAGGTCCTGAAGGTTACATGAATAGCTAATCTATAGAGCTAAATAAATCAGCAGCCCAAATAGTAGTCGCCTGTTATATATTATTGCGAGAGCTTTGTAACCCAGCCAGCTTTTTTTCACATGCCAATCCATCTCTTGGGTTTCTCGGCCATTACTAGACTAGTTTTCTTGGTGAGTTATACCTGTTACCTCCATACGTTCCCTCTCCTTGAAAAGGTACCTATTGCTAGACTAGAAAAATATTAGATAAATCATTTGTATAATTTCACTATCACAGCGACTTGTGGTTTTACTTGATGGTATATGGATAGTTGACATTGATATGACTATATTTGTGTCACCGAGTTAGAAACTAAACATCACTTTTGCCCCTTTAGATTAACTTTTATATAAACTCAGTAGATCAATACAACTATTAACATAGTGAAAACTACCCACACATTTGCTTGAACAAATTATGTCAAAATATAAAACTCGACATCTACTGTATCGTTACGTTGGTCCTATTTTGGCAATAGGTATCAGATTATACCATATTCTTTCTTGTTTTCTCCACACCAAAAAAAAGGTGACACCGACATTGGCTTTGCCTATTGTATTATCCGCTTCTCTAAGGACACGAAGGGGCAATACATGATTAGTTATGAATGTCATCTTATTTTGAGCTGACCTGTACCGTGAGTTGTAACTTGTACCCCTCCAATGGTATTTCCCATATGATCTACTCCGGTGTATGACTGTGGAGTATTTTGACTTTACGGGTCATTCTCTTTCTCCTTCGCGTCTTGATTGTACGCCATCTTTACTAGGAAGGGTGTCGGATGCGACCCAAAATTCCCCCAGATAAGCCTGTAATGGGTGAACTGCATTGCGTTCACTTGTGGCTTCGCGGAATTCGGGTAGGACTATCCCTTTTCCAAATCTTTTTCCTTTCTTTTTCCTCTCTACTTTTCTTTTATTTTCTCCGTGCTTGTTTTCATTGTCTGCCTCGTGTTTTAACCACACCACCAGCCGAAGCTCCGCTATACTACACTGATTTCAAATCAATATTCCCCAGAGTTCCAAATAATTGGTGGCTTTGTTGTACGCCAAAGCGAGAACCCGTATAGAGTCGTTATAAGCTTGGTCAATCATCGTTATGCGTCAGCAACTTCAATCATCAATTCACGGAACAAACTATGTCCATTCATTCCTCCACGACGGCCCGGTTCCCATTATTATTCTAAGTATAGACGCAAGATTTGGAGGGGAAAGGGAAGAAGGAAAAAGGAAAAGGAAAGGAACAGAATATCAGTATCAAAATAATAAACAAATAGAATAGCTTATAAGAGCGGCAGATCAACTACGTAATAGCATCCGGGCTGTTCATCCCTTGCCGTAGTAGCCCGAGAAAGTGCTAGGGATCAGTTGATTATTTGCTCTGATTAACAGCAGTAAAGTGGATGATGGCATGGTTATGTGGATTCAAATTTTCTTGATGAAATGGAATCTATGATATCCGACGCTCAGGATATACTATCATTTAGTCCTCAAATCTGAGACGGGAGCTCTGATTGTATGCATGCCCCACCCTACGGTTTATATGCAGTCCACAAATCTTCCATAATCCTCCAGATTCTTTCCATCTTTCAAGGTATTGGAGGAGGTGTTTACTGTCAAACTGGAATGCGTATCTATTTCCTAGAACATTGCGAAGTCGATTACTTTGCTTGCCATATCCACAGCTATACCTCTTCTCACCCTGTGCTTTCTCCACTAAGCCAATCCGCGATAATATCATACTCGGGTAGCTGGGGCTTGTTCATTCATTTCTTCTAGTGTCTTTCTGCATGGATGGCAAACGGCAGAAGCCAGCACGTACCAACCAGTAAGCCTGTCACTTTCCGAATTTAGTGGCCGATTCTCAAGACTCGACCCGGTCACCTTGGTGAGACTTGCACCAGGCGGGAATATCACGCTACCGCAATCTCGCGGTCCATCAACACTGTCTCAGTGTTGTATTATCCTATCACGCGTGTCAGTGGACACCTGGGATGTCAACACCTATGACTCCAGCGATGGGGCTCAAAGTTCCCACAATATCGCACCTCGTAATCCATCCTACGTCTGAATGTTTTTCACCTGTTTACCGTCTAATAGAATGACTCGGTCTTCTGCGGTTTGACCTCTTCACTTGAAGTTTTCCGCTGTGAAAGAACCCACCCCAGTAAAACACTGCAAGGTGGCTGTGTAATGAGAGATGCTGGAAAGAGGGGGCTTCTTCGTTGACCAGGGGTACGGTGACAATTAGAAGAAGCAGTCATTAAAGAAGGGTGTACTTGCTATGCTCCAGCTCCACCGACCCCTGTAGCCGTGGTAGGTTCATAGCTCACAAACGGCCCACACGCAACATTAAGCATAAAGAATCGCATATGTATTCAGACGGAACGGCAGGGTGCACTAATAAGCGTAAAGTTGATCGGGGAGGTTTTATTATTGCGTAAGGGATATATGGGACTGCACAGACCGATTTCTTCTTGGTTGACGTGCACAATCAAACTTTCTATCCCCTCTCTCTAGTCTATAAACCTCGGCGCCTGATCATTTTGTTTCTTTATTATTCTGTTCTGCTCTGATATTTGTTCTTAATGGTTTTTAATCCTGGTCACTGTGACCTCTTAAGCTAACTGACTCTTCCTACCTTGAAATAAGGGCTTTGCCCAAGTCCTCACGGTTTCCTATCTATTTGCCTCCATATACCGAAATATTTTTTTACTCTCCTCGTCTTCCGCCTCTTCCGACCATTCTGCCGTTCATTCATATTCACATAAGTCATATTTTTGAAAAGCTTCGACTGTCTCGGTCTCAGTCTTATCTTGAATATATCTCGTTATGTGATCTTAACGTTATACTTCTTATACTCTTTTCGCCGTCATTCAACAATCATCTCCACCAAATCATTTGGTCCTACCTTGCGCGTAGCACCTAGCATGCACCAGGCCGACGCCTCCTACTCTATTGTTTAAAAAAACATTGAAGACCAAAAGCCAAATGAGGAATGCGTGCAACAAGACTTTGTAACACCATTCCACCTTATACAGACACAGCAGCTGTTGGATCGAACCATTGAAGCAGTGCTACGGTTAACCCCAGTCCAATACCTACGAGGAACATCCGAGTGTACCCCAAAGACTATGAGACGCATATATTGTGATTCTTAGAGGGTACTTTCTCATGGGTGCGCGCAATGGTATTTGGACATGTATCCGCAACGATGTTGAAGTATGCTGATCGTTGCCGTAGATACATCCGAGAAAACCTGCCCAGCCTACCGATCACAGTACTCACGGCGTCGTCCAATTAGATTGTGCAAGACCTTGAGTCGGGAATTCGATTTCAATACGCCGTTTAGTGAATTGCATGAAGCAATGGCCTCCCGCTATTTCGACCTATGCCCGTACCACCTTACTGGCTTCCCCGAGGAAAGCGAAAATTCTTCCCGATGTGCTAATCGAGTACGTAAAGACGCATCTTCTCTTAATTTACAGTTTTCCTCACATATATCACTATCAAAATCAGCCAATGGTGTCACTTTTGCTGAGGTCACGCCCGGGCCAGGGGCTGCACCGGGCAAGCCAAAGAATGCAAGAATTTGTACGGCCGCCAATTGTTTCAAAGCCCTTGTCAATGAGCCCACACCACTTGATATGCAGACCCAAGGGCGAGTAACGACGTCAGATATCGGCTGCCAGAAAGGGGGCTCGCTCCTGGATAGACCCACACCAACCGCCAGCATTCCTCATCCTGATACAGTGGGAAGAAGCCCAGTGGTGACGGACGATAGCTTATCCATGTTCTCAGGCTATAGTGGTCTCAGTGCTTGCTCCACTCTCTGCCAAAGGGAGAGCTCGGCTGAGGTCACCAACGATGCCCATGACGATGAGATCACTGCGGAAGAAGCTCCCCGGCTTACTTTTTCCTGCCTTCGTCCTAGTTTTCCAACATTAAGGTCACCTCTGCCACATGAACTTGCTTTCAATAGACTTTTTATCTCTCACACAATTCCACCTTGGAAATTTGGCGACAATACAGTTCAGATACCTCTTTCAAACAACGTCCATGGATTGAGCGAGGACGATGAAGAAAGCTCGGTAGCCAAAGAACGATATCAAAGACGTTCTGCCAGCCCCACGGAAGCTCATATATTTATTCAACAAATGAATCAACAAAATTTTGATGCCCCTTATCCAGTTCGTGCCCATGTTCTTAGCCCACAGTGTGGCGAAGAACAAGACAATGACGCCTCCGCTCTTCCAATATCCCATGAAAAACTTCTATCAACGTTTCTAAAAGTTCACCAAAATCAACAGCATGAAGATCAAAGCTCTCCCATGGATTCAATCAAATACCCAAATAGCCTATACATTCGTAATGGCAGTTTTGGTGATATTAACTCTTCTACTCGATCGCTTAACCGAGATCCAAGCAGACCCGAGTCTCCTAGGAGAAAATGGTGGGAAAAGCAAAAGAACCGAAGCCCGTCCCCGAAATCTTTACCTTTTAATGTTAGTGGGAAAGGGTCGTTCTCGAGCACATCCAGCCAGTGTCCAACACTGGTGCACTCTGGGGGCAGCGAGTGCTTCCCAAATCGACAGCTAAGTGAAGATGGATCTCGAGATGATGTTCGACTCAAAGTGTACTTTGCTGATGTTCATTCTCGTCAACGATATCTCCTACGTCTCTGCAAAGCTTTGATGAAGTTTGGCGCTCCAACCCACAGGTTAGAGGAATACATGAGCATGACTTCCAAAGTGTTGGACGTTGATGCGCAGTTTTTGTATATTCCTGGTTGTATGGTCGTGTCTTTCGACGAGGTCGGCACACATGCAACAGATGTGAAACTAGTTAAAGCAGCCCAAGGAGTTGATCTAGGACGACTATTTGAAGTTCATAAGATCTACAAAGAGGTCGTCCACGATGTCATTGGCATTGAAAAAGCCATCGAAGAACTAGACAGTATCATGAAGCGAAAACCCAAGTTCAATGTTTGGTTTTTGATCCTGATGCATGGCTGCGCCAGTGCCTCGGTTGGTCCCTTTGCTTTTGGAGCCCGTCCTATTGACATGCCAGTCGCTTTTATTCTGGGGTGTCTACTTGGTATCCTACAGTTGGTGTTATCTCCACGGTCTTACTTATACTCAAACGTGTTCGAAATTACTGCCGCGGTTCTCACCTCGTTCCTAGCACGAGCCTTTGGTTCTATTCCATATAATGGCAGCCGGCTTTTTTGTTTCTCTGCTCTGGCGCAATCCTCAATTGCCCTAATTCTACCGGGGTATATGGTTCTGTGCGGGAGTCTCGAGCTGCAGTCGCGCAGTATTGTTGCCGGCTCGGTTCGGATGGTGTACTCTATTATCTATTCACTTTTTCTTGGATTTGGTATCACCATTGGGACTTCGGTATATGGTTTATTAGACACCAACGCTACTTCAGATTACATTTGCCCACCCAGTCCCATCCAAAACCCCTACCTTCAACGGTTACCTTTTGTTTTGATGTTCACCTTCTGCCTAACGACTATTAATCAATCGAAATGGCGACAGATTCCAATGATGCTATTGATCTCTTTTTTCGGGTATCTCACTACTTATTTATCAACAAAGAGATTTGGATACAACACCCAAGTCGTCAATGCATTGGGGGCTTTTGTCATCGGAGTCATGGGAAATCTTTACAGTCGGCTCGGACATGGCCTAGCAGCCGCCGCAATTCTTCCGGCTATTTTTGTTCAGGTTCCATCTGGCCTTGCAGCGAGTGGCTCGCTAGTCTCTAGTCTTACTTCGGCTGACGAAATAAGTCACAATACTTCATTCTATTCCATTATAAATAACGGAACTCAAGGGTTTCTTGAGGCACAACAAAACATATCAGTCTACGGAAGCAAATTGTACAGCGGAGTTGTCTTTGACATTGGATTTGGAATGGTTCAAGTAGCCATTGGTATTACCGTGGGCTTGTTTCTGGCAGCCTTGGTCGTCTATCCGTTAGGAAAGAAACGAAGCGGTCTCTTCAGTTTCTAACCGGCTCTTCCATTGTTATTGGCAGATATATACATATGTACCCCCTTCTGGTATTGAAGTTTAGGCTTAGCGTTTAATGTTGCATACTTTCGTTAACTTCACTACGAGATTATTTCCCTATCCCATAGCTATTGCAGATACTCCGTCTACTCTTGGCCATAAAAACTGTTTTCTTTATGGATTACTGTTTATCGTGGTAATGGGGTATGAGCCTCGCTTTTCTTTTCCTTTTTCTTTTTTTTTCCACTTTGGGTTTCAAATTTCAAATTGTTGGTTCAACGACTTCACAAAGCGACCGCTGCATTTGTTTCTGGAGTTCACATGACTTCGAAGGGTTTTTGGTATCTGACTGGCGTTCTTGCAGTTATGGGCATAGATATCGCAAATTACGTTTCATGATCAGTGACTGATGTTTACAGCAAGCTTTTTGTTGAGGATACTGATTTCTCAACTGAAGGGGTTTATGGGCACTATCTTCTCACTATGCATAAGATGGAGTTATCAATTTCGTTTTTATTTTCACAAAAAAGTTTACATGGTTCACCTTCATCTTAACTTTAACTTTTTGTTTGTCGAGAACTGAAACATGGGGACTGACGTTTCCAGTCGGAAACGTGTCTACACATCCAGTCGTTTCAATTTTGTTTCGTCATTGATTCAGTCAGGAATGTCGGAAATAATTTGGTATAAGCGAGAGGTAATTGGATTTAATGAATAGCAGATGCCTTTTTATGATGACTCTTTTGCAGTCAAAGTATGACATTCAGCAGCGGGTTCGGAGCAAAACCTGGTATGTCTGTCTGTTTGGAATTAAGTGATTCTATAATTTATGAAGCCACTTTTTTGAATTAAATCGCTTATCGAAAATCTATTCACGGTGTTGTTTGTCAATACTTTTGTGTTGGGGACGAGAAGATGTAGCTTGGGTTAGGGCAGGTGCACGGAAGCCCTAATCGGTCCCAAGGACTCTGGTAGTTGCCAAAACGGGTAACTAGAGAACGAGATTTTTCCACCTCCTCAAGAATGGAGGGGTTTGATTTATTATTGAATATAAGGTAACTTGAAATTGTTTATATGTTGAGAACATGCATCTAGCTAATTCATATTAACATAAAGAACACAACATTGCAACTTTCCAACTTAAAATGTAGAAACGTTATGGTCAGCTAGGTAACTTATTTGGAAGTATATGCAGTGTTATTATATGTGATCAAGATTTATATCCATTCGAATTTTGATGTTAATTACTAAAATTCAATATATGATCCCCATAGGTATTGGTGTTGCCGGAGTATTATTGTAGAGACTCCTGAGAGGACCGAATTGAGCCAAACTACATGTAGCTATGATCAGATGAAACTTTTGGATATACAGAATTTGAATATTTCCCACTGGGTAAAATATCAAAATGGATATTGTCTAAAAGTTGCTCAATGTTCATCCGTGATATCCCTAAGTAACGGTGTTCAATCTTGTAAAAGTCATCTGAGGAGTTCTTTATCAAAGTGCTCCAGAGTTTGCTATTACTATAATATAGTTCCGCGAAACCGCGAAAGGTTAAGGTTATGAGTATCTCAACCCTTGTAGAATCAATTATTCAATTCAAGTTTGACTTATCCTAACAGGTAGTAGGTGATGGCATCAAGTAATTACGGTTACTTAAGTCACGGGACTCGGCCAGCTAAGAATCCCTTAATTGAAATGTCAGCCGCGACGCTCTACGATGCCACTACGATTACTCTTGCTGCAAAAAGCCATTTTCTTCTGTCAATTGCACTTGGTCTAGCGTATACTTTGATGCAACCATGTAGGCAGGATCCGGTTTCGATAATGTGTTACACCATTGAATGAGTAGATGAACAGTTGTTACCAATAGTTTTGGCAATTGTAAAATGCACGAGTTTTCGACGTTGTACTCTGTATGTACGTATTAGGTACGGTGTAACATTGCTCCCTAATATGGAAGTGTTGTAAAAATTTCGAGGGGCTACTACGCTGGTACTTAGAGGACGATCCCGAACGAACGGATCGACCGATGGACATCGCTCAAATATTAGCTTGAGTGATCATCTCGTTGCAGCGACTGTGTCACGGCGTACTCCGTTCTCCGTGCACGCTGGGTGAATAGTTGGGTATTATTGGGGGCGAATACCACGATAGATACAATGTCTCGTCGTCGGCCAGGCCGCGCAGGTGTGCTGAGGATCGTATCGAACAGTAGAAGGTTGAAGTAATCATATTGCTAAAATTAAGTTCAATACAACAAGAACCAACCGCGGAGGAACCTCGGAAGCGCGGCGATTAACGATTCCCATCAAATATATGTCATTATTCTCCCAAAAGCCAAAGAAAGTTCCAACAGCCAAAAGCATAAAAGCAAACTGCCAATCGGGACGGGCCCTTGGATACTCCGTTTACTCGGTTCGGCTAGGGCGTGGGCTGAACGTTGGGTGTATTTCAAATCGTTGGTTACATGATTCATGAGCACCTCCAACTGCCAACCGCCAACTCTTCGTTCTGTGGTAGATAACGCTGTAATGGTTACTCAGCAGCGAATCTAGCCGATTCATTTAGTCGGTAATACCGTCAATTCCTCCGATACGATCCAGATCAGCTTCTTCCCGTCAGCGCGGCCCCCCATCTCTAAGCTCAGCCCGGTTAGGCGTGCCTCGATAATCGCCTGCTTGGATTTGCATCCTTGCAAGCGGAGCAAAAGCTCAATAGTTAACTGAACTAGTTGTTATGACCAACATGACCCTTATAATCAACATTACAAGGATTAATAGTCTAACGGCATACGGAGTAACGGGTTGTACTTTTTTGTTTTGTACGCTCTCGATGCCTTTCGTCACTGTAGGATAATTAAGCTGCCTAAATCGGCCACAATCCCGATAAGCTGGGTAAGTAACATGACACTGAGCCATTGGTCGCTGGTCACCGGTACGTGCATGTTGGGTCTAGCTGTTTGTACTAGGAAATAGACCAGCGTTCGAAGTTACAAGAGAGAATCTTACACCTAATCTTTTCTTTGCGGCTTCGATTAATTCAATGACGCGCATCGATCTCAATATATTTATTGATCGCGAATATCTACGACATGCAGGATTCGCGGAGGAATTTACTGCATCCAAGAGTTCAGTATTTCAACAATAAAAGCACGCACCACGTTTTATATCCTTTCGATTTGATCACCAGACGGGAAATTATTGATTGATGCAGATGTACATATTTATCTTGAAACGGTATTGACGGATCTGCTGTAGTCGGTAATATGGAGCACAATGATATATTTTCTGATTTGCGCACTAGGTTGGAAAGTTATGGAACAAAACATAACATATAACTAAGGAATAGGAATGTCTAAAAATGTACATTTTGAAAGTCTAAAAACCGGTCTAGTAGGCGCTAATCCCACGAATGTCAAAAACATCTCTATCCACTCGCTCTTATTACTTAATAACTGCTGACTGGCTGCTTGATTTATAAGACGCAGTCAGTGCACGCAAAATTGTACATAAACAGAGAAATTATGATGAAAGATTTCGTTCTCAGTCAGGAAATCACAGATCTACAATGTTGAGTCTTGACAGGTATTGGCTTACCGAGTGACTACTGTGCCTAATTGGATGTACCGGACATCAATTCATGCGTGCGGTAGGCCCGGAATGCCTCAAAATCTTGAATCATACGGAGAGGCACGGGTTTGCGCTAGAGAACTAACATAAAAGCTATGAAAGAACATCATAGAATATAGATCTGTGAGACAGTCTGCCAAGCCCGTTGTATCTGTATGGTCCCCACCCTACTGTCGTCTACAGTTGGTGCATTCTCGGTCCATCTCGGATGCACATTGATGCATGGCTGTGGAGTAATAATCGCCATGAGTTGGCTAGCTGCTCTACTCCCCAGCCCAAACCCGAAAAGCGAGAAGCGAGAAGCGAGAGTAACGATTACAGGGTATGTAGGGCTAGAGAGGTGCTAAACTCGCCATGTCTCTTTGGGCTACACAGTAAGCACGAAATACTAAACAGTCGCCGTTTCGTGATAGTTCTCCGGGCCCTTCTTCCGAGCAAATCGGTGGGATGCACGTAGTAGACTAGAATAATGAATTCGTGGCGCAAGTGGACCGGATCCGCTCTACACTACTACCAACAGTAAGTACTGAGTCCAGCATTAAATCTGTGAACTGCCCGTATATTGGAAATCAGGCGATCCATTGATTGTGTATTTAGTACTCCGTACAAAGTATGGTATATTGACAATCGATACTAGACGAATAACCCGACTCCTCAATAATTGGACTCAGTGAGTTATTTGTTGGATTTGTGGGAAGTGACTAGAACTGTGCAGTTATTATTGTTGTTCCGCCATGTGGAACCCGTGTTAGACTAACGAAACTCTTTTTGAGATCTCGATTCGACCAGTGAACGCCACGACTCGTGCCATGGTACTCCGTAGATGGATCGGAGATCCAGATTTCACAAGAATCCTCATTCTACGGGTACGAGGTGCAGAGTCGATGCATCAATTGATCAGTCGATCAGTCGGGACTAGGAGTGAAATTGGGATTGCGGCTGTATTATTATTGTATCAAATTCTGTATCCCGCTCATTAGGTCGATCTCGATCACTGTTGGACTATTGAAATTGAGCTGCAAGATCATACCTAGTCTGGAAAACGTCGTCCGATCTGAGACTTTACAGGGGTATGGCTTGGAGGCTTTCAAACGGCGTCGACTAGTACCTACTACCAACATCCACTATTCACCCGAGATCACTGGTGAGTGGACACATATGAACGATTTTCTCGACTCTCAGGGTCCTAGACGATGCCATGTCAGAGAGTAACGACGGCAATGATTGTCAGTCACACAGACTCGGCCGGACTTTTGAAAATACCGACCGGAAATAATATCCATGTGAGAGGTCTGAGAGCAATGGAACTATGCACTAGAAAATTCGATCAACCCCCTTACCGCATTTTTAACTACTCGGATCTTAGAATGCGGTTCGCTTCAGATTCATTGTTACACTATTACCATCCTACACGTATTCTATTTTGTCTTTGAGTTGAAGATCAATGGGTTTCAAAAGGATCGTACTCAGGAATGCCGATGTGAATAGCGAAGTTGCGAGACACAGTGAGACTGAGTATGTACATAACATGTCGTATTCGAAAACACAGTAGCATTCTCCACGCGCGGAAGGACGAATCCGTTAACGCATCTGTATGCAGTGTAGCCAAGAGGTCGTGATCTTTTTCGTGTTGTTCAACCACACTCCATAATAATACTACGTGGTGTCACTCGAGTGATCGATCTGGCAGAACAACGTGTCACTCATGCCGGACGGCGCATCGCGTCGCATAGCCCGAACATACTTGATGACTTTATACATTTTACTTTCTTTTTTACCCTTTCTTCTACCTCCTTGCGTGCTCATGTGATCAATTGATCCGGAGGACGAAAAAAGTGAGCTCCACTATCAATAATACTGTATATACACGATATTACAGTGCCTACCAACTACTATTCTTAATAAAAGCAATAGCCCTCACGTAGAAAAAAAGAAAAATAAATGAAAAGAGAAAATAAGAAGACATTCGTCTCTCACGGCGGCCGCTCTTAATGTATGCAGACTTGGTAGCACCGCGTAAATAATGTAATCAAACGGTTTCTCCCCGACGCGTCCGCTGTTACGCATACTGATTGCTGGATCGGGGCTTGGGCCTTGATAGATCCCGCGCGGCGAGGCTCGAGCCCAGGGATCGCGATCTTATCTAACCCTTTGCGGCGAGTCGCGTTCCTTGTTCTTGCAATAATACCATTATTATACCCCTACTACTGTTATTATGTGTGAGATTAAAAGTAATAATGCGGGCTGAAAGAAAGGGTTAGAAATAACAAATAGTGATATCTCAAAGTTGAAACCTCCGGCAGGGTCAGATTCGATAAACTTGGATCCTAGCCCAAATGAGAAAATGCTGCAGCGTGGCGAGTAATAAGGAAGCAAGGAAAAATAAATGAAAAAGGAAATGATCCTCGCCAGAGCCACATGAAATAAGATATAAAAGCAGAATAATGGATCGTCGTCAAACACGGAACTTTGTGTCCGCTGAATAATGCCGCGTGAACATGGCCGTTGACTGGGCTAGACCCGGAACCGAAGGAGCAGACGGAGAATCGCGCACTTGAACAAGCCAATGAGGATGGCTGGCGCAAAATACAAATAATAAATACAAATTGTTGCAGCTGCAGCCGAATAGACTTTAATTAGGGCGGGCGCGATGATACCGGGCTTGTATTATTATCTGGTACACAATATTACCGTTAGCCAGATCATGCAGGAAATCACAGATCGGTACACAGTACGTTCTCCGGAAAGTCGGGGAAAGCGCAGAACGGTCACGTACGGTACTGGTACGGTACCAGCATAGCAGTTACGGACGGGTACGGGCTGTTAGTACGGCGAAATTACCAGATGGGGCGGTATTGGAGTGTGCCCCGCCCGCTAACGGCTTAGCAACGTAGATTGTTAGATCCCTCGGGATGATCACTTGGCCTACCCAGCCAATCAACACCGCAGAGAAAATGCTTCCTCTTATCCTGTCCCTCAGATTCTCTTCGCGTCTGGTATTATCTTACTCAGTTGCTAGCAGGGTTTGGTGATATACGAGTCGCCCTCGGCACGTGGGATCGCCCATCGTCATGCTGCAGTCCATGCAACGAAACAGGAAATCAATTCGTCACGCCGCCCCCCTAACTATGTGCTGATTACTGAGTACTCTCATTGCCATCCATCGGCGCCTCCCCCGCGGCATCGACTCGCGTCGTGTCTGTGCGCGTGCCCCTTGAATCGTCGCACAGTCATATTCTTAGTTACCGTTGACGGCATAATGATAATCATCGTCGTCATAGTACAATAATAACGTCGCGACCAGAAATGAGAACGCTTGGCGCATGTGACGAAGCGTACATCCCGAGCACTATAACTACGGGATGGCAGATGCACGCTGAAGATAAATTGTCCTGGCCGCTCATTGGTCCGCACCCCCCAGGTTTAGCCTGGTCAGATGACCGATGGCCCATGCCAGATCTGATAGGGAGAAATCTTCAATGAGGTTAGGCGCCGATCCGCGATCACTACTTCCCTACACTACTCTCACTTCTTTCAGCTACTTGGTTGCTGCGCGCACGACATGGCTGGCTGGATGCTGCAGGCTGTGCTGCATAGAGGATGACTCTGTACATATACGCCCGCATCAGATCCATCTTGCGGCTGAGCCTGCCCACGTAATCAGGGTACATTACATGAGCGCCTGGTCCGAGAGTCCTGCGTGAATACACCGATGATCGCCCGGTCCTCGGGTAAACGCCACAAAGAGCTGTGCTAAATACCAAGTCGCAGCGTAGCCATTGGCGAGATGGGAGACATGAGGTCTCCACTCGCTGGAAGATCGATCTCATACCGCTGATTCAAGCATTAGTTTGGCTGCGGGCGAGATAAGGACGCCTAAGAAAGACGGTGAGCCGGCCAGCCAGCTTCTGACTGGCTGCTCGTTATATCCATAGTTGGATGTTGGTTTTTTTCAATCTTGATTCTTTGTTCAATCTCAGTGTCACCACCACATGTATTCTTGTCTAGACAGCTTCTCGTAAAAAGATAGCGTATTCAAACAATGCTCGGATGAGTACTCGGAAAAGAAAGAAATTAAACAAAGGATAAATCACCATTTTCCAACCCCAGTAGGCCCCGGACAAAATATTACTCACAGTAAAATGAAAAGGTATATGTATACGTATGGAACACAGATCGCCAAGCATAGTGGCAAAGTGTAAAAAAAGGCTAATAATGGATGATACAAGGCCGATGACTCAAGGAAAATCGAAAAAGGAACGCCCGCCCGGATCTCTAATCCAATCCGTCTCTGCCAACGCCATGATAGAAAACAGTGTTGAAATAAATAAACATTAACATCTCGCACCGAGTACTATCGGTGTGCCGGGGACGTAGAATCAAGGCCCTTCGGCTTGAGGTTCGACCCCAGGGCGGCAGCCTTGGTTGCCCCCATCTTTCGAGTCAACTTGGCGTAATGTAGCCCACACGCATTGCACAGAGTGCGAGCGCCGTCTGGTCCTCGACGCCATTCAGGAGTTTCAGCTCGATTACAACTATGACATCGTCCCGGAGGGGCCGCCTTCTGTATAGGTTTAGGTATTAGCATCAAGACCAACAAGATAGAGATATTAAAACTTACCCCTCGTCTTTTCTTCGCATCACCGCCAGTAAATCCCGTAGGACTCTTGAACCCATCTTGGTACATGCCTACATGTCCGTCGTCGTATCCATTCTCCTTATCATGACGCTGTGCTCTCTGTTCAGCTAACGCTTGTTCTTGACTTATAACCGCATTACGAATACGCAGAAGTGCTTCGTGATTGCGTTGTTGCGTTTGAAGTAGATCGTCGACTTCATGAACGGAAGGAAGCGATCCTAAAACGGGGCCAGATCGTTGGGCCTGGTGTGCACGCGTAGCATAGTGTTTAGAGAAGTCGAGGGTTTTGGTAGAGCCATCGATGATCTGTTGTCCCGGTTAATATCATGTCCAGCTCAAAACAACATGGATTCCTACCTCAGTTAATGACGATTCCACATCGTATGAATCGAGATGCCTCTTAATCGAATCGCTGTGCGGTTGCACTCCTGGACGCCCAACAATTTCTCTCTTATCATCCACGCGCATCGCATCGATGTTTGGTTTCCAGCCACCTGCACTGTAAGACCGATTGTCGTACGCTCCCGGTTGGCTGTGCGGTGGCTGCGATTGCCACGAGTATGGTTGAGAATATGGGTTATAGCCATTTGGCGAGGCTATTGCACTGGTAGGTGCACTATACTCGTAGGGGGCGGAAATTTGAGATGCGGATATCGACGTTGGGGCAGTTTGTGTGCTGGTAGTAGGTGATTTTCCAGACACTGACTGGAGTGAGGGTTTGCGAGAACCTTGGGTGGAGAGCGAAACCATGCTAGACCGCGATGGGTCTGCAGTAGCGGTCGGTGGTTGCGGTGGATGGTATTGCGCGTCTCGTGGAAATGAGCCCGGGGTGGGGGTTGTGGAAAAGGGATTTGGTGGACCTGTAGGCCCTTCGGTGCTGGGTCGGGAGAGGACGGTAGGTGGCGGCGGAGGAGCGTGATGAACGGTGTGAGATGGAGCGCCTGAAGAAGGAGCTGGATAAGGGAGAGGGTTTTCGTTGCCAAGTGCTTCATGGATCGATGGCAAGGACTGGCGCGGTAGCTGCTGAGATGGGTCTTTATCTATCTCCATAGACCGGCGCGGAGCGGGCGAGTGGCTATGTGTGGGAGGTATTGAAGAGACCGCACTCGCAGGATACGAATAAGGAGGCGGAGGGCCTGGATACATGGATGTTGGGCTCACCAAAGGAGCTGCGTTCACGCTGACACCGGTCGCCATTGTCGTTGGGTATCTTGGGGCACTTTCCAAGCCTTTTGTGAAATCGGGGAAGCCGATACTTTTGTACTGGTATCTAGAGGAAGTATCAGATGATTGGTCATGAACGCAGCGCGTCTACAGATAGACAGACACGATCGCACTGGTATGAAAACAACGCACCTTGATTTATGATCGACTTCCAATGTCCCCATCCCTCCAGTCGCACCGGAGTTAAGACAGCGACGTCGCTGGCGAGATCATTCACAGTCGGCGGGTACCGAGTCGACAGGTTGGAAGTCGCACGACTAGCAGGTGGCAGGCCAATGCTTCGCCCGAAAATGGATTCGCCAACCTTCGAAAGACTCTTCGCTAAGACCCGAAACAGGTGGGGATGGAGGAAAAGTTAGAATGTGCGTCGAGGTGTTGGGGAGGGTTTGGTGATGGCAGTCGCGCCAGACGAGAATGGCGGCCAGTCAAAACGGCCGTCCTACAAGACAGATCAGATCAGGGAGAGCCGAATTCGCAGCTGCGATCGCAACAGCGTAACCTTGCGTACAGCGAGATCGCGGTCCACTGAGGCTTGAATGTAGCGACCGACGTGGGCGGAGGGGCGGAGCGGGATCGCAGATGCAAGGGACTTTAATCACTGTCGCGTGGAATATGATTATATAACTGCTCACCCTCTCTTTTTTTTTCGCGTTTCACAAACGGTATTGTTTCGGCAGGTAACAACTCGACAACACAAAAGGGCTGGTAAGAGACTGCCGAAAAGAGAGATAGGGGGGAGAAAAGTGAAAAATGAGAGAAAGAGAGAGAGGAGGCGGCGGCGTGGTAAGGAATGAGGAATGTGACGAGGTGAGGAGGAGGAGGAGGAGGAGAGGAGGAGAAGAGGCAGCAGCAGGAAGATAGAGATATGAGATATGAGACGAGAAAAGGAATGGACGGGGAACGAAGAAGGACACCAGTCGTTTTTGAGCCACCAGATGCGCGGAGATCGTAGTTCCAGTCTTTGGCGTCGAACACTGTTGACTGCCTGAGGGGGGTGGGGCGAAGGAACAGGAGAGTTTGCTGAAGAGGGTTTAGGCGGCTTTGCAGCACGGTTTGCCTCCCGCGCGGTTTTCTTAGGATTGCTGATAGTTGCTCGAATGATTAGGAGGGACATCCAGATGGTAGCGCAAAACTCTAGCTGGTAACAATACATAATAGTAATAATAGTAATAGTAATAGTAATAATAATAATAATAATAAATAATAGCGCTGCGGAATGTTGATAAGGTCTGGGCAGTGGCCAGTGGGTGGTATGGGTGTTACCAGACGATACCCGACGCGACGCTGCGGATCTCGACGGTAATAAATCGCACAGAATTATATAATACGGGCTAGCATCTGCTCCAGCAAGCAGCCTAGTACTCTTACGGCCACGGTCCCGCTGGCCAGCCAGGGGCTCCGTAATCGAACCGTATCGCCCATGTATTAATCTTGCTGAAATTGAAGTGCGAAACAACATCACCATCATGACGTCGGCGTGCCCATGCTTTGTTAGCACCGCTACGATTAAGATTAATATTATCTGCGCGATCGGCGAAATCGAAAGGAAAGAAAATGGACGACGGACAGATCGTCGGGAGGCATCCCAGGCAGGCTCGTATTCGCTACTTCCAGTGTCCCTCATTGTCTGGTATTTATTGGGTTCATTGTTCAGTCGCCATGCGCGAGACGGAGGAGGGTGTGCCAGTAATACATCGATTCGATACGATCGTCAGATCATACCGATAGGATACGATACGGTAAGCGTACCGGAATGACGAAGCACGAACCGAGCAGGGACGAGACAAGACGAGATTGATTGATGGGCGTAAAAGCTCAAAGCCAGCCAAACGCAGCCAAAGCCAATCCACCCCCCTAGCCAGCTAGCGTCGGGCCCGCGTGGACGCTTAAATAGGAGGCGCCCACCAATCATCGTGTTGCACTGCCCCCGGCGTGTGGGCCCCCGCATCAACCAGATTCATCGATCGCCGTATGCGCTGCCGACTTGTTGCCGCCTGGCCATGTGAGCCTGCGAGCCCTATCGAGCATTCTCCGGACTCCGCCTATGGAGTCCGTACCACTGTAGACGGGACGCTTTGGGAATTGATATCGGCACTGGCAGCCAGGCATCTGGAGCGGCAAGGGGCTGTCCTAACATATAACATATATATATCAATTGCGATGAATTATGCACTAGACACTATCACTATAGCGCTATATTAACACTATATGTTATATGCTATATTCTATACATATATGTATATTATCTAGAATAGATACCCCCAACAGCGTTACCAGTTGGCCGGACATTAGCCCGGAAACTCCCCTGTGTCATGCTAGAATAATGCGAAGTTCATTGTTGATCAATTGATTCCTATCATTCAAGCCTTACGGAGTAGATCCATTTAAGCAGGCGTGCTATTGCCGCTACGCCCAGTGAAGAGCGACGGGATGTATCATGACACATTATTGCCCTTACTGCTCCTTATTACCGCCGGCATGATTCACGCGACACAACAGCCAACAGCCGTCGTGTCACAGGGCCGATAGAGATGCAATGCCATCTATCTCATGCAGGTGTGATTCATATTTTGAATTCAAACCAATCTCAGGCAGCCTGCGGTGATTGGTGGTGCAAAGCTGCTGCTTAAGTTGTCAGTCCGGCTCATGCCTGAGGCCCAGTGCCACCATTGGCCTGTCCGCTTCCCTTCCCGGTCTAGTGCTAGAACGATGCACGGTCACTTGTGAGATCGGTCCGCTCAGCGAATAGCCATCACACACCGGCCAACTCGTGGGCTGGATCGAAGGATCAAGTTACCGTTGATACGGAAAATAGTAGGAATATTACTAATGGTCGACCCATCTCACTAGTTGACCTAGATTGTCGATGCTTCGCACGGCCTCACCGCCTGAGAATAAGAATATGGGGCGTCGAAACATTCCACCCTACCAACCGATCGATGTATGGCCATGAGATCATTGAGATCGTTCTGCGACGAACGTACCATGGTACCTCCCTGCTTCCCCGCCTTAGTCGCGCCTCCTGTGAGGAGAGAAACAAAAACACACCATGCTTTCTGTTTCAGATAGCATGATTAGTATCGTCCGAAATTGTGAGTCAAATCGGTCTAGAATAATCGTCATTAGTATTACTGTAAAGAGCGAATCTCGGAAGGAATTAGAATCAAGGATAAATTACAGGGACATCAGGATGCCCGCCAAGCTTTCTCTGTGTGGACGGGGGCTCCGGTGATGCATCGCCGATTTTCCCAATCACATACGCAATCCTATCATGATCGTTTCTCGGCCTGCACTTGACCTACTTTTACACCGAGGCGCATCCTCGACGTGTCACACTGTAGACCAGCAATTGCCAAGAAATGCGATGCTCATGATCCATCCCTTTCATTATTAATATTCGAATAAAGTTTAGGCATCGACCACATCTATCCTCCAAAGGGAGAAGAAATTGCTCTAGCGTCAAACTTGACCAGACCGGTTGCGGCTGGCGTCAGATCGTATCTAACCAACATGGAGATGATGTTTGTTCCTAAATTGTATCACCGCAACAACGAGCTCATGGTTTGTGCATCGCCTGGACAGAATATTAAGAACAACTCGCTGGCCCGACCACGGTACGCATGACCGAAATTTGAAGAGTGAAAGATGTAAGTCTAGAAACATGAAACATGCCAGGCCGATTTTTAAGACAAACTTCGACAAGCTCTTATCTCTTGCCTTTCCGAGAAACTGCGCTGGCCCAGACTCTTGGATTGTCCTTTAGTATAACCCGGGCTCCGTTCTGGAATGAGAAAGCATAATGGCTGGGCCCATCTCCAACATTTGGATCTCGGCGGGGAGGTGACATCTTATCAGGATTATCCATCGTTTGAGGCTGCGCTAATAGACATGAATACAATCAATCATCGCAGGTGCATATGTAGCTAACCACCTTGGCGCGATGCTTATCTTCATCTCCCACCAGGAACCAGAGATGAGAGACAAGACCAAACAATGGCGTTTCCGAGCTGAATGCAGCTTGGCGTATGGTGATTTCGGCGTTGTACTGTCCTCCCCGGAGGTAGCGTGGCTGGCTGCGAGCGTGTTTCAGTGTAGCTTTCACATGGGCCGCCTAATGCCAATCGATCTCCCGTGAAGTTCGACCCGGTAAGGTAAGATTATAGCAGCGTGACAAGGGCGTCAGAACGAGGTAAGAAAGTTGAAACTAGGTATTTGGTTCTGCGTTATACCGTATGCGATCGATTGACTCTCTCGTGATGGAATCGCGCTATCGTCGTAGGTAAGGTAGCTGTGGAGCTGGTCGGGGTGGAGCCGAGCTGGAGTGATGAGGCTGGAGGAGGACAAGGCGTCGAGAGCAGAATACTAATGACTCATGAGGACGCTATACGGAGTGCCCGTGGTGGTTGCAGTTCGCGTTGACTACGTAGTGATGGTAGGCGGCAGGCGCGACCGGCAGGGAGTAGCAACGGCAGGCACGATCGTTTCCCTGCCCTGTTTCCTTCCCTAACACTAACACAACACTAACACAACACTAACAAACACTAACAAAACACTACTACCAGGAGTTTCAACCCAGTCATCGCCTCAAAGATTAGCTTGTACCTGGAGCCCAGGCCAGAGCGCCTGGTCCATGCTTCCTTTTTCCTTTTTCCTTTTTTTGAAGAGCCTATTCTTCCATGTTAGTTCGTCCCGACTTTGGACTTTGCTAAAGACCTAGTATGTGCTCAATGTCTTTCAAGTTTCTGATGTTATTGTTGTTATTATTATTACTATTATAGTCGAGGATTAACAGCCTGCAGCAGCCTGTCCTAATCCAGCAACTTCTCCGTCTGCGATCTTCGCGTTTAAGGGCGATGGGCTGATGATGCACTGCGCTATCGCCACGATCCTGCTCGCTGGCCGTCCGCCCCTCTTCCTTCGGTCGCGATTCATAATAATGCCATATAAGCTATGCCGTGCTCATGAACGGCGCCCCAAGAATCTTGAGCCTGAAATCTCGACGCCGCTAAATAAAAGTCCAAAACTAGGCCTCGTAAATGAGCCCGTCCGCACGAATTTTACGATGATGAAACTCTCAGTCTCCGTGGATGGATAGATACTGTTTCTCTGTGCAAGCCCTCCGCTGTGATGCTTAGATAGTGTGGGGAAATGCGCCGTCGCGGAGGAATTAAAGTTCAAAACGGCGAGCCGATTATGATTTATCCATCTGTCATATGCAGGTCGCTCGACTGAGAAACACCATACATGTCAACAACACAGAGTCCAGCCAAACACACTTGGCCCGTGACCTAACATCTTCCCAGATCATGATCTATGTGGTCAAAACTCCGCACTCGCTTTCTCTCGGAATAATAGTGCAACAAGTTACACCTGGGGGATACCTCGGACTAAGTTCGGAGTGTTGCGCCACATAGCATCCGTGAGATAAAGGAAGAAAACAGCCAAATTGTGATTACATTGCAGGAACAGGGGAGAGGCGACCAATTGCGCTGAACAATAATTCTTTTTTCACCCTTTAATATTAATTTCATGACGGTCCGATTGTCTGCAATTCGGGGCAAGCGATCAGAAGATCGTAGCTTTTAAATTTGCCGAGGCCCCATTACGCAACGGTCATCGACTGATCGTGATGGCTGCTCCACCAGAACGTTAGTGAACAACGCAATTTCCCACTCAGTGGAGTGGCCTTTCTGTCGGGGTCAGTGTGAAGCCCCTACCGTCGGGTTGGAATGGTGTCTCGCCAGCTACCGTACTAAATCCTGCGTCATCTTTACCAGCATTATAGCCAGGGTTTGTGCCAGCCACAACTATAATACCAGTTCTATTATTGAATTTGAGACCTCGGGAACCATTGGCAATGCCCAATGAAAACAAATCTCCGCTGCGAAATTAGATTGACAGCCGTTTCATACAGACTCTGGAAGCTGAAGCTAATGGTGCTAGCGAGTGATGATCTTTTTCGATAAGTCCTGCCAACAGGGTGGCCGTTCGGCTGGCGCCGTTGATCCGTTCTGTTCCACTGTTGCAAGTCCACGCGATCTCATCAAAGGACGAAGTCCCCTGTACAACAATAATAGACGGCGATTAGGTTGGCTGGAGTGTACACTGTATTTTCTCCCTGCTACGCTGAACGGACAGCCCATTTAATACGTCAATCCAGAGCAGAGCGGTACGGGGTATCAAATGCCCGTCGCAAGCGGGGGCGAAATTTAACACGCTTTAATACACTTCTTCGCAATTGGTCGTTTATGCTCGTTTTTACAGACTGTTCGGACCTGCTGTTTCGAAAGCTTCTTCTGAGAATAAAAATGAATATAAATAGGGAACGGACCATGTATCATAGCGATTAGGCTGGTCTGGATCATCAATCGCAGAGAACCAACATGTAATCATAATGGATTTGCGAGGTCTCTGTCAAGCATTTCGTACTCTGTACGACTCTTCAAATTTCCCTTTTGATCAAATCTAATTGACTCAATTTTGGGGCCCCTGCAAAAAAAAGTAACAGGTGGAACGAGCACGGACGCATAATCTCCTCCTGGCTCCTGCAAAGTTATTGGCAGATTACTAGATGCCATGCACAGAGCCACCGATTTCCATTCGCGGTGATGACAGCTGCCGATCGAGATTCGCATGTACCCACTGCAACGGCTGAACGGCACCTGGCTCTTGCTGGAAACCTATGTTCATGTTGCAACCTTTTCAAGCGCTATGACTATGCACGGGACCAATCTCATAGGCTAGACATTCGTTCAACATCTTGCTCAAGAAATGACTCTCACAAATGCGCACGGTGCACGCTCTCTCCTTGGACGCTGTGTACACTAGACCCAAAACAGCCAGGAATATTATAAGACTTTATTATATTATCATTCTCCATAAGAGCGAATCCCTTGCCGTTTATGGCCTCTTTAATACAGGCTCAGAGTGCGAGGTAGTTTGCAAATGCGAAGTTCCCTTCCAAGACAGAATCCTCCAAGCCTAACTAACCTACTAGCCATATTCATGTGAGCTTTGGCAGGGTTTCTAATACCATGCCTATCAACATCTCCAACCTAGGCTTACTGAGCACTACGTAGTGAGTCCAGACTAGATTCTACGCCAATATCTGCCGAACCTCAGCCACACAAAACCGGGCCAGAGGGTCCACGAGAACCCTTCAGCATCTTAACCCGCGAACAGTACAGAGCTACATCTGACGACGACCAGGGAGATAGAGCACAATAACCATGTATCGTCACTATCGTGAAGATAAATTAGCATGACTAATATATTTTCACTACTATTATTTTATACGAGGCATTGGCTTTGGACAGAGTTAGTCTGTTTTGGAATTCCTAGTTTACACCGAATGAACTTCAACTATGATGGCTACCTCGGACTTTTCAGGACGCACCCTGTGGCCTAGTACTTTTGATGCTGATGCAAATGTTGAAGAGTCGTTGCCATTATTGTTGGCTAGGTATGAACAGTGACATCGGCAGAAGGGAAAAACCGGGTTCCCGCCTACCAAGAATACGCGATGAGCAGGGGTGTGGTCATCTGTTGCCACTGTCAAGGCAATAATAATGACGGTGGCCAAAGCTTGAACATGACAACCCTAGGCTGTATTACCTAGGATGAAAAGTCGGCTAACCGTCATTGAGCACGGGATTTGCGAGACCTGCAGCTTTATGGTGCAGTTCGTCTGCCTTAGTTCTCCAATGAAAGGATGTAGAAAGGCCAAGCGTGCCCGCAATATGTAGATTGCAGCCTATGCAACACAGTTCAATAACTCCAACCTATCAAAATTCACGAAGCAGAAGTAGTGTGGTTGATTTCCTTCTTGCATCGACTGAGGATGAATACGACCAGGATCGAAAAGTACTAGGCTCTGCCATCTGAAACTCCAACAAACTTGCAGGTCTAAATCGCACATGCAAACTAACTAATGCGAACAGGTGCAGATGTATGCGTGATTTGTTTTTTGGCCGGTTTCTTCACTGTGCATAGCCTGCCGGCAACTTTGAATCTTTCAATCCGAATTTTTTCATTCGCCCAGACTCCAAGTGTGACGCACCTATTCTTCCGAATAAGGTGCATTATAGATGAATTTTACTGCACTCCTGCTTCTGTTTAGTAGAATATTCATAAGAAAAGTGTATCTATACATACATCCATACGACTTTTACAGTCAAGAATCATATATTTTCAAAAATATTACGCAGAAATAGAGCTAGAGTTAATTATCTTTTGCCATGGAACTGCCGATACCCCGCCTTTGATGTAGACCATGTATCTTTCTTGGTTATGTATCTCAAGTACGTATCCTTGCTAAGCCAAATCTAAGGACTATGTCCTGCATTTTACTTTCGTTCTGACTCGGGCGTCACTCTAACAGGTACAGAGTCTAGTACTCGTTCGTGCTTTTTAATATCTTGTTCCAAAGACTGCAAATATCAGCCATTTTAATACCTTTGTGAACATAATGAAGGCCTCTGTTCTGATATGAACCTTCTACACTTTTAACCCTTCATTTAAACGGGTAGAATCTTAAACCTCTATTGGTTTTATCAATTTTGAATTTCGTAAATCATATCAATCCGGTAAAGCCAGTGCGACTAGAATCGGTCATCAAATGTCTCGACTCTCACCGCTCTTTGATGATACATACCGACGAAAATAGAAAGTTGCATCTGATGGGTACGAGACTAAGTTCTCTAGTTTAATATTTTGTTTGATAATCGTCGTCCACAGACATCAATTAGTTGATTAGCCACGGTCCGGAGATACTCGGTATACCAGCCGGAGCGCGATCAGACAATGGTCTATCGGAGATTCGACTTTAGAACTAATGCATAGACGATGTAAAGAATTCGTTACCTTAAATATAGATGTTGAAGTACCTAGACGGTAGAGCTTAGATATAGTCGAATATCTATATGTCAAAATAAACAAAATATCATGGCTATATGAAACACCAGTCTCTTCATTTCGAAGAGCGATGCGGAGGTATAATTATAATCATCTAATCAAGTCTAAGTCTTCTTTCCCGTCAGCATCTGCCAACCCACGGTCTCATTCATTCCCTCCTTCTCAGACATTTCATGAACAGCTCTGATAAGATCATAAGATATCTTTTCGGACACAACGCTATCGCTGTGATAATCAGGATGATTTGCCACAAAATCGCGGATCCATTTAGCTCCAGTCCAAAGAGTGCCATTGGCTCGTTTCCTGATCAAATCCAGATAGCGTGCTAGTGAGCATCGAGTCTCGACATCGACATTTACACTGTTCAGATATGACTCGACCAATGGAATAAGCCCTGGAAAGGTGCCATCCGCAGAGCCGTTGATAATGTCCGATATGCTCATCAGCGCATACTCGGATTCAACAGGCCCTAATGGAGGAGAAGGGGGGGCGCTGGCAGGAGTAGACGAGCCCGCAGAGGCTGGCCCGGTTCCATTAGTCTGATGATACGGCTGATGTTGTCGAGACGCTCGAGAGGGGAATGGATTTTTGCGGAAATAGAATTTCTTGTCCAATACCGCATTGCGAGCATGCGCTGTTTCCATATTTTCTGTAGTTCGCGGTATTGGGATGTAAAAGTTCAAGTCAAAGCTGAGGATAGCTCTTGTAACGAGCACAATGAAGATGCTGAAAGCAGCATTTTCAAAATCTGTCATCTGAATCTCCATTGACCGAAACTCCACTCTCCAGCCAATATCCTTATCAGGTGGCGGGGGCTTGAATCGCATGTGCTGCCAGTTAGTTGACTGCAAGTTCTCAAAGTGATTTACCTCTTTGAGATCTAATTCCTTTAGATCTTCGGAGAAAATCACGATGGGGTCTCGAATAAAAAGATGTGCAAAATGTGTTGCCAACAGATCGTCCATGCCACCTTCTATCAACCTCGCTTTGAGTTCTTCATCAACAACAAGATCAGGATCTAAATACTCCTTTCGCAGGCGCGGGTCTTGGGATATATATGTTGAATTGGATGCATATCGGGATTTGGGAATTCGCCATCGATCATTCTTGAGAGGCTTTTAACAAGTTAGTTTATCTGTGAGAACACAAATCACCTAATACTAATACATACCACTTCACCGAGTTCTTCACGTGTTCGGCAATCGACAGCCCGACTGATTTGATTCCAACGAACATCGGTGTCTACCAAGAATCCTTTATATATTGGCGTCGCAGCTGTTAGCGCTAAGAGAATCGGGCCCAGCGGACTCAGCTGATCGTATAACTTCCTGCCTTCGGTAATATTTTTCGATTGGAATGTTATTTGTAGACAACAACTGCCCATGCCAAAGGCCATGGCATCCATATAGACATGGCCTTCCTTAGCAGCTCCATTCCTGACGTCGTCATCTTCTGGCCAGTTATGCAGATCATAGTTCACCGTTGGATCATGGAAAGGCCATGAGGTTTTCTTGTCTCTAAATATCGGTACATTTATTTCAACCTTGCGTCCGCGTCTTGATCTAATATTAGCTGCGAGCGTTGGAAACCTAATGTGAGGATTGGCAATTTCATCTGGGACGAACTGAGACCGTAAGGCTGGACCTGATGGAGGATAGTAAGGCTGAATGTAGTCGTCCTTAGTTCCTAGTCGGGGGAACGTGGTGAGGGTGATTGGATATTCATTGGCAGCCATGTGGCTTTTAGCGATTTCACGTCTGCCAATATACTGTTAGGCCAAAGGCTTGCGTGGATTTTACATCAGTCATACCTCCAACGCATATTGGATTCTACCTTCAACAAATCTCTAAAGTCTATTCCCCACGGTTGCCCTGGAGTTGCTTCCAGCATAAACCTCCCAAATTCTGGATGAAATGTTGGTAGATCTTCATCGTCACTACTGCAGCGTTTAGTGGTTCTCTCATATGTAGCCTCTAGCAAATGGCCTACCGTTTAGAGCTCATGCTGGGAACGTTTCCTCCGACCCTCCACAAAGCCTCGTTGCGTGCTAGGGATTTGAGAATCTCCGCCTGGCGGAGCGATAATCGTACTTTGTGCTTGTCATCATCGAGTGCTACAACGAGATATTCCACCTAAAAAGTCGCGAAGCACGTTAGCTGTGGATCAACAGTCTTTCGTCACGGACACTAACTTCGTCTCCCCAGAGAAGCGCATCCCGTTCTTTTCCTTTTGCCCGATTCCATATCGCGAGAAGTTGCTAATCCAACCCGTCAATATCTCCATCAACTAGACCAATATATGTACCCTCCGATATAGGGAAAAAACCAACCTCGATCCCCCATTTTCGGACCTTGTCGGCATTCTTCTTCGCCTCGGGCCATTCTAGTGCGGTGCCTAGTTGACTTGCAAGTTTGAAGTTAGCACATCAGCTCCGTCTTGATCAGGGTTCAGGATTGTTCTCACAGTAACCCCATTGCATCAGAATGTCCACCAGATCGGACGCGCTCCAATAGCCCAATCTCTTGCGGAAACAAACGAGCAGCCCTCCTTTATGAACACAAAGCAGCGTAAGGTCACCGAGGTAATCCTGGCTGGGAATGACGAGGAGAAGATGTCAGCCCTTTCTTTAGCGCATTGGCGTATGAGGTTTATAGCAGAGAATCGCCGCGACGCTCAAAAGCTCTAGCGAAGATATGCGCCTTTGCCCCCTCAGTCGCCGAAGACTTTCTTATCGGGGGTTAATTGCAAAAGCCTGATTCCTAAGCAAGATGTGGGGTTCACCTGCCAGCAAAAAGCGCGAAGCGGGGCATGCTGTCGGTTGACGGGATCAACGCCGCTCGCTGTTTGCCATGAGTAATGGTGATGTTTTATTTTTCCCTTCACAGCTGACCTCGAAAGTCATGCGAGATGCCACTGCAGCATCAAAAGACAGGAACGAACGGTCGAGGACCAAATCGACAGGGGCGATGGTGTGCTCTATCCTGCGCGCGATTGGCACACCAAGTATTTAGAGCTGCATGAGTAGCTTTGACATGCATCACACCTCATTTGGTTGGACAGCAGACTAGCCTAAGAATTAGTGGATGGGAGATCGTCTGAGAACATTCTACAATAGACCTTTCAGCGAGTAAGTTGAAGAGTTGGAGTCGGTTGGGCACTATTCTCTCTACTTATCATGTAGTAGGCTGTGAGAGCCATGTACGATTATAAGGTGGGTTGTTCATTACGGTTTGTTGGACAGGAGCATTCCCCTGCTGCAACTGAATGGCTCAAAACCACTATCGAGTACCAGAGGTAGTTTGGCGTATCATGGTATCTCTAGATGTATCGCCCTCTCTCGACAGTGCCAGAAAGCTCGCTTCCATGAAAATATTTTATAATATGCCGCAGAAAAATTCACTGTATTGTTTGTATCTGATCCAATGTGGGACGCAAGTTCCCTTGGGAGGCTTGGAACGTGAAAACGGACTTGGATTATAGATTATCCCAACGCCAGTAATTTCGACGACCAATGTAATACTATATGTACATCATCGGGTGTATGCCGGCTCCGATTGGCATAAACGGAGAGAAGTCAAGAATATATGGTATCTCAGGCGGCAATTACAACCGTTCTAATTGCTCCGCTCGCCCCCCTTTGCTGCTCGCAGTTCGTCCATCTTAGCGACTCGCTTCTTGAATTCATCGTATTGGCACTTTTCATAAGTATGTCGTTCCGTCTGGTGAAGAGACATATTATTAGCATAATCACCACAGCGTTGGACGAACAACCACAGGTTCAGGATGGTATACCTCGCACTTCCAAGGAAGATAGTACTCCTCTTGTCGACAGCGGTTGAGCGGAATCAGCAGATGAGCGCAAGAGTCCCTGTATGCGAGAGGCAGGCGGGCATCAGACATCTCCTTTGGCGTAGCTAAACAACGATTTGCACGGTTAGCCTGATCAGGGAATTGAAGCCCAATTGCGAGTAATTACCAGTGCCATCAGACACGCCAGCAAGATTCTTGACGGCCTCCACAACTGTCATCTTGAGCCAAGGTTGTGCGGAATCAATTGAATGATGTTGGTGTGGAACAGTTCGAGGCTCTTTCCTCCCATCAAGACAAGCTCTCCATCATCGAGAGTTGCCGTGCTGCTTTCCGTCAAACCCGTGACACACATCACGTGACCTATATATCTCATTAGTGCGAATTTGGATTAGCGCGGTTTTACGCGTCTCGAAAGCGCGCCGAGGGTGCCAATTGCTCAGGACTCCGTGTGTCCATGTCATGCCTTGGTGATCCACGGTGGCTAAGATTGAGAAATTCGATATTCAATAAAATTCTATAGCTGGTCTTGGAGAGCAGTTGATGTGTCCACACCCTGGCTCACTGTTTCTCGCTGAACTTATGCTCAGTGGCCCTCCCGCCCTTGATTTTGCACTGGTGACTGACCGCTAAAGAGGCGGATAAGATTCAAGATGGCGGGGAGCAGCGAAGGCATCATATACTCTGCAACTTATAGTGGGGTAGGTTTTTTCATATGCCATGGAATGCTTCCCATTCCTGTTTTACGGCTTATTACGACGGTAGCTAACTCGTTTATGCTTCAAGGTTCCCGTCTATGAATTTAAACTAGATGGCGAAAGTGTGATGAGGCGGAGAGCAGACGATTGGATCAATGCAACACATATTCTGAAGATAGCAGGGTTTGACAAGCCATCGCGAACGCGGATTCTAGAGCGCGAGGTCCAAAAAGGCGTCCATGAGAAAGTGCAAGGTGGTTATGGAAAATATCAGGGTACGAGACTGGGGTGATTCGAAGTTCATATATTGACATGGCATCTGATCTGTTTACTAGGAACATGGATTCCGCTATCCGATGCGCGTCTTCTGGCCGAACGCAACAATATCCTAGACAAAATCCGGCCCATATTAGATTATGTCGCAGGAGATCGAAGCCCACCGCCAGCACCAAAGCATACCACTGCCTCCAAACCGAGGGCCCCCCGATTATCAGCTGCCGCAAAGCGGGCTGCCTCACGGGATGATTCTTTTGCAATGAGAGCACCTCGAATGAATGCCCCCAGCTTCGCGCAAGAGAGTTATGAAATGCCGCCTCCTCAATTCGAGGAGGAAGAGTCGATTGGGCACACGACGCTCGAAACGTCCTCGATGATGGCAGATGATGATATGATTCCAATGTCGCAACACTCAACTCATTCTAGAAAGCGAAAGCGTAGAATGAATGAGGCAACTGCGATGTCGATAAGTGAACAGGAGCATATATTATATGGAGATCAGCTTTTGGATTATTTTATGACTGTGGGCGATGCTCCAGAAGCGACGAAGGTGCAGCCTCCAGTACCACCAATTAATTTCCAGGTTGATCGTCCTATTGATGACCAAGGGAACTCGGCACTTCACTGGGCTGCAGCCATGGGCGACTTGGAAATCGTACGAGATCTGCTTCGTCGAGGCGCAAATGCACAAGCTTTATCTGTCCATGAGGAGACTCCGCTCGTGCGTGCCGTTTTGTTTACAAACAACTATGAGAAGAAAACAATGCCTTCGCTTGTCAACCTGCTTCAAGATAACCTCACTTTCCGAGACTGGTTTGGTGCCACCGTCTTCCACCATCTCGCAGAAACCACGCGAAGCAAGGGCAAATGGAAGAGCGCCCGTTATTACTGTGAGGTCCTGCTCCAGAAACTGCGTGATACATTCCCGCCGCAGGAGCTTGACATGCTACTTTCTTGTCAGGACTCAAATGGGGACACGCCCGCCCTTGTGGCCGCCCGGAATGGGAATTTCCGTTTGACTTCTCTGTTCCTCCTCCACTGTTCTGAGTCCGGAAATTTGGTAAACCAGAAGGGCGAGACAGCTATTAATCTCATGGACCAAGCAAACGCTGAACGCGCGATACCACACGCACCTTCTAGTGTGACTTATGTTAATGACCACCATGATCTCGAAACCCTTGGCGTAGCAAGTACCGGACGCGCTTTGAAACTAGCGGCGGAGTCTACTCCTGAGACTTCCGCGTTAGCTTCTAAAATCGTGGCTCTAATGGATGAAGCAAACCGAAAACTCACGCAAGCCTACGGAAGTGCTAAGATAGGACAGCATAATGCGGATGCGACAAGCCCACAAGACCTGTTTGAGCAACTAGAAAAGGACCGGGAGACGATCCAAAAAGAGAAAGCTGCCTTGTCCTCCCGAGAGAATGTGCATGACAGTGTTGATTCACAGATGGCTCGGTATAAAGAAGTCGAAGAGCGATGCACATCGTTAATTGAACAAATCCATCATCAAAAGCTATCAGACAGTTTTGTAGCTGTATCTACAGCGACCAAAGAGGCTTCCCCGGGTGGTGACCCGACTTCAGAAGAACTACAGCAACGTTATAGTCTAATCCGATCATTAATTTCGGCACAACAATCCCGGCGTACGGCCGTGCGGGATCTTGTCCAGCAGAAGGCTGATGCTGGAGTAAGTACAAAGCTTGATATGCATCGCAAGCTTGTCTCGCTAGCAACCGGGTTGAAAGAGGATGAACTCGACCCGATGTCGGCTGAACTTGCGGAAACACTCGAGTTTGACCGAATCAATGAAAAGACGGCGGATAATCCATCATCGGCAGAGCGGATGCTGCTTTCCAATGAACGGGCCTCTGCACATTCCATTGCTGCTGGTTTGAGTGTCCCCGTTGATGTTTGAGCACCACTGCGATGGTAGCCGTCTATGCACTTACTGTACGGTTCTATTTGCTTCGTATCTCCCAGCGCTCGATCATGCATGTCACTTTTATGTATGAGTGCTTGGCAGGATATTCATGAGCGCTCCAGAGCAGGTTCAAAAGAATATACCCTACGTTCTCTTTGTTCTTACTTGATCTATTATCCATCAACGTCGTTGACTGAATGAGAAGACATCAGCACTATTTCCTGAGTTTGAATTCCGATACCCGCTTTTTGCTTTAACTGTACTTCCCGTTTCTGGCTTTGTCCTGCACATATACTCCGTACCAGCTTTACTATATAGGCGAGGCGATCTATATACTGCGATGAAGACGGCATGATGGCCCACCACGAACAGCCTCAGCCAGGGGTTGTTTGGATAGCAGAGATGATTTGTTCTTTCGACTTGTTCTTGGCAATATACAAGGACGTGTAGTAGTACATAATTGATTACATCAGGGTCGCCCTGCCGCCATGCATTTGACCATTCAATACTTGCTCGTATATGACCATATGTACAATGGACGAAATGACTATCTGAGTCATCAATAACAGTGAATATGCCTATGCCATATGTGAAGAGAGAAGAATTGGTTGATCATCATCGAAAGGGTGATTGGCCGCTCCACTCGTTCAGAAGACAGGGGCCAGAGGCCAATGACACGTCGCTGTGGGGGCGCCGCGTCAAGGGACAAGCGAACGGGCGGCGCTGGATGGCCAACTCGGGCTGGCCACGTTGACACGCCAGTCCAGCCCTCGCGTGATCGACTGGCCCAGACGGGCCAACCGCCGCCGAGAACGCGCCCGCTTGCTACAGCTCACCGCCGGCTGCGGGGCGCTCCGGCTGCCTGATTGGCCGCTGCGCCTGTCGAAGACGCCCGTAAGGCTAGGCCCGTCCGCCTCTGACTATTATTGCTATTCCCCATGATTATTGTTCTTGGCTTATCATCATTATTATGATGCTTCGCTTCGTTCCAGGAGCAGCAGAACAATGGGATTGACGGTGTTGATCCCTCTATAAACAGCAGTGCATCTTTTTTGCTCGTTCTTGTGGCGTGTCTGTATATATGGGTCTATGTGTATATGTGTGTGTAGAGGTATGTAGTTGTACAGTATCGTGCTACGTCAATGGCACCCAACCACACAGCGCGACCGCCATGTAGAATCGGTGCCAGATGAGCGGCACTGCACTCCCTCAGCGCCTGGACATGCTCATTGGCCCGCCTGCGTAGACTTCGATCAGGCAAGGCTCGAGCCTGAGACGCCGGCCCGCTCGTTTTGCCCACTCCAGCCTCCTGATTGGCCCGAGCCGTGGGGCCATTGCTGTTACAGGCAGCCGGGAGCCCAGACTGCGCTCTTTCCCCGTGGTCACTCGTTCCCTTCCCTCTCTCTTCTCTCGCCATAATAATCGCTAACCCTCTCTTATCCAGTCCTCACTTCATCTCGCATTCTCCCCTCTACCCCCGTCGTCGCTCTTGATCGCTTCCTCTATATTTTTTCCTTTTACTTTCTTTTTCTGGGACCTGCTTCTTCGTTCGCTCAATTTTTATTTGAAGCACGAAACCATCCCGACAAAACCCCGTGTTCGAAAAGACGAAAAGAAGAAAAAAGAGAAAAAAAAGGGACGACCTAGCTTTCTCCCTCCCACACACCGCCCCTGAAGCCTTTTTCACCCACGCATTGTTTTCACCTGGATGAATGCGAGGCCCGCATAGCCCTTAATCTTTTTATTAATATCGATCGGACTGCGCTTTCAATCCAATTTTTATTCTCCCGTTGCCTTTCAACCACGCTGGTTTATATTGATTTGGCGTTCCTCCCGAGTTACCGAGTTAATCTTCTCGCGTCCTCCCGTCGTTGGCACACAATATACATCCCACCCACCGGTCTCCTGCACGCGTCTTCGACAGCTCAACCAGTTTGGGCTTGCATTACAAATTCTGCATTAGCATATTCTTTGGCTTTTGCAGCGTCTGTCCCTTACTAGCGAGTGGTACTGCAGTGCATCCGTGTCTCGCTCTCTTTCTTGCATTGGTTGTTTGACCGCAGCAATCTTCTGTGGTCCTGGCACTAAACCGTCGATTCTCAACGCCTCACCCAAGTATCCAATTATTCTTTCTTTGTATATTTTAATCATTGCATATCGCCTCTTTGTGAGAGTCGAATATCCCTGATATCTCACCAATATCTTTGGTAAGCAAGCCATCCTCGTCTCACACGGTCTCGGTACTTCCCTGTTACTAACATACATCTGGCTGGTAGATTCTTCCTTCGTCCCTCCGATTTCTTCTTTAGCAGGTGTCCTGCGCGGATATTATCGACAGCGACTCTTCTTAATATTGTTAATTGCTTCTGATCTGTTATTTGGTCCCCGACGGCAAACTAATTCGAGTCAACGTTCTTGACTGCGATTTTTTTCTCGCCCTTGATCTACCTCAGAGCCGTGTTGATTTCTTTAATTTGCATCCTTGCACATATCAATTTCTTTTCGATACCCTCTGATTTCACCACACATCACTGAGTATGGACGCTGGCGGTCTTGCTCACTTGACACACAATTCTTTGAATGGTGGCTCTCTCGGTGTTCCTGGTACTGGCTTTGCTTCTCGTGGAAAAGGGTCTCATATCAAGCGTTTGAGCGTTCCCCCTCAAATCTCGACAATAGATGAAACGACACCATCTACCGCCGCCGCTACTCCCCGGACAAGTCGCTCCCATCTTCTCGCTGGGTTGAGGACTGCTCCGAAGTCTGCAACTATTCCATCTCACCACCAGCATCCTCAGGGCCGTGGCCGAGCCGGTCTAGAAGGCAGTCGCTATGCTGTCTCTAACCGAGGTGGCGAGCGAGTCCCTCAGACTGCTATTGGCGCCAACTTTTCGCATAACTCGTACGGGTTGGATCCACACAACACAAATATGGGACTGAATACGAATCGCCCTATGTACTCTCTTCCGGAACAGGTTTTAGCGCCCCCCGCTATCGATCTTGGGGATGGTGAAGGAATGGATGAGAAGTTGTATGCGGAACTGATGTCTACCAATCTGTTCCTCGCTGCCCAGCAGCAACGTCTTCAACAACAGCTTCTCAGTGTTACTGCTGCGGCTCAACAGTTTCAGAACTTGAGTCTCGGCGGAGGAACGCCACTCAATCAACAATTCCAGCAGCAGCAGCAACAATCGTACGTTCCAGGAATGAGTTTGTACCAGCAACAATTGCAGCAAGGCATGCAGCCCGTTGTTCAACCTGTCCTGGGCCAACCTGGTCTGTATTCAGTGTACAATCCAATGACCGGACAACAAAGCTTTGTTTATGACAACAACGCCACTTTTCCACTGGATGAGGATTCACTTCCATCGTATCAAGAATCATTGCAGTCACCCACTGGTAACCCCCCACCACCTTTCCACGCCGAAGTTTCTCCTCCCGCAGAGCTCAAACGGTCTCCGGCCCACAGTTCTCCCCGCTCTGTATCCCCTAAAAATGCCACTCCCTCTCCACCTCTGGATGTTGCACCACTTCCGCCACCTTCTGCCAATGCTTTTCGACGCGGTAGTCATAAGAAGACTCCCTCTTTTGCCCCTGGTTTGAGGACAAACACCGACGTTGCACGCACAGGTGGCGGCCCAGGGCCACGATCTGCTGGGTTTCCACAGACCCCCATGACCGGTACTTTTGGACCTGGTCAGGGACGTGCTGGTGAACATCCTACTCGCCAGCCTCGTGGTCCTCCATCTCTTGAGGAACTTGTCGCTAAGCCTACTTCCAAGTACGAGGGTAGCAAGAATTTCGCTACTCGTCAACGGCGCCGTGCCGTCCATAATTTGGTCCGTGCAGGGATTGAGCGACGTGGAGAGTCGAGGAGTAACCCTGGTAGTGGTGGCAGCAACACTCCGGCCAGTGAGACTGAGTTTATTTTCTCTGTCTCTGATGAAGACGATAGTAGTCGTGGAAGCGGCAGTCTTTCTAGCAAGCCTAGTCTCGGCAGCCTTCGTGCTTTCGCTAATGGTGCCATTGGATCTGAAATGAAAGGAAAGGATCGTTCGCGCGAGCGAAATCAACCCGAGAATCTGTACATACACCCGACTGCTACCGCTAGCGACGAAGCATTCTCGAGTATGATGTCTCCCATGGACCCACCTTCTACTGCTGCTATTGTTGCTGGTCATCGATCTGTTTCCCAGAATACCGAGCGGCGAAAGACCCCTATGCTGGTGCTCTCCAGTGCTGAGAAGCGCAAGAGCCCGATTGTCTAATGATATCTTGTATCTGGTCTATATTTTTTTCCTTTTCATGACGCGAACCGGTAGTAGGTTCGACCGAATTCCGAACCTAAGATTTTACTTTCATGTCTCTCCTTCAGGAAACATTCGAATTGTCTCTTGACTTCGATTTTATGTCATTTCTTTTGACTTTTGAAGTAATACGATCTACTTCAAAAATGGGCCATTATTGTCAACGACGCTCTCTACTTTATTTTGATCCTTGTCTCTATTTTCCACTTGGCCTATTTTCATTATATTTGTTTCTTATAAGGTGTCAGAGGCACCGAATTCTTCGGACCAGGTTTTCATATACCAGTGGTATCACGAAACCTGAGTCCACACGCGGCAATATATTTGCGCAGTGATAAACTTCAATTCTTTGACAGACTGTCATGATAGCATGAACGCAACCAATTCAAGATAAATGATTCCAATGATGACATATTTCTCGTAATAGCAAAGTAAATGCACATCACTTGCATGGGATGTTTGCTTTCCCTGCTATATATGTAAGCTCATACCGTCGATCGTTGGTTCCACGGTTCTCGTAAGTTGCTAGTTGGTCAAGGGCACAGAATATTGAAGGTAAACAGTATCAAGCCTAAGAATGAGATGAGTCTACAGCATGCTCGGAAGTGGAGGGGGTGAATCCAGACCATTTGCCCTTCTTCCACCCAGCCCTTTTCAATCTTCCCCTCTCCACAAACCCTCGTTGCTCGTACCACATTCGAAGCCCCTCCCCTCCGTTTATGCCATCTGGATCGAGAGCCATACACGCAAGGACATTCTGAACAGGCATTGGTTCGGAGAACTCTTCATACCCTTGGTATCCCGCATGCTCTACTGCCTTGTGCAATACTGCTGTCGTATTTGGCTTAGAATCTAGTTTTGAAAGCAATGTCGACAGGAGTCGCGTGCCGATTCCTCCATTCGTTTGATTTGGGTTTAAAAATAGGGATAACTCGACTGTAGGTCCATATGAGAGCATTGAGCCCCGAAATGGCGAGAGATAGGCAAATCCTATCACCCTTTTCTCATCCTCGTCCTCCTCATCCACAGCAACGAGGTATGGTAGCCCGCGCGCGATCGTGTTGTTTCTGAACTTGTCAATGGTGGACTCCAGTGGTGGCGGCGTTTGCATAAACGTCAAGACGGTATTTGTCACATAGTGGCAGTATATTGCGTGGACCTGGGGAATGTCATCCTCAGTGGCAGTGCGTATTTTGATAGATGGCTTGGTCATTTTAGATTTGTGTGTATGGAATTGCACCTCCTTTTCCTCGAATTTCCTTTGGATACAATTGTTTCCCGTAATCGGGGATATACCGCGTAATCAATTTTTTCTGTCAAGAGGGGGGTCCACCAGATATTGGAAAATGAAGAGGAGGTCAAAGTAGCCAATCAAAAGTCATATAGAGCGGAGTAGATAGGGCTCTTGATTTGTAGACCATCTCACATACAAATTTCTGTAATTGCAGTCTAATAGAGATATGGAGCATATTGATCAAACAATAATCAATCTGATAGTGTTCTATACATACCAGAAGACCATTCAAGGTGTTAGAATCCTGCAGAGACGTTTTTGCTCAGCCAATTAAAACACAGATCCCAACATTACAATTATTTCAGGCTCATAGATAGAGCTTATGTGGGGCGACAACATTCAATAAATAGGAATATGGACGATGCCCGTGAGATAGATATTAGAGCAACGGGCACATTATTCAAGAACCTCAAAATTTCCTAAAGATAGGACGGAATCTTTGCAATGGTAAACATGCACTTTTCCAACGGGGCTACAGGAGGGAACCTTGTAAGAGGCGGACAAGGCAGACATCACGTGCCGCGGGGATTCATGTAATCTGACGAGCACATTATTATTCCTCCGTCAATTTTCATGATTTTCCATTTCGACTTGGGTTTATTGCAATTAATTTTGTGTTCTTGCTCGTGAGACGTGAATCTTAATACCCCGCACACCCCGCACACCTCGCAAAAACCGCATTTTGAGCTTGTGATATATCATCCTGACGCTCATATCGAGGGTTCTCACGTTTTGTTTTGAAAGTATCCACCTCATCTAGATAACTTACACATCACGATATAGGTCGCCTTTATCATGGCATCAGTTCTTAAACTGTCAGAAATCCCTACATTAACACGACTGTATCGGTCTGGAGTTCTTCGATCGTCGCGTCAACCAGTTGTCACCACACCTTCGAAGGTGATTAATGACATTATATCACATATAAAACATGACATTACCGAATTAGAAGTCGGATGTATCGTCAATGCTGCGAACCGAAGCCTCTTAGGAGGTGGAGGCGTCGATGGCGCGATTCATAGCGCCGCAGGACCACAGCTTTACGAGGAGTGTCTTACTCTCGATGGCTGCGAAACAGGGCATGCGAAAATCACGAATGGATATGAATTGCCTGCGGAAAAAATTATTCATGCTGTCGGACCAATTTATGTTAGGGCCAAACACGACGAGGCCGAGCAGCAGCTTCGTGGCTGCTACCGTCGAAGCCTTGAGCTAGCCGTTCAGCATGGGCAACGCTCCATTGCCTTTTCAGCTATCAGTACCGGGGTCTATGGATATCCGAATACTGAGGCGGCTACAGCCGCAATTGATGAAGTCCGAAAGTTTCTGAATAGCGGGGATAACCTTTCGAAATTTGATAGGGTGATCTTTTGCAGTTTCATGACTGTTGACCTGCTAGCATATGAACGCATTCTTCCGTATGTGATGTGTAGATTACATACTTGATGAAAAACAACTGACTGAACAATAGGGCATACTTCCCACCTGTCACCGAAGAGCTCGACGCTACCGAAGAAAATCAAGGCAACCAGACCCAAGACGGTCCGTAATGCTTCAATTCCGACCAAAAAATAAATATATGTATGATTGACATTGAAATTTATTAGATACCGTGATTGTTGACAAAAGTGAAAGCGAAGTTGATCTTGGCTTTGATACAGGGGACGAGCATGATTGGGAGGAGATTTCCGAGGCTGATAATGGTCATGAGGATTTCCAGGAAGAACTAGTACAGATTGGACAAGCTGATCAGGAGGCTTCGGTGGCGGATGTGCGGAGCATGCAGTCAAGTACTGCTGATTTCGATGATTTGACGGGACCAGCAGAGGCCAATGGTCAAAAGTGACGTTCTGATGTTTGCTACCTGAAATACCATGGTCAGCTGAAAATCGGTAGCGTTTTATGGCATTAGCTGATGGCAAAGTTCCACTTTTTACATAATCAATACCCTAGAAGTAATATCAAACAGAAACTTCAGTTGCTTTGAGTGAAAAACGGAGGCATATACTTTTACCGGTGTGATTTGCCAATGTTCTATAGTGCTTGTAGACTTCCGCATCCAGTATTCTAAAGAACGTCTAACACAATATTTGTGCTTATATTAGATCGAGTGCAATAAGATTTATGGGCAGTTCTGCCAGTCAATTTATTGATGTTATCAAAAAGGAGCCAGATCCACGAGATCACGTGGACACTAGCCTTTTGTATTTTTCAATATTGCAAGAGATTCCCTCTTCCTGAGTTACTCACTAGTCAACCAATTACTCAACCTAGTATTATCTTATTGAGGCTTTTTCATGTATCATCATACCGAATGGACCCCTGTTATCCCTACAAGATATCAATCGATACGTATAATTCTTATTGGATACTAGTTGATTGCTGTTTATCGAACGAGCTGGCAGCTGGTAATGAAATGTTAATGAAAGGTCAACCAAGAATCTAACTAATATTTCCCAGCTCAGGAGCACGCTTTCTGCCCCACAATTCCACACACGAAAACAGCTGGATATAGGGGATTCGTAACCATGGCTCTGCCAGCCTACTTGGGCTCTGCATAGAGGATAGAAAACCGCATGACAGGAGTGTATGCCTTGACCTCAGCCAGTTTTAGACCGGCACCATCGAGCAGGGAAATCCACTGGTCGAGAGTACGAATCTTAGCCCCAAACATAGCCAGCATCTGCAAATCGAGACCAGTAGGGTACAGGTTGGCCCCAGTATCGGGAAGAACAACTTCATCAAGGAGGATCTGAGAACCTGGGCTCAATGCAGGAACAAGATTCTTGAGTAAGCCAATAGCAGGGCCATCGTCCAGCGTTTGAAGGATCGCGTTGAGATAATAGTACTTAGCTCCTGTTGTCTTCGTCAGTATGATATAATATTGAATGATTGTCTGATTCTAACGAGAAGGGGGAAAGACGGACCCTTGATTGGTTGTGGCGTGAAGACATCGTGCGCTACCTTTTCGACTCCATCAATGGGTGGAGTGAATTTAACAGTCTCCGGACTATCTTCAAGAATAACACGTCCGGCGAGCTGCGGATATGCTCCTACCAAGCTTCTGGACTGTTTGCCTATATTTCCATTTATATCAACAAAAATGGTGCGATCAGCTGGTTCAGAGGCAATAATTTCATTGAAAGGAATGACACTGAGCCAGTCACCTTCCTTGTGCACGGACATTACTCCACGCAGCAACTTCAAGATGTCTGGGCGTTTCTTTGCCCAGGCAAAGAAATTGATGTGTGTATTTTGCGACTTGTGGAAGGAACTGATACCATTAGTTGGGCTCTTGTATTCATTTTCTTCGAGGAAATCTGGAAGGGCGTGAAAGGCGGGGTTGCTGATGGTATAGAAAAACTCTAGAGTGCTCGAAATTCCGTCATCTGCAAGGGTCTTCGTATGCTGAGTGGCTGTAAAGCGGTCCTTTCCAACCTCCTTGACAAAACGATGACCGGAGAAGTAACGCAAGAGACGTCCAACTAGGGAAGGGTCTGCGCCACCGGGTCTGGTCAACTCATCAACTGTTAGAGAAGACTCGGTTTCCGCCAGAGACTTGAAAAGACCGAGGCGGTTTCCGATCTTGATCAAACCAAGTATACGACCCTATCGAATGATGTTAGCGATGGTCTTTCATTTATGTAGGGAAAAAGTAGATTCTACATACAGTATCCGCAAGACGCCTCATGGTATCATGAGGGGTCTCTAGCTTTTCTGCGGTTTCCTGAAGAGAGTTTATGAGGAAGTGCCGACTAGACTCATCTAGCACCAGTCCCTCACCAAGAACAGGGTGAAGAAGCTTATCGAAGCCGGAACCGCCATGCTTGTTGTTGTTGTTGCTGGATCCATTGGCAGAAGATGATCCATTCACATGACCATTTACCTGACCGTTTGCATGACCGTTCGTGGTTTTTCCCTCGTCTTTTTTGTCGCTCATCATCTTGTCAACGTCTGGAGTGTGCCCCTCCAAGAATCCCAAGGAGAATAGCTGTGCTTTACTAAGCTTTTGGGTCTCGGTCTGCTTCAATCCAAGTTTCCCTCGCTCGACGATAGCTACCAATCCGTCAATTGTGTCCTTGGTGAAATTGTCGATATTGACCATATCCTCGTGACGCATCATCTTTCGTCCGCGCAGCATGTCCAATGCTTGGGATTCTTCTGGCGTGAGGGTTTTTTGAATCTCATCAATGGCTTTTACCGTTTTTTCATCTGTGGCCTCGGCATCATGAACATCAAGACTCTTCAGCTTCTCGACAAGAGATTCTTTCAGTGTTGGATCAATGTGAAGCCAAGAACGGAATGCAAACTCGACTGTCTTAGAGATTTCATCTTGAGTAAGTTTGCCCCTTGTGTCAGCATCAACCGTGCCCTGGATAACTTTTGCATTGTTAGTTTAACGTATCCAGCGCAGAATATACATGTAGCTTACTAGGTCTGTAGAGATCAAATGCTCTATCAAAACTATCCTCATCAAAGTCGCTAATCACAGGCTCATCCTGCAGGCGGATCTGCTTCAGTGCACTGCTGACTACGACCAAAAACCGGGTATAGCTCGTTGATGTCTTCTTAGAATGCCAAGCGGCAGCAGCATCCTCGGTGGTGTGACCTCGTATAGATGCCGCGACAGTCGTTGCTGCAGAGAGTCCACCATGGACAGCCAAATGCACACCAGTTGAGAAGAAAGGATCAATAAAGGCGCCTGCATCTCCAATTATCCGAGCATACGGGAATGCATAGTGAGATGCACTGTATGACCAGTCGGACGCAGATTTAATATCCGTGATAAGCTCAGCACTACCAATCAACTCTTTGATACCGGGTACCAGCTCTAATGACTGAAGGTAAAAGTCCTTGCTAGACGGTGAGCCGGCCTCTCTCTTCTTCTTGGTGGCCATCTCCTGGTTCTGGACGATACCAACCGAGTGGGTTCCATCGTGCAACGGAATGAACCAAACCCAACCACTGGCATCTGCAGTTTAAGCCCCAATATTAGCATTTTTATGGACTAATTGTATTTATCTCTTACCTCTCAGCGCCTCGAAGTAGGGCGAGCCTTGCCTAGGAGTACCGACGCCATAAGCACCGCAGCCTCTCCAGTAGGCCCAATTCGCAATGTTCTTGAGCCCTTGGTTGTAGTGACGGTTCTTCAAGTATTTAGTGCTAAGCAAACCCTGTCGCCCACTGGCATCGATGAGGTACGTGAAGGAAATGGTTCCAGAGCGACCATCCTTGGTGCTCCAGCCAGCGGAGACCGGGCGGCCGGGGTACTCGTGGCCATCGATGGTGCCTGCACTCCCTGGTGCGAATTCGACGGAGTTAACTTTCACGGCATCAAATATTTTGGCGCCAGATTCTCCAGCGTGTTTGAAAAGCAGCTCATCTCCTTCCGAACGGACCACATTCCAGGAATGTCCTTGAGGCCCTCCGGCGGCAATAAAGTCGGTATCTATCCAAGGAAGAAATCAGATTACCAATATTGAAATGCCTACCACATGAAACCCGGTAGGTATGGGGGGGAACTAACACGCTTCTGGTCGGCTCCAGTTCAATTTGAAAGCCGCGCCATTCTACCCCCCAACAGGTCAGCACAAATCTAAAGAACGATCTCTCGAGTTCACCTTGATTCTAAAACCGTGTGATTCCCATTTCTCGTAGGCGTCGATGTACTTCAGAAAATAGCGCAGGGATGGAAGCATGCTCTCTCCGATATGGTATCTGATGCAGAACTCATTGTAAGCATCGGGCTATTCGGCTCTTGGAGAGCCCGACCTAGGGCTCCAGGGCTCAGGAGGGATCGCCTGCAGCTTACCACTGTGGCAGATACACAAGGGCTTGCCCAATAATAGCTCACAGATGGGATGACGCCTTACCTAGGGAACTTGTCCGCCTCCAGAACCACCACGTCAATCCCTTCTCGTGCCAGGGCGGAGGCGGCATAAGAACCAGCCGGTCCACCGCCAACAACAAGTACAGTGGTTGTTTGCGGAATGTAAGCCATCTTGCTTTCTATATTCGGTTTTCTATTAAGCTCAATTCAATACTATGTGGGCTTTGTTTCAATGGCTCGCAAAAAGACTACACACCCTCAAAGCTACTCGTCTAGGCTTCATTATAAGGACATCCTTCGTCTACACAAAGAGTCCTTGTGCTTCTCTATCGTCCTGAAGATACACCCGGTTCGACTACCGCGCTGAAGTTTCCGGTTCCGTGAAATGATTACGACCGACTATGCTCGTCGGCGAGACGGAGCCGACCTTGACATAGCAAAGCGGCTCCCGGGATTTTCATTGGCTGGTCGGATTCCGGTCAGCCAATAGAATTCGCAGAAGCGGCTCGCCAGCCCTAATTTATTGCTCGCATGCAATGAATTATTTCTAATCAACAGCTGTAAGGAAATTACCCCTTTTGAGCCTTTCCAATCTACAAACATGGCCTTGATAAACATCCATTCCGCACTCACACCATGTCTTTACGACTTGCCATCCCGCTCCGAGCTGATCCCTCTACCTGCTTTTACTGGCGTGTTCCGAGACCACCGCCTGTCACTAAACTGCCCTCGATACACTACGTACCGGAATCATGAGTAACTCTTCTACCGAAGCACCTGATATTCATGGTCAGGAAGCCGATAAAGATGGTCCAGCCTCCAAGCCAGACTTTGCCCGGTCGGCTGAACTCTCTCTGGCCGAGAAAGGAACGCCTCCCGACTTACCGGCCCATAATCTTCACGCCTTTCCGGAGGGAGGCACGGATGCCTGGCTGACCGTTGCAGGTGCTTCAGCATCTCTTTTTGTTTCCTTTGGTTGGATCAATTCTATTGGTCTCTTTCAAGAGTTTTTTCAGGATGATTTACTTCCTGAGTACACACCGTCTGAGATTGCATGGATCCCCTCTTTAATGTGTACGTGTATACAGTATGCACAATATGACTTATAGGGTATCACGCTGACAGCTGATAAACTTTATTTCTGTAGTACTTTTCATGTTCATCGGTGGCATTTTTATCGGGAAAGTTTTTGATGACGATGGTCCCCGATACTTGCTTGCCTTTGGCACGTTTCTTCACGTTTTAGGTCTCATGCTTACCAGCGTATCGTCTCAATATGTTCAAATTATTCTATGTCAGGGCGTTGTTTCTGCTCTAGGGAGCTCTATGATAATGTTCCCAGCAGTGTCATGCGTAAGTGACCTCGAGAACTATCTGTTAGTGACTCATGCAACCATTACACAAGATAACCGTACGAATCTAGGTTCAAACATGGTTCCGTGAGAAGAGAGGACAAGCAATGGGCCCAGTGATGGGCTCTTCTTCCCTTGGCGGCATTATATTTCCCTGCATGGTGACTAGCCTTTTGCCTCAAGTCGGGTTTGGCTGGACGTATAGGATATGTGCCTTCCTGATATTGGCGTTGTGTGTCTTTGCCAATTTTACCATCAAGTCACGCTTGCCTCCAAACCCAACAAAGTTTCAGATAATTAACTATCTACGTCCCTTCAAAGAACCAACATTTGTATTTGTCAGCTTGGGAATCTTCTTCTTTTGGTGGGGAATGTTCATTCCCATGAACTTTATCGTTGAGGCTGCTCTGCAGCGAGGTATTTCGGTGCATTTATCTCGGTACCTTGTTGCGATTCTGAACACTACTGGGTGAGTTTCTATATTTCATACTGGTAGCTTTTAAATTGTGAATGGACTGTATCGGGTACTAATGAGCATGTAATCACAGGGTGCTTGGCCGTGCAGTTCCTGTAGCTTTGGGTGACAAGCTAGGTCATTTCAATGTGACAATAATCATGGCTATCTTCACCACTGTGTTAGTTCTAGCTCTTCTAATGCCAACAACCGGGCAGGCTTCGATCTTAGCTTTCACTGCTTTGTTTGGGGTTGGGTCTGGTGGTGTCATCGGTCTCGCTCCAGTTATATGCGCCCATGTATCTCCTATTCGAGAAATTGGAGCTCGTATAGGCACTGCCTACTTCTTTGCTTCATTTGCCGCTCTGACTGGCTCTCCCATCGGAGGCCAGATCGTTGTTGACAGAAAGGGGAAATACTTCGATACTTTTCTTTTCGCAGGTGTCTGCTGTGCTATCGGCACTGTTTCTTTTATCATCGCACGCACTACCCATGCTGGGTTCAAACTCGGCAAAGTTTAAAGTTGGTTGTTTCTACAGATATATGAGGAAAGGTTTTATTTATCTCATGACACGTGCAAATTCATGCGGTAACTGCCTCATAATTGGACGGATTAAATAGATTTGTCGGTTTTTGACTGATTATAATGAGCTAGAAATTGTTTTGTTATATTTATGTAAACAGACACATGCACTGTTGTGGGTCATCGAGTGAGAGTACGCAATACCAGGGAAAATGTATTGTTATTCATCAGTAATTGTGAGATAACGTGGATTTTTTTCTACGAAAGACATCAATCGATGCTTTAGAATGAATGTTCACTTGCAGATGAAGATGCTTTTTATTAATCCAACTTAATCCTGTCATTAAAAATAGTTTCATGCTTCAAGTAATCGAGATCCGTTGCCTACAAGGATATTAATTATTATTGTAAATGAGAGACTGAGATCTACATTGACTTTGCAAGGAGTATCTATTCGAGAGCATTTCCATCCTAATTAAGTTCATTGGGCCAGAAAAGAGAGTAAAATTAGTAACTTGATTTGCCTAAGACACATTACGAGCTGCAAGTAATTGATAGCATCATTTATCTTTAGCTTCCATTGTGAATTTGAAAATTACAAGCGTTGTTCTCCACGTTTCATTGGAATAAGATGCATGAAAACCAACACTCTTCTAACATATTTGTCATAAAGAGCTCTCATATTATAGGACCATCCTTTCACCCACTGACATGCACACCAACGTTTAATATCCACGCTAAGATACACGACGTTTCTGGCAATGTCAACCATGCTGCATAAGCTTATCTGGTGAAGATAGGCTAGGTATGCAACTTGCTCTACATGTGGAAACGATGCGAACAGCCAGTAAGCTGAGTGTAATTTTCTTCCAACACCAGACTAGCGGAGTCCGATAATTATCGGATTTAGATTTCCGTACTATTTATCGGTTTGCTATACTTTGTCTCAGCTTAGCCCGTTAAGATGTTAATTTTGTCGAATGCTTGTCTGAGACCGATAGATTCGCAGTATTGGGTACTGGTTGAATTCTGATGTTACAGACAAACTCAAAGCGGACCGGACGATATTAGCTTTATTGCAGTTGATACGGTTAAGTCAGCTTAATTTCATTTATATGCGTTAAACCAAAAATAACAATAAGGATGTCACATACTTTGCCGCAAGTCATTATACTACCAGAAAATTTGATGATTCAGAATGGTATCAAACACGCAAGAGGGTAGAGAAAAGCATTCTTATAATGCATTTAGTGATTATCTTTCAGCACAAAGAGGATTAATTCCTGAACTTCCTCCCGTGACCCATGTGACATCTCGAGTTATTAGAATTCTGGGAGGGAACCCAGGAGAGATGCAGTTACAAGGAACCAATACATATCTATTGGGCACTGGAAATTCCAGAATACTGGTTGATACTGGCCAAGTAAGCTTTATGCAATTTCTCATATTCCATTTCAGAAGATTAAAAACATGTTTTAACCCGAGTTTGGGCTTAGGGATTTAAATCTTGGATTGAGAGTTTGATCCAGTATCTGAACAGCAAAAACCTAGACATTTCTTTTGTTCTCCTCACACACTGGCATCAAGATCATACAGGCGGTGTTCGAGATCTGATTTTCCATAAACCACATCTCGCGTCTCGTATTTACAAAAGCAATCCCGATCGTGGTCAGATACCCATTGCAGATGGGCAGATCTTCCATGTTGAAGGCGCGACTTTAAAAGCGATTCTAGCTCCAGGCCACGCTTTTGATCACACCTGTTTTGTTCTAGAAGAAGAACAGGCTCTATTCACAGGAGATAATATTCTCGGGCATGGATTTACTGTTATTGAAGACCTGGGAGCGTATCTCTCAAGCCTAAGATATATGGAGAGCCAGAGATGTCTCGAGGGTTACCCCGGCCATGGAACGGTGATTGAAAATCTCGCATGCAAAATAGGCCAATATATTCGACGCGAAGAACTTCGCATTAACCAAGTGTATTCACTACTAGTGAAAAAAAATGTTTCTCAACAAGGCTCTCTGAGAAAGTCCAGTTTCACCAATCGAGAGCTTGTAACACTCCTTTATGGTGAAGTGTCCGACTCGTTGTTTGAGATTGCCTTGGGGCCGTGCATAAATAATTGTTTATGGAAATTGGCAGAAGATGGAAAAATAGGATTTGAGATTAGAGGGTGTAATAGGGTTTGGTACGCTCATTCAAGTGTTTTTCTTGGGAACTAGATTTATTTCATTGCGGATACATCAATTGATATATCGGATATACGTCTGTCAATCTGGTGGTGGATTCCTCTAACCTTGGAAATCTACGATATACAACTTTTTATTACTAAAGAGAAAACCTAAGCAAACTAGAATCTCGTTTTTCTTCAACCCAATAGTGTGTTACGTATAGTACTTTTAATTTCGGTCTATTGGTTATCATCCTTATGAATAGGATAATTCCAAACAATTGTGGGATAGAACCGTTTGGAGTTAATACAACGCATTCGTCTCCATAACGCATGCATTCTCATTCTTAAGTTCATTACACAATTTGCTTTAATTATAGACCTGATAAAGTTCTTTAGCCTTTAGGGAGAGCTCTGGGTGCTCTAAGCATGCCAGAAGAGACAGAATCATCGGAGTAAGTAACTCTATCTGATTATCACTGTCCGAACTGTACCGGAACCCGAACCCAGTATTTTCCGGAATCCGGATTTTCCTGGGCAGCAAGATCGGGATGTGTTAAGTTGATATTGGCCGGGTTTAGATTATGTATTATGCCGCAAAACAGACATTCAATAGTTGGAAAATTATCGGTAACCCTAGAAATATCTTGCCATAGTTTTCAGGGCTTTCAAATAAGGATTATAACAAACCATATTCCTTCAAAAACGGTTTGGAATTGCACGAGGCCCTTTAGAGTCTGAAATCTCGGTCTATTTGCAAGCATCATTTTGTCTCCGCAATGGAAACCCATTCTCAATCATCTATGGTTTCTTTTGGAGCGGAGTGTACCACTAAACTTCTTCTTTTCAGCCATGAATTTCCTGCCGATGACGTCCAAGAGCTTTTTCGTGGTCTGCATAGACACAGCAAGGGAACGAAATTCCCTCTACTTGCAACTTTCTTGACGGAATGTACTCGAGTCTTGAAAGAGGAAATCTCGAAGTTGCCGCGAGAGCTTCAAGATGATATTCCTGCATTCCACTCAGTCACAACCTTTGCTGCATATTTCAATGAATTAAGAAAGGGCCCTTTGGGTGGCGCATGGGAAGGGGCTTTTCTATGCATCTATCAAATTGCTATGTTTATAGGGTCCGTAAGCACCTCATCCCATTCAAAATTACAATTATCTCTAACTTTGACGAGTTTTGTAGATATTTTGAAGCCAATGACTTAGATTATGATATTCCCAACAGGAGTGTCACAGTCGTCGGAATGAGTATTGGCCTATTTGCGGCTTCAGCTACTGCGGCAGCCTCATCTCTCGCAGAGTTAGCTCTTACTGGTGCAGAGAGTGTACGGGTCTCATTTGCCTTCTGCACCCATGTGCGCCGTACGTCCGATTTGCTGGAGACACCAGGTGTGGATGAGAATCTCTCCAGCTGGGCCTATGTGGTCATGGGGTTATCTGCAGATAAAATTCAAGATGAGTTAGATCAGTACAACAAAGAGACGGTATGCTCACAATCCTTTGTTCATATCAATCAATGCTGGATTACTCACACCATACCTTTACGTACAGAGAGCTTCGAAGCTCAATAAGTTGACCATTAGTCATACTGACATCAATTCAGTCGGTATAACTGGCCCGCCAGCACGCCTTCGACATTTATTTCAGCGCTCCGAAGTTCTGAGATACTCTAAGCATTCCTCGCTTCAAATCCACGGAGGGCTATGCCATGTTCCAGACATCTATGACGTTACAGATGTAGAAGCTATAATGAATACATCGTCCATAGAGGCATGGCATCATCGTCTTTTGCGACTACCTCTTCTCTCCCCACATACTGGGATGCCATTTCCTGCAGAAAACGCAGCTCACTTGGTCGAATTGATTGTAAAGGAGGCGCTGATGAAACCTCTTCACTTCGACAATTTAGTTGATGGAATCTTGAACATAATGTCTAGCCCAGGTTTAGTGGAGTGTGACGTACTGCATTTCCGTACGTCTATCATTTCAAAAGGTCTTATATCTACCCTCGAATCGAAACTGTCTAAAATCCAGATATCTTGTTACGATATCGTTGACTGGATACAGCAAGAGTATGTAAATCCACCCCGACTTCTGAAAGACTCAAAACTGGCAATTGTCGGTATGGCCTGTCGCATGCCGGGAGGGGCCAATGACCATGAGCTCTTCTGGGAGCTACTCGTAGATGGACGCGATGTCCATACTCGAGTTCCTGCAGACCGATTTGACTTGGAAGCTCATTACGATCCTACTGGGGCTATGGAAAATTCTACAGATACCCCGTATGGGAATTTTATTGATGGGCCCGGTTTATTCGACCCCGGGTTCTTCAATATGTCCCCCCGTGAAGTAAGTTAAGCCGTTTTAATCCCAAGTTACGAATATAACTAACTCTATATTTTTTTTTCTCTCTCAAAGGCTGAGCAGACAGACCCTATGCAGAGATTAGCTCTTGTGACAGCCTACGAGGCACTTGAAATGGCTGGTTTTGTTCCCAACCGGACTGCATCATCAAATATGAAGCGTGTGGGGGTTTTCTTTGGGCAAGCAAGCGACGATTACCGCGAGGTGAACGCTAATCAAAATGTCAGTACGTATGGAATTCCTGGAACGGAAAGAGCTTTTGGCAATGGACGTATAAATTACTTTTTTAAGTTCCAAGGTCCCAGCTTCAGCTTGGATACTGCCTGCTCTAGCGGTCTAGCAGCCGTAAATGCGGCCTGTTCTTCTCTTTGGGCTGGGGAAAGTGATCTTGTTATTGCAGGTGGCCTGAATGTCATTACTAACCCAGACATCTATTGCATGCTTACAAAAGGTCACTTTCTTTCTAAGACGGGGCAATGCAAAGTCTGGGACGAGGGAGCGGATGGATATTGTCGTGCTGATGGTATTGGCTCAGTCGTGATCAAGCGCCTCGAGGATGCTATCGCTGATAACGACAAAATTCTTGGTACGATTGCTGCAGGTGCAACGAACCACTCATGCGATGCAGTTTCAATTACACATCCTCATGTAGGGGCGCAGAAAGATAATTACCGGCAGGTGATACTTCAAGCAGGAATCAATCCCCTTGATGTCAGCTATGTTGAACTTCACGGAACTGGCACACAGGCGGGTGACGCTGTTGAATCCGAATCTGTGTTGGAAATATTTGCCCCAGTGACCCCAAAGCGTCGGCCAGAGCAGCGACTGCATCTGGGTGCGGTTAAATCAAATATTGGCCACGGTGAAGCGGCTGCAGGTGTTGCTTCGTTGATCAAGGTTTTACTGATGTATCAGAAAAATTTGATCCCACGCCACGTGGGTATCAAGAGCAACATCAACCCTGCAGTAGCTAAGAATCTGGAAAAGAGAAATGCAGGTGTGGTTTTTGAGAATACTCCGTGGCCAAGGCCAGAGGGAGGAAAAAGATATGCCATAGTCAACAGCTTTGGAGCTCATGGGGGAAATACAACGCTTGTGCTAGAGGATCCACCAAAGAAAAGAGGGACAGATATCGTTGGTGACTCCTTAGAGGTGCATCCTATCACTATTTCCGCGAAAAGTAAAGTATCATTGAAAGGAAACATCGAGGACCTAATTCAGTACCTGGTTCAGAACCCAGACTCTAGCCTACAAGATCTATCCTATACTTTGATGGTACGCCGTATTCATCATCCCCGTCGGATTTCGACATCGGTATCTAGTATCAGCCAGCTGCAGGATTTCTTGAAGAACTCTATTCAGTCGTCTGATGATGTTAAATCTGTCTCCTCAGTTGCACCAAAAATGGTGTTTGCATTTACTGGACAAGGGTCCTTCTATCGTGGTGCCGGCCAGCAGCTTTTCCAAAGCTTTCCCTACTTCAACCAGCAGGTTCGACAGCTGGATCACGTAGTTCAAAAACTTGGTTTTCCAGCTATCATACATGAAATTGAGGGTACCAAGATATCCGACGAAGAGGTTGTATCGCCCATTATCACCCAATTGGTCATCCTTGTCCTCCAAATTGCTCTAATAAAGTTTTGGAAAAGACTAGGGCTCAGCCCTGCAGTGGTTATTGGTCACAGTCTTGGTGAATATGCAGCCATGGTGGCCTCAGGGGTACTGTCACCTTCAGATGCTATCTACTTGGTTGGAAAGCGAGCAGAACTTCTGGTAAAATACTGTAAGCCCAGGAGTCATATCATGCTATCGGTCCGAGCTGGTCTCGACGAGGTCAATCGACTGGTGAACAACCAGGTGTACTTTGAGATATCATGTTTGAACTCGTCCCAGGAGACCGTCATAAGTGGCCCAAGAGAAGATATTGGTGCGATCCGGACGTTAATCGAAGCAGAGGGGCTCAAATGCCTCGCTTTAGACATCCCCTATGCCTTCCACTCCGGCCAGCTAGATGCGATACTTGATGAGTTCGAGGATGCTGCAAGCCACATTGTTTTTAAGCCTCCTACTATTCCGATTGTTTCGCCTCTCCTTGGCCAGAGTATTTTTGATGGGAAGACAATAAACGCAAAATATTTGCGTCGTGCTTCTCGCGAGCCAGTCAATTTTGTGATGGCACTTGAATCTGCTGCCTCTGCTGGCATCATAGATGACAAAACTATCTGGCTTGAAATTGGTTCTCATCCAATCTGCAATGCATTTGCTCGTAGTCATAACGCAAATTTGAAAACTTTCATATCGCTCCAGAAAAATGAACACAATGTCACCACGGTTACTACCACTCTTACTGGTTTGCATGCTGTCGGTCTACCTCTTCGCTGGGGTGAGTATTACCGGGACAATGAACGCTCTTACAATCTCTTGCACCTCCCACACTACCACTGGAATAATGAAAACTATTTCATTCCTTATACTGGAACGTGGACTCTCGAGAAAGGCCGTTCCAAATATTGCTCTAGTGAACCTCTCGTCTCACCTGCAATATCGTCTTTACAGAGCACCTCAGTGCAACGTGTGATTATTGAAGAACTTCAAGAGTCTACGGGCCATCTTGTTGCGGTAACCGACATACAGAGACCGGATTTCTTAGAAGCGGTGAATGGACACAAGATGAATGGACGGGGTGTAGTTACCGGGGTAAGCTTTCCTCTTCTTTCATCTGTATGGTGGCTTGGGCTAACCTATCAATGTCTAGTCTATTTGGGGAGAAATCAGCCTTACCGTCGGCGAGTACTTGTATAAGCGTCTAGTTCCAGAAGCGAAGACGGTCAATATGAATGTCGCTGAAATGGAAGTACTTGAATCCCAGCTGCCCAATGATGACAACACAAAACCACAACTGATTCAAATCGAGGCATTCATTGACCTCATGGATTCCTCCACGGCAGTCAAATGGTATAGTATAAAGTTGGATGGCAGTCGATCGGAATATGCATTTGCATCCGCCACCGTATTCTACGAAGACCCTAAGGCGTGGAAAACCGAATGGCGGAAAATAACACACCTACTAGAAGAACGCATTGCGACGCTATCATCCATGGCAGCCAGCAGATCCGCCAATAAGCTAACACGTAACATGATCTACCAGCTATTTCAAAATATTGTTGACTACGCAGATGTATACCGTGGCATGCAATCCCTGGTCTTGAATGGGCTCGAGGCCTTTGCAGACGTTGAGCTCACTCCGGATCGTCATGGGTCGTGGCACACTCCACCGCATTGGATTGATAGCGTCTTCCAGATGGCAGGTTTTGTCATGAACGGTGGCGACGAGACAAACACAAGAGAATTCTTTTATATCACCCCGGGATGGGATGATCTTCGCATCGCAAAGCCCCTTGCGCCAAATATTCCTTATCAGAGCTATGTTCGCATGACACCATCCGAGGACGAAGCAAACACTTTTATTGGGGATATTTACGCTTTGCAATCTGGAGAAATTGTCGGGGTTTGCGGGGGTATTAAATTTAGGAGAGTTCCTCGAGTACTCATGCAGCGTCTATACGCAGGTCCACGACAATCTCAACCGGTCGACTTACCATCTCATCATACCGCTCCTCAGGTGGCGCCCACAGCCGATTCAAAGGCTCTGAGACAAGCACGACGCACAAGAACGCCACCGTCGGCTCCGGGTAGCTTGTCTTTTCCTGTTCCAATTACGTCTTCTGTGGCCGGAACACGCTCTAAAAAACCTGCGCCAACTCCTGCAGCAAAGCAAGAAGTGACGTTTCCTTCTTTTGTAGATACAAACAATACGGCCTCTACTGAGAGTAGTGTCAAGCAGCCGCAAGACGAAGTTGTCGTTAGTTGCATGAATCTCATTTCTCGAGAGACTGGGCTGGATATCAAAGAATTTGTTGACGAAGCTTCGTTTGCCGAGCTCGGGATTGACTCTCTCATGTCGCTTGTCTTATCTGAGAAGCTTTTGAATGAGCTAGGAGTCGAGGTCAAAAGCTCCATTTTCCTTGAATGTCCTACGGTAATCGAATTCACGAATTGGTTGACACAGTATCGTTAGACATGAGTAATATTTACTTGGAATTATACAAATTCACCTTCTTGTTTTGCTCAAACTGATTTTATTTGCTCAGAATGAGATAAGATTGCCAATAAGTGCGAATATGATTGGTTTTTGAGTTGCTTTTGTTGCCTTTCAGTGCTTCTAGGCATTATGGGACTCCATTTTTGCTTTTTCTCCTCTCTTCGACCCTTTTGATTACAAATTGATCTTAAATTACTTTTCTTTGGAAAAAAAATAATCAAGCTAAATATATTCTGATATTACCCAAATAAATCGACTGACGATATTTGGGGTTATCAATAGCTATTGGATTATTACAGCATCTGGGTATTTTAAATATCGGTTTGGATCATGCCAGCAAATATCGATCTTGAGAAATTGATACAGATACTAATCGAATAGACTAATGGATCAATGGTCTCCTGATATTAGAATTAATGAACATTATTGATGTCTTCAAACCTTCATTTGCTACCGCGCACATGGGTTGCATAATACCCCTTCTCCTCGTCCAGCAAAGCTTTCATTTTGTTTTAGCTACCTATAGCCAAGATTCTGGAGTCATAGCAGCACTGTTAAAACCTCCCAATGTAAGGCCGGATATCCAACTCGTGCGTAAATGCTGATCTAGGTTGCGTATGTAAATGCCAGGAGCTTTCTGCGATCTTTGCAGGTAACAATCGATATTAATAGGTTGCCCTCTTCCAGACTTGAATATATTATAATGGCAAGGACCAGACTTACTGCATCGGGGCTTATTTTGCTGTCCGGCCCATGATTATAGATGTTTTCCCGTCCTGGTATATCAATAGCGCCATCAATAATGATGTGTGCTACATGCACGCCGACCGGCGAAAACTCTCTGGCCACCGTCTGAGTCAAGGCTCGTTGGCCATTCTTTCCAGCTGCAATATCTCCAAAGCGTGCTCCTCCTCTGGTGGATGCTGTGGCACCAGTAACTATTAGGGTTGGTGGATGGTTTGAAATTTTTACCGCATCAGCTAAAAGAGGCACCACTCTTTGAGCGAAATGAAAAAATCCACGACTTTCATTGTTAGCAATTCAGAGAAATAAAACACGGATTAATCAAGGACTGGGAAGTATATTAAGAACTTACATATTCCCGTTTAAACTGCTATCGAGCTCTTCCAGAGTAAGATCCAAGAAGGGTTTGAGACTTGGCCGGCCATTTGGACGGACATTGTATATGGCGGCTGCGAGATATCGGCCTGGAAACAGTTCCTTGCTTATTTTCTCAAAGGCAGCGTCGAGAGAGGACCTATCTGTTGCGTCGGTTGCGATTCCGATCGCTTGTCCACCGGTATTATTGATTTCTGCAACGACGCTATCGTAGCTTTCACCACTACGAGCAAGGAGGACCACAGGATACGCTTTTGCGAATCTTGTTGCGATAGACCGTCCAGTTCCAGGGCCGACCCCAGCAATAACTGCGTAAGCATTTGACATGATTCGTTAAATATTACTTTTAGTAATATACTGGAGAACAAGAATTCGGAAATATCATATGCTGTTATGCTTAATTAAAAGAGCCTTCATTTTTTCCCCCTCGTCTGTATTTCTAATAGCTAGATTAAAATTCAAAGGCACAGTTCAAGAAGGATTCTCGTGACTCGATTCCGCTTAAAGCAAGATTCTAGACCCAGCTAAATAGAGATTAGATCACGTTATAAAATTTCCGAACATACCAGAGTCGATAGAGTGAGTCCGTCGTTGGCCAACTGCGTAGGCTTGTTCGGCGCGAGTGTCATTCGTTTCGACTATCAGCTGTCACTTGTGGACAGCTTAAGCCTGATGGGAACAATATTGCACCATATTTGCAATGAATGGCACCAAAACATCCCTGTCTTAATACATACAGGGCCGGTAAGTTGGCTTGTCGGCCTCCGCTTGTGGCTGAAAGTCGGCGACAGATTGTCCGCTTTGCCGATGTGGAGAGTTGAGAATGTCACCTCTGTATGGAATGAATGGCACAAACACAATGTGTAGATAGGAGGCAATTTTTGAATCATTTTAGAAGCTTTGTGGATTTCTTCTAAACCATTAACGGAAAATGCAGAGTTTTTGGCTAGCAATCTTAACGATATTGACGTTAAGATTTCCTGCTAAAATAGTAACCAATTTATAGTGTCAAATATCAATTGTTAGGTCTGGTGACGACGTCGCGTCTCGCTAAATGGAACTACTCAACCAGAGCATCTATTTTTGTCGTTCAAACTCGATGACTATTATTCGCAATTTCCGCAAGAAATCTTGCATTACGTATTATGATTCTCCCGGCTGATTCTCATGCAAAAAGTGCCACTTGGTTGCAACTTGGAAGTATGTATTAGTAAGGTGGCTGAAAATCCTGGACCTAGCTATCAAATGGCGATATAAGCTAGATTTCAGGGTTCATTTGATTAAGTGATATCAGTTGATACCCCATGTAGTGTACCGATTTTCTTCCATAAAACCTGTACCCTGTTAAATTTTGCGAATAGTAATTCACAAAAGGCCCCCCTAAGCGATTCAGAATATATAGCAAGCATTAGTAGCATAATTCATGGTGGACGGGGAAATTTTATAGTTATGTAATGAATTGAAGTCCTTGCGATCTATATATAGGAGCAGAAACACTTCAAATGTTTAGATAGTTGACGGATGCACTCGAAAAGATAACTTCGAGCATATATCAAATGTATATTTGTTTCTAGACAACTGCAGGTATATATAATCAAATGAATGGATTTTCAACCGATATGTTTCACGGTATGATAGTCCTAGGCAGAAATTGATTCAAAGGTTCCGACAATCGGTTTCCTGTCAGTTGACCACATCCATGGCAATGGTTTGCGGAGAGACCTGAAGCCAACAGGTGAGTGACATGCCGTTTCTGCCGAGAGAGGAAATGTTTACTCTTCAAGTCTGTTCTCCAAGCTTTCCGGCTGTATATCAAACCCGTCTCAGGACTTAAGAATGAACGATTTATGAGGAACATAAGAAAAACAAAAAGAAAATAAAATCGTCTTTGGAATTTCTAACCACCACAGCCTACGCTGATGGGGGCAGTCATGAACCCAGAATGTCGACCATTCGCCAAGCGCGTTGCCTCTCCTCGAACCTTCTGTAACTGATGAGCCAGATAGTTCACTAATCGGTCTCTAACTAAAGCCATGGGGTCGTCGTCCTCTGACATCGGGGGCGACGGCTCTCCAAGATGTGTTGCTAATATTGGTTTCGAATTCGAATCGTTGATGCGTTGGGAGAAGATAGCAATCAAAGAACCAAGCTCTTGTAAGTGTGCCAATACCAAGTTAACCATGGTCTGGGTACCAATTGGGTCATCTAACGCATAGGTTCCAATAGTAACAGTTTGACGCAGCACTTTTTCTCTAGGTGGCTCCTTACTGTCTCCTCTTGATCTGTTTTGGGATGATGATGGCGGCCGACTAGACTCATGAGAATGATTCTGGTTCTGCTCGCTGCGAACTAGAGCACGGTACCATTTTATAAGTTTGTTGCAGATTGTGGTGACGACCAATTGAAGCTGAGGTTTAGACGAGCAGGAGCAGTGAATTATTCTGGACAAAGATCGTATTGCTTCAGTGTTTTTGGTCAAGGCAGAGCCAGTCAGACGCGGTCCATTCTGTTTCAGTCTACCAACGGGCGACACAGCCTTTTCCACAGTAGATATGCATGCTGTCGATGGGATATGCAGCAACTTAAGCGTCTGTTGAGCGAGTGCAAAGCAGCAAGCATGTGGAACGTGATTCGAATGGCCTGCTTTTCTTCCTCCGGTCCATTGCAACTGGGAGGATGAGGAGTTGCTTACATTGTAATTTCGCCTTGGTGTTGAATTTGGGGTGGTAATTGGAGTTTCCAGGTCCATAAGTGGAGGGAGAGCACAGCACGCCAGATTATCGTCGATGTCGACATCAAGTTCAAGCGCCGCCAGGGACCTGTTTTCATCTTTCTCTAATGGTGCAGTGTTGGGTGTCTCTTCAATGTGGTTCGCTGTTGGCACCGTGAGATCTGAGGTAGAGAACGCGCCCAACAACACGGATTCATCTACGGCTTCACCATTGTAATCAGACGAAAAAAGAATGTCTGGACAGGGAGCAGCCGAGTATGTGTGCCTGGCCATCTTCATAGCTGAGCCATCTGACAGTAATGGCTCTTCAGCGAGGCCTAGATCTGTCAGACTGGGACGGTTTCTTTTCAGAACGGACCCCGCGCCGGACCAGTTGCTGTTGCGATGCTGAACGAACATGGAGAGTTGGTGAGACAGGGTGGTTAAGACGATAGAATTACTGTGGTGTCAGAGTCGGTCATATTTTCTGGCATTATTATCGTTCTTTTAATCTTTTCTCTTCACCTGGATTTAGAATGCCATATCTGCTCCCCAACGAAATGAGACAAAAGACCAACTTGCTATCAATGCTGGCGCTACCCCGGAAAAGCTCAAGCGGACGGCCCAGGATTTGGAATCGGCCAGTAATCCCAGCCGCTATTATCGCTGGTAAGGATTCATCTAGCCAGTGAGATGAGCGAATGGGTTCTTCCATGCAGCCGATCATGCATGCTATGCAGAGCTTCGTATTGTCGTGAAATTTGTTTGGAGAAAAGAAGTCAAAACTATCAACTTGGCTTTTCTTTTTTTTGCAAGGGCCAACACTCACTTGATTTGCACATACGATTAACCCCACTCGTTATTGGCCTCTTCTTACGCCCTACGCGGCCATGGGTCAGTGCTAGTTCGGGTTAGATAGATTTATGTGTTGGGAGTAAGGATTTGGTAAGACAGCGGCTATGATTATGGACATTCAATTGGCTAGAATGTACCTAGTTCAGGACTGTCTGTTGGTGGCCTCGGGATATCACACCATTGTCCCCATTCTCCAGTCATGTATATGTCAAAGTTGGGATGAATTGGTACTAAATACGCTAGAGATGCAGAAGAAGTTTTGTCAACCCACGCCAAAGTAGTTCCTCGCCACGTGCAAGTGTCTTAACCTGGGACTAATGCAGTCACTATCATCAGATATTACTCCTAACGTTTTGGCTAGCGGTTCGGAAGATTGTCTGACGATTGACAAAGTACAGCATTGCAAGGTTCCGGGTAAGGTTAACTTAGAAACATTTTACACTAGAGACTGAGCTGATATCAAGAACGGTTTTCTCGGGACCAGACAAGGGCCTTATGAAGAGATGTTTGCCATGTGCCAACTAACTCGGTTGGGCATGTTAATATGATTTTGATTGCCAGTCACGGTCAACACGAATAGTAGCTTCATATTGCGACATGAGAAACGGCTGTTGGGCGGATCTCATTGAGCTGATAGCGTGATCAGAAGATTCTAGGCGCGTAACACCATCAATGGCTTTGAGGGAGAGGGTAAGACAGCGTTTGTATGAGATATACGAGCTAGTAATTTGAATTACCACATATGTTTAATGTTACGGACTCTTGATTGCTTACATAGTCCTCGGCTTCAGGGTTAAGCTTCGCCCATGGACCAATCAAACACATTAGGATTGTCACTGTTTGATAATCCTTGGATGCGAGCCCGTATCGGCGACTTAAGACTAGCCCACTTATCTTATAGATGGATGTTATTGAATTAGGGGTCCTATGGAACTTTCTCATGGCATATAATAATAAGACTCGTATACCGTATACAGAGAGGACCTAGCACCTCCGCACATCCAGATTGGACGCTGGTTGGAATTCACAAGTAAATCCAATAAGTAATAAAGCGCTAATGCCGCCCACTAATCGGCGGGCGACAGGGCTCTTTGTAAGCATTTTGTAGCCTGTGACTGGCATCAGCTGCGAAGTACCATTAACAATCTGGAGTGATAAGCCGGCCATTTTTTCTTTCTTTGTCTCTCACGCTCTTCCTTCGTCGCTACGTATATACGGATTCGTTCATAATCTCTCCACCGACTCATTATTACTAGTTCCGAGCTGATATTTGACATCCGAGGTATTGTTCTGGCTGCTCTCTGTTCAGGCTGGACGGATTGCTCTTCACAGAGCTTTCTTCTCTTCGTCTACAGTGGTCCTACAATTAAATTTTGTGACGAGTGTACAGGCACTATCATATTTAAATTTATTGAATATACATCTGTTTGTCTTGTTAACACCAGCTAACGTCCCCATCCCAACACTGTTATGGATGGATATACGCGAAAGGACCCCGGCACGGGTCCTTCAACGCAAAAGCTCAAAGACTCTTGTGATATGTGCTCAGCTTCCAAAATTCGTTGCGATAAGCAGAAACCGAGGTGCGGCCGTTGTATCAAACTCAACTATCCATGTTTCTATAGTCCGGCACGTCGCATGGGCAATTCCCACCGCCGCAAGGCTAATACCACCACTGCTGCTACTACATCACCGCACCCGGATCGGTATCTAACTCTTCAGCCTAGAACAACTGTCAACGGATTGGCCGCCTCTTCTGTGACAAAAGAGGAGAAACAAAAAAGGCCGATAATACCACAAACTCTGGCGCCCACGACGTCGGCTGCCAATACGTCCTCTGGCTGGTATCAAATTGTTGAGAGCGTAACGCCTACTCCGGATATTTCTCAGAGTCAAGCGCTTGATACTAGACACATATCTAACAACACGACCGTATCATCGACATCTACGAACCTCACAGCTCAGGAATACGGTTTAGAAAATATCAATATGAACTTCAACAACGAGCCCGAAATCCACGATTGTCAGGACTGTGCCGTAGCGGCCATGAATCTGCTCCTAAGGCTAGAAGGAACCAAAGTTAAACTCCATAACGGCCAAGGTGCGTGTGTCAACGGTGTTGTTCCGGAGTATAAAATATCAACGTCAATAACGGACGCGGCAATCGAGACAGTGGCAGCAGCAAGCAAGTCCTTATCAGCAATCCTTGTATGCCCTTGTTCCGAAGACGCGGATGTTGGGCTCTTGACTGCTGCAGTTTGCCTTTCGATGCTGGATATTTATAACACAATTATCGGCAGTATAGCATACTCCCCCGACGAATCGCAATGGCCAAGACAACAGTCGCCCTCTCTGTCTAATTTGATGTCATCCCTGGAAGACTATCATCCTGCTTTTGGCTCCATAAACGAAATGACGACAACGATGACGACGGCGACAGCGACAGCGACAACTTCAACCTCTTCTCCTTCTTCCAATGGGTCTCTCCAAAAGAAAGATGTCGCCGCCGTCCGCGTACTTGTGGAATTGACCAAGGTTGCTCGGATCTGTCTACATTTCACGAAACGGTATTGGGACTGTGAAGGGAGCAATAATCATGAAAACAAAAATGGCAACGGCAATAATGATGGTGACAGAAGCAACAATAACGACAATAATAATACAGATTTCCTGCACGCCCTTGCAAACCTCCTCCGGTCGAGGTTGCAGTCTATCACGGCGGATGCTGTAGTCTGATGCTAAGCGAAATGAAGAGGAGCTTGCAATAGAAGGATAAAGCAAGCGCTCTTCTTCGTTTTAGATATAAATATTACGCTACGACCCTCATACAATCGGTTGTGATGCAAATACTTCATCAAGTAATCATATACCTTGAAAATTAGTTGACTTCTCCATGCCTAGAAGTGAAGGTACCTATCAGGCCCCTATAGCACGGCCCACCCCTAAAGCATTCTGCCTATTGAGCAGCTATAGGCGCGGGTAGTGTTAGATTACTATACATTTAGGTTTCTTATGGGCTGTGGGGGCTGTGCTAGCATGTATTGGCATCTGTTAGCGGTGGTGCCTGGAATAGACGTCTAATTAATTTATTTATTCAATTTTTGCGACCTCACCCAGCTTTAAGCTATGAAGATCTCTTTTTAGTGGGTGCTAGGGGAACCTTTAGGGGTCTGAGCCCCTAACTTCCCCCACTGGCCGCCCTGCACTGGTGCCAAAACAGCGATTTTGGGGGCCTAGGCCACCCTCCCAGAAGCCAGCGTGCCGGTGTTGCCTCTAGTGGCACTGTCGCCCTAATTTCAACATAATAAAAACTTAACAATAACAATAAAAATGCGCATGGAGCTCAGTCAAGTAAAATAAATTATAATGTATCTTCTATTGATCTAGAAAATAAGGCTGGTCTAAATCTGAAAATTCACCGACCCTTTTCTCTGTAATGGCCGTGGCACATTCTCAAATAACATCTAAGCAGAATAATACCAACTGCAAACTCTCATACGAAAACAATATTTATCGAGGCATGTCTTCACGCGCTGTGGGGCTTGGCTTTGCAAACATTGCAAACAAGCTGCATACAACTCCGTGGAAGTTTACGACTGATAAGATCGCAGGTTGTTACAGAGCACAAAACCTTCAGCATATGGTGTCCATTTATGGTTGGATTGAATTGTCATGATGCGTTTATGTGTTTTATGATATTCTTTGCTCTTTTTGTATGCTGAGTTGATGTGCTCTTGAAGCACCCATACATCAGCAGACCATCTCCATCCTACGATCATGGCGAACTTCAAAGCCAAGCCTCCTCCACCATCATCAGATTCCAAACCTGGGAGCGCAACCGCCCAAATGGCACCAAAACCGCGTGTCATTTCCCCCCTAGAATTGCGGAGAAGATTCGCTCCACGAAAACCTCCATCCGTGACATCCTCCATTCCCGCCGACTTCCAGACTCCTTTAGACACGGCATACACCAAACGACCTTCCGCATTTTCATCCTTTCTATCCCGATTCCGCGCACGATATGCTGCTCTCCCGGCACCCGTCCGGGGTGCCTCCCGCTTCCTTCGTTATCTCGCTCCGCTAGTGCCAATTGGCCTATTCTTCTCCGAACATGTTCTGCAGGTTATGTGGGTTCGCGGGCCTTCTATGACGCCGTACCTGAACGAAAACTATGCCGAAATGCAGACAGAAAGTGATATGATCCTTGTAAATATGTGGCCTTGGGGCTCGGGCCGGGCCAGGAGGTTGGAGCGTGGAATGGTGGTTACCTTCCGGTAAGGTTACCGCGCGATTTTCGAAACAACCGTATCTTATTTTTTTTCCCCCTTTACTAATGTTATTGAATTGTGGCCTCTAGATCACCGGCCAACTCGTCGAATATAGCAATCAAGCGTGTCATAGCCTTGCCGGGTGACCGAGTCACAACGCGAGAGCCCTGCCCTCGACCTTCGCAAATTGTGCCCTTCAATCATGTCTGGTTAGAAGGAGACGTCGATGACCCGCGGAAATCACTCGATAGCAATACATATGGCCCAGTTAGTATCAGTCTGATAACGGGAAGAGTGATTGCGGTGCTGTCCCCGAGAATGCGGTTTCTCAAATGGCAGGATTGGGATAAACCTATTGAAGAAAAGGAAAACGACAATGCACAAAAGACACCCGAAGAAGGTTATAGAAGTTCGGTGAGGAATAGAGTTGTCAAAGAAGCTGTCAAGATAGAGGCCCCTCTTTTTAACTGATATGCTACAGCATTCAGCAGAGCATATGCATTCATTGTGTATTTATATTGATTGGATTTGAGGACTAGATTATGACATGCCGGCTAACATAGTGTATATAAATATATGTATTATTATCATGATCATTATTTTAAACGCCGGGGATCGGTAACACCAGCCATGATCTAAAAATAAGCACAAAAAATATGACACATTGTAGGGCAACTTGACGTGCCGCTACTTACTATCTACCAAACACCGAGTCAACAAAGCGCAGCTCAGATACTCTACTGAACGGGAGTATTCAAAGATCCCGTTAGACAATTCTGACATCTTCACCTCTTTCTTCTTGCAACCGATCAATCTCGGACTCTATGCCTAATACCCATCGGTCTCTCTCAATTCGGCTCCTGGCCTTAAAAACGATACTTCGCCCTGGCACACCGAGTGCCGAGACTTGGCGAATCATCTTGTTTGTCTTCCCACCTTTCACCTCAGAGGCTCGAAAGAGACTCTTATGTGTAGGGTGCCAAATGACGAAACAAATGGCTGTGTCCTCATCTCTGCTCGTCCAGCCATCTTGGGAGAGATATATTCGTGGAAGGGCATGGTGACCAGGGTAATGATTATCGAATGTTTGGTTTGCATAAAGGAGATCACTTTCAGTCAGAATTCCGGAGTAGACGTAGCAGTCCTGTAGATCGAACGTTGCAACCTGCTCTTTATGCACGTGCGGAATCTCAACACCGGATCGTCGACGAAGAGTATCTTGGAAGATGAGAAGTTGGCCCGATGTGAGGATGACTTGGCAGCGGTGAAACGTTGAATGACGGCGTGGCTTGCGATACAACTGACCCGATATCTATCATGCATTAGCTGTGGTTATTGTGAATATCATGATAGAGGGCGTGTTACCTTTATTGGCCTACAGCCAGTAATATGGCACATATTGTACAGATGTGGCGATGCCTGGGCCCTTCTGACCTCCCATTTGCTAGCAAATTGCCCTAGAATTGACTCAGTTCTCTCATCAATGTCAAGTACTTTGAGATTGCGTTGACGTATATTTCTTAGTTCATTTGCGTCTGCTCTACTTCGTGCTGTCCAATATTGTCTCAGGGCTTCGAGGCGTTTCACCCAGTCATCTCTTTTTTCATTATCATGGGCCTGCAGGTTAAGCACTAGATCATTGTGGAAGATGAGCTCAAATATGCAGTTAGTCTCATCTTGATTCGTAGAATCAGTGTTCTGTTCACCTTGTTGTGGAACATCACGACTCTGTAGGGATTGAATACTGCGAACTTGACAGAGATCAATGAGCCCGTCCGCATTTGTCAGGTTTTGTATCGATCGTTTGTAATGAGCCAGTGCGTTCTCATCCTGTCTTCGAATAAATTCTTGATTCCCATTGTCCAACCATGCAATCTGATTGTCTTGTACTGGAAAGGGGTCGACGGTAAATCTTGAGGACAATTGACGACTAAGTTCTTCATTGGAAGGCATGGAATCCCTGTCTAGGTGTCCATCTGACGGATGAGGAGGTATGGCCTTTGCCGGTCTGCAGAAGCATAAGAAGTGATCTTGAGTATAAAAATATTGTCTTTTATTAAACTTTCTCCCCATTCGTTGTTGGGAACCGCTTTGAGATGTGAGGCGGGTAAGAAATCCCTCCACAGGAATTGGCTCATCCGTTACCTCCTGCGAGTTTCTCACAGTGCTCGGATAATGATGTTTTGGCCGAAGCTCGAGATCATGTGTGCTCTGCATTGCGATTGTTCCGTACATATGGCCTTCGTTAGGTCCGTGGACCCATTCGAGACGGTCAAATCGCTTCCATGCTAAGCCCATTTTGGTTGTTTTCGACCATCCTTCCAAAACTTGAGACCATTCGCTGCGCTCTTTTAGCAAAGTGATACATTGACTAGTGATAGCATCCGCTGCTAATCTCTCCTTTGACTGATTTACTCGGTCATCGTCAGATGGTGCTTCATCAGTAAGGCGAGTCTGATCGAAAGGGTCCCGGAATATCAATGATATACTCAGATCAGGGACATTGATAAGCAAAGATGTTGGCCGATGCCAGCCTAATGCCTGCCTAATGAAGGTGTACCATTCCACTGCGTGGGCTGAAGATCGAGGTCGTATGATATAGATTCTTGTGCCGCGTTTGTGTGGATGCCACATCACTACTGTTTTATCAAGCGTGGAATATAGATTCACTCTCGTCCTCTTGGAATTGAGAGGAACCTCATAATATGCTGACCTGGTTGACTTTTCAATATCCTGTATAACACGGGATTTGTACATCTTAAGCGTGAACGGTGCATACTCGTCAGAGGCCTTGCGGCACACAACAATATACTCGCGCCATTTCGCAATTTCTCTGGTCTCCATCCTTAAACTTTCATTTTCAGAATAGTCAGGTGGCAGCTCATTCGGTGCCTCTTCAACTCGCACTAGCATTTTTTGTGCTCGAACCATTTCACCCTCACTTTCTTTACTCCAGTGTGGTCTATGAGCGGATATTTTATTCTGTGTCCGCTCGATTCGCGTGCGAATGCGTTGCTGACGATCGAAAACATTATCCCCCACATTGTAACGAGCAAGCCTTCCCCGGGCTCTATCAGATATATTGACGGTATTGCTCTCTTGTATATCATGAGGTTGTGGCTCCTGCGAATGAAGATTACTCACGGACACAGCCGAGGACTTGGCTTTAGTCTTTGCTTTATTTTTATCTTCGTGAGGAATAAGCGAGGTCGTTGAACTGGCATCGCGAGCAGAGGGCACAGCTGTTGATCGTTGAGATGCATGCCGATCGGAGGATTCTGGAAGGGCCGGATCCGGGTTTCCATTAGCTGGGGCGGCCGAATACTCTTGCATTGTATAATTCCGAGAAGACATATATGTAGACGAGCTTTCGAGTGGTAGGGATTCTCTAGCGGTGACGAATGAGCCGGACATCATCGTGTTGGTAGACTGCGGGTATACTGTCCCCCGAATAGTAGCATCACTATTGGAGTCTTCCCCGTCAGAATCATTGCGCGTAGACTTTCTCGATATTGGAATACTAGGCGTGGGCCTGGGCTGTGTATCTTCTGGTTCTGACTCAGGTGCAGCATCATTTGACTCTCCAGGTGACTCGTCAACAGTATTTGCGTCGCCGTCAAGTGAGGCATAGTGCTGAGCTACTTGATTGAATGAAGTGGTCTTGGTCGAGAGCGTAGTACCACGAGCAGTATAATCTTTGACGTTCAGTCTTGATCGGTACCAAGACTTGCGATGGCTGTGGATCCAATCATCAGGCACTGGGCCTATAAAATACCGGCGGGTAGTAAGATGCAGATGGTGAGCAGAGGCATGACGCTGGGAGAAAAGGCTGCTTAGCTAGGAATGGGCTTGGCAAGGTAATGCAAGAACACTCACCAAGCGCTGGGCCGTATATGATGTGGGATCCAGCCCGTGATACTGCTCAGATTCGTCCTGCGTTATGTGACTCACGTCATTGCTTGTTTCGGGCTGTCCATCAGGGCGATCAACCATGGTGATCCGAAAACTCAGGCGCTGAGCAGAGAAATGCAGTCAATTGAGTCATCAAAGCAACGGCCAAGCACCATTATCACAATTAGGGCTAAGAGTCTAAGCATACAGAGAAACAAACAAGCACCTGAATCATGCAGAAACCAAAAAAAGGAGTAGTAGCAGACGAGTATTAATAGTATGCCCGATAAAGAGAGTCGCGAAGATCCGATCACCGGGGCTCTATTTGCTTGGAATGGTAAGTGCTAGGTAGTTAAGTTGCAGCAATCCTCTGTATCCGGCTTGTTGATGTGCAAATCGGACGCCTCGAGGCAATGACGTCGTGCAGGACGGGCCCTACTAGTGTGGCGCAGCAGGCCGTGGCAGGTGCACTCGCTGTAGTGTTTGCTCTGTTTGACCGCGCGACTGCAACCAAGCAACTTTAGTAGCTTTAGCGTGGGCAGACTGCCCCAGGCCCCGCCGTCGTTATTTGCTGCCGCCGTGTCATTAACCAACTAATTAATATCCGTGCTATTCCTGGGTGAGGGGATGCAAATTAGCACTGTAAAGCACATCTCTCTCACCGCTTCAGGGCTCAGACCCCTTCTCTCCTGGCCATTCTCTTACACTTTGCTGTCCTCTTATTATCGTTGCCTCAATCCATCTTGATTATACAGTTCCACTGTTTGCAAAATGTCTACCCCGTGGCTTGGCTCCTTGAAAAAGTCATTTGTTGACGTCCCGGTCGATGCTGCCAACGGCAATGCTATACCCACCACCGACTTCCTTGATGCTGCAGAGTCCTTGACCACCTTGTTTGGTAAGTAGTATACCAACGAATTGGGGGTTTGTCAATCTGACGTGCTTAGATGTGCTCGGCTCCGTTGCTTTCACCCCAGTCAAGAACGATATTCTCGGAAACATCAAGGTAGATACTACTCCGGCTTCCACATTATCGAATTGGCCTCTCATACATTTGGCACATCATTAGAAAATCCGCGACCGCCAGCGTGCTGCCCCTGCGGAATCCGAGACTCTACAAGCCCTTGTCATCAACGAATTGAAGACGAAGAAGCATGTCGCCTCCGAAGGTCTTCTCTGGCTTGTACGGTATGTTCTTGACCATAGACTATGCAACAACCAACGGTCTTGATAAATCAAGTATTCTGCAAAGGGGCTAATTGGAGCTAGTGGTCTCGATTTTACCGCCCAAGCCTTGCGTGCGAACGTCGATGCTCCCACCCAGGAACTTGCTGATTCATTCCGTGCCGCGTATGGCAACACGCTCAAACCTCACCACAGTTTCTTGGTCAAGCCCATATTCAACGCTGCCATGTCTGCCACACCATACCGCAAGGACTTCTACTCAAAGCTGGGATCCCAATCTCCTGAATCTGACCCCGCCTTGAAGGAATGGGTCACGGCCTTGCAGAATCAAGTCCAGATTCTCAAAGACTTCCAATTGACCAAGGAAGCTAAATGGTAGAAGTTATGACGACCCGAAACTATGACAAGTATCTCTATTATTTCCGACGGCCCCGATGTCCAATTTTCTAGTTGCATGAAGCATCCAATTCCCAACTTTCATTTTTTGTATCCCGTGCATAGGTGGCATATCGCTTCTTATCTGACCTCGCCCACTATTTGTCTCCTGGACGGGTTACTCCTTTTCTGTCTATAGATGAGAATGGCATATTTTGCACATAGAGTCACATTTCTATTAAATAGCTCCCACTCTCTTTCAGCAACGAGAAATTAACTATGCCAAGTATTGAATGTCAAATATATTCACACAATGCTAATGGAAGTAGACTGAAAGGCGTGGCAAAAAAGGCCGAGGCGGCTAGGAGAACTGGCCAATCAGAGACACGGTTGCCGCTTGCCTTTGCTTGGCTGCGTCCAGCAGATCTCGTCCGCTACCGCAAAGGTGGCTTTTTTCTTGTCGACTTTTCTCATCTGGGTGCAGGAATCCATTTCATTTTTCTGCTTTTCGTTGTCGGCAAACCCTTGCAGTTTTCGTTCTTTCGCATGAACGTGTAAAGCTTTTTTTTCATTTTCGAGTCGATTGGCCTACTGGTGCAGGATTCACGTGGCAAGATGTAAGCAAAACTCCTACCGTCAATGCTATTTACATAGCACTCATATGATTAAAGGCCGACTCTCGTGGATGATCCACAGATACGAAGCGCATCTTTGCACAACCCACTGCCCATCCAGCTGCACGCTTACGTGTGGCCGTTTTTGATTGCTTGGCCTGTTTTCTTCTCCATCTATCTACCATCCGAGCTCTACGATACGTACATACAGGGGCAAGAATGGACTTTTGTTTACTCGGGATCCATCATCACACTGCAATCACTGCTTTGGCTGATGACAAAATGGAGCGTTGATTTCAATACCTTGTTCAGAACAACCCGATCGAAATCGATAGATCGCGCTGAATTAATCAAAGTGATACCAGTCGCGAACGCGGGCACTGCTGAGATTTGCAAATTGGTAAAGGATGTAAAGGGTGGCAAACATACAATTTCATTCCTTTTTCAGAAGCGACGCTTTCTGTACTATCCCGAACGCCAGACGTTTGCGCCATTATCGTACGTTCTTGATGCGACCCCAAAGCCAGCCATCAAAACCTTCCAACAAAGCCGAGGCTTGACTAGCAAAGCCGAAGTCGAGAGTATCCAGTACCATTATGGCGACAACACGTTTGATATCCCTGTACCGACCTTCGTTGAGTTATTTCAAGAACATGCAGTCGCTCCGTTTTTCGTATTCCAAGTGTTTTGTGTCGGTCTTTGGATGCTGGACGAATACTGGTACTATTCTCTGTTCACGCTCTTTATGCTGATCGTGTTTGAAAGTACGGTTGTATGGCAGCGCCAGAGAACTCTCAACGAATTCCGTGGTATGAATATCAAGCCTTACGATGTATGGGTCTTCCGAGAGAATAAATGGCAGGAGGTCACTAGCGACAAATTGCTCCCCGGAGACCTTGTGTCGGTGAACAGAACCAAGGAAGATGGTGGAGTAGCCTGTGATATACTCCTTATTGAAGGCAGCGCAATTGTCAATGAGGCAATGCTCTCGGGAGAGAGTACACCCTTGTTGAAAGATTCGATCCAACTACGGCCAAGTGACGATTTGATTGAACCAGACGGATTTGATAAGAACGCATTCGTGCATGGAGGTACCAAAGTCTTGCAGATAACGCATCCTAACTTGGGCGATCTCTCCGAAAAGGCCGCTGAGGCCAACGCTGGTGTTCCTGCTCCTCCCGACAATGGTGCGTTGGGCATCGTGGTCAAAACTGGTTTTGAAACCAGTCAAGGTAGCCTTGTACGAACGATGATATATTCCACTGAGCGTGTATCTGCAAACAACGCCGAAGCTCTGCTGTTCATTTTGTTCCTCCTTATTTTCGCCATTGCTGCCGCCTGGTATGTCTGGCAAGAAGGTGTTTCCAAAGACCGAAAGCGATCAAAGCTTATGCTTGATTGCGTGTTGATCATCACGAGTGTGGTTCCTCCGGAGCTTCCTATGGAACTCAGTCTGGCAGTGAACACTAGTCTTGCTGCCTTGAGTAAATTCGCTATTTTCTGTACTGAGCCATTCCGCATTCCATTTGCCGGCCGGGTTGATATTGCATGCTTCGATAAAACTGGGACTCTTACAGGCGAAGACCTTGTCGTTGATGGTATTGCGGGCCTTGCTCTTGGACAGCAAGGTGCAAAAGTTGATGCGGATGGGGCTAACACAGAGTTAAGCAAGGTGTCTGATGTTGGCACGGACACGACCCTCGTGCTTGCAACAGCCCATGCTCTTGTCAAGTTGGACGAAGGAGACGTTGTTGGTGACCCTATGGAAAAAGCTACTTTGACTTCTCTCGGTTGGACTCTCGGCAAAAATGATACCCTTACCAGCAAAACAGTTCCTAGTGGATCAGGAACCCGAGGACCGGAATCAGTTCAGATTAAGAGAAGATTCCAATTCTCGTCAGCTTTAAAACGTCAAAGTTCAATTGCCCATGTCATAACAACTGACCGATCATCCAATAAGAAACACAAAGCAACCTTTGTTGGTGTGAAGGGTGCTCCTGAAACAATTCGCAGCATGCTAATCAACGCGCCTCCGCACTACGAGGAAACCTTCAAATACTTTACCCGTAATGGAGCGCGTGTCTTGGCTCTAGCTTACAAGTTTCTGTCCACGGATGCCGACCTTGGTCAAGGCCGTATTAACAACTATTCTCGAGACGAAATCGAGTCTGATCTCCATTTTGCTGGATTCCTCGTCTTGCAATGCCCTCTCAAGGAGGATGCTATCAAGTCTGTTCGCATGCTTAATGAGAGTAGTCACCGTGTTGTTATGATTACTGGTGATAACCCTCTCACTGCTGTTCATGTTGCACGCCAAGTTGAAATTGTTGACCGGGAGGCACTGATTCTGGATGCACCTGAAAATGATACCACCGGCCAGAAACTGGTCTGGCGAAGCGTTGATGATAAGTTCAACTTGGAGGTGGACCCGTCGAAACCGCTTGACCGGGAGATATTGCGGACCAAGGATATCTGCGTTACTGGGTATGCACTGGCCAAATTTACGGACCAGCAGACTTTCACTGATATTCTCCGGCACGCTTGGGTGTACGCACGTGTTTCTCCTAAGCAGAAAGAGGACATTCTCATTGGCTTGAAAGCTGCGGGATATACAACCCTAATGTGTGGTGACGGTACAAATGATGTTGGAGCTCTCAAGCAGGCCCACGTCGGTGTTGCTCTTCTCAATGGAAGCCCCGAGGATCTTACAAAGATTGCCGAACATTTCCGCACGACAAAGATGAAGGAGATCTATGAAAAACAAATACAGATGATGGCGCGATTCAACCAGCCAGCTCCTCCAGTTCCAGTGCATATCGCTCATTTGTACCCTCCCGGTCCTACTAACCCACACTATCAGAAGGCTATAGAACGCGAAGCTCAGAAGAAGGGTGCCGCTGCAGTTGCCTCGACGGATGGTGCCAATGGAACTCCAGGAGTAGTAGTGCCAGCTACGCAACGATCATCTCAACAACCCACACCTCAGCAAAGACACCAGCAACAGGCTCAGGCTGCCGCTGCCGGATTGGCTGATAAACTTACTTCGTCGATGATGGACTCCGAATTGGATGACGAGCCACCCACTATCAAACTGGGCGACGCATCGGTTGCTGCTCCATTTACGAGTAAGCTTGCAAACGTGATCGCTATTCCTAATATTCTCCGCCAGGGTCGATGTACTCTAGTTGCCACTATCCAGATGTACAAGATTCTGGCTTTGAACTGCTTGATCAGTGCATACAGCCTGAGTGTCATCTACCTTGAGGGAATTAAATTCGGAGATGGTCAAGTAACTATCAGCGGCATACTGATGAGTGTCTGCTTCCTTTCGATTTCTCGTGCCAAGGTATGTAATATTGTGAAAGACGGAACGTTGGACAGCTGGCTGATACACCCGTAGTCTGTGGAAGGCCTCTCTAAGGAGCGACCTCAACCGAATATCTTCAACATATACATCATCGGCTCTATTCTTGGACAATTCGCTATTCATATCGCTACGCTGGTTTATCTTTCTAACTATGTCTACAAGACTGAACCGTACGTTATTGTCTTTCCTTCAGTTAAGTGCTGGTTGATGTCTAACTCTTATTTCCGCGTAGACGTACCGACGATGTGGATCTTGAAGGGGAATTCGAGCCATCCTTGCTCAACAGTGCCATTTACCTTCTTCAACTCATCCAACAAATTTCCACCTTCTCTATCAATTACCAAGGACGACCTTTCCGTGAGTCGATCCGCGAGAACAAGGCCATGTATTGGGGCCTAATTGGAGCGTCGGGCGTCGCCTTCTCATGTGCGACGGAGTTCATTCCCGAAATTAACGAGCAGTTGCGATTGGTGCCTTTCAGCAATGAGTTCAAGATCACTCTCACGGTGCTGATGATCCTTGACTATGGCGGCTGTTGGCTCATTGAGACCGTATTGAAGAACCTCTTTAGCGATTTCCGGCCTAAGGATATTGCTGTGCGCCGCCCTGATCAGTTGGAGCGAGAAGCTCGACGCAAGAAATTGGAGGCGGCAGAGGCGGCTGCTGAGCAGGAGAAAGCAAGAACGGTGTAATCTATAGTTGCGGGTGGCGGTATATAACAGACACCCCATGTAGAGTAAAGTCTTCCGAGGAGAGGAGATCTTGGAATAGAGATAGAATGTTTTAATTTTATGAAGCTTTATCAATATATCACTGTTCTTACTGGTGTTATGATACTGATGATTGCAACATCAATAATATTTATCAACTGATGTCATTGTCAACGTCGTTCCAAGACGGGATTGGCTAACCCAACCTAGCGTCAACAATCAGTGGCCAATGCTTGTACATCTGTTAAATCAGGGGCGCTCATTGGACGGCTGGCAAACAGCTCCCCACCTGCCCGCCTCCGCCAATCATCAATGTCAACTTGTTTTCCTCGCCTCGCATCGAGAGCCTTCTTTCCTTCTTTCTGGCCTGCTTATTTTCTCCCCAACGCTTTTTTCTCCCCACCATGTCCTTTTCTTCGCACTCTCTATCCTGATATTATCTCCAGGTTGTCCTCTTATCTTTCCGTAGCTGCAAGCAGCTTGCCATGGATAGCTTGTCCTTGCATGCCTTCTGTTGCTTGGAAACCAGGCTTGTGTTGTAATTCGATACATACCATTCGCTCGCTGTATAGTCTACATTATTACTCTATATTAATACTCACTGCTCTAGCGGGCGATTCAGCATCAGTGCTCGGAATATGACGTCCAAAATCCCGTTTAGCGACCGCTTACTGGTTCCGTGGGTTTATGATACTCTTCTTATGGTGTTTCGGTTTTGCCTGAACATCTTCTTCCGTGAAGTGTATGCGCCTGGAGCATGGCGCATACCCAAGAAAGGCCCTGTGATCATCGTGGCGGCACCGCACGCCAATCAATTCGTTGATTCGATTCTGCTCATGCGGATCCTGAAGCGTTATGCTGGGCGAAGGATATCGTTTCTCATTGCTGAGAAATCAATGAAGGAACCCTATATCGGAACCCTGGCAGGCCAAATGGGCGCTCTTCCCGTCGTCCGTTCAATGGACAAAGTCCAAGCTGGAGTGGGTATCATTCATTTACCCAACCCCGAAGGCGACCCGACTTTGGTTCGGGGGAAAGGGACAGATTTCTCAAATCCGATATTCATGGAGGGCGGCACTATTATCCTGCCGAAAGTCGGCAATGAGGCTCCCGAGCAACAGACCATAGCTGAGATAGTGGGATCGGATGAACTTCGTCTGAAGAGGCCATTCAAGAATATTGATCGAGATCATGCCTTGTATGAAACCATTCGAACAGGTACTTCGTTCAAAGTAGCACCGCATATCGACCAAAGTCAGATGTTTGACGCCGTCTACCGAGGGTTGGAATCGGGAGGATGCATCGGTATTTTCCCGGAAGGTGGAAGTCATGACCGCCCCAGCTTGCTTCCCTTGAAAGCTGGTGCCGCTATTATTGCTCTGGGGACTTTGGCGCGCTCTCCGAATTGTGGTCTCAGCATTATTCCATGTGGAATGAATTACTTTCACCCTAATAAGTTTCGCTCTCGTGCTGTCATTGAACTTGGTCCTCCAGTTGAGGTTCATCCCGATCAGATTGCCGCATTCAAACTTGGTGGAAACTCTAAGCGCAACGCTGTGGGGTCCCTGTTGGAGACCATTCAAGAAGCTCTAGATTCTGTTACCCAGCAAGCCCCGGATCGAGAAACACTCATGCTCATTCAAACCACCAGAAAACTCTACAAGCCATTACGAATGAAGCTTCCACTCCCCGTTACCATCGAGTTGAACCGACGACTTATCAAAGGTTATACTCAGTTCAAGAATGAACCAAAGGTCATTCAACTCTCCAAAGACGTGCGAGCATACAACCGTCAGCTGAAGGCCTTAGGAATCCAAGATCATCAGGCAGAATGGGGAAATGTTAAGCGTCGACCGTGGTGGCTAGTTTTCTTGACACTCCTGTACCGTGTTGGAGAGCTCATCACATTGGCTATAGCGACACTGCCGTCGTTGGCTTTATTTTGGCCTGTGTTTGTCACGGCACGAGTTATTTCACATGAAAAACAGCGAAAAGCACTTGCCAGCTCTTCTGTTAAGATGGAAGCACGGGACGTTGTAGGAAGCTGGAAGATCCTTGTGGCCATGGGACTTGCACCTACGTTGTATACATGGTACACTGTTGTCGTTACATCTTGGTTGTATTATTGCCGACACGATGGATATTATGCAACTATTGTCCCATGGTGGATAAATGCTCGATCATACATCCCGGACTACGTTCCGTTACATCTGTTTGTTGCATTCTTCTTCGGACTCATGATCTCAGTCAGTTTCGCAGGGCTTCGTATCGGCGAGATTGGCATGGATGTGCTGAAATCTCTACCCCCGCTTATCGTTGCCTTGAATCCAAGCTCGTCGAGCGCTTTGATCAATCTCCGCAACAAACGCCGCGCTGTTGTCTCTCAAGTCATCAATGTCATCAACACTTTCGGCCCGGAAATCTTCCCGGACTTTGAACATGAAAAGTTCGTTGACGAGGCTTATGTTTCCGATGATGAAGCTGGCATCGATATCGATTACGCAACGTATAAATCACGATTGAAGAGTATGCCTCCCAGCGAACCGCAGACGCCTAACCGAAGCCGCAGTCGAAGCAGTGGCAGACGATCGTCTGATGTTGTATACGGATTAAGCAGTGGAACATGGCTGAAGCCCCTCACATCAGGGCCCTCGAAGGATGAATTGGGCGAGATCAATCGCCGGATAGGCAATTATTCGACCAATGGCTCTGCTGATACTACCAACACTGAGAAGTGATACACGAACATAGTAATGTCTAGTATTAATTGCCGAAATAAGACTTGGTATAACCAAACGGATGCGATGTTTTGACTAAAATATTCTTCATGCTGAGTTACTGCTGAATATATCTAAAACAGACATATTATCACATGTTATTCAAATATTATAGATGACATTTGGAGGCACTATATTTAGTAGTATTTTCTTTGGGCAAACAAATAAGATCTGCACGTCTTGGCTTTGATGCTTGGCTTTGATGACGTATTTTGTGCTTGCATTGAGAGCAGCCACCTCAGGGAACACGTTTCACGGGCACATGTATCTTTTGGTGTTTGTATTGGTTTCTACATATCCAACGTGCCCAGATTGGCAAGAAACTGTTGGACAGCTCGAAAAGCACGCAGCATCAATGTGCGGGGCGGTGACGCACGTGCCATGAGGCTACCGCGGCGACTCAGCGAGCTGCAGCTACCCAATGCTCCACCAAACAGCCTACGGAGGAAGGTTTCCACCATCTCGCATCTCTGGGAAGCGTCTTCGACATCTCATATACTCCCCAACACACGGCGGACGCCAGCTCATGCTCGACTAGACCATGGCCCGGAGGGTGCTGGGCGGAGGCCGCGTCCTCGGGAGTGGGAAGAACCTCTCTCCAGCTACCTCGACTCCATCCCCACAGCCCAAAGCCCACCTGTCGCCTTCTGCCAGCAGCTTGTCCTTGAACTCGCAAGCATCGGCTTCGCAGTTCTCTTCCGAGGCACAAGATCTTACCTCACGCATTTCCCTCGATAATGGCGAAACGTCCATTTCAGCCGCACCCGCCGTGTCCGGGTCACAGTTGGCATGCCCTATATGCAGTGAAGAAATGGTCAGTAACGTCTAGTGGTTGTCTGCCTTTATGTCCAGAGAGAATGCTAACAGACGCAGGTAACGTTGCTTCAGCTGAACAGGTATGCTGCTCATGTATTACGTCTCTTGCCTCCTACCCGCTGACACATTCCGGTAGACACCTCGACGATGCGCATCATAACTTGGAGGAAGTTAGGCAAGACGAAGTGAAGGACTGGTTTAAAGCTCAGATGGACAAAGCCAAGCGATTTCAACCCCTGGCAGTTCTGAATCAAAAACTGAAGGGGTTAGATGTCTTCGAGTCTAACGAAAACTCGCAAGGGCCTTCTGTTGCTGCACCGCGACCCGCCACTTCTACATCTGTCGAAGTACGGCAACCAGATCCTGATGAGGTTGTCACACGCCATCACTGGCAACCTCGAGGACCATATGATGTTTGCTATGAGCCAAGCTGTGGGAAGAGACTTACAGCCGCTAACGGATGTGTTAATTGTCGAAAATGCGGTCTGCTATTTTGTGAAGAGCATACAATGTATCAAATGAAACTCTCACGTTCTGCTCAACATGAACCTGTTAGAGGCTTGTGGTGTCGCGTGTGTGAAACTTGTTACAAATCAAGAGAAGGCTATAATGATCATACTGGTGAGATTCCAAGGCAGTTCATCTAACGCAAGGCCCCAAACTGACAATTCATTAGGCTTTACGAAAGATCATACGGAGATCTTCTCGCAGTTTAGGAAAAATACTGTGGACAAAGCTTTCTTAGAAGTATCCAGATTGGAGAAAAGGCTTAGTCGGCTGACCCAAGCTCTCGCGAGCTTGCCCGCAGAACAGATTCAAACAGGCACCAGCAAGATATGGCCTTTAGGATGGCAGGGGGATCAGCGCCGAGAGGTGGAGCAGTCTATCGTGAGCTGGCAGGACGACGGAACTGTTTCCCGCTGCCCGTTTTGCCAGCAAGACTTTACGAATTACACTTTTCGTAGACATCACTGTAGGACTTGCGGGCGAGTTGTTTGTGGTGACCCATCAACTGCGTGCTCAATTGACGTTGGCTTAACAGTGTTGTCAAGTAAGATATTTCTCATAGCATAGTAGTGACTTCACACTGATCGATTTGACAGAACCAGAAAACTCCTCAGAGAAGTCGGTGCCGGCCAAGGTTAACGTCGATATAAGATTATGCAAAGAATGCAGGTCAACCCTTTTCAGTCGTCGTGATTTTGATAAAGAGAGAACAATACAAGCACCAATTTCCCGCGCATATGGGAATCTCATACAATTCGAACGAGGGATCAGACTACTTCTACCGAGATTTCAAAAACTACTTGCCGTACTACAGTGAGTCATTGTTTTGGTTAATTATTCATGCGCCGCTCACAGCATAATGCAGAGACCCCAATATCCCACCCACCCATACTCAGCTTAGCGAGGCTTCAAAGGTTCGGAAGCGACTTATAGACTCTTTTGCTCAATACGATACAGCTGCCCGTCGCATACGCGATATGCCCACTACTTCACCCACCCAACAGAAGTTGCAGAAGTCTATATACCAGCAAGCGACCAATTTTCTTCACCTGCATATGCTACCGCTCAAGAGCTTGCCTAAGATTTTAAAGCATGCGACGCCCAATGGACAGCATTCAAATGGCTCAGTTCGGAGTGCCACTACCAGCCCATTAGGAAACACAACACATACATCTGCTTTAGCGTCGATAAAATATGGTAGCAACAACGCAAATGGCAGCGGTTATAGCATCACCAGCGACAATAGTAGCGCCATCTCAGCACTCGAAACAGAAGAAAAAGAATTACGGGAACGACTCATTGTCTTAGAAGAACAGAAGTTCTTTGTCTCTGAAATGATTGCCGATGCCAATCGGCGACGGAGGTTCGACGAAGTCAGCAGTTTAGCAGTCAATGTTGAAGACCTAAGTCGAGAAATTGACAGAATCAATGGCATGCTGAGCCAATTGGACTTTGAAGGCGTCTATACAAGCAACCAGTAACTTTTGTCGTGAACTCTATTATTTGAACACTGGAAGACGTTGACCAGTATCACTTTCATTTGCCACACCATGGTTTCCATACAGGAAGCGATTTATCATTGTTTCATTTCCAGGCGTTCAGGGCATTTTCTTATCCTACAGCGAATGGAAGTCCTATCTTTCGTTTATGTTCTTCCCGGCATAGTGCATTATCAAGGCGTTCTTGTTTGAGATCTATCTCTCTCGTTAAATCTAAACATATGTTACGGCCGATTCCGATGAAAGATGAACATTGGTACTTTTGAAATATGTGTTTATGGTGCTTTGCTTCATCTATCAGTTGATACAGTATGCATGTATTACGCAAGGTGCTCGTCATCCACAATCAATTGCCAGTTCATTCGGCATAATTTCCTGACTGCTCAATCGCACCAAGACTCCCTTACTGGAATAACTAATAGTATTCAAAAGTCATTGATGCCTATGCTATACGAAGATTAGGTGCCTATAGTAGAAGAGAGCTCAGGGAAGACGTATGACCCCCATCCTACGCCTATACTGGCGCCTGTTAACTCCACAGACACACGTCAAGTATCATCATGCTTGTATGTTCTCACGGAAATCTAGGTAAAATCATGCAGGCCCTGTCCGACTTGTCCTGCGTATAAGCAGCTATTAACACCTATCATCTGAAACCGCCTTCAATAGCTATGTTCGAAATATTGTCATTGTGATCATGATTGTTAATTCGGATAAGACCGAATACTTGCTACGAGCGAAAATAAATAGTCGATAGGGAACAAATATACACACAAATCAATGTACTTCCAACAACTTCGTTGAAGATTATAAAAGCATGTGTTATGCCACAAAACCTCAATGAAGCAAGAAAAAAATAGACTACCTGGAACCATTACTCAAATCCCCATTAACAGCGGAAGTAGACCTCTGTCTCGCTTCCAGAGTTTGAATCGACTCGGTCAGAACCCGGACCTGTTCCTTCAGCTCCCTAATTTCCAATACGGCCGTAGGCACCTCAACATTAGGCTTCGTCTTCTGGACTATCTCACCCCAGTCATCAGTGCCAGTGATATCAAAGCTTACTTCGGCGGCGAGTTCTTCCCATTCTTGATGGACTGTGTCGTCGGCCTCGCCACAATGGCGATTCCAACGAATCTGGCGCGCATCACGGGCTTCAATGTAGGCAGTAATTAAGAGCAATGGGGAGTATATTACGCCCATTATGTAGTTATTCAAACGCTCGTAGGTATTGGATGGCATCCACCATTCAAATGGTAAGATGAGGCCGAAGACTTCGATCAAATTGAATGCTTTACGTGGGGTTAGCTGGTAGATTCAATTAATAAACAGCGCCATGAACATATTCTTACGAGGAATGAAAACATTCTCATCTGGAGCTCGTACGTATTGGAGCGTTCTTGCCGAAAATAGTGCCATGAATTCATCGTCTGCATTCCCCGAGATATCCTCGTAGGAACTGTTGTATAGTGCAATAAGGATATTGAGCAAGACTATGGGTACTTGTTAGCCTCAAGCTTTCGCACATGAAGGATATTACTTACTGATCATAACAACGAAATTGAAGATATAGTATAAGATGATACCAAATGGCGGGGCAAATCCTTCAAAGGCTTCAAAGTCAGGACTTTGCATAATGCTGTTTGCCATTCCCTTGATAATTGTTCCAGTAACAGGAATATCGAAGTCGGTATTGTCCATTCCCATGAAAGCCTGCAAAAACCCTATCAAGACTACGAAAAGTAGTGCAAAGAAGATCAAGCTTTCTTTCATCATGACTTTGAGAACAACCAGCATAGCACCGAAGAATCGATAAGTGTCCAGAAATAATAGTAGGCGCATCCAGAACATGGGGGCTGTAAAGGCTAAGAAGTCATAACTCAGCTGGTTGAAATGACGACGCTCCGTGTCGTCAACGTTGGATGAATGTATCAATGCCACCATGCGAAGAATGAATGATACTGCCAGTAACATATAAAGAGTGAAGTTAAAGACATTCCAAAAGCCGATGTAATATCTACCAACCTTCAAAATCTTGTTTAATTCATCCAAGAGATACGCAAGTGTCATCGTGTATAGGATTCCCTCTGCAACATCGAGGTCTCCAGTGGGATTTACTGTATTAATGACAGCGGTGTAAAGGACCAAGTAGAGAAATGAGAAGAAGATCAAGAGAGAGTTCTGGTACATAGGCACCCTCATCCTATCTGGATTGAGATGAGACCAGTAACTCGTGTTGTCTTTGTCCTTGTATTCGATGAACCGCGAGGGATCCCGATCATCCTGTACAAGCCAACCTTTCCAGAGATACCTCATACACTTCTGGTAGCCTGATGACCCGATAACTCTAAGTGTATGCATATCCACTGCGCGCTCTACGACACTCATCGGAGCCGTCTGTTCACCCTTGCGAAGTATTGAGTACCGTTTGAGTAGGGCTTCCTTGATAAGCCAGTCCTCGTCTTTTTCCGATTCAATTCTATGCAATAACGAGTTAGCAGGATGTGACCTATATCTGACTGAGTACGCACATGTGCTTGGCGATGACTTCGCAAGCAGTGGCTCGACACTCGAGAAGCGAAGCGTCCCATAGCTCGCTAAGAGCCTGCAACTTGAACCACTTCGAGCATACTAGGAGACAGAAGATAACACAGGCACGATATTCTTCTCCGCCAGCTCTTTCTGCCGTTCGTATGACATCTTTGGTAATGACGCTGCTGTTGGGGTTGGTAATGACAGATTCGTCTAGTTCACATGGAATCACTTGCTCGATCTGGTACTTCAGGCGGAGCGCAACCTTTGTGACTTGTTTAACCGGCATACCAGCAGGAACCTCATCGCTACTATACGCAGGAAGCACTATTGGGGATATCAGTATATTCTCCTACAGTACTCTATGGCGGAGGGGCATGAAGCTCAAACGTACAGCGATGGCCTTCCGCGTAGAGCTGGTTGATTGCCGAGCGTCTTTTGCCGAAAAGCGTTTTCCACAGACTCATGGTTTTCGCGGAAATGCTTTTAATTTAGACAATTGGCCAGCTTGAGGCTGTGACCTTAGGACTTCAAGAAAAGCGGCGCGAGAGATGAAGTCACACCAAGGCAAGAACGCGGAGTTAAGCGCAGCGGCCAAGCTCTTTTTGGTGGGGCCACCAGCAGCCATTCCACAAGCAGCCTGCAGCCTCTAGGATAAGTGAGACGGTTACAAGCAGTGTACAGAAAACAAGGTGCAAATTTTGTATTTTGTATATTTTCTGACCTGTTCTAATCAATAAAGGTACATGATTGAAAATAGAACGAGTCTCTACCATAAAAACGGCAAAACCTAGGCACATATAATCTGCAGAATGGTCTGAATCGACACAAGGCCAAGAAGACCCAACTCTTTCAGAAGGCCAGGTTTTTGCTGACCCTAGCGCACAAATCCCCATGCTATGCGTAGCCCAGTTCAAGGAAAATTTTAAGGGTGATCTCAAAATCAATCACGTTAAAACCCGCCCACACTAACATCGAATCTAACATACCCAGTCACCTTTCATGATCATATCTCCATAACGCTGATGATACTCGTCACAATAGAAGCCTATTCGGGAACGCCTTCGTCACTTTCGGACTGGCTTTCGTCACCACTGACTTCCATGTTCTCGCGTTCGCGTCTGTCCATAAGCTCTTGCAGTTGAGCATCGTCGTGGGCAGTAACTGCCTTAGGAGCCATCTTAACAATCAATCCACCACCAGCCGCCTTGATATTTGCCTCGATGCTCTGAATCGCTTCTTCCAAGAGTTTGATACCAAGAGCTTTGTCCAGAGTCTGGCAGGTAAGAACATAAAGCGGGGGCGCAACCAATTTGACCTTGATCTGGGTTTCCGGCGTATTTTTCTCCTCTGCAGTACGAAGGGCAGCCTTAACTGCATCAATTCCGTCATAGCCGAAGCAGGTGACATCGACGTCGGCACGAACTTTTGTAGGGTGAGGGGTGAGTTTTTTGCTGATATAGGTTTGGAGCTCATCTTGGACTAGCTGGTTAGGGAAAGTCACATCTTTCCACACGTCAGGGTTACTATTTATCATCTGGCGATTAGTCCAGTGTTGCTCGTAGATCAGGAAACAATAGATCTCACGTGATGGAAATTTTGAATGCGTCGTATGAGTGACCGTAATTGCGGTTCAATGGCCAGCCGATAGACTGGTAGAGTTCTTCAATGGGGGTCTTTGTCTTCTCGGCAACATGGCGCATGATCGAGTGGACCAATTTGCTCTTATTGTAGCGTTCCTCACACTTGCCCACATCTTCCGATGACACTCGTCGCTTCGACAAATCGATGTATCCTGCATGGAGGTTTCTCGAGTTAGTATGGTTTTTCGGGGGCTCTCTTGCATGACCGCGAACCTTTTTCCTTGTCAACACGCAGCACGACGACGACTTCATTCCGGCCGATTCGAATCAATTTTTGGATACTTCGGATACGTCTTCGCGAGAGTTCGGAAAGAAGAATCATGCCATCGATATTATCGTATTCCAGCAGTTTCACATAGGCACCCATCTCAGCGATCTAGACTCAATGTGTGAGACGAAAAGCAGCCCAAGCACAGCCAAGGATAACGAACCTGCTTGACATTCACCATCACGAAGCTATCCACTTCGGGATACTTCTCCTCGTAGAACCGACAGTTTGTCAACGACATTTTGGCGGGGTTGCGCCTGTATCAGGCGGGGGCACGTGGCGGGAGATCGAAGAAAAGAAGAAGCTGGCTATTACAGGTGTGAAGGGCGATAGAGACCGGTTCCTGGAATCGTCCGAAGAAAAACGTGACTCTTGTGACTGGTGGATTGGCGGGGGAAGCGCTGTCTTTTCTTCGAGCCGCAGAGTCTGAAGTATTGTATTTAGCTTGCTTTTTTGTGGCGACCCAAAATCAAAGCGGGCGTTCTCCAGGCTCGGCGCGCAAATTCGGCGCCAGTGGGGGCTGGTGTCACGTGATACCAACCAAGCACTTGGCGGGCTGCAGGGGACGACCGCTGTCTCCTGCATGTATATTTCTTTGGCAGCAGTCTGTCTGTAAGCCGCCCGGGCGTCTCCATGATACGCCTGCAATAAATGCGAAGAACTACGTGATGGCAGAGCAGCCAGCCATTGGCGGCGACGGTTATTAGTCTTCCTTGCGGGGCCCGGATTTATGTTGATCGGTTGGCACTTCACTTCATCTGCCATTATTATTGCCTGCAGCCGGACATGGTCGTGCTGAAGACATCAGACAATGAAGGCAGACATTGAGAACGGTGGCATATATCTTTAACAGCAACGGATATGTCGAATAGGCGCTTGTCAGAACCGGAGGATCCCTTCTCGCTCCCGGATCGGCTTTCCGACGTCCTCAGCCCTCGCTCTTCCTCCAGCCGGCCTGCCAATGACGCCTCTACAAAACAACACAGCCATGAGTACACTCACGAAGAGGCTATCGAAGACGGCCCCGATGCCACCACGCGGCTATTAGGAAACTACGAGCGAAGGGGGTCAGTGTGCGGGCAACGGGAGTGTAATCATGGAACATTCTCACCTCGCCCAGAACACTATGACCCTGGTTTGCAAGGTGACGTCTTTTCCTGGGGTGTCAGGTCCCCGCGCTTCATAAGCTCTGGTATCCAGACGCCAACAACAGATGGCACATCCAACACCCCCATGCTGACCGCCCAAATCGGAGCGAAACGCCGACGGAGAATGTACGTGATGTGATATAGCCAATTTACGGTGGAATGAACGTGATGGTTGAGAGTGACCATGGCTAACAGGAACAATGCAGGTATTTGTATTACTATATTCCGTTTCTCAATTGGGTCGCCCAATACCGGTGGGATTTCTTCCGAGGCGATCTCATAGCTGCATTAACGATAGCCTCATTCTATATTCCGATGGCTTTGTCACTATCGTCAAATCTTGCTCATGCCCCTCCAATAAACGGCCTATACTCATTCGTTGTGAACCCGCTCATATATGCGATCCTGGGTAGCAGCCCCCAGTTAATTGTTGGGCCCGAGGCGGCTGGGTCACTTCTTGTTGGAACGGTTGTGAAAGCGACAGTTGAATCCGGCCATTCCGATGAATCGGACGATATTATGCATGCCCAGGTGGTCGGCACTGTAACTGGGTTGGCGGGTGCTTTCATTTTCATTGCAGGACTAACTCGCCTCGGTTTTCTTGATAATGTCCTAAGTCGGCCTTTCCTGCGAGGTTTTATCACTGCTGTTGGCGTCGTGATTTTCGTTGACCAGCTGATCCCTGAAATGGGATTGTTTGAGAAGGCTAAAACTGTTAATCATTCCAGCACTGTGGAGAAATTCTTATTTATCATTGAAAACGGCCAGTATGCTCACAAGTTGACGACCATTGTCGCGTTCTCAAGCTTTGGCATCATAATGGTTTTTAGGTTGGTTATTGAATTGTTCCTCATTATTCGTATACTAATTCATGACGTAGAACGCTGAAAAAGACTCTCGAGAAACGATTCCCTCAAGTCGTTTACTTCCCGGATCGTTTACTGGTCGTCGTTCTATCGGCCGTTCTCACATGGTATTTTGGTTGGGATAAGCAGGGTCTCGAAATTCTTGGAGCAGTAAAACCTGGTGAAGGTAGTGAGACTGGTCTATTCCAGTTTAGATGGCCTTTCCATCCGCGTCAAATGCAGCATATTAGATCTTCCCTTGGTACTTCGTTCGTAATTGCTCTGCTAGGCTTTTTCGAATCTTCCGTTGCTGCGAAGGGGTTGGGCGATGGTGCTCGGGATGGCATCAAAGGTGCCCCGGTATCAGCCAACCGTGAGATGATAGCATTAGGCGTTGCCAATATCGCAGGAGGTTGCTTCATGGCCCTTCCGGCTTTTGGGGGCTATGGGAGAAGCAAAGTCAACGCTTCTACCGGAGGACGAACACAGATGAGCAGCATTTTCCTGAGCATCATCACTTTTATAGTGGTTGTATTCTTTCTAAAATATCTATACTACCTTCCAGTGAGTGTCCACCTGTTTCTGATGGAATGTCATCCTAACACTTTTTAGAAAGCTGTACTTTGTGCAATGATATCAGTGGTCGCGTACTCCTTGGTTGAGGAATGCCCCCACGACCTGAGGTTTTTCATTCGCGTTCGAGGATGGTCCGAGCTGGCATTGATGATTCTGATCTTTCTTTCGACGATATTCTACTCTCTTACCCTAGGCATAGCCCTAGGCTGTGGTCTGTCACTCTTGCGTGTTATTCGACATGCGACTAAACCGCGTATACAAATTCTCGGAAAGCTGCCAGGAACACCAAATCAGTTCGAGAATGCTGAGCTATATCCTGAGAAAGTCGAGTTCATCGAAGGATGTCTGATCGTCAAAATACCCGAACCACTGACATTCGCAAACACTGGTGATCTGAAGAATCGCCTTCGCCGGTTAGAACTCTACGGAACAAACCGTGCCCATCCCGCTCTTCCTAGAGTCAGACCGGCGGAAAATGACAAGAACATTATTTTTGATGTTCACGGCGTTACGAGTATTGATGCTTCCGGAACGCAAGTATTGCTAGAAATCGTTGAAAGTTATGTAGACCGCCGAGTACGAGTCTTTTTCTGTCGTTTGCCTTCCCTCAACGGTTCCGTTTTTGAGCTTTTCGAGCGCAGTGGTATAGTTGAGAAATGTGGGGGGACTAGACATTTTGTCTCGAGCGTGGATGAAGCTTTGCGACTGACCGAGATTGAGGACGTTGTTGAGGAGTATCAAGAGAGTCACGCAGCGGACCAAGTACCTTGAGTTGTTGAAAATGCATAGCGTTATCGTTATTATATGACTAGAAAATTTGATGATAACATTTTTGAATTTCAGATTGCCCATTTTTAGGCATGGCAGCGTCTAGTCCCGAGCGTACGTAGCGAGAAGGTTGAATCTATGATTGGCCTAAAAGATTCACCAGGAGAGATATGGGCTACTGAATATAAATAGCCCAGTTCAACCCTCTCTGCTCGTCGCTCTGGTCTTCGTTAGAGCGCACCTCATACTTTTGGCAAAGCAATTCTTTGGGTTCCATTCCTTGGTATCGCGGGTTTGATGACCAATTTTCTTGGAGATCATGACTATTTCAACTGTAAGGCCAATTAAACTCCCGCAGATATGTATGGGTCGTCGCTTAATTTAGTCAAAATTCAGGATGGTCGAAAGACTCGTACTGCGTATCCAATTTCACTCACGAAGCCATATCATCGCCAATCGCCCGCTGCACGAGCGAACGAAGAATTTGCTCACTTGCAGATATAATCTTTTGATGAACGTGTTCCTGTTCGTCCAAGCTATCCATGTGACGATTAGACATATCAACAAGCTTGAAGCGGCCTTCGGTGGTGAGTACAAATGCTCCATTGGCGACTTTGCTCAGCCATACGTATCGATTCGTTATGGATTTTCCATTCAAATCTTTAGAGTAGCCAAGTTTGACGTCCATAGCAAGATGTCTTTCAAGATAATGAGATAAAGATGCTGAGAATGAAGAAGTATCATTGTCGAGCGCGAATGCTGATAACGTTTCCCGAGGAAGAGCAATATCAATTGCTTTCAGTGCAGGTGCAACTGGCTGCCCGAATGAAAGAGTTAATTGTGTCTCTTTCAGTGCCAGCTCAAGGATTTCCTTAGAAGTTGAAGTTGAACTTTCACCCGACGTTAACGAGGAAATGTAAGCCTCAAGTGTCGTGCACAGAAAGTCTGAGGGTAGACGTAATACAGAGCAATATGCATCAAATGTTGAAGACAAGAATTGAGTGAACGTCTGTCTGAGCATGTTTGGCATTCGCGTTAATAGTATTGGCAAATAGGTAGATTGCTTTCGCCTTCTATCTGTCGACGTTGGAGTGTACCCATCTGGACCGGCGAGAAGGGCTGCTCTGTAGGTAATATTTTCATAGTCAATAGTAACTAAAATACCTAGCGTGTTTTTTGGTTCAATCGGAGAGTCTCTGTCTTCTTCTAGGTTGTCATCCCAATAGTCGAATGTCGGGGTATGTTCCCAGCGACAATCGATCAAGGACCCAGCTTTTGTTAGCGCATCACTGACTGCTGTTGTTCCTTGCACTCCGCGCAAAACATCGCCTGCTAGGACATCATGAAAGCGTTTTGCGTATGTAATCAACGCATCCGCGTTGCCGATTAGGGTCTGGTGATCTTTGTTGTGATAGAGAGGAGACAAGCGATGGGCTGTCCATGATGCATCGAATAACTGTGCGGGAGATGCAAATCCCATGTTTGAATGTCGCTCGGCTTTGGAATTTAATTATAATCTCCCCCTTTTTCCCAGTTCCCGAAATTGGCATTTGGAAGTGGAAATGTTTATTTATCACGACGCGCTGCTAATAATGGGATGAATTATATAGGCTGCAAACGATGCAAACATCAAACAGACCTCCATGCCCTGACCCCAGAACAAACTCAAGGTAATTCAATATTAAGTTGAGCATCTCAGTCGAAATTGGTTATAAGATTTGTAAATATGTTGGTTATCATGTAACAGTTACACTAATATGACAAAGGTTTGAATAAAGTACCTACAATTCTCAACCTGTCGATTATCTACATTTACACCAATTTATTTTAGATTAATTTAGGCTTCTTGGGGGCCTCTGTAGATAATACAAAATATTGATATGGGTAGCACTCCGAATGCCCTGTATACAATCCACTTTTGTAGTGCTATATTCAAATTTTTGTCACTTTACTGTAAGCAAAGGTTTACGCCAACCATCCTTGGACCACGTTGCACTCACGACACCAAATAAGCACTGGGATCTCATTCCATATAGAGAAGCGCTCTGGATCATGAGGTTTTACGTTCCGGGATGTCATCTCTTTATCAGCAGTCCCAAACCAGACCTCGTTTGTGAAGTAAAAATGTCGCATGCCTCCAGGTACCTCCGCATAAACCAAAGAATTTATCTCCTCCCGTGCACTTATATCACGATCAAAGTTGGCCATGAACTCTCTGCGCTCGGCTCGAGAGTTGCGACCATCGCCAATATCGGCAGAAAAGAATTCGACAATTCGACCAAATCCAGACGTAGCCAAAAGGCCGGCGATCCAGCCATCATTCGTATCGAATTGATCAGACTCTGCACTGCGTCTAAGATACAATACTAGTAGACACATGAAATGGTGAGTGGCAAGAAGGGTCGATGTATCCGTAAATGGAGGGGAACAGAGAATCTTCGACTGCAATCCTTCAAGAATCCTCACACGAGAAACCCAGTCCATCGGCACTGGCAGCTCTCCAGCTTCGTACTGACGAAGCAAGCTATTCACCTGTTCTTTCCTTGCAGACGCATATGATTCTAAAAAGTAGTGTGCACAAATACTGATTAACATTGTGAGTTAGTAAATCCAGATCTAAGGGGAAAAAAGACTAACTCACGCTAAAGGCACTAAGTTGAAACGTAGATGAGCAATTCCACGCTCAAAAAGGAGATTACGCTCCGTCTTCGAGGGCACACTAGCCTTGATTGTAGTCTGGTTGTCGGTGAAGAACTTGGTCATGACACGATTTGCCAGGTAATGAGACAATTGGGTGCAAGTATTCTGTGTCCGGCGCAAACTATGCAAATATCTAAAAGTATACAGGTAACCACCGTTCGCACTCTTCGTAGGTAGAAACAAATCCGAGAGAAGAACCACATCGTCTTCAGGATTCCTTGTGTAAATCCGCTCGCCAATGACTGTTGACGGAAGAGTTCCATGGCGGCGAAGCTGTAAATACTGGCGAGCGATAGATGATTCATGGCACGTCAAAATCTCATTGAAACTTCGACACACTAGCTTAAGAGGTAGAAGGTCGTAAATACTGCAATGTATGAAGATTACCACTTGAATCTCGGTGGGAAGGGTTGCCAAGGGCGAGGGAGACAAGACAGGCGGCAGACTCGCAGGATCCAGGTGTGCTCTACGACATTGAACAAGGGTCAGCATTACAATAGGGAAAACGGAGAAGCTGTGATATTCACCTACTTAGTCTTCCTCAAGCCAGAACTGAATTTCCTCCCTCTGTCCCTTGAGTGGTGCCGATTTTCCGCGGTCTTCCTCGTAGAGAAGAAAGGAAACATGGTGGGTTGTGGCACAAGACATTAGCATATGCCGAACTGGTACTGCATGGAGAGAAGTCCTTGAGGTGCCTCGACATATACCTTTCGTTCGAGGCAGGAGGTATTCCAGGTATTCGAGGTATTCAAGGTATTCAAGGTATTCTTTCCCTCCGCGAAGCTTCAATGCCGGATGGCACATTGAAGATACTTCCTGCCGTTCTCAGCCAGGCGATGAAGAGACATTTTCAGGCATCGTCGAGCGAGCACACCTGCGTCGCCTCCGCGTGAAGCGTCATGCCTAGTTGGTACTTAGTAGTGGCGGTGCCGCGGTGGGGATACGTAGCAGGTGCCCCAATCGGGACTAGCAGGTAGCCTTAGTGACCGCGTCTCTGAAACCGCGACGTCAACCCTCATGTTGTCTCACTTAGCCTCGACCAAGCTAGCAATACTACTCAGCATATGTGAATTGCACACGGTTTCCGCAGCTGGCCCTTGGGATATATCTATATACCATGATTTTTACCTAGAAAACGGAGAAAAGAGTGGGAAGCAGTCATGAAATACATATCCAAGCACTAGTTACATTGCAAGCTGATGTATCATGACGAGCCCGGCTAGCAACACCGGTCTCGATGGCCTCAGGCCTCATTCTTGTGTCCTTTGTCAGAAACGAAAAGTCAAATGCGACCGGACAACTCCATGTTCGGGATGTGTCAAGGCGCAGGTTGAATGTGAATATCGAGACCCGGTTCCCCCTCGAAGGCGTAAGAAGAAGCTGCCTGAGGCTGCAATGGTTGCCCGGCTCAGACGCTATGAAGATGTCATACGAAAAGCCGGTATAGATACATCTCTACTTGAAGAAGATAGTCGAGGAGAATCACTCCCTATTCGACAACCAATCTCTGCCGAGAGTCGTCTTGAATATTCAAGCCCTCCGAGCTTCAACGCCCCCATATCTGTCCCATCCGGGAACACCTCAAAATCTGGCCCTGGTAAATTCATATCCAGAGAAGGACGATCCCTGTACCTTGATAAGTGCGTAATATTCTGTTCAGATGTTATCTGAATGAGTAGCTCACGTGTTTTCACAGTAATCTATGGAAAAGTGTCAGTAATGAAGTGAGTATGCTTGGGTAATCGAAGGAAAATGTCCATGCTAATCTGGAAATAGCTTCAAGACGCTGAAGGCATACTTCCTGAGGGATCCACCGATTCCATCTTAGGCCCTAATGAACATGAAGTGGAAGACGCGAACGGCGACTTTCTTTTCGTTGGAAAACCCTCGCGACAAAGCCTCACGCATCTCCATCCAGATCCACTACAAATATTCAAACTCTGGCAGATGTTTCTTGACGGCGTCAATCCATTAACCAAATTCATCCATGCTCCCACATTACAACAACAAATACTAAACGCCACCAGCGATCTAAGCTCTATATCACGGCCGCTTGAAGCTTTGATGTTTGCGATCTACTGTGCGGCACTTTTGCCCATGCAAGATGACGAAGCTCGAAAGTCGTTTCACGAGTCCAAATCTACGCTTATGGCCCGATACCGCCAAGCTGCGCAACAGGCTTTAGTGAACGCTGGAGTTCTCGGGACGTCGGACCTGATGGTTCTCCAAGCGTTTCTCCTCTTTATAGTACGTTCCCTTTTACTCTCTGCTCAATATGCGCAATTAATCTTTAGTCCTATTTCTAGATTTCTGCGCGGCTTGCGTATAGCCCCCACGTGCTATGGTCCATGTCTGGCATTTGCATTCGAATTGGCCAACGCATCGGACTTCACAGAGACGGTTCGAAACTCGGCCTGTCAGTCTTCGAAACTGAAATGCGTCGACGAATATGGTGGAGGTCTATGGTCACAGACACTACAATTGGTCATATGGCTGGCTGCGAGTCGTTCTTCTCAGATACTGAAGATGTGAAATTACCGTCTAATGTAAATGACAGTGCACTCGACCCAGATATGACAGAACCTCCTGTTGAATTAGCCGGTGCGACCGAAATGACTTTTTGTCTCTTAGGTTATGAAATGGGCGTTTGGCTACTCAAGAATTCCAAATCGAAAACGTCGACTTTTGACGGATATTGGCAATTCGTTAATTCTAGTTCTGTCCCCCTTGACCAAAAGGACCAACTAATTGACGAATTGGAAACCATGTTGGAGACACGATATGTTAGATACTGCGACCCGTCAATTCCTCTCCATCTCGTTTCTCGTATAGTTGCCGGCTCTGTTGTGACGCTTGCTAGAATACGTGCACACCATCCAAGACGATATCAGGAAAAAGGAGAGGAAGTGCCCCAGGCCGAAAGAGAGTTGTTGTTCAAACTCTGCAAACACCTTGTCGAGTGCGCCAATATTCTGTTTGTAACAAGAAAAGCGCAGAGATTCTTTTGGCATATTGATTTTCATTTTCCATGGGAATCGATTATCGTTATGTTGTCTGAGCTGCGTCATCGGTCTATTGGCAAAGATGTTGCGGAAGGCTGGGTATTGGTTAACACAGCATTGCAACGACAATTCAAGAGCCTGCATCAACCCAGGAAAAACCCTCTACACCTTGCAGTTGCTAATCTCGCTATCAAGGCTTGGTCTGCCCATGTTGCTGAATCCGAGCGTCGTCGGGTTCCACCTGTGCCTCAACCAGAAATTATTACCAAATTTTGGATTTACACTCAAGGTTATAAGAGTTCGAACCCTTCCCGTACTACTAATGATACTGCTGTCCATTTTACTCCTGCAACCACCCCTGTGAAAAATAAGTATTCATTCCCTACAGGGCAAAGAGCGACACCGTCGGATACAGTAGCTACAGCCAGTGAAGGCGACACTGCGTTGCAAAATAATATCAATAACCAAAGCACTGGACTATCTCCTACTGATTGGAATTACAGAACGGATTCTGTGAATTTTGATTTAGATATGAGTGCTATAACCGAGCTATATCCTACCGATGACAGTCCTATGAATTGGGTTGAGTGGGATGATTTGATTCAGCAATTTCAGCAACAGAAAGATGTGGATATGGATATGGATCTTCCACCTTCATTTGGATGAATTTAACAAGAGAAAGGTTTTATTTGTTAGGGGCGCTATCAATTGATATATCGCCTTCCTATCGGCAGCCTAAAGTCACCACTGGGCTCTAGATCATCTACTTTATTCTCACATTGCAAGCCCTAAGAACATTAAATGCCTGGGAATTGACCATGAATATCCTACTTCCTCAGACGATTAGCTTGCAGCGCTGATGTGGGATAGTCCTGAGAGTCAAAAATATATCGAACCCTCTGACCACTGAGTAATAGATTCCATACTCATGTATGAAGAGGTTTTGAAGCAGACCCTATATACCCGGCTCCAAAGGCTTGCTCTACTCTAAGTCAGGTTTCAGATTTCGATCTTCAGCAGTCATTTCTAGAACCCTCTACGCGCAATATTAGAAACGAGAAGGTCCATATTGATTCGTGGAGCTTGCGCATAGGCTTGGTTTAACTTGCATGTTCATCCATCGAGCATGCCCAATTCAAATACAAGCTAATAATTATACATGCATGCACGTATCCCAATGAACTATGATACATTATGCTACTGGTTAGTCTAATTAAGTATTTGCACTCGCAGAAACCATTCTACGCACCAAAAGCCGTACTGGGCTTCTTCTTCCCCTTGCCAACGATGACTGCGATTGATGAAGGAGCAACAGCACATATTAGAGATCCCAGCTCGAAATAAACAAAACTATCATGTATATAAACTTGATGGGGTATAATGTGTGAAGCTTCCCCACATCAAATGCCACTGGCAGCATGTAAGAAGATAGGCACTGGCGTACCATCCGACATCGTCCATAGCGTGGAATTGATCTGTGATCTTCGGAACCGCCGTCGATATGATGGTGTTTTCAAGGCCAACGAGGAACATGGATAGATTCGGGGCGAATGTGATCACGACAAGTTGGCATGTCACTGGATACTGCGATTCATCTTCATCCTCACTACCCTGCCGGTTTTCGTCGCCGCCATTTTCAGAGATCACATGGTCATTTGAATTATCGTCTGTATTGCAATTCGAATTTTCAGTTGACGATAAATTCTTGTCGCCAATCGCCATGGTCTTGGTAGTATTCTCAGCCATTGAATCTATTGGGACGAGTTGGTGCTGAGGATAGAAGGTAGTTGGATAGCCGTCGCTCATGACACTACTTCGAATAATGTTCGCTGTATGAAAGACGAAAACATTCAATATTCATGGTTGTGTCCAATGCGGCCATCCTATTGGGCGAAAAACATGGGGAGAATGAGTCATCCGGTGTCATGATGATCTCGCAAACGATGGATGCTGTGAAATTTCCCTGCAGAAATGACCGTTCAAGGGTGCAAATGAGTTGTTTTAGCATTTAAATTAGACCAATAGGGTAATTTATTTTACCAGAGCTGTAGTTGATAACACGGCTTGACACTATCTAGCTCAGAATGATTCGGTTCAATAATTAACATTTGAAGTACTTGCGGTTTAAATTGATGTTAATGCTTATTGATCGATCTAAATAAACATGTATACAAAGCCATTCAAGTCCAGTAGTTTTAACTAGCATAATACAGTGTCCAATAAGCTAAATTGCACGTACTAGTAGTATTATTACTATATAAAATACCTCAAAACTGAATGGAGTGGGGATAGTAAACAAAAGAGAAAGAATTGAGCTAAAATGAAAGGGTATCGTTGAATTATTTTTCGAAGGTCCCGATAGCGTATCTGCTATCGGACTCTATTGATCCTCTTTGCTAAATCTTACACGATGGTAGGGTAATGCCGGGACTCAAGCTTCTTCATCTTTAGGGGTAATAGGCCCATTCTCTTTGTCTCCTCCCTTGACGCTCACCCACTCCATAAAAAGAGCGCCAAATATTGAGGCACATGAGAGACCTACGGCGACGTAGAAAGCCTTCGTGATGGCTGAATTGTATGCAACCAAAACTGCAGGTAAGTCTGCCGGGCTGACGAGATTGCGAATACCCGTTGCGCCAGCTTGAAGAACTAGTTGAGCAATATTCTGACCATGCTCCCCGCTGAGTGATTCTTGTACGCGATTTACCAGACCATTGTCGAAGACGGTTTGAGCAACTGCCAAGAAGATGGCACCTCCCAGTGACTGGAATAGCATCATGAGAGATGCACCGGTGGGAACATCCTTGCGCTCAAGAATAGTTTGAGCTGCAAGACTTGGTTGCTGCATACCAAAACCGATCCCCAACCCCAGAATCACCTGGTAGCCAATCCACATGGGGTGATTGGTGGTTGTAGTAAAGGTTGTCAAGAGCCCCGCGCCGATCGACATGAAGATAGTGCCGAGAAACATAAAAGGGGTGAAGTATCCCAGCTTTGAGACGAGAACTCCTGCCATAATAGTACCGACAACGAGTGACAATACCAGCGGCAAGTTCATGATACCCGACTTGACTGGGCTCACTCCTTTGATAGCTTGGAACCAAACAGGGAGGTAATAAACAATGAGAATCATACATCCTCCAACACATAGAGAGAAGAAGGAGCCTGACACTATGCTTCTCTTCTTTACAAATCGAGGTGGCACCGAGGCTGTCTCTTGTTTCCACTTCTGAATCAAGATGAACGCTACCATGAGTACACCAAATACAACGAACAAGGCAATGATTCGTCCATTGCTCCACGAGTATTGTGTGCCACCCCATTGGAGAGCAAGAATTAGACACACGATACTTGGTAGGAAAGCCAAAGTTCCGAGAGGGTCGAGTTGGTGAAAACGATCACTTAGGGTACGCGCGGGGCTTGGGTTTGGTGGGGGATTTGCCTGTAGGATAAAGGTAATGACGAGAATAGTGACTGCACCAATTGGCAAGTTGATGTAAAAGCACCATCTCCATGTCACATTATCAGTGAATGCGCCTCCCATCAGAGGGGCAATAACAGAAGAAATCCCAAAAAGACTACCCATCATACCCGTCACCATGGGGCGCTTTTGTAATGGCACTGCATCGGTCACAATCACAATTGCTCCAGAGAATATACCGCAAGATCCCATTCCCGCAACCGCTCTACCAACAATGAATGCTGTTGAGGTTGGCGCAGCACCGCATACGGCGGATCCTATTTCGAAGATGATGATAGCAAGCAAGAAGATCCACTTGGGTGAGTAGAAGGTAAATAGCCGTCCGAATGTTAACTGAAAAGAGCAACTTGTCAAAAGGTACGCGCTGCCGTACCAGGCAATGTCGTCGAGGGCGTGAAAATCATCGGTGATCCGTGGGATCGCAGTAGCAATGATGGTCCGGTCCTAGTTATCATATTAGCTTGTCTGTTGTTTTGCTTCCCCCATAAGGCGGGACAAATTTACAAGAGCAACGAGGAATATTGCCAAGTATACCGCAATCATGATAGCCACGAGCGATAATGTTCCAGGATATTCATGCCCAGGATGAGAGTCTTTTGCTGGAGAGTCTGAGGACACATCGGCTTGTTCACCCTCTGCGACAAGTTTCTTGGAGCCTAAGCTGCCATTATCAGACACAGCAGCATCTTTTTTCTCAGAAACAGAGTCATTGCGATTTTTCTCTTCGGTCATTTTGACAATAGAACAGACAATCAGTAGTGGTTGACTTCGACAGAAACGACTGGAGAGTATGCTCGAAGAACCTGAGCAAGAAAATGATGGAAAAAAGTCAAGTATAAATATACATAATAGATTTAGAAAATGACAGACCATGCAAGCCAGGGAACACCAGGTTTATATAGCCTGGTTCAGGGAAAATAGGGCACAACTAAGTATTCGGCAGGAAAATATGGCTTCGGGTCCGAACAACGTTTCGCACTCCCGAGAAGAGCTTTGTTCCCGAAGGCAGCTAACCCCTAGTTATTCAAACACAGTTCAAATTTTACATCATAACATGACAAAACAAAAGGGAAACGAATCATAGCCACAAAAAACGTGAGATTTAAAAAAAACCTATTATCAATGGGAGAGTAACCCTCGACTTTGGCGTGAACATAATTATTATATACTAGCACCACCGATGAAGATTGTCAGGTTTCGGATAGTCATTGATTATTCAAGGGTGTCTAAAACTTCGACAGACTAAGGATTCTAAGAATTTAGACGAGTTTAGCGTGCAAATCGCCCTCCATACAATGCTGCTCCCTAGCAAAGATTTAGATGCGGAATTGCGAGAGATCGGGGGGTATATTGGTGAAGATTTAGCTAGAAGAACCTTGAAGCTGAACATGATTTTCAGAAATATTTGAAGACATAACTATTGAATTCATAGTTAATAGGAGACAAAAAATATAAAATCTTAAATATAAGTGATATTAAAGATATAAAAAGGGTTTAATTTTGAAGTGATTTTCTTTTCATGGAGTTGGGCTGTTGAGGTTTTAGGGGATTATATACCTACACGCGCTCCTTTATAAAATTGTATATAAGGTGATGTACACGTCAAACTTGTACTGAATCCTTAGTCTGTCGATGTTTTAGACACACCCTTGTTAAGTGGTGAAGCAACTCACGCTCTCACGAACTTGAACTGACTGAATCAACTTGATCGAAAAAGAGGAAGTGAAAATGAAATAGACTGCTTAACGCTTTTTCTTAGCCTTCTTTTTGGTTTCTTATAATTTTTATAAACCTTGTTTTTAATTTCTTTAACACATACATTGACTAAAATTAGGATTTACTCTTTCCCTTCCTTATATATACGATACTACATACTATCCATCCTCGATTAACGCTTATAGATATAAACAAAGAGACTTCAGTAATCATTCATCTCAGTGGTTAGAACATGAGATCTCACTTGAATGGGATATAAAACCAACCCACTAACATTTCGTTGGAGTTATGGGGTCACCAGATATGAAGTAATTTCTTGAGTGTCTTGAAGACAGTTAGATGTGTTTTAAACATCACGGACCCTGCTTGACCAGCAAGTGAGGCAATCCATTGTCCACTTCCACTGGGCCAAAATACTCCTCGAAAATCTGCGTCAAAACCTTATCTGTCAACTGCATATGGGGCCCCGGTACTGTTTTGAAATCAAGCTTTTCTTGCTCATCCAATGTGCGCAAACCCAGCCAGTCCTCCTTGTAGAGCGCTCGTTCCCTGAGAGTCGTCACTTCACCGCTGGTTTGATTGACTTCGGCAAACCATGCACTCTCCTTGGGAATCGCCGTCGTGTCATCTTCGAACATGAACATACCAAATCGATTCAACGAGACTAGGTTGTTCCTGTAATTGGTGTTTTTCTCCTCTCTTTCGTTGTTGATGTCGGCGAGAAAGTTGCTGTGCTCAAGGTACGAATCATATTCTTGAGGATCTCGGAAGTATTGCGCGGGCACAAGCCGGGATTGTACAAAATCAGACCATGTACCATAGCGCAATAAAGCTTCAGCGCCGCGGCAGACCCAATCCCCAGCGCTAGCACAAGATTGGAACTTAAAAATGCCATTGTGTTGACTTCCCATTGTGACTAGATTGCGCACTGGGGGGGAGTTGCATCTCTCAATATAAGCTCGTAGGAACTGTCCTCCTTGTGAAAAGCCGAGAGCATTGATGGCAGGTGCAGTGCTGAGGATTGGCTCGGACGCCAGCTGATCGCAGACATGGGCGACTTGCTCCGTGAGATTACCGAAGAATGTAGCTTGCCGATCGCCACCGTCCGACTCTTCCAAGTGAATTACATGTACATACGTCCCTGGGTTGACTTCCTCGGCGAGCTGGGTCACTTCTTTGATGCCATCAGCTTGGTAACTGTCGCCTAGCCCATGCCAGATCACCAACGGCAAAGGTACCGGTTCAGAGTCCCATGCCACCGCACAGGCGAGCAGGACTGGAAGAAGCGAAACCAGACGCAGGTGATAGGTCATATTGATCATGGCTTCTCTTTTATTTAAGGATGAGGACGATAGTATCATTCGTTTCCGTCTGGCACGAGGCCAATGCGATCTCCTGGTATGTGGAGAAGGCGGAGACATACACTAGTCCACATACGGAGTCAGGGTTGAGATCCACTTCTCCACTCCGGCCAATCATACTTAGCATTTCAATTTATGGCATATCATATCATAGAGGTCTCGATCGCTCTATGCTGCTGGTCTAATCCAATGGCCATTCGTCTTTGTGAAAAATAAACTCCAGCCAATAATATCATTATAAACCGGAAGGTTTACAGTGTTCTCGGGAATTACTAAAGTCCGAGGCGGCTGCGCGGGGAATTAAAAACCCGCTGGCCGCCTCCTTTGTCCAGTTCTCGACACATCGCAAGCCAATCCCATAAGACATCTAGACATTTTTCTATCGACTACCCTGGTGCCGCATAGGAACTACAGTTACAGGGGTTCAATCAGCCCTGTAGCCACCAAACATGCAAATAGCAGATGGGAGAGCCCCCTCGGTGACCTCCCAACCATCGAAACCACAGCGGATTCTGGCGTGCGTTCGCTGCCAGCAGCGTAAAGTGAAATGTGATCGCAAATATCCCTGCGCCAATTGCGTCAAATCCGGCGTGCAATGTGAACAGGCGAAACCGGTCCTGGCCCGACGGAAACGCAGGTTCCCCGAGAGGGAGCTGTTAGCTCGTATTCAAAAGTACGAGGATATGCTTCGTCAACATGACATCGAATTCGAACCGCTCCACAAAATTCCAGCCAGGGATGGCTCACCCAGTGTGGAGGGCGGCTATGAATCAGACGACAAGCTGCCCAAAACTGCGCAGACCGAGGCTTCGACGCCTGTTGACTATGCCGAAAGACTCTTCTGGTCTAAGTATGTTCTCTCCAAGATATAGATGTGTGGCTATCTAACGAACCGTTCCAGAAATGTTTGGAAAACTATAAATAAGGAGGTACATACATGTTGGCTGGAATTCAAGTTTCGCTTCTAATAATCAAACTAGTCACGAGATCCCGGATGCAGCAGTGAGTCCTCGGAGGATGACGTGCGTGAAACCGTAGTTAAAAATACGTGGTGTCAATTATTTGAAAACAACGATCACCTTCTTTTTGGTTCACGCAAAAGCGACACAGTCGATATTTCTACTTTGCACCCTGAACCAGTCCAGGTTTTTCGGCTTTGGCAAATATATCTTGAAAACGTGAACCCATTGCTCAAAGTTATACATGCACCGAGCCTACAAGGGTATATCATAGAAGCTACCAGCAAATTATCCAACATTAAGCCGACCTTAGAGGCACTGATGTTTAGCATTTATTGCATGTCCATCATCAGCCTGACTGCGGATGACTGCCAGGCCATGTTTGCTTCGTCAAGGCAAGATCTTCTATCGAAATATCAATTTGGCTGCCAGCAAGCTTTGCTGAAATGTAATTTTCTACGATGCAACGATCTTGACTGCTTGACTGCACTGTATCTTTACCTAGTAAGTTCTTTCAGGTCGTTATATTTATGATTTCTAATGATTCTAGGTCTCAGTTCGACCTAGTACGGTCCCCCAGTCACTATCTTCCATGCTTGGCGTGGCAATTCGCATCGCACAGCGCATGTGTATTCACAGTGAAGCCGCTTTAGCCAATTACACTCCTCTTGATGCTGAAATACGTCGAAGACTTTGGTGGTCCCTTGTGTTGTTTGACACTCGCGTCAGCGAACTGGCTGACTTCAAACCCACAATCCTGAATCCTATTTGGGATTGTCGAGTCCCCCTCAACGTGAACGATTCTGAGTTTCGACCAAATATGAAGAAGCCGCCACATCTTCAGGGAGGATCCACCGAAGCACTTTTTCCTGTCGTTTGTAGCGAATTGGGAGAATATACCCGGAACACAGCGTACTATCTTAACTTCACTAATCCATCCTTGAAGCCTATTGCAAAAGATGTTCAACATGGTTATACCGAATACGAACCCCTTCCTGAGAGAAGTGAACTGGCTTGTCTAGAACAGATGATTGAGAATAAATATCTCAGATTCTGTAACCAGGACAACCCGCTGCACTTAATGACGGTCTGGATGGCACGGGGACACCTTGCTAAATTTCGCTTCATGGAGTACCACTCCAAACACTCAAACTCAGAACAAGTACCAGAGGCACAACGCGAAGCCGCAATGTCGTATGCACTCCGAATGCTTGAATGCAACTCGAAGATCTTCCACTCACCTTTAACTAAGGGATATCGATGGCTGGCCCAATTTTATTTCCCATTTCCTGCATATGTTTTCATTTGCAAGCACTTGAAACGTCAACCTTTTAGTAAATCAGCTGAACGCGCTTGGGAAGTTATGAGCGACAACTATGATGCTCAATTTGGCGTCACTCAGAAAGACAGTATCCCTCTCTTAAGACTTTTCTCGGGATTTATCCTACAGGCATGGGAAGCTCGGGAAGCAATGCCCAGACAACCGGGCGAGCCACTAGTGCCGCCAAGGATTATATTATCTATCAGGAATAAAACAATACAGATGGAGCAAAACCCACAGAACATCGACCCCGGACAGCTAGCCAGTGTTCCGGCTACGGATGTCAATAACGTCCCTGCGCCGATGCCGATAAGCTATGGAGGCCATAACCTGCTTTACGGTATGGGAGGACAAGAGGGATGCCCGATGACAGGACCAGCAATGTATCCTGATATGCATGGGCCGACAACGCTGGATTTTGGAACGAGTCAGATAGATTGGTCGGCCATGGACTGGGCACTTGGGGGATACCCTGGCTGGGGGGGTGGTGAGACCACGGGTCTGTCAGTCCAGCCTTTAGTTTTGGCTGGTACCAAGCCAGGTTGGACTTAATATGTGAGGAATTGTATAGAAAGACAATGGCATCCAAATCTGTTGTCAACTTGTCTTACACAAGCATAGATGCTGTCGTACTCTATGTGATATGATTGGTCAATTGAGTTGCATACCGACGACCTTTTTTTCCCATTGCACTGATGCTCCTATTAATGTAAATGATGAAAATAATTTTAAATGGTTATTTAACAATTGTAGCGCATGTCAAAATTATTTTTCAAATCGATGACAGAAAATTGAACTTCGGGTGTTTTTGATCTCGTGACTGAGACTGGTCCAGTGGACCATGACTTCATCGACAAGCCACATGACTGCAAATCTTGACGCGTCAAACACCACCGCCATAGCTATTTTCTCCGTAGTATTATTTTCTATGCTGTCTGTTATTACTTCTCTAGGGGTCTGATATGAATTACCGTGAGATACTACCATCTTGCGTAGCAAGGTGACCCTTTTCATAGGGAGCAACATCCCTTCGGATCGCTCGGAAATGGAGATCGATGGTTCTACTGAGGACCCGAGGATAGGGCCGAACATAGTATTTGCGCAACAAGTGGCCCCAAGTAAAAACGGGCAAAAGCAGTCAAAATGGAGGCCGACGGCTTTCTTGGATGTTTTCAACATGCGCCCTCCAATGGACGAAGAACCCCAGTGCGTCGTGCCCCTTCACAGCTTCCGAGAGACGAACACATACTGATACTATGCCAGGGACTGGTGGGTTGCTTCAACAGCGATTCCCCTCGTGGCTGCAGCTACGGCGCCCTTGGCAAATGTTATGTCAATTGTGGCTTTGGTCACTTCATGGCGCAACCAAATATTCCTTCAACAAACTGACGACCAGGGAAGAACACTGCAAGTCGGCATCGACGATCCTCACTGGTAATCTCCTCCGCAGCTGAACAGCAGAATGAAAGCTATTTGTTTATTTACTTGTGAAATAGGTGTGTCGCGCTTAATGCTACATCATTGGTCCTGGGTGTGTTAGGAAATTTGTTCCTACTTTTCAATTTTACTAGAAGAATGCGATATATTATCGCACTGCCAGCTTCGATCATATTGTGGTTTTTGGCAACTGGTATTGTAAGGGGGTCTCCCCAGTTTTTGGCTTTGAAACTGACTCTTTGATTCATGGTAGTTGGCCGGAATCACAGCGTCGATGAACATTTATGTGCCTCCGGTATCGCCAGGCGAGGTCTACTCTCAAGGTTATTGGAGCGGCGTAATAGCCGCAGCGCTTTACTTTATCCTAGCTGTTATTCTCATGATCAACATGATTGGATACATGCTTGGCCACTATCCCCAGCATTTCATTCTGACCGATGACCAACGTACGCTCATTCTGCAGACTACCTCATTCACGATTTGGCTGGCAATCGGTGGTGCCATTTTCCAAAATCTTATCGATATCGACTATCCAGACGCATTGTATTTCTCAGACGTTACAGTACTTACATTAGGATATGGTGATATCACAGCAAAAACGAGTGTTGCGAAGGGTTTGGTTTTTCCCTATGCAGTCATTGGAATCGTCATTCTTGCTTTGGTTGTTTCTAGTATCAGTCGCTTTGCCAGGGAGGTGAATAACGACAATGTCATCAAGAACCACCTACAACGCCAACGGGCTAGAACCGTTGAGCGATCCATAACCATAGACGAAGCATCAGAAATCAGACCACCTCCCAATCACATCGCCACGTCCCGCCGAACGCCGAAAGCAGGCAGACCAGTTCGCTCTGTTGTGAATATCTTAAGACCCAACAAGTCCAGAGCATTGATTATGAGAGAGGAGAAAGATCGATTCGATGCCATGAGGGCAATACAAAGAGACACGCTTCGATTTCGCCGGTGGACGTCACTGGTATCTAGTGTCATCGCTTTTGCCATAGTATGGTGTGCTGGAGCTGCGGTTTTCTCAAGCTTAGAAAATTGGGGATATTTCGATGCCTTGTACTTTGCATTTTGTTCGCTGTTGACCATTGGATATGGTGATATGACACCGCAATCAAACCCCGGCCGTCCATTTTTCATCGTCTGGTCTCTGATCGCCATCCCAACAATGACGATTCTAATCTCCAAAATGAGTGGCACCGTACTGGATGGCGTCAACGATGCTACAAATTGGATTGCTGAGTTTACCGTCCTACCAAGGAGTGGCCGATACCGAGAATTTGTCAATAAAGTCCCTATTTTGCACGAAATATTAGAACGCCGGACCGAACAGAAACGTATCCGCCGTGGATTTCGCGTGGGTGTCGACGACATCGAAAATGATGATAAGGATGACGATAATGTCCTAGCTAGTCGCACCAACGATGCACACCCGCCTCCGAAGATCATCGAGCAACTACCCCGTAAACGACGTTCAGACAAGCAGCTCGCACGAGATCTAACATTCGCAATACGCAGAGTTGCCGAGGATGTGGCGGCAACAGGTATCAAACGGTATTCATACAAGGAATGGGTAGAGTTTACTCAATTAATTCGATTCACCGACCCGAATCGGGGTAATGACTCGCCGGGATTCGAACTGGATGAGAACGAATATGGAGTTATAGAATGGGATTGGATAGGGGAGAATAGCCCGATGTTGGCGGAGCAGACGGAGTCCGAGTGGATTTTGAATCGTTTGACTGAGAGTTTGATTCGATATATGACTAGAAAGGATGTTGATGTGGCTCTTAACGAAAGAAGTGTTGCTATTCATCAGAGTGACTTAATACTTAGACATGTATAATGATGTTTTTAGAACAAATTTAATGAAGACCAAAATGGCAATATGATGTCAAGTATTGTGAGTTGAATAGTATAAACATCGGTGTGGTGTATTTTTACATGCCGAATATCATACATGTAAAAAGTTAATAATATCACATATCATGACATCTATCTGTCATCATCAAACTATTGCACATATCGGCGAAATGGCATGTTGAAGTATGGCGGCATTTCGCTTCTTTCATAAGCACCTGGGTTGTGAAATATACTAGTAGCATATCTTTCGGCATTTGAACTTTGTGATGCATAGGTATGCCTCTCTAGAACACCAAAGCCAGAAGATTTTCGAGGTAACGGAGCGACGAAAGGCGAGGTTGGAATTTTCAAGTGTGTCGTCATCTCGTCAGCATCCAGGAGTTGTCGGTCATTGCGAGGTAGGGTCCAGTAGGATGGAACGCGAAATTTACCGGGTTTATTGAGTGACTCTGTGACATTTTCTTCTTCTCGAGTTTTATTGTTGGCACTTATTTGGCCTAGGTGGCGAATATGTATATTTGGAGCAAATGGTCGTTCTGGCTGCGGGGATATGAAACCGGAAGGCTCAGCATTCTGCAAGCCTTGGACCAGAGGCATGCTCTGCCCGAAAAAATGTGGTGGTTCTGAGACTTGATGAGTAGAAGATGTGACATCAATAGTTGGCTCACTATCTTGTACGTGTCCCTCATAATCTTGTCTTGTAGTGCGAAAGGGTGTAGCAAAGATAGGTTGGTTGATTGGACGCGGTTGAGATGGCGGTAGTTGCCTTGCGATCTTCTGCGTCTGGGGCAATGTATCTGAATCTGTGGGGTGGCTTCCACAAGATTCCGTGTCCTTGGGGAATGTATCATCCAGCCTCATAGTAGTAGGAAAACTCAAGATTGTTTCTTCATCATCTCGCTCACTATTGCCGCGTTTATGGTAGAAATTGCACCGCGGGAAAGAAGAGTTCCGAATTTGATCTTTTGATCTTATAGGGTGATTCAAGTCCGAACCCGAATGTTCTCCACCCTCATCAAGTACCTGGTCATCTAAAGTGAACCTATGCAGAATTGGCATGCTCGAAGTGCTGTGCTGAGTTTGGCTTTTCATGGACATATCCATCATTGGCTCGCATCGCCCTCCCTTGGTTCCATTTAAATCATTGCGCTTGGCGGTATGCGGAAGTTCATTTTCTGAAAATACTCCTCTCTGGGTAGCTTCAACATGATGCTGTGCAAATATGGAAAACGGCCAAGTATCTCTAGTGTCCTCAACATCAAGAAGCATCGAATCTGATGAATTGGATCCTCTGGAAAACTTTGGATTTTCATAAGCACGCAATGGTACCTCGGCTGTATTGATTTGGATGTTGATGTTGGATTCAGGATTTGCGTTCATTCTCGCGCCGAATTGATCCTCGATAGAGTCCAAGCGTGAGCGCCTGAAAGCTGTTCTTTTGGCCATGACAGTGATCCTCGCTTCTTCATCTTCTGATAGCTTCCTTCTCCTTCCTATTCTTTCCTTCTCTTCAATTGATGCAAATTTCACTTGCGCTGGCTGGGTAGGAGAGAGCCCAACCCAGTCATGCTTTTGTAGCAGGTGCTGTTTGAAGTTGTCTACGTAAGACGTGCTACTACTTTCCTGGTTTTCGAAGGAGGATTAGTAAGCTTTAAAGCAAAATCTTGAGCCACGAGCTACAGTCTGGGTCAAAAATTCTGGGCTTGACTTACCAGTGCGGTATCAAATGGTGCATAAAGCGGATGATATCGGGAAGTCTTTTCTGTCTGGTTTGCTACTTGTCTTTTGTCCCAATTACTGGTATGGCTGCAACGTGATTTTCCCGAGTCATCAGCATGAAGATCACATCGCGAACGAGCCGCCTTGATTTGAGCCTCTCGCTGCTTGAGGCGCGCCTTGGCGAAGTGCTGCTTCTGGATACGTAAAATGGAATTAGGTTTATTGTGCGATTGACGCCGAAGACGACCGCCTGTCCAATTCATTTAGGTAAATAACCAGTGATCACCTCATTGAAATAAATGGAGATGTGTGTGAGTGTGCTTAGTCGATTGCGGTTGGGGATATGGCAGGCACTGTGAAGAGGAGGAGCGATATTGGAGACTCCAGTCCCGTGACAGCCATAACAGCGTGAGAATCTTTTTGAACGACTCGAGGCATTTCCACTACTAATTGCCAGGAGCATATTCAAAATTGCCAGAAAAGAAACGACATGTAGTCTCCGAATTTATGGAGAACGCTTTATGATACATGGGTGCCTGACCGTGAGCTTCTACGCAAGGCCAGCTAAGCTATTTTCAAGTAGGAGTGCGCAGCAGATGAGGGCAATTTTGTAGTTATTCGTGCAATTTGAATCAAGTGCGTCTTTTTCACTTGCAACGAAGTGAATGAGGGTTTGCAAGACGCAAGAAATGAGAGGAAGACGACAAGCTGACTCCGATACGGGAAGCCTGAGGCATCACCACTCACGTGACATTGCAAACAGAGCAAATTGTGTACATTCTCGGGCCCGAAAATTGTTTTCCTCCCCCAATTCAAAAAACTTCCTCGCAAGTGCCCCGATCTTGTGTTGTCTTCTATCAACAACGCCGTCGCTGTTACCGCCAGGTTTATTCTAACCATGAAGTTTAGGTTCACTATGGTGACTTGATGCTGCCCCAGCTGCGCTTCTTTCTGTCCTATTCTCTGCGTCCTGCCGGTTAGTACTTGAATTCTCTTTTCTGCACACCCCCCAGCCCTGTGAAGCAAGCGACAAGGCACTTTTTATGATGAACAACCAATCAAAGCATAGTTCACCTGAAGGTCTACGGACTGCTGAACGATAAACCATTACCATCTTTCATTTTTTCTGACAGCCTCGTCTCTTGGATCATTATCGTGATCGTCTTATTTTTGGGAATTGTCTCGCGCAGCCCGCTTTGCAATTTGCGAGTGCTAACAACAATCACTCGACATGCAGGGTTGATCCATGCAGTTTCGGTCCAAGCGCGTCAGCTCATCTGCGTTGCTACCCAACCGGATCCGATTCGCACCAATGACCATCAGGCATCCATAGGCGCTGGAGATGATAAGAAAGCGAGTTGCCAGCCACGTCGTTGAAATTATTTCTAGACTTCTTCCCACTGCGTATGATTCACTTTTACTCTACCCCCGTGTTGTTCCTTTGTATGCAGTACTCCCCCTGTTTAGATAGCGTTGTCGGTCTCGTTTTAAATTAGAAATCCCTCACTTGGCAAAGCATGTCGGACGATACCCGTGATCTCGACTACACTGCACAGATAGTCGCTTGTCCATCGCCTGCACACCACGTCGTAGTAGAGGGTTTGTTATCTGTAGGCCTATCCGCATGGTCACACTGACGTCCCAGTTTGATTGGTGCTGTTGGAAGTCATGTAAGCCCCATTCCTGCAATGCCAACTGTACAGTTGCAAGTGCACTGCCGACATGTGCCAAGTGTGAGTGAGGCTCGCTTCATGTCCAATCGTTGCCAGCCTTTGTGGTGACTGCGGGGGCTTCGTTGCGGTGTGCGTGTGTTGTGCGATGGGGGTCGACAGGTGGGTAGTTTCGAGTGGACTACAGCCAGCGCCGGCTCACCGCCGCGTGAGGTGTTCGATGCAGCCGAGTCCACGGACAGTCGTCGATTGGCACGGCCACAATGGATGCGATGCACTGCAAGCGCTTGCTGTCACAGCCATGGGTCTATAACGTCCAGTGGGAGTACTGGGAGTAGTTAGAACGAGCAGCCGCCAAAAGGCGTGACGCCATGAAACAAGGCTTCTGGTACGCTGGTCCACAGCGTGCCGGCCCGCCCCTTCCACTAACCGCACCATCTGTTCTCTGCCCCGCCGTCGCTCTCCTTACGCGTGTGCATTAAAGCCCAACTTTTCCCCCTCTCTGCTCCGTCTTCTCTTTTTATTTTCTCTCCTAACTTACACCGAATTGGATACCCGACCATCATACATACTTACATACACACATACCGTTGTTGTTGACTATTGTGTGTTTCTTGCTTTTTTTCCTGCTCGACCGTCTCGTTGAATATCAGTTTGCTCCTATACTCAACCCGAGGATACCATACCATAGAGCCCTGGTTTCTCCTCCAATCACAAGCTATTCCACAGGACACTCGATCCATTTTCTCCAGGACAGGATTATGTGTGTTTTTGTTTTTCTGCCTAGGATCTAGATAGATATACATATTCACGACCGACCACAACGCATCAGGTAGTCCCAATCCCTTTTTCATTGCTGCTTCTTGTCGTTTTTCTTGCCGTCGCATCAGGACCTGTATCCGTCGCATCCTGTACTACTTGCTTGCCGTTTACGTCCGGCCTTCCGTGGATTCCTGGACATGATTTTCAAGTTTGCTCTGGATTGCAGTCGCCTATCAGTGTGCTGTGAGAAATGTGAGCACAGCACCTGCCAGCTAAAGGATTCCCACCTTGACCACGGATGGATAATTTCTTGACTCCCCTTGACATCCGTCGGGGGGCCTGGACAGCAACACGTCTCGAGAGCTTAATGTTGGCAATCGTTGACTTTTTTATGAACACTTTAATCTTTCTCTGGATCCAGTGGGCCTGCTCGAAACCTCGAGTCAGGATGGACCTAATGCCTTCCAAATACCTCAATGGGTTGCCCTAGCCTGGGTCTATCATGTGATACCTAATGGAGCCTTGTTACTTGGACCTGACCTTGACCTTGGATGCTTATGATATCCCATTACTGGAACCTTGACTGCCTACTTCTGACCCTGTTTTTCTTGACCTGATTGCTTGAGACCAGAAACATCTGTGCCAGGCAGTACTTAACGCCAATTCACTTTGACCTTGGACCTCTTCGCAACTGCATAATGCTGCAGTCAACTGCTGATTGATGTACCAAGGATTCTTTGACCCTGGATTATACACTGACCGGTTAGAGCTAAGATTTTTTCAATGGATACCCTACCGAGATATGGACACTTCCTGGATTTTTAAACTCCTGATGAGGCCTTGCATGTTTTCGTGTCGACCAACTGGAATCACAGAATCTACTCGAGGTGCTGCGGGATCTGGACTTCCTTTTACCCTTGATACCCATGGCCGCTGGTTCGGACGACTTGGACCGTCTAGGATTGCTTCGTCGACACCTGAATCTGTGGGTTAACAGTGACGCATTATCAGCAAAATCACTCTGCTAACATTCAAGCTAGATTTCGATACATTGGCTTACTCTCTGCGACGTTCTTTTTGCAATTTTCATTTTCATTTTTTACTAGTTTGTCATTGTTGCAATACTAACTCACATAATGTTTAGTGCACGCAGTTGGAGCCAGACCAGCTCATATATATTTTCTTCCCACATATACTAGGACAATGTCTTCCAGTATTAAAATGGAATCAGGGAACGCTGTCTCCCTTACCTCACTACAGACCATGAACCATAAATCGCGACATAACCATACTTCCCTTCAGGACCTCTCTTCCATCACAAGGAATCCCCAGGATGATGAAACTTCCCAGGATCACTTTATTTTGTCTTCTGCCCTTCATCACACACAGGATATGGATCAGTGGACACTAAGCACATCAGACTCTATGGAATCCAGTCCAATTGCTACTCAGCCGGAGACACCGGAAGTTCAGATGCTTTCATACTCTTTCTCACACCAGCTCATTCCCAGCGGTGCTGGCATTAATGACACAGCGGCCATGTTTCCTTCACTGTCGGACGTTCAAGTTGCCGGAAATATGGGTGACCATGGTGATATGGACTTTTCCCACACACAGGACTTTACTCAGGCCTTCTCTTCCTTGGTGGACTTTCCTTATGACCATGATGAAGGCTGCACACGTGACGACACCGCTTCCCCAGGGCATGCTTCTCATCATGATGACTGCCATCTAGTTTCCACACAGGACACCTGGAGTTTACCATTAGACACATCAAACTACGGTGGAGCCGCTTTTGATCAAATCACCAACGCGCTTTCTGCACCTGTATCTCCCCCTTTGACCGAGTCTAGTCATATTTCTGTTACTTCTGCATGCTCCCAACCGGCATATCCTTTCCGCAACCAGGATGAGACCTTGATGGGTGACGCCACTGTATGCGGCCAAAACATCAGCCTTGGAGAACCTTTTCTTCCTTTGACTCCCCCTCTGAACGAGCAGGACCCCAACAGGTTTGAAGCCTTATCGTTTATCACGAGAAAAAGTTTGGTTGATGCTAATTGGTTTCTCAGAACCATTAGGCCTTCCAAGCAGGCGCAACGCCATCTTTTATCAACAACTACCACCCGCCCTGCCAGGAAATCCGACCCGGAGGCATATGTGTCTCTACCAATTGGAGAACCGGCTCGACGAACCAAGGAAGACTCCGAATCCAGAGCTACTCCCAGGGATCATCCATTTTATTCATTGCCAACTCGGAATGACGGAAAATACTACTGCCCATTTGCCAGTGGCGAGAACCCATGCACCCATACTCCGACAACTCAGAAATGTGCTTACCAGTAAGAATTCTTCCACAGCAAACTTAGAACCCGTAGCTAATTGAACCGCCACAGCAAATACCTGGACTCTCATTTGAAACCATATAGGTGTAAAGTACCTGCTTGTGCGGCCCAAAACCTGCATTTCTCTTCGAACGCCTGCTTGTTCCGTCACGAGCGTGAAGCCCATGGATTCCACGGCCATGGAGACAACCCTCATTTGTGCCTCTTTGAAGGGTGCGATCGAGCCGTTCCTGGATATGGATTTCCCCGTCGGTGGAACCTTTTTGATCACATGAAAAGAGTTCACGACTACACTGCCTCCGACCAGCCTAGCTCTCCTGAAACGGCTACTGCCGCTGGTTCTGGCCAGATTTCTAGAAAGAAGGATTCCGCTGGCATTCGTAAGAGGAAGGTTACCAAACCTGTAGGTGGAGCAACAACCATGAAGAGGACCAAATCCACATCTTCCCAAGGCAATGCAGGTGTAAAGGCCAACTCTGCTCAGCACAGTCAAAGACTTCAAAACGCGGAGCATAACTATTACAACTGCCGCTCACGGCTGCTCGAGGAGCTTGCTACAATTAAGCCCCAGGACTCTACTATGCACGAGAAGGTCAATGCCAGTCTTCAGGAACTGATTACCCTGGGATTAAACTATCGACAACTGGAAGCTAGCTCTGCAGCCACTCAGTTAGCCAACGGTATTTGCTCTTGAATCCGGGATTGTAAAGCACCATTGGATATTTTTACATTTTCTGCCTTGACATGAGGATTGCGATAATTGCGTCCGCGTTGGATACTAAGCAAAATAGATATTCGTCCATACAGAACGAGATGTCTACCAGGGGGCTAAACACGAATGATCTCTTTGTCTTTGTGCACATTACCACCCGTCTGCACTGCACAATGCCTGCCTAGGCAACCATCTCCGGTGGATGGGATATGTCCTCATCTCTTTCGTCAAACACGAAAAGACTTGAGTGCAAAAGGAAGTCAGCCGAGCATGCGGCGTCGAGTCAACTAACCAGACCCGTGCGAACACTCGCAATCTTGCAATCTTGCTTGTGGGGCTGACAAAAGTCTATACTGACTTGATTTCAAAATCAATTCTTCTATTTTATATATTTTTTGTATACATGTGTTTCATTGAACATATCATGTATGTTGCTCCGGGGAGGAGATTTTCATTTATTATTGTTTATATTGGTTTGTCTTGTTTTATGCACAAAATTTTCATGTATTCGGAACTGCGACAAAACAAAATACAGGAAAAAGGACACGGTCGGGATTTCAAAATGTAACTTTGAGACAACATTTTTGAAGCGGTGTTGATAGACAAGACACCCAAGGAAAAGGATAGGGGCAACCCCGGAGGAATTTTGATTTCATTTTCGAGATTCATGTATGTACCAGTTGACGTTTGGCAGGTCGGTTGTTGTTGCTATTTATACGTATACATATGTCTATAACGTTTAAAATATTGTTACCGCAAATGATAGGCATTGTAGAGCTTTTAATGTTGTTGCTCACGGTCAACTAGAGCCTGTAACTTGAAGGGAGACATTGAGATCTCGCCTGTCAGTCTTCTCCGATGTGTGATAACTGGCAAGATTCCATATTAAATCCGACCCCTGCCTTCTTTCAGCCCCTGTCTCCATAGTAAATGACGGATACTTTGACCACCTTCCTGGCTAGCACTGATTAAAATCCCCGAGAAGAAAGAAGATTTTCGTACACTGCAGAGGAGAAACGGAAACTTCAATGAGGCCATACCACACGTCATAACGTAGATATAATAGATAAGGACGATCTCATAACCTCTGACCCTCCCTTTGCTATTTTTCTTTAATCTCGCCTAGTCTGGATTGATCGAGGAAGTACTGAATCATGAAGCCTTCAACGTCGTCGAATAGTACGGGTATTTGGCGCAAGACATTGCGCAGATTCCTATGAAGAAACTCGCAGGCAAGAAAGGTCATAATGAACAGCTTCAACGGGACTTGATTTAAGGATGTCGGTATCGAGAATAAAGGTTGGAAGCTTTATTAGTCATTTTCTGTGTTCTTTCTCGTCGTTATGCTCGGATTCGATTCCTTTTTCTATTTCTTCGTCGACTGGGAATATTTCCTCGTCCCTTTTTCTGTCTCTCTTGTCGTGGGCTGCCTTGGCAGAGGATGTGATGTGTTGGAGGGATTTCACGTTTCCAGTGATGCCCACCATTGCTTCCCCTATCACAGCGTCCTCCATCGTAACTTTCTGGTCTTTGTTGGGCTGATTAGCCATCTCAATTGGATGTAAGTTGTGATGCTCCAGGTAGAAATATCGCAAGTGAGGGCTTGGTTACTCACACGACAGACTACATTCGATCAAGGGGCTATTAGACAGCTAAGAGAGCCAGCTCTTTGTTTGATGGTGTATAGCATGTTTGCCTTTAATGTGCCCATTTGCTCAGTTTACACTGCCAACTAAACGACCATAATGCATATTCAACTTGAGCAAACTCTTCATGAAGGTTGCCGAGGAAATTAGGAGGTCTAGAGGACGCATCCATGACAGCCTGTGGATTTGGCGCTTTCTGAGTGGCATGTACATCACAGTACATTCTGAGATGATAACTTTTATTAGGGCTTTATAATAAATAGATTTGTTCTGCGTATGAGCGCTAACATACCTGAAATTCCTGCCAAGTCTTACAATTTCTATCTTCTAATATATTCCTTTCCAATCACCATCACCCCCTGAGGTTATTCATATTTATATCAGTCATCATGAAGTAGCGTCTCCAGCCAATTCATTATTCAAAAACCGCACAAAAGCATCACCGACCTGGTCAACACTCAACCCACTCTTGCCTTGGTTATGATTCATTCCAATATAAGACCTATTCATAGTAATCCACTGTCTCCTCAGTCGCTGCAATCGTGGCAATGCGAGGATGCCCCCTGCGCTAGCAAGATCATCCGTCGTCGCAGACCGTGCGATATGCGCGGGTACAAAGACAGGCGTTGATGCGTTAGGGACAGGGATCGTAATGCCAACATTATTATCATTGGCATAATACGTCGTCTGGTTTCGTAATTGCTGCGCCAAAGCCTCTTCAGCCGATGGGTTGGCTTGAGTGAAGTTGCGGATCGCAGTTACAATGGCTGATATGCGCTTTTCAAATCCGTACAGTGCACCAGGCTCGCTTTGCGCGGGCTGGATTGTGGCGAGATGTGGTGTGATTTTGGGACGGCCGAGACGGCCGCTGCGGCCCGCTGTCGTTGCAGTTGTGAATGCAACGCTAGCTGTGTCGGATGGAAGGGGAGGAATAGCCGTGTTTGATGAATTGGGGTCTCTACTGAGCATGGCGGTGAGTGGGTTGGGTTCTGGTGCTGGTGTCCCTGCTGTCTCAACTGGGATACCTGTAGTCGCAGTCCAGATCTCTCCAACGGGGGGAGCAGCGTCAGACCAGGGGACCGTGAATAGCGGTTTGTCCCAACGGCTATGCATTATGGGTTCTTCGTAGCGAAATATTAAATTATTGTGCAAGTCGGCGGGATATGGCTCTTCGTCGTCAGGGGTTGCAAGATCATCTGTTGTGTCCGAGGTCTTAGGTAGCTGGCCGGTTTCTTGTCTACGGCGTAGACGGGCATTGTTAATCGCGACGCATTTATCAATAGGCGTACCAACATGGACCTGACCAGTCAGTTATATTCCTCTGGTGTGCGGGGTAAATCGAAGGCAGACATACCACACAGCACGTTGTGCCGACAGCTTTTGCCTCACACCACAGCTGATACCTATATCCCTTGATATAATTCATTCCATCAAGGATGACAAAAGCATCTTTAGCCAAAGCTCGTTTCACGCGTGCAAACGCGACGGCGCGTGCCTCCTTCTCTGTTCGCGCATGATCATATACTGTTCGAGGGTGCGATGGATCGTGAGAGGGGACGATGTGGAAGGTGAATCGTTTCTGTTTCTGCGGCGAAGTTGAGTTCCCATTTGTGGTCTTATTTTCATTATCGTGAGTCTCGTTATTGTTATTATCATCGACCATGCCCAAGACCTGGTTCTGCGTGGACTCGAGAAGTTCAGCAAGCTGTTTGGCGCGATAGGATAGACCCGAGCACGGGTACCCCGTGAGCATTATCAACTGCAGGCATGTTAGTGAAGGAAAAAACCAGAAGAAGTGATTGCAAGCCAAGACTGCATCAGACTAACAGGCATAATGGTGGTGTTCTTCGCGACAGTGCAGCATGTCTAATTGCAGGAAAAAAAAAAGAGCTCACCCCGCATTATTCCATGACGAGTTTAGCGCCTCGGCATCCTCGAGGCCGCGATCTGACACGGCCGGGAACTCATCATCTTAACCAAGTTACAACACTCAACTAACATTAATTTATTTATTATTTATTATTAGATAATTACCAACTTCCACAGACGCCACAAGCGCAGTCTCGAAACCCGCTACCGTGACTCGAGCCAGCTCCAAGCCCGGTTCCACGAATAACAGTGACTTTGGCTTGTCTGGCCTGACATATACGCAAGCGTTTGTGCTCGATTGCTTCTCAAAGGCTGGGAAAGGAGGTTCTAGAAAAGACCCTCTGCATCAATGCTTAGTATTAGTGCGTCCGAATAGATCGGGCCCATGATTCGTCATTCCTGGGTCCTCTTTGGCGATGCTTGAGAGACATACATGGTCCGACTCTTCCGGAAACCTCTGCTGCTGACGTGGAGCCTGAAGTCCACGTAATCGATTTGTGGGAAAGACATCTGTGTCACAGAGTCACGCAACGGCTGTGCTCGGAGTGCATGATTATCCTCGCATGCATCAACTGAATTTTGAGCCCATGTTCGGGTTGGAATTTGAATGATGGTCTGGGCGTCGTTCAGGGGCTGCCTTAACCGCTAGTTGGTTTTTGTATCGGTATCGCTACTACGCATATAACTGTCAACTATACTAAGGCACACTAAGCTGCTAACCCAATCCTTGGCTAGCAGTTTAGTGCTAAATTGAAGCAGCACTTTCCGGTTCCCCGAGGCATATTGGCTAACATCGATATCGACACTATTATTAGTTTTATTAACAAAGTGTTGGTGGGGTGTTGGTTGGTTTCTCAACATCCCGTCATATTCTCAACCGAGTCAAATACCGTAAATGGTCACTAGCGACGGGAATAAGCAGAACGCAAAGGCACAATAGTAGAAAAGCAAGCTATAAATATTGCACTGCGATTCGACGCGGCACAGTTCCCGAGAGGCGGTTATTATTCTCCTCATGAGAGTTACATCTCCATCGTCATTCGGAAGCTCTGGCGGTGCTGTGGGGGCATAAATCGACCTCTCATACGCCAACGCCTGCTTTTCCGGAGTTATAATTAATATGGCCCGGTACGTAGAGGTAATGAAACCCGTTTGTGTGCCACAGTAGCCGTGCTTTCTTTTATGCTAGGCCTAATTTTGTCGAGTTGAGCCCTACAACAGCCAGCACCAACACCAGCATACGACGGGCATAATTGCGTCTATACTGATCGTTATGAGCGGGATGTATATTATATCACAATCTCTCGTCTACCGGTCGACTGGAACTGCAACCTTGAAGTCGTAGAGATCAAAAGGTAAAATTAAATTCGAGGCAGCTTCGGCCCTAGCGTTGTTATTAATAGACAAAGATCAAGCCCTAACAGTAACGGCCGCGGCTTAGCGCCTCCATAGATGAAACGCTGGTAGAGCTTGAATAGTGTCAGCACAACTACAGCCATAACAGTGTGGAATAGTTATGAGCAGTCTCTTTGGCTCTACTAATATGGAGCTGTTTCCTGGCAAATCCTTCGACCATTGTAAATGCTAAATGCTGTCACTAGCACCGAGTATGGAGAGATGTAATCGCTCAGGCCCTAATGACTCAAGCGGCCGATCAACGTGGATAAAAGCACTTCTCTCCCCAAGCTATCCACCCTGTCATTAAAAACTTAAAGAACCCTCCTAAGCAGTGGGAAATAGCTGAACACTGATGAATCATTAATCTCGCATGCATCTACCCCCAACCCTGTCATTGGTAACTATCTTACTGTCGTTGTATTACTATTACCGGAACAATGAAGGTTAGGTTTCTGTGAAACAATGTGTTGACGCAACACATCGCCATGGCACCCAATCATCCCCACTAGATTTTGCTTGACTCTGGCTTTTGTTGACGTGACTAGCATGCACAGTCCACTCTGTGTGTGCCTAGAGTCCACTTCTTTCTAAGACACACGGTCTGCGTGACTCCGCTTTTTGTCCTGGCTCTCCACCATGGCGGCCACAATGTCGGCCACTCTGCAGTTCCCATTCCAGGCCTCGCTGCAGAGAAATAGCCTTGTGGAATCCCAGGGCGAGCTATATGGATTCGACGTGAACGCTTATCACGAAATACCGTCCCCAGACCTAGACGAAGAAGAGCAGCTGAAGGCGACATACAATAACCCGAGGTGGGACAGTCTGCCGAGCGACCAAGAGCTGTTTATGATGGCTTCACAAAGGCTATCGATGATAGAACCGGAGGGGGAAATGATACGCGAGCAGCAGATCGGCCTTAGCGAGGAGTTCACCCTCTACAACGCCCATGACGAGGAGAAAGAAGTCGTCCGCTGCGAATCGCCAGAAACACTCACGCCAGAAACTCATTTACGGTTGTTAACCCCAACGGCGATCCCTCGATATTATTCTACGCCTATAGTGGACAACGATCCTAGCACAACTCCTGTCCTGCTCTATGGCCTTGAGCAACCATCTGATTATCTCCTTGCTGCAAGTCGGAAACTTGTTAAGTTGCGACCTATGAGCTTTTTAGCTAGCGGACCAGCGAGCCGTCCTTCGTCGAGCCATCGCCACCAACCCTCACCCTTGTCTCGAACATATAAGCCAGAGGCACCAAGGGAAATAACGGCCGCTCTTCCACCCGCAGCTATGAAACGATTATCAACTTTGCTCGAAACGACATCACAGCAGATTTACTCTACTTATTCTGCAAATGTACCCCGGGGTACTGCCACAGGCGCATCTGTGACTTCGTCAAGTACTTCCTCATCCACAACTTCGACTGTCAGATCACGGGCTACCCAGGGGACGATCGATTCCAATTTCATGCCGACACCGCCATCCACAGTTTCCCCATCCCCTGTGTACGGTTTCCCCCAAGCGTCTGCTTCTGCTGATCAGTTGAAGTCAACGCTGATAATGGCCAGAGCAAATACCTCACTCGTAGACTTGGCTTCAGAGCAGAATTCACGCATGCAACCTCCACCTCTTCCAAAGCCCCTCCGGTTGCGAAAGACTGCTCCAAATATGATGGATTCAGTGTCTAACAATATCGAATCCTCGTCGACATCGGCAACAACACCCCGAAGCAAGCCTCGAGATCACTCCAGACGATCATCTATCATCAGCATTGCCTTTCCAAAACTCTCTTCTCTGGGCCACCGGCCAGGCGGAGATCACGACAAACAAACGATCCGAGCCGTTCAGCCGAATACCCCTTCCTTCAACTTACAGCCTGTTATCCCTGGACCTCCAAATCAACCCCCAAGCAGACCCTTACCTCTTACTCCACCACTTGACAACCAAGTCTACTCCAACAATATACTCGCTCCAATCCCACACAACTTCATCCAGCCCGACGACATCCCGTCACATACAAATTGCGACGAGGGCGTCTTGCTACCGGAAACCTCGGCTGCTGCTATACCTTCACAGGCTAGAGGTATCCGCCGCGTTTCTGTCGAAAATAACAGTACCCAGTTCTGGAAGTCATTTCAATCCAGTTACCATCAGCAGCTACAACAGCCGCAGCATCGCCCACGTCAAGCATCGATTGAAAAGAAGTCTCATCGACTGTCCAAAGTCTTTTCGCACTTTGTATATCAATAACCTTGGCTATACGATTTCATTTCTTGTCCTGTAATTCTTGTTTTGGTGCACCTAACAGAAAATGGCATGGTTTGAATGGCGTCAATCGTGAAAGGGATAATCTGACATCTTGTGTCTGGAGTTTTGTGCTTGTTATCATCCTCTATTTCCTGTTTTTGCATAGCGTGTCTGTGTACCCATCTGTATTTCATTCACTTTTTTCAGTTAGTTTGTACGACTTTGTAATACTCCGAGAGGAGATAATGGAAATACTTCGCCAAACATAACCCATAGAGACCCATCAGTGAAGCGAGCGCTATACACCCATAACAGTTTGGAACAATAGCGAGAAGTGAAGAGGGTAAAACTGCCAATGTTGTATTCTAGAATACCTATATTTTCTATCCCTATGACTCCCCAGGCCGAGACAAGGATGTTCTTTTCGCACTCTACCTTCCAGTCGCAGACAAGAAAAATGAGGATGGTGATGAAATGGGACAGAGCAGAGAGATGACATGGAAATAAAAAGACAGGGCTAATCGAGGTATCGCCAATAATCAATCGCACGAGGCGCAAATATGCAGAACAAGAGTAAATGTACATAGTAAACATGGCAAAATAGAAAAGAAAAAAAAGTCGAACCAGTCGCACGATGTTTATGCCATAATTTGACATGCCATACCGGACGCCGAAATATGAATGCAAGTTGTGGTGGGGTTGTCCTCAAGAACCGTATGCGAGGTGAACGGGAGAAAAAAGCCGCCTGTGATAGCGAACGCCTTTGCCGAAAAAGAGACGAGGGTGAAGGGCAGGAAATTATCGAAAATAGAACGAATAATAACAGCTACCGGCATGACTACAGAGAAATGCTCTCCATCTCAGTCATCACGGCATCCATTTGCACCCGCTTCACGGCTTCCGCGACAAGTGTGAAATCCTTCAAGAACGGCGCCGTGGCGGCTGGACCTCCTTCGGCAACCTGCCCTTGTGGCATCCTTTCCGTAGCAAGCGATCCCTGAGCCTGGGCATGCTGCTGTTGTAATTGTGGGAATTGTTGAGGGTGTGGGTGTTGGTGTTGCTGCTGTCCAAACACTCCCCCCGATTGTTGGCCACTGCCAACCCCGAATGCGATGTTTTGGTACTGCGATGGCATTATGTTCGATACGGTCGGTAGCGATGATGTGTTTGTCGTCGATGCTGCGAATGGCACGCTTGTTGTGGCTGTTGATGTTGTATTTGTCGACGACGAATGTAATGACGTTGTCAACGCCCCGGGGCCGATGTTGCTGGCAGATTGCTGCTGAGAGGAGGATCGAAGGTTGTATCGATTGTCGCCCATGGTATCCGGGTACAACCAGGGCGGCAACAAGAGAAATAAATCAAATGTGCTGCAAAGGGGGAGAGACAATTTTCACCCGAGGCAACAGATAACCGGCTAATAATTAGTTCTCCAGACCGTGCGTGATGATGGTCCAAAATAGCTTATCTCGAACAGATAAGGGAGGTTAGTCCGCATGTGATTTTTGTCTTGCTCTCTATCCCCTTCGCTTCTCAATCTGAGGGATGTATCAGAAAACCCGGCCGTCGTTGCGACTCGTCGACTATTGTCAATGGCTTGGAGAGTACGGAGTAGGAAGAGGGGTAGGTCTTGCACAAGACCGGTAGCGTGGGCTGGCTCGGCTTGTTAAGCTTCCTGATGGCGGAATGGCGTTTTCTGTCGGATGGAAAAGCCGTGGTGACGCGGATATATCTATCAAGACTGGCGAGGAGCAGTGCCTTTTCACAAACGCGCCAGCAGCCAGCAAGACTAGCACAAGTCCGGGGGCACGCTGCAGAAGCCTGAGAGGATGCGAAGAGGAAGAAGAATGATAATCCAAACCATAATAACGGTAGCGACAATCGCCTCACTCCTTCTTTATGGTGATGAATATTAATTAGCCGCTGAGTCCGTTAGAGCGGTATTGACTGGTATTATCCCCGCAACACACGAAAGCCCGCGCAGCGAATCCAGCAGAAGATTCCCTGTATTGTGACTGTCACAGTACTGGCCCGTCTCGGTAATCGCTACTATTCGCTAGGACAGCTCCCAGCGCCCCGCAGCCCGCTGGGTTCGTCCAGCAGGTCCGCCAATCAGGCGCGCGGTGCAACGGTACCCCGCCGGCTTACCCATTTCGGGATGGAACTCCATTGCTTTTTCTCTCTCCCCTCTGTCGATCGACTCGTGATTATTACAAGAATATCGCAAAAGCAGTCTTTCCCCAGACCAATGACCAATGGCTTCACAAGATAACCCTGCTAACCATGATGGCCTTTTCGACAGTGGCGTCAACATCTTCCAAGACCCTGAGGGCTTCTACCCCGAAGACAAGCAGCCTACCTTCGCCGAGCATCATATGATCTCCGGCGAAACGATACGAGTGCGCCTCGTCGGTAGCCATCCTCTTTACGTATGCGCCGATTGATTCTTCTGTTTCTTCGTTGATATGTTTGTGCACATCGAACTGATTTTGATACCGTGTCGTGGAGGGTGATATGCTCTGGAACGCCGGCCGCATAAGCGCCGAGTACCTTGATCAACATGCAGCGAGACTGGTGCGGGATAAGAATATACTGGAGATTGGGGCCGCGGCTGGGGTACCGAGCATCATTGCCGCGGCGAAAGGCGCCCGCACGGTGGTTATGACAGACTACTATGACCCCGATTTGGTGAATAACATGCGCTACAACGCCGAGTTGGCAGCACCGTTGATTCCTCAGGGCTCACACTTGCACGTTGCTGGGTACAAATGGGGCGCAGACACGGAGGAGATCATGTCGTTTTTACCAGACGATAGTAGAGCTGCGGGCTTCGATACTCTGATTATGGCCGACGTCGTCTACAGTCACCGGGAACACCCAAATCTAATCAAGACGATGCAGCAGACGCTGAAAAAAACGGCTGAGGCAGTTGCCCTTGTGATTTTTACGCCCTACCAGCCTTGGCTTTTGTCTAAGACGGAGAAGTTCTTCCCGTTGGCCGAGGAGAGTGGGTTTACGGTGACAAAGGTTTTTGAAAAGGTGATGGATGATGTTTTATTTGAGAATGATCCGGGGGTGAGTCTTTACATTCAAATGTATATTCAAAAGCATCGAGCTGATAGGGTTTTCTAAGGATGAGCTTCTGCGGCGCACGGTTTTTGGATATGAAATTCGGTGGGCCGAGAAGAATTTATGAGACACGACATCGGAATTTATTATACCCCTTACATCTCCAAAAGCATTTGATAGATTTTACACAAAATTATGCGTACTCAATTGATATATACGAAGATCTAATCACAGATCCACTGCTAATGGTTCAAATAATACAAATTGCTGTGTGAAACATCCATCTATGCAACATAAGCACCGCATAGTGGTATATAATGCTATGCAAAAAAATAACAAGGCTAAATAAGCATCCAGGCTTCCGGTTTCATAAGACGAATAGCAAATTCACATCTATTGATCTATTAGCAGAAACTACGGTAAGAAGGTAGAGATTTCATACCTAATGGATGGCTACAGCTCAGCTGCGGTTTTTGCGAATAACTCTTCTCGAGCTTGGCTCGGATAGTGTTGAGGAGTTGTAGATAGCTCTGTTTCGGATATCGTTTCAGGGACTCGATGAAAGCCCAGCTCAAGGCTCCTCGTGCCTGGCCACCTTGGAAGGTATCTGCACTGTAATGACGTTAGAATGAGAGAGAAAAATGGACATAAACCCGTACGATGTTTGTGTGTCTTTTGATCCCGAAAACATAACAACGTCTGCAGGCGAAGTCTTAGTCATTAGACTTCTCTCACGAGCTGATCCCCCTATTGTTGCCTTCTTGAAGAAACTAATTGCTGTTGTAGCAACGCTGCCAAGGTCGCCTTTCTCATATGAGCTGAATGCACTAAAGAGATCTTGAGCGGCTTCTTTGGCGAGGTTGGGCTCTTTCAGTACACCCTGGGTAGAAAATTAGCATTATTCGTAAGACAGATCAAGGGGTTCTAGTCTAACCTGAGTGGAGTAGATAAAAGGAAGGTCTAACGCAGTCCCAGAATGGCATGAATCAAAGATTGCAGTGAGACGAACTCCTGGCCGTAGGGGTTTGACCATTATGTCATGCATATCATCATCCACAATGTGGCCAGCGACTTTGTAATCGACGGGGTAAATGACATCGTCGAACCCTATCCATATTTTAGTTTGATTTCTTGTTATATAAAGCTTAATACGGTACCAACCGTCATCCTCATCTCCATCTAGATCCGGTGTTCGACCACCATGTCCTAATTCTCGATAAGTGCCAGCCAACCAAAAAGGGAAGAGCAGCAGTACCAGAAAAATGAATAAACAGCGAGTCATTGGGCATTGCATCCTTGACCAACCAATGCATTGCTCGAATGATGTTCGCCTTGGTTGGCTGGCTCATTGGATTCTGCTGGTCATCTGTCAAGATCACCATATCTTCCCGTCGATACCCGTACACTTGGTTCAAAAATGTCGACATTTGGGTGACATCGTTGATGCATCCTCTCAGCTGATTCGCCTGGCCAAAATAGTTGATGCCCACTAGTAACGCTTTCCGTCTGCCAGAGCAGTTGGAATACTGGAATCGATAGCTGTCAGGCGCTCCATGCCCAAAGGCCTGTGGAACCTGTGGCGGTGCTGGAGGAGCGCCGAAGGACGGTCTATGCGGATCTGTTTAGGCTCAATATCTAGTCTTGCCACAAGCCTAAGAGGGTTTGCTGTGGGGGATCACAGCATACGACGACTTACGATTGTAAGGCACAGGGCTAGGCCTTGGCGGCGTCGGGGGCGGTGCGTGTAGATCAGTGTAAGCTCGAGGAGGCGGAGTGTGAGGGTTGTATGGACCACTAGCAGGGGAAGGGCTTTAAGACAGACAGACAAGTATTAAATATTGGGTTTCATGTATGTGATACGGAGCCCTACATGGCTACTTACGGAAATGTCGATTGCCTCGGCGGCTGGCCGTTCATTGGCGGGGGCCTAGGAGGATAGGAGGGTGGCGGTTGCGGCGATGGTGTGTGGAAAGGAGGCGGCTGAGGACTAGAATGAGGTCGGGGCTGTGGAGGAACATGAGCTTGATGAGTATGGGGGTGAGAATATTGATGATGCCATGGTTGCTGATATGGAGGAGGGGGGCCGCTCCAACCCGGTGGAGGAGGTCTATAGCTGCCGGGATACATCAGTCGGTCGTCGAGTCACGAGCGTTGCCAGCTGACAGAACCAGGCTGGAAGCGTTCACGTCAAGCGGTCCTTGTTGGCGCAAGCAATTTCCAATGAAGTGGCGTCAGAGAGAGTGTGTGTGTAAGGAGAAAGAAAGACTGGAGTTGGTGAGACACAGCGAAAGCACAGATGTTTTTCTCCCGGCGCGCCGCTCTTGACTAAGAAGGATTTCTTTCTATGCACGGCGGCTGGGCGAGAGGGCGGTTGAGCGAGAGGATGCGAGGATATTAACTATCTGAATAATACAGTACTAAAGGATCAATAGCAAGCAATAAATGAAGAAGAGGAAGAAGAAGATAATAACGATGATGTTTGTGTGGGACAGGCCGAGTAAAGAAAGTAAAGAAACATGGTGGAGCTGGGCGCCCTCCTTCCCTTCCGTCCTTCCGTCCTTCCTTCCCTTCCTTCCAGCCTGCCAGCCTTACCGCGACCCATTCATTCCTCGCTGTGACGCAATCTCCTCCTCCACAACGACTACTATTATTAACTAACTTACTGTCTATTGTCCCTTCCGTTGTCCACTGTCTACAGACTGCCAGCATTATATCCAGGCTTCGTCAGCCCTCGGGGGTTGGTCGCCTTCGATTCGATTGTCCTGTCTCTACTAACCATAGTCAATCCAACGCCGCTGACTGTCCGGCTCTCACGGAACGGTAGATGCTTATGCACTCCACGCTCCACGCTCCACTACTCACAGTGCCATGCTCTTAGAGGGCATTTCCAGGACAATCCGCTTTCTGTTCGATCACACGATGCTCAGTGTCTCACGCGACTCTCCAAGACGGGTCACGTGACCGTATGAGGCTGAATTCCTTGGACTGGGAAGTCGCAGAACGTGCAAGTGTGCTTTCATTGGCGCTTTTCTTCTTTCTGTGAAAAACATGGACAAGGAGAGAATTGCCGGATACTTGCCGACTAGAAAGTGACGCATTTGTGTTCCTGCAGTGCAGGTTGCTCTGGAACACTCTTTCACAATGCAGGTGACAGCCTCGCGAATCATGGCTCGGCTGTGGCTCTGGTTTGCCTTCTCCCGTCCGGTGCTGGCAAGGCTGAATCCGAGTGTGCCTTGCCCAAATTTTGCGCTTGTTTGCTGCGTCGTCCCTAGTTTGTGAGCGATCGGTAATTTGGATCACTTATGGTGACGGCCGGTCGGTCTCTCATGGTGTTGAAAGCCTTGACAATAGATTTCTTCTCCCCAGGCGCTTGCCGCGCATAAACCAAGCCTCTGGTTTTCGGCCTCAAAAACCAGAGCTGGTTCGTGGGGGTTCTTGACATAGAGTGGCCAGTGACTAGAAAACGACAGGGAATCTGCCCATGATTTCCCAACACGTCAGTCAACCCGACACCAGCTATGATAGAGCTACCGTCAATTTCCCAACTCTGCATATTCCAAGTCGAATTCCAATCTTGACATGGTGCAGCAGCAGCAGCTCTATCTATATGCATCCAGGCTCGCTCACCGGTTTGAAAATAGATCCAGCGGGGAACCATGGCTGCTCTTATAGATGCAGGACTTGTCAGTACTACTGCAGACTCTACCCACCATGTACTGCACTGCAGTTCCCTGCAGCTTCTAGTAGAGTGCCACGTTGACGAGCAAGTGAGGCACCGGACGCCTTAGGAATTTTACCTAGCCAACCAGGCAATAATTCCATGACTGGGATGCGCAAAATAGTGCAGCAGAACAGGAAATAAGCAGCAGTGTTAAACTCTAGCGCATTTGGAAACATTCCTGAGGTGAAGGGCCGCACTCATACCTAACTAACATCGTAACATGCCACCAAAATTGCGTGGCATTTTTTGCACTGCCCGGGGTGGACGAACAAAGGGCGTGTGTGTCTCTGTCTCTCTGCCTTCTTGTGATTTTAAGCCGCATCACAATTCGCCGGGGCTGGGAGGGGGGTAGAGTTACTAATTGACGTAGTACGTACAGCTAGCGCGGCTTTGCACATCGCGAGTCGGCGAGTCGCGCGCGGAATCGACTGATCGACTCAATTATCGAGAAAGAGCATCGTAATCGTAATAAATTAGAGGCTAATAATCCTTCGACTAGCCAGCCATCGGCGAATGGGCTGCTGGGGATGCAGGCTGCATTCGCCATTCGCCGTAACCCTTAATTTACTGCGGACCTGCGGCTCTGCCAGCCAAATTTCTCACTAATCTCGCACGCTCCCGATCTTCAGTATTATTATTGCCTCGCTCCGTGACACTACCACGGCTACGACGTACATTTAAAATACTCCATTCTCCATACTCCATTCTCTTCCATGCGTCTCCTGATACATAAGCCAGTGGCGTAACAAACACGATAGTGTGGGTCTGGGTCGGCAACATGGTCTGAGCTATGCCAGCCCCCCCATGGCTGGAACGATGGCTTTCTCACCGACTCCCATTTAATAGCGCAATTGAGATACGCACTTCCGCATCAAGACATTGGATTGAGCCTCATTGCCTCAAACGCTAACCTTACCCATTCCATACGCGTGTCACCAGTCAGCACTGACCCACCGGCCACATCGGCAACAAAAAGAGCCTCATCCTGTATATGAGACCGGCTAGCCCGTCTCGATCGCACACTTGATACTGCGCACTCTTCTTTTTTCGGGAAAGGGAGTAGAAACCGGCATCGTCTGCTTCTAGACTTTGCCTTGTCACCCGGTCATCAGCTTCACCTGGTGGTCAATGCCGCTTTATAGGACACTCGTTGAATTGTGCTCGTGTTCGCCGAATACGCTTGACCTGAGTCGGTGTTCATCGTCTATCTTGTCTGCCTTGTTCTCTCTCCCTTTCATTTATGCACAATCTCACAGTCACGGATGGTCGATAACGCCACCTCTCCCCCACGGTCATGATAGCCACCGGCAAGAAGACTCTGCATTGTCTTCCCTATGATCTTCTCTATCAGATCGTCTCGGGCATTGACTGCTTTGACTATATCAATCTCAGTCGAACCAACAGGACGTTGTATAGTTTGCTACAGAATGATCTTCTTGCTAAGCGCTCTATCGAGGTACGTGGCTCCCGGCGTCGGGCAGCATTGTGGCTGTGTGTATAGCCCACTTAGATATTGACAACAGTCCCAGAACACCGTGCGCGAGTCCAAAGAGGCGCAGCTTGCTTTTGCCCAGAAAATATCTTTCCGAGAAGCTATTGGCCGCATATATGACGTGAAAGATGCAGTTGCGTCAGCCAGTCCTTACTCAGTTGCTGTGCTGGCATACGCCTCCACATTCATCTACCAAGAAGGTGTACTGTCCTATTACTGTGCTAACGAAATTCGGGTTTTAAATGTTCACCAAGCCGACGAAACGGAGCAAGTCCTGAATGTTCGTCATGTCTTACATCGAATCATCCCCACATTTCGGGGCGATGAAACCCGGAATGTTTCAGTTGAGCTTTCACTCTTACATTACTCCGCAGGAGTGCTGGCCATCTTGGTGGAGATTGGCGATTCAAGCCCATGGTTGATTCTACTAGACGTGACCCCGGATGGGTCAAAACGACCACAGGGCTGTAAAACAGGACGCCTCAAGTTCTTGCGACAATTAGAATGCACTCGACGACTGTTCGTTCGCCATAACGGAACTTACTTGTTCTATGGGGTATATTCAACCATTGGTGTATTGAGTGACCCGCAATGGGTTGTCCAATGTGTGGATCTGACAAAAGGCGTCGACCAAGCGTATGGTGAGCCGACACTCCTGGATAAATTTGCCGGCACAGACGTCGGACAAAACGTCTGCTTTGAAATATTTGACAGTCATCTGTACGGAGTGACAAGTGTGTCTGACTCAGACGAAGAGCAATTGCATTGGGAATCATTCTATGAGTGGGTATGCATTGCACCCGCGAGCTGTGCTCGTAGGGCCAAGCCTGAACGGATCTTTCGAAGACTCCATAAAGAGGGGCCAATCAACGATACCTGGTCAGAAATATCGTTGCGGAAAGATGAAGCTACCGGAGTGCCGATGATCTATGAATGTAGACGTGAATGGCGGTCTGGAGGATCGGACTGTGTTCGTACATATTATACAAAAGATTTGAAGCGTCCATCAGAGCCATCGGCCAAAGAAAAGGACCAATCTACAGCAACAACAACGCGTGAGGCTGAACCAACAACACCTCGTGATACCTCACTGATATCAGCCCATCCCGTGATTATAGGAGGAGCCGGACCAAGCAACATCAACTTTGTTGTACCCGCATCAACACCGCCATTGGAGCGATCCAAGGAGCCATCAAAGCCACCGCTCCGAATAGAGAAAAACACCCATTCGGAGTACACAGACACGACATCCCCGAGACGTGATTTTATCCTCGCCAAGACCAAATACAGGACCTATAACCCATCTGCCTCTGCTTTTATAGACCTCATCAACGACCCCGAGCCCAGTACCACCGTGGGAGCCGTCCACGATCGCTTACGTTTGCGGATATGCTCCCGCAAGCGAAAAAACCCGTTTGAATCTGATAACACACTAACTAAAAGACTAAAAGATGACAGCACGGGAGATATAATACCCCATAGCGATGAGCGATATGTCAGCAATGGGATTAAAATGTGGCCGGAGGAGAGGGCAGATGAAGAGTTGATTGATCTTTTATGCCCGGCGAAGCGAGCTGCCAATGTACATGGGGTAGCAGATGAGAGAACGCTCATATACTCTGTCGATATCGAAACCGCTGAACCCCACCAGCAGCAACAGCAAGCCATTATCTTAGTCAATTTCGACTCGCGCTTACGAATCCCATCTTTGCGTAATCCGAAACGAATAATTCCTGTTAAATCAAAAACCCAAGAAGGAAAAACTGATGCTCCAGTTGGCATCGATTTGCCTCGTCTTGGAGATATTAAGGATAGACCAAAGGTCTCAGTAGGATGTGATTCGCAAGCTGGGAAAATGTCGCGACCAAGATCAATAAGGAAAGAGCAGGCATTGTATCTGTTGATTGATAAGGGATTTTGGTTCGATAGGAAAGAAAGAGATAATATACAATAAAAAATATCCCTTAAAATATTAAAACACGGACTTCAATTGTCTTACTGAGAGTGGTATCAGTTGATGTTGCTTCAACATTGTTTTACATGTACAATCCTGATACCCATTTATGCCAATAATACAAAAACGGAGAAATGCTATTAAAATAGGGCATAAGGCACTTCTTTCCATTATGGAGTAGGTCAGAAAGCAGCCTGGGAGTTGTAGCAAGCGTTCGCTAGTTTTGAGGTCCGAAGACTTGGTATTCGTAAGTCTTCACTGCTCAACTGCCTAGCTGGGAAACTCCGGAATCTGAAGCCTTTCAAACATAGGATAGATATGTTGAAGAAGGAGAGACTTGATTATTTATTTCATCCCCGGAGAGAGGCTATTTAACTAACATACAGGACAGCTGATGGGAGGGGTGGCCCACGCCACCCAGGTCACTATCTAATCACTTGGCTATGCTTTTAATGTTAATGATACTAATTCCTTGCGCTTCACTTTAGAATACCTTCAAAATTTCCAAGTTCATTAAATCAGAAGGTTTCGGAGGAGTACCGATTGACACATTTTTCAGCTTGTACAGAAACATAACATTTAATAGGCTTAATTGATGCGTCGAGTTGACATAAACAAAAAAAAGGAATTTACGATGATGAGCAGACATGCCTCTCAATTGTCCGAGATAGTAAATTTGCAATAAGTTCGTAGTCACGGTCCCTAGATGATGGATCTAAACGCTATGGTTTTTTGTATAGCACGCAAAGACTGTGTATGGTAGGGTACACGTAAGAGATACTTTAGTCCAATTGCAAGTACGTGAATTAAATGGCTAATACGCTGCAAGTAGATATCGATATTTATTGTCTGGATAAAGCATAAACGGGCCTCATCTTGTTTGTCTGCGAGCTATTTTTCCCTCGTAGACTTTTTGCAAAGGAGTCGAGGTGGGCAAATTCTGTGTCTGTGCTGATTAAAACCTCTTGAAAAAAGACTTATGAGATATAAACATTTGATTGATGTATTTCTAGGGCTTAGGGCTGTCCTTAAGTGCTATTCATTGGTGTCTCAGCCTAGCTAATCGAACGGTTAAATCTCAGTTTTATCTAATAAAAGGATAATGTTCATTCCACGATCTAGACCTCATGGAAGTTTTGGCTGTGTAAATTCCCAAGCCTCTATCTGCATGAAACGATGCTATTAATTGTTTGACGGACTGAGATATTGTTTTGAGCGTTATATCCCAACCCTATTGTCACTACACAACCCCCCCGCACGGGACTCGTATTCTTACACCCTAACTTCGTGCATTCAAGCAATTGCGTGCGGAGAGACTCCATTTGGTCATGCCGAGGGGCCCCGCCGAAAGCAGCGCCATGGGGGGTAGAAGTTAGTGTCAATGAATCCTCGTTAGCGCTAGGCTAGCCCGAGTGAATGCGCCGTAGTATAGGCCCCTCGTTCATGTGGCTCACCGAGGCACATTAATCAGTCACTGTATTCACTTCCAAGTGGGCCACTGACGTCGCAGCATTAAAAAAGGAAACAAAAAAACAAGCTCAGGCCTTCGGTAGTATTGATACTGGTATTTGTTTCGTCCCGGTTTTTTTACACCTCAAAAAGTACACTAACTGTCGGTTTTTTCTCGACTAGACTAGTTCTGATCTGAGAGGAGACATGTTTAGATTCGATTTGCATGCTTTTTGTCTCTGAATTCCCCCGCAGAAACTGCCCTCTCATATCAGCGGTCTTTATCCAAAAGATCACCGACCGTTTAACCAGGAAGAACACCAAAAAGGAACGAGAAGACGAAAGTAGTATAGGAGAGGGAACGACAACAAAATCTTTGAGCGCCAAAAGTTGCGCAGGCATCCGATTACCACTATGCAATTTACAAGTCTCTCCATCCTGTTTCTGGCGTTCGCCGTGTTCTCCTTGGCCAATGAATCCGCAACGGTAACCTCGACATCGGCAGCGTTCAATTATGCGCCTATATCGTCCTTACTGTGAGTTTTCTTCCATTTCTCCTATTCTATTTAATAAAACTTTTGCAAATGTTAATTCGGCCTCCAGAGGCAATCTTGTCTCAGCAGTTGCTACGGCATCGCCAGCCTCAGGTCCCGCGCCATCCCCAACCGCAAACCTGAGCAACATCGCCGATCCACCTTCGAATTTCATCCCCGTTATCATGACAGCAGTGCCCATGTCAGTGCTTGGGGATTTGCTCGACCCAATTTCGCGGAGTTCGTTGGCAGCTGAGTTCAAGAACGGCACCACCCCAAGCTGGTACCAGAGTCTACCCACGAGCATTCAGAGCTATATTTCAGTTGTCAACCAGCAGATTAATTCTGGCGCATTATCTGCAAATGTCTCATCTGCTGTGGCCACGTCCACAAGTAGCGGCCTGGCACCGGCTATGGCTCCAATGGCGACGGGGGCACTGGTAGTCAATATGGCGGGCGCTTTGGGAATTGCGGGATTGGCAATGATTCTGTAAAAGTGTTTATGTCTTGTGATTATTACGAGTATGAGTATGAGTACGCGCTCACGACTAATGATATTAATTGATATGTAAAGGAGTGCTGACTCTTCTTTGACATTACACTGTGTAGTTTTGGAGATAATGATACAAGATGACACATTGAAATATCAACTGAACTGCCAAGCGGTTAGTCAATAATGATAAACTTAATCTATTCAATATTACGATTCATTTCTCCCTGGTAGTTGGATGCTTCGACTGTCGTGAGTTGCGTGGCCACGAGCAATCCAGTCAGGGCTAGGTAATCCACGTGATGCCTTTTCAAGAATGCCGCACCTGCACATTTTAGTCCTAAAGTTCTGGCTTTACTTTCTGTTGACTACGCCTTATATCATGATTGATAGATTCAAGGATTCCTGCATACAACTATTAACGTTCTTGGCAAGTGCAAGTGCCCTTACATGCATCATTCGAGCCAAGCCCAACGTTCTAGTCAATCTCCTTCTAGTACCTTTTAATTACCTTAATAAGCTGCAGAATCTCGACATACAAATATCAGTCTACATTTAAAACATTCAGTTTAATGAAGAGTTGATATTCTTCAGACGTGAAAATACAGACAGGAGAGCTGTAAGTGGTAAGTTATGAAAGATATGTAATCTCCTAATTAAGTTAGAGTGTGTTTCTGCGTTCATTTGAGCCTTTAAGGTCACATGTGATGCAGAGCTGAAGCAAGCAAAGCGGGACGACGCTCTTTGTAGCAAAAACCCCGAGGCTCAAAACCGGCTTCCTTCTCTTCTCCGTTGCGGCGATCATTGCCAAGTGCCGGCCATGGCGGCGATGGCTTTAATTAGGTCTTCTTAGCTCAACCTTAGCCCACATTAGCGCGTGAACGAGCGGAGGCCCAGGTACAGTTTTCTCTCGTTTTCGGTCCGGATATCACTGGCTGGGGGAGGCCAATTATTGTGTTTTGTGCGACTGCACTTCTATTTCTAGCGAAATACCGAATCACTGCCATTATTTCATTCCTCGAGAGTAGGAATTTCGCATAATTGGGCCGAAAAGAAAAGATTCGGCTCAGAGTGGGTACACGGCCAGCAATGATCCTACGTATACCCGAGTCAAAGCTACATCTCGGCCCGTCATAAGCAGGGATTTTCTTGTTTTTGCTTGACGGGGTATATCGTTGCCCTCAGTGATAGAGCTTAACCATCGGAAGTCCCACTAGGATCAATAGTTACTGCAACTACAAGAGACCAGGACAGATCGGACTAACTCTACAGTCCATGCCTCCGTCCTGTCGTCTACAAGGCGGTGGAAAATGGAGTATCAAGTTACGACACTGGATAAAGCGGTTTTTGACAGCGATGATCAGGATCGATCTTCAGGTATACTAAAGGCTAACGGTGATAGGTTGAAAGATCAATATCCAGATCTTATCGACATATACGTTTACAGTAGAAGTGTGCTCAGATCATAATAACAATACGAACCTTCCTCTTTGGTGCTGTCTTGGAGCTTTTGTGCCGCGGCTCACATGCTTACGACCCCAGCGGATGAACCCCCGCGGGGAGGATGGCGGGCTGGCTCAGCTTGCCTGGGAAAGTTAACGCCATGATATCCATCGACTGCGAATGTGGCCGTCAGTGCGGGGAGGAGACGGGAAAAATACGAATTGCCGTATGCATGTTACCTGGTAACCTGGGAAATCCTATTTATCACTTTGTTTCTGTATCACGCTTTCGCCGATTCAAGGCTGACATTACGACCTTTGTTTACCTTAGAGGCTAGTGAGCATACCGACTAGTATTAATCAGTCTTTTATTCATTACGACCTCGGATTCCCTGTTTCGTTACCAACTTTAGGAGGGCTAACCACATGTGCAGTAGGTGGGCGTGGTGATTCGATCCAGGCGTAATAATATCATAAACATCGCCAATCGAGTGCCAAAGCGATCATGATCGTGTAGTCTGGACCCCGCTGTACCTTTTTAGTCTAAGCGGAGAATTTTATTTTTCTGTCTCTCAATCTCCATTTCCATCTCCGATTGTAAAATACAAAGACTTCCCAGCATCCCCTCATTTCTCTTCAATCGCCATCCAAGGAAAAACATCTTCAGAAAGATAAACTAGGAAGAAGAGACAAAATGCATTACCTTCGAGTCCTCTTCCTGGTCTTTTTGCCTCTGTTCGCCCTGGCCAATCCGGCCCCCGCTCCCCAGGCTTCTATCTCGCCAACTGCCCTTTCGGATTTGGAAGGCCTCATTGCTGGAGCGAAAACCCTACTGAGTCAGGACAGCATCAATAACATCGAGACTACCCTCACCGGTGCGGCCACTTTATTGGGCGGTTCGACCGCCAACGACACCAAGACCTTGCTTTCCGAAGTCACTGCTTTGCTGTCGCCTGAACTTGTCGGTGCCGTCGCCAACTTGGCCACCGCTGATAACATCAATAAATTGACCGACATTGTTGATAACGCACACACTCTCCTGTCAGCCTCCTTCGTCAACCAGACGACAACTCTGATCAATGATGTCACACCTGTAGGATCTCCCTTTCGTTCTGGATTTCTCAGCCCTATTGCTAATATTTCCAATACAGCTTGTCCAAGACTTATCCAAGGTGCTTGGAGGATTACTTTCCGCTCTTCTGGGTTAAATTGAACACATTTGATGATGGGGAAGTCGAAAGCTTGCTGGCTTGCATGATTGAATGATTTCATTGTTTATTAAACGTTTTAATTTTGCGAAATGTACGCATTTTTAACGAAAATGTTACGGCTAATCATGAATATATACATCTTTAAACTAGACATGCCAATCTTGTTCAGGATAAACTAATCCAGAAAATTTGTGGAACGAATGGAACTGACTCGGTAAAAACGCTGGGATGCTCAAAGTCCTTTCCTCATTTACTTCTTCTGCAACATATCCTCCAACTCTTTCATTGCCCTCTTCTTTGGGAGACATCGAATGGAGCTAGGCAAAGCTGGGTATATAGCCTTAGCGCCATTCATATACAATTTATACTTGAATCGACTTGTTGATGTCGATTGGAAGCCGTATTGCTCGCGCACATGTGGTGGTAGCATCTCTGGTGTGATATTCCTAATAAAAGGCTTCGACACCCTGAGCCATCCAGGAAGATCGCGTAGCTTTTCGAGGCCGTCGACAATCGGGAGTGCCTGAGGGTCAACATCCAGAAGCTCAATGTGCTCGTCCCAATAATCCCAGAATGCTTTTCGGCTCTGAGGCCACGAGTCTTTGGACAAGTTCAGACCTACAGCCATCAAGGAGAACTCGTAGTATACTCGCTCGGCACGCTGAAGGTCCAATTTCTCGAAAACGCGCTGGTAGACCTCTGTCGCAGTCGCATATAGTGTCGCAGTGACCCACAGTCGCAGTTTCGGGTCAAGTGGATATTGACCGTGAACCTTTGCTCCTTCATTTGATTGATCCTGTGAATGCGTCCGATCCAGAACTTGCTTTCGCTGGCTTCTGGTTCCAAAAGTCAATCCGTGGAGATAGATCACTGTCGTGTACAGATTATGATACAACTGTTCTGATATTGCATTTGGCCTCCCGGCGCCGTTTGTAAGCGTTGACTTTTCTTCCAGTACCCCACGCGCTGCAGCTTGTAGTAGAATTGCCACCGCACCACCAGTAAACAGAATGCCTTCGCGGAGAATGTTAGGGATTTCGTGCAAGTCTTCTAGGGCATCGAGAATATCATCATAATTGGCATCGACTTTATCTCTTAAGGCGTCCGACATGATGCTGAGCCTGGCGAAATCACTGCTGTAAAACTCGTAACTTTCCGTGAAGGGAGAACTGGTTCGCCCGTTGGGATAAGAGGCCATATCATAAGTAGCACTCAGCCGGAAGGTCGGGAATGTCTTGTGTGGTGTATACTAGTTAACCGGTGCAGCGGGTCCCACAGAGTGATGACTGACACCCGGCCAGTTGAGGGATGAAGTCACAGATGGAGTAACTACGTATGCTTCCCTCCATATCTATCCGGCTCTGGCACAGTGATGGACAAGAATTGGGCAAGTGGAGGGCAGCCAACGGTGAACCTTTCCTAACGCGTATGCCAGTTAGGGCAAGAAGAGATCACAATCACAGGGGAAGCCTCTGCTCTGACGTATGCCAACGCTGTTTATCCCGAGGTATCTTTTCACGCCTCTTCCACTATTTCTTGTTGATGTAAGTCCTTCAATGGAGTGCAGGGCGATCCGTCAGCCACGAGAGCCGGCAGTTGGCTGTGAGCGGGCACTGGTGCGAGCCCCAATACTACTAGAATCGTATTCGTAGTAATTACAGAGTATATACTCCGTACGGACGGGCTAATAGCCGAGCTCGTGGGGATCCCCGCAATCGCCAATTACGGCGGCCAGAGCGGGGTGGAGAGGCAGCGCTAGCGGCAATAGCGGCCAGCCCACTGGAAGTTAAGGGGCTTAGCGGGTTGGTTAGCGGCTCGGCCTCAGCAGCTCTCCTAGTAAACAGACCTATAAAAAACTGGAATTTCTTCCCGCGGCTCCCCTCATTGCTGCCGCTGATCCCTGCCCTAAACCTGCTCTCTCCGGCGCCACCAGTCAATTTATTGTCATTTGCGCTGCTCCACTGCCTCCAATCCTGCCCAGCGCGCCCAGTCTCCGAGCCCAAGGAACGTCTCCGCAGCGAGCCCTGCTGTACCACACCAGGTCAGAAGCCAAATGCCGTAATACCCCTTTTTAATTGGCCCAGGCATATCTGCTGCAGCATGGTCCCCTGGTCACCAAAGCAGCGCGAGCTCAGCACTTATCGCGTGCACTGTCGATCTCCATTGCTTCTTACGAAAGGTCCCCATGCTGTTTAGCTTTGCCGATTCTTGCACATGCGTTCGGCTGAACCGAGCAATGTCTTGAATCGGGATCTTCGAGTCATCCAAGAGTTTTTACCCCGTATCATACTTACTCCATTTTTCTCCATATTGCGTCCCATAACCCCCCGCCAACGGCCTCCTTTCTCGGCCCCTTTGACCTTTCAGTTGGACCTCCGCTTGGGATCTTCACCTTCTATCCTTGTGACGGATAGGAAATTAGCAGCAACTAGACCCAGTCCCGTGGGGTAAAGTCGCATTGATACCCTAAGAGAAGGGATTGAGTTGATCCAAACTTTTTTTTCTCTAGTCCCCAGTCAAATACTGCCTAGCCTCCCAATCCTTTTATTACACCCTCCGCCTGCACCATTACGTCGCGTCTTTTCTTCTTTTCTCCCTTTCTTGCTTCTGTTTTCCATCCCTTTTCGTCTACCTCTTAGTACATGAAGGCTTAATTGCCAATAGTGTACTGTGCAGGCAGGTAGGAAGCGCAAAAACGCGACGGGCTCGTGTCGTGTGGGCAAGAGGGGAGATTCTCGGACGAGCAATTCCTAACGAGATAGCCCAAAAAATGTCGGACATCGAAAAACCGGTTCCTGCAGCTGCAGGGGGAAAGCCAACCTTTCTAGACAAGCTATCCAGATTCACAATTGGAAGAGACCGCGGAGAATTACCTGAAAAGGGTGCGTTGATCACTTCTTCACAACATGAAATCATAGAAAGTTTTAACAGTGAATATAGAAGCCGCCGCAGCTGGTGCAGCTGGCACAGCGGAACAGAGTGAGAAGGCCACTCCGGCAGCTCCTCTGACGAAATGGCAAAAGGTCAAGCGCCACTACAGGCGCTTCTGGATCTGCTATCTCATCGGTGCAATCATCATAGCCGCAATCCTGCTACCGATTCTGTGAGCTGTAACGGACTCTTATCTATGAATGGAACTAACAAAATGCAGCTTCATATTCATCATTCCGCGAATTGCTCAAGATCTGCTGAACTCGGGTTCCATTGTCATTGATTTCGCCCACATTCTGCAGCCCACCAATAATTCCGTGGTTCTCAACATCGGGTCACACGTTTACGTTCCTGGTCCCTTCACTGTATCTACGGATCCGCTACAGCTGCAACTGTACGTTCCGGAAGTTGGATCAGATTACCCAATGGCTCTGCTCGATATGCCAGAAGACAGGATCCACAAGAACACGAGTATGAACACTGTCGGCAATCAATTTACTCCTTTCATGAATTACACATCGTGGCATGAGTTCGTTCACAACACCATTTTCCTAGATAGCGGTGGCTTGGGGTTGAAGGGCAGCGTGCGCACGCAATTAGGCAAGATCAAGAAATTTACCTTGGATTTGAATAAAGTTGTTCCCTCCAAAGGTATGCACTACACTTTCCTAATTATATCAAAATAATGGCAATGTTAACATGATTTCTACTAGCATTGAACCAGTTCAAAGGATTCACCATCGATTCAGCAGCATTAGTCCCCACCCAAAGTGACGGTTCCAATCTGCTGGCCAATGCCACCCTCCCTAACCAGTCTGTGTTGACGCTGGAGATCGTACGTTTCTACTTCATCCCTTGATATAATAAACAGAGTATAAAAAATACATGCTAATAACGTGAATAGGGCAACACTTCAGTCAATATCATGAGCGGAGATCTCGTTATTGCTACTGGTATGATCGAGAACCTCTTCCTCCAACCAGGAAACAATACATTCGCCATCCGCGGCAAGGCCAACCTGACCAACCTGATTGAGAACCTGGGCGACTTACTCAAATATCAGGGCCCATACATCAAGAACGGGAACCTGGAGCTAACCACCCACGTCACCAACATCGAATACAATGGGTCCAGGGTGCCTTACTACTCTGACGAGATGGGCAAACTTCCTCTCACTGCGCAAACGCCAGTGCTCGGTCTGCTTCTCAACACCCTCAAGGGCTTCTTGCATGGTAATGGAACAAACGCCACCCTTGTACAAGAAGTCAGGAACAAGATCAATCAAAACCATGCAGATATACACACCCGATTCAGCGACATAGTTAATAATTCGACTGAATTGGAGTTGGTAGCTCGAGATCATTTAGAGACTCTGGCTCGGTTTGGAGTATAGTATTGTTTTGTCTTTTTGTGTGGGAAGATTGATTAATGGGAAAGGAAGGCTTTCGATGAGTTTTGCAGTACCGACTTTTGATGTCATTAATGTTTATTCACGAGTCATGAAATCTCTGATATGGATTATCCATTTGGGGTATAAGTACATAGTATCATGTTTGTCAAGACAATTGAACCTTGAACGACACAACCAAGTCCAGAGCAATTAAGTTGAACATGGCCGCTTGCGTCATACCTAGCACACGCCTGATGAAATATTCGGATAGTAGGAGGCGTGCACTTAGTAAAAACCTTGATTTATAGAGTCATGATTACTGGATTGGGCAATCATCACAACATCAATTGATAAACCCCATTTTTGCGCACAAGAATAGAAAACTAAAAATCTCCTATATTGTAGTTTTCTTTTTGATACTTAATTTTTCAAATAATATAATTCTAACATGAGTATATTGTCTAGTCTTTCTCGATAAGGAAACGATTTCCCGTATGGTGGATAGATATGTGATACGAAACATGGCAATCATGTAGCAATTTCAGTGGTGTTGGTAGTGGATTCTGATTGATTTCATTGGATTATATATCTTCTTACCATCCATCATCTTTCGTTAAACACGGGTATCGTTCTTGATGAGCAAAAGATCATTCATTCAACCCTCCTTTAGAACATAAGTGTATTATTGTACAGAGCGAGTCGTTGAGTCGATACTTATTAGCATCGCGGAAACGAGGAGGAGTTTTTTTCAAATACATCATGATTGCATGAAATTTTATCGTTTCTTTTTTTTAAACTTGGAATGTTTGCGAGAACCAGGAATACAATGTATCCGGTTCACTGGTTTGGGACAGTGCTCGCTCTACGACAGAACTGCCATGCTCAAGAATGAACTTCAGCATCCATTGGTCCATTCTAAAGGACTCATCGATTGATTTTCTACAGGCATTGTGAAAAACCTGTAGTCGAGACAAGGCTACGTCCAGCGGAGCCCAGAATTTTTGCAGGTCTGTTAAGATCTCAAAGTTCTGAGATAGACGCTGTCGAACTAAGCTGACTGTGGCCTCGTTCTCACTGAAAAGTAGCCTATGCATGTATATTGTAGAAGTAATAACCAGCATATGGCCAACCATCACGTACCGGCATTGACATGTGTCTCGATCAAGCGCACGGCATTGATAGAGAAGGTCACAGAAAGCTAAGGCGTGTTCTTCACAATGCGCCTGGTACCTCTCAGTGGACCTACCGCTATTATTCAAAACATCATTTTTTGCGAGGAATTGGTAAAATAAGACCTCATGGTAGTAATGATACCCAAGATGTAAGGCAACGAAGGCATTTCCGAGGCCAATAGATGCGTAATGCTCAAGATTCTCGAAATTTTCTTGGAGATTTGGGGTTAGTGAACTAGCCCACGCTTCTAGTTCATGTGCTAGAGCATCGACCGCTTCAATAAGTGAGTTAGGCTTAATTGTGCCGCTAACTGAAGCTGTGTTCACTTGGTGGATTCGTCTCCAAATGCGACTTAAGATAAGCATCTCTGACCATAACCCCCGACGATTTGTGTCAATATTGAGCCTTGACTCAATCTTCAGTGACAAAAAGGTCTCTTCATTTGTCGGAAGAGGTGAACCATCCACAAAATCCAGCTGTTGGGGTATACTCAGGCCTATGGAGGACCAGAGATCCATCATGTGCAATGAGCACCAAACTATGAGTTAGCCATAGTGTTAGTATACTAGCCCATTACCAGGTGAGTGTAATAACCAACTTCTCAGATTTACTTGTCTCTCCACCTCTTCATCACAGTGCCTATGAGGTAAGTCCAAGATTAGGGCCAACCGGACTGCGATCGAGTAATATAGGGCTTCCGATTGCATTTCGGATTTCGAAAAGCAGATCGTGCCCAGAAGAATGCAAGCCTGAATTGTAGTTACTGAGATATTTGTGAGGTCAAGTAGTTTCCTTGCGCGAGCTGCAAATTCTTCCCCTCGTTGACGTGGATCAACCGCTTTAAAAGACTCATTGTTTGAAAACCTGGCACCTAAAGCCATCATACTGTATAGAAGAACATTGGGCAGCTTCTCATGGACGATGGTTTCCTCCGTTGTCGGGCGATGGAATATCGAGTGGTGGGTGTCATGGATCTCATTGAAATACAGTGTCACCAGTTCTTTTTGCAAATGAAAAGGGAGGCTGTCACGAAGGGTGGCTGGAAGCAGTGATTGAGGTTCCCTCGTGGGTTGAATAGAAAGGCGTGGTGATGACTGTGATTGTAAATATTGAGCCTCCTTAATGGCAGACCTGTTTAGACTGCAGTCGAGACTCAGAGATTGGCACCGAACACAAACACTACTGGCCTTCTCAACACGGCATTTTCGTTTGTTAGATCTGACGTTCGCGCATTAGTAATTCAATGTTATATTGTGAACATCAAAGCGCTCATAAATCGGCTAATTTACGTAGTTGCTTACCGACACTCATAGCAAGCGCTGATAGGCCTCATCTTATCGAAGTATCGGAGTATTCCCGGCGAGAGGATATCAAACGAAGCTTGCTATAACATGACCCTAATATCCGCCGCGAATGTGCTTCGGACCTCTCCACAGGCCGTGGATTGGGGTATTTGAGAGCACATGGTCATGCGGGGGTAAAGGCGGATCTGGCTAAGCTCCACCGTTTTCCACAAATCCAAAGGCTTCAAACCCGCACCACTGTGGGGATTGCTTGATGAGGGGATATTCAGTCCTTTTTCCATTGGCAAAGTTATTTCACAAACTCGAACTCCCAGGAAAATCGATTGATACTAGTAGGATCCAAGTATGAGTAGAGAGATATATAATAGACCACCTAGCCGGTGCTGGGTCAACAAGGGAAAGTTTGTCCTGAATTATCTTCTCTAGACGTGGATTAAGAAAACCAGCATTGTTGATAATCATGTCTGCTCAGAACATCACCGTTCAAACAAACGCCCTCCGCGTTAGTATTCATATTGATGAAGAAGGCGTAGCGTGGCTTCATGAGGTTCATCCTGCAGGTTCCGCCTCGCAGCCCTCAAAGTCTAAACACTTTTCTAGTTCATGCGCCCCTCTTGTTGAGGTGCGATTGTCTGCCGAAGGAACAGCAAGGCACAAGAGCTCTAAAACCCTCATTGGAACCTATATCGGAACGCGTTTAAGATATCAGTCGCACAAGATTAACGACGAAGAGAACACTCAATCACTTGAGGTTACTCTGGCCGATTCTGTATCTAGTATCATCGTTGTTTGCCACCTTACCCTGTACAAGTCAACGCCGGTCCTCCGCGCATCCGCTACCATTCAGAACAACGGAGCCCAAGATATCGTTGTTACTCAGCTTACTTCCCTGGTTATTGGAGGATTAACGACCAGTTCTGAGCAGTGGTGGTCTGATTATGTACTATCTGTTCCGTATAACTCATGGTTTCGTGAGGCACAATGGATTGAGCATGACTTGCCTAGTGTTGGAGTCGATGACTATGGTGTTCATTCCGTGCCAGATGATAACCACTGGGGCTCTATTTCGCACTACGCCGTATCCAATCGCGGCACATTCTCGACTGAAGGGCATCTCCCAATGGGAATGCTGAAGCGGCGCGATGACGCAGATACATGGTTGTGGCAAATTGAGAATAATGGTTCTTGGCGATGGGAAATTGGCGACTGGAAAGACAGCGTGTATCTCGCTGCTGGAGGACCAGTCAATTATGACCATGATTGGCGCGAGCGACTGGCGCCAGGACAGAAATTTAGTACCGTACCTGTTGCTGTTTGCCATGTGCTTGATAACTACGAGAAGGCCTTTGCAGGGTTGACAACATACCGTCGCCTGATGCGACGCAAACATACCGATAATGAGCGACTCCCTCTTATTTTCAATGACTATATGAACTGTCTCATGGGTGATCCAACAGAAGAGAAAATTCTTGCTTTGATTGATCCTGTTGTCAAAGCAGGTGCCGAATATTTTGTTATTGACGCCGGATGGTACGCTGATGATTCCGGTTGGTGGGACGATGTTGGACTATGGGAGCCGTCCATCAAACGATTCCCTAAAGGGTTCAAGCAGCTGCTAGCCCAAATTACCTCGAAGGGGCTGATACCAGGCTTATGGCTTGAGCCTGAGGTAATTGGAGTACGTAGTGTGGTTTCTCGCCAGCTACCAGATGATGCTTTTTTCCAGCGCGATGGGCACCGTATCGTGGAGAAAGGAAGATACCAACTTGATTTCACGCATCCCGCCGTTAGAGAACGCATGCACGGCATTGTAAAGCATCTAGTAACCGAATTCGGTGTGGGATACTTCAAGTTCGATTATAACATCGAAGTCACTCAAGGTACAGATGCCAACTGCTCAAGTTCCGGATCAGGCCAGTTGAATCATAATCGAGCCTATCTTCAATGGGTTGGCGAGCTGCATGACCGATTCCCGAAATTGGTCATTGAAAGTTGTTCCAGTGGCGCTCAGCGCATGGATTATGCCATGTTGGGCGTTCATTCTCTACAGTCTACCAGCGATCAGCAAAATCCAGAGTATTATTCCGCTATTGCAGCCGCGCTTCCAACGGCAGTTACACCAGAGCAAGGAGCAACATGGGCTTATCCTCAGCCGGAGTGGGATGACGAGACCAATGCTATGACTGTTGTCAACAGTTTGCTAGGACGCATCCATCTCAGCGGCCGGCTCGATAATCTCCAGTCTCAGCAATTCGACCTGATCAAGGAAGGAATGGACGTGTATCGGTCGATTAGAGCGGATCTGCCCACCGCAGATGCATTCTGGCCTTTGGGACTTCCTCGCTGGCACGATAATTGGGTTTCTTTGGGAATGGCTGCTGCTTCTGGAACTATCTATTATGTGTCCGTTTGGAGACGAGGAGGGCTAGAATCAGTAGATTTGCGAATTGCTGCACTTCAAAACCGCGCCGTGAGTAGCAAACTGCTCTACCCGGCATCGTTCAAGGCAGAAGCCGTATGGATGGCGGCGGAGGGTATTTTAAAAGTTACAATACCGTCGAAGCTCGGAGCTCGTTTGTTCCAGTTGACCGTCGAGTAAACGACAGGACTGTATAACCTTTTGTGCGTAGAGTTCAAAGATAGAAATCCTATAAAAAGAAATTGAGAGAAGACAATGATGCTCTACTGAAGAGAGAAAAGTAATTGACTTTGACTACCTCACTCTTGGGCAAGTGCATAGCAAAAAATTGAGATAGGTGAACAAGTTCGTTCAGACACGATCGTAAGAATCTAGTAGATATAAGGCGAAAAGTGATGAAATTCAACCCAGAAGAAAATTTTGACTAAATTTGCTACTGACTATCTATCCGATGACTCCGTACAAGAACCGGACGATACACCCGATTGAAATAATGCCGAAATGCTGAAACTTAAAGAGGCACTGTTGAGGCTAAACAGAATTACGATCCTACGAAACAAGTATGACTTTGGTGGAAAGCTCATTTATCCCCAGATTGTCCAGTCTCCGCTGCAATTATGGAGACAGTGCGAATAATCCACCACTCGGGTCTTCTCAAAGCCGCATCTATAGTGGATCAACTGACCAAGGTTACCCCGTGGGGAAGAAAGGTCTTGCACCCGGTTCTTGCTTGGAATGTAGTAGAATAATTCTACGGTTAATAATGATTAGCCGAGACAATCCAGGCTTTTGAAGCTGAACTTGTGAGTTTATAAAAAGGCAACAATCCGTTTAGAACGTGGTTACACGCATGCATAGCCCAGCATTTTTACCCGTACCTTCTACCGACCCACACTTTCTAAAGTCTCCCAGCCACGGGTCTCTCCTGTCCTTTTTATGATATTAGAGTCACCATGGATGAAAAAAATTCCAATGATTCTTCTGCACTCCATGTCGAGGTCCAGCATTCTCAGAATGACCTCGAGACAGGTCACGACGATGGCTGGCAATCCAGCACGAAGGATGCAAAAGCAGCTAACACTGCCGAGCATACTATGACTATACGACAAGCGCTGCGTGCATATCCTTGGGCTGTTCTCTGGTCGTTGACTATCTCTCTATCCATTATCATGGAGGGCTACGACACAAATCTTATTGGTAATTTCTACGCTTACCCGGAATTCAAGACACAGTTTGGTATCCTTCACCCGGGGACTCAGGGATACCAGGTCCCGCAAGAATGGCAATCAGCCCTCGGCGCTGGTGGAAATGCCGGTTGCATCATTGGTGCTTTTTTAAATGGATACTATGTGAAACACTATGGATTCAAGAAGGTGTTCATTACGGGCTGTTTTTGCATGTGCGGTTTCGTTTTTGTCTCGTTCTTTGGTAATAGCATTGGGGCACAAGTTGCAGGTCAGGTTCTTTGTGGGTAAGTTAACTCTTCACCGCCGATTCATATAACTCAATTTTTTCCAATTAAAAAGCGCATTAACACTGATAAATAAATAGTATACCATGGGGTATCTTCGCAACTATCGGCCCAGCGTATTCATCTGAGCTTTTGCCCATGGCCCTTCGACCGTATCTGACTGCGTACACAAACATGTGCTTTGCCATTGGTCAATTCATTAGTATGGGAGTATTACAAGCTCTCCTCAACCGCCCAGATCAATGGTCGTACAGAATCCCATATGCTGTACAGTGGATCTGGCCTGTGCCTCTATTCATTATAGGCTTCTTCATGCCCGAATCACCGTGGTGGCAAGTTCGTCACGGAAAATACGACAGCGCCGAAAAAACCGTTCAACGTCTGATGTCGAAATCAGAGAAACATAATGCCCGCCAGATTGTTGCCATGATGATTCACACGGATAATATTGAGTCTGAAGTGGAAACCGGAACATCATACTGGGATTGTTTCAAAGGGAGTAATTTTCGACGAACGGAGATTGCATGTGTCACGTTCGCCGGTCAGGTGCTTGCTGGAAGTCAGTTCGCATATTCAGGCACTTATTTCTTTGAGCAGGCAGGGATGAGCTCGGACAACGCGTACAAACTCGCTCTTGGAGGAACAGCTATTGCATTTGTCGGAACAATTCTCTCCTGGTTTCTAATGAAGAACTTCGGGAACCGGACGTTGTATCTGGGCGGTCTCGGGATGGAATGTGTTTATCTCTTCATCATCGGCATCTTGACATTGGTCAAGAACAACAACAATGTTGTTTGGGCTCAGTCTGCACTGTGTATCCTCTGGCTCTTCACATTCTCTCTGACTATTGGACCACTTGGATGGTCAATTGCACCAGAAGTATCGTCAACACGCCTGCGTTCGAAAACTATCGTTCTGGCTCGAAACACCTATTACATTGCGATTATAGTAGGTAACACTATAGAGCCATACATGATGAATCCGACTGCCTGGGACTGGAGAGGCAAAACTGGGTTTTTCTGGTTCGGATTCGCATTTGCTACTCTTGTTTGGGGGTATTTCAGACTCACCGAGACCAAAGGCCGTACATTTGAAGAACTTGATATCATGTACGCTGCTGGGGTACCGACGAGGAAATTCAAGACTTATCAAGTTGATGCATACGCGGAGAACCTGAATATCAAGGATCGTGTACAGGATTCGTTAAACAAGATTTGACATGGATGATGCTGCTTTGAAACAGGTCATTACCAGATTTTGAAGATCTTCTTCATTCGTGATTACCTGTACCTAAATAGCCGAATTCAGACGTTCTTCAACTTACTTTAAACTTTGGTAATGTAAGACCATTGATGCCTGGGGCTGCCAGGCATCCATGTCATGTGATTTGACAGTCATGTCATGTTCTATATAAAGCGGGTTTGGGGATTAATCGCCATAGAGCGATTAATGTTGGTCTTTTTACCTTGTTGGTTAGGGTTGTTCCCCAAAGCCCTAGCTTACCGAAAATACGCTTAGGTGATTCTTCTAATAGCCAAAGTTTTCATTCACTTGGTGGGTAACACATTCCTGAGTATTGCAGATCTCAACATACATTGAGAGTAATTTTGCAGTTAACTAGTTAAGTTACCGTGGGCTCTAAACTGGGAGGTTCCTGGTTAATAATAAATATTAATTAATATATACAATAATAAGACTGAATAAATATATTCAAGAATATTAATCTATCATCTAAGTATAAAATATTTACTAAAGAATTTACAGATATATTCCAAACCTTTACTTGCCTCCATAAGGGCTACTAATGACTCGGTGATTAGGCAATAGCACGTAATATAACCCCTCCCTAACCCGAAGAGGTAATTGGTTCTCACAGGTTCTTGTTTTGGGTTCACTTTTTTAAGGTTCAGGTTCCTTTTCTTTAGCTAAAGTTCAAACCTTCTAACAAGGTACTTTCAGCCTGGTAGATTTTAGATTGCAGAACTAGGTATACAAAAGGCGCAGGTTCATTCCCAAACTGGAGTTCGGAGATAAAGATGTCAAAATGATATCGGAAGTCTTGCGAGTTTATAGGGTTACTGCGCATCTGATACATATGCCGCACTGCCGTGATAAGTGGAACTTAAAAGTAAACTTTCGTACCCCGCCGCAGAAGCGAACCTCAATTTTCCTTAATATCAAATGGTTATCCTTACTGATAATCCTGCCAATAGCAACGAATGTATTGATTAGAAATCAATAGATCTGTTCATGTAACTAGTTAACTTAGTATCCACGATTACTAATCTAAGTCCAACCTTTATATACCTTTGAGTAAATACGCTGAGAATGTTTCAACCGAGGCTGGAACTTCTGATATCACATATCGGCGACATTACATAGACTAGATCCGATCTCCGACTAGCTTCAATATGTCTCAAGCTACTAATCAAGAGTCGTTGTTTTCTGTCAAAGGCATCGTAGCAGTGATTACTGGGGGAGGAAGTGGTCTTGGAGCGAATATAGCCAAAGCTCTTGATGTGAGTTGCATCCGTCAATATCAATGTTACGATTCGAATAGAAATACTGATTCTCTCCAGGCCAATGGAGCACGAGCTGTTTATATTCTGGGCCGTCGTGCAGATAGCCTCAAGAAGACTGCTGACGCGGCAGTCAACAGAAGCATCGTGCCATTGACAGCGGACGTAACGTCTCAAGAATCGCTGTCTGCTGCAGTCGAGACAATACGCGCTCGGGAGGGCCTTGTCAATGTTCTGATAGCCAATTCCGGCATCATCGGTCCCAGCACCGCTGATCTATTTGCCGGAGGTAAGACTCCCTCCATCGACGAACTACAATCCAAACTATGGAGCACTCCCATAGAAGAGTTCACGAAACCGCTTCACGTCAACGTGACGGGAGCCTTCTACACCGCTGTCGCTTTTCTCGGGTTACTAGACGCGGCAAACCGCCAGCCAGATTCGGCGTCTCGTCCAAAGAGCCAGGTCATTGTCGTGACTTCGATCGCCGGTTTTATGCGTAACCCAGCAGCAGGGTTCGCCTATAGTGCGAGTAAGGCTGCCGCAACGCATATGGTTAAACAGCTCTCCACAAGTTTGGCACCGTATAAGATTCGATGCAATGGCATTGCGCCGGGATTCTTTCCTAGTGAGATGACGGAAAGTGTGCCCTTTATGCAAGGGCTGGATCCTCGCATTGAGGGGAATGTTTCTTCTCAGATTTGTCCGTTGGAGCGGACGGGCTCGGAAGAGGACATAAATGGCTTGGCACTGTTTTTGATCAGTCGAGCGGGGGCGTATGTGAATGGATGTGTGCAGTTGATCGATGGAGGACGCGTTGCGATATTTCCGGCAGCGTATTAGAAAAATTCTGCGGTAGATTCATGAACTCTGATTACCCGAATAGAATTAGTTTGATAAAATTTTATTCATCATCACTTCATAAAACCTCTATGGGATATCCAATAGCCCCGGGAGCAGCATTCTAGAAAGCTCCATCTGACGAAAGCGTGTTCGGTGCACGGAACCCCTGATTGGAGAAGACGCGATGATATGTAGTAGGCACTGGTAAGTTGTAGAACGTAATAGCGTCATAGCAGCAGCAGGAAGCCTGGCCATGCTTTTACAATTGTGGCTGCGGCCCTGTTTCAGCCACTGCGGTGTGTCATTGGCTGCGCGACTGTGGCTATGATGTCATGTATCACGAAATGCATCAATTGATGTGCCTGGCTGATGTCATGGCTACGTCGACAGAATATCGATTGAACATCGATTGATGACAATAAGAACGAGATAAATAATAACTGCACGTCTCACTCAATTCCAACTTCAACTTTGAAATCCAAAACACTACCAACGTTAACCAACATCTTCAACTTAAGACTGACCATCTACAACTTCAACCATCATGTCTTCAGACGGTACTTCCTCTTCCACGGTTAAGTCCTACGTCGACTCTGCCGTCGGCGCAGCTCAGAGCGTTGTCTCATCTGTGACCGGTAACACGGCTGACCAGGTACTAACACCTCCCCTCCACGTCTCTGCACACCCATCTAACCATCCTCAGAAGCAAGCCGAAGCCACCAAAGCCCAGGCCGAGCAAGAGTACCGAGACTCGCACACCACCGCCAAGCTGGGCCCTGCCACAGTGGACCCCAACACCGGTGCAGCCGTCAAGAACAACGAGGACCGCACCGCCGGCTCCTGGAATCAGACCATCGGCGCCGCCAAGGAGTCTGTCGGCAACTTCATCGGCAACGAGAACCTTCGCCAGGCCGGAATCCAGCAAAACGCAGACGGCAAGACCCAGGAGGCGTCGGGCCAGCTTTCAGATTTGGGCCAGGGCATTACCGATCGTGCCCAGGGTGCGTTGGGAAACGTCGGTGCCGCGATCACTGGTGACCGTGAAACCCAGGCGAAGTGGCAGGATGTGCACGACCAAGGAAAGGCTCGTCAGCGTGGTGTAGAGGCGGATCTGCAGAAGTGAAGTGCAGAAAAGAAGCTGACGGTCTTAAATCACGATGCCGACGTCTTTTCTTTAGTATTCTCGATTGCTTGTTATAGCGTTTTTACGAGATATCCCAGGTTTAACGAAGCTTCTCATGATTTCGAAGATGATGTTGAAAGATGATTTTGACGAGGGGAGATGCCTTACAGTGCTTTTCCAGATTCAAGTGTACAGTAGCTCAGAAATAAATTACTTTTATTCTACAATCGAAACTTTGTTCAAAGTTGTAGTGGAGACATCCATTATGCTTCGTTTTGAAATATCTATACAATAGTCCCATTTAAGGACAAAAAATTTTCACTGGAAACGAATTTGTCGTATAGTAAGGGTAGTAGTCGTTGATAAGCCAATGCGTACTTGGAGAACCGCAATTCTATGAAATCATCAACTGTTTGTTTGGTCGTAAAGCGTAAATAAATCCATAAGCTTCGGGTGTTATGGTTAAGTGTTGATAGCGTATTACCAATGACAAATACCGCCTTCACTGTCATCCATTGCCCATGTCCCGGCCATACCAACTATCTCGATCTGTCCGTCTGCGTGTTCATCGACCTTTCCGAGAGATGCGAAACTGTGGTCACCAGGTCTGTCACTCAACAGGCGACGAGCCCAGGCATCGATTGCTGGTTCGCCAGTCTCATCACGAGCCTGCTTGAGGAATGGAATCAGAGCCGTACCCCCAGTCCCTCGGAGTTTCTTGTTGCCTGACTGATTCACATTCGCCAAGTTCACGACCGACCGCGCCGCCTGCGGGCTAATCGACCGCGATTTATGTCGTTGTTCTCGTGATTTGATAATGATGTACCGCGAGACCACTTGAATATGCTTGTCGCGCAAGGATCGTAACATCGCTAGAGCTGCATCATATGCCAGACACAACGCTTTGTCAGAGCGGTGAGCGTCGACAAACTCTCGAATATTGGTCACACTCCCCATATGCTCTAAGAAGCGGCGGTGGGACCTGGGCATATACTCTCTCATCTCTTGAATAAAGCTGTGTCGAGGACTAGGAGGGATTCCTTCCGATTCCTTCTCCGAGGGCTCGTCGTCTCGACTAGCACCCGTCGGACGGTGTTCGATCCCCAAAACGATGTCGAAAAACTGAATCAACGAGCTCTGAGCATTGCTGCCACCGCCATATTGCTGAAACTCTGTTGGTCCATTGCCAGTATCGAACATGACGCCATTTGGAAGGCCGGCTTCGCCCATATTCTTGCTCCCTGCCAGGAACGGTCTGATTCTGTGATAGAACACATGAGGGTCGCAGTGCTCGTATAGCCGCTGCATCAGAGTGCTGACCGCGTCAATCGTTTCCGCCAGTTCTTGTAAGCATAGCGTAACAAAATCTCTATCTCCAGCCCGTGCGGCAGATATCGCTTTGATCATCAATGGAAGTGTAGGAGCTGCCCGCGCTTCAATCGCCACCGAGACCAAGTAGAACCAATGCTCGTCAATCGACCCCGTAAAGGTATTTATCGCAGATAAGTTGTTTAAATCATCAGCCGGCTCATCGTCGAAGATCGGTTTATAATTCCATAAGCACACGGCAGCATAAGTGGCGACTGGGGGAAGGTCTAAAAATTCGCAAACTTTCAAGAGTGGTACACTGATTGGAGGGGGGATTATCTTGGCAGCTGATGTCAGATGTATTATCATGAAAGGTACGGATAGATCTACATACCTCTGCTGGAGCATCACCACCCCACACATACGCATGAAGCATGAAGGTGAGAACCACATATGCGCGGCGCCACTCGGCATCAGTCTGCAGGAAGGAAGTGGATAGAACAGGAAGCCGGTCGATGACAGGGCGGACCCTTCGGCTAAGGATCAGAGGTTGTAAATTGTTGATGACAGACTCCCACTTGGCATAATAAGGATCTGGTAGGCGTGTTAACGGTAATGTTGAAGGAAGGAAGCCATGCTTGGGGTCGATGCCGTAGTCCTCCAGAACAGGAATCGGCGGGAGCATGGCAATTGACGATTCTCCCAAACGAAAGGAGAAAGAAGAAAGTGAAAGAAACAAAGGTGAGAAAGGAGAGACTATAAACCGAAGCTGCCACCTAACTAACGCCGCGATGGAGCAAGGCGGAAAAAGTCTCGAGATCTCAACTCAGGCAACGAGGGCGGGCTTGGTCACGTGCACGGCGCTGCCCCTCTTGTCGTGGTCCGGATTCGGAGGCAAATTCTTCAGGCAAACGCTATAATTCGTGTGTAATGGGATCTCCGTGCAGCATTGAAATATTGACCTTTCTTCAGAGGCTAGAGACCAGTGGAGTTCTGAAACTGTAAATGAGATAGAATGAGGGAGAAAGAGGTGGAGAGGGGGGCTCCAGACTTTTATGTACGGGGTTAAGGAAGAGTCAGAATGGATCGGAGGAAAGCTTCCGGGGGGAAAAGATTATTAATGTTAATTCGAAAGATGATGTGATGACTGGATTAGCAATACAAATAACACACTCAGGACTAAGAAACGTTGGCTCACGCGACTGTGCCAGGCCAGAGTTCTCGGTGAGGAGACTATTCGCTGACCAAGAGAGGTACCCCGGGGCGAGGCTAAGGAAATGCCTCAGGCTCGTCTGAGTAACCGGGTTGTAGCATGATCATGGCGCCGGCAAGTCAAAAAACGCATTCGGTTAAATGAGAATGATGAATTGATCAATGGCCGAGCTTCCCGCCAAGTAAAGGCATAGCATCGACGACCCGGGGCATACCGGGAGCTTCCCACTGCGATATAGGAGAAGGTTCCGTGGTGCCATATAGAGTTAAATTTACGCTGAACGTAAACACATCGAAAGGGCTCGACAGGCCACTAAACTGCATGCAGGATCATGTCCAGATATCTGCGAAAATGACCTGCATCTATGCATCAAACAAGCTCCAATTGACGTAGGCGCTTATGCGCGTCGCTCCAGTCTCCGCTCGGCCTAAGGGAAAATTTGGGAGAGTGGCTCTCACGTGGGTGGCGCCTCAGCCTTCAGGCAACGGGCCAATCAACTATTATTACACTACCTTTGTACAAGATGCAATATTTAAGACTGACAGTCATTGAGTTGTTGACCTATGCCGGAGGTGAGAATGCATTCTGTACAAGACGTAAAAAAAATAAACTCGAGCCTATACTGCAATATACGTGTGCAGATTATACATAACGCCGCCCCGCCCCGTGAAAATACATCCTACCAAAAATGTGAAAAGTTGCCAGACAATTAATCACCGCCCTAAAGAGTGTCTGCGCTATAGACCAATATAGTTACAGTCTGGGATCAATGCTGGCTCCACTGGATAGTGTCCAAAGCAATACCCTCCTGCACCAACTCCCACAATGGACTCAGTTCCCGCAAGAAGTGGACGCGGTCGGTGACTGCTTTCAAAACGTAGTCAATCTCAGCCTCCGTCGTGAATCGTCCGATTCCAAATCGGATACTGCTGTGTGCACTCTCGTCGCTGCTGCCTAGAGCACGCAACACGTAGCTAGGCTCGAGGGAAGCCGATGTACAGGCACTGCCGGAAGAAAGGGCAATGTCTTTGAGTGCCATCAAGAGAGATTCACCCTCGATATAGGCAAAAGAGACATTCACACAGCCAGGATAGTGACGCTCGGGGTCTCCATTCTGAGATGTATGTTCCATGGCCAAGAGACCATCCAATAATCGCTTAGATAATCTCTTGACATGTGCTGTGTCATACTAGATTGGAGTCAGCGAAAGTGGATACCGAATGTCAAATATGCTATAATAGAATAAAAACGTGTTCCAAGTCATAACCCCTGCTACGTAGATCACAGTGCCTGACACCACATCCGAAGACATGGAGCTATCGCCAGGCGATCTCAGAAAGCCATGCATATTTTAAAGCATATAATCATAATGGATAAAAGAAAGAAAGGGACCGGGAAGGAAAGAAGGGAACGAGAATAGGGATTATCTTACTTCCATATCGCTCTTCGCAATTCGGCAGGCCTCACCCATGGCAACGCAGAGATGAGGTGCGAGAGTACCACTGCGGAGACCTCTCTCCTGGCCACCGCCAGTGATTATTGGATCGAGACGTACACGAGGTCTTCTGCGGACATAACATGCCCCAATTCCCTTCGGAGCATAGAGCTTATGACCGGAGATAGACATAAGGTCGACATTCCACTTGTTGACATCGATAGGAATCTTTCCAACTGCTTGGGCACCATCAGTGTGGAAGAAAACCTTGTTCGCACGGCAGATCTTTCCAATCTCTTCAACTGGCTGGATGACACCAATCTCGTTATTTACTGTCATAATCGAAACCAGCGCAGTATCTGGACGGATGGCTGCCTTCAGTTCATCGATATTGACGATACCATTATTCTGCACAGGAAGATATGTGACATCGAAACCCTCATCCTGAAGATGACGACAGCTATCTAAAACACACTTGTGTTCTGTCTGGGTCGTGATGATATGCTTCTTCTTTCCCGACCGACCAAAGAATCTAGCAACACCTTTGATGCTCATGTTATTACTTTCAGTGGCACCGCTGGTGAAAATAATCTCCTTGGGATCAGCCCCAATGAGGCTTGCGATGTGGCCTCGGGCTTCTTCGACGGCTGCCTCCGTCTCCCAGCCATAAGCGTGCGTTCTCGAGTGAGGGTTGCCGTACAGGCCAGTGAGGAAAGGGAGCATCGCATCCAGGACACGGGGGTCAGTGGGAGTGGTGGCTTGCATGTCGAGATAGATGGGCCGGTTGCCTTCGTCCATGATGGTGGCTTGCTTCAAGATGGCAGCATTGGGGCTCATGGAGGTGTCGCCGCTCATGGACGATGACGGTAGCTCGGCATTCTGGGGCTGGATACCTGTCTGATCGATGAATCTCCTCTGCTCAGCTTTGATAGCTGTGTCGACGCTGACCTGGGCGTTGCCAGATCGCGTCTCAGAGACGTATCGTCGGGTGGTAGCTGTCCTGGCAGGGAGTGGCGAGGTAGCTTTCAATAGGCCAACAGTCGACAAGCGACGGGAAAAGGCCCGTGGCGCTTGCCTTAAGGCCGTGGATGCCATATGAGACATGATGGTATTAGCGATACCAACCCACCATATGTGTTTGATGGAGATGATGACAACAAGAGTGGTGTTGGGGAAAGCTCGGAAATGTTTTTCTGGCGTAGGTTGGAAATTGGCATGGTAAGCAGGTCACGGGACTCGGCGACTCGAGTCGGAGTCGGGTTATTGCCTCCGGTCTTCGGGCGTAATTACTCCTCTGGCCGTGAGGCCGAATATGCTTCGCTGACTATCAAGCCATAGTAGGATATAATATTTAATATTAAACTGCGACGGGGGACTTGATTAAGAGTTTTCCCTGCATAGTTTGCCGAGAATGAGTAACTTGTCGTGATAAAGTTGGTGTTGATCAGGCAGTTCATATAGTAGAAACGAAAGATGCTGTTAAGACCTACTAATGCACTTTTCTCAGGCGCCGTAACTACTCGCCAGTCAGTGGACTCTGCTATTATGTACTAGTACCACACCTGTGAGAGTACAGTAACCAGCTGATCGACACGCCGCCATTTGCAAGACCACGGTCAGATCACGTGAGCGTGCCGGTAATCGCTGATTTGCGAGTGGCGCAGCGCACTTGTGTTAGGGTTCAGTCTGACGAGAATGCGTCCACTTTCAACGTTCAAGATTGGCTTAGAAGGAAGTACACCTGCAAGAATTCAAGTGTAAATCAATAATAAACCCAATTGCGCATACTTCATACCATACTATACATACATACTACACACCGATTATGTACGACGGAGCAACTGGCCGCAATGGCAGCCTTGGCGCCTGACTCTGCGCATTATGTCATAGCCAGCCTGATGCTCAGCCACAGAAGCCGTTGCTTCCGCAGGCAATCGCAATAGTATCTTGTTTAGTCTTACTTAGCAGTACTTGCTGCGTGCAGGCCCCGCTGACGCTCACTCTGCTCCACGGGTTCTTCCTCCTCTCTTAACTGCCATATCCCCAGTTTTTCGAAGATCGCCACTTTGTTCTATATCTACTTGTCGCTTCCACACCTTTTTCTGACCTCGACCGAGCTTCCGCCACTCTCCGTCAGCTCTACACAATACCCGTCAGCCGCGGGGTTAGGCCACCATGAGTTTGAAAGGCCTTGGCAAGAGTTTCGTTCGTGCGCCGCAGCAATTCAAGGCCAAGTTTAATATTGGCGAGCACACCAAGGATGCTGTCTATATTGACGCCGAACGAAGATTTCAGGAATTGGAGAAGGAGACGAAGAAGCTTCACGATGAGTCGAAGAAATACTTTGACGCCATCAACGGTCGGCCTGCAGATCCCACTTTGTGCGTGTCATACTGACTGATGGAAACAGGCATGCTGAACCACCAGATTGAATTTTCCAAGGCGATGACCGAATTATACAAACCCATCTCAGGCCGCGCTTCTGACCCAAGCAGTTACACGATTGAAGGAAATCCCGAAGGCATCCGGGCATGTGAGGAATACGAAGCGATCGTCCGTGAATTGCAGGAAAGCTTGGCGCCTGAGCTGGAGATGATCGACACACGAATCATTAACCCGGCGAACGAGCTTCTCGATATCATCAAAATCTGCCGGAAGGTGACGGTTAAGCGGGAACATAAAAAATTGGATTATGATCGACACCGTGCCACACTTAAGAAGCTCCAAGATAAGAAGGAGAAGTCGCTCAAGGATGAAAAGGCGCTATACAAGGCAGAAAATGATGTTGAACAAGCAACAGAAGACTACAACCACTTCAACGATTTGTTAAAAGAGGAACTGCCAAAACTCTTCGAGCTCGAGGCGGAGTTCATTCGCCCGCTCTTCCAGTCTTTCTATTACATGCAACTAAATGTGTTCTATACGTTGCACGAAAAAATGCAAGGAGTCAACATTGGCTATTTCGATTTGACACGGGATGTCGAAGAGGCATATGAAGCTAAGCACGGCGATTCCAGGGACAGGGCTGAAGAGCTCACGATTGTTCATTTCAAGAGCACTGGTGGTCGACGCCAAGGTTCAAAATACGGGGCAAAGGACAAACTTGCAGCCGAAGGCAAAAGCTCTGTTCGACGATCAACGTCCAATTCAGCCGACCACCCCCCTCCTCCATACTCGCCCGGTGGTGCCGCTGGCACCACGTCGCTTGGTGGTAGCTCATTAGCTGCTGCAGCGAAGAGCAAACCAGCCCCTCCACCTCCACGACCGAAACCCGGTCACTTGGGCGGTCCGCATGTCGAAACTGTGACTGCACTCTACGATTATGAAGCTCAGGCGCACGGGGACCTCAGCTTTTCAGCTGGTGATGTTATTGAAATCGTCAGCCGTACGAGTAACGAGAACGAGTGGTGGACAGGACAACTGAATGGTAAAGAGGGACAATTTCCAGGTTTGTTTATTCCCAATAAGCGGTGAAAACAACGATGCTGACATCATCCGACTAGGCAATTACGTCCAACTCAATTGATGCCATTTGGTATGATAATTCACTTCATCGATGCTGTGATTCCTGTCACAACTATTGTTTTAGCAAGAAATTGCCTCGGATAGGAAGTTAATTTCCTTCCCGTCCGCTACTCGCTTTGGGTATAGAAGTTTACCACACTTAATGAGTACATAATCAACGGCACGAGTTTATATAGTATGCAGCAGCTTGGGTTTTTTATTTGCTCTGTGTTCTTTTCCTGTCGACGGAATATAAGTTACCATGTAAATATCGCATAGTATTCCTTGCTCTTTCTTCACTCACTCCTGTTGCTGATTCATGTCAATTCTATTAATGAAGTGAAAAAGCAGTCTCGACTGAGAAATCGGAATGTCAACAATTCAAAAGGTTAATGATTCAGTCAATCTATATCTATCCTGAAACGCCATCGATGCATTCATAACCCCTATTAAAATCGCCCTTGCACACGCTATGTGTAATATCAATGGCTTGATGCGGCCGAAATGCTACTTCCAAAAATGACGCTACCAAATGAAAAACGAAATGAAGACAAGCAATAAAATAGAGACAAATTGAAATGGAAACGCCAATTAATATTCAATTTTGACGCTCTTCCGAATCCGTTCGCCGTAAAGGTAGAGTATCAACGGGATAGGAAGCATTAGGGCTGCGACGCAGCCGAGGAGAGTGCAGGCCCACTCCACGCCGAGGGATTGGAACTGGAATTGTACTTAATCAATAACTTTCCTGGTACTTTGAAAATACACCGCGTCAGGGAAAGAAAGTTAGCCGGCTTACCATATAAGTGGCGAAGAGAGGAAACACAGCGCCAAAAATGGATCGGAAGAGCATATGAGCGGCGACGGCAGAGGCAGATCTAGAATCCAAACCTTAGTCAGCTTTTTTATTTTTTTATTTTTTTACAAAAGGTGTACAGATGGATGTGGATTACCTGTTCTGCCTCGCATTGACAATATACGAAACCGACGGCACGAACATAGCCAACAAGCCAAACCCGGACAGAACCCCCGATGCTGTAGGCACAATCCAGTGAACTTCCCCCCTGTACCCCGACCAACCGAGCCAGAACAGGCCAGCCGAGAAAGCAGCTGCGCCGGGAATCGCGAGAGGAATAGTCCATTCCGGCTTCATCTGGCCCTTATTCATATGCAGGCGTGGGAACACCCACATACGCTGGTAAATGAGCGTAGCAATGACGCACAGACATTGGCCAACCATGATACCGAGATAAGGGAGACCACCGACACCGGGGTTCATGTGATAGATTTGCTGGAAGATGATCGGGTAGGCCGTTAGGAACAGGTATAGAAGCCCGTAGACGAAGGCGCCGAAAGTGCACATGCATAGAACAATCGGGTCGAGAGCGAGCATGCGCAGTGGTAAGAAGAGATACTCGCGGCTGACGGTGCGTAGGTCGAGGGCGATGGTGTCGTGCTTGGATATGATTGACCAATCACCAGTTTCGCGCCGCAGTCTGTCTGCTTTGCGGGCGAGGATGACGGGCCGGTAGGATTCGGGGAGAAGGATTAAAAGAGAGAAAAAGGCAACACTGCCGAGAATTCCTGGTAGGTATTCAGTCCATTCCCATCCAAGGGATTCATTGAGGACGATGAAGCCGCCGATGGGTTGTGAGATGAGAGGGCCCAAAAACACGGTTAAAGCATACAGAGTTATCATCGGCGCAAGTTCTTTTGGGCGATACATGTCTGCAAATGCGGCACTAGCCAATGTTAGAGGCCCAGCGCCAAAAAAACCGGTGAAATAACGGCAGATAAAGATCGAAGCGAGGTCATTCCCGGATCGAGCGGTGGCAAAGCAGAAGACGGAGAAACCAAACATTGAAGTCGTAAGGGGTAGATAACGTCCTTTGAGTTCGCTAAGCGAGGACCATATGATAGGCCCTGTTGCAAAGCCTAGCACGTACAATGAAACGCCGAGGGTACTGACTTCGCGACTAATGCCGTGTGTGGCCATGAGGGAGGGAATGGCTTTTGCAAAGATACTGCTTCCCATGGCGACGAACATTGTTGATAGGGCTATTATCGCTGATAGCAGACGCCTGCAGATGGGGTGTCAGTTTGGGCTTCGAGATGTACCTATAATCCAACATACCTCTTACCCACAGGCCAGTTCCAAGGGTTTGCTGGATCATCAGGACCGTCAAAATCAACAAATGTGCATTTTGGCTCTGTTGGAGGAGCGTTACTAGGCTCAGTGCTCATGATGGCGCTCATGATGGTGTCGAATTCTCTTTCGTGATATCAACGAGTTAGTTCCTTTCGCTATGACCGAGATCACGGCCAGCACTCTTTGATAATGCTGATGATTTTTTTTTTCAACTCAATAGCACGTTTACTAACAAAAACGTAAAAAAACCGATGATTTCAATTCCAACGTCAACATGGCCTTACTAACAGTGCTCCATTTGGCATGGTGGACATCCCACTATTTCCACCATTTTACCTTTGCATTCTCCATCGAACGGAAACTATACGCGCAACTTGCACGATAACCGTTTAAAAATAAATATTCCAGAAATGATGACCGTTAGTTAGCGGACAGAATGCGACTAAACATGATACGTGCGAATCTGATGGGTACGGCCGTAAGGGCTACCGGACCCATAATCGGATGGAGACTTTCGTTGCAGTCAATAACAAACTCAAGATTACTGATCACTGCACTTTTATCACCCATTCGCGCAATGGTAAGTCGTTGGCTACACCAAAAAGGCTAGCTGATACGATGGTATTCAAGAATGATTTTCTCGGTTCTCTCCAATGTTGATATATTTCATTCCTTAGCTAAGCTTTGATTTACGATCAAAATGATGCCGGTTTAGGCGTGGAACCTGGGCGCACCTGCTCCTTTTCCTAAATCCAAGCCCATCCCTGCCCCGATTTTCCTGATAAGAGCACGTTTGATAAAGGCTTCTCGAGCTAAACTCCGTGTATGGCGAGACCATGTGTCTGCTCCAATCACGCCTTTGACTAGTGCCGCCTGTAGGGCATAGATGGCTTGCTGTATGCCTCGTTCGTCTGCAACAAGGTCATAGAGCTGCTTTCCAACAACTGTTGGTGCGACTAAAACATCGTCTATCGGGGGTAATCCGCCATTTGCGGCATTAGCTGCAGAAGATCCTGTTTCAGTAGAGGTCCCGGAAGTAGCTCCGGCAGGGCTCTGGTGTATCCGTGCCTTGGCATCGGCTATCACGGCATCGGCACGATGCAGCGATTGCTGAAGGACACTGATATTTGACTGCAGTGTTGCTTGGAAGTTGTTCAATGTAGCAATTTCTCCTTGTAGAGTGTTCATGGATGCGTGCAAGGCATGGGCCTGGGATTGCAACGGCACTACAGCCGATCTCGATTGTGATACATTTGACTGGAGATTCTCTGTCAGTGTGCGCGACAGAGCATGTAACAGCGCGTCCTTCTCAGGATTCGGGGGAACAGGCGGAGGAGGTCCTGTTGGCGCTATTGATGGCAGCTCGACATCGAAAGGCGATGTCAAGAGGTCCGGAGTTTCTGGCTTCCGTACTTGAGGTGGCGATTGAGGTGGAAGTTGCTGGGGAGCTTGCCGATATGGAGCTTGAGTCGGTGGAGGCGGGTATTGTTGATGGTAAGCAAGCTGTGGGTTCTGGGGCTGTTGGGGGATATGAGGATGTGGCTGGTAAAACTGTCCCGAAGGTGGTCGTGCTTGTCCTTGTTGAGGGATATAACCGGGAGTCTGGGTATGTAAGGAAGAAATTGGGCGAGCATTTGGATGACTATCTGGGGTATAATTTGGTCTTGTAGGCATAGCTGGTGCATACTTCGGATTGGTTGCGCGCAAACTACTTTGCCTTTGCGGCGTATAGAGAGCTGCTCCATCGTCCGGTCTGTACTGGGGGGAAAATTTCCCTTGTCCTTGTGCTATTTGGCCCTTTGGAGGTAAGGGGGGTGCTCCATTTCTAGTCGCTCGCGCCGAGGTGGGTGGAGATTGTATTTGTGGAGGTTGTTGACCCGGTTTCGGAGGAACTTGGGGTGCTGTTGGCAATGTTTGTTGGCGCTGTGTAGGCTGCTCGACTGGCCTCGATGGCGGGGAGAGTTCAGGTGGGAGAGAAGGAACAGGAGGAGGGGCTGCTTGTCTCCGTTCAGGTTGCGCCTGTGGAGCTCTGGATTTGACAGGCGGCTCTCTTGAGAAAATGTCTCGTAGGACGTTGAATAGGTCGATTATCGACACTCGCTAAAGAGTCTCTAGTCAGCGCTCCAATACCATCCCGTGTTATCGCCAACCGCAAGCAACTCACATCCCAGGCCTCGGCCCAATGTGCCAGGTAGTGATGATAAACTCGTCCTTCCAGTGTCACGTGTTGGCCCGATCGCACGACCATATCTGCAGCCGGGGTGACATAGACGATCGGGGGTTCGAGGGGGTATACATTTGGAATCCAGATATCTATGGGGATATTGTACACAGCGCCGCGAAAGGGGACAGGTAAGGTGCCGACAAGGTGGAGGAGAAGCGACGATGTGCCATTTTCGTGCGCTAGACAGCCAGTGAGCCAACAAGCTTTGGTATCATGAAAGTAACTTACTGTAGACATCGGTGCGAGGACCAAGGGATGGGTATTGCGCCAGCGCTCGAGCGACGTCGTGGTAAGTCCGGTTGGGATCGCGGTAGGTTTGTTTGGGGTCATGATGGTTCTGTGCAGCGCAGATTAGCGAGCTTCAGCGGCGTCGAGGTCTCGGTGGTACCTTTGTAAGAACGTTCCAAAGCCACGCCAGGGTGGTCTGCGGCACAGCCGCCATGTCGAGAGCGATGGGATGCCAGACGCAGCCAGTCCATGCCTGGATGCGTTGTTGTTGGTGGAGGAGAAGCGCGTCCCAGTCCGTCTGTCTGCCTACAAAGATCCCCGCAGCGCTTGGCGTCCACCATGACACCCAAGATGACCGACTCTTACGTATGTAATGCGAGCCAGTGGGGAAATCAATTGATATGCGTGTAATAGATTATAGAGCTTGAGATATTCTATGGAATATAAGCTATTTATACTCTCCACATTATAAATAAGGCGGAGCTTCTAACAACCAGCTACAATCTTTCATCAATTGATGTAGTAATTACAGTCTCCAAAATTGTTCTCTCAATTATATTGAAAAAATTATCTGGGCTTACCTTGTATTATTAGCAACTAGATATTATTATTAAATATATATAATGATATCTCGTTGTCAGTTTGTACTTCTAGCTGTGATATGTTTCTATATATTTCCCACCATGGGTGACGTACTTTGCACAGTCCATGTCCTTCCAGCAGTAAATAACCCTAAACCCTAGCTTGTGAAGTGCAGCTACAGTGTTCTAAATGCTGCAAGTTCCAGTCATCTACATATGTAGGTGTGTACACTTGTGTCAAATTAAAACTATGAGGATTCCTAGAAAATCAAATCGAATTGAATTGTTCAATCGTTGGTAAGAGCACTACGGACCCCAAAAGATAATACGGCAAGAGGAATGTGCCACCACTCCAGCCAGAACTAAACTCGTCCAAGATTTCGAAGGGCTCCAGCCATCAACAGCGAAGGAGCCTCGATTAATAAGTTCGAGTGAAAAAAGAGCAAAAAATTTTCTGAATGCACAGAAACCTACCATCAGTGAATCCCAGAATCACGAGGAGGACCAAACGTGGTTTTCCCATCCTCCAAATCCCGATAAATAAGGTCAACATCAGCCCTCGCTCCAGTGGTCAGAGGTAATGTGAAGCCGCGCGAGGACCCGAAACTGTTCTCGCCAGAGCGTGCTGGTGTCGATGATGAGATCACGTTCCACAGAGGTCGGCCGGATTCGCTGTTAGCACGAGATTTGGGTTGTCCTGGCAGTGCCGAGCCAGCCCAGAGGGATGTCACTGGTAGTGAGATGACAACGAAGGTGCTGACATTAGAATTGATCCCAGGAATATCTGTAGTGAACTGAAGGATTGCGAATATTGCTGTTGAAAATGCATTAGCTAAGATACATATCACCCAGTGCTAAGGTGTTTTAAGTCACCTGGTACGAGCATGGTCTGACAACTCATGATAAACAGCACCTGCATGGGCCCGAATTGGCGAATTCCTAGCTGCCGACGTCGCCAAATCGAATAGGCAAGCTTGCACATGAAAACGGCACTGAAGAAGCAGATACTAATTGTCAAAAGGATAGTGTTTGCTTTTTCAAGCCAGACATAGTCGCTGAAATCTCTCTGTTCGAGCGTGTATTTCGCGTTTAGAATACTTTGCGTAAGGCGGAATCCGATTGTGACAAGGGCAACGTTTGCTGATACGCAGAAGAAGAGAATTTTAGACAGTTTCGGAAGGTTTACGCAGACCACCATTGCTTGTAGCACAAGAGAGCACTCAGTGCAGACCTGTAACAGTGCGAGCAACACTGTTCCCAGCACGGTGTTTGCGTAATTGCTAGGTTTTACGCGGCTGAAATCTCCGGAGAAATAAGCATAAGTTTCGAAGAAAGCCCCAGTGAAATATAGAATCTCGCAGATAAGCCGAGCGGTATTCAGGAATAAAGCAGCCATGTTCAGGCCGAAGACAGCAGAGCGACGCTTCTTGGATTTGGTCAATAGGAGCATCAGGACAAAAATGACAACCGTGGCGCCAAGCTCGGAGCCATAGTCGATGCATGAGGTGATTCCGAACTGGATATAGCCGTCCAAGTCAACCATGGTGATGTTAAACGGAGTGCCGTCGCTGGTGATGAAGGTGATGTTCTGTTCGAAAGGATTGAAGCCTGCCATTGCGAGCGGATGGATTGTCAGATATTAACAAGTTAATGTGTGAAATGGGTATTGTAAAGGAATTCAATGTCTTCTGCAGAGTAGGCAATTTGAAGGATTGAAGTAGCACAAAGTGTGTACAGCAGGTGGGATAGAAACGAAGGTGTTGTAATAACTGCTGGGCTAGAGAAAAGTATCGAGACAATCAGAGTATGGAAAATGATTATAAAATACCTTGAGAAAGACAATAGTAAAATTGATTTATGGCCAAAATGTCAACAATTCATGGCGCCATAGCAAATCCAGAGACAACACTAAGCCTTGGGCTTAGTAAATCGCTACCATGAAGATAGGAAAAGAAAAGTGAGAACAATATCAGATGAATCATAGAAAAAGTAAACTGATCATAGATGAAGGTAATTGAATATCCACACAGCTTAGCTGAGGGAAGGGGTCGTTTGCATAAGGTCAAGAACAATAGCAAGCCGGGTGGAGCAGAACAATACGAAGCTCTTCGAGTCGCACAATCGACACCCAGAGTCCGAAAAAGTATTTTATTGCCGATTTAGCTTGAAGCTCAGACACCTACTCGACCTATCTCGACGATAATCAATATTCACTTATTTAGACAATATGCAGTTTCTCACCAGACGCTAGCATTCGCCTGATAATTGGCCTAGTATTGTATGAACTTGGGATCTTCCATAGACACGAGTTGCTATTGGTGTAACTTGAATTCAAACGTTGGTTACATATGTACAGTTAATTTTATTCGATCTGAATGTGTTTACTCACTACTACTACTACTACTACAGCCTGGCTGGTGCTAATGGGTAGATCTGTTGCGGTGATAAGCCGCTATCCCCGGTGTTTCCGTTTCCGCACTAATTATTAATCCTAATTAACATCAACATCATAAGTTACAGTATTTCTTTCGATATATAACAAACTTCTTCATGACCAGCTTCCAGCATCCACTATACTCCAATAAATGAACGCGGCATTAAAAAGACTCCAACTATTCAGAAGCCATCTGCTGAAATCTCCTTTTACCACGATGGCGACCAAGTATGACATCACCAGCGTGTATCGGCTAAATTCCGGGCACGAGATTCCTGCCTTGGGCTTTGGGGTGAGATCTTTAATTTCATCTGGGGTAGGATTTGCAGCTGACTAATATTTCTTTAGGTATATCGCACGTAAGTCTTTTATTTCTGGAGATGCTGTTTGCATGAAGGAGTTGGTCCTGACTGTGCTCACATAGTCCCGTCGAAGAATGCAAGCGATGCGTTCTCAAAGCATTCGAAGTCGGCTATCGTCACGTATGTAAATTTCCATTCTTACCAGACTGAAAAAGAGATAATGCTGAACGGCATACTACAGATTGACTCTGCCACTGCATATCACAACGAGAAACCCTGTGGCGACGCTATTCGAGAATCTGGCATTCCCCGGGAAAAAGTGTTCATCACCACCAAGATCCCACCCAGGATTCAAGGCTACGAAAAGGCTAAGGATTCTATCAACAAGAGTCTGAAGGAATCTGGGCTTGACTATTTTGACTTGTGCGTTTATACGCCGTGAAAGTTGAGAAAAACACTAACATGAATAGAATTCTCATCCATGCCCCCTTCGGCACTAAAGATGAACGCCTTGGTTCATGGAAGGCAATGGCTGAAGCCCAAAAGGCGGGCAAAGTGCGTTCGCTGGGTGTCTCAAACTACGGGGTTCATCATCTCGAGGAACTGAAAGAATATATCCAAAATAATAATAGCAGTCCTATTGACGTCGGGCAGTGGGAGTTGCACCCATGGCTCGGCCGCAGGGATATCGTCGATTGGTGTCGCGCAAACAACGTCGTTGTTGAGGCTTACTGTCCGGTTGTGCGGGCCCAGAGACATGATGACCCCGTAGTGACGAAACTGGCGAACAAACATAACAGAACGCCAGCGCAGATTCTGCTGAGATGGAGTTTGCAGATGGTTCGTTATATACTATATATCCGTTCGCTGGAATGAAGACTGGAAAGCTAACGTTGCTTGTATTTGATAGGGCTTTGTTCCCCTGCCAAAGTCCGTGACTCCATCTCGTATTGAGGAGAATGCGCAGCTTTACGATTTCGAATTATCAAGCGAGGATATGGACTTGTTGACCACGGACGAATATTCTCCTGTTGCTTGGGATCCCACCAAGGATACACAAGTTTAGACTTATACGATTGAAGCTTGGATTCAATATCAACAATAAGATTGTTCGAAACTTCATATTTCATTTGAAGCTAAGGATAAATGGAAACTGACCTAAGGGGTATAGAATGAATGAAACTTACACCTTTTTCAAGACAACCTTTACCTAAGATTTTAACTTTTCTAGCTGGCAGGCCCATCTCTCGACCATTTCTATATACAAGATTATATACATTATTTTACAGCTCATCAACCCGCCCAAGAAGCCACTCCAAGTGTCTCAAAGAAACACGAGGCTGGTACTCGGGCTGCATATGCCCTGACTGGTATGTCTGAGCCCACATCAAGCCGCGCTCAAAATGTTGAATGCCCATGGTTCCCTGGGGACCGTCAGAGCCAGTATACCCACTTTCATTGAACTGCGCTGGATAGACCAAGTCCGGAGTATGGATGTAGATTTCTTTGCTGGGGCGCTCGTTGAAGCCGAGCGTGCCATGCCACGTCATGTTCTGGATGGCGAGAAGAGTACCGTTGGTTTGGATGATCATATCATAGTCACCGTTACTTACCAACACGCGGTTGGTATGTTCAATGACTTTGGGCAGGGCGTGTTGGATAGGGTCGAGCGAAAGATCCCCTAATCCTTCGGGTCCGCTATTGCCGCCCACGAAAACATTGCCGGCGCATTCAGTCCAGGTAGTGTTTGGCGGCGCATGCAGGGCTTTTTTGACATCTGCGCGGTCGAAGTAGATGGTCGCGCCGGCTGGAAGATAGGACAGTGAGCCAGGAAAGCCAAGCACATCCCATTGAAGGGGGCAGGAGGTACTGATCTCGTAGATGCTGAAGCATGGGTTGATACCGAGAGCATACTCGAGTGCAAGGTCGAGAATATCGCAGGTCGAGTTGGCCTCTTCCAGAACAGGTTGGACACCTGATGCGGGGAAAGTCAAATATTTCTCGAGATATGCTTCGTATCCGCAGGACTGGTGGAGTTCTTTCAATGTGGCAAGCTGGGTTTCGTTGAAATTGAAAAGGTTGTTGTTCGCTTCAACCAGAGGATAGGTAGGGACCTCTTCCTGTGCTGTGGTGTAAGCGCCAATAACCGGGTCATAGACCATGGCACCTTTTAGCAGAATTAGTTAGATTTTATTTGATTCATGTCTTAGTTCTCAAGACATACCTTTCAGGTCAAAATACTCGGTGTCGTTTTGGTCGATGAAAGCAGCTGAGATATATGGCACATAGCGGCCTGCGTAGCTCTCACCAGTGACATAGATTTTGAATTTCTTGATCCCAAAGAGAATCTCAAAATTCTTGAAGAACCCTACAAAGTCTTGCGCAATGTCTTCCTCACTGATAGCAGTGGGAGTGCCAGTGGAGAAACCGGTACCAACTGGCTGGTCAACCCACAGCATGTTGGTCAGGTTTACCCAGGAGTAGGGGTTTTCAACTGGCGCGAATGTACCTGACTGCCAAACAAAGCGGCCATTTTCCTGCAGAAAACCCTCGAGAGAACTGCAACCTGGACCACCGTTCAGCCAGATAGTAATCTCGTCAACTGGAGCGCCAATGGTGGGCTGGAAGACGAAGAACAGCTCGCGTGACTTGTTTTTGCTCTCAATGGGGACTAAGCCGGAATACATCTCACCAATGTCAAAGTCGACATCAGGCAAGCTCTCAACACGGTAAGCTATATGTAATGATGCACTCGTTAGCTGTTTTCCTCTCCTCTCCCTTTTCGACTCCGCGGAAGTATCGCTCACGAGAAGTCTTATTGCTGAGAAATCGGAAGTCTTTGGTGTCAAACACCTGAGGAGTTGCACGCTTTGCAGCCATTGCTTCGTAATGGGCCTCATATCGACGCTGCACGCTCGGAGGCAATGGGACCCGCGTCCCCTTGGCCCAGGTGCTGTCAACCAGCAGACCGGCCACAAGCACTGCCATTGAGATGAAAGGTTGGACGAGCATCTTGCTTGCCTTTCTGCACTCGAAGCTCAATTTCCCACGTCAAAGGCGATCAATTAATCCATCTCGCGGCGCGACAGCGGAATGGAGGTTGTATTTATAATTAGTGTAACGGTTCTAGGTTAATCTGATGGTCCCATCGGAATTTTCCAGCGAGCGAAAAAATAACTCCGAACTGCTATGCAGAGCTCTCGCCATCACAGGAGATCCTGCCTGAACAGGCAAGGTCCTTTGACGACACTGGCAGTTTTATTGGTTTGGATTGTGACGTTGCATGCCGGTGGGCAGCGATCGGCATGATCTGCAGGCTGACAACGATTGATATGGTCAGTGCCTGGTCCCTTGCTCTTCCACAACCAACACCACTATTGCTTAGTCCTCCCACCGCCAGAGCTCTGCGAGGGTATTGATGATTGGTGCGTCATTAATGCTGATCTCGAAAGCCCCTCAGAAGTTAGAATATTGTCTCCTGCCATAATAGGTAGATTCATTCGCAACTGTCATAGATTGTTACTCCATCACTAAATGCAATGCAGTTGATTCATAATAGCTCATTGTGAACAAGATAACGACCCCGCACGAATGTTGGGGAGACGTTGGTGGCGTCGAGTAACACCAACTTGAAAACTTGAGCTTCTCCACCCGGATAGCATCGCTTAGACCGGCGACTCTTCAACTTATTACAACTCCGAAGTCTCGGCATATCCTCTCCTAGTTCGCGGTGCTGCCCTAGCTGACTGCATATAGGGATACTGTCATTGTACGTCGTTAAAACTTAACTTGAACAGCTGAAATCTCAGATGATTCTTCTGGAGCATTGTTAGACTACTTGCATCTCACAAACAAAAGTATAGCCTAAGGAATGTATGACTAGCTGGGAATCCTATGATAGAACCCTCTCAGTTCGCTCTCACTTTTTCAAGATCTCTAGTGCCGTTTTCAAATCCTCGATCCTTTTCTCCAAGCTTGCTCGGTACTGCTTGACAGTTGGTGATTCACCTGCTATGGTCTCCAGTGTCTCAGCATCGAGCTTGATCACCCAGTCCGAGTCGATAATAGCTAGAGGACTCTTCAGCCCCGTTAAAAGATCGTATTCCACCACTTGGCGAAAAATGCTATCAACAAACCGTTTTCTCGCGACTTTGTAGTAGGCGCAGAGAATGTCGTGGCTATCTTCCGTTTTCTGTTGAAAGTTGTCCTTATTCTCCAGTGCGTTTTCTGAGTCCTCCAAATAAACAAATCCCTTCCCTGGAGTGACGGTGATTCCGTGCTTTACGTCGAAGAAGCTGGTCTGAGCCTTGCTCTCTAGCATCTTCATCATTCTCTTTCCACGTGCCTTTTGGAGGTTTTCATTGAAGTAATGGTTGGGTGTGAATGGCCTTTGCTCACGCTCCATCATAACAAGAAGTTCGGCGTGTTCCATTACCTCCTTGTATTTATGGCTGAGCTCATAGGCAATAGAAGATGCAATCTCTTCTTAGGCTTTCATGTCGGTGCACAAATTTTGCAATGCGTAACAAACAAAGCGATGAATGGTTATGATGACTCAACTCACGTATGCTTTGGCCATATCATCCCACTTTTCAGATTGCTGTTGAAACGCGTTTAGGAGAATACCGGACCCAAAAGTTCCCAACTCCAGAGTTCGATTTTCAGCATAAAGCTTTTTGATCCAGCCCATGATGTTTCCTTGAGGGTCATCAAAATCATACTTCCTGGCGATTATATCCTCAAGTACTGCATCTGTATCGATTTCATTATCGGTATTGAAAACTTGCTCTGGCTTTTTGAAATAGGTGCTTTCGTTCTGAAAATAACGCATTTGAGACTTTTTGACAAATTCTGCATTAAAATGGTCTGTGAGATTGGCGATGTGCGTTCCAAGGCGCAGTTGGGATGCCCCATTGTTGGGGTAATTCCCATCCAGTGCATTTCGGACCAATGCCTCAAATTTCCTGCTCAAAGTGGCGAGGTACAAGCGTTGTTTTTCTACAGTTTGACGTGCAGGACCAAGATCCTCCAATTCTATAGAGCATTCAGCAAGCTGTCTTTTGACTTATTTTCAACGCAAGAAATTCGCGCTTTGCAATTTCGCCCAACAGCTCACTCAAGCGTTTCTTTAGAGCATGACCTCTCGGGAGACTTTTCCAAGGTTGCTCATTGAACAACTGCTCATAGTCAGCCTCTTTATCATCAGGGCCACGGTTCCGGACCAGATAGTAACCCAGAAGAGGCTTTTTCTTTCCATTCACAATGTTGCGGACCGCGATTTTGGCGCTTTCCTCCTGCACTAGCTCTGGCTTTGTCAATACACCTAGAGTCTGTTCTCCTTTCTTGTCGTATTCTTTAACAATGGTCAGGATCTCTTGGGTTGCGGGGTCGGCGTTGCTAGGAAGGACTGCGAGAATGATAGTGCGCCTGTCTTGAATGTAATTTTTGACCATTTGCATCACGAGCTTAGCATCATTTGAGGTCGTAATTCCTTCAGTCGGAGTACGAAAGATACCTGGAACATCGATAAGTGTGAAGTAATCTTTGGGCCCGACTCTTCAATTTTGAGAACGTCGTCACTGAATACGCTAACTTCGCGTCTTGAAAATTATTATATAGTGTTTTATAATAATATAATAAATATATATATATATATGAGAGGCGGACTGGTGCGGAACATCATCTGCACTTGATTTTTATGGCAGACCGCGCTTTAATATAAGCATTTTAGAGGCCAATTTATTGAAAGAATTCTCTATATATAGTAATAATTGTTATGGGCTGAAGTCCTTCTGAGGCTCGAACCCTACTGAGGCGCGAACCCTACTGCACCGTCAGACGTGGAGGCATTCAGAACCACGTATAGAGTGTTCAAGGCACTAATTCCAAGAGCCGTCATTCCTTTCTTAAGGTCTATATCCAGCCCTCCATCAGCCTTCCTTAATGCAAACTCACAATTTCTGTGTTCGCTGTTTATGTTATCCGCTAAACTAAAGGCTGAACTAGGAAGGTCCAAGAGAAATGTACCCCCTCCAACTTGGTCGATCGTAAGCGTCACCGTAGGCAGAGTGAAAGCGCAATCATAGTATATGTCTTCTCCCAGATCACCAACCCCCATTTGATGAGCAACCCAGCCGCGGAAAGAATCCACAAGACTAGAATCAAGGGTTGTATACTTACTTCCTGTATTAAGTGCTATTTGCATATCGCAAGGTACGGGTGGTTTTTTCTCGATACTGTATGATGACACATGAAATGTCCAGAACCCTTCGGTAGCAGTTTTTGATACTGCCCACCGGATATGGTCTGTATACGCTTCGTTGACCTTTCCGAGGTCAATGAACCCCGGAGACTGGCTCCGTAAGCAAATACCAATGACAGGGTCCCGGAGCTGTGGTAGGATATTGTCAAACCACGAGGAGCTGGGAATTGGTCTCCCTTCAGTCTCGCGAAGAGTCGCATTTTGCCGTGTAAGTGCTAGCACACCATCCCACGGTCTATCATGATCAATTCCTTCTGGCAATCCCCCGTTTCCATCACCAACTAGAAGGGTCTGATTAAGAGACACAGGGCCGTCCTGGATGGTGATATTGTCACGAATCATTGCACCTCCCCCCACAGGCGAGCCATCTATTTCGAACTTCTGTGCATTCCATATCCACGACATGGGCTCCGGTTGTTGTCCGTGCGGCGGATTGTAGAGTGTGACGCTTGTGTAAGTAATGTCAGGCTGGACGGTGTAGACGATCCTGTAGGAGTTTAGTTTGTTTTCAGGTTCTTTGCAATAAAGCGTTCACAATACATACGTGTCTGGTGCGAACGTGTCTAGTTGTAGATGAAAGGTCTGCCCTCCTATTTCCACCGGAATGCTGTAGAAATAGTTTACTCCGCGCTCAGAACTGGGGTTACTTGTATTTAGGGTCATCGCGATACTTCTTGGCCCTGGTGTTGACAATGGCCTTGACGACAGCCTTGACGATGGTGTTGACGTAGGGGCCGAGTTTAGACTCAGAGTTGTGATACGTGTTATCAACGGTGTTGTATCTGATGGCGCTGACGATGGTTTTGACGATGGTTTTGACGATAGTGTTGATGATAGTATTGACAATGGTGCCGACGATGGTGTTGACGTATGAACAGAACTTGGACTCGGAATTGTAATATGTGTTATCGATGGTGTTGACGTATGAACCAAACTTGGACTCGAAATTGTAATAAGTGTCATCAATGGTGTTGTCCCTGATGGATTTGAAGGTTTTGGTCCAGACAACGGCTGAGATGAAGGTGTAGTTGTCAACGCTGACGATGGACCTGACAGAATTGAAGCCCCTGGCTTTTGTCTTGAGGGAGTACCTGAGAGAGTACCCGAAAGAGCACCCAAAGTAGCACCTGACGGGGTCACCAAAACCCTCATCGAAGTGAATGTCGCTGGTATCCCTGGGTTAGGTGTCACACATAATCCCGCGCCTGTCCTCGTCAAAGTAGCTGTAAGAGACGACAGGGGCAGTCCCTGTGGGTATGAGCAGGTGCATATACAGTCAGGTGGATTAACAGTGCTTGAAGTGTCTGTCGCATCTCTGACAGCAAGTGGATTCAGCGATGCGACTAGAGTCGCTATGAACAAAGTAAGAAATGCAGTAGCTACCATTATGGTGGTGAGATAATGTTGTTTTTTAATGGGCTTTTCAATATAGGTATGAACAAATAAAAGGAAGGAAAAGGAAATGAAAAGGCGTATATTTATAAAAAAAGAGGCATGGGTATGTGATTCATACTAAGTTGTCAACAAAATGACTGTTGAATACACTCACGATAGTTACATGTCAACTACCAGTTGAGTCGGTCACGTCCTGTCATCAACCACATGTAGCATTGAATCATCTATCGGAGTCATGGCGCTTTATTCTTAGAGTTGCGTACGCTACCTAACATATTTCCACAGTAGGTTGGAAATTAACAATACTTTCTCGATATTGTATGACTGGCTTCTAGCCCTAACCTTAATGTTCTATCAATTGACATGTAGGCTGCCTCAGGCCAACTACTACCAACCAGGCACCCTCAGAAAATTGTATATTGAAACAAATATTAAAGGGGATATCAACTATATCGATGTATAGGGCTTTCATAGATACATGTCAACTGGTACACATACTACTACCTTTCAATGTACACAAAAGCAATTAAATTACTATAAAATATATGTACCTACGACATCTGGAGATAGCTCGTAGTGTGGAATCTTGGCCCCCAGTAAATATCGCACATTCCAGCCTGTTTGGCTTGGTTTAACACTACTCGTATGTATACGAGGTCGTTTAGTTCGTGGTGGGGCAAGCTGATCGTTTATCCATCATGGATGGTTTCGGGTTCTCCACATACATGAATTTATTGACCTCCAAGGATCAATTGATGTATTGATCTGTTCACATTTCCAAAAAATTGTATATAGCCTCGACAACCTTCAACCCTTCATTCATCTCTTTAATACATACATGTATGCCCCTTGAGGAGCCTAACGGGGCATAAACTTACTCATCACACCGTTCCATTTCTCCAACCCAACAGACTACCACACGACGGGCGTCTGATGAATCAATTGACAATGAACATATGCGTTTCCACGCGCGAAACACCCGCCTATACCGCGCTGCCCAAATTTGACAGCCACATTGGAGCTGCATACACCGGCAAAGGTACATCTCCCAACAACCACCATTTCTCCTTCCGGCGTCCATCCTCAGAACCCAGCAGCAGCGAGCAGCAAACACAGAAAACATTTCAATCTAATCTCGCCCAACTATCCGCAACCATCGGATTTAACCCGTCCAGAGTAACGCTGCCGAATGGCCCCTGGCCGCACTCTGGACAGGCGATAATCGCCGAATCCGAAAGCTTCAGGTGGATTGAGAACCCTCTGACGGGCGCTTTAATGCCTGTTACCAGCACGGAGGACTGTGAACCAGTAACATACGATGGTATCGTGACAAAATCGAAACAATTCGTCCTCGGCATCCAGGGCGCTGACTGCCCTTCTATATTCCTCTATGACCCGGAGCAAAATGTAATCAGCATCGCGCATGCGGGCTGGAAACCGTTGGTGCGGGGTGTAGTAGCGAACTCGATCAGGATGATGGAAGAGCTTGGTGCTCAGAGCGAGCGGGTTGTGGCTTATGTCTCGCCTGGGTGCGGCGATAGGTATAATTGTTTCCATTGGGACGAGGCCATGGAGTCGCATATCAAAGAAGTTTTTACGGATGCGCGGCGAGAGGAGTTTTCACAGGACCACTCGCTGCGGTATGTTATGACTGATGCCGATAGGCGGGAATTAGAAGGGGCTCTTGGTCGTGAGATTGGTGATGCTGATGCTACTACGTTCTGTTTAACGGTGTTGGTACGAAGAGAGCTCGAGCAGTGTGGTGTACGGGCGGAGAATATCTCCTGGAGCGATGATTCTACGGTTGTCACTCGCTATAAGGACCAGGAGAAGGGGGAGGAAAGGCAGGAGCTTCCCCCTTTCCAGTACCATTCATATCGCAGGGAGAGGCCTGAGCATGGATTGAGTATGGGTGTGCTGTTTCTTAAAAACTAATAAACGGAATATCATCAACTTAGTCATAACAAAATCACACGTCCGTCGAAATAGGGCCTTCTGACTTCACGGATATGGGGTTCTTGGCGTCGCACATAGACACAGACGAGGCATTATGGTCGTTAAAAAAAACATTAATTGCCTCCACAGGGTAATCATCAGCTTCTGCGTGGCGGTCCGTTTTGCTAGTCGTAAATATAACCTGCTTTCCCCTTACACTGGCATGAAACTCATATTCAACACCAGTAGATTGACGTTCATGATCTGCAGCCGTAGGAAGCAATGTATAGGCTGGACCAAAAAGAATCATTGTCCCAACAGTCGACAGCTTCATCAACTCGCCCATGCCAACCGGTACATGTCTAATGGAGCCGTGGATAAACCCTAGTATCCTCTTCTTCAATGCGCGTTTGGAAACATGCGACGATGATTCGCCGTTGATCATGAGTTCTTTCAGAAACAACACGTTCCGGAAGGCCGAATTCATGACGCTGAGATGGATGGTACTGGTGAACATGGCGCCGGTCCCCAGGGTCAGAGAAGCGAGGAGAGCAAGGGAACCCAACTGCGAGCTCTCCGAGGTTGAATCCGCTCTGCTCGTCCACACCGCGAACCCCGTCGTGATCGTGATGCCCAACATGGTCATCACATTGGCGACAATATTGTCCAGCGCCAATCTCCCAGACTCAACACAGCTATTAATATCCCGCTTCTGCCAATCCGCTACAGTGCTAGCCTCACTTTTCTGCACATCCGTGATCTTTTCCTCCTTCGTAGCGACTATCTCCCCGCCTACGTCTTGCTGGAGAAGCGTCGGGGCGACCGGATACGTCGAGCTCGACGCGGGCTTGCCAACCTGCTTGAAAGCCGGCGAGTCTGCATTTTGCATGACCCGACGCTCCAACTGCGGCAGAGACACCGACACGAAGGAGGCTTTGTGTAGCAAACTCCAACTCGCGCCGGCGGTGACGACAGTGAAAAAGTTTCGGCATGACTTCCATACATACCAAGCATGCAGGGCAAATGCGATCGAGTATAGGAGCACAATGACCAGCCGCGGATAGCTATCCTGTGTTAAGTCGTTGGTTAGGAACCCGTTGAAGGCCAGCGTCGATACCAGCATGGCCAGGATCATCCAGATGCTGATCCACTCCCAGACCGCGAGCTGGACAATGCTTCGAGTTAGCGAGGAGCCTGTCGTCAGCCACAGCGGCGGCGTGGGGAATCGTTCCACGGGTCCAGCGGCGCATTGCTCGACTCCTCGTCCAACGCGATAATCATGGTCTTGGTCTTGATCCATGCTACCAGCGTATAGAAGCCGGATAGCATCAGAAGATGAAGATGAAGATGAAGATGAAGGCTGGCAATACTCCCCGCTAGGTCTAGTGCTGGTAGAGGTGCTTTTGTCCGGCCAGGTTGCGGATAGGAGGTTCCCGATGTTGGTCTCGATGGCGGCCATGGGGAGTTTGCTTGTGCTGAGCAGCCGTGAGCCAGGACCGATCAGCACCGCGTATGTACTAGTAGTCAGGAGGCTGCACAGCACAGCCATGACAGTATTCACAGCTCGTATATTGGAGCCGAATTGAGTTGGGCCACTCCCGCTCCCGCTCCCGCTCGACGAGTCATCACCACCACCATTATTTCCAGAGGGGATGGTGCCTGGTGATGATCCGGCTGGGCTGCCGAGAGGCCCAGCGGCATTCTGTGGAGAGGGAGAAACGGGGGTTGACGTTGTGGTCACGATGAGAAGGGATATAAGAATGAGTGTGTTGATGTTTGTGAGAGAGCATGCACCCATTTTAGCCGTTGCCTCCACTGAGACAGCTGTTCGTCAAGCAAAGAAAGAGGACAGAAGCTTTGAACATGCACCACTATTATACATATGTACCAGCCGATGCGAACTCGACGATCTCATCGTGTAAAAACAAAAGCACATCAAATGTTAACGGCGGAAAAAAGGGGTCTGACCGCAGCAGCACTATCATCACATCGTATTCACATCGTATTCCCAGGATAGCGCGTATAATTATAGAACTAGCACAAATCAGGAGACCTTATCTGGTTAGTAGGAATTTAGCATCTTGGCAATCAAATCTGACACATTGATTTTTTGACATGTATGAAGATAGCATTTCGAATATTAGATGCGGAAAATCTTAGTATTTTGTCGGCTTATAAATTTGCCTGAGGCACTCGGTCACGTGTGAAGCAAGCCCTCTTCGTATCATGTCAGTCAATTCAGCGTTCTTGAGACATCTACATGCACTCTTATCTTCAAATCTCCCCTAACCCTAATTATACCAGGCTCTCAGTATAGATCTAAGAAGAAATTGCTCGTAGCAGAAGACTGAGTAGATACAAGACAGCTATGTGTCCATCTGATTGAAATTTCTAATATCGTCGTATCATTGTACACCAGTACATTCAGTGGATAGCTATACATAAATTCTCCAATAAAGATGCAAACCAGGAAGAATAACGGGCTTGATATGTCCATGAAAAAGAAACAACACCTAAAATACAGTACCCTCCACATAAAACATCACTAACTAAATTCAATTCGCTAAATGGGAATATTTTTTCATATTTATCGTCGTCCACGGTAGTAATCGTATGATGTCGGATTATTGTTGTTCGCATCCTCCTGAGAGAGAGGGCCATAGCCAGCTGTTCGCCAACGGTCGAGAGTGTGGAGTTCCCCGGTGCCGGCTCCAGGGGCAGCCATGGGCTGCGGGTAGTGGAGTAAGCGGGACTCGCTCTCGTTCGAGTCATTGCGGTATAGAGCAGAACCATCAGTGGGCATCATGCCGGCGCTGCTGGAGCGGGATGCTGGGGGACGGAAGGCAGGGTGCTCGGGGAGAGAGTCTGTTGATCTGTTGGTGTGATGGGCTATGGCGATGGGTTCGTAACTCCCCTCGAGCTTCCGTGGGATCAGGGAAGAAGGAGAAGAAGCACGAGAGGAGTCGGGAGAGTCGCCGAAGAATGTGCGTGGGGTCTGTGAACGCTCAGAAATGAGGTCTTCAGGACGGCCGTAGATTCCACCGCCGAATTCATCACGGAAATCAGCACGGTTTTTGAAGTACGAGAAGTCGAGTTGGTTCTCGTTGACGATTTCGAATGGCGCGTTGGGCTGGGGTTCGGTCTTGCCGGGGACAGAGGTGGACATGGACTGCATGGCGATATCTGAGTATCCAGCAGTTGTGTCGAAATTGCCTAGGCGACCACGGTAGATCGACTTTAGAAGTTCTGCAGCTCGTGCGTGGACCATGGGCGTGAGCAGAGGTTTGTATAGAGCTGGATGGCCGAAGCGGGCATTCAACCGATCACCAGCCCGCTTGATGCCCTTGCCAGGTCCGGGACCGAGTGCTTCAGCATCGCTGAGCGTTCCATGGTTATAATAGATCATATCGGCGTCGAATGTCCTGGCACAGTACCATTTGAAACCGAGCATAATGAATGGCAAAGGAACAAGGGCATAAACCATATTCAAAGTACCCTGAGACTTGACAACCAAAGCGACAACGAAATCTGCCAAGATCGTTGCAAAAATCATGCGATTGAAAACAATAGGCCAGAAACGACCACCAGACTCGGTTTTCGTGACGAACACATACATGAGCAGGTACTTCTTCAATCCGCAGTCCAAACAAAAGTAGAGCGCCGCGACAGGAAGGATGATTGGCTGCAGCGTAGCAAAAGAAAGTGCCACAGTGGCATAGAAGAGGAAGTAGTTGTAATAGCTTGCATAGTCAAACGGCAGGGGAGCAGTCCACTCGATGTTTTGGCGAGGAGTCGCCGCCATGAAAGTCTTCATCCACCATTTCCACACAACAGTAAAAAGCTGCACAAGATCTAGTGTAGCGCCGAGATTACGCTGCAACAGCCACGTGACCCAGAAAGGAGAAACCTGGCAAAGAGCACTCATTGCTTTATACCAGAAATTCCCTTCCTTCACGGCGTCCCATGCACTTTCGTTGTTGTTCTTAGCGTTAATGACGGCAGATACGTAGGCCCAGGCAGCAGAAAATAAGGAAAAGACAACCAAGTTGTTGAAGACGAAGAAAAAATATAGATAATGAATGACATGGCGCTCTCGTGAAGTCTTGGTTTTGTCGCCTGCACGACGCATGAGACGGCGGAAGATGATGGGCAAGATGAGGTAAATCAGCGAGGTCAAAGCAGGCGATGCGATACCCTGAACCGCAGCCCAAACCTTGGGATGTTGTTCCAAAGAGGTTTGGAATCCCTTCCAGACAAGACCAAGGTTAGACAGATCAGATAAAAAGATAGCAATCATGGCGTTAGGCGCGATCCAAAGCACAGTCAAAAGCAGCACCCAGAATACATTCACCATACGACGCCACCTTCTTGTGGCCCGTGACAACGGCAAATTCTCCCAGATAATGTCGTGCGGACGCGGTGCTAGTTGAATGGTGGTGCCTTGTGGTTTCTTGTTCCGTGCGGTATACGCAACGGCATGGGCGTGTTCAATGGCTTCCCAACTCGCGAACCCATATGGCATGGTGTTCCGCTTATCGACTGATTGGCGAACATCCTTAATTCTGGCCTCGAGCTCCTGGATCCGATCAGTCAGATAGTCTATGGCGTCCACTTTTCCGGATCCAAGTTCTCCCTTGTGTTTCCGAGCAGGTCGCATTGTCGGCCGATTGATAGGGAGGTGATCAGGATTTTTCAAATAAGTGGCAAGAACAGACTCCAACTGTCTTACGGCTTCTTCATGCTTGTTGATCAGAGACGGGAGTTCCTTCACATTGCGTCCGATGGTGGTTCGAGGCAGAGCGGATGTCGGGTTGACTCCGTCGGTCAATCGCATCAATCCTTCCTCGGAGCGCAAGTTCTGAGGAACATCGGTTAACTGGCGGCAGTCAGTAAATTATTTCAGCGAAGTTAAAACAAAGAACAAACCATCAACGTCCTAGCATGCAGACTCATTTGATATTCAGCGCTTTCAAAATAGCGCCTCCGCAGTTTGAGAATGGCTCTATAATTGTACCACAGGAATGCTATGACGATAAAGTCAAAGGCATACGCGCAGACAACCTGGCTCCATGCCGCCTCGGTTTTGATCTGCAGCGGGGTCATGCGAGTAAAAGCGGAGGTGTCTGTGGTAGCAGAGCCGTTGTTCTGCATCAAGTTGACGGGGATAAGCACAGCGCATCCAATGACGGCCATAATCGAGAACATATTTCGCATCATTCTGGCACATCGCAAGAAGACGGCGGCATCCAAGCCGATGCGGTCTGTAAAGGCTTCCTCCTTGGTCTTGATAACAGGCGGGACCCAGGCAAATAAGCCCTTTCCGACGGGAGGCGGGGCATGTTTTTGGTCTGCATGCTTGATCTTTGGCGCATAGATGACGTTGTGGTGCGGTCTAAAGAGGGAGAAGAGCAGGGCGAGAACGACGCTGATGCCAATAGAGGTGCCGAGGGAGGCCCAGAAAGCGTTGACTTGGAACTGAGACCTGTCAGTGGGAGTTGAGATGAAGTAAACACACAACATACAGATGATCTGAATGGGCTCTGGATTAGCGAGAGAAAAGTGTCTGTCGGGTTCGTCGAATTATCGTCACGGGCAGCGACGATGTGGCCGATTGGCGGATAAACCGAGTCGGCCATGTTGATGCACACGAGAACTCGACAAATCGACACAGAACGAGCGACAACGTCCAGCGTTTACCGGCGAGGCATGGACAGTTGATTATATCAAAACCAAGCAACGTCCACAGACAGAATCCGATAATTTCCTGGCGGGCTACGTAATGGGCCTAGACCGCGCCGTTGACTTTTTGGCTGGCTGTGGAGAGACTAGACGCTGGAGAGAAACGAGTGTGAAAACGAGGAGAGAAGCGAGGGTAGGGAGGCGAAAGAACTCCCATGGAAAGTTAATAATATCGATTAAAAAATGTCCCTCGAGGATAGAAATAAAAACAAGAACAGAATTATAGGCGACGGAACAAAAAAGTAAGAAGTTGGGGTCTTGTTTCACCTGTTGCTGTCTGGAGGCGCTTCTGGCCTCAGGTGGTCGGTGGGGGTGCGGGTCACGCCGATCTGTCTCATTCGTTTATGCTTCCCTATTTTTCTATTATTCTCTTATTCTCTTATTCTTTTTATAGACTACTATCAATATTGTATTATTTTATATAATTGTATAGTTATAGTATTGAGGATGCAGCTGGCATGAACGATAATGAACGATCATGAACCACCAGGCACCGATAAGCAACAGAAACGGAATACCGTACACACAACAAAACCATCGGCCAATCACGAGGCCCGTCACGCGACCCTCGGTAGAACGACGGAGTAGACAAGTATACTTTTCTGGCCATACTATTCTCTAGCAATTCTCCTGAGCCCAAGACAATAACTGAATAAACAGTAATTATAATATAATAACCCAGCATAGCGATAGGCGAATACTGAATGTAACTGTATACTTACTACTACTGACTTGTATTAGGCGCTACTATTTTTGCATCAAGGCGGTCCAATCAGCGGTCTGCTGACAGGCCGTTTAAGACATTCTCCTTTTTAATAGTATTCTATAATATCTGGTTGTTTTTTCGACGTTGACGGTGAATATGGGGTAGAGATCGTTATATTTTATTTCATTATTCACACTCTGGTTGCGCACGTATATACATATATCAATTAAGAATATTAATTGATATCGATGTTGGAACAGAGATCGACGTCGCTGCCGATCGCCGAGTCTAGATTTGTCTAATTCCACTGTCTGTAAGTTCAGGCCTGCTTCCAGAATATTATTAGGGTTCTAGCGAAGAGTACTAAGTAGTCGTAGTAATATTTCAAAGTAAAGTGAACGGGTTCTTTACAACAGCTGAGCACCATTTATCTACATTACAGTCGCGGGCATATCGCCTTTTTCCCCTATATTGTATCGCCGGCACGTCTTCTCTTCGGTTTAATCTTCGTGCTTACAACTGGCCAGCAGTGTTGAAGTCTGCCAGAGCTTCCTGCACGCGCAGGCTCATGGTCTTCTCGCCCTCGCGCACCCACACACGCGGGTCGAAGAACTTCTTGTTGGGCTTGTCGGCGCCGTCCGGGTTGCCGACCGCGGTCAAGAGGTAGTCCTTCTTCTTGAGAACGTAGTCGCGGACACCGGACAGGTAGGCGAACTGCATGTCCGTGTCGACATTGACCTTGACCACACCGTAGCTGATGGCCTCCTTGAACTCCTCCTTGCTGGAACCGGAGCCGCCGTGGAAGACGAAGAAGACGGGCTTGTCGGACTTGGACCCAATCTTCTCCTTGACGTACTGCTGGTGCTTCTTGAGCAACTCCGGGTGGAGGCGCACGTTGCCGGGCTTGTACACGCCGTGCACATTGCCGAAGCCAGCGGCAATCGAGAAGTACGGGCTGATCGGGGACAGGGTGTTGTAGATGGCCAGGATGTCCTCGGGCTGGGTGTAGAGAGAGTTGTTGTCAACGTCTTCGTTGTTGACGCCGTCTTCCTCACCGCCGGTGATACCAATTTCCTAGTCTGGTAAATACAAAGCCAAGCAGAATTAGCAGGCGCACACATACCATCTCGAGCCATTGCTTCATGGGCGCGGCGCGCTTGAGGTACTTGGCGGTCGTCTGAATGTTCCAGTCGACGGGCTCCTCGGAGAGATCGATCATGTGAGAGGAGAAAAGAGGCTCGCCATGCAGCTTGAAGTAGGCTTCGTCGGCGTCGAGAAGGCCGTCCAACCATGGCAGCAGCTTCTTGGCGCAGTGGTCAGTGTGCAGCACGACGGGGATGCCGTAGGTTGGGGCGATGCTGCGGACGTAGTGGGCAGCGGCGATACCACCAGCAATCGAAGCTTCCTGGTTGGTGTTGGAAACGCCCTATTCAGTCAGCACATCTGTATTTGGCCTTCTTCAAGAAAACATACCTTTCCAGCGAAGTAGGCGGCACCACCCTGGGATACTTGCAGGATGATGGGGCAGTTCTTGTCGCGGGCGGCCTCCAAGGACGCGACAACGGTGGAGGACGAGGTCACGTTCTAGTGCTGGTCAGTATTCCAGTATCCCAGGTTCCAGATTCCATGCGCGAAAAATACGTACAATGGCAGGGATGGCGAAGTTTTTCTCCTGGGCATATTCAAACAGTCGCAGGACGTCATCACCAACGATGACGCCAGACTTGCGGGACAGCTTGTCGATAACACCCATGATGCGGATTTAGCAGTGAAGAGCGAGCAAAGACTTCTCAGAGATGAATGGAATGTCAGTAGAGTTATGTGCACGAGATACTTGGATACAATGGGCAGAAGTGAAGCTGTCAATCAGAGCAGAAAAATGCGAAAGTCAAGCCAGGCGGGGGGTTGCTCGCCGTGTACCCCTCATAGAAAAACAGGAGAACATGACTGGAGGAGCGCCTCACCGAGTTCACCGGAAGGTGGAGCAGCAGCAGCAGAGAAGCCTGAAGCAGCGATGAAGTCAGCGTGATCCAATGCGGGCTGGTCCGTGGGTGCTCACCTAATGATATGATAATAACCTTGGTCCAAGACGAGCTCAAGAGAGAGCAGTAAATTGCGTGTGGCAAGGAGGGGTCTGGCTTATTATGTATGTGCGCCAGTGATGATATAAATGATCCAACCGGTGGGGGGACAGACCCGGCTTGCCCCGCGTCCTTTTCGTCTGTGACCATTGATGTACCTCACACAAGAATACCTGTACATACGTAAGGGAAGTACAGGATCCACGGCGAAACCTGATGTCCTTTGATCAACCCACACTATTGAGCACAAGTGGACTGTGTGGACCGGTCTGATTATGGCGATCGTTGTTTGGATACGTTATGCTGGCATATCTAGCTATCGATCCAAAATCTTCAATTACTACGCAGTATCAATGCTATGATGATCAATATTCTATCCCCATCCCGAAAGGCGCTAATCCCTGTCCTGCCCTGAATCACTAATAATCAGTATCAATCACTCCTCGCTTTGAATCGGGAGACCTCGGGCGGAACAAGCACTGCAATCATCGGCCCTGCCCGCTCTCTCGCCAGCACTGCAAGACTAGGAGGGTATACAAAGCGGTGAAGATGGGGCCGTATATCTTCACTGTCGAGAATATATGTATTTTAGAGACTGCATCTAGGATGTGAATATTGCAAGTATATAGCATGGTTTGGCGGCACGTTAATATTCTCGGCGCGGGTCGCTCCCGAATTACTTGATGTACCTCGGGTATCAATTCAGTATGAATGGCGATATAGTAGTACATGTATGTCAGATAGACGCTGATGCTATCGGAAGGACTCCGATTTATTTATGGAAGAGAAGGTAATTGCTAAACCAAGTACCAATTGACATATGTAGAGGAATAAGAACCTAGTCCAAGAGATCTATATTTGTACTTTTATCACAACAGCAGTATATGCAGGAAGCAAATATAAACAAATGTACAACTCTAAACGCCAGTTTAGTAATATGCGCTGTTGTCACTCCGATGCTGACGTCGGCGCCTGTCGCTCCATCTCGTAGAAAAGCAGATACACCTCCTTCTGCATGCCCAAGACATCGCTCGTCTTGCATTCCTTGACCTTCTCGTCGGAGATCCGCCACCAGCGCTCATTAGGCTTGCGCTTGCGCAGGAGCCTCTGCGCACTTAGGCCGCTTGAGGATGGCCGGTCTTTGTCTGGCTGGTGAGATGGGCTTTTCTGTTTGGATGATTTGCTGAGGCTGAGGCGGACGGAGGATGTGGATTTGCGGGGAGACGGGTCTTTGGAATCGTCGTTCGGGGTGGTTGTTGTTGTTTGCGTCCCTGTGACGGAGCGGGCAGAGGATCGTACGCTGGATGATTTGCGTGGTCGTGTGCCTTGTAGAGAGAAGCGTGGATTCGATGCTGAGTCTTGCGGGGAGAGTTGAGGGGTGGCTTGAGCAGGGGATCGCGTGGTGGAGGTGGATGCGGACATTGTCGGGGAGGAGGATGAGTGATTCGTACTTGAGAGTGACAGCGATGAGTCTGCTGGGGAGATACTGAGGGGACTTGGCTCCGCTCCTTCTGGGAACTGTGCCCTTCTGATGGCAGAAATCCGGGGGCTACCAACAGCCGACGTGTTTGCGCTGCCGGCCCGGCTGGCCGCGTAGGATCGAAAGGTATCCGGTGTTGAAAATGGGGGATAGGTATGACTCCTGCGAAACGACTCGTAATGGCCACTGTTGTGGCTGCCCTTGTGACAAACGATCCCAAGCAGTTTGAACCACTTGCGATTGAGAATCCCACCTAACGGCAGACGTTCAGGAAATGAAACCTTCGCTGCGTTCTTCGTCGAGCTGCTCTGGTCAAAGATGGACCGGGATAAGTGTATAGCAACAATTTTCGGAAACACCGTGATCCGCATATGGCGCGCAATTCGACGTTTAGGGACGGACTCGGCAGCTGGGAGGTCGACATCCTCCAGATTCTGCTCTGGATCTGTCTCTAGAGCATACTGGATCCGAGATATCTGGGCATCTAGACGTGCTACATCAGTCTCGGATTTGGCCTTGGATTTGGCGATGATTTTTGCTTCTAATGCATTCTGCAGCCGGCACTTATCGCACCGGAACTCGTCAATATACTCCGTTTTGAGAAGCCCATCAAAACACGAGTTCAACGTGGTAGAGCTCTTTTGCGGCACTTGCAGTGTCAGATTGACAAACGACGTCTTGTTGGGACGATACTGATAGTGGCAAAATTGGCATTCGATCTGCGACTCGAGTTGCCCTTCGAATGGAAACGCATACTCATCGTCGATTTCTTTGAGTTTTGTGTCGATAATCGCTGGAAGACCTTCTTCCGAGCCATCCTCAATCTTCACTGAAATCTCCAGAGGTTCGGGATCGCCTTCCTGGCTTTTATCTCCATCTGACGTTGACTGCGAAGACGAAGGTCCTGGGCTCCGAGTTAAGCATTGCGCCCGCTTTCGCGCTTTGACTCCGGCATGGTATTCGTCACACAGCCGCTCTGCAACTATCTGCAAGAACTCCTGTGCATCCTGCTGATTGCGGCTGATGCGCGTGCGATAAGCATATTCCAGCGCCTCGATGAACGGCCGAGCAGAGATAGTTTTCTTATAGATCGGCCGCTCATTGAGCCGGTCCAGCATCTCCTTCAGCGCCAGTGTTACCGTCCCCTGCTGCAACTCCCGCTGTCTATCGGGCCGAAGATTTCCCTTCCAACTCGGCGTCTCATTCGGACCAGGCAGTTGGTTATAAACCTCGGGACCATCCAGCTCTCGCCGATGCAGTTCGCGGATTAGATACACGCGCAATTCGCCCAGCCCTGCGAGAGCCTGCAGAACAGAGTTGATGAAGCAGTCATTCGCAGGATTGGTCAGACCGACAATCGCCTTCTTGCGGTCGCTGCTGCTGGAGTCGTCGCCGTCGATCGTGAAATTCGGGCCGAATACATAGAATAAGGTAATGGCAGCCAACGAGGCGCCGGCCGCGTATGCGGCGACTGTAGCGGGTTTATCAGGCATCGAGGGCAGGTAGATTCATGTAGGTATAATGCCTGTATTATCGCGCCATCTCCAGGTACTGCGGGGAAGAGATTCTCGCAGGGGATGACTCAAAACGTGGCAATGGTGGTGGTGTGCGCGGATTCCGTTGGATGCGTCAAACAGGATGTTGCGTTCGATGGCGGTACTGGATGAGGGAATAATAGATGACTATAATCTTGATGGTTACCCCATTAGCCATATCCTGCACAAAGGAAGCATCCCACAATCTCACACATACAAACGAGAACCTGGGGTAAAGATGACAAATCCGGAGAGTCGACGAGGACGGGGCGACACGCAGAAGAAACGCACAAACAGGGCGCCTGATCGCGTCAAGGCATAAGGAATGTCTGTAAAGAAACGAGGCTTTTAGACCGTGTAATTGGCCAGGACCAGAAAAGAGAAGCCTAGGAACGAAAGGAGGGGACGCTGTCAGCAACAGCACAGGAAGGAGCTCCGCCAAGCGTCTGCAATGCGGAGGCTGTTTTTCCGCCTTCACTAACAATTACTACTTCTTAGCACTACATCAGCATTCGATTGGCTGCCGGATATTCACGGCCGAGTTTGTAGCTTACAATGATGGATTTTTTCTCTACTACATTTTGGCCTTTCTGGGCCCTGTCTTTGTTTTAGAGGCCTAGTCCTTGTGACGGCAAGAGTCGGCAGTTGGCCCGAGCATGCATATTTCTCCGCAGTTGTTATCGTCTGGCTGCAGACTACACCACTTGACATGGGCTTGATCCGTCAGGACCCGGGGTCTACACGGTTTATGAGTCTGATTGGCCAGTTTTCGACTGGGCTGGCTGTGGTGGGATAGACACGAGGTGATGCCCGAAATTCTTCACTATCTATAACTATTTATGACTTTTGGTTGCAATGACATTGCGGGTTAAGGCGTTGACTGGTATCTTAAAACTGATTTTCGACGAAATGCCGTGGATCAAAACATCCATGTTGTATAATTAAGCCCTTAGACTTTCCGGAAGAGTGGCAACGTGCTCTTGGAAAAGATCCTCCGCCTGCTTCCACACGCGCGCATTCGTCCTGTCCTTCAGCTGCAACAGACTGGGCAGCAATGCCTGGCTGAACATCTCAGAGCTTTCGCGGGGGAGCAGCGACGGGAGGTGGTCGATGCTGATGACATCCAGGGGCAGCTCTGCGTTTCCGACAGGAACGTTCACTGGCACGGTAGGTTTGTCGAATGTTGTGGTGATATCGTAGATAGGGACTGGGTTATTCGGGTTTGTTCTAAAGATTCATCAGTATGGCCATTATGGTAAATTAATACAAAAACTTACGTGTCAGCGCTGACATCGCATACCACGGCAAGGGTACGCTTGGGTGAGGAGAGAGATTCTTGGTTGATGAACTGTTTTTGTTAGTATCACCACGTTAAACGGTTAGAGGTAATTCAACTAACAGGTGGAATCTCGGCCGACAAGTAGATGCAGTTGATGAAGATGTCTACATCTTCGACAATCTCTTTGAACGGACCACCTAGTATACTAGTCAGCGAGTATTCCCTAACATCTTATGGCAGTCCTACCCTTCTTAGTCTCCTCAAGATCCCATTTTAGAATATCGCTGTCGGGAATACCAGCGTCTTTGGCAAATTGCACAGCACCTCGGCCACATCGTCCAAGCTATGGACTTATCAGTAAAAATATTTGGATTGGGTAAATGGACATACAGCTCCAATGACGAGCACCTTGGGTGAGCGTCCAGCCTTCTGCTTTCCAGCCTCAAGAACCTTCTTCACAGATTCAATGAGGGCGGCCTCGTTAGGGTATGGTTTCTCGCTGGGCAACGGTTGGCCTTTGCCCTGTGCAAGCTGCCACGCCCAAGTTTTGATTGCCAATGCAGAGCCTGTAGTTTATCAGCATTTGGCAAGTATAATTCATACACCCATTGAAAGACATACCGGCATATCCCGCAGAGTATCCAAAAGCTGGTTGTACTGTCAGCGACCCAACACAAGTTGAAACTTCAACCGAGGGTAGCTCGCTTACCAGCGACTCGTCTGCCCACTTCATCGGTCAAAAACTCTAGGTCCAACAACACGCCACCCCCACGGGGCCACCGACTCAAGACTTTCTCCCAGCCAGCCTGCTTCTTGTAGCAATGGGCGAAGGAAATGTGAACGTGTTCCAGTGGGAATTCATCTTCAGGAAGCTCTTTGAGTCCAAGGATATATGCGTCTTTGGGGGCATCCTTCACCCACGAGCCTTCATCGACGATACGGGCACCGACCTAGATTGGCACCCAAAAGTTAATGTCGTTTCTTGTTTTAACATTGCGGTTCATGGTTCATACAGCAGCGTATTCATCGTCTATGAGCAGTATCAGGTCAGTGTCGTGTAATTCTCAGTCAGGAGCTTGGACCATACCATTGAAAATACTTTGACTTGATCTCTCAACTGTAACATCATAACCCGCGTCCAAAAGAGCTTTGGTTGTGGTGGGAGTAACTGGAAAACACCAATGACTCATTAGCATTTTCAAAGCACCGCGGGGACAATCCCCGCAACAGATGAAAAGAAAAGGTATCAGGAAGAACACACGGGCTGACCGCGCCTCGGCGGGTTTGGTTTCTGCTCTGAGCCAGATCTTGGTTCCCGACATCTTTGAATATCGTCAATGTCCAATTGATGAGTATGGTCAAAAATTGGGAGCAGAGTGCACGCATGGACAAAGAGGAATTACTCATAGCGGATCAATGATAATCCGCGGCGCATTGCGGGATCGGAGCGCTCCCCGACATTTCCCTTCGCAATCTGAATCATCATTACTGTAGGTTGGTACTAGAATTTGAGATGTATAGATGCATATTTAACTGTTTTCACTACTGTAATGATAAGGTCCTGAGTCTCCAGCGCGTCTGGCGCTTGAATTGGTGTAATGATACTAGATAGCGCATTTGTTTGTATTTGGCGTGGCTCGCATTGCATTGCTTGCCAAATATTTCATTTATTATACATTGAAAAAATCATGACATGCCGCCTTGAATATATCCATGAAGTTAATCCCAGTGAATACCCGTTAATCTGCCTGCTTGGCTCGACTGCGGGTACGGCTTCCAATGCCCTCAGTTAGTCTGGCTGGAGTCTTCTTTTCAGCTTTCTGAGCCTTCTTCTTCGGTCTGCCAGCTCTCTTCTTCTGGCCATTAGTGCTTGGTCCCGCGTTGTCTGCGGGCAAGGCCGTCTTGTTGTCTTCGGTCTTTTGTTTCTTGACGCCGACTTCATTTGAAATGGAAGTTGCCTGGTCTTCGTCCAAAGCTCGCTTTTCCCCAGGCTGGGAGCCTCCGGTTTCGTTCTGCGCATGGTTATGTGCGTCATTGGGCTTAGACTCAGGGTTCGCATCTACTACGACTGCTTCCTTGGCCGAGCCTGCTTGTTTATCTGTCGATTGAGCGTCCTTCCCGGTGGAGCTATCAACGGGCTTCGTCTCGATCCGAGCATCATTTTCCACCGTAGTTGCTATGGACACGGGTTGCCAGTCAGACATACGCTTGACTAAAAAGCAAGAAAAAGACGAATAGTCTGTGTCCCAAAGACATTGAAAAGAAGCCTTTTTGGGCCGGTTTCAACAGAATCGAGTTCTACATACCATCAACGGCGGGCGCACTTGCGATAACCTCAGAAGCCATAGCTGAGCAAGCAAGAGACGTGGGGTCGAATATCTGATCAACAGAATGGAGTGGCGACGAGAAGTCCTAGGCAGTGGAATCGGATGTCACACGCGACTTGTGCAATTGGAAAATCAACTGATGCAGAGAATGGATGACGACTGATTCTACCACGCAGTGGGATGATGATGGATGGAGGAGTGAGAGGTGAGGTTGGGACCTGAGCCGGGAGAGGCGTCCAAAGCCTACAAGGATGGTTGCACGCTATGGCGCGGGCCAATCACCGGCCCCATGTCCCCGCTCAGCAGGAGACAGCCAGCCGGCACACAAATACAAATACCTCAAACAAACCCTGTTGACATGATTCTTGCCGGCTTATTAACCCCATCGAGATTCGGTAATGATGTGAGCAGTGGACTCCGAGAGCACTAACGGCATATCCGCCAAGCTTCTGTAAAGGGCTAGCCTTGTCGGCCCCGCGGCCAATCACCGCTGGTCTAGGACCAGCTACGAACACCAGCCAAGTGAAGTGATATGTGTTCGTAGAAGCTAATACAACGTGTTTCAGGCGATGGCGAGATCGAGACGGTCCATGAGCTTGCTGATCTGAGAGTGAACATTGTGAGATTTGTGTATTTCAACTCGATCTTCAGACAGCATCTCCTTGATACGAGGGGCGAGCCGCAAAGCGTCTATGTGGTTATTCTGGTCCAGTAAGAGCCGCATGGCATCCAAGTGTACGCGGAGGATGTATTCCTGGTTCCTTTCTGCGGGCGAATTTTGCGGAAGTTCGGGGTGGTCGCGTATATAATCCATAAAGGGTGTAGCAGTTGGATGTGAAGGGTGATACAATTGCAAGGCGGGACTCCCCAATGCCGTCCAGGGCACAGTCTTCAACATGTCACAGAAACGCTCGAAAGCGGGTACAGGTACGGTATCGAGTCGGTTGCTTCTTCCGTAGTCAACGATAAGTCGACCCAGGTACTCTGCACTTTTCGTGAGCATGACATTTCGTGTGTCGTCCGACATGGAAGAAACCATTTCAACGGAATTTGTGAAGGTAGCTAAAGCGCCCCCGATCCCTCGCCCGTACTGGATATCAGCCGCGATGTAGTCCTGTAGAAAGACACTGAAAATCCGCCTTCCAGCGTCTTCAGGAATCTGGCCGCTGTCTCCACCTAACCGCAATTCGCTCAACATTCGCTGTAATACCGCGATCTTGCTGTGCAGGCCTTCGGCTGTCATGAATTTCAGGGCAGCACTCCACGTCCGTCGAGACCTGAAAAGATGAGTTCGAGATGCTGGGTCAGAAGCCCAAAACCAGTTCATTATCTTCATTCCAGCGCCTGTCTGTTTCATTTCGTGGGTGACATCTACCGACCGCGATCCAATCAGGATCAACTGTGCTTGCAAGCAATCTCCAATATTCTTGCCAGTAATGGACCCTGCTGCTACCAGCTCGTCGAAAACTATCATGGGCTCTTCTGCTATTCTCTTTTCTAGCCGAGATTTGGTGTCTGAGGCTAGTTGGGGATATGTCGGCTTGGGTGGCACAACCCGAAAGAGAGGATTGCTCAAAATTGTTTGCATATGTTCATTTGCGGAATGCACCGGCTGATGCGTGTCTGCTGCATCGAGTTGTCGGCGGAAAGACGAAGTCAGGGCCGAAAGCAACTGTTGAGATTCTCGCGGGGTCTGGGGGAGCGGATGGTTGATCTTCGGCCATGGCTTGATCTTTAGAATCGACTTCCCTTTCATCTTGGTCTGGCTGGCTAAAACAGACCACTGATGAGTTCACTGTTTACAAAGCGTAGTAAATATGTAGTTGCGGTGAATTACTCAGAGTGTCGAGAAGGGGAGTTGGACTAGGGTACTAGCCGTAGGCGGCACGTTTCTGCCGCCTGGCCGGCAAGACTCTTGATCAAGAGCCCGTCACGTAGTCAACTCGAGGCAGGCGGCGACAAACGTAGTGAACGGAGCGCAGAGGATAGATTTGATGTGTAAATGTAAACAGTGTAATAATAATGATACAGTAAGTGCAAGGAAGCAAGTGCATGACGATAGCTGTTTGCTCCAGCGCGGCTAACCTGTCCCGGCCTAGCAGCCGCCTCGCTAAAACCGTCCCGGGCGCGCAAGAGCCAAACTCAGCTTCTTTCAAAAGTCCTCCTTGTCTACGCTGTTTCAACTCTCTGCAACTCTTCTCCCCATTCACCCTGCATCCTGATCCTGGCGCCCCTTCGCTGCAGAGCTGGTGCCAACCTCTGAAAGAGGGAGCATCGTTCGAAATACTCGTTTCCACCGCATAATCCTACTTTTTCGCTCCTTGCCTCCGGGCACCTGACCAGTCTCCAATCCCTGCCTGCTCGCACTCCAGAGCATCCCACGTCCCTTCCTCCCCAATTGTGCCTCTGCGTACACGATACTCCTGCGAATAGCACCTCTCACATCACATACATAGCTATGTCGGAAGTTTTGTCCAGAAATCCAGCTCCGCGTGGGCGCGGGTCAGCTCGAGGTGGTCGAGGTGGTTATAGTTCCAGAGGTGGTCGAGGTGGTCCTCGATCTGGCAGACTAGACGCAGACAGCGCCTCAACACCCACAACTTTTGAAGAGGAAGGAGAGATCGGTCAATTGAAGAAGAAATACGCAGATGCTTTGCCGACTCTGAAAGAGCTCTTTCCTGACTGGACGGACGAAGACTTAGTTTTCGCTCTTGAAGATGCAAACGGTGTTCTCGAGAGTGCGATCGAGCACATTAGTGAAGGTGAGCCTAGATGCTTAATAGTTTCTTGCTATGCCATTTACTGACTAACTATTTTCTCAGGCAACGCTTCTCAATGGGGTGAGGTTAAGAAGAAGACCGCCGATAAGTCTCGTTCGAAGCCAAAGGATGCCCCAAAGACCCAAGTCCCCCCGTCGAATCAGGTTCTGCAGCATCTCGCACTACCCGTGGACGAGGAGGTTTGGAGGGTCGTGGTGGTCGCGCTCGTGGTGACCGCAGTCGTGGAGGTCGAGGTGGCCGAGCTGGTGCTCATGGGAATGGCGTTCGTGAAAAGCCAGCTGTTGCTGCCGAGACAGTCGAGCCCGCTGCTACGTCGACGGTGACACCAACTATAGACGGATTACCTAAAGCTGTCGGCGCGGGAAAAGTAACTGAAGTCATTGATACTACTAAGGAGGCTCCCAAGCTACCTGAACCTGCAAAAAAGGGTTGGGCTAGTTTGTTTGCCAAACCTGCACCGCCGCCACCACAAAAGAAACCTCCACCTGCAGCACCAGCTCCAGTTGCCTCAACCAGCACTACAATCGAACCTAGACCCACCACTGTTCCAAGCGAAATTCCTGCTGTGGCCGCTCCCGAAATCCCTCAAGAGAAAGAGGCACCCGTTCCTCTGAATGTGTCTGCGTCCGAGCTGCCATCTAACGTATCACTCGAAGCACCTAAAGATGATCTAACTAAAACAAACCTCGCGCAAGTTCCCGACGTATCTGTACCTCCCGCTACCGCGACAGCAGCTAGCACCGTTGCTAGTGTCCAGGATCCTTCTTCTCTACCTCCCGTTACGCCCCAGAATCGTGCCAATGTATCCGGATATGCAGCCTCCGCTTTGAAAGCAACTGCGGCCCAAGGTCGTTCTGCTAGCTTTCAACGCCGTGTCCTTGAACAGCAGGAAGCCGTCGTCATGCCAGCTAACCATGCTGTTGATCGCGCCGCTGTCCAGTTTGGTAGCATGGGTTTGAATGGAAATGATGCAGTGGATATTGATGAGCAACGAGAGGATGCTGAGACCCGAACTCAGCCCCCACAACACTCCCCTGTCGCTCCTCGTGCTTCGCTCCCTCCGCCTACACAAGCTCATCCATCGGCCGAAACTCCCACCGTTGCTCGCCCTGCACCGGGATTGCCTCCTGTTCCTCAAGCCACGTCAACTGACGCTGCCGCTTTCAACGACTTTAGTCGTTACGGCGAAGCGCAGAAGCCTTTCGACCCGTTCACCCATCAGACAACGCAAGCTCAAGAGCCCTTCTCTCATCAGGCTCCTGTCCAAGCTGCGGTGACCTCTGGCAGCGACTACTCTCCATTCTACGCCGCCGATCAACAACGCCTTCCTTACAACTACTACGGCTACCCCTCGCAGGATTCTACCACTCAGCGTGGAGCAGCTGGCTTTGGTGTCTCTGGAGCTGAAGGACAGCCTCAGGTCCCAGCAACCCAGGCTCCAAGTCGCTATGGTCAGGCTGAAGCACCTGGCAGCGGCCAGAATACTCCTAACCCTACTCTTCCTGCTGCCACTCAGTCCCAGCAACCATCTGCCCAGCATATTCCAGGTGGCCAAGGTGCCCATGCTGGCTATGGTTACGGATACCCCTACTATTCAAACCCTCATTATGCTCAGTCTTACATGAACATGACTCAGCATCAATACGGCCGCAATCGCCCCATGTATGATGACGCTCGTCGCTATGATGATCATTACATGCCTCACAATAACCAGTACGGCTACGGTAACCAATACGCTCCCTATGCTAAAGGTGGTATGTACGGCCAGCCTTTCTCTTACGACCACTCCTCATCTCCTGCCAACGTTGGAGGCTTCAATCAAGGTTTGCCTGGTCGTGACTCGGTATATGGACGATCTGGATCTGCGCAGCCTGAAAACCAGCAGTCGGCAGCCGCTGGCAACACCTTTGGATCCGCCGTCCCTGACGTTTTCGGCCGGTCTCAGTCTGGATTTAGTCAGAACCAGCAAATATCCCAGCAACCTGTTAGCTCTGAAGAGACTAGCAAAGGTTTCGAGGCTTCGAAGACTGGAGGACCTAGCCCGTCGCTGGGTCAGGTTAATAGACCTGGCTCGGCTACCAATAGTCTTCCCGGCCAGCCTCAGTCTCAAACTGGTCTCCCTCCCCTTCAAGGCCAACAGGGTCAACAGGGCTTCAGTGGTTATCCTCAGCTGAACCAACAGTATGGCGGTGGTCTCGGCGGGTTGAGTGGCCACCAAGCTGGAGTTTCCCAAAACCACCACCAAGGAAGTGCGTACGGCAACTACGGAGCTGGGGGATTTGGGAACTACTATGCAAATTCAGGACGTGGCGGATGGGGTGGTAACTACGGACATTAAATTAAACAAGGGATGAGTCACAAGGCGTTCATTCTTCGATTTAAATGTGTCTTTTCTATTTTCCTCGTGATGTTACTGGAAAAAATCAGCGAAGGGAAGTGCTCTCTCGCTGTGTTCTCTATTTTACCGGGTTTTATTTTCTCTCACTGTGATATCATATGGAAGGGGAAAAAATTGGAGGTGCCATCGGTCAGTTGTGTCTTTACTACTTCTATATGTCTTATCAGATATTCGCGCCTTGTCCTCTCTTATTTTATCTGTATCACGTATAACACGCGTCTCATCTCATTATGCAAAATGGAGTGGGTACTTTACTATTCCAAGTTGATGTTTGAACTTGGGGATTGCTACAACGTTATTCAATGTTGCAATGTGTTTTGATTTTACGACAGTCTGAAGAAATGTCATAATCCAAACGACTTGCGGGGCTGGGCTCAAAGACCCATGTCATCACATTCCACTTTGAAGTATTCTTTGAATTGTCTGTTAATGGTCTTTCAATTTATATAGTCCGTGAGACAGCTGTCAAAAAGTGGTGTGCATCTGGTCAATGTCACAAATTGAGGGGAAACATCTATTTTATAGTGTTGAACAATGGCCATTTAGTTTTTTGGCTTCAAATTGCCGTTTATACTATCAATGTGACTCTATCTATTACTGTGACTGACAATTTGTTGCCATTGACATTAAGATTATGCATTCACTCTTTCAACTATTAACGTTGACTTTGAGAGTGGACTAAAATCGAGAACAAATCAATAAGACTAGACAGGATAAAGAGAAAGAAATAAGACAACTTTATCTCTGCCTCGTACTTATACCATGGTTTTGTATTTTTCTTTATGGATCATGCTATTTTATTGACCAACTGCTCAGTCCGGAAGGTATTAAAACTGGATGAGGTGTATAACCATAAAAACCAAGAAACAAAGAAGCAACTAATCGATGTGAGAAATGGTATGGTATCTTAACGAACAATTAAACTTTCGAGATAAGGAGAGAAGGAAAAAGAAAGAAAAGCAAAAAACTCACAATTTCAGCCATGAATTTCAACGATCCATCGACAACCCCCTCGAAATCTACTGTATTCTTTTTGTCGACTTTCAGCTGCAGCATCTTTTCCAACACGCCCGAGGTCTCCTTTTGTTGCTTGTGTATCTCCCCAAGCAGTGCCTCGATTTTGTGGACTGAAGCTTGTTGCGACGCACCCGAGATTTTGATATGCTGCGATAGCTCTCGCAGATCGGCACGAGTCAACTTGAGTAGCTCGAGACTGGGGTTTTCTTTTTCCCCCTGCAAGGATAGGAATGGGCCGGTAGGCCGAAGGAGTGGTTGAAAATCTGTGTTAAGGGGACTTGCCGAACTGACAGTTGGCGGTAGAAGAGGCATCTGCTGCGACGGTTGCTTCTTCTGCTGACTGCTTAGATCCATATTCTCAAGAAATGCTCTCGGGAGGGTATGGGCACTTTTAGGGCCAACAGCAGCTCTACTGTTGCGGTTTTCGCTGTTGAAGATCGATAGAGCGAGTGGAGAGCCCCTGGTGCCTCGTTTGAGGTTCCTTGGTGATAATGCAGATGCACGTCTTATCGAAGACGGAGGGAGAAATTTTTTGATAGGGGGGTTTTCACTGTCCCATTCAAGTGAGTTGGTAGGCTCAGTCTTACCGTTGCTGGCTGTCTTCTCGCTCTTGCTGAAAAGGTTTGCTGGTTCTGGCGTGGAAGAATCAGAGGGACTGAATCTATTCAAGTTACATACAAACAAGTTATTGGTTTTATTTGGATGCACTGCTGTTGATGTTGATACAGAGCTTTGTTTGAATCCCAGTTGGTTAGAGATGGTGCTGTGCACATTGCTGTCGGCATTACCCATTGAGCTGTGAGGCAAACTCCAAGCCACATTTCCATTTCCATTGCCAGTGCCAGGACCGACGTTGCTGCTGGCAATGATCCCATTAATAGCAGCTGAGACATCGGCAGTGCCAAAGAATTTCCCACTGGGATTTTTTGCAGGATCAGAAGGAAGCCGAAATGGATGAGCTAGTTTAATGGTGTTGGGTCTGTTGCCTGAGGGTGTCTTATATTGATGTTCCCCATGAAGTTCAGCCATATCGATGTTGTTTGGCCGAATTTATTTGGGACTGGATTGACTCGATGGGTTTATGTCTGAAAATAAAACTGTGACGAGAGCGGTAATAGGATATATGAGACAACCAAGATAATTTCTCAAATAAATGGCCTTATGCACCACATGTGCAGATTAAAAGACAGTGTGATAATCGCCAAAGAATTTGGGAGTAGCTGGTGGCCTCCTGACAAGCAAACAGACCTGGATCAGACAATCAGCTAGGTGCAAGCAAACAAAGAAGTAATCCTACATGTAGTGTTTGATGGTTGACGGATTTATTCCTGTAAGTCTAATGTAATTCATATAGCTGAGTAAAGCATTCCAGGCAACACGTATATTGCCATGCCAATGGTATTCTGAACTGATATCTATATTCAAACGTTATACTAATCCTCCCAATACCATGCAATTTGGGTTTATAGCCCTTATTATACGTACTAAGCCATGTGCTCAATACAAAACTCCATAATCAAAATTGAACTAGTATTAATATCCAATGTCCATTCGAAGATACTCGATCAGAATTGATGAAAGCCAAAGCATTTAAATCCTTTGAAATGCTTGTGTGCAACAATCCTACAGCTGTCTGCACAATCTTACAGTCCTAACCCTTCACTGCCAACCTTGTGATACGGTGGCTTCGCATCCACTGCCCTCACCTTATGGAATCTCCAAACACCGCCAGTCCGGTCGCTCTCGATACCCGCACCATTACCGGTAGTGAGATCGAGGACGGTGGCCAGGCGCATAAAGCCTGCGTCCTCTTTTTCATTGATGCGCTTGAAGAATCGTCGTTCCCATTCCTCGCCTTCCTGTTTCTCTTTCTTGCGCAGTTCACGCTGCGCGATTTCAATCTTCGATTTGGCAACGGATGTTGCATCCATGTCGCTGCGTTCAATGGCGGACGCGACATCTTTCCATGCTCGTCGGCTTTCGTATGCGTCTTGCTCTTCGATTGGAGCAAGTGTCAAAGGAGTCGTCTTCATGTTGCTGACGGTGAACGTCTCGACCTCCTTCTTCGAGCGGCCGTCCCGAATAGTGAACGTGTTTGACCACTGACCTTCGGCAGTGTATAATGGATTCTTTTCGCCGTCATTTTCCTTGTATAATACTGCACTGAATGTGTTTTTCTTCCCGCTCAGCCAGCCCTTTCCAGAATAGTCGATTTTGGCAACATAGCCTGTGGAGCTGGCAATCTTGGTGGATTTTTCCAACTCGACATATGGTGTGCCGTAAATCAACGACTCAATGTGAAGGCTTGGCAATGTGATGAGGTAGGTTTCTTTTTCGGCCGGATCGTTCGTGTCCTTGCCGGGAGGTGTGACAGAGAGCAACGCGTGGCCGAGTTGTTTGACCTGGATGGTGCTGGAAAAGGAAGCTCTTTGGGCATTGTAACCTTGGAGCTGATCGAAACCTGTTAGAGAACCGTGTGGTAGATTTCATGTTGGTGACTAACCTCAACGCCATGCTTCTCGTTCACAATGGAATAAGCGGTGGTCGGAGGGTGGTGGCTGGCAACAGTCAATAATCAAGAATACCACTAGTTATCGACCCTTGAACAAGTAACGTACCTCACTTGCTCGCTGATGAGACGTGTCTCACCTATATCCTCATTCTCAAGCCACTTGCCTATGAACAGCTCGCCAAGAAACGGGTTCAGCGGCTTTTTCTCGCTGCCTAATTTCTCGCTGCGCGTGCAATACTGCTGATGCAACGTGCTCAGGAACCACTTCAACACCAGCAAAGCCCTCTTCTCGGGGTCGGACTCGCGCGCGGGCGCCACGAAGAGCGCAGGGTGTTCAGCCCAGTAGGCAGAGTATTCGGTCAGAGAAGTCGATGAGAGAATGAAAGGTGGGGCAGTCAGTGAGGAGAGGTCGCCATTGAACGAGGCAATCGACTACAGATCGGTTGTCAGGGTCAGTTCGGTGCTGCATATGTGGGTATAAATCATGCCGGTGCGAGCAGAGATACAGGCTACGTAAATAATAATGCGTGCATACCTTCAAAAAGCTTGTCCAAGAGGTCTTGCTCGCGGCGTCCTGATTAGCAGCCATCCTGAGACTTTGAAATGCGGGATTGGTAGAAAGGAAAAATCGTGCCGTATATAAAAAATCAGGTTCTCAACAGACAGGCGCGATGTGAAGGGGTATGGGCATATGATGGTGGAGCATGATGGATGAAGACAAGCTGCAGTTGACTGCGCAACTAACTTAAGAGGCAACTAGGCGCGCAAGTACCTGCCGACGTCACATCGTCCGGATCGGGCATCGCGGCGCCGCGATCGACTGTCAGTGCGGGCGTCCGTCGAATCAACAAGTACTTGTGCACATCACGACCAGTACGACGCCGACGAGGCTTAGCACCCGTTATGCACCAAGCTTGCGCCTCGAAAGTAACGAGTGGGACGAAGACTGTAGGAGGACGAAGGGAAATGAGATCGTCCGGGGATTCACAAGCAACCGCCCATGTGAGATGATGTCACGCGACAGGATCTACTGCAGTCTGCAATCGAGTTCATGACCGAGTTGTCTATTATCTACATACTCTGGCTAACCATCAACGATCATTACATTGGCCATCATTGGTACTAACAATGTCAGCATGTCATGCCTCGGCCTTCTTGCGACTCCGCTTCTCGTCAACCCCCTGCCTCCAGCGCGCCCCAAACACCGTCGTCAGCCACATCAGAACACCAGAAACGAGCAGGAAACTGGCCGTGATGACACTAAACCAGCCTACGCCCATAGTCTCCACAGCAGGCAATACGACCCCCGTGCCCAGCGCGGCAAACGCATACCGGAACATGTAGTTCCCTGCAACGACTTCAGCGCTCTTGCCCTTGGATTGCATCACATCTAAACAATACGTATTCAGACTCGGGAAACAGAACAACTGCGCAACACCCTGCAGAAACATGGAGATCACGGGCACGGGAATTCCACCCACAGCCTTCTCGACCGTCCACCCGTAGATGAGGATGAAGGCCGGGATCACGATGCCAACGAAAACCAGGCACGATTTGAGCCGGTCCTCGGGCACGCGTACACCGTCGCGTTTGCGGATCCATTTTCGCACGATGTAGTCTGCATAGCGGCCGCCAAAGAGCGTGCCGAAGAGGTAGCCGCATCCTGGGGCGAGGTAAAACAGGCCCGATTCGATGGGCGTAGTGAGGTTGAAGCGCGGATTGAGCACGTATCTGATTGGCGTGAGGAGGGAATATTGGTTCCACACAAGGGCAGCGGCAGTCACGGCTGCAAAGAAGAGGTTTGGATATTCGAAGAGAAGGACTATTACCCGGATAGGGTTCATTCGTTTCCAGATCGCCCGCGTCTTTTGCAGCGGTGATAGGTCGGACAGGTCTTCGATTGTCTTGTGTGGAATGGTTTCAGGGATGAAGAAGGCGACTAGCACGAATGCTGTGCCAGCAAGCGCGCTTTGAAGCCAGAAAATCACCCGCCATGAGCGGTAAGTGACGATTACTCCCTACAATACAGCGTTAGATGGAAATTACAGTAGGTGCGGTGATGGAATGGTCGTACACCAAGGAAAGGCCCCAGAGCTGGGCCGATTAGTGTCCCTGATAGAAACCATGCCAGAGCCGTAGCCCTTTCTGTAGGCGTGTAGATGTCGCTGATCGACGCACTGCCCACGACAAGGAACGAGGTCCCTTGAAATGCAGTAAGAGCCCGAAAGATGAAATATGCAGACAGATTCGGTGACAAGGCAGTAGCCAAACTGAACACGAAGAAAAAGAACGAGCTCCAAACAGACATCTAGGCGGTTCATTAATTATTAGCTTTTCAAACAGGTTGATTGGGTAGTAGAAACAAACCGGTCTCCTCCCCAGAATCTGACTAAAAGTTCCCCAGAAGGTGGCCGACAACCCCATAAAAACCATAAAGACAGCATTACTCGCATTAATCATACTGCCACTAGTGTTGAACGTATCAGCAACCTCGGGCACCGCCGGCAGAATCGACGTCGACGAAACGGGCGACAAGAACGAGCAAAAAGCCAGAATAGCGACGATAATCGTCTTGCGTGATGGTGAAAAGCGTAGGTATTGCTCAGCGTTTTCCTCACGGTAAGCATTATTCGAAGCGTGCATTTCTTGGTGGGAAACATGGCTGCGAATATGGTCGAGACCAGCCATGGGTGTATTATTACTCCCATTATTATTCACGATGCTATGGTTAGTAGGGGTTGTCTCGAGGGCAGCGAGGCCCTTTTCGATATCACCACCACTTTCATTTTTGCTTCTGGTGGAGCAATGCTCAATGGTCTCTGTGTTATGAGAATCTGTGGATGAGAGCGAGCGTGGAGTTGAAGAGTGCTTCGAGAGCACAGACTGGCTTTCGTCTGCCATTGTCTTTATTCTTCTTCAATAAATGGATTCGTCGGATTATGTATATCGCCTAAGGCCCATTGCAGCGATTGACTCACAGGTCAATTATCGGTCTGATTGGCGTTGATACTAGCCCAAGCCAGGATCTAGAAGTAGAAGTAATTACTGTTCGATATGAGCCCTATCCCAATTGACACTGCTCAATTGATGTTTGCAACATTCAAAGAACTGAATAAACCACCAACAATATCGCAACACCTCTCAGCAATATCGAAAAAAAGAAAAGAAAAGGAAAGAAAAAGAACAATCTAATTCTCAAGGAAGAACTCAGACTCATCCCATCCACCTCCCTGGCCCAAGTTCACCACAAGTATACCAACGCACCCAATCACCACCCCGGATTCCATCAATGATCAGCCGTAGACTGCAAACCTGCAAGGCGATTGGGGATAAACCAACAGGGTCCATCGGACACAGCCATTCAGCTGTCCATCAATTCACAAACTAGATCATAAACAGTCTAGGAATTTGCCTGCAGCCAAAAAAAATGATAAAAAATTGGGAAGCGGAAAAATATCCGGAAGTGGACCGATCATCGGCTTTTCGGCGAGATTCCGAGGGTTGTTATTGCGTGTACGATGTGGCAATGCGAGTGATTTTTTGTTAATAACTGGTATGGTTTAGTAATTAGAAGAATAGAGCGGTATTGTAGATACTGGCATAGAGTTGCAATTGAAATTCGCTGCTCCGGTCTGCATCTGGGATAGATGGTGTTGTCGAACCGATAAACGGCGTTTCCTCCGATCGTATAGTATGATTGTCCACAATCAAATGTCAAAATCACTCGGCGCTACCAGATAGCAGACACCGTTTCAAATGATGCGGCAGGGCAACTCCACCTGGTATGAGTCATTTGGTTGGTAGTAGTAGGTAGGTGGAGAATCCTGGAGAAGCTGGATTGTAACGTCCTTATGTTCCCAATATAGTAGTTGATTCCATATTGGGAACGAACCTCGGCTTTCACAGTAATTGATCGATTGATGTATTAGATGAAGACAAGTCGTATTGTCAGCTATCAAATTGATGCATATTCTCTCTAGATAGAAATCATGATGTTCAGTCATAATCCTCATTAAAAATATCACTACTCCACAAATACCAGACATTTATGTATTCCAATCTTGATGTTAAAATAATCACCCCCAACTCCAATGCAAGTCTAATAGTCTACAAGTCAACTGGTATCCAGAATATTGAATGATATGCAGAACAATAAAACAAATTCTTCCCCTCATTCTTTCCCGTATGCCAATGTCTACTTATGCTCAACTATACGAACAAGCTCTTCGTACTCCCCGGTACTACGCAGCATGTCGCAAAAGACCCCCTTTTGCTCAATTAATTCGACTGGCGTGCCCGTTCTAGGCAGAAAACATTAGCACAATAAAAATAAACCAAAGGGTAGTAATCACTCACTCAAGGACTTCACCACCTCCCATGACAATCACCCGGTCATAATCAACAATCGTCCGCAGACGATGCGCAATCGCAATGATCGTGGAATCGGGGAATTCAGATCGAATCAGCCGCTGAATGTGCTCGTCTGTCTCCTGGTCAACCGACGCTGTCGCTTCATCTAGCAGCACGACCTTTGCACGACGACTAACAGCCCGTGCCAGCCCTAGAACCTGTCTCTGGCCCTGACTAAAATTCTCACCGTTGGCCGCAACAGGCGTGTCAAGTTTTAACGCCTCGGTTTGACTGACTCTCTCCTCGTCTCCGGGCGCTGCGGTGATGTGGATTGAGGTGCAACACGCCGACAACGCGGCTTGCAGCTCCGTATCGCCGAGTTCGCCGAACGGGTCGAGGTTGGATTGCACGTCGCCGGAGAAGAGCACAGGGTCTTGCGGAATCAGTGCGATGCTGGTGCGCAGCCGATTCAGCGGGATTGTGCTAACGTCCACGCCGTCGATGCTGATACTGCCCGATACGAGGTCCGTAAATCGGAGGAGGGACAACCCCAGTGTCGATTTCCCGCTACCTGTCCGGCCGACGATGCCAATGCGCTCGCCGGGATGGGCGACGAAGCTGATATCGTGGAGTACATTGGGTCCGTTGTGATAGCGTGCTGTGACATTGCGGAATTCGACATGGCCGGAGGTCGGCCAGTGGGCCGGCGGTAGTTGTCGCGGGCTGGAAGTTTTCTGGTCTTTCGTATTGTCGGCCTCCTCAGGTTCGATGCCAGCGTATTCTTCGACTCGTTGAAAAGAGTTGAGCTCAACTTCGAGCTCGTTCATCGTTCGGACGAGTATTAGAATTGCCTGGCCGAGCCCGACTGCGTTGGACAGCGAAAACCCAACCAAGCCTGGATCTCCGTTACTCGTATATGCCAGAACCCCCGCAATAGCAGTGACCGTCGCCGCGGATAGATCCGAGCGTACCGAGACCCAGCGATTTGAGTTGAGCTGTGCCTCTTTGGACCGCGCATACACCCCGACCTTCTCCGCTAGCAGCTGCTGGAATCTGCTATCCATCCCGCTCCGCGCGCGAATCACACTCATGCCCGCGATAGTGTCGGTGAAGTGGATGAAAATCGGTGAGGCGTTGACAGAAACCAGCCGCCGAATGCAAATTTGCGCACGCGTATAAAGCTCGCCGATCACATAACCGATGCCGCAGATAACGCAGGCTGGAACAGCGAAGATGGGTATGACGAGGGAAATGCTGACAATGCGCATGAGAAAGCGGAGCGCAGAATCTACGACTCTTTGAACCCAGTCTGGTAGAACGGCATCGAGGGATCTGGTGTCGTTGCCGAAGCGGTTCAGCGCGCGGCCAATGGGGTTTTGGTCATACCATGAGACGGGTGCGTATAAGATCGCGTGGAGGAGTCTGGTGTGCATCTTCTTGGATGCTCTCCAGCCACCGGCTTGGAAGAAAACAATGTTACAGAACTGGAATGAGAGGTATGCTACTATAGTGGTGGCATAGACGGATAAGTAGAAATGCACGTTGATACTCCTTGCGTCGCTGCCATCATATGCGTCTGCCCAGACTGATAGCCAGTAGGTGATTGAAAAGTAGGTGATTTGTACTGCGAGCGTAGAAAACATGGCGACAATGAGAAACGGATATCCGCCGAAATTAAGGAGGTACTCCAGCACTATCATAGTTCCTCTCTTAGCGTCACTCATAGCATTTCAAAGATGAAACTTACCTAGGGTCCGTGGGATTCGTCCTGTTGAAGACTGCTCGGCTACTAGGCGCGAGGATGTGGCTGGTTTCTGGTCTGAAGATACATCCGAGTCGTCTTCTGCGTCAGATTGCGATGTTTTGACCAAGTCTATCTCGTCCTCATATGCAATAGTTACTCCTGACGAGCTAGGGGCGATTGGAACCCCTGAGATTGTGCTTGCGCTCGAAGACGATAATGTCGATTCTTCATTTACTTGAATAGAAGACACAGTGCCTTGTTCCACAGTTATCACCGTTCGAGCATCCTGCAAGGCCGAAGGCAGATGGGTAACTAGTATAACCGTACGGCCGGCAAGCAAGCCTCGTCGGAAACATTGGTCGTACACGAACGCTGTGGTATGCGTGTCCAGTGCCGAGAAGATGTCATCCAAAAGTAAAGTAGAAGCAGGCGAATAGATTGCTCGTGCAAGTGACACTCGCTGTTTCTGTCCGCCAGAGAGACTGGTACCGCGCTCGCCCACGACGGTCGAATCGCCATCTGGCAGTTGTTCGAGGTCTGTAAGAAGCCCACAAGCGGCGACAACCGCGTCATAACGATTCTGGTCGAATGCGCTGTAAAACAAGATGTTCTGCTTCACAGACTCGTTTTGCAGCCACGCGGTTTGCGGGACATATGCTACATCACGCGGACAGGTTGCTATGCCAGACTCAAGAATAGTCTCTCCGATGAGTGATAGAAGCAAGGAAGTCTTACCGCTTCCTGTAGGTCCGGTAACGACATTCAAAGCGTTCTCCACGAAGGAAATGGAAAGATCTTGCATTCTGAATGTCGCTATAGGCGTACGACGAAACGTGGCGTTCTTGAACTCAGGTGGCCCTTCCGGGTGGCGCTTGAGCTCAACAGCAGAGTCGAAGAACCTGTCCAGACGACGAAGAGACACGACACCCTGTGACGCAGTACGCACAATATTAGCCATCCAGAGACATTGGGAACGCAGAATCTCCATGACGGACAACGAAGTAAATGCTGTAGGGGCGTCGAGTGGAGTATCAGTGAAAAGCGCGACTGTTGAGAAAGTCACCAACAAACTCGTCATAGGCAAAAAGTCTGCAGAGAGTGTTACTATGGCGGTGATTAAATTGCGTTTCCAAATGCGACCTTGTTCGACCTGGCGGAGGGCATCGATTTGTTTCTCCATGGCGGGCTCCCAGCCAAAGTACTTTAGTGTTCGGATAGACCCTAGGTATTCCGTGATCTTAGATATTCTAGCATCGGTGGCTCGCATTACTGACCTCTGGATCCGTGATACGCGGCGTGACATGATGGCGGGCAACGGAGTGGATAGGAACAGGGTTGCAACTCCAACAAAAGATGGCCAGCCAAGTAAGCGGTATAAGAATATGAGGGCAACGGTCACAGAGATGGTAAAAGCTACAGGTACAAAGAATATTTCACGCGCGTTATAGATAGACTCCACATCGGATGACATCAGAGTCGTGATATCTGCCTGCCTGTGCTTGGAGGCTTCTTTTTCGGCTACGTCGTCCGCACGCTGGTCTACTTTCTTCTCTGAAATAGAGGAGTCGTAGATGAGGGAGTGGATCGCAGTGCGATATATCTCTTGAACAAGTGACATGTGAATGCGAACAATACTCCTGGTGGCGACGAAGATATACCGTTGAAAACACAGCGACCGAGTCGCAGGGCCAACAAAGAGCAAAGCAATCCATAGGGCTGGGTGTACAACTGCGCCTGATGGGTTTTGAAGGTATCTAAGTAGGTTCACAAGACCGATAGGAGCCAGAAACTCGGCAAATGAAGTGATGGCTGCCCACTCAATGATACCTTGAATGTCTTTCGCCAATAATCGACAAAGAACAAATAATATTTTGCCACCGCGCTGCCGCTGTATCGAAATTTTCTTTGCCCATTTTGAAGGGGCGTCGTAGGACGGTAAGATGGGCAGATCGTCCTGGACAAGATCGCGGCGAACAGCCTGGAAAATTAGATATGTGATCCATTCGTAAGTCCAGTAATAAGAAATAGGCGAGCAGGTCTCTTCTACCGAGGCCTTCTCTACCAAACGTAGATCCTCTTCTCCGCCGTACGATCCATTGTCTGGAATCCGCTGTGGACGCGGTGCAACCAAAGGAACCAAAGTCGTTGCTGCCAGGCAAGCAAGCCCAGCAAGCTGAATTGGGGATAGACGGTGAGTCGATTCTAGGATGACTAGTGGCAGAAAGGACTGTAAGGCAGCGAGAAGCGTAACGACCCCCGCAATGCAGTTCACATGAAAATAAATGCGATCATGAGTAATGGTGCTCCATAAAAATCTGGAGGTATATAAAACCGCTATATACCCGAACAATAAGGATTGTTTCCAACTTGCGGCCTGTGTAACCGCGGACGCAACACTAACAGCCACGGACGCAACCACGAACGCAATTTGTGCGAGGGAATAGCCGAGGGGTGTATATAGCTGTACCGGGTATGTCAATTCAGCATCTTCAGGCCGGTTTTTCTTTTTCCAGTATCGTTGTCTGTAGTGGAACAATATTTGCAGTGAGAATACGAAGATGGAAAGTACGAGGAGACCTAGATGAACGTTTCCTTCGCGGATAAAAGAGGCTATATGCTGGGTACGAGTCTGCCACAGCGATCTGTTTTGGTCAAAATACAAAATACACACACGCAGATAGAAAGCTTGCTGACCTCTCAAACGACGGGGCATGCTCATTCTCCCCCGCCAACACGGCAGAGGTGCGATTTGCGCTTCGAAAGAAGGGCGTGAATATATATTGGTTCGCCCCCGCGAGACCGTCCATGTTGCCTTAGAATATTGGTCGAGCTCCGATGCATACATCGGAGAATTCGCAGGATTGGCATTCAACGATGCGTGACCAGCTGTCCAAGGTATAAAGAGAAGAAAATCAAGCAATCTCGCCCAGACGGCGTGAAGATAGAACTGGTGGGCCGGTGGCTAGGCTTAAGCAGCGGCTGCATGTGAGTGGAGTCCGCCTGCTGACAGTCATGATTGCGACTAGAAATCTCGTATCAATCTCGTATAATATTGGGCGGAAATGATGCAAGGCGATGGCTGAGATTGCGAGACTAGCAACAGAAACGGGGGTGCGGACTGCGTGGCGGGTCTGCATGCAGCGGGACATTGTTTGTCTTGACCGTTTCCAATCGAACCGATATGCGCGCGGGGTCAATTTTTTCATCTCTTTTTTTATTGACACTTTCTCAGAGCATTGAAAAAGCACCGCCCCTCAGCGGCTCCAGTTCGGTCGGGCGTTTGCGACGTTGCATTTGGCCATTAAAAATTATCGAGATTAATTGGTTCTGAGCGGGGTGCAAGGCAGATCCGACCAGCTTCAGCCATCCTCGAGCGTAGTGCAGTCCAGAACAGATCTGCTCACGAGGACAACATGGTACGGGGAATATCACACCAAACAATACTACACCCCCAGAAAAGTCTCTGATATTTGTCCCTAATAATATTAATTTCACCGCCAATCGGATGCTCGGCATGTTCGGCAGTAGAACCCTTACCCCTGCTGAGTCCTGCAGGCTCTGGGATAGACCGATGCTTGTTGTATGCATTGGCCTTTGTTGACTCGAGAAGAAATTTAATATTCCCACATATGTAAGACGTTAAGCCTTGTCACTATGCCGGCGCCAAAGAAGGCGCCATCCATCTCTTACATATACCATAGCCCCAGCCCACCTCCATCTCTCTTAGTCTTCTCCATACTCTGCATCTCTCTCCATTCTTTCAACTCTCGCGGGGGATGATCAATCTGGGGACAGATGGTATTCTATTCGTATTCTCTATAGTGATAATATTGCCTGTAAAATAAAACAGGCTGAAGGCTGAAGCGGACAGGTGCGGTACCGATACGGTGGGAAGGCTGAACATTGGAACCAACAAAGCTAGCTTTCTTTTCATCAATAGTTGAGATGATAGGTATCAACAGTATAAAGACTCCATTTTTGACTCGTTTGACTATTGAACATTAATCTGATAAAGATACTTCTTTGTTGGAATCATGTAATAATGGAGGGTAACAGGGTATTTGCAGTACGCACCAGTTCATAATTGTGCGCCAAGTGGGTCCCGTGCCGATATCCCGGGCGGAGACGCACATTAGGCATGGGGGCCTGTCTTGATTGGTCAATCCCGCGTTTAGCGTTGGCCTAAGCCGGCGGAGTGTTTGTGGGCGGCCAGATGTGGGACCATATGGTAAATTGGTGATGATGTGTAGGAAGCTCATAAGTCTGACCGCTCGAATTCATCCGGAGCTCCTACGCGGGATTACCCCCTGGACTTCTTCCTTCGATACGCCCTTGGCCTAGTCAGTTGTAATTAGCTGCCCTCGCCCAATCTAAGGAGTCCGGAGGATCATCCGCACGCTTATAAATGCTCAATTAGTCTCCATCTGATAAATAAAGGCTGCGCCTACCTACCATGGCGTCGTTGATCAGCTTTTTGTCCTCCCCAGCTTTGCGACAGCACTATCTTCAAAATGCCGTCGCTTTCGCTGACGAGGAGTCTGGAGGCTACACAGCCGATTGATGCAGTCAAGTAAGTTTAGCATGGCCAGACAGAAAGTCTAAGACTAATCATCCGCAACCGCACAGCGACACTCGAGGCTTGGAAAAGAGAGAGACTACTGCTGGTGCTAGCAGAACATCATTAGACAGCAATCACAAGCCGGGAGAGGATTTGGAGAAAGATGGCTCTGCGAATGCCACCGAGGATAACTCGAATATAGTCTGGTGGGATGGGGACGACGATCCCGCAAACCCGATGAACTGGTCGGCAGGGAAGAAATGGACCCATGTAGGCATCATCTCGGCTATCACCTTTATCGTGTCAGTATTCCGCCCGCATTGCATGTGTTCGTCCTTCTTTGAGCGTATCTGACCATAAGCAAGACCCCTCGCTTCGTCTATGTTTGCACCCGGCGTAAGCGGTGTCGTGGCCGAATTTGGCACAACAAACACCTTGCTGGAGACTCTGGTCGTGTCGATATACGTGCTGGGTCTGGCACTCGGGCCATTGATTCTTGCACCATTGTCGGAAGTGTACGGTCGTTGGATTTGTTACACGTGCTCTAACATTCTTTACATTGTCTTCACGGTCGCCTGCGCCGTCTCGACCAATATGTCCATGCTCATCGTCTTCCGCTTCCTGGCTGGATGCATGGGCTCTGCTCCGCTGGCCGTCGGAGGCGGAACTATTGCAGACTTGTTCCCCATCAGCCAGCGCGGCAAAGCTCTTTCGTTATACACACTAGGCCCGGTTTGTGGACCAGCAGTTGGTCCGATCGCAGGCGGATTCTTGGCTGAAGCGAAAGGCTGGAGGTGGATCTTCTGGGTCCTTACGATAGCGGTATGTTTCCGCTTCCACGGCGACAAGTTACAATCCAAGTTTGACTGACGGCTTGACCAGAGCGGAGCCATCACGATTGCCCAGATACTGATCTCCCGTGAGACATTTGCAGTCATCATTCTCGAGCGCAAGACAAAGCAGCTGCAGAAAGAGACGGGCAACATGGAGCTCCGATCCAAACTCGACCGCGGTATCACCAGCAGCGAGATCCTCAAACGTGCCATTGTCCGCCCGACCAAGCTCAGCGTTCTCTCACCGATCTGCATTCTGCTGTCGGCTGCGTCTGCCGTAGTTTACGGAATCCTGTACCTTCTGCTGACCACCTTCCCATTGGTCTTCGAAACCACATACGGCTTTTCCTCCGGAATTTCGGGTCTGGCCTACATAGGCCTAGGCGTCGGCAATGTCCTGGGTCTGCTTGCCTTCACCCTGACAAGCGACAAATACATTCAGAAACGGGCCGCTAAGGGCCTGCTGCAGCCCGAAGACCGGCTCCCGCTGCTCCTTGTGTCCACCATCGTCAGTGCCGCCGGCCTGTTCTGGTAAGATACCGATTCCCTTCCATCTGCAACAGCAATCTAACTCGATTTGTAGGTATGGATGGAGTGCCAAGGCCCATACGCACTGGATCGTGCCCATCATTGGCTCCGCCCTCGTCGGCGTAGGCAACATGCTATTCTTCATGCCCGTGATGGGCTACCTGGTCGACACCTTCACGCAATACGCTGCTTCGGCACTGGCCGCCAACACCGTGCTCCGATCCATCGGCGGTGCGCTACTTCCCCTCGCCGGCCCCAGCATGTACGCATCGTTAGGATTTGGCTGGGGGAATTCGGTGCTGGGCTTCTTGGCAGTCGGCTTCACCCCGGCGTTGTTCGTTATGTATAGACATGGGAAGTATATTCGCACTAGATGGCCTATTAACTTGGGTTGAGTAGGGGAAAGCATCGAAGCGGCGGAAGTATTGCGTTGCATTTGCACTAGGTTTAGGGTATATTAGCATTATGCGGGAACATTTGTTTAGTTAGAAGATATAAAGAAATAGGAAGTAACGTCGATTTTCCATAAAGAGCTTTTATAGCTAGCTTACTGATAGACTGAACTGCCTGTGCCCTGGCTAGCCCATCAAACGTGGCTTGGATACTTAGAATAGGCTTCCACACCAATTGACCATTTCCCAATCCTGACAAATCTTCAGGGTATTCGAAGATTCCTTAAATCTGGATTTTGTTATTGTCCCAGGGTCAGTACTCCCATTCCAGAAGTCGCAAGGGTGGTTCGACGAGGTTGCATATCAACACGACAACCACGACCAGGCATGCGCGAGGATATACCAACCATAGTTTTAGCGCATTTTATTTATATTCTCAATCCCGGGCGTGAGCCTTAGAAGAATGAATAAAGTCAAAATTACATGTATCATTAGATTTCCCCTTTTCGGTATTCCTTCCACTTCAAGAACCCTAATTTGGCGTACCAGTCCACCTTATTCGTCCCCGTCAATAAATACTGTTTCAATGCCCCTACCTTTCATATTGTCTATAGCATGGCACAACATCGCTAAATCGACGCCTTTATCCCGGTATGCATCGTCAACACCGACACAGCCTATCAAGATATTTTTGAGGGGGGATGAACTGTCTAATATCCTGGTAGAGATCGGCATTAGTATCATCCGAGCTGTCTAGTCGAAGCCCTCGATGAATAAAGAACTCTTGCGTAGTTGGAAGCAAATCGGTAGGAAATATTGGCCAAAATCGTGGAAAGCAGCTTCCCAAGGTGACATTCTGTAGGCCATGCTGTTCGCGAAAGTATTCACGCGCCTCAGACAAGAGTCTTGACCCGGTTCCCTGTCCTTGTTTTGATGATTCTACAGCGAGCACTGCAATTTGCGCTGAATATACCCCCCTATTGAGAGATTTGTATGCTAGGCAAAGTCCTACAATGATATCACCTTCTCGCGCAAGGAAATGGTGCCCATTCGGCTTGTTTATCACGGCTCGTAGGTTCTATGTAGGTAGAATATAGTCTGGAAGCGCGGAATTTCACACTTTTACTATTCCTTCAATATCATTATCGCCTCCATAAGGAGATATCTGTATATCGTCACCCGACTTCTTCGTACGCTTGATATTGTATTCAACCGGCAAACTTCCCTTTGCAGATGCCTGTCCGAAAATCACTTCAACAGCGGCTGAGAACGCCTCCACGGTGGGCTCGTAAGTAGCGAGATAAGTTTTGATGTCGATGTCATCAAGGAAGTCATACGGATTGCATGTTGCAATAACAATGAGATTGTCTTTGCGCTTGGCAAGCTCGAAGCCAAGATTTAGTTGTTCTTCAGCCTCCCTTGCGTTTCTGGTGGCTAGGACCACCACATCGGCTTCTTTAACAAGTTCCCATTCCTCGTCTGAAAGGGATGTTTCTGAATACTTAATCTCAGTAACTTTCGAACAGTGAGCTTCTAAAACATTGAGAAATGTCTTATGTTTAGGACCACTTTCATCGACTGCCCCGCCTGCTGGAATTCTTCCTCCAGGGGATAGGAAAAGCACATTCGAAGATGCAGAAATTGGCAAGAGATTGGATTCATCTCGAACGACAGTTACCGAATGTGAGTACACATCTTTAGCAAGATCTTGGTGGGCACCATTAAGCCTTGCCAAGTCATCCACTGTTGTCGAAGTCTCCAAAGCACGCTCCCAAGTGACGAACCGCTTCTTCAAAGCAGTGACTCGACGCAGCGAATCGTCAATCTGTGAAGTAGGTAAATCACCCGATTCTACTGCCTCACATACCCTATCAATAGCACGCACTTGCACCTCATAAGTGTGGCATATCATCACACTATCACTACCCGCTTTCAATGACATCAACGCCCCCTCGACAGTCCCATATGTCGCGCGAATACCATCCATCTCAAGACAATCTGTGATAATGACCCCATCATATTTCATATCCTTCCGCAGTATGTTCAATGCATCTGACGACAGTGTCGCTGGTAGCCCTTCCTGCCCGATCTCTGGTAACGCGATATGAGCTGTCATCACCGCCTCGATACCCTCTGCCACAGCGCGCCTAAACGGCACCAACTCACATTTCTCAAGCTCGCTACGAGTCTTGGTGATAACCGGAAGACCGACGTGCGAGTCTACAGCCGTGTCACCATGGCCAGGAAAATGTTTAACGGTTGGAACAACACCTCGCTCTCGAAGCCCCTGGGCCGTGGCACTGGTGATTTTCGCTACAAACTCGGGGTTATCTCCAGGACTGCGCACGCCAATCACAGGGTTTAATGGTTCAGAGTTGATGTCACAGTCAGGCGCGTAGTTCATGTTTATGCCAAAGAAATCTAGTACCTCGCCTGTTGCTTTTCCAACCTCGTATGCATACTTGCTAGATCCGGTGGCGCCTAGAGCCATCTGCCCTGGTTGTTGTGCAGCAATGGGAGGGCATACTCGAGTCACAAGGCCGTTTTCTTGGTCAATGCCGATGAATAGGGGGAATTCATGACCGGCATCTTTTGCTTCTTGCTGAAGGTCTCGCGTCAAAGCCTAGAACATTTTATTGACATTGATGTACGTTTTTTGATGCCGGAAGGGTAGTGAGTACCTTGAGTTGATCGGCGTCTTTGATATTTCGCTTGAATAAAATCACTGCTCCAAGGTCGTAGTCGCGAATCAGGGTTCTAATTCCAGTATCTGGAGTAAGCCCATGAAAGCCGACAGCAAATAACTATATGCATTTCATTAACGTCTTATTCTTCATAGCATCATTTTGTTACTCTTCAACATACCTGTCCGACCTTTTTACGTAGCTCTGCTGACGGGGCCATTGGTCATGGACTCTCACAGTTCTAAACTGCCTCTCTATTGAGAGAAGAACAAGCCTCGATTTGGCTTGATGCTAGTTGGCCACTAATCGACGGCGTTGTGAGAGAGTGGCTCACAAACAGTTGTACGGAGCATGAACATGGATGTGCCTTGTGCCTATGCGGGTAAGTGTCTCTTCATCAACGCAGTGCGTATTTGTAGCCCGACTAAATCTAGTTTAACAATAATCAACCCACGTTCACAAAGACACAAAGTGAACCTTGGGTCTCGATTCAAGATATGCGTCTGTTGCAGAAAGTGAAACAGAACATTAAGTATCATCAATGCGCTTCCCCACTTTACCCCTCAGATAAGTAGTGCATCAATGCAACATAGAATTGAAACTATACGACATTCTGCAGTCTTCAAAAGGGCTTTCCGGACCCTTACATAGTTTCTTGAGTCTGTATTCTATTCATCCTTTCTTCCAGTCCGGAGCAAGTCACTTCATTCGAATATAGCTATATTATGCTCTGCCAACGCAACGAGAGCACGAATGACCGAATGATGAATCAATTGATGAATGCTCCACAATCCAGGCAATCAGAATAAAATTAAAAAAGAATATATTCAAGGACCCATCTATTCGTCATCGCCCATTCTATGAAGAATGTTTTGCGGACCCCAAAAATAACAGAAGGAGAGAGAAGATGCTCGCTTCCTGGGAAAAATGCCCACAACCAACAGGTGACAACAGGCGATAGAGCAGAAGATGATATGGAGAAACTAGCAATCAATGCCAATGCCCATATATAGTAAGAGGGATTTGAAAATGGGAAGAAACATCCAATAAGATTACAAAGGAAAGGAAGCGAAAAAAATGAATATGCGCAATTCCAAGGCTTATCTGGTATCACATAATCCTACTTGACAGAAAGTCATCTGGCATGCAAATCATTGAGACATAAAAAGAATATAATTCCAGCGAAGCAGATGCGTGTGAGATTCTCATAACTAAAGTTCCTCCTCTTCTTCTGCGGGAGGCTGTGTGGTTTGGGGGGTAGACATGTTCAGACTACCGCCAAAGTGACTGCCACTTCCTGCAACAGTGCCAGCTGCAGGCGATTCAGTGTTCGGTGTATCCGATGAACCCAGCACTTCGCCGATGTTGTTGGCAAGGTTGGACCCAAGCCGCTTCCGAAGTCCATCCTCATCCATGGTAGATACACTAGCCCTCGGTTTTTTGAGGGGGCTGCCAACATATTCGCTGTTCAAGGCTTCAGAAAGGCTGCTAATGCCTTCAGCTGCTCCAGAGCTGGCGGTAGCAGCCGGGACATGTGGTGGAGTTGTCGATAATGCATCATTGGATGCAGGAGGAGTGGTCCCTGATGCAGGGGTATTCGAACTAGAGACATTGTCTCCCATCGGCTCAGCTGAATGCTGACGTTTCAACTGTGAATTGTTTTATATATGTTAGAAAGGTATATCTGGTGGCAATTTCATGAAGAGACCTACCTTAATCTTTCGCACGCCTTCAGCCAAGTCACCTTGCCGACGAATGTCATCGGGAGACAGGTGTGTGGTACCATTGGTTTCTTCTTCTTCAGCCTTTGCAGCGATCGCATCTTCGTCGTCTTCGTCGCTGTCCATATCACTTTCGCTTGTCTTCTTTGCCTTTTTCCCCTTCGCCTTATTTGAAAGGTCACCTTCACGATAATTCATGAAACCGACGGCACCACCTGGTTTCAGGGGTGGCAGATTAGCAAAGTCAGTTGACTTTCTCTTCACAGTCGTTTCCTTTTCGGGGGATTTCGACTTGAAAATACCCATCTTTTGTAATTGACCTACATCAGAGTTAGCTTCTAGAGTCCAACATATACTCATTAGGGTTGGGACGTACGTTCACCACGGTACATAAATGTGAATACCGCATAGGGCTTATCAGTAGGGTCAATCCCCGTCACGGTTTGGGTGCTAATTGTCTTTGGGTCTAGTGTTTTGGGTTTCGCAAAACTGGTGGTATGGTCAACATCTGCTGAACCGTTTCCGCCTTGGCCACCGGATTCATCGTCGTCGTCGTGGGCATCAAATTGTGGAGAGTATTCGCCTCTCTTGACTTCACCGGAAGCAATCACTCGGAATAAGGCGACCTTGATTTGACCGGCAGATTCGGGTATAGGATCATCGTCTGAATCAGATGAAAAAGAACCTTCATCTGACAAATTTTCTAGAGGTGATTTCGCATCGTCACCATAGCGCATAATATCCTGACTTCTCTTTGAGGCTGATGCGGAGTCTCCCATGTTCATGTCCCCAGCTTGGCCGGAGCCTTCCTTCAGCCTTCGCTTTTCCATTTTTTGTCTCCGTCGCTCGATCTTGGCTGCTGCATCTTTACCTTCTAGGTCTAACCCATTCAGCCAACGTTCAAGCCCGACTTCTCGGAAAAGAAACTCCCGCTCGGCTAGCCCACCGCCTTCTGAGTCAGGGACGCTTACCCAGCGCGAATTGACCCAGGTCTCTTCGCCCCTGCGTAGTAGCGTTGCGACTTCTTCCTTTTGGCGTCCGTCAAAGTATATATAAGCAGCGACAGTTTCATTCAAAGAGCCCGTTAAGGGTTGATATGGGCCAACCGAGCCTATATACTGTCCACGTTCATCTGTTTTGCCAGGCAATCCACCAACAATCTGAGGCTTTGGGTTCGGGTTTTCTGAGGTGGGTTTGGGAGTTGAGTATGGAACGCTCTGTCCGGGATTTAGTAGTGTGATGGAAACGGCAAAGGTAGATTGTTGTGCTTTTCCCTGGTCATCGAGCTTTGCTCCGGGCACAGGGATAAAGCAGGCGATGCGGGATTGGCGAGATTGGCGTTGCACGGAAAATTCGGACAGGGGGCCGTCCGGGGTATGGATACTCACTGCCAGCCCTTTAAAGCAAGGCATGGCGGTGGTTTCGATTGTTTTGCAGCTCAGTGATTGACAAAAGTTTCGAGGCCGAGAGTGCGGGTGGAAATAATGCAGCCGTACACGGAGGGATAAGGACCTATTATGCTTGAGATATGTGGATACACTAGATCGAACACGGGTCGCCAATAAGCACAGGAATATCAATAATCCAGCAATGGAAAATCCGAAAAGTGGTTATGGTGAGGAGACAAGCCGATCCGATAGAGCGGCAATGCAGCAAAATAGTTGGTAGCTGATAAACAAGACCTAGCAAGCTTTGCAAGGTGACCTCCTGATGCACGGTATATATTTATCAGTATCAGGCGTCTTCTGATTGAGTATTCCAGGGAACTAACAGAGAAACATGCACCCAGTGAACGTCACTGGCCCGCGGTCATGCCTCCATCGAGTGGGGTGGCTGAAGCGCCGATAACTATGCAAACGACGAGGAGCAGACCGTAGAGATGGTAAACCGTCGGGGTACGCTGTTTCAACTAGGCAGACAAAGGATGCAGTTCCTGCAGTCTTCAAAAATGCAAAAGGCCGTGGCCAAAGGGTTCCTGGGCAGAGAGCGACGATAAAATCTGGAGCAGACGCAGCTTTGGAGTTATTGTTGACTTTCCGGGGTTGTGTTGGCTGAAGGCGGTCAATGGTCAGGCCGTCAACAGCCCGGGCCACGTGATGTACCTTACCGCACATCATTATCCTTCCATTACTGCATGACACTGGCACTGGCCATTGTCTCCACTGATGATGCCTATGCAAAGTATCTAATTACTAAGTGAGCCTATATCCAATACTAAGAGTATCGAGGTCACTTAATCAATTTTTTAGGGTTATAACTTGTCGTAGCTAATGGTCACACTTGGGTAAACCCTAAGCCGTAACCCTAACCCTGATTTTAGAATATCCTCCACAGAGAAATTCGGCTGGGTTAATGAAAGCTCTATCACTACTGTGACCATACTTACTGAAACGTCTTGAGGCAGACTAAGTTGACTTAAATACAGGAACTAAGTGCCCTGAGACCCTGGGTGAAGGCGGCCTACAGTGGTTTGGCTTTTACCCGCCATCTCATCTGAATACATGCAAATCAATTCAAGCGCCGACTGTTTTTGCTCTGCTGATGAGATTTATCTATCACTGCAAGAGGTATTCAATGCGCTAAGCTTGTGGACTTTCGATATGAATGCAGGGAGCTTTGTATATGATTGGCAACTTGCCCAGACATTCGCTCCTTGTCACAGCCTATCACCCCTGAGGATGCTCAATGTCGAGAAAGTTACTAATGAAACCCCTTGGGCTGACTCGACGTCACCATATCAACTAAGTCTTGTGTTGACGAACTTTCTAAGGCATAATCCGTAACCAGAATGTTCAACCCCCTCCGCTTGCATTTCGCCATATCGTTGTTTGCTGATGGCCTGCGCCAGTGAATATCTCGATTCGGGCTGCCTGAAAAGCCACCACCGCTGTCGGCCTCGGATTCAGCTCGCGGGAAGAAGTACAAGACAAACAGGCGCATGCTGGGCATCGACGCCACCAGGATGCTAGCCGTGATCTCGATAGTGCTCCACCAACCGAGAGCGATGACGGAGTCCACGCGCATAAGGTTTGTCGCTGTAGAGGCGTTGCGGAGGTTGGGCATGCGGACAGTGGAGGCAATAATGACACTGGGTAGCAGGTTAGAACGTGATCCAGTCACAGAGATCTCCATACGTACAAGATTCCGCCCAGAAACATCAAACTGGCCCGCAGCTTCTTGCTAAAGCTCATACGCAAGTGCCGCAATTGCCAGAGTGGTAGGAGTATGATTCCCAGATCCAAAGCGATATTCAGGCTGGCAGCCACATACCACATGAGGTCGACATTGATCTGGCGGCCGATGAATTGCCCGTCCCAAGCCGTCCACGCGCCGCTGAGTGGGATATGTGACAGTAGAAGAGCCACAACGAAGGACACATTATAGCAGGCTATGACGACGATAAAGGCATACAAGGTGACGATTATGTGGGGGAATAGTCGAAGATAGAATAGAAGTATGGATATTTTCGTCAAGGAGATGGCAGTAAGATACCCGAGGTCTACGACGAAAAACAGCTGTAGAGCCAAGACATCGGATGAGCACCTATGCATAAGTGGAAAGGATGGATTCGAAGAGGAAACTGCTACTAACCTTCATGTTGAAGTAGGTATCCTCCAGAGGAATATTCCATATATTTCGACCCACTCCGGTCTTGTACACTGTGTGCTCGTATCAACGGCTCTGTCTACTTTGGGTATCTCCTTGAACGACGCGAGCACTTACTTTCAACCGCAATGGTGACATGGCTCACAACCACCAACTGTAAATGCAAATCCAGTTACCTTCTCTGAGGATTACGTATGACTGAATCGGAAGCTTACCCATGAGACTATGATCAGATAATCCTCGGCTGTTAACCGGCAACGCCGCAAAAAGGATGTGGCTATTCTCATCCCCAGAATCAAAGTCGCAATAGCGCCGCATATCGGCGCAATGATGAGCAATATCTTTCCATCATCGGGGTCTGATAGATGACACCGCGCATTGGCGGTAACATTTTTGGCAGCCAAGCTTTCCAACACAGAACATTCTGTCTCAATGCATGGATAGAGAACGGCGAGAAACTGGCTCGAGCAGCTGCAGGTGATATTACCTGAAGAGCAATTGAACTGTGATGCTGTTGTGACTGTGCAGTTTTCCTAGATCGCGGTGAGTGACAGCCCCACGGTTCTCCAAGCTGGGATAGATTACATACCGCACATTGCGGATATTGAGGATATGGAGGCTGCTGTTGAGCAACGCCAAGAACACCCGCGATCAATATTCCTGCGAAAATTGCTAGACGCTTCATTGCTGAAGGGGTCTCCTTGGGGTAATGAATACTCGCTCGTCATTCATTTGCCGGCGCATAGAGTAGCACGATCCCCCCACAAGTACTGGAAGCGCTGGATAGCGACAGATTACTGACGTGAGGTGCTGGATGAGGTTAACTAATTAATACATTAGGGCCTCAAGGTTCTGACGCGGTGCACATTGGAGATTTGTTTGAAACCCGAATATTATTCAGCTTTCCAACTTATCAATGCTCGGCCAGCAAGTTGAATTCGTTACCATGTGCTCGGACGCAGTAGCGCGAAACTGTGCGCCCGTATTGAAGCTATTTTCGCGGAATGTTGTACTCGGACCGACTACATGGTAACTAGTAGAAAAAGGGGCAACCCTAAGTCGATACAATGAATCCTTCCTACAAAGTTGACGGACCGTCATTGGCTATATAGGGGTGCCGTCGTCGTTCTCCACTGGGGTCCAAAGAATTAACAACTCTTTTCATGATCACTCCCCTGCCTTCGTATTCTACCGTCATAATAATCGATCCAGCAGGATCTCATAAACTTCAATTTTCAGTTGGGTGGGTAGGCGCTGCCTAGCGGACAGTCCGTCCGATGATCCCACGCTTAGCCTAGCCAAAACTGGAACCCGACTTTAACTTTCGTACACTAAGAGCGCATTATCTATAATATAAATATTAACTTATATGATTCTGAAATACTAGAAATGATTCCTTAACAGACATGCATCTCAAATCCCTTAATAACAATTTTATCCTTTATCATGTTCATATTTAACAAACTTGCCCTTGCCCTATCTCGCTCGCCCCCCTGCTTTCACTTTTATCTTTCCTTCTGCTGAGGATCAGGATCACGATTGCGCCGTTTCTTGACGACTCTCATTCTCTGCTGGATTGCCATTACATGGCCATTACCATAACAATTGCAATTACGCTCTAGCAGACAAAAGAGGCAAGCTTATAGAGTGGCCTAAGAAGTATTAAAATGCCCTACTAGTCATTAACTCACAGAATATATCGGCTCAAGATAATTGTAAGTCAAGATAGAATATCAGCCCAATAAAAAGCAACTTCTTCTACTTCCAAGGCTTTTTTCTTCTCGCTTAGTCCCCTGGCTATACGTACAGAATCATAATTTTCAGCTTTACTACGACGAGTTTTGATATGCATAAAATAACGGAGCAGAATAGATAACGAATTTGGATATGAATATCACGCAATTGGATTTGCAATCGGACCAGCCAACAACTCGTCCAAAACAGACACATCTTCCAAGTCCTCAATACCCAACACCAACTTCTCAATCTTATCCCTTCGCTTTTCCTCAATAATCCCCTGTGTCAAACGCCGCCACTTGTCAAGAATCTCCTCGTTTGTCAACCCTGGGTAGACACTTCTTGGGCCTTCCAATGTCTGTGTTAGCACCGTCCCGTCCTTCAAGATGATCGTGACACGCTGTCCATATTTCCCCCCTACCTCTGGGTCATGCACACATTGAGTCTTATGAATCAATTCCCAGATAATATCTCTATCGAGCTTATCGTGACGGAACTGGTTGGCTAAAACCTGGCCATCAACGAGCTGGGTAGCCGTTGTGTACATTGCACTCATCTGCGCCCCGGTCGTTGACACAGGCCGCTTGATGTCAAACCCGCCGTGTTTCCATTCAGCTTCGCCCATATCAAGCTTGATACTGGCAATTTCCCCTAGATTGGATAATTGCTCGGGGTATTTATTTTGTAATGCTTGCACGCAATCAATTGTACAATGCGTACCAGCCATTGAAGCATGAAGTTTGACGCCAATCATGCGCAACTGCCATGTCTGTCCCAGGTCTTTTGAAACTTCCTCAGTCAAGTACCGAGGCTCCTTACCCGAACCTTCTCCAAACATGGCAAGGAAGCCGCCATACGGCTCCTCATACACGTTCTTGATTCCAGTATACCCCTGTCTAGCCAACAACGCCCCCAAAAGACCATTCCTGGCCGCAAAGCCATGCTGCATGCGTTTCGCGTCACTCCCAAACTGCGCCGCCATAAGCCCTCCAGCCTGAGTGCAGGCTATGCCCAGTGCGTCCTCGATAGATGCGGCGGGGAGACTGAGAAGCTTGCTGACGGCTGCGGCAGAAGCTGATGGGCCAAATACAGCGCCAGAATGCCAGCCACGTGTAAGCATTTCTTTCCCATACAAGGCATGGCCAACTCTAGGCCCTGTTTCGTAGCCGGCAATGACGGAAAGTAGAAAATTTTTGCCATTTGATTTGGTGGAATGCTTAGCATGTTCGTTACTGGCTGCTGCAAAGAGGGCTGGGAGAATGAGGGAGTTCGAATGAAGAGGGGCTGCTAGATGCCAATCATCGAGCTCGAAGCCCTGGATTGCTGTACTATTCAACAGTGCAGCAGGTAGAGGGCCGATTTTCTGTACCATATTGTTTAGCTTTGTCTGCTTGCAATAGCTCAGGTTCCGAGATAAATGAAGGAGCGTACTTTGTCATAGCCCCAAACACTGCAGTTTCCAGGAGACTCCATATCAAAGATGGCCAGCGCTGCCGTCTGTGTCCAGGGAAGGTGAGAGCCTATAATTGCACAAGCAAGACCGTCAAGAATAAGGTATTTTGCTCTGGTGCGAATGTCCTCAGGGACATCGTCCATTGAGACATTTTGAATCCATTCACATAATTGCTTTGTGACCCCAGAGCTGTTGGCCTCAGAACCATGAGCCATGATGGAGTATCTTGGTGCACTATGCTTCTATCCAGTCAATTAAAGATCTGAAACTGACTGTTAAATATAGCTTTGCCCCTCCTTCTCGAATAGCCTGATCGGCCCTTATATATCTGGCCGTAAGATGCACCCTGCCGTGTCCGGCCCGGTGTTCATGCCGCCACGCCGTGGCAGCATGTATGACCGGCCCAGAAATCGGCATTGTTATTGCTTTAATTCATCTTGCACAGGAACCAATAGTGACCGGTTCATAGGATACGTACTCTTGTAGTTGTAATTGCATATAGGGAAGGCCGTCATAATATCACAATTGATATTAATACATGGCCCAAGCTTATCGGCATGGCTCAATTCCGCGTGTATCATTATCATTTTAGTGGCGAAAAAGCTCTGCGAGAGTGAAATAGACTTCCTCAAGAGGCAACAGGCATAATACACGCAGACCCAGAAGAAAAAGAAAGCAGAATGAGTAGCTCTTGAGATGTTGAAGGTGAACAAATTGGCGCGACTGCCGTCTCGGCTGTATCGCGCGCCCCGATGCTTCCTTCCTTTCTCCGCGTCGCCACCCATCAGCCCTGGCAAACGCGCTCTTCCTCACATCCCATCCACCATCGCATCGCGGCCAATATCTGGTACTGCGACATCTGAAGACATGTCTTTGACACGATCCTCAGCCCCCCTGGTGTGGATTGACTGCGAGGTCTGTTGCTGCAGAGTTCCCCGCATCGCGCATCGTGAAATTTCTCGATCAAGAACCTAGCTAACCAGACCAATTGACTGTTTAGATGACAGGCCTCGATCCCGAAAACGATCGTATCATCCAAATATGCTGTTTTATTACAGACGCACAACTTCTACTCCTAGAACCGAATGGCTTCGAGAGGATCATCCACCAGCCCAAGTCAACCCTGGACGCGATGTCGCAATGGTGCGTAGACACACATGGAAAATCCGGGCTGACCGATGCTGTGCTTGCCTCGAATACAGACGCCGCCACAGCAGCAGGAGAGTTATTGGCATACATCAAGCAACACGTGCCGGAGCAACGTACTGCGTTACTGGCTGGTAATAGCATCCATGCAGACCGAGCGTTTCTCGCCAAGGGCCCGTATGCCCAGGTACTTGAATGGCTTCATTACCGCCTGCTAGATGTCAGTTCCCTTAAAGAGGCGGCGCGACGATGGGGCAGTGAGGAATTACTGCGCGGCGCGCCACCAAAGCGAGAGCTACACTTGGCAAAAGACGATATCTTGGAAAGCATTGCGGAAATGAAGTACTACCGCGAACAACTTTTCGACGGGCGATGACAAAGATATTTGGTCAATTAAACACCAAATTCAGACGTCTCTCTTGGAATGCGATTATCTACGGAGGTAAAAACAGACATCACACGAAAGAGCCGCCTCGACATGCAATCATGCAATCACAGCCGATTAGGCATGGCCTAGAATTGCAGGCCTCAAGACAGGCGTTTCCAGCGCGGATATTCTCCCGACGATACTTGCAGTCATGCAATCGATGTAGATGCAGTCTATATCGGGACAACAAATACATGTATCTTCTGCTAGCTACACGTATATTTTATAATGTAAATATATTTAAGTGTATAAGTGTCATCTGTAGGTGTCTTGGATGCCCCGCAGCGGCAGGAGCTATGATAGTATGACGCGAATGCCCCTCCTTGCTGCCGCCACGGGTCAACTGTTCCTCTTTAACTTAAACCTGCCATCTCGCCCTTGGGTGAACTGTCGGCGAGAGTCTCTTTGCTTTCACTTCATCCACCAATTCTCTTCTCTGCACTTCTTGCCCCCGCTGATTGCTGATTGCTGATTGATTCGCTCTTCTGAGAACCTCCAGCATGTCGGTCCAGACAGTGTCGATTACTCCTTTCCAGGACCAGAAGCCCGGAACGTAGGTTCTATCTGAAACGATTCCTAATGCTTCAGTCATTAGTACATATGTAAACTGACTTGTTCTAGTTCTGGCCTCCGTAAAAAAGTGGTCGTCTTCCAGCAACCCAACTACTCCGAATCCTTCGTGACCAGCATTCTCCTCTCCATCCCCGAGGGCGCCGAGGGTGCTTTCCTCGTCATTGGCGGTGATGGTCGCTACCACAACCCGGAAGTGATCCAGACAATTGCAAAAATCAGCGTTGCGTATGGTGTGAAGAAGCTGTTGGTGGGACAAAATGGTATTTTGAGCACACCAGCTGCGAGTCATCTTATTCGCAAGCGACAAGCAACTGGTGGTATTCTGTTGACTGCCAGTCACAACCCTGGTGGTAAGCTCCTCTATAAACTATCAATTGCAATAGAGCTGGCGTTGATATCTGTGTAGGGCCTACTGAGGATTTCGGCATCAAGTACAACCTTGCGAACGGTGCTCCGGCTCCCGAGTCTGTCACCAATAAGATCTACGAAACCTCAAAATCTTTGACTTCCTACAAAATTACTCAGTTGCCAGACGTGGATATCACACAGATTGGAACCCGTAAATATGGTGATCTAGAAGTCGAAATTGTTGACTCAGTGACCGATTACGTCGATTTCTTGAAGGAAATATTTGACTTCGACCTTATCCGCAATTTCTTGAAAACTCACCCAGACTTCAAAGTCTTGTTCGATTCCATGAACGGTGTTACTGGACCTTATGGTGTCCGCATTTTCCAAGATGAGCTGGGACTTCCGGCTTCTAGCACCCAGAACTCCGTCCCCAAGTCGGACTTTGGTGGTGGTCATCCGGATCCCAACCTGGTGTATGCGCATGAGCTGGTCGAAGCTGTGGACAAGAATGGCATCCAATTTGGTGCTGCTAGTGACGGTGATGGAGACCGTAACATGATATACGGAGCTAAGACTTTCGTGTCTCCTGGTGACAGCCTTGCCATCATTGCGCACCATGCGAAACTCATACCCTATTTCCGCAATCAGGGTGTTTATGGTTTGGCTCGTTCGATGCCTACCTCGGGTGCCGTAGACCTGGTTGCCAAGGCTCAGGGTCTGCAGTCCTATGAAGTGCCCACTGGATGGAAATTCTTCTGTGCTCTCTTCGACAATAAGAAGATTTCTATCTGTGGTGAGGAGAGTTTCGGAACTGGAAGCAACCATATCCGCGAGAAGGATGGTGTTTGGGCTGTTGTAGCATGGCTGAACATCATTGCTGGTGTTGCCAAGGAGAAGCCCAATGAGACGCCTAGCATTGCCTCTATTCAGAACGAGTTCTGGCAGACTTATGGCCGTACTTTCTTTACTCGCTACGACTACGAACAAGTTGACAGCACTGCAGCGGGTAAGGTGATAGCCCTCTTGACTGAGTTGATCAACAATAAGGATTCTTTCGTTGGCTCTTCGGTTGCTGGTCGCAAGGTTTCTGACGCTGGTAACTTTTCGTATACCGACCTTGACGGTAGCGTCAGCAAGAACCAGGGTCTGTACGTCAAGTTCGATGATGGCAGCCGCATTGTGGTTCGCCTGTCTGGTACTGGCAGCAGCGGCGCCACAATCCGCCTGTACATCGAGAAGCACGAAAATGATGCCACCAAGTACGCTTTGGACGCGCAAGATTATCTCAAGGACAACGTCAAGCTAGCTTTGGACCTGCTCAAAATGAAAGAGTACATCGGCCGGGAAGAACCTGATGTCAAGACCTAAGTCATATCTAAGGATGACTTGAGTTCATTATCAACATTTACGATATGGAGGAGCACCACGCACAGAGATAGATAGGGTATAATAGCGTATAATTCAATGGATTTTTAGTGTAGCGACGATGATGGACATGGAACGAATCAAATAGTATGCAATGAAGTCTATATATGTTTATGAAATTCAAAAACAGCCATGGGAATCGCATTTAATACATGTAACTAACTGTATCACTCATCCCTTTGGAAATTAAACTGCAATATGAGACTTCATCTTCTCATCCCACCACTGCTGCCACTTGATCACCTTCTCCTCCCTCCGTGCCTCTTCCGCTGCAAACACAAGCGCATGGCTTCTAACAGCCTCTTCCAGGGTACACCCAATAAAGTGATTTTGTGCATCGCGAACATCCCACCCTTCATTCTCAACTGCATCAATCGCGCCAACATACATACGCGCCAAACCCCAGTCTCCTCCTCCATGTCCAATCTCCTCCCTAGGATTCGCCGCCTTGGGGATCTCGATTGTTGTAAACTCCTGCGTCGCGAACGAGAAGATCTTGATCGTGCGACTATCATACTCAATCTCCCCCTCTGTACCATACACCCACCCACGTCGCTCGCACTGTCTCTCCGTCGGCGAAATCATATGCAGCGAGGCTGTCTTGGCGATTCGAGAGGGGAAATCCTTCGTCGCTTCGTTCTCGTCATCATCCCACGTGATCGTGACGAACTGGTCATCGCAGACATTATTGTCAGACTCCCACACGCAACGGCCGAACCACGGCCGCGACGCGATCTTTTCGTCCGGGGTTGATTTCTTGTCGTAATCCTCGGAAAGTTTTTCCATCAGCTGCTTTTCGGCCGCCGCCATACCGGATGTCTTGAATGTGTCTTCGATGTCGGGGCAGACTATGTCGACGGGCCATTCGGTGTCGCCTTTGGCGAGCTGTCTGTCTCTGTAGATGCGGACAGCGCTGTAGTTGCATTTGCGCTCGATGGGGCATGTCACACAGTTCGTCGCGGAGCCGGCTTCCTTTGGTTTCCGCTTACCCCTGAACTGAGTCAGAGACCCAAACGACGAGATTGTGCGTGGAGCATGCGCGGGTGTATCTCGAGGTGCGCCTGGTGGCGGTGATGAAAGCAGCCAGATGAGAAAGTCAACGTCGTGGCTGCACTTGGTCAGCAATGACCCGACACCCTCGGCAGTCTCCCGTCGCCAGTTCCCTCGTACATAGCTGTGGGAAAAGTGCCAGTACCCGACGGGCTCTGTATGCTCGATAGACACAATATCGCCAATGACACGATCTGTGAGCAGAAGGCGACGCAGCCGCATATTGTGCGGGCTATAGCGCATCACATGGCCGATTGAGAAGACTTTTGACGGAGCCACATGCTCCTGGCCATGCGGCACAAAGGCGCGATAGATGGCAAGACAGTCCTTCATGGATGTCGCGAGGGGTTTCTCGCAAAGCACGTGCAGGTTCAACGGCGCAATCGCACACATCACCTCAACGTGCATCTCATCCAACACGCACACAAAAACACCGTCAACACCATCCGGCACATTTGCAACTCCTTGTGCAATCTTCTGTCGTCGCTCCTGTTCCCATTTCAGCCAGTCCTTCCAGTCAGAGAACTCCTGGCCCTCGGTTGGCCGACCGCCCGCGCCCCAGATAAACGACTCGCCGAATTCCTGGCGGTTGTAGGGGCGAGGCTCGGCGACAGCGTGGATTACAGCGGAGGTAGACTCTGTGACGGCTTCGGAGTATCTGTGCCCACGGGATCCGGCGCCGATGACGAGGAATTTGAGCTTTTTGGTGCCCCTGACGGCGGTCTTGCCGGCTGGTGTGGTTGCTGTGGTTGCAGATGGCTGATGATCGGCCATGTTTGCGATGCCAACTTGATACGGAGGTTATCGTGAAGGCAAGAGATGAAGAGTGTCGGAATCAACACAGTCACTCCGTGGGTTGTTGACTATCGATAAGCATCCCCGCATTCCACGCTGTACGCGGGTCGTCATTCCCTTTGCGCCTGCCCTGATTGGCCACTGGGTCGGCCTTGCATTGCCGGCTTCACCGCTTTCTCCGGCTTATCTTAACAACAACAGATGATTAATATATAACTCGATGGCTTGATTGCTATGAAATTATCCTAGTACTGTAGACGACAATTGTCTAAACTACTCCTCATTCAGGCTGCTGTACCGGTTACCCAGTCCGCAAAATGCTTTATGCAAGTCCTCTTCTTCTCTTGGACGGTCTGCACCAGTACAGGTCATCCCAGGCACGTCTTCCAAAGCCCAAGCAATTCGCTCAGCTCCAGCTCGAGCTCCTTCAAGATTTGGCGCTGCAGGGCCTAGGCGGAGCGAAGCTAGCCGCCCGGTGACAAACAAAGGAACACTAGCTTTCCACATGAGATCGTCTGTCAGGCAGGGCAATCCATTCATGGTCTCAATGGGATAGTCCCGGTTCATGGACTGCAGCAGAGGCATCTGGGTTACGTCAGTCTGCATCCCTGTTGCGAAGCAGATGTAGTCGATGCATAGCGGCAATTCCGGAATAGGCGGATCAGTTGAGAGCCGCCAGGTCTGGGAGATGGGGTCGAAGTGTTTTTCTCGGATGACCGTATTTGTGTGGATTGATAAACGGCCATGTGCGATGTGTTGTTTGAGGAGTTTATAATACCGAGGCGTGATACTCCCGCCATTCCGTGCGGATTGAAGCATTTCGAACCGTTCTGGATGTAAATCAACATCTATATTTGGTGGGCAGGCTAGTGTTGTCTTACCCCTGTCATCATCTGCTGACCAAAATACAGCCTTGTCATAGTTCTTAAATTTTCCCACCCAATTGAGACCGACATCGAAATGCTTGATTTTCAACTCACTTCTCATGATATGCCATACTTTAGTCACCCCTTTGCGGATTGCAACGTGAGATATTTGCGCCGAAGTCAGGCCACCGCCAACAACCACCACATTTGTCACCTCGCGATACTCGATTTTCTTCGCCAACAGCGGACTCGGGAACTTCATTCCAATTTCAGAACTGTGGCATGCACCCCTCTGTTCCTCTGGGGACAGCTCCCAAGGCATCATCTTTGTATGGCCAGGACCAATCGCTAGCACTACTGCTCTACTATGCAGTGATCCGCAGCAAGTCGATACAGTGAACAGCTTCGTGTTCTCTTTGGACCCTTCTATCTCTGCAAACTTTATATCATGCACGTCTGACTGCCGAATCTGATCCACCCCGTCCAGCCCGTATCGTGTGATAATAGACGCGCAGTAATCAGCAAATAGCCGGGTACCCGGAGTGAAGTAATCTTTGCGATCTCGTTCATTGATTTCGGCTTCATGCGGGAACCTGCATCTCAACCCTCTTGTTAGAATAAACTCACATCTTCCCTTTTCTTCTCGTCTTCATTCTAGATAATAACACGAACTGGGACTGATTTCTCATCTTCTTCCTCTTATGCTTGCTAAGCTCATGCCCAACACACCCCGAAAGCTCAAAAAGCTCCTTCTCCCTGCCCGTCTCCCGCGTATACGCCAATAGCCCATCACGGTCACCCGGGTCGAAATGGAAGAACATCGGGCTACGCAGATGATCGATTTCGAGGGCCAGGAACGCCCGATTCCATCGTTCCATCCAGCGAGACCCGGAGCTATCCAGGACGAGAGTCGAATACTTGCTGTTGCCGCGAACACAACAAGACTCTGGTCTGCATATCTGCAGATTTGTTGGCACCTCCGCATGCTCATTAGCCCCGGCATACCGGTCTGCGCGGACACCCTTGTTCTTGCGGCGCTGCGCACGTACTAAGGACATTTTCCCGCGGTGTTTCTTGATCCAGTGATACCGCTGGTGTTCTTCGTCGGTGAACATAGCCGAGGGTGTCTCTTCGCGTAGACGGGCTGCGACGCCGAGACCACATGGTCCAGCGCCGATGATGATTACGTCGTAGACCTCGTTTACTGTTTCTGCCATGTCGGATTTCGGAGAATGGTAATAAATGAAATTGGTTACGTAGGTAGACGTGAGTTCAAGTATTTAAATGGTGTATAGGTATAGGTAGAGTCAGGAATGTGGTTGTGGTATCATCCCCAGGGTCCTCAGGATATGGGGACCTCATGGTTGACCTTCTTTGCTGCTTTGGTAAGACGAGGTGAGTACCTCGGGAGCTCACCACACCAGCATAGGGGAGTACTTAGGTAACAACGACAAAGATAGTATTCGTTTGACTTTCATAAATTAAAAGTCATAACTTTCAGTTGCGAAGTTGTATTGCGAATGTAAATATTTGACACTAGCCTAAGTTGTCGAGTAAGCATGGAAATGCCTGATTTGGAAAGGATAACCCTAATTGACGGGAGACCTTTCACCAAACTACATTCTAGAAACAAATCACGATAAAACATACCTTTGGATCCTTATCAGATATGACAACTCGATTACTAGCTTTTATTTACATATGTAGTTGCATTTTAATTCAGTCTTCGGCTTCTATCCAACCCTAACACTATGACAGCTCTGCCGGGCTGCTCAGAGCTTGAAATATGTACATGAAAAGCTGTTCCACATATCCAGCGACGTGGTGAAAGTACCAGATATTAACGAAATCATCATATGTACATCGGAAGTGAACAAAGCCAAAATCAAGACAGCTGCTTGCTTAATAAACCAAACTTTGAAATGACAGGTACTTTCCCAAGGGCAGGCATCTTCTATGAAACAAATGACAAGCGAAAAAAGTTAAGTGCTGGGTCCACCAACAGTGATGGCGAGCACCGAAGGGTTCTTGGAGGAGACCTCACCAGAAGCGTTCTCGTTGTTATCCGGGTTGATATCATCGTAAGAAAAGGCGTAGCCCTTCCCGTCAACCTCGTACTTGTGAACAATCTCCGAGTACCAGTTAGCAACCTTCGTGGTGTAGTAGGACTGCGCGCCGAGAGAGGGCTGCACATCACCGCCGTCCAGCAAATAGGTACCACGGTTAAAGGCAGCACAGAGACGTGGCACTACGGCTTTGCGGACTGCGTTGTCAGTGGCTGGCTCCACGTTGAGCGGGCCGCTAGCACAGCCGAAGATATCGGCGCTGGCGGGCTTGGTGTAGTTCTTGTTGTCGCCACCGCAGAGAAGCGTGTCGCCGGAGACGTTGCAGGTGACATTTCCGGGAGTGTTCTGGGTGTTGACGGTGAGAGAGGTGCTGCTGTATTTCTCCCACACCTGGTTGACGTAGTCATCAAAGTAGTTCGAGAGGCCGAAACTGGAGTTTTCGGCGACCATGGAGTTCGGGGAAAGAACGCGGATGACGGTGCCGTTCAAGGTCTGGCAGAGCTGGTCCCAGGGCTTGCCGTCGACGGAGGTTTGGTTCCTGAGATCGTTGCAGATCTTAGGCACGGCGTCAGCAGGGAGGCCGAGGGCGGTTTGGACTGCACCGGTGGAGTTGGTGAGGGACAGGCCGAGAGGCAGACCGACAAAGTCGACGTAGCTGACGTTAGCATAGACGCCGGAGTCAGCTGCGTAGTTGAATTCAACGAATCCCCAGTTGACGCCAGCACTAGGGTCGCTTGGGTTAGTCTCAGACGGTTGGGTGACTTGAGGGGCGCCGTTGGCGTCGAGGTTAGTAAAGAATTGGAGGTTTCCAACAGCGAACCAAACACGAGCAGACTTGATATAGCCGGGAATAGTGATGTCGGTGGTTTGGCCCTTGGGGTTCAAAGGAATGGCAATGTTGGCGGTGATGGGCTGAGGAGTAGTGCTTCCAGCGCCATCTGGGTAGTACCAGGTGCCATCTGCCTGGAGAATCATAGGGGTCAAGGTGCTGCTGTCGCTTGATTCGGAGCCAGTAATATAGCAGTTCACATTGTTTCCGATGTTGTTGGTTACGGTGATTTTGAGGGGGGGGCCGGTGCCGTTGCCATCATTTGAAGCGTGCTGGATGGCACCAGCGGTTCCATTGATAGTATCCTTGAAGTTTATGATTAGATCTTTAGCAGTTCCGGGGTGCAGCTCTGTAGGACGAGCAACGGCGTGCTGAACAGCGCTCAGGGCGGCAGTAAGGGCCAGAGCCCATTTGGTGACACCAAACATTTTGTATATTGGTGTATATGTGTATATAAAGACAATAAGGGGGCTTTGAAATTGGTGTATGAAGGAGAGACAAGAGTGTATCTAACACCCGTAGGAAAGGAATGAACTGTGTCCAAGTGTACACACAAAGAAGAAAATGACCGTGCAGAAAGAAGATGAAGTGATAGAAGACCTGACACAAGGTCAGGCCAGTCTTATTTATTCTGTCATCCACATCTCCCCTCCACCCGTCCTGCCGAGAGGACTATAATAATCTCATAACGGTCGATCATGGTCTTAGAAATGGCAGTTTCTATCTTTGATTCGATCCATGGGGCCGGGAGTCACGCTCAGGAGCCCTGGCAGTATCATGATGTGCTAGGGTCTAAAAGCATGAGGTAGCAATCCGTGTGGACCAGACATGGGGAACAGGAACTAGAATTGGTGTTAAAGGTTAGACGGCTGAAACCCCTTATACAAATCTATAAGAGGTTGTAAAGTGTAGACTCGGTAATGGCGCGGCCCGGGTGCAGTGTTCCGTTTTGGGTGTCATCATTGTTGAGCACGGCCTCAAAGTATCAGCGAGGCGTATTTATTGTTGAATAGGCGCGATCTGTCAGATAAGCCGACGATCTTAGCGCCAATGTCAGCACTCAGCAAAGACCTCAAAAATGTATTGCTAATTTTCATTCAATAAGTCTTCATTCAAGGCCGTAAGTTGGCACACTACTTACTGAAAAGATAGCCATTTCAAAGAAATACATCATTAACAACCTGCGTCTGTAGGATTTAGTTAGAGGCTCACATATGACTATCACTGTTCTCCATTTCTGCTACGCCATGACCAACGGCCCCATGACGGAAACAACGAAATTAGAGGCAATCACTCAGTCACAATGGAGCTATATTCTGATACTACATTAAAGCCGTCCACACTCCAAGGTCCCCGGAGCATTTACGGCCGATACACTATGGAAACACAATTACATACGTGCATGATCCATACATAGTGGCTAAACTTCTCGTTGAGCCCTACATGGTTTAAGGTTTGCCATGGATTCTGTGGCTTTTGTGGCTTGCGGAGAGATCTCAACAGATCTCACATTTACTTCTTGTTCGTGGCTTGAAAGCTTCCATATGGCTTCCCAAGGGTATGAGCAAGACCTGAATACGACATACTTATTATCCACACCGTAGCAAGGACAGTCATGATAGCAGTGTTGGTAAATGGTATATAGGTACTATGTGATCGCATGCAACCCACGCCTGGAGTAGTGCAAAATTCAGGCTAACGGCAGATCTCATAACCTGTGTATCCTTGGTGACATACTAGGGCCGTTGCATGCATCGAGACTCAAGTAACTATCTCAATCATCACAGACTAAAAACAATTGGATTGTGACAAAACACTGACAGTCAAACACACAACCACGAGCTTCGATATGAATTAAATATGTTACTTCTTCATTAACTAATAGCGTTATTCTGTAATCCCTTGATATTTTGTTTAGCTGTATCTATAACAAGATGTTGGTTGAATCTATCCTGATTGGCTAGCGAGATATACTCCTAACGCAAGGCTAGTCAGGCACTGCCGCCAGGGACCACCGCTGATTGGCCAGGGCATATCCAAAACCTGGCCGTGACTGAGGCCTTCCCCTAACAATAGGATCTCGGCGTGGCATTACTAGCAGTGTCAATGTGACCTCGCCGTGCGACCCAAGCAATCATCTTTACTAAAGTTTTCTGTTAGAGACCAGAAGTTCTCCGTAGAGAAGAATATTAATATATATTGATCAGCGCATCTGGATTCTGCGATCGGCAATCGAATATGTACTGACTACATTAGTCTTAGAGTTGCCTTAAACAATGTTCTAGCGAGCGCCTTTCCGGACTCTAAATACGCCAATGGCTTAAAAGTCAACAACAGGCCATAGACAACGATGCAATTCTCGATTAGATTATGACTGACGTGTATATCTCCACTACAGCAAACTACGAAATATGTTGATAAGGAGTATATATCCTGTAACCCAGCCAAGCATGCTAGCCATACTTATCCAGGAATTAGTACATGTATGGACCACAGACAACAGCATTTGAAAAAGGCATATTTTATCGATTTAATCTTTTTCTCTCCGAAACCTATATGCTGAATGGCGTAGACTGCAGTGCAATCAGTTTGACGGGAGTGCCCATGGTGAGGTCCCTACATCTGTCCAAGCTTCGGATTTGCGCTAGGGTTATATTAGACTGTTATATTGACTGATATTTATATAAATATCGGCATTTACTGTGTCATATTTCCTGTTCTGAGGGAGAAGTATATCGATGTTGATTTTAATTCAATGACGAGACATTGTCGTTTCAATTGAAATTTGATACCGTCAAGCAATGTAGTACAGGTAGAATGTAAGCTAAAACTAGATATACAGAAGACTGATAGTTGTGAACATTTCTAAATTAAAGGTCGAAAATAGAATATTCACATATCGTACCAACTGTCACCTATCAATTGATCCATTTCGAGCACCAAAAAACCCATGTTGATATGCACAATGCAACATTTGAAACCAGTATGCGCCTAAGATATACGAAGGCACTCCAGTCACAAACAATATGAAAGTACTTTACAAATACTTAAAAGAGAAATGCATGAAATACCTCAACTTGTAAAATGCAAATGAAAGAAACCTCGATTATTGACACCTGAATATGCATGCCAGGGAATTCCAAACCAAAAGAAAGTAAAATAAATTTCACAAAGTCCAACCCATTAGATTGTACATTCCAAAGATATAAAATGCTAATAGACATTATTAGGCCTAAAATTAAACCCCAACAGATAGCCTTACCATCGTCAAAACCATATACCTAGACAAACACAACACATAAATACAGCACTTAGAAAGAAGTCGTAAACTAGAACTAATTACTTGCGTAATCGTTTCGATTTCGCGTCGCTTTTCGGACGAGCGCCTTCTCGGCGATGCCACGCATCTTGCGGCCAGATCCAGCCGCGAACTCGCTTCGCTTCGCGTTTCTCGCCGAGTTGCGGCTCGGGGATCCATATGTCCTTCGGATCAGAGAGGATGCGTTGCCGACTCAGCGCGCCGAGGCCGCCGACGTTCAGATGGCCGGATGGTTGGGAAGGGAGTGGTACGGCCTTGGATAGCATCAGGAGGAAGTAAAGGGCTAATGTGGCGGTCATGGGAACCCCCAGGCCGTGCGAAGCATCGTCTAGGAAGTTAGATGGGGAGACGCTGCGCGAATGCCCATCTGAGCCAGGCGTGACTGCGCGTGAGGCGGTGGTCGTGGAGGACTCCTTGGTAGCGATGGGGGATGAGAGTTCGAAGTAGCCGAAATAAGGCACATCGTCACCGTCATCGCAGCCAGCGCGCACGCAGACGAGTTCGATCTCAGTAATGATGAAGCCGTATCGGCAGGAGTGCTCGCGCATGCAACGCTGGAGATGGGCGAGGCCCTTGAGGTATTCTACCCTGCGGTGCGGGGGCTCGTTGCGCATAGCCGTGTTCCACCGATCGAAGCTCTTGGCGATTCCGACCACGCGACCGCGTGGGGAGCCGGTGGAGGTTTGTTCTGTGTCGGAAGTGTAGTTGGCAAGGAAGTGAGGGCCGTTGGCGACGCTTCGGCTGTTAGGGGAGATGGAATCGGGGGCAACGTAGAGTCTCATGTGGTCTGATCCTTGAGAGACTCGCAGAGCTGCATTCACGCGTGGTGCGTAGATGTCTCCGACAAGGCTGATCAGGGAGTTTTCGGATTCTGGGGATAGGCGGGAGGAGGGGATCAATGGTTGTGGGGTTAAGTGACCTGAGATTGGGGTTTTTAGAAGCTGGGTGAGGCCGTAGATCTCGTTGAACGTGGAAGGGGAGAAAGATGACCAGCTTCGTAATTGGCGAATATCCCACCAAAAGTAGTCGTGAAGGCCGCGGGTGGGACCGTAGTTAACGGTGCGGACCAAGTTGACAGCAGGGGTAGGGTCAGTTAGATAGGTAAGCAAGGTGGTTGATGATGGCGAGGGCATGGTTGGTGTCAGAAAGCCACCCACTGGGGACGGCTGAGCGCTGTGAACGCGGAGATAATCGTACTGAGGTGATGGCATGGCGGCATATGTGGCTTGTGATGGGAGGTTGATTGGACGAAGCATCCGCACCGGAGGAACTTGTCCATATGTAGGGAAGACAAAAGAGGCGGGATCAACAGGGCTAACAGGGGAGGCATCTGAATGAGAGACATACTTTGGAAGCTGTCTGTATGTTGGATAGCCATATCGAGACAAAGTGGCCTCGTCGATGCTAGAAGCAGAGCCAGAGCGAGAATGGCCAGAGGCATTCTTACGTTTAGCGGATGCGGTCAAGGCAATAGGTGATGACAAGCCAGATACAGGTGTCTGGTTCTGCACCGAGGCTGGGGAGATGGGTGAGATGAGCCCGTTGCAATCAGAAGCATCGATCACGTTTCGTGATAGAGAAGAAGGCCGGCTAGTGGGATATGGCATGAATCCTGGGGGGTTGCGAGTGTTGGACAAGACACGTCGGTGACGACGAGGCCCAACGTTGGAGACCGGCTCGACAACAACATCTTGCGTCCGAATCTTGGGCAAGATCTGAGGTCCGTGTTGGTGGTTGGGTGATATGCTTGGAGTGGTCACGCATGTCAAGACAGAGTCAGGAGATGAGCCCTGTGAATGGTTGGATGAGCCTGAATTATTGCGGCTATGCGCACTATCCACGAAGTGTAGTCTAGCCACACCAGGAGGCGTAGTAGGCAAGTAATACGAGTCTTCCAGAGACATCGTGGCTGGTCTAAGGATGATGTTAGTCATGGTGTCATGCATTGGATATCCCGAACCGAGTCAGATCGTACCTGCGCTAGTGAGAATATTACAACGAGGTCGAGTCAAGACAGTCGATAGTGCAAACAAGTATGGAGAGAGATGCCAGCTCTCCAGGTACAATGAGTCCAGCCCTATACTAATGGAGACAGAGGAGGGAGTGGAGGTGAAGTCAAGGCATAGATGTGAGGATATCAAGAGAGATTATGAACAACTAAAGACAACTTGCTTCGATGCAATCGAAGTGATGAAAGCATGAGCAAGGAGAAGAGAACGAGTATCCTCTGGGCACAGTGTGGTTGTTAAATGTTTGAGGCCAGCAGGTAAACATCAACAAGATCCGTCCGATTGTATCCAGACGGAGAAATCTGAAACACACGCCAGAGCTCCATCATGACGCCAAAGCATACTCCAGTTTCCTGTTCGGCTCCAGTCGAAACCACCAGGAGCGTTCGCAGCGGATCCATTCACGAACTGATGCCTCATCGTGAAGAACGATGTGCGAAACACCAGGATGGATTCAGGGCTTGACGTCGCGTGGGAGGATCTAAATTGGGAAGCTTTTGTGTTTCAAGCACGCGTATTTGGTTAGCTCCCATCGCCGTGCAGCTGGATTTTCCGGTGTCTACATGCTGGCGAGTATGTGGTGTTCTATATTCAGTAACATCAGGTTCGGAGAAGATGCTATTAATAACCACCGAGGGGGTGTGGATAGAGCGACACAGATTCGAGGCGAGCGCTATCCCGGGCCCAAGATAGCATTTTGTTTTGCCCTTGGCGGCAAGCAGAAGCGCTGCAAGAAACGAAGTAGAATGGCATACAGGAGGTACATCGGAGAGAGAGGTGTACTGTTTGGACAAGCGCCAAGGCCGAACCTATTGAGACGGCTTCATTTCCGTAAGCGCCGGCTTGCCCAGTTGAACGACGTGATAAAGCAACACCGCGTCGGTCTGGCAATCAGCGTGCGCGCTTCGACAGTTTCAGGATGCTCTGTTTCTATTTTGATAGCAGGCGCGCATAGGAGTTCGGGAGTCTGAGCCTGGGGCATCCGTCACAGTACGCGCTGCGTGCCCATCACGGCGCTATGCCCGCTCATTGGGCGTGCGCGGGGCCTATGAAACTCACGATGCTGGAAAATCCAGCGCTGTTCAGGCGAGGATTGGCCATCAGCCATCGCTGCACCGGCGCCACTGCGACGCGTGAGTCAATCATCAGCTTCAGAAGTCCAGGCGTGCGCTATGATAGTACAAGTTGAGTGTAGGATCAATCATCGTCAGCGATCGGAAGCCGTCCCGAAGTTTGAACAGCCTCAGGCAGCGTCTGATAGGCGCATGGGCCTGTCTGCATGTAAACAGCAGAGACGATCTCCAGGACCTGCCCACAGTCTCGCGCTGTGGTTGGCCCAGTGTTTCACGACGCTGTTTCATCGCTCGTGCGAGATTGAAGACCTCTGTGACACGTGAGTCACCGCGGTACGGGATCGATTGCGAAACAGTTTGCTTGTGGGACAACGTGATTAGTCTGCTCTACGTCGAATTAAATAAAGATTAAGATTAAGATTAAGATAAAAATAAACATAAACATAAGGATAAACTACAGCTTGGACCATCGGCGATAAAGTGTCCCCGTGTATATTATTAGATCACATTATATTCCGGTTCTTCTTCATGACAGCCAACAGGGGCAGCGTAAGTAAGTTTCTATAAACACGGCGTGCAAGGAGCAAAAAGAAAGAAAAACGTGATCCCCCGAAAGTCCAAAATTACGTCGCCCGCCAGACTTTTCCGACCAAATCAATACCATCTAGATCGGACAATAATAAACAGGACAAAATATGATGTCCAGATTCCGTTCCGAGGCCCCCAAACTGCTAATTCGTTTCATCGCATTAGGTCGATCGTCATTTTATCCATCATGCCTTGACGGCATATTTTCGTCGGAACATATCATCAACTTCGGTGAGATAGTATGTGCCAGAGACTATGGTTTCAGTATTGCCGGTAGGCTTGAAGTTCTTCTTCAAGTGAGCGTGCTCACGGAGCAAGCACATCTAGCATATGTGTTAATTTCGGAGGTCAAAAGCTGGATACGAGTAATATCACTTACAGCATCATAATCGGAAGGAGGAACGACACGGCGAGCCTTCAATCGCTTCTGCAAGTCTAAGTTTTTGGACAATGTGGAAACATCGCCAACAACCTTGACGCTGAACATGGAGCTAGCCAAGCCACTGCCGTAGCTGAAGAAAGCAACTCGCTTTGGCTGGCTAGGATCGAAGGAGATGTTAGACAGCATGCTAACAAGGCCTCCGTAGACACTAGCAGTATACATGTTGCCACACATGGTGGCAACCTGGATGGTAGGTTGCACTCTCTCGTTGAAGCGCTTCTTAGTCAGGCCCATAAAGGTCTTTTCCACTGTGCGGTCGGTCAAAGACTTCTCGTAGTCGAGCTCCCGGAGTTCGGCGGGAACATCGGCGAATGCTGGGTGGGAAGGATTGGCGAGGAAGTCGTTGTAGAGCATGCGGGCGTATGACTTGGACACCAGCTTGCAGGTAGGCGCATGGAAGAGTACGTGGTCGAAGCGGTCCAAGGGAGTTTCGGCGTCCGAAACAACTCCATTGGTTCCGTTCTTCTGCTGCAGGGTGTGTTCGCGGGCATTATAAGCCTTGTAGCAGGCGTCCACGGCTTCGGTGTAGCATCGGAGGGAAAAGTGGCCATCGACAACGGGGTACTCGCTTGTCAGATCGGGCTTGTAGAAATCGTAGGCGTGGGTGATGTAGCTGCCACGGAGACCAGGCTCGAAAACGATGGGGGCGTCCGGTCCAATGAGCATGGCAACACAGCCGGCACCCCCAGTAGGGCGTGCAGTTCCCTTAGCGTAGAGAGCAATGTCACCGCACACGACGACGGCATCACGACCGTCCCAGGCAGAGGACTCGACCCAGTTGATGCTGTTGAAGACCGCATTGGTTCCTCCGTAGCAAGCATTGACGGTATCAACACCCTCCACATTCAGGTTGCCAGACTTCTCAAACAGCTGCATGAGCACCGACTTGACCGACTTGGATTTGTCCAGAAGAGTCTCGGTGCCGACTTCCAGACGTCCAATCGAGGTGGGGTCGACATTGTATTTGCTGAAGAGGGAGGAGAGGGTGGTGAGGGCCATGGAGTAGATGTCTAATTAAAACAGCCGTTAGCAGAGCTCCTAGATTGTGTTTGTGATTGCATCTTACCTTCACGGTCATCGCAGAAGCTCATCTGAGTCTGGCCCAGGCCGATGGTGTATTTGCCTTCGCTCACGCCATCGAATTTCTCCAGCTCAGCCTGGTCAACGCACTATCGGGGCGGTTAGCGAAATATCTCCGTAAAGCAGAGAGCTCCTGGCAGGGACCTACCTGGCTGGGAAAGTAGATCTCAATGGCTTTAATGCCAATGTTCTGAGGACGGGACATGGTGGAGGCGGGGTGAATCCAAGAAAATTCAGGCTTCAGACAGTCTGGGTTCGGCCACGTGCGATTTCCGTAGTCTTCTTAGCTCTATATGCAAAAGCGTCTAAAACACAAGCTGACAAGCACAGGGAGGAGGAATTGAAGAGGGCAAAAAGCAGGTGTCGCGCAGAGAAAGAGAGGTGGTCGGGGTCGCTAAGGGGCAGGAGCATCCGACAATCTTAAATAATAATACTAGTAAATTGTAAAAAGAATAGGAGTCTGGAGGGGGGGGTGGAACCCGGTCACGATTCGCCCACGCGCTGAGCCCACTGGTCCACTGTCCCTTCCACGGTTTTCAGTATTACTTTTGAAAACTACATAGAGAATAATATTTCATTTCATTCCAATTCATTTCAATTTCAATATGAGATGCTTTTCGCCTTTTCCGTCTGTGCGATGTCGAATAAACGAGGCCGAATAAAGAAAAAACCCTGACCGCCAGTCGGCGTGCAAAAGGGATCCCCAGACTGCTTTTGGCACTGGCTAACTTTTTGCATCCTTTTTGCACCTTTTGCACCCTTTTGCGTTTGTTCATGCTCGCTTTTGCATTGACGTACATCCGCTAAGCCCTGAACAGGAAAACGCCCTGGCTAGTGTCGTCTAGCCAGCCAATAATGTATACGGAACTCGCCCCCACATATACTCCAATGTTCCCTCTTAACTAGTTACCATCTGCTACCACTACATACGGAGTGCTAATTACATGACGGATATATGTATAACACGACTTAGGATTGAAATTCGGGAATCACACGGTCTATCAGTCTATCAGTCTCTACCTTGTGACTGAGGGGACTTGGAAATTAGATCGCAATGGACTGACTATCGCTAACTATCGACGACTAGTCCAGGCAGCTGTTTTCAACATTGAAGCCCCTTTTCAAGAACGGCATTGTGTTGAGACAATTGCGTTGTGTCGGCGTTGACTCGGCAATAGCTCGAGATCATATTAGTTGTCTAATTATTCCGTTACCCAGAGATGCCAATAATCAAGGTAGGCATTCCGATGTCGGGCGCCCGGGAATGCGTTCGGGCATAAATCAGAGTGTTATCAGATTACTTAGCATTTTGCTTAATTCGGATACTCTCGAAATAACGGATGTCTTATTTTACAAGCTTTTGGTTTAAAATTGAATTTCGACTAGTTAGAGGGTGGCTGGCATTCCCGGATGCTGAAAGCATTCCCGATTCTATTCTCATTTGATCATTCGATAGTCGATTTCAGATGTCTGTTGATGCAATAAGGGCCATCCAAAGTATTGTATTACATATGTATCGGTCGACTATAGTTCGCACATGTACATAGCCGTGGATAGATCAATTAATCTCACTGTATATATTTGAAGTCACGCCGCAACCACGTGCACGTGCATTTAACTATCAATTTCTTGGCAACATCAATTTTCAACGCATCCTTGATGTCAATGATCTTCAATGCGCTGATGCTCAATTATTCAAATATTCACTGCCCCTAAAGGTATTCTACTTTAATTCCAACACCGTCTCATTACTCAATGTTGGTTCAATGCGGCCCATGTTCCAGATGTTCGCGACACACTCTATCTTATCAATGTTCTAGAACAGCGAGCGCATGTATTTGCTAGTCTACATGTGCACATCTGGTAGACATGGACGTTAGGATTTTGGCGATAATGATTCTAGACAAGATCAAAATCATACATATGTCCGTATGTGCATATGTAGTTGAATGGGGGTTCGGCTCCTTGCATTGGTGCTGCCTGCAGCACTTGGCGGCCGACTGCGCCACGCGTCCAAAACGTTGGTTAAACGCAGCGGGAACCTAACTCGGCCAACGACTCCTGTATCACGGTTCACATTCACCTCACCTCACTTCTACGAGATCACGACAATCAACCACCTCCACCGCCTCAACCCCCTGCATCGCCTGTGCACCCCGACATTCATTGCGATATCCATCCTATACCGGTTTGTCTCTCGCTACAACTCTCGTAGAAGCAGTTTCGCTATGCTTCTCAGTACCGTGCACTCGTTCTCCAGATCATGATCCCGGATGCTACGTTATCCTTAATCTCCGTGTAGCAGCAGGGCTCCGTAGAGCTCTGTCAATCCCATCTCGGCAATGGGCGACGAAAAGGTTCAGTATGAGCATTTGCCCATCCCGACCTACGAAGAGGCCACTTCGTCCCGACCGGGCTCCTCGCACCTGGGACCAGAACATTCCAGCGATGATTTAGAGAGGCAGGGCCTCCTCCAACATGGCAGCTCCAGCGATAACAGGCCGACTCGCAATGGAGGCTACCAACCGCCGACCGTGGAATCTGCGCGCTCGAGTATTGATTATCTGGCCTCGTCGGCTGAAAACACTCCGCGCGAATCGATGGAGGAGCTACGACGGGAGCTACATGAAATGGACGTGGACGATTCCGGTCAATCATCGTCTCAGTCTACTCGACCGCCGCTGCGCCATCGCTTTTCAAAACAATTTTCTAGTCTAACCAAAACATTGTCATACATACAGTTTCCGTTTCGAAATATGTTCCCGCGATTACGATTCCGATATGACTTTTGGCGAATACCAGTAAACGAAGATGGACAAGGCTGTATAATTATTCTTCGTGTTGTCGGTCTTCTGCTTGTCGTCTTGATAATATATATCTTCTTTGTGTCCGATTTATTCACGATGGGCTCTCGCTTGAGCGTCGGCCAGTCCTACACTCCATCTTCCGTGGAAAACTTCGTCCAGAGCCATATCAATCAAACGAATATCGCCGAAAACCTGGACAAGGTGACGCAATATGCACATATTGCGGGAACTGAGGGAAGTTTCGTGCTAGCGGAGTGGATCGAACAGGAATTTGCCAGGGCCGGGTTGGAAGAAATTGAAATGGAAGAGTTTCAAGTGTACCTGAATTATCCACGGCCCGATGGTCGTCGTGTTGCTATAGTCGATCCTCCGAACTTGGCATGGCAAGCTGCTCTTGATGAAGATCAGGCATACAAGGACCCACCGCGCCAGCAAACACTTGTTTTCCATGGTCACTCCAAGTCCGGCAACGTTACTGGCCCGCTAGTATACGCCAACTATGGGTCTCGCGAAGACTTTCAAAGACTGGCTGATAATGGCGTGTCTTTGAACGGATCAATTGCCCTGGTACGATACTACGGCACCCAAGGAGACCGAGCGCTCAAGGTCAAGGCTGCTGAACTAGCCGGCGCTGCTGGGTGTATCATCTATTCTGACCCAGCCGAAGACGGCTTTGTTCAGGGACCAGCCTATCCAGATGGTCGATATATGCCGAAGGATGGTGTGCAGAGGGGAGCTGTTAGTCTTATGTCCTGGGTAGTGGGTGATGTCCTCTCACCAGGCTTTGCCTCAACCCCAGATGAGAAGAAACGGTTGTCGCCAGGAGAAAGTTTAGGTCTAGTCCAGATACCGAGTATTCCAATCGCCTGGCGCGACGCACAAAGATTATTGCAAGTCCTCAAAGGCCATGGCTCAAAAGTGCCTGCGGATTGGGTGGGTGGCGTCCCGGATATTCTAGAGTGGTGGACTGGTGATCACTCATCGCCAAAAGTCAACCTGATGAACCTTCAGGACGAGGTTGAACGGCAACCGATCTATAACGTTATTGGGAGGATTACTGGTATGGAACAGCCGGAAAAGAAGATCGTTGTTGGTAACCACCGAGATTCGTGGTGTTTTGGTGGCGTGGATCCAGGAAGTGGTACTGCCACTTTCTTGGAAGTAGTACGTGTTTTTGGAGAGTTACGGAGCCTCGGATGGCGTCCTCTCCGAACCATCGAATTTGCGAGCTGGGATGGAGAAGAATACAACCTCATCGGATCCACAGAACACGTTGAAAATGAGATTGATAGTCTGCGAAAAGATGGATTTGCATATCTCAATGTAGATGTTGGCGTAAGCGGGGACTCTTTTGAAGCTTCTGGGTCGCCCCTCTTCCAACGCATCCTCTATCAAGTCATGAACCGCATAGGAGATGGTGCGGCGAACAAAACACTCAAAGAAATTTGGGATGATCAAGGCCAGAATTTCGCTGCGTTAGGTGCTGGCAGTGATTATGTCGCATTCCAAGACATGGCAGGAACCTCTAGCATCGACTTCGGTTTTAGCGGAGCGCCTTTCCCGTATCATAGCTGTTATGAGAATTTTGAATGGATGACTCGATTTGGCGATCCTGGTTTTGAACATCACCGGATGTTGGCTGAGTTCTGGGCATTATTGCTTTTGGAGCTTGTGGATAGCCCTATATTACCCTTTGATTTGATAGCGTATGCAACCGATGTTGCAAAATATGTCGGCGACCTAGAGAAATATGCCAAATCGAAAGGCGTTCCTCTCAAACCAGCGCCGCAGACACGACAGCGAGCCGAGACTGTGGATCTGAAGCCGCTATATGATGCGGCAGGAGTGTTCCAAACCAACGCAGCCGAGTTCCAAGCATGGGAGCAGGCCTGGTATACCACAGTGTACGGCTCAGGAGGATTCGAGAGTAATGTGCTAGGAGTACAACGTATTAACCATAACAACCGTATAGCCGATTTTGAGACGAATCTTTTAGACCTGTCCGAGGGCGGCGGAGTAAGTCACTACCTATCTTTCACCATACTATGTATTAACAATTTTCCAAGGTTCCCAACCGCACACAATTTAAACACGTTCTTTTTGCCCCTCAAACCTGGTCCGGTTACGACGAGGGCAACTTCCCTGCCATTCGAGACGCCATCGACACTGGAAATTGGAACGCAACGCAGTCCTGGATTAACCGAGTAGCGGAAATAATCACAGTAGCGAGCTTGAATCTGAATCGGTAACTGAATTATACGCCCAGCGATACTTACTTTTTTCATTCATATCATTTTCTCTTTTTTGTTTATCGATCGAGGATCCTCTTCCTCATACTCTCATACTTGTACATGCTACTACTATTACCCATTAGCTCTCTTCTGTGTATAAAGATAATTTCTCACCCTCGATGTCTGTATCATCGTCTATGCGGCATACCCTCTTTTCAATTCTCGTCTACTGCAGTGGTTATATTTGGTATGAATATTTCCCCGTGTTTGTCTATTGTCGTTTACAAAGAACCTGTTCTGAACGTCTTGAGGTTGGTGATGTTGCTTATTTGTTGTTCGTGTTGATAGAACAACCATTATATTGTAGGGTCAATGGTGTTTGTGAATAATATGCTCTAAACCTTTTTCATTGCCATTTCAGTGTTCAAATGTTGCCCCTTGAAAAGATCTAGGTTCAGATATTTATCTGAAAGCATGTTCCAATATTCATACTTGCTCCCTAAGAGGTAAGCTATGACGAACCCTAGCGTATCAACTGAAGTCGCTAGATTGAAGGCGAACCTTTTCCATTAAATGTAATACCCCAAAAAAGGTTCCGTATGCGCATATATTGGGCCAATGCAACTAAATCTGCTGTTGCTATCATGTCCACCTGATCCTTTAATGAAGCCTTTGGTAATTTCATTTTCTTCTTACTGAAAGAGTCTTAATAGAGATAATAGGGCATAATATATCAATCAACGAATCAATCTAATTTTGAGATGGCACCGCATTATCAAACCACATGAAATGAATCCAGGCCATGTGGATATGTTTAGGTTGAGAGTTAGAGCTGGGCGATGCCAAAATACGTTTGACGAGAATGTTTACAAAAGCCAAATGTGGAGCCAATGGCTGACTCTAAGGGAGTCAAAGACTTGAAAATCCAAAGCTCAATTCGATTGACTCAACTAAAAGGAATAAAATTCCGGGGTATTATCCTCCTCGAGACAGGCCGCAAAAAGCAACATACTGCAACAAATTCCGCAAAAATCATGTATGTAACCAACAAACAATCCAAAACGCCTGAAAAGCTTGGAGTTGAGAAGAAGCTGCCAGCCAGATTGATCAACAAGAAAAACAAACAAGGAGAGCCCCGCTGTTAATAATAGAGAATCGGTCATTAAGGCTGAAAAAGGACTGCATGAATAGAATGAGATTGGAGGACCGGTAATGCTTTGTAGAATGACAGAAAGAATATGGAGAATTCCGTAATCTCCAGATGCAAACAGAATGCATATGATATGTATGATATGATGATGAGATAAGTGTCGTTTTGGCAAGAGGATATGAGGATGAAAAAAGAACGCCTAGAATGATGCCGGGGAAATATAAATGATTGCTCCATGCCTGTTGTCTGGATATGATACGTAGAGGGGTTTGAGAAATGAATAGAATTAATAGGATGGTTTATTTTCGGAAATTGTCGACACTTAAAGTCGGTATTTCGACTAGGTCATCGGTTGGAACACCCTCGTCGCGTCTTCGATCGTAGAAATTGTCGCATTCTGATACAACTATCGCCCATTCTGCAAGCGCGCGGCCTGCGTACTTACTAGCAACCAAATGCTCGTTGCGAAGTTTGCTGACGTCAATGGCTTCCGTTTCGTCGACCGATATTTTGTTGGACATGTATGATTCATTTGTGCTGGCGTTGGACCCGTCCGTGTCTCGCTGGTCACCTTTCAATTCGTCAATGCTGCCCTCTGCTCCGGAGTCGTCGTCTGTTGTTGAGTCATGTAGAGTCTTGGATCGAATATATTGAATATGATGGAGGGTGCCGTTAGGGAGGGTCGGGGAAAACAAGCGTCTGTTTTTGCTTGGAGGGGTATACTGTTGCCATTCCAACGAGAACTTGAAGATGTATTGTTGGTGTGGGGTCTGCAGCTCTTGAAAACTGTCGCTATCGTCACCGGGTTGGCTGCCACTGTCTTGAGAACTGGAGCTAACTGTTGGTGTAATGACGTCGCCCATGAAATTGTCCATTGGGTTTATATCGTTTTCATCAGAGCTACCAGGCGGTGTTACCTCCCCAGGCTTTGGATTGTTGACTCCAGCAAACATGTTTTTCAACATGTTCCACCTGCGTCTTGGTGCTGACTGGGACTCAGAAGGAAATCCATTGGGATCGACCGTGAGAACGCCGTGACTGCGATAACTACCATTGCTTAATGTTGACTGCGGAGTGCTGACCCGGTCAAATGAAACAAATAGGTTGGTAGGAGAAGGTTGTTGATTGTCACAGCGAATGATCAGGATTCTTCGACTGGGAGCTGGACTGCACGGAGCGGAAGATAATTGCGCCTTTCTTTCTTTTGCTGCCCTTGATTGGAAGGATAAGTAATAAGCCCAGACCTGTTCCAACTTGTCGAGAAGAAGCTCATAAATGTCACTGTCATATGTTAGCAAAAGCTGACTCGACATTAGCAGCTCAACTTACGAATCCACGGATGACGGATCTTCATTGAACCGTGCAACCCTCCAGCAAAGTAAGCGATGGAAATACGACCGCACCATAGGACTCCAATGGCTAAAATAATGGTAGAAGTAATTGTCGTTGAGTAAGAACTGCTCACAGAGATCACGATGTCGTTGAGAATCGGAGGTCCATGTCTTCCAAAGAGAGAAAACGAAAGCAAAAAGTCGAACCTCGGTCAAGGAATTCTGACTGCGGGCCATTTGCTTACAGACATCCATCCAAAACGGCCAATCGAAGATGTCTTCTTTGATTTTGCGGCAGTACTGGTTGATCAAGGGAGCTGCTTCTTCTACAAAATCGCATAGGACAAAGCAAGCATTGTGGTCAAACAATGACGTCCTCCGTGCAGCAGTCTTTAATGTACGCATAAATGAATCGGCATAGATGCGGCGCGCTTGTGTAGATTCCTGTGACGGGTCTGTGAAAAGGTCTCGCAAAAGGATTATCAGTCGGTTCTCAGCCATAGAACGATGGCGGTTTGCAGCTCCCAATGGCAACGTAGACATGGCTGTATCAGGAGCTTCCATTAAATCGTCAAACGTGACCGAACTGGTGGCAAAAGCGTTTTCAGGCATCTGCGGAGACGATTGGCGATAAAGAGTGTCTTCCAAAACGACCAATAGTTGGCCTTGTACTGACACCATGCCTGGCGCAAAAATTCGTTGTGATTTCTGCGTCTTTGTGGATAAGAAGTCGCAATGAAGGACATGGAAATGCTTGATGAAAACGAAGAATAGGTCACTTTCTCGCCCACACCAACGTGACACCCATGGGCCATGCCATTGAATTTGCACCGCACTCAAAGGTAAATTTGGTGGTTGACGCAAATGCCGTATAGCCGTAGTATGTGAAAAGAAAGATAGTGGTCTGACAGGCAGAGGAAATGCCATGGCAATATCATGAGCAATCGATCTTCCTCCCAGTCCTTTATGAACTGATGGGTCGGCAAGGATTCTGCGATAAACATCGGAGGGAGTATTCCACAGTCGCACTAGCATATCGGCAATTCCAGGACAAAAGTAGAATGCATAGGCGCATGCTTTTCCGCAGAAAGACACCAGGCTAGCTGGTGCATGCCTCATAGACATTCTTTCCACAACGAACGACATTTGAGAGAGCAAGTTCTGGTTAAAAATGTTCCTGACGTTGTGATAAATCGACTCCACCAAAAAATCAGACGATTCTGATTCCAACGAGGACTTAGAGCTGCCAGCAGAGGAGTCATGTACCCTATAAGGCATTCGCCACTCCTTTCGCATCATAATGCCTGCCATAGCTTCTAAATAGACGGGTCGGTCAGTTCCAGATACCGATTGATGATGGTTTCCATGCAGCATAGCTAATAACGCAGTCCACCATTTATTCCAAATATTTACTCGGCGGTCAAGATCTTCCGGTCGCAGACTGTCGAGTGATGGGTGAGAAGCATATCGAGCGAGGAAAGGGAGAAGCGAAGAGCGAATCACGTTGGCTTTCAAGTTGGTTGACTTGGCTTGGAATCTATGTAAATCCGCTTCCAAGACTCTGAAAACAGTCCATAGTTCGTCTTTCTTTCGCGGCGGTTCGACAGTTACAGGAACTGAAATGACAGGGGCTTTAGGGAGCGGTGGCAGAGTTGCAGTTGATATATGTTGTCGCATCATCTCGTCCAGCGACTTTCGGCTACGGAGAGAAGGAGATGACGATGCGGAAGGATCTGCGGACTTGCTTCGGGGAACGAAAGCGCTTAATGGACGTCGTGTCTTTTTGTTTATAGATCTCCTGGGGCTTTCGGCCGAATCCACGGATGCCCCTTTGTCATCGGAAGTACCGCTTTGCAATGACACGCCGTCTGCGTCTCGTAAATGTGAACCCGGCGTTGGAGACTGTTCTCGTGAACGAGATGCTCTTCTCTTAGACTCAGTACTCCCTGGTGAGGGGGACCGAGAGCCTGCCATCCAGGAAACCCGTGCCAACGTAGCAATTTTCCCAGAGACAGACCGAGCCTTCGTAGGTCTGACTGGTATAGTCTGTCGGCTCTCCCCACCATTAGTCTCCATGCTGTTTGCAGTCCCTACATTGGTGGACTTTTCCTTCAACGTGTTGCCGTTTGAAGAGCTTGCAACGGTGGTTTTGGATGGGGAGCTTCTGGTGGCTGCTGGTTTGGGTTTGTTTGGTGAGCGGAGAGTCACTCTCCGAAGAATTTCCTTGCCAGCAGAGAGGTTTTCTTTGAACGAGGAGTCGTTTTTGGACGAGAGACTAAGATCGGAGAAAGTCCTCTTCACGCCGGGTGAGCTGGGACCATGATCAGACTCGTCTTCCTTTGTGGAATCGAAGCTCGCGGCTCGGTGAAACAACGGTCTTGGGATGGGTTCAGTTGAGGATTGAGTCGACAATGGCTGAGGCTGGAAAGGACGCTGCTGGACTTCAACGGGGCCTGAGTGAAGTGCCATTGCCAGCGGCTCTTGTTGATTCAATGCTGTCTAGAGAGACCAGCTCTCCACGACCCGATGACGCCGGAAAGGTTCAGATCATACACATAGTTTGGGAACGAGAGTATTCGTGTCCTCCCTTTCGTCGGGACTATTTTTGACGCTGTCGGGTGTCGGCGGGTGTAGGTATGCTGAGCACGACAGGAATGTTGGAGGTTTTAGGTGGGTGCGGTATCAAGATAGCGGGCAAGACAAAAAGATTGCTGGCTGAGCGTTGTCGCGGATGTTTCGGATAGTGTGGAATATACAAGGAGAATGTAGCGTAGTATACGCGATCAATCCAAACAGAAAAGGAAAAGCGGAGGAAACGACTGATTGCGGTGGTAAGATGAGATACGACTGACGTTGGGGTCCGAGCTATTAAGTGCTATGCAAGTAACTGGGACAGACGGACAGTTGCTGTGAATGCAACCACGAATCAAGACGAGATGAGACGATTTTGGGGGAACGAGCGAGAAATCGACAAGGCAGAAACAGGCAGCGAGGGGAAGGTTGAGGGAGGGGGCGCGGACAAAGTACGTACAGCAGGCAGAGGTAGCAGTGACAGCGAAAGTGAAACAACGGTCAGCGCGCGGTTGGAATGAAGGCGGGCGGCTGCTGCATAGCTTAGTACGTAACGTACTTGCTTACCACTTACCTCCCTGGCCTGTCCGCCTGCGATCGCTCCGATCAGATTCGATCCCTTATTTTAGATGCATAATCCTGCATCTTTCTGTTCTGCATTCATTGAACAATTCTAATACATAATACATTACAATTCCACCCGCAGATACATGACTGCGGGACCATGTACACACTGCACTGTTGGTCCTCATCCGCACCCATCATCAACATCGAATCACCTGCGATAATAATCATCTCCCAGCGCAAAGATGCGTCCCATGAATACTAATAGCACTAGCAAACCCCCTTCCCTTCTTTCTTGAGGATAGAAATATGAATTGTGGAGCAAATCCGTATTCATTGACAATAGTGCCGAGAACTACCACCGACCATCGCGTCTTTCTCGTCCAATCTGGCCTGCACGGCTGTCCGCTTGGTCCACGTACCAGCTTGCTCTAGGGCAGGCTAGTCAGCAGGCAATGCCAAGCAGCCTCCTGGGGGGTTAGCACCGCTATTGTTAGGGGGCTTGACCTTATTGCGCCTTGCCAGTGGATGCGCACAAAGGCTACTTAATTAGTACTTAGTCTTTCGACGACTTGGTACTAATCAGTGAGTGGATCGAGGAGCTGAAGCAGCTGTCTACGATGCAAGACTCTCCCATGGGACTAAATAATGGCATCAGTGATTGATTAATTAAGTATTGTCAATATTGCACGGAACTCTTCTGGGACTTTCAGCGGTGAAGAAAGCTCCAAACTGGACGGACTATTCTGCCGGTTCAGCTTGCCAGCTCATACATATGCACCCCGTGCCTCGTATGCTCATAGTCTCGCTCGTTCGTATTACGACTCGACTAGATTTGCTTGCTCTGCTTAGCCACAAGCCACAGATGACTCCGAGTGCGGCGGCAATCGCCTACAAGCGAGAACTTTAAACAGACTGATCTGGCATTGAGTTCCTAGTATCATTTAGCGAGCTGCGATGATTCATGCACGGCGTGGCGTGGCATGGTACAGGTATGGAGATCGCCTCGCCGCCGGTGGAGAATAATTCCAAGCTGTCGGAGTGGGAAGGGAGACATGGCGATCAGCCTCACCAGTTCGCAGGGCCATGTCGTGCTTTTCCTCTTTTTAATCGACCTGCTCACTCTGATTAATCTCCCGAGTCCCGAATGAGCGGGAAAAGCTGAATACGTAGATTAGCCTTCGCTCTCATCACTGGGTGTCCCGTAGCATCCGCTGATTGAGTTTCTTTTATACTTAACATGTGCGCAGCCTGGGCAGCAACAACTAGACCAATTCAGACACTTGGCCCGTTCGGGAATGGCGTACGCATATGCAATGCGCATGCTTCACAGGTTGACAGCAGGATGTTGTATCAATTAGTTGATTATTTCGTGCTTGCCCTTCACCGATACCTAACATCTGTGTATAAGTTCAAGCAGGGATACATGATAATTAAATCGAGAGCTCTTCCATTTGCCGCGCGGTCTGACTGTCAATATTCATAAATATTCATAATTAATTTTGTCGTAAATATTTACCATGTCAATATCTATTTGTACATCAAGACAGCCAAGGCCGTGCTTGGTGGCAGGTTTTCGAACAGGCCCGTCCAAAGCTACATGTACATCTAACAATCAATTGATAGTGGAGTCAAAACAAATTCTTTGAGCTCACAGCTCATTCAATAAATAATATTATATGTATTATGTACCTTAGATTTCAACCTGATCATAAAATCATTGCTCAATCAACAAGTCCAGTGCATTGTTACATATCAATTGATGTGCCTATGTACATCAATTGATATGTAGCACGTACTTCAAAAGCTACATGCAAGGAGGCTGGCTATGCATAATAGAAAAAGCTACATCAATTATAGATGTGAGAAACTTGCCAAGACACCACATTGGAAAGGGGGATTTTTGAATATTTTCCCTGGGAATATAGGAATTCCACCTTGCATTCAATCGATTGTTGCTCGTTCACCTCGCGTCTAGGTCATCAAGTGCCTGTTAAATTGAATTGGTACGTAGTCCCTGGAATGCCGTTATATTTCTATAGATTGGTCAACTGGTATACTTACTGGTTAATAATATGAGAGTTTGGAGGAGTTGCAAACACGGTTTTCAACTGCTGTATGTTATAACTGAGTAATCGCAATGACGAGGCAGCAATTGGTTATTATTTACTCACCGAATCCAAGCCACGAGCCCATGATTCAAAACAATGCACAAAGGCAACGTCAAACAAGCTACTTTAGTATATCACTGGCATCTCGCACGTGAGTTGTTGCGTTAGATTCGGCTTATAGCAGGGCTAGCGCCCTAAACAAGAAACAAAGACGACACCCAACTCATACACCGCCAATACAAAGGAAAAAGATAAAATTTGACTTTCGAAGCTGGTTTTGATAATAATTTACACGCTTCAATTGAAGGGACAGTATAAGCGAATCTACCGAGACAAAAACAATCTCTGGTATTTCCACACTAGACAGACATGTAGCTCCCAAGACTATGACAAAACAAGAAATCCCGGAATATATCTGCAATGTATCAAAGTTCACACGCTCGTAGTCGGTCGATGTATTGTTCCACCTGACCCCCACGAAAAAAAAAAGAAATCCGGTCTTGATGATATATGCGTTCTAAGGACCCGGTAATAATAATTGTTTCTTTTTAACACGCCACACACTTAGTGAGAAGCGGGTTGCGCATCTTCCACATCCTCTTCGAACCAGCTCTCCTCCTTGGGGGCAGCTTCGCCGGCTGCGGCCTGGCCTTCAACCTCGACTTCCTGGGTCTCGTAGGCTTTCAGGTCGTTGGCGATGTTGGACTCTTCGGGGGATGGAGGGGGCTTGGGAGCGCTGAACTTTTGGACGTGGGCATCGGCATCACCGGGCTTGATGGGCTTGGGCTTGTAGGCGCGGAGTTCCTTGAGGTAAAGGTCCTGGACGGGGTCTGCTGTGTGTTGATTCGAGGTCAGCTCAATTCCAATTGCAGGCAATGCCATGATACCGCAGTCGCAGGGCGGGGACATCAAGTCGAGAAAGAAGTTCTGCATAAAATTTTGCGCATAGAGGGAAGATTCACGTACCCCGGCGTGTAGCAGTGGTCAGGAAGGTGCGGTAGGAAACGCCAACGGACTGACGGCTGGCTCGGGTGAGCAGCGAGCGCTGTAATTACGCCGGCCCCGGTTAGCAATCTGGGTCCAATTTGAAAGGAGCCGTTAGCTTACAGAGGCCCTAAGAGATTGAGACATCATCCTGACGGCGGATATGTTGTGTGATTAGGTGGTTTGAGCGGGGGGGTGGTGGCAGTCCGTGATATGCAAATCGTTGGAGGTTCGGAATGACTTTTGACAAGTCGCGGAAGAGGAGGCTTGGCACGGCCGGCTTAGTCACCCCTCATTCTTCCGATGCTTCTTTTACTGTACTACTATTTAACTAGCTTAAAACACTTAAGAGTGCCATTGAAATTGTGATAAAAGCTTGATTTTTATTGTCTATTGTTTTAAATGTTTTCTCTCGATGTTATACTGTCAGTGAAAAAATTCTAGAAAACACATAGCAATAAAAAGACGACTGATCGTATGTCCAATCTAGTTTGCGTCTTGAAACTTGAGTAAAGCCAAGAAAACCAAAATCCCAACCAGTGATCTGGGTACTGCCCAAAAAAAAAATTGGTAAAAAAAAGCAGCATATAATCGGCCAGCCTGAGAGGTCTTTAGCTCGGCGGCAAATTTGCCTTGTCACCGTTGTAATTCTCGACGAATTCATCAGTAAGCAGGCGATCTTTCTCTGCATAAAGTTGTTTGTAGGCGCCGCGAATAGTTCCATCGCTAACACCAACAACATTGGAAATCTCCTTGGCAGATCGGGTTGCTCCACAGAGGTGCGAGATCATGTACAGGCAAGCAGCGACGATCGATAGAGGAGATCGACCAGCAAGATCGCCGTCCTTGGTCACCTTGTCAGATAGATCGATGGCTGCACGAATTTCGCGCCAGTCCATTCCCAAGAATCCACCAAAACGTTCGCAAAGATCGCTCAAGTTTGTGGTGGATGTCTGCAGTTTGAGGGTATCAGTGCCAACCGTAGCCTTCTTTTCGCTGTTCTTCTCATTGAAGAACTTTTCCAGCGCCTTGAAAATTCTGCCGATTTCCTTCCGAGAGACTTTGGTCACAGCGAAGATCTCGGAGAATGTACGGGGGGCGTTGCATTGCCTGCAGGCAATGAAAATGCAGCCAGCGATGATCACATCTTGAGACTTTCCCTTGAACGCTTTGTGGTCATCGACAATCTTGAACAGAAGCTTCGCAGTCTCAGCAACGTTGGAGTTGATGTTGAACCCATCGCACAAAGCGCCAATCTCTCTATAGGCAGCCAACAGAGACTTGTTGTTCCTCTCGCTGGAGATCTTGTTCTGAGCCCGATACAACTGTCGATTGATACCAGTAGCGCCTCCTGCAATAGTTGTTTCCAACTGATCACCATTCAACAAGATGTTGGATGTTTCACCAACACGCGACGGATCGTCGTTGCCCTGATCATCGTTTGAAAAGGTTCGCCATTCGGAGTGAACATCGATTTCGCGATCGGCGAGGACGAGACCGCAAGAGCCACAGACAGTCTCGTGGGAGCCAGGAAACTCAAGGTTCGGGGGAAACTCTTTGCATTCGGGACAAATGACGTGGACAGACAAATTCTTCTTATATTCCCCGTTCGCCACCAGATTCGGTGGTATGGCCGCCATCGTTACTGGGTCGTAGGAAAGGTTTCTTGTAAGCCGACTCTTGAAATTTCGTGATAGCAGTAATGAAATGAGAAGATTCAGAGAGACTTCAAGGAGAGCGAATGGCGAGGTGAAGCTGTAATAATCAAACGATTGACAAAGGCGGCGCCACGGCCGTGACAGCAACAAAGCGCAAAAGGCAGTGGCGCACCTGAACTCAGCGAGGCCCGGTAATGAATTTGCAGCCCTCAAACATGTCTCGCTGAGCTACCTTGAGGGAGGGTGTGTTTGATGAACGAGGGATGGAGGAGAAGAGGCTGATGGCGCGTTCGCTTTGCTGATGAACCCGGCGGGCGCTCCCTAATGACGCACTAATCCTGGTTGGAAGGCGGTGTGTGACTCAGCATGGCAGAATGACAGAAGCCTCCAGAATACTCACTGTCATTCGCCTTTTAACCTTGCGCTGCTACTTTGTGCGTTCTGGATTCACCGGAGATTTCCTGCAAATTCTACATTTCAGTGGCATGATCGTCAGTGAACGGCATTTATTCATATTCTTCGTTGGCGGTATCCGATATCAAGCCGCGGTGGGGAATTTCCTTTGCCTACAAAGTTAATGTTCTACTATCGTTTGAGTTATTGATCAAATAAAGATTGAATTGGTATTGACACAAAGTGCATTTTCCGAAAACCCTAAAGGGTTCTCTCTATTCTCCGTGATACAATGCTTCAGACCCCAACGAATGTAATAGTCAGAGAGTAGGTCTGATTAGGAACACGCGGTCGACTACTCTGCGGTGCTCAATCCTTCGCGCGCAATGTTTGCCAAGCTCTTTCTTTGATAATGCAGGAACCCTCCCCCATTCCATTGCAATCCATCTTCAAACAACCCGGCTCCACATGGTTTTTCTTGCCCGTTCCCTCTACAGCCCAAAAGTTGAGGAGCATAACAGGGAGAACAAAGGTGTCTCTCGTCTGGCCCTTTTCTTTAGCAATGCGCAATTTATCTTGGGTTTCACTGCTTGACGTTTCATCAACTGCAAATTTCCTGCTAGTTGCTGTTTCTAGAGTGTTCAAAGGTTGTCTACCAGTCAGTGTATTTGACTTCGGCAATGTGGATGCGCTTATGCCTTGTTTGATCCTTTGGCATCTGTAGAGCTGCAACCACGGAAGCTGCGATGAATTCACATGAAGATCCAATAGCAGGTATATTACCACCGCCGTACAATGTTACTCTTTGTCAAGGTTGCTCTTTGTTTTGTCAGCTAGTAATTGTCATGATGCCCTCTCAAAGCGAAGTGGACGAACATGCCAGATAAGATGGTCGTAGATGAAATAGAATCGGCCCCTGCTAAAGAGGCAAATAACATGGCGTTTTTCACTCGAGGATTTGACTTGCCCATCGTAGTCATAGCAGACTTGTGTAAGATATCTAAAGTGTACTCTGACGGAAAGATTCTCCTGACGCTAGCTTCTCTGCCAGCATCTAGCAGAAGCGGGTCTATTTGAATTGCAGCAACAGCACTGAGAGCGGAAACAATGACTTCGATTATGCGAAGAGCATTGACTAGCATGTTGTGATCCGTATAGTCTACTTGCTTGACAATCACGTCGACGTTTCCTGGCTGCGACTCGCGGCCCCGTCCTGTGGCATGAAGGCGTCGAAGCACAACAACTTCAAATTTTGATGTGGTACATTCTTGTAAATGATGAAGGATATGCTGCCCAAGCTCACAGCTAGCACCGACAAGTGGGATTTTGGTGAATCCTTGGGCCATTGTAGACTTTCTCCAAGGCTAAGACTGATAAGACTTGAGAAATTTTCAAGAAACAAGGGACATGGACGAAAATATCACTCTTAATAGCGTGTAAATTCATATGGAAGAGAATTATAGAGATTTAATGTAGACACTACTAGATCGAGTATCGAATTACTCGAAATTAAACCAATGCTCTTAAAGCGGCCTTGGAATTTGGTAATTGCTAAGCCGGAAAGGGAGTAAGCAATCAGTTGATATATGATACTGCATTTATCATTTCTAATGGAATTATATTCATATAAACAGTATCAATTGAGGGCAATAAAAGCGGTAGGACGAGACAACAAGAAACCTTGCCATGATCAATTGAAGTCGACAGATTAGGGCCTGCCAAGCTGTATCGAGCAATATTTGAACACTGTAACCAATATATGCTGAGCAGACGAAGACTTATATGGCTTTACACCAGCTTATTAATTTTTTTTAAAAAAGAATCAAATCCACCTCACTGCTAATTGAATTTATTGTTTTGCATTTTATTGATATTTAGAGAACATTTCCTCGTGATTTTCTTCGTAAACCCGACCAGTTAGATTAAGAGACCAGGTTTTCCCGATACATACAATCTCCTCACGTCACATGGAAAAGGTCTATTAGGATGTGCCGGCAAGACTCTCTATATCCATGCTCCTAGTTTAAGTAGCCAAACATTCCAGGATTCAAACCTCTTTGTCACATCCAGGTTTCTTTGAATTGGTCTAGTTTAAGTCCATCCAACCGACAGGTGCGACCCTCAAGGATATCTGCGTATGTACCGCTTGAACCGGAACAAGAATGCGAGGAACTCTTGTAATAGGTTGAAGGCACTGCAGACCATTTAGGAATCTTGAAGCGAGATAATCCATCGTAAATGTTGAAATAATTTAGGCCAAAAAAAGGCGCTTTGGGGCAACTTGAAAGAAAAGTTGAAAGTAAGGCATTGGAAGACATTTGTATTGTGAATGCACCAAGCATGATCGAATCACACTCAAAAAACACCTTTGGCCCCTAAGACGACTGCAGCGCCACTTCGTAATCGAATCCAAAAGCTTCTGAATGCCTTCTTCTCTGTCACTATTCATCTTCTCTGATTGTCATTAGCTGAGATGTGTTTATATATTAGATTAGAATAGCCCACCCAGAATCTTTGATGGAATTGGGAGGCCCAAATTTTTAATTTGGCCCATACTTACTGACATCATAAGGGAGGTTGATTCTGTAAATTGTTGGGACATTTCAAAAACCCATGATATCCAGATCGACATCATTACATCTCGTGGGTTTGTCGCAGGGAGATTTTCCATACAGATGGCCAATTTCTTTTTAATGAAAACCGCCACGTCCTTGCAATCATAAAAGTCAACCAAAATAGCAAGCTTAGCAAGTAGCTCAATGTTAATTTCGTCAGGCAGATTTCGATATCGGCAATGGACAAGGTACATGAGGATCAAAAAGGCCTCAAGATCCCAGCTGTGAACTGTGATCTCTACGCAGCCCTTTTCGAGAAAAGTCAAGGATTCCTTCCAACCGCCGTGTAAAGTTTTCTTGAACACAGGAGAAGCTAACGCTAGATGTTTCGCGGATACTTGGATGCGATAGCATTTCCGGCCTTCATCTTGATTTGCATCAGACTCCTGCGTGGCAAGTTCGGACTTTTCTGGCCCCTCAGTGCTGCTCCCAGATCTCACCTTTTTATCCAAAACCGCGAAAGGGGCGTTTGCATCTGCCAATACTATGATCACTTCGCCATCTGGGTCGATAATAGTTGTGCCCTCGTCTGTCATGCTCATTTTGCAAACCTCATAGAGTCTGTTAAATGCTACTAGAAGAAGACAATGAAGGAAAGTAGATAATAGAGAGTGAGGGAAAGGGGGTAGTAAGATGAGGTGCCTGAAATAGATGATGTTTTCCCTACCGTTTGCCCTGGCGTGTTTACCTATTACAGTACCGCCAGGTGTAACAGCTAACAGGACTTGCGGTGACTTACAGGTGAGGTTTGAATTAGAAGAAACATTCTTGCCATTATTTCTTTAGATGACATACCAAAGCTTTTGCAGAACTCTACCCTTTAGCACCTAATTCTCTTTTTAGAAAGACGTGATAGTAAATCCCTAGGGTATATTTTTATATTGATTTCACTAGGCCTGTTCATCTTGAATATAAAAGGAAATCGAAAGATTGATACATCCATTAAGCCAAACTAATTATGTCATTAAACATTCGATTAGATTTCAATTTCTTGGCTCTCTGCAGGAAGCCGTTCTGTATTACACAATATTATCGTCCTCGCCCTTCTCTCCCAAACCCACAACCGAAGTTGTCGGCTCGCTTAACTAAAGGCTCCTCAATGTGCTAATTAAAACAACACCTGGGCAGTGGCGCCAAAAATTATCCCCAAAGTGAGTTGGGGATCTTAGTCAGCCATGTTGTGATACTCTCTGAACCTGCGCCGACCCCATCCAAAGTAGAAAACTATCATCACATTGATTCAAAGAAGAAACTACAAATATATTGTCCAAGGTATTTTTCCTATCCTTCGATTTTCTCAATAGTCCCCCGTTAGAAAGCTTAATAAGGTGACTGGATAACGTACAAGGCATTTGCCCAGAGGAGCAGACAGAGCCGACATATTTGTAAATTTTGATCAAGATAAGAGATTGGATATCAGATCAATATATCACAAAATTGAGAAGATACTTCTTCCAACTATCTTTCATGAAAGGGATAACTGCATAAATCTGCTTGAGGAGATGGATGTCAACTTTAGTTCTAATAATAACCATGTCAATGTTCTTGGCTTTCTCATTAGCTTTATGTTTGACAGTTTGTTAATATCCTTCATCTGCCAATTTTGCGCTGCCTCATGCAAGATATTTCGTGTAACAGTCCCGGACCAGTATGGGACTCAAGCCCTGCCCCTCGCTCAGAATCGACCACGTTCGTGGCCATTATAACACCATATTGAAACCTGAAGCGCACTGTACGTAGGGCTATAGACATCCACGATACTATCTTCGTTTCTCATGTTTGATTCTACTCAGCTTCTTGTACCAAGTTTAGGACAGTAAGATGGGAGTGAAGCCGTACCATTTCGTGAAGGCGTATCTTGCGTCTATCAAGGTGTTAAATTCGATAAAAGCCAAACTCCTCCATGTTTTTCTCCCTGCCTCGGCTAAACAGAAGAGGGTAGGTCCTAGACCTGCGTCCTAAAATAGCCAATATGGCAGTTTCGTCGTCAAATGAGCCTTCCAATATGTCGTCATATATCAAACGTATTTCCCCCAATAATTACTTATCAGTCTTACCCTTTGTCATACAGCAGCATCCTAAATCATTCATAGGCATTGGCAAATTATTTTCTACAAAACCTCCTTTATAGGCCACATGCTAAGTTCCGAACTCCCGGAACCACTAGATCATGGTATCGTATCAATTGTCAGCTCCCTTGATACCTGTAAGACTTGCAGGCCGTAAAATCGACCCTATTATCAAATTAGCAATAGTAAATAGGAGTAAGATGTAGCTCGTTGGTACAATTTCAGCTAATATGTATTTTAACGTTACTAGGTTTGGGCGTCAAACTTCCGGGTGGCGCCGCCACCTGATGCATGAGTTTAGAATATACGTTTATCCCTGGCGTGGCGAGACTAAGGGTTGACTAAGGAAGCTTTTTGATATGTCATAGTCTCGGGGAGATAGTGTGTGGTTTGCCGCCGATTTGCGAACCACTAACAGACGCCGTTGCACACTAGTATATTGCTACATTGCTGCACTGGGCTTGAGATTAAGTCAAGATTTCTCGAGTAGACAAGTACAATAGTTATCCTATGTTATCTGCTCTAGCTTCAAAACTGTTCCTTGACCTTTCGCTAACATTTCTGAGGTTTCTCTCGCTCGAGCATGCTATCTCAACGATATTATTTTAAGACCTGTAAGGAATTGTATTTTTCGCCGGTATTAACGTGCTGATTGCAATCGACGCTAGAACGGTGATGTAATTGGTGGGTGATATTCACCGATTCCTTGCTACATTTGATGTTTCGTCATGGTTACAATGTTTGATATCTCACTAAGCACGAGTAGTTGTATTGACTATTCCTTTTCTCAAAAACAGATAAGGACAGTGAAGCTGCCTATCCAATAAAATTATCAGAGAAACAGGAATACCATGAAAAGACTGTATCAAGGAATCGAACCATCGTGAAAGAGCAGTAGGCTCGACATTGATTAGGTGAACAAAACAGCAACGGCTCTATAGAGTCAGCCGTATATTCATCTCAGTTCATGAAGCACCAGTACGATATTTTAAGAATGCCATTCTCAAGCCACTCAAACGCGTCCGAATCTCTGCGATTAGCCTTTCTACTGATCAGTAAAGCTGGGTATCATCCTCATCCCTAGCACCAGTAGTGCGCTGCACGGCGGGAATTTTATATGTTGAAATGTTCGCAAGATATGGAGTACACTTTCTTACCAGCATTTGATGCTGTGGGTGCTCCAAGAGCTGCAACAACGAAAGGAAGAAGAGTAATAAACTTAATAACGGCGACCATTTTGAAATGCTGAATAGAGCGTAGACTCTAGAGCAAGATCTTATGTAGAATGTTTGAGACTCTTAGAAAGACTATAAGAAATCTGTTCTGATGGTATTGAGAAAGTTGAAGTCTACTGGTACATCAGAAGGGGGGTTGGTGGCTATATCTATAGTTAAAAGGGTCCGCGAACCCTAACTGATTCAAAGCGGAGACGGATAATACATACACATCGTTCCCAGACCACCTGATAGTAGCATGTAAAGTCAGTAAGTCAACGATGTAATCTTCTATCTAATTTGACTCTTTTTCAGTCTGACTGTAGTCTCTACTCGGATATTTTGGTGGCTGAGTTGGTTTACATTAGGTATCAAAACACATGCCTATTGGAGAGGTTCTTGCAAATTCCTCATACCGAAAACAGAGTAATCTTGCATAAGACGTCAACATCCCTGTCAATTCCAAAGACACGTGTATGTATCCCTTGTACATTTTCCATGATTTTGGCGATTCTAACCTTTAAAATTCGAAGCGAAGTTGGCCTAACATAGAGCAGGTATCATACATGCGTCAATTGGGAGAAGTTTAATAATTGGGCCACTCAACTGAAATTCTCAATTTTTGATCAGAAATCTTTAGTTAGCCCCAAATACGGTGCGTTTTCAATGAACAAATAAAGAAAAGAACTTTAATCCATTTTTTTATCTTTAGTCAAATGGAGAAGAAGCTTGATGTTTTGTGTCATTATTCAAAACACTGACAAAGACCAACTCCTAGGACGCGCCTTTCCTCTGATCAATGAATCAATCGAATTTACTCCACCTGGGCCGGATATGCCCATTCTTTGGTCAGAAGGTAATTGAGAACTAGGTTAGTTTAAGGCGGGAGCTGCCCATCTGAGCTTTACAAGAGGAGACATTCGATAATCCGAATTTCACTTTTCATGAGCGATATACCATTTAATATTAGATATCTTGAGCAGACTAAATATTTTCTTAAGTATGAATAGACCTCGTCTGGGCCCAATACATAAGTACGGTTTATCGACATATCAATCAGTAATTAAGACAGCATTGATAATTTGCACTTCAACATTTCAATATTAAAGCTGCATGCCACTTGACATCAAATGGTACATCAATGAATGTGGTCTGGTTTTATTTCATTGTCTGAGTTATTATTAACATATATAGTTTTACTTCACTAATAGCAAAAGGGCAAGAGAAACAAACACATTGAGGTTGAAGGCAAATTGTAAAGAGCTGTTTCACTGGTTGTCTCGAACCTCGCTTATCTGTCACCAGCATCGATTGATCTAGAATCTGTTGCAAACATGAGGCAGATTGACATAATTGCCAGGCTAAGATGCAAATTGAAGATGGTTATTGAACAGTGCAACCATAAAATGTAACGGTGGGATAAAGCGTCGAGCTACAGCGTAAAGGAAAATAATTAATGCTGGTTCCTTCCCGTTCCGCTAATCACGTGGATGGGATTAGGGCTATTTTGGCACAAGATGGTTGCCAAAGAAGGAAGGTATTTCGGAATTCCCGCTACAGATTGAGACATTTATTATTCAGTTGAATTATTCTCCATGTGTTTCTTTGGTTTCTTTGGTTTCTTTGCGCCTGATCTAATAAAAAAGTGCAGACGCCAGACTACATCAGGCTAGGGTACCCAACTATAACCGCTAGCGTCGATTGCCAATCGAGGCAATCAAAGGCGTGATAAAGGCGGTTATATATTAAAATTTACTGAGTACAGTATCAAGGGATCTATTATTCTAATTTATTACATGGGTATGCGCGCGTCACGCCATCACTGGAGCCAAGTGGCATGCATCGTCGACTAGGGATATAAACCCCTACATATATGTACATTAATTGATGCAAAAGACATCAACCAGCTACGAGTTAACAGTCAACACCCACCAGGCGGATGCCACTGGTCAATACTTGAATACAGCATGTCATCGCCAATTTCTGATATCCCCGGCGACAGTAAGCTTGCCTGGGTTGCCAGCGACCAGGTTACTAAAGAAGAGATCCGCTCTGATGAGAACGACTCAAAGAATGTCAAAGATGGTGCACTGGTGTTCGATAATGAGCTCAAGGCCGGCCCTCCTGCATTCGATGCTGATGGAGAAGACCAGCAAACAGATGACGACGACGTAATCATAGTTACAGGCACCGATGCAGCGAACCACCTAATTCCGCTACGAGACGATGGCAACCCGGCCTTAACCTTTCGAAGTCTCTTCATAGCCACAGTGCTCTCCGCTTTTCAGGCTACTATGAGCCAGATCTACTATGTGAATTGACATAGGCAACTTCAGATGTACCATAGGCTAATCTCCATTTAGTTCAAACCGACATATCTCACCATTCAAGGAACTTTTATAGTCGTTTTCGCCTACTTTCTCGGCAAAGGCTGGGCCAACTTCCTCCCCCGTGGGGATCGAATCGAGGCGAGATGGCGTGCGAAAGGTGGTCAGGGGAAACTTCCCCTGTGGATCTCGATCATCTCATTTTTCAATTATGGTCCTTGGGATCTGAAAGAGCACTCAGTTTGCTCAATCACGGCCAATGCCGCATCCAATGGTGCAGCGAGTATTACTGTTTTTGCGGCACAGAACCTCTTCTATAACATGCCTTTGAGTGCAGGCACGGTAATCTTGAGCACCCTCTCCATCGGACTGTTTGGCTACGGAATCGCCGGAATGATGCGCCCAATTGCCGTCTGGCATGTCGATGCAGTGTACTGGAGCACTCTTCCCCTAGTCAAGTCTCTTCAGGGACTTCATTGGGAAGAACTGAAAAACTCCAAACCACTCAGATACTTCTGGTACGCCTTTGGCGGCATGTTTCTTTACGAGTCGTTCCCTGCCTATATATTCCCATGGCTCAACTCGGTCTCCATTCCCTGCCTTGCCTCTATGCACACAACTGGCGACAAGGCATCTGTGCTCACAAACCTGTTCGGCGGGTCGCAAAATAACGAAGGACTTGGTCTTTTCAGTCTTGGATTTGACTGGCAATATGTAAGAATGAACATGCTCCTGTGACGAATAGCCAGTTAGAGCTAAATTTTTTAACTTTGAAATACTTCTAGATCACCTCGTCGCAAACCTCTTTCCCTTTCTCGCTACAAGTCCTTATGGCTCTTGGGTTTTTCACCTGCTATATCGTGATGCTCGCCATCTACTACGGGAATGCCTGGGGTGCGAGGTCGCTTCCATTCATGTCAACACAACTTCTAAAAGCCGACGGCTCTCGATACCCAATCGCTAAAGTCTTCACCGGTGGTATTCTCAACACGGACGCTCTGGCCACTTACGGTATCCCCAGACTCTCTGGCAGTTTCGCGTATGCAATGTTCATTGCGAATGCCGCTGTAAGTACCTGCTTATTCCTACTCGCACACATATTATCACAGACTAAACATATTCTAGATTGGCGCCATGGTTGCTCACTGCTTCCTATTTTGGGGAAGGGATGTCCTGAATGCGTATAAAAGTGCAAGAAAAGGCACTGGTGGCGATCGGCACCATGAGCACATGGCCAAGCATTATGTCGAAACTCCAGCATTGTGGTACATTGCCATACTTGTCATTAGCTTCGTTCTCGGCATCGTTGCCGTCACCAAGGAGAATATTACCCTCCCGGTTTGGGCTTATATTGTATCACTACTGCTAGGAATACTGTTTGCGCCCTTTGTGAGTACACCCAATACAATATTTGATACTTGAAAATATTTCCCATCCATGTCGACTATCTGTCTACCGAGGGATATCTAACGCCAGTCTAGAGTGTCATTCTGTATTCTCGGTACGGCAACGGCATTGCCACAAACAACCTGTCGAAAATGTTGGCTGGTCTGATCCTGCCTGGACGTCCCGTTGGAAACATGTACTTCGCTGCCTGGTCGCACTCTGTCATTTCGAACACTGTCAACTTGTGCAATGACTTAAAGATGGGCGAATACCGTACGTACTATTCTGTCCACCATCAATTAATCCGTGAACCAGGATCCCTAATATATTGATCTAGTCAAGATTCCTCCCCGGACTATGTTCATTACCCAAATTTACGGTACTGTATTGGGCGCCTTTGTCAATTACGCCGTCATGATCTCCATTGTGACTGGCAATCGCGATACCCTTGTGGATGGAAATGGAGATGCATCCTGGAGCGGAGCAACCTTGCAAGCATATAACACCAACGCAACGGCTTGGGCCCTAGCCAAATACCTCTACCAAACCGGCAAGACGTATCAAATCGTGCCTCTTGGGCTGCTAATCGGCGCTGGAGCCGTCGCTATCCACCGTGTCGTTGTTCATGTAAGTCTCCCCTATTTCTTTTTCTTCCAGATCCCTCGTCTAATTATTTACTCTTAAGTTCATCCCCAAAGTCCGCGGCATCTCACTTTCAGATTTCAACTTCCCGCAATTCATCCAATACGCCGGATACATCCCTTACAACCAGTCACAGACATGCGTGATCCTCAGCCAGCTGTCTGCAGGGTTTTTTGTGCAGTTCTATCTTCGCAAATACCGTCCACGTATCTTCAAGGACTATTCGTACATGATTACGGCTGCCTTTGATGGTGGCACTCTGACGGCTTTGTTCATCCTCTCCTTTGCCGTGTTTGGGGCCGGTGGCAGTGCGGTCCCGTTCCCTTCATGGTGGGGGAATAATGTCAATGGGAACTATGATCTGTGTCCCGAGACCAGTTAACGAAGTTTGATTACTAGGGTTAGATGGATCTATTCTCTATTTATTGAATTGGATATTACATATGTAGGTAGATGCCAATTCTTGACTTGACGGCAACAGCCAGTTCAGACAATAGAATTTTTGAGTAACATGTGGATAAGTTGAAACTACTTTTTTTTAATCCAGTGGCCTGGCCATATATTACATGTATGTGATAGTATTCGATAACAGAAAGGGAATAGGATGTCGACATAAAATCAATGATGCTTAAGGCGACTATTCACATGTCGGCCTCATAACATATTTCTTCATTTTTTCTCTCCAACCAACCAAGTGATTCCACAACTAACATAAATTAAAATATATACTTGATTACATACGTATTTGTTTCCAAAGTTGCCCCAGTTGCCGCCATAACCAGGGAACCGAGAAAACAGTGTTCTCAATTACAAATAGCATCAAATAGACGCCAAAACACACAAAGATGTATAAAACCACCCAATAGAAAGTAACCGAAGAAAAATAAATGATTTGTTTTCATGTTAAATATAATAAAACTATCGGATAAATATATTATTGATCGAGCATGGCCAAGAATGGCCTTCGAAATGTTATATTAGAATACATATATACACACATATCTATGTGAAATAAGAACAACTAAGAAATTCGAGTTTTGATTTTAGTTACAGTTATTACAACTGCTGTCATTTACAGTGGCCGGGAAATGACCGACCTGATATTAAAACAGTCACACAAGCATGCCGAGGAAAACCAGATAAACCAAAAGTTCATTGAAACACTCCAAATCACACAAATTTTAAAGTTTTGTATGTCTTGTTGCTGTTATTTGGCCGTTAAACCACTAGTCCGTGTAGAATAGGGGGAAAAAAGTTTAATACAGATAGACACACTGTGTAATCGCACAGACATGCCATATAAAAGTAGGCTTGCACTAGACAAAAGACGAGACGAGACAAGAAAACGAGAAGACGGGGAAGGACATTAGTGAAGGGTTATAAAGTAATTTTCGGTTTTGTTTCTTGTTTTCCAGCATACTCTCCCTCCTCTCAGGACCGAAATGTAGACAGATTGGTTACTCTTCTGCCGATTCATCAAATGGCTTCTTCCCATCTGCCGCAGCAGCTAACTTCTCAATAGCCTGTTCTGAAAGTGTTTTGTTGGTTGACATTTTTGACTCTGCGGCCCCATCAATTTCCTTTGATGAAGAAGAGTCGGCTGACACAGCTTGAGGGGTAGAATCAGCGACGGGTTCAGTCTGCGGCGCTTCTTCTGGAGTAAAGTTTTGAGGTGATGTTTCTTCGCTAGCTGTATTATCGTCATGTCGAGGTGCAGTTGTCACATCTGCTGCTTGGCTTTCTTTTGCTGACAAAGGAGTTGGGTCTACAGATTCACCGGCCACGTTTTTTGCAATCGCCGGTGCCATTGTATTCTCAGCAGAATCTAAATTGATATCTGCGGTAATCGGCTTCTCTTCCACATAAACGGCAGATTTTTCTGGTATTCCCACTGACAAATGGCCATCGACGCCAACCTCCCACACATTCCAAGCATCCATGATGCGAATTTCAGGTATCGACGGCAGCTTGACCTCTTTGGTAACGGCAGGCTTTCTCCTCGCTGGTCCGCGAGCACGGCTCTTACGAGCGTCAGGTAGGGGTGTTTTCTCCTCTAGCACTTCCTCCTCTTTCTTCTCACTAGGTTTGGGACCTTGAGGTCCAACTTGCAGGCGAGAATTTAGATCAGAGAGGAAATTTGCTTTGAGGCCCGCGATTTTGCCAGCAGCAGGTCGGGCAGGGACGGCGGGCTTGGATTTATTAGCAGGTACTGCGGCCCCATTCTCTGGTACATCTCGGGATGCGGGCTTGGACAGGCGTGTATGGACCGTTGGCTTAGGGCGACCAGGAATGGTTGGGGCTTTCTTTTCATCTAGTGAGATATCTGGCTTTGCCCGCTGAGGTCGAGCAGGAATTGAAGGCCGAGCAGGAATTGCAGGCTGGGCAGTGTCAGGGCTCTTTACTTCCTCACCAGCAGGCTCAACTGTTGTCACAAGCTGATGGCTTTCTGGTGCATCTTCCCAAATGTCTTGGCTTGGGAAGCGATGCTTGAGTGTGTCAGGGCGTCCCTGATGAGGTGCTTGACCATGAGAACGCAGAATATGTGACGCGACTTTGTGTGAATCAATCTGTTCAGTCTGTTTTCTCCGTCTCTCTTCCACTTCTGGTGTTTCGAATTTACTAGATGGTTGTTCCGGCAAGTCTGGGGTGGACACACTTGCGTGTAACTGCAAACTATCCGGAGTGTCTTCCCAAATATCCTGACTGGGGAATCGCTGTTTGAGCTCAGATCGCTTCTTGAAACGTTCGGCGGCTGACACTGGCTTGCCATCGTCGGGGAATAGTGGCTCGTACTCTTCCACATCTTCGAGTGGGGTATGTATCTCATCGGCTTCTTCGCCGCGTGAATTCCAACGCGCGAGCCCGGTCGGAGCACCATGCAGACTGCTTGGACGACTGTTTGGAGCACTAGGCGTACGGCTTTGAAAGCGGTCCAGCTCGTGGAAATCGGTACTTGAGCGTCTCGGGGAGATGGCGGGGTGCAGGTGAGCTGATTCGGGACGGACTTCATCTGAAGCAAGGATGGGTGCATCGTCATATTCTAAGTCGTCCTCAAAGTCATGAGACGTAGTAAGATCGGGGGTTTGGGCAAAGCCATCAGGGTGGTGGGAAGAGTGATATGGGTCATTGATATGGATGGTTCGACCGCCAGCGTCGCTGCTTGCGGCTGATTGCACACTGCGAGTGCGGCGTAGCTCAGCAGTTGGGAAGCTAGTTTGACGAAGAGGGGATTCAGCTACAGGCTGAGTATCGAGGCGGGTGTATTCATCGGTTGCCAGATAACCAACTTCTTCTTCTGGGGTACCGGTGACAACAGGAGATGCGCCTGGAGGACCAAATACGTTAGCACCAGGAGTTGTTAAACGAATTCAAGGGTACATATGTGCTCACCAACGCTGCTTTCTTTGCCAGTGGAGCTGCGAACAATACGGTTTAGATCATCACTGCTCAGCGCCCAGTCGGGACGAGGAGCGATTGCAGGGCCATATTGGCCTTGCTCTTCACGAGCATACTCATCAGGGTGCTTCTCATACCAAGCTTTCTCAAACTTGTCGATCGACTGGACACTATGGCCATGAAGACCATGACCATGAAGACCATAGCTGCCCGGAGGAAGGAAGACATCACGACCGCTACGGGTGCGGTGGTGATGGCGTCCACTGCGGCTACCGGAAGCCGATGCAGAGCGCGGAGGAGCAGGAGATGGGGCTTGCACGTCACCGGCATAGGCTAACATGGGCACGCGTTGTCCAATTTCAGGAATTCCATGCTCTTCATCGTATTGCAAGGACTGGCGGCGGTTGCTGGAAGCTCTCGACGATTCGCCACGAGACGCACTGGGCTTCGAGTGCAGCGAACGGCTGCGTTCGTCGGCGTCTTCGAGGGCAGGTGAAGGTGCTTTCCCAAAGCCGGCAGCGGCGGCCTGACTCGAGTCCGTGCGGGTGACTGTCTGGACTTGGGCTTTGGCGCTCGACGTGGGGAGAGACGGCTTTGGGGCGTGCAGTTTCAGGTCGCTGCCAACATTTCTGGTCTCCGTCGGGATGCTGACCTCGTCGTACTCGATGCCCTCCTCGCCGAGCGAAGGGATGGTGACACTGGGAGGGCGAGCTGGCAGGTCATTGGAGACAGTGCGAGAAATCCCAGCAGCGCTGCCGGGACGATCGTTCAACGGCGAGGGCGCATAGCTGTCTCGGCCGGGGGACACAGAGCGCTCGAGGCGGCGGTTGATAGGACGAGCCGGTATTGAAGGCACATCCGGGGCAAGTGTCTGAGGAGACCTGGCCGGGCGAGGAGGTATCACCGGGGCTGATGGTGCCGACATTGTGGAGGGATATGCTATAACACTTTGTCGGAAGCCGTGGTGGGCAGCTGGTGAGTCACTAGGAGTGAAGAGAGAACTGCAAGGTGTGGCCTTCGGTCAGCACGAATGGACCTTGCCAGGAAAGCAAAATTAAAAAACAATAATAACAGCAAGCAATTGAAATAAACGGACAATGTACAAGAGCAGGCAGCTGGTGACTCGAGGTATGAGCTGTCCAGGACAAAGCAAAGCGTTGGGGGGGCGGGGGGTGAGGGAATTTCTGCGGCCTTTGTGATTTCCCTGCAGTAACCGGATGTAGCCGACAATGACGAAGCAATTGATTGAGCACGTTTCACAGCAACATCGCTATACAGAATGTATCCAAGGAGAACGGCGAGTTCAGGAGGCAAAGAAGGGAGAGAGATACAGGTCCTTTAACTTTGCAAGGGCCTCCAGGCACGCAATCGCAGGAGCAGGGCTTATCAGAGCGGATCGATAACCTTCACCGCCTTGAGGGTCTGGGCCTTGCTACTGGAAAATCGAGGGGAGGGCTTGAGCGAGAAAGAGCGGAGAGGGGAGTAATTGTAACGGGGATGGTAGGAATGATGATAATGATAATTATAATAAGAACACTCCTCAGCAGTTCCTGTGTAGGGCGTACCTTGGAAGAAGAATATGAAATCCAGCTTGGCTGGGGGTGCTGAATGCGGATGAGCTCTGACGTGTTATTGGACGGGGAGGCCGAGATCCAGACAAACTCTGCAAATTGTCGAGTAGGGCTGGGACAATGCGATAAGAGCGGACTGCAAGAGGGGGTGGAGTATTGTGAGAAAAGAAACAAAATAATCGAAGGAGATGAAAGAAAGAGCCAGGTGAAAAGAGAGGCCTGGGATGATGCGGTATTTTACAGTTCTAAAATTAATGCATGCATAGTACGTAGTCTGAAGCATGGCAGCAAGGTCTAGAGTGATGTCTGTCTTGCTGCCACGGCCCACTTGGGGTACATGCGCGGTCGTGTGACGTCGACCTAGCCGCCAGGTGGACGTATTGTAACGCCTGCCGGTGAGTGGACCGACGCGGTTGGTCGTCGCTTTAGCAGCTGACCAAGGGGAGGCCGCTGACTGGCTCTTTCCTCGTTCCAGTGGAGTTCTTCTCTCTGTTCTTCACTCCTGCTTGCTGCTTTGACCGTATTCCAGGATTCGATTTTACCATTCCTCGGTTCTCTAGTCAGACACAAAATTAGAAATACCTCAGGGGCAATTGGCAATTGGCATTGCAGTCTATTGCCATGGGCATTGGCCAAAGGCAAACTCGTGATCGTGTGAGGGGCTACGGTGGAGGCAAAGTTTTGGGTTTGTCTGGGTCTGGCTCAACGTTACTAGCTGTAAGACACCGCCTAATTACTCATTGATTCAATACCTGCTGCAGATCATGTATTCGATTTACTGCCCGCACATGTTCGCGTCGAGTCATGATTGTGATTGAAATTGCGGCTGGCGAGAAGCATACAGAATGCAGCCTATATCTGGAGAAGCATAGCCAATTTCTAGCCTGGCGCTGTCCTGGTTTTCTCCCGCTATCAGAAATATCGATACCGAGGGACTGACTACAGGCGCCTATCTTGAATATTACGTCTATGGCTGACATACTCAGATAAAGAGCCGTATTCTTTCTGCCTCGTATCTAAGATAGCAACAATAGAACCAATGTACAGCAGTATATACTATATAGTATATACTGCAGTACAACATTGCCACGTTTTCCCCTTCGGATACACATACGCCAAGCCCATCATCCCGGAGATTTTCGTCTCCGCATCAAATCGAGACAGCGTGAAACGCCAAGTCGAGGTCGAATGTATTGTACATGGTCTTGGCTGGCATGTGCTCAAACATACTCTTATTGCTGGTTGATATACTACCTTCTAGTGAAGTAGCTGCGTAGGAGTTGCGTGTTGATAGTCATAGTCATACTTGCTATTCGAGCCAGATGCGTTCGCACAGACTTATTGCGTACTGCTTACATGGCCTATCTTCAATCCCTACTATGATTGGCTGTTAGAATATCATCAGGACTGATCACCGGAGATTTGGGACAAAAAGAATTGGAAGGACAATATGACATGTGCGGAATATTGGCAGAACTACACTAGGTCGCAGTGGTATCCGGTTTACGAAATGCAAATCAGGCCACGAGCCGGCGAATATCTAGACTTGTGTCCAGACATTGACTTAGCACAGACAGCCTTGAGGCCGTCAGTGACCCGGAAAGAGCTCTGAATCGGAGCTGTACACGGGTATAATGCATTTTTCCGACTGTCTACCCGTTGCTTGGATGGTCATTGGCCTTTAAAAGCAACGGTGATGGCCTGTGCTCTAAATTCCGCTTATGTAGGACCAGTTTTCTGTAAACCTGAGTATCTGTAAGACTGTGAAAGATAAGAAATACTAATCGTACTCGGTATGTTCTCGATGAAAGGATCTAAGCTGAAATTAATATATACACGAGAAATACGTGTTATGCTTGTTAGCCATGCATTATTGTACAAGAATCCAACACGGTCCCGTCTTCAACGCTTTTTTTGCAGGATAAGTAGAGAAATTCTTTTGTTCGGCCACCCGGCCGCAAAAAGGAGACACGCCGGTCTTAGAACCAGCCATAAGAATCAACCTGCCGTTCTCAAAAAATATACTCCGAAAACTTAGGCCGTGGGACGCGATATAAAAAGCGAGTAAAAAACAGGAACCTCTATGCTATGTCGTTTAAGAATGATGACCCAAACCGAACACCTGAGAAGAGAGACTCAATGTGGGGATGCTATTATGAAGGTAGAGATAGGGGGGAGGATGGAACGGCAATGGAAGAAAGGTAGGTCGATCGCGTTGGTGAATAAAGAAGGAAGTTAAGCGAGAGCTCTCTGCTCGGATGGAGGAGGTGGAGGAAGCTGTTTTTGCAATCGTGGTTAGCAGATATGTCCTAATTCCAACGCTATACGGGGGAATTCTAGGGTAATGAGCTCATCGTACCTCGAGCTTTGTGTTATCGGCCATCATGCGCTGGAAACCAATCCCGACACCCTCGATTACAGCGAGGAAGACGCCACACATAATAGCGGAGTTTCGGGCGGCCCTGAAACCACCACGGACAGCGAGGGCACCACCGGTGCAGAAACCAGCGATGATAGCATTGTAAGGGTCTTCCTTCTTGCGGATTCCCTTAATTGAGCAGTCAAAGATACTGAAAAGACCTCCCCAGCAGCCAAAGTTACCGCCGAGGACGGGCGCGCGCGCCTTGATGGCTGTGATCGCACCTATCCGACGCTCACCGTAGGGGCTGTTCCGGAAACCCTTGACACCGTGCCAGACAGCACCACCGATGGCACCCATACAGAAAGCACCGCCAAAGTCGCTCAGGGCAACCCAGGGGCAGGGATCCCGTGAGTGATCCATGATATGTAAATAAGGAGGTGAACGGGTAGAGATTCGGGAAGAAAAGGTGGATCACCGGGAAGAGACCGTTGTGAAAGCTGAAGGTCTAGAGAGACGCGGCGACACAAGATAAGGTTGATATGGGTCGATGACTTTTTTCTTTCCCAGGCGGTGATCACGTGACCACCCTTAAAGTCCCGGGTTCTGACGAGCCAATCCTGTAAGCCCGCATGGGCCCTCCAGTAGCGGATATTTGCGATTCTCTGCCTTATAATTTATATAGATAATTCGCTATAACTAATTACCAGAAGTCCATTTATCGTTAATTACTAATACCAAAAATTTATTACAACAACTCTCTCATCCTCCATCTAGTCTCCTTGGCGATCATCTAGCCTCCCCCCCCCGCATTTCATACGAGTTGTCAGTATGTCATCATCTTGAATGAACAACAATAAAAATACATACAGTGCATACTGACTAGAATACTCGGCTACGACTTCCGAACATGTTCACAAGCACGCCATCATCGATCTCGTGATCGACTCGAATCACGAACAACTCGACTCGACTCCTTGGCAGCTCAGCCCCGTAAGATCAATGAAGCCAAGGCCCAGACTCGGTTTTTTGTCATACCGCCGGTAACGACAACATATCGACAGGTACAACCTTTGAAGGACCAGAACAGCTGCAGTTAGCCCTACCATCAATCGACATAATCATGACAACAGAAAAAATAAATTACAATCACGACCCGCATCCGTAAACGCTTGTATGTATGTATGTATGTAATGTGCTCGGTTTGTACGGATACCCCGCCAATGCCGGCGTTGCTCCAACTATGACGTTGGCGAACCACATTACTGGCCACGACGAGACGAGGGTCGGCGAGGTGCGTGTCTGCTGGTGTTCTGAGGATTGCCGTTAACTGGATAACAACTCCAACCTCGATGTTGCGGTGAATGTAGATCTGTCGTGTTGACAGTATCGGGATGCGGGATTTGTTTGTAGCACATGTGGACTGCTAGAGGCAACCTGGGGGTAATAATCCGTTCAGTTTAGTAACTTAGACAGAAATTAGGCAGAGTTATTCATTGGCCGTGGTGAAATCTCTCAGGGGTAGAAAAAGGTAGTGCTGTGGAACCTTGGGATTAGTCCATATTTTGAGAATGTCAATGATTTGTTCAAAAGGCAGAAAATTGCCTCATGACTGACACTCAACTTTGTAGCCTAGTGAGTAAAATACACACAATGTCGAACCTGTCTTGGTAAGATACTGAGTAGGTAGGAGTTAACATGAGTGATGGTCTTATAGTCAAGTATAAGAAAATCGATTCTGGCTGAATGGCAATACTCGGTATATAACGATCATACAACTTGAACAAAGGCATAATGCAAGGCGTAACACGGACTCAATAAGTGATTATACGTCCGCTAAGGTCGTAACAAAAAAAGCAACACCCGAGGCAAGTCCTCGCACGCAACACTTTTCGCAACCCCATTTCTAGTGAACATGATGGATACAAAAGGCCAGTAGCTCGGCAGCTACGAAAGACCAATCTTTGCTGTTCTACACAATCATCTGCGCGATTCCCTGTCCACCTAAGGTTTTGCTGCTCATGAAATCCTGGTGCTTCAGCGCGGCAAGAAGGTAGAAGAGACCGGCAATCAGGAGGAACACGGCGGCGGCGATCAGGCTCGAGGCTCCAGAGACCAGGCTGACCCACTGGATGGCGCTCATGACAACGTAGATGAGTGCGCGCATGTAGTTGGTGCTGAACCGGCGGATGAAGGTGTCAAAGGTAGGCGACGTAGGGCATATACGGAGCAGGAATGGGATTTCGGTGAACAGAATCACAAAAGCGGAGGCCCTGTAGGGTCGATTAGAAATCGTTCACGGAACAGACAATCATAGCTTTGGGAGGTTGACTAACAGGCATATGACACTGAACACGATGCGCAGAGCAGTAAGCGTGAAGATGTTGGCTATGCCTAGAGCGAAGCACAGAAATATGCAGAGAACGCCCGTCCTACAAAAGTCAGAAAAGCTTGAAGTTGAATGGACATGCCGTCGGTGTAGAATCATCCGAGCGATGCCGCAAGATAGAGAAAGACCAACCACTGTCCATAGATACCTGATACGAAAGCAGGGTCAGCATATACGAATCTCGAAAGGACTGCAGTATACAGAAGCCAACTTACTGAAGTTGCGCGTGCGGAATTCCTCAGCGAGAGTCATTTTGACGGAATGAAGTCTTAGCTAGACGGATAGCACTCCAAGAAGGCTGAGCTAATATCAACTGCTTTGCTGCAAACGAAAAAGTCGCACAGTAGCTAGCCCAAGAATTGATATATAACCAAAGACCGAATGGCAGGGAGAAAGAGGAAATGCGGATGCGATGAGTCGACGGTGGCTCTGATGGATCGACGCAAGTAGCAACGTGGACGGTTTCAAGATCGTCGCTATAAAACGATGCAGTTAGCGCCACGGGGATCTCAATGAAATTGTTCTGTTTGGAAGTTCAGTGTATGGCAGGGAGCACGGTATAGACCCACCTCCGAATAAAGCTGTTCTGCGTGTCTGGGTGTCGTCTGGTTTGGAGAGTTTCGGAATTTCCCAGGTGAGTTTAATGTTTTGCCTACGGTGCAGCTGCGATGCGGAGATTGCTGTGGTAATTCCAAACTAAGCCGCACTGGGACGAACGTCAGCCGTTTGACAGATACACGACGCACGATGCACAAAGTGACAGTTGGCGATTATTACTATTAGGGTTATTAAGAATAAATATGGCCAACAAGTTAAATTTGCATCATGGCACTGCCTATTTATAGGATCCTTTCTGGCTACCTAGAGCGTTAATTCGGCAGCCTGGAATTCAAGCACCAGCCGGAAGCCAAAGCCCCGTTTACGCGACAGCAATGAATAGTCTACGTTCAAGAAGAATCTAAGAGTGTCAAGATATCAGTATGATGGTTTGATTTTCTACAGCAATATCACCGCCAAACACATTAACAGCGTCCAAGAATACAATGCCTGCCCGACTAACAAGCCGGGTTTTCTTGAGACTATCCCCCGTCACGCTAGATGACCCTTGGTATCAAATATAACCTCCCTATTATCTCTCCCATTGACGGTACTCGGTGGCCCATATACCGTTTTGCGTGCTCCTTACGAGTAGACGAGGCGGAAAACGTCGTTGTAAACAAAGTAGCTGCCTGCGCCGTCAGGGAGGAGTTGGAAGGCTTGCGTGTAGTTCATAGCTCGCTCCTCTTCGTCAACCTGGACCATGTCAGATTCGCTACACAACCTATAATCTTGCTCGTTGAGATGGGTGCGCCTACCAGAAGAGTACCGGTGACGAGGACAAGGACACCACCTTGCTCAGAGCTAGGCTGGGCATCGAGAGTCGACACTTGGTGGCGGACCTTGGTGAATGGAAGCGACTATAAACGGGGTCAGGGCTTTGAATGCTCTTTCACCAAATCAAACCACTCACGGTCAGCTTGTTGGTAATGTTTGCTGATCCCAGTTGGGGGTCACTTTCAAAAGTGAGCATGGAATTGTCCCGCTATTGACGCCCCATCATCGTAATTAGTCCCCGTTTTCTATTCAAACTCGAGTTCTTGCTTACATAGAGCCCAGCCAGATTGTTCCGGTTCTCGTCGAATGTCTTGTAGTAGAAATCAACAAATTGTTCTGCGTTGGTGTCAGACTAGGTGGGAGCGAGACAGTCGCAAACGTTCAAGAGTGGTAACCAGTAGAGCGGCCAGGGAATGGACATACGAGCGATGGTGTTAAAGTCTGGAGATGCAGCGAACTTGTCAGCTCGTCTCTGGGTACAACACGCAGCAGAAGAAAATGCGCGATGAGTAAACATCGGCTCTCATCGTCATGCTTTACTTACCACTCATTGTGGGAGATGTAGAGGAGAAACCACGTAGCAAGGCAAAAAGTCGACGAGATATGAATGTGAGAAACGACACGAAATGGTATTATATGCGGAGCGCAATATTTGTTATTTGTTATTCTGGCAAGAGACAAATTCCGGCACCGCGAGGAGGGGTCGTCCGTCGCCGTCGTCCTGTTGTGGGCCCCTCTGCATTCGTGGGGCTTCCTTCCCTCATCATTCACTCCCTGTCTGTGTCTATCGATGTCCATGTCTAGACTGGCGACGATCACGATATTGGGTGAATATCTTGATAATTTAGTCGCCAGTTTGCTTCAGGCACAAACTTCTATAGCTTTTTATTATATTCCAATATTATTCGCCGGTGTCATCCTTGCTTCCTCTTTTAGGCTGTGCTATTTGCATACGGGCTAGGATATCTACTGATCGCGAGCTAATCAATCCTCATCGGAGTCTGCAAACATGTCTTCCGCCTTAGGCCGCGGTCTTCGCACGCGTCCAGCCGGCGTATTGTCTTCTGGCTTGCTGCCAACTTCTACAGGCGGCCCCTCTGTCTCTTGGGCGGCGTCAGGCATTTCAATGTCTGCTGCCAATGGCTTCCCGTCCACGTCGGCGTCCTCGATATCACTGTCTTCCATCGGGACACCGTCAATGTCACTCATAGGCTCCCCATCCAGTTCATCATGGAAGTCTTCCGCAGCCTGCCCGTCCACGTCCATCCTCTGCTGCGACACGTCAGCAGGCGGCTGACTGGGATCGAACTTGCCGGAATTCGCATCGTCATCAACAGTCTTCCATCGGTTCTTCCCTTTACTGCTGATGGCCGCACTGGCCTTCTCAGCCTCTGCCTTCTTCTTTTCCTGCTCCAGCTCTTCTTCTGTGAGAGGCGGGTTTTCGAACACCTGAACAAAGTGTTCCTGACTGGAATGAGGAAAGACACTCCAGCCTTCCCAGAGATGCAATATAACCCCGATGCTGCGTTTCCATTTCTCTGCTTTGAGTCTGCCCCAATTAAAGTCCTTTTCAAGACGGCCAAGATGTTCAAAAACTTTATGAGCACGGAATGCATGTTCGAAAAGTTGTCGGTATCGCCACGCATGGCGGACTCCACTTGTTGAGGAGGATGAAAAGATATCAGAGATCACATATAGACCGACCAGCTTAGCGGCGGATGTATCCTCTTTTAATTTTGTGCTGTCAGCGTTTTCTCCAAGTACGCTCGCTTCCCCGTCTCGAAGTGCACTATGTGCATCGTCGCGATCAGGGTTCGCGCGTGAATATGCAAAGGGATTGAGGACATTGGCTACAAGCATTTCGACCACTTCTTCTCCTCCAGCGCTTGCATGCTCAATGGCGAATGCTGTTACTCGAGCCACATCTCCTCGACGTAGTTTGCTGTTCGCTGTGGGGAGTCGAGCAACAAGATGAGTAAGTTTAGCCTTTTGTAATGGATTCATATATCCAACACCGTCTTCATTGCCCAGTGAATCATCTGCAGCATGGCGTCGCCTTTCGTCTTCATTGTCAGACTCATCTTCTTCGGAAGAGTTGTACTCGTCATCGGACACGAACTCGTCGATCGCAGTCGTATACTCAAATCGAATAGGTTTCTCGGGCCCAACCCAACTTGCGCCGCCTTCGAAAATGAGAGAAGTTGCACTTTCACTTCGCCCACGATTACTTCGACTAATTTTTGAATTGGTGAGAATGTCCCAAAGTTTCCATCGGTACCAAACACCGCCTACACTGCGCGAGTCCCAAATCCAAGCCCATTTTTCATCCCTCTGCACTTCTGGCCGACTCATAAGCAGCGCTTCGAATTCGGGACCGAAGTTGAGCAGGTTCTCTAGAGTTTTGTGGATAAGTCGTAATTCTTTTAGATCCGATGGCGGCTTGACCTCGATCTGCGCTGTTGTTGCTGTCCTTGGGTATTGTCCATAGGAAGCTGGCGGCGCAAACCCACCGCGGTGAGGCCCGGGCGGAGGTGCTCGATTGAGCCTCCCAACAGGTCCTTGGTTTATCACCTTTGCTCCGAAGGGTAACGAGCTCGTAGACGATAAACCGACATTCACTGGCATCCCCGAATGAATTGCAGCGGAAGAAAGATGGCGAGAAATGGATAGATAATAGCCCCATCCTAAGTATTTATTCTGTAGTGCGCTCACTGTAGAATCGATATCTGAGGCAGCAGTCTCTTTCGCTAAGGTCACGATTGCAGAAAACGACCTGCGTTCTGTTGTAGGCTGAGCTGGCGGTGGAATGATCTTAACTGCATCCACCGACAGCGTTTTAGGTATCAAAGCTTTAATCACCGTAGGCGACGTCCCCGGCGGCAGCGAGGATAGGTAAACTGTGGGCTTGGCAACAGCTCTTTCAGCCTCTTTATTCTCAGCAGTCCTATCCTCCTCGTCGTCCGAGGCCCGAAAGGCAGCCGCCGGATCAGAGTTATCATAACCAAAAATGCCCTGCCCGGAATCTCGCTCTCGCTCACGGTAGAGACCATCGTGCGTTCGTTTCCGTGCAAGCGATTGCGGCGGCGGGCCTAGACTACCTGGACCGCTGTTGCGCGATGTATTCAATGAGCTGGTAAAGTGTCGTTTAGCAGGCGGCCCCGACGAATGCCCAAACGCATTCGGCCTTGTTTGAGGGGCAACATTGCTCCCATCATCCTCAAAAGACTTGACGAAATCCTCGTATACAGCGGCGGTCTCGGCTCGTTCGCGCGCGCGTTTGGCTTCGGCTTCAGCCTTTTGGCGCTCGAAAAGCGATTTCTTAGCTGGGGCGGAGAGCTTCGAGGAGAGATCGGGGAAGGTCTTTGGTTTGGAGTCGTCGGGCATCGCTACTGGTGCTGGTGGGCAGCGGGTGCCTCGACTTGGATATTCGTGTCGACTGGTTAAGTTGATTTTGCATGTGTAGAGAGCAGTCGGCGATCAATTAGACAGCTCCATTGTCGATGTCCCTTTCGGGCATGGTGGGGCTGTCCAGGCTGCTTGCAGCCAATCAGCGACGCCGTATCCTGTGTCCAATATATTCTTCTTATTTGCCTTTCTATAAATGATGATATCAAAATGTGCTTCTATCTATAGAATTTTACGAGGTCTGTATTAATTACATGTAACATGACCATTTTTGAATAAGTCAAATTAGGAAATATGGTCCTTCGTACAGCTTCAAAGATCTCAGATAATTGATCTTAGTCTTCATGTTTTATTCACTCCTGCATATCATCTAATTGCTAGAGTCTGGCCAGAAAACTAGGCATATAACAGGAACATGTATGATTAGTCTATTAGAGGTAGAACTGCTGTGAAATAAATATGGATATTATATCCTTCGGCCACACTTAGCTTGAAATTATTTCTTGTTTTCCCCCTTCAGTATTTTGCTGAGCTTGTGTAGGCCAAAAATGTATGGAAATATCCAGTCCTATTAGTACTGCTTAGAAAAACTCAAGATCAACTACCGCATGAAGGAGGCAGAATTCACTCACCCAAAACCTTTTCCCAAAGAACGTATCAAAGAACCAAATTATCCAGGACCTATTACCCTGCCAGAACCACTTCGGCGGCCTAGCCGCCAGTGTCTGTTTAACAACGCTGGCAGCATATACTTCATTGGGCATTGCCCCTTCTGTCCAAATGGGTTAATAAAATATAGATATATAATTCTTTCAACGGACCTTGTGAATGAGTAACTCGACGTTCGAATTCATCCGAGATGGGCAGATATATACTGGTATCTGATAAAACGCGCTTGGTACGGGTGATGCGACTCTTGACACCACCCGTCACGACTACCATCACGCGGACTCCGAATGGTGCCAGTTCGAGCCGTAGCGTGTTGCTGTATGCATGAAGAGCACCCTTAGTTGCATTGTAAATGCCGCTGAACACATAGGGGATCACTGCCGCAACAGATCCGATATTGACAATAATTCCTTTCGACCGGATGAGCAATGGCGTAAATTCTCGGACGACACGAATCACCGAAAAGACATTGGTCTCGAATGCTGAGGTGATGTCTTCATCTGAGGCCTCTACGGTTGGAATTGTGCAATCTGGAATAGTTAATTATCGTGTATATTGCGTTGTGACAGGAGGGTAGATACTTTTTCCTCTGTTAAAGGTGAGTGTTAGCGAGATTTGTATTTCAAACTTGCCAAGGGGGTTAATTATTGCAGGAGAGCATACGCATTGTTTACCAATATATCCAGTGTGCCAACTGTAAGCTCTTCGACAGTTTTTCGCATGTGCTGGATGTCATTGAGCGAAGTGACATCAAAAGTAAACGTTTCGATCCCACGAGCTTTTAGGTCACTCATACTTTCGAGATTGCGGGCTGTAGCAATTACACGCAGGCCTTGAAAGAGATCATGTGGACTTAGTAATGGTAAAACGCGGCAATGAGAATGCGAAGGTATTCCACACCTGCATCCTGAAAAGAGCAGGCCAGCGAATGGCCAATCCCACCCTTGGCACACCCCGTGATAAGAACACTGCGTCGAAGCTCAGACATCAGGGCGTTCAATCCATGCGTTTGTTGCAAGAGAATAATGCGTAGATAGAGGATCGATTTTAGACCTATCGTCGGCCGAGGTCCATAGGAAAGGCGTCAATCTTGCCCCACTTCACGTCGTCTTTGCATACAAAGAACAAAGAGGTTCTCCTCTGACAGCCTGACATGTCACTAAATGTGCCAGAACATTTAAAATGTTCATTCAAGGCCACTATTTTCTAATTCACTATGTATCACGACTAGCATTGATCTGAACGACCTGTTGACACCAGTCGACTCAGTGCCCTCCCGAAGTCCACTGAGTAGAACAGACTACCAGGTTTGGGATGAACATCATGCCTACAGCTAAGGATATCTGCGGCGATAGTTCGTTTGGGCCTCAGGTCAGAACACAAAATTGTCGCGGTGGATTTGATTTTACCGGTAGGAAAAGAACACCACCCACTGCCCCGACTACAGCATCAGTCAACATTAGTTAACATCATGCAGTCCTATTCGAGGAGAGCGTGCTGTCACTTGTACCGGCGGCGCTGTTGCTGGTGATCGCACCTTTCCGACTAGCGCATCTGTACGGCCAAGACGTAAAGCTTCGCCCGGCTGCTCTCCATACATTCAAGCTGGTATATCGAGTTTACGCCTTTTAGCGTCTACATATGCTGATACTAGGGAAGCTTGCAATTAGTGTATTTGCATGCTTACAACTAGCGCTTCTGCTTCTCTGGTGCCTCTCCAAGAACACCATCTTCCCATCGGTTTCCATCACGTCTGCAGTATTGGGCCTCATTTCTGCTTTTGTGATCGCTTTGCTATCACACCTGGAACACAATAAATCAATTAGACCTTCCTTTCTAACTTCCTTATATATACTGGTAACTTTGGTATTCGACATTGCGCGCGCGAGAACTCATTGGCTTCTGCGGCAACATGACGCTGTCGCAGCTACTCTAGCTGCAATTGTAGCTTTGAAGCTCGCTATACTACTTCTTGAGTCCGTGGAAAAGAGAAGCATTTTGATATCAATATATAGAAATTCTTCTACGGAGTCTACAAGTGGACTCTTCAATCGCGCCTTATTCTGCTGGCTTAACCCCCTACTGCTCAAAGGATTTATGAGTATCCTTTCAGTTGATGACCTCTTCCCAATTAGTGAAAATCTGTCTTCTATACAAGTTACGGAGCAAATTCAAGCAGGATGGAGCAAAAGTATGCCTATTTACTAGTGTCTATGTTGATGCTCATAACTGCGAATGCTGATAATACAATGACAGGTGATAAACGGGGCAAGAATGCTTTCGCTAAGACCGTAGTTCTTAGCTTCAAGTGGCCCTTTCTCGGCACGGTGGTCCCTCGAATTTGTGTGGTTGCCCTAAAACTTGTTCAACCGTTCCTGATTCAAGAATCTATCAACTACATCAACAATCCCATTGTATTAGGGTCACAAAACACTGGCTATGGGCTGATTGCCGCTTATGGTTTGGTGTATCTCTGTATTGCAGTTAAAAAACCCTTATCCTTCCACTAAAGTCAATATTAATTTACATGTGTAGGTCTTTACTGGTTGGTATCAACACTTGACGTTCCGGCTTGTGACGATGATACGAGGCGGTCTCGTAGGAGTCATATTTAGGAAAATGCTAGAGTTAAATATTAGCGATGTCCAGGAATCTTCGGCCTTAACATTGATGAGCACGGACGTGGAAAGAATTGCGGAAACGTGGAACTTTGTGAACGAGCTATGGGCGAGTCTGATACAGGCATTAATAGCCGTGTGGTTACTGGAGCGGCAACTGGGTGTTGTCTGTGTCTACCCAGTGCTCATATCTCTCGGTTAGTGTCCTTTCCCACTTTCTTTTCTGTATTTAATTTACCTAACACTGTCATTTCTCTCTAAGCGGCAAGTCTCTCTTCTTTCTGGATTGCTCGATACATAGCTACGCGCCAGAAGGTATGGATAGAAGCCATTCAAAAGAGAGTTAACCTAACCGCGGAGCTTCTTGGATCAATAAAAGTCGTCAAAATGCTTGGGTTTTCATTTAAGCTATCTCAAATTGTCCAAAATATGCGAGTTGCTGAGTTAGACCTTTCGAAAAGATATAGAAGACTGTCTGTTACAAATACCTGCTTGAGTAAGCCACCAACTACAAACCTGATTGCCAAGTTTTTAACTGTTGCTAACCTCTCATAGCGAACTTGCCTAATATCATCATTCCTGTAATCACATTTACTGCCTTTGCGGTTTCAGGACATAACGGTATAAATGTGTCCCAAGCGTTCACATCTTTATCAATTCTAAGCCTTATAACCTCGCCTATCGCCAACATGATCTATGCAATTCCGCAGTTATACTCGGCTCTGGGCTGCTTTCAACGGATCCAAGAATACATCCAAAAGGAACCCCGACACGATTCAAGACAATTAATTATGCCATTTGACAGAAAACAAAGTTATGCACAACTAGAGCCTTCTGCCTCAACCTATAATCAGATGGAATTGCAATCACTTAAAAGACCAGCCCATGAATCGGATACAGAAGCTTCAACTACTATATGTAAATCCATGGTCGCTATTCGAGACGGCTCCTTTGGATGGCACAAGACCGGCCCAGCCACCGTTCAAGGTATCGACTTGCAACTTTCGGGACCGTCGCTGACTATTGTGGTCGGTCCTGTAGGCTGCGGAAAGTCAACGTTGCTCAAAAGCATTCTCGGTGAAACCTTCAACCTCACAGGATCTTTGAACATTTTATCCCTAGAAAGCGCTTTCTGTGACCAGATTCCTTGGATTAAATCCGGTACGCTCCGAGAAAATATAATTGGGCACTTGGAGTTCGATGATGTCTGGTACAAGGCAATCATCTATGCCTGCGCACTGGATACAGACTTTCAGCAGCTGCCTGACGGTGATCAAACTACCGTCGGAAGTAAGGGTATGAAACTGAGTGGTGGACAGAGGCAACGATTGGTAAGTTTCCAGGGTCGATATCCAGACCATAGTTAATGTTAATGGCAGTCAATTGCCCGAGCAAGCTATGCAAGAAAACAGCTTGCAATTTTTGACGATGTTCTTAGTGGACTAGACGCTCTGACGGAAGAAAAGGTTTGCAACCGTTTACTTGGTCGGCACGGATTGCTTCGCAAGTCCGGGACTGCTGTTATATTAGCGACACATTCTGGTTCGTATACGGCTGCAACTGTAACCATATGTTAGATATCCGGCTGATGGGAGAAGTGAATTACCTGTCGCTGGCAGATCACATCGTAATCTTGAATTCTGACGGTCGTATTGCCAAGCAAGGAACATTTGAACAACTGAGCACTAGTGGTCGATACCTTGATGGCCTGGCTCGCCATGAGAGAACACTAGGCATTAAAGACAACGAAGGTCTACCGCAAGTACCAACAAGCACCACGTCACTTAGAAGTTCGGAACCCAGGTCTGCGAGTAGAGATGCGCATCGCCAGGAGGGAGACTGGAGTGTTTATCGATTCTACGGAGCATCTATGGGCTGGTGGAGGCTGGCATTTTATGCTACCTCTATCGTCAGTTCTAGCACTTTTTCTGGCCTACAAAGTAAGTCAGCTCCCCATATCTTATAACGCGTACTCACCAGGCATAATAGCCATATGGCTTAGTATGTGGTCCCAATCCAACGATGAAGGCTCGAGATTAGATTACTGGCTCTCTATATACGGGCTATTTGCGCTGTGCAATGCTCTAGCCCTTATAATTGCCTGCTTGTAAGTATTAGCGAGGCAATCCTGGATAATTCCATATATTTCAAGGTTAACCTTAATAGTTATTTTATGGTTATCATCGTTCCACGGTCTTCGCAACATCTCCACTGGTCAGCTCTGAAGATTGCTATGAGGTAGGAAGGGAATAGATATTATGCAGCAAACTAGCTCATTAGAACTACAGTGCCCCACTCTCTTTTTTTACTCGCATAGATACCGGGATTATTGTCAATCAGTCTGTTTGCTCTTCAAGAATTATTCTGAATGGCTAGAATTAACCTTTTCTACAGTTTTAGCCAAGACATGCGGCTTCTTGATATGACCTTACCAAATGCGATGATTTCGGCTTCGTTTCGTATGCCCTTGGAATGTAAGTTTAGCTAAAATAATAGCTAATTTTGGTCACAGAGCTTGTTAATACTATCTGGAGCTTCATTCTTACTTCAATCGCTGTCTGGTACATGGTAATACCTATACCATTCCTCGTTGGACTCGTGTACGGAATCCAGAAATTTTATTTGAGAACCTCCCGGCAACTACGATTACTCGAGTAAGTAAAAGGATTTCGGAGTCTCTCAAATAAGGCTAACAAACCCGGCTAGCCTCGAAACGAAGGCGCCCCTATACTCTCACTTCATTGAGTCTCTTTCCGGATTGGCGACCTTACGAGCGTTTGGCTGGTCTGAGGCTGCCTTCGAGAAGAATTTTCAGCTTCTTGACATATCCCAAAAGCCATTCTACCTACTTCTATGCGTCCAAAGATGGCTTACGCTGGTCTTGGATATAGTCGTTGCGATTGTTGCTGTTCTACTCATATCGCTAGCCGTAGCTTTACGTTCGCAGATCAATCCTGGGTTTTTAGGTGTAGCAATGGTTAACGTCATGAATCTAAGTACCGCACTTACTAACTTGGTTAATTTCTGGACACTTTTAGAAACGTCGCTAGGTGCAGTTCGGAGGATCAAGGACTTTACGGAGAATACAGAATCTGAAAATTTAGCAGGAGAGGACCAGATTCCGCCGCCTGAATGGCCAGTGAAGGGTGACTTGGCACTCATTGGGATATCCGCGGCATACAATTCAAATGACACTCCCGTCCTTTCCAATATTACTCTATCAGTGACGCATGGCCAGAGAGTTGCAGTCTGTGGAAGAACTGGAAGCGGAAAGAGCTCCCTTCTTCTCGCTCTTTTAAGGATGATTGATCTTACCGAAGGCACTATCATGATTGATGGCGTTGATACCTCCAGGATACCGCGAGACTTCCTTCGCTCTAAATTTGTGACCCTGCCACAGGATTACTTTTCGCTTGCGGGAACTGTGCGCTTCAACGCAGATCCCCTCGGCCAAGCTTCTGATGAGCAGATTATTGCTGCACTTGAGCAGGTCCAGCTGTGGAAGCTGATCCGCACTAAGGGGGGTCTGGACGTCAATATGGACGGCAGCCTCTTTTCCCACGGACAGATCCAGCTCTTCAGTCTCGCAAGAGCAATGTTGCAGGAGAACCCAATCCTGATACTTGACGAGCCAACAAGTAGTGTCGACACCGATACCGAGGAGCTGATCCAGCGGCTCCTTCGCGAGCGGTTCAACAATCATACTATCATCATGATCGCGCACAGGCTAAAGAGTGTCGCTAACTATGACAAAATAGCCGTCCTGGATGGCGGCAAACTTGCAGAATTCGACTCTCCCGACGCCCTTCTGTCCAGGCCTTCCATCTTCCGAAGCTTGTATGAAGCTTGCTAATGATCATATTTTCCGTGCTATATTAAAACAGAAGGTTTATGGCTCTCTCAATCATGCTGTGAGCCGTCATTTACTGGACTGGGCCTTGTGTACACCCCATTGTGCGATAATTCTAGATTGTGAAGCCCCACCCCAATGAATGAACGGATTATTGGAATTCGAACCTCAACCTCGTTAATGACGTATATTTTACTCTGCAGTGTATTACGAGCCACAAGTGAAGTAGTAGGGATTATAAATCAGGCTCGCATACTAGTGATGAGCGTTGTAGACAAGTTTTCCAAACGGGTACTGCACCCTTATTTGATCACATATTTAAATCTCCAGCAGAAATATAAAAGATATTACACGTACAAAAATGCTTATCTGTTTATGATACACCGAATATATCTATTTTGTAGATTAGAAGAAATTTATTAGAGATATATATCTATTTCGGCTGAATTCAACGATTTTTGAATATGCTATTGTGCCAATTTTGAGGCGTTGAAGCTTTAAGATCAACATAGAATGCGGATGCGGAAGCAAATGGGCGGTGGATGTTCGCTGTAGAGCGGAACTGCTCCGCGTCCACGACTAAGTTAGGCTACAACATGATTATGTCAACTACATTCTTCAACTTCACACCATTTTATCTATCTAACCTTCTGTATCCACTCTATTTGACCACATTAGTCTGAAATACTTTTAAATAATACCAAATGGCAGCCCAGCTCCAAGCCCTACTGCGCTTTCTCTCGCAAGATGCCAAGGTCCCGCTGGCATCAGCAATGGGTAAAGTGAAGGAGCTTCAAGCCGCAGGATTAGACAAGTATTCCCTCTTTTCATTCAAAAATATAATAAAACTAAATCAACCATTTCGATTAAATCTGTCTCGGCAATAAGCTAATAACAACAGCGCCCAGAATATCTCAAGCGCCAACTTGAAGACTATACAGTCTATCTTCAAAGATGACAAGATCGCCAAACAAGTTCACAACGCAGCAAAACGCGTGACGAAACAGGGCGATAAGCGCGCTGCTTCAGATGATTCCCCATCAGCAACATCTCCTCAGAAAAGAGCGAAAACAGCCTCTGGCAATAAACTAGATAGGAATATCCCCGCCACGCCTTTCCAAATTGAATCCGCACTTTCACTCCCCATAACTTCGCCCCACGAACAGCCAGAAGAATACCTTTCTGATATAATCTTAACAACAAATCGAGCGCCACTGGTCCTCGCCTTTGCTGTAATTGCGACAAAGTACACAATGCCCGAACAACCGCTCTCTAGCCGCCTGAGCCTGGCCCAAGCAGTCGTGAGCGCGAACAGTCGCAGCAAAGCCGTGAGTATTGGGCTTGAGAGTGGACGGAGTGCGGAAGAGGAAGGATGGGGGAAAGGGCAGCCGACGATCAAGATCCTTGGCAGAGAGATTGCGGTGTTGAAAAGATGGGATTATGATCCTAACGAGGGGGCGCCGCCGGACGCAGAGGATCGTCCGGAGGAGTCGCAGAGCACTCTTCCTAGTAGTACCCCTGATTCGCCGCCGCCACCACCGCCGCCGCTTTGGGGTTTGGATCTTGAGTCGCTTAGGAGGAAGTCTAATGAGAGTGGTAAGCCGGCGCATGGCGGGAGCTCGAATGAGCCTGGTCTGCCGATTTATACCGCAGAGTCGGCGCGGGCGTATTTACTCAAATCGTTTATAATAGATAAGAACGAAAATGCAGGTGACAATTCAAAATTGCCAAAGAAAAAGGTGCCCAAACCCGAGTCACCGTTGGAGAAAGAAAGAGCCTTGGGGTTATTATTACGAGCCCTTGATATTGTGTTTGCGTCATGGGCGGCTACTCTGTCGCCGGAGGAACTAGATAAAAGGGCTTGGATGTGGTATCTGCGTGTGAGGCCAGATGTGCAGTCTGGGGTAGCTGGATGGGGGGAGAAGGGAAAGGTGAAGTTGGCTGATATACTAGCGTTGAAGCGATGAATGAATGAAAAGAAATACTAGTTGACGGCAACATTTACGACTATAATTCTTTCAAAAGCTGCTCGGTATTTCGAAACTGATCCCATATTATATTTGCACCAACTTATGTATAAAAACGACCGATTAACATAAAATTCGTTCACGCTGAATGAATCACGCTTGGGTGCATCCGGTGCCTCCTCAGTGGCGTGTTCAATATTATTAATTTCAGGCTCATTCTCCCGAGCACGCTTCAACTCGATCTCCTTATCGCTGGGACGAGCGTTGGTCACATTGATCTCTGTATCACGGTGCATATTCATGATATCACGTCTGTAGATGTTAACGTAGATGGGGAAGATCCAGGCGAGAATGTAGCCCTTCATAGGGATAGCCATGGCGACATGAGCATTGCGTCGGTCCTTACTATCCCGAGCTCGTTTTTCTGTTCGTCTTTTAGCATTTAATTCTTCATTTCATGTGTTTAATCGTGGAGTTCCACGTGTTTTCTAGCATCGTTTTGCCAGGACTGTTCCTATTTTGTTATTACAGACAATTACCATACTAGCTGGCTGGTATACTATTAGCCATGTGTTATGCGGAAGCAAATCTCCATAAGCCTAATTCCAAATTCATTTGATAATATGTACTGAGAAGCGAATGTAAGTTATTTACAGTAATATCCCCCTTTGTTCATGAAAATATGATCTAATTGGTCCCATATCATTGAATGAGGGTTATGAGTCTCTCGGCGATACCAGGAAGCCAGAGACTCGGAAATTATCCACAGGACGATCAGAAGTTGCTCACTGATAAAAAGCTGTAAATGAGAGGCCGTTCGCGGAAAGAGTGAGTCGGCTAATAACAAACCGTTGAGAATGATAGTATAAAGCTGCTCGTCATGCCTAGGCCATGCCGTTCTTCAAGTTGTTGTACTGAGATGCAGGATAGCTGAGCTCGTTCTGCGACTGCTCCAATGCGCTAGTACCGCCGAGGGTGTTGACAAGCTATCTTTCGTTAGAAACAAACACAAAACCCATATCATGTAAACTAGTAACATACCGTGGTAATGAGACTATCAGATCCAGTCTTGTCACTGCTGCTCTCCCAGTACATACCGCCCCCCAGACCCTTGCTGATGATGTATTGACCCTTGGTCTTCACGATATCTGGGGTATCATAACTGATCATGAGGCGTTGCGAGCTGTCGTATGTCCATGCCGAAACCGACGAGTTGTCGTAGTACAGGCTGGCACCGGCTTGAGGGAGAGCCTTGTAGTCCCAGACACCATTTTCCCAGGAACCGCTTCCGACGCCGTTGAAGCTGGTGCCAGGACCGTCGGTCTGGGTGAAAGAGCGACCGTACAGCGGGATTCCGAGGTTTATTTTATTGGCGGTGGCGCCGTTGCCAATGTAGTACGAAATGGCTTGGTCGGTATTGAACGGGGTGGAGTTGGCGTATTTAGTGGAGTTGTATATGTTGGCGTCCATACCTGCTATGGTGTCCCACTAGGAGTATGTTAGCTAGTTTATTCATAAACTACGTGGGGAAAGAAATAAGACGTACGGAGCCGCTGTAGTCATAGGCCATCAAGTTCCACATATCCAAGTACTTATCCATGTCGGAAATATGCAGCTTCTCATAGTTAGACGGTCCAGCAGGCACGGCTGCACTGATCAGGTAGTGTTGGCCGGGAGTATACTTGGCAGCATAGTCATCTAATCCCTGTAATTCTTAGAGTAAGTATAGTATCCGAATGGTAGGTACAATATTCATACCTGACGGAGCGCCTTCAGCAATGAAACAAAGTTATTCGCTTCATTACTATTAGCAGGATACTATAAATAATCAGCTTAGCAATTTTGAGAGACGAGGCAGATTATTATTACCTCCCAATCAATATCAATACCATCTAAACCAAGATCTCTAACAAAACCGACTGCAGAGGTGACAAAAGCAGCACGGTTAGCGTCAGAGCCAGCAGCGCCACTGAAATGGGCCGAGTAGGTCCAGCCGCCAATTGAAAGTAAAGACTTGAGGTTGCGATTTGCCTTCTTCAACAGGTAAAGCTGCTTGATGCATCCGTAGACATTGTTTCCAGTTTCATCCCAGGAGTCTCCATCGTAGTGCTTCTGGATATCTGCCCAGGAATCGGTGAGGAACACCTCACCAGTGTCAGGGTGAACATCGGCAAAGGAGTACAGCACGTGAGTGAGGGAAGAGGCGACACCAGCCAGGTTTTGTACGTGAAAATTGCGTCCGTATATGGCCTATAGACTCTTAATTAGTAAATGGTCTAGCAATCACTCAGGTAGCTGAGAACACTTACCCAATCCACAAAGTATGCCACAGATCGATAGCTGCTAGATCTCTCTTCAACATCTGAACGAGCTGAGGGAAGAGCTGCAGCATTGGCCAGCGAGCCTGCGAGGCCAAAAAGGAGAGAGAGCTTGGAAAAATGCATGGTAAGACGCAGGGTCAAGCTATGAAGGAGTGTAATGATCAGAGGGGTTGAATATATTGCAAAGCACTGTAAAGTGCGAATGAAGGAGTGAATTTAGTCAGGAAAGAAACAGCCAACGACCCTGAATAATAAAGAAACAAGATCGATTGGGGTCATCAGGACATTTATATGCCCGAGAACTAAGCGCCTGGTCGGAGACATCCCCGTTCAAATGGAGACTACTCATTGTAACGTGAAGCATTTCACAGGCCGATACACCGTCCATGCAGGGTGGGTACAACGACGCGATCGTAGCAATCATGTTTATGGTTCCTGAATAGTAACCAGTGATAGCGGGGATTAGTAGGAAATGCGTTACCTAACAAATAGTACCGCGAAGGTGACCTTCCAAAACAAAAGCGTCAAGCCACAAAATGCTAGCATGCTGTTCTGGTGGTCCGGGATAGCGCAGATGACGGGAATGTGGGACGGAGGTGTTCCTGGCGCGGCACATACGGACAAAAAACATACAACATATGTGCCTCGCATTAATGAGAATGATGGCGGATTACTGAGCCTTTTTTAAACTCAAATGCATACCGGATAGCCCTGGCATTTTTGTCCTATGCCATTTCTATGGGAAACATATATATCGATCGACATGGCAAGGGTCAAATCAAAGTTGTCAAATGCTTATTGTCTTCTAGACACGGCAATCATTTCCATCGCAGGAAATTACCTGCACGAGACGGGGATTAGGTTATCGTAGCTTTGTCGATCGAGAATTACTGTCGGTAATTCACGCGGCTGGAACGTCACATTCCAGGTAGGATCTAACTTTGTGGATGCGGGGGTCCGGAATAGCAATTTATGTATGGTCATCGAGTTCGAGCTTGGCGGAGCCTCATTTTAAAAAGGCGTGATACATTCATTCTAGGCCAGGCTGGCTTGCGGTCAAGCAAACACGAGCAAGGAGTGCACGAACGAGGAGTGGAAGTTGCCCAAGTATCTAAATTGTTATAAGTTATATACGATCGATTCAAAACATACAGACGGGCACATAAGATCAACACCGTTCAATCAGAGGGAACAGCGGTAGTCACCTCGGCGTCAATTTCGATACCGTCGTGAGCCATGTGTCTTGTGATGTAGCAGGGCACTCCACGAGATCGCAATCCGCGATGGCCAGTGATGCCAGACCTCAAAAGGAGATCCTTCGCTTTGTCCGTACAGCCGATTCGCTGGAGCACACAGGTACACGATAAGAAGACGTAGCATCGCTACAATACCGGCAGATGACAACTCTCGGCGAAGGCTTGGCTCGCCGCCAGTGATGCATGTAACCCTTGATGGTCATCTTATTTCACCGCCAAGAAGCTCTCTGAAGAGATGGTGATAACACGTGTAACTAGATCTACCACGCGATAGTAGCAAGTAATTGAAGAGTTGACACTGACAGAAGACGATGAAGATGGAGTTTCGCATGTTCAGTCATTGTCCAGGAAGCCCAAAACTGCGCTTGACTACTTTGGGCATCGTCTACTTTGACCAATCGCAGCCCATTTATACGACGAGATGTCAATATAAGTTCTCCAAATAAGCCACTCGGCAGAGCGTCAAGTCCTGAAACTAACGTGGAAGTTTCAACCTTAATTAGTGAGAATGACGCGATTCAGAGAAGCCGAGCTCTATCGTCCAGCGTTGGGGGCGGTCCTAACCACAACAGTCAAGGCGACAGCGCCAAAAAAAGACAGAAATGTTACCCTAACTGACCCTAACAGTCATTTCCTTGAACATGAGTAATGGAGCTCGGTTTGTTGCCCGGATCTTCAGCTTTATTTCGTTCCAATGCGTCGGCCCGTATCAAGGCTATACGGGGTTGCAATTATATGTTACTATCTCCTCCGGAATCAAAATCCAGAATAAAAGGCTCCTCTATACTCAGAATTCAAATCTACATGAAGGCGAATTTTACTGATTCCAGCCATAATGCGACCAGTGGGCTACCCTGCTTGTGGTTACAACATTTGAAGTCGCAATGTGAATGCCACCACTTTGCATAGATACATGTTTACAATGCTACATATTAATCGATGCCAACTGGTCCTGACCGAGTGCTGCCAAGCGGTGATATTAGTGATTGGACATATGTTTGGTTGTGATTAATTTATAATGGTTAGGCTCCTGGTAGATGGTTCAGAGGCCCGTAGTATAGGTAGAGTGAATAATGGCATCAATATAGGTAGGATACCTATGACGCATCCGCCGACATGGGGGTGACGTAGTAGTGCTACAAGGAACGAAATAGGCAGCTCACAGTTTCCTATTATCCCTAATATTGATCGTCAATTGAATACACTTCCAGACAGGATGATATCAATTGATGATATCTCACTGTGAAGAGACAAGTCAAGCTACGGTGTTCAATATTTGCTTCTATAATATCAATTGATATCATTAATTATTACATATCACGAAACTCTTATACCAGTTCACACTTCAAATGTTATATCCCAATTATATCCATCGATCTCAATTCCATGAGAAACAGGGCTTACTTCTCAAATGCTGGCATTGGCCTCTAGTAAAAGGGTATCCGTAACCTCCGCTGCTTCTTCTCAACTCCATCTACGTAATAGATCACATCGAACGTTGCATGAGCAATCCAGGGTAGTCTTGCTTGGGTCTATGTTCCACGCTCGCCGTGAAGGTCATCAGTAAGGGACGTGGCTAGCCAGCCCTCTGGGTCTAGTCCATCCACGACAACTGTTTTCTGTTTAATCAACCATGTCCCGTCATTAAGCCTGCTCACAATATCGTCTAACGACCCTACTGACCAGACATCTTCAGATGAGACCTAGTAATCACATAGCTTTGATAGTGTGCTTCATCTGGAAACACAAACTGTACGTCAATAGTGGTGAGATGATACCTTAGAAGCTTTGGCGGGTTGCTGCGAGTAATTTCTCCCAAGTTACCTGGAGAAATGTGGTGCCCATCTGGAAAGTGGACGGTTGCATTTGGCTCAAACAGCTTCACTGCTTGGCTGTAATCGCCGTCTTCGCGGGCTATGGAGGCGTAGCGGTATATGATGGCGAGACTAAAGGGGGCAAGCAGAAGCTTCTTCAGTCAACATCATGCCGGCTGAGGTGCCATTGGTTAATCCGGAAGGATCCTGCGAGCTAAAAATTAAACTAGCATACGAAACATATCAACAATCTTGACAGTTTGATTGCTTCTGCAATAGAGCAATTTGAAGAGACTCGGTCCTTACACCTCTGCGGGGTATAGCTCAGCAGATAGTGACTAATCGAATGATGTCCAGGTAACTCGCCGACCCCCACAAAGCCATCTTGACTTGCGGAGATATTAGCTCGGCGGCGATCGTCTGGGGAATGCCCCGCCCGCTCCTCTTGCCAAGGATCTCCGATTGTTACGACGAGAGCTCTGCGCTGCGTGGGTTTCAGAAATAAAGGCGCCTGGTCAGGCTGGTGATTGTCGTGCATCGTGATGGAGGCCGATTGCAAAGCGGACGGGGCGATGCAGAGGGCAAGTGTTGCCAAGACGAATCGTCAGACGAGATCTGCTGGTGGCTGATGCACCTCCGACTACGCAGGAAGCTCTTTCCCTGCGTGCCGCCGTATGCGGGCTCTTAATCCGTCCTGCCGATGCTGCAAGTATTTGTACAAGGCTTACTCGCTCTTTTTGATCCCATCTTTTATCGACCTGTTCATTCCTCTCGCTCGAATCCTCTCCAGCTATGCCTCTTCTAACTCATATTGCTCCCCCAAAAGTGCTTGCTTCCGAGAAGCTCTCACCAGACGGTCTTGCACTGCTTCGCAGCGGGGTGGAAGTGCACGAAAAGAAGGGTCTCAGTCATGAAGAACTGCTGACTATCATCCCCGAATATGAAGCCCTGCTGGTGCGATCAGAGACCAAGGTCACCGCCTCGTTACTTCAAGCTGCAAAGCGACTGAAGGTGGTGGCTCGTGCTGGGGTTGGAGTCGACAATATCGGTATATCTCTACGGGAATACCTGCGGAATTACTTCTTAAACTGACTCCACTGCGGTCTAGATGTCGAAGCTGCCACCAAGTTAGGGATTGTGGTCGTCAACTCTCCGTCTGGAAACATTGGAGCGGCCGCCGAGCATACCATCGCTCTGATGATGTCTATGGCGAGGAACATCCCCGAGGCCTGTAAGAGTCTCAAGGATGCCAAATGGGAGAGAAGTAAATTTGTCGGTGTGGAAGTCAAAGGACGAACGCTGGGTATCATCGGTCTGGGAAAAGGTATGACTTATAACAAGACATTGATCATGATTCCAAGTCTAGAGTTTCAAGATGGCTAATCGCTCATAAAACATAGTGGGCTTAATTGTTGCCCGATCTGCAAAAGGCCTAGGCATGAACGTAGTTGCTGTAGACCCTTACGCATCGCAAGCGGTCGCCTCATCGGCATCAGTCACGTTGATCCCGTCCCTATCAGAAATGCTCCCAAAGGTTGATTTTCTGACGATTCACACTCCATTGATCGCATCTACAAAGGGCATGATCTCAACCAACGAACTGTCGAAGATGAAGCCTGGTGCCAGGATCCTAAATGTCGCTCGAGGAGGAACAATTGACGAAGTAGCTTTGCTGGCCGCTCTCGAATCAGGGCACATTGCTGGTGCTGCTATTGACGTTTTTACAAGTGAACCTCCAACAGAGGGCTCCAGCGCCGCAAAACTTATTGCTCATCCGAAAGTGGTGGCAACGCCTCACCTGGGTGCCTCGACCGTGGAGGCCCAGGAAAACGTCTCTATCGACGTTTGCGAGCAAGTCTTGCATGTTCTCCAAGGATCCTTGCCACGCAGTGCAGTCAATGCTCCTTTGATTTTACCGGAAGAATATGTGAAGCTTCAGCCATTCGTACAATTGATCGAAAAATTGGGTAGTTTATACACCCAGCACTACACTTCCACTAGTGGCTCTCTAAACCGTAATACCTTTGACCTAGTTTACCAGGGAGAAATAGCCGGTCTCAACAATACCAAGCCACTATTCGCGGCACTTATCAAAGGGTTGACAATGCCAATTAGCAGCTCAGCCGGGCCCAATGTGAATATTGTGAACGCAGAACTGATCGCCAAAGAGCGCGGTATAGTCGTGAACGAACGTCACTCACGCGACCCATCGAGCCACTCCTACTCCTCTTTAGTAACCTTGGTGGCACGACCTCCGTCACGAACTTCATCGCGTGCGCCGCCGGGGGCGGCCACTCAGCCGTCGAACGGTCCCCAAGTGCCTCAACTGCGCCAACAACAAGTGATATCCGGTACTTGCTCCGGAAGCCAACCATTGATAACCAGGCTCGATCGGTTCGAGACATCTTTTATTCCGGAGGGTACCTTGCTTATTTGCCACAACTATGATTCACCGGGTAAGATTGGCGTAGTCGGCAGCATTCTCGGGCGGAAGAAGGTGAATATTAACTTCATGGGCGTGGCTCCGGTGTCCAACAAGCTACCTGAAGGCGAAGATGGTGAAGACGTCAACGCCGACAAAGACGCGGACTCTCTCAACGAGGCACTAATGATACTTGGTATCGACCGCGTTGTTGACCCAGACGTCCTTGATGCGCTTGTGGGAGAAGGTGGCGTCCTAAGTGGCAGAGTTGTCACTTTATAGAGTAGCACGTCTCGTCTAGCAATCGTAGATAGCATTTATCTCGGCAGTATAGAATACAATAAACCCAATATAAATCCATTAACTCAACCTATCCATCAACTAAACACACACAATCACATCATCATACGACCCTCAATCGCCTCATCCGAAATATCCCAGCCATTCAAATACCGAACCCAAAGCTCAAATACGACGCAAAACTCAACCAACCTAAATACGACTCCAACAACCAGGCCGCAACCCCATCAATCCGGCGATACTTACTAACCCCAGCACCAACCCAAACTGCACCGCGATATCCACCACCGCCGCGACATACCAGCGCAGCCCAAAAACAGCGGCATCCAGATCAGATTCGTGGCTAGCTGAACGATGTACGGGGACTGGGAGGATTGGTAGCTGGAATATCCCGTTGTCGCGTAGAGCGCAGCTTGAATGGGACTCAAGACCCAGCTTGGTGGGTGGAGAGGAGGTTAGCGAAGAGCGCGGTAGATTTTTGGATGTTGGCACCTAGAATACCGTCAGTGTTTGTTCATACTTTTGTAAGGATTTGGAAGTATTTCGTACATTTGGTCGTGGCATACCCAGCAAATGCGCCGGCGGTGTGAAGCATGTTGTTGGCAGAAACAGGTTATTCCAGCAATTCGAAGCCATGGCTGCTATACACCACTTTCATGAAGACAGTAGTATACAGAAAGAATGAAAATGCCAAATCTATGCAAGTCATAAGGACATTATTGGGAAGGGAGTGACGTAACGAGCACCAAAGCGATCCCTCTATATCAACTTTATCTACAACAGATGGAATCTCAATCGGCAATTAAGATGCCTATTTGTTGGTTTACAGGGCGATGTCAGTCCTATGGGTGTAGAATAATTGCGAACGTTCCAGCATCTAGTAGTCTGTAGAAGAACCGCTGTTAACATCCGGATTACTGTTGCGCCAGCTAATGAACATACAGTGCAGAAGCCAGCAAGGATAATATTGAAGATAAAAACGAGCTGTAATATAATAACAAGCTGGCCCCTTCCATTATCGGGTTTCTTAAAGAGGTCAGAAAGCCCATGGACTGTTTTGATTTATTCCAGTTCGTTCGATTTTCTTTTCATTGTATGTTTTGAAGTACACACTACACCATATTCTGTCAGGTTAATAGAAGAAGGCCTAGCAGAACTTGTCTATTTAGGAATTGAGACATCTTGTAGCACAAATTTTGAAACTGTTAAATTTCGTTTACATCAATTGATATAATTATTTGCTGGCCAACTAGACGTTCATATATTGTGACGCGGTCTCTATCTAATTCGCTGTCGCGGCACGTGAAGCTCTAATGCCGATTAGGTACCGCCATGGCAAATGGAATTCAGCGATTATTTTCATTCATGTTTGAAGTATCATTTGGCCCTCTTGAATGTCATCCAGAAGACGCTCCTGTGGCCCGGTCATTGACTGCTGTGCTCTTGTGGTTTGCTAGTACCCCAAATCAACAGCCATCCGCACAATCACGACTAACAAGGACAAACACTTGAAGTCATTCCCTGTTTCTACTCCAGTCCAGACAGCATGACTCAAGACGGTAGCCAGATACTTCCCTGGAAGCGCATGTTGGAGGAAATTACAAATGTGAACGACTTGACAGAGAAAAGGATTCTCAGTCTGCGATCTCTAGCATTCAGTGCTATCTATTTGCCACTATTAAAGGTACGCCAGTCAGCCCCAGTCTTGATTATACGACATTCTAGCTGAGATGGATGTTTGATGAGTACGAAATGCTAGGTTAACAAAAAGGCCTTTGCGAAATGGACCTCGAAGCAGCGACCAGAACTCCAGACGATCATCGAGTACGACGCTCGCAGCGAGTGTGTGATTATCAAAGGCAGACCGTACTTGCCACACCAGACTGTCCCGATTTTCTTCAATCACCTATTCTACGCTATTGCGAAGAACCGGGGTCTGCAGAACTTTGACTTTGTATCGGATATGAAATTGAAGCGTGAGCACCTCTATTACCCCTAAAAAGGTTCTGCTTGATACATAAAGCAGGGAATTTCAAGCCTATAACTGACTGAATCACGAATGCAGGTTTCACGTTAGTATCACCATTCGAAGAGACGCGGTTAGTCCCGGAAGCGTATCTGAAAGAAAAGAAGAAAGCCTTTCCATCCGTCGTACTGCTCATCGGACCTACCACATCCATCAAAAACATTACCCTGGTAGCTCGACGTTGGCTGATAGGCACCTTCAGCGAGACCGAGACCGTGATTGCCTTCACCCTCACCGTCAATCCAGTTCCAACATCGGTCTCTGCGCTCATTCGCTCGAAAATTTTTGAACGAAACTGGGGGTTATCCGATGATGAGATACGTATTTTGTATAACAACGTTGAGGCGCTTGGTACGCACGTGTTTGACTGGTATATGGAAAACAGCACCGTCAAGCTCGGCGGGGAATGGGTGTCGCATATCTACATCTTCGACCGGAAGAGCCCGAACGCAAAATCTCCTGTGGCAACAATACGATTTTCCGCAATCGACTACCAAATTAACACCGATTCAATGCAGACGCAGCAATCGACTATTTTGGAAGTGCACGATGAGCCTGTTTTAGAATTTCAAGGCGAGACGGTGAGATTAAACGAGCTTGCTCATATGCTTCACAGCTGTATTAAATTAGAAGCAAATAAAATGGCAGTTGCCTTGGCTCGCTGCAAATTGAACCAGATTGGAATATTGCGAGAGCAAATACTGTATGACGGCGTGTGGAGGAAGTACCCATCTCCGGGACCTGACCAGTCGAATCAGTATTTTCAGAATGCATTAGGTTACGAGCAATCAGCGGATCAGGTAGAATGAACCAGCTTGTTGGAGCGAAACCTATCGGTTCTAATCTGTTTTAAATCCTATTGATTTTGAATTTTTGATTTGGATTTCGAAGCCTTTTTTCATCGATTCAGAGCTAGCCAATACTTTGAAATAAATAAGGTTTACCTGTATTTGCCTTTCCTCGAGTCCTAAGCCCTAATTATAACCCACAAAGTCCGCAAACTACCAGCAGAAAGAGCATAGCTTTGTTTACACGGCATTCGTTGACGATCTACATACAGTCTGACATCATTATTTTCATGTTGGTAGTGTATTGCTCATTGGCTCAGATGAAAAACTAGACTACGCTATTACAACGTTGGGACAGGATGAGAGTCCAAGATAGTGATGAGACTCTCTTCGGACTGATTCGTCGGGTATCCGAAGAAGACTCGGTTAAGCGAATGGTACACTGGCGGCTACCGAGTGATTTCGAAAGCCAAAGTTGGACACGTGGTTGCTAAGGACTCATGCCACCTCCGGAGAAGTTTTCGCCAGGATTTGCTTGTATCATGTGGGTTTGCAGGAAGGTTCATGAATCTAGGGAGATAATTTCTTATCCTACAAAATAAGCAACACTATGATGAAACACCATTCCATTTCTACTCATGCATTAGTGCTTGAGGTTTGTCCGGTACCTATGTTCCCAGGGGCACACCTTTAGCATGCCATCAACATCAAAGACGAATCCCTGTTGACCGAAGTTGACGCTTAGGTGAGTACCTGGGATTTTCTCTATGAAAACTGATGGATAAACGGTGACGTCCTGGGGGATTCGAAAAGAAGACCCTTGAAGCAATTGATTAGCGTTGACAAATTCATTTCTTTCAGAGAATCAAATTCAAAGAAATTACCCAGAAAGGTGCCATTCTTGGTAAAGAATGAGTATCCGGTAGTGAAATCCACCCCACAGCCAACAGTGTCATTAACTGTCAACGTAGGGCTGTTGACACGACCTAGTCCTAAAAATACGTAAGGTTTGTCGTCATTGCCAACGTAATCCCACGAATGTCGCGCCCTATTAAACAAAATTGGATCATCGAATACTTTAGCGTTGGAAACTCCGATACTAATCGCTCTGAATAACATATTTGTTAGCATCCCTAGTCCTGGTGTAGCAGGTAGTTCGAATTTGAAATTTATAACAGATTTCTTCCGAACAAGAAGCGCTAGTCTTTGAACAACGAGATGAAAAACGAACCTCTCGTTCGATATGGTTATGATTGTCACTTCAAAATAATAGAAGCTAAGCTGCCGAGGTATTGGATAATCGGTTCTAACACCAGCCACGGTGAAGTGTAATGGAGGGCCCATGTACCGAATTTCCAGCCCATCATTCAATAGATCCAGTGTGGGGGATTTGCCCGCATTGCTCCATCGTGATGGTAATAGCTTAAATTCCTCCTCCTCGAGAACTAATCCCTTCTCAGCCATGACGAAAGCCATTGCAAGATATGAGGAAGTAGGTAATGATGATCCATCAGTAGGAGGGGTTTCGCCTCCCTGAGAGGATAGCAGATTCATTACTGCCTCATGTCCATTCCAGGCAGCAAATAAAACCGGTGTCCGGCCATACTTATCATCCTTAGACTTGGGGTCGGCACCATTCTCAAGAAGCAATTTCACTACTGCATCGTGGCCATTCCCAGCAGCCCATGAAAGTGGTGTCTGACCATAAGTAGTATCTTTAGATTCGATATCGGCACCTTTATCAAGTAATAGCTTCACTGTTGCCTCATGGCCATTCCCGGCAGCGTATGAGAGGGACTGCCTACCAAATCTCTCATCTTTAATCTCGGTATGAGCATCTTTATCTAGTAATAGTTTTACCACTGTTTGATGGCCGTTCTCAGCAGCCCATATGAGCGGGGTCCGGCAATATCCATTATCCATAGCCTCAATATCAGCACCTTTATCAAGCAACAGCTTTACCACTGTTTCACAGCCACTCTTAGCAGCCCGTGAGAGGGGGGTCCAGTTATAGCCATCCTTAGACTCAGTATCAGCACCTTTATCTAGTAATAGCCTTACCACTGTTTCATGACCGTTCTCAGCAGCCCATATGAGCGGGGTCCGGCGATATCTATTATCCATAGCCTCGATATCAGCACCTTTATCAAGTAATAGCTTTACCATTGTTTCACGGCCACTCTTAGCAGCCCATGAGAGGGGGGTCCAGTTATAGCCATCCTTAGACTCAGTATCAGCACCTTTATCAAGCAACAGCTTTACCACTGTTTCATGGCCGTTCTCAGCAGCCCATAAGAGCGGGGTCCGGCGATATCTATTATCCATAGCCTCGATATCAGCACCTTTATCAAGCAACAGCTTTGCTACTGTTTCATGGCCGTTCTTAGCAGTCCATAATAGCGGGGTCCGGCGATATCTATTATCCATAGCCTCAATATCAGCACCTTTATCAAGCAACAGCTTTACCACTGTTTCACAGCCACTCTTAGCAGCCCACAAGATTGGGGTCTGGCCAGAGCCATCCTTAGACTCAGTATCAGCACCTTTATCAAGTAATAGCTTTACTATGGCCTTATGGCCATTCCTGACAGCCCATAAGAGTGAGGTCTGGACAGAGCCATCCTTAGACTCAGTATCAGCACTGTTATTAAGTAATAACTTTACTGTTGCCTCATAGCCATTCTCAGCAGCTAATGAAAGTGGGCTCTGGCCAGAGCTATTCTTAGACTCAGTATCAGCACCATTATCAAGTAATAGCTTCACTGTTGCTTCATAGCCGTTCTCAGCAGCTAATGAAAGTGGGCTCTGTCCATAAGCATTCTGAGACTCAGTATCGGCACCTTTATCAAGTAATAGCTTTACTATGGTCTCATGGCCATTCTCAGCAGCTAATGGAAGTGGGCTCTGGCCAGAGCTATCCTTAGACTCAATATCAGCACCTTTATCAAGAAACAGCTTTACCACTGTTTCACGGCCACTCTTAGCAGCCCATAAGAGTGGGGTCTGGCCAAAGTCATTCTTAAACTCAGTATCAGCACCTTTATCAAGTAATAGCTTCACTATGGCCTCATGGCCATTCCTGAGAGCCCGTGAGAGTGGGGTCTGAATAGAGCTATCCTTAGACTTAGCATTAGCACCTTTATCAAGTAATAGCTTTACTGTGGCCTTATGACTATTCCAGACAGCCTGTGAGAGGGGGGTCCAGTTATAGCTATCCTTGGACTCAATATCAGCACCTTTATCAAGTAATAGCTTTACCACTATTTCATGGCCGTTCTTAGCAGCCCATGAGAGTGGGCACAGGCCAGAGCTACCCTTAGACTCAATATCTGCACCTTTATCAAGTAATAGCTTTACCACTATTTCATGGCCGTTCTTAGCAGCCCATGAGAGTGGGCTCTGGCCAGAGCTACCCTTAGACTCAATATCTGGACCTTTATCAAGCAACAGCTTTACCACTATTTCATGGCCGTTCTTAGCAGCCCATGAGAGTGGGCACAGGCCATAATAATTATCTTTAGACTCAATATCAGCACCTTTGTCAAGCAACAGCTTTACCACTTTTTTATGGCCGTTCTTAGCAGCCCATGAGAGTAGGCTCAAGCCATAATAATTATCTTTAGACTCAATATCAGCACCTTTGTCAAGCAACAGCTTTACCACTTTTTCATGGCCGTTCTCAGCAGCCAATGAAAGTGGGATTCGGCCTTCCCAATGCGTTGAATTTGCGCTATTTTGTCTTTCTAGCAGGGTTGCTGTAGACTTCCAAAGTCCAAAGTAGGCTGCAAGGTGCAATCCTGTCACAGATATTGCGGTTTGCACAACTCTCCGTACTTGTCGCTTTTCCTTTAATACGATAGCATCGGCACTGGTAGATACTTTGGTTGGATCCTCAAGAAAATCCAATATCGGTTTCTCGCCGTCAATCAAAGACACCCTGGCATGATGTCCCCAATTCTTTGCTGCATAGTCATAGAAAACAAGTGGAGGATATTGCCGTTCGCCTAAAGCAAGCCTACAGGTATCAAATGATAGATAACTTATACATACTTTGGTAATATAAGTTTCAGCGTCAGGAAACCAGTCCTTCCAAGTGCGCTCGAAGTATTCTTGTGTTGTATAGTGGACCAAGCGGATAATATTACTCTCTTCGTTAATTGTGACTAGTCCAGCGCACACCGAAGCAATCAATCCGACCTCTGTGATATTCCGCTCATTCAATGCTGCGGTATTCTCTATAACAGCTAAAGCATGTTGCAGTTCTAATGTGGTCAAAGGCCGTTTTGCGCAGGTGATCCATGAAAGAGCCTGTATAGCAAGATCCTTAAACCCTTTCTTCTGGCTTTGGATCCTCTCCATGGCTTCTTTATATGCTTCATTGTATGCACCTAAACCTTTAGGAAGCATTTGAAGGGCATTTTCCATCTGAGTATAATTTAGTTTGTCTTCTAGAGAGCCTAGATTTAGTATTGCAAGAAGAAACCTGAAGGAATATTAGTTATCTGAGAAAGTTAAAAACTAGTTATGGGGAGCCTACATTCCCTCTGCCGCTTGAATAATTGAAGCCTTCACTTGGTTTGTGAGTTCAGGGCTTTCTTGAACAAATGATGGCAACTGTGATATATGGCCATCTAAAAATCTTCCTACGTCTTCGTCACTAGCACGGATCTCTAGCGAAACGGCCCCCAATTGTTGAAATTCTTTTTGTATATCAGGGATGGGTCGGGATGTGACAAAAATGTTCGCACTTGCGTTGGCTTGCACCTTAGATATCACCGATATAAACTTGAAGCGAACCCCATCAGAAAGTTTACATTCATCCAACGCATCAATCATGATGTAAGCCCTGGAATAGCCAGAAACCACTGAATTCAACACATTCAGAGCCTCATCAAAGGAGGGACGAGTCTCTTTGCCTGTATGGTAATTGTAAAGACTTCTCACAGTTTCTGGAACGGTAAGCCCTGCGAATTGTCGAAGTAGACTCATCACTAGGTGTGTGGGGTCTTGCTCATCCTGCCGCCGGAAATCACAGTAGAGGTATGCAATACCAATATTGGAGTCGTTTTGGAACTTCTTTAAGAGGTAGTCCACCACAATACATGTAGCAATGGTTTTTCCTGCTCCTGGAATACCGGGACAGAATAATGTCTGCTTCTTTTGGTCTACCCAGTTTTTAAATTCTTTGGATTCCACAAGCCATTTTCCAGTCCCTTCTTGTCGTCTTCCAAGCAGGTCATGCTGCTGAGAGGAATAGGTAGTGGGGATGAGCCAGTCAAGGACAGCTCGGCAGTCTTGGTCGTCTCCGCGTTGGTTCATCCTTTTCACAGCAACATTTATATCTTTAGTTGTCTTTTGGATTTCATTCACTAAAGTCGGGTTAATAAAAGTACCCATTGTAAAACAAAAAGGCTCCTGAACTAACCGGTAGAAAGAAGATCTCTAATCGTCTTCTCAGCCTCGACCTGCTGGGGGACAATTCGATATAGCAGATCTTTCGTATATGCCGCTGCTGCCATCGCTGCATACCCTTGCCAGTCTTTATTCTTATGAGAATCTGAGTAGTCACAGATTCCACGAATTACTAAACAAGGAAAGTGATTCATCAATCCACCAGCTTCCATCTCAAAACATAAAACCTCCTTTTCGGCTGAAAGCTTATCTCGGATTAAAGCGTCTTTCATTAACCGGTTTGCTGACGCAATCAGACCATAATGGATCATCGGGTTATCCTCATCTTCAGTACGTTCAGACCTTAGTATTAGGTCGCTTGGGTCATCACCACAACCTACGGCACAGCTTGACGCACCGTCGAGATGAATCCTTTTGCTTTGGTATAGCTGATCACTGGTAGAGTCTGGCCGTTTATACTTTCTTTTCAGTCTTGGCTTTTTGTCGAGAACAATATCAATTGCATGCTCTAGTTGATGACCCTCAGCCTCATAATGAGCCTCAAGTCCAGTCACTGCAGCGCGTAGGACAACGGGCGGCTGATTTAGGAAACCCGTTGACTGGAATGCCCGATCCTGTATAGATTTACCAAAATCATATTGAAAGACACCTCCTTGGCCATTGCATGGAACGCTAACAACGATATCCCCAAGACGGATATCATGTTTTGAACTTGGCGCTCCGCCACCGATGCCAACCATGAGTCCAATTCGGACGTTGGGAAAGCTGTTCAACATATCTTCTGCGACTCTTGCTGCTGATGAAGTGCCATATTCTCCCCTCGGTAATACAGCGATAACCACATTGTGTTTCCCAACCTTCCCCAGAGTGTATTCATTTTTGTTGTTGGGTGATAAGTAAATTGGGCTGTCATGTTTCTCATCAAGAAACGCTTGGGCAGCGACATATTCAGTCGTGATAGCACATATCCAGCCAACAGTATAGTCATTCGGGTTAGACATTAGGAAGAATGAGATCGATCAGCAGATTATTATCTTTAAAAAAAAGGTCAACACATCTAGATTCCTGGATTAATTTAATGTATTCTCAAGGACGAAAAGAAAGGTTGTTATTATTACTCCAGCCTTGTGCATCTCTCATTGCGTGTGGGGCACCATGCGAACCTTAGCACCCCGCGGAGCCGCTATTGACATTTAAGCATGGCATCTGCCTTTTACTGTCTGCATCAAGGACATAATTAGGGCTTGCGCAGCTCATTGGCTCTCAAACTGCTGTTATTGAGACGCGCTTCAGAGCAAATATCACAGCCTTCTTGCGAACAAGGGATCCACCAGGGTCCTCCCACAAGCCACCCCAGATGTCAAAAAAACGAAAATATAACCGAGTAATTCTGAGAATATATAATTTGACCAAACCGTGGTTCCCCGGCCCGATATCAGGGATGGTGTATTTCTCAGTGGCTCGGATGAAATGGAATGGTTCGGGCCGCATCCTGCCACTCTCCGGATTCGAAATCTAGGAGTCCGCGCTTGTGCCGATGGTCCCCCAAATCCGGCCATGTTTGTTCTCTTCGTCATAGTTGATGCAAACAGCCAGAAAATGAGAATCACAGTGCCGGTCAGATGTGGCTGTGCTTCTATCCTTTGCCATTGCGTGTTCAATTGCAATGAGCAGCGGGGCCTCGAACTCGTACCACGCACTAAAAGGTAAAGAGTACCCGGCAGCCAACCGGATCGCTCTGGCGGGCGTCGAGCTGAGGATAGCCTTGTATCTAGATCGCAGCCGGTAATGGCGCGGATCCCACTAGCAATCCACCATCCAGTCAAACGGTCAATCCAGCCACGGCCGCCTGCATTCTCCCGTGGCTATGCTTCAGCAACAATGCGTGTGTCAGCGACGGTTGGGTGGGATGTCTCAGGCATCTGTGTCATTATTGATTCGCAACTGTCCTAGCTTTGGTCGTGTTTTCACCCCCAATCTGCATTGCTCGTATCGCATACTGTTTTGGGCGATGGCCAAGGTTTGGATGAATCATTGAAGAGGTGGAGACTACAGGTGGTGAAGGCTTGATGTTTCCACTCGTTCCGAGGTTGCGCACCTTGGTTGACAAATTGAAATATTGCCAAAGGAGAGTGTCATCCAGAGATGAGTCGTAGATTCTTATTTTCCTTGCATAGCATCGACCGGTTTCCATCGAATTGACCCTCTCTTCTGCAGCCGTCATGTCAGCTTATCGCTTTCGATCGATCGCTGAACTCAGTAAAGGAAGCCCAATCCGGTTGCGCCAACAACAGGCAGCCCTAATCGCTAGTGACTGGTTAGTGGGCACTAAATAAAGACTTTCTAGCTTACCATGGGTCGCCTTGCAAATGATGTATCCTGGGCAGTTACCGGACTTACAAAAGCGTACATTTCAGCTGAATATCAATTCTTGCTCATTCGTCTTCTGTCCGCTGAATTAAGCAAACACGCAGCAATTGAGTTGCCAGAGTTAAAAAGTAAATAATGCAAATGCACGCAGAGGAGAGAGTATAGTTGCACCTTGAAAGGTCCGTCTGCGTCTGAGTCTGTGCTTGAGCTCCACCGAAAATCCGGCTCGGGCGGCCAAACAAGGAAGACGGCGTGGCGGGTGAGACAACAGCAGCAGGAGTAACAGGTGGGATGCAGATTCCCTTTCTCTTCTTCTATCTCTCTCTCTGCATCTCTGCCTCTGTTCTTCTCACTAATCTCTATCTATCCGGGCTGACCCATCTGTCAACAAGGACATCAACACCTCGATATCAGCTTTGTGCTAGGTCAAAATGTTTGGCTTTTCGAAGCTTTTCCTCTTGTCGTTTCTGGCTATCGCGGCGTCTGCAGACGGATACAATGGCAATGCAGTGGGATTCGTGAAGCGTCAGACTGGCAGTAATGGCAACTCTAGTTTCTCTGTAACTACGCAGCCGTCGACTACCTCTCCTGCCAGTACTACCTCAGTTTCGCTCACATCTACTGCTGTCGAAACGACTTCGACCTCTATCTCATCGTCTAGTAGTTCTACATCAACAACAACATCAGCAACATCGGCAACATCAGCAGCAGCAGCAACAACAACAACAACAACAACGGCTGTTGCTACCACGCAATCAACTACCTCAACCACCTCATTAAGCAGTGCCACAATTTCAACCACATTTTCCACTTCGGTTTCGTCAACATCGGTTCCGCCCATCACATCGGGTGCGTCAACTACAAGCACTCACAGCTCGACCACGTCCACTTTCAAACAGACCACAACGCTGCCTGATGGTTCGTTAAGCACTGTCACTGCCGTCACCGTGGTTGCTGTAACCGGTGCCGCTGAGCCGACAAGCGCTAAAGCTGGAACCACCTCAGCAACGCCCAACCTGCAGACTGGTGGTGCGGCTTCGCCTACTCGTGGATTAATGATGGAGATGTTGGCCATGTTAGCCGGTGCTGCTGCTTTTGCCGTGGCTCTTTAGTCGATCACAAGCCGTCGAATCTTATGAAATTTCATTTTGTTTGATGTCGATACTTTTCCTGGCCTCCTTGGGGTGGCCTTTATTTGATGAATATCATTGGATATTCTTGTTGCATATACTGGCGTTTTGATCCAAGTTTTTTGAGCGGCTTTCGCATATCACGATCCTTACACGAGCAATGTCTTATGACCCATCCTCTCCTTTGCATTTTCAGCGGTTTAGGGCACGTATTGAATTCAGATACTCTGGCGAGTCAGTTCATGGCAGCCATAGATACTTGTGCCGCTTATAGGAAGAAATAAAAATAGAATATCCTAAACATGGACATTAAATGACAAGTTCTTTTTCAACTTGACGAGTTGTAGTATAATTCATTATTGCATAATAGATATAGCGATATATTCATGTTCATCATGATCAAACAAAGACAAGATGTTAAGCACAATGATGTCAATTCCCCAGCTCTCTCTTTCTCACCGAGCAGCAGGCTTCACATTCCCCGGCCCTTGCCATCTCTCCTCTTCCGTCCAGTATCTCACAATACTTTCCCACCCAGGGACATCACCATCACGTAGGAGCGCCGCAACATCGACATTCAACGGCGAGTCCGGCCGGGGATCAGTTAACAGCTGATGGACTGCCGACAGCGTTGTTGAGATTGTATACACGGGACTCCAGTGCTCGCTCGTCAGGAGCGTCAGGCAGATCTCGCCAGTCGTGAACGAAATATTCGGGTGCGAGATTCGCGTCTTGAAGCGGATAATTGGCGGAGAGAGGGGATAATTGTTTGGAACCTCGATATTGAGTTGCCAGAGACCGCCTGTGATATGATTAGTTGGATTAGTTGGATTCGTGTGCGGTAGCGGTAAGAAATAAATGTTGGTGTTGCTTAAGAAAAAGGGTGATTTGTAACGCACCTTCGTACGGCGTTCCTTGTACCCCTTTCAAGACTGCCTCCCAGTGTAGCAGATCCTCGTCGCTGACAGGCCCCAAATGAAGCAAAACCTCATTGGGATTGCTGGCATACTCCTTCAATTCCTTCAATAGCCGCTGGGTTGTTGACTTGGATGACGCCATAGCCTCGGGCGATAAGGCGTGGGCGTCTCGATGGAATGTGGCGGGTCTATCGGCAATGCTGCTAGAGTGTATGTACAGACGGCGGGATATCAAATATTGACAGTCAAGCGAGCATGTATATGAAGAGTGTGGTCCTCTACCCCCCGGAAGCAGAGCAGAATCAAGGAAGAATCACAGCGCGACCGAGGCCCAAAAGCTCTGGTGGGACCGGCCGGGCTTCCCCGTGCGCCGCCAATCACAGTATCCACTACGCTTGATCTGGCAGATCACGTGGCAGCTTCCGCCTCCCAATCAGGGGCTGTTTATTTCAACTTCCAGAGACCTTCCTTCCTTACTATCTCCAGCAGCTACCAACTCCTGACAAGATGAGGACCTCTCGACTCTCACAGGACACTGCCAAAGTTGTCAATGCCCTTGCGTCTACTAGGCGGCAGACACGAAGCTCCTTGACGGCAAATACCTTGAGCAATTTCAAGTGCTCCGAGACCAATACTGTGAAAACTTCTCCTAGCATAGTATCTCCGAACGTAAAGGGGGAATTAAGTGATGATGTGTCTTCTCTCTCATCTGCAAACACCACAGACATCGAGGATCTGCTGGTTAGCCCGCCAAAAAAACGAAGGCGCATTACTGAAACATCGACAAATATAAGCTCTGAGACTGCCAAGGGTGCGGTTTCTCGACGCGCCAAGAAAGAGATTGTCGTGAAAGAGGAGAAAGAATCTCCAAATGGCAAGCCTAGTGCGCCCAAACAACGGAGAAAGCCGGCAAGGAAAATCAAACACTTGGATGGGTCGGTTGCAGTTGAGCCGCCTTCGAACTGGGAAACCATGTACGAGATGGTCAAAAAAATGAGAGCGGAAAATCCGACGGCTCCAGTAGATACCATGGGATGTGCTGAGCTTCATTGGCGGGCTTCGTCGCCGAAAGATCAGCGGTTTCAGACTCTTGTGGCGCTTATGTTGTCGTCTCAAACCAAGGACACGGTAACCGCTGTTGCAATGCAGCGGTTGCATACCGAGCTCGGAGAGGGGGCAAAGGATGTGATTTCTAGCCCTAAAATCAAGAAAGAAGAAGACGGCGACGATATGGGCGTCCACGAAGGGAAGGATAGTACTTTGAACCTGAAAAACATTCTTGCAGTCTCCCCAGAGCGGCTGAATGAGCTCATACGTACCGTGGGATTTCACAACAATAAAACCAAGTATATCAAACAAACGGCGGTCATTCTGCGCGATCAGCATGACTCTGATATTCCCTCAACTGCAGACGAGTTGATGAAATTGCCGGGGGTGGGTCCAAAAATGGCGTATTTATGCATGAGTGCGGCATGGGGCAAACACGAGGGGATTGGCGTTGACGTGCATGTTCATCGAATTACCAACATGTGGGGATGGCATAGCACCAAGAACCCTGAAGAAACTCGCGTAGCGTTGCAGTCATGGTTGCCAAAGGATAAGTGGCATGAGATCAATAAGCTCCTCGTTGGTCTGGGCCAGACGGCGTGTCTGCCAGTCGCGAGGCGGTGTGGAGAATGCGATCTGGCAGGTACGGGGCTCTGCAAGAGTGAGATCAAGGGATTGGTTAGAAAAACGAAAAAGGAAAAAATTGAGGAGGCTGAAGTAAAGGTCGAGATGCCTTGATACCTCACCACCACCAGCCCTAGGGTGGGCGGGGCGCTGGGCGGTGACTGTCACTCAAGTCACTATTCATGCTATCCATTGTCTGCTTCCCAGCCACCGTCATACGGACTGCGCATGTCAACTATATTCTGCCAGTTTTATGATCGATAGTCCAGTCATTTCATCTATTTTTCCCGTCCAGAGAGCCTTCTTCCTAACTAGAGCTAGCTCATCCTCTTTCAGCTTGCTATCAGAAAGCGCAGCAAACCTATCGTCTGCATCAGTAGTTGTTCGCTCAGATATTTGGATAAGATCATTTGAATACAATCGTCGTTTCATCTTCTTTCTCTCTACTGTTATGTACTGTTCGAACAGGCTTGTCAAAAAACTGCGGCCTCCATAGCAGCCATGCCAAAGCGCGTCAAGCTTTTGGATGGATCTCCGAGCGAATCTGCTTCATCGTTGTCCATTCTGACTGATTCCGATGCCGAAGAGGTTTCCAGTAGCTGCGATTCTTTCTACTCGGTTTCCTCCTTTGAATCAGACACTACCAATGGCTGGTGTCTTGGTCTCCCTTTCGAGATATGGACACGAATTTTCCACTATGCAGGTATTGTCTGCAACTGTCCCGTCGATCTCATTGCAGTGAACCATCGTCCGGCTGGGTCGTCTGCTGCCAAGCGTAGAAGCGACGGTTCTCACAGCAACAAAGCCTCGCGTATCGATACTGTGACTTGTGCGCTGCAACGTCACGAGCTGTTCAGCAATATCTGCCAACACTCGTCCTTTCTTCCTATGCTGGCCGTCTCATCGCAAGCTCGGCATGTCACTCAAAAAGCTATTTTCTTCCAATCTCCTATCTGCTTAAAGCTGCGGACCCGAGAAGATCTAATGGGTTTCAAGCAAACTTTACGGGGATTTGAGCGTATGCCTCCGCTGGAGTCCTATCTCAATACGGTTCACGTCAAGCTTCAGGCCTACGATGGACGCAAACTAAAAGGTCAGGACAAGAGAAAATCAATCCTCAATCTGTTCGAAGACTTTTCTAGTTTTGTCGGCTCTCATCTCCTAGGAACAATCAAAGACTTCGGTTTTGAATGCCGTGTCGGTGATTTCGATGTAGCTCGTGAACTAGTCAATAGAATGGGAGATAACTATCGAGAACTGGAAACTTGTGGTCTACGTTTTGAGTCCTCTGGTTCCCTCACCTTACGCAAAGACCTTGTTCGCCTTGCAGTACAGACTGCTACAAAGTCTACCGCGTCAGAAGAGCGGGAGACCAAGCCCTTTCGATTCATGGACCTGCCCAACGAAATCAAAGAAATGATCTTAAAGGAGGCATTGATAGCCCGCTATGACCCTTGCGCTGGTGAGCATCAGCCGAATCGTGGCATGGTTTCTCTACGGAGAAATGGCTGCGAAAGAGTGGCAGAATGTAGCACAGCTTGCTGTGAGGAATGCTCACCACATCTCATCGGCGACTGTTTCTGTGCTCATAAGAGTGCGTATTCGACGTCCTGTACTTGTTTCATGTCGCCAATGCCATTGTTCTTGACCAGCAATTTCATGTACCAGGTAGCCAGCCACATCTTTTATACACAAAACACATTCTTCATGAAAGGTGGCCAGCCATACATCATGGACGATCTTCTAACAAACGGTACACCGCGACGAATTCTCTGGAGAATCCGTCGCCTTCACATCGACCTGGATTATCTCTGGCCTCAAGAAAATACTAACCGCTGGGCCAGAGTCGCTGATTCCATCCGCAGAAACTGCGATCTGACACGCCTGGAACTTGATATATATTGCTCCACAGTCAATGATATCTTCTGTCCTGGGTTGTGCGATATGGTCTTTGCTGAGTTCGAAGGTATCAGAGGCAAACGCACTCGTGTTCTATAGAGGGCTGTGTTTAGCTTGAAACTCGCAGTCGAATTGACTCCGCAGAGCATTTGGGAACACGACGGCTTTTTGAATTGCAAGTCAGTCAGAGAGAGACAGTAACGTCAATTATGGCGACCATAAGGGTGACTATGTCTTAGAGCTATGAATACGAGGAGTTAACGAGGAGTTAACGAGGAGTTCAGACAGGAAGAGGCAAATCAGACCATTTTATCAAGTTGGTCACCTTTTCTCAATATTTATTTTCCACATCGTTTCTCTTCTTTGAAGAGCAAAATTTATCCCACAATGACAGGACTCACGAGGTAGTTTTGTCGGTTGGGTTACCATTGTTACACATTTTCCTAGGGATTGCATATCATTTCATCTCGTTTTGTTGGAAACGATCTTTTGATTTCGCTTTTTATGGAAACTTTCATATCGATACCCTCTTAGCATGCATGCGGTCAGGCTTTATGTTATCGTTATAATAAGTATTAATAATTTTCTATCTCGGTCTCAGTATTCTTATTTAAGATGTCGTAGATTGATATCTCATGAAATATCTTTGCAAAATCGCAGTCCCTCCTGATGTTTGAAATATTCCTGATAAGATATGCATTGACGGTATTCTATTCTTCATACAACATCGAATACCAGGCATTACGCGCAGTTTCAATTCGTGCTAAAGACCATGTAAACTTTATATTTGAGCTTTGAAGCAGTTTACCGGGAAGACTCAGACCCGAATGTTACACTCAAACAAAAATCCACCAATATAAACATACAGACATTAATAGAGTCTCCAAGTTGATTATTCATCTATACTTGCTTTCCATCAGCTATCTATTTCCTTTTTTTGTCATTTTATAGCTCTAAAAATACTGTTGACAGCTTGAGATGACTAATCTCTCCGATGCGGGGAATGCACGCAAGGTGATGCGGGGAGTCCAATTTTCTTATCAACGATAACACCTTCCTTCTAATTACATTCCTCCACATAACTTGACAACATTGCAAATACCGAGTTTGAATTTGAATTTGATATGCGGTCAAAGCTCAAGTCTTAATTGTCTGTTAAAATGGCTCCTACACCGGTGTCAATCCCTGCCTTCGCCCAAGCCCAACTGGACCTTCTTCTCAAGGAACACGAAGCCGAAAAGCTTTCGTCGGCGCTCGCGACCACTTCCACAAACACCGTCTCCCCAGCTACACGGCGCACATTACAAGCAACAGGATACGCGCTCACCGGAATTGCCCTTGTACAATGCCGAACCGGTATGGGTGGTAGGGTTGTAGGCGAGTTTGGTGCCGATGCGGCAGTTTCGTCAGACACAGATGCTGAGAGGGATGGGAAACCGCGACTGGGAACGCATGGGATCCGCGTCGGTGATGTTGTTCGGGTACTTGAAACTGCGTCGTCGGGGAAGAAGGTTATTGGTAATAAAGATTCGTCAAAGGCTGGGTCTTCTTCCAATAATGGAGCTGAAGGGGTTGTCACGAAAGTCTCAGAAAAGAGTCTCTCGGTTGCCTTTGGTCAAAGTGGTGGTGGTGGGGGTGCAAAGGCAGAGGAAGAAGCAGTGGATGATCTTTGGGGTAAAAAGCTTTGGCTGTATGATTCCGTGTGTGGTCCCCATTTCTGAATTGCTAATGATGTGTTTGAATGCCAGTGTAAAGCTGGCCAATGATGTGACACACCGACGTCTTAAGCAAACCATGGAGAAGATGGAGAAGATCCCAGAATCAGACCATACGTATTTTATGCGTGTTCTGTTCGGTCACACAACGCCATCCTCTCCGGATTACGATTCTATAGGCCAACTCGACTTTGTTGATCCTACTCTAAATGATTCACAAAAGGAAGCAATAAGATTCGCACTGGCATCAAAAGAGATTGCCTTGATCCATGGACCACCTGGAACTGGAAAGACGCATACCTTGATTGAGCTTATTTTACAGATGATCAGGAGGAATATGCGAATATTAGTCTGCGGGCCGTCTAATATATCGGTTGATAATATTGTCGAGCGGCTCGTCCCACACAAAGTTCCCATTGTGAGAGTAGGGCATCCAGCTCGACTCCTCCCATCGGTCCTGAATCATTCCCTCGAAGTTCTTACTCAGACATCGGAGGCAGCGGAGATTGTTCGGGACGTGAGGAAAGAAATCGATGACAAGGTATCGAGCATTCGCAAAACCAGGAATGGTCGAGAAAGACGTGAAATATATGGTGATCTTAAAGAGCTACGAAAGGAGTTTCGAGAACGAGAATCGAAGTGTGTTGGAAACTTGGTTACTGGAAGCAAAGTCGTTCTTGCTACATTACACGGTGCTGGTGGTCATCAACTTAAGAATCAGAAATTCGATGTTGTGATCATTGACGAGGCGAGTCAAGCTCTGGAAGCTCAATGCTGGATTCCTCTACTATCCGCCTCGAGAGCAGTACTAGCGGGTGACCATCTGCAGCTGCCGCCGACAATCAAGTCATCCAACCTATCAACCAAGGATAAAATAGGAAAGTCTAAATCTAAAAAAGCGGAAGATGAAAAATTGCCGGTTCTGAAAGGGGTCTCACTCGAAACGACGATGTTCGATCGGCTTCTCAATATTCACGGGCCATCGATCAAGCGGATGCTCACGACACAATACCGTATGCATGAAAAGATTATGAGATTTCCATCTGATGAACTCTATGAGGGCAAGCTCATGGCAGCGGATGCAGTCAAAGAACGTCTACTAAAAGATCTACCATACGAAGTCGAAGATAACGATGATACAAAAGAGCCTCTCGTTTTCATCGATACCCAAGGAGGCGACTTTCCTGAAAAACCTGAAGATGAAGACTTCGCCAAGAAAGAGAGCCTATTAGGGGAAAGTAAAAGCAACGAAATGGAGGCTGCATTGGCCGTGAGACATGTGGAGTGTCTGATTGATGCTGGAGTTAAACCGGAAGATATTGCCGTCGTGACCCCGTACAACGCTCAGGTAGCCCTGATTGCACAATCCTTGAAGGAAAAGTATCCGAGGATAGAAATTGGAAGTGTGGATGGCTTTCAAGGACGAGAGAAGGAGGCGATTGTCGTCAGTTTAGTACGAAGTAATGACAAACGTGAGGTTGGGTTTTTAGGAGAGAAGCGGAGATTAAACGGTATGTGCTTTCTGTTCCTGGGGGATATATGATTGACGATTGGTATAGTGGCTATGACTCGCCCCAAGAGACATCTCTGTGTTTGCGGTGACTCGGAAACCATCAGCAAGTACGTGACATTCATATCTCTTTTTATTCATTTAACGTCTGCGAGTGGTCTTGTCTAATTTTTACAGAGGTAGCAAATTTCTCAAGGACTGGATGGACTTTCTGGAAGAACATGCTGATCTGCGATATCCTGATGCAAGCGAACTGCTTTGAGCTCACCCCCTGTTATGTCTAAAATTATTTCATATCCTCATCCTCAGCTGAAGATTCGGCTACCGAGTGACGACATGACAAGACCATATCAATTGGTATACAGACTAAAGACAATCCAAGTTACAGCTATCCAAGAGATCTTGAGTGAGTTTGCCCTTTCGGCTATATCCCTCCACATATTTGTCTCCCCATTCACCGACGGTGTTGTCATATGTTGTTTCGGGCTTTGTCAGGCATATATTGCACATGACTTGCTTGAGTCCTTTCATGAGTTCTAGACGCGGGAATTCAGCGACAACTTTATTATACTCGTCCCAAGTCAGTAAATTATTAGCGATGCGATCGGGCCCTTGAAAATCGGCCCAGATGCCGTACGAGCTGGCCTGGACTTCGGCCTCCTTATGGAAGACAATGCTGCCGATAGTGTGAAGCGCAATGGCATCCCAAACAAGCTGCAGCCTATGCTTATCCCATTCCTCGGTTACCCCCTCTTTGCGAAGAAAACTGCGAGCAGCATCGGCACCGTCGACTTCGAAACGGCGGTCTTTCGAGATCAGTTCGCCAGTATGGTCCCATCCCAGGTCGTGGAGAATAGCTGCAATAGCATGCGCTTCTCTGTCGCGGTCCTTCAACTCAGGGATTTTGTCGGCAATGATGAACCCGAACAAGAAGGATCGATAGATATGGTTGTAACCATAGTCTTCCAGGTGCTTCCGAGCAAATGCAAGGGCTTTGGTTATCAGGGGCGTGTCTGGAATGGTGACACCGGCCACGACTCGAGTGGGGAGGGCTTGGTCTGTGGCCATTTTTGTGGGAATTTTGCTGTATTATCAGGAGATGATTGTATTCTGGGATTCAATGATGTATTGGCCAAACTTGTTATCGGATGCCTGTAGCACCTGTCAGCTTTGCAGGGATCTGAACCACCCAGTCTATGGGAGACAATGCTCTATTCATCATCCCTGTCCATCTTTCTTCAGGGCACTGCGGGGCTGCGGCGCTAGCTTTTCTTCACTACTGAAAAAAGATAACACGGAATCGGCAACACCCCAATCGTCCACTGGCCTTGCATCAAGTGGTCTGTTGCGTGAACTAGTTGATGCCGAGACCCAGTAGGGATAGTCAGCCCTCAGTTGGCCCTAAGTGGGTGCAATGCCCAGTGTTGGGATCTCTTGATTCGGCGGGGAGATACTGCGACAGTCTCCAAGCGGGTTCGGCCCGCTCCCTAACTGGCCTTTGTCGCCAAATTGTCCATGTTTCCAGCGGGTTTTCAGGAATAGTGGCTTTACCATGTGGTTCCATTGGCCATTACTTCAACTTATTCGCTCATGAAAAGGCATGGACCCCACATAGCACAACTTTGGCTCGCAAAGAACTAGCCTCGATGAAGGCCCTCGGCCGTCTTCCGGGGCTTTCGGCACGTCAAAATTTCAGAAATTCAGAAATTCAGTGGGGTTATCACTTTTCTTTTCTCGTCTTATTCAGTCTCGAAACAGATCACAACTTATAGCGACCGCAAACTTCTATATATATCACAGATCCAAGAAGGAAATACGATAAACGAGTTAACGTTTCACGATTTCGCCGTGGACTGCCGGCCAACAGTTATGACTGGACGGGATGGTGACAGCTCTCCTGCAATCGATGTTGTAAGTGGTCCTTAGACCATCATTGTATACTTTTCATGTAGTCGCTTGCCAAGTCTAACGGCCCCCATAGGACGAGGATTATGAGGGCGACTCCGCCTGGGGAGGAGATGATTCGGCATCGTATGACTTTGACCACATCACCACCCGTACCTATACTCATAACTTTTTAGAGAAACCACGTCGGTGACATCAAGTATTTACAGAGGACTTACTGAAAATGGGCGACGGTGGGATCCCCAGTAGCTTGAAACAAGGCTCTATCAAACACTAATCCGTGCGTTAGATATCAAAGTTATCGTGATCATGACTATTGGTGAGAATTCGGAGCCAAATACTGCGACGATATCAAAGCCTGATGACAATTCATCGATTAGGGGACCTTCGGATGAAAAGCAATTCGAAACTATGGAAGCGGGGTAAAATACGCTATCAACATCTCAAACCAAGTTACTAATGAAGACAGACACTTCATGTATTTGGTGCTCGATTATCACGAGCAGAACAGACTGCATAGAGCTCCAATTGGAGAAGCACCACAGGTATTCATGTCGCCCCGCAAACATTAAAAGAGCAGCAAAGACTGAGTTGGAAATAGCATATTCTTGATATCGGTACAGGAAAAGGGTCATGGGCAATGTATGGCTATATAATCATCTTCTTCGTTAGCCACAACGGTACTAACACCGATACAAGCGATGCAGCAGACACGTATCCGTCGGGTAGGTTGAATTTTTGACCTCAGTTGAATATGTGTCTGATATACGTACAATTGCAGCTACTGTCCGCGGAGTTGACCTATATCCCCCTCCAATTGGGTGGGTTCCACCAAACTGCGTCCTCGAAGTTGACGATGCTCTTCAAGAATGGACATGGCGCGAGCCGTTTGACCTCATCCACATGAGACTTCTACTAGGAGCCTTTACACCAGAAGAGTGGGATAAGGTGTACACCCAGTGTTTTGAGTAAGTCCATAATACGACAATTTGGTATCGACAACCTTGTCAAATTGACTATATCAGAAACCTCAAGCCAGGCGGATGGATAGAACAAGTAGAACTTGACGTGCGTGTCATGTCCGATGACGGCTCACTCCCCGAAGACAGTTTACTCGCTGGATGGGGACCGAACTTTTTAGGATGTGGCGAGCGATCAGGGCGACCACTCAACACGCAGACTACGATGCAAGAAACGATGGAGAAGGCGGGCTTTGTGGACGCCCACGAGAAACTATACAAGTGCCCGATTGGTGCCTGGCCCAAGAATCCGCAACTGAAAGACGCCGGAGCAATCAATCTGGAGCACTGGTCGTCGGGACTTGAAGGGTGGGCAATGTGGTTGCTAACAAAACACGGATCGCCAAAGCCGTGGACCTCAGAAGAGGTCAGGGTTTATGTGGCGAAAGTGCGTTCCGAATTGCAGAACCCGAAGTTACATATCTATCATTATACGTGAGAATGAATCCTCTTTTTCTCATTGAGGTTTATGCTAATATATGGTATAGGCGACGAGTATGGGCGAGGAAGCCATTGAACACTTCATCTCCAGGCAGAAATTAGTTTTTACATTCATCTACATCCTCGACTCGTTGTCCCTCCAAACATCCTCCCTCATTAGTGTTAATTGATATTGATATCCATTTCAGTGAGAAAAACAGAACATTCTAGTAATAATATTACATGACATGCAATAATGCTTATATCCTATCAATCTATGTGCAAAGACCATGATTTAAACAGGGAACGCATTCGACTTCTCCTCAAAATCAGCCATCAATCGAAGTATCCACACGAGATGCAGCTATTCACATATAACCTGCATAACCGCAATCTAAAACACGTATATGTACAAAAACAAAGGAGAGACAATGTGTAGTCTATTAACCCCTTATGTTAGAAATGAAGCTTCCGACTAATAAGTGCGAAAAGAACGCATCAGCAACTTACCAGGTTAATAATAGGAATATCTACAGCTGTACCGGTTGCAAGCAGACACTTCCTCATCGTCATCGAAACAATAATCCATTAGATCTCTCAACTCGCGTCTCGTCGAGCCGCGCACACGATCTCCAAAGGACCGCAGACGGCCTTTACCACAATACCCATACGCTTTCGTTGCGCTGCTATATGTGGCGGGATAATAAGGGTCGTGATAACCCGAATCATAGTCATCATCATAGTCGTGATGTCTCCTCGAGTACCCCGTCACATATGCCGGGATACGTTCGATCGGCATCTCTCTTCTAACCGTTCGAAGACGTCTATGGCTATTGTCGTAACTCGGTGGAGGGTATTTGGAGGAGCGTGCTTGCTGATATCTAGATCTGCTGTGACAGCCTATGATTGGCTGGCCAATCAAGGTCCGTGGCGGATTCGGGGCTGCGATAATGTAGGAAACCATCTTCTTCCTCTTCTTTCTCAACATTGACGGTGAATGAGAAATGGTTTTTTTTTCTCGGGATTTAGTTATTTTTCATATATAAATGATAATTTCAATTCGAATCAATGTGATCTCTGTATTTAGTTTCTACTGCATTTTTCCTATATTGTTGATGTCAAATCTGCTTGTGACTAAGCTCGGTGACTGCTATCATCTGACTCGGGGTCTGTGTGACGGCTGTCATGGGTAATATTTTACAGGCATGTCTCCTGTCGACGATATAACTACTTCTAATTCGGACGGTCAATTGATATCATTCTAATATTTTCATCACGTTTCATCAGTAAATGTCGAAAAGCGAACATGGGAACGAGTGTGCCTTGCAACCATTTGATATCCGTCTTTGTGGTGTAGTTCCATCACGGGACACTCTCCAAGTCCAACGTCTAAAGCCACTTATCGTCTCGCAAAAAGATACGATGAGCAATGATATTTATTCTTGACGAAAATACTTTTCCTTCTTTCTCACATGTCGAAATCGTAGGTGCGGCGTAGAATTATTATTAGGTCTTCAGGATTATTCTACGCGTCTTATAAAGAAGCGGAAGCGCTATCTCTGAATGTTTGGAAGTGTAAAAGCCATATCTGAGACCTGCACTTAAAGATAAATAATGCTATCGGATACATGTATGATGACTGTGGCCTGTCAGTTGTCGATTGTATAAAATTTTTTGCGTTGTTATTCGTCATTCTTAAGAAATGATCAGATACTGACATTTAGTAGGTTTTTTCTTCTCTTCAAATAATGATTTAAATATCCATATAGAAAGAGTTAGGTGCGATGCACATTTTACTCTCTTTATTGCAAAAAATAGAAGACATTCGCCTGGATCAATTCATGTTGTATGAACTGTGCTGAGGAGCGAGCCATCCTTGAACGTGTGACCATTAAACCCATGAAGTCTGGCCTTCTATTCCTATCATCTACGTGGTGTACGAATAAAGGACAGGCATATAATCTTATCATAATAATAGCCATTATAACCTTTGTCACATCTCGATTTTGGAATATGATCCGGTCCCAGAATCAACTAGGATTATCTAGTCGAACTTTAACCATGATTTAATGCCAAAGGCAAAGGTGCTGACGTTGCCTCAGACACGATTAGTACTAGCTTGAGCTTCAAGGCTGTGTTCAGTTGAGCAGCTAAAGATCCACAAATGAAGCATTTACTTTGATCTTTTGTCTTCAACGCGAGAAGCTCTATAGGAAAGTGACAAAAGTTTGAATATAGCACCACCAAAGCGTCTGCATGTGGAAGTTGGTACAGGAGCCATCCCCATTTCAATATAAGACTTCAACTTTTTGCATTATCTACAGGTAGCACCCCCCCCCCAGATCTCTAAATTTAGTCTGATATGAAAAGGCAGAAATTCTTAATACTATATTCAAACTTTTGTCCTCCTAGTGTAAGTTCTGCGGGATAACGCATCTATATCCAAATAGCGGACATAAAACGGACATAAAAAGGACATAAAAGCGGCAGCTGAATAAATAAATCAGAATGAAACCGCCGATAGGCAAGATAATGACGTGGCCAGCCGGTTACACATATCGAGATCAGTTCCCGGATGTGATACAGTTTCCATTGAACAATATACGACGACTTTCCGCAAGCAGTTAGTAAGGGTTGTGTTGGTATGAAACAGCATATCAACAACGATATCGTATCAAGCCAGAAGGAACAGATATTACGTCATCAGTAGGGCGCTACATCAGCATCTCACACCTAACCGGTTCCACGACAATGAATTAGGCGAGATGCTACCCTGCGTGCGTCAGGATTATTGATGATAAAGATCTAGACTCCATAGGCTGTTCCGGCCTGCAATAGCCCAATTCTTGATATCAGTTATAATAAACAATATTATTGTGTCCATAGTCGAGCCAGTATATACCGGAGTTCGGCCTTCTCTGGACTAGCAGCAGCCTCCGGCGTTTCTCCACGCCTTCAGCTAGAGTCGTCATGCTAACTAAGTATCGCAAAGCTTCAAACCCAAAGTGCCCACTTCCAAGCTTTGACCGTCAGAGTCAACTCGGACGAATTGCAGCGGACGGGGTACGGATAATTGATGTCTGACGCATTACAGGCGCGGAACGAACTGCTTAAAGTACAAAGCGGTTCGCTGTAATTAGTCGTGGCTAGACCAGTTCTATTGTCAGATTCCTGGTGGAGTGTTGGCATTTCGGGAGGCCATTGGGCGATGCACCGCAGCCTTAACACGAAGCCACTCCTGCAAGTCAGCAGCATTCCTCTTCAGCCGCTCAACATAACCGGCCGATATGGGTAGAGCACCAGTCACGGGGCAAGGTCTATTCTTCATTTGGTGCCGCACTTCATCACCCTGTTCATCCACCATCTCACCCCTCTCTCTCTCAAAACAGGTTAGAAAAAATATACAACTAAGAAACCAGATTAATCCTTACCAAGTAAGGGTTGTGCTCTTTTTGTTATGGTTGTTAAAATTTGACACCTTCTGTTCATCGGCTTCATTAGCTTGACCAACTTCGTCAGGCCTGCTTAGCCAGAGCACCTATTAGCTCTACTTCGTTTCATGAAGAATTTTTTCTCATCAGTACTTTATCCTTTCACATCTACTATTCTGACCACTGTTCTGTCTGCCTCACCCAAGCCTATCATCTTTATACAGTTGCTACTCGACTATCTCACACAGCTTGATCGTAGGCAAAATGCCTCATGCCTTCACTATCAAAGGGCACGCGTACTTGTTGGAACATGCTTCCATAATAGACCCGTGTCCATCATGATGACAAGAGAGAATACGCAAACAAAACTGCCAAAATAATCCCTACTAAGGGTTGCGATCTATTTGGTATTGTGGTTGAAAGTTTGACATAAGGGCCGGCGGTGTATCTTCGATCACCTACAAACAACGACTAAAACTAGTCGGTGAGGAGTCGATTTCCAGCTCCTTTTCACCAGCCGAGTCAAAAGATCTTGCTCAAGAGACAGGTTCGAGATTCGTTGTGGTTGGTGTCATATCACGTAGCATAGAGGACAATGAGGTCGCAAAGAGCGTCACTCGGCGCTTCGTTGGCACTACGGTGGCTGCGACCCTCTACAAACCTGTTCCCGGCCAGCTACCAATGCGGTTGGTGGCGCAAGTGTACACTGAGCCATCTTGCGGTGCCCGGTGTCTGTATGCTCTCACGGATAAAGGCCCCAGCACGCGGTTGTGCAACGCCCATACCGTCTCCCAAGACTTTGTTTTTTTCTTTTCTGAGTTTCGTACGTTGGCTAGCAGTACTGTTAGTAGACGGAAGGAATGGATACAGCGCGTCCAAGAGTTCATCGCTGCTCTTCATACAGCGGACAGGGTCCCCACTTTTGGGGGGGGGGGGATACTACCTGCTCCGTCATTCTGGGGAATCAAATAACGCTTCAGAGAAGTATACTCGGAGTGTTCGAGGGCATTTGTCAAACCGACCGAGGAACCTCTCAAAAGATTAAAGAGGTTAACCGAGAATGACGACCAGCTTGACACCCCCTTCCAGTCTCTTATTCAGAAGTGGCTATCCATCGAGACCGACCTCACGGAAAAGGACTCGCAATCTCTGTCGACGGAGGTCATAAAAAGGTGGCCAACATGTGAAAGAGTCTTGTCCCCTCATCGACTTTAAGCAGTCGGGCTTTACACAGGCAGATAGAAGTCAATAATTACACGACTTCGAATGAATAATGTTATGATTGTTTTCAAAAAACAGTTTGTGGTCTTGGTTCTCTGCCTAGGTAGCATATGGAGAGTAATGGAACGTGATCAAGTACGTAGGTTTGTACGGCTTCGGTCACCAAGTCCTTGGGTTGTCCAGATATGTGCATTAACGCCTAAGAAGCCTTTTGAAAGTGTCATCATGGTCTTTGGTTGCCATCAAGACTATCATATATGCACGTAACTCGGTCAACCTCTTACTTGTGGGACGAGTATGGAGACGTGTTTTTGAGATTAACGCACCATCTGAAACTAAAGAAAATCATTGAAGTCTCCGGAATAGAATGCAAGGGTGAGTTAATACAATTGAGGTCTCTCCTATACCTACGTAGGCAGCATCGACTTCTGTCGACCTCGGCATCTACTCTTGAATTCACTAACCCTCTTTCACTGACGCTGACGCGATGAAAATTTTCAAGAGCATTGGAATACACCACTCATCGGCACCGATGTGGAGAACCTGTTCGGCATGCTTAATAATAAAAGTAGAGTTTCCACTGAGTAATTCAAAGACTATGGTTTTCATGCAAAGCAGCGGTGCTGGAAGTCACGGATAGCAGAAGAGGTCTGGTTATTCTTCAGACACAAATTTAATATTTATAAAAGTAGCCCCCTAAATTTTATGTATGAGCAGCTTTAGCTGAGATTTACATTCTGATATTCAATCATAAAAGGGCCATGAGGATGATGAGGCAAACTCCCCTACACTGCCAAAGTTATCCTTGTCGCACTATAGTGGCCTGTTAGGGATAGGGACGGATTGTCTCGCCTACCATTACGTAGGGACATCCAAGCCGCAGCAGGAGGACGATCTAAATTCTAAGTAAGCAAGTATGCAAGTAAGCAAGTAGTTAAGCAACAGTTCACACACGCTGCTTTCTAGAAAGCAGATCGAAAGCCAACCATGCAAATATGCAAACATGGCGGTGAATGGGCGGGGTGGAGCCAGCGGGCCATGTGGTGCCGGCGCAGTTTCACGCTACTGGGCTAGTCCTGGTGTAGTTAGCCTGAAGCGACATGGGGCCGCGGTGGACTCAGACAGTCAGACCCGACGCCAAGTGGAGACGATGGGCCAGCTGGCCGCCAGCGTTTGCCGCAGGCACCCCTGCCAGTGGCCTATTAGAAGTCCTTGCTTGGAGTTTACTCCACTATTGATAGGTGAGCCCCACAATGCCACCCTCCTTGCCGAGTCACCCCCTCTTCTCGGCCCACCGACCGATCTCCCTTCCGTGTGTTTGCCAGATCAGTCTGGGTTCTGTCAGGACGTAAGATACCAGCAGGTTGTTAAAATCATCGTCCGGCAACCTCCCCCTTATCTCTGCAAGTCCTATCAAGCTTTCTCTTGTTTTCAGAACGACCAGAGCCGTTGAAGTGGGTGAACTACTGTGCATACAAATCGGGAAGCTCGAGCTGCGCACTAGCCACTAACGCCGTTCTAGCCAGCGCCTAGTGATCAGCAGTCATTTGACTGCTGTGGCCAGGCCACTAAGTCTGACCACCCGGTGTATGCTGACAGGGCAAACTGCCTGTAGCACAGACGCTGTTTCGCCTGCACACTCCCCCTGCAGCTGCCGTCTCCGCTTCCTCCATTGGTCCCCCCCATCTGATATGGACTGATGGACTGGGTATCGTCGTGGCCAGTCCGTGTCAAGTCAACCGAAACATCCATCTCAACCGAGAGCTCCCACGGAGTAACACGCTTCAACCAGCCAGCCCTGCCTGCCCTGCACCCTTGACGGCCCTATCGGGAATTACACTCGTTCTTGTCTTTTCTTCCTTGTCGCAGAGACAAGCTCCTGGCTTTCTTGCCTAGCTCAATCAACGTTCTTTACTCCGTCAATTCCTTGACTGCACGTCCTCTTGACTGTCGTCCGGTATCCTGTCCCTAGCATCGAGAAAGAAAGAATATGGCTAGTTTGTGCATCCTGAGAGAAAGCTTACATATCTCATCTGCATGAATTTCGCCGAGAAGTCCGCCCAGTGCGAATCGTTCCTTCCAAATCCTCGTCCTTGCCGTCTTCTACATCGGTAGCACTTTCGAATACCAACCTCTTTTCATCGGCCATTTCAAATACAATCGTTTTTAAATTCTATTTCTTCGAAGCCCCCAAGCTTTCCGATTTCATTTCTTCGTCTCTCGTTTACAGCAAGATCTCAGACCTCATCAGACCGATTGAATATCATGGATTTCTTTTGAATCCTGGCAGTGTGTGTGACTCAAATACTGGTTCTATATATACGGGAAAGGTGATTGTCAGTGTGCTTCCTCGGTTCCAAATGTCGCAGCTCACTCCGGTTGCCACACCTGGGTCCTCCCGAGTCGGAAGCGGATCTTATCGAGGGGATATGAATATGGCACGGCCGATGCAAATTTTACATAGGGCAGAGGACGGACCAAACTCACAAGTGCTATCCTCTTCAGATCCAACCTTTACCGCACTCCCCGTGCGTCACTTCCGCGACTCCCACTCATCCACAGCTCCCCCGCCGCGAACGCGAGCATACGGAGGCCCTTCATCCCACCACCCTCAAGTCTCTGTCTCTTCAAATGCGTCACACGACTCTCTTTTGCACCGCCGTAGAGGCAGTACCTTGAAAACTGTTATGCGGAAAATCTTTGGGCGGAAGAGGCTCAGTAATTTGGATGGGGACGAAACCGATGAAGGACTCTCGCCGTTAAGATTTGAAAAAAGCGACGTATCTGCCCAGCCTGATCGGACGGCGGTTGTCGGACACCCGCGTACCAATAGCTCACCATCTGCGCCAAATCACAAGAATTCTTTGGTAGTCAGCCGTTTATCCTCTGCGTCCTCGGATAATCTAGCCGCAACAAACTCAGACAGTAGAATCGAGATCCCACCCCAAACGGTTCGACGAAGAGCGACATTGCCTAGCTTGATTTTGTCTGACGACGGTCATATGAAAGAGAGAACCCTGTCACTTATTTCTCCCGTCAGCACGCGGCCCGTTAGTGCGATGAGTGTGATGAGTGCAATGATTCCGCTAGACGAGAAGACAGACAACCATGGGGATGCAGAATCATTTCAGAGCAAAAAGGCTCATCGCCGATCTCGGAGCGCTGACGACTTGAAAAAGCTTGTACGACATCACCGCATGTCACCAATTCAGTGGAGACGAGGCAACAATGAAAAGAACGGTTGGCGAACAAGTGTGCTGGAACTAGAGGGCCGCAATACCGCGGACAGAAACCTTCAGCAAAGCTCGTCTAATAGGTCGAATACTCCGACTTCCAGGGACAAAATTACCCCGGATATTGAAACTAGTGACCCCCCGTCTCCAAATGTACCAGAGTCTGCGCCATTCCACTTTGAGAACCTGATAGCCAGCATGGCTGATCCTGACGCTAGTATAGAGCAGCGAATGACGACTATGGAAGTCAAAATTATGGATCTTGAATTTGCAATTGCAAAGATACAGGGAACTGACTGCGATGCATTTCCAAAAACCGTGAACAATACCCCTGAGAAAGCAAAGGTGTCTGGTACGCCTCACCTATCTGTAGATACTACAGCTGAACCATCATCGGCCGCTAGCGAGACTTCATCGCAGAGCTCGGCGTCTTTTGGCGGAGATGCTCGCCCCATTAGCACGGCGACATTACGACCAAGCATCTCATTCTCTCAGCCACCGCCGCCTTGGTACGGAGGTTCATCATCCTCTCTAAACCTCCACGGCATTTCGATCGAGCAGTATAGCGCTCTTGTTACATTGGTTCGCCGAGAGCAGACTGCGCGGAAAGCACTAGAGAATCAGGTAGCACTATTACAAGAAGAAATGCAGAGCTTCCGGCGCTCTTCCGGCATGCCTGCCTCTCCCCCAGGCACCCTCTACCCCATCCCAAGTCCCGACTCAGACGACGCACGATATCGGAGGCGTCGAGATGCTAGTTCATCGCGCAAAGACTCGGAAACGAGTACAGAGGCTAGAGCTTATGAAGGACGACAATGGGAAAGCCCGCATTATCGTGCCAATATCGAGACTACTTCACGAAACACGGCCGCCAACATGATATGATCTAATTCTTGCCTTGATTCTCTGTCCGTCGACATTACCTTATCTCACCTTATTTTCATGCTTAGCATATACACAGCTCTTCATTTTCTTTCTCCTTCGCATGTCCCGGAGCGGACTCTACTTTTCATATCTCATTCTCATCAAGGTTTGAGACTTGTTTGAATTATCTTTTCAGCGGTGCTATTTAGATACCATTTTCGGAACGGGCTGCAGTTGTCTTTAATAGGAAATCGAGAAATTCACTCTTCAACCACTCTTCAATATTTATCTCAGTGTTGCACGTATGAGCATACTAAATTCTCCATTTCAGGTGGTGGGCTACATCTGAAAGAAAAGGCAGATCTGTTGACCACCGTCTGGCTATCACGACACCAAGCTATCAACCAATGCTAAGTGACTCAGAGAGCTTAATAGGACATGATAATGAGCGGAATCAACCCGGCAGTGCGTATTATACGTGGAGGAAAGGACATTCGTAGGTCAGAATAAGGATCCATGGATTCCGCGGGTCCGGATATTCTGTTGATCCGGAGTTATCGGCAGAAATAAACTTCCCCGCCATAGCATCTTTTTTTTTTTTGTTGCCCCTCTCTTTTGTATCTCTGTTTATTGCAACTGGCGATCTGCCAGGCTTCACAATGGACTCCTCCGCACAGGCAAGATTTGATCTTATACGCGAAAATCTCGCCGAGATCCTTAACCCTGAGCTGCTTGAGAGCATCCTCGCGGAGGGGCGCAACCCGCGTGTGTACTTCGGTAATGACTCACCACCTTCACACTAGCCAGCAATACCAGCTAATATAATCTTTTCAGGCACGGCGACGACAGGAAGACCCCATACTGGCTATTTTACACCGGCGATTAAGATAGCGCAGCTATTAGCAGCAGGATGCGAAGTGGTGATACTCCTTGCCGATGTACACGCATTTTTAGATTCCATGAAAGCGCCATTTGAATTGGTCGAGAATCGCGTCAAATATTATCAAAAGATTATCACAGCAATCCTGGAGGCGGTTGGTGTATCAACAGAAAAGCTTGAGTTCGTGCTTGGGAGTTCCTACCAGCGAAATGTCGACTATGTGATGGATGTTTACCGCTTATCAGCCTTAACCTCTGAGCATGATGCCAGGAAGGCCGGTGCCGAGATTGTCAAGCAATCCAGCAATGCTCCATTGAGCGGCCTTCTCTATCCTATCCTCCAAGTTCTCGACGAGGAGTATCTCAAGGTTGATGCTGAACTAGGAGGTACGCCTCAGCATATCTTTCTTTTATATTCCACCTAACAATAGACAGGTATTGACCAGAGGAAGCTTTTCGTGGCGGCAACGGAGTGGCTACCTAAACTCGGATATCGAAAGGTAAGGCTTCCATAAAACAAGCCAGCATCCTAAAAAATGAGCTAAAAAAAACCTAGCGCGCGCATCTTATTACGCCTATGGTTCCTGGCCTGATGGGAGGCAAAATGAGTTCTAGCGATCAAGGTAGAACCCTAACACCCACTATCTCTCTGTCAGAGCATCCGCTAAAACCGAATAGATAGCAAGATTGACCTCCTCGACCCGCCTGAAGATGTCGCCAAAAAGATCCGCAAATCCAAAGCAGCTCCCAAGATTATTGAAGACAACGGCCTTGTTGCACTCATCGAATTCGTCTTACTTCCTGCAGCCATTCTTAATGGAAAAAAAGAATTCCGTGTGGAACGCCGAGATGCCGAACCCTTGATCTACACAAATATCCAACAACTTAAAGACGATTATACAAACGATATTGTATGTTGATAGGCTTATTCCGAATCAATTTTGATTAAAGCGGGCATACTAACCAAGTATTTATTAGTTAACACCACAACTCCTAAAGCCTGCTGTTGCAGATGCCTTGAACAGCCTTATGGCACCTATTCAAAAAGCTTACCAAGACTCGCCTGAGTGGCAAGAGATCACTCTAAAGGCTTATCCACCTGCAGTCGTACCGAAGAAGCAGAAGAAGGTCAAGGATAAGGGTTCCCGTTACCCAGGAGCTAACGAGAAACAAGAGATTGCAGAGCACCCGAAGGCTTAGATTTACTTATGAACTACTCCATCTGAGTACAATTGTCGATACCTCTCCAAAGTGAAGAGGCTAGCCGGTCACCTTGTCGCGTGGCCCTAGGAACATACACATCGATATATCGTTTGTGTTTAGCACGTTTTATCACAGCCTCGCATACATCACATGATATCAATTGATGCAATTAGCAAAACGCTAATTTACACCTTATTATATTTCCCTTCCTAACTATGTAATCTTTATATTTTTATCTCACCCAATAAATGAGTCGCATTGTTATAGAAATCGATGCTCAGCCAATGAGCTTCCGTCTTTATGATAACGGGAGATCCACTAGCCGGAGACGTAGAACATTTGAACTTGGGGCGGACATCTTAACCATGCCAGCACATTCAACAATCCTAAACCTCCTTCTTCAATAAACAAACTCACTCTCTTTCAATACTCTAAAATCCAACTAACCACTCAATGATTTACTAAAAGAAGCCTCAACCCAGCCCTCCCTCTGCAACTCCACAATATGTCATCCCCTGTCTCAACACCAAGCATCAAAGCTCCGGACTCGCCAACAACAAAACCAATCTCCTCGGGCCCTCCCACCGTCGACATCCTCCCAACCCCCGCCGCCCAGACCTATTCTCATGTGCATCCCGCGCTGCTCCTAGCCCTCTACGGCGTGCGCTTCCCAGCCCTGGTCGCCGACCCCGTGTCGACCCTATTGACCGACTTACCCGTTTATACCGCCCTGCAGGTGGCTTATGCAGTGACGTGTCTACCACAGGCGGGCACGCATAACGCACATCCTGCTAATCCCACCACCGAAGCCTCCCCATCAACGCCTGGTACCAGCGGGGTAGTGAAAAGCGGGAAGACTGGGTACAGGAAGAAAATCGGGCACGGGGGGTCGAAGGGTGATGGGGTATTCAAGAGACTCACGGTGCGCTCGATTGTCCTATCTCGTTACACATCATTAAAAAGAAAGAGTGTGCAAAAGAAGCTGACTTGTGTGTGCTATATAGGCGTCATTCCTCTCCCTAACACTAACTTTCCTCCTCGGCACGCCGGTCCTCGCCCTCCTCCTCGTCCTCTTCGGCGCCCCCTTCACCACGCACAACGCGCATACAATTCTGGCTGCCGCGCACATGGCGCTGTTGGCGGTGACGCCGTTGGTGTATGTGCACGGGGTGGATGGTGTGGTGTGGATGCAGGTGTGGGCGTTTTCGCGGCCGGCGGATGCGGTATGGGGAGGGGCGTTGGGGACCGGGGTGGGTGCTTGGTTGGGTGCTGTGCCGATTCCATTGGATTGGTAAGTGATATATACTGCAGCAATTTTGTATGTTGAGTGAATAGGGGGACAGGTGCTGACGAGGGTTTAGGGATCGGCCGTGGCAGGCATATCCGATCACGGTATTGACGGGGGCCTATCTGGGATATGCGGTTGGGCAATTGATTGCCAGGACTCCTCTTTTATACGGGAAGCGGATCCAGTTCAACAAGCCTTCTGAATAGGGGAAATAATTACGATTGGCATTTATAATTATATTGAGGTGGAAGCTGGATGACTTGTTTGAGTATGTAAAATATGAAAAGAGGAAAGTCTTCTGATTCCCAAATAGTAATGACAGATACAAGCCAACGCCAAGGCTATTGATGTGGTCCACCGCCGATGGGAACAAGTAATAGTAGTTTATCGCTCACACACGAGAAGAATAAAAACCCTCCACTATTCAGGTCATACACGTAAGTCAATAGAAAGAGACACGGAAAAGTGAAAAAAGTGATGAGTAGCAAAAAGGCGGTATCAAGATCTCATAGGACAAAAGGTATCGAAAGTAAAAGTACGTGTGTTCGAGGAATTGAACAGTTGCAAAGAAGGAAATAATCGAGTAAATAAACAAGCTATACGACACACGGGGTATTAAGGAAAAACAACTTTTCAACATCGTGATTCTTGCTAACAGAAAAGAAATCTCATATCATTCCTGACGGCCGGTTTTATCGTTTATTTGGAACCTTCTGTTGTCGGGGCTGGAGCCGAAACCGGAGTGGCAGGAGTTAAAGCAACAGCAGGATCAGCAGCAGTGGTCTCAGGAGCTGCAGTGGTAGAGACGGGAACCGAGTCTTGCGCTGGTTGTGGCGCTGGTTGTGGCGCGGGTGCGTTGCTGCTTTCTGGAGCGACCTCTGTCGGTTGCTCAATTTGTGGCTGCTTCTTTTCTTCAACTTGGGGTGGATCGTTTGCAGGAGGGAAGTCCGAGCGTTGTGGACTCTTACCACGATCGCTGCCATCCTTTTTGGGTGCAACCTTTGCCTTGATCTTTTCAAAGATACTGCGCTTCTCTGGCTCTGGAGATATGGCACCTTCGCGGAGATTACTGGTGGATCGCCCGATATCAGTATCCTGTGTTGACGTGATATCTGTGCTGGGAGCATGCGAGTCGTTGGCAAAGCTACGCTGAGGTTGATTGAAGCTGCCAATAGAGCTCGAGCTGAATTCAGCTCCAGAATTCAGCCCAACTAAGGGTGGCGATGAAGGCTGTTCATGATTTTGTCGTGAGAGAGGAAACCGCCAGCTCTTTCGGTGTTCCCTCTTTTCTGCTTTTGATGTATCGTCACCTTGCTCAAATTCTGAGTGGTCGGTGAAAGACGACTTTGAGTGCATCGAGGGCGATCGAGAACGATGGGGTTTGAGTGTGCTTTCGGACGGTTGGTGATGATGGTGACTGCCCTCAGTCGACACAGGTGGCACGGGCTCAGTCTCTTGTATTGTGGGAGTACCTTCATTTGAGGTGGCCGGCACCGGAGTTGGCACTTGGGATGTAGATTGCAGGAGGGTCGAGTCATTGGAAATGCCACCACTGAGAGAGTGGCTGGAGCTCTGAGCACTAGCATTTGTGCTACCTGGGATCCGCTTTTTCTTCAAACGGTTTGGCTGGCGCACCTCTTTCTGTTCCGGGACGGTAGGTGGAGACTTTGTGAAGAAGTTAGACAGTTTGCGTTCCTTGGTAGGAGTAACAACATTCGACGTTGGTGTAGCATTTGGGTCCAAGAACTGCGAACGTTCCGTCGGTTGTTCTGATACGGTTTGTGACGTGATAGGCTCTGTAGAGTTGACTGTCGGAAGGGTCACCGTATCTGTTAAATTCTCGGTTGGGCGATTCTGCTCTGTCTCTGTAGGAGGTGGTAGTCCTGCAGATGTTGGGGTGGTCGGCTCTCCATTTCGGCCTCGCCTTGAGGCGATCAAAGCAGGCGATTTCTTAGAAGGAACAGTATTGCTTCGCTTTACAGTATTAGTCGTTGAGGTAGGTGTACCAGGACTTTGAGTATTGCCGGAATTTCGAGACGACACGGACACGTTCCGACGAAGGTTTTCGTATTTCCTCAAACTGTCAGCACCCCCACTAGCATTTGACGCAGAGCGACGTAGACCAGCCGCCTTCGTCGGGGCAGTGGCAGCGGCACTGTTCTGGAACTCTTTCACTGTTTGTGGATCTGCCGCGGTGCCATTCATTCCGAACAGGAAATTGTCCTGGTTTTCGATCAAGAAAATCAAAACGTCTTGACTGAGTCTATATTCATTCGGTGCCATGTCATGAGATGGATGCGAAAGCAAGCCAGGCTGAAAGATAGCCGAAAGGTTGGCTGAAGTCATGCGATTCTTCTCGGACTTGGAGGCGAAAACTGCGAGCAAATCTAGGATATACAGGAGTAATTGTTTGTTTAAAGGAGGAAGTTCTCTGATGAGTTGTTGATATGTAGCGACGGCTTTTTCATAGTCAAAGTCGCCAGTATCGTCTTTCGTCTCGGTGCTTCCCACAGCCTGGGCTTGATGGTTTCGGAGCGGCTCCCGGAATGCTTCATAAAAGTCAAGAGGGACGATGGGCTCTGGCAACTGATTCAAATAACGACGGAGGATGTTTGCCGCATCATGAACTGTATATCCCGTCCAATCCAGACCTTTTCCATAGCGCTCTGCGGAGTCGAATATTTCCTGTAGCTCTTTAATTCGTCGCGCGGAGCCACTGAGTCGAAAAATACCTTCGACTTCGGTGGCTGCAAGCTGCTTAGCGCCGTAGTAGGTAGTATATGTGACTAATTACGTACCTTGCTCCTTCAAGAATACTCCGCATTTTGCGACGACAATGGGAACATAGCCGTATATGAAACTTTCGCCTTTGTCGTTGGTGAGAGAAATGGCGACGTTAGCATATTTGATGCTGACATTGAGTGGGACGCCAAAGATTCCGCCTTGAGTTCGGCCTGGGGAAGAATCCAGTTAGCAGGCGGCTTCATTAGAGCTGACATAACCAAGGAATAATATTCTGACAAAAGTATACATGTACAAACAAGCGAATAAAGAGAAATTAGAGCATGATCCGCACTGGTGTAGAATGAGTCGTGCACGACTGATCTGAACCAGTCACGAGTGCGACTAATGTTTCTGTGTGCAGCTGAACACCACATACCTTTATTTTCCTCATCTTTTTTATTGTTGCGCTTGAATGTTTTCCACCAGGATGCGAGATCTCGCTTTGTCGGCGCAGCAGGCAGTGTTGGCTCTGGTTGTGAAGCTGGTTGGGCAGGGCTCCGTGTAAAGGACTGGATAGCTGCGTGTGTCCCAAGCGGCTGGGAACTGCCAGTCGTCATGATGCGAGAGGTGGTGCTGCGTGCGACCGTAATCGATTGACACTGGCGAGGTGAGCACAGCTATGGTGAAATTATTTCGACTTCACGCCTTTCCCAAGGTCTTTGGGATTGGCTGTGGTGGTGTGGGCCCCTTCAGCTCCGAGAGGGGGAACAGGTATACCAGTTGTTGTCAGTGTACTGTGCTGGATGCGACAGACGGGCGGATCGAGGGACGTAGGCCGAGGCGACAAGAGTCCGGGAGCGACGAGCGGATAACCTGGGGGAGTCGGAAGGGAAAGGAAAATGGGGATCTGGCGCGATGAGACTGCTGATGCGTGGTTTTGCTGACGAGGGGCAGAAGGGCGATCGATGAGAGAAAGGGAGGTTGGGAGCCAACGATGACGGTAGCTGGTAAACTAAACCATTAACGTTATCGTTGCTGGGATGGGTCTGGGCTGGCGGCTCAGGATGAGTCCAGGTGTGTGGTACAGTAGTGGCAGTGGCACGATAATAGGATTTTTTTTTCTGAGGCGGCTCGGGCGCAGGAGCGAGCGATGTGCTTCGACTGGGCTGGGGCTGTTTGATGACAACCAGGAGTGATGCTGTTGTGCAACACCAACAACCATGTCGTGTCTTTAGAGTCGCAGCCATGACGACCTGGCACCTGCCGTCCCTGCTGTGCGCCGCAGTCACGGGAAGCTGAAGCCTTGCAGCCTGAGGCAACGGCCAGGCCCGCTACAGCTAGGCTACTTTTGGACTAGTGGCTCTTCTATTATTACAAGGGCTTCTGGAGCGACTGCTGCTCTCGATTTTCTCTCCTGCGTGTGCACTGCGGCGTGATTTTAGTGTGACTGTTAATATTAATATTACATGTCATTTAAAATTGGCAGCGGCCCCCTCAATCTGGCAGCCCTCATCCGTGGTTCCATTGCGACAAGACATCCCGAGGCTTACAACACCGCCCCTCGTTGGATGCCGTTTGTTCCAGTACTCCGCCTGCTGTGGGATAGTAATTTTGATGATTTTGTGCACGCTCTTCTAGAACGTATCCGCCCCTGCTATAGTCCGCCGATCCCTGTTTTTTCTGGTTCCTGGATCCTCAGGCCATGGTCTCGCCATGGTCCCGCCCAGTCGTATTAGGCGATCCAGCACCAGGCTAAGGCAAGATGTCTCGGATCCATGTTTAGTATACTCCAAACAATCTGTCTGTCAGGGACTGGCCGTGTCCCAAGCCAGGAACGCATGCTAATAATAAAATGAAATAAAACATCCCTAGATATCAATACAAAGAAGTAATTTTTTATGTTTGACTTCAAAAGTTATAAATTTAAAAAAAAAAGAAAAAAAGAGTAATTATCTAACGTTAATAAATTTAATTAAATGCCCTGCCCCAAGGGTCAATCCTACACTGACAGATGCTATTTATACTCGCAGTATGATGTCAGACAACCATATTTCTCAAATTTTTACGAGGATTGAAATAATAATTCTCAACTGAGCTGAAATTATGGAACTATTGAGTGGTAGAGATCCCAGTTGATTTTTTACACCACCTTTCTTTCCTGTAAACTACAACAATCATGAATCTATAAGAACACTTGGATCGACCTACCAATGAAAAAGTGTCTACTCGGTTAGATGAGCAATTTTCAAGCTTGTATTCTAAAAGTGTTTACCGATATTTGTGAAGTTAAAAGGTGTTGAGAGTATTCTATGTCTGGAGTATTGATATTCAGCGGATATACTCATGGCCAGAATCTCAGATAATCATTTATTAGGGAATAACGAGCTCAAGTAATCTCAGCAATCTTTAATAATTTTTTAGCATTTCCATAGACAAAGTCTTCAAGTTCGCTGTCAGTCAGAATACCACTCTTCTTGATACGTTCAATAAACTCCCAACCCGTCTCGCTCCGCTCAAAGGGAGTATCAACACTATAAAGAATATGGCCAAGCGGCGTAACTTTTAACAACATCTCGAGGGTTCTCACGCTAAAAATCCCACTTGTCGTGACCCATATATTCTTCTCCCAAACCTCACTAAAACTGCCTAGGCCCTCCTTCTTGAAGAATTTCAACCGGTCAATTCGATCAATCATCATCGGGATCATTTCACCCATGTGACCGATGATAAGCTTGAGGTTTGGGAACTGCTTAAAGAGCCCAGCAGCATACAGCTTGACCACGTGCAGACCGAGGTTCTCATGCCACCCCCAGGCTCCAGTTGAGAGTCCCGTCGCGACGATATCGGTGTAATTTCCTTGGAATCTCTCTGCCATTGCTTGCTTTGATGCCGGGGCTGGATGGATGTAGATGGGAACGTCAAGCCGCTCAGCGGTTTCGAAAACAGCCCAGTATTTCTCTGAGTCGTAATGTGACATGTCTGGTAGATGATTATCTATCATTGCTCCCAATAGTCCAAGTTGTGTAACCGCCCGCTCAAGCTCCTGAGCTGCTTCGTCTGGGTAGGCCATGGCAAGCGCAGCAAACCCCCCAAAACGGGTGGGATTGTTTTGTACGATTCCCGCCAACTCGTCGTTGGAAGCTCGGCAGCCGTCAGGGTTCTCATTTCCAATCCCAGGAAGCTGGGATAGAATCTGAAAAGAGACGTGTCCGGTATCCATATCAACAAGACGTCGGTCGTGTTTATCGAGGAGAGCTTGACGGACATTTGGAAAGGTTTTCCATATTTCCGTGTAAAAAGGGCTTTCATCTCCGAGAGACAGGAGCGTGGTATGCTCCTCAAGGGTGATGCAACCTTTAGGTAGAAATGTCACCATTGTTGAATGATTTGAGCAAACTTTAGGATATAATCCAGATGTCGCTGTCAATCATTGCTCAAGGTTTTATTGTAAAGAAGGAGCCATATAGTTCACTTGTTGACAGCCTCTTGATAGATATTGTTTAAGAATTGTTTTGTTTTAGATACCAATTGATACCCCTGAGTAGATTTCTCACTAATGCATGCGGTTACGGATTAAGTTTAGTGGAACTTGACAGATGCAGATAAACTCTGTAGGCTCATTGATTTCATCCGAGTTCTACCTCTGTGGGTCGATAGTATATATTCATGCTTAAGTCCGAGGTAATATCCGGTAAGAAGGGACTCATAACCAAAAATTATATTGTAATGGATAGTTTCATACGCAAAACCAACGGTGATAATCGACTAGGGCGTCTTATATATCCGCAGGTAAAATTATATTTCCGGATTTGAAAACAGGTTGTGTGATGACATTGTTACTGGCATTGGGTAACTTGGTATCGGGATGATTTCACTCCGAGTGCTGGGACAGTTATCTTGATGGCCTATGAAATAATAAGGAATATGGTTAGAATCAAAGCAATTTTCTACAGTACGGTATTCCAGTATTATTCTTGAAGTCTAGAAATCAATAAATTGAGTTGCAACGTATCACGGGTTACTTTTCGACACATAACTCCAGGAGATTATGGATACAAACACCATCAACGTACTCATCGTCGGCGTCGGGCCCGGCCTTGCACTTGCACTAGATCCTCGAACGACGCGGCTTGCATTCGACAATCATCGAACTAATTCTAGCACAGAGACGGAGCTCCTCGTTAAGGCCGACTATCCCAACGATCGCGGTATGGAGTTCTGCCGAATCCTCGGCGTCCGGGATGACGTTGCTAATGTAGGATTTCCTAACGATGTCTCTCGTGACATAGTTTTTGCACAGCTCTCAATGGCCGTTTCGTCGGCCGTCTTCCGACGCCCTTCCCTCCAAGTTCTCTGTCCGCAATTATGGTTTGACCCACTACTTGCTCGCGCTTTTATGAGACAAGAGGCGGAAGATATCCGCTACGGGATAGAATTTAGTGTTCGTGAACAGGATGATACTTGCTTTCTCACGCATGTTGAAGGCAGCAGGATGGAAAATACTCGTGCTTGGGAACTGGCAGGTTGTGATGGTCTTACCAGTACGGTTCAAAGAGTAGTATTCCCTTCAATGGGATTGACCTTGGATACTCAACTAGCGTTATTACCAGAGTCGACGATCGTGCACGGTACCATAGCTTCGAAATGGCCGAGGCTACATGTTCATCGGCCCTGAAGGAACGTGGGCGAATCTCACTTCCGTAAAGGGTCGGTCACTATATTGCTTAACCGTTGTTGGCCCGGAAGAAAAGATCGACTATAGACAAGTCGACATGGAAGGAATGATAGAAAGGGCGTTTGGCCATGATCATATCGATTTCCACTGTAGCTGGTGCTGCCATTGGCTAAGCCACCTCACTGCAGCGGCGGCCGCTCTCATTGGTCTAAGAGCTTTGGGGCACTGCACGTTCTTGTTACTAACATGTAATTGAGGCATTGTATCACGTGCTGAAATATGTAATATAACGTGGTCGGAAGACGCGACATGATCATTGATGTCCAGGTTGTGCCAAACCAAATCGGAGCAAGCGACGTTCTTTCTATAAAGACGATTATACAAAACATCCTTTCTATTCCTATGGCGTCAACCACTAAGTCGGATATAATCATCTCAATCCGGCAGCCTCATCTTGATCACATTGTCTGTCTGAAGAAGAATCATGAATTTCGAGCATACCTTCTTCCAAGCACCGTTACACGTTTCTGGATATACGAACCAAGCCCAGTATCTGCTATTAAGTATATTGCAGAAGTAAGCAACGGAAAGCGCCCCGGAGAGGTTGTCGACGGTGGTTTCATCCGTAATTCCGACTTCAACCAAGGGAAGCTCGCGGACGGAAAATTCGCGTATGAGATTCTGACATTGGAAGCTTTGGAGAGTCCAATCACTCTGCTGCAGCTGAAAGCCAACGGATGGCTTGCTGGCGCACCACAGAAATACTGCTATGTTAAGGAAGCAATGGCTCTTAGTCTGAGAGGCGTCAAAACTACCGCCATATCATCTCATTCTAGCAAAATATGGCCCAATGATGCCGCTGTGCGACCGGACTTGGAGAGTCAGACTACAACACGAGGTAGTCTAACTTGCCCATATATCTGTAACGTTATTGACTATTCTAGATCTTCGTTCTTTTTTTCCCAAAGCAACCAGCAATTCACAAGAAGCGATCGATCACTCTCTCTAGCCGTGTTCCCAAGGCGGGAAAAGGATGGAGGTAGCATCTAGAATATGACAGACACTAAGAGAATGTAAACCATGCCTATTTCACCATGGCAGTCAACCTTGCCATATGTATCAGAATCACCTCTCGAGAGATCACGTGCCACCATATGCTGACTCAGCAGATGTTAGTCACGTGCCCGGAGCCAGGTTGTTCCGCCTGAAGAGATCCGACCAGCTGCGGAAGAGCTTCAGAAATAGTCGAGAGAAGGAAACAAAATCCAAACAAGCTAAATCACCTATTTTCCTTCACCGTTTCATCTGTATATTATCGACTATCGAATAACCTCTTTATATCAAAATGGAAGGGTGAGCGCTGCCGATTGTCGACTTGCAATGAACGTCGCGTGCTAACCAATTTTTCTCAGCCTCAATGCTTCGGAACAGCGTGAGCTGGCTGCTCGCATGGAGAAGAAGCAAATGAAGGAGTTTATGCAGGTACACCTCACCTATCCCCTCTAGCTAATTCTTCTCGATGTCTATATCTTGCAATCAATTGCCATTGCCTGCTAACTGGCTACTCTGTAGATGTACTCTCGTCTCGTGCAGCGCTGCTTCGACGACTGCGTGAACGATTTCACCACCAAGTCTCTCGTCTCCCGCGAAGAGGGCTGCGTCCTGCGCTGCGTCGACAAATACCTAAAGAGCTCGGCTCGTCTAGGCGAGCGATTCCAGGAACAAAACGCCGCGATGATGCAGTCTGGGCAATTGCCAGGGCGATAAATTTGCGTTGAAATCTACATATCCGAGGAATATACCCAACTCATCATTTTTGGGGGACAGTTTATTCGGTTATATCCTTATATAATATTTTTTGATCGGCCGCGTTCATGACGGAGACTAGCCAGTCTCGATTTCCATCTATGTGTTGCTAGACATTCTCCTCTTTTGCTCTCTGTACTATATCATTCTTGTCATCACATCGTATCGTTACTGTCAAATTGTTGTATGGACTCGGGTCAGGTATTACTCGGGTGCTGAGCGTCGGGTTAGATTATGAAATCGATATCATCTGAACCTGTTGTTCTGTGGGTTAATTATATGAACATATAGCCAGGCATATTAGTATGTTGGAATTGTGGATTAGCTTGTCAGAGCGTGAACTGTGTCGTAACTGGTAGTGAATAACCTCGGACACGACACACGATTGTAAGGTCGTGATCTGTATGGAATGTACTTGTGGGATAGCCGGGATAATACTACCAGATTAGGACACTATTTAAATTGGGGCAAATTGTCCTAGACAGCTTCTATCTCTATCAAAGCAGCAATTATGGGATCGCCGCGTGTTACGATATCTTTTCTTATCTGCCATCTTACCTACTATCTCCAAACTGGCTGAGCCGTGGATTTCCGCTCCGCTACTCCAATTTCCTGAACATGGCTGCTATGAGTCGGACTTGATTACATCCGCCCCGCAGTCCGTCTACAATTATCAGCAGAATCGGAGCAGAATTGAGCTGCAGCCGGTCGAGGAGATACTGGTGAGGGGAGACACAGACACTAGTCAGCACATACAGTGGTTGTACATGTACGATATGGTGCCCCTCACCGGCTCCATCCTACCCCACCATCACCGAGCAAGCAAGATGTCATGTTCTCCTCATGAAAGCAGCCCATTCCCCACTGCAGCTCCGGTCCATTCCATTATATATTGCGAGCTGGAGAACACCTGCCGGTTTGGTTCTTGATTTTCTTTTCTTTGCTTTCACTATCGTGTCTCTTTCTCAACTCCCGCACACCTATTTTCTGCGCGCGTCGACGATAACTTCCATAACATTGAAGTCTATTTGCCATCGACATCATTGATCAATCACCATCCATCGATTGCTCGGCATAGACGAGAATATGGCTGAGACTGTTGGAAAGGTGAGTTGGAGATCCTACTGATAGCATCCCGATGTCGCAGCTGCTAACCATCGCAGACCATTACTTGCAAGGTAAACCCCCACCAGCAGGACGACCACCAAATAAACCATATACTTACCATGCATCAATAAATTAGGCTGCCATTGCCTGGGGTGCTGGCCAGCCCTTATCCGTGGAAGACGTCGAGGTTGCCCCCCCAAAGCACATGAAGTCCGCATCCAGATTCACCATACCGGAGTCTGCCACACAGGTGGGTATCCCTCCCCACGCAGGCCGCTCCGACAAACTAACTTATCCCCGCCAAGACGCATACACCCTCTCTGGAAAGGACCCCGAAGGCGCTTTCCCTGTTATCCTCGGCCACGAGGGCGCTGGAATTGTCGAGTCGGTGGGTGACGGCGTGACGAATGTGAAGCCCGGCGACTATGTCGTTGCTCTCTAGTGCGTAAACCCAGTTCCATCTCTTACTTCAACCCCTTACGACTTCGACACCGGCTGACCATAACAAAGCACCCCCGAATGCAAAGAATGCAAGTTCTGTATCTCAGGCAAGACCAACCTGTGCGGCAAGATCCGCGCGACGCAGGGCAAAGGCGTCATGCCGGATGGAACATCGCGGTTCAAGGCCCGCGGCAAAGACATCCTGCACTTTATGGGCACGTCGACATTCTCACAGTACACCGTCGTCGCAGACATCTCGGTAGTCGCCGTGACCGACAAGGCCGGCACGGACAAAACCTGCCTGCTTGGCTGCGGAATCACGACCGGCTATGGCGCCGCAGTTGTCACAGCCAAGGTGGAAGAAGGCTCGAACGTGGCCGTGTTTGGCGCCGGCTGTGTCGGGCTCTCGGTCATCCAAGGCGCGGTGAAGAACAAGGCTGGAAAGATCATCGTCGTCGACGTGAATGATAAGAAAGAGGAGTGGTCGAGGAAGTTCGGCGCCACGGACTTTGTCAACCCGACCAAATTGAATGGCCAGAGCGTGCAGGAGAAACTCATCGAGATGACGGATGGTGGCTGCGACTATACCTTTGACTGCACGGGCAATGTTGGAGTGATGCGTGCTGCGCTAGAGGCGTGCCATAAGGGGTGGGGCCAGAGTATTGTCATTGGTGTTGCAGCTGCTGGCCAGGAGATTTCGACACGTCGTAAGTCTTGCACCTCAACCTTTCCTGGCACACAGTGTCTTAAACTGACATATCCAGCTTTCCAACTCGTCACCGGCCGCGTCTGGAAAGGATGCGCCTTTGGTGGCATCAAGGGCCGCTCACAACTCCCCGACCTCGTCGACGACTATCTCACCGGCCAGCTCAAGGTCGACGAATTCATCACGCACCGTGAGCCTTTGGCCAACATCAACGAGGCATTTGAGCAGATGAAGGCGGGTGACTGTATCCGATGCGTTGTTGACGCGAGGGCGTAAGGAAACGACGAACGAACGAGTGAGTGAATGAAATGCGTGTTTTGGTTCGGTTATTGGAATCATTAATAATTAGCGAGATGAACAAAATGTACTTTTCATTTCCTTTTTAACAGTATATGTCAAGAATGTTGGGCGTAATGACTTGAAATTGGGTCCAGTTAGATTGTTTCATCACGTAATGTGAGGATCAATTAGATTGATAAAGAGTAATATATGTTGATCGAAGAAGTATGGATCAGGTTCGACTTTAAATAATTACGGCTGCCCTTCCACAAGGTCCTCAATCACGCGAGTACTAGAGCAAAGAGGTGGGGGTAGCTATTTAAATATGTATCACGTCTACAATATGAAGGAAATTCAACAATCAACTTTGATGTTTGATGATTGCTATCTAAAGAACGACTAGGGGTCAGGCTGCACTAAATCAAATCGATCATCTCCATCCGCATGCCATGTTATTTGGCTTAAGGTCTGCTGCATTAAAAAAGCTTGTGCTCCAAAGTCATGTCTGACTCAGGTTGAAGACCGATACAGGCACGGAAAATGTTGGTGAGAGCGCCACGCTGCTTGGCAAGAGCGTTGACGACGGGGGTTCCGGGAGGAGTCAGAGGAGCCTGGCTATATTAGCATCATGTATACACTAAAGCAAAATGAAAGTGAAGAGGATATACCTTGAGCATGTAGCTAAGAACGCTGAGAACGCTGTGGAATCCCTTGTACTCCTCAGCATCCTTGGTCTTCCAGCTGACGCGAGTCATCAGCTCGGCAACGACAACAAGGTCGATGATCAACGGGGAGGCCAAGAGAGAGTCTTCGCACACGTTGAAAATGCTGATGGTCTGGTGACCACCCAAGAAGATCTCCGCGTAGTACTCGTCGAGAGCACGCTTGTTGTCACCAACAGCTGGCATGTACTTGATGACGACGGTGTGGTCGGGGTGCTCGCCCTCCTTGTACAGGACAGAGTTGGCGGCAACCATGTCGTCGACAACGTTAGACTTGGAAATTTCCTTGGAGCGGAACTGCTTCTGTGAGCTCAGGTTCTTGCCATCGTTGTTACCGAGATGGTTGTAGCTTGCAATCGAGGTGAGCTTAATACCAGCGCTGATCAGGAAGTCAACAAGAGCTGATTTCATCTTGGTCTGTCCCGACTTGAAGTCATCGCCACCAATGAATGCGTTGTACTTCTCGGCAAATTGAATGGCACCGGGGACAAAGGTGTTTTGTGGGGATCCGTTGATGAAGGGCGCGTTCTCGAGAATGGATGCCACGGCGAACACTGTAGAAGGAGACACTTCCTCGTGACCGGATTTGATCGCGTTGATCAAGTTGTCAGCAGTGTCGTTGACGCCAGTGATGATATCAGCGTAACGCTCGGTGTTAGCAGTCCACAGAACAATGACTTTATCCAATCCATTCTGTTCCTTGAAGTCACTGTCTGAAATTAGCATGTGCTACAAATAACTATACTATTTTAATACACTTACCGAATGTCCTTGCGCAAGTGCTCGACGTGCTCCCAGGAAGCCTTGGAACCCGGAATGACATTGTCCGCGCGATCTTCTTGATTAGCAGCGATAAAGTCTGGGTAATAGATACTGGGCAAAGGTTTCATCTCGGCCATTTCCTTGCGAACCAACTCCTTGAGAGAAGGTTCCAGGACACAGGCGCGGTCCATGGAGTCCGCCAGGCCCAATCCACTGATGTCCCAGCCGCCGATGACCAAGTCATTCGGGTGAACCATAGGGAGCATGTCGTGGAAGGGAATATTGACTTCCTGGCCAGACTTGTCGGTGCCTAGTTTGATAGTTGAGCCCATGACGACGGAGCCATAGTAGTTGGCCGCGCGCTTGCCCTCGCGAGTATCCCACACTAGACCACGACGGTTGGCAATGATACCGGCAGTGACGGTGGTACCATTGTTGCCACCCCAGCCGACCAGCATCATACCCACCTTGCCCACCTTGCGGTCGACCTTGAAGTCGTAGGCATGGGCCTTGGGGACGGCGACAAACTTGTTGTCTGCGGTGCGAGTGACCTCGGTGGTGTGGTAGGCATACTGAGTTTTGATCGCGTCCTCAGTGTAGACCACGTCGGGAGACTCAACCGTAAAGAGAGGGGTCTTCTCACCAGCCGACCCGCCAACAGCGCCAGAGGCAGCACTAGTACCGTTCGCGTGAGGAGCCATTGCAATTGACAGTAGTGACAGGTTCGCGAGTTGGAGCGAGGGATCTGTCAAGTAATCGGAGCGAGCTGTTTACAGAGTGTAAATAGCGTAGTCGGACGCCCCTCCTCGAGCGGATGTGCGCCCGCTGTTGTACGGGTGGTGACGACTGTAGAAGGGGTTAGCATTAGCATTGTGACTGTTGAACGGGCCATAATTGAGGAGCGAGTGCGTGCGAAAGAGAGGAAAGGGGTCTCACGAGTTAAGGTGGGTGGAGAAAATGTTGCCGGCGGTGTGATCACTCTCGTAAGAGCGATCTGTCTGCTTGAAAGCTACGGCAAAGACGAAAGACCTAGGAGGCCAGAGGAGGTACGAACGAAGAGTTTTCTTTGGGATAGAGCAGAAAGGAGGAGGGGGGAGGCAGAGGGAGAGTGCGGGTTAAATAGTTAATGGAAAATCACTGGAGCCCCGCGGCCGGGCGACAGTCCCGCGCCTTCCCTTCCGGCTCTACCCACTCACTCTTCCTCTATTCCTCGTTCTTTATTCCTCTCTCCCCTCTCCCCTCTCCCTCTCGCCTCTCTTCTCTCCCACTCTGGCGCCAGCTCAGCATCGCGCTCTTCTCTTCTCCACTGCTGAACTGTGCGATGTGCTGTCGAACTGCCATTTCTACCATGATTATTTATCGAGATTATCGCGTGCTCAGGGCAGACTCGGGTCTGTGCGAACCTTTACCAGGCTCGGCGCACGCTTAATGCTGCATGCGGCCACTCACAGCGCACCAGCCCCTCACTAGCCAGCAAGCCGTCTGTTTGCGTGCCTTGATAAGACTCAAGGTACTCTTACAGTATGAGGTGCAGGTACTGACCGCTTCTCTCGCACCCATTCCTTGTCGGCCGGGGCCTCGGATAATATCTCCTCTACCCTATTATCCAGATGTATGGTCTATGGAGTCTCAAGAATCCCGGTATCGGCTGCGCTCGTCCCCACCGTCACTGGCCTAGATGGTGCCTGCATGACTAGCTGGATTAGTGTGAGATTCAACTCATTTCCCCCCAACAAGAATGCCCGCCGTGCACGGACAAGCGGTGCATTCTTATAGACAAGCGCAAGTATTCGAATGTCGTGCCATGTTTACTGGTAATTTTCTATCACAAATTTGATAGTAGGGCCACACGTAACGGCGAGCTGATTGATACATCGATCTAGATAAACATTTAAGCGTGCTGCGAAGGATAAATCCAGGATTCCCCATCCGAATAATATCATTGCTTCGCATGCATCTATATGCATGCGCTCTACTATATTAATGTCAATGACAAGTAATGGTTAATAGTTTAAACTGAGCAATATGATTTAAGAAGTTCTTGGGTCCACCCCAAGTACCCCGAACCATAGACTTATAGCAAACCCATGAAAAACGTCGAGTTACTCTTACTGGAATTGGTCGGTAGAGTTAACTTGGTATTTGCTACGGAGTAAGTAGGGCTGTCGTGCATTCGCGCTTTGGCGAGTGGCGTAACATTATATCCGCGATTCGACACGATATTCACGATATCCCGACATACTAAGATTTATTATTTGTACATTTATCCGAAGTGCTACTGATCATATTCCAATTATGAATTCCAATTTACGAAAATATGCTCATTTTTCACGTTATTGTAACGATTTGAAAACCGTCCAAGTCAGGCATTGCAGACCCACACATAGATAGTCAGGTATGATGTTTGCCTCTCTGTCTGCTCAGGTAGAATACAGGCCAATCACAGTCTCCGTTTAAACCTTGGTCGGTTCACCCTGAAGAGGGAAAGCACACTTGCATCCCTGCTCTCCCTCAAGGCCACTGGAGAGGTCCCCGCATGTGCATCCATTGTTTCCGATTGAGTATAAGCCGTTTGCATAAGCGAACTTGAAGTAACCACCACCAAGGTCGGTATCGATGTCTTTAACCGTCAGGACATAAGGGAGAAAGTTTTCTTCAATAACATAAGGAGTGCCGCAGTCATTGCCCGATGGGCCATATACACCCCTTGGGATGCACGCGTTATCGTAGATGATGTATGCGTTGTGCCCCGCGAGTCCACCCCAGGGAGCGCCCCCGTTGAAAGTTGGGACGTCGACTTCGCTGATGTCCATTGCAAAGGTCCATGAGCCTTCGCCTTGAGGAATGCAAAGTTCTGTTCTTGTCTCAGGCGATGTCTCAGCCTCGGTCAGGGTATTCGAGAGTTGGCAGTCAGCGGATACATGCCCGAGAATAGCAACAAGTGTAGTGAGACTGAAAATATGACGGTGCATGATGGCGGTTTGGGTGTGGTGTCTGAGGTGAATGAATAATTTGGGAGTTCTAGAGTTTTATTTTGAATACAGAGATAAAATATCACCCTTTGGTCAGGAGAAAGTTGGGTTCTTATATAGCCAAGCCGACTATAGGTAAATATGGGTCGAAGTAAAACGGAGGGACTGTCATTCATGTCATACCTCAATCTGTTAGCGCAAACTAGAAGAATCCTTTTGATTCACGCCAGTCATATCAAGAAAATAAACCCAACAAAGCTATGCCAAACGCCAATTATTCATCTGAAAACTCATTTGAGTCGTTCTCACAGGCATCGAGCAATCAGAGTATACGAAGTGAAGCCCCCGGCCCCCAAGCCCTACGTAACAGAACCGATGTTACATAATCGAGTATTTACGCTGATTCATTAGAATGACCATTATTATGTATGGATATAAAGCAGAACCGTTTACAATAGTGCTGCCCCAATTGGACCAGATCAGACGGGGACCCCACGGAATCGTCCTCAAAAGGCTGAGATCAACATAGTACGGAGATCGCCGTGGCTGTCGACTAGTTTCGATATTCTGGGGGCCTCCGCACGGCTTCTGGGGCCGTTATTAAATTAATGCTGTTTTCTAGGGGTTCGCCGAAGTTTATTTGTGCATTGCATCGGTGGCTGAGACTACCCCAGTTTCGATGAGGTAGATAATACCCTGTCGACGGATATTTACATAACAGACGCAATTTAACCAATGACTTCGTTGTTGGTTTTCCTAATATAAACCGGTAAGAAGTGCGGGTCGGGTATATTTGAAAATTTAAAAGAATTGATACTATAACTCGTTGAAGCTAGGATAATCGAAATAACCAATGTAAATTTCTGCCATCATGTCAATTTGATGTATCCACGATGGCTGATCATATTTAGACTTTGAGAGTACCAGTTGACATATAAGGAAATGTATAACATAACAACGACCCCAGAATTAAAGGCTTAAGATCTAACATTGAAACCTAAAGTGGCTGTTATCGGCGATTAAAATGATTACGTTGTATTCAGCATGTAATGTTTTCAAAATAGTAATAGCGATCAGCCAAGCAGCCGGTGACAGTCGCACAAGTTTCTTCTGACGTCACACTGATAAAAATAGTATAATCAGTACGAATAGAATCTGCTGTTTATCAAATCAACTAGTTACCTTAGGATACTGGTTGTTGTCATATTATCCAACCCGACAACTACAGAACTCGTTTACAGAAGGTTATCTGAGAGTGATATCGCTGAACGGTCGATCATCTACATATGTTCTTGTAGAGAGACAGGAAAGTAGTGATGAGCCATATTATTAATGAAAGGACTGCATCGGCGTAAAACCCTAGCCAGGCAGGAGACTCAGATCCAGCCTATAGGTGGTGGCTACTGGAATTGGTAAATATCATCTGATAGGGTTTGGCTCGATGTTTCCTTTGGCTCTTTCGTCCACACACCAAGAGCCGTCATACTATAACAACAGAAAGCCATGAAAATTGTTGCGCTCACAGATAGGATCCATGCTACATCAAGGTAATCTGCAATTTCCAGACTTACCGAGTTGCAAGCCTCTGACCATTGAGGTTCTAAACTCGGAGACTACATAGTGCGTAAAGTTAAAAAAATATTTCGAGCACTCTAGACTTTACGCTTTCGTGGTGTTCACATACCCGAATTGTACTAGGCTCTCATAAAATCCAATAAGATTCTTTTCCACACACGGATGTTTACGGCTGTGGATTATGCGGGGTATATATAAAAGTAGGAATATAAACGTCATACCTATGGTGTATCCTAGACAGATACCCTGCACTTCCTCTGGCTATATCTACGACCACTTTGAAGCAAACAACTGATGAATGCGTTTAAATCGAAATTTCGAAACTTCCTGAGCACTATGGCAACGATCGAAAAGTATGACGCTATAATTATAGGCTCTGGCCAGTCTGGTAACCCCTTAGCTATAGCCTATGCGAAACAAGGCCAGAAAACAGCACTTGTTGAACGTAAACATATCGCTGGGTGCTGCGTTAACGAGGGCTGCACACCGACGAAAACACTAATTGCATCTGGCCGCGTCGCGTACCTAACTCGCCGGGGACAAGATTTTGGCATACACACATCAGACTCGAAAACAAGCGCAAATCATGTCGCGGTTGACATGCTCAAGGTCCGTCAACGGAAACGCGACATCGTCTCTTCATTCCGGGCTGGCAGCGAGAGTAGACTTAAGGCTGCCGGGGTGCATATTCTGAAAGGTGAAGCAAGCTTTGTCGGTCAGAAAGAGCTGAATATCAAAGATAGTACTGGTAAGGAAAATGTTATCCAAGGCGAGAAAATATATATCAACGTGGGAGACCGACCTGCACCGCCGCTTCTTGAAGGAATTTCGTCGCTTGATCCCGGACGGATTTTGGACTCCACGTCAATCCAAGAGCTAGATGAAGTTCCTAGCCATCTTGTTGTGATTGGGGGAGGATATGTAGGAGTGGAATTCGCACAGCTTTTCCGCAGATTGGGTGCACAAGTCACTGTCATTCATCGTGGAGCACATCTACTATCGCGGGAGGATCCAGAAATTGCTGATCTTTTAGCGGAAGTTCTCCAACAAGACGGACTCACAATCCACATGAATTCAAGTGCTGTCAGAATTGCGGTGTCCAATAATGGCTTCGATCTCACTGTCCAGACCAGCAACGGCAATCTGACTATCGCCGGAACACATATCCTATTTGCCGCCGGTCGCATACCAAATACGGACACTTTGAAGCTAGAAGCTGCAAATATTGCAGTTAACAAGAAAGGATATATCGTAACAAACGAATATCTCGAGACTTCATCACCTTCAGTTTTCGCAATCGGAGATGTGAAAGGGCCTCCGGCGTTCACGCACCTCTCATATGACGATTTTCGCATCATTCAGTCCAACATTCTTTCGAAAAGTCCTGCAAAGCTTTCCATCAAAGACCGCATCGTGCCTTATGTAGTTTACACCGACCCTCAACTTGCGCACGTCGGTCTCCATGAAGGAGAAGCCCGTGAAAAGTACCCCGACAGAAAGATTCAGACAGCAAAAATGCCCATGGGATACGTCGCACGTGCACTAGAAACAGATGAGCCACGGGGCATGATGAAGGCTGTTGTTGATTGCAATACCGGATTAATCCTTGGTTTTACCTGTCTCGGCCTTGAAGGCGGCGAAATCATGAGCATTGTGCAGATGGCGATGATCGGAAATATCCCATATGAAAAATTACAGAATGCTATCTGGGCCCACCCTACTTTAGCGGAGAGCCTGAACAATTTATGGGCATTTTTGGAGTAAAACTATCGTATTTTATACGTGACACAGAGCACAAAACAAAACTCGATGGGCAGTCTGGTTCAAGCGCATTCACATGAACGACTAATGCTCAAATCACAAGATGGAATGTGGGGTGAAAAGTCCATATTGAGACGCTTCCAATGTAGAGAAACCATCTATTGATAGATGTTACTCTGGATGCAGGATTTCCTACACGTTAATTGATGCTTCTATAGGTAACTGAACGCATAAAAATTAATTACCCATTCCTTCGATCAACTCTAATATGAAATAGCGAAACGAGTCCACCAAGAATCATAGAATAGAAACTTAATTATATCTATCCATACTATCATCATCTAGAAACTCGAAAGTAGTACCAATTGACCTGCATCCTTATTCGGCAGATTATTGGTTCATTAGAAAGTGGTGATAATCATAGGGCATATTTGCGGAGTTTGATCGTTCAGCTGATGATTGAGCAAGGGTACAATAGTCATTTATGATTTAACAAACACTGACCCATTTCTCATGTATACTGGGAGTACTACTAGATTTATTGGCTATCCTTGATTTTAACAATTCCCCATCAACGCACTCCCCAACTATTCAAATCTTAATCCACGGAATCCCCCTAGTACGTCCAGTATAATCAACAAATCCATTGATAGAAGAGTGTATTGTGTGAGCAAATAACAACTACTAAATAAAACCAAGACGAAAGACAACTCATGTACATGCAAAGTGATTGCATATGGCCCTTTCATTTTTGCCTGAGAAGACAATCCCAGAAGAATCCTTAGAAATATAACCTTTGTTCGTCTCTTACAAAAGCGCCTGTATTCAGCCACCGATCCTACATGTATTCTTCCAGGCCCTAAATTGCTTGGACATTAACCCAGAAACGTGTATCATCAGACTGATATTTGGTGTCACTCTCGATTTGCTGCTGGATCCATGCCACAGCATCCTTGTATGCTATATATTACGTGAGCTAAACAGTCCCAAAATTTGCCCAGATTTCCTCGGATTAAACTTACCATTGATATCTGGTGTGTTTGGATTCTGAACACCGGACGTTCCATCACGGTGACCAGCAAACCAAACATCGTAATCATAATGATCCTCACCATCATGGCGGGCTTTGACATCCTTTTCTAGATTGGAGCTATCACTTGGTTGTTAGCCAGCGAAAGTCCGAGGTTATGAATCACAGGAGACATTACTTCAAAATAGCGCCGTCAGCAACTTGGTCCACGGTCTCTCCAAGGAAATCAGATGCGGAAGTTCGCAGCATGTACCAGTTCTGCTTGAATATGCCAAAGTTTGTGGCGTCACCTGTCTTTCCATCACCTGGAGGCATATATGTTAGTCATTCTCCACTCAGTTCCGTTAGCGAATAGCTAATATTTGAACATACCATAGGTGTAATCCGCAGTCATTGTTTTCCTGCAAATTGTCAGTTGAAGCCTTCTTACGTGTATACTAAATGGAAACTGAGAGTTGACTAACGTCTCCAACATGGCGATTGCGAGATCACGGGTGTTGCCACCAGCGCCGAATACAGCCTGCTTTCGAGCCCCAAGTCCAGAAATAGTCTCATTGCCCCGATCGTCATCGCGTGCAAAGAGATCGGTGCTCAAAGGAGATGATGAAAACACCGCAGGCACAAGGGCAATGGCACCGGCAATACGGATGAGCTGCATTTTGCAGTATTATGAGGGGTAAATTGATGAATAAAAATTTCTTTTATGAATAGATAGTGATACCTGAGATGATTGTGAAGTTTGAAAAACAGAGGACTAAAGCCTCATTTATACTTGTGATTTTGATCATATTTAACGTTGTGTATATGACGCAATGGCAACGGGGTAGACTAACATCCTTCAATGCTCCATGTCTTTCTTGTCCGTGTCTGCAGAGGAGAGAATCATCTTGTTTCGAGACAAAATATAACTGCCAAGAAAGAAATAATTGATTATGGCTGCTCTCTTCTTGTATATATGGAGACTAACCCACATCCCCACATCTGATTATAGGACAGCCAAGAAATATAATTGTTTCAAGATGCAAATCTTGACTCTATCGGGAACGGATATGCCACTTGCGATACGGTATGGAACCCCGACAAGTACGATCATAATCAAAAGAACGGATGCACGATACATTAAACAATTGAAAGGACAAAAAAAGAACCGCGAAGTTGAGAAATCAACATTGACGTCGATTAAACGAGTAGTCGATGGGATGGCCAAGGCACCACTTTCATCGTTTCCCAGCAAGAAAAGTGGCCGCCAGCAAACTAAGAAACCACGACGTATTCTGTAATCTCATTTTACGAAAGAGAAATTTAAGGGTTATATTTCTTCATAGCAAACTCGGATTATTAAACATTAACTGCAATTGGGTGCCTTCGGGAGCCTTACCAAAACACGTAGATAGTTTGAATCGTCGTCCTTTGGGAATTAACCGTTCCAGCTACTTTCTCTTCAAAACACTCTTTCCCTAAGCATTGGAGACATTAGAGCCTCCGATTCTATATGTCATAGCAGTCAAATGCTGTAAGTCTATAGCTCGCACAGAGTTATTCCCGTAGAGCTGACATGCTCAGCAGCCCAGAACATTGTATTTCCCCTGGTCTGCCCCCAAGACAGAAAAGTATGCTTTTTGTCTTTTCTTAATATATCACATAAACTTTTGAAAAGCGTTATTACCATATATCAACTTAGTTTGATTAATTACTACAAGGTGTTTATTCATTATTTTCTCATATCATCCGTAGATTAGGATCTAACGTATGATTCCTGCTTGGCGCCAGTTAGCTTGGCAGGCTCTTCAGCAATAACATTTCTTTTCCCTCCTAACATCTCGATTTGATTCTTTGTGTGCTGCACAAGCTGTACAAGCTAAACTGAATGTCTTCATATGCACCGAAAAAAAAAAAAGGAATATCGCCCCCACTCACTTGAGCTGATTTCTAGAATGTAGTGGTTTTGAATAAGATAAAACTCAATAATCTAAATTGCTCGAGAGTGTTGGGGATATGATTACTCATGGTTTTAATGAATAGGAACGAACAGCCAGGATGAATATAATGTTCATACCTTTGGGTATATGTACACTTAATATAGAAGCTATATCACAGCTCTTTCAATAGATTGTAACATTGGGCGTTTGTTACCATTTTAACGTCTACTACTTATTAGACTCATGTCGATTTCTTTCTGACCTACACCATCAATGCCCGACGAAACTAATCGAATACAATCAGGACGTCAAGGAGATGTGTCATAGACTGGAACTTGGTACATTTCGAATTAATTTTCGCATGTCTATATACCCTCAAATTGCACCAACCGAAAACGAATTGCTTTGCGACTAAAGCTGACATTTTGTTCAAGATTGCAAGCTTAAATCTGAAAATGGCCCCCAACCCATTGCAGATCGCTTTCCGCTACCTTTATTCTTTATCCTATGAGAGGCCACAACTTTGCCGGTGCATTCCCCGGCTTGGGCGGTTTCACCGAATTTGGATCCTCGGATGGAATTTAAACAATGTATTGGCTTTATGGAACTATTAAAGTTATGGAGTAATAAGCACCGAATCAACTAATCTGACAGCTGCAACGGGGCCAGTAACTAGAATTTGGTCTCGGGGATAGAATGACGGCGAGTGGTCCATATGATGTTGGCTCTCCGAAAGTAAGCCTCATACGTACACGGGCCGATGTGTTGCGACATGAAATTAATCCAATATCATTGGACAATTCGCGAATAGCTGAATGGTTGGGGCTAAAGAACTACAAAGGGTGTAACACTACACGTGCGATGGGCAACTGGGGGCCTTGTTCGCAATGTGGGTATAATGAAGTTTAGATCGTCTACACTAATATTAGCTAAATAATCAAGTTCAAGCATTATAAATAAGTCCGTGACCCATCAGGAGAATCGTTTATCTTGATATCTAATCCAGGCAGTTGAACGAGAACAACTTGAACAATGGCAAGCAATCTCAAAGTAATTATATACCTTTCCTTCTTCGCACTCATCCCCTCAGGGATATGCTCATATTTTGTCAACTTTGACGCTTCCAACGATACCTTGAACGATCCTTCTAAAATTGGCCAACTGAACCTCGAGGCTGCGAGAGGCGACAAAGTTTCTAGCAACCAGCCGGATCTATACATCAAGCTTGGCAAGGATGACAATGGAACCGCCGCTTTACATTGCCATCGTATCAAAGGTGATATCCGGTCCGAGTACCATGCCTTGGCTGGGAAGACCGAAAAGGATACCACGTATTACATTGGATATCAGTTCTCTTTGGCGGAGATCGAGCAGAGCCTTATGATTTGGCAATTGTAAGAATTCTTTTCATAGAACAAAGAAATATAACTAAACTAACGACCCTGTTTAGCAAGGAATTCGAAGCGAATTCGCATGGCGGTGCTAATATCCCATTATCCATGGAGATTGTGAACGGAAAACTTGAATTTCAATATCAGTCTTCTGGCAACTCACATCGAGAAAGTCAGTGGTCGACCGAGGTTACCGCGGATACTGTATACTCTGCTGGAATTGTTATCAACACGTCGACACCAGGATGGGTGCAGTTCTACTGGAATGGAGACCTCCAGAAATTCTCCAGCACAGGAGGCCATAATCTGACTGCAACTACGTTCCCGGGCAGGGCAGATCCTAAATTCGGTGCATATCGCGGCGAGGCCGTGGGTATTGATACGTATATCTACAAAATTCAGATTGGGACGGAGCAGAGTGATATTGCAAGTGCAGCAGATCTCAAGAAGTAGAGGACTGATGGAAAGACATTAAGTATATAGACAGATCACGAACATGGATTTTGATATACGTAATATATAGTTCTTGTCTTCAAAGGAGTTTGAATGAACCCATCGGCCTCTCATAATGTATTTCATAAGCGAACGGCACACATGTGAGGCACACTCCTGATTCCGATATTAAACTGGCATTTTTGGGTCTTTATTAGAAAATATTGTTTAAAAATGATATAATATATGAATCTTACTTCTAATGTTATATATTCTTGGTTTGACTAATAATTATTAATAATTACAATATCAACCTCAGCCTATATTTTCTAAGAAAAGTGGCGAAATATTGAGGACCCAAAAATGTCAGTTTTATATCGGAATCAGGGGTGTGCCTCGCATGTGTGCCGTTCGCTTATGAAATACGTTAGTGGGAAAAGAACTGAAGATATGCTCCCTCCTAGATGACGTTGTTACTAAAAAAGAGATCTGCATGAAATTTTACGTATTCCTTGCCAAGAAAATTGACTCCTAGTATGATTATCGTTAAAACAATTCACGTCAAAAATAGCTTTAAAGAGAAATATGCTGATAGTAAACTAGTCTGGTTCCTATTTATTGTTTCATGGGGAACGAAAGAATGTCATGAATTGGGGCATTTTTAAAGAATATGCATGTATAGTTCAATAGCAGCTAATGTAATCACAAAGACGGTGATGAAATAAAGTCAAGGAAAATGAAAGAAAGAAAGAAAGAAAGAAAGAAACAACAATTCAGTGTTGTCTCAAGTGTTAGAGATTCTTCTTGCATGTAAGTAGGGCATAGAACATTCACAATAACTGTTTCAGCCATCATAAGCAACCCCGTCTTTATTGGCTTGGAGTTTTGGAGCCCCATTATTTTTCGTGGGCCAATGTGTTAAGATTAACTGTTGCATGTAAAAAAGTCCTAGCCGTACTTAGTATAAGGCTACTTAGACAGCCACCAAATTGACGACATTTAGTCGGCCAATGGTATTTTTCTACTTTTGACATGGTTCAATTGTCAAATGCAAGCACGTATCTAATACCGTTGTAGTTGAGATCTCAATGACCTGTATTTTCGCTGCTAAGTACCAGGAGCAAGGTTTCAGGGTCTTCCGCGTCATCCAGCGCTCGAATTTTATTATTTCGTCATCGATATGGATTCCGTTTAATAACACCTGATTGAGAAAGGTACTTTCTACCTGATTATATTCGAATGTTTTTTGCAACCAGTAGTTTTCTGTTATTTCCCGCAGCTGTTGAAATAACAATACAAAAGGATTCAGCCTTCGATACTTGTTTTCTTGTCGTGACCGGTGAATAAATTAGGAAAGCCAGGAATATGCCCCTTCCCAACTACTCACCAGTTAGAATCTACGCAAATTGGTACTCGCAAAATAGCATATAAGCCCAGAGGTCTAAACGTTGTTACAAATATGCCTGAAATTATGAATTGTGTGTAATACAGCCAAAGGTCTATCTGGAGTGCCCGTATCTCTAACTGCTCACCGTGCTGGATATAGTTATGAATCATTTCAAATGAAGCGGAATGTCATGTGCAAATTGCGGCGGATTAACCTATTAGATGGCAGCAGTATTTTGCGGGAATTAAATCTAGTTGGCGAAAGAGGCTCATATGACCCGAAAATGGATAAATAATGTAGTATGCTGCCGAAGCGGGCAAGTCCTTGTTAATATTAGCTGGTTTTTTATTGAAAGTGGACGTGTAGAATACCACTGCTTTAGTAGTATGTTTTGAGAGTATCCTTATAGGCTACCTACAAAAGAAATTATCCATGGCAAAGTGATTTGAAGATTATCTTTCCGAGGCTGCATGTATATGATCAACACACAGCCACTAAAACCCTGAAAACAATAAGATCTGGGGAAACCTGGTCGCTTACTCAACTGCCGGAATACTCCGTCGGAGCTTGCGTCGTTACCATGCATTTAGACAGCCTAGCGAAGCCACAACGACACCCAACAAAATTGATGATTAGTCCGACTGGCCGCAGTTACATTGTGCAAGCCACAAGCTTCATAGAAGCAGGCATATGACCAAAATGCGATAATAGACGAAGCGAGAAATAGAGCGAATTACGAGTTTTTCCATAGCGCCTCTAGCTCTGTCATTGTATTGTTTCGAGAAATTATGAACACCACCGTGCGTACCCGCCGTTGAGCCTTAATCTAATAGAACATATGGTGACGATCATTCACATATTCAGTAACCAACCACAGAAATATACATCAATTGATAGAGGTATTTCCATCAATAGCTGGAAGTTCAAGATGAAGACAGAACTTGTCGCCTCATTATGAAATGCTTAATTGCCGGGGGGATGTAGCTCTTGCTATCTAATGGCTATTTTCTGCTTCTAGCATAAAACGACTTACCCGAGTTTAGACTTTTCAATTTAGCGCTAGGCTGCCCAAGAGGGTTAAAGTCAGAGCTTGTGGAACCATAATAGAACATAGTTCATCTATGTCTTGTTGTCCGAGGCTTGTCATAAATGCACCATGTTACATTTGGTGTATCCATTCCGCTGTTGTTATTGGAGCGTGCTATAAAAGTCCATTCAATGTCACCGCGCTTCAACATTTGCGGCCACTTGTTCAGTAACCTCATTAGCCTGTTGAGATGAATAATTTAGTTCTGACTTTTAGGATTATGTTCACCGGGACCCAAGTCCAATCAACTCCCTACACTTCTCCGCCCCTGGTAGAGGTTGGCTGGATAATGGCTGAAGAAATGGAGCGAGTAAACAGTTACATCGAAAACCTATCAACCTCTTCCGGCAGTATACGACTATGATACTGTGTAGCTCGGGTACTTAAAGAGGGGGGTTTACCTGGCTTTGTAGGCTTTAATTTGATAAACTCATCCCCTTTTAAAGGAAAAAAGCAAAATTGAAGCAGCATTCTTCTGCTGACTCAACACCATGATAGCGAGAAAGCTTATACTTGCGGCATTGTCCGGTTTTGTCGGACTAGTTCAGGCACTGCCCAAACCGGATGACTCATTGAGTACAAGGCAGTCGACTAACAGGCTTGTGTTTGCTCATTTCATGGTAGGACCTCCACGGCTTGAACAGGAAGGTTGTAAGGTTGCCTAACGATCTCAAAGATTGGAATCACCAGTGATCGCCATAGTGCATCCGATTTCGATGCAGACATGAAGCGCGCTAAGTCATATGGAATCGATGCCTTTGCTCTCAATATTGGCGTAGATCCATATACCGATCAGGAATTAGGATATGCATACGACTCTGCAGCCAATAATGGAATGAAGGTTTTTATTTCTTTTGATTTTAACTGGTGGAGTACGAGCCAGGCGACTGCAATCGGACAAAAGATTGCCCAATACGGGAGCAAACCGGCCCAACTCATGGTCGATAACAAGGTATTCGTATCATCCTTTGCTGGTGATGGTCTTGATGTCGCCGCCATGCGCTCAGCCGCAGGTATGAATTTGTTTTTTGCGCCTAACTTTCACCCGTCATATGGTACGGATATTTCACCAGTTGACGGTCTATTGAATTGGATGGCATGGCCAAATAACGGAAACAATAAAGCACCAACAGCTGGCGCAAATGTCACCGTTGCAGCAGGTGATGAGCAATATGTCAATGCTCTTGGTAGCAAAGCCTACATTGCTCGTATGTTAAAAATCATTTGAACATATGGCGTATCAAACTGACATATCTGTTAAGCTGCTTCGCCTTGGTTTTCAACTCATTTCGGTCCCGAGGTCTCGTACAGTAAGAACTGGGTGTTTCCATCCGACTTGCTTTGGTATGAGCGTTGGCAGGATTTGTTGACTCTTGGTCCTCGTTTCATTGAGATCGTTACCTGGAATGACTATGGCGAGTCTCACTTTGTCGGACCTTTGAATTCCCCCCATACCGATGACGGTGCCTCAAAATGGGTCAATGATATGTAGGATTCTAGCTCGTACGCAATAGTCTGGTCTCTGACATGGTTATTTCTAGGCCCCATGACGGATGGCTTGATATGGCCAAGCCCTTCATTGCCGCATTCAAAGCTGGCGCTACTAGTGTTGATAGCTACATCACTAGTGATGAGCTCATTTACTGGTATAGGCCCACCCCTCGAAGCGTTGACTGTGACGCTACCGATACTTGTATGGTTTCGGCTCCCAATGCCTCTGGAAATTACTTTATTGGGCGTCCAAATGGATGGGAGACAATGCAAGATTCTGTTTTCGTTGTCTCGCTGCTCACTTCGGCCGCTACTATTACGGTTAACTCAGGCGGTAATGAGCAGAGTTTTAATGCACCTGCTGGCGCTAGCTCTTACCAGGTTCCTATGGGTGTTGGTTCCCAGACCTTCACCGTCACGAGAGGCGGACAAACCGTTTTTACAGGCACCAGTCTCAAGCAAATCATCAATGGATGCGTCTGTGGGTTGTATAACTTCAACGCTTACGGTTAGTACTTCATTATTAAATGAATCATGATTTTTTTGATGCTTATTATGAATATCTAGTTGGAAGTCTTCCAGCTGGCTTTAGTGATCCTCTGCAACCAGACGGCCTAGCATCGCTTGTACAGGGATTGCACGTCAGTACTTGCTCTGCCACGCCGTCTCTGGGGACAGCTCCTCCTGGGACTGCAACAGTAACGTCAACTATTGCCACCACCACTGGGACTACAACCTCTGCCCCAATTACTACCACCACGACGTCAGTCCCGATAACTACCAGTACTTCGAAGACCACCAAAACCACGACCAGCACAGCAACATCGACCCAGCCTAGCGGGACTGTATGTGTCGCTGGCACTGGTCCAGGAAACTATGTTGGTCTTTGTAGCTTCTGCTGTAATTATGGCTACTGTCCACCAGGGCCATGCACTTGCACTCAATATGGTGCACCTGTCCCAACCCCCCCAACAAATGGAAGAAACGGCCGTCCATTATCAAATGAAGATAACTCTTATCTAGGTCTATGTAGTTTTGCTTGCAACCACGGCTACTGCCCAAGTACAGCGTGCCAATATGTTTAGTTGAACAGTGGCTTGTACATCAATTGATGTTACACCAGGACAGATATGCTCAGGGTAGATGAGACCGTCCTTACAGCGTCCAAATATTCAATGTTTTAACTTTGGAATTAGTTCAATTGAAAAATAAAAATTTGTTTCAAAATGTTGACATTATCTCGATGCAATAATCCAGATATAGGACCATCAGAAAACGAACACACACGGCTAGAGATATATATAATTTTAGAAGTCGTGGCCTAGAACTTGCATGTATGAGAATGGCCATACACATAACTAAAAAGACAATTGTAAGAAAGAGGATCCTTGATCGTCGCTTAAAACAGCACCATGTATAGAGCATTTGGAGGATGAATTTAATATTATGGTCATATAAGAGAAATCTCCAACATAATCACATTGCTAGTAAGCAATATTATGAAAGTGTTTGTGACTTGGAGATATCATTCGACACAATGATTTACTGTATTCGATTCAAAACAGCAACAAGTCGGATAACAACGGGTTCACTACTTTTAAACATTGAAAAGGAACTGCGCACATTCTCGTTTGTTCCTATGGGATAATTGACTTAAGAGCGAAAAAAAGGAATAAATATGCATACGGTACGATGCTACTTGTTGGTGACTAAATCACGTTTAATAGTCTTGGTAATACTATACCGAGAATTCGATGGCCACGAGGGAGTTTCACGTGTTAATTATACCAATTTAGCTTATTAGGAGCTGAAATTCTCAAAGCCTCTGGTTTCTAAACTAAAGAGCGGGTGGGATCATGCGCAATAGTTCCTAATTTAGTAACCCGTGCTCTTTTAGGGTCAAGACCGGTGATGTCTCCTGTTTCTTGCAGGAATGAACCCACTTCGGCAAGGCTATCAGAAAAAGAAAATATTATTTCCAACAATCAGCATGAGTCATGAGAACCTGATTATCCACTTTTAAGCTTTGTACGAGGCTGATAAACAACAACGCGACCCCCACTACATAATAAGCCAATTAAGTTGGGATTTAGGACAGGGTTGAAGAAGCTAGGTGACAATTCAAAAGCTCCTGTGAGGTCTAAACACAAGGCTGGGTTATCGCTTGTGTACTTGACTAGGTTACAAGTCCGTTCCCAGCTGCAAGCCTCCTGCACGTCCCGACCGGGGACAGAGACAGTCTCTGCGAGTCTCGAGTCTTCCTCATCCCTGTGCTCGCGGTCGTCGCATAATTAAGGGGCTGTAGTGGGGATGCAAACGAACATGTTCAAGGCTGCCCATATTCCTTATTTGTCGGACGACTAATCCCTTCTAGCCTGCTCAAGTGGTTGTCGTACGACTGGAATTAATCTAAGTACAGGAAATTCATTTTTCAAAAATGGATTGGATGAAAAGACCCCGATCATTTCTATTCTCTCGTACGAAAGATGACAATGAAAGTTGGCAATCTTCGACTCAGCTACCGATTGCAACGGAGCGGGATAATGCAGGGGCGACATCCCTAGTCTCCAGATTGTCAATGTCGTCTTTCTCTGTTGCAGCAAGCTTCAAAGACCATCTCGTAGACGAAAACACCCAGGAATTATTGAAGATGACTCGACACGCATTCACTCAAGTTCGCGAAGCTCAGCGCCTACGCCAACTCAAAAATGTCGAACTCCTGGAGAATGCCGATTTCAAAGTTCGAAACTGGGTTGATTCAACAATCAAGGACGCAGAGGAAGCTACCCGGGATATGGCAGCATTGATCGAGCCCGCTCGCGTAGATCAAGAGACGCGTGGTGAGGGGGGATCGCATCTTGGGAAACGAATGCTCTGGGCACTGCGCAACAACACTCAACGCGTGGAGAAAAAGCGAAGTTACTTACTACTTTGTTTGGGGAGCCTCGCCCCAGTAATCAGTTATCTCCATCAACTTACTTATTCGGAATATCCCGTGGATGCAGACGACGACCAAGCGCGCCCGTCCTTACCGACAAACTTTGACGAAATTAGTCAAGTGAATATTGGGAGACACCGGGCAGGCTCAAAGAATTTTAGTAGTAGCATATCTCTTGTTCTCCCTAGTGAAGTTGAGTCTCTGGTATCTGCAGAAGAGATGCCTAGAAAAGGGACTCAGGAATCTGTTGCTATTAACCAGGAAGTTAGCGAAATGCTTTCCTGGCGTCGATCAAAACAGTCCGATGCGACCAAGCCCCAGTCTCAATTCGTAGCGGAGTTGGAGAGTATTGCCCCATCTGAGCGATAACTTTGCATTCATATAAGTTTCTTTATTCATGCATGTTTATTGGGCTTTCCTTGTTATTATGACATGAAGTAATGAAATCGCTACCCCCAAGAACAATTGTACTTATTCGCTTTCCAGACTCCGTTATATTATCTGTTTTTATCAACTGTCAACCGATTTTTAATCATCCACACTTCGTACTAGAATTTCATGCTTGAAACTATTTCTGGTTCATAAAGTAGTTGAAAGATGATTGTGGAACAAACTATCATGTAAAAAGAAAAATCGCATTTTGCGGTCACAGTTTTGCAGTAACTGCTTCACATAAGATTGCTTTGCTCGCCAAGCTCCGGCCCTTTTCGTCCCGGACCTTCACAATCGCAGGTAGTACTACAACCTCCTTATTCCCCATTATCCCAGTATAGATAAAATCAAATGTACAAGGTTGACTAAAAAGCCAACGCCCTAGGTCAGCAGCGGTCGTCGTCACGGTTCTCAGGTGACGAGCTCGCTCTTCTAGCGAGTGTGACGAGTCAGCGTATGGAGCAAAAGAGGCTGTGAAAACATCGACAAAGGTATTAATTTCTGTTTCTTGTGCCGTCGAGGTTGTTTTCGCCGCGTTAGGTGTTGCATGTCGAGATAGATACGCTGTTAACATGCGCCACGTATAGAGAATTTGACCGAATTCTACGACACGATTAATAGTAGATCAAACACTGATTAACCGTCTTACCTTGATCAAAATCATTATCCTCTTGGCTTCGCACCAATGGACCAGTCGTGAAGCCTAAAGGTAGCAATGGTTGTCTTGTTGTACCTTGAGGGTCTATTGCTGATAGAAGAGAGTAAACAAGAGCATGAGTGATGATAAGCCGCCGCGTTTTAGAGTTTTCCAAGAGAGTTGTCAATGACCCAGGAAGATAAGGTGTGTGAAAGTCAAATATTTTCGAATTCTGATCATGGGATGATATCAAAGTCATTGAAAACGCCTGAGAATAATAATTGTCGACGTGAAGGCTGGCTTGATCAAAAAATGTCAAAACCTGTTTCGCGACGCTATCATCGTCTGCTGGCTCGGGGATACACTTGGACAATCCACTGGCTAGGAACAAATTTTCTCCAATTGCTGTCGCACTGGGTTTTGTGCTTTGTAGACTAGAATCAGGTAGTATGTTTTGACCAGGGCCACCGCGACTTCCAGACTTCTCTGCGTCCACATATTCCACTCCGTCACTTTTACCAGGAACGTTATGCTTGCTCTTCGATCGACGAAAGAAAAACAACGCAACCAGGAACGAAAGCAACGCTGTACCGACTATGGACCCGACAATTGCACCAGCAAGCGCTCCGTTGCTTATTCTATTGCTTTGTCCATCAGAGGTTGGGACAGGATTGGTACTGGGAGAAGCAGTGGTGGTGGGAGGAGCAGTTGTGGTGGGAGGAGCAGTGGTGGTGGGAGGAGCAGTGGTGGTGGGAAGAGCAGTGGTGGTGGGAGGAGCAGTGGTGGTGGGAGGAGCAGTGGTGGTGGGAACATCCTGGGTAGAAGATGGAGCATCGAATTTCGAGGTAATTGATGTTTCTCCAACGCTAGTAGGCTCGTGCGTCGTAGATGTCAATGTTGAGGCAGATCCATAATAGGTCGTGAAAAATGTCAACACCGTGGATACCGCATAAGGACTCAGTGTAGTTGTCGATGTTAAATGAGCAACATAATCGGTTGTTGTAACTGTCGACCACGCCGTGGGATACCAAATCGTCGTTATATCTGTTGAAACTGAGATGGGCTGCATATTGGATGCAGCCATTGTATCAAATCTAGTTATACTAGACCTTGAGAGTATACCCGCACTCACAAGTACTTCCCTATTTCGGAAGGGGCAGGAGACTTTATAAAAGAACAGGAAAAGTCATAGTTGAAGGGGAGAAACAAAAGAGTAGTGAAAAAGGACGTGGAAAGCAGGTTGTAAATCTAGCAACGCCAGTTAGAACGGCCATTTCAGCACCAGAGCCTCGCGGGGGGGCTGAAAAAACCCACTCTCGGGAAAACAGAGCTACTTCCTTTGAAGGCGCATAGACCGATCCCAAAAGAAACGGGATGCAGTGAATCCATGTCACATCACAGCGCTAAACTAGGCAGGGGTGCCTGTGACGCCGGCTCAATAATTTGTTTTTTTAATACTACGATAATTAGCTTCGTCGAAGATAACTAGCGCGCCAGGCCACGTTTGTACAGCCGGGCCATTCCTCCGGGCAATCTCTTTAACAGTGACTTTTCCAAACGCGAAATTTGTACAACTAGTAATGACAGTTGCCTCATTTTCAAGCGAGAAACAATGAGTGATAAGGAAGTATTTGCTTTCAGGTCCCGATTAGTAGACCCGGATGAATGGCATCCAGATATTGTTGTCGGTGTCGATTTCGGCATGACATACACCGGTAAGGCGCGTTCCCCGCTTGAATATTAAATTATAACATTGTGACATGATTTGGGATCAAAAGGAGTGGCCTACTCGTGTGCGCCAGGGTGGTTACCACCGAAGACAATTCAGCGCTGGCCTGGCAAATTGCCTGGTGAGCTGGCGAACAAGGTGCCTACATGCATTGAATATGAAGCCGACTCGACTACGGTGAAAAACTGGGGATTCCTCTGTGATCAAGAAGATCAGTCTTCCATGATACACGAGTTCTTCAAACTCCATCTGGCACCTCATTATCGTGATGAGCATAGCACTCCTGGCAGTGGTCCTAGCAGAATGGAGGCGCAGAAATGGTTTCGAGACTATGTTCAATGCATTTATCAGCATGTAATGAATCATCTAGCCAGTACAATCCCAGACTTTCCAGTAAAGAAGGTCGAAATTCTTTTCAGTGTTCCGACTACCTGGAAGGACGTACGAATGATTGAAGAGACCAGAATTCTCATAGAGCAGGCAATAGTGATGAAGTCACCCAATCATCAAGCTACAATTGGGTTAACTGAAGCTGAAGCCGCGGCTGTCTATGCTTGTAAGCAACATTATCAGGTATTGTTAGCCAGATCTTCTTTAAGAAAAGCCACGCTCTAAACAAATTTGGCAGAGTGGCGATATTATTTTGGTTTGTGATGCTGGAGGAGGAACAACTGTGAGCAAAAAATTCTTTTTGATTCGTCTTCGCTGATCTCTGAAAAATTTGCAAGGATGTGAACGTACTCAAATTGATGTCATTAACCGGTGAGCCAACAGTTCTCGAGCAACTCGGTAATGTTGAGGGTGAGACGTAAATTATTCCTTTTTCCGCTACAACCGTGAGAATTAATGATGATTAGGACGGCCCATCGGGTCTGTCTTCATTGACAGAACCATACATCAGCTTCTTTGCGAAAGACTGTCGAAAATTAGTAATCACTTATCGAAGTCTCCAAGTGCTACAGCGTGGAAAATGATATCTGGACGGTTCCAACGACTTAAATGCTCCTTTGGTACCGAAGCCACATCAACGCCATGGTTAAAACTCGATGTCCCCTCACTGGGACCTGGAGTAGACTTCCCCGCGGCGCAGATTCAGAATGGACAAATGCAAATTTCATGGTGAGTGACTTTTCACTAGTCCCCGACGTTAAGTTGAATAATGCCGGCTGAGATTTGAAAAGGGATGTTTTGAAACGGTGCTTTGATACAAAGATTGAGGAAATGTGTGCACTTCTTGATTCACAAATTGAGCAAACACGCACCAAATATCCAAATGAGAAAATCGTACGAATTACTCGAAATTAGTTTCTACTTTTGAGGATATTGGACCTGACATGGCATATAGTCATACATTGTTCTCTCTGGAGGGTTCGGTAGCTCTCCATATGTGAGGAAACGTCTTCTTGATCGGTATAGTAGCTTAACCGTAACATCTATTGATACTCACATCGATCAAACGGGAATGGATGTTCTCATGGCAGATGAGCCGTCAGTTCGCCGCCGCCTCTCAAAAGTAAATCTGAACGCTAATTAAATTCTTCTTTCCAGGCAACTTGTTGTGGTTCACGGTTTGGTGCTGGACCGGATACAACAACTCCAGCGAGGAGTAGTTATCTTCGGATCGAGATGTTCACCCGTGAGTTATGGGATTATCTGTGACAAGATATATGACCCTGTAAAACATCTCGGGGAACCGTTAAGACTAGATACCCATGACAACAAGACGTACGCCATTCGCCAGATAGATTGGCTCGTTATTCAGGTATGCATTCTCCGAGATCTGTGCTTGCTCTCCATATTCAATACTAATGCTTTATTATGATGTAATATAATTTTTAGGGAAAGCCAGTTCCATACACAGGAATAACGAAAGAGTTCCAGCTTAAAATGCAACGTGATGAAAACGACGAAGTTTGGAAAGTCCATATTGTTATGTCAACTCTCTCACCCTCAAATCTTCCTCAGAGTATGAACCAAGGGGGTGCACAACAAGTGTGCAGTCTAGATATTGCCACGGAGTTTGCGGATCGAAAACTTAAAAATCGTCATTGGTACAATTTCAAGCCTGCCTACTGGAGAGCCACATTCGATGTGAAAGTGATGGTTGGACCTGCTGACCTTAAATTCCAGCTATGGAATAAGGAGACTCGCATCAGGAGTAGAGATCATCAGCCGATCCGAGTGAAGTGGGAGCCGGCGGCAAGACTGAACGAAGAACGCAACAATATAGGTAATAGTCGTGCATAGGAAACCTACCTATACAGTCTAGAGACCTACAATTTTTACGTTGCTCCTTTCACTCTATTGATTGATACTTCAAACTATAAATAACATAACAAAGTACCAAAATGACTCAGAAGCAAATGGCAAGCTCAAAACAGGGTTGCCAAACACACCCACCAGTAAGAATTCTCTAAATGCACCATCTTCCCACCCACAGAGACAAATCCCCCTCTATTTCATACACCTTGATATATTTTAAGCCTCCGTTTATACTATGACGATCTGACTAGAAGGCCATAGCCAAAGCTACAGAAAAGTCATTCGCTTCAGAGGAAGAGGTATGTAATCCTTGGGTCTCCCATGTGCTTGCGAGTGCAGTGCTGGGAGAACAAGTCCGCAACTGTCGATATTATGTAACTATCATCTGGTGCATCGGCTGCAGAAGGTGTGCCTTCCCATCTGCAACGGTTCGTTGTAAGCAGATGGTATGAAAAAATGGCTCCTATAACAATAGTCCCGGTACACGAGGGACGTAGCCTCTTTGAGATTTGCAAGGAGATACTAATAGTCCTCAAATGACGATAGTATGGTGTTATTTTCCGACCCATACAGAGCTTAAAGCACACTGTGCAGGCCTATCCGCCACTTGAGACTGAGATTGTGCGTTGAGCAGTATTGGTCAAATTCGAGGGGTACATCATTCTTGCCGAGAACCAGAGTGGCTAGTATGATTAGTGGCATTGTTCCCATCGATGATTTCTCTGTCCTTGTTCGCTAGTGTTGGCAACCAATGGTACAGATGCAACAATAATGGGGACAATGCGACATTGTCCACTGGTGAGTGAGTAGTTTCTTGCAGAAGTCTTCCACGATCTCGATAACATGTTCTTGAATACTGAGCCCTGCCCGCAAAAGTATTAATTTTAAAATTTGATGTATCATAGGACGCTTTTATTTAGTTTTGTACGTCAAGGAGGCTGGGACTTTAGCCCGACAGACTGACCACGTAGGATGTTGGTTCCTGACTTGCTGTATTGTGAGGAAGGCAGCTTCATGCCCTGACAATTGATGGTTGCAGCAGGAGCACCATTAGGCTACAGTTCAGGCAAGACACGCTGCACGAACTCCACCTACCTTATTTCAGAAGAATTGTCGAGGGAGGGGTCGGAGGGGTCGCATCCGTCATGTCGCCGAGTCAAATCCGTCAACGGAGAATAGGCGAGCCCAAACAGACACCTGGGAACTGATATTCTCCAAGAAAAATGGATATTGGACAACTTTTTTATATCAGATACTATCTTTGCTCTTCGTGGTGCGGCTACCTCAGTCAGAAACGGGCTGCACATCGAAACCCCGTTCCGTCAACAACGAAACATGCACTTGGTCGAGGCATTGAGGTCCAAGGAGCTCCTTTGGTCAGAAGTGAATCTTGACTGTTTAAGGACTCTGCGAAAAGAACTCGAGTTTGCTGTCCAGACTGGCGTCAACCAACCGGGCCCTTCAGTCACCTATTGTGACGAGCAAAGAGCTCTCGCTCGTGAGGCAGCTGGGAGGACCATGGTCCTTCTCAGGAATGAAATAATCCCAGGGGATAACACTCCTTTGCTTCAGGTGGCCCTAGGTGTTTACTCGACAATCGTGATTCTAGGACGCCTGTCTAAGATCGCAAACACAGACAATAAAGGCTCTTCTCAAGTGTTCCCACCTCATGTTGCGGCGGCGGTTGAGAGTATTCGAGCCGCATTCCCTGGCGCGGAGATCCTGTTTGATGACACAGATTGTCTTGAAAGCTGAGAAAATGGAAAGCGTCCCATTGACTCTAAAGAACTTTCACTCAACAAAGCAGATCTCTGTAAGAATTAATAATATCTTCCCAGTCCGGTTTATAGTAATTATCTTCAAACAGTGAAATCATCCTAGGACTTTCACTATCAATTCCAACAATGAACGATCCGTTCCCTTGCCAAATCCCAAACCTCGGTAGATTGTCCACCGACCCTAAGCGAATTTTCTTAGCGACTTCTTCCACAAGAGTTGAGGGCCCTATTAGCCTCTTCTTGAGCTGCGAAATAGAAGCCTGGGGCGATATAAGTACTTTTGAAGCAGATGATATCCAGTTCGTTTTGGTTCGCGACTTTTCTCGCAACTCTTCTTCAACCTGAAACTTGCCGCCGTCAAGAAGAGAGCTCTGCGAAAATAAGGCCATATGGTCCGCAATCGTCTCTAAGTCGCGAGGCATGTTTCTCTTCTGGGTGGGAATTATCCAGAGTAGGAACAAAATCAACAGGCACAGATATACAAGTACCGGCCAATAGTATCTGGTCCAGACCCACATCCAGTCTCCTTGGACATAGAACATGTTCGCAGCAAATCCTGGACTTAGCTCAGCGAAGAGTGCAAATAATGAAATAAGCGCAACCTTGGTATGGCCATTCTTCAGAGCTCGAAGACTCACTACCACCGGGAGATCGTTAATGTAGTTTATCCGAAAAGATTTGATGACGGAGTCTTTTGTGGCAGTCTTCCGTTTTAAATCCACGTATGGCTGAACAAGTCGATAGAATGTGTCGATGCTCTGCAGAAGCAAAAGAAAGAGCTCGGCCATGAATGCTGGGAAGAAGCTCCAAAGAAATGCCGCGGGAGAGATATCAACGAATGGAGTAATCGCAGTAGACACGCGCGGGTCGAAGCCGTTGTCAATGATGCTGTCACGTATCACCAGGGTTGACAATATAGCGAGTGAAGCAGCCAGCATAGAAACCCACACCACTATCCAGAAGGGTTTTAGGAACCATGGAACGTAGCGAAACTCAGGATACTCAGTGTGCTTTCGAGGCCGACCAGAGCGAGATAAAGTGGCTTCAGCAGAGCCTCCAAAGGAACCTTCATGAATCTTTCTTCTAATTCCGTATACTGCATTTTGGCCTTTTCTCCAGTAACCAATCCGATACTCATTCTGAGTCAGTCTCTTTCGTACAACCCATCTGCGGTCCTCATCCTCAATGCCCTGAAAGTCCTTCTGAATATCCTCCTTACTGAACATTGTGAGATACAAAGCCAAGCACCCTGGATCCTCACGAAGCCCGGTTTCGTTGAATTGAAGCCAGGCTAAAATGCCAACAGAGGTGAGAATAAATCCGACATGGCATATAATAGAAATAAGAATGACTCCACGATTTGGGCCATAGCCAATAAATGTAGAATAATCCGTCGTTGTATCGTATATATTGCCCAAGATGTTACTTTCAAACTCTATAATTGCGCTCGTAAAAACAAATGCAACAATATCCACAAGTTGGAAGAAGTGATCTCCATTTCGAAGTGCGCGGAATCTAACGAACGGCCATTCGTACGGCCAGTAATCGGAGTCAATTGTCTCTTTCACATTGCAGCAATTAGCATAGCGCATATTCCGATATGGCATGATTTTACCAATCATACGGACTTGTTGAGACAGGACAAATTTCGTAGCCGTTGCAACGTAACCTGAAAAGAGTCCGCCCAAAATAAACTCTGGGCCTTGCCATACCGGTCTGCTGTATGCTATAGCCAGCCAGATAGTCCAACCCACATTGATGAGTACCGCACATAGAAGGACCCAGGGTTGAAGGAAGAAGGGCTTGTGATTCAAAGGAGGGAGATCGTATTCCGTATGATCAATAAGTGGATCATATTCTTGTCCTGCATTGAATGGGGTTAACTCGATATTGTTCCCCGCATCCTCTATACCTCTGGGATCCTGGATGAAGGCGGTCTCAGGGGGGGATGTTTGCTTGATCTGCCTGAGCTCATATCTCATATGATTTGCGGCTTCAAGGGGTTGTTGCATATGAGATAGCCCAGCCATTTCATAGGTATTTTGAGAGTTCACAATGTTGGCTCTGACAAAAGAAATCTTCTCCAGCTCTTAGCATCGTAGCATTTCGATCTCTACATATCAAACTACAGCTGGTCGAAAGAGAAAGGTGGTGATGCGCCGCATGGCTCCAGTTAAATATTTACCTCGATGAAAGTTCCATCCTTTGTGGCCACCAACTGTCGTGTCGCTTTAATGCTTCAAAAGTTCGTATTTTCGAAGTTACTTGCTTTAGCGCCTCCTTTTCTCGTCCAAGCTTGGTTGCGGATAGTCCATCTTAAGCGATCGGCCTAAATTGCACTTTACACTCCCAACCATTTTTAATTGCTGCACAGGAAGCCAAGAAAAAGCAATTCGCCCGTGCACAGATCTTACTGCAAATCCGATTTGAAAGATAGTAAAACCATATGGCTAAGACTAGATAAAATTGGCGTCCATTGCGATTATCAGTTGCGCAACCAATCTACTGTATTCAGTGACATACTCCCTCAAAAAGCAAGCAACACAGGTAATTATAAACCCACCAATAATTACATCAACAGATCAAATGGCATATGTTTCCATAAGCACACATATTCTTGGACTGCCCATTACTAAATAGCTGTTCAAACTAATATAAGGCCCCGGAATCACCCTACGTATATAAGCGGCTTGGGTTTGGGGAATCATTTGCGCAGTTAAATTTTAGACGTGAATTCGGGGTAGGTAGTGGGGGGATGAGGGACATGGGCCCCTATTAGCCCCCCTAGCGCCCACTGAAATGAGATCTTCATAGCTTAAAGCTGGGTAAGGTCGTTGAACTTGAATGTAATAATAATATACATGTATATATTATCTATAATTGATTGTCCAGCGCTTTTCCCCAAGCATAGTATCTGACGCTACAGAAAGGGTTACTATATTAAACATTGTTGAAAGATTCAAACATTTGATAAATGCAAACTAGCTGCCCACTCAGATAGACAACAAATTAATCGTGTTTTATAATATATTTTGAGTTAAGAGTGTGTGATAGTTGTAAATCGATAGGGAGGTATCACCTCTCATCAACTCGAGCCCTCGACAAGCAATTAGGATTTTTATATAACATTTTTATATTTCTCTACTCGGCCATCATCCTAAGGACAACTGTAGTGGATTAAGAGGATATGATGGCTAGCCGGTTATAATACCCTTTTCACTTCCTAAATACACAGAATTAAGCACTCTAGGGACATCAAATGAAGCTCGATCGCACCAAGAGATTCAATTAATGTGCTATCCTGGTAGCTTATTAGTATTGCGTCGGACTAGAATTCAATACCAAGCCAAACCCAGCATAGTAAGAACTAAGATTATTCTGAAGGTAATAATCGATGTCCCCTTGGAAAGGAAAATTATTAATGTGGGGGATCCTGAATGTTTGACGTCAATAAATCAGACCTAAGACCAAGCCTATCCATGACCGTAGCAAGAGCCGTGTCTCCGCCGTCTCGATGAACAGCGCCTAATATTGCCTCGACAGCTGTTGCCATCATCCTTGGCGATACTGTGCTTAATCCACGGTTTAATGTCAGACAACGGTCTAAACCATTCTGGAATCCAACACGAGTGAGATTCTCATTTGTCAGAATTTCGTTCCGAATGTTCGTCCACTGCCCTATGGATCTCATCAGTAAAGAAACATCTCATAAAAAATGGGCTGGCGATATTACCTTTTGTCAAATGCGTTCCTAGCCATTGTCTACATAAATGTTCTTGTGCCACGGTATCACCATACACAGCCAAGCGATCGTTCTTAGGCAACTGTATCAGTTTTTGCTCGAAGCGAACCATCTCGCCTGTCATGTTCAATGCTTCAGCAAAACTGAGCTTGCCACTAATAATGGAGTGGCCAGTGATTTCCTCGCAAAGGTGTATTTTGCCTTCCATCTTCACTGTATTGATCGCTATATTGATAGCTCCAACAAGAAGAAAGCTTTAAGGTGAGGGAGATATTTAAGAAGTATTGCCTGCAAGCCTTTCTAGTGGGGTACTACGAGCTTTAAAGAAATAGTCGGAAATTTGAAAGCCTGCTTATTACGATATGGCATTAATACCCTGCCTCATCGGAGAAATTGTGCACGTGAATGGCTGATGTTAATATTTCCCGGCTTAATCAATAATGTTCTTAACCGTTTACAAGGCTGAGCACAGCAGCATTGGGCATTCATGCATTGATGAGTTGGTTTCATTAAGCATTTTTAAGTTCTTCATTGTTTCTCATTTTTGTCGACGTTGATGAAATATTCAAATAAGACGATATTCTAAGTGCCGTGTGGTGGGCATACATAACCGAATTCGTATTATTTTACCCAAGATAATACTTATAAATTATTAATTAAGTGTTTATTCAAATCCCTGTTTGCATTAGGCAGCAATGCAGATTGACACCAAGGCACAAGGCTGCTCGGTATTGTTTTTGGTACTGGTGAGCAGTTTTTTATTCAGGTTCAATATGCTCATACAGTGGGTAGACATTAAATATTGCAATGGCACTAAAAAGGTGCGCCTCAGCGCCAACAATAATAAACCAGGCTAAGCCAAAAACTGAAAACCCTCTCGCTATAGTAGTTATATTATAAGTATCTCAGCTATATTACGCGTTATTTAGGCATAGTGCCAAATTAGCATAGGCGTCGTAAGCATCAATCTTGGTGTGATATCAATATTAATATCTACCCACTGTATTTATACGAATACATTAGATAAGGTAATATTATCATTCGGTAGCTGGAGAACAGGTAGAAGGGGCCTTAAATGCTTTTTCTATTTCTATACTTTTTTACTGATATTATTGAGACAGAGCCTGATCGATCTTATTTAACCTTCTGCCAAAAGATTTTATTCATCGGGTTGTCTACTCCTATTCAATATTACATGAAATAAAATCCTCCATTATGTCTCAACATCTCCAGCACGGCCATCGTTAGAGGAACTCGATTCCATACGATCCTGTTCGTGCTCATTCGCTCGCTTAATTGCATCCTCTCGCTGCTAAGCTGCCCAGTCTAGGCCATTCCGAAACCAAGTAGCCCCTTCCCTAAACGCCTTGATATTACCAGTCATAGCCCAACTATTTATCAAAGTCATATAGTACTTGGGTGTGCCTGAAGCGGTAGATCTTTTCTGGTGGCATCAAGTTCAAGTCGAATTTGGCGATTGAGCGCCTCAGGTCGCGACCCGTAGTAGCGATCAGGATTACCCGAAACTAGTGTTCCATCTGTGAGAGGGTCAAGATTATAGAAAGGGAGAGCACCACAGACACATTTATTATCCGGGACTTTGCCTTCAATGAACGGGATTACTGTCTCTGCAACTTGCATTTCCTTGGGCGCGTCTACGTCTGCTCGCAGAAACTCTTCAAAATTATCCTCTTTGGAAGTAGAGGATGAAAGCGACCCCCGCCATCTGGAGAGTTTGGATACTATCTCATTCCAGTTACTAGGCTTTGAAGCGATGCTTCCATCCAAAAACTTATACAAATGTGGGTATATTCCGTGATCAATCAGATGTTGTGGGAAAGTCCGATGATATGGACCGATATTTTTCGAAGTTGAGGATTTGACGGACTGTGAGTCTCCTCGGTTTGTCGAAGTGCTCCGTTTTCGTTTCCTGCCTTGGCTCGACTGACGAGGAGACATAGTTGGGTCGGGATACTACTTCCAATTACACTTGGGTTTCTTCTCAGAGATGTCGGGGAAATACTTACACCCCTAAGATCAGATAAATCCGGACCACCTTCTTTAGCAAGATTTTGAATATCACTGAATATAGTGCGTGTCACAGGCCTTAACAGAAAAGGATTTCGAAAAACGATAGGTCTTTCAAGGTCTTCTAAGGTGCTTCTTTGATCAAGTTCTTGTAATGCTCCGTCAGTTAGCCAGATTTTGGATAAATTATTCCAAAAGTCGACCAGAAGAGAGGAACCCTCTTGATGGCCAGTTTTCTGCTTTTTATGAACATGAAGAGGTGGTTTGGGCGAGGATCGCTTTTGTTTGCAAGAATATTTTGATTGTGCTCTACTCATTTTGCCGTGTTGGGAGTAAAACTAGATATTAGTTGATTGCTTCGGGCAAATAGGCAAACAGGCAGATGAATAGGGTATCCGATTAAATCGAGGCAAACGGCCAATAGACTACTACAGATGTTGTATAACGATATTTAGATGTAAATCCGTCTAAAATCTTTGAATACAGCTTGATATTAAGAGTGAATATATACCTCAGAAGCTTTATGGACTAAGCTCAACGCGTTACTTTGGCATGAATAGTTCATTGATAAACAACAAGGTACAGCTTAAAGCCTTTGTTATACACTCTTTCGCTTTATATTCTTTATCCGCAATCTCTTTAATTTTTACAATGCATTACGTCGGGGTAATTGCAAACAAAACGTTTAAATTGGTTTCAAGGTTGTTTTTCATTCACCTAGAGAGAATATTTGTATCGGTGGACTTTGATGCGTCCGGAAACAAAGCCAGATTCGCTTGATAACGTTTTGACCCTTTCAACTAATATCATCATTCAGGCATACTCACTGCGGTTCGCAGTCCAGCCTAGTCGAAGATATTCGTCATCCGGTTTCGAATTCAAGGTCGACCACGTCGACCTGTTGATTTCCCTGTCCACATCGACACTAGCTCCATGTTCATCTTTTGCCCAGAGCGATAAACCAATAAATTATAGCCATTATAATCCAGAACCCCCGGTGGAATGGAGTGTGATTACATTTGTAACATACGGAAAGTATCGTCCATATTGATATCTATTGAAAAAAAGCAGAGCACGACACTTGGTTGACTTTGGGTTGGTAATGGTAAACGCCACGGACATGTCGTGTCCATCCGGGACGTCCAGGAAGACACTTGCCTCAGATATCCCCGTTGATGGAGAGCCAGCTAGTCAGTCGGTGTCGTCGAAGCGTGATCAAAACCAATCTAGAGTCCGCCTTCGTTGTATGTGCCACGAACAGATTTCAAAGTTAAATTAGGATTGAAACTAGCATTTCTAGCTACTTTCTAGTTGATTTTTTATTCATTATCACCAATTACTGTTGCGTTTAAGATGTCAGGGACCTTGCGTCGCCAGCTTCATCGCGTCCTGGGTTGTCCTGAAGAATGAGGATAATATATTAGTGTTTCTGAGAGTAGCGTTATTGAAATGGATTGTAATATTCCCAACGGTATAGCTGGCGTCTTCGAGGTAGGATGAAAGAAGATTTCCATTAAGATAAACCGGGAATCAGGTCCCGTACAATGATTACATATCGCGTTGGCCTTTTTGAATCTTCTTAAACTCGGAGACTCTAAGAAGGTTTTTAATATCATCAACTTCATCCTCAGGCACCCGTGGGCCATTGCTGAGTGTCGGCACGATAGATTGCCATGCTGTAAACCGATCGCCGATAATGGCCGGTAGCCGATCGATGGTCAGGGCAGTAATACCACTAGCCAATGTTCAACTCCGGTTACACCGACGTCAGTCCATTTTTGAAGTCGGCAAGATTGAATTGAAGTTAGCTCACGCTTGCAGCTCAATATGGGAACAGTTTACTACTACATCGTCATTATTCATAATTGATTTTTTGAACAAATAAATTCCTGTTCAATCAAGATAGTGTGTTGAAAAACGTTTCGACCGAATATAGGACTGAAAGATATAAAGCTTTCACCAATCATGATGATGTTGAGTAAATCACTTCTCTGCCAGTCTCTGTTTACGCCGCAGATCTGCCCTTACTACTTGGGGCACCCCGGTCGCATTGAACCTTAATTCTAAGATTTTAGAAGGGCATTGGACTACTCGTGGTTCATGCTACACCTAAGCATTGCAACCAACGGTATATGCAATATGCAGGATCGGAGCAGTTGTACCAACACCCAAATTGGAATGTAGTGCCCAATTTGGAAAGCGAGAGGGCTAACCGCACAGGGCTAGGGCGAAGCGGGCACACGTGACCAACCCCTGGCAAGGCTTGTTTTGTCCTTGTTTTGACTTTTTGTCGCAAGTCCGAAACTGACATCAATAGCGATAGTGACGTATAGCAGTACTGCTTCAGCTGTGACTGCTCAATTCGACACGACCGTGTCGCACGTTGTGTTTATGCTCCCACTCGTATCGGTTGACTACTGACAACACGTTACACAGGGACCTCACAGGAGACGATCGCGAAATAAGGATAATCAAGAGCTGGCCCGTCCTCGATCGATGTAACCACTGCGATTTGACCGCCCAGTCCATCGTCATTTCTCGCTCCTCCACACGGCAGCGATGCGCATAGCCCACCACAGCACACTACGACCCTTCCGTGCTAGTCTGCGCGTCCTTGTAGCTATTCCGGGCGTACCGAGAGCGGATTGCTCAGTGCAGATGCAGGGCAGCACAACACATGGAGGCTCGACGATGTGTACGGAGCGGCGGCGCTCGTGCAGATGGCAATCTCGGACTGCCATCCTGCAGCGCAGACTCGCATCATGATCCATCTGTTCTATCCTGATCAGCAGAACTCTCCTTGCTCAGGGGGGTGGGGAGCATCCGCTAGTGCTGCGAGGACCCAACTAAGACTGTTCCGTCCAGGCTACCAGGCACTACCAGCACTAGCCGCCCTGCGCGACATCTCGTTGGCCGCTTAGCGTTCGTTTCAGGGGCTGCCTCTGTCAACATCAACAGGAAAGGGACTGGCCACAGACTGGCGGCCAGATCTTTGTCCTTGCCTTCCTTGCCTGCGGTTCCTCTGTTTTGCTGTTTTGCTGTTTTGTTATGATCGTTATTATTGTTCCTCCATAGTCTTAATTCTAATAATATTCCGTGCAACAAAGCAGGTGCGCGAGCCGTCGCGCTGTCTTGGCTGTTACTCACCTGCGACTGTGGTCGTTCCTTGTTTGACTCGGAGCGTCCTTTGTCACACCAGCCTCGAGTATCGACTCGCTGCGCAAAGCGATCAAGGTGTGTATCAGATTCCACTCTGCCACGCTTTCCTGCCCAGAAACCATACTCATCATCATACATCTGACTCTTACTGATCCAACTCGCGTCTAGACGGACCCCATCGCAGTGATCGTCGCAGACTAAGAACCCGCCTTGGGGCGATGACCATCGCCTACATTATTACGACGACGACGAAGCGTCCGCGGCCCGCAACGCTTCCTGACAGATACTCGCAGCTATTCGACTTCGTTCTTCCTCTATCTTGCTGTCGGATGGCAAGCGACTATTGGAACTAACTCCATCGACTGAAATCTGTCCGACAGACATCTACCGCATGCGCAGACGCATACTTGATTGTTGTTAATAATTGATGGTGTGTTGTTGTTCTCAGGGGTATCGGCGTGGAAGACGCCGCCATGGCGAACGAAATGGATTTCGCTGGCATACTGCCTACAATTAAATGCTCCAACTGTGGCAAAAACGTGGAGATCTCTGCGATGGGCGAGCATGATTGCCACCCCACCCAAGAACGTATGCGCCTTTGTTTTAACCTTTTGTACAAGTACTTGCTGACGCGACACCACGAATACAGCAGAGCCGCGCCCCGCTCCCTCTAATGGATTCAAAAAACCAGGACCTCCCCCAATAGATCCTGCCGTTGCGAGTACGTCTACAAACCGAACCCGAGGAAGGAAGATGTTATTGACCAAATTTTAGATCGACCTTTCTTAACACCGGACTATGGCAGTCCGTCGAGCAGCCTGGGTAGTCACCCAGTCACACCACGCTTCTCTCCTCTACGCAGCCAGCCTTCTCCGCTGTCACCTGTACCTTTATCTCCTGATTCCGCAAGCGATGACGGTAATTTATATGTCAACGACCATGTTACTATCAGTCCTCATCCAGCCTCCACTATCCGTGCCGCATTGAGTCCAACAGTGGCTCCCTCACCGTTACGCTCAGCTGTGCTCTCGCAGGTGCCGACAATAAACAGCGACTCGGCGGTGACGGATGTCTCCGATAGCTCGCACAGTCGATCGCCATCAATCGAAAGCAGAAGCACATATAGAACATCGGTGTCAAGCAGGCGCTATCGCGACTCATCCTCGACATATGCCTCTAAATCTCCTCGAAGACCGTCTTTAAGCGGCGCACGCAGCCCGAGAAATTTCATGGACGAGGTGCCGCCAGTGCCTACGGGGCCATTAACTACTTTTAGACCGAATTCATCACTAAGCGTCGCCGACTCAACAATATCTAGCAGCCCGCCGATAGAGAGAAAGGCGGGATATAGTGGGTTTGACTTTGGCTTAACCGATGAGCCGCAAAGCATGGAACACGGCAGGGCAGATTCACCAGAAGCAACCACACTAATACGATCGCAAACCATGCCGGTGATGAGTGGAGAAGACAACCTTGATGTTGACCACAACCCGTTGACAAGGTGGCCGTCGCAGCCATCCCCAACGGTGCCAGGGCGACCGCCTTTGCCCAGACAGATTGAAAATCCAGCACGTCAAGGGCTTTCAGGAAACAATAAAGCAGGCGCAAACGGGTCAGAATATGTTAGGGGCCTAGGACTAGATAACAGTGCTTATCATAATACTGTGGCGTCGACTTCATCGACAGAATCATCGCATTCGGACATAGGGAGTGGTAGCTCGTTATCTAGCCCTCCATCAGATATTGAACGGAAACCGGCAGATTTGAGCGAGATTGATTCAATGTTACACGATCTGGAATTAGACCAGACCCGTGATACTAAACCACCGGCAATAGATAATAAACCGGATCTCGAGCCCTTGCAGGAAGAACCGCCGTCGCCAAAAGCCAGCACTCCGCTCCGGGAAAAGACGTCGCAAGAACTCATCGGTGAGCGAATCTCGCGTCCACCTACCGCTGGAGGCCAAAAGCGCCGTTGTCGGGGTTGCGGACAGGGAATAACAGGGAAATCGGTCTCATCAGCCGATGGCCGTCTAACAGGACGATATCACAAAGCCTGTTTTGTCTGCTTTACGTGTCGATCACCTTTTCAGACTGCTGATTTCTACGTGCTTGATGATCACCCATATTGCGCCCAGCATTACCACGAACTAAATGGCTCGACCTGCGGCACCTGTCGTCAAGGAATCGAAGGCCAATATCTAGAAAGCCAGGGTCCTGGTAGCAACCACCAGAAATTCCACCCAGACTGCTTGACCTGCCGCACATGTCGCGTCGTGCTCCGCGGCGATTACTTCGAGTGGAATGGCTCGGTGTACTGTGAGCGAGACGCGCGACGGGCCGCTGCAGTCTCCCAGCCCCCGATGCCGCCAATGCCACCTGGTGGCCCCGGTAGAAAAAGGCCAACAATGCCTTCGTCGCCGCTCGCTGGGCCCCCGGGCTATCCACCAGGTAATCGGCCTCCACCTGCAGGATTTAGAGGACCGCCGCCGCCGGGCTATCGCGGCCGAGGTGCTCCCCCGATGATGCCACGAGGTCCGCCGGGACCCCGAGGCATGGGCCGGTCTCCTCCCATGCCTCCGCCAAGCCAGGGAGGATTATCGCCGGGGGGGCCAGCTGGGGGATCACCTGGCGGAGCTCGACGATTCCCTGAACGGAGAACAACGAAATTGATGATGATGTGATCATCAAGTTGACGCTACATGCATGCATACCACGCTCGCTCGATTTCCCATTCATCTACTTTCCATCTTACATCTTTCAGCCATTGCTTCTTGTCGATACCTCTTTACTTTTATTTCTATTCACATTCTATTCTACTTCAGCCTTGGTCTTGCTCCTATACCCCTTCTGAGCCGGACACTCGTTACTTTCTGAGCTTGATATCATCCATCATCATTCACATATTTTCTACATCTATACTCCATATATGTTTTTGGTCGTGTTTAACCATACCATGAAACTGATAATGTTAACTTCTAGTCCCCTCGCTTTTTCCCACGATTTCTTTCTTGTACCAGCCTTGGTCATCCATCTATTCACTTCACATACTACAATACATATCAATGTCGGTTCGCTTCTCATCCTGTACTATACTATACTATTATCATCCTGGATCTTTGATCAGATCTATGCTCTAGAGCAGTAGTTAGTTACCTTCTAACTAATCAGAATTCAATGAGACTGAAGAATCACGTTCATCATAATCTAACAATACACACTCCCTTGGCCACCACGCCTTTACAACCCTAAATTAAATCCTCACCTCCCCCTTCCCCAAATGACTCGGATTATCATCTACCACAATCCTTCTCGTCCTCGCCGAGGGACTGATGTACTTAACCACCCACCCAAACACCACCACCAGCACGGCCACGCCCACAAGCCGTACATGATCCACCACCGTCAACCGATCCTTCCGCCGCCACTTCTCCTCCTCACGCGCATCCCACTCGTCACATATCCGGCGAAACGCCGCCGGATCGTCCGTCAACACAGCATCGACCCCGTGTCGAATCGACCAGCGCATATCCCGCGCCGAATTCACCGTCCAGGCAAACACCAGCCGGGAGGCGGCGTGCACATCATCAATAAAACGAAACCCGAGCGGCGATTGCATTGCCATCAGCAATGTGTTGAAGGATATATCCTCCGGCACGCATTTGAGCACTCTGCGCGCACTGAGTGGGTTGATGCAGATGAGCGCGATGTGGAACGCCGGTAGGTATTCGGCGCAGAGAGGGAAGTATGTAGGCTAGCTTATTATTAGCTTTATCGAGCTGTTACTGTTTGTAAGGAGAGAGCCCTGACCGCCCAACAGCCCAGGATAATCCGATCAGACCACGGCCGCGACGAACCAGGCGGGACGGAGGCTAGGGTCTCTGCGATTTTGTGGATCATTGTTTTCGCATCGTTATTCCGCTAGACAGGTGACTATTAGATGGTCTCAGACATATATGTATTTGTTAGTGACGAACCTTGATATCGAGCAGAACCCACGCATGCTCTGCACACGGTGAATTAAGAAAATCAAGCAAATCACTCAGACGGGGAAGCTTTTCGTGCGGCTGCTTGGTTGTGCGCAGTGTACTGAGATACTCCCAGTCGCAGTCGATAATCAACTTGTCCACGCCAAAACACCGCTTGAGTGATGGGTCCTAAGTCTATCAATACAATATACACACACACACACACAAAACAAAACAATTGACAATACACATGTATGGATAGGATGGTACCGTACATGCGAGATAACCACAACGCCGTCCCGCGACAGCTGCAGATCTGTCTCGATGCCGTGGCTTCCGACATCGATAGCGCCCTGGAACGCAGCCAGGGAATTCTCAGGGTACAGCTTCTTGTACCCGCGATGAGCGACGGTTTGCGGGAGCGGGGAGCTGCCGTCTTTGGCGAATAGAGAGGTTTTGAAGCGGTTGTCTGGATATATTTAGTATTAGCAAGTTGTAGGGTATTGGCATTGCGGAAGGGGTAGGTAGGTAGGGTAGGTACGTACTCTTCTCCGGAACGGGCGGAGACGCCGTCGAGCGCGTTGAGTCGCTGGAATCGCGGTTCATTGTGGCTAGAGAGGGTGGGTGTAGTGTAATAAGTGAATGTATTGGGAGTAATGATGAAGAAAAAATGGGTTGTGAATAAGAATTCGAGAGCCAGCTCGTAATGATTTACTTCGGAGTTAGCGGAAGAGCGGGGTTAGCACGCTTGCTGTCGAGCAGGCAGTAAGAATGGGTAAGATAAAGCTGACGGCAATAATAATCTATTCAGCATCTGTAATTCGTGTTTTATAGAAAGTACTCCTCTAAGCCAAGGTGTATCAGCCTCGTAATCTTTGTCCGTATGTCGCAACAGTATGCAGTGGGTCCAAATAATCTGATGTCATCGTCCTGGTACCTTTTTTCCCCTCGGTACCAGCACACTGACCCCTTTAAGCAGTGACCAGCAGCAAGACGTATGCGATCACAGGGCCGGGGCATTTATACATCGGATTAGATTTATCAAAGATATCTTCAAGTGTTGATTTTACGTATCCACTAGTGAAGCAAAATTTTACCTAGTATTAATTACTCGACTCCACGGGTATATATTTTGTATATGAAATTGATAGGGAATTACAAAAACCAGCGAAACTCGTCTAAACTCGGCCCATCACGCAGCCGCTCCGTCGGCACATCCCTGGCATCAATCACCCTGCCCGCCTTACGATTCCGCTTCGCATTATCAAACCACATATATAATCCCAGCAGTGCGGCAATCAGCGCACCGGCACCACCAAACGAGGCAATAGTCACCAGGGCGGGCATGTACTTGGGCTTGTCCTTGCTGCGGAAGACATTACTCGAAACCAGACCCATCAGATTGGCCAACGGCACGCCGATACTGGTGAGTAACACGCGCTGTCCCTCGTCGGCGATGTTGTTGTTGAACCAGGTACTCAGTAGCACGGACGGCGCGGAGGTGCCCCATGTCATCATGAAGCAGGCGTAGTAGGCCAGATGAATCTGGGCATTGACATCGTTGATAGCCGCGTAGATGACGAACCCGATCAGCGTGAAAAGGAAACCAAGCACGATGAAAGGGGAGCGCAGGCGGACGGCGTCGGACGAGAAGGCGAGGACGAGCAGCATTACGGCGCCAGTGACGTTGGGGGCGACGGTGTAGAGGTTTGTTTTGACGGTAGAATAGCCCAGACGAGAGACGATTTGTGGCAGGAACAGCGCGACGCCTTGCAAAGGCACACCGAGACAGATCTCAATTGCCAGAAAGGCGTATGTGGTGGGTCGTTTCATAATACCAAAGGCATGGCGCAGGTTAAACTCTTCGTTGACAACGGCAGAAGAATCAACCTGGATACGGTGAAAAGCAAGCTTTTTTTCCTCCTCGGACAAGAAATTTGCTTCCTGCGGGCTCTTGGGCAGGTAGAAAAACGCAAACACCGAGAAGCACACGGTGAAGGAGCCCTCAATGAGAAACAGATACTGCCAGCCGTACAGCGATGAGTTTTTAATCTGAAACACCCCAAATGCCAACAAGCCGGAAAACGCATTGGCAATATTAGACGCAGCATAAAAGATGGCCAAGCGCCGAGCCAGCTCTCCACGGCGGTAGAAGGTAGTCTGGTAGTAGATCACAAGCGGAAAAAAGGCCGCCTCGGACATACCCAGGAACCAGCGCAGCGCAAACAGGCCCGAGAAATTGGTGACTGACGCAGAAAGCAGTGTGAACACGCCGAAACTGAACATCATGACTCCGATGACTTTGGCCGGGCTGAACCGCTTGCCGAGCATGGCGATTGGCGGGGCAAAGACAACAAAGGGGATGAAGAAGATGGAGAGGAGTAGATTATACTGATCTCCGGTCATGCCAAGGTCTGCAAATCAGTACACACAACTATTTTACATTGTTTTTGAGATCACATACTATCATTCAATCCATTCGTTTCCGCATTTCCCAAATTACCCTTGTCGAGTGCGTTGCAGAGATCTAGATACTCTCGATTAGCAGGTCTTCAACACTATCAGATTGTGATTTAGCATACACATGAAAGCCAGGATTGGCAGCAGCCGAAAGTCGAATTTGCGACACAAGGCACGCTCGGCCTTGTGGTCGACGACGCGGGCGACGTCGTGCAGAGGGTCGAGAGTGCCGATGCCTGTGGACTCGTTGGTGATAGCTTTGATGGTGGCATCCTTGCCGGCGTCGTGTTCGAGATCAGCCATTGTACCCTCTTACCAGTTGAACACACAACTTCCAGCTGAATGAAGATGGATGACAGGAGCAAGCAAGAGGGAAGGGATGTCAATTTAAAACGACGATCGCAGCACAGGCCACACCAACCACATAGGCTGCGCACCTGCGATTAGAATGGCACAGCATTATGCTTATCTGGAATGTCCTGCTATGTAGTGTGGGGAGAGCTGTGATAAAGCGATCATACTAGGGTTGCATCGCGTGGGGGTGCAGGTCCAATTGCAATCCCTATGACGATTGACATAACAGTAACTCACAGGCAAGTTATATAGTAGTAGAAAGGTTAGGTAATTGAGAGTCCGAGCCTGGTTACATCGACAGCATGCAGTAAGCACTTGGCACGGACGGCAGGAAGTAAAAGAGGAAGAATAACAAGGCAAAAGAATACATATGTTTATAAGGACACCCGCAGCAAGGGTGGGATGCTGCGCGGGCTGCCCGGTCCACCGCAAACGGCGATAAGCTTACATCAATTGCACCCCCACGTCCTACTGCATGTTTATTATGCGGGGTATCATCTACTTAACTTAATCCTGAATACTCTCTAAAATCTGACTGAGATAGATCACTTCCCTCTTCCGGCCAATACTTGTATAGAGATACAATATGGATGAATGGTTAATATAATATGTTGATGAATAGCTCAACAGAAACATGTATATTTCAAGATGCAAATAAACACCTCCCGCCTGACGAAAATCTCAAGCGGGAGACTTAACGAGGGCGAAACGGATAAAGATGAGCGGTACTTCGAAATCGTGATTGACGTCACCAGCTGGTAGGATCTCCTGCTCAACCTCTTGCCGCTAACTGGAATGGAGTATTGGAGGATGAACTCAGCCTGAGTGCTGTGAGCCGGGTTGATAATAATATTCTCGGCCACTTGGGGGTGCGGTATGGGACGGTATATACAAGGGTGCATGATGTTGGGGCCGCAGGGGATAAGGAAGGGCGGCAGAAGGGGGTTGAGAGGAGGTTGGTGGAAGGAGGTGCTCCGCTGCGATATGCCGAGGATGGCGCGACGCTGGCGAAGTTTTTAAGAACATTTGCACCCGAATGTGACTGGCTTTCAGGCCATGGCGGAGGCGTTTCAAATGGAAATATTCCATGTTTAGAGATGGAGTAGCTGGGTATGACTAACAATCATATAATCTAGGGATTCACTGCATAATGTGATGAAGACGCTAAGTATAAATAACATGCACTACCTAATTATACACGAAATACACGAAATACACTCAATAATGAAGCTAGCCAGCATCTCAACTTGTCTGTACAGATAGATGTCCCAAGGCCAACAACGTCATGAGATGGCCCTTACAAAAAGACAAATGACGCACCAAACAGAGTAGACAGTGCCACAATGACACTGCAAAACAACGGCGCAAAGGTCATTTCTGGAGCACGAAGTCCGGCAGCCGCTCCCTTGGAGCTAGTCGAGGTCGAGGTAGCAGCTGCTCCTGTGGCAGAGCCCGATCCAGGAGTGGCTGTGGAAGAGGAGGCAGTACCCTTGTTTTGACTGCCCGAGCCGACGAAACCAGGGCCCTTGCCGGCACCTTCGGACATGAATTTCTTGGCAGGGGCTGGGATAGCTGGGAGAGCATCGTTGGAGACATCCCAGTTGGGTGGGTCGGAAGCAGGGCAGCCACTGGCACCACCGGTAGAGTTGTAGCCACCATCACCCTTGGGTGGGGGTGTCTTCTCCAGAGCGTTCTTCAACTCCGTGTAGTCGTCCTTTTCAGTGACGGAGTCGCCGTCAATGTTTACCAGGCCATAGTTGCTGCCTTCTTCGGAGTACTCGTAGACGAGGCCACCAGAGTAGACAGCGGTCATCTGGGTGCTGTACAGAGAGCTGACTTCTTGGAATTGACGCTTGTTGGTATTGCAGCCATATTCAGACAGGAACAGAGGAAGACCGTAGCCGGTAAAATTCTTCACCTTCTGGTCCCAGCCAGAAATGGTGAACGAGGAAGGATCGCACCAGGAATAGTCGTTAAAGGCGAAGAAGTCGCTGCGTTCGTCGTCGGTACCGCAGTTCATATATTCGGCCATTTGCAGACGGTTGGTGTCAACATCAGCCTGGTTATGATTAGCCTGGTATATTAAGAAATGAAGATTAACATACAGCAGAGTATCCAACAGGAACAGAACGCAGGTTACGAAGGCGGAGGAACTGGCGGATATCACGAGTGACAGCCTTCACATACGGTGCGGCTTTGGATGAGGGACCATCGTTGATTACTTCATTGCCTGAAAAGAAGGCAAGCGTGTTGGGGTACTTGGCAAACATTTCGACGGTGGCAAAGACATTCTGCAAGTAGACGTCGTTGTAGGAGGTCTCGGGGTCCGCACGGTTCAAGGAGTACTTGGGAGTGTTGACATCGAGGACTACGTAGATGTTGGCATCGGCCAGGGCGTTCATGCAGTCATCATGGTCGGCAGAGTTGTCGACTGAGTAGACACGGACGGTGTTGAGGCCCAGGTCGGTGAACTTCTGAATGTCTCGTTTGCAGGTGGACGCATCGGCCAGCGGGTCGACGAGCTTGGATGAGCCGCCGGGCTGATAGTCGACGCCGCGAATGTAGAAACGGTTGTCGCCCTGGAAGAAGGCGTTTCCCTTGGTGGTTATGGGAACAGGGCTGTCACGGGCCTGCAGATGCTGGGGTGCAGCTGCAGCCAGGGAGGCGGCAGCCAGCGAGGCGAGAATAGCTTTCATAGTGTAGATGTGTAGCGAATGTAGGCGTCTGTATGCAAGCACGAAAGATTGGTGTGATTACAAGTGAGTAGACTGAATTTTCGGGTAGAATGGATATTAAAAGGGAGATAGTATAGAGCGAGATGTCGAAGTACGCGAGACACGCAACGAGGGACGTGAAAGAATGATGGAGAAGGAATGACAAGAAAGAATGAATGACAAGAGTCGTTGACTCAGAATGTGCAAGAAGAGGTAAGAGGGAAGGAGGTGAGGGACAAGTGAAGAGGCAGGAGGTCGCCCGTCAAGTAGCCACGGCCTGCCATTGTTCCTGCCTCTCCTGACGATCCAGCGATCCACTTGCAGTCGCGATCCGTGCCTGCTCTTTCCTTCTGTGTGTATTACTATTATGTAGTGTCTGACTTGGCCTGGGGCAGTGCGGCCGGGGCCTGGCCGACGCTCCACCCAGCCTGGCCCACTGTTGAAAGGGTGACCAACCACAGTGGTGCCAGCAGGGCGCCACACACATCCCTGCATGACCACCGACTGGAGTTCAGAGCTCTTACTGGCCGCTGGAAATGGGCGGTGGAGCGATCTGCTGCCAGATAAACAAGCGCCCGTCGATCCTTGTATCAGGACGTTTATGAACACAGGATAGGATATGCACATCCGATAATCCCATTGCTGATGATATAATATACCATAATTAACTATTCGTACTGAAATAATCTTTCGTTGTTGAGCAATGAGCCACCATGTCTCGTGGTGGCGAGACGCCGGCCAAGAATGCGCATCCTCGTACCTCCGAGACACAAAGCACATGGATGGGTCAAAGTGTGGTGCGACTGGGTCGGCCTTGTTTCACATCGCGCTCGCTCGTCCTCCATTTATTTGCTTTTCTTGCGTCAAATGAATTTTCTCCATAACTTACTTCTTATGTTATTGGTATTGCCTGATGATTTTATAATTTGTATGCTAAAATCGCGCAACGCAATTCAATTGGCAATGGCACTGGCCTCTCCCTATCCCAGGACTAACAGTGATCGGCCAGGGGTCACCCAATAAGAATCGCAATGCGGCAGGGGCTGCTTGTATTGCATCATCGATTGACAACCGTCCCTTTCCTTTGAAACATTCCGAGATGATGTGTGACAGCTGTTGTGACGATAATACCCTCTCTGATCATTTAAATCTGATCTATTCACTGTCAAGCTGCTACGTGTATAAATTATTGAATTATTGGTCTTGAATTTTACTTTGTTTTCACACGAGTCTTGCCCTATTAAAATTGCATAATTGATGTCATATGTTTGCCTGGGGTACTCGGTCACGTGCAGAGCAACCACTCTTTGTGTTATATCTTCTTCCTGTTCTTGCTCCTTAAGTCAGTCGATCATCTCAATTAGTTATCTATGAAAGCAGCTACATTCTCCATCGCTCCTAGGTTCTGGTCAAGGTTCAGAGAAGGTACTTGGTAACAAACCGCACAATCCTTTCCATCAAGTCCTCAACGCTCTTCCTCTTCTGAAAGAAATGCCCCTCGCCGCGATAGGCTGCAAACTCAAAGGGTAATCCGACCTCGTCTAGCGCTCGTCTAAAGCCTTCAGCCTGTGAGACTGGCACACGTACATCGTCGGTGCCGTGAAGCAACAGCATTGGCGGGATCCGTCCGTCACGCGCTGCGTCACGGAACTCCCATATCGCTGAGCCTGTGCGGGTACGAATATCACTCTTGTGTATGTTCCACGGTGCCCCGCCCGCCATGCTGGCTTCCTTATATCCTATATCGGATGTCATGGTCATTGTGTCCCAATCAGTGACTCCTGCACAGGCGATGGCGGCTTGGAAGCGCCATCCCAGCCCGTGTGTGCCGTTGCGCACCGACATGAGATAAGACAGAAAGCCTCCTTGGGATTTGCCAGCCACAATGAGCCGCGAGGGGTCCGCTAGATTCTGTGTGATGGCATACTGCGTCATGGCCACGATGTCTGGCTCGTCGTAGATGCCCATACCACCCCGCGCATAGTTTGCGAAACGTTCCCCTCGACCGCTACTACCGCGGTAGTTAGGAACGAGGATTGCGAACCCTTCGTGCAAAAGCCGCGGCATGAAGAATTGATCTAGAAAGTTGAACGAGTCTGTAACGCGATAGTACGGACCCCCATGAATGAGGACAACGGTTGGAAGCGCTTTAGCTGTCACCTTCGCTGCCGTGAGGAACATGCCCTCTAGCTTTTCAGTGCCGTCTAGCGTCTGGCACTCGATGAATGTACACGTTCCGCAGTCCCTTGTCCACGCCTTGCCGTGGTTAGATACTTGGACAGAATCTCCTCCTGGTGAGGCGCTAAATACTTCTGGTGGTCGACTGACGCTACCCTGGGCGAACACCAATCTTGTCCTCCCAGCCTTATCCGGCTTAGCATCGAAACTCAGGATACACTTCGTTGCACTGTAAAGAACCGTGGAATTAAGTAAGCGTAGTTGATCCTCCATGCCATGTTCGACATGGACCAGGATGTCGCCACCAACTTTGCGAAGTCCCGCAGCACAATCATCATCGCCGTGAGCCACTTTGGCAACGGTTTTATCCTTGCTGAGCAAATTGACCGCGTAAACCGACCGTGACGAATCGCCGTCTGCCAGTGTACTGAAGGCAATGAAGTACAGATTCTCACCAACAAAAATAAGATCGGACAACTCCCGGGGAATATGGCAGACTTCACGAGCATCCGCGCCAGTTCCTGCGATCTCGATGGTGTAGATGGTGGCACCATGAAGAACCTCGCTCTCGATATGCGGAGAACGATGTGTGACAAAAGCGATTTGGCTTCCATCCTCACTCCATGAAAAATCAACCACATGTGACTCGTCTGAAATTAGAACACGGATACTACCACTTTCAACGTCGAGGAGACGCAAGTTGGCATAATCCCAGTCCTGATCCCACACGTCAACGACATCATTTACTTCCTTCTCAGCGGCAGCCAGGAAAGCGATTTGCTTGCCATCTGGACTGAACTCGAATTTTGAGATAGTCTTCTTATTCGTTGGCGGAGTCAATGCCTTTGGTTCTCCCTGGCCATCTGGCCGGCACGTATACAAAGCGCATGAATCTCCCCGGTTTCCGCGGTCAGATAGAAAGGCAATGAACTCGCCGTCTGGTGACCACTGTGGCGCGTAGTCATTGAACGAACCGTTGGTCAACATGCGTGCCGACTTGGCCGTCTCCGTGTTCCCGATCCAGATGGACGAACCTTGGTCTGCCGTTCGCCATTTTGCTTTTGCGGAGTATACAACTGACTCGGCACCTGGAGAGAGTCTTAGGCCAGTTGGAAATTCAAGATCGAGGAGTTCTTGTGCGAAGCTCATGATTGTAAGCGAACGCGGGGTGGGAGGTGGGGATGTGGCACTGATAACGCAGAAAACAAGTGATGCCGTCTACATGCACGGAATTTAGCTTGAAGGGGCTAGATACTTCAACCCAAGAATTTGGCCACTGCTTTAGGCGAAAATCTACACTTGAGGAAATTTTTGGTGTCAATAGGGATTATTATAGACATCAATATATAGGCAGCAAAATTGCCGGGCTGCTGGTAGAGCTGCAGCCTAGTATTCTAACAAGCCTGCTTCGGGCAAGAGAACTATGGCGTGATTTATGTTCCGTGACACTAATTTTCGCGTGGACTTCAATATAATACCATAGGAAGGCTTGTCAGGTACTCTATAGCGGAGCCGCACATGTATGAAATTTATTGGTACTTATAATTACAAGAATAACACACATCTTTTCTCTACATTGAACTCTTATGATATATTTATTCCGGTATACGACCGTACCGAGCTCATAGGCGAATATCTGGACCTAGATTAGCAACCACAGCTTCCCTTGGTACAGGCCACAACTCCAACGCTTTCCCTGCTTTCTCAACAACCCTCTCACGATTTTATCTCCTTCGAACACTAAACCTCATCAATGCAGGCGTTCAAGCAAGTAAACTTGTTAACGGAGACGATGTTGATTCGGCATTTGCACTGCCATGAAGACATAGTGCATGTATACGATATGATTCTTTGCGTTGGCTCCCTAGTCAAGGGTTAAGGTTGGGTACGGCGGACAAAACTAGCTTTAGGGTTAATCTACGACCCCGTCAGGTCGACGTCATGAACAAGCAAAGAGAAAAGAGTTAGGTACTAAGTATAAAGACACCAGGAATCCACAGCTGCTAAGGTAATTACGTACTCATACAATCTTAATAAACGAAATGCTAAGAGCTCAGAATACCCCCCAATCAGATGAACTCTTGCCAGCTGTTTACTAAAATAACTAGAATTTTTTTCTAGTATACGATATCCTCTATATCTTCTTATCACAGTTTATAATTAATTTATACTGGCTTAGGACGGAAAGCCATACGTTCTATTTAGTTACCATTGGTCTGGTGCTCGAAGAGCAAAGAAGCTTAGGCTATACCTTTGCTGCCATTTCGGTATTCGTATCCGTTGAGGATATGGCGTACTACGATAGTGAATGTGAGGCGCATGCAGCGCTGAAGGTGATCGCCAAGCCGCTGGTCTAGGGCTTCTCCAAGATGGTTTACTTCCAGAACGTCGTCGCGTAGATATTGCTTGAGGATGTCATCCGAAGGTGATATTCGTGGCTGTTACGAATACTCTGTATTTTCAAGAGGATAGTTTGGCTTTATAAAGTTTGAAGTTAAAATTAAATTTTGATTGATAATATACTCATTTTCGCTCATTCTCTTCACGTGGGTATGAATAAGGCTTGGAGCTTGTTCAAATATAACTGTGGAAAGAGGCATCTGCGGCAACATAGTCTGGTATAATGTATATGCGTTCTTGAGAAACTGACTCTCCTCGCTGTTAGACAGTTTAATCGGAGCTTTTACCCCTTGGGTTTGTTCCAGGAGGCTTCCTTGTGTCTCAGGCTCCTCCCCGCCGACCGTACCTGGACCCAGAAGATACCCCTCGGCCAAAATCCTATGTCTTAACTGCGTGCGAATGTCCGAAATGACTTCCATTGCCCGACACAACATCCTACACCTAGGAAGCATGGGTCACCATTGCAGTCATTGCTGACGTAGACTTGAACGTGAAAGCTTCCATCGTAATTTGATGAATTAGCAGAATTCACAGGGTCGCGCGTGTTGATGGCAGTACAACCCCATCCCACTGAGTCTCCAAAATCAGCTGGTGATTCGCCATTGCAATTGTTAGACTCATAGAAGAAAAGTGACCAATAGCTAGCAAACGCGGAAGGAAGAAGGCTCATGCCAACCACTAGCTTGGGGATTGTAGTTGTCTTGCCCCCGTTGCAAATACCCACCACCATCATCACGTATCCGCCTATCAACACGACGTTTCTTGAGTTTGGAGGGACAGATGATCCAAGCCCGACCACTATAACCAGCACCATCTCACCTTCTCCAAGTACGCTCCCTTTTTTATCGGATTATCTCTTCCCTATCTAACATTGGACAGTAACTACCACCGAAATTAACTACTGGAACATCAATATCACCTCCTTTGGTTCTTCCGGCACCACCGTCCCTATTACAGTCCTCGTCTCCTCAAGTATCCAACCAACTCCTTTCCCGATCACCTTGCCGGACAATGGAATCACAAGCACCTTCTATCCTCCTCCCTTTCCTTTCGTAACCAGTTCAGCGACCCAGAATAACCCGACAGTGACCGTCTCGAAGGGAAAGCCTGGATCGACCTACAAACATAACTGCGGCCACCACTGCGATATATTCTGCGGCGGTCCCTGCCGCTTTAATTGTCCCCCATATCTGAACTACAATGGAATCAGTCCACCAGTAATCCCCGGTCCACCCGGTCCACCCCCGGGACCGGGTCAACCTTCGTCGCAGTCGCAGTCTAGCTCTGATTATACGACAACCACAACGTCCGAGTGCATGAATTATTGTACAACAACGAGCTCGACATCGACGGCTTGCTCATCGACTTGCTCCAGTATTGTCGCCTGCGAACCAAACCCGACGGATGGAGGGGTGGTTTTCGGTATGTCTAACCCCGGTTCCTTCTCAATGAATATTCCTTGAACAGGCAAAAGGAGAAAAGAAGAAAAGACTAATAAAGTCCAGCACCAATGATTGCCGCCGCTCAGGACACATGGGTCCCGTGGGATGGTAATACGAACGCAGACTTCATTGTGTACACTTCAATGTTAAACCTGATGGATTCCATATTGCCTCTTCCAATCACCTCAGCATCACCAACCTCAGCATCATCAACGCAAAGTTCCACCGCACCAACCCCAACATTTACCTATGCGCTGTGGTCGCAATACTATACCCAAGACGAATGTGTTGACGCGCATTGCCACCCTGAGACCTATCTTTACAATTTATTTGCAATGACGGAGAACCTCGCCGATGCGTGTAATCCGAAGCACCAAACTGAGATGCAGGATGGCAATACCGGACTGTATGACGGAACCCCGACAACCAACATGAAATTCAATAACGGCGTCTGTGGAGGCCCCGGCCCGTACTGGTGCAATCAGACCTCCGGTACCACGACCTGGGCTTGTGCGAACTTGAGTGGTGGAGACGTTGGCTCCTGTTGGCCACAAAGTGAAAATGCGGATCAGATTCCAGCGTATTGCGGCGACTATACCTATGAATTGTCCCTTTACTGTGAAGGCCCTTGGAATTGTGACTCGTAACAAGCCCACAGATTGTGTGTGGTTCCCGTGGAAGACTTTCATATGTGTAGAAATTTCAATTTCCTTCAATCTATGTCACAAGCTCAGGTTGGTCCACGATTGATCTTCCAGTCACCACTCCCGTGTGGCGAACCAGCAGTGGAATTGATGTGTAGGCACATGTGGGGATCAAAAAGAGTATCCCAGTAATAAACTAGAGAGCAAAAATCTAAGATCGAAGGCGAATTCACCCGGTGAAAATGGCTATTGGGTGGGCAAAGTCAGAGATTTCATCGTAGGTAGGGGGTTGAAACCCGATGGTATCAATTTCATTTTCCTCCTCCCGGGCCATGAAGTCGCCGACAAAGTTTGCTCAGTGAGCGATCTTGATCTCTCAGATATTCGCTTGGTGAGTGATCCTCCATCGTCGCACTTATTTGTTATATAACTTATGGCGTACCTAGCAAATAAATATGTGCGACGCTAATGCGCGCAGCACAGTGCCGCTTTATGCTCAGCCCAACTCACAGAGGGTAATGGGCAGTCAGAATATAACAAATCATAATATCCATGGAATATCGTTGCCCTATACGCCCTCTCAACCCTGACTTGCTGCTTTAGGTCTAATGTTATGGGTCAGTTTTTGAAAATCCATTAGCCAGCGATGTGCCCGTTTTATTTGCCGATGGATAAAATGGAGCTCTCATCCACGACCTTACAAGGACAAACATCAGAGTTATGGCTTTTATCTCCAGGAATTATATCGAGGCAAATAGAATGCGACAAGCAGCGATTTAAGAGTTATTCAGATTGGACATCCACAGAAGCCCACTCTGGCTACGTACCAACGGAGTGCCGGTTCGCTTATGGAAGACGTTACGTTAGCTACGTAGCTGACGGGGAACCATGCCACATCTAGATGGAGTAGCAGAACGTGTCTGCCTTCCCATCCATATCCAGATCCCGTAACATGCTGCGGCAAAGCATTATAATGGTGATGTAGCATCCGTCCCTGCCTGCTCGATCACAAGATTGCGAACGCCGATCGCATCCTTAGTCAAAATGTGACAACTCAGTGGCCTTGTGCCCCTGTACCTTTCAGATCAGCCTCGAGTTTCGACTTACTTACTGGGCTAGACAAAGTAATTCTATTATAGAGCTTGCTCTAACTTTGATGGATTTCTGCTCGGTATTTGACCTTTTGTAAGTGGCCCCCAGAAACCAGTGTTGCATCCGCCGCCCCAATGGCCCCAGGCCCCCAGCGACTATTTCAGCCACACGGGGATAAGAGAGACAGAAACCCACAATTATTAATATTATTCATTCTCGTCAAATCACTTACACCAGGGTACGATAACCTAACCAGAGTTTATTATGTCAAACTCGCTCTAACAAAATTACAATAGCGAAACAGGGGCAGACCAGCCCTACCGATATAGATGATTATTAGGCGCCTACTTTACCTTCCCAAACAAGTGGATCTCGGGACAGAGAAGGAGAGATGGTGAGCATGACGGAGCAGGGCTTAAAATAAGCAATGACACCTTGGCACAGCCTGCTTGGGATAGTTTAGACCGCGAGAGTCTATAAAAGCTTACACGGCAAACCATGACACCTTGGAGAGCTTATGGCCCTACCTTATAGCCCTAACTCGGACGTAACATTACTGAACTGAATAGCCCTTCCTATATGGAGCTTGGTGTGTATAAGAAGAACCCATGCCGTCCCCTTGATCAGCTTGAAGATGTTTTCTCGGTCTCCTTCTCTGTCAAGACTCGCTCCTTGGCACTAAACCTATCATGAAATACTCCTTCACCACCGCAGGCCTCATGGCCCTAGTGTACGGCTCTGCCGTCACCGTCACTGCCGCCCTCCCATTAGATAGCACCTCCTCCAAGGCTGTGCACATCCTCGAGGTCAACCGTGACTGGGATGGCATGCGCGCCAACATAGCCCGCAAGCTTTCTCAGAAGGACAGTTTAGAGAAGCGCCAGAACTACGGCCCCTATAACCTCGACTACGCCAACTACTGGTTCGCGAACATCACGGCCGGTGGCGAGCCTGCCTCCGTCCTGCTGGACACTGGATCAGCAGACCTGTGGCTCGTCAACCCTGCTGCTAGTTCAGATGCCACTAACGGCGTGCAGACCTGGGATCCCACCACAGCTCAGGGCACGACGCAGATGGACGGGTACACCTTCAACATCGGCTACGGAGAGGGTGGCAACGGTGTAAGTGGAAATGTCTACCAGACCAACGTCTGCATAGGTGAGGCCTGCACCACCATGGCTGTCGGTTCCGCAACCACCGATCAGGGGCTCGGCAATTTCCCCCGTTCGGGTATCCTGGGTATGGCCTTCCAGGGCGGCAACAGTGTCAGCCCCAACAAGCAAAACACCTTCATGGAGTCACTTGAGGGCTCACTCAGCTCACCCGTCTTCGTCACCAAGTTCACCCCGGAGGGCAGCACCAGCCAGATCGCCTTCGGCTCCAACCCTTTCTCCTACGTGGCGCCCTTGCAGGAGATCCAGGTCGATAGCTCCTCGACGGCCACTTACCCCTACTCATGGTCCTACACCGGCGTGCAGTATTCCAAGGACGGACAGTCCCTAGGCACGTTTGATGTTGTCTTTGACAGTGGCGGTCCCATGACCTCTGCCGCGGAAGCTATCGTCCGTGGATATTATAATGGTGTGAGCGGTGCTAATGATGTCAACGGTGATGCCTCGAGCTGGACTGTACCCTGCGGAACTCAGCTGCCTGACTTGACCCTGACCTTGGGCAGTGCTACGCTCGTCATCCCCGGCGAGAGGTTCTATAACGGCAACACGGCCACGTCTGGTGACTGCACTGTTTGGTTTGTTAAGGAGAACTCGCCTTCTCGCGGTGTCATTGGTGATCCATTCTTCTGCCAGCATGTTGTCGTCTTTGACCAGCAAGCTTCCACCATCTCATGGGGCAACCAGTCATAAGCTGACTGGACTGTGGAAGGTTGCACTTTGAAGTTTCTACTTTGTACATATTTTGATCACATTACAGAAATTAGCGTGAGAGCTAAGAAAATGGACAGGAGCACTACAGGATTCACAAGGCGTAACTTACGAGCTGACAGAAGCTGAAACAGAGCCAGAGTAGGAAGAAAGCCTAGTACAGAATCGTATTTGATTAGACTTCGTGACGGTTGTGGCAAGCATACTATATGAGAGTAGTAGAGAGGATTCACCATCCTCAAATATTCTAATCTTTTGGCGCAGAGGCTTCCTGTTTGCGAATACTCCCGTTACACGGTCGTGACAATATTTATAAATTGTATAAGCATCCAGTCATGCTTCCACTACCTGTCGGTGGTTCTCTATTTAATCTAGCAGTTGAGTAAATGCGATATCTCTATAGCCGGGTCAAAGAGTTACTTTTGTTCAAACATTAGATAAGTTTAGCAAGATATAGAGAGAGGAAAGGCGATTACCTGTCGCTGGCGTTAGAGTGAGGCTCTATATGTTATTATGTCTACCAAAAGATGAATACAAGGCAAAGAATCAGAGGTGGTGAATTAGCAATCTCCATCTCAGTTCCATCTGTCTCTTCTGGTACGATTCAATAAATTTGCATTTGAAATTTTTTTTAATCTTTTTTTGTCGAGGAAAAAGCTAAAATGAAAAATAAAATGTTTACTCCGACCCCGAACTCCGACCCCGATCGATCACGTATATAGCAACTAGATCTCAAAGTTTGAGCTTCCCTATAAAAGGTACCACATATCTCTATCTGAACGCTGAATTCATCTCTCTGTTTTCTACTTTTCTCATTATTTCAGCGATGTCTGCAGAATACAAGTTTGAAGGCTGGGTCGCTAGTGATAATCTGTCCGTTCGAGGGCAGATGGTATGGGGCGAATTCGAGCCAAAGAAATGGGAGGAACATGATGTCGATATTGAAATAATTTGCTGCGGCGTGTGTGGCTCTGATATCCATACATTAGCGTCAGGCTGGGAGCCAACACTATACCGTAAGTACTGTATACTGCTCGTTGGGTAGCGAGAAATCGTGGTTGTTCTCACAAAAAATAGCATGCGTGGTTGGACATGAGATCGTTGGCAAGGCTGTTCGTGTTGGCAAAGATGTTAAGAACATCAAAGTTGGTGACCGCGTTGGAGTGGGAGCCCAAGCAGGAAGTTGCTTGAAGCCAAGTTGCGCGGATTGCTCTGCTGGCCAAGAGGCCTACTGCAATGGCCCCGAATCAGTCAACACTTACGGGTCGGTCTATCCTGACAACAAGGGAACGTCATACGGTGGATATTCGACATACAATCGCACACACAACCATTTTGTTTTCAAGATCCCAGACGCTCTGGCCTCAACCGACGCCGCTCCGATGCTCTGTGGGGGTGTGACTGTTTACTCTCCTCTAAAAGAAAACGGCTGCGGGCCTGGGAAGAGAGTCGGTGTTATTGGTATTGGCGGCTTAGGCCATTTTGCCTTGCTGTTTGCGAAAGCCCTCGGAGCTGATGAGGTAGTTGGCATCTCGAGAAAGGCAGAAAAGAAAGGCGATGCTCTCAAGCTAGGCGCAGATCGATATATAGCAACAGACGACGACGAGGACTGGGCTAATCGCAATGTCCGAACCCTAGACTTGATCATTTCTACTGTTTCAAGCGAGCACATGCCTCTTGAAAAGTATCTAGGACTACTTAAAATTAAGGGATCATACATTCAAGTTGGGTAAGTCCCCGAGGTCCTCTCTTTTCTCAAGGTATTTTGCGCTAAATATTTCACTCAGTGTTCCAGATGGTGGGAAACTTCCCCCAGTGAGTGCCTTTACACTCATTGACAACGGTATCAAAATCGGTGGTAGCGCAATCGGCTCGCCACAGGAGATTGAAGAGATGCTGCAGTTTGCAGCTGATAAGAACATCAAGCCTTGGGTCGAGTAGTGGCCAATGAAGGATGCCAATCAAGTCATCCAAGACTTGCAAGAGGGAAAGCCACGCTATAGATATGTTTTGGTGAATGGCACGTGAAATCAATAGGGTAGACGATGGGTAAAGTAGCAATCTTTGATGACAGATTTCCAGCCTCTTTCAAAAACCAATGCATAATGCAAAACCTCACGCACTGATGAAAACGCACCCCCTCATGCACTTAGACAAGGGTGAGAAATCGTCCGATAGAAGCTACCTGCTTTCTTGGCCTTTTCACTCCTTTTTGGATATAAAAAGAGGACCTGTGAATAAAATAGCTCTTTTCTGTCACCGAGTCTTATTAACCAACTAAAGTGTTGATGGTGGTGGCAAATTGTTTCCCGCTTGTGGCCGACATGCATGGACATGGTAATTAAACGTTATAGTAGTTTCCCGCGGAATTTTGTAATGACCCCAATTGGATCACTATGGATGTTTATCTGTGCCCCAGGAAAGTTTTACCTTGTTAGGATAAAGTATATTACGCTACGCTTATCTGCGATTTATGTGTGCATAATTGACTTTGGCAAATTGCCTGAGGCCATGAGTGACATAACCTCATAGCAGGGACAGGAACCCCTTGAAGCTGAAGCTGATTGGTACTGGAGCTGAACTTTCGACGGCGGTAGTGTATTCACGTACTCACCCCTAAACTGGCCTTCAATAGACAGGCATCGAGCACTCTTATCTCTCGCCATGTCCCTCAAGTTTATTTAAATCCTTTCCTGCTCCAGGATGTTCGTTCCAATTCACCATTCCCCGCACAACCGTCGGGAAACCAGCACTTCACCATGGCCGCTCTTACAGAGAAGACAGTTGACAGTGAGAAAGTCGCCGCTGAGTCGGGGACAGATTACCATGATATTCAGGTCGCGACGATCATTGGCAACAGCGACCAGCTGAAACGGCACCTGGGCAATCGCCAAATCCAATTGATCGCCATCGGAGGGTCCATTGGGACGGCAGTTTTCGTGACCATCGCGTCTGGTGGTCTGACCAAAGGAGGTCCGGGAAGTTTGTTTATTGCCTACACTATTTACTCGTGTATGATGGGTCTGGTCAATAACTGCATAGCTGAGATGGCGGTGTTCATGCCTATTAGCGGTGCGTTCATCAGAATGGCAGGCCGCTGGGTGGACGAGGCGTTTGGGTTCTGGGCAGGCTGGAACTTTTTCCTCTACGAGGTGCTTCTTATCCCCTTTGAGATCACTGCTCTGAACTTGGTTTTGACGTTCTGGCGAGACGATATTCCAGTAGAAGCCGTGGTGGCTGCTTGTATCGTCCTTTATTTGTAAGCCGCAATTCCTCTTGTTTCCCGTGAGAGGCCAGAGGCTAACGAAGTGGATTCCAGCGTCCTGAATGCTTTTTCGGTTAAGTGGTATGGGGAGGCGGAATTCTGGCTCGCTACAGGGAAAGTGATTCTTATTCTGATCGTCTTCCTCTTCACCTTTATCACTATGGTCGGCGGGAATCCCAAGCACGATGCGTATGGATTCCGCTACTGGAATTCGCCCGGTGCCTTCGCCGAACATATCACCACGGGGCCTTTGGGCCGCTTTGAGGGCTTCTTAGCCGCTGTTTGGAGTGCATCCTTCACGGTTGTGGGTCCAGAATATATATCCATGGTAGCTGGAGAAACAAAATTACCTCGCCGGTATCTAAAGACCGCGTTCAAGACCACCTATGCGCGGTTTGCCTTTTTCTTTATCGGAAGCGCCATCTGCGTCGGTATTGTAATTCCATATAACGACAAGACGCTGTTAGACATCATCAGTGGCTCATCCAGTGGTTCAGGCACCGCAGCAGCGTCTCCATATGTTATTGCTATGGGTAATCTTGGCATTAGCGTGCTACCACACATCACCAACGCGCTGCTGGTGACAAGTATATTCTCTGCCGGGAACGCCTACACCTATTATGGGACTCGTAGTCTCTACAGCCTCTCCCTGCAAGGCCAAGCACCTAAAGTCCTTCGACGTTGTACTGAATCCGGCGTTCCGATCTACTGCTTATTGATCGTGAGCGTCTTCCCATTCCTAGCCTTCCTGAACGTCTCGAGCGGATCTGCCAAGGTTCTAACCTGGCTCATAAACATCATCACCGCCTCCCAGGTAATCGACTACATTATTATCTGTGTGACCTATATCTTCTTCTACCGCGCCCTCCGCGCACAGAATATCGACCGTCGCACCCTCCCGTACTACGGCTACTTCCAGCCATACTCGGCGTGGATCGGTCTCATCTGGATGACAATGGTTGTATTCGTATACGGCTACACGACGTTTTTGCCGGGCAATTGGAGCGTGGGCGACTTCTTCACTTATTACACTATGGTCCTGGTGGCGCCAGTTCTTTTCTTTGGATGGAAGGTTGTCAAGCGCACCAAGTTCATCAAGCCCCATGAGGCGGATCTCATTTGGGACAGGCCTATCATTGACGCTTACGAGGCTTCTTTCACAGAATATGCTCCTGGGTTTTGGACAGAGGTCTTCCAGATGTTTGGCTTCCAGAGGAATCGGATGGAGACACAACAGGCATAAAGCTGCATAGGAGATTGTCAGTGAGTACTTTTAGACAGTGCGTAGCCTAAACAGAAACCTGTGCCTATTCAAGTTGAATTAGATATTTGCCATAAGGTTTCTAAGTAGGATTTCTCCAGCTCTACTCAGTCGCTCGTGAAATTAAATTCAAGGTCGACCCGAATCGGTTAGCATACCGGGAAAGCTGGGATTGTTCCGACTGGCCCTGAAGTGTTCCTCCAACAGCATATCCCTTCTGTCAACCCAGTTTAAACCCAGAAATGAGCCTTTTAAGCACTCTGAACTACATATAGTGTAATCATCTCTTCTTGAAACCACCGATAGCTAACCGTGTATTTGGAGGCAGACGATTGTAACAAAATACGCATTAAATATTTTCGACATTACACACATGTGAACGCACTAATTAAGCACACCAAAATCCACACATATTTGTCTAGTAGGAAATGATGATATATGCTGAGATTGTGCGATGATCTCTGTGATAAAGCTCTTTCGAACTTGGATCAAATGATTGAAAAGCTCTGAATAACCAGGGAAAAGCGAGGCTGGTTCACAGCCGGGTCAGGGGACGGCGATCCTATTCAATCACATCACCAGGCCGGTTATTATGCCTTAATGTCTGTCAAGACAAAGCCTAGCAATGCGTGCCGGCTCATGAGTTAAAGTAAAATGTGTCTTCTACCATCGCAAGTTAGCACAGACAAGCCAGTGGCTGTCATATCCATTCAGTCACAGTTTTCTCTCTGTAACAAGGCCCGTTATTTCTTAAGCCAACCGCATGAATGAATTCTCAATACACTGTTTCCAATAAGTCATCTTGTACTGGTCTATGGGATGTGAGTTTAGACTAGTTATTCTGTTATTACCATGCTGATTCCAAGTCTATTCTCAATCTCGTATCTAGCAATACATCATAAATAGACAATTTCATAAGTGATAGCATGAAACACCATTATCAGTACTAGTCTTCTGTGAGGCTTATCCTCTCATCAAGATCATCAAATTGAGCAAGACAGTGATGGCACTAAAACTCTTCCAGATACAAACAAAATAATTTTATAAAGAAACAAAATACTTAGTAACTTAAACCTGTTTTTAAAAAATCAATATTCAACACAAAATGGATATAATTAAAATTAAAAAAAGATTTAATGTTATAAGGTATCCAAATTTATAATTTTTATATTATTAAGAATAGCTTTATATTCTTGGATTAAAAGAGATGTATCTGCTTATTATCTTTCTGTTCACAGTTTGTAGAGTGGAGAGTATAACTTTTTATACACTTTGATACCTTCACAATGCAGAGTTTTGCACCCTCTGACGTCTTCTCTGTAGCCTTTCTCGACATATTTTAACTCAAACTAGCTCTAAGGAGCCATTCAATTTAAAAAACCCATCCTCAATCAAGTCCAGTTCTTTAACTTCTTGTTGATAGTATACTGTCGCCTTACCAACCGAATAAGTCTTCAGCTCTACTGTGATGAGCTTTCCGTCAGTCCATTCAAGAAACACTTCAATATTTCCCCTAGCCCGAAGACCTCGCACAAACCCCGTGGGCCATTGATCAGGTAGGGCTGGAAGAAGATCAATTTCCACTCCTTTCGGTCCATTGAATATGCTTCTTAAGAGCATCTCCGCTACCACAGCAGCACCTCCGTAATTTCCATCGACTACAAAGATGTTTGCTTCCGCCCCAGCTATTCCCGGCTTCGAGTATGTAAGAAGATTCTCAAATGTGAGGTCTGCAATCAGGTGACCTAGCTGATCGAATGCGCCACTTGAATCGTTGAGCCTTGCATAATTTAGCCCCAACAAAACTGCAGTGAATTCAATGTCTTCCAAATTGTTGCAAGCCCGTCTATTTTTAATACTCACTTGCGTAGCGGATGCTAGATCCGGACTATGTCGCAGAGTGATTTGATTGCTACGACACAGCGCCATTGTATGTGATAGGTGACGATGATCAGGCTGTGCTTCTTTGTAATCTTCCGCCCACTCTTGTAATTGACCCTGTTTGCCAATTTTGAAAGGTGGGAGTTTTTCCAACGCTTCAGTGAGTTCAGAGGCGAATTTGAGGTCGGCATTTCCAAGTTCGTTTACGGCACGTATGCAGAATTGAAACAACTCACGAACAAGAATTATATCAATGGTCGGCGCAAGGGAGAGATGGTGCTCCTCATTCCTCTCAGTGAATGGATAGAAACTATTCTCGGGAGAGACTGACGGACCGGTGACAAGGTAGCCAGTGCGGGGGTCGACTGTCATGTAATTGAGAAAGAAGCACGCAGCCTCCTTCAAAACTGGATAGGCTTTAGTAGCAAGGTATTCCCTATCTGTCGTATACTCGTAATGCTCTATCATATGAGCCGCTATCCACAATCCACCGGTGACATTCAATCCCCATGAAGTTTCCCATCCAGGATCAGAGAATCCCCATACATTTGAAAAAACATGAGCAACCCAGCCTGGTGCACCATATGATTGCTTGGCCGTTTCCCTGCCACTAACCGCGAGATACTCGCAGTAATGCATGAGAGGTACATGGAGTTCGGGAAGATTCGCGATTTCCGTTGGGAAGTAGTTCATTTGAGTGTTGATGTCGAGATGATAATCACAACTCCAATTCATTGCATTGGCCTCTCCATCATTCCACAAACCTTGAAGATGTAATGGGAGTGGCGAATCTTCTCGTGTTCCAGCAATAGTAAGATATCGGGCGTACTGGAAAAACAGAGAAAACAATTCCGGGTCGTCGTAGCCCAAAGCCAGTGAATGACGTCTTTGATCTGTTGAGAGGGTTGATCGATCGTTCTTTCCCAGGTCTATTTGTACACGTCGATAGAGTAATTGGTAATCACTGATATGACTTGCCCGGAGTTGGGAATAGGTCATGTTGTTGGTTTCCTCAAGTTGTTTGACTGCTCTGGCCTTCCACCCATCACCCTTTTCTCGAAAGTCAGTATTAAATGCCACTCTGATGACCATCTCAGTTGCACCTTGTATAAAAAGTTTGTCGGTTCCATTATGCACCATACCACTTGTAACTCCTACTTTGATTATTCCCATACCACGGACGCCACAAGTCCCATCACTATGGATGGTCTCAACCGCCCGCGTCTCAAACGCTAGCTGGCCATCACTAACGTTAGTAATCCTGAAGCTTTCGGTTACACCCTTTACAGAAAGCTCTGAAGAGAACCCTTCTGGAGCATCCGTTGTTATTCTCGCCACAAGCAGCTGATGGGCATGGGACATAAACACTTCTCGGGAATATTTGTAGCCATTGATCCAACATTCCGTCGAGACAGTTGCCTCATCAAGGTTCAGCTCCCGTTTGGTCGTAATGGCAGCATCAGCCTCTGCACGCTGTAGCTTCGGAAAATCAAGGAGGATTTCAGCAACACGGAGGTTTGTACCGAAATTACGTTTCTTGGGCTGCAAATACTTCTCCGCCAAGCGTCTACCTCCTACAAAATCATTTGCAAAGTATTTCTCCCGAATTCTCGTTAAAGCCTCTCCTCCACCATACTCATCTTCTGGTGTAGCTTCAAATTTACCGGACCAGAAGGTTATATCATTGAGTGACCATACTTCAGTTGCGATATTTGAGATGACCACAGCACCGATGCGTCCGTTCCCAATGGGAAGTCCATCTTGCCATTTGGTGGCAGGTTGATTGTACCAGAGTCTGTCTGCCATATCTCAACTTTGATAAGGGGCACAGATACTCCTGATAGACTCCTTTCGTATTTGTGCTCTAAGGGATTTATATCATGTCAACCACAGGCGATTAAAATGGCCGGGATTTTCTCCGGGGCTAAGGAGAAATCACTACTTCTGGCCTAATTATCGGTAACTTCTGCATACGGCTACATTTCCGGGCGGTAATTTTCAACTAGTGTCGAAATCCCAAGGGCTGCCATTTCCCTGGATATGCTCGGGAAGATTCTCGGCCGCTGCAAAGATACCAAACTCTGCGGGGTTAGGGTACTCCACATTGGCGTGTGAAACATGGGGTTCATTCGCTAAAACTTCTGGGGATGACTAGACCACTTTGTATGGGTTAATTGGTGTCTATTGATATTTTGTACCTGTTGTCAATTTGATAAATTCATTGCAATTCCCCGCTCCCATTCAGCAGTAGAAGCAGTTAGCACCGTTTCATAACTAAACGTGACCATGGAAAATAAACAATTGACTCAGTGGGTTGAATCCACACCTGCATCAGAAGCTGCAGGTATCCACGAAGACCCTGAAGACCCCAAGAAACTGGTTACCCTTAACAGGGAGCTGGCCAATAGAGCAACAGCAACAGAGCATGAACTAGGATACTGGGAGGCATTAATGATCTATAAGAAAGGGGCTTTCTGGTCCATGTTTATCTCGCTTTCGATAATTATGCGAGCATATGATATCGAAATTTCCGGCAACTTTTATGCTCTTCCCGCTTTTCAGCAAGCCTTTGGCAAGGAGGTCCCGGGGCATGGATATCAAATTCCCGCCAGCTGGCAGGTTGGCATGTCCTTGGGATCTCTCGTGGGCCAAATAGTTGGCGCATATATTGTTACTTTTCCAATGGAAAGATTTGGTCGCAAGAAGACCTTTGGTGTCTGTCTTGTGCTGACGGGAATATTGACTTTTATGCAATTCTTTGCAGGAAGCATCGGGGTTCTCACTGCTTCCCAATATCTTTCAGGCATTGTCTGGGGTAGCTATTGTGTTATAGCGACGACATATGCCTCCGAAGTCCTACCCCTACGTCTGCGTGGTTTCCTCACTGGTTACATTAACTTATGCTATGTCATGGGCCAGTTCATCCAAACTGGCATTACGAGAGGCTTTATCAACCGCACAGATGAGTGGGCATATCGAATTCCATTTGCCATTCAGTGGATTTGGCCGGTTGTGCTTCTTGCCGGCCTTCCATTTGTACCAGAATCCCCATGGTGGCTGATTCGACAAAATGACCTAGACGGTGCCGAGCGCTCCTTACGACGATTGTTCAAACCAACACCCAAAGTCAGCCCGACTGAAGTTCTATCCATGATGGTCAAAACAGACACATATGAACACGAAATTGAAGTTGGTGCCACATATTCTGACTGCTGGAGGGGAGCTAATCGTCGCCGAATGGAAATTTGCATCTTGCTTTTTGTTATCCAAAACTTCTCAGGCAATCCAGTCGGGTTCGCGACGTATTTCTTTGAGCAGATTGGTTTGAATAGTGTCCAGGCGTTTGATATGGGCGTTGGCCTGAACGGACTAGGCTTTGTGGGCACTCTATTCTCGGCAATCCCACTGATATATTTTGGTCGGCGCGGGGTGTACATCTTTGCTGTTGCGTTCATGGTTACTATACTCTTCATTGTTGCACTGTTGTCCTTTGCGCACGATTACACAACCAATTACTCATACCGCTGGGCACAGGCCACACTTCTTATTGTCCTGCAGTTCGTCTGGCAAGCGACTCTTGGTCCGTTGACATATGTCGTTGTTTGCGAGACTCCGTCAACAAAACTAAGATCCAAAACATTGGCGATTGCAACCTCCATCGACGCCTTGACAGGTCTCGTAACCAGCGTCATTGGTCCATATTTGCTCAATCCTGGAGCCGCGAATGCTGGCGCGAAGATTGAATTTTTATATGGTGGTATCTCAATATTTTCGTTGATTTGGTGCATCTTCCGTCTTCCGGAAACAAAAGGTCGGACCTTTGAGGAGCTGGATATTTTATTCGAAAGAAAAGTTCCCGCTAGGAAATTTGCGGAGTATGTTATTGAAGATCTCGATGCGGAGGAGGCCAAGATTGAGAAAGACATGAAATAGTGGATGTTTCGCCAACGGCTGCATCATTTCCTTTGCTCGTTAGTCAGGGTCTTGGAAATCTGTACCAGTTTCAGTGATGACCATTTTTCTTCTCATCCCATGCTATTCTTCTGAATATCACATTAGCTATCGCTCTCAGATTACTTTGCTAAGTAGCGCATGAACATTTGAACATTAAAATGAATGAATTCGAAGTCATCGTAATAGTAACATTGAAATGTTGTGTTATATTACCTAGCCGTCAACTGATATAGCTCTTTACAGTCACACGAGTTCCACAGGTGAATCAGCATCTTCAACTGTAATATCCATATGAGCAGAAAAGCCAAGCACTTTGTCTGAGACTCGACCATCGAACATCGGCAGCGTTAGGGAAGGAAAAGATCGGGCCTCAAGAATTTCTCCTTGCGCAGAATTTATAATGCCATCAGATAGTGTATCCGATGCTCCTATGATCTGAAGGAAATCATGATCGTCTAGAACTTCAATAGACGGACAGATACTACTACCTCCCAATGCTATTTCCAGTTTCTGACATAGCGATTCTCGAAGGTCCGGGAGGATAGGTTTTGTCAAGAAGATCATATCACAGAGCATCTTCAGCGTTTCTCTTGGCTTGACGACAAATGAAGAACGGCCAATATTTTCTTCCCCTGGCAAGCAGAGAATGGCGTCTGCCAGTACCATAGCAACTTCAGTCATTTTGACGTCCATCCCCGGTCCATGAACTTCGAATGCGTAGGGTGAAATGTGGGCTATCTCTGATAAGGCGTCTTGTGCAATTTGATGCGGGTACAACAAATTCATTTCCTTCCGCGCTTCTGTTGTAATATAACCTTGCTGGACGCACAGTTTCCATGCAAGTGACCGGATCCAATGCCTTGTCGCGAAGATGTCAATCTTCTGAATATCCGTAGCTTCTGTCGGAATCTCGGTCGGTAATTGCAGTTCCCTCTGCAGAAGAAGTAACTGTCTGCTGCTGACAGACAATCCATTGGATACTTGGGAAGTCCATTTACTGAAGAACTCAGTTCCTGGAGTATTAAACAAGTTGACCAAATTCAAAAAACCCGAAAGCACGTGAGGCAACTGTTCACCTTCCAAAGTTGGTAAATTAATCGGTTCAAGAACAGTAGGAAGGCCATCCTGAATGCAAAGATAACGTTCGGTCATGAAAAGGAGAAAGTATAGCTTGCGCATTATTTTCTGATCGTCTAGAGAGTGCCGAGTGTATGCTGCCTCCGTATGCATCCCCAATAACTGGGCAAAAGAGATGGCCTCTCGTATGTAAAATGCTGCTGTTTGCGACCGCGAGGGTTGCTTACCATAGTAGGTATGCAAGAAATAGGAAGTGAGGACGCTTTGCAGTGTCACTGGCTCCATATAGTCGAATGTTCCTCGCACGCGTCGTACCTCCCGAGCAAATGAGTCCGCCGTCACCTTCTCCTGTGGCGAATCGTTGATAGAAAGAGATTTACCAAGATGCGACAGTGTGGCAGCAGATAGTGCTATTGATAGGGTGTAGGTCTGAACATCGTTGGGATCCGTCTTTAGAGTGTGTATGAGATCCTCTGCGCTGAGCATTGGCCAGATCCCATATAATTTATCTTGGTACATTTCTAAAGCGACCTGGATGACTGGTATTGGAATGCGCTTTTCCGGTAGAACTGGGGCTATCATCATCTCGGGAGAATATATCGACCAGCTGTGGTGTGCCTCTTTGACGACTGCTGCTTCTGTAAGACTCATTTGACCCCTCCATATTTTCTGGATCGATGATGCACGAAGGTTACGAGGGCCTGTTTTTCGGAGCTGACGTAAATAAGTGCAGTTGAGGTCATTCACAAGACATCGATGGCATGGCTGTGTCCCGTTGCACCGGATTTTCCGAATATTGCAGCAGTCGCATGCACGTTTCGTCATAATTTTCAATCGAACAACCGATTTAATTCAGCGAAGATATCTCCAAAACCACTATTATTGGGAGTCCAGGGAGTTAATGTGCTTCATTTCTGGGTCTCCAAGTTGACATGTGAGAAGAAGAGGGGATTCTCAAGGGGAACAGATACAACCACTGCAAGTTTCTTGATCATAGTACGGATAATTATTGGAGCTGTTTTAACTTCAACCCCGCACAGTGTATTCATCCGGAATATCCTCTAGCCAATCGCATTTCCAGTTTCCTCACTCACCTAACGAACTAGTTATAAGTAGGTGGGGAACCCCGTTTTTGTGTAATGATACGGAGCACTTTCTAGTTATGTATATATTAGCGGTTAGAAATTATCAGCTGATTTACCACCACACCAAAAAAGGTACCCTTCATGGTAGTGGTAATTTATCTGGCTCTTATAGCTCCAACAGTAATACACCTAGGAATTACTCCGTATAATTCGGTAACGGTGAATTACGCAAAGAGTTTAGCGTGCCATTCGGGTTTAGCGTCTTGCTGTGCGTTTAAGCTAGACTGAAGAGCTCTCGCGTCTTCGCAGGCAGGCCAACTATATGAAGGAGCTAACAGGGGAAAATAGCCGGTGTCTACACTCTCGAAGCACAGTTTATGTCAAAAGATCTTCGGGTATTTTGCTTCCTGAATCTGTTACATGCACACGCATGATTCGAACAGTTCCGCGAACGAGGTCGTCGGAGATCTGTAGATCGCTTTCACCAGCTCGTTTCCACACAGTGGACAGCTTTTGGTCTGTACAGGGGGGCAGAATTTGCATGTGTGAAAATAGTCACACGAATAGTACTCCTCTCCCTCCAAAAGGCCTCTTAGGCAAACATCACAAAATCGAGAGCGTTTCTTTTCCGTGGATTGGGGTTCCACGCTTGGTTCTGCACTTGATTCAGTCCTTGATTCAACACCTGATTCCACATTTTTGCTATTGAGGAGCCGGTGTATCCCATGTAACCCTCTCCTCTGGGCCTCGAGAGCAGGGGTGAGCCCCCAGATGTCAGGACGGCATTTGTCAACATCTGGCAAGCCGAGGAGTAGTTGAACCATGTCTGAATGACTTCCACAGACAGCATTAAACAATGGAGTTCTTCCATATCGATCTGGGATGTCTGATTTTGCTCCAGCTGAGAGCAAAAATGTTGCCATCGATATGTGCCCCCCGGCACTCGCCATGTGAAAAGCTGTTCGATGATAAATATTGAACTGTTCAGAGTTGCTCTCTTTTTCAAGTAAAGCCCTTAAAGCCACATCGTGGCCACCCTCAGTGATTGCTGAGGGTAACTTTTGGGGTCCAGAGCTTGGAGGGCTGAGATCGGCACCCTTGTTTAAGAGCAGCCTAGACACGGTCTCATGGCCATTCAAGGAAGACCAAAATAATGGAGTGCACCCAAATCGATCAAAGACATTGACGATGGCGGCCTTATCTAAAAGCATTGCAACTATGGCCTCATTTCCTGTGGTGGCTGCGATATGCAATGCTGTTTGTCTGCTTCGACTCATGGGATCAACGCTAGCTCCACGGTCGAGGAGCATTCTGACAATTTTCACCCTCGTTTTCTGTGCAGCCAAGTGTAATGGGGTCATGCTATCGTTGGTTCTGGCCTCGATGTTGGCCCCATAGTCCAATAAAAGCTTCACCGGTGCCTCCCAGCCTCTTTGTGCAGTCCGATGCAGTGGAGTTTCGCCATCCTTGCTCTTGGCTTCAGTGTTGGCACCCTTGTCTAGGAGAAGCTTGAATGTGGCATCGAGATCTTCGTGGTTGACCAATTCGTAGAGGAGGTAATCGGAAACTTTAAGTAGTGGCGTTTCGCCTTCGTCGTTGGCTATTTCGGGGCTTACACCCTTTTCCAAGAACAGCTTGACCACTTTCAGATTTCCGTTTAATGATGCATCATGTAACGGGACGTCGCCATTATTCGTCTTGCTTTCAATGTTGGCGCCTCTGCTCAAAAGCACCTCGACTATCGTCACATAATCCCCCGTTGAAGCCGCATGCAATGCAGTCCTGTCATTATCGTTCTTAGCGTCGACATTGGCTCCTCTATCCAAAAGCTGCGTGACCACGATGTCATGGCCTCTGCCTGCGGCGACGTATAATGAGGTCTCGTTTTTCGAATTTTTCATTTCAATGTCGGCGCCTTTATCTAGGAGCATCTGAACTATCTTCGTAGAGCCTTGATATGCAGCCGCATGTAATGGCGAATTGCCATCTGTATCTGAGAGATCAACCCTGGCGCCTATATTTAGAAGCAATTTGGCCACTGATTCATGCCCGTGACGTGCAGCGAGGAACAAAGGCGTATGTTCACTCGAGTCTTGAATGTTCAAATTTCCTGGGCTTGTCTCAAGTAGGTCTTGCATCAGATGATCCAGGTTAAAAAAGGCAGCAATATGTTCCGCTTTTATTCCGCTCGTTTTAGGATCGGGTTTCCAATCCAGAGGCTCAAAACCGCAGCGGTCATATCCAGTTAATTTCGCTTCACTCCGAAGGAATTTTAGGAGTGTCGACCGGTCTCCAGATGCTTCCCGGAAATGATGTCCCCAGTTCAGAGAGGAGTAAGAGTAAAATGGGTATTCGTTTGGGATTTTTTCAACCTCTTCCTTTTCCTCAAATCTATCTTCCTCAAATACGTCGTAAGAGATGTATGTCAAACAGCAGTCCGTTATATGGTCAAGAATCTCGGGGAACCAACTCTTCAGGGTATTTTCAAAGTACTTCTGGGTGGTATAATGGACAAGTTTTACTTCAGTCGTTTGTTCGTCGACAAGAACTAAACCACAGCAATACGAAGTCAATTGCTCAATGTCCGTGATATTTGTGTCGTCGAATTCGGAAGTCTTAAGCTCAATCGCCAGCGCGTGCTCGAGTTCAGCGGTAGTCAGATTTCTTTTGGCGTTTATGATCCATCCGATTGTTTTCTTTGCAAGGCCCGAAACATTAGCCCCTTGACGCTCGATTCTACTCATGGTCTCACTATAGGCATGATCATAAGTCTTAGACTGAGAGCCAGCGTGAGAACCAGTGCGGAACTCTTCAAGCATTCTTCGAATCCCTTTTTCGTTCGATTCGTCCAAGAGAAGATTGAAATAAAGCCGAGCAAGAAGGAACCTAAGGCATGTTAGAACGTCTTCACTCCAACGTCAGATAAAATCGTACATTTCTTTGGCTGCTTCGGTGATACTATCCTTGATTGCTTGTTTCAATTTCTCTCTTTTTCGAACAAAAGACGGAAGATCATTCAAACGGACGTCAACATAGTACTGAATGTCTTCATTGCTCGCCTTTATTTCCACAGAAGCAAAGCCCTCGAAGTGGGCTGCGATTTCCTGGTCCTGTCGAGAAGTTGCAAGAAGATTAAATCCTTCTTCATTCTGCAACCGGACAAGCTCGCGAAGGAATGAATGGCGAACAGCATGGTTACCATCCGAAATTGGACATTCATCAAGTGCATCGATCACGACAAAGGCTCTTGCGCATGAAGCGAGCACATATCGCAATTCATCGAGGATTACATCCTTCGAAGGATTAGCTGATTTTGCTGAGTACTTTTTGTAAAATGATCTGATTCTCTCGGGTATCGAGCTTTTTCGTTGTACAGCTTGTCTCAACAGAGCCGAGTAGAGGTCAACAAGTGTATGTTGCTGCCGATAATCACAAAACAGATATGCGATCACAACGTCGTCTTGATTGGGAAACGTTTGCTCTATATGATCAATGATGATTGATGAAAGGACTGTCTTCCCAGAGCCAGGGATCCCAGGGCAGAATAGAATCTGCTCTTGACTGCCGATCCATCGCTGGAACTCTTTTGTTTTCAGCAGCCAAGTCCCCGTCCCCTTTTGATGAAAATTAAAAACCTCGCTCTGCCGTAGTGATGGGCTCACTGAACTCAGCCAAGTCAGGATTTTGTCGCGTTCATGATCTTCTTCCCTCTGGTTAATAGTTTGTATTCCATGCCTAATCTCCAAGATTGTACATTAGAAATAAAGGCATATGACAGGGCCAGTTGGAAGAGCAGAAAGAATAGAGTTGACGTACTGATTGGTATTTCCTACAATGAGATTCAGCAGAGAAATATTGGAAACGATTCGAGAGCGAAAATTATTGATCTCTGCTTGGTTCCATCGGATCCTTTTCCACGCCTGGCGTATTCTGCCCGTCCAGTCTGGAGCTGAGTCCTTTGCCAAAACGTGGAATTTTTGTAGCCTAGAATCAAGCTCCTGAAGAAGAATGTCACAGCTCTGGATGACTTGGTTCACACCATCTTTCTGTTTGGCATCGAATTCCTCTTCATCAAGGTCGCCGATGCGGTTTAGTGCAAAAATAAGAGACTCGATCCTGCCGTAGGTCGTCAATATGTGATTTAACGATCTAAAATTCAACACATACTCTTCCTTGATAGCTTTGTACTCCCTCGGTGCTTGCTCAAAGCGACCTCCTAAGTCATTTGCTAGTTGCAAGACCGCCAGAAAGTCACCAATACTGAAGCCAAAACTCATGCTGTTACTAGTTTATTAAGGCTCGGGCCAAAGCAAAGTTTAAATGCCAGGTACTGTAAGGAATTATCAAGGAGAGGATTTGGCAACAGTGGAAACAAACATCTCACATCCCAAACCGCTAGAAGTGGGGTCAGTTCAGCTGAGCTGAGCAGCTCAACAACAATTAGGCGAGAATCCAGGCAAGAATTGCCGGAGGCGCTCTCAATAATTCGTCATCTCTACGGTGATACAAGGCAAACATAAATTGTCCGGGAATAATCAATAAAGGAAAGCTATCAAACGCCAATGTAGTCAAAGCTATCAATTCTAACAGGAGAGGGTCTGGGAGCAAATGCCAAGAATAGCGTTACCGTATCACTCAAAGTGAAACAACTAACATGAGGGTAATCATTAAATTGTCATTAAGAGCTCATTTATACCTTCTGCCTATTATGCACGCGCTTCAACCGTTCTTGTGTGATGTACATTTTTTATCAAAGCAAGTGCGCTAGACCTAATCTGGCTAACGTCGTATCTGACGCGCTAGGTGAAAAGACCACGATTCTCCATCCAAAAGCCATACACAATCGTGGGCTTTTCACCGTCACCACGATTTTCTCCGTAGTGTGGTTAGCCATTCCATAGGGTTACTAGAAGCTAATTAGGGCATGGCTTCCCAATCAAGTAAGGTACGGTTACTCTACATGTTCCAGGCGTTATTAAGCTAGTTTCTTAATAATGTATACAGGAAAATAAGTAAGCTACTTAACTTAATTAGCCTGGTTAGCCACTAGCAATAAGTTAACTAAAACAGCGAGGACTCGCGAGGCGTTAATTATGTCTTCAGGTCTCAGCCAGCAAAAGACATGCTCCATTCTACGACTTGTAACCAACCGAATTTCTAACATTAACTGTAGGGGGCTCTTCAAAGACCAAAACGTGTTGTATTGGCTCATATTTACCAGAAAACTATTACGCAGGCGGTTTGTTGGTGCACACTGCTACTGCAAGCTGTCCTGAGATTGCTGCCTCAGGCGTCAACACACCACACCACGGACATCACTAGTTTCAGTAACTGCCATATTATGATTTTTTGGCTTCTGCGTCGGCTAATTCTACTGCTCTATTTACTTCTTAATCCTAACCCTTAAACAACACTAGGTCTTCGGTTTCACTTCCTGCCACAGAGAATTCGCAATATCCGCACGATCTATATCATAAATATGTGGCAACGTTGTGGCCAAATTCTCTGTCCGTAAGTCTGGAAACTTTTCTCGAACCGTATTCAGAAAAAGATCAAACAAAACTCGATATGCTTTGCCTGAGAAATGCACCCCATCGGTTAACATATACCGCAAATGTCTGTCTGCCATTTCTCCTCTGTTCCCGATTATGGGATCTCCGTAATCCCACCCTTCAGCAAGAAGAAGGCCCTCCCAGAGGTTAATAAAAGGAATCCCATTATCCTTTGCAATATCCTGACAGGCTTCCGCATACTGACGTGCTCTCAGTGTCGATCTACCACATTCCTCAGTACCATTTGCAGAGTATTCGTCGATCGGGCCAGGGCTGATTAGAATTGTTGGGATATTTCTTTGTCTGGCGAGCAATATCATATCTTCTAAATTCTCCTTATATCGCGGTAGTGGAACAAACTGATAATCGTTCTTTGTAGCATCGTTTGTGCCGAAACAGATGCTTAGAAGTTTGATTTCGGTTGCATCGCCGGAAGGGGCTTCGTAGTCGAGGATAGGACCAAGAATATGCCGAGCATGCTCCGTCGTGTACCCTCCGTATCCATGCACGACTACTTTGAGTTTTCGGAAGTATTCATGTTGTAGAGCAGGCGCGAATGCGAACCCTAGGGATTGGTCGCTACTAAGTTCGGTAAGTGAGTCGCCGAAGAGGATTATCTTAGGTGTCGCAATACGCTGGCGGATTACTGATGGAGGTATCGACTTGGTGCCCATTTTGTGGCTATCAATACCTTGATAGATAGAATACCTTGAATATTCATGTCAAAGAGTGGATGTCCAATGTTAAGTTAATTTTCTCCTGTTTTCAAACTATATCTAGACACAGCGCGGATTGCGGGGTTTCTTTCGGTATTTAGACTTTCAGAATGAATTAAATTTCTGGTTAGGAACGAATGCGTGTACTGTTAATTAAGAGAAGACCTGCCAATTTCCAAATTCCTTTACGTGATTTTGTCTGTGCTTTATCTGTACAAACCCCGCCCCCACAGTTGTCGGCTCAATTCTCGGTCAATCTAGTCAAATCTATGGAGTAAGGTGGAAATTTTTTACACTCCAATTGTGGGGAAATATAGCGTTGGAAATTTATTGTGCAGTGGGTAATATTCTTCTCAATAGCACTAAAGTATCTTAGGAGAAAATCATGCGATCCGAGTAGTGTCTAGTTGGCACTTCAAATTTCCCATGCATTGTTCAGAGATGAAAAATTAAAGACTTTTTCATTTTAAATCTCCAGCCATAGACTATGTCATTTCTTTGACACGTCAATGAGGAGGCTCATTCCCCCTTTAACATATCCACCTATGATATGTATTGAAGGCATATATTTCTCTTAGAGAGATACAGATGTTCAGTCTATGTGAATGCAACGCGTTATGAAATGAGAAACAGAAATAGTGGAGTTTTGTAGTATATCCAACCTAAACCGATCTTGGTTGTAGAGTGAAACAGTCGAGAATGAATTGTATCACAATACCAACTGGCTCAAGATATCAATCATGCAGAAACAGAAACAGATACCATCCAGGTGCTTTTGCCTTCAACGGATGTAGCATTCGTCAGGTCAACCTTCACCAAAACCGACCCATCAGTCAATCGTAAAGAGCGTGGCTCTACAATGCTGCCATCAACTGTAACGTAGATAGAGCTGGGCTCTCTAGCAAGGATGAATCCAAGCACTCCATCGTATTTGCTTTCAACTTCCAAGCTGGTACCCTGGATCTTGACGCATTGTAAAGCAGCTAATCCTGCATATTTATCGATGAGGCCTAGAACAGATATCTTCGTCGGTCCAAGATTATGATAAGGAGCTACTGTTAGAACCTCGTAGCTTTTTGGTGCAACTGATATAGATAGGATAGGTTTCGACGCTAGTATCTGAAAGCAAGCATCAGCTGATACTGAGTTCACGGAAACAGCCGTAGCCTGGGCAGCATTACTAGCCCAGACAACGCCTTTCCAGGGACTCTCGATGGATTTGTTTTCATGCTCTAGAGCATCAATAATGTCTCCCTCAAATATGATATCAATGCTATTATCACACCCATCACTCCTTGCGTTCCACAGTACAATAGAGGCGGACTCGCATTCTGGAAAATACGTCCCTGCTCTTATTGAGGGGCCTTGACCAGCATCTAAGGTCGCTTCCCAAACATTGCGATGTAGAGGCCGAATGACATTTTTGGTTCGGATGGTTCGGTACGCAATTTCATCCCCAGGTGATCGTGCGGTCAACTTGCTGTGGACTTTGAAGTCACCGACACCCGGTTTGTCCGCTACAAAGATTGGTCCATTAAAGAAAGCCCGTAGCACGGCGTGGTATTCTGGCCATTGATCATTGGTCATGAACATGTCAGCATCAAGTAATAGACACTGCTGTGATAATAGAATCCCGTTGTATAGGTTGTAATGAATATGGTCTCGATGGACGTTGCGACGAGGAAGGCCAAAATCGTCTGTGTTTCGAATAACAATTTTCCTACCCTTTGTGGCTTCTCCCATGCCTATGTCTCCGTTAAATGTACGCTCGTAGTGAGCCATACAGTGAATGACTCGATTTTCACCGAATATTTCATCAGCTGCTCTGGTCATGCTATTCCACATGGTGACAAACTCCTCACCACCTTCAACAGCTTTCAGAAATGAGTTGTAAGCTTGGTTGTCAACTTTAACAAAGGTAATTCCAGCGTCTACCACAGACTGAAAATAATCTCTCCAAAATTCATATGCTCTATGAGGCGGTGGAAGACAGTAAGCACGGAGCTCAAGATCCACCAACGAGGCGCTCTGTTGGCCATCAAACCCATGTTCAGGCCATTCCATGCCAAGGACATTGTTTCTTTCGAGCGGATACATTCTCATTTCGTAGTTTCGCGCCAAGGGAGAATAAGGAGATATCGAGTTCCAATATCCAGCCAAAGTCATCCAGACGCCGATATCCTTAACAGTTGGTAGATTTTCCTTAATGAGGGCAACATTATCAGCGAGACTGCTCTTCATTCCACTCCACGTCGCGAAACTCCAGAGCCCTCGAGACCTTGGTGCTCCATTGTGGCCATACCGAATATCCTGCCAACCGTCGTCAATTAGAAAGGTACCGATTGGCACTTTATCTCTGTTTAGCAGCTTGACAAGATTCTCCATGAGATCATAAGTTAGCGGGATATTTTCTCCTATACTGCTCCACGTGCAGAATCCAAGCCGGTCAAATGGTGTTTCCTTATTCTCTACGACAAAAGGAGCACGTGCTGAGTAGCCATATTTCACCCGTGCAATCTCCACTGCTTCAGATATAGCATTGGTAGTTCCTTTCCGCACTTTCAGTTTTCCAACTACGTAAACTTGTATTGGGCTTCCATTCTTGACACGCCGCACTCTCGCATAAACCCCGGGTGGTTCACCATCACGAGCAGCAGACAGGGTGACAAATGCTTCCTTGGTAGAGGCTGGAAATACCGCTAAAATCGAGCGCGGGTCTTGTGTTGAATTATTCGGTTGAAGCAGAAGATTATGAGTAGCAAGAAAAGAGTCGAGGTTGAGCAACGGCGTGAATCGGGCTTCGATCCAGGTGTCTCGTGACCGATACCAGGCCCAGCCTTTCCAGTCATTGATATCCAGCCACTCTATTCTTTCGCTTCTAAACTCCTCGTCCACGGGAAGAATGATTTCAGTCAGAAATTCCTGGTCATTTCCTTTCGTACTCGCTTTTGCCAACGTTATCTTGCCATATTGAACGCCGTTTCCAACAACCTTGATCTCGGTATTTGGCTTGCTTATGGGAATAATAGCTCGAAAATTCTGAACTGGAGAAGTTCCAATTGTTCCCAAGTCAATTCTTGTAAAATCAGAGTTTTGGTGTTCGTCGATGAGGGCCTGTAGCTGAATGGGATTGAAGGTTGAGGCATAAAGAGCGAAGGTGGTGGCCTTTTCAGCTATCACAAAAGTTTGGTTTAAGGCAGGAGTGAACACAACCTGATCAGGCGCCATGATCACAAATTATCACCTTTTTAGCGTGGTCAGCTTATGCTGTTTTATGAAACGGACAGCAGTTATATACCACTTACACTCCCCACCGGATCAATATCTAAGAGCTCATTCAGGAACACCGAGAATTGCGCCACCAAATCGACCGCCGAGCTGTCCACAACTTGAAGAGACCGAGAATTCCCCCGGAAATAGATTTTCCAGCTATATACCCTTTTAATCATAGTGCATCATACGTGGAGCGATGCTCTTCTCAGTAATTTCAATTTACGTACAATTAGAGACCCACTATATGCGATATTTAAATATGCAAGGCGATACCTCATTTCTTCCCCAGATCGCAATGAGACCAACGTGTTACAAGGCTAAATCAGCGCACACTCATCGAGCATGACTGTATTTTCTGTATTATGTGGGGCTTTGCCCATTCTTTCAACACTTGTGTGCCAAACACTAGCCCAAACAAATTGCGGGGGAACGCAATACGTACCAGGCAGTCTCAACTTGACGCTGGAATGCTACAACGCTATTCAAGACTGCACATCTCAATTCGAAGCAAATGCGAGCCAAGTCAACTGCAATGATGGTCATGGTAATGTGTATATGCAACAACAAGCCAATCTCCAGGCTACCGGTTCCAGCCAGAATAACGACGCTGTTATTGCCTTCCAAGATATTGTTGAGTTCTGCATCCGGGGTGGTTATTCAACCGGCACCTGGGGCTACAGCGATAATCAGTGGTATTGGGTCGCTGCCGGAAGCGCCTGCTATACGAACGATCCCAACACCACCGATGTAGTGCCTACGCGCCCTCCTCGCTTCTGCGTACAAAACCGCGATTCCAGTCTGCCAGATTGTTATCCCCAGCCTGCTTCTGGCGGTGGCCCGTTGAAGGTTTTAAAGACTGCCAGAACCGCCAATGGATTTATCTCATCCGCTCGGGGTTGGAATACCTACGGCATCCAAGCACTGGCAAATGGTTCTCAAGTGGTGCCGTCCTTTGTAGGATCCTCAGGCTTAGATTACACCCAAGAATTTGTTCAAACACAATGTGGTGTACTTGCTCAGTCGAGATTCAGAAATGCTGGCTATAATTATTGCAGCCTTGACTCAGGCTGGCAAGCAACGTCAGCCGTGGATGAATACGGCCGAATCACCTATAATCACACAAGATTCAATCTGCCAGACTTAGGATCTTGGCTTCACAACCGAGGTTTGAAATTGGGGGTGTACATTACTCCCGGTGTTCCATGTTTCGCACAAAACAAGACTATAAAAAATACAAAAATCAATATTGGAGAAGTCCTGGATGGCAACAATGACCAGATCAACTGTGACTGGGACTTCACTAAAAATGGCGTTCAGCAATGGCATGACTCTGTGGTCGAACTGTGGGCTTCTTGGGGGGTTGACTTGATCAAACTAGATTTTGTCACCCCTGGAAGCCCTCAAAACGGAGCGAACCTCGCATGTAATAACTCGGAAGCAGTCAGAATGTATCAAAATGCAATTAAAAAATCGGGCCGTCAAATTCGCCTCGACCTGTCCTGGAAACTGTGCAGGAACGAGACCTGGCTTCCAGTCTGGAGCGGACTGGCCGAGTCTATGAGAACTGATCAAGACCTCGACAATTATGGTACCAACACTCTAATGGCTTGGGCTGTCGGCCAGCGCGCCATTGAAAACTACCGTCAGTATATCGGCCTACAGGCGCAGCGAGATGTTCCACTGACGATATATCCTGACATGGATAACTTGTTCACCGCAAATGCTGAAAATTTGACAGGCGTCAATGATACAAAGCGAATCACCGTGATGAATCATTGGCTAGGAGCAGGTGCAAATTTAATTCTCGGTGGTGATTTGACGCAGATTGATGAACTAGGCTACCAGTTAATTACTAGCAATGAGTCTATCACGGCAGCCAAGTTTTTTGCCCAATATCCGATGCAGCCTCGCAATCCTGGAACGGGTAATAATACTGCTCAGCAACTGCAAGCTTGGATTGCAGGACCTTCGTCAGAAAATGTTGCCTATGTCCTCGTAGTGAATTACGGTCCTGATGAAGGACAAGGTGGATTCGGCACTCAACTAGCTGGCGTTCAGAACGTAACAGTGTCACTCAACGACTTGGGGATTGGGGGGAAGAAGTGGACTTTTACAGATATTTGGAGTGGCTCCTCTACTACTGTGTCGAACTCTTATACCGCAACACTAGATGAGGGCACTTCACAACTCTTTCGGCTATCTGTGCATAACAGTTGAGTGTTGGACTTTGTGTTATGAAGAAAATTCATGTCAATACCACCTTGCTCTTAAACTGGTTCTCTCTCCGGACATAATAGTTTTTGACTATTTGCCGGACCTCAATACATGTAGCACTGCGGAGTTATATGTGTATATATGTGTGTATATATTGTATCAGGTTTTACAATTTGATTCATCCAATACTTCATAGCAAAGACCTAGGTCGTTCTGATGGCCAATAAATAGTTGTTATATCGATCCTTGACATGGCTATTATATTGAGAATAGACAAACTCCATACTAAAAGAGTCCGCAAGAGCAGTTGTTTTTGTCTGAATCTTTTCTTGCGTTCAGAAATCCGTGGATATACCGAGCTATAAGAAACTCTTTATTTAGGACGTAGCGAATGGTCTGCTCATTGGCCTACTAAAGTGAGAACAGACTCATCTTGATATCGTATTTGCCATTCTTGCCAAGGCTAGGATATTGTAACTTCGCGAATTCCAACCTCCTAGGACTCAACTTTTTGGGGACATTTAAACATCCCCATAGGCAAATATCCGAAAAGCAAGGTAAATTTACGACTGGCCGAGTCGAGATTTCGTAATAATAAACGGGCAACTTTTCAATAGTAACCTACTTACGTTAACAAGTGCGAGTAATTAAATTATTAAGTATAAACTATGATTCGCAGCACGGAGCAAGCATATAAATTTAATCAGTTGGAATCCCTCTCAGTCTTTTGGCACAATACAACGTAAAATCGTCCAGTGTGTTCCACATACAACAAGTAGAAGCAACGGCGCCAATAGATCCTCAAAATCACTGATACTCCCAGAAGTCCTAAAAAAATCTGGGGTATGCGGGGTATGACTGACCATATGATTCGCGTTCAATAGTTTTTGAGAAAAGCTGATAAAGCAACCTCTTATAAATGCTAGACTGTGACTCCTAGGTTGAATCAGACGGGTATGAATATGATAGGTCTCATTTTTCCTGCTATTTCGATGATTAGGTTACGGCCAAATGTCTCATTGGAGAATCTTTGAAAGGAAGCTATAAATGTGAGTCTTTGGTTCTACTACTTTTACTGGGACAGATTTGCATTGTCATCGGTTCGGTGGGCTTCAGGATTGTTATGCATGTAAAATACCACTCTTTTATGGACATGTTTGTCTTGAGTCTCTAAACATTATAATCTATTCTATCAATTGATATCTTGAAATAAATTAGCTATTCCTTAAGGTCTCGGTACGGTCGATAAAAGTAGGTCTTATTCAAAATTCCCCGGAAGCTGCCATGTGATCTGAATCCTACGAAACTC